AAAAGGATATAAAATAAGATTAATTAATACTAAATTAATGGACTAAGAATTGAATTCTTCTACACAATCTTCATAAAAAGTGTGAAGGTGAAACACATGCCTATTTAGGACTCTAATATCGTCAACTTTAGACAGTGTTTCAAGATAGTCAATAAGATTGAAAAGTTCTTTATCATGTTTATTGTTATGTCATGATATTATAGGGATTCCATTATCAAGTTGATATCCAAACGCATAAACTGAGTTATCAATAATCACAATATTTTTCAATTTTCTATCAAATATTCTGATATCTTTAATTAAAATTTTTCCAATTTCGATACAGTTTTCTCTATAAAACCTTTGATGGATAAGTTCATTATTTGGGTCTAAAAAATCTAATATAATCATTAATTTTATAATTTCAATATTAATCAAGAAAATCTTTCCAATTTATGTGATAAATAGAGTACTTCTATTAAAATATTAATATTATATATGCTCTAATAATATACTACATCAGCATAACATCTATGTGAAGCTGTAAATATAAAGACTTCTGAGTGCTTATTTGCAGCTTTTAAGCACTCTATTGCAAATGGTCTAATATTAATCCCAACTTCTATGACTTCACCAGTCGGCAATGTACCAAAGTTTCATCCAAATCAAAAATCACAGTTTTCGCATTTTCATACCCTTTTCTTATTGGGACACTTAATCGTTTTTTTTTAATTAGTTTCATATCAGCAGGTGGAAATAATCTAACCAGTTGCAGACCTTGAAAAGTAGTATATAGATGTTCTTTATATCATAAATTATTTGCTGCCTCAGCATCATCTTCACCAGACCGACTTGCTTCATAAGGCTGGTTTGATTTAAGCTGGGTAATTACACTAGCAATATTCGGAGAAGACCCTGTTTCAGGGATTTTTTCTGATTTTTGTGTTTTGGTGATACAAGTAGACATTTTTTTAAATGCTGAGCTGCTGGTATTCGGTTTTGGCTTCTTTTTGAATGTGTGGACTTTAGGCTTGTATATGTTTTTGACAGATAGAGATTTTAAAGGCAGCGGAGTTTTGCTGAGATCAGCATTTCTTGTTGTGGATGGAAATTGAAAAGATTTAAATCCACCTATAGGTGTGCTGCTAGCAGAATTATTTTTCACTTTTGTTGAAGGTGGTTGAAAGCTTGTAGGAGTTTTACTTATTGTTTTAGGTCTTGATATATTCTAATTTATATAATTTTTTTTCTGCTTTAAAAGCTTGAAAAATAGGTAAATCATAGAAAAATAGATAATAAAGAAATTGCACTGATGCATAGGTTAACTAAAACAACTTACCTATAAGTCGGTGTGATGGAGACTGTCTTGTCATTTTGCAGCTTTGAACCTTTGGAGGTTCAGGAGTAGACTCATCAACATCTGGCAGCTCAATTGTAAGCTTTGATAACTTGTGAGGTTTAGCTTTAAAGCCAGAAGAAAAGTATTTAGGAGTGTTGTGTAGTTTCATATTAATGGTTTAACTTGTATAGCTTATGCACCATAATGTATCGCTATGGTCAGCAACATATCGGCGATAAAAAAATTATCCAAAACGCTTGCCTTATGCAGTCTTAGTCTGATTAGGCATCTTAAGCAATAAATCGAAATTTGTACTCTTCATAAAAATTGACAGTATAATTTTATTTTAAAAATTAAAATTATTGGCCAATAATGATCTATTAAAATACATGAGCTATAAATAAGATTACTTTTTTATTTTTACTTGATTTTCCATTATGATAAATATATAAAAAATCTTATTAGTCCTTAAATAATTTTGTTAATTAAAGAAAAATGCGGGTAATAATTCGCTATTCAACAGCGTCAATATCTTTAATTCTTTCTAGTGTGCTTTCTGCTAATAAATCCCTATATATGTATTACTCTAATTCAATATCAGATGTCCTTTCAAATACCTGCTGGATTTTTTCAGGGGAAATCATGACGAGTGCTTTATTCATAAGCTTTAATAAGCAGCTAATCCTAACTATCTGTTGTCTTCTAATAAGTGGTACTTCAAGCTCATTTGTGTTGTTGTAATACACCCAGATCCACCCATTTCTGCCAAAAATAATATCAACTTCGTTATTTAATTGGCAAAAATGTTGCCTCATTCTTGCTATTCTTTTTTGTAATAAATATAAATTTTATTCTAATAAGAAATAAATATACGCACAATTCACCGTAAAAAGAATACTAAATTCGGTGAAACAACTACCAGCATCCCATTTTTCAGCTTTCCAAACTTGCTGCTTCTTGTCTGCAAGTTAATTGCTTTGCCTTCTTGGCTCTTTGATTGGACTTCTGCTGACAGTAAATCATTGTGATTGAAATATTCTCTCATATGAAGCTGATCCTCTTCTGAGCGGATTCTATGCTCTCCTGTAGGCAAGTCAATGGACGATAATTGCAAAGCAGCTTCTTGTGAGGCGCCAATGTCGACTTTCCATCTTTTATTGCCTACTTGTGAAATTCTCCCTATGACTACGTTTCCAGTTTCCCCTATATAGCAGCCTCTTAGTGAGTTCACGCAGACAAGTCGATTGTACATTGCAGGATACCCCATTACATTAGATACGATTTCTCCAACCTCATTTTGATAAGTTCCATATCCAGGCATTGATCCTGTAGGGCATGGGACTACATCTCCAGGCATCACTAGATTTCTTTCTATCTCAATTTCCATTTATATCAAAAATGGATCCTCCAGATAATGCTCTCATTGTAGCACCTGGATATGGCCACTATATGACTATACAAGAAGCTATCAACGCTGCTTCAAATGGTTCTAAAATTATTGTATCCCCAGGTCTCTATTCAAAACCAATAAAAATCACAAAACCAGGTTTAATCATAGAAGCTAAGGAAACTATCCTCAATTAGCTTGACCTAGTAATTTTTTTTACTCCCCTCTTTTTAAATTGGAAAAAAAAAATTCTGTTCCAGTTTAAAGGAGGTTAAATTTATTTCGATAAATTAATTCTTTAAAAAATTTTTAAAATCTTAAACATTGAATTTAATTTATTTTTTATGAAGAATTAAATAAAAATATTAATCGATTCAGTGCGAAAACTATTTATATAACATTCTACTTACTTTTTGTATATTAATTAAGCCAAACTAATTTTATAAACATTATGATTTTCATGGGGGTTAAAGTACAAAAAAAAATGCAGAAATTTACCAATGTTTTGTTTTAATTTAAAAGGCGAAGCTATATAAATTTATTATTAAATAATCAATATAAGCCAGGATAATGGAGAAGTTCAAATTTCTGTAAGCAGAGGCCCACTTATCTCAATTAGGTTGAATGAAGGTGAAACCTGTACGATAAAAGGCTTTAAATTAATTCACAGCGGCGAAAAAGACGAAAACGAAGAATTTGACTGGCTGGCCAAATTGAAATCTAAAACGGACGCAAACTGTGGAGTCCAGATTTTTGGCGGAAACGTCATTATTGAAGATTGCCAAGTCACTTTAAGCTCAATATTTACATTGAAATGGTGACACGTGTCAACCTGTCCTCTTGGCGCAGCAGTCCGGACCTCTAGGCTACGGCGAATTGTGACGGACTCCGAGCCGAGAGAATCAAGTGCAGGCTCAAGAGATGTATATCCGGGTAGGCTTTGGCTACTTTCCTGTGTTTGGAAATGGAGGTGCTCAACAAGGTCATCTGGATCAGGGCATTCCTCTATCGAGAAACTGGGAGTTTCGGTCCAGGCCACAGGGAAACAGTCTTTTTCTGTAGCTGTCGAAGAAAGGCACTTCGACACCTGATAGAGTCCAAGGAGTTGATCCTTGGAATCAAGCTACTCCAATCGCCCCTAGCAGAGCTGCAAAATCCATAAGCACTCAAGACTGAAGCCGCAAGGAGGAGACAGAAGGTACCGGAAGGGCACTCGCAAGAGGGATAGACCCTCTGGGTGGAGTGACAAGCGGTAGAACCTCCCGTACGGAAGGTCTTTGGTAATTGCGTCACCATATGGCTAGCTCCTGACTTTAATAATCCTAATCTTAATCCACTTTAAGCTCAATAAAAGCCCCAATGCCTGCATTTTTCCTTAATGAGTGCCAAGTCCACATGAGTAACTGTGATGTCAAAGGAAGTTTAGATATAAGTTCTACCGGGATCTACGCTAAAGACTCAAATTTAGCTATGCAAGCTTGTAAAATATACAAACACAAAAACAGCGCTGTATTGCTAGATTGCACGCCCAATAATGTCGTCACTATCTCAGAGTGCGCAATTGTAAACAACTCACGATGCGGGATTTTATGCCAAAACGTTGAGTTTGCACCTACTGTACAGCATAATAAAATTATGCAAAATGAAGGAGCTGGAGTGCTAATTATGAATGGAAATATAGCGAAAATCAAAGAAAATGATATAAAATTCAATGAAGTCGGCATTGAAATTATGGATTCAAATCCAGTTATCACAAAAAATAAAATCAGATGCAACTTTGGCAGTGGGATTGCAATAAGAAGTTATATGACAGGAAGCAGCGTAAAGATCTTTGGAAATCAGCTGTATGAAAATGAAAATTCTATATGGATACAAGGGGAAAGCTGCAGGTCTTTAATAGAAGACAATCCTATTATCTGTAATAATCGAAAAGCTGGGATTAGAATTGAAGACTCCGCGAATGCCGAAATTAGAGGAAATGATATATATGAAAACATTTGTCAAGGAATTTTAATGACCACAGGGACTTCAGCCATTATTGATAAAAATTGTGTATACGGCAACCTCAGAGCTAATATTGCCTGTGGGTCAGGAAAAATAATTATAAGCGAAAACAGGATTTATAGGGGAAGATGTGAAGGAATTTTTGTATTTGAAGGAAATGGCTGCGAAATAAACTCAAATGAGATTTATGAGAATAATGATGGAATTTTAGTGATAGAAAGCAATTTAGATATTGTGAAAAATCTAGTGCATGATAATAAGAGAACGGGGATCACTATTGCAGGAAATGGGATGTGCAAAGTTTCTGAAAATAAAGCTTATAGGAACACAGCTGTAGGGTTTAATATAAGAGATAATGTAGAAGGAGAAATTTTGAGGAATAAAGCTTTTGAAAACCAAATTCAAATATGCTTAATTACGAGGAAAAAATGGGATATCAAGATATTGAGAAATGAGAATGAGTGGGTAGGGGAAGATGCACTTACTTAATTAGTGTTTAATATGTCCTCTGGCTCTGCAGAACAGAAATTCATGTGTTATTTTAACTCTAAACTAGTCAGGTTACAAGCATTCTTCTGCGTCAGAGCACGAAGTATTCCTAAAAGCACATCCCTTACCTGCCACCGAATCTTATCGGCTACGTTCCCTCACTTTTGCTTGTCTCCTGAGCGTATTCCGCCTAAAAATTTCCTTCCACGGAGTTAAAAGCAGTTAAAAACCCTATTCGTCTTATAATGAAAGGACCAGCAGCTTTAGCCTATGCACTAGTGTTTCTGACATAGCTGGATCAGTCACTGAAAAAACTAAACCTACAAATTTTCAAAAGAGGAAAAGTCCTCAAAGAACTATTTCCGACTACGCCATTTTTGGTAGGGGAAGTACAGCTGCCGTTGCAATATTCGTGTCAAATATTTTAATAAGCATATTTTATATTTTAAGAAAAAATAAAATTAAGTAAAACGGCTGTGAACTACTTATAGGATTTTCATTTTTTTAATGCTGCCATATTAAAACAAATAAAAAATTCCTATTTGGATGTTTAGCCATACAATTTCAAATAATATTCTATTCAAGCATAAGCTTAATCTATAGCCTCTTTTATTAAAAATATAAATATTTATAATGTCTTAATTAAGCTAGATTACATGTATTAATCTAAAAATCCAACAATATTTTAAATTTCCCACAAAATCCATTAATTCTGCACAAACCTCAATGATATTTCTATAATTTTCCCCACGTTTTGGTTAAAACTTCTTGGCTTTATTTTTCTTCATTTTCCTTCTTAGAACCTTCTAAATTTCTATCGTTTTTCTTCGTTGTAACTCGAAAAATTCTTTAGCCCAATAAAAAATGGATTCCGATTCACTCACCTCAACAAGCTCGTCTCTTTTAGAGACCTTAACTTCATTCGCCAATTCGCAAGCTGGCCAAAGCAAAGATTTCGCATCATTCCCAAGCGATTTTGATGATTCCTTACTTTCAAAAGAGAAATAAAATGATGACGTTGACGGAAATTGGTTTCCGAGGCGCACTCCCTATAGAGCAGGTAGGGGCCTATCCTGATGAAGCCGAAAGTAAGGCCTCTTTCCTTTTAAAGTAGGCCTTCAGGTTTGGGGATGCCTTTCCAAAGGGAGAAGCTTTGTTTCTCTTCGAAGGTTTTCCTCCCTAGATAGGTTTTGGCTACTACACGATCTACCTTATCGGGGCCATCGGGGCAGATCTTCCTTAGAGGGCTAATCCCTTTGGCAGGTTGTTCAGATCGGAAATCCAAATGAAAGCCTTTCTCTTTCTTTGTCTCATGGACGAGAGAGAAGACTATTTTAGAGCCAGGAAGACGCAAAGGTTAGTGAGCTTGCTGGCTTATGGCCATTTTAATTGCTTAATTATAATTTTACTTTCAAAAGGGAAAATCGAAAAAGGTGCATTGCTCAACAATGGGCGATATGAAGTTATATGTTCTATTGGCAAAGGAGCTTTCGGAAAAGTAGTCAAAGCTCTTGATCTAGTTAGCAAGCGCACGGTTGCCATAAAAATTAGCAGAAATGACCAATTATTCCAGTCTCAAGCTAAGAATGAAGTTGAAATTCTTACTCCATTTATTTTAAAATTAATTAATTATAAATAATAATTAATTTATTTTATATTTAAAGATAAGAAAAGTTAGGCTATTAAAAGAAGCAGACCAAGCTGAAGGGTTTTTTGTCAAAATGGTCGACACTTTCATTTGAAGAGGCGTCACATGTATAGTATTCGAACATTTGGCAAAAGATTTATATCAGCTTTTAAAAGAAAATAATTTTCAAGGCTTCCCTCTTGAGACTATTAGAATTTTTGCATGGCAGCTGCTAACTGGCTTAAGCTTACTAGCGCTTCCTAATTTACAAATTATATGCCTCTTTATATTCTTTTTTCTAAAAATCCTAAATTATCAATATATAAATGTCTAATTTCCTTTTAAATTAATAGAGAAATACATAGCGATTTGAAGCCAGAAAATATTATGCTACAATCAATGGACAGAGCTGGGGTAAAAATAATCGATTTCGGAAGTTCTTACAAAGGCCTAGAAGTTCAAGCTAAATGTGCACAGAGCAGGTATTATAGAGCTCCTGAAGTTTTATTAGGGCTTCCTTACAGTAACGCAATAGATATTTGAAGTTTAGCTTGCATTTTGGTAGAAATGCATACTGGACGGCCATTATTCCCAGGATGTAACAGTTATGACCAGATGCAAAGAATTGTAAACTTAAGAGGATTTCCTAATAAAAATATGATTAGAAACAGTGAAAAAGCGGGCCAATATTTTAATATTGGTGAAAAAATTTCAATGCTAGAGCCTTGCAAGTTGAAAAATTCGAAGCCTACTTCAATTGAAAAATTCATTGAAAAATATGGGGAGTGGGAAGAAGATTATACAATTTTTATTAAATTATTTTATATGTTTATAGACAAAAATCTATTTTTTTAATAATTTAGAAAATTGGCAAATTGAATTTTTTATTAAACTTATATAAAATTTTTATATCTAACGAACCAATATTTTGTTGACTTAATTGACAAAATGCTGCAACTTGAGCCAAGCAAACGGATATCGGCACAAGAAGCGCTTAGACATCCATTCTTTTATACTATGTACCCAACTTTGGTAAAGCCGGTGATATTGTCACCGAAAAATACTTTTAAATCAGTATCTCCAGACTCTGACTTTTCGTCTCCTTTTTCCAAGAAATCAACTGCGCCATCTTCTAACTATTCACAAGATGAGGGCACGATGTAAATTACAGATAATGTATTAACTCGCCCACAAAATTTGAAGCAATAAATCTTTTCCAAATTATTATTTTTTTCATATTTTTCAACAAAAAAAAATTTATAAATTTTTTTTTTGAGTTAGAATTTATTTTTATGAAGAATTCATCATGAAATTAACAGATATAAGTGTGTCAAATGTTTAAATAACGTTTTATTTACGCCTCTCCATTAAGCTATTTAGATGTTATTATTACTTTAACTATAAAATTTTTCTTTTGAAAATTAACCAATTTCAAAGGAGAGTAAGTAATTTTCTGATTCTACATTTAATAGGCTTTTGAATCTAATCATAATTCTTGACGCTTAGTTATAGCGAATATTCATATCGTATTAAATAATTTTTTCAAAAATTAAATTGATGTAATATTAAAAATTTTTAAAAAATAATGTTTATAAGAGAAAAATAAAAGCATTTGAGGGCTTTTTGACGAGTAAAAGACTTCCTATTTAAGATAACGCAAAAATATTATTCATGCAAGAGCTATATTCTCTAATATGAATCTTTTATAGCCAATATGTGATGGCAAGATAAATTTCATTTTATGCTTCTTTAAACAGAATTTCTTTTAAGGAGGCATTTGAATCTGCAAAGAAATTGAAAAGATAAAAAGCTTGTTCGAATAGATTTCTAAGTCTCGTAAGTATCTGAAAGAGGTATATCTTAAAAATTCTTACTGAATTCAAAAATTTATATAACTCTCACCCTATTGGAACAAGTCATCAAATTTGCATTTTTGGCTACTTTAACCCCCCTTTAAAATGGAACAAATTTTGTTTTTCAATAGAAAAATTTTATCTATGAAAATCATATTTTTATAAATTAGTTTTCACCTAATTTAATAGAGAAAAATGCAAGTAGAATGCTATTTAAACAGTTTACACACTAAATCGATTAATTTTTTATTTAATTCTCTATAAAAATAAATTAAAATTTAAAGCATTGCGCTCAATTTTTTTCTACAAAAATATTAAAGATGAAAATACTAATTTTAAAAAAATTTTTGACTAATTTAATAGAAAAAACGCAAGTATAACTCAATCAATCTAAACAGTTTTTACACTAAATCAATTAATTATTATTTAATTCTTCGTAATAATGAATTAAATTTAAAGTATTGTGCTTAATTTATATTTTTATGATTTTAAAAAAAATTTATAGAGAAAATAAATATAAACGTCTTTTTTAAATAAAAATTAGCATCATTAAATTGAATAGGGATTTTTTGGTTCCAATTTAAAGGAGGGAGTAAATAGTTTAATATAGTTATTCAGATTTTATTTTTAATACAAATTTAAGAAAGCATAATCTCCGCTTTTAATAATTATTGCTAATACTCTTAAATATATTAAGCCTATCCTTATAAAAATACACTAAAATGATTTGTTGATTCCCAAACGATATGCTGCCTTTCTCATAAATACATTGTATAATTTTGCAAATAAACTTTTTCCTATTTCATCAGAAGAGATTGGCTTTAAGAGATATAAAAGTAAAATTCTCATTTTCTAATAAATTTATCATGCTCAAAGCTATCACAAAAAGGTTGTTCTCAGATCATCGCTATCTCCGCAAGCTTAATCGTGAAATGCGTTTTAACGAAGTCAAAGAAACCTACGAAAGCATGAAATTCTTCGACAAAGAAGAAGAAACCAAATGCAAGCAACAATACCTATATGCCTTAAAGTACATTTCACCTCCAAAATCAGAAAAAACCGAGAAACCAGCATTCACAGGCTCTTCCGAAGTCCCTTTTCAAAACCTCTCTCAGCCAATTTATGTAAAACAACTCCAGCCTTCTCCAAGCTTCCCTACAAAACTTATTGGATATTTAGGATTTGCTGTATGCTCATTTGTATTATATCAAATGGTTAAACGAGATTGGAGTGGAGGATCGGGGATGTTGGACTCCACTAAACACATAATTACAGCTGAAAAAACCAATGTGACATTTGACGATGTCAGAGGTATTGACGAATGTCGAGAAGAATTGTTAGAAATCGTGGACTATTTAAGCAACCCTGAAAAATATCATTCAACTGGTGCAAAAATGCCAAAAGGGATCTTGATGACTGGAAGGCCAGGAACTGGAAAAACCTTGCTTGCTAAGGCTATTGCAGGGGAATCTGGGGTGAAATTTTATTTCAATTCAGGCTCAGATTTCGAAGAAGTTTTTGTTGGGCTTGGAGCTAAAAGAATTAGGGAGTTATTCAAAGAAGCCAAAAGAAATGCGCCTTGCATCATTTTTATTGATGAAATAGATGCATTAGGGGCAAGCAGAAAAAGTAAAGACTTTAATTATAACAGACAAAGCTTAAACCAGCTGCTTGTAGAAATGGATGGATTTGAGTCTAAAGATAACATTTTAGTGATAGGAGCAACAAACTACCCAGAAAGTTTAGACCATGCGTTAAAGCGAGCTGGGAGGTTTGATAAAGTCATTGATATCCCGATGCCAGACAAAAAAGGCAGGACACAGATTTTGGACCTGTATTTGAAAAAAGTGTACCACGATGAAACTGTAACTCCTGAAATAGTGGCTAAGGGCACAATTGGGATGACAGGAGCTGATTTGTCTAATGTAGTAAATTTAGCAGTCCTTAATGCAGTCAAAGAGGGCAGAAGTGCTTGCAATATTCATGACGTTGAAAAATCTATTGACAGAATCCTTATGGGTGTTGAGAGAAGATCTCTATCACTTACAGACGAAGAAAAACTCAACACAGCCATACATGAAGTCGGTCATGCCCTAACTGCAGTCCTCACCAAAGGTGCTGACCCTCTACACAAAACTACAATTCTCCCTCGCGGTCCTAGCCTAGGTATGACTGTAAGCTTGCCTGACAAAGACAAGGTCAGTGTCAACCGAGAAGAAATTCTTGCCAGAATTGACGTCGCAATGGGCGGAAGAGCAGCTGAAGAAATATTTTTAGGCATCGACAACTTAACAACAGGCTGCAGCAGTGATCTCGACAAAGCGACTCAGACAGCTTATCATTATACCAAAGGTGGGATGTTTGACGAAATCACTGGACTTGTCAATTTAAATGCTCTTGATGAAGACGGTGAAGGGGCGGCTCAGCGAGACTTGATTGATAAAGCCGTCAGAGATATTCTTGACGAAAGCTATAAAAGGACCAAAGAAAAGCTGCTGAAAAACAAGTCCTTATTGATGTACATTGCAAAGAATTTAGTTGAAAGAGAAACGCTAACGCAAGAAGAGTTTTTTAGTTTGATTAAAGAATTCAACTAATTTTTAAATAGAAATTGAAAATAATAATGCCGTTTTTTAAATTAGAATATAAAAAGAGGAATCATGGAAATAAGCGATGAACCTAAAGAAGAAGACCCAACTGAGCAAACGACCGACCCTAAGCCACAAGCTGTCCGTGAGATTCATGAAAGCCAAATGACGATCAGCGAAATCGTCCGTTTTATTATATTCACAGTCGTCTTTGTCGTCGTTATCTTAAATCAGGTAAAAACTCAATATGCGTATCATATTTCTGCAGGCGTCAGACAGTATTTCACAGACGATAATGATGACTACCCAAAAATATACTGCAAGGACGATGTTGTAAACTGAATTATCATCGACCTCATTCCTTTGCTTCAAGCTGAAAACTATTATGATGAGTGAAGCCAAGTAAATGACACTTATCAAAGAATCGCTTTTTATAACAGACTTATAACACCTATCAGATTTGTCCAAAAACGTGTAAAACTAGAAGACAATCCTTATCACAGGACTAATAAAGTCTACCCTAAAAGATGAGCAATTTCAGGACTTGACTTGTATGAGTCCAGTCATGGATAATTAAATATGGGCGCATCAGCTTAGGCATGGCCGGGAGGCCATGCCACCTTCAAGAACATATTTAATTATATCCAGTAAGGTTTTACGAAGTTTGGTATGGACAGCAAGCCTTAGTCATTTTTCTGGTTTGGGCTTTACCTCGAGGACAAAGTAGACGTGGAAATTGGAAAGTGGTGGCCCAGCAAAGTACTTTGGACCTATCGGGCACTTTACACCGTGAAACCAGGGGTTACGGCCTGGTTACAAGTATTTCCTTCTTGCCGACAGTCGGCCAGAAAATTCATCATTTTTTGGGATTTTCTGTGCAGGCAGCCTCGTCGCTTCAGTCTGAAGCAATGCCTCGGGAGTCCGTAGTCTGCTCACTCAAAACTGGAGCCACCGCAAAGTAGCAAGGAGGAGGTGACGGCCAGGCAGCTCACCTTTTCGGGCGATCAGAAGTAGATGTTACCGCAAAGCGGATGAATCCCTGGTTTTATCCTCGGTAGCCGAGCCAACAAAGTGAGCCCTAATCACCTTATTAAGTAATTATGAGTCCAATAGTGGAGAAAGCAAAGCTACTTATGGGAATGGAACAATGTTTGTATACGACTCAAGCATTGGAGTCAGACATTCAGGAGGTTTTCAATATATTTCTGAAACAAACACTTCAAGCCAGCTGTCCGATGCTTATAAGGTAATCGTTACAGATAAATGAATAGACAGCCAAACAGCAGCAATATATGTGGATTTTGTCCTTTATAACGGACATTGAGACATGCTAACGTATGCCGCATTTCAGTTTTGGTTTGACGAGTCTGGACTTGTGACTACCAAATTTGACGTAAGGTCAATGGATTATATGTTTTACCGAACCCCAATTGACCAGTTCCGTGCATTTCTTGAAGCAATATATGTGATTTTGCTGCTTTTGTATACAGGCATAGAGCTGTTTTTAATAAAAGTTGATATTATAGCGCAGAGAGTTGCATTGCAGAGCCAAGGGATTAATGTAAATAGCGCAAGAGTGATTATGTTTTGAGGAGGAGTAAAAAAACACTTTGGAAGCTTGTGGAATATTTTGAATACAGCGTCAATTATTTTGTCGTATGTGAATATTGCCTTATGGATAAACGTCGCAGATAACAAGATTTCTCATTTGGATTCATTTGATAACCTCACAAGTCTGCAAAATGATTTATTAGACACTTTGTCAATTTACAAGTTGTATAATTATTTATGCAAATTATATATTTGGATGGTATATAATCTATTATTGTAAAATACATATATATGAGGAATATACAGAATTAAATGGAATTAACTTGCTTTTGATATTTTTCAGGCTTTTAAGGTATCTAGGGAAATTTGAAAGAATTAGGCTACTTCATAGGACTTTGGTAAGATCAAAAAATGAAATTTTTTACTTTTCCTGCCTCCTTTTGGGGGTTTTTATTAGTTTCGTGATTTTTTCTCACGTAGCTTTTGGAGGCTTCATGGAAAATTTCAGCCAAGTCGGTTTTGCATTTGCATCTTGCTTTTTGATTTTGTTCGATAATATAGACGGGGTTGTAGGAGTTTTGGACCATAATTTCCATATTGGAGCGTTTTTTATTATCCTATTTTAAATTTGATTTTCATAATAAATTTATTTTTATATTTTTATTTCGGATTTATAATTTGCATTTCTCTTTAAAAATAAATCTATCTCACATTAGTATATCTGCTTTACGCTATTCATAAATTTTATTCTTTTGAGTATGTTTATTGCTATCATAGGAAACGCTTATGGAGAAGAGCTGGAAAAGCTAGAACAATCTAAAAAGAACCAAAAAGCCGAAGAGCAAAAACATATCATTTTTTCCGTAATTGATTGGGGAAAAGATTTATATTTTAGAGTCCTTAGTTTGTTTACTCCCCCCTCCGTGAGTGAACAAAATATTTTGTTCACTCACGGAGGGGGGTTAATATTTTTTTTTTAAAAAAATGTATATATATATTTTTTATAAAAATATTTTTTTTTCGAAATTTAAAAAAATCCTAATTCGCAAAAATTGGAAAGCAAATATTAATTTAAGTTGTAAAATTTATAATTTAAAAAGCAATTTGTTTAAAATTAAACAGAATTAGCTCTAGATTTCATTATACTAATTATCATTTATATATAAATATTTTTTTCCATAAAAAAAATTTTTCTATTAAAAAAATTTTTGTTTACTCACAGTGGGTGGGTTTTTGGGCAAAAAATAGGGATTTTTCTAATGGTTTTGTTCGCTTACGGAGGGGGGGGAGTTAGCAAAAAGCGTGCATTAATTTTGAAATATAAAAATAATGAAGATGATGAACACTATGAAAACCCAGAAGAGGTTGTTAAGTCGAAAAATCCTTATATTGATTATAATGATGCCAAGCTATGGGGTGCACAAATTGACCATGAAGTTTTGACAGATAAAGAAAAATATGTCAAAATTACTGAGTCAACCTTGATGTTTTCGAAGAAATTATGGGCAGCTTTGATTTTTGTAATTTTTGCTATTATTTATACAGTAACCTTGCTTTACCAACAAGATATAACTGCTCGGCATGAGCTATTAAGTACATTTACTGATTCTTTTGAAATTCAAACATATGACGGAAAATATCGTTTAGAAGATATTCACGACTATAATGATTTAACCAGATGGCTAGATTATGCATTTATAGGAAACTTCAAAAAATCCTATACTTACAGTATAGCGTCTGCAGCACTATGGATTGCCTTTGCGAGGGCTCCTCGCAGCAACTAGGAGTTCTGACGAGCCACCTAAAGGTGGCAAGTCAACTCCAAGTTGACAAATCCTTGCAAAAGGGAAGCTTTTGTCAACTTGGAGTTGACTTGTCACCTTTAGGTGGCTCGCCAGAGCTCCAATTTGCTACAAGGAACCCTCGCAAAAGCAATCTACAGCGCTGCAGAGGCTACATGCAACAAAATTACCTTGTAGGTCAAAATTTTAATAATACCAATGTTTGTGCTACTAATGGGCCACAATATTAAAACTGTCAGTTAGAGATAGATTCTAATACCTGCTCCGCAGACAGGGACCTATTTTCGAGCTCAAGTGATAGAGGTCATCCTCTTGAGAGTGTCCGAAGAAAAAAGAGAAGAGGTCGGTGCTGAGTCTGGCACTGATCAGAGAAGTCTTAACGGACTTGTTAACTTTAACAGTTCGACGGTTAGGCCGGTCCCCCTACCGTTGCTCAGAGCTGTTAAACAAGTTGGACCTCAAGCAAGGGACTGTACACCAAGAGTAATTCATTAAACTTAAAACTTAAACTAATGGGCCTATCAGATTTACAATAAGAAAAGTAGACACAGAGGAGAACCAATCAGACCTTTTTGATGAAGTTCAGCGTCGCTCAAGATACCCAACTTATTCAGCATTTGAAACACACCCAGCTCACGAGTACACAAAATCAGCTACTTTAAATTGTGACTGGAAATACAAAGGTGGCGTCTCTTTATATAATGGAGGTGGATATATTTTTTATGTTTTCCCAGACTCCGACAACTATTATACTCAATTAGAAACCCTTGTAAAGGATCATTTTTTCAATGATACAATGAATAGTCTTCTTATTGACTTCGTCTTGTATAACGGCGACATAAATTATTTCACTTATGTAGGATTTATCACTGAAATGAACTCCGGAGGAGAAATTTTGTTCCAGTACTATATATGACCTATGAGGCTAAAAATGTACGCAACTCCTGCAGATGGAGCAAGGGCCTTTTTTGAGCTTGTTTTTGTGCTTTTATTGTGTTATCATATGGCTATTACAGTTCTTACTATCAGAAGAGACTATGTCAATTATGAAGCTTGGAGGTCAAGATTTTATGAAATCTTGACGACTGACCAAAAGCGAAAAAGAAATCATGCCAAACCTGAATGACTGAGGAGGATTAATAATATTTTAACACCTTTTGTCATTTTTGACGTTGCTTCTTATATGTGCTCATGGGTTTGTATAGGATTGTATCTGAGATATTTGACTCTAGATGTAATTGATTATGAAATGATTAGCGATGATACAAAGTTTCATGATAAATTTGCTGAAGCTGCAAATATACTGGAACAATATTTAAATTGGTCAGCTTTTAATATTTTGTTTATTTATTTCAGAATTTTGAACTATGTCTCGTTCAATAAAGCTCTAGCTCCTTCCAATTCTTGATCGAGCGGATCCCATCGCTCGATCAAGGGTATGGATTAAAAAGAATTCTACATAGAAATTATTTATTTTTCCATATAAACTATGCTCCTACTAGAAACAAAAATATAGAATACCTAATTAAATTAAATATGAACATCCTTACTGGCTCCCTTATCTTGTTTTCAAATAAAAATAGGAAAATGGTAAATCAACAAGAGTTTTTATTCAAATTATTAGATATTTTTTTTTGCTTTCTTAGAATTATTGTTTTTTTTAATGCTAGCCATAAGAGATAGAGTATACAATATAACAAAAGCTAGAAACCAAATTAAAATTGCATAGAAGTGCTTATATAATATAATCTCTAATATTTATTACTATAAATATAGGAAGTTAGATTTAAGAGTGGGTTCATGCTAATTATATGAAAATCGTTGTTTAAGTGTAGAACTCGATTTTTTCAGTTTTTACTCCCCCTTTAAGATTGAGTAAGATTTTTTACTCACTCTTTAAGAAGGCTTATTTTTTTAATTTAAAATTAAAAAAAAAAAATTGTAAACATTTGACAGAATAAATGTATTCAATTTATTTATGAAATTTATATGAAAATAATTCATCATTAATTATACATAAAAATTTTAAAAAAAATATATTTAAATCTCTCTTTGCTCTTAAAGGAGGTTAATTCCCCAAAATAGAGATATTTCTTAGTTTTATTGTTCTTAAAGGGTGGAGTTAGGAAATTTCAATAATATAGTTCAATCAAAAATTTCGGGAGAGTAAGCTTCTTACAAGATACTGTAAAAACTGCTATGGTTGATATTACATACTTCTTAGTTATGATTATTGTAATATTACTTGGCTTTGTATTTTTCGCTTATTTATCATTTGGCCATACACTCTTCAACTATAGTTCTATTGATAGTTCCTTTATGGTCTGTTTTTCAATGATAATAGGAGAATTCAACTTTTCAGAGCTTGCAGAAGGTGACCTTGTTATGAGCTACATATTTTTCTTTTCATTTATGATTTTTTTCCAATTTATTTTGCTTAATATTTTTATAGCAATTTTAGAAAGGGCTTACACCAAGGTTAAAGAAGCAATAGGAAAAGAAGACGAAAGAACTGATTATATAGAATCTCTATTGGTTTATTTTGTATCAAAAATAAAAAAACTTTTATCAAGAGAAGTCGAAAATAGAGACCCTATTGAGGAAAATAAAGAACTTGCTGTATGTGTTTTCAATAGAATCCCTGATGGAACTGAAGAAGAAGATGACCCTAAAGCTTGGGCAATCGGCAAAAGTGACGAAATTATCCTAGAAAGACACAAACGAGCTGAAATAAAATCTTCATTAGACGCCCTTTTCACAAAGCGAAAATTACAAGAAATTGAAGGCAGAGCTGTCATTTTTGGAGGCACAGGAAATTTAGAAGATGAATTTCGAGCTAGAATGAATTATTGGGATTATTTAAGGATTGGCTTTTTGACCTATTTAAGCCACGAGAAAAAAATAAAAATTAAAACAGAAGAAAAAATAAAGGAAAGCGTAGAATTGTATGATAATTATATTGAGCTACTAAAAGATAGAGATCAACTGATAGAGTCAATTCGGCCATTAGAGGCAAGAGTTGAAGCCTTAAAAGATAAAAATTATGAATTAAACGAAGAAATCCACAAAATGGAAGAAATGATAAAAAGCAACAAAGCTGAAGACGAAGGGTACCAAAAACCTGAGTAAGATTATTAATTATATGAAAATTTGGAAATTATTGGTTGTCTTCATCGCTTTCTTCGCTTTCAGTAATTTCAACATTGTTTCTTTTTAATAAAATTTGTATATACCCAGATTTAATTCCTTTGGATAATTCGAGAGTGCTTCCAACAAATTTTCCACCAATAAAGATTATTGGTAAAGTCACTTGTCCGGTCATTTGAAATAAAGCTCTCATAATCATTCTCTGATTTTCTTCGAATTCTACTTCAATTACATATGGATCCACCCCAATCCTTCTAATTCCCCCCTTTTTAAATTGGAACAAAATATATGTAAAATTTCCATTTTTTTGGTAAATTAACCCCCCGTTAAATTGGAACAAAATTTAATTTTATAATAAAAAATTTTATATATAAAAATCATAATTTTTATGTAAAAACTTTTGATATAAGTTAAATGTTTCTTCTTAACTAAAATTAAAAATTTAGTTATATCTTGTTCTTGTTTAAAGAATAGAGTATAAAGAGCATCTTATTTAAATAAATTTATTATCCTTAATTGCTAAATTTTTAAAAAAAAAAATTATTTTTTTAATAACAATGATATTTTTTATATAAATCCGAATTCTTTACAAAAATTGAAAATTTACTTATCTCTTGCTTTATTTTAAAGAATAGAGTATAAATTATATCTTATTAAAACAAAATTGGCACTTTGATTGATAAATTTTCTAAATTTTTTTTTTTTATTTATTTTTTTATCAATAAAAATAATAATTTTTGTTGTGTAAATAGTTTTGATACTAATTAATAGTGGCGTATTGATTAATAGTAAAATTTTAGTTTATATATTGCTTTGTTTTGTATGGATAAAGAGTAAATAGCATTTTATTAAACAAATTTATTAATCTAATTCGATAAATTTTGAAAATTTTTTTTTATAAAAAATTTTATATTGATTTTTTTTTAAAAAAATTTTCTTAACCCCCTTTAAATTGGAACAAAATTTTTTGTTCCAATTTAAAGGGGGGAGTAAGAAGATTTTCTGCTTTAAAAGAGCTTGGATCTAAATGTCGACTATATATAACAACTGAGTGTAGCTTCACCGTTTCCAATACTTCAGGCTTCACTGGACATTGAGCGGATTGTCTTATTCCCATTTTGTATTAATAAAATTTCTAAATGTCGAAACGAATTATTCAAAAAGGCCCAGAACCTCTTACACCTAGGACTATTTATTCGAATAAATTGGAGGTTGAAGAAGAGCTACTGTTGGATTTGACGATGAATTTTGACCCGTTTACTATCAGCTCGCTTAAAAAAGAATTTGAAAGCAGAGAAGGAGAACTGACACTTGAGGAATTTGTTGTTATTATAAGAAGCCATTTAAAGCACTGAAAGCCAACGCTGCAAAACAGAGATAAAGTTATGGTGAAACTTTTGTTGCAGCTGTTTAGAGATATTGATATGAATGGAAATGGGAAATTGGATTGAGACGAATTTACAAATTATATAATAGAAAAAGCGACGACACTGAATGGGATGAAAATAACTAGGGTGGATTCAATTAATTTATAACTTGTTTAATGTGCACTATCAGGTACTCGACCACAGCTACCTCCTCCAACACCGCTCTAGGGCTAATTTCAAGCCATTTTTCCCGGGTCCCCAAAGGTGTGGCCACCTCCGACTTTGATCACTAAAAGAGGAGGCCAGTCTTGAAGTTTGGGCTTCGACGACTCTTGGCTATCTACTTGGTCCTTCAGGCACCCTGAAGATCCCAGTCTCCAAAGCCAGGGGTAGGTGGTACCCTTCTGGAAATTATTCACTAATTTGATCAGTTAATAACGGACATTTTTTAAATGTTAATTTAAAATGTGTTATATATTGAATTTTTTTAGTTTTTATAATTTAAATTATTAATGGTAAGTCTATAAATCAATTATAAACTATTAGTAAAAACGAAAAGAAGATTAATTAAAAGCTAAAATAAAAATTTAAAAAGTTTACCAACTTTTAAAATAAATCTGTAGATTTTAATTCTATTAATTGATAGGACTAAGCACTGTAAAACCTTCTTATAACTCAGAAGGAATCATTGAAAAATTAATAAATTTAGAGGCACTTGACAGAATTGGGGTTATTGAAGACTATTCAAATATCGTAAAATTCTATCACCCTGAAACTGGCCAAGTTATGGGAAGAGATCTGCAAGTAAAAAATGAAGAATCACAATACATTGGCGGAGATAAGGATGGAATTCCTTATAGAGGTCCGAAAAAAGCCATAGTCCATAACGCAATCTTTTTACCTGATCCTGGGTATCAATTTCTGCTTACAAGCTGTAATGACGGAACAATAAGGACTTGAAGCTCAAATGGCTCAAATTTTCATTCTTTAAATTATAAAGGAGGATATCCTATCCTGTATGCTAAAAGCCCACAAAGAAGTATGGCATGAAATAGCAGTCATGGAATTTTATATTCAGGAGATAATACCGGGGCTATTAATATATGGAATTTCGAGGATAAAAAGAGAAGTGAGCCTATAAAAGTCCTCAGAGAAGGCCACGAAGACATGGTGACTGATTTAATTGCAGTCCCCAAGCTTGAGTTTTTATTTTCCTGCTCACAGGACAGAAAAGTTATACTTTGGGATATGATTTCTGCATCCCCTCGGAGAATCTATGGAAGCCACACAAAAGGTGTATTATCTCTTGCATTTAACCCAGAGTATCGTTTACTGTTTTCAGCTGGATTTGATCATGATATTTATGTATGAAACCCTTATATAGACACTGTAGCTTTTAAAATTGAAGGTCACAACTCTTCATTAGTCGGAGTCAAAGTCCTCCAAGATAGTCCACAAGTAATATCAGCTGATATTGATGGCTGGGTAAAAGTTTGGGACATTCGAAATCTCAGCTGTGTTCAAACTTTTAATTTGGAAGAAAAACAATCAGGCACTCGTTTTTCTTTATATAATTATCATTAAACCCTCACAAAATAAATTTAAAATTAAAAAAATTATATTTCACAAAAAAAGTATATCAGATTTTACCTTTTTAAAAAAACAAGAAAGAATTGTTTTTGGTGGAAAAGGACTTGCTTTTTATGATTACGATAAAAATTTGAACCCAAATTTCGTAGATGACAGCTTACCATTAGCATCATTTTACACCCCAAATTATTATAAATTTATTACTCCGATTATGAATAAAGTAAAGGTATGGAATGCGTTTACAGGGAAGCCAGAAAACATGTATGCAGCCTCAGCAGATAGTGATATTTCATGCGTAGAAATTGATGGATGGGAAAAAAGAGTTTTTGTAGGAGATACCAGAGGACATACAAGGGTTTATAATATAAAGAATGGAGCATTAATGAAGCAGTTAGCAGACCATAAAGGAGAAGTCAACTGTATAGCAAGTTCAGAAAAAGGGCAGTTTATAGCAACTGGGTCTTTAGATATGACTATCATGATACACGAAGACAAATCATTAAGCGATTCAGTTGTTTTGCAGACCATTGATAATTTAGGCTGCGTCATTCCAGTTATCAAATTTGTATATTATTTAGAAATTTTGGTTATTGGGACTAGTGAAGGGGTTATCCACATCTGGGACACTGAAGATGCAACTTATGCAGGCCAGCCAATGGTCCATCAAGGCGAGCTTATTGTGATCCAAACTATTGATCTTATGCCACTCATTATTGCTTGTGATTCTCTAGGTGAAATAATCCTGTGGGCTCTTCACCCACTTCCTTATAAATACAACAAAGTATTTTCCTATACAAACCGAGACCCAGACGGAGTAACCTCAGTAGTCCAAGGAATTTCTTATTTATTGTCAAAACATATACTCTTTACAGGTGACGACCGAGGTAACTTACAAGCAATTTCTTTTAAAGGCATAATTGACCTTTTATCAATAGAGCCATTATCTACTGATGGACGAGAAAATAAAATGATGTCATTGGTAAATAAATCTATATTAGCAGCTCCAAATATACCTAGTGACACCCTTATAGTCTTATATTCAATAAAGCTGCACACAGAGTGCATAAGGCATTTATTTTTAATTAGAGAAAACGAAACTTTAATTACAACCAGCTATGATAAAATGGTGAAAATCATTTCTGCAGAAGATGGAAGGATGGTTGGCTGCTTGCAACAAGGAACAGCTACGGTTAAAAATAAAACTGCTACTAGAAAAGATCAAGAAAGTCAGGTCCCTTGGCATTTTTATTTAGATGTAAACAAGTTCACTAAAAGAGATGAGGCTGAGTTTAATTATGTGTATGAGAAAATAAGAAAAAAGGAATATATTGGACAATCAATTTATGAGTCGCCGAGAATTCATGAAGAAGGCAGGAATTTTATGACTCCACAGAATCCTGAGAAACTTAGCAAGGAGTTTGATTATGATCATGGCAATTATCACTTTAGCGTCACTAGTCCTAGAGTTGTTGCGTTAGCTGCAAATAAAAAAGAAGATTTGACTAAACAATATACAGTGAAAAATGCGAAAAATGGGGTAATCACTTTTGATTTATTGCTGCATAAAGCTTCAAAAGCAGAAAAGCAAGACCAATTGACAAAAATTCAAAGCCAAAGGACCCTGAAAAAAGATAAGAAAATTAAATACCGGAAAACTGAAAATAATTTAACGAATTTAGCGAGACGAGGAAGCAGAATCCCTGCTTTACCTTCTCTTTCAAGAATATATAGAGATGAAGGAGAAAGAAATGACTTGCCTTATAAAAAGAAAATCAATCAAGCAGCTTTAAAATCAGCAGCAGACTTAGCAGATGCTCTGAACGAGCCGTTTTTCTAGATTACTTATATTAAATTTAATTAATTATTCACTTGCATTTAAGTCAAAATTATATTGTCAAATATTAACTATCCAATAAATATCATTTATTTATATAGCCTAATAGTTTATTTTTAAAAGATAGCAATCTTCTTTACTTTTTATAATTACTGTTAGGCAATGTGGCGACACGTTGCTGTGCTGCGACAAGCAAAAAAAAATCAGGATTTGGGGTCACAAATTTAAAAAAAGCGGCCCCGAAGGGCCACGGGTCGCTTACAGTGATTGTCCGGGGTGGGTGTTGTCTTGGGCTGACTGGGCCTCTCGCGAGAAGACCGACGGCGCAATACCAATCGGATACTTCTGGAGGAGCAATATGATGGCTGCAAATGGCAAGGGTAGTTCCAGAGGGAGGCACGGGACGATCCCCTCATACCCTGAGCACTACCAGGGGTTAAGAGAGTCCTTTGCTGCAATTTTTTGGTCCAGCAGGTGCGGGTGAGTCTCCCCGAAAGATGTCGACGTCATTAAAAATGGTGACGTCGACAGAAAAGGGCGTTAGGTGGCTTTAGTGACTAGCGCCATATGAAGCGCGAAGCTGAAGCTCGACTGGCTAGGGGCTGAAATAAACCCCGTTTAACCTCTCTAATCTAATTCTCTCTCTCTTTACTTTTTGGAATACTAAAACAATAAGGACTGAATAAATTTATCTATATACGCAATTAAAACAATTAACTTAAAATAATAGCAGTTTCGCGCTTCATACAAAAAGTTTAAAATATTAAATTCTGTCCCTGCTTTAATATATAAATAGTAATAGTTTTATTAGTCTTATGTCATATCGAAGAAACGTTGATTTGCATATGCCTCTACAAGTTGACGACCTAACTGAAAACTCTTTCAGCTACTCTGATAGAAAATACGATTCTTTCACTAGCCAAGAAAGCACAAAATTTGAATTAATTAAACAAGACCTAGGAAAAGCAACTGAAGCCATTTCTTCATTAAGAAAAGAAAGAGATGCCTTACGTGAAGCTTTAAAGAGAAGTTTATCAGAACGAGAACACATAGAAAAACACTACAATGAAAAGCTTCAAGTTTTTGAAATAGAAAACATCAACGGAAGAAAAGCCATCCGTGTAGCTGAAGAATTGAAAATGAAATGCGACGCTCTACAAGAAGAATTAAAAAAAATGAACAAATTAAACCAAGAAAAAAGCAAAATCATCAATGAGCAGGAATTTAAAATCAATGAACTAAATGAGAGGGTAAATATGCAAATGAGTGGATGGGAACAGTTGCAGACTGCAAATCAAGCGCTTAGAAAAGAGCTGTTGTCGAGTAATTATGTAAAAGGAAATGGGAAGTTTGAAGATGACGGTTTAGGGATCGTACAGAAAATTGCGCAGTATGTGAATTATATCATTGATAAAGTGCATCAGTCCCCAAGTGTGTATTCAATGTTTAAGTCAAGAATGGTCGGCTCAAAAAAACTGCGAGAGTTAGTAGAAAAAGAAGAATTCCCTGATATTTTGTTGAGAATGATGAAATTTATAGTAGATCTGATTAATTATTATGGAGTCAGAAAAAATTCACCAATCAGAAATTTTTCTAGCCAAGCTAATCAAGGACATGTATCAAGTTCTCCAAAGCTAGAAACCTCCAAAGAAGAAGCCACAAATACTCATTATGACTGCGAATCCTATTACATTTCTCCTTCTCAATCCAAGACTACTTCAGATCGCAGCAAAATATCTCATTCCAAATCTGACAAGCTAATCCAAACCCAAACTGAAAATCCTGATCTTAATAATTATTCTTATTCTCCGTCTCGCATTGAAAAATATGACGCTCCTTCATATAAAACTGAAGACGAATATTCAAAATTAATTGGAGAAAGCCAACAATTACTGACTCCCCCCCCCCCCTCCGTGAGCGAACAAAACCATTAGAAAAATCGCCATTTTTTGACCAAAAACCCACCCTCCGTGAGTGAACAAAAATTTTTTTAATAGAAAAAATTTTAATGGAAAAAAATTTTGATATATAAGTGATAATTAGTATAATGAAATCTAGAGCTAATTCTGTTTAATTTTAAACAAATTGCGTTTTAAAAACATAAATTTTGCAAATTAAATTAATATTTTGCTTCCCAATTTTTGCAAATTAGGATTTTTTTAAATTTCGAAAAAAAATATTTTTATATAAAATTTATATATAAAAATTTTTTTAAAAAAAAAAAAATAAACCCCCCTCCGTGAGCGAACAAAATTTTTTTGTTCGCTCACGGAGGGGGGGGGGGAGTGTGAGTATTTTAGATAAACAAAACTCGAGACTTGCCCAGCTAAATCAGCAGATTTCGACGGCTGTTACACCTAAGGAAAGAATTGATAATGAAGATTTTTCGAATGAATCGCCGATGCTAAATAGGGGGAAGTGGGATAAAAATAATCTGGGATTGATAAAAGAAGATGACAGACTGGTAAGAAGAAGATATAAAAACAATGAGTAATTTTAATGCAGGAAACAAAGAAGTAAATCACCTGAACCGCAGCGTCTGCCAGATCGGTTTGATGAATATATGATTCCAAGCTTGAAACATACTGAGCAATGGGAAGGTGTTGCCGATTTCTTTTCTTCAGAACAAAAAAGCCCAAAAGTCCCAACAAGCCCAGATTCACCTAAATAATTATTCTTATTTAATTATTTTTATTTGCACTTATGCTTTAAAATTAATGCTTTTTAATATAAACAAAATTAATCAAAATTTTTAGGGATCGATATCACAATTTCTCCATACTTTTGATGCTCCTTCTCACAAAACTCTCTATAGCTGCTTGGTGCAAGCCCTTCTCTAGACTCTACAATCTTTAGCCACCCCTTTAAAAAATCTTGATAAGTTTCATCAGTATTATCTTTAAAATCATTAAAATCTACAAAGTCTGAATCTCCTTTATTCTCACAAAAGCATGAAAAGCAAGAAAGCCGTCTTAACGGTACGATTTGCGACATTTCACTTTCTCGTGACATACTTAAATTGCTATTATTTGATTGCTGCGCTTGTTTTTTCTTATTTTTTCCTTCATTCATAGCTTGCTGGACCCATGGGTAATTTATTGCGACTGCAGCTGACACTCTTGCCAATGAATCAATATTAAGCAATTTATCAATTATGTATTTCGCTTGAAGAGAAATAGCGTCATATTTTGGGGTATTTTTTAAATAATTTCCTGACCTCATTTTAGCTTTAATTTCTATTTCATTTTGCCCAGGAAAAGGCGACTCTCCAGTTAGTAGCATATACATGATAACTCCACAGTTCCATTCGTCACATTTTTCACTGTATCGGCTGCTTTCAAAGTCAGGAGCCACAAAAGGAAGCTCTTCTAGGATTTTTGATGGCTGCTCCAAGCCTTTCATAAAAGCGTCTTCAAAATTGCAGAGTTTTATTGATAAATTGTTTTCATCAATAAAAATGGTATTTAAAGTTATTTTTCGGTGGATTACTCTTTTTGAGTGCATGTACGAGACGGCTGAAAAAAGCTGTTTCATGATCTGAGAAGCTTCGAATTCGTTGTAAACTCTAAATTTGGAATTAAGGCTAGACATTCCATTGAGATACTCAAAAACAATGCCTACATTAATCTCGTCTTCAATCACCTCAAAGCATTTTTGAATATTTTGATGAGATAGTAGTTTCAAAATTTTTGCTTCTCGGAGTTGCAAAATGGATTTATTTTTAAAATATAATTTTTCTGATAAATTTTCTTTAGGGATCATCTTAATTAATCGGTTTTGCTGGCTTGATACGTGAAAAGCTTCAACGTATTGATAATCCTCATGACGCTCAATTATACAAAAATTTTCATAATCACATGCAGCTGCGTTCCCTGCTTTTGAATCAGCTGAAAATGTGCTTTTTTCATCAGAGATATTATTTGTGCTAATAAAACATTTGTCTTTAGGAGGCAATACTTTGATATTTTTTACAATTTGAACACTTTTTCCACATCCCATTTCTTTTATTATAATATCATTGATTTTTGATTTTAATTTTGTTTTTTATAAAATTGGATTTCTCAAATTCTTTTTTGCTAAACTAGTTTTAGTTTTGTTCAATTAGACAGCTTTATTGAGTAATAAACTTACTATAGAAATTATTTTTTTGAATAAATTTATTTATACTTACCATTTTCATTTGTATGAGTTTTACAAGAAATACTAGAGCAGAAATAGCAAAGAATTTTTCTATTTATTACTAACTCCCCCCCCCCCTCCGTGAGCGAACAAAACCATTAGAAAAATCGCCATTTTTTGACCAAAAACCCACCCTCCGTGAGTGAACAAAAATTTTTTTAATAGAAAAAATTTTAATGGAAAAAAATTTTGATATATAAGTGATAATTAGTATAATGAAATCTAGAGCTAATTCTGTTTAATTTTAAACAAATTGCGTTTTAAAACATAAATTTTGCAAATTAAATTAATATTTGCTTCCCAATTTTGCAAATTAGGATTTTTTTAAATTTCGAAAAAAATATTTTTTATAAAATTTATATATATAAATTTTTTTTTAAAAAAAAAAATTAACCCCCCTCCGTGAGCGAACAAAATTTTTTGTTCGCTCACGGAGGGGGGGGGGGAGTAAGCCTAAATTTGAAGAGTGAAAATAATAGTTAGCTCCCAAATTTAATAACGAAGAAAGTTTATTTTAGATATCATTTAATAAGGACAAAATTTTATTCTAATATTGATTTTAAAGAAAGATAGAAATCCAGTATACCGCAAGCACGAACTAGACTCCTCTCTCCCTCTTCCTCACTTAAAGTATAATTATTGTTATAAAAATTTTAAAGCTACCCTATCTCCATATCGATAAAAAAGTTCGTTATTAAATGAAGGAGCAAAGATTTTTCAGTTTTATTTGATCTAAAAATTAAAATAAACCTTTAATTTGAATTATCATGTTTTTTATTGAATATGAGTTGAATTAGTTAAATAAAATGTAACGCAAAAATGATTATTTATTAACAAGCAAAATAAACAGAATTTTTATTTATACTTAAAATTATGAGTAATTGAAATAAAATATAATTCATTAATATGATGGACATTGATGAGCCAGAATCAACAAATGCAGCTTCAAGAGGCCCAGAAAATAATAAAAACTCCTCAGGAGATGACCGGTTCATTGATGCCAGTGGCTGCACACTTTTTGTCCAATGATTAACAAAGCTTTACAGCTCAGAAGAAGCATTATTCGGATACTTTACTAATTTCGGAGAAATCTCTGAAATTAAGCTTCTCTCAGAGCATTCTTGTGCATTTGTTCGATTTTCCTCAAGGATTTATGCTGATAAAGCTATTTCTTTTCTAAGCAATTTAAAAAGTAAAGGAGAAAACTCTGTTTTGAATTGGATAAAAGTTGGGCCGACATTTGATATAAAGCAACACATCTTACAAAGCAATAATTCGTTTAGCAAAAGAGAAGAAATAGCTGATGATTTAAGCAAAAAAGATTCGTTCATGAGGAAATTAGATGCTGTTGAACTTAACTTGGAATATGCAGCATTTCACTGCTCTCAGTATTATGAGTTTACTTAATTTCTATTTATTCACTTTTTTAAATAAGTAAAAATATTTTATTATTAAAATTTAATTAAATATAAAAATTCTTGATCAAATAGCCAAATTAACGACTAGATCTGAAAATAATTTTATTTAGTTTTAAGACTTATATATAAAGATAATAAAAATTCAAATTTTTGGCTGTGAATTCTAAAATTGCAGTTAACTTTACAATAAGTTTGAAATTAATTGGCTTACTAAACATTAATTAACTATTTCTATTTTGTTCGATTTTATACTGGTGATACCAAACTAAAAGTGCATATCTTCCTAGCATCCATAAGCATTGGACAATACCAATTTCAATAATAATTCCCCAAATAAAGCTTAGAGCCCAATAACCACTCCATTCATTACAAAAATCTACTTAAATTAATTTAATGATATTATCTAGGAAGATCCTGTGATGCCATAGGTATTTATCTTGCCTTCAAAGCATTCGAAAAATTGAATTTTCTGGTCAGATATTATCTGAGTATATAACTCGAAGCCGCATCTGATTGATTTTTTAGACGGAGTTATTGGTGTGTCATGCTATTGGGCCCCTGCAACTTCGTGCTTCATTAGGAAAAGCTAGTTCTGAAATTGAACCTGGACCAGATTCTATCTAATCATAGATCTTTTCACTTGATATTCATCCCTATTCCTGGCCAGAAAACCAAGCTGAATGCAAATATTTGATAACCGCTCTCTCACTTCCAGAAAGGTTTCAGCCTTACTTTGAGTCATCCACTGCAGGTGCTACGAGGACTAGCCGATTCCCAACTCCATTTTAATGCATATATTAAAATCTACATTTAAAGCTGAAATGCCTGCAATTGATGCACTTACTTCCTTGCCTTAGTTAGTGAGCAAAAATATTTAAAATCTCTATTTTCGGATAAATACCCTTGTCCTTCGAATAAAATTTTTTTAAATAGGTTCAAACCTTATTATAATTATCTGAAGCAAATTATAATAAATATTAAACAATTAGCATTCTAAAACATAACTGCCATAATTGAATTAGATTTTTCGTTTTTATGCTTACAAATTTGAATTTTTATAACAAAAATATTAGTTTTATTTAATTTAAAATGATTTTTTTTTCAAAACACTTATATGCGAGTAATATTTTTTGTTCGCTATCCAAACAGGAGTTAGTATTATACCTCCTAACACCCATGCTGAAATAATCAATTTTTTGTTCTCTTTTCTTTTAGTAGTAAAGCAAAATATCATGAAAATTTCAATCGGAACTGATAAAACTATTGCCAGAATTGAGTACCCAAAATACCTTCCTTTATAATTTCCAGATCAATCATCATCTTCCTCCCCACTTTTGTAATCTTCAAAAGAATAAAATCACAGTCCTTCTAGCAGCATTTCCCAGAAAATAACGGTTAATAGCACAAAAATTCTTTGATACCTCAGAAAATCTTCTCTATAAATCCACAATCCTAAGACTAAGTGCCCTTCCAAGAGGGTGATGCAATTCTTTTTTATTTCTTTATCATTCATTTCAGTGGTAAGGGAATTTGGCTCATTATTAATTTCATCAGCGTTTCTATCATTCTGCTCGGCTCTTTCTATATCAATATCAACCTGTGATGGCTCATCATTTAAATTCTTGATTGATTCATTAAGATTCATTGCTGTGACTTGATTGGTTTCTTCGGTTATAAGAGTTTTCAAGGTCTCTCTTAAATATATTTTGTCAAGGAAATAAGCTATTGGTGTTAAAATTAATCCGATAAATATGAGCACAGACATGATATAGATTAGGACTAAATTCTGGTCACATGAAAAAGATTCAGGCGATCTTTCAGCTAATTTGAATATAGAGAAATGAGATACTTTGACAATCACGGTTGAGCTTGTAACTTGTGAAATAACACATCCATTGGGTTCCCAAGCACTTGAAGACGAGTTAAAATAATAGCAAGCCCATCCATTTATGGGTATAGGCTTTTTCCTATGAGCAGCACGATATGGATTTAGGCTTGGAGAGCTTCTCTATACAGTCGTTTGGGCCAGTTCTGATTGACTAAACTAAATGGGGAGTTGCAAATGAGCCTCTTATGGTACAATTACTAACTCTCCAGTCGGTTCGACCAACTTGAGTTGGTATTATTGGCTGGAGAGATAGCTCTTCATGCCTAACCCCATATTGGGCTATTCATAAGAAATGTCTATATTTTCCCATATGGAATTTCAATTTTAATTGGATACTTTCCATTATTAAACTGAGTTAATTCTTCATCTGAAGAATTATATACAAAGCTATTATAAGTCCCACTTGTGGCATAACTGAGAGAAATTAAAGAAGAATATTCGTCATTGCTTTCATAAGAATTTGCTCTAAAATTTAATATTTCAGTATCATTAAATGGGATATGGCTTGGAAAAATAACTTTAAAATCGTCAAAGGAATAGCTCCTTTTTGTCATTACATTAGGGAAGTTTCTTATTTTACCTATGTGGATACTTGTGCTAACCGAAGCCGTTGGAATGCTACTTTGGCCTGGCAAGTCATCTTTTGTGATATAATCTACTATTTTATTTAAAAATCAATCAGCTTTTACTATAGATTTTTCATAATCTCCAGCAGTTGAGTTGAAATTACTAATATATCCATTAGTAATGGTTAATAAGATGTCAAAAATACTTTGGGAGTCTTCATTTATTGGTATCTGATTATCATATAATAATGAAACTATTCAATCCATATAGTATTCATATTTAGCTTGACTGATTAAGCCATCCTGTGTTGTAAAAGTTTGAATCGCCCCACATAGACTTTTTAGCATTTTCACTGTAATTGAATTTTGGCTTTTTATATAATATTCCATATCGTCTGACATTTGAGCAAATAAAACTTCATCAATTTCTGTTGAAGAAGCAAATAAAGTGACAGTCGGTAGAATTCTGTCTAAATCTGATGTCTCCTCTTTATAGGAACTCATAAGACTAGTTTCTGCTAAAAATCTTTCATTTTCTCCTATAGAAATTATCTGATTATAGCTGGAGCAGCCAGCTAGCTGGTCACAAACAATTACAGTAAGTGAATTAAGGCCAGGCAGCAAATAAGTTGAAATTGCATTTTCAAGGGTGATCCCAAGGACGTAAGAGATTCCATTTCATATGTCTTCAAAAGTATAAACCAATGGAAAATCTTCTCTGTCTTTATCATCACAGCCATCAATTGATAAGGAAAATTTAGTTTTTAAAGACTTCCCTGTAGATGGAGAAATTTTAAGTCCATTAATGCAGGCGGCCCCACTGTTTACGTTTACTAATATATTTTGATAGCTTACAATTCCTGAATTTTCAGTAACACTGAGTTGAAAAGTATAGGAATTTCCACTAATAAAGGTATTTGCAGGCAACTTCATCATTGATAAATTGTTTGGGGAAATTGAAATTTGTGAGTCGCTGCACGTTCATTTTAATACTGAGTCTGGCTGAGTTTCAATGGCTGCACTTATTATGAAAGAGTCTTTTGAGGACACTTTTTGAGTTTTATAAGAAATTCCTATAGTTGTATAAGATGAATAATTTGCTGGCATAGCTAATGATTGTAATGATATTGTTGTAGATGCTGTACGAGCATCTTTTTTAATAGTAAGAGTTAAGTTATAGCTGCCACCTGGGGTAAACTTCCCTGAAGAAATAGCTAAACTTGAAGAAAATGCTCCAGAAATAAGCTGATTCCCATCTCTATCTTTGCATGCAGTGTTATTTGAAGGATAAAAGCATAACCATTCATAGGTGAGCAATCCTGATAAACCATCAGGATCATATGATTTATCGCCATTAATTTCAAATGGCTTATCTGAGAATACAGTCCCACTTGCTTTTGATAGCTGAATTACTAAAGGTGTAGATATCACAGATATCAATATATAAGCAGAGCCTGATTTTTTTGCTCCTGTAGAATCCGTTATACTTGCAGTTGCAGTAAACATATAAGAGTACCCTCCAGGCAGCATTTTTGGGTTGATTACAAGCTTATTAGGCTGTTTAGATGTCGATAAAATAGATGAATAAGAAATCGATGGAGCTCCAGCCTGTGGAACGTAATTTCATGATCAAGATATCACAGAAGAATCGCTCCCACAGTAAGAAAAAACTGAAGCTTTGTAAGTTCTGGATTCTGATGATTTCATAATATCGTTATTGCCTGCATCAATTAGTACTTGAAGGGATGGAGTTGAGCTTATTAAGGTTGATAGAGAAATTTCGTCAGAATAGGAAAAAGCGTTGGTAACTTTTAAGGTAACTGTTAAAGAATAATCAGTGCCAGATGAAAAATAAGTTCTATTTATACTGAGTGTTGAGCCTGTTTGGCCGGAGATATAGGAAATTAAGGCTGAGTTTGCTGGGGATATTGCTGCAGACCATGAATATGACATTGAATAGTTTAAACTGCCAGTTGATTTTATACCTGAGAATTGAAGATTGGTGTCTGTGCAGCCTAAAGAAAATGATGAAGGGCCTGATATTACAGCTCTTGGCGTTGGGTCTGAAGTGATTCTTAAAGGTATACAGAATTTGTTAGATTTATTGTAGCTATTCTGGATTAATAATTAATATTTGGGAGGCTAACTTGGATATATAGCGTCTCCAAAGCATTAAAATCAAATCGATGCAGAATATATATAAATGGTTATAATTGGTCGTGCAATTTCCAGTTTCTTTAACTATATTTGTGCCAAGCAAATATAAATTTTCAAGTCTAATAATGAACTCCTTTCCTAGCTGAATTTTGAGCTTACTATTTCCAATTCATGTACATATTGGTACAAATCCCAACTTATATTGACCTATCATATACATAAAATGATTATGACGTCCAATCCATCCTCACATGTGACGGTAAGCTGTGTTTATCCGGGCATGGCTTTTGGAGATGGGAATTGGTCCAGCAGTAACTAATGTCCCCGCTGCGAAAAACCTAAGCACAAATTTACTGGTTTTTAGCCTGATTCAATTAGCAGTTATTTGCAATTTATTTTTGCCAGCAGCACCTGAGCTAGCGGGCACCCGGCTTGGAGTTACTAGAAGTGGAAGCTACCCAATTTGGCTCTGCCACAGGCTACAAGCGTCGCACAAAATGCCATCGGTGGAAGAAGGGACAATAATCCAGCGTTAATCTAATCTATATTGACTTATCGGATCAATTGTATTTGAGCAGCTAGGATCCACAGAAGTGTCAATAGGTTTACTAAATTCTACTATAATCGCAGAAAAATCACTATTATAGTACCCATCACTAACTTCACTTAGCTCAAAATAATTCTTACACAGCACACATTTTTTATTGACTTCTGTATATCCACTATTGCATAGACATGAATTTACCGTCGAGTTATAAGTTGAGTTTGCGGTGCAGCTACACAATGTCCCAATTAGTTCTGCATTTCCTACACAACTTGTGCATATACTTCCATGGTCAGCATCACAAGCCGAACATAATTTACTACATGTCGCGATGCATGTATTTCCATATTTATAATAGCCGTCACTACAAGCACATCCTCCTGCTTCAAGTGATATTGCATGCTTTACACAAATTTTGCATGAATCGCTGTCTATATCTATTTATAGTGAATTGAGCTTCTTCTGATTATAATTTTTCAATTTTTCTATAAGAAAATAGAATCATGTACTATTATAAAGTTAGCTATTTAAATATAAATGACATGTACATGTTAAACATAAACTTCCACAATATTCGCAGCTTAGCCCTACTTTTGTGTATCCTTCATCACACTGGCATAAAGCTGAACCAGTTGGTAATGACGAATGCAGTACACAAGAATCGCAGCTGTTTATTGAGCTGCAAGTTGCACATAAATCATAGCAACGTCTGCATATATTTTTGGAGTCCATGAAATAGTTTGAATAAGTGCAGAAACATGTCCCATCGCTTTTATTTGACATAGAAGTAGGTTCATTGCAGGTATTGCAGATAGTTAAGCTGCTACAAGCTGAACAGCCAATTCCACAATCAACACATGAAGAAGCTGTGCTTGAAATAGCATACTTTCCACTTGGACAAGGAGTACAGCGGCCATCAGATAAGTAATAAGAAGGAGCTGAGCATGATAAACAATAATAAAGGCCTCCTCCTGAACAAACAAGACACCCAGGGTCGTCACAAGTGGAGCATGTCAAGCCATCCCCTTTTGAGTATTTTCCTGCAGGGCATTCTTGGCAAGCCGTCCCTGTAAAATAATAATTCAGATTATTGCATTTTGAACATTGGTCTGGCCCTGTACAAACATCGCAGTCTGTTGCTGTGCAGGAATGAGTGCAGCTTGTAGCTCCAGCATCTGAGTATGTCCCAGAAGGGCAGTCATTACAAACAATTCCATCGTTATTCGTATATTTGTTCGTTGGACAAGTTTCACAAATTCCTTTGCTATTTGGCATAGAAATTAAATGGCAATGCTGACGAAGTATAGGCTATAAGAATTACTATTGAGATACTTCCCGATAAGGAAAGGTTTATTCTTCCCAAAGGTATATGCTAAACAGATTTTGCCTGTCAAACTGTCTTCACCTATCTGAATTATATGGCACTCGATAAGGGTGGAATAATAGCACAAGGAGATAATCTTCTTTAAATTAAGTGAGATTCGCAACGAAACTCAAAGAGGGTGGGATCTTGAGCCTTTTGCACTAAGACGTATATGCACCTAGTTTATATTCCTCTAAGATGAGGTGGATTATTCTGCTTATGATTGTGCAATTGATTATGATCTTAATCTTTACTATTTGGATAATTTGTCTTTATTTTGCAGACACTACATTGATTTTTAGCGTTGCATTGCTCACAATTAGAATCAGCACAAGTATAGCAATACCCATCAGAATCCCCATAAAAGCCATCTGTATTACAAACATCACAAATTGTTGGATCGCTTATGCTAAAATAGTAATTGGTTTTACATGAAGTGCATACATCATCAGAACAAGCAGCACAATGACTATCAGAACATGCAACACAATGATCTGAACTATTATAAAATCCGCCAGATAAATCACAAGAATCGCATAAGCCATTTACGTCGAAAAGGTACCCAGATTTGCATTGAGAGCATGCATCACTAGGGCAATTTTTGCATTTCGTGTCTGTGCATGGCATGCATGTATCTGAATTTATATAGAATCCATTATTTGTATTGCAAGTATCGCATATAATTGATGAGTCTGATTGAGTTTTAAGATAATAAGATGCCTTGCAGGCATTAGGAATAAAATGGTGACGATCGGGGCACCTTACAGACGGTTGATCTGCCTTAGGAAGTTAATTTTATTGACGATGGTTCAGGTCGGAAATCCTAAAGGGCGACCTTTGGGCGGCAGCTAGTAGCTATCCGTATGGCCAGCATTGTCGTTTAATTTATCGTTTTATTTTATTTTGCAGGGAATAGAAATAAAATGGTGATATTGACGGAAAATGGTCTCCAAGGCGCACTCCCTATTGAGAAGTTAGGACTCTTCCTGATGAAACTGAAAACAGAGCCTCTATTCCTTTTCGAAGTAGGCCTTCAGGTTCGAGAAGCATTGTCGAGCAGGGGATGCTTTGTTTCTCCCCTGAAGATTTTCCTGTCCTGCCTGTTTGGTTAGGCAGCTTTTGTATCCAAATGGTCTTCCCTTGTCGGCCTTGGGGCACCTCCAGACGGTGGCTCTGCCCTAAGGAGCTGATTCATTGGATAGATGACTCGATCGACATCAAAAATCCAAAAATGCGACCTTTCGAAGCCAAGAAGGGCAACGACTAATGAGTTTAGCATTATATGGCAGCAAGACTTATAGCTTAACTTAGCTTGCAGGCAGTGCAAATATCATTAGGGCAAATTTGGCACCATGAATCAGAGCAATTAGAACAGTTCCCATCATCAATTATATATTGCCCATTAGCCGTGTCACAAGTGATGCAATTGAAAAGATTATTTATATCGCGGTAAAAAGTAGCTTGGCATTGTGTGCATCCATCTTGAATGCATTGATCACAATTTGTCCCACAACTTATGCATGCTCCAGCTCCATCGTCATATTCGTTTGATAAGCAAAGCTTTCTTGAGAATTTTTTCGAAATTCTGCTCGCTCCAATAGAGTTATTTTTATATATCTGCAGAATTAGATCGTCAAGAATTGACCTGTGATGATCTATAAGAGTTTTTTTCAAATACTGATCCTTGAGTCCTTCTTCATATAAGTTTAAGTTTATTAGTTAATTATAAATGCGTGCTAACCATATTGTTTACGCTGTCGCCAAAGACATCCCATATGAGGAGGTATTCTCTTCGTGATCCTGCTGCTCTATAAGCTCTAGGAGCCAGCTACAGAGCTTCATTTCCAACACAAAAAGTAGCAAAAACTAACCTGGATACACATTTGCTCAGCTACCCTTAATCTACTATTGTTATCTATCCTAGTTTGCTTTGACCATGGAATCAGTGTATTTTGGCACTTGTAGGCGTTTTTTATTTAAAAAAAAATATGTTTAAGGTATTGCTTCTTAAATTCGAAAAATATTGATCATCTCTTGTGGAATTTTCAAAGGGCAAGCTTTTAATTTTGGAAAATCAAAAAGATAAGAATATAAAAAACAAGGAATACATAATATATTCCCAAATTTATTATGGATGGAATTAGAGCTTAAAATATCTATTGATTACAAAAGCTAAAAATATCTGGAAATATAATAAGCCAATGAAGAGATTTGAAATCATAAATTAACTTTATTTAAGTATCCTCTAATGATTTCCTTATAAGACTGTCCCTATTTAACGTAAAATAAATTCACCAAATGACAATTCTTTAGTTTAAAATAATGATTATGGCTGCTTATATCTAAATGCAGCAAGATAATTTACTAACAAGGTTGGAATTAATAAAAATTAACTATTAGCTATTTCTTATAGATATAAGGCAAAAATTCTTCTCACAAATTGTTTATTAATCAGGAGTCCCCTATTTGAGATTCTTTTCTATTGAAATTACTAAAGGCATCAATGCAGTTTATATGATGCTTGATTAATGCATTTAATTAAAATGCTGAAGGGCTTTAGGGTTGAATCTTAAAGCAATTCAATTACTATAGCTTATTTACTTATCCACCGATTAAATTGGAATAAATATAGATAAAATTTTAATTTTTTTTGGAAACTTAATGTAATAATATTAGCTGATAATCATGAATTAAAAACTTGAAAGCTCATTTAATTTCAAATTTCAGAAATTGGGATCTATACAAATTATTCCTAGTTTATTAAATAATTTTAAGATAGGTAAATTAATTATTAGAAAACATGGGATCATTTTCTCTTTGACTACTGCTAAATATTGGATTAATTTCTCTTAGGCTACTAGAAAATAAAGCATCGTTTTCTCTTCGATTACTATTGACAATTTTATATTTTCTTGAATTTGATTGGAAAATTTCATCAGCACTTATCCTTGAAGTAAGCTGAAACTTAAAAAGAATATTTATATTTTTCTCAGGAACTGTATACAAAAGGTTTGGAAAGTATTTTATTTGAAATACGCGTCCAAAAATATATATTGCTAATCATCCTAAAAGCAGTAATATTACGCATACATTACTATGGCTATTTATAATTCAATAAATACTTGACATAATGACTCCCCAAATTACTCCAATAATTGATACCATCATCCACCAATTTGTGAAATTATAGTTATAAGGCCTAAAAAGATATGTGTAAAATAAAAAAGTAGTTAGTAAAGCACCATACTCTTTTTACCTCTGATGAGGCTAAAGGATTGCAGGAAACTCAATTTTTGCTTATAGAGCTTGGAATGTAAACCATTAAAGCTAAAATTGAACATATTATTAAGAGCAAATGCTCTCCTTCCCAGCATTTATAATTGCAGTCTGCGTATAGAAAAACATCAGATAGCTCTGAGCTTGTACTTTTTGTGCACTTAAATGCAGAAAAAATCGAATTAATTGCGGGGATAAAGCATAAGTTGCTTATGAGAGGGATTAATTCTTTGCTAAAGCTTTTTAAGGCAATGCTACAATGCCACTTTATTTTTTCATCAAGTTTACTAAATAAAAATGCATTCAAAATAAAAGAAACTCAACAAATTATGATTCATGCTGAGACTCCGGGCCAAAAACTATGATTATGATATGAGTCTGTTCTTGATAAAAATCCGAATAAGTTATATATATAAGAGAATCTCCAATAAATTCAGGTGAAATCTGGAGCAAGTGCAAGCATTTCAAAAAATTCAATAAAAATACAAAGATGTGTAATTATATCTTTTATGCTGATTTCACAATTTTCTATTAACATGGGAGGTGATGAGTGTCAGTATTTTCTATATTCATAAGTAGAAATTGCTGTTGCACAAAAGGCTCAAAATAAAATGATTCCGATGTAAATTCCTTCCCCTAAAGAAGAATTTTGAATAAATCGACTATGGAAAGGGCATTCATATTTATCTTTTCTCATATCACCTGGTATTTGAGTTTTACCATTTGGCCAAATAATATCTGTATGGAATTTAAATTGAGGATTGCTAGAAAGAGAATAATACCCCACTGGATAATCAACCCATTCACTTGTGGTTTCGTTATAAAGCACATTATTTATGTTAACAACCATTTCTTCTGGCTCATTTTGATCTTGTGCCATAACAAGTTTTCCAGCACAACCAATAATCTTTTGCTTGTGGATTGCGCTATTTAAGACATCAGGGTCAGTGTAGTCTTCTCCAGTCTGAATTAGTGTGTTTATGGCGCTTAGTCCAAGCCACCCAGCATCAAAAGCATGACATTGATTTGCAAAATAAAAAGAGCTGTTTCTTTCTAACACTCATTCTTTTCACACTTTTTGTCCAAAGTCTCCATACCATTCTGCCTGCCACACAGAAATACATCCATAAACCAATTCGCTGCATTTTTCGATAACAGATTTATCTACACCTAATGCAATTGTTGAGAAAAAATAAGCGACTTCATAAAACAAAAATACTGCATCTCCACGTCTCAAGCCTAAGTCGTAAAAATGAGCAAGCATAAAAAACGCAGAATTGTAATCCATGTTTAGAAATAATATAATTATATTTCCATTGGTATTAATTGCATGGAGAAGTAGGCTCTTATATCTATTAAAATCTGAAAGTTGATATCCTTCTTTTACTATTCTTTTATCTTCATCGTTTAAGATACGAATTCCTGCTGCACTTGCTACTCCTATAAAAGTTTCATATAAGCTTATTCCTAAGGTGGAGTTTTCATAAATAACAACGGTCTTCTTTCATCCAAAGATGCTCATTAAGTAGGCTATTGTGCTGGCATGATACTGAAAACTTTTCAAAACTCTTGTGAATTTAGGAAATGCTTCCACATCGCCAAGCTTTGCAGCTCAGCAGAAATCAGATACAAGCGGAATGCTTATTCCAAGCTCTTGAAAGTCAGAAATAGTTCCAAGACATACATCGTTGCTAATTGATGGCAAAAAAAAACACTCCTAAGTCATCTTTAATTTTCGATAAGCAATTATAAGAAAAATTATGATCATAAAACTCTGCACTGCAATCTAATTCATTGAATTCCAAATTAAAGTTTCTTACTAAACCTGTCTTATTTGCATATTTTATTGAAAACAACGCTCCTTCTTTTACTCTTTTATTTCCTTCAAATATATAACCATTGGCATTGGTAGCGCCATCTGAAATTGAGACTTTTATCAAAGTATTGCTACAATCTGGAAACTGAGATGTTTGACCAGGAAATATAGGATTTGCAAAAATGTTGACTATTCCATTATTAATTTTACCAATAATGACTCTTTCTCCATTTTGAACATTCACAATAGAAAATATCCTCTTTGGATGATGATTCTCAGTCGTAAAATTTAGAGAATTTATAAGTCTATATTTTGATTGTATAGGTTGATTTGTTGAAAAACATGCATAAGCGAAGTTACTTCATATTCTTCTAGGCTAGAAGCAAGCTCCAGACCTTCTTGGACAATTATAATAAGTCCGTCTTGCGTTGGTCCTCATATAGCTTTACTTCACAGTATAATGCCTGAGTTTTTCACATACATTTTATTATCTATTATTGAGTTTACTAGCTGGTTTGCGCTTTTTCCTTCGCTTAATACAACTAAATTTGTCAGCCCAGTTGGCTTTACTTCTCTTCCTATAAATGCAGAAGTTACATCTAAGCTATTTCCACTTGGATAACAAAAATCATGTATTGTTGCTTGACTTTCTATGAATAAATTTTTCAAATTTATTGCATCTTTTGATTCGTTGTAAATTAAGTTATATTGATATCAGTTTAAGTAGCTCAAAATGCTGCTTAGGGCTTCGTAATGGGCTCTGAGTGGTAGCATTGGAAAATACTCCAATCCTTTTATTTGATCAGAAGAAACTCCAACAATAATGTGAACGAAACCTATAACTTGAGCAGCTTCTGCCAGTTTTCATTGAAAAGCAAGAATGTCAGTGATATCAATGACAATATATGTAGTGGATAGCAGATCAATAATTGGCTCTGTCGAATTTATTTGGGACGCCTCTATTTCAAAATAACTTGGAAAATAATTTTTTACAGATAAAATCATGAGCTCAGTTTTTGCATTGCTTGTTGCCTCACTTGACAAAATATCGATTCTTTCCGATGAGCATAAGAGCTGAAGTATAATATAAAAAAATAGAGTCATAAATTTATTTTATTAAAATATTAGAAATCAATTTGTTAAGTCTTTATAATAAGACTCATATCACAGTATATTTAAATAAGTACAAATAGGGTTTTATAAATAAAAATTTTGCATTTTCAGCAGAGCTAAATTTTAATCTTATTGGTAAAAATAAATTGGCAAACGATATCATTTGATGATTTTGTTGTAAAATTAATAATAAGCCTTGTATCCGCCTATATATATAAAACCTTTGAAAATAGTTTTGCAAAACTGAGAAAAGTTTTTTGCATTTTTAAGTTATGTTTCCAATAAATTTCGATTTGGAAGGCATTGAATTGCATTTATGCAAGATTGCTTAGCAATTGAAAATCTTCAAAAAAGCAGGAATTTTCCATGTCTATAATAAATAGGAAATTATTATAAATTTTACCGATCTAACTTCTAAATAATTAGATTTGAAAAAATCCTAATGAAAATTGAAGCTTAGTATGTATATATCCTCTTGGATAATTAACTGTTTGTCTATTGGATTTTAATAAAAATATTATTTTGATTATTAAAATTTTACTTGCAAGTTTAATTCATAAAAAAATTTGCATAAAGAAAGCTAATAAAAACTTCAATAAGATAAAATTTAAGTAATTTGTGATAATTTAAATTATAATGTATTAATATTTTGTCAATCGAAAAAAATTCATATAAGTAAAAACTAAAATTTCTCTGGAATAAATACTAAATCACTCTAGTTTTAGATCTATGGCAAATCTAAATTAGTGCATCACTTATATCTTTTTATAATCCATATTTCACAATGGCAACAACTATAAACTCATGGTCATCCAAAGCTCCAGCAGAACTTAAACTAGAACCTTCAGGAAATCCTAAAAATACAACAATAAATATTTCAGATAATTCTCTTCTGAATAAAAAAATTAACCTTCTTCAGACTATGGTCGATAAGCTTGAATCAGAAAAAGAATCACTCACCTACACATGCTCAGATTTAAAACAGCTACTTCAATGCGTAGCTAAACAGCATGATAAGGAAGCAGAAAGGAAACGCAATGAGACAAAAGAATTGTGCAACAAAATTAAACAATTGGAGAATGCTTTAAATATTTCAGAAATTCATTCAAGCCATCTTCAATCGGTGAGGTGTTTTTGGGAAGATTTTGTTGATAATTAGTTATTAATTAAAAATATTTATAACAACCTGCAAGTATTTAGGTTAGGAATTAATGAAAAGATGATTTCTTATAGCTGATAAAAACAAGATATTTCTTTACTTCTTATCAGAATCAAATTTGCATTTAATATTATTTTTCATCATTGAATTTATGATTAGGAGAAGCATTTTGAGAAAAAATACTAATTTTAATAAATTCCAGCTTATCCAGCATTAAAATCTCAACTTTTAACTATTTATAAATTTAATGAGTTTAAAGTTTTGCTGCAAAAAATATTCATTAGAATTTTACTAGAATTAATATATCATTAAAGATTACCAAAATTTGACGAGAATTTTATATAGATGTATAATTGAATAAGAAAATTCACTGAAACACTTATTTATTATGTATCTTCAAATCCAAATGAAAATCTCTTCATTAATTTTCGATCACGAAAGCTTTTAATGTGCTATTGATTAGACTAGTCATTATAAATTTGAAATATATCAATAAAAATTGTTTATAATAATCTATCAATTTTGTTTATCCTAATTTTATATTAGCAATTTGATTTCAGAGTAGAGTCTGCTTATTTCTTGCTTGCCTCCACATCCGGAATAAACTTATTCATAAGGAATTAATATAAATAATAGCAGCAATTTAACTTGCTAATTGCTGCTTTTATCGTTATTTTTATCAAGAAAGTTAAAATTATTTTGCTGCAGATGCTATTTCTCAAATTGGCTTTTTATTTTTTATATAGTGAAATACACTATGTAGCACGGGGCTTTTTTGGCTTAAGTTCCAGCCAAAAAAGCCCCGTGCTACATAGTGTATTTCGCTATATAAAATAGATAAGCAATCAATAATATGAGAAATTTTCACTCACTATAAATCAATATATACCCTTTTATAATGAAAAGTAAATGTGGCACTGGCTGCCTTTTTCTATTTTATATATAATGACTAGAAAAACTTCTAATCAGTTCCAAAGTTTCTATTCATTATAAACTGATATATTTTATTGCTTTAGCTAAATTGATTAAAATTATAAAATTTTTGAGGCATATTCAGGTAGGGGTATCGTATATTTTGATAGTAGTCTCTCACAATTGAATATTCGTTAAAAGATGTATAAGGATCGTTCATAACTTCTATTTCATTATAAGAATTGCTAATTCTTTCAATTAATTTTTGCATTTTTAATTATTTACAAAATTAATTAGCAGCATAATCTAATATTAAATCGCGAATATTACGATTATACCTTCAAAACAAAGGAGTAAGGATCTGCTTCATTTCTTCATCTCATACAATTGCTTTAGAGGAATAAATTTTCCTGAGCTTGTATGACCTTCCTCCTAGACTGTTTTCATTAAAAATAAGGGTTTCAAATATGTCTTTTTCAATGTCAGTGTCAGCTTGTGTAGAAATATCACTAAAAACTTCAAAAATTAAATTTTTCATGTCATATGACGAGTAGTCTTCTGTCTCAACCTGAACATTTACCTCGGGTTCTACAGTTAGATTTTGAAGCGAATTAATTATGTTTTGAACTTCATTACAACTGTCTGTTGATTCTTGCGATGTGTCATTTGTGAGACTAATGGATTTTTCACTTAAAGCAATTTCTTCACAATTTAAATTTTTTAGAGTTTCTTTTTCAACTGACTGTTTTCTCACATTACAGGCCCCCATTAAAAATAGTTATATATTCATTTCTTGTAAAATTTGATAAATATATATAAAAAAATTGTTAAAAAAATAGGCTATTATGATAGTGAAAAGGGTAAATGGCTAAAGCCCTCATTACAGGCGTCATATATTATTGGTGGATTTTCAATTTCAACCTTAACCCCTTCTATTCTTTATTTTAAAAAAATCCAAATTTCCATTTTTATTTTATACATTAAAAAATGGTGACACTTGTCAGTCTGCCCTCTAGGCCTAACAGTCCAAACCTTATTGCTATGGCAACCGGGATGGACTCCGAGTCAAGAATCAATTGCAAGCTCAAGAGAGATGTGCATCATGACAAATTTGACTCCTTTCCTGTGGTTGGAAATGGAGGTGCTCAACAATGTCCTTTTGGGGCCGAAGATCTATGGGCATTCCTCTACCGAAAAGCGGGATTTCGGCCCAGGCCGCAGGGGAGTAGTCTTTTTCCTGCAGCTATTGAAGGAAGGTATTTCGGCATCGGCAGACTCCATGGAGTTTATCCTTGGAATCAAGCTACTCTAATCGCCCGTGTCAGGGATGTAGAAAATAATAAGCCGCCCACTCAAGACTGAAGCCAGAAGGCAAGGAGGAGACAGAACTATCGGAAGTTGCACCCACTATTGGGGTATAGAACTTCTGGGCTGGAGTCGAAAAGCGGTAAAAACCTCCCGTCCAGGAGGTCTTTGGTGACTGCGCCACCAATACGGCTAACGCCTGACTTTAATAACCTTAACCTAACCTAATCCATTTTTACTTTTTATTATATTAAAAATATTTTTTATACACAAGGGGAAATTTATCCTTTTTCTTTTTAATTGGAACTTTCTCATGGCAAAGAAGTTTTTGCGCAATTTTTTCTGCTTGATTTGTTAATTTAGTATAATGGCATTTCAAAAATGATTGCTCAAGCAGCATACAAATGCTCAGCTGAAAATGCTTTCAAGATTTTATTTCTCCTTGAAATATCTTGACTACACTTCCTTCATCATTATAAAATACCTTTTCGCCTACCAAAAATTCCGGGTATTTTTCACTGATAAGGTTTGTTAATTTGTTGCCTTTAATTGCACTAGGCCTTACTTGCATATAAGCAGGGTCACTTCAATAAGTATCAATAAGTCCTAGTAGCTCATAATCGTCCTTGATTTGATCAGCCGATGTCAGCATTAAACTCGTATTCACATAGTTTATTAGTGTTATAAGATTTTCATCTCTGTATGTAAGCAAATCTTTTCTTTGGTTAATGCTTGACTCAAATCATGTTGCTAGGATCTCTGGCTTACTGTAGTTCACAATCATTTTTATTTGGAGTTCTCTATGTAAAATTTATGTTAACAAACAAAGTGAATTTCTCTAATTATTGATATTATTAATGAAAAATTAGCCGAGATTAAGTATTTATTATATATTAATTAATTATTTATTATTAAAAAAGGAAAAATTATTATCAATTGATAGGGAAAAAGATACATTTCCAAGTTGTCATTGCTTTTCCAATACCAAAAGAGTCGCGTCAGGATCAGTTAATACGCCCAATTCTCCATCAGCACACCCAACAAGCAGAAATCTGAGGTCTTTATTAGCCATCAACGTCAGCACAGGAGATCCTCCAGTAATTGAAAATCTCCTCAACGGTTCAAGTGTCGATGCATATCTGATCACAATATCTCCAGTTTCAGTCCCATAAATAAGAAATTCCTGTTGGTTTAAATTTCTCAAAATAATAGGACTCGTCATATGGACACACCTTTCATGAACTCTATATAAAGGTTCTCCATTAATAGAAAATGAGTATAAGCAGCTTTCTTGAGAAGAAAATAACACTACTTTTGCAGGAGCCGCTGGGGAAAATTTGACCATATAAATAGGGGAAAAATTTGGAAGACTGATAACTCTAATAAGTCTGCCTTTCATAAGCGAATAAATATTGCAGGTTCCATCCAAAGAACAGCTTGCAAATAGCCGAAGTTCTTGACATATAGTGACTGACATAACTTGATCATCATGCTCAATATATTGCCATCTAGGCTGCCATGTATCTCCTTTAACTTGCCAGACCAATACATCTCCATCTTTTCCTCCAGTTATCCCTACTTTTTCTTCTTCATCTATATCAATACATGTAATTGTATTATGATGGCACCATTTATGAGGATGGTCCTTTACATTTGCTTTCTGGACCGTCAGTCTTCCATCCCAAAACCCTCCTTTCACTATGATTTTTCCTTGGTCCATAATCTCAATTGGGGCGTTAAATCCTATAGCTGATCTGTCTTGATTTTCAATAGTCCATGATTTTTGGTCCTTTAGTAGCTGAATTTCTTTATTATTCGCACATGTAAATGGAGTTTTACATTCACCCATAGGAGTAGGCCACCAGCTATATTTAATTAAATTCCCATTTCTCCTGATTGCGAAGATTTCTTTATCTTTATACATTTTAGCTTTTAGTATAGCTTTGTCAGGGAGATCAAAATAATTCATGAAGCTAAAAGGCTTATCAAAAGGCTTGCGATATTGAGGGAAATAAATTTTCAGTTTGGCTTCTTTAGATATAACTGTTGGGCCAGGGCTGAATTTGTGGGGATTTTCTCGCTGCGGATGAGGCTTTTTGAATAATTGTGAAGGGGTTTTTCCGAAGTGAACGATTTGAGCTTCAATAGAAGCTCGCAGGGTAGGGTCTTCGATTTTGTCTAGATCTATATTAGACTCATAAGTCATATAATAAAAAATGTTCATTGCTTTTTCTGCTTCATCGCCTCTTTGTTTATATCCAAAAATAAGGTCTATCCAGTTGTGGATTCTTTCTGAGACAACATCGGATTCTAATGCCTCTCGATTGATTCTGATAAAATCGTAAGCAGAATTCGCCCATGGAGGAAGCTGGACATTATTAATTTTATTGCCTTGCTGTGTTAAGCCAAAATCGTAGTCTTCTTTATTGATCAAAAATTCAGGCAGATAATAAAATTCAGGGATTAATTCTCTGACATCAGCAATATCATCAGTAGAAAGCCTATAAGACTCAGAAATTGAGCTGAAAAGTCTGTCTGGGAGGTCAAATTTGCCGCCATGAAGCTCTCGGGCGCCTTCAGAGTATGGGAATAGCCTTAATAAATAGTGGAAAACAATTCCAGGGTTGCTGTAGTGAGAGCCGAAATGGAATGGAGGAATTTCTTCAGGGAAGCCAAATGAAGAAAATCTCTCTTTGAAGCTTTGGGCTCTTTCAACTGAGCCTAAGCTGCCCATGTTTTTGGAAAGGTCTCTATATATAGATTCATTATTAAGGTCAATGGTAGGAGATTGGTAGTCATTAATAACCCATGGAAAAACTGGATATTGTGTTAAGTCATGATAAGATCTTCCAGCTGCATAATTCAGATACATTAAATATTCGAAGTTGCTGATTTCCCAATTCATCCACTTTTCAGTCATCCCGCTTTCTGCCATGAATTTTACTGGGTTTGGTTTTTTGAAAAATTCCAAATTTTTAACAGCATTTTTCTTTATTTTTTTAATTTGGCTCACAAAATCATGCCTCTCATTAGGATTAGTAAAGTTTATTATACTATTTTAATATAAATTCAATCAGCGTGCTTTATAACTCTTAGTTTTGATAGAAAATAGCTTCTAAATTTATTAATATTTTAAATACTTAATTAATTAAGCTCTTTATAATACACTTCTGCCATCATTAAAGAAAAACTCAGCGGCTGTATTTCTCATTACATAGGTTTTCGGAAAAACTACATCCAAAGATTCTACATTCCAATCTTTTATATATGATTTCACAATATTAAAAATGTCAGCTAGGGATAGGTCCTAGCTCCTGCTCAAACAGGATGGACCTATATACCGAGCTCAGTGAGAGAAGTCAACTTCTTGAGAGCTTCGGCTTTGAAGAGAAAGCTCACTGCTATGTCTGGCACTGACTAGAGAAGAAACAACGGGTTTATTAACTTTAACGGTTCGACGGTTAGGCCGGTTCACCTACCGTTGCTCAGAGCTGTTAATTTAGCTGAACCTCAGGCAAGGGGACTTTATAGGCATTTTTAATGCTAGAGTAATTCAATAAACTTAAATTTAAACTTATATATGATTTATTTGGTGATGCTGAATGCTCGAAAAGCTCTACATTTGATTGAAATTTGTGCCTGACTTCTGGGTCATAAATGAACCGCAATTTTTGTTCTTTTTTTGATGTAATGAGCTGAAGTATTCCATATCTCACTGTTAATGTATTAATAATTCCGACTTCTGATTGGATACTAAAACTTTCATGGCTTAAAATAGAAGCTAAAGAAGAGTCAATTTTTGGCTTTAATGAAGCTCTCGCACTTGGCTCTTCAGACTCAGTGTTCATAGATTTATCATCTTCTTCATATTCAATTTCTGAAGCTTTCCTTAAAATAATTGGCGAAAGCTCTTTTAATAAATTGGGATTTTCTGAAATTTGTATTATAGTGATAGCATGCTATTGACTCACTGAGCTCCCAACATCTTCAGAGATTAGGGGATTAATCTTGGAGCACAAATGTTGACAAAGCCAACTTCAGAATGGCAAATCTATCGTATCGGGTGGATTTGCCATTTCCGGAGTTGTTTTTACCAAATTTGTAGATAAAATCAATCCTCCGGCTTTCAGAAGATGCCACAGCTCATCTAGCCAATAGCATGCTTTCGCAAATAAATTTTCAATGTATACATTAAATTATTGAGCAAAATTTTTATTTGCATATTTATAGTAAAAGTGGTACTTGTTCTTGTTTCATAAAAGGCTTGAATTTATCTGATCTTATTTTTAGAATGGGTCGAGTGTATTGCCAATCCATTAGCTGGCAAGGCTCAAGTTTGATTTCTTGTTCAACATGCCACGGCCCTCTCCATTCAGTTAAAAGTCTCATTCTTTTATTCAGCATATGCTTCCTTTGCCTCGTTCTTTCTTCATTATAGATAATTGCGTTATTTATTTTCCTTTCTTCATCACTTGATTTATCGTTAGCAATTTTCTGCACATGGTTATTTATTCTTGTATTGGTTTCCTCAACTTGTTTGCTTAATGCGTCTCACTCCTTGCTAAGTTTTTCTGCGACTTTTTCTCTATGCTGACAAATATTTTTCGTTCTAATTTTGTTATCAAATTGGTCGTTTACTTGGGAAGCTGCCGATATTAAAGCGAATTTCCAGTCGTCAGTGGTGATTAGATAGTCAAGAGTTTCAAAATTGTCAGCCATCATGCTTTCTAAGCGATCCATATCAGTGTCAGATAAATATTGCAGAATTATTGTAGCAACATCTTCACTTACTGTTGTAGAAACAAAGCCAGATCTTAAAAATCCTTTAAATCCTTGATTTTGGCCTGATTTTAAGCTTGATATGTAGACTGTAAAAATATATACCGATCTATAGAAAATATAAGATCCTGCTGGTTGCTGTCATCGTATATTTTATTGTAAATAGGGAAGTGGCTAAACAGTAAGAATTTTCATTAATTATATCAGCATATTTCAAAATATTTGTGACCGATGTTTGAATATGCTGTGTTTTCTGATCTTCTCTGAGCTCGTCTAAATAAGAAGCAAAGAATCCAACTGTATATAAAATGCATGCATTAAGAACTTTTGTCGTCTGGCTTTGCATTTGTTTTTTCCCTGCTTCAGACACCAGCAATATAAATTTAATCAACCTTTCCACAATAGACAGCCAAAGCTTTGTCTGTTCTTCATTAGTGCTAGCTTTTACGCTCATGCAGGCCAAGTGCATGATTGTTTTAATAAATAGTCCTCTTGGCTTGAGCTCTCCTGGAGGTTCAAAAATAAGCAGCTGAATATCAGTCTTGAACGCTGTCTGTGCAGCTTTTTCTATAGTATTAATAAGCTGGATATGTTCTTCTTCATACTTTGATTCTTTATTGCTAAAAAGGACTACTGGCCATATAGGGTCAAGCAATTGGAAATAAAGATCCATAACAGCAGCATCTTCCCATTCGTCAGCCATTATTAATGACTCCCCAAGCTCCTCCTCTGACCTTGATTTTGAATAAATCACAAACTCTTCTAACAAATAACTTGTAATTACCAAATTTTTTCATAGTGTCGACACAAGTGCAGGTCTGCATCCCATAGAGTTTGACTGTAAGGACTCACTGAGTTTTTCTAGTAAACTTTTTACTATATTTCTGGCTTTTTCTATGTCTCTCTTCATTTCGTACCAATATATAAGTCTCCTTATATGTTTCCAGCCTTCTTCGTCAGCTAGCATAGCTTGTTTCATAACTATTGTATGTATTCTTGAGCCTAAGTCAAAAATCGCAATTCCTTCATCTTGATGCTCAGGAGTCTCAAATAATAAATTAAGCAACCAATAATGCCAATCAGCGTCTTGGGCTAAAATAGAGGAATTAGAAGAGTTTCATTTGGTAAGCATCAGCATATCTTGCATGGCTTTATGCTTTAGCTCTAAAGAGGCTCGGGATACGATTTCTTGTAATAAAGTTAAACCGGATTTAGATTCTATGTGGTCAGAGTCATCAATAATGTCAGCACCTTCAATAGTTTTTTTGAGAACAATTCCAAGAACTGCATGATAAACGCCATCTTCTTCATGTCGCTTTGGAGTGGCTAAAGATTCGTGAGGGGACATTTCTGAGCTGACTTCTTCAATTATTGGGTGGTTTTCTGACACTTTTTTAAAAGTGCTTGATAGATCTATAGTTTTTAATCCTCTTACTGTTTGGGGACGAAATGTAGGAGGCAAAGGGTAGAACTGGAATTCTTGGTTTACTGCAAGCTCTCCGTGCATATATTTTAAGCAATCTTTGGCCATGTCACGTATTTCTTTAATTAAAGGATCATCTTCTCCTTCATCTTCAGGCTTTATAGCTTCCCCTTTTTCTCCCCCAAAGGTGTAATTTTCGTTGATTTTTTCTGTGTCAATAATCAGCTCGTCTGATAAAAATTTGGGCATTTTTCTGCCTTGGCTGAAGGACTTAACGATTTTTGAGGAATTTTGAGTTTTTGATAAGTCAATGCTTTCTGAGACTTCTGGCTCTATAAATCTCTCAGTCATAGGTAATTCTGTTAATTGTATATCTTCTTCAGCGTCTTCAAAAATCATTAAGTTCCTTTTTGGTTTTTTTCCTTTAGGTGGAGGAGGGGCAACTATGACATTTTCTTCAAAATTCATTTTTGGCTCCTTTTTCGAGGCTGGGATTTTTAAAATTTCTTCATCAAAATTGATTTGGGCATCTTTTTTGGGAGCTGAGAAAGCATTTTCATCAAAACTCATTTTCATATTTTTCTTAGGTGGTGGTGGAGCTAATGGAGCATCTTCATCTTCGTCAAATATAAACCCACCCTGTTTTTTAGGAGCTTCTCGAGGCGCCTCGATCGGTTTTGGATCAGAAAAAGTAAAACTGATTTTTTTCTTTGATGATGGAGCTGGTGGAGGCTTAATCCCAAAATCTTCCTCTTCTTCGTCGAATTTAGTCTCCTTTGTATCTTTAATTTCTTCCTCTTCTTCATCTAAAAACCCAAATTTCATTTGTTTTTTGAATTTTGACATAGGTGGCCCTTTAATATTTTCATCAGATATTTGAAGTGATGGTAGTTTTGAAGTAAACTTAATTTAATTAAATAAAAGCATTGGAAATAATTATTTATTAATGCAAATCTTCATATAAATACTAGCTTTGGAATTAACCTGGTGCAGAATAATAAATTCGACTGATTCTTCCTCTTTTGAACTTATTGATTGAAAAGTATCGTGCGGTGATATTATGGAATGCTGCCAATATTTAAAAGAGCCACTCATGCCTTTAGGAGTCGGCAATACAATTGAACTTATATAGACAAAAATTTCTTTATGGCTTGCAATCTGAGTCTTGGTAGAGTAATTTAAAATGGTGTCAGTTAATGCAAGACTCAAAGTTCTAACTTCTGAGACTGAAGATGATATTAAAAATAGCAAAAGCTCAAGACCTGATGCATCAATGAAATTTTTAGCAAAAACTGAAGCTGGAGCGCCGAATACATCGCCAGGCCTGTCACTAAGAAGAGTTTTTAGTAGTTGCAATAGTTGAATTTGAATAAAGGAAGATGATTTGCCGAAGAGTGCAGAAATTATATTATTTATCTCAGCAGCCATAGCTTCTCCAACTGTTAAAAATATAATTTCAATTACTGACACAATATCACATATCTGCTCTTTATTTTGCTCTTCAGAAACCATCATATCATTTCCTCCATAATGACATATCAGCAATTCAAGGATCATTTTAATGTCAACCTGCTTGCTAAGTTGCTTTGGTGCCTTCGTATACACATACATTAAAATGGCGTGGCGAGCCATCCCATCTTAGCACCTGTAGTATTCAGGAACATCGTGGAAGGATGGTGCTCGATAATTTGTATTTTTTGGTGAACTACATTGCCAGGATCAACCACATTCTCTTATCCAGGTCTAGGTTTTACCTCTTTGGGAGATAGTACTCAAGGCTGAAAAGGGCTGGGCCTAGAGTTTCCGATTTTTCGAATTTTCTGGAAGGTGAGTCCCGATGGCGAACGACACAGTAATCCAGTGTCTCAGATTTAGAGAGAGTACAAGCCTTCTTCTGTGAGAATCAGCAATAGAGACCCGAAAGAATTGACAAATAAGGAGAGGCGCGTTATAGAGGTGAATACTTCATGTGAATGCATGCAGGAGTCTTTCTATGATCTTAATAAAGTTTAGTTTAAGCCTTCGTATATAAAGATTTTAATAATTTAAATAATTTTACCTAACATATCTACTTTAAATTAGAAATTAATATTATCAGTATAAATTAAAAATACTTGATAATTTAATTTATTTTTATAAAAAAATTAATCGAATTAATGTACTAGATATTTAAGTAGCACTCCTTCATTAAATTCGGTCGAAACTATTTATATAAAATTCTTATTTACTTATCAAACTTTTATTGAAAATTTACGGGCTAATTTATCAAAAAAATGCTGATCTTTATCCAAATTTAAAAGGGAGGAGTGAGTATTTTTTTCTGTTTTTTTCCAAATATCTAAGAACCATAGTAAATGTCCAGTTAATTGGTCTCGCAATTGAGGCATTACAAATTGAGAAATTTCTTCTAATTGCTGGACTATTTCTTCAGTTATAGAGTTAGGCGGAAATTGCAAGAGAAGTTCAGGGGCGGCTTTAAAAAGTTTCATTATACAAGCTTCGACTTGATTTTCTGGCCTATCTCTTAAGCATGTTATTAGAAGCCCAAATCAATCACTTAATAATTCTGAGGTTTTTATAGGGATATTTTTTATTTTTTCTAAAATTGGTAAGAGTGCACAGACCCCACCAAAGCATGACATTCTACTTTGATTTACTAGCTTGACCCCAGTTCCTCCTAGAAACTTGGCATCTGCTTTTCTAACTCCATCATAAGCTATTTCTTTTAAGATAACAAATATTTATTTATAGAGACTTATTCTTCATTTTTTATAAATAATAAATTTCTTTATAAGCATGAATATATTCAGCTTATTTGACTTATTATATATTATTATTCGTCCTGAGTGGATGATAAAAAAGCACAAGCTTTTTATTCAAATTTTTATCAATTCCTCGAACTAGTGCTTTTATTGCTTCATGACCTTGTGAGATAGCTCCATTCGATTTTTGGTATATTGACTTCATCCGTTGCACAGAAATCAAGTCATCAAAAATCATGATGCACTTGATTTGGCCTATAAAGCTTAGACAAAACGCAGCTTGCGTCAAAATAGGGTTCGGAGATTTGAATTTTGGGTAATCCATCGGAGAATTCAGCACTTCTTCTCCATTTACTACCACTCTTAACTGATATTTCCCAACTTTGGGTTTTTCGTGCTCAAATGCTAGAAATGTCCAATCTTCAGGCTGGAATTCGTGAAGCAAAATTCCATTAGAGCCTTCTACTGGTGGGGAATAATCAACGCCAAGCACTCTATAATAAAGCTTGTTTCCAATAAAATATGCTTCAATCCCGCCATTTCCTTGTGAGTGAAATAGCATTAAAGTTGAAGGGGTGTTTAAGTTTAGGTCTTCAAGTCTTATCCAAAAACAAGCTGAAATTGCTTTTTGGAACGGGAAAATTTGAAAATCTTCTGGGTTTAACACAAATAAAATAGTGACTTGTCCGACCCGTCCTTCTCCCATACCCTCGGGGTTTTGGGCATTCAGAGGGCAAGGGGTCTGGAACTTTGTGCCCGGGGTAGGTTTTACTCCGACCCTAGACAAGGAAGCCAGAGACCATAAGACAACTCCACACTTCTGGATGCGGAGGGTAATGGGGACAGAAGGAGATTAGGGGCATGTCATATCTCCTATCCCCGGATAAATTATGCTGACTGCTTAGGGTTGTCCAAGAAAGTATCTGGTGAGTCCTTCCGAGAGATGGCGACGTCACCATTTTTTGGTGTAATCAACAGAAAAGGGCCTTAGTGCTGATCAATGCCTAGGGTGAAGAGCCTGAAGTTAGGAAGGCAGAGAGGGGCTGAAATAAGCCGCGAAGACTCATTCTAACTTTAATCTAATATAACCTGGGTTTAACTGTAAACCGCAACCTGGTCCTGGAAAATAAAAATAGCTGAATGGTGAATTTGACCTATCAGGGGTGATAAGGGCTTGCAAAAGCTTAATTGCAGTCTGCATTGATTGATACTCAAAATTATTATTTGCTAGCAGCTGAAATACAAATTGTGCTATTGATTTTTTTGGCAGAGCATTTACTATGTCCCAAAGAGTTAATGGTTCTTTTATTACCCCGCCGAACGCCATTGTCTCTAGATGCTCATAAATTCGCTTACCATCAACTCCAAATTCTTCTCTTCACTTTAAGTAGCCTCTATTTATTTAAATTTTACCTCAATTTCCAAGCCAAAACCCTTAACTTTTCTGCAATTTATCTATAAACCATAATTTTTAAATTCTTTATATTCCAATTCCCCATAATTTTGAAACATCTCCATTGCTTTATCAAATTTGAATTTTCTTGCACGAAGAAATCTGCCTAAGGTATCATCATCAAAATTTCCCCCCAAGGACTCTTTAAATCTCAGCAGTATTTGCCGCTCTTCAGACGTTAGTGTTCCTAGGAGTGCGGGCAGCGGAATCGTTTGTTGCTTATGCTCTTCCATTGTTTATTGGTTTATTAAGCCAATAAACAATGGAAGAGCGTAAACAGCTGACAACTCCTCTACCTACCCTTCTAGGAACTCTAACCCCAGAAGAGCGCCAAGTTCTTGTCCGATTCAAAGAAGCACTGGGAGGAAATTTTGATGACCATACCTTAGGCAGATTTCTACGTGCCAGAAAGTTCAACTTTGATAAAGCGATGGAGATGTTCCAAAATTATCTAAAGTGGAGAGAAGAGTTCCAAGTCGACCAAATCATGTCTTATGAGTTTCCAGAGCTTGAACAGGTAAAAACGTGCTATCCTCATGGCTTTCATAAGACGGATTCACATGGGAGACCTATTTATATAGAAAGGATTGGGGCGCTCGATTTAAAGAGGCTGTTTGAAATTACGACAGAAGATAGGATGCTAAGATACTTCGTTAAATCGTATGAAACTATGCTTAGTATAACAATTCCAGCATGTGCAGTAGCTGCAGGACATCCTGTAGAGCAGTCGTTGACGATTTTGGACCTGGGAGGGTCTTCTATGAAGCTGATGAGCAAGAAGGTGTACAAGTTTGTGCAGATGGCTTCTAAAATTGGTCAGGATTACTACCCAGAAATGCTTGGAAGGATGTTTATTGTGAATACTCCAACACTGTTCTCGATGGCTTGGAAAGTGATAAGACCATGGCTTGATGAGAGAACTCAACAAAAAATCAGTACTGAAGGCAGCAAATTCCAAAAAAAATTATTAGAACTTGCCCCTGCAGATAACGTTCCACAATTCTTAGGAGGTAATTGCAATTGTCAAGTAGGCTGCCTTATGAGTAACGCAGGACCTTGGAATGACCCTCTTATCCAAGCACAAATAGGCACCGCAAACATCCGCATTGCAGAAGTCGAGCCACAACGTAAATTGGCAGCAGAAGAAGAGAAAAAAGAATAATTAAGATTCTTCCTAATGATAAAAATGATTAATTTTATTAGATTATTTTTTATATTGACTGGGTTTTACATGAAGCTGAACCCGTTCCATTCAAGACCAGAAGCCCCAATACTTCGTTTAGACTGCAAAGAAGTTTTTCTTATAAAATTTTCAACAGCTATATAAAGATTACGAAGGACAATTTTTTTGAATTCTGAAAAGTCAATATTTTGAGTCAACAAAATATAGATTTTTACTTTATTTTGCCTATATGCATTAGGCTCTTTGATAAATATTAGGATAATTAAGGGATTAAGGTATACCTTCTTCTTTTAGCATCATTTCTAGATCTTCATCTGTTATATCTACTCCTGCTCTTTTCAGTGCAGAATATATATTTACTGGGGTCATTTTCCCAGAGTTGTCATAGTCGAAGTATTTAAATGCAGCCCACAGAGTAGATTCTGTGAGCGCAGATTTCCTATTAAGTGTTGCTGCAAGAAAATCAGAGTATCTTAGTCTGCCTTTTATAGTTGTTTCTGCACAACTTCAAATTTCTAATTAAAAAATACGCTCAATCTCAGAAGCATCAGTTACCCCAATCGTGCTTAAGCCTTTTTCTAAGTCTTTATAAGTGATATATCCATTATGGCCAGTGTCTAAATTTTCAAAGACTTCTTTTAAGTTCTGAATATCCTCTGGCTCCAGAATCCTCACAATGATTTTCATTATTTCTTTCTTCAATCTTCCTTTTACTTGGTATTGTCTCAGTCTTTTTAAGATTCTTTCGTTATTACAGTCATTTGATTTTTGGTTCACTGTAACAAACCATGGGTGTTTTAGAGCTTCTCTAGCTGTAATTCTTTTATTATAATCAGTGTCTAGTAGTTTTGATAATAAATCTTTGGCAAGTGGGCTTATTCTTTGATACTCTTCATCATTAAAATCCAGTTCTCTATTTTTTATTTGCACAAGGACTTCACTTTCACTGTCAATTCTATATGGCGGCTTCCCGACAAGCAGAACATACATAACGATGCCGAGACTTCACAAATCTGCAGATGTGCCACATACTCTATCAAAGACTTCTGGGGCAATAAAATGCAAAGTTCCTACAATTGTGTTCATGTCAAGGTGAAGATTGTCAATTCTTTTAGCAAAATCAAAATCAATTAGCTTTATATTTGACACAGAATCTTCTGAAGCAAGAAGTATATTATCAAGCTTTATATCCCTATGGCAAATATCCATCCCATGCAAATGGTTCAGTGCGCCAAGTAATTTTTTGATTATAGTAGCAGTCTCTACTTCAGAGAATTTCCCGACCTGGCACAGCTTAGAAAGCAAATCTCCGCCTGAGCAATACTCAGTTACTATATGAATGAACTTTGGATCTTCATACGCGTAAAAAAATTTTATCGTTATTTGCAGATTTTTGAACTTTACCACCTAAGTGTGGAATTTTTTCCGCGTGTGAAAAGGTGTTTTTTCACCTGTGGAGCCTTTTGATTTCACATGTGGAATCCTCTTTTCACACGCGGAAAAAATTCCACACTTAGGTGGTAAAGTTCAAAAATCTGCAAATAACGATACTATATTTGGATGGTCAACAGAAAGCAGAATCTCAAGTTCTCGATGAATTGTATACATTTTATCTTCAATCATAGGCTTAATAAGACTTTTTACAGCAAATTCTTGCTTAATAAGTGGATCCTTACTTTTAGCGTAATTCACGTTTCCGTATTTTCCGTGGCCAAGAACTTTGGTAAACTCAAAATCTAGGTGAATATCTATATAAAGTTCACTTTTTTGTAAAAAAACATATCTTAGAGAGTCATGAGCTGAATCATGCTTTCTTATTGAGGTTTCAATAGTGTAATGCTCTTGAGATATTCTCATGCTTTTTCCTTGCTTTTTTAGGCAAGATCCCATCTTCAAACTTAACAATAATAATTCATTTCTCACATCAGAAGATAGATAATTTGATAATAAAATACGACCAATTTGAAGGATATCGAGGATAAATTATACTATCATTGTTAATTGATATTAGGTGAAAAGGGAAATTATAAACAGACCATATGTCAATAGCTGAAAATATTTTTTTATTTTTTATTCGGTTTTCAAAAAAATTTTGTTTGGGGATGGAATTCCATTATAGCCCAGGACTATCTATTATGCGTCCTGAGCTATATAATTTTAAAAAATAAAGAGAATTACTGACTAAGTCATTTTAAAATTTGAATTCTGATATGAGCTATGAAATAATATTTAAAAAATTTCGATTAATCATGGAGTTATTTTAACACAAGGAGGAGAACATATTTTTATTTAGCATTTAAAATTTAAAGCTTAAATCTGATTTTTAACTATTTTCGTCATAATTATAAAAAGAGTTCATTGAATTAAGATTCCAAGATTAGTTTTTTAAAATTTCAAAAATAATTAAATATGAAAAAGCCAGAAATCCTTATAAAATCTAAGTAAACAGTAAAATTTAACACTAATTATTTGCCAAAAATATTTAAATCCATATTAAGTCGTATTTCTCGAAAGTCTCTGAATTTTCTTTAACTTTGACACCAGCAGCTCTTTTCTCTTTTTGTTATCCAAAGAAGGGCGTTTTACCCTATGTGAAATCACTGCTTTTATATTTGTGACTTTATTTAGCGTATTAACCACTTCATCTTCCAGGATTTTCATCTCTTCTTCGTTGTAAAGCTCTTCTAAATGTGTGTTTAATTTTTTTTCTATATGCAAAACTAGCGAAACCTCAAACTGTGTTACGAGGGTAATGGCCATTCCACCTCTCCCTGCACGACCAGTTCTTCCAATCCTATGAAGATAAGTTTTACTGGATCTAGGGACATGATGATTTATTACAAGCCTCACTTGAGGTAAATCCAATCCTCTTGCAGCTACATCAGTTGCTACTAATACAGCTGCTTTTGCAGACCTAAAATGATGCAGACTTGCCTCTCTTGCATGCTGAGACATCAATGAGTGCAGTGGCAAGACGCTGATTTTCATTTCTTCCAATGTTTTACTCACTCCCGCTCTGTAGGTGGACAAAAAATTTTGATCGCTCGCAAAGAGGTGTTAATTTCTTTTTTAAATATTTGAAAGCAAATATTAATTTAATTTGTGAAATTATGTTTTAAAATGCAAACTGCTTAAAATTAAACAGAATTAGCTAGAGATTTCATTATAATAATTATCATTTATATATCATTTTTTCCATAAAAATTTTTATATATTAAAATAATTTTTTGTTTGGTCATGGCGAGTAGTTTTTACTCAAAAATAGAGATTTTTCCAATGGTCACAGAGTGGAGAGCCAGTAAAAATGCTTCTGGGCATGTTTGTGTAAACACAATGATATTTATATCACTATGCCTCTCCAAAAGCTTTATTAAGTAATTATCTTTTACCACGTCAGGGACTAGTAAAAAGTATTCTTTTATATTGGCTCTTTCTCCTAATGTAGGCCCTTCGTCAAGTGTAGCTGAAAAATTCAGGACTTTTGATGGTGAAATCAAAGCTTTTACTTGGTCAAGATCTTCTTTTTGGCTTTCTTCCAAAAAATCGCATTCATCCAGCACAAGAAACTGCAAATTTGAAAAAATTTCAAGGATGTCCGGCTGTGATAAAAGAGTATTAAGTCTTCCAGGAGTTCCGATCACAATATGTGGTCTTATTTGTGTCAAAGCTTGTGCTTGCCTTAAAATGTCGACTCCACCCACAATGCATTGGGTTTTTACACTTATATTAGAGCCAAATGCTTTGAATTGATCATTAATTTGTAATGCAAGCTCTCTTGTAGGAGATATTACTAAAGCAAACACGCTGTAAGGGTCTCGTCTTAATAGCTCAAGAATCGGCAATGCAAAGGCTGCTGTTTTTCCTGTGCCAGTTGGGGCTTTTGCTTTGACTTCTTCACCTTTTAAGATCAAAGGTATGCATTCTGACTGAACAGCAGTTGGGTGTTTGTATCCTAAAGTATGGACTGCATTTATCAAAGGCTCGCTAAACCCAGAATTTCTCAAAAACTCTTCCATATTAAAATTAGCCTTACAATATCAAATTTGACAGAGCATAAACCTATTAAAAATAAAGTACTTAACCATTAATTCAGCTTAGGATAATAATTTTAATTATCTATAATCTGCATAATCAATATTTATTCATCGCAGAAATTCAGGCATAACTAACAAAAAAAAATGGAAGCTTTAAGCGACCCTTTAAACAACAGAACAGTCAAAGAATTAAAAGCGCCGCCCCATCAGCCACTGCCAAGAAGTTTACTATTTCCTAATAATGATAGCAAACCTGCTTGAAAAGTATTAAGGGATCATTTTCAAAGGGAAGGAAGGCTATATAAAGCTGATGTGCTGAAGATTATAGATGCAGCAACAAATTTATTTAAGGAAGAGCCAAATTTGTTGTCACTTCAAGATCCAGTAACTATTGTAGGTGACCTGCATGGCCAGTATTATGACATGCTTAAAATGTTTTCAATAGGAGGCAGCCCTGAGGTTACAAAATACCTATTTTTAGGAGACTATGTAGATAGAGGCTCATTTTCTTTGGAAGTGATACTCTATTTGTATACTCTTAAAATTAATTTCCCTAACACAATTTTTATGATCCGAGGAAACCATGAATGTCGACAAATGACTTCATTTTTTAATTTCCGACAAGAATGCCTATATAAATACGACTTAGAAGTTTATGAAAATTTTATGGAAAGTTTTGACTGTTTACCGTTGGCATGCCTTGTAAATAAAAAATTTTTGAATATTCATGGAGGTATATCTCCAGAATTACGAACTCTAGCCGATATAGTTAGAATTAATAGATTTATAGAAACCCCTCGAAATGGGGTATTTTGTGATCTTTTGTGGTCAGATCCTATAGATCATTCGGAAGGAAGATTAATTGAAGGGTTCAGGTATAATGATATAAGAGGATGCAGTTATGGATCATCCACGCTAGTAGATCTTTATGTTCCGATGTGTCCCAAGACAACTGGGGGATGCGTTTCAGCATTTGCTGATAAAAAAAAAGATCGTATTGGGAGACGTTTGGACCATAATAATCTACTAGTATGGATGAGCTTTATATTTTTGGTCAAGAAGTTGCAGATAGATTTTTGAGGGACAATGATATAATTTCTCTCATAAGGGCTCATGAAGTCCAGCTGGATGGATACAAAATGCACAGATGAAACGGCGCAAGCGAATTTCCAACAGTAATCACAATATTTTCTGCTCCAAATTATTGTGATGTGTATGGAAACAAAGGCGCAATCATAAAATTCGATAATAATACGCTGAATATTCAACAGTATAATTATACACAGCATCCTTATCTACTCCCTAATTTCATGGATGTTTTTAGCTGAAGTATTCCATTTGTGATAGAAAAAGTTATGGAAATGATTATGACTGTTATAAAAATAAAGCCAAACGATGATATTGATAACGAATATTACGAATCCAGGCTTAAGGAATTAGAAGACAATATCAGAGAAAACCGAAAAGCACAATTGGTAAATAAAGTAAAAAGTGTGTCGAGAATGCTGAAAATGCTTAAAACTGTCAGAGAAGAGCATGAAGTTATTATCAAGCTTAAAGGAATGTGCCCAGACAGCAAAATTCCAAAAGGACTGATTCTCGCTGGGAAAAGCGCTTTGCATAACGCTGCTGATGATTTTTCTGATATCAGATCAGCTGATATTGTTAATGAAAAAAGACCTGGGTTATAATTAATATACTCCCCATTAAATTGGAATATTTAGATTTTTTTATGTACTTTACTATTTAAACTTGAACAGATTTTTTTTTGGAAAATTTTTAGAGGTGAAATAACTAATTTTATAAAAAACTACCCCTGACCTATTTAATGGTAAAAGCACAGGTTTTAAGCTATTTAAACAGTTTTCAAACTGAGTTGATTTATATTCTTAACTAATTCTTCATTAAAATAAATTAAAAATCCATGGTATTGTGTTCAATTTATAATTTTTTAATTTTTAAAATTTTATAAATGTTTTTATAGAGAAAAATTTATTAAACCCCTTTAATTGGAACAGGATTTTTGTTCCAACTTAAAGGAGGGGAGTTAAAAGTTTAATTATTTTTTTAATGATAAATCTATCCGGATAATTCGATCTCTATGTCCTTCGATTTTTAATCCCAGTTTTTTAACAAACGGCTCCATTTTTTCTGATGCTTTTAGTTTTTGCTTCAGCCTGCTTAACACATCTTCCGCTGAGTTTAGGGACTCTTTTTGTATCACTAAGTCTCTTTCTATCTTTTTCTGCAATTTTCCTGCATTAATTATTTCTACTTTTTTTTGTAAGCTATAAATATATTTTTGATTTGAAATTTCTTCATTTTTTAGCTCTGATATCATTTCTGCAATTTCTTGATTTTTATTTGACTCTATTTGGTTTCCTCTATTTAATATATCTTCTTCGTCTTTAATTGTATGGTCTTTAAACTTTAATTGGTCTTCATATATGCTGATAAGCTCTCTCATGTTTTCCATAACGTCATTATTTTGAGCATGTAGTGAGTATTTTAAATTTGTTGTGATTTGTTTGGTATTGTTAAAATAGTTTGCTTCCTCTCCAATACTATCATTAAGATAGTTTATGAGCTCTTTGTAGTTTTCAACAGACTCTTTGATCTTTTCTGTGTTTTCAATTTGAAATAGCTCATTTTTCAATATTTTTGAATGTAGCGATGATAAGTCTTCTTCTTGTCTAATTAGCAATCTTTCTTCTTTATTTAGCTCCTTTTCTATTTGCAAAATTTCAATTTTTAGCTCATCAATGCTCTTTTTCATGTCGCAGTTTTCTCTTTCGCTTTTACAAATTTCTTGTCTTACTATTGCATCTCTTAACTGAAACTCGTACAATAATTTTCTAGGAGTCATTGGCTCACAAAGACGGTTTCCTTCAAGAGAAGGAGATCTAGGCGAAAGAGGTCAAATTGGTGTAGAAGCCTTTGTGCTTGGAATCCCTAATGATAGATTTTTTCTTCTTACTTTATGTGCTTCCATTTTATATTTATAAATCTTTTAAGTTTTAAGTATAAAAGCAACCTAGCCTAAACAGTTTTTCTAAAAAATCAGAAAATTTCCACTTCTGACATGAATTTGATAGAATTCTTATAATTGAAAATGGCACTAGTCGACTCAGCAGCCAATATGGACATGAACATCGAAGACGACACCAGCGACTTCTACCAGCGCATGAAATCCCTCGAAAGAGAGCTCGAATTCCTCACCATCCAGGCAGATTACATCAAAGACGAGCAGAAAAATCTCAAACGTGAATACATCCGAGCCAAAGAAGAAATCAAAAGAATTCAGTCAGTGCCTCTTGTGATAGGTCAATTCTTAGAGCTCATTGACGAAAATTACGCAATTGTATCTAGCACTGCTGGGTCAAATTATTATGTCAGAGTTCTATCAACATTAAACAGAGAGCTCCTCAAGCCATCTTCTTCAATAGCTCTTCATAGGCATTCTCACAGTGTAGTCGATATAATGCCTAATGAAACAGATGCGTCAATTCAGCTCTTGCAGGTAGGTGAAAAACCTGAAGTCACTTATAGGAATTCCTTATAAATGTCTCGATAAAAATTATATTGATTTTTTGACTGGGAAAAATATGGGAAATGGGATATCAAGACATTGGCGGTCTTGATATACAGAAACAAGAAATCAGAGAAGCTGTAGAGCTACCTCTTACAAACCATGAGCTCTATGCTCAGATTGGAATTGACCCTCCAAGAGGTGTTTTACTGTACGGACCTCCAGGGACAGGAAAAACCATGCTTGCAAAAGCAGTGGCTCACCACACTACAGCAGCATTCATAAGAGTCGTCGGCAGCGAGTTTGTGCAAAAATACTTGGGAGAAGGCCCAAGAATGGTTAGAGATGTATTCAGATTGGCAAGAGAAAACGCACCAAGCATCGTATTCATTGACGAAATTGACGCAATCGCTACCAAAAGATTTGACGCTCAAACTGGAGCTGATAGAGAAGTCCAGAGAATTTTATTAGAGCTCCTAAACCAAATGGATGGGTTTGACCAAAGCGTCAACGTAAAAGTGATTATGGCTACTAACAGAGCTGATACCTTAGATAGCGCCCTTATGAGACCTGGAAGATTAGATAGAAAAATTGAGTTCCCAATGCCAGATAGAAGACAAAAAAGGCTAATTTTCCAAACAGTTACTAGCAAAATGAACTTATCAGATGAAGTCGACTTAGAAGATTACGTCAACAGACCTGAGAAAATCAGTGCTGCCGATATTTCTGCTATTTGCCAAGAAGCAGGGCTGCTGGCTGTGAGGAGAAACAGATATGTGATTCTTCCTAAAGACTTTGAGAAGGCTTACAAAAATGTGGTAAAGAAAAGCGATACTGAGTTTGAGTTTTATAAGTAATTTAGGACTTCTCATTAATGAAACATATGAATAAACTAGTCTTTTATGATTTAGGAGACTATAATTTTAGCTTAAAATATAATGGAAGCTTATTATGGAAATGGTCTTCAATTAGATTTTTGGAAAAGAGTTAGTGAAGCCAGCACTATCTTAATAAGTGGCTGCGGAGGTGTCTATGATGTAGTCCAAGGTCTTCCTTTGTATTTCTCTCTTAAATCTCAAGGAAAAGAAGTGTTTTTAGGCAACATGAGTTTCAGCGAGATCAAAAATGCAGATGGCGAAGTCATTTTGCGAGAATCTAATCCTGCGATGCCAATTGTCTGTATGAGAATAACTGCTGATACAAACCACGGACTAGTTGATACGAGTAATCAAGGATTTTTTGTTGAAAAGTATTTATGCCAATGGTTTAGAGAAGAATTAAACCAAGAAATTTCAGTTTATGCTTTTAAAAGGAGAGGGGTTGATAAACTTACAGCAGCTTACCAGGCTGTTATACAAAGACATAATATTCAGATTAATATTTTTTTATTATTCTATATTTTTAACAAGTTTATGCTCTAAAGCAGATGATTTAATCAAGCCTACGCCCATCTTTTTAAATCCCAAAATTAGGGACGTCATGATCAATCTCCTCCGCCACCTTTTACATCAGGCTAAGCCAATCAGATTTCTATCAAATGACTGACCAGCAGAGCACAGAGACTTCGGGGATACGTTATCTTGATGCTACCTGTCTCCGTCATATGTTTTACTTAAGGGTCTCCCTCCTCTAAGTGAAAGGTAGATATGTTTTGTACCTCCTGCATCCTAAAATCCAAGAACCGGAATTCCAGCCTATGTGTTTGGGACCTTACCGGCATGCTTGGATACAGCAAACTTGGATAAAGTTCACTGGGAAACTGAACCCCATAATAGTAAAATTCGCTGGGGATGGAAAAATTCTCAGAGAGAACAAATTCCGTAGATGCAATTTTATTATTATTATGAAGACATAATATTCAGCTTGTTATTTTGATTGATGGGGGAAGTGATAGCTTAATGGCGGGAGATGAAAAAGACCTTGGAACACCGCTAGAAGACATTTTAAGCATTCTTGCTGTCAAGCAAGCAAGAGTTAATGCGATTTTAGGGTGTATTGGTATTGGAACTGATAGGTTTCAAGGAGTTTCTGACTGTTCTACACTTAGAGCTATAGCAGAAATAACAGAAGCAGGAGGATTTTTGGGGAATTTTTCTTTGCTGCAGACTATGCCTGAAGTTCAAGGGTTTATAAAGGCAAGTGAATTTATACAGTCAAGGATGCCAAGAGAGAATTTTGTAGGTTTCCAAATAATCAGTTCAATTTTAGGAAAGTTTGGAAATTATAACACCCTTGAGTCAACCCATTCCAAAAAATTATTCATTAACCCACTAATGAGCCAATATTACTTTTTCGACTTGCAAAAGGTCGCTAGAAGAATAAAATATCGAGAATTCGTAGAAGACACCAAAAACGCTAATGACTTCATGGTAGGTTTAGATTATTACAGAAACAACCTCGAGCATTTAATAGAAGAAGAGTTCCCTAGAACAGAAGAATTCAGCTAGTATAATTTATGTTATTTCAACAAACTCGGTAAATGAATAGCTAACACCGTTATGTCGTCAACCACATCTTCTTCTGTAGTTATCCACCTTTGCCAAGCTAAGGATGCTAAGGTTTGAGCTCCTTGTCGGACGTTTTTTCCTGATTTGGCAATGGTATCAGCAGCTTCTTGGTCTTTTATAAACTCTCAAACACCGTCACTGCCCATAATTAGGTATTCAAAGTTGTCTTGAAAAGGGATATCTTCAAATTGAGGCAGAGGAGAAACGCCTACCATTTGAGCGATAGCGTCACCTAGAGCTCTGCTTGTAGAAAGCCCTGGGTAATCTTTTCCTTTCATAAAAATCCTATGTGGAACATCATCAGGCAGCTGCTTAACTTCTCCTCCACAAGACTGGATCCTTTGCAGCTCACCTGGCAAGGTAGGTTTGTGGTCTGTAGTTAGTCGCTTAGCTTGAATAGCTTCTCCATTTTTTAAACATAAAACGGCTCTTGAATCTCCGACGTGGCCAATAAATATGTGTTTGTTTTTAATCAGTAAAGTAGTTGCTGTAGTCCCTGACATCATACAGTCATAAGTAGATTCAGGCTTGTCGCACTGCTCAACTAAAGAACTGTTTGCGTGAAAAAACGACTGTATGATAGCTTCTCTAATATTTTCTTCAAACTGTTCATGCTTAATAATCAATTTAGGCAGCAGCAAATGTATATAATTCGAAATTTCATGCCCATAAGCCCCGTGTCCATCGAAAACGCCAAAAAATTGAAAGGCTTTGTCTAGTAACACAGTAAAGTCATCTTGGTTGTTAGGGTCCTCTTTAAGTCCTTTTTTGCACGCAATTCCAACTCCGATTGAGCTGACATAGCTCATATTAGCGTTTTCTCCTTCAAATCTCATTTTTTTGTCTTCAAAGCCGTTTTGCCGATTTTCATTTGGAACTCCAGCAATCAAAATACGTGAGTTCTTTGAGTCGTTTTGGACGTCTTCTGGGATTCCTCGGGATTTTTCTGATTTTGTGATAGCTTCTTTGACTGAAGTTAGTAAGTCTGAGTCAATACGGGATAGAGGAGTTTTTGAAGGTACAACTGATAATCGGACATGCTGCTTTCTTACTGGCCGCTGCGGGACTTCTGCAACTTCTTTTTCTTTTGTTTCATGAATGGCTTCAGGAGATTCTATTTTTTTCTGCTTCTGAACACAAATTCCCATAACTTCTATGCGATTTATTTTACATTTTTTTATACAGCTTATAAGATTCTAAAATAAATGCGTTTTAAATTTTTTAAACACCATTATTATTAAGACTGCCACCTCCTGCATGCAAATTATCAGTCTCCAGCTCTTCTTCCTTGATCCCTCTTCTCTTGTTGTAGACTATATAAGATTAAGATTAAGTTAAGCCGTTCGCACTTGCAGGGCCGGGGATTTGCACCCCTACACGCTCATCGCCTATGTTGAGGCCTCGACGGACACCCTTACTTGTTGCCGCAAACAAGGGATTCGCACACACCAGTCTTGGCTTCCATGGCTCCTGGAGTCTGAGGGTCAACCACCTGGGTCGAAACTCCCAGTTTCTCGTTAGGCAAATATGGTCTTCTAGGTCTGTGAGTCATATTGCCCACAGACTATGGCCGACCTTGCCCTTTCCAATGGTTGTTCTGGAGAAAAAACCCCAAGTCCCATGAATTAGCTTCCTGGGGCTCAGAGAAAACCCAGCCCGGCATACACAAAGGATTACCAATCCCTTTTCCACCTAAATCCCCAACACTGGGCCACCTGAAGGTGTTGAGGTAATAAAATCGAGAGGTCGGGTGGTCTATTGTCACTATTTTTATGTATATATTTGTAGACTATATAAAAAATTGTTGCTATAATTATATAGATTAAAGTGGCCACTAGTACCACAGCTGGTCCTTGAGTTGCACAGATGTCTTCTGGGTCGCTGCCGCTATTTAGTTTATCACAAGATCCATTAAACTTTGCGCCGGTTGCCCCGCTCCAAATAATTTCAGCTAATATATGGAAAAATAGCCCTAATGAAGGCCAAACATATCCCCAGCAGTTAGGAAGGAATTTTTTTTCTAGTAAAGAGTAAAGAACTCTTATCATTCAGAGAACGGTAGCTACGTAGGCCAAAACTTCAAAAAAGTTGAACGCAGCTCCAGCTCCTCTCATGTTTTTAAACGTTTTGCATAATGCATCAGCAAGATCGGAGTCGTAGCTTCACTTAGTAGTGTCCATATCGCAATAAATTTTTTGCATATCGATGTAGTCAAAATACTCATAATTGTCAGGAGATATTATTAAATATAGAAAGGCGAGGTCAGAATCAGAAGGTTTCATGATTTTAATGTCCTCTAGAACTTATAATAATTAACTTACTCCCCTTTAGATTGGAACAAAATATCATTTTTAGGGTAAATTAACTATTTGACATTAATAATTTATTGTTTATAGGTAAAAATTATATTTTTTTTTAATTAAATAGGTTTAATAACCAGTTTAATATCGCAAAATTGAAATTTATCTATAGTATTAGTGTTGTTTAAATAGTATTCTATTTACATTTCATTTTTAAAGCAGAGTAAGTTAGCCCCTCTAAATTTGGAAAAGTTTTTTTGGTTCCAATTTAAAGGAGAGGATTTAGACTTAGGTCAGGAGATGTAATATAGTTTAAACTTCCTTTCCACTTGTTATCGCCTTTTCCTTGTTTTGCCCAGCTTTCAGAGAAGAGAGCGCCAAGCATAAGGATTAAAATGATGCTTTGGAACGATAAAATGACATACCACCAATAGCGGACTCTCATACACCCGAACTTTATGTCAATGCTTGGCTCTGGCAAGTCTGGCTTTATGTCTTCTTTTTCTCCTTCTGACATTTATTGAATTAAAAATTATGAATATTAAAACTCCTTTACTTACTCCACCCTCTAAATTGCAACAAAACATCGGTAAAATTTGCAATTTTTGGGTACTTTAACCCCCTTATTAGAACAAAATTTATTTTTAAATAGGAAAATATTTATCGGTGAAAGATACTATTCTTTATAAAATTATTTCTGACCTAATTTAATAGATAAAATGAAGCGATATTCTATTTAAACAGTTTCAACACTGAACCGATTAATCTTTTTATTTAAATCTGCATAAAAATATATTAAAATTCAAATATTGTGCTCAATTTATATTTTTTTTAAATTTTAAAAAATTCTTTTAAAAAATTAATTAAATTTATAAAATTATTTTTACCTAAATTTAATGGAAAAGTACAAGAAGAATGCTATTTAAAAGTTTTTACACTGAATAAATTAATTTTTTAATTTTTTCTTTATAATAAATTAAAATTCAAAGTAGTGCGCTCAATTTATTTTTTAAGATTTTATCATAATTTGTGCCCAAAGACATAAGGGACGATAAAAAATTTTTTATAGAGAAAAATTTAAATATAATTTTTTTTAAAAAAATAACCCCCCTTTAAATTGGAACAGGATTTTTGTTCCATTTAAAGTTTGAGGGAGTCAAGGCCAAAAAATTTATTAATTGCCTCTATATAACCCAATAAGTTTATCATCAATATTTATAAAATTCCTTACAATTCGAAAATGTTCGCATAAAATGCTATTTATTAAATCTATTCTTAAGAGAGCAATCATGGAAACCAATGATTATAGCTATGGAATCGTTCCGCTTAGGCTTAGCGGTGCTGACTATGAAATTTTGCTGTCTAAATCCAAAAGATATGACTATTTTCAAATCGCAAAAGGCCATAAGGAGCATAGAGAAACAAATATACAAGCTGCAATCAGAGAACTTCAAGAAGAAACAGGACATTCACCTACAATGTTTTTAGGAGTTGATGGATGGACTAATGACCAAACCTTAGCTTCTCCAATCGACCCTATCATATATGTGTTTACCAGTAAAAAAGGACGACCAATCCGTAAGCATGTAATTTATTACATTGCTTTAGTTGAAAAAACAGGTGAAATAGCTGACACTGAAGAAGTTGAATTTGTCCAATGGTTCCCACTCAATCGTGAAACTGGAAATATGCTGCTTCATAGAGAAAATATTGAGCATTATAACAACTTCATATTGCATAAGCTAAACCCTCATTTATAAATCTAATCATCTAATATATGATTGGCAGAATTTGTCCAAAACAAATAATAGTAAAATTTCATATTTTTGGATGCTGAAGAATAAAATCGAATTTTCACATATCTTATACAAATATTATCAGATCTTGATCATCATACTATATTCTACGCCATTCTAATCTTTCCAATATATGCTACTTTGTTATATACTATTTTTGATGAACTCGACGCCCTTGAGGCCATCGGCTCAACTAATACGATGTCCATAATTTTAAGAAATTGTCAGAGCCATTTAAGAAAGAACTTATTTATCCTAAGCAAAAGCTCTACTGGGATCAAAGGGCTGGTCTTGCAGATGGAATTCAGGCAAAAAATATCCGATGTGCTGAAGTAAAGCATAAAGGCTGGCCTTATCATGGTTTCCAAGTGCTTGGCATAGCGGGATCTAAGTATCAAATACTTCTTGTAAAATATTATTTCGATCTGACCAGGCCATTTTTTATCTATAATCATTTTCAGCAGGGCAGAAATATTTGAGATTTGAGTTTCTGATAAGATGGCTTAAGAAGTCTATTGATGAGGTACAAATAAGGTCACGAATTTAATTGCAATAATAATTTGATTGATTTAAGCTATTCTCATTAATTTTATATATATTTATTTTGCAAGACATACATTCGAAGAAGTAACAACTATGAATTTGAATGAAATAACCGAACTCTGTCATGAATGCAGTCTGCCATTTAGTGTCGATATACATCCTGCTATCTGTATTTCATGCAATCATAAATTTCATATGATTTGCTTAAAGAAAAAGGACGGAGTTTATAAATGTGATAAGTGTGGAATATAAATTATTGAACAGCTTTTATTAAAATATTTTAAAAAAACAGTTTTTTTAGGATTAAAGCAATGCATTTAATGGAAATAATAATAGAATTGAAATTTTTATGAAATTCTCAAATTCCTAAATAAAAATTGAAAAAGAAAAAGAAGCGGAAGAATCTATTAAGGGGCTTCGATTCCATAGAAGATTTCAAATATTTCCTTAATTTTTCAGGAATAGATCGTATCGAGCATCTGAGAAATTCAAAAACTAAGTAAAATTAAATAGCTAAATAAAACACCATTTTTTATCAAAACCAAGAAAATCTTGATTTAGAAAATATTTCGATATCCACAGTCGACGGATTTCAAGGTCAGGAGAAAGATGCGATAATTTTTTCTTCGGTAGCTACAGAGCTTCCATATGAATTTATTTCTGATATAAAAAGATTAAATGTTTCATTCACAAGATCAAAACATCTGCTATGAGTTGTTGGTAATCTGGAATGTTTTAAAGAATTCATATGGAATAGATTTTTCAATTATCTCAGAAGTATTGATAAGAGAAGAATTAAAAGAATATTTGATTTCAGAAATGCAATAAAAGAACTTGAGAGATTTTAAGATAATAATTTTAATTATTCACTTTAATAGGACTGCTAAATATTACTTAGATGAAGTAAATCAATCTTTATCGTATATTAAAAACAATAAAAGCTCTATTTTTTGTTAAATTCACCGCTATGAAATATCATATTAAAATTTACTTGTTGGAAAATTAAGCTTCTATGGCTATTATTCTTTTAAAATTATAAAAGCAAATAATATTTTCTTATAGTAGTTCTCAAATGCTTAAAATTAAATAGGTAAAAAAGCTATTAAATAAAAATTATGATCGGTTTGATAAAAGGCTATTTAGTCCTATATAAATGGCTATTGCTATCCTGAAAATGTTTATAGATAAAAAATGGCCTGGCCAGATCGAAATTTGATACTTAGATCCCGCTATGCCAAGCACTTGGAAACCATGATAAGGCCAGCCTTTATGCTTTACTTCAGCACATCGGATATTTTTTGCATGAATTCCACCTGCAAGACCAGCCCTTTGATCCCAGTAGAGCTTTTGCTTAGGATAAATAAGTTCTTTCTTAAATGGCTCTGACAATTTCTTAAAATTATGGACATCGTATTAGTTGAGCCGATGGCCTCAAGGGCGTCGAGTTCATCAAAAATAGTATAGTTGATATAATATATACTATTTTTATCTCTCCTTTAAATAATTTATATTTTACGAAATAAAGATTGCCATTATAAATATGAGAGAAGAAGACTTTAGGATTCAAAAAGCTATGGAAATTTCAGATTTGCCAAAATTAGGGTCTCATTTCAATAATAGCAGAAGCTTTGCTGGGATTGCTTGGGAAATCTATAAAGCAAACCTTAATAAAATGACCAAGTATTGGAAATGGAAAACTATAAAAAATGCTTATTATGACTCAAATCCATTGATATCGTTTTTCACATGAACTGTAATGGTGCCTGTCGGTGGGAGTTTTTGTATTTTTGGCTGGTATATGCTGTTTCTCTTATACAGAAGAAAAGTTAAAATAAACAAAACTACATACGCAATGAATCAATATCAAAAGAAAGCCTTTTTGCAGAAGAAATTTAAGAGCAGTCCACTAAATAAGGAAGAACCCAAACATTTTATATCATAATTTAGCATCAAAAATCTTATTATAGGTCATATTAATTATTTAGTTCTGCATAAAAGCAAGTTACTAATAATAAAAGATTTCTATTTTATATAAAAATTAGATATTATTTTTAAGAGCATAAAGTTTTTTTCTTATTAACTCTCTCCCCTCTGTGAGCGAACACAAAAAAATTTTGTTTGCTCACAGAGGGGTTAAATTTTTTTTTAAAAATTTATACATAAATTTTATAATAAATTTTTTTTTCGAAATTTAAAAAAATCCTAAATTGCGGAAAGTAAATATTAATTTAATTTGTAAAATTTATGTTTTAAAAATGAGGATTCAATAATAAATAAATGCTGGGAAAAGCTATCGCTAAGAATTTTCTTATGGGTGTTAGCTACGTTCTTCGAGACGCTGGGCAAGCCCTTGACCGACTTGGATCAAAAATGACTGATGATGTTGCCTACTTAGAAAAATATTCCCGTCACAGAAAACTGATGCCAATTTATGAGCTTTGGCCATCATATGGAAATTCCTTCATAGCTCCAAACGCATCTCTTGTAGGAGAAGTTCTCGTTGGCAACAACTGTGCAGTTTGGTATGGCGCTGTATTAAAAGGTGACAAATTCGCTGTAAGAATCCAAGACAATGTCTTTATTGGCGAAAACTCTTCAATTACTACTATTTATAACCTGCCTAAAGCAACTCCTAGCTCAGTTACCATTGCAAGCAACGTTGTGATTGAAGAAGGCTGCTCACTTATATCTTGCATTGTGGACAGCTTTTCACTTATAGGCAAAGGAAGCGTGATTCAAGGAGGAGCAAGAATTGAAAGAGGAGTCATTTTAAGACCTGGTACCGTTGTAGGGCCTGGAAACCTAATTCCATCATTTACAATCTGGGAAGGAAATCCAGCAAAATATGTAAGAGATGTGACTGAAGCCGATTTTAAGCTCATTGAGAAAGCTTTACAATCTCAAGCCGAAAGTGCAAAGAGGAACTTTGATTTGCTATCTTCCTTAGGGCATAACCTTACAACTATCAATACCCCATAAATAAGCATTTTCAAGTTATTGAAATTACGAATTAAAACATTTATAACTTAAGAGGCTGCACTCTCGCTATTTCTCGTCTGCATCTCTTACAATTGTGCACGATATCTTGGAATTTTTCCAAATTATCGACCCCGAAAAAGCTTGCGCAGCAAATTCTTTTTCATCTATATAAAAATTACATAGGCATAGTAGGTAATTCTAGTCTAACAACTGTAGACACGTCCATAGCACAATGAAGACAATAAGCTCTAGCCGGTAAAATCCCTAATGGGGTTTCTGGTAATGACTCAGATTTGCTTAAGCTTCTTTCATATTTAAAGTTTTCTTCGTCTTGATTGTTAAATTCTAGCTCATTTTCCAATGTATTTGTGGTAAATCTTGTAGTGCAGGTCGCTTTATTTTCTTCAATTCTAGGAGATGGGACTTCTGAGTTTCCAGTATGTACATATTTAGCTGAGGAATCACTTGAAAGGGTATATATTGTCGAAAATCTTTCTTCACGACTGTGAGAAGATGCAGGGGTTAGCCTTAATTCTGAGCTGTACTGGCTTCGAGGCTCGACGGTTGATGCAAAAATTGAATTTCTTGAAAGATTTTGCATAGATGGCTTATAGATTTCTTTTTCTTTAGGCTCTTCAAGAGATAAAGAAAAATCAGATAAAATAGCATCAGAGTCTTCTAAAAAGTCTAACTCCTATATCTTATTATTAATTTTTTTTGAAATTTTTTATAATTGGCTACCTATTAATATTTGTATTTTGGGCAAAAATAAGACCCGCTGATTTTAAAAAAAAAAATTTATTAGTAAAGGATAAGTCAGAAAATTCAATAGAAGCATTAGAATTTTGCAAATTTGAGTTCGGTACTTCGCTTAGAGCAGATACAAATTGATAGCTTTGGTTTACTTCGTTAATTATAGTTGTTGGAGATCTGCTATGAATCGGCTCATCTTGATAATTGAGAAGCTTAAAAGGCTTCCGCTGTGATTGAAAGTTCATATTAGAAGCTACATCACTCATTTGGAAACTTTGTTTATATCGGTCTGGGGATCCTGGCTTCAAGTGCAAATTAACCCCTTTTCTTTGAACTTTTAATGTGCCACTAGGCAGCCCTTGTGAAAGTTGTTTATTTTTCGTATTAGAAATAATTTTCCCATGAATTTGTGCTTTTAGTTTTGTAGTGATTATCGGGGTGTTTTCGTTTGCAGCTTTAAAAGGTTGTTTGGTTTGCATATACATATTTTACCACCAGTTTCAAAGACCTTATGAAAGAGATAATGTGCGTAATCGACATCTTTAAAAAGCAATTAGAATTGAGGTTATTTTTATTGAATTGAATTTAATAAATCTTGAAGACCTCTTGGAATGTCGCGCTCCTTAGAAACTGCATCAGCTGCAGCTAAAGCACTGTCTGGGTCAAGATATTTAGCCACCTGTAGAAGGAAATGGAAATTTGAACATCTTCTGAACCATGGCTCATTCTTATGCTTATTCAAATAGCTTTTCATATCTGAAGGAGTTATGTCTCTATCTCTATTTTCTATAGGGAAATCAGTATTATGAAGAATCCTCATAGGATTAATTGGACTTCCACAGCCTAGACTTACTATAAGCCAATCAGGTGGAAACTCTTCGACTGGGCGATTTTCACATAAAATTGTAGGCAATAGTTCTCTATCTTTTGGCTGCCTCTTTACTAAATGCCGTCGGGAATCGGAGTCTCCTAGCACATTATCTCTTACTAGTGCTTGTCCTTGGTCACTAACCATATATGCATGAGGTGTTAAGCTTCCATCATCAGTCGGCTTAAGTACAACAGTTACAAATTTTGACACTTTATAGCCTGAAGGGTCTTCTACTATATGCTGCTGTTGGAATTCTGCTGCTTTTTTGATTTCATGAGATGAAAGAAACTCGTCATGATTAATAGATGTAAACAGCCAGCCAATTTTTTCCAGCCCAAGAGCTTCAGCAATCATATCAGCGTAAACTTCATCTGGGTCATCTATGCTTTTTATAGTAAATTTGATTTATAAAATAATAAAAATTTCTTATATAAACTTATTTAAAAAAGTATAAAAATTGAAATCCATTCATATCACCAATTTGAGGAGGCTCATAAATAGTTTCTACAACTGCACGAATTCCATCTGGGTAGTTTGGATCTTCTGCATAATACCCATACAAAAACCCACCTCTCTGTTGCATTCCTTTATTTTGCCAATAGCTCACAAAGCTATTCATTTCAGTCGAATTCATCAGCTGCACATAATCCACGTGTCTATAAGGCTGCCTTGCCAATACAGCAGTTGCTGGCATACATGAATTGCAAATAGAAGCAGGCCATGGTGGATGCTTATTACAATCCTCTTTAATTTTATAAGAAGTTTCTGCAGGCGGCAAACAATTTGGACATCTTGCATCATGACTATGCTCACATTTTGACCTTTTGACTGCCATAAAATGCCCAAAGGACTCATGTTTTATCCCAGCGACAAAGTTATCTTGTAAGCAGTTCAGACATTTTACATCAGGGCCATGCTGACAAAGCCAAGTTCTGTCTTCTTTTTGGGGCTCGTTATCTTTGCCTTCTTCTTTTCGCTTTGCGTCTTCTCTGGCTAAGCAATTTATGCAGCGTTCTCTAGGGCCATGTCGGCAGGGTCTGATGTATTCATCTTCTGGAGTTTTTTTAGCTTCTTTTTCTGTACTTTTTTGAGGGGAAAGCTCAGGGAGAGGCATTGTCATTTGTTTGGAGACTGGGACAGCTGCGATTTCTGCTTCAGCGTCGAGATTAAGGATAGAGCCATTGTATATGCCTAATGCTGATAACAACTGATGGGGTTGACCTTTTAGCGGGCCTCCTTTTTCTTTGATTAAAATTTGTTTGTTAATTGGGACGTGGAGTCTTTCTACGATTGCATTTTGAAGAGTTCGCAAAGAGGCGTTTGACGGAAGGTTGATACGGGATCGACCTGTTTTGGAGTGAATTCTGATTACTATTTCTGCCATTTATAAGATAATTGTGGATGGGTCTTTGATTCTTATTTATGAATTATTAATTATAGGTATATATTAAATTTAATAGAAATCAGCTTATTTGAAACATAAAAATCAATTATTTTATATCTAGAAGATATTACTATAAATTAACCTTTTTTGAGAGAAAACTAAACAAAAATGATAAAATCCGCTTTAAAATCTTAAAATAAAATTAGTTCAAATTATAAGAATTTTCATTAGTAATTCTTCAAATTAAATAACCCTTACTCATAAAGCATTTTCTTATTTCTACCGTCATTCTTTTTATATGGGCAAATAATACAAAAAACACTTGCTGATGTATCTTCTCTAATGACAGAATTTTCAGGAAGTCTCTTCATTTCCAGCACCTTAGGTTTCATTATGTCAAAAAATTCATCAAAATTCACATCTGATTTCCTTTCCTCGATTTCATAAATCAGTTCTTGCATATAAGCTGGCGCTTCATGTTTGTGGTCTTGAATTTTATTCAAAGAAACAACGCCGTCTCTGGGAGACAAATATTCAAAACAATTATGAATAACCTCAACATCTTCTTTGTTTATGTAAGGTTCATCTATGTATGGCTCTGCTGAAAAAGGTGTTTGCTGTTGGCTGCAATTACAACTTTGAGATTGTCCCATAATAATTTGTTTTATATAAAAATTAAGTGGTATAATGTATTAGTTAGAGATCCTGAGCTTTATAGTAATATTAACACTTATTAGAGGCAGGATAATTATTCACATCAGATGCAAGCACTGAAATGTTGCTTTGGCTTTTGAGCTCTGTTTCATCATAAGGCAAATCAAACCTTCGTGATGAATTATAGTCTTCAGAATCTGCATATGGGTTGCTATCCATGCTAATTTTCCCTATTTTTACACCAGGGATATTTATATTTATGTTACCTCCGTCAGGGGTAACAATAGTTTCATCTTTGCATGAATTAATTTTATTTTTGCTTTTTTCCTTATTTCGATTATAAATTATATAGTCAAATGTTGTCATACCTAATTTTGCCAAGTAAATATGCAAGCCTATAAGATATATGTCAGCAAGGGAGAAAACCCCAGAAAACATAGCCATAATCCAAATCAGCGCAATAACTGCATTGCAATTTCCAAGCTTATCATTTGCCTTGTCCTGAAAATCTCCAAAATTATTAAAATAATTTTCCAATAAAATAACGCTAAATACGAATATCACCAATAAATTGATCATCAAAGAAACAATGAGCCATATAAACAGTTTATAATTCCTCTGGCCAATACAGTTGCCAAGCCATTTGCAGTGATGGTCAAAGTTATCTACACATCGATTGCATCTGCTGCAATGTTTGCTTTTAGGGTTTACATTGCAGTTGCAGATAGTGCAAAATGCTTCGCAGTTTTGAGTAGTTTGAGTTCCATTAGAAGCTGGGTTTGTATGCTCAATCGACCATGGATCAGTTGGGTCACATTTCGTTGCTTTATATGCTATAATTATAACAAGGGCTTGTGAGGAAAAATAGAAAATTCCAAAAATTGCCTGCATATTAAGTACTTTAGCGATAAAATCAAGCATTGGAATATAGATAATTGCAGATATACAGATGTTGAAGGTGGTTACAAGTCAGCTTATTATTTGAAAAGGATGAAATGGAGGATTGAAACCATTTCGCTTTATTCTCTTTCCATTTCTCATTATTTTATATTTTAATTATCAGAACTAAATTATTTATTCATAAAAATAAGCAGTATTTATATCCAAATATTAAATAATTTAGCTTAATACTCTCCTCTCCATGCTTTTTGTTGAGTCCTGTTATCAAAATTCCAAGCATTTCTCAGCATAAGTTCAAAGTATCTATCGTCATCAATGGAAGCAGAAATATGTGCGTAATACTCCAGAAACTCGTCTTTCGTTACTTTGGCATCTCTTTTTCCTCCTTTATATAAACTATGATGAATTTCAAAAGTATCTAAAAACTCACACAGGACTTCATCTTCAGTCTTCTTGCCCATCCTTACATCAGGATGTGATGCTGAACTGTAAACTCCTTTCAAGTCTTCTACTGTTATAAACCCATCCCCAGTTTTGTCCAACTTGTTAAAAGCTTGAAGCACCATCTGTTTTCTGGCGTTGCTCATTTCACCCCTCAGTCTATGCACGAATTCTTCATAATCAATAGTCCCAGTCCCATCCACATCAAAATATCTAAACAATTTTCTCGCGTTTTCTTCAGTAACATCAAGCCTAAAGTCTCTCAGCGCCTTTACAAATTCATTGCGGTCTAGTGATTTGCTCTTATCGTCGTCCATAATTTTAAATTGTCTGCTAAGCCCTACAAAGCCACGTGCTCCTCTATTAGCTAGTTTTTCTCGTAATTCATTCAGGAGTTCTTCTGGAGCTTCATTTTGGGGTGGCTGATTTGTAGAGTTGGATGGAGAAGTGATTGACCATGTAGGTGCGCCAGCTGCTGGAATATTGGCAGCTATTGAAATAAGGTCGACATCTTCATTTCTAGCTGGCCGTAAGGTGGTAGACCAATCCATTGGCTCGTCTGACGTCCCAAATGGCGCAGTTGAGCTGACACTGCCACCGAACTGACTGCGATGATGGTCTGCAAGCCACTGCTGCCTGTGGTGAGATGTATTAGTCACATTGCTCCAGGCTTCTTTGATAGGTCCTTGATCTTTAAGTCTCCAAGCATTATTCATCATAAGCTCAAAATACGCATCTTCATCAATACTTGATGACACATTATTATAATACTCCATGAACTCTTCTTTAGTAATTTTTCTGTCTCTCCTCGACAAGTCACTGATATTGTGATGCATTTCAAAAGTTTCTAAAAATTCTCCGAGCACTTCTTCCTCTGATTTTTTGCCGCTCCTGACATCTGGATGTCTAGAAGCTGAATAAACATTTCTTATATCTTCAATTTCTAATAAACCATTTTTATCTCTATCAAGCTTATTATAAGCCTGTTCAACCAAGTTTCGGCGGAACTGATTCATAGGGCCTCTGATAGCTCTTAGAAGCTCATCATAATCGATTTCCCCACTTCTATCTCTGTCTATCGCAGCAAACGCAATTTCTACGTCATTTTCATCAATGCCAACTCTATAGTCTCTGCAAGCTTTTTTAAATTCATTCAGACTAAGACTTCTAGAGCCATCATCGTCCATAATCTTAAATTGCCTCGCAAGCCCAAGAATTCCTCTTGCACCTCGACTTGCTAATTTTTTCCTTAGTCTGTCTAAGCTTGCTTCAGCGCCTGGTGGCCTTCTTTGAGTTAATTCAGGCTTTGGAGCTCTATTTGTAGGCTTGGAGTATTCTTCTTGTTGTGAAGACCATGCTTTATTTTTGGTGTACTCAGGAGGCGGGGTCAGTTTCCAAGTGGAATTCATCATGGCTTCAAAGTATTGGTCATTATCAATGCCAGCTGAAATATTGTTGTAGTATTCTTCAAATTCTTCATAAGTGACTGTTCCATCTCTTGAGGCACCCATATTGTGATGCATTTCAAAAGTGTCGAGAAATTCGTTAAGGACTTCGTCTTCGTTTTTGCGGCCTGCTCTTACTTCTGGGTGATTTTTGGCGTCGTAGAGCTGTCGAATATCGTTGATATCTATAGCACCGCTGCCATCTAAGTCTAGCTTTTTGAAGGCTTGAATGACTAAACTTTTTCTAAAGGGATTTATAGGGCCTGATAAAGCTCTGAGGAATTCGTTATAATCGATTGTATTGTTATTGTCTCTATCAATATAGCTAAATAATAGCTGTGCATCTTCTTCAGACATAGAAACTCTATAGTCCCTAAAAGCCTTTACAAATTCTTCTAACTCTAAAGTCCCTGAATCATTATCATCCATAATTTTGAACTGTCTAGCAAGGCCTAATAAGCCCCTTGATCCTCTTGTTATTAGCTTTTCTCTGATAGCTTCTAGTAATTCTTCAGCTCTCTGCTGTTCTGAAGGTCTCAACACTTTTTGTGGAGATATTTGTTTTCCAACTGACGAATCAGGCCCAAAGATGCTTGCTATAAATTCTCTATAGTCCAGAAACCCGTCTTTACTTTCATCATAAATATCAAAAAGCTCATCAAGCTGTTGAGGATCATCCACAATTACACCAATTTTTTCAATGGCGCGAACCCACTCTTGTTTTGAAACTGTTTTGGAGTTGTCTAACTCTCCCTCTTTAAATTTGAACAAAAAATCCCTGTTCCAATTTAAAGGGGATTGTATTAAATTTTTCTCTATAAAAATATTTTTTAAATTGAAAAAGCACAATACTTTGGAGATTAATTTATTTTTATGAATTAATTAATAAAATTAATCAATTCAATGCGAAAATTGTTTTAAATAACAGTATACTTGCACTTTTTCCATTAAATAAGGTCAAAACTATTTTTATAAAATTTGAAAAAAATATAAATTTGCAAATCTTTGAATTTTAATTTATTTTTATTAATCGTTAATTTTTTTGAATTAATTCTTCACTATAACGCTGTTTAAATAACATTCTACTTGGATTTTTTCATTAAATTAGCTCAAAATAATTTTATAAAAAATAATATTCTAGCCTTTCATTTTTGTTTTAAAAAATATTTTTCTGTATAAAATTTGAACAAATATAAGTTGAGTTATATTTTAATTTATTTTTATAAAGTAAAAAAAATAATTTATTCAGTGTAAAAACTGTTTAAAAACATTCTAGTTGCACTTTTACTATTAAAATAAATTATTCCAAGTTAAATGGCGTTGAGTCCCTAAAAATACAAATTTTACATATTATTTTCCAATTTTTTTTTGGGGGTGGAGTAAGTCAAAAAATCGAAAAGTCTTAAGTAGAAATGTTTCCTCGCTTAAATTTCCAGGGGTTTTCTGAGACAGCTTTTCCTTTAGTTCTTTCTCGAACTTGCTTCTGATTCTAGCCATTTAAAATAATATGAATTTAAATAAAAGAAACTCGAACTAACGAAAATAAAATGAAATCAGATGAATTTGAGTCAAAACTGAAGAATTATGCTCAAAAACATAAAGACATGTGACCATTGGCAAACTTTCTTTAAGATATTAAATTTATTTCAACAAATCAATAACAACAAAAATATGCTACTTAATAATACTAAAACAAAGCCGAGTATTTAATTATAAAGAACAGTTATGTTGCTGACTATATATTAATTTATATAATTTAACTAAAAAGCAAACCTGTTTGTAGAAATGCTTTCTTTTTAAATTATAAGGAGCGAAAAATTAAAATGAATCAAATTGAAATTTTTCATGCTAATAATTAACTTAAATTTGTTTTAATATACGAAAATTATTAAATAAACTATTGTTTTCTGATAAAATTATAGTTCTTTGAATTTTTTCTCAAATGGTATAAACAAATAGCAATAATAAATCATTAAAGGACCTATATAAATATCTATTCAAATTAATTACACTTAGGTTTAATGAGTCAATTCTCAGAAAAGTCAAAAACATAATCAACACATCAATGCTAAATAAATATGGGAGATATTCGAAAATATTTCGGCGCGCCTATAAAAGATAAAGAACCAGAAAAACCCAAAGAAGAATCTCCAAAACGAAAGCGCTTAAACAAAGTCTCTTCAAAACAAGAAACCAAAAAGCCAAAAATCGAAAAAAACACAAGTAAATTCTTCCCTAAAGGCCAATCCCCTAAAGCTTCCCCAGACTATGCTTCTTCAGCAACAGAAATAATTCCATCAGATGAAGAATACTCTCGTCCAAAATCCCCACCAATTAAGACCAAAAAAATCTCTCCAAAGCGCGAGCCTAAGCCTAAAGACAAAATCGATTACAAACCTAAAAAACCCGCACCATCCAAAAAGAAGCCAAAAAGTGAGCCAAAATCCATTCCTTCCTCCAGTACTCCCCTTCAAGGTCAAACTTTTGTGATAACAGGAGTTCTGAGCAATTACGATAGAAATGAATTAACAGATATTCTGAAATCATTTGGAGCCAAGGTGACTGGCAACGTCAGCAAGAGAACTAGTTGTTTGATACATGGAGATAAGCTGGAAGATGGGAGAAATTTTACAGAAGGGAATAAATATAAAACCGCACTAGAAAATGGGACGAAAATTATGAATGAAGAAGAGCTTGAACATATGATAGAAGACTTAAAAGGTAATGAAAAATCGTCACCTGTAGATCAGGATTCTTTTAATGCGGTTCAGGTATCACAGAAACCAGCAAGGGTTCCTATAAAAGTTAGTCAAACTGATGCAACTCAGTCTTTATCAAATGCAAGCCAGCTATGGGTTGACAAGTATAAGCCTAAGACTATCCAAGACATTTTAGGGAATAATAAAACAGTCGAAAAATTATGGGAATGGCTGAGAGATTGAGAAGAAGTCGTTATTCATGGCAATAAAAAAGATGTAGAAGCATTTAGCAGAGGGAGGCTGGATTTAACTCTAAATGTCAATGCAAAAGCAGCTTTAATTTCGGGTCCACCAGGAGTAGGAAAAACAACTGCAGCTAGAGTTGTAGGGAAAACATTAGATTACCAAATAATGGAAATGAACGCAAGCGATTTTCGATCAAAAAAATTAATTCTTGACCCTTTGAAAGCATCGAGTGGAAACCAGAGCATGACAGGCAATGGGACGATAATGAAAAATCTGATTGTTATGGATGAAGTTGATGGTATGTCAGCTGGGGATAGAGGAGGGACTACTGCATTAATTGAGGTGATAAAAACAACTAAAGTCCCTATTATTTGTATTTGTAATGATAGACAAAGCACGAAGTTGAAATCATTAGCTAACTACTGCTATGATCTTAGATTTCAAAAACCTAATAAATCTCAAATTTCTAAAAGACTTTTAGCTATTATGGCATCGGAAGGATTATCGATTTCCATTAGATTAATATTTAAAGTCTCAACTGCCTTAGAGCTAAAATACTCTTTTGGGCCCAAACTAGAGATGTCACCTGGCCCCGACAAGAACAATGGCCTATGCGCCACTTGAGTCCAATCTAAGCAAATACCAAAATACCCGAGCCAGCTGCCCAAAAACTAGCAGCCTTACCTCACCCTTACCTGAATCAGCTCCTGCGCATGTCCACCCAAGAGTCACCTTCCTCCTGGTCTGCTGAGAGGTAAAAGCTTACCCTTGGAACAGTTCCTCTACCCTATGCGACTAAAGTTAAGTCACTATTGTTTTCAGAAGTTCTCAAGGTAAAACTAAACCTCATAGATTCCATGTAAGAAAATTAGCAGAGCTATTCCTCTCGAACCGAGTGCCATTTTATTTATCTATAGAATGTTTATCAATTGAGCCAAATGCATTAGAAATGATCATAGAATCCTCGGGAAATGACATAAGGCAAACTTTAACTCTACTGGAAATGTGGGCTCGGACCAATAATTCTATGAATTACAATCAAGCAAAAAAGGGCTTACAATTCATTTCAAAAGATTCCATTACAATGGTCGGAAATTTTGATGCTGCTGCAAAGCTGCTAAATAATCATGAAACTCGTGCAATGAGTCATAAGCAAAAAATTGACTTATTTTTCGTCGATTTTGACTTAATTCCTCTTCTTATACAAGAAAACTACCTCTCAGCAATTCCTCAAAATAGCCAAACTATAGAAAATATGGCAAACGCTGCTGACTCAATTGCATTTGGGGACTTAATTAATAAGCAAATCCGCACTAATAACGATTGGACTCTTCTTCCACAGCTTGGCCAAGCTTCAGCTATAGAGCCAGGAGCTCTAACTGGAAATGGTATCCCTTTTCCTCGATTTCCTGAATGGTTTGGAAAATCATCCACCCAGAAAAAGAACGAAAGACTTGTACAAGAGCTCAGATCTGCTATGGCAGGGCACATTACAGGAGACAATATAACGATTCTCAGCGAATATGTCCCATTAATCTACAAAATGATTATGAAGCCTATTATAAAGCATGATATGGACGGTGTAGAAGAAGCTGTAGAAATAATCCATACTTATGGTCTTAACCCTGATATGTTTAAAGACCATCTAATTCAATTGCAATTTGACAGCGAAAAAAGTGAAGAAGAATTCAAAAAAATCCCGACCAAAACAAAGGCTCAAATAACGAGGGTTTATAATACTGTTTTTAAGAGCTCGCTGAAAAAGGTTAAAAAGAAAAGAGAAGAAAAGGAAGAAAAAGATCAGGTGGATCCTGAGTTTGCAGAAGATGAAAATGGGAATGAAGAAGAGGAAGATGAGAAGGAAGAGGAGAGCGATATTGAGGTAAAGCCAACGGTTAAAACAGTTAAAAAGAAAAAGAAATAATATTTATTAATTAGTTTTTGTTTATTTAGAAAACTTTTTTTAAAATTAGAAAATATTGCTGAAGTTGCTTGCAGTCTTTTATAATGCCTTTAAAATAACGAACAATAATAAGAAAAGAATAATTCATCAGAGAATATTTAATCAAGATTTGTTTAAATTTCAACTTGAATAATTACTAAAATGGCTCATAAATCCAAGAATTTGCAATCAGAGAATGCCAAGCTGCGGCAAGAAATCCGAAGTCTACAGTCAGCACTAAAAGACATCAACCACGATGAGTCCCCAAGTAACACATGGAAAGTTTCTTATTCAAATAAAAGAAATGAAAAAAGCCCTTTGGTTTCAAGAGAAAGACGAGAAAGGCTAAGGCGAGAAATCGAAGACAAGCTTGACCGAGGCATTTTTAGTCCTCCAAAATCTCCAGTGACTATCAAAAATAAGCCTAAACAAGAGCAAATCATTGAATCGCTGCCATTAGTCAAGCAAGACGTAGGCACAGACACTATGCACTTTATTGCAAGTTTTGGACCTCCAAAAACGAGAGAAATATACAAAGAAGAAATCCAAGTAGAAGAAAACCCAAGCTTTCAGGAATCTGACTATTTAAATGTAGAGAAAACGTCTGAGCCTAATAACTCTATTCATGCAGAGATAGGAAAACTAAAAGATTCAGTTGAAGATATTTATAATTCTTTGGAAAGTATATGCTCTGTCTATATGAATTTATTTTTTAAAATAATTAATGGTTTTCATTATTTACAGGATAAGGTTTCAAATTTTCAAGAGAAAAATACTACTATTTTACGTTTGGAATAGATAAAGATATGCTTCAAGAAAGCACCAAAAGTCTGCAATCTTCTCAAGTCAGATGAAACCCAGTATATAAGCAAGAAGATGAAAAAATGATCAAAGACTCATTTAATTCTTATTACTCAGAAGAAGAAAGCAAAAAACAGTCTTTAAAAGAAGAAGAGCTTTCTACCTCAAGAAAAAACGAAAAATCGCTTATCAGTGAAATTGAAGCTTTGAGACAAGAAAACAATGCATTAAGGCAACAATTAGCAAATACTTCAAGAGAAAATACAAGAAAAAAGAAAAAAACAAGAAAAAGAAGCACATCGAATAATTCCACTATAAAAGAGACAGCAGTAATTCAAAATTTACAAGAAAACGAAAAAAAATCAACCACGTCTAGAAGAGCAGCCATTATTAAGAAATCGACTACCCCAAAAAGATCGAAAAGTCCAAAACTTTCTAAAGATGAGCCTCCTCAAAAATTGGTAACACTTCCTAGAAGAGAACGAGCCACAACTCCCAAAAAACCAAAAGAAATCCACACATCTCTTGATGATGGTGAAATGCACACTCCAAAAAGCAAAAGAAGAAATATTTCTTGCTATTTGAAATCTCCAAAAATAAATATAGGTAGAAGTGCATCAGTCCATTCTTTTACAAATTTCCCTTTAACTCCGACAAGATTAAGACATTGCCCGACATGTGATCATTTGTTGTCAAAAGGATATTCTACAGTTCACTGTGCCAAGCATGGATTTGCGACGTCAAAGAGTCCTAGGTCTCTTTCTAATCGTTCAAGACATGATATACTGATTTATACTCTAAATGTTTTATCCTGGTAGACAGTGACTATTTTAATATAAAATAGATACTTATTATCAAAGTATTCAATCTCTTTAAATAGGAATAACTAATTTAAGCTTAATTTGTCACTAGATATTCTGATAAGACTTAACTAAGATTCATATTCCTCTCTGACAGGCGATTCTTCAGTTTTGCTGTTTTTCTCTACTGACCCAGAGTTTTCTCTTGACCTGTCTCTTGCTTCTTCCCTTGATCTATCAGCAGAGTCGTCTCTATCTCTTTTTCTGTCCTTGTCTTTAGTTCCATTTCTATATCTGTTAGAATCGCGGTCTCTTGAAGAATTTCTTCTTCTTTCATTCCTGTCCTTATCCTTTTTTCTTCCAAATAGTAATTAATTAAATTTTTTTTTTAAAAAAAAAAAAAAAAAAATAATTATAAGTTATAAGAGTTAGATCTTGACCTTGATCTAGAACTTTCACAGTCTCTTTTCATATGACCTTTTTCCCCACACCTATAGCATTTATCTTTCCAGTCTCCTTCCTTGCAATTATTTGCCCTGCGTAATTCTTACCAATGTCCGGTTTGTCCACAATTGAAGCAAGTGTCGTCGCTGATTGACCCGCGGTCACTTCTACTTGAACTAGCCCATTCTACGATAATGCGAGATCCATCCAGTTTGCGCCCATCCATGTCACGGATTGCATCTTCCGCATCTCGAGGCTCATAAAACTCCTAACGTCGGCACATACAATGAAAGCGTAGTCCCGTTTTAACTCCACGTCTCGAATGCGACCATAACGGTTAAAAACATCTTCCAGGTCCCTCGCACGAGTTCTCCTGTCGAGACGGCCAATATACACTCTTCTGCGGCTACCCTTGGGCATTTTTATAATATTAATGGGAATTTTTGCGTATTTAATAGGCCCAATAATTATTTTTGCTATTAAGTTTATTTACTATTAGTAATTATTAGCCCATTTATCTATTTTATCATCCTAATATGCAAAAGGATTTGATAAGGAATGAAAGCAAAGATTTAAAATAAAAAATTTCTATTTTTTGCCTTTTTAACGTGTGGAAAATTACAAACTTTCATCAATTTAGACAATTGTTGAATGTGATTATAAATGGCACTTAATTTTATTACAAAAGTCCTTGTGGCAAACAGAGGAGAAATTGCATGTAGGGTTATGAAAACTGCCAGAAGGCTAGGAGTCTCGACTGTTGCTGTTTATAGTGAAGCTGATAGGAATTCCCTTCACGTTTCTATGGCTGACCATGCATTTTATATTGGAAAAGCTCCATCAGCAGAAAGTTATCTAAATAAATCTAGAATCATTGATATTGCCAAATCCAACGGTGTCCAAGCAATCCATCCAGGCTATGGCTTTCTATCAGAAAACGCTGAATTCGCACGAATGTGTAATGAAAATGGTATAATCTTCATTGGGCCACCTGCAAGTGCAATTTTAGCTATGGGCTCAAAGAGTGAGTCTAAAAAAATTATGATAAAAGCTGGAGTTCCTGTCGTTCCTGGATATCACGAAGACTCACAAGAGGTGGAAAAACTTAAGCAAGAAGCTGACAAAATAGGCTACCCTGTCTTAATAAAAGCTGTTATGGGCGGAGGTGGAAAAGGTATGAAACTTGTAAATAATCCCAATGAGTTTTACGAGCAGCTCGAAAGTGCCAAGAGAGAAGCCTTGAAATCTTTTGGAGATGATAGGGTCATCATGGAAAAATACATCACAAGTCCAAGGCATATTGAATTCCAAGTTTTTGCAGATACACATGGAAATGCTGTACATTTATTTGAAAGGGACTGTTCAGTTCAAAGAAGACATCAAAAAGTCATTGAAGAAGCACCATCAATGATAGATGAAGAAAAGCGAAAAGACATGGGAGATAAAGCAACACAAGCTGCCCTTGCTGTAGGGTATCAAGGAGCTGGGACTGTAGAGTTCATATTTGATGAAGACACACAGAAGTTTTATTTCATGGAAATGAACACGAGGCTACAAGTAGAACACCCTGTTACAGAAATGATAACGGGACTTGATCTTGTAGAGTGGCAGTTCAAAATTGCTTCAGGGTTGCCACTGCCGAAAACACAAAGTGAAATTAAGAGAAGAGGACATGCAGTTGAAGCTAGAATTTATGCTGAAAACCCTGCTAATTCATTTTTACCAACATCAGGAAAACTATTATATCTGCAAACACCTAAGCCTTCTGACCAAGTTAGAATTGATACTGGTGTCGTGCAAGGTGACGATATTTCTGTTTACTATGACCCTCTAATTGCAAAACTTATAGTATGGGGAGAAAACCGAGACCAAGCTTTAAATATCATGCACCATTCCTTAAATGATTACCACGTCTGTGGGCTTCCCACCAATATAGAGTTTTTAAGAACATTGTGCCAACATAAGAATTTCAGGAATTATAAATTCAACACAAACTTTATTCCTTTACATCAAAAAGAACTCCTTTCTTTTCCTTCAGCTTCAAATAGAGATCTAGCAATGGCTTCTGTCTGCCTTTTGATAAAGGAGCAAGCCATTGCTGATGAAACTGCAGAGAAATTGCAAAGAAAAAGCTCACCATGGTACAAATTGCATGATTTCAGGGTGAATTATGAAGAAACAAGGAATGTCAGCTTAATTTCTGATAAAGAGCACAAAGTAGCTATAAAACCGACAAAAAGTGGGTTTGATGTAAATGTGGCGAAACATCAGTTTAATGTAAAAGGAAAACTAATTGGAAATAACACATATGAATTAGAAACAGAAAAAGGAATCGAAACATGGAGAGTTTTGCAAAATGAAGAAGACCTGTGGGTCATAAATAGCGAAGGATCTGTTTTCGTCCTTAAAATCAAACAAGAAGAAATGGGAGAAATAAAAGCACAGGAATCAAGCATTAGCCATGTAATTGCGCCAATCCCAGGAAAAATTATCAAAATTATAGGAAAAGAAGGAGAAGAGGCCAAGGAAAATTCAGTTTTAATTGTTATTGAGTCTATGAAAATGGAACACTCAATTAAAGTGCCAAGAAATGCAACAATTAAAAAGGTCCATAAAAAAGAAGGAGATTTTGTGAAGGCTAAAGAAGTAATAGTTTCGTTTGAATAATCATCGGTATTGATAATAATTTCTTCTTAATTTGCACTGGCTTTCTCGCTATTAGTAGTATATTAATTGGGATTGACCGAAAGTTTATATTTGGAAAAAGTTTCATGATTTTAATAGCAATTGATGCAATCTTTATAGTAATAAAATTTGGAAAAAGGAGATTATTACAAGTGTGAGCTTTAAAATTAAGCAATATATAATAATAATTATGAATTCAATATCCTGAATAAAACAAAAAACTAAAGCCAAATCTGCTGAGGCAGTATATAGAGTTAAAATGAATACCAGCATTTTTTGCTCACTAAGAAAGAGATTTTAATGGTTTAATCTCTTGAAAAGGGAGTAATTCGAAAATATTCATTGCTAGCATATTTAAAATTTTAAATAAAGAAATTTTAATTATTTTAAATTTTATTGCGTAAAAAATTCAAAATATTTTCGCCTCTTATTCCGAATTCCCTTTAAGCAAGTAAAATTTTTTACTTGGTCATGACAATTGTTTTTTTGTTGAAATTTTATATGCTTATTTTTTTAAAAATACCTATTAGATATAATTTAAAGCGAAATATGAATAATTTATAAAGCATGATATAATTATTAATATATTTAGATTATAATAGATATTTCTTATAACCCAAAATATTTTATGAAGCAATTTTCGCTCATTTACAGAGAGTTTTTTTCCAAAAAGGAGAATCCAATAGTTTTGCTCGCTCATGAGTGGGGAAAAGTTAGAATAATTTCAGCCATCAATATATCTAATATTTATTTAAATTTTGCAATAAATAAAATCTTTAATCAATACATTTAAATTTTTTCCAGTAAAATCGATAAATATCTCTTATCTATCCTGATATTTAAAGTGTTTAAATCTTTATTTTAACCATTATTACATAGAATTTCAATTTTTTTATTCATAAAAAGAATTATGATTATACTGTATATTGAGATATAGTAGATATGAGACCAGTCATACATGTCCCAGGGACGAAGTCAAATCACTGTGATCCAGAAAACATGTTCAGTCTTTCACGGAAGCCATCTATCCTACAGTTGTCCTCTCCTCGCAATGTGCTTGCTACAACTCGGCAGTCACCAATTCAAGATCCATTTCTCAATATGAGGCAGTTTGGGACAAGCTCTCCCAAGCTTAGACCGATATGTCCCTTAAAGCACCTTTGTTCTGGAACCCAAAGTCTCAACTCTTCGAAATGAAATTAAATTTAATTAAGATGCCTTGTTTTAAATAGACCGAGGATTTTCACCTCTGCAGATTCGCCAGCCTTATAAGGAGCTACCGGCTAACAACAATCTCTTCGCCCTAAATTGCATCACCTGACTTGCTCCCGATCTCAAAGGACTTGGAGGCTGGCATAACTCCCAGTTTTATGATGAGCACCCGCTGTCTTCAGTATCCTAATGCAAGTAGGGATCATACCTAATCTCAGGGATGATGGCAGACCATACTCTTTCCAACTCATGCAAGGAGGAAAAATCACATTTTCAAGGTATGATAATCTGCGCACGAGAAATACGTTTTAAGATTATCATTCCTATTTCTCAATTCGGTTCTTGCCTGTAGGTGTTGAGGAAATTTGCGTCAAGAGGTTGTGTGGTTGCCACTCCATATTAATGCATATCCTCAACTCTTCTAAATCCCAAAGATGCCTTGGGATAGAAAAGCAGAGCAAGCCTCTCTCAGTTCCAGAGCTTTCAAACAAAAAAAGAGTGCTGGCAAGAAACAATTCAGCTTGCGTTTTCCCACCAATTTCAACAAGAAATTCAAAACCAATTAGAGAAAGTAAGAACTTTGCAAAAGAGTTAAAAGACATACAGTTGAGAATCCCTATTCTTAGCCCATTTTATAATTTATTCAAAAATCTAAAAATAAATAACCGAAATTTCATTGTTTTTGAAAAAAATTAGCTGAAGAGTTAGGGAAGATTTTTTGACAAAAAGAGATAAAAGGCACGAAAGAGAAAAATTTGATTTTAGAATGAGCCAAAGAGAAGAACCCACAACACCATATTTCAGTGGCAATTCTCAAGCTTCTTTTCGGAAGCACACTGATATTAATTTTGAGAATGAAAGCACAGCTTTGCCAGGAAACGACGAAACAGAGTTTAAACTCACTTTCTCTGGCAAGAACATACATTAAATGGCGAGATGTGTCAGTCTGCTCTCTTCTCACAACAGTTCAGAGACCTCAAGACCACAGTGAACTCGAATGTACTCTAAGCCGAGAAATAATTGCAGCCTCAGCAGATGTAAATCCGAGTAGGTTTTGATGCTTTCCTGTGGTTGGAAATGAAGGTGCTCATCAATTTATTTCGGGCAAAATACTCCAACCAATATGACTAGCGCCTGTCTTTAATAATCCTTATCCTAATCCATTTTCTGGCAAGGCCGTCCGAGATTATAATGTTCTCGAAGCATGTTCAAGATTAAACAATCTAATATCTAAAGAACAAGGCAGAAGAGACAGCAAGGAGCTGACCTTTAGGTACAAAAAATAAACTGATATAGCTTAAGCACTCTTTAGATTCGGTTTTTTGGACTTCTCCTACAGAGTTGGTTAAATTAATTAATGTTAGTTTAGCCAGCATCTTAAATGGCAGAACCACTTGCTGCAAGGCTTATACCATTTGTGAATTTGGCAAAACTAGCCTTATTTGGCATGGCTAACTCCCTTCTTTCCCATCGGGAAGGGTTGGAAGCCTGAGACAAAAGAGTACTCAGGCTATATATAAACATAATTCATTGATTCAGTATTTATTAAAGAAATTATTTCGTTTCTAATTTAATTATTTATGGCTGATTCAGAAGTATCAAGGCTCAAAAATACGTCTATTTTTTCTGCAAGTTTTTTTGAAAAACCAAGAATCGAATATAAATATTACAACCATGCACTAAAAATAGAAGCAGGCTTAAAAAGAATGAACCTTATATTAACAATCTTAGGGATGATTTTTATTAGTATTCAAATCCTTTGGGCTTGCATTCTATGAGCTCGCTTTGATTATCGAATATGCCAAATTTTTAAAAAATATTTTATTGCGAAAGTGGCATCTGGGGTGCATTTTTTGTATAGGTGAGGATCTCTATTAAAGCATCGAGAAGCGAGCCATGCTATGAATTCGGCTCCATTGTTCTTTATAATTATTGTATTTGAAATAAGTGTATTGTCATTTGAACCATCTGGTGGCAATGGGCATTGCATGGTTTATGCAGCTTTTTCTTTATCAACTGAGCTATTTTTATATTTTGTCACTATTGCTTATATTTCATATTCAAAAATAAAGACTTATTCAGTGTTCAATAACGAGCAGCTATTCGAGTCTTATGTAACAGTTTTGAGTAAAAAATTGCTTAAATTCTTTCCAATTCCTGATGACATGGAAGGAGAATACAACTATCTAAGAGAAGAGCAAGAAATTACGAAGTTAAGGAGAAAAATATCTAGGAAAAAATACACTAATTAATCAAACGCTGATTAATAATTGTTATAGATATTCCCACCATTAATATCAGCTCTTGGCGAACATGTGAAGTCCATCCATGCGTGTTCTTTATAATTCTTTTCCATTGATAAGCTTGGATGATTAACTCCTTCTTGGTTCCAAGTTCCTTCTTTATCAAACACCAAAAATTCTTGCTGCTTCCTTATAAGATAAACCATTTCTAAATCCATAAATTCTGCGTGCTTTAAAACCTTCCCAAAAGAATGATTAAAAGTGTATTCTTGAGGAGTCATAATTAAAATATGGCGTCTTCGTCTGGGCATGGCCTCCTGGCCATGCAGCCTCGACTCATATTTTAAATATATCCGGCAAGGTTTTGCTATTTCAGAGATGGACGGCAATGCTAGGTAAGCAATTCTGGTTGTGCTCATAGCCTAGCAAGTCTACTTTCAGGAATGGTTTTTTCCTCATGGGGAAGGAGGCACGCAAGTTGGAAAGGGGAAGCTCAGCAAAGTCCTTAGGACCAATCGGGCAACTCCCTAGCGTGAAACCGGGTGTTACGTCCCGAGCTACGTGTTTTTCCTTTTTTGCCGAGAGCTGACCAGAAAATCCATTTTTTGGGTTTTCGGAAAAGCAGCCCATGTCCTCAAGCAAGTAGCTCACTCATGAGCTGTCGAAGCCGATGACGTTTGCCTAGGCGCACCCTAGTGATCGAAGCGAGTTGTCCCAGCAACTGGGGCCCGATGTGGCAAAAGGTAAGCGGCAGACCTGGAGAAAGTCTACCCTGTAATGGACGTTAAACGTATAAATCCTAATGTAATGTAATGTATTCTTGAGGAGTCACTGGAACAACTTGCTCTATAGGAACTTTAAAGGCGTCTAATTGGCCTAGTTGCAGAGAGGTGATTTCGATCTTATTCTCTTCAGGAAGCAAGTCCATTTTCACAACAAAGCGCTTTTGAATTGTTGTAAGGCGAGATTCCAAGTAAAATGGGACAAATTGGTGATATTTTTGGCCTAGAACTGAAATTGCTTCTCTTACGAAATTTCCTTTAATAGAGGCAAGCTTTGCATAGTCTGGGCTTTCATAGATGCTTATAGGTTTGGACTTGATGGTAGAAAATAGTCTTACGAATCTAGCCATTTTATAAAATTCCTAAATTTAATAATTTTTATTTATTCTTGGCTTGTTCTGTATAAATAGCTAGATCAACAAGCCTATTTGAGTATCCCCATTCGTTATCGTACCAGGAAATTAATTTCAAGAAGTTTGGATTCAACTGCATTCCTGCTTTTACGTCTAAAATGCTTGACCTAGAGTCATGCACAAAGTCAGAGCTGACAACTTGGTCTTCAGTTACCCCAATAATGCCTCTCATTTCTCCTTGAGAAGCTTCTCTGACAGCATTAACAACTTCATCATAAGTGGCTGATTTATTGATTTTCACAGTCAAATCGACAACTGATACATCAGTTGTTGGGACTCTAAAAGCCATGCCATTGATTTTTCCTTTAAGTTCGGGGATTACTTTTCCTACAGCTTTTGCCGCTCCTGTAGTGTTAGGGATAATGTTCATACCAGCAGCTCTGCCTGCTCTATAATCTTTTCCTCCTTTTGAAGGGCCATCTACAGTTAGCTGATTAATAGTGATTGAATGAACAGTTGTCATTAATGCCTCTTGGATTCCAAAAGTATCGTTGACGACTTTAGCAAGAGGTGCTAAACAATTTGTAGTGCAAGATGCATTGGAAATCACATTGAGATTTGGGGTGTATTTTTTATGATTTAGATGGGTGCATTTTTTATACGCATCTTTGCAAAAGCTTTAGTTAAGTTTAAATCATTTTAGGCAAAAATATATGAAAAATATGCATTTTTTTATGATTTACACCCATAACAAACATCGGGATGTCGTCTTTTGGGGGAGCTGAAAGGATTACTTTTTGAGCACCACCTTGGAGGTGCAAAGAGCATTTTTCAAGAGTTGTGAATGCTCCTGAGCATTCTAGAACATGAGATACACCATTGTCTTTCCATGCTACTTTTGCAGGATCCTTTTCAGTGAGAAAGCGAATTTCACGGCCATCAATAACAAGATTGCTACCATTTGTAGTGACTGAGCCCGGATATTGGCCATGAACAGAATCATATTTGAAGAGATAAGCCATGTACTGGATATCCATAAAAGGATCATTTATTGCAACTACTGATGCTTCAGGTTTAGATAACGATGCCCTCAATGCAAGTCTTCCAATTCTGCCAAACCCGTTTATTCCTAGTCTAAGTGCCATTATAATGGAAGGTTAAAAGTAAACGATTATTTATTGAAAAGAAAAGAATTTGTTGAAAACTTAAATGATTAATTGACTGAAGATTTATATAAGCATTTTGTTTATTGACCTATGTCAGAACTGTTTCTATTTTAGAAGTAAGTTTAATATTTAATTTGACTCATTAAATAATATAAGTTGCTGTTGTCAGATATTTAAAATCTGCACCTAATATGTGCTTATATTTATTTATAATTATTTACAAGGAAATTTCTGTTGGAAATGCCAGATTGCCTTTCAGCAGTTTAAAGTTAAATCTTCCCATTAACAAAAAATCAACAATTAAAACCAATTTTCTCTGGAATTTCTCTTAAGCTAACTTATTTATCAGCAAGAATAATTTTGGATTTTAATGCCCATGGATCTTGATGCAGTCTTCTGGGACTATGCATTCTTCCTTTAAAAACTCTGCAACTTGGCTTCTATTATCTCCTGTTAACTGTATAATCTTCTCATCGTTTTCTTCGTTATTCACTATGGTGCCATTGCAAGAAAAGGTCTTCTTGAAATATCTCAATACCTTTTTGAGATCAATATCTGCAGGCATTCCTTCAATTAAAGTCAGACACTTTCTGTTGTTTCTTTGTTGTATTCTGATATGGACGTAATTAGTTGAGGTAGGTTCTTCGAAGTCGTTTGGTAAGTTTGAGCCAAATGATACAATAGAATCCACCATTTATATTGAAATGGGATGAAAAAGTATATGTGATAGAATGATTGAAAAGCTTATTTATTGTTTATCACAAATTTTAAGTGATATAGATATATTCCTATTAGGAATTTAATTTTTTAGTTTATTAATTAAATAATTTATGATTAAGAAAGATTAATCGCTTGTTTTGAATAGGATTGCTTACAATAATGAGATTTTAATATGCAAAGATTCAATTAATTTATAAAAATACTGGAAAACATGAGTACATTTTCTTAAATATGAAATTAGTATTCTTAAAACCACTGAGCATTTGTATTACTTGAACACCTTATTTACTATTCAACGACTTAATTTTTATTTTTTCTATATTTTCCCATTCGTTATTACCCTTTCATTTCTGAATTTCAAATTCTTCCCATCGTCTAAAATTGCAAATAATAAATGTATTTTTTTAGTCCAGGCTCCAATAAACTCCAAAATCAGTTTGTGTTCCCCACTCTTTCTCCTCAAGGACTTCTTCAAAATTCTCTACCATCAAAATTTGCGCTTGAAATTTTAAACAAAGAAAACCAATTAGAGAAATCCTGAGATCCCACTACCATACATGAGCTGATTGATATATATAGTAAAGCAATTGAATTCTATGAGCTTCATAATGATACGCGATTTTATGATTATCAATTGAAAATACGTAACCTTTTAATGAAACCTCAAGTAATCAAGGCTCTTCAAAATGAACCTGATCCAGATCAAGTAAAAATTCCAGAGATAAAGCCTTCAGAGTCAGAAGAAATGCCTAAAAAAATAGAAACTGCTGAAAGCAATAAGGAAAAAATAGAAAATGAGGATAATGAACTTCCAGCACTAACTGTGAAGGAAAATCGCATAGTTAAGAAAATCCTCAGCAACCAAAAACAACTCACTCATAGCACCTCAAGTAAAGCTCTTACTGACATAAAATCCCAAAATAGCGACTTAGAGGTCCGTCTTGCTTCAAGAAAGTTCAAGCATACCACTCTAAATTCATCATTCAGAAAAAATTCAAATGATTTCAGCATTTCTATGACAGAAAACCTCTCCACAGCTGAAAGCATTGATAGGCATATAAAAACAGAGCCTGATGAAGAAGAAAGTGAAACCATCGATTTCTCAGGATTTTTTAATATTTCAAATTCTTCTAGTGAAGTTGAAAAAAGACTTGAAAATATTATGGAAAAATATATTACAGAAAAAGTTATAGTTAATTAGGAAAATATTTTTATTTTCAAAATAATTTTTGATAAATGACTTATTTATTGTAAATATTATAATAGAATATCAGAAGTCACTGTTGATTACAAATTACAGATGAAAGAGCTAGAAGACCAAGGAGGGATTATGAAGCAAGTGTTAGAGCAGATGAAAGTAAATATGCAAGAAGAAATAAAAATGATAACCGAAGAACTAGACGCACAAAAAGCAAAAGAAATTGAAGAACTCAAAAGGGAATTATTTATACAAATGTAATTGCTTTTGGCAATAAATAATAAAAAAATTTTGATTCTCTTTATGCCTGTTTTTATAATTATCTCATATCTACTAATACAAGATTTAAACACTTTTAAATATATGGACAGTTAAACACTTTTACATATATAGATAGATAAGAGATATTTATCAATATTGCTGAAAATTTTCGCATACATTGATCAAAGGTTTTATTAATGTAAAAATTGATATAAATATTACAAATGTCGATGGCTAACATTATTCCAGCAGCTGACAAAGTAGCTCTAGGCCTCATCAAATACACCAGACCGATGCCAATCCCTAAAAACCGAGTTATGTCAGAGCAGATGGAAGAATATTACGGCATAGGCAGCTTTCACTGCCCAGAGCACCAAAAATTAGCTGAAAAACTTTTGATCACAACAAAAGCTTACTCTCAATCCAGATCTCTTGCTGAAAAACAACAAATTGCTAAAGCTGAGCTTGAATTATGGCTAAACTACGTCAAAGCCCGCACAGAAGTTTTGCCTGATTATTACAAAATGCAACCAAAAACTCAATCCAGCCTCCTAAGGCATTATACCAAAAATTTATTCAGAAGAGAAGACTCTATTGCCTGTGACAGGATGCTTGACTTTCATTCAACTTTTATAGAGGATTACCCATTTGACGTCCCAATTGATATGAAAAGTTTGCATGAAATGCTTCATCCCCATGCTTATTATCTGTGTTCAATGCCTACTGGCTTTACTTTTGCTCAATTACTCCAATTTTATAATTTACAATCATTAGCTAGCTATGAAAGATCATTAGGAGAAGACATACTCGCAAGGCAACTGAGCGCACTTAATTATTGGAGATTTCTTGACGAAGATCTTTCAGGAATTTTAAACAAAAAAGGGTTCCAAGCTATAATGAAAACACTGAGATTTCCGATTTTGGAGAGCTTAAGCGAGATACAAAAAGAATTTTCATGGACTTTGAAAGATCTGCCGAATGAGTTTGAAGGGATGAGCGATGAGAACTTCTTTATTAGGTTCCAGCTTATTAGAAAGCTATTTTTAGATCATAATTTATAAAAGTCTATTCTTAAATATCGAGTTTCTGGATATAGTAAGAAATATAAATAAATCCAAAATTGCTATTAAGATCATTTATTGATCAAAAGGATTTTTATTACAATTTGGACATTTTGGCTTTCTTTTAGAAATAAGCCATTCATCGATGCAATCTTGGTGATAAGGGTGAAGGCATGGTGTAATCCTTATTAGATTACTCCACACTATCTCCATCAAACAGATTGTGCATACAGATTCGCCTATTATCTTGCTTTTACCATTGTAAACTTCTACAGGCATGATTTTTTCAATCATATCTTTGGTGACGACTTTTATATTTAGTTGATTTTCTTCAGAGTGATTATGCCCTATGTCCCTGATTCTTAGCATCCTTAATCTTCGTCTCTTTTTGACTTGCAAATATACACAAACAATAATAATCCTGCTTTGAAATTACATAAAAACGAGTAGCAAAAATCCTATCCCAAAGCATATTAAAATTGCAACACTAACTGCACTTAAATAGTCTTTGTCAGAGCTATCTGATTGAGAATTATCTTTATTAGAAGGAGGTGGCCCTCTGGGCTCAAATTCATTAGGATCACTTCTTCTTTGATTTAGCATTTCAGATGCAAATTCTACTACCCATCCATTTTTATCAGTTCACGGATCAGAATATTCTTCATAAACATCCAAGGCAATTTTACAATTTTCATTATTTTCAATGCTTTCCATAGGTCTACACTCAAATAAATAATACAAAAAAATGCATGTTGCTACTTGAGGGTTTTTACCTTTAGAATTAGGGCTTGACGAGTCATTTTCCAAAGAAAAGCAAAGATCTAGTGAAAAATCATTTTTTATGTCAGAAGTTTCAGCACGTGCAGCAGCTAATCAGAGGCTAAAAATTTGAATAATCATACTTATTATATTAATGTATTTTCTCAAGTATTTAATCAAAACTGATCCGTTTTCAACCTTCCTAATCCATTTTGAAAAAAAATTGTTAAGTATATAAATAGCTTAAATCAGCTTAATCAATATTTTTTGCCTTATTATGATATTACTGTGTAAATATTCAAAATTTCTTCTTAAAAACTCATGGAAAATAAAGGAAATAATGACTTATTTTTTACCATAAATAATTTTTTTGAGAAATTATATTTGTAAAGATTTGAAATTTGATGCTAAATTTATAGTATCCAAGGTACTAAAAATAGTGGCCAAGGAATTTTGCTGAAGGGTAATAACATTAAGTTGATAATTATTGGATCTTATGCTATTAAATTTCACTACTTTACACAGCTCTTTTTTTTGCAATTTTTTCACATATGCTATTCTAGCTTTGCAAAAAAACTACTAGTAAATAAATGCTGTGAGCAAAAGGCTCTACAGATTATAAAATGCTTTGTGTCTTATATCTAATAAAAATATGGAATTTTCCAGTGAAACACAATGAGATTCAAATAATTTTATATAAATTTAAACCTTAAATTATACTATATTTCCAAATAATTCTAAATTTTAATTTTCTCATTAAATGTCTCAAAATTAATATAATATGCTAAAAAGAAGAGCAAAGAAAAACTCAACTTTAAGAGCTTCAGAAGAGATTTATCTTCCAAATCTCCATCGCTCACAATTAAGGCAAAGCTTGGAGCCTATAAGGGGACGCTCCGAATTGCAAACTTATGACATTTCAGATGTAATTAAAAGCACAACTCAAAGTATTCCTATACGGTTACCGTCAAGAAATGATTTTAGACGAACTTCGATGCCCACCAAAAGAGAGGTGCTAACTTATGATAATGTAATAATCCCTATTAGCATGAGGAAAAAAGTCTTAAAGAAGCAGCTTCCACCACTAAGTGAAAGCATTTCTGATGGTTCAGATATAGCTTCTATAAGCCCACAAAAGCTGACAAATCAAACAACAACTGAAATAGTCTACAGTGCTTCTAACCAAATAAAAAAGTCAATAAATCGAATTAAAAAACTAATAAAGAAAAACCAAACTGAAACTTAAAATGGTATATGACGAACATGTGCATATTCCAAACATTTTTTACCTTATTTAAGTAAAGTAGTTATAATAATGATTAGAAAAGAAATAAGCTATGGAATAGTCCCTTTGAGAATTATGAATGGGCAAAAAGAAATTCTTCTAGCTAAGACGTGGAGACATAGCTATTTTTGCATCCCCAAAGGGCATATGGAAAGAAGTGATAGAGCTCCTATTGAAGCTGCAATGAGAGAATTAATGGAAGAAACTGGGCATTATCCTACTATGTTCTGGAGTGATAAAGGATGGACTGCTGACTATATGAATGCTAGCCCGATTGAACCTGTAGAATATCATTTTCGGACAAGAATGGGTAGAAGCGTTGAGAAATCAGTGGTTTTGTTTATAGCTGAAGTTGCGAAGCAAACAGAAATCCAGGATAAAGAAGATATTGAGCTTATTCAATGGTTTCCAATCAATGAAGACACAATCAATTTATTGCATTTTAGGGAAAATATCGAGCATTTTTTGCAGTATATTTTACCCAAAATAAACCCTAATTTTTAATAATAAATTTCTTATAAAGCGTTTTTCATGTAATTTATCTTATTGTGTTTTTATTGCATAATACAAAGAATTTCAACAAATCTTTAATGATAAATTCTTATATATAAAATAATAGTTTATAGTCATAAATTTAGATGTGATCAATCTCCATTGCATCATCTCCTACTGCATATAAAATTTTTTGTATTGATAATATAACTGGATTTTCTTGGTCTTCATATTTCTGCACAAGATTTTCAATATCTCTGAGCTTACCGAAATAATAGTCCCTTTCTTTTTCTAAAGTGTGTATCGTCATTTTCATTTCATCTGTATCTATTTTTGCCTTAACCGGCTCAATAGGTGAAGCTGGTATATTGTGCTCCCCTAAGATTTTTTTTACTGGCCGCTTTATGTCTGGAGTGCTTTGCCTGGAAACCGGTCTTCTCCTGGGAGCTGGTTCATAGCTAGATCCATTATAATGCAAATCAAAAAATTTTTTAATTCATTGCAGCATTTCAAGGTTGTCTTGAAACTTTCCTTTTATAAGTTTTTCTACTTCAATATATTTTTGTATATACTATCTATATTAAAATTAAGCCACAATATCGCCAAATAAATAATTTAATTCTATTAGAAATTATTTTTTTTAAGCCGCAGGACTATTGCAAATTATTGCTTTATATGATATATATCATATTTCTTTGAGCCAATCAAAACTACCTATAATCACCATATATAAATAATAAAGAGAAAAATAATTTGTCGCGATATATTGCACTTAACAAAAGCTTGCTGCAAAACTTTGAAATTATTAATATACTCATACTCGTGCTTAGCTTGCCAATTAACTTTATGCATTTGGACTTGTCCTGGATAAATCGCTTCGATAATTTGGCAATATGCAGCGCCCGATGCAAGATGCTCCACTTTTGCAATATTCAGTTTGAGAAAATTATTCAGCCAATGAAGAAGGTCGTTTTTGGAGAGCATTGATGAGATCTCTGTTGTGACTAGTGAGTCAGTTGAAGACATTTTTAAATTAGCGGGTTTAACGAAATGAGATAGAAAAACAAGATTAGGACTAGGATTAAAGATTAGGGCCTCCTTGTTTAACGTCACATCCAAGTAAAGACATCGAGAAAGCTTAATCAGCTGCGGTTCAACTGGGTTTTCAGCATTTCCATCAAAGATAGCTCTGCTGCGGTTTTCGGCTTAGCCCTAATACTGCCTTGGAACCTTGGAGTACACACAATTTAAGGATTGATGGCTGCTGGTATAATTAAAATATGGAGTCTCAGCTCGGGCATAGTCTCCAGGCCATGCAGCTTCGAGCAAATATTTTTAATTATACCTGCAAGGTTTGACCAGCCCAGAAATAGACATCTATGCTAGTTAGTCAACCCAAATTTGCTTAAGGCCCTAGCCTTAGTCCGCTTTCAGGAGCAGGTTTTTTACCTCAAGGGAAAGGAGGACTTGGAGATGGAAAGTGCCTATCGCACCTCCTAGCGTGAAACAAGGAGTTACGTCCTGTGCTATAAGTTTGCCTTTTTGCCAAGAGTAGGCTAGAAATTCCATTTTTAGAATTTCCAAGTAGGCAACCCTCGTTCGGCGTACGGCACGGTGATCCATCTCACTCTACTCTCCGTTTGACGTGAGCCTCAGGCGGAGAGGAGTTAAATTGCATCGGCACCATCTATATCTTCATCGTCGGCACTAGTAGCCTCCAAGGGCGAAAAGCCTTTTTTCCCAGAATGTCTATCGGAAGACTCTAAAAACCTTTGCCAAAAGAGGGAGGCTAAACCCAACTGGCACACAAAAATGTCTAATACCATTAGACTCCCGTTTCCTACTCGGTTTGGCTTCGAATTTACCAAGGTCGCCAAACTCTGAGCAAATCCAGAGGATAACAAGCCAGTGATGTCGCCATTTTATTTGAGTATAGAAAAACAAGATATTTCAAAGATTTTTAGCTATATGCGAAATATGATTCGAAATAGTTGATTTAATTGGTTAAATTTAAAATAAGTATCTAATTAAACATTACTTATTGGAAATATATTAATAATTTTTTCTTTAAATAACGCGCCAAAAAAACACATTTCATATAATGCATTACTCTGTCTGAAAGGAGCCTTTAAGATTTTTAGCACAAACTATAATAAGTTTCATAAAATTTCATAATAAAAATATATCGTTTTTAAACCTTACTCCACCTCAGTGAGCGAACAAAAATATTTGTTCACTCAAATAAGGGGATTAATTTTTTTAAAAAAAAATTTATATATTTAAAGATTTTATTTTCAAAATTTAAAAAATTCCATTTGTAAAAACTGAGAAGTAAAAATTAAAATTTATGTTTTAAATTAAACAAATTAGCTAGAGATTTTATTATACTAATTATCACGTATATATCAAAATATTTTTTCATAGATTAAAAAAATTTTGTTCACTCATGGAGGGTGGGTTTTTGCCAAAAAAATTAGGAATTTTTCTAATGATTTTATTCGTTCATAAGGGGAGTTAGTATTCAATATAAAAGTCTGTCAAAACTATCTGAAAAACCTACCATTATCTCAAATAAAATGTCTAATTTTAACTTCAGATAAATTTGTATGTATATTCATCTATATATAATAATAATAATTGTTTAAATAATGAACAAAATTGTGCCTGATGATGGAAGTTACAGAGAATTTCAGCAGGGGATCAGGAAAAAGGTTGAGGACATAATAGACGGCAAAGTTGTCACAATTTGCATGGCTTGTGTTACTATATGAGTCCTGTTTGGTGACGATATTCGTACACTGAGTGCAGAAAATAAGGACAATGACTATATTTTTTTTATTACCTACGAAATTTGTTTATCCTTATTTCTTATTGAAATCTTTATGAACAGCATTTTCATCCCAGGCTATAAGTTTTCATTTTTCTTCTGACTGGATGTTGTCGCGACTATTTCATTGTTGCCAGACATTCCAGGAATTAGAGACCCATTTTTAGCATTATTCAACTATAAACTTTATGATTCTGATGCGCATTTTGATACAAGCCCTGTAAGAAACACAACAAAGCTTGATTATACGAGCCGTGGAATTCAGACAATTAGGTATATAAGGTTGGTGAGAATTGTAAAACTTTATAAATATTTTACTAAATCAACAGAAAATGAGGAAGAAGAAAATGAGTCACAAATAGACAAAATGGACCCAGAATACCTTGGAAAGAACTTATCTGATGTCACTACAAGGAGAGTTATTATAGGAGTTTTATTAATGCTTTTATTATTGCCTTTATTGCAGCCTGGAACTGTTGATAACGCTCCATATTTTGGTTTACAAACACTGTTTTGGACAGGAAGAAGCGGATGCAATGATCCAACAGGTTTTGGCTGCGGTATAACTACCTCAAATTATGTCTCCAATGAAGGCTGATACTATATGATAGACTGATATGCAAATGCCAGCTATCCTTTATTGTGACTATATATCCCTGATATGCTGAATGGTGGAGTAATAGGAAATGTAAGCAGAGGACTCACCTGGACCGAAGTATCAGATTGTGCAGGGAAAAAAGTCCCTTCTGCTTGCGATAAAAGGGATGAAGAAATGGAATTAGTTACCTATACTCCTATAGAATGCTATAATAAATCAGTCAAAGGCTGCGAAGAAATTGAAGCTTTTGCAAGATTTGATGTTGGGGAGCACTCGAGATCCCAATCACGAGGAAATATAGTTATCACTGTTTTTGTGGGGATAATTTTGGCAACAGCAAGTGTAGCATTCGCGTATGATACTCAAAAAATCGTAATTAAGCCAGTTACAAGGATGCATAGTGTTATTAAAAGTCTTGCAGAAGATCCTTTAAAAATGGCAGAAGAAGTCACCCAAATAGACATAAAAGAATCCATTCTGGAAGAAACTATTAATAAAATTGGAACCCTGCTTCAGATGAGTTTCGGATTAAAAGGGTCAGAAATCATGAGCTCACTGTTTTCTGAGCCTGAAATGAATTTAATAAAGCTTGGAAGCAAAGAAAGGTCAGTAATTGCACTATGTACGGTCCAAGATTTCCCATCAATCATTGACTGTCTACAAGAAGAAGTCTTGGTTTTTATCAATAAAATTGCAAGAATTGTCCATACCTGCACAACAAGATGGAGTGGGACCGCCTGCAATAATGACTTAGGCATATTTACTATAACCTGGCCAGAAACCAAAGCATCAGACGCACTTGTTTCTTTGATTAAAATATCTGCTGAACTCCATAGGGCAACCGATATTATGGCATATAAATCTAACCCAAAAATTGTCACGAAATTTGGAGATAATTATTTGGTAGATATTGCTATGGCTGCACATATTGGCTGGATTATTCAAGGACCTCTAGGGTCAAATATTAAGGTAGCTCCTGGCTACATAAGTCCTTCTATAGACTTGTGCAAAAAATTGATTATGGCAGTAGAAGAATTCAAAGTTCCATTACTTTTAACTGGGGAGTTTTATTCGAGTTTAGAAGAAAAAGGGCAAAATGCGTGCAGAAGAATCGGAAATGTGATGATTCAGGAGCTAGAAGCATTTATGGGCTTATATACTTTTGATTTAACTGATGAAGTCCCACTCCCAGACCATCGTAGAGTTGCAGAAGGGCAGTTTGATATCGACAAAAGAAAGCCAGGCGACCCAATTATCCTTACTCCCCCCCCCTCCGTGAGTGAACAAAACCATTAGAAAATCCCCTATTTTTTGCCCAAAAACCCACCCTCCGTGAGTGAACAAAAATTTTTTTAATAGAAAAATTTTTTATATGGAAAAAAAATTTAATATATAAATGATAATTAGTATAATGAAATCTAGAGCTAATTCTGTTTAATTTTTTAACGAATTGCTTTTTAAAATATAAATTTTATAAATTAAAATTAATATTTGCTTTTCCAATTTTTTGCGAATTAGGATTTTTTTTTTATTTTCAAAAAAATATTTTTTATAAAATTTATATATATAAATTTTTTTAAAAAAAAAAAATTAACCCCCCTCCGTGATTGAACAAAATTTTTTTGTTCACTCACGGAGGGGGGAGGAGTTAATGAAATTGATATTGAAGACTTGGAGTTTACGCCTGAACATCTGTTTCTCTTTGATAACGACATAGTCATGATGCAGAGAAGTGTTCCTACGCAATTCCAAGGAGTTTTTGCGAAGGGTCTTGAAGCTTTTGAAGCTGGAAACTGGGCAGATGCTAAACAAATACTAGATGAAGCCTTGAAAATAAAAGTAGCTGATGGGCCATGCATTTCGATGCAGGAATTCATGGAGGCTTGCGGAATGAAACCTCCTGAAGGCTGGAGTGGAAGTCGGAATTTATAATAAAATCAGTTTAATTTATAAAAATTATTCACGCTAAAACGGAATTATAAATATAACAATCTTTTCTGTTCATTCAAAAAACCATTCAGGAATACATATTAATCGTTCTGGGCTCTATACTATGGTGATTTTTATTTGACAGATATTAATTTTTTTAAAATTATTATAGTGCTAAACTAAACATAAATTATTTTTAGTTAGAAATAAATTAGTCATTCTCTCTCACTACAATATTTTATTTATTAAATCTTTTGCATTCAAAATTTTTCTCACATATGAAATAAGAGGCGATAGAAATTAAAAAATTTGTCTCATCAAACTCCTTCTCTCAAAACTAGTAAATTAATTATTATTTTTTCATTTAGAAATAAGATTAATTACTTCTGAATAGTCTGGACAAGCCACTCCATGCCTTCTTGAAGACCTTCTCCCGTTCTTGCTGAACTTGCCATGATGCACCATTGTCTATCTCTTATTAAATGTAAATTCAAAGCATCAGAAATTTCATCAGCTGGGAGCGCTTGAAGCAGATCTTGTTTGTTTGCGAAGACCAGCGCAGGAGTTCCTGCAAGTTTATCATCTTCTAATAATGATTGCAATTCCTGCCCAGCTTCTTGCAAACGGTTTCTATCAGCGCTATCAATAACAAACACAAGCCCGTCTGTGTGATCAAAGTAGTTCCTCCAGTAAGGCCTGATGGTTTCTTGGCCGCCAATATCCCAGACATTCAGCTTGAATCCTTCATGGACTAAGGATTTTATATTAAATCCTTGAGTTGGGATAATGTGGTTTATATCTTCTTCAGAAAGGGCTCGCAGGATGGTAGTTTTTCCGGCGTTGTCAAGCCCAAGCACCAGAATTCGTGCTTCACGGTCATTTTGTTTCAAGCTGCGAAGAAGAGAAAGCAAACCCATTATTTAGATTATTATCATAAAGAAATATGGGACCCTAAAAGATTAGGAAGAGAAAGCAATTTCAGGTAGATAAAATTCTATAATTATTGATAATATTTTTATATATTCCATTGTATAAATTATGGATTGGGCAAGGCATAATAGTAGAAATTAAAGATAGGAAAATAATTCTAGAAATAAAAATTCATGGAGATAAGGGGTATTAATGATTTTAGGCTACCTGGAGAGGAAAATAAAAGGTTTTTATATGATTTTTATACTAAAATTATTAAATAAATATATATAATGTCATATATGCTGAGAAGGACTGATGAAAATTTATGTTTAAAATGTGGAAAACTTAAGCCCAGGTCAAGTAATCACTATTGTCAGCTTGAAACGAACCCTAAAATAGGTCCCTGTAAATCCGGAGTTTTTCAAAATCACAATGTTATAGGTTTCATTAACCGTCTAGGAGAAATGAATTGTTTTTTAAATTCTGCACTCCAAGCTTTATGGCATATGGAAGCTTTTCGCAACGCTATAAGCTTTAGCACCCCAAAATGCAGGAGTCAAAATAGCACTCATTATTGTTTATCCTGTGGAATAAAGCAGATCTTTGAACAAGTTTCTTATAATTTATCAAAAAACATAGATGGAGTAATAGACATCAGCAAGCTTAGGACTGAGCTCGCTAAAGTGTATGAGCAGACTGGAGAATTTGAAAAAGAGTCCTCAGCTGATTGTATGGAAGCCCTCATTGCAATCCTAAAAGCAATTCATTCAGTTCATCTAATGGACCCAACTCAAGGTATTGATAATAGCTTTTCAAATATAAAATGTGAAGAAAAGTGTGTAGCCCATGAAGTTTTAGAACTTGGAGTTCATGAAGTTTTGAATTGTGATTGTGGGGCTGTTTCTGAAAATGACTGGGATTATTGCACTTTTGCTCACCCTTTTTATGTTAATGATATATTTGAAGAAGCCAGAAAAACTCATCCAGAGCTTAGGCCTTTAGATAATGTAAAATTTGTAGATGATTATTTGGAACTGTCAAGTATTTTGCCTATTGAAGGTAAACTTCCTGAATTTATCAAAGCACAATGGAGAGATGCGGAGCTAGATATGTGCCCTAAGGTTGATGAGTGCCCTGTTCATAAAAGCAAAAGGACTCTGAAACTTGCAACAACTCCTAAGGTTTTTATAATTAATTTGATATGGAATGAAATGCACCCAGGATACTTCCTCCCCTTTCTGTGACCGAATAAAAAATTTGGTTCTCTTGAGAATGAGTTAATTTTTTTAAAATTAATATATAAATTAATGTAATTTTTTTTTTCAAATACTAATTCAAAATAATTGAAAGCAAATATTAATTTAATTTGTAAAATTTATCTTTTAAAATGCAAGCTCTTTAAAAACAAACAGAGTGGCTAGAAATTTCATTATAATAATTATCACTTATATATATATTTTTTCATAAAATATTTTTTTGTTCGCTCAGGGAGGGTAGGTTTTTACCCAAAAATAGGGTTTCTCCAATATTTTTGTTTGATTATGAGGGGTGTAAGTTAGATATTTTACAAATGCTCTCAACAATGCCATATACATTATCGCTAGACAGAATTTATGAAGACTCCCCAAGCAATTCATATATAATAAGAGGAATGATTTTATTTGGCCCAGGCCATTATGTATTTTGTGTTAAAGGTAAAAATGACAGACTATGGTATAAGATTGATGATGAAAAAATTGGTGTAATTGGCAATGGGAAATGGGATGAATCAATTGAATATATTGTCAGAAATAGGTACTACCCTGTTGGACTCTTTTATGAAGAATCTAAAGAAGCTGAAGGCATGGATATATCTTTAGAAGGATGGCTTAAACTTGAAAGGACAGTTATAAGATATGAAATAAAGAAAAGGCTACAAGATAAGCTCGATAGAGAAGAAGAGGAAGAAAAATTTAAAGTATTCTATAGCAGAGAGTCTATAGAGCCAGCTAAAAAATTAAGAGCAGAGAAAATTGAAGATAGCAAAGTCCCTATCAATGAAATTACAGTAAAACCAAATGAAAATAATAAAAAGCAGGAGACGACAGTCCTAGCAGGTAGGCAAGAAGAACAAATTCAAGAAGCTCAATCAGAGCCTATAAAAATACAGTGGGCCTGTGACTGTGGCTTTAAAAACGAAATGGAGTGGGATGTATGTGGGTCATGCCACACTATAAAGCCTGGAGAGTCAGGCTGGGTTTGTAAAAGCTGCACTTTTAAAAATGACAATAAAAATGATGCTTGTGAGATATGCAACAAAATTAATGAAGAAAAAACAAAATATTGAAGATGCTTAAAATGCAGCAGGCTAAACAAGCCAAATGATACATTTTGTAGTTCTTGCTTTACCTCCAAGCCAAGAACAAGAGAAATTGTCCCTGAAACGCAAGAAATAGAGAAGCCTAAATGAAAATGTCCCAAATGCAGCCATATGAATACTATGGAAAGGACTATGTGTTATAAATGCTATGAAATAAAATCACTATTAGAAGAGAAAGAAATGGAGAAACCTAAATGAAAATGTCTAGCATGCGGCTGCATGAATCCAAAGGATAAGACAGTGTGCGCTAATTGCTATACTCCTACATCTCTATTAGAAGCTAAAGAAAATGAGAAGTCTAAATGAAAATGTCTTCAATGTAATTATATGAATGCAATGGAAAGAAAGCAATGCAATAAATGCGATGCTGCAAAATCGCTATCAGAAAATACAAAAACTGAGGAAAGTGTTTCTGAAGAGGCTAGTAAATCAGCAGGCTGGATTTGTAAATGCTGTGGTTATCAAAATACAATTGGACGAGCTTGCTGCTATAGTTGCTTTAGAAATGCTCCAAAAGAGCAAATAGAAATTCCCTCTGTTCAAAATATTCCTAGCAGAGAAGATACTAAATGAGTGTGCTCAAAATGTTCATATCCTAATCTTCTTGAAAGGAAAAGCTGCCTCAAATGCGGCACAGAAAAAGATCCCATAGAAGCAGCTGGAAAAAAATCTCAAATCATCACTATGATCCCATATGCTGAAAAGCCAAAAATTCCTACCTGGCAATGCAAGAGATGCAATTTCCCAAACGTAGAAAGCGATATCTTATGCTACCATTGCAGAGAGCCAAAAACCACCAGCCTAGACACTAAATATCAGACATTTCCATCATGGTCACCAAAGCCAGAAAACGAGTGAATTTGTCAAAAATGCTATCAGCCTAATCTTCTGACTGCAGTTTACTGCACCAGATGCCAAAATATTAATGGTTATTATAGATCAATAAAAAAGCAGCCTTCGCCAGTTAGAATGTCCACAAGTGCATGGAAATGCAGCGGCTGCGGTACTATTAACTCTTCATCAGAATATTGTCGCTTATGCAACAAATTCAAATTTGGATCTATGTGCAAAAAATGCAAAAAGCCAATAGAAAAAGGCGAAATTTGCATAAAATGTTTGTCTGATAAATGCTCTCTTTGTGCCAAAACTATAGGGTTTTATGATGAAAAATTTTGTAAAAAATGTGGGAGGCTATCTGGGACTTATTTTTGTCTTATCTGCAGCTATCATATGGACAAAAACTGCTTAATCTGCACTGAATGTGGCAATCAATTTTGAAAATGTAAAACATGCAATAATTTAAATAAGCCAGATGAAGTTTCCTGTGATGGATGTAGCAGAAGCAAACTGTCAAGACCGTCTAGTACTACGTTAAAAGCGCCAAAAGAGCCAGTAGCAAGGAAAACTAATGAAAGCCCTAAGCCTCAAATAGGAAAACAAGGGAAAAAGACACAAAAATGTCATATATGCAGAAAAGATTTAGCTATGTTTGAAAACAGAAATTGCTCATTATGTGGGAAAAGAACTTCTGATGGAAATTGCGCTAAATGTGAAATATCAGCTTCTCCTTTAAGATATATATGCTCTGTTTGTATGAAAGCTTATTGGATTTGTCGCTGTGGAAAAAATAACCCAAAAGCATCCCATTGCTGCGATAAGTGTGGCTATCGCAAAATTTAATGACAAGTATCTTCAATAATTATAAAAAAAACCAAAAAGTTTTATTTAATTAGCCCAAGGGTGTTAAAAACTTTGTTAAATTCTTCAAAAGCTCCTAATAATTCGGATTTTTGTGTCTGAGCTATTTCGAATTTTTTTCTTAAATTGTTAATTTCTTGTGCCAAAATTTTTCGATTTTTTTGATAATTTTCTACTTCTTCGTTTAATTTTGCTTCAATTATTTCTTTTTCTTTAGAAATCAAGGTAAGCTGATTGCTCATTTTTGCTAATTCAGACACTCTGTATGAGTTATTCATATCAAGATCATGGACTCTCATTATAAGATATTCTTTTATTTCTCTTTCTTTTAATAGCTGAGTCTCAATTGCTAATTTTTCTTGATCATGGCTATTTAGCTTTTCCTTACTCCTCTTTGTAGGGAGAAAAACCATTGAAAAGTAAATTTTTGAAATAAAATTAGTATATAATTATATATAGGGCTACTCAGGGTAAAACCCTATATAATTAATATCATAATAATGAAATCTTAAGCTCGCTATATTAAATTTATGACAACTTGCATTCTAAAGCATATATATTGCAGTTTTAATTGTAATTTTTATTTCAAATCCTAACAAATTTCGATTTTTAAAAACCGAAAAAATATTTTTAGCATGTTCTTATAATAAACTAGCGTTCATCGGTTAGCTCTTAATAACCAATGGGGATAATTAGCTTTTTTTACTTTTTCTACCAAAAAATCTTTTAACCTATTTAGTTCCTATATTATCCTTACCTGTGAGTCTATCATTATCATAGCTCCATCATAAAGCAGTCCAGCAAAAGTATTTTGTATAAACGTTGTCCAGTCAGCAGTTTTCGAAGGATTTGCGCTGAATCAAGCAGTGGTTCTATGCAATAAATCAATTACTCTATCTACTTGAAATTTAGAAACAATCAATTCAGCTATGCTGTTAAATTTTTCCTGAGGAGCTTGGGCCGATGTAGCAATTTCTATTGATTTTTGCAAGCCCAGCAAAGTTTTAGCTGCATTAATTAGCCTTGGTTCAAGAGTTTTTCCTATAGGGTATTGTTGAATTACATATCTGCTTTATAGTTACTTTTCAAATAAGCGGGATAATTCTTGGTGCTCTTCTTGGGTTATAGGTGGCGGAGGAAGCTGATCAGTTATTATTGGGGTTGCGAAATCTATTTGCTTTTTGATATCGTCGGTAAGGAATTTCCAGATATCTAGACTGCAACATAGTTTTTGAGCGAATTCTGGAGAAATAAATAAAACTGATAGGATATCTTGGGCATTTAAAAATTTCATTGTAGATAGTCAAATATCAAGATCGAAAATAACTTTTAATCCTTTATTTGCTACTTTTGACTTTTTATTAGAGTGAATTAAATCCTCGGAATTTTGCAACGCATTTGATATATAGTTATTGTCTTCTTTTTTTAGCTAAATTGCTTATACCTGCTCAAGCTCTTCGATTTTTTGCTGAAGTGAATTAATGATGATTTCTTGATTTTTCATGTTATCAATGATGTCTTGTGGAACCCTGGGCTTAGCAATTTGTTCTTCAAGCTGCTTTATATAAGAATTTTTTTCTTCAATTTCCACTCTATAAAACTCAATTTGGGTTTTTAAGCTCTGAACTTCTTGTAGTGCTTCAATAGCAATAGGGATGATATCAATATCCATTTTGTAATAACCCCAAAAATATTATAAATAGTTTAATTTATTTTCCAATTTTTATCCTCAAATAGATTATATTTATTTTGCAACTATCCACCTAAAAATATGGAAAACACGCAAAGCATTTTTCCAGAATTCAAAGGATTCATATCAGGAATATTCGGAGGCTTGCTTTGTGTAGTTGTAGGACAGCCATTTGATATAGTAAAAGTGAGGTTACAAAACTACGGCGGATCTGCATTGGGCACATTTATCGACATAGGGAAAAAGGAAGGGATTCGAGCTTTTTGAAAAGGAAGTTTGCCACCTCTAATAGGGGTTGGCTTTGAATATTCAATTGTCTTTGGGGTTGTAGAAAACTGTAAAAGGTGGGTAAGTCGGTATAATCAGCCTGGAGAAGTCTTGAGCATTCCTCAGCATGCTTTCTGTGGAGCTTGGTCAGGCGCTGTGAGTGCTATAGCTTCGACGCCTGCAGAACATTTAAGAATTCGTATGCAGATCCAGGGGAAAATAAATACATATGGAGATCCAATTTATAAAAGCTCAATTGACTGTACTAGCTGGATTTATAAAACCCATGGAATCAAAGGAATTTTTAAAGCATTTTACCCCACACTTGTCAGAGACACAATAGGAATGACAACATATTTTATTATTTATCAAGGAATGGCTCGAAAAGTTTTTGGCGATGACCACACAAATGCTGAGGATCTGGATCTAATCCGAGCAGGGATCTGTGGTGGAACTGCTGGGTTTGCGTTCTGGATCCCCATTTATCCATTGGATTCTATTAAATCAAGACTCCAGTGTGATTCTTTTACAAATCCTGTGTATAAGTCAACATACGACTGTTTTATAAAATCTATAAGAAATGAAGGCATCAGCTGCCTTTTTAAAGGACTTTCTCCATGCCTTCTAAGAGCTTTTCCAGTCAATGCAGCTGTTATTTTAGGTTTTGAAGCTAGCATGTCGCTGTTTGGGAGAGATTATCGATAATAAAATAGATTTTAAATAAATACTGAAGTTTTCTATAGTAAATGGAAGAATTTCTTGAACACTTTAAGTGCTTTATTTGTAGAGAAATTTGTAAGAATGCAGTGGAGTCTATTTGCTGCTATGAAATTTTTTGCAGGAAATGTGTAGATAAGCTGACAGACTGTCCAAAATGCAGATCTCCGCAACCAAATTTTAGGCCATCAGTTGTATTAAGACGTTTAATCGGAGTTTTTTATACTTCGTCAGGCATTTTTCTTAAAGTGTTATATTTGCATGCCAAATATGGTGACTAAAGCTCTGCCTTTTTTGCAGTTTTGTCATGTAAAACTGTTTTTAATATCTTAACATTGGAAAAAAATTATTAATGGCCTCTACCTTGCGATTGCAGCTTTTGCGAATTTCATACATCATATAAAGAATTGGAAAACCACTTGAAAGAATGCATAAAGGCTCCAGCACCTTGCAACTACTGTGATAATCAAATCCCGAGAGAAGCTTTAATAGAGCATTATGCAAGTTCACACCCAGATCAGCTGATTGAAGAATTTGATGAAAACTCTGTAAAAAAGATTCAGATAGATGAGAAAAGAATTGAAGATAAAGTCAATACATATGGAAGATTAGCAAAAATAGGAAGATCTGGGAAGTTTTACTGTGGTGGACAATTAGAGGGGAAGTGTGCTTGCTGTAAAGGAATTTGCGGTCCTATGACTGGTTGTAATTGTGTGGCATGTATGCAATTGGATATTGCAGCCAGGAGGTTGCCGAAAGGATTTTTGGTTAATTCAAATGGGATGAATGCGAAAGTGCTCAATAACGGCCGAATATATTGTGGCACTATGTTTTCGGCTAGAGTACCGTTTTCTGATGGATACTGCGGCCCTTCAAATGGGCCCAATTGTAAATGATGCAAAGCTCTTGAGGCCATAAAGAATGAAAGATATAGGTTGATTACTGCACAGTGGGATTAGGCATTATTTGAAAATAATAATTAATTCAATTTTATCAAAAATTGATCTTTATAGCTCACATTTGATAGTTTGTGACTATAGATATTGTGCAAGTCTGAACTATTTATTAATAAATTCAACATTAATTGTAAAAACAACTATTTATCTTACATTATCTGAGACTATATCCATACAATTATGGACTTATAAACGAATAACATTTCCGATCATAAATATAATCATAGCTCAAATCTTGGCATTCCAACGATGTTGAGCTCCTACTACTAGACGAATGAGTCTGATTTTGCCAATTGCTTCCTAAAGAAGCATTACAGCTCTCATCTATTTTATAAGGTTTAACTTTGTTCTCAGTGGCTTCAACTGGAGTTTTTCAGAATGTTTTAGTTTCACTCGCTCTTATAGCAGATTTCTTGAAATTAGAATATTTATGGTGAACTGAAGAATTTCTTCGATTAGGAAAGGCATTTATACGTTGCTTTTGGCGGGATTTGGGTATTGATGTTTCAGTGTGGCTTTTATAAGAAGAGATAGAAGGAAGTTTTTGAGGATTTGATGAAGAATTTCTTCTGAGGTTTTTCGATGATTTCAAAAAGTTTGAAGCTGATTTTTTTAATATAGATGAGGACTTGGTGTTTTCTAATGAAAAACGCCTTGGCTGTATTTGCTTTTCAAGTTCTTCTGTCAAATTTAAATGTGTGATTTTTTTCTCTTGTAGAGCTATAACTTTTGTTGATCCTTTTTCGTCTTTTAATTTTGATTCTAAGAATTTTTGGTGAAATAATTCAAGGACCTTGCTATATCCATTTCCTTGAAATTTTTTAAGCGAATGCTTTTCCTTCCCTTTTCCAAATATCATTATAAAGTTAGAATTTAAATCTTTAGTGTATATAGAAATGGCATAGTAATAAAATAAGTATATATGAAGCCAACAAATTCAGTACGAATAATGCAGATTATGATACTCGATATCCCAGATTCAATTGCACTCGAAGACATTGAGCTTCATTTTAATACTCTCTCAGAAAGTCTAGGCATCCCAAAGCCTGCCTCTATTAATCTCGTCAAAGCGATTAAAATCGCTTACGTAATCTTCCCAACCATAAATTCAGCTTCTGAAGTATTTAATGCTCTCAACGAAAATGTGTCTATTTGCGGATTTTCTTTACAATTCGATTATGCACCTACAAATTCAGAGAACAGCCAACAAAAATTTCTATCGAGAACTGAATGGTATTGTCCCAAAGTACATCTTAATACAGTGTGATGCTTATAATTTTGCTAATAGAAGTAAATGCTATAAATGCAAATTCCCAAGACATAGTCTTAGGGATCCTGATCACTCAGAACTGCCTGCGAAAGAAGAAGAAAATATAAACGCAACAATAATGGCTAAAGGCTCAATAGTCTCTGTATGTGATGAAGAAACAGTGATTTTCAGGTAGATTTTTAATACTTTTGCAAAATTTGGCAAAGTCAAAGATGTCAGAAAAATCCGTGACAGGCTTAGTGGTGATTTTAGGGATATTGCATTTATAGAATTTTATTCCATAAATGATGCAGACATGACATTGGAAATTAGTGGGAATTCCCCTATAACTATTGAAGGCTGTCCAATTACAATATCTAAAAGCAGAAAAAGGAAGACAGAAACATTCAGCCAATTTCCTTCAAACCCAGACTATGGATACGGAATTCCTATATTTCATACCCCAACCCAAATTATTGTCCCACAAGCCTTAAAAACCTTGTCTGGATACGAATACAAAATTCCTTCCCATTACGCATTTGACGAATCATGCCAGCTTTACTATGACACACATACCAAATACTACTGGGATCCAAAAACAAATAAATTTATGAAGTAAATATCAATACAGGGATGGGAATAAGTTTATTTTTGACGAAAATTCTCAAGTTTTTATACCATTTATAGAGCCTCAAGAGAAAAAAGTGAAAGAAAAACATATAAAAGGTATGATTTATCTGTCGGTAAACAAGAAATTGAAGAGGAGATAAGGAGGTGGCAAAAACAACAGGAAGAAAAAACGAAAATAGAGAATGAGCTTGAGAAAAAATGGGAAAAAATACTTCAAGGTAACGTTGCAGTCTGTTTTTTGTGTAAGAAATGGTTTGATACTCCTAGGTTAGCACAGATTCATGCAGCTAAATCTCAAGAGCACAAAATGAATTCTCTTTTAAACAATTAGCTTAATTATATTGAGTATACTCCTAAAGCTTGATGAGGCATCTGTATTAAATATTGAAACCAGCAATTATATAAATAAAATCATATATGCCTTCTGATTTTTTTATTTTGTTGCTCATATATATCCCTGTAGCATTTTGCGGACAGTGCTACGCTGACGAATACAGAGCAAAGCCAAGCAAAGTATTGCCAGCCTTTTCAAGGAAATTTGATGATAATAGCAGAAGACTACTTGACAGAGAAGTGGACTTTGAGCCTATTCGAATATATGTTTACTATGGTGAGCTCAATACGACTTTAGAAGTCCAGAATTTCATTAAAAATTACGTAGTTGATGGGGCTATCAAGTGGTTCCGGAAAGTTCTGCTCATTAATCCTATAATTGGTCGACTTAGTTTTCCTGGGTTTTTAGGTAAAGACTGTGAAGGCTTCAAAATTCCGAGAGAGCATACAACGTTTGGAGTGAACGCTGATGTTATCATATATTTTACAGCTGGAAATAGTAATCGTGAGCTTGCAGGCTGAGCTATTACATGCCTTGCAGAAAAAGGAACTGGATATCCTTTAGCAGGGCGCTTGCACCTAGAAACTGGAGGATTGCAAAATGAAACTTTTGAGGATGCGCTTTCCACAGTGATACATGAAATGTCCCATATTTTGGCTTTTAGTACGAATTTAATGGATTTATGAGTTAAGCCAGATGGGTCAAAATATCAAAATGATGAAATTTTATTATGGGGCACTGAAAGAAACACAACAGTCGCAAAATTAAAGTCGCCTAATGTTTTAGCTAGAGGGAAAAGATACTATAACTGCTCAGAGTTAGACGGAATAGAACTTGAAGTGTCACCAACCAACGGAACATTAGGTTCTCATTGAGAAAAAAGGACACTTAACGACGATTATATGGTATCAGACTTTGACATCCACGATATCACCTACTCTGACATCTCATTAGCTGTATTTGAAGATTCAGGCTGGTATAAGGTAAATTACAGCATCTTAAACAAACCTCACTGAGGTGCTGGCAAAGGCTGCAGATTTCTTAAAGAAAAATGCATAATAAATGAACAGCCAAATTTTAACGAATTCTGCCAAAACACTACTTATACTCAATGCGATTACAGACATTTACGCAAAGGGACATGCAACTTAAAACAGTTCAGCAAAGTTATCCCACAAGCTTTTCAGTATTTTTCAGACCCTTATCTAGGAGGAGGGGATCAATATATTGACTATTGTCCAGTTATAAAGCCTGATAAAAAAGGAAACTGCAGAGAAATAGACCCTTATATAAAGTATCAAAATGAAACGTATGGGGAGACTATGTGTGAGAATTGCAGATGTTTGGAAGGAAATTATACGGCTCTGAATAAGACGATGATATGGCATGCGATGTGCCATAATGTGACTTGTACACAGAATGCCGCAATTATACATATTAAAAATTCTTCCGTCACTTGTAATTTTACTGGGGGACAGGTGAAGGTGCCAGGCTTTCAAGGATTTTTGCAGTGTCCATCGTCTAATATTCTGTGCAGAGATATGCCTTGTCCTGACAATTGTAGTGGAAGAGGAAAATGCATTCATGGAGTTTGCATGTGCGATAATGGGGATAGAGGTGGCTCATGTCCAGGAACTAGGAAATCTAACACATTTTACTTTAACACTACTAGTTCAAGCATCATCCCAATACTAAATTTTCTGCTATTTGTGTTTATTTTATAGCAGACTTGTCCACTATTATCTTTTAATTGTAAGTTTTTTCTAAAATTATAGATAATTTACATGAAATTAATGCATTAAAAAATTAAAATGAAGAGTGATGAGCAATGTATTCTGGATATTGCTTGCTTAAGAAGATCGTCCATTCCTTATATGTATCCTAGCCCAGCACCAAAAAGACCTAGAGCAGACTCAGAAAGTGTTTGTGGGTCTTCTAAAACTGATAAAAAAACAGCATATGAGCGAATCCGTATGAAGAGAAATTTATTACTCCATTCTTTGCCTCAATTCATGAAACATTCTGAAGATCAGGCAAAAAAAACCCAACGAAATCTTGGTATAGAGCAATATCTTCAGAATTTGCCAGCTCTTAATACTAAAAAATTTGGGTCAACTTTGACTGCCCCAATGATAATTTCGACTGAGCCGGGGTCTGCAAGTTCATTGGATAGAAATTCACTTTATGAAGAGTTATGCTTTTTAATCATGTCTTGCCAATAAAAAATGTATAGTTTAAAACTGGGCTGTTTATAGGAAAATACCATATCAGCAGAACCTCTCACTAGCCCTAAAGATCCTGTTTTTCATATAAAGCATATCACTTTGACACGTGAAGATTTACATTCGTTATGCAGCGGAAAAAATTTAACGAAAAATATAGTCAACTGCTACATGTGGGCTATGAAGCAAGAAAACAGAAATATGTTAATACTGAAGAACGACGCCAATAAAGTTGTATTAGGAAGCACTAAATTTGCGAAAAAAATCCTCTATCAAAAACCAAATGCAGATGAGTTCCATTCTTCTTGCAATTTATTTACTTATGAGTAATAGCTATTTAGCTTTTTGCTTTTACCTATTCATGAAGTCTACTGAGGACTATTAAAGGTAGATATGACTGAAAATATTGTGGAGCTTTGCACATCATATGATTTCAAAAAAGTTGAAGAGAAGCTAAATAAATTATTCGAGTTTCTTGGAAATGAGCTATTTCATTTTGAAAAGCGAGAAATCGTGCTTGATACTTGGAAATTTATTAGAAGCCAAAAATTTCCTTTACTCCCCCCCCCCCCCTCCGTGAGCGAACAAAAAAATTTTGTTCGCTCACGGAGGGGGGTTAATTTTTTTTTTTAAAAACAATTTATATATAAATTTTATAAAAAATATTTTTTTTCGAAATTTAAAAAAAATCCTAATTTGCAAAAATTTGGGAAGCAAATATTAATTTAATTTTGCAAAATTTATGTTTTAAACGCAATTTGTTTAAAATTAAACAGAATTAGCTCTAGATTTCATTATACTAATTATCACTTATATATCAAAATTTTTTTCCATTAAAATTTTTTTCTATTAAAAAAATTTTTGTTCACTCACGGAGGGTGGGTTTTTGGTCAAAAAATGGCGATTTTTCTAATGGTTTTGTTCGCTCACGGAGGGGGGGGGGGAGTTAGTTAATGCATTTGCAAAAGAAGATTCAGGAGTTTATATGCTTAAGCAGGCGAGAAATATAGCATTAAATGCTAATGAAGAATTGATCCCTACGAAGATGGAGGATTATAGGAGAGAAATATTTGACACCTTATCAAGTTATAAAAACCCTGAATTTATGGTATAATTTTATTTATTGAAGTAATTGTTTAGATATTGGTAAATCAATCTTATTTGAATATTTAGGTTATTTTCTCTCATTTATTCTTCTTTATTTAGCTTAAATAATTATCTTACTCCCCCTAACAAAAAAAATTTATTTGCTTACGGAGAGGGTTAAAAAATTTATTTTATAGAATTTTTTTTTCAAAATTAAAAAAATCCGATTTCGCAAAAATTGGAAAGCAAATATTTATTTAATTTGCAAAACATATATTTTAAAATGCAAGTTGTTTAAGCAAAATTAACTAGAGCTTTCATTATACTAATTATCACTTATATAAAAATTTTTTGTCATGAAAAATTTTTTCTATTAAAATTTTTGTTCGCTCGTGGAATGTTGGAAGGTAGGTTTTTGGGCAAAAAATCGGGATTTTTTGCAATTGTTTTGTTCACTCACGGAGGGGAGGGGAGGAGTTAGCAGAAAATAATCTAAATTGTTAAAATTCACTTGATATAATGTGGAGATTAGTTCGTCGCTACCTCACAACTCAGCAACCTCAAGTTCAGCCATTCTCATTAGAATTGACACTCCCTCGGTCAAATTTTCTAAGTGATAACGAATTATTCACAGTCGCAAAAGAGCTCGGATCACTTTCCACCAAAAATCTTAAAGAAAATCTCAATGCAATGCAGCATCTGCAGGATTATTTTTATACCTTATCTACAAGAATCAAAAAGATGCAGACAAGTGATATCAGCAATATTATGAAATCTATTGTAAAAAATGCAGAGCTAAGAGGAACTGAATTTACCAAAGATTTTTGGAGCAGAGCTACATATGAGCTGGAAACTCGTGTTGAAGAATTCGACTTAGACTTAGCAGCAGATGTAGCCCACAGCTATTGTTATATCAAATATAATGGCCCAGAAGTAAATATACTAATTGACCAAGAATAGCCCACTAAGGAGCCATTCTTGGTCTGCCAGAAAAAATTTTGACAAAAGATCCTAATCTGCCATTACCACTGAGTTTTGGTGTTTCCAATTTTTTTGGGCAAGCCAAATGCAATAAAAAAAATTGTTCTTTTGCGATGATGCATTTGGCTTGTCAAAAAAATTTGGCAACATCAAAACTCAGTGGTAATGGCAGAAAAGATCCTAATCTGCCATTACCACTGAGTTTTGGTGTTTCCAAATTTTTTTGACAAGCCAAATGCATCATCGCAAAAGAACAATTTTTTTTATTGCATTTGGCTTGCCCAAAAATTTGGAAACACCAAAACTCAGTGGTAATGGCAGATTAGGATCTTTTGTCAAAATTTTTTCTGGCAGACCAAGAATGGCTCCATAGTGGGCTATTCTTTGGTCAATTAGTATAAATTTCTTAATGCATTAGCTGAAGGAATTGGCGAATTCGAAATTAGTGACTATCTCAATATCCCGCTCCATAAAATTGAAGATATTTTATGGTCATATTCTTTCAAAAACGTTGGAACTATGCATTTATACAAGTACTTAGCTAATGCTATATTAATACACCCTGATTTTGAAAATGCCAGTCTGCAAAATGTTTCAAAAATAGCTTATTATTTCAGCAGAGCACAGCTGGGAAGGAAATATGGCGGCCCTGAATATTTCAAAAAAACTGAAGAGATTATATGAAATGGGATTCATCAAGGCAAAGTAACAAAAATTGAAGAAATTGATGATATTATCCATTATTTGATACCTGCAAATATAGGGAGTAATGATCTTAGGGCTTTATTGGAATACACATTATTTAGGTTGCTTACTGACCCTAAACAGAGCATTACTGTTGTACAGCTGCTAAAGATTACTACCGCTTTTACACATTATATCATAAAATATGAACCCTTAAATTTGCTATTGCAGCAGCTTGCTAAAGATTCATTAGAAATTCTAAATGCTAAACAAATCGTTCAGATTCTGTGGGCTTATACAAGACACAATAAAGCATCTAAAGATTTTATTTACACTTTAGTTAATAGACTAAAAACCCTGCTAAAAACAGAAAAAGATCTGCAATTTAGGAACTTTACTTATTTGATAAACTCTCTAGTAAATTCTGGAATAAAAGACCCTGAGATTTGGAAGCATTTTGATAGCATTTCTGTCAATTATTTAAAGGAGTCCAAAAGTGATGACCATTATTTGATTAAATTTTTAAGCCTTTATGGAGGAATTGGCTGGGAAAATAATGAAGTTTATGAAAGAGGTATAAAAGAGCTGCTAGACAATAATAGGCTGCCAGCAGAACACCCGAAAGATATAACAAGAGCTGTTATCGCTACTTATGAAACTCCAGCTATGCAGACCCCAGAATTTTTAAAACATTTAAATACCAAAATTTTTCATGCTGCAAATTATATGAAACAAGATGAAATTTCAAATACTGTTTATTCTTTAGCTTTACTTAATAAAGGATCCCTTGATGTTTATTCGAGCTTGGAAAATTCAATCTTAAATGCAGGACTTAATAAAATAAGGCCTCAGAGCTTAGGGAATGCTTGCTTAGGTTTTGGATTGGTAGGGATGTCAGCTTTCTGTAAAAGTGCCATGGCAAATGTTATTGACTGTTTCCATAAACACCAAGGAAGAGTTTATGAAGACTATGAATCAGAAGACGAAGAGCAGCAGTCAACTAATAAACTCATTCTGGTTAATGATAAAGAGCTTGCTTTTAATATATTCTTGACTGCTACTTCAATTGTGCAAATGGCATGAATGGCGGCTGCTATTGGAAATCGTGAGCAGCTGTTCTGGACTGATAAGCTTCATGAGAGTTTGATCAAAATTCCTATGGCGAATTACAGATATACAATAAACGAATGAATTTGGACTGCAAAAACTATGCAAGACGAAGAAGATTTCTTAGTAGCTTTAGATCCATTCCATTATGGCTTATTGCAACAAGTTTTGGCCTTAATTCCACCTAAAGGTGTTCAATATGAAAACTACATAAAGGAGCTTGAAGAAAAAGTCAATTCTTATCCTCCAGAATTAATTGAAAAAATGGAAAAACCGAAGAAAATTACCCCAGAATTTTTAGAAAGTGTAATAGAGACTTCAAAGTCATTAGGATTTGACGTAAATCCTAACCCAACTCATATATTAGGCATGAAACCGGACTTAAATATCAATGGAAAAGATATCTTGCTGTATGATAAAGATGATTATATTTATTTATCGAAAGGATTTTATCAGCTTTCTGGAACAAAGGACTTATTAACACATCTGAAATTGAAAAAACAAATTATCAAAGCATCTGGACGAAAGACTTTTGATATTTTTGTAGGTGATTGGAATGATTTAACTACACAAGAAGAGAAGAAACAATATTTATCTGCCTTATCTAATTCTAGTTAATTTTTCATTAAAAATAAGATAATTCTCATGGAAATTGAAGAATAGACTGCATTTTAGCTTGCATAAAAATAAATGGAAATAAGAGCTCCAAACATATTAATCACAGGTACACCAGGCACTGGAAAAACCACTCTAGCTAGGCTGTTAGAAGATCAATTGAATGAAACCATCGATTTTCCAAAATTTGAAGTGATTTCTCTTGGAGCTCTTATTAACGAAAAGCACCTTTACAAAAATTGGAATGAACAATTTCAAGTCCCTGAATTTGACGAAGATTTAGTTTGTGATGCTATTGAAGCTGACATAAGAAGAGGTGGAAAAATCGTTGATTTTCATTCTTGTGCTTTTTTCCCTCCAGATTGGTTTCACTACATAGTTTTATTGAGAGCATCCAATACAAATATTTTTGATAGACTTTCAGAAAGAGGCTACCCTGAGCCAAAAATCCAAGAAAATGTCCAATGTGAGATTTTCCAAGTCTGCAAAGACGAAGTAGAAGATTCTTACCCAAAAGAAAAAATTCTTGAAAGAAACTCAGATACTATTGTAGAGATGGAAAGAAATGTGGAAGAAATTATAGAGCTTATAAAGAAAACAGTTGAAGATAATAAACACACATAAGAAATTAATTGCTAATCAAACTTTATATTGTTGTATATTTTTCTTACGAAATATTGAGAACCTGTGTGTCCAATTGCTCCAGCAATTAAAAACACAGTGATACTTGCTAAGCCAGTGTATCCAAAATAAAATGAAAATTGAAAAAGACCAGTCATGCTTGTTTTGAAGAAATAATAATAAATTGAATAGATATACAGATAAATTCCAACACTTCCAGAACTTATAAAGCTTACCCAGTGCCACCTATAGTCTTCAGAGTTCAAAATAATATAAGTTGCGACTATTGAAACACAAATTAATGATAAAATAAACAAAAAATACCCCGCAAGTGCAAATCCATAAACATAATAAAACTTATAATTCCAGAATGACGTAAAAATAAAATAAATTTCTACTGAAATGCTTCCAAATGGTAGCAAGCCTCCTAGTAAAGAAATAAAAGCAGGCTCACTGTATCATTTCTTTTCTTTTAAAATTGGAATTGATATACAGTTTATTTTTTGGATAGCTGGATACCTCAGCCTATATTTTCTTCCAAATAAACTTCCGATTATAAATAATGGCAAATACACAAATAAAATCAATGACAATATTTCTAGCATGCTTACTATAGGGATTGCCTGCGTTGATGAATACATCACAGCAATAGCATTAAGTAGCAATCCTATAATCGCTATAAAGGCAGGATATAATAGCGCAGAAAAGAACATAGCCGTTTTTCATCTTTTCCCTTGATTTCGGCAATAATATTCCCCACATCGAAAGCCTCCTATAATTCCTAAAAGCGAATAAGCAACAACCATCATCTCAGCAAATTCTCCTCTTTCACTATACATTGGATGTAAGATGCATGTAATTATGCATTCGGCAATCAATCAAGCTAACATCCAACCAGTGCTATAAAGAATTGTGAAAAATATTAGTAAGTCTGGAGGCCTATAAACATCACCTGCTACTTGTTTTCAGCCAGAGGAAATAGCTAAATCCATTGGCTCATCGCTTTGAGACTCATATCTTTCTATATCTTTATTTAAAATCCTGTATAAAATCAGCATTACTATGCCGCATAGTAAAATTACCAGAACAAATGAATTTATAATGGAAAACCAATGCACATTATTTTCGAAAAATCCTGGATCTAAGTAACTGTCAAATCGATGCCGAAATTCAATATCAGTTGGCACCCAAGATACTGAATATGTAAAGCTTATATCTGTGATATCCCTGCTCGATCTTTTACTATCATAAATCCTTATAGGATTTCCTGGCATTACTTGCACTTTGATAATATTGGAATTATTATATGAAATAATAAAAGCATAATGCGAAAATATAAAAATATCCTTCGTATTTTCATCCTCTTTGCCTATTTCAGACCAAAACGGTAGGTTATCAATATACATTTGGATCCAAAAATTCCTCTTAATTGCATTAACTAATATTGTAATAGCTTCATGGTTTAGATTTTTACTGCAAAAAGGCTGAATTTGTATATTATTCATAAATTTGATGTCCATTTCACTATCATATAGCTCATATCCTTCTATAGCTTCTCCTAATGCTAGGGAGTAAAGCCTTTCTTTTCGCTCTCCTCTGCACAGAGGCAGTTTATTATATGCATAGGATTCTTGTGGGTTATTAAACGGTACTATTTTATTAAACCAAAGGATCACTTCTTCGTTTGGGGAATAATCATGTCTTTTTTGGTCTGCTAAAGCGTGGATTAGTAAGCATAAGATCCACATTTATTATAAATTATAATGTCTGATGGGCCTATCTCACAGAAGTGGAGCACAACTTTAAAGGTCGCTAGTGTGATTTTAGGAGTATTGCTAATTGGGCTTGCGATATATAATTTTGCCCTTATGATAACTGCGGATGATCCTATTAGTGTGATTTTGCCGATTTACTATGTGTATAGTTAATTTAGAATTTTCGGAGTGATGATAATAGCGGCTGAAGCAAAAATTAACTGAATTATGATTAAATTTATGTTTTTATCTGGGCATATTGGGAAAGGGATGTTTTATATTTTGTAAGTTTTATTCAGTGTTGGGACATTGTGCATTAGATCAAGAATGATTATACAATATGTGATGGCAGGGCTGCTAATTATTGTTGGAGTTGTATACGTTTGCTGCTTTTGTGGAGCTAGAAAATCAGATCCGAGAATGCCTCCTATTGATCAATCTAAAAATCAAGCTTAAATGACAAATATAAGAAGATAGTCATGTTAATTAATAAAAGATTATCTATTTCTTTTAATTTTATATTTTATTTATAATAAAAATTTAATGCAAATACCTAGCGTAAATATTGATAGTGATATTAGGGATCATATTTATCTTTCATTACAAACTCTGTTATGCGTAAAGGTTATTATTAATTATTATATCGATAATTTCTCCACTTATAAAACCAATCTCACTCCCCCCCTCCGTGAGTGAACAAAACCATTAGAAAAATCCCTATTTTTTGCCCAAAAACCCACCCTCCGTGAGTGAACAAAAATTTTTTTAATAGAAAAATTTTTTTATAGAAAAAAAATTTGATATATAAGTGATAATTAGTATAATGAAATCAAGAGCTAATTCTGTTTAATTTTAAACGAATTGCTTTTTAAAAATATAAATTTTATAAATTAAATTAATATTTGTTTTCCAATTTTTGCAAATTAGGATTTTTTTTAAATTTCGAAAAAAATATTTTCTATAAAATTTTTAAATATAAATTTTTTAAAAAAAAAAAATTAACCCCCCATTGTGAGTGAACAAAATTTTTTTGTTCACTCACGGAGGGGGGGAGTCAGCTATACTAATTGACCAAGAATAGCCCACTAAGGAGCCATTCTTGGTCTGCCAGAAAAAAATTTGACAAAAGATCCTAATCTGCCATTACCACTGAGTTTTGGTGTTTCCAATTTTTTGGGCAAGCCAAATGCAATAAAAAAAATTGTTCTTTTGCGATGATGCATTTAGCTTGTCAAAAAAATTTGGAAACACCAAAACTCAGTGGTAATGGCAGTTAGGATCTTTTCTGCCATTACCATTGAGTTTTGATGTTGCCAAATTTTTTTGACAAGCCAAATGCATCATCGCAAAAGAACAATTTTTTTTATTGCATTTGGCTTGCCCAAAAAATTGGAAAACACCCAAAACTCAGTGGTAATGGCAGATTAAGATCTTTTTGTCAAATTTTTTCTGGCAGACCAAGAATGGCTCCTTAGTGGGCTATTTTTTCTCTTAATTCTTCTTTGCTTTCTGCTTCTTTTCTAGCATTTTTTATTGCATTCCTCACTTCAGTCGATGACATCTCAATTATGTTTAAATCAGGTAAAAATTGGAAATTTGGCTTGCTTCTAAATTCGTTTTCAATTTCCTCTGAAATTGTAAATCCTTTTCTTGCTAAAACAGCAAAATTAATTTCAGAGACTAATCGTTCAGGCTCATCCCAGCTATGCAAAGTTGATAGTAAATCAGACCCAATTACAAGCTTCAATGTTTTATTTGGATAAATTGATTCAAGTCTTTTCATAAGAAAATAGGAAGGAATCATAGAGCCATTTTGAGCTTCAATATCAAGGACTTGATAATTTTTATAAGCAATTGAAGCCATTTGGTATCTGAGGGTAGCTGGGCTCATTGTATGTTTATCTGATCGGTCTCCACATGGAATTATTCAAACCTCATTAAAATGTGGCTGAAGTGCGTCAGCTAATTGAGTATGACCTACATGAGGAGGATCGAAACTGCCTCCTAAAACTGCAACAGTGTGAGAGGACATTTTTCTAAATATTTTTGAATTAATTTTATATAGAGAGATGATAAAATCTTATAAAGTTTATAAGGGATAAACTTAGTAACTTCTCTAGCCCAGATAGAAATGAAACCAAAAAATAACCAAAAACACGCTTTTCTCATAAATCTATAAAACTTATATTAGAGAAAGCTTTTTCAATAAAATTATAAGATTAAAACAAGTTCTTATATCCTCCCACAGGTATAAGGTTTGGATGAATTTTAAGAATATCTTGATTTGCTATCTCAACTTCTTTTGTTTTCAGGTTAAATCTTCATAATTGAAAATCAACTAAAAAATAAATGATGCCTTTGTGTTGGCAGATTGTAGACTGTATATAAAGATTTTGCAAAGTGTTGTACCCAATAAGATTTCAATTGCTAGCATCTCCTGCATTACTTTCGAAAATATTTGATCCAAAATCAATAAGAAATAATTTCTCATTCCCTTTGAGAATTAATTTATAGCAGTTCTGGCTAAGATAGATCTTCTGCACAAAAGAATAATTATTATTTTCGATATCATAAATAAGCACTCCACTTAATTTGAAATCCACTATTATTACTTTATTTTGATATTCTATGCAAGATGTTGAGTTCAAATTATATATGTAATCGCTTGCAGCTAGATCTGTTAATTCATACGTTTTTAAATCAAATTTTGAAGCAATGCCATTTCCAAACACATAAACTAAATTCTTGGAGGAAGCAAAGCCTGACTGCGTATAATTAACATTTTGCTTTCCTATTTGAATGATATCAAAATTTTTATTTATCAAGTAGAGACTATTATTGTAGTTGCAGGCCAATACTTGTCCAGTAGGGTGCATATGAAATTTATAAGGTGCTTGATTCCTTCCATGATAAAGATTATTTTTGCGAGGATGCAGTTTATTATTCCTAATATTTGCAATATTTTGTCAGAGGGTCTCTCATTTTTGAAAGTTACCAAAGAACTCGGATTGAGGCAGAGTTTGGCCGGTATCTAAATCAAATTTATTTAAGCCATTATTATATCAAAATCAAAGAATATTTGATTTGCATATACTCCCTAGGTCCTTAAAAACCTCTAGTTCAACTTTAATATTATTTTCTATAAATGACTTTATATTTTCGGTATTGATGGACATCTCTGGGACCTCTCAGTTTCCTAATTCAAGTTCAGCTTCTTCTTCAGATAATTTTAAAATCTTTTCAATCTTACTTTCAGTTGGGACATCAAGAATTTCTGAATTAGATAAAACAACTTGTAGCATATTTTTACAGTCTTGCTCGATTTTATTAAGCTGAATTAAAGTATTTTGAATTGAATTTAGCAGAAAATCAACAATTTCATTACTTTTATGCAAGAATTCTGCTTTGAATTTACGAAGATCTGCCAGCAAAATTAAAATTTTTCTTGCAGTAATTGATTTAGTAGTGCGCTTTATTTTTAAAGCTAAGTCATTTCAATATTTTTGATGTTTTTGGGAAAAATTCTTTATAGAAGTAAAAAACGAAATTGAGTTAGGAAAAAGATATAAATTTTTTTTTTCTCATTGAAATCCAATAGATACGACTTAGTTTCCTTAGATGGATTAAAATATAGATCCAAACCCGCATGGCCAGTTTTACTTGGAGTTTTAATATGATCAAGAGCATGCAAGTCGCAGAATAAAGTTGTAGTGTTGTTACACTCACATTTGTTTCTTGGGATAAAAATGCAGCCTTTCATAAAGCATTTACCTGATATCATATTTATACACCACCTTAATATTTATAATAAATACTTTACTCTAGTAATAGCTTTACAAAAATTCGCATATTAATATGATCATGGTCTTTTACCTTTCATATTTTGTAGCTATCAAATTGATGACTTAAAGAAATAGCGCAATCACTCTTGCTATCACACATCAAGATTCAAGTCAGTCTTACAGTTAAATATCGAATTAATGCTCTTATTTACTATTATAATAAAAATCTATTTAAATTTCTATCTCATTTGAAAACTATCAGTTGTTTTAAAAGGATCTTCATCTGCTATCTCAATATTTTTTGGCTTGATATTGAATTTTCATAATTGAGAATTGACTAAAAAATAAATGCTGCCTTTATATTGACAAATAGAAGAATCTATATACTACATTTCCTGAATATCTTGCAAGCTATACATGATAAAGTATAGACATATTTATAGAAACTTTGTATACAACAATTCGGCAGTGTATTAGTTCCAATAATTTTTCAAAAGCAAGGATCCCTAGGCCTACTTTCATAAATATTTAGCCCAAATTCGATCAGAAATAACCGTCCATTCCCTTTGAGAATCAATTTATAGCAGTTCTGCTTTATATAAAAACTATTAACATCAGAATAATTATTCTTTAAAATATCATAAATCAGCACTCCATTTGAGCAAACATCCACGATTATAATTTTATTTTGGTATTCCATGCACGAAGTTGAGCTGAAATTAGAGAGTTTTTCATCAAGAGCTATATCTTTTCACTGAAGTGTTTTTAAATCAAAAACAGAAGCAATAGAATTCCCAAATACATATACTGATCTGTTCAAGCAAGCAAAGCCTGCCTTTGCATAATTCAAACTTGGCTTTCCAATTTGAATAGTGTCTGTGTTCTTATTTATCAAATAAAGATTATGATTTTTGTTGCAGGCCAATACTTGTCCAGTAGAACATTATAAACAATAGGATTTTTTTTGTTCTTTTTTTGGTTTTTTTTTTAAGAATTCAATCATAATTGAGAAACCTCTTGCTATGCTTGATATTTTCGCTATTTTTTCAACTTATCTCTAGCATTTGAGACATGTCAAAGCAATCAGGTTGAGGGATAACTTGGGCATTATCTAGATTATATATGTTTATTGTACCATGATTTTCAAAAAATCAAATAATATTTGATTTGCATACATTCCCCAAATCTTTGAAAATTTCAAGTTTAACTTTGAAATTTTTTTTAATAAAAAATTCTATATTTTCCATACCAAGGACACATTCTGGAACTTCTCAGCTTTCTAACTCAACTTCAGCTTCCTCTTTGGTTAATTTTAATATTTTTTCAATATTGCTTTCAGTTGGGACATCTAGAATTTCAACATCTGATAAAGATATTTGCATAATATTTTTACATTCTTGATCGATTTTATTTAGCCGTATCAAGGTATTCTGAATTGCTTCTAAAAGAAAATCAATGGCCAGATTACTTTGAAGTAAAAAATTGGCTTTGAATTTATGAAGATCTGTAATCAAGCTTATTATTACGAAGTCCGGCTTTCCCAGAATCTTTATCTAGCTACATCAGTTAAACACTTTTTTCAACATGTCTAATATGAGTCAAATAGAAGCACACCCCAATGCACGGCAGGGCTGGTCCCCACAGTCTCTGGATGTTAGCGTGGGTGGCATCCTGTTTGGGTTCACATCAGACACCCACATATCACCCAAATTTGCAGAGGCAGAACACATGGCTAAGACTATGAAATTTTACCTCACCAAGCATCTCAAAGCACTAACCAGGGAGGCAAAAAGAAGTTTCTACATCTCTTTTACGGAAGCCCTAGAAACCTTATTTAGCCCAGGAGACACATTTTAAGGGCTCGGATGATGGGATCTGGAGATGGCGCGGTCACCTTCACTGATGGCGCGAAATATGAGCGAATCCTCAAGGCAGGCTACATCAAAGTAAAGCACCTAGGAAAGGTAGTGCTCGTTCCAGCAGGGCCATACTTGCCCCCAGGAGAGATCAATTATGACAGATACAGAATCAGGACAAGCCTTCCTATCGGTATGCCCATTGAGAGAGAGTAGCAGAAGAGCTGAGCCAATTTTGCAGGATCCTGGAGATAGATATGAAGAATACCATTTCCGAAGGAAAAAAGAGAAAGACCATGAGCTTTATACCTGAATCTAAGTACGTCCTCTATGTTGAGTTCAGTAGTTCCGAATTTGCGCTGGAGTTCCCTGAAGCAATAGAGATAGAAGGCCAAACCATTTGAATAAGCCACGCTGGAACCCTGGAGTGTTCCATTTGCAAGAACAAAGGCCACAATGAGCAGAGACATGAGAAAGTAATGCCAGCCAGAAACAAGGTCAAGGCCAAGAAAGGGAAAAGTCAGGCTATGGAAATCTCTAATCCTAACGTAACCTCTTCTAACTACAATGACTCAATTAAGCTTCGCCCAGTCCCAGTTGCTTCCCCTCTTCATACAGACAGGTCACTCTAGATGCTAACTTGCATCCGAAAAGACCGAGGGCTCCGGATGACCAATTTGACAGAGGATCCCAGGAGACAAGACAGGATAAAAAACCCTCGGTCGGCCAGCTTGAGGTCGACCTTAAGCTTATGCATCTCAATGTCAATGGATTACTAAGCAAGGCTAACGAGCTAAACCAGCTTTTGGTTGAGGAGAAGCCCCACATAATTGCCTTCACGGAGACCAAAACCACAGACCGCTCGAGGTTGCCACAGCTCCAGGGATATGAGTGGGTTCATACCCCAGGCACTAGCCAAACCCATGGAGCAGCTATAGCTTACAGGCGGGAAATAGTTGACCCGACCCCAAAGATTATCATGGAATCGCGGATAGTCGGCCTTTCAAACAAAAGAGCTAGTCTTTATAAGAGCCTATGCACCAGTTGAGGGCTCAAACCCAGATGAAACTGACGAATTTTATCGGAGCCTAAGCCAGGTCATTGCTGAGGCAAGGCAGGGCGGATCTCCCTGTTGTACTTCTTGGAGATTTCAATGCCCACCTCAGGGGGTGATGCTCAGACGAAGATAATGATAATGGAAGCTACTTACGGAGGTTCTCGGAACAGTGAGATCTGACCATCCTACCTCAGAGCGAACCGACCTACTTACACCCCAATGGGAAAGCCTTCTGCCTGGACTACGCCCTTGTTGATGGAGGTCTTCTTGATATGGTGATAATTCATAAAGCTCACTGTGACAATCTGGTCACCATAATTAAATATGGCGTCTTCGTCTGGGCATGGCCTCCCGGCCATGCAGCTTCGACTCATATTTAATTATATCCGGCAAGGTTTTACCATTCTAGAGATGGACGGCAATACTAGGTAAGCAATTCTGGTGGCGTTCAGAGCCTAGTCCTAGTCTATTCTCAGGGGTGGATTTTTTCTCGTGGGGAAGGAGGGCACGGAGTTGGAAAGGGGAATCTCAGCAGAGTCCGTTAGGACCAATCGGGCAACTCCCTAGCGTGAAACTGGGCGTTACGTCCCAGGCTACGTGTTTTTCCTTTTTGCCGATAGCCGACCAGAAAAATCCATTTTTTGGGTTTTTTCGGAAAAGCAAACCCATGTCACAAGCAAGTAGCTCATTCATGAGCCGTCGAAGCCGGAAAACTTACCCGAGAAGCACCCTGGTGATCAAATTAGGCTATCCCCAGCGGCCTGTGGGCCCGATGCGACGCAAGGCGAGTGGCTGTACCTGGGGTTGTCACGCCGTAGTGGACGTTAAACGTTATAAATTCTATAAGATAAGACAATCTGGTCACCTCGGATCATGCCCCCCATTTCCCTAACCCTTCGAACATTTGTCAACTTAAAGGAGACTCAGCATAGGTGGAAGATCAGACTAGACAGGCTCACAAATAAGCACTATCTAAAAGCCTACCAATCTGCAGCATCCCACAGACTTTCGAGCATACCCAGCGAAGGACTCCAAGCTGACAGTCTATATTCAGAGATATGTAAAAAAACTCTCCTGTCGGCGGCAGCAAGTACCTTGGGTTATACTAGCCCCAGGTCAGAAAACTCACTAACCTCAGAAACGCTCCGAATGCTAAGGAAAGCCAGAAAGACTCGGTGAAAAGCATTAAAAACTAAGGAAGGACCAAAGAGACTGTCGTTGTTGAAACTCTGGAGAGTTCAGGTCAAAGAATTCAAGAAGGGAAGTTAAACGCCAGAGGAAGCTCAGGTGACAAGAAAGGAAAGCCGAGCAGGCAGCGATGGACATGAATAGTTGCTGGAGCTCTATGCAAAGAATAAAGCGATCAATGAGGGCGAAGCCGCCAAGATTCTCAGGCCTTGAAACTGAAGCTTTGGTAAGTTGGTGGGAGGCGACGTATTCCTCTGATGATCAGGTCCCCCTCCCCTCACTAAACGATTCGAATCCCCCCGAAAGGGCTGAAGTGGAGGAAGCTATCAAAAGCCTTGGGAACAGTAAAGCAGTAGACAATAACGGGGTCCCGGCTGAGCTTATCAAGCATGGTGGGGAGGCAGTGGTTAAGATAGCCACCCTTCTTATCCGGAAGATATGGCTGGCTGGAGCCCTACCGGATGACATGAAAAGTGCATACGTGGTCCTTATTCCGAAGAAGCCTGGATCGAAGAGGCCTGAAGACATGAAACCAATTACAATCCTTAACTCTCTCTACAAGACTATTGACAAGATCCTTAGTAAACAGGATCACATCTGAAGCGAGAAGGAAAAGGATCCTAGATCCCGCTCTAGGAGGTTTCACTAAGAAATCGTCAACAGCGGACCAATATTTTAAGCTCCAAACAATAGTAGACTGGCACAAAAAACACGGGAAACAGCTACACTGCGCCTTCTTGGACTTGAGGAAGGCCTTTGATTCAGTAAGGAGGTCAGACCTATTCAACGTTATGCTAGCAAGGGGCATTAGTCTGGAGACAGTCACTATGCTCAAAGCCATATACACGAGAGAAACCAATACATTCATTATCAACGGCGAGCACGCACGGCCTATCCTAATAAGCAAAGGCGTCAGGCAGGGAGGCAGCTCATCACCAATATGCTTCAATTTTATCCCTAACGAGCTGGTCAAAGACATCAAGGATGCGGGGCTTGGGGTAACGCTAGAAACGCCGATTGGTCAGACTAAGGTAGGGATATTGCTATATGCTGATGATATTGCTCTCATAGCATCCACACGCCAAGACCTTCAGCGAATGTTGGACATATGCGAGGGATGAGCGGAGAGATTCTCTCTAGCCATCAACCCTGACAAGTCAGAAACTATGCACATCCCTGACTCTCTTCGAGGAGACAGGCTTTTGACTATCAAGGGAGTGCCGCTTAAGGCTAGCAAAGATTTTAGGTATCTGGGCTATATCATACAGACAAGAAGGAATGGCACTAAGGGGCTTCACAATTCAATAGCAAAGACTCGGGCAAGCTGCATGGCTCAATTTGGGATGCTTGCTTCCCTAAGGGATGTCTCAATTGAAAGGAAGGCAACTATTCTGCAAGCCTGTGTCTCTACCGTTAGCGTCTACGCGAAAGAAGAATGTGGATCTGAGAATATGTCGAAGCCAAAGTGAGATCACATGGAGAGGATTCAGAGAAGAATGGCCAGGTGGCTCTTAGGGGCCCCGAATGGTACAGCTAACGAAACGGCTCTGATGGAATTGGGATGGGTCTCCCTTCAGGGGAGGATTGCTGCAAGATCCCTTATTTTCAGGCTGAGGTGCCAAAGGAGCAAAAACTGACTCACTAGAGCTCTTATGTTCTTCAATGTCAAAGAAAACTTGGGCTGACAAGCTAGATGTGCAGAACAGCTCAGAGGATACTCAATTGAGGACTGCCTCAATGATCAAAGGAACCAAGAAGATAGAAAATGGGCTTTAGATGTTCAGAGCAAGATTCGGGTCACAGAATACACCAACAGAGAATGCAGATTATGTCTGAGGAGAAGAAGATGGCTCGACTATATGCTTATTTGCAACAGGGAACCCAGGAGATGGAAAAAAGCCTTTGTACCTTAGTATCAAACACAGAGAAGTGACACATTCTCAGGGCCATACATAGATACAGGGCTGGCTTTAATTCTACTGTAGCCAATGCCCATATGCGAAAGCTGACGGATAATAGCCCGGACTGCCCCCAAATGTGGTGTGATTGATGACGAGGCCCACCTTATAGAGGCATGTGCGCAGTATAGGGAGGCCAGAGAGGGATTTATCGATGAACTAGCTGGAATAAATCCACAGCTTCTTGACTTCAGGCTTTTAGATATAGATTGTACAAGTATGAGCTGTTGGAGATACTTAAAGAAATGGCCAGGGAGGAAATGACAGTGCCCGCTAGAGTAGACAGGGCGATTAAGAGTTTCCTTGAGGAGATATTGAAGCAAAGACCTGGAGAAGGACCAGAAGGGCTAGCAAGACCGAAGCCATTGCGACAAGTAGGGATTGAACGGTACTTTGGTCAAGTGCAAAGAGGAGCCTAGGCATAGATATAGAAGTTTCCTATGTTTGGCGCTGTAAGGCCGATAAATTCTGATCGGAATTTATCGGTAGGTTGCACCAAATCAATGCCTTGGTCGGACCAAAAAGCGATTTGGTCCGACGAACTTGGAAAGCTCCTGGGAAAATGTCTGCGCTTTTAGCGCTATATAGAGGAAACCTCTATATTTCCATTTTAATAAAAATTCGCCCGTAAGGGCGATTCTCAAGGGTCAGTTATCTGACACTTGTAAGTAATTACTGGTTACTGGCTACTAGCTACGTCAGTTAAAGGCTAGAGGGCAAACAGTCTCCTGTATGATCCTTTGGGAATTTGGAAACTTGGGCTTATCCACTCAGTACATCTGAAGAAGGTGATCTTTAGGTGGGCTCGTGCAGGAAGTAAGTTACAAGTGACAGCAAGCACCTATTGAGATGTACTGGTGAGACAAGCAAAAGAATATCTCTCCGCACAGTACGCCATTTTATGAGACAGAAGGGCCAGTGGCATTATTAGCTGGCTTAACTGCATTATTGGGCATGGGTATTAACACTAAAAATACCAAATAAGTAAATGCAATTAATCAAGCTTAAGATTCTTTTTGCAGTGACGGATTTAGTTTCTTCAGATGGTTTAAAATAAAGGCTCTGACCAAAATGCCCATTTCAGCTTGGAGATTTAATATGATCAAGAGCATGCAAATCGCAGAATAAAGTTGTGGTGTTGTTACAATCGCATTTACCCCTTGGCTGAATCATGCAGCCGTCCATAAAGCATTTGCCTACTAGCATATTTATATAGAAGCATTTATACAATGAATAAACTATAGAAATTTATCAAATTTGTCTTTCGGGACTCATCAGAACTAATAACATTAAGATTTACAGTCTAATTATGGTTTTTTACAATTTCAATAAATATTTTGCAGCAGCAATTTTTTAAAAATGATGAATTTATTGATTAACTTTCAAATTGAAATAAATTTTATAAAGTTTGTACATTAATTGAAAAGAAAAATTGATCTGAATCAAACTATAAGCAAATTACATTTATATATGATTTAATTTTATAATTTGAAATTTCACTTAATTAGTTTCTTGTGAAGTTTAAAATTAAAAATCTAATCTATATATAAAGTCATATATCATTGTATGCGGATCTCAGATAATTTGAGCCATTATTAAATTGACAGCTTTGATTAAATCATTTCCTAAAATATTTTAAAATGATTTTATTGTATTTTAACTTTATTAATAGTTTCGTTCGAAAGGCAATTTTCCTAAAACTTTATCAGAAGTGATGTCTTTTTCTGCAGGTTTATCTGGATTTGGCATGATATCTCTATGCTCTTTCCAAGGTTTCCAATCAGGCGGCCTTTCATCTTTTTTAAGTCTTGTTTCAAGGGCTTCCGATGTCTGATAAAGGTTTTCTGCTACCTTATGCTTTGGAACTAAATCAAGCTCAATTGCACTATGAGCATATTGGCAGTCTTTATTAGGGCATTTCTTCTTATTTTTAATAAATGGGCACATTTCAATTTTATTTGGCCTCATTAAGTAGCTGGTTGTTTTGGCATTCCTTTCTTCTCCTTGCTCCACATCTTCTAGTTTTTCTGCTTTTTCTCTTAAATCTTCAATATACTGATGCTCTTTCATAAGTTTTTCTTCAATTTTTAGGTAAAGAAGCTCAATTTGATGGTTCATGAAGTGGTTTGCATTGCCTACATGCAATTTTTCTGTAGTTGTTTTTATATTGTTTTGTATTGATTTTTAAAAAAATGAATGCAATAAAATAATATAGTGTTTTAAAGTAAAATGGTATAAATAATTCAATTTTTTGTAAGTTCTGAGCATTTGTATTATCATTCTGCAATGACTGCTGAGTTCTTCCAAATTCGTCTGTATCATTCAACGAAAAATTCGGATCCAGCCCAATTTTTGTCTTCAGCTTATTCGTTTTGCTTTCAATTGCTTTATTTTCTTCATCTCTTTCAGTTCTCACTATTCTCAATGCCTCAGAGATCGCATTAAATGCTGCTACCGTTCTGCTATTTGTAAATAGTGTTATTGCTTTTCTATAAATCCCTAATTTCTTCGAGTATAGCAACGCTTTATCCAGCCTATTTGGATCTGGATGGAATTTCTCGTTAGTAATTTTAGACCTCTGCAAGAAATTTGACTGTTTCATCTTTAGTCTTTGCTCTAATGCACATTTATTACAGAAACAGCCAAGCGACCTACTAAAATCTTCAATTTTTGTGATACCTTTATGCTCGACTTCAGGCTTATAAATAAAGGTTTGCTTGCATCTCGGACAGTCAGTTAGAGATCCATCAGGTTTCCATGCTGGCTTTGGCTTGTATTCTTGTATAAGTTTTGATAAAACTTCAATGGCTTTTGATCTAGCCTTCCTTCTAGCTTTTTCTTCTTGTGAAAACCTTAATTCAAAGGTATGATGAGCCAAGGAACAATTTTTGCCTAGAGGAACATTTGTAGGGATATCAGTATTGCTCCATCTAGGACGTACGTCTCCGGGGCAATTTTCATCTTTGCAAGGGCACATGAAGGTTTTAAGCTCCCTTGCGTCTTCTTTTTTGAGTTTATCTATTTGTCTTCTTAAATCTCTTTTAAGTTCTCTTATAGCGCAGAATAGGTTGTAAACGTTTTCCATCAATTCTAGGGCTTCTGGATTGTTGAATTCTTCTGGAGGCTTCTCATTCATGGTAGGTCGATTTTTTCCAGGTTCCCAATGATCTAAAATGCATGGGATATTGAAGTTATCGACTAGTTTCTTTTTTGCAGCTTCTGGAGCACCTTGATGGAAAAGAGCTTTAGCTTGTTTGTAGATCCCAGTTTTAAATATCAATGGCTCTCTAGATCGGAAATTCTTTCCCATTCTGTTAACCCACATAGCGAAATTTGGAGCTTCTCCCGGCTGAATTGTATTTCTCAGCTCCCCAAAAGTCTTCATTGCCAAATCTAAATGCTTTTTAGGGACCTTCGACCCTGTTTTTGGCTCAAATGTGCATTCTCTAGCATCAGCGTAGCTCATAAAAATCTGTTCTCTTTTATTTAAAGTGTCAGGTCTGGCCCAAGGTCTAAGTTTTTCATGCCAATTTAGTACATATTTATCTTCTTTAATAGTCTGTTGCAATGCTTTTTTGTTTCATGTTGCATATTCACAGTTAGGAGGGCAGCTCATTGTATGAATTGTGCATTTATCAGCAGAAGGTGGCGTCCAAAAATTGCATGGAAGATTTTTTAGTAAAATTAGCCCTTCAGACGTCTTTAAATAAGATTTCACAAGAGAGAAGAAATAATGCTTCCATTTAAGCGGGTAGGCTTTTTTAAAGGTCTCTTGACCTTTGGAATTTTTTACACTGCCATAATTATAGAACGGGAAATGCTTTTTGACAGCCAATGGAAATTGGGTTTTTAATAATGCATAGCTAACGCCGAGTTGGGTAGAAATTGAGATTTTTTGAGTCGCTCGCTTGTTTAGGTACTGTTTTACGAGCTCTTGTGTGGATTTAAACATTTCTTTTTCCTGCAAATTCAGCATTCTCATTTCAGCCATTTTACTTTCGTTTTCTTGCCTTTCAAGAATTTTTGATTTTTCCCAAGCTTGTCTCATGATTTCATCCTGACTTCTCATGTCTTTTCGTTTTGGTGAAGAAAGGTTTCGGAGACGAGCTTTTCTTGCATTTTCGTCTTGAAGATTGGCAGTGTCGTATTCTAAATCATATTTTAAGTAAGGGTTAAATTGCAGCTCTACTTTTAGCATTTTTTTGAGAACTGGATCTAATGGGAATTTTTTAGCCATTTCAAGGATATTTTTGCCTAGCCTCCATCTTTTTTCATCCTTCTGATATAACCCTTCTCTTTTGATATTTGCATACTTCTGCTTATGCTTCAAAATATTTTCATTTTCTTTCAACTTCCTCATTTCTTCTTCTTCTTTTTTTAGATTTTCTTGATTTTCAAAAAATGATGTAATAAATGACAAAATTTCTTCACTTTTACTGTTGTAAATTCCTGAGCGATATTTATCATCTTTTTCAATACTGCACCAGAAATCAAATAAGGTTCTTCCATTATTTGTATAATACCCATAGAAAATTTTATAAAGAGCCATAATTCTTGTAATCATAACATTTCTTGAGAAAAATCTATTCAATAAAATTTCTACTTCTTTTGGCTCTTGAGGAAACTTAAAGTCTTCTTGGTAAATTGTCTTGTCTCTTTTATTGAGCTCTTTGTCATTTGTCTCGGATTTGGGGCGCTCTTTTGGAATTTCTTTATAAAAAATAAATAATACTTCAGGCTCATTTGTATAAGACTGCTTCTGTTCTTTATGCTTTTCTATAAGCTTTAATATAGAATTTAGCTCGTCATATTTTTTTATCAGAAAATCCTGTGGAGGCAATTGGAGAGATTGAGAAGTGTTGATATTTGTAGAAGCCAAAGCGACAGGCTGCTTTATTGGCAAAGAATCAGCAGTAATTTTAAAGGATCTTGAAGGAAGTTTTCGCTTTTTCTTTGTTGGCGGCTTTTTTTGGGTAAAAACAGCTCCGATATTATCAAGTCTTGTGCTTGTTTTTTCCTCTTCTTTGACTTTGAAATACTCTATAAGGGTGAATTCAATATCATCTTCATCTATATTGCTATAAAGCTCTTCAGCTCCTCTAAATTTTCTGAAGAAACGCACTAATATTGTTACATTTTTCGAGCTAAATCCATTTTTCTTTTTAAAATTTTTCAATAACAATTCGATAATAGAAAATTCGATTTTCTGAGGATTTAAATTTTTTTTTCTCATTTTGCTCATCTTCAGTCTCATCTTTTCTTCTGCCTTAACTTTCTCAAGTTCTAGTCGCTTTTTCAATATATCGCCTTCATAAAAAGACCAGAGGGTATATTCTACATCTTCTGGGTTCAATGTTTGAAGCCAATCAAGTGTCTGATCTCTTTCATTTTCTACATAGTTTGGGAACCACGGTTCTCCTCCATAAAGTCTAGCTTGAGTTTCTTTGGTAAGCATCCCTTCTGTGAAAAAACTTTTCATGTTCACTAAAGACTTTTCTTTTCTTGATGAATAAAACTGGGAATTTACGATGTTTTTTAAATAGTACTCATATAATGATCTTCAATCAGCTGCTTTATAACCTCGATGCTTTTTGAATTCATAGTGAAGGATGTCAACAAATAAAGAAACTCGCTTTACTTCAATTTCTTCTTCAGTTTCGATTCGATTATACGGAGCAGCTTCAGGGGCTAGGACACTTGTTTGCTGAGGAGCGAAAGTATTTGTTTGCAACTTGCTATTCCAACTAAACGAAAGCTTGGGATCCATAATAATAAAATTATTGAATTGAATTTATGGGAATTATGCATAAAAACTGCAAAAGTCCTTTTGAATTTTTGAAAATTCTTGAGAGACTATTAATACTTAGCCAATTTTTTCTTTTTTTATTGCAATTGATAGATTTAAACATCTGAAATAATTTTTCATTGAAAACCAGCTTATATGTATTTTTTTGATTTTTAAGGAAAATTTAGATTTGCGCAGTTTTATCCTAATAAATGGCAGACGCAAAAGTGGAACAGGAAAAAGCTGAAGATGGGCAGGAAAACGCTCACCACGCTGCCCCTTCGAAAAATTCAATTAAAGTCAAACGTGGAGAATATCAAGTTCACATTTACTTAGAAGAAGCTCGAGGACTAGTCCCAAATAAAGAAGGGTAATTACGAATTAGTGAAACAATAGATCCAGTAGTAACCTTTACAATTTTTGGTCAAACTAAGTTCACCAAGCCAAAAGACGATATCTCGGCAGGCTCAGTAGTAACCTGAGGTGAGCATATTTTTTTTACCAGCCCAATATTAGAAGTAGAAGAGGTCGAGTCACAAAAAATCCTTATTGAGGTTAGGGATCATCGTTTTATGCTCAAAGACTCTTTAATAGGTCTTTATGAGCTAGACTTAATGTACGTCTACTATCAAGAAAAGCACGCAGTTGTCCATCAATGAATCGCGCTATGTAATGCTGAATCCAAAGATTTTCAAACCGTTAGAGGCCATATAAAGGTAGGCATCTGTGTCCAGTCAGAAGGAGACGAAGGTGCAGACCTGACAGCTAGAGAAGAAAAAGAGCCAAAAGATTCAGACACTCTTATGCCTCCACAAGTTATTCATAAATCATGCCAACTGATAGTTAGAATTATAAAAGCTGAAGGACTGCCTAAGCTTGATATAGCTAATGGGACAATTGATGCATTTTGTCAATTAGAGTTTGGTGGGGCTTCAATAAAAACTTCTATAGTCACAGCTGATAAAAACTTTTATTCTTCTAATTGGTACGAAGATTTATATGTTCCAGTTACTCTTCCATCTGTAAGTAACAAACTTACTATAAGGGTCCTTGATCATGATCCTATGAACAAAGATGACCAAGTCGGATCCTTAATCTTCAAATGGGACGATATAGAAGCAGGAAAGTATTCCGACTACTTCTGGAGCAATATTTATGGCGCCCAAAAAGACCTATCTAATGAGCAAGCGACAAGGATGAACAATAACCCTGACCTCGCCTCAAACTGACGTGGGAGAATCCTTATGAAAATGGAAGTCACAAACCCTGAAAAGCCTTGCTTAGATCTAAAAAAAATTGAAGAAAAAGGCATCAATGATTTTATTAGAAAAAACTATGAAATTGAAACTACTTATGAAATCCGTGCACAAGTTTATACTGCAGTAGGACTTTCAACAGCTTGTAATAAATATTCTGTTGTAGTAAGTTGGAGTGGGAAAGAAGTAGAAACAAAAACTTTGAAGCCAGAAAACGGAAAATGTGACTGGTTTGAGCTGCTGAAACGAAAAACTGTGAAAATTCCTGGAGAGGCTACTAAAACACTCCCTGATATTATGGTTAGGTTAGGCTATTTAAAGTCAGGCTAAACCATATTGGTGATGCAGTCACCAAAGACCTCCCATATGGAAGGTTCTACTGCTTTGCGACTCCAGCCCAGAGAGAGTATCCACCAAAAACTGGTGCCACTTTTGGTACCTTCTGTCTCTTCTTACCTTGCAACTTCTGTATTGAGTTGAAGGCTTATGGGTTTTTGCGGCGGGGCAATTGGAATAGCTTGACTCAAATTTCAGCTCTTTGGAGTCTGTCGGGTGTCGAAGTGCCTTCATTCGATAGCTACAGGAAAAAGACTGCTCCGCTGCTGCCTGGGCCGAAACTGGATCCAAAGGACGTTGCCGGGCATCTCCATTTTCAACTTCAGGAAAGCAGCCAAAACCTACCCAGATATACATACCTCAGGCTGCACTTGTTGCTTGACTCTGCGGCCATAAGGTCTGGACCGTTGCACAAAGAGGGAAGATTGGCACGTGTCGCAATTTTAATTTCATTCCCCTGATATTATGGTATTTTTGAAATATGAAGATAGTCATGTGTGTTTTGCAAGGCTAAATCCTTATGATTGGCAAGATTTAAAAGGAGAAGCCAGATGGATAGCAATGTGTCCGGAAAAATCAATAGGGAAGATAAAGAATGACTGGGAAGGAGGCTATATTTTATTGAGGCTTTATATAGGAGCTTTTGATGATGAGTCTGAAAATCTGACAATCGGAAGATGGAACGTCCCACCCAGAATCAAGAATAAACAGTCAGTTACACTTATTATTAATCTTTATCAATGCAGAAGTCTTCCTATTGCAGATTCTGATGGAGAGTCAGACCCATATATAAAAGTATACTGTTACGGTAATGAAGTAAAATCTACAACAAAAATGCACACTTTAAACCCTATGTGATACGAAACCCTTCAATTGAAATTCGAAATTATGTCAATGAAAGACAACCCACCCATCGTTATTTATGTGTTTGATGAAGATCAATATAGCGCTGACGATCTCATAGGAATGTGTGTTGTTCCTCTCCAAGAGTCAGCAATTGATTATTCAGATGCAGCTGCTCCTGAATGGCGACCTCTATCATTAGGCAAAACCAATTCTAATTGTGGAGAAATTTTGGTATCATTTAATTTATACAAAAGAGAAGATGCGCAGCCTGAATATAATATTTTTCCTAAATGCATTGAGACTATCGTAGAAATTAACTGCTTAGGGCTCAGAGATAATTAAAATATGGCGTCTTCGTCTGGGCATGGCCTCCGGCCATGCAGCCTCGACTCATATTTTAATTATATCCGGCAAGGTTTTGCCATTTCGGAGATGGATGGCAATGCTAGGTAAGCAATTCTGGTGGAGTACAGAGCCTAGCCCTAGTCTACTCTCAGAGATGGTTTTTTCCTCGTGGGGAAGGAAAGCACGGCAGTTGGAAAGGGGAAGCCCCAGCAGAGTCCACACGACCCATCGGGCAGCTCCCTAGCGTGAAACTGGGCGTTACGTCCCAGGCTACGTGTTTTTCCTTTTTGCCGAAAGCCTACCAGAAAATCCATTTTTTGGGTTTTCGGAATGGCAACCCATGTCACAAGCAAGTAGCTCATTCATGAGCCGTCGAAGCCGGCAACACTTGCCCCTAGGCGCACCTTGGTGAACGAAGCGGACCGGCCCAGAGGTCTGTGGGCCCGATGCGACGAAAGGCGAGAGGAGGTCTGGGCTTAGCCAACCCCGCAGTGGACGTTAAGCGTTATAATTAGTAAGTTAAGTTAAGCTTAGGGCTCAGAGATTTGGTGCCAGCTTTAGGGTGGCTCCCAATTAATAAAGCATTCGTTAAGTTCGATATGAATTCTTTACAAGTCCCAGGTGAAAATTTAATGATCAGAAATATTGAAACTCAGCCGTCTGAGCCAGGGAGAAACCCGAATATCAGCTCTATCGTAAAATTTGATTGCAAAATGCCTGTAAATAAGCTATTTTGTCCTACACTTTCTTGCAATGTGTACGATAACCTATTTAAAGGTCTTTCACAGCCTCTCATTGGAACTTTTGCTATAAATCTAGGCGAAATTTATCATAAAAGCCGTGCAAAGCGTAGAAGCAAGAAAAAGCACCCATTAGAAGAAGACAAAGAAATCGATACAAGAGAAGAAAAAAATGATTTAATCCCAGTCAGAATGAGAAAACCGACTGTTGCAGAAGCAGTAGAAGGGAAATTTGTCATAATGCCTGAGTATGAAGTAAACTCTGAAGGCAAACCAATCGAGATGAATCAGCCCTGCGACAGCTATATTCAGCTTGGCTATGATCGTAAAGCTGGCGACAATATTATGCATTACCGCTATATATGTGATGACGAGCTAGAGAACACAGACTATATTGACAAATGCCCGTTTGAAAAATTCAGCATAAAAAGAGGGCAAGACAAAGGCGTCGAAGATAACTGGCTCCTTATGTTGTCAGCCAACAAAGATAAAGAAGGGAATTATAGCACTTTAAAAGAGACTGGAATTTTTAAAGGGTTAATAAGGGTTTCTAGAAAGTCGAAAGAAGAAGAAAGAGAAGCAAGAAAAACAATGGAGCATAAAAAGACAGACTTAATTACCGGCCGCCTTGCTAAATCAGGGAAACTCGCTTATACTGAGCTGGCTGCTGCTGTTTTGTCAAAAAAAATGGGAAAAGAAGAGATGGAAACTGAAGATTCTGATGAGGAAGAGCTAGAGCACTTTGAAAGTGTAAGAAAAATGCTGCTTGTAAAAACCCAAGTTATTGTAAGGCTTTATATTATTGATGCTATGAATTTGGCGCAGAAAGACTGGAAAAGTAACTCAGACCCTTATTTGCGTATCAAGCTGCAAGATCAGGTCATTGATGACTCTGAAAATTTCCAAGAAGATGAGCCAAATCCGAAGTTCTGAAAAGTTGTTGACTTAAAAACGACACTTCCTGGAGCAAGTCGAATAAAAATCCAAGTTTGGGATAAAGATAATGTACTAAAAGACGATAAAATAGGGACTACTATTATAGACCTTGAAGACAGGTACTTCTCTACGAAATGGAGAAACTTAAAAGAAAAGCCTATCGAAACCCGCACGCTAACCCACCCATCTACAAAAATAATTCAAGGACAAATAAGACTCTGGCTTGAGATGTTTTCTACTAATGAGGCTCCTGCCCCATGGGACATTTCTCCACGCCCACCGACTGCATTTGAGGTTCGCTTAGTTGTGTGGCAAACTAAAGGGGTAGCCAGCTATGATACTGAAGATACCTCAGATTTATATGTCAGAGCATGAATCAATGATGAACACCCTAAAGAAACTGACACCCATTACCGCTGCCAAAATGGAAAAGGCTCTTTTAACTGGAGAATGAAGTTTCCACTATTAATGCCACGTGATAATTGTTATGCCAATATTCAAATCTGGGACCGTGACATGCTTTCTGCAAATGATTTTATAGGAGACGCAAGTTTCAGCTTCTCTGAGCTCGCCAAAAAAGCTTTTGAAAAACATATGAGAGTTAAGAAAGAAGCTGAGGCTGGGATGTTTGATTTTCTTACAAAAAACGAAAAAGATAAGATCTGGCTGCCTTGTAAGCGAAGAAAAGATGATGGAAGTTTTGAGAATGTCGGCAACGTTTTGGTATCGTTTGAAATAATTCCGAAAGAAAAAGCAGAGGCTTGCAAAGTAGGAGAAGGAAGAGATGAGCCTAATGTAGACCCATACTTGCCACCGCCATTTGGGAGGTTTAAGTGGTCATGGAACCCAATCACTTTGATTAACCAAACCTGTGGGCCAGAATTTCGAGCAAAAATATGTTGTGCGTTTTGCTGTATTTTATGCTGCTATATCTGCATAATGCTGCAAACTCCAAGGTTCCAAGCAGCATTAAGAGTCAGGCTGAAAGCAGGAGGAGAGCTATCTTGGTAGAAATGCTGACATACACAGAGACTCTAGCAGCTGAACGAGTCTTCGTAGAAGACTCGTCTCGGGTGAAACGTAAAAAGAGGAAGAGTCCTAATATATAACTAATTAATTAATCTGCATAATGATTTTGCCAATGATAATAGGCTCAATTGCTGGCAATGCGAGCAAAAAGTCTTAAATTAACTTAAAATCGATAGTTACTTGGTTGTCAATATAATCTTAATTATGATCGTGAGTCTACTATTTTTCATTTATTCTTAACTTATTCAGGACTTTTTGAGATAGTTCTGCATTAGTATTAGAAGAGTTTTGTGGTAAAGCATTATAAGAAGGGCTTATCAAACTATCAGCAGGTTCAAAAGAAGAATTTCGCTGACTCCCCCCCCCTTTAAATTGAAACAAAATATAGGTAAAAATTCCTACTTTTTTGGGAAATTACCCCCCTTTAAATTGAAACAAAATTTTATAGGTAAAAATCATTATTTTATATGTAAATACGTTAATACCCTATTTAATATGCTTCAAACATATAAGATTTAGAAATTAAACTCTATTTTGTCCAATTGTTATGGGGAGAGTTAGAAGAATACCATTTCAGCAAGTTTACACTTTTGAGATTGAGAAATTTATGAATTAATTTTTCATGAAATTTAAATTAAAAATCAAACACAGAATGAACCATAAAATTTTATCTCTGAAAAAATTTTTATATATAAATTTTTTTATAAAAAAATTTTCTTAACCCCCCTTTAAATTGAAACAAAATTTTTTGTTTCAATTTAAAGGGGGGGGGGAGTGAGGAATTGCCTGACAATAATCTGGAGAGGTCTCAGAATAGATTGGATACACTGACCTAGTATATGAAGGAGACGTTGGCGAATATCTCACCTTTGATGAACTACTAGAATCCTCCGATCCCTGCATATTTTTATTAGAAACAAATCATTATTTATTATCTAGACTGTTGAATTTCTTCCTCTTCTTCATCACTCTCTTCTTCAATAGGGCTGCATTTTCCAGGAAGATGCTGCAAGTCAGTTGTCCTAACCGGATTATATCTTGGAGATGAAGGGTTATAAGAAGGACTTGCAGGACTATATGCAGGGCTCGAAATATATGGAGAGTATGCAGGAGCTCTTGTATGCGGCGAGGTAGAGCTTAACCCTGAATAAGCAGGGCTTTGTGCAGGAGAAGTAGGCGAATAAGTGTGAGAAGTGGGAGAATAAGCAGGGGAAGTTGGCGAATAAGCCGGAGATGTAGGGGAATATGCAGGAGAAGTAGGCGAATAATGAGGAGAAGTAGGAGAATATGCTGGAGATGTAGGTGAATATCCAGCATGGGAAGGAGAATAATATGGAGAAGGTGATGGGAAATGCTGCATGTTAGGAGAAGTTGTATGGGAAACACTTGGAGAAGTGATACTATATGGACTAAATGGTCTCATTGAGCCTGTTGATGGAGAATAGCTATGCAAAGAGTCGGTATAGCGAGGGCTTGATATCACATTTGGAGACGGCTGGTATACAGGTGAATGGATCACTGGGGAATATCTCACAAAAGGACTGCTGTGGCTTGCAGGACTAGGAACAGTTTCATAAGGCGAAAAACTGCCATATATGTGTGGAGTTTCTCCTCTGGGGGTAGTTGCCATTGAACTTTCTGGTAAGATCACTCTTGGGGTTGCAATATTAATAGGTGTCCCTACACTGTTAGGATCAATAGAATAGCTTGAAGGCTCATCTAACATATCAGGATTTTCCAGAGGATCATATATAGTCGCAGCGTTTACAATCATATCAGTGTTTATCATGACATCAATTTCTCCAGTCCCAATTGGTGCTAGCTGGCCTAGCATAATATTTTCAGTGACACCTTTCAAATAGTCGACTTCTGAGTATGCTGATGCTTCAAGAAGCATTTCTACAGTTTCTTCGAAAGAAGCCTTTTTCAATGGGCCACACTCGGTTCTGTTGATACCATGCCTGGTGATGCTCATTAAATAGCCTCTTTGAGTCATGACATCGCATAAAATAGAAAGATGGCGGTAGTTGACATAGATACCGTAGACATTCAGGACTTCTCTTACTCCCCTTCCATGAGCGAAAAAAAATTTTTGTTCACTTACTAGAGATTTCATTATAATAATTATCACTTATATATTAATTTTTTTTTTTATAAAAAATCGCTATATTAAAAAATTTTTTGTTCGCTGACTAATGGTGGGCTTTTACCAAAAAAATAGGGATTTTTTCACTGGTTTTATTCGCCTATGGAGGGGAAGTTAGTTCTTTCATGAGTCCTTGCCTTACAGCTTCAATGCCTAATACCCTTGTAATTTCAACTAGATCGTTAGAAATCGTTTTTTTAGGGTCAACTCCTTCTAATGCTAAAACACTTGCCAGATTGACACCATCAGTTTCCAGTCTCCATTGCTTTTGTCTGGCTATAGCTCCATCTTGGTTTATATAAGTAGTATTAACTTCTTTCATGACGACCTTGGTAATGTCCTCAATCCCTTTCAACCACAAATCTTGTAGCATATTTCCTTCAAGCTCCTTTAAAAACTTCCATGTGGAAAGCTGCTCATCAGACAAGTTATTTTCTTCATCGTTCATGACACGGATTCTAAGCACCAGCCTCTCGTCGTTATCATCTGAATAAATGCAGTGGAGATCTCCTGGATACTCTTGGTTAATTTGGTTGTGGATGTCAAGCATTGTGATATTTTTATCAATAATTGCAATTTTGTTAAGGACTATTCTAAGTAGCCATGGAGACATTTTTTCTGCTGAGACTCCTTCATCAGGCATTAACCAGTAGCTCTGCACAAATTCTAAGTCTTCTTCTATAATAGTGCTGGTTGGATCCGGGTCATAGTAGATTTCTGAAGCTTCTACTACATGTCCTAAGGTAGTATATTCCATTTGACTGAGGACTTCTTTTGCAAAATCACTATCACCAGCTTTTTCTGGTGTCAAATAAACAGTTAGTGAAGGTGTTTTTATCTTTTTGGCAACATTTATGATTTCTTTCAGTCTTGGCACACCTAAAGTGACGTTTTTAGATGAAACTCCAGCAAAGTGGAAAGTGTTTAGCGTCATCTGTGTTGCTGGCTCTCCCAAAGACTGTGCTGCAATTGACCCAACCATTTCGCCAGGGTGAGACTTAGCTTGGTAAAACCTTGCTTCAATTTCTCCAAGCAGCCATTCAAAAGCTTCATTTGTAAGTCTTTCTTTTATTATTGCTCTTTTAGCAGAAATCAAAGACCTGACGTGGATAATAAAAAGCTTAGTTGCATCATTTTCTGCTCCAACTCCACACTTTTCAAAGCCACTTGTAAATGAAATTTTGTCAAAAAGTGCCTGTAGCCTTTCTATCGCCCGAACAGGGTGTAAATCGCTTTTATTTAGACCTGTAATATTGAATTTCTTCTTGGCGTTCCATATAAGCCTCTTTATGTTTACAGGGAAATGCTGCTTATCATCAAGATTCGCAAAAATGACTCTGAGGTCTCTTTGGTCTGGTTCTTTCTCACGGCACCTACACTGTAAAGTCTTTTACAGTTTATTTTTTATCACCTATATTTTAGACTATTTTCTTGCCTATTTTTTTGTAGTGTTTTTAATAATAAAATGGAATCATTTCAATAGCAATTAGACAAAAAACATAAATAAAAAATAATTAAAAAAGTCGATAAAATAGATCAAAAAATATAAGTGGAAGAATAGTCAAAAAAATTGGCTGGAAAAAATAGTAGTTGTAGTAAAGATGTCATGTGAAGTCACTCTTTGGTCTTGCTTAATCTGTTCAAACTCGTCAACCATTCTTTTTTGATGATCTGGATGGCGTAAAATATCATTGATGATTTCAGTGTCTATCGCATTTCTATATTTTTCCATAGTTACATCAGGCTCTTCTTTACTAGGGTCAATTATTAAAATAAACGGCTAATCTGGGTCATAAGTGGGGAACCCGCTAGCCTTACCTCACCTCAGCTCCAAAAGAGCAGCCTCCATAGACCTCCTGGTTGAAATGAGGAAATAGAAGGCTATCTATCTTGAATTTTCGACCTGAAATACCTGTCCAAAGGATTAACTCCCTTGGGCAGAGCCACCGTCTGAAGAGTGCCCCGCTGGTTCCAATAAGGAAGCACCATGTGGTAGGCAAAGCCTGTCTCGCCCATATGGCAGGGATAAGAAAACCTTCGTGGGAGAAACAAAACTTCCCTCCTCAGTAAGGTATCACTAAGGTTTAAAGGCCTACTTCAAAAAGGGGAGAAACCCTGTTTTCAGCTTTATCAGGATGGTCTAAGCTCCATAGGGAGTCCAATTTTCCTCAACGAAACCATTTAATTTCTATGCTAGGGTCAAGGGAATTCAAAGTTTTTCTTAACTCCCCATTTTGGTTAGCGAGCAAGAAATATTTACTTAACAGAGGAATGTTTTTAAAAATTTATTAAAAGAATCAAATTGCAATATTTGAAGGATAACTAAAATCATTATCACCAATCTACAACTATATTTTATTAAATTTTCGATAGTTTATTTTGTAAAACGTAAACTTTAAAATAAAATAGATTGTATATTAGAATATAATTTATCTCAGTAAATATATATAAAATGTTTTTTGCTTGATTAATTTTTCCAAAGGGATTTTTTAATGATTTTGCTCGCTAAACAGAGGAAGTAAGCACTTCTAAGTCCATCTTCAAGCTTTCCATAGCTTGATCTTCTATATATTCTCCAGCCATTCCGTCTTCTCCATATAAGAACTGTAAAATCATACCAGTCGAGTTTCTGACTGTGCCATCGTATTTGACCATGACATCTTCTAAAGCTTTCATAAGCCTACGCTGAATGTAGCCAGTTTCACTAGTTTTAACTGCAGTATCACTTAGTCCTTCTCTGCCACCCATAGCATGGAAGAAAAACTCTTGAGGTGTTAGCCCAGAAATGTAAGAATTTTCAACGAAGCCTTTAGATTCAGCACCATAATCATCTTTACAGAAGTGAGGGATGGCTCGCTTGGTGAAGTTAAAAGGAATACGCTTGCCTTCTACATTTTGTTGGCCGACACAAGACATGATCTGACAGATGTTAATTTCTGAACCTTTGCTTCCTGCATTGACCATAGCTCTGACGTTATTTCTCACACTTAAAGACTTAGCTGCTAGTTCTCCTGCTTTATCACGAGCAGCGTTTAGCTTGGTATTCACTTTAAATTCGAAACTCTCCATCATATTTTTGCCAGGCTGGCAAAGCTATGCTTAAAATTAACCTGGCCATAAGCGCTGAAGCACTACCCTTTGCCTTGTCTCGGTTTGAAAAAAGCAGTCCCCATAGATCTCAGAGTGCAAATGAGGAAATTAGGAGTCTGCCCTCTTGGATGATCCGAACTTAGCCTCCTGTCTAGGGATTAGCTCCTCTGGGCAAAGTCACTGGAAAGTGCCCCGCTTGCCCCGATAAGGTATAGCCAGAGGTGTTTTATAGGGATAGGCAGCATTTAGGCGAGAAAATATAAGCCCCTATTTCGTCAGGCTATCTTTGAGATGTCTACTTCGCTCACTAGGAGCACTTTTCGCCACTATCGCGCCTGCCTACTGCTCTATCAGGAGGTGTGCCTTGGGTCCAATTTCGTCATCGTTACCATTTAATTTTTCTTCCAAGGCTGGCAAGGAATTTTACCTTCTCTCGCACGTTGAATTAATTTGTTAATTTTTTGTTTCGCAGTTAGCAGTGTTTTCTTGATTTCGTTTAAGCTTAGAGGATCTGCTAAAGCATCAGCAATTCCTACAGAAAAACCATGGATAAGCAGCCAGTTGTTTATGACTTTTTGGCATTGTGATAAGAAATCAGAGGTAGCTTGTGGCCCATGCTCCATCCAAATTACGTGAATAAGTGACCCTGATGAAGCTCCGACAGTTCTCTTGTCTACAATTCCAGTTAGTAATTCTCCTCTTTCTATTAAAACTTCTGTATCTCTGACTGATGCGTCTTTTTCAGGGTCATGGGTGCTTGAATACCTCAAAATGTTTACTTCAGGGATGATAAGGGAAAACACTTGCTTGCCAGTCCACAATGGCCGAGGCTTAAGAATTGCAGGATTCGGGAGTTTTCCGTTAAAAGCTTCAACCCACATCAGCAAATTCATGACTTCATGAAGCTCAAGAAACGTGTCTCTCCTTGTAAATAGTGAGCACCCCAAAAGTGAATCTTGGACAACACCCATAACAGGCCTATTTCCTTGTGGTGACACAATTTGTCTAGGCACATGCATGATTTCTCGTAATTCTGCTTTAGTCTCCAAGCTTTGAGGGACATGCATATTCATTTCATCACCATCAAAATCAGCATTATAAGGCGTGGTGACTGACAGGTTAAGCCTAAAAGTAGAATATGGCAGCACTTTAATCCTATGTGCCATCATAGACATTTTATGTAGTGATGGTTGTCTGTTAAATATCACATAGTCATCGTTATTTATATGCCGCTCTACTTTATAGCCATACTCCAAATGCATTTCTGTATTTCTTCTGACATATCGTAAATCAATAGTTGACCCATCTGTTCTTATGATATATTTCGCGCCTGGATGCTGCCCTGGGCCATTTTCTACAAGTTGTCTCATTTTTTCCATGTTGAAATGAGTCACAGTCTCAGGGATTGTCAAGTTAAGCGCAATAGTTCTTGGTACTCCAAGCTGGTCTAATGACAAATTTGGGTCAGGAGTAATGACTGTTCTTGCTGAAAAATCGACTCTTTTCCCCATTAAATTTCCTCTAATTCTGCCTTCTTTTCCTTTAAGTCGTTGACTTATACTTTTTATCGGTTTTCCAGATCTGTGCTTTGATTGAGGTTGCCCAGGTAATTCATTATTGAAAAGTGTGGCTATATGGAACTGAAGGACCATGGTGTCTTGGTTGATTAGATGCTGGGCTGCGCCGTTCTGGATTTCATTTTGAAGCTTTATATTTGTTTTGATGATCTGAGTGTACTGGTGAGTTAAGTCATCTTCTGATCTCAATGAAGAATCCAACGCGACATAAGGTCTGCACACAGGTGGAGCCACTGGAAGTACTTGAATAATCATCCAATCAGGCCTTGATCTTGCAGGGTCAAATCCTAAGGCTTCACATTCCACGTCAGAAATTTTTTTGAGGATTCCCAAAGCTTCTTCTGCGCTCAATTTCCTTTTGCGGTCTGGACAGTTGTCAACTGCTTCAGCGAATTCCACAGTAAGCCCGATGCCATCCTTGACGATTTTTGGCTGGACACAGCCACAAGGGCCGAACTCTGAGCCTTCGATTTCGTCGTCGCCTTTTACTGGAGCTCCAGCTGTGCATCTTTTGATCCCTTCGCAGATCTTGTAAAGCTTTTTGCCTCTCGCTTTAGGCGATTTTATGGACACAGCTTCTTTGAACTTAGGATCGTTTTGGTCAGCTAGTAGCCTTGAACACTTGAAGCAGACTGAACGCAGAGTGCGCCGAAGCTCATTGAGGAAGCCAATGTGGTAGACTGGCCTGGCTAGTTTTATATGCCCAAAGTGCCCTGGACAGTCGTTTTTCTTGCCGTTGCAGGTCTTGCAGAGTAGGAGATTGTCGTTAGTTCCCATATGAAGATCGTTGATACCTCCATCGCGGGGTCGGCCTTCTTCGTCGTAGATGTCAGTGTGGGTGATCTGGGCACATGACATAGCTTCAATTTCGTCTGGTCTTAAGATGCTCATTGTAATCCCTGTCACCTTGTGAGTTTCAGCGGTAGACAGGGTAATTGAAGAACCCGATCTTGACATTAAAATTATTATATCCCCCTAAAATCAAGCTTAAATGTATATTTTAAGGCATTTTTATTAAGGGTCATCAGCCAAACGAGCCAAAATTTTTGGATAGGAAGCAGGAGATACCAGGGGTGGGGAATTTTTGATGGAAAATTTTGAAGATTTTGAAAGGAAAGTATGGACTGGGAAGGATTTCTGGCGAGGCGATTTGGGAAATGTGATAATTATTTAACCTTAAATATGGTTATTTAAATGGATAAAATACGAAGTATTTCGGCCAGGCGTCGCTGCTGAGGTTCATGATGGAGAAAGAGAGATCATTGGGCGCTCTTGAGGAAATAGCTTCTAATCTCAAAGTATCGTGGGCTCCTGAAAAAGTTGAGCAGATTTTGAAGTTGTAGGTATAAACTTCATGCTTAGCTAAAAGATGCATGACAATTTGGCTTTTCTTCTTAGCCCATTCTCCAACTCTTACCCCTTCATAAATCTTCGATACATTATGCGCGATATCCCTTGGCTTTTTCGCTGTGGTAAGGCAGCAAATTGAGAAATCGTCGTAAAATCTAAAATAGCGATAGAACACTACTTTTTGATATGTTGGAATATTCATGATATTGGCTTCTCCTTGCTTGTAATAAATAGTCTTTGAAGCATAAACACCGTTGAACTTTATTCTTGGGCGTTTGATCCACATATTCCTCCAGTTTTTAAATGATTTTATACAATACGAGCTAAGTTGGCTCAATAGTTAAAAAATATAGTCACTATTTATTTCTATTACAACTATATGAACAGCCAAAATATAGTGGCAGATTTATTCAAATTTTCTATAAATATTCTTCAGGTTCTTTATATTCTTCAGGGAAATTAGCCCCCCAGAGCACTGAGGTTTGATTAAAGGGTTGCGGAAACACATTTTCATCAGGCCTTGACTGCTCTTTATTCCATACTCTTTGACAATCTATTTTATATAAATAATTCGTAGAGAGATCAATGTGCTTCCATGTCCTACAAACAGTTGCACATTTACCCCTATCGCAAGGGCTTAAGAAGCTAAAAATTTCTTTGAGAATTTCATCAGAAATGTAAAAAATCACAACAGTGGTATTGATATATTGAGGACTCAAGCTAAATTCAAGCGCAATTTTCCCGCGTGTCGGACCTTCTACCACATTTTCTATAAGTGTATCGTTATTTGGCTCCACAATGTCATTAAGTTCAATTTCTCGAGAAATTTTTTCTTTGATTTCTGACGTCGTCTGATGAATTTCAGGCATATTCTCAGGCGCCAAATCTTGAAGATAGAGCGCTGACTTTTCTATATCATAGCAATTCAGTTTCCAAGCTTCTTTTATTTCTTGCCTTGTAAAGAGATTTCCGAATATTTTTTCGAGTTCAATTAGGCCCCTTAGAGATGATGGATTTTGGATTAATGCAATACCCTCATCAATGCTCTGAGGGGCTAATAAATCTTGGGTGTCGTTGTAAATGTTGACGTTCGCTTCCATGGTTTGCGCTTTTAAATTTTTATTGAGATTATTTGTATTGATTTTCAAACATTTCTATCAGATTGAGAAAAACATTATTGATTATTAATTGAATTAAGCCTAAAATCTGTATACCCAAAAGTTTAATTTGGTAAAATAATGTTATTTTATTTATTATGAATTAGGTAAAGCTGGACTTAATCAAAAACTTATAACAAAATGTCTGTTTATCATAGAATGGCTGATGAAGAGAGAAAACTTGCAAAAATTATTGATTATTAATTGAACTAAGCCTAAAATTTGTATCCCCAAAAGCTTAATTTGTAAAATAATGTTCTTTTATTTACTATGAATTAGGTAAAGTTGGACTTATTCAAAAACTTATAACAAAATGTCTACTTATTATAGAATGGCTGATGAAGAGAGAAAACTTGCAAAGACACAAGGAGTGGTAAGACTTATGAAGGTAGACTACTATGAAAGCTGCTCTGATAAATGCTGTAGATGTGGTCGTTACAAACTTACATATGATGAAATCGAAGCGCTAAACCAATTGCGATCTCGATGCAAAATCCTTTATAATAAAGATAACGCTGCTCATACCGAAATGCTAAAACAGCTATGAAGAGTCACTTTTCCCGAGCTGGAGCCTCCTGAGGACTGTATTTCAGTAAAATGAAAAGAAATTGGATTTCAAGGTACTGACCCTGGAACTGATTTTAGAGGTGCTGGAATTTTTGGGCTGCAGCAAATTTTATATTTAGCAACCCACTACCCACAAGAGTACAAGCAATTTATTGAATCAGCCACAGACTACTCTTTTTGCATTTCTGCCTTAAATGTCACAGTATGTTCTACTTACTCCCCCGTAAGCGAAATTTTGTTCGCTCATATAGGGGGTGTTAATAATTTAAAAAAATTCTAATTTGTAAAAATTGAGATAAAATTAATTTAATTTGTTTAATTTACGTTTAAAATGCAATTTGTTTAAAATTGAACAGAATGAGCTAGAGATTTCATTATACTAATTATCAGTTATATATCAAAATTTTGTTCATACAATATTTTTGTTCGTTCACAGAGGGTGGGTTTTGGGCAAAAAAGATTTTCCAAATATGGAGGGGGGATTAGCATTTCTATATGTATTATTTTCAACTTCTAGAGAATAGGGCTGTAGGAATTCCAGGACTAAGAAGAGCTGCACTAAAGCCTATGAAAGTATTTTGTGGGCTAAACTTGCTAGATAGTGATGCCATAAATGAAATCTTTGTAGCAGCAGTTTTTAAAATGCATGCAGAATGGCAGGAATTGAAAAAGACACGCAAAGTTAATGTTATGAATTTCCCAACAGTTATTATTAGAGCAGTTAATTATGTTGAAGATATTTTATATACTTTACCACAAGATATTGCAAAATTCAAACAATTGGCCTTTAATTAGAAATTTAAGTTACGAAGTTCCTGCCATTGCAAATAAGTTTTTAAAATGACTGATCTCATAATTAATAAGCTTATTTTCTTTTATAGGGGTGTCGATGGCAAGAATTCTGCTATCTTCTCTTTCTATTTCTTCTTTGTCATCAAGGTTTTTCTTTTCATAAAAATAATTTTGGTTGATTTCTTTTAATTTTTTTGCACAATTTGAAATTTCAGTCATTTCTTTGTCAGGGGTGTGAGGCGCTTTAGATTTTTTGGATTTCATGAAGACTTGCTTTTTTATTGTGTGAGCATTATTTAAATTTCGGTCTACCTGAAGCTTTTTCTTTTCGTTTTTGATAACTATATTACGGATTCTTTCACTTTTTCTGACTGGGGATGTAGGAATTTTTTTAGTAATCATTTTTGGGGCTTGATTTTTCTTACTTCCCACTCCTTGAGCGAACAAAAACTTTTGCTCGCTCTAGGAGGATAGTTTTAAAAAAAATTATATAAATTTTCTAGTAAAATTAGATTTTTTGAAAGTTAAAAAAATCCCAATTCGCAAAGATAGAAATCAAATATTTATTAAATTCATAAAATTAGGTTTTAAAAACGCTAAAATAGGATTTTTCCAATGTTTTTGTTCGCTCGATAAGGGAGGCAGTTAGGTGAAGACTGGACTATAATAATTTTGTTTAAATAAGTCTCAGTTTCATTTTGAAGCTCGATCAGCTCAGAAAATTTCAGCAACACTCCAGAATCCAACTGAGTTGCATATCTAGGTAAAAACTCTGTAACATAATATTTATAAAAGGCTGTTGAGTCTTCTTCAATAGCAAGCTTTATACACAAAGTCCTCACTAACTCACCAATTTTTAGTCAGAATTTTGGATCTTGATTAAACTCAGATGCCCTTAGTAGCTCACAATTGAGCATAAGCTGAACCTTTAGCTGAAACTGAATAGCAATTACAGTAGTAGTGTGAATAATATTATCTAACTACCCCTCCGTGAGCGAATATTTTTTGCAAAATTTATATATAAATTCTATATTAAATTCTTTCGAAATTTAAAAAAATCCCTTCGTAAAAATTAATTTAATTTGCAAAATTTAAATATGCTGTTTAAAATTATTTAGAGATTTTATTATAATAATTATCACTTATAAATCTAAAAATCCTTTTCAAAAATTTTTTGTTCACTTATGGAAGGATAATTTCACCCAGAAAAAGGATTTTTCCCAATGGTTTTGTTCGCTCTCGGAGGGGAGCAAGAGGAAATCTTTAAATATTTCTGGGAGAACTGAATAAAGATCAATGCTATGAATTTTCAGAATTGAGATTATTGTGTCTAACACATTTATAAGTTTACGAAAAGTTTCAGTAGAATTTTCAGAGTTTTGGGCTGAAAGAATATTATATAGTTCTTTTTTGAAAAATCCCGGCATGCATGTGACTAAGAAAATATGTTCAAGTTGGTCACCTTCCATTATAAATTAATCAAGAATTGCAAAATTTCGGCTCTATTAAAATTTGCTAACAAGCTGAATTATTAAGAAGGCTTTTTAATTTTATTTTAGATGTTAAAATGCTAGAAAGTGGCAATATAAAAATAGCTTAGCCTATATTTATGACGGATTGATGATATTTTAAAATATCTTAATTAAGGCTAAACAAGTAAGTAATTTAAAAAATAGCTTTTTCATACTAATAAAATTTTAAATAATTGATTATGCATATAAAAAAATGCTAAGGCTTTTGAGATAATATTTGCAGTAATGGAATTTAAATAATGATTTCTCCATTAATTAAATGAAATTGATTTAAATTTAAGATCATAAAATTTACAAAAAATCACTCATTTTATTTCTTCTGTCCCAAAAAAATAAGTTATTTAATCTTTAATAAATATATTCAAAAATTAGAAATGAAAAGCTCAACGAGATTTGATAAGAATTCTACAGACCCTCCTTTATCCAAGCAAGCATCTCATTCTATATATAGCATTTTAGAATACGAAGAACATCAAAACCCGAATTTGCCTATTAACCCGAATTCTCTTCAGTACACAGAAAAAGGCCTTAATATTAAGCTACGCCAGTTCTTATATTTTGATAAAAATCATATTTCTATCTCCAAAGAATTCAAGAATAACTTGATGGTATTTTATATATTTTTAAGTTCCTACCTGATTATTTCTTTTGCTACTTGGGTCCTTTTATATAATCAAGGCTATTCAAATGAGACTCATTTGATTATTAGACTTGTGTGATTAGGAATTATCCTTATTATATCTTATTTTCTATTATATAAGATTTGGAAGGATCCAAAAGCATCAATTCATGCAGAATATATATTTCTATTTATTGGGCTATTAATTTTACTTTATTTAGTGATCTGTGATGAAAGGGTCCTGAGTGGAATTACCGATGAAGACTACAATAGAAGCAACCAGTCTCATGTCTTAGCAATCGCTTGCTTCTTTATCCTAATAAGGCTTGTAACTTATGAAAAATTTCTGATTCTAGCCATTCTTTCTTTTATTACTTTGATACTGCTTTTGATTTTATTTTTGGCTCTTTCTCCTTTATCAGTCTATGCGACCTTATCAGATTTCTTCATACTACTCGTATTCTTAGTTCTTCAAATTGCAGAAACCTACCAATCTGAATACAGAATTAAGCAACTCTTTTGGAGAAAAACAAAAGAAGAAGAAGCTCTAAATCCAAGCAAAGGATCATTAGAAGAAGATGAAGTCAAAAAAGATAACAATTTGCCTCCTTTGAATACAGAAATTGAAGCCTTAGTCCAAGCTTGTGACAAAATCAAACAGTACATAAAAACAGCATCTTCAGCCATCATGTTCAAAGATGTGAAACTGAAGCTGAAAGCTGCTCAGAATGAACTAGAAAAAATTAAAAGAACTGTTGCCCACAATTATATAAGAGAAAAATGAAAAGTCGACTTTGGAGAAGATATGGATGAGATTGACAAAGAATTTATTAGGCAGCATTATATGAACAGTGCAGCTGCTCATGAAGCTCGAGCATCTGTTCGCAAAGTTACAATGAACGAAATCAATACAAATGAAAAATCGAGCTCTATCCCATTCAATGAATCAGGATTGAAGGAGTTGGAAACTATAATAACTAGTGTTGGAAAAAATTGGAATTTTGATATATGGTATCTTTATCAAGCAACAGGAAGAAGCATTTCTATTCTTGGCCCATATTTATTCCAAAAATGGACTTTCAACAAGATTTTCCAAATAAAAGATGATACAATAAGAGTCTTTTTTGAAGCTGTATGGTCAAGCACAGGTAGCAACCCTACACCCCCACCCCACAAAAAAGTGGTACCCCCACCCCCCCTTTTTTTAATGGTACCCCCACCCCCCCCCCCTTTTAGTGGCACCCCCACCCCCCCTTTCACAGATGGCACCCCCACCCCCCCCCTTAATACAGTATAGATATATCACAAATGCTAATTTAGAGCAGGCGTAATAAATAAATTATTATTTTAGATATTAAAAATTACTGATTTATACAATATCATATAGCGTAGCGCAATCGATTAAGGAGTAGTGAAAATTTCCTACAACTACTAAGAACCCCACATCTGAAGAAATTTGCTGACAAGCATAATGATCTTTGGTATTAATTAGCAGTATATCCTGTATATATTTATGAACTTTGTGGAACAATGGCTAAAGAGTCCATTTAGAGATCTAAAATTAAAACTGACAATAGCAAATACTATTTTTATTAGCACATTGCTTTTCAAATGAAAGAGATGCTCTATATAAGTTAGGCAGTAGAGAATAAGATATGGAATGCTATAAATAAGCTATCAGAGTTGATCCAAAATTATGCTGATGCATACAATAGCATAGGAGTTATCTTCTATAAAGAAAAGAGTTATGAAAAAACACTAAAACATTGTAACGATGCAATTAAAAAACCAAAACTGTGGAGATTATTATTATTATAATAAAGGAAAATGCTCTTACTCCCCCCCTCTTTAAATTGGAACAAAATATAGGTAAGATTTCCACTTTTTTGGTAAATTAACCCCCTTTAAATTGAAACAAAATTTAATTTTATAATAAAAAATTATAATAATTTTTATGTAAAAGGTTTTGATATAAGTTAAATGTTTCTTCTAACTAAAATCAAAAATTTTAGTTATATCTTGTTCTTGTTTAAAGAAGAGAGTATAAAGATCATCTTATTTAAATAAATTTATTATCCTTAATTACTAAATTTTAAAAAAAAATTAATTGTTTTTTTAAAAATTTTTATTCTTTTTTGATAAAAAATGATATTTTTTATTTAAATAGTTTTGATATAAATTCAATAGAATTTCATTATAAATTTTAAAATTTACTAATTTCTTGCTTGAAGAATAGAGTATAAATAGTATATTATTTAAACAAAATTAGCACTTTGATCGATAAATTTTCTAAAATTTTTTTAAATTTTTTTTTTATCAATAAAAATAATAATTTTTGTGTAAATAATTTTGATACCAATTAATAGTGGCGTATTAACTAATAATGAAAATTTAGTTATATCTTGCTTTTTTTTAAAAGATAAAGAGTAAATAGCATTTTATTAAACAAATTTATTAATCTAATTCGATAAGTTTTTGAATTTTTATATAAATTTTTTTTTATAAAAAAAATTTTATATTGATATTTTTTTTAAAAAAAAAATTAACCCCTTTAAATTGGAACAAAATTTTTTGTTCCAATTTAAATGGGGGGAGTTAGATAGTTAGGAAGAAGAGAAGAAGTTTTGGAATGCTATAAAAAAAACAATCAAAAAGAATAATGGCAACTCAAGATGTGATATAGGATTGGTATGTAAGAAAATATGAATATAATTAATACTTGAATTCGCAAAAATTTTATTTTATGAATTGATTACTTTTAAACCTACTATTTAAGCTAATTATCCATCTTCTGCATATCCTGCATTAGCTCATATTGCATCCATCTTGAAGTTACCTACACTGTATTCATCTTCGCTGCACTCTGTAGTTATTGTATTGTGCTTGATTCATTTAATAATTACTGACATTATCAATATCTTTGGCATTGTATTTATAAATATAAAAAACAAATTTAATATATTTCCTAATTAATTTTTAATTAATTTGAATTTATTAATTAATCGTAATTATTAAAGCAATTTATAGACTTCATTTATCAATATAGCGCTTTAATTGGATTATATTTAAAATATTCTTTTTGAGGGAGGGGGTGGGGGTGCCATCTGTGAAGGGGGGGTGGGTGGGGGTGGGGGTTCCCTTATTGGGGGGTGGGGGTGTAGGGTTGCTACCTATGCTTGACCAGCTGTAGAAAACGTAATGACTATATAGGCCTATATAAATTCCAATCCTTTCCACAATGCATGCCATGCTTCAGATACATTGCACTCAATGCTATATTTCTTTAACTTTGGGGATATTCTTAAATCTTTAAGTACTTTGGATGCCTTATCTTCAATTATAGCTGCATTTGGCCACGATATTGCTAACCCTGGATTAACAAACTCATTTTTAGTTTCATCTAAAGATAAGATAGCTTTGACATATAACGATAGCAGTGTACTTCAAAATATGCACATATCCAAGATCTACGATATTTTAAATGAAAATGAGAAAAACATCCTTCAAAATTTAAGTTCTGACGATTGGATGAAGTCAAGGAAGCTAATCATTGAAATGATACTTGAAACAGATATTGCTAGACACTTTGAACTCTTAGGAAGATTCAAAGCAAGAGTAGAAAACTTAGGGGACTTATCTTTTGATAACTCAGAAGACAAACTCAGCATTTTATCGATGGCACTAAAAAGTGCTGACTTAGGATGATCCGCAAAATCAACTGAGCTCAATGAAAGGTGGGGATCCTTAGCTATGGAAGAATTTTATCGGCAAGGAGATTTAGAAAATGAGAAAGGTTTGCCAATTACAATTTTCTGCGATAGAAAAAAATCTGACATTCCGAGATTCCATGGAGTATTTTTAAAAGTGGTTTGCTTGCCCACTTATAAAATTTGGTGTGCGTTTCTGAAGTCTGAAGACCTGAAAACAACACTTGTAAACCAAGTGAAAAAAAATCTAAAATATTGGGAAGAAAAAGGCAAATTCAGAGCTTCCCTAATAATCAGTGATCCAAAAATTAAAGAAGCCATAGACAATAAGATGAGCTTAGATTTGTTCACAGAAGAGCAGTTTTCAAGTGCAGCACCAGACACTTAGCGTTTTAATCTATTAAAAATCATAATTATTGGAATTTAAGGTAAAGAAAAATATATCAAAAAACTCTTATCCTTTATACTTATATTTCTAGCCAATAAAACTTGCGAACTAATGCTAAAAATTTAAGATTTTAGCCTTGAAAACTAATTAATCGCTAAAAATGTGGCTGCTTGTTTTGGTGAACTTTATTTTAACCTCACAAGTGTTGGGGATCAACGGGAAGTGCAGGATTTTGGCACTTGGAGGAAATTCAGATAAAGGGGCATATGAAGCTGGAGCAATTAATGGTCTTTTCTCGAACCTCCCAGCAGGGGAATTTTCATATGACGTTGTGACAGGAAACGGAGTAGGCGCATGGAATGCATTTTTACTTGCTCAATGGGCTGTTGGCAATGAAGCTCAAGCTGGGGCTGCAATAAACCAGTTTTGGCTAAATTTCAATAAGACAAAATTCTATAAAGAATGGGCAGGTGGAGAAGCTCAAGGAATCTTGTTGGAGCACGGACTATATGATGCTCGCCCATTAGAACAGTCAATTAAGTATTATTCAAATGGGAGTTATAAGCGCTGGACTGGTGTAGGAGCCACTGACTTGCTATCAGGAAACTATGTATACAATTTAGGTCACTAAAACAGTTAGCAACCTTATTTTTTCCCCTTTAAATAATCAATTAGCATCCATCAAAAGCCACGCAATCACCAAAATGTAAGATATTTTTCAACAGCTCCAAACTTAGCCTGGAAACCATGAACTTAGGAGTAAGAGCCAGCATGGCACAGCAAGGAACATTCCCCTACATTGAATTCAACAACCTCGAGCTCATAACAGGCAGTGTCAAATTCTCAGTCGACATTTTATCAGGCATTAACGCATGTGAAGAGCTTGGATACGGCCAGCAAAACATGATCGTAGATGTTATTCTCTGTTCAGGCAAAAAGCTTGCTACCATCAATGCTTCGAAATATACAACCATAAAAGTTCTCAAAAGGACTTACGAGGTTCAAGATTACCTCGATACCATGAAAATTGTCGTTAATTCTCCACTTGACTACCCAGATATCACCGTAAGAACTGTAACTTACCCATCCCAAGCAATCCCAGAAAGCGATGTTCCTTATGATTTCACTCCTTCAGAGCTTCAATCTATGATTACTTTGGGTACTCAAGATGCTCAAAGCGCACTTAAAGTTAGCTACTTATATAACTAATAATAATTCAGTTAATGAATAAAACAGTGAAACATAAACTTGAGCACAATCTATTAAATAAACAAATCCTGCAAGCAGAAATTGAACAATTAAGAGAAATCCCAAGGGAAATAGAAAAGCAGGTATCTATACATATATTGGCAGCAAGAAACTTGCCGGTGCAGCTGACTTCAAAAGTATCAAGAGCTGTTCAAATTTCCATAGGAGGGAAAACTATCAACACAAAGCCATGTATTTCGGAAGGATGTGACCATACAGCTAAGTGAAATGAATCTTGCTTGCTGCCTGTTACTGATCTGCAAGGAACTGTAAAAGTGTTGCTTTTTCAAATGGGGACACCTGATAAGGTGCTTGGAGGGATGATGCTAAAGCTGTCAGGGTTTATGGACCAAAAAAGGCATGATGGATGATATGATATTGGGTGTGGCGAGCTTAGGCTTGCTATTAGGCTGCTGCATTCGGTTAATGATTTTTACGACTACTTATTAAACTTACTAAGCCCATCTATCAAGAACTCAGAAAACCAGCTGAAGTCGATATCAGAAACTGAAAGCCACTTGAAATCAGTATCTCGTAGTGAAAAGCACACAAAGTCCATCAATGAGAATCATTTGAAATCGATTTCACGTAATGAGAGCAACTCAATAAACTTGAGCGGAATAGAAAATAACCAAGAAGACTCTTTTAAAATTGATGACGATAGCAACAGTGACATCAACTTTCTAGAAGAAGATTCATTTGAATATAAGCAGTTTGAGATAGCTCATATGTGTGTAAGACAACTAAGCGTTCAGCTGCTTCAAAAGAGCTTCAAAAGAAATCAAGCAGCAAAAAAAATTCAAAGAACATTTAGAAAATGACTGTTTAATATAGTAAGAACGAGGGTTAAAGAAATTGTTGAAAAAACAGTCGAGAACTATGAAGTTTATGTAAAAAATGAGGTAAAAAGCCATCTGAATGCTTTATTAGAGAAAGTGGCAGAAGATGTTGAAAGCTGGCAAATTGAACAGTTTCATAGCACCAGAAGGTACACAACTGTACTGAACCAAAGGAGAAATGATGTCATACAGAAGCTAAAAAGCAGCAGATCTGCTGTTAGAAAGGAATGGGAAAATTTTTCAAAGCTAGAAAGCCATGAAGAAACCCCAAAGGAACTCGAAGAAGACCCAGTCGAGTTCAAACCTGCTAAAGAAGAACCCCAAAAAGAAAGAGAAAATAAGCAAGAAGAAAATCCTATAAAAGAAGTAAAAATTGAAGAAAAAACTGATCCAGAAGAAAAGAAAGAAAATCCCGACGACAAGACTCAGCCGCCTTATATAGTGGCTGCTGAGCGAGGGTATCGTCGAAGGAATGCTGTTAAACGTTATTAATATATTTATATATACAAATAATTCATCTTTTAAGACCTAACTAGTGCATACAAATTAAGATGGACGTCAATGAAATGTACTGAGAGTTCAGATATAACGCTTTACATGGGCAATATGTCCAGCTAAAAGAAGAATACCATAAGCTGAAAGAAGCATACCAACAATCTCTGGAAGCAAACCTCAAAGAATTTCATACCATGAAACAAATTCAAGAAGACAATTTACTATTAAAAAAACAGCTAGAAGAGGCAAATCAAAAGTTGCAAAAAACGGCGACTAATGATAAAAACACTGAAAATTTTGATGATTTTGCGAAAACCCTATGCTCGAAGTGGCCAAGAATTGTCAACTCGATCCCATTGTTTTCACCTCAAGGCGGGCTTTCAGATCGAATTGAGGACACCAGACCATCCAGCCCTGACTTTTCTACTGAAAAGGTTCAAAGTATATCAGGGAAAACACCACAGGTGAACCCTGACCAAAGTGTTGCTTATGATAATATTGAGCCTTCTATGTTTGAAGCTTTATTTATAGTTGGACCTTCTAAATCACAGCTAGGAAATGCAATGGCAAAGCCAGAAATCCTTTATGAATTTGGAGGAAGTACAATAGGATTGCCAATAAGGAGGGTTATAGCCGATTTTTGCTTTCCTACTGGGATAGAATTGCGGCCTATTAGGCACAGCGGCTCAGAAAGTGAATTCAATAACTTAATTTACGGTCAAACAAACTCAGCAAATGGTAATAATTGTTATATTTTTACATTAAGATCTGAAGGAAATGTAGATGGCTGAGTCGAATATACTGATTTGCCAAACTCCAATCGAGAAGTAATTTTCTGCATTTGCATGCAGATAGAAGACGTCGCAATCGAAGAACTGAGTAGCGTTCTATGAATCGTTCCCAAAGTGCTATGCATAATGAGCTATATCCCTATATTTGAGCTTCATTTCGAAGTCCTAAAGAATCTGGTCATGCTGAAACGGCTAAAAAACATGGAAAACGCAGATAACGATATGATCACACACAAGCTAAGCCAAGTGGAAATGAGTGAAGAGCAAATTGCTTTAATGAAAACCTACTCAGACTGTGAAAGCGTATACCCCAATTTAAAGCTGGTTATTGATATCCCGAGCCTAAATAGCATTAATTATTGCTGTGCGCAGGACTTAAGCTTAATTGATATTGTTTGGCTTTGCACTCCGCTCTTTACTTCTTTGAAGCTTCAAGAAGTTTTATGGCTTTTGTCAGCGCTCATACAGGAAAAGTCAGTGGTATTTGTGTCTTATAATTTGGGGCAACTGACTTCGTGCGTTTTGGGGTTGCAAGCTTTGTTGAGGCCTTTTAAGTGACCTCATTTGCTGATACCTTTGATTCCAGATTCTTTGAGAGAGCTATTAGAAGCCCCAGTTCCATTACTAGCGGGACTTCCAGGGACAGCTCCCGCTTCAAGAAGGAACATGGTAAACGTAATTTGGGTACTTTTAGATGAGCCAAACCAAATCAGAAGAATTCAAGGTCCAAAACTACTTATTCAAGAAGTGCATGAGCCAAATGAATTTTATCAAAGCAAAGAGCTATCGAATTTCGCTTCTGTTTTCACTCAGGAGAGAGTGCAGTTTACTCCAACTCCAGAGCAACGGAATTCCTGCCTTGAAATAGCGAAGTTTATTAAATCATATTGGCTGAAAATATTAGGGCTTATTCATGAAGATCTAACCAAAAATTTCGACGCCCTTCAGGTGCACATAATTGACTCGTCTCCGAAAGGTGATCATCTTTTCCTTAATGGGCTCATGCAGACTCAGATTTTTATTAATTCACTAGAAGAAAAGTTTGTTTGTTTTTCTGTGTGTATCATTTTATCTCCATTTATATATACATAAAAATGGTGACGACAGACCACCCCCGACCTCTCGACCCTATTTCTTCAACATCAGCAGGCAACGGCCCAGTGTCGGAGATTTAGGTGGAAAGGGGCCGGTAATCCTTTATGTATAGTCGGGCTAGGTTTTCTTCGAGCCCGAGGAGCTAATTCTCGGACTTGGAGTTTTTCCTCCAGGACACCATTGGAAAGGGCAAGGTCGGCCAATGTCTGAGGGCAATATGACCCTCGGACCCTGAAGACGGTATTTGCCCAACGAGAAACTGGGAGTTTCGACCCAGATGGTTGGCCCTTAGACTCCAGAAGCCATGGGTTGTGCGAATCCCTTGTTTGAGGCAACAAGGAGGGTGTCCACCGAGGCTCCTCAGGGGCGATGAGCGTGTAGGGGTGTAAATCCCTGGCCCTGCAAGGCAAACGGCTTAATCTAATCTAATCTAATCTCCATTTATATTGGCTTAACATTTAAAAGATAATATAAGTGTGTAGCAAATAATTACAATAATGCAGAATATACTAAATTATTTTGGCTAAAATCATTGGATTATTTATGAGAAATAAATATGGCTTTGCAGGCCAAAGCATTTTTTGTCTGTGTCCATTAGAATAAATTTTTCTGTCTGATTTGTATTAACTTTCTGATAAAAATATGAGAAGAATTTTCGGAGGGAAAAAGCAGCCAGGACCTCCAGCTCCTACACTTGATGAAGCAAACCAAAGTATGGAAAGGCGAGTCCAAATATTAAGACAAAAGATATCAGAATGTGATAAAGATTTGGCTGACCTTAAAGAAGGTATCAAAAAGTCAAGAGGGGCGTCTCAGACTATGAATAAGCAAAGAGCAGTCCAAGTTTTAAAGAGAAAAAGGATGTATGAATCTCAGCTGCAAAATTTAACATCTCAGCAGTTCAATGTAGAGCAAATGCAATTTACTAGTCAAGGTGTTCAGGATACTATTGTTGCTGTTAGTGCTATGAAAGCTGCACATGAAGTGCAGAAAAAACAGATGAAGCAATTAAACGTCGAACAAGTAGAAAACATGATGGACGATATGCAAGATCTGATGATGGATACTGAAGAAATCAATGAAGCCATGAGCAGGAATTATGCACTTGATGGAATTGATGAAACTGAGCTTGACGCAGAGTTGGCAGAGCTTGATGAAGACATTTTGCAAGAAGATATATCAGCTGGAGCATTGAAAGCTCCCTCTTATTTACCTTCTGCACCTCCTCAGAAGACTGACGAAATTACCTACTAGGAAAGAAGTTACACACACATAATGAAATATAGTCTTAAATAAACATATTTTTCCTGATAGACATTTATTGAATAAAATATTGGATTTTATTATAATTTAAAAAATGCAAAATTTGGAATTTTTGGATCTTCAACTCTAAGACTGAAATGTGGATGGCAGAAATGGATCTTATGTGAATTCTTGATAATTGGGTTAATAAAACCCACTGAAGAATGACTGAGCCCTTGAAAATAATTTTTTGATTTTTTGGGCTTTATTTATAAGTTTTTAGATTTTATTAGGAATATATATCAGAGCTTAATATGGACTCAGACAGGAAATCAAGCAGTGAGAATTCTAGTGAAAATGACCAAAGAGACAGAGAAGAAAGTGTTTGATCAAACCCAGATATAGAGGTTTCCTCTATATAGCGCTAAAAGCGCAGACATTTTCCCAGGAGCTTTCCAAGTTCGTCGGACCAAATCGCTTTTTGGTCCGACCAAGGCATTGATTTGGTGCAACCTACCGATAAATTCCGATCAGAATTTATCGGCCTTACAGCGCCAAACATAGGAAACTTCTATAGCTATGTTGGCAGCAGAACCACTTCAGTCACAGATCGCTCACAATTATCAATTTCTCCAGCAATAAAGCCGGGAATAGACAGAAATGCTTACAAAAATCAAAAATATTGCATCGTTTGTGAAATTCAAGTAGCTAAACATGGCGTAGTTCGTGCTAAAAGGTTTTCTTGCAAATTTTGCTATAATGCGGTATGCGGTAGCTGCTCTCCTTTGACTCTTTTGCACCCCGAAACATTCAGACCAGAGAGGGTTTGCATGAATTGCTTCTATTCTTTCATCGAAGAGAAATTTAAAAATTCTGGGAATGAAGAATTCAAAATTCGTCTTGAGTCGGAGATTCAGGACAAAAATATGGAGATTGCTAACTTCCCATCATTAGCAAACAAAACTATTGGAAAAATCTCTATTTTTGGGATAAAAGCCAAGAGCAAAAATTTTTTTTATTATTAAATTTTTTTTGTGAAAAGATATTTTGATAGATAAATAGTATAACGAAATCTCTATCTAATTATTTTTGATTTTAAACACCCCTTATTTTAAAATATAAATTTTACAAATATAATTAATTTTTCGTTTTCCAATTTTGAAAAAAAAATTGCATAAAAAATTTTATATTAAAAGGTTTTAAAGCAAAAATAAATAATTGTAGAGCAAACAATTTTTTTTTGTTCTCAAGGATGGGAGGGAATAAGAAAAAACTTGCAGAAGTAAGATGCGCTCAACTAGAGGAAGATATAGACTTAAAAGACCAAGAACTCATAAAACTAAAAATTGAGTTGGAAGAAGAGAAAAAGAGGGCTGAAAAAGCGAATAAAGAATTAAATAGCAATCAGCATAAGGCTGAAAAAGAGATAAAAGATGAAAAGTTTAGCGAGCTTGAAAGAAAACTAAATGAACTAAAAATAGAAAACACAGAGCTTAAAAAGAAATTGGAAAGCATTTCTGCTCTGCAAGCAAGTCAGAAAAGTGGAGCTTGCTGCACTATTCAATAATTTAACGGTAATTTTTAAATATTTTTACGGTATTTTTAAATATTTTTACTCAAATATAACAAATTTTAATCTAATTATTGAAATTTATAGTGTGTTGAAAGAAATTTTACTATATTAATATTTCTATTTTATTTAAAAATTGTGAATATCGAAGTAAATAGGCTTTGTATTCGATTATAGTCAAAAATTATGCTTTGAAAGGAAACAAACATTTTAGTTTCTACTTTGACTTTTAGTGCATCTGATATATAAAAATTAATTTTTATAATAAATTAAAAAATTAAGCTTCTTTACTACCCCCATCCTTGATCGAACTGCTCGCCATCGCTGATCAAGGATGGGGTTAAAAATAATTATATATATATTATTTTTTATATACTTTTAAATAAGAAAGTTAAGAGTGTTTATAGTTAGATAGGATGACTGGAACGGGGCTTTTTTGGCTTGCCATCAAGCCAAAAAAGCACCGTTCCAGTCATCCTATCTAGCTATAATAATTATTTTTACAGCAAAAAATTGAATTAATTTCATAAAAATACCAATTTTTAATATTTTGATTTTTTGGTTCCCCTTTAAACTGTATAAATTTTAATTTGTTCCTTATTGAATTAAAAATTTTAAATTTTAAATAATCTCTATTATTTATATTATTGAGTTTTTAAGCCTAGCTGATGACTAAAGCACTTCGGATGGTTGATTTCGTAGCTTCTTGTCTTCACAATATCTCTGAAAACAACTTCATTAGGCACATCTTCCAGAGCTTTTGATAACTAATACATTTTTATATATATAAAAAATTTCATGATATGAAAATCGCTCGATCAAGGATGGGGGTTAATTTTTCCCAATTTTTAGGAAATTTTTACAGTCAATCGTTTGATCAAGGATGGGGGAACTAGAAGTTTGACATATTTCTTTATCTTTTATCCTATTAAAATAATTTAAGACCTACTAATTAAATCCGTTTTTATCTTTAGTCTCGAATTCATATAAATGGTTCTAAAATTTAAAGATGAAATCCTCTTTGGCATTTATGAATTTACATAATCAACTTATGAGAAATTTTATGCAATTAAAAATGATAAACAAAAATATTGCTCATAATTTACTTTTATAAATTATTCTATCTTCGATAAATAGTGTCTCAGTAAACGCAAAAAGTAGCAATTTCTTATTTTAATATATTAATGGCAACAAAAACAGATTATCATTCTTTATTCACATCCATATAAAAAATTTATTTTTCAATTGCAGCTTTAGCTGATTTCATTTTGATCATTTCTTAATCCATTATAAGCTTCTTCAATATCTCCACGAATGACTGAAGAGCTTTGCTTGATTGGACATGCATGATTTTTGCATCCAATCACCAAGTTTTTATCATTATCTATCGTATTTGCTAAATCCACCACCTTTGGAACATTGCTGTCATTTATATATTCATCAATAATAGAAACACCACTTGTAGAGCGAAATGTAAAATAGGAGCATTCTTGTTTTGATTTAAGCTCACATTCCGACTCGTCTGTGCAAATTTCAGTATATGATTTTGCAGAATCCTCAGTAGAAACACTATCATTACAAGTTGTCTCATCTTGGCTCTGAATTCTTAATTTTTCTCTTAATTTATCGATAGTTTTGGAGTTAATGCTCTTCATACTTATTGCCAAACCCAAAATTATGTCAGGGTCAGCGATATTTTGTGACTGGAACTCCAAAAATCTAAAGGCTTCATTAAAGTCAGTGATTTTTGTAATTTCTTTTCTGAATATTCACATTAAACTCAGCCCTATTTTGAATAGGAAAACTGAGCCTTCTATAAAGAAAATGTCCCAAATCCGCATGACTACATTTTTCGGGAAGGTATAGGCAAACATGCAAACGAGTCAGTGGACTGTATAGAGCGAGGCGTCAATGCCGATGCTTGATAAATGTTTTGCCATCTTTGGAAGCTTATTTTTTAGTAAAACTTGGAAAACTTGCTGGTCGATTATAACGCCAGTCATTACCGAGAAGTAATCATTTGGTAAATAAGCCTCAATTATTTGGGCTAACAGCCAAAAACATTCCTGAATATAAATTACTTCTTCTGAGAAGCCAACTGTTAAGAGTCTTCCAACAAGAAAATTCAATCCTTGGCAGTAGCCTACTGTAGGATTTCTTCATGAGTAAGCTACTAAAATTTTTCTAGCTCTTTTATGCCAATGGCCTTATTTTTTATTTAATTAAAAAAATAAAGGAAATAGCTTTTACTACAATTCAATTAATTAAAAGCATGATTAAAATGCAGATAATTCTCATTAGTGAAGACAGTAAGTGAAGTTAAATGTTTTTCCTCAACAAAGTAGCTTTCAGCTGGAAAAGTTCGGTGAAGATCCCTATCAATTTGCTGCGAGAATTCAGTTTTAATTTTCAGCTTGTCCTCTACAATAGCAGAATAATAATTTGGATTGGTTTTCATTTGAAGTCTGGCTCCTGATGTTTCTAATCAAATCTAAATTAAAACTACGAGCTTTCGGTCTTTGTGAGGAGGGCCATTGAGCATTAAATTAGTAATTAGAGGTTTGTTTTTCTTAGTGAGTCCATGCTTGTTGAGATCCTCGATAATTTGATCTTTACTTCTCTCCATATTGAAATTTATTAATGTTAATTCATCCAAGCATTTTTTTCATTTTCTTAATTATATTTATTTAATTTTTCTCATTTTAATCAATTTCTTCATCGTCATCTTCTTCTTCCTCCTCTTTCACCTTCTTTTTGCTTTCCTTAAATATTAATTCTACTATAAGTCTTTTAGCGAATGAAGGAATCCAGTCGATAAACCACAACATCAAGTCTTTTTTCTTCCAAGTATTCTGGTCATCATCGTAGCCTTCCAGCAGTCTCACCATTTTATAGGAATCGGTATAAATTCCCATGAATGCTGCAAATAAGAAATACACAATCCCAAAGAAATAAACCAAAAAGAAAATCACACTCCAGGCCAAGTCTAAGTCAAACATCGTTTTATAGTCTCCATGGCCTACATTTAGCAATAAAATCATGAGAAAAGAATAAGGAAACGATCTAAACATAAAAAGATTCTGACCCCAAATACTTTGGGCAATGATAGCTAAGGATGACAGGACTGAGATTAAGATGACCATAAATGCAATCTGATTTTGTGAGGCGTTTTTAATTGTTGACATAAGGATGAAGATCCTTTTATTTACTTGCAAAAACACAATGATTCGAATCAAAACCAAAGTCAAGGTGCAGGCATTTAAATTGTGGTAGAATCGGTATCATTCAGCAGTGCTTCTTAGGTCGGTGTACTTTGTATCTTGGTAAATTTTTTTCTCGTCTTCATCAACCTTAGCAGTTAATCCAACCGTAACAATAATGAAAATAATTAAAAGAAGATCTAGAATCCCTTGGAAAGAAAGCGCGTGCTGGATGTTTTTCTTTCCATCCTTGATTTCCAAAATGGTCATGACATAGACATAAAGGATGTAAAGTGAAAAAATGATTCTAAAGATATCAGCAGTTGTCGCTCCTTTGCTTCGTGTGAAAATATTTGGAGTAAAAGCAACGGTTTCTATTATACTTGAAGAATATTAAAATGGCGTGATCTTGCAAGGCTTTTGGCGATCTGAGAGTTAATCTGACCCAGAAAAGAGGGGCTACACTGTGAAAGCTCTCTGGTGGGTTTTTTGGTCTAGGGGCTGACCCCTGATTCTTTTTTCCTGGCTTGCAAACGCACTTAAAGACGTAAAGTCCCTGAGCACTCATTGAAACATTTCTGCACCTCTAATACGGCTCAGACAGGCTATCGAGAAGGCAAAGGCGGTCCACCTAGACTCTGAGCCCTCTTGGAGGTTCAGGGAGTGTTTGTCGTTTACTGGACCAAGAAGCGGGTAGGGCGATCTCCCAGAGAGACCATCTACGTCACCATTTTTGGTGAATTCAGGATTAAAAGGGCAGATGCAAGGATAGTGCTAAGTTTAAACGCGAAACTTTCTATGGGATGCCAAGGGACCGCAATGATTCCTGTTGACCACTAGAATTAAATTTAATCTTAATTTATTATACTTGGATATACAAGCCCGTCTACCGAGCATTCATAAATAGCATTAAAATAAATTCAATAGTTCGATGAAGGATGATAGATATTTCCGCTAATAAAAATAGCTCTAGTTGATTTTGAAAGTCATCCTGTGCTAACCCCATAATTATAATCTTCAGAGAACTTCTCATAAGTATATTCAGATTGATCATAATACTGCACGTACCCTGACCCATCATAACTGCTTAAATATCCGGTTCAAGTAGAATCGATCCCATTAGTGCTGGCTGTTTCAAAAGTTCTCCAGGTTTCACTGCCTCCTGCTATTGTATCTTCTTGCCTTGTGCTTGAGCTGTATGTTCTGTGATAGCATGTATAATTTCTTGTGTCTAAGTCACTCCGCGGGCATGACATTTCTCGCGTTCTGACTTGTCTAATTGCTAACTGCCCCACCAGCTGCATTCTATGCATTAATTTTTGATAATTCTGATCTGCTGTTGAAGAAGAAAAAAGGGTCCCACCCACGATTTCAACTATTCAGGTTGTCATTTCTGGTTTTGAGGAGACATCATAGAAGGTTTGTCCATTAGAGTCTTCTTGCATAGCAAATCTTGAAATTCCGCTTTGGAGTCAGTATTCCTTACTCCCCCCCTCCGTGAGTGGGGGTTAAATTTTTTTTTTTCGAAATTTAAAAAAAATCCTAATTTGCAAAATTGGGAAGCAAATATTAATTTAATTTATAAAATTTATGTTTTAAAAACGCAATTTGTTTAAATTAAACAGAATTAGCTCTACATTTCATTATACTAATTATCACTTATAATCAAAATTTTTTTCAATTAAAAATTTTTCTATTAAAAAATTTTTTTTTCATTCACGGAGGGTGGGTTTTTGGGCCAAAATAGCGATTTTTCTAATGGTTTTGTTCACTCACGGAGGGGGGGAGTTAGTGACATCTCTTCTTTGGCCAATAATATAAATAGTTAAAGCCAGCAATAAAACTAAAAATAGAGCAGTGCAGCAAGATGTATCTCTACCATGGAGCCTTTTTTCCTCAACTTCTTCAATGCCTTCAATTCTAGGGGGTAAATAGTATTTAAGTCCTCTGTAATTATCAAGGATATTTAAGGCTTTTTCTTTTTCTTGCTTGGCTTTCTGTATTTGACTGACTTCAGCAGATTTATTATCTTCTTTGATTGCCACTGTAGGATCATCAACTATATTAGTATTTACTGTACTGTTCTGGCTTATTCGTGTATTTTGATATCCTGGGGTCATTTTCAGTCAGTCATAGCTCAGGAAAGACTGTATTTTTCATGAAATAAGAGTCAATAGGCTGATCCAAAATTTTTTCTACAGTAGTAAAATTTTGAAGCCTTAAACTGCAGTTATCAGGCGCAAGATTCTATATAGTAATTACTCAGTATTCACAGGCAGTAGCTCTTAGATCTTTTAGTGTAGTAAATCTTGTAATTCTAAAAGTTGCTTCTTTCGGGACCGTTTTCATTCCTCTATCTTCTTCTTGTGGAAGAAGCAACGAAATATATTTGACTTTAACAGTATGGATAATCGTATTTGGCTTAATTTCAAACTTTTGGCCTTCAAAGAAAAACAGCTCTTGTGGGTCATTGTCTAATATCTCCCTTCTGCTGATTAAATTTAAAATTTTTTGCTTTATATCTTTCTCAATGTTCCTTAAGAAACTTTGTGCCTCCTCAGCACTTACCTGTTTTTGCACTGCTTGCTCTTCATCTTGCGGATTTGACACTTCAGAGAGCTCTTTCAGACGCTGGCGGCGATATACCAATTCGTGACCATGATGCTCCAGTCTATCTTCAGTTTGCTCGATTTTTTCATTAAGCATCATAATTTCATCCTGAAGTCTAGCTGTAGCTCTTTCCAAATTTCTGACAAGCTTTTTTTTCTCTTCAATCTCCTGGGTTTTTTGATCGATTTTTTGGTAAAGATCCATAATTATTAAATACCTAGCAGAATGTAATTGTTCGTAATAATTAAGATATAATGGAAGACTATTCTCAGCAAATTGAATTTTTACGAGATGAATTGGAAGCTTCAAAAATAAGAGAAGAAACAGCCAAACATATGTATGATACTTTATTAAAATCAATAACTGCAGAAACAGCAGATAACCTCTTGGTATCTTTAATACAGAATTAAATAAACTTAAATTGCAGGTCTTGGCGTACTCACTTATTGGTGACGCAATCATCAAGGATCTCCGGGAGATTTACTCTCTTTGCAACGTCGACATGGAGAACTTTCTTGAGTTGGGATGATGATTTACCTGGCGAGTTACTGCTCTTGCACCACCTTTCTCTTCTTCACTGCTTACGCCATGGCACCTGCAAGTTAGAGTTATTTGTCTCCGTCTCCTCCTTGCCTTGTCAGCTCCAGTATTGAGTGGGAAGGCTATGGACTTCTACAATGTGCTGCTTGGGTTGAACGAAGGCTGTCCGCAGAAAAAAATCCCAAAAATGGAATTTATGGCCAATTTTCGGAAAAAAATTTCAAAACCTTGGGCATAAAGCTATGAAATTGCCCGAATAGTGGTCTAGAAATCCCTGTAGACGCTGCTGGGCTTCCCTTTCCAACTCTGAGACCACCTTTTCACTCGAGGTAAAAATCCAATCCTGAAATTAGACTAGGGACCTAGCATTGCTGTCGATTTCTTCCATTTCTGGGCTGACAACTTGAGGGATATAAATAAAATGTGTTCGAGGCTGAATTTTTGGAAGGCAATGCCCGGACCGTTAATGCCATTTTATTTAAGGTATTTTTAATGCAGACAATGTCAGTTGAAGAACTCAGGAAATTTCAAAAAATTTTTGTTGAGCAGCATAATGCTTTAAAGCTAGACCATTCTTGCAAAATAAAGCAGCTTATTGAAGCGTTAAGAGTAACTAACGAAAAAAATAAAGATTTAGAGTATCAATTAAAATTACAAAAGCTTGAATATGAAGAAATGATCCTTGAACTAAAGCAGCAATTACATCAAAATCAAAATAATTTTACACAAAATGAAAATTTTAAATATATTTCTGACTCCCACTCAGTTAATGAACAAAATTTTTGTTCGTCCAAGAGAATTTTTTTATAGCTTTTTTAAAATTTATAAAAATCTCTTGAAAGTGAAAGTTAATTTAATTTTTAAAATTTTATGTTTTAAGATGAAATCTGTTTAAAATTCAACAGAACTAGCTAGAGATCTTATTATACTAATTATACTCACATATAAAAATACTGTTTCATACAAAATTTTTCATATTAAAAATGTTCTCTTTTTGGTCAAAATATAAGGTATTCCAACTTTTGTTCGCTAAGGGGGAGTGAGGAATTATTAAATACAAGGGAAAATACTATACGAAAGCTAATGCAGGAAAACCAACAATATGTCAAAGAGATAGATAACCTTAAGGAGCAAAACAGGAATGATATTATTAGGCTGCAAGAAGAGACAAGGGAGAGAATTAAAGAAATCCAGGAAATATACGAACACGAAAAATTTGTACAGAATAATTATATTGAAAAAATTAAAAACGAAGCCAAGATTAAGGAGTAATTGCTATTCAGAGAAAGGTTGAAAGTAGAGTTTCACCAAAAGTTGACAGAAAGGCTAGAAAGCTCAGCAAAGGCTTTCAAATATAAGGTGAAAATTTATTTAGATACAAAGATTAACGTCTGAAAGAAATGAAGCTGAAGCAAAATTTGACATTTTTAAAAGCGATCTTGAAGTCCTGAGAAAGGATGCGAAAAGCCAAGACACTAAGCAAAGAATTGAGACATCTCGAAAAATGCTGGAATTTGCTTCAAAAACTAGAGATGAGCTTTCTATACTCAGAAAACAAATTTCTACCTTACTCGCCCCCCTTAAAAGTGATCAAGATTATTTTGCATATCTTGGCAGGGATTTAATTTTTATATATGGAAATAAATTAAAAGAACAAATTTAATTTATAATGAGAATGCAAATTGTAAATTAATATAGTTATAAAAACTATAAAAATATTTTCCCAAAAGTAAGGATTTTATAATTTTTTAATCGCTCTGGAGTGGAAGAGTTAGAAGAAGATGTCACAAAATGCAAAGAAAAAGAAGTTTGATATGAAAGTCAGCTATCTGTGAAAGACACCGAAATCCAAGAACTAAAGCAGAAACTAGCTGATCCTGGATTTTTACTCGAAATCGATGATTTTTCCAAAAGTGAAATTTCCCCTGAAAAGCCTCGGCTGTCCCTTATACCTCCACTTTCTCCAAACTTCTGCACTTTAGCCACTTCATATACCCCAAATATTACTCCAAGAAAAAAATTTGACTCAAGCTTTGAAAGTGAAGTATCCACACAAATATTTTCGAGAGATGATTTGAAGCTAAATATCGCTGATTTATCAAAAATCCAAGATACTTCATCTGAAGGAAATTGAAGAAATGAGCAGAAAAAACTATATGAAGAAAAAATAAATCAGCTAAAAGAAGATTACAACGAATTACTTACTCCTCCCCCTCCGTGAGTGAACAAAAAAATTTTGTTCACTCACGGAGGACGGAGGGGGGTTAACTTTTTTTGCTAAAAAAATTTATATATAAATTTTATAAAAAATTTTTTTTCGAAATTTAAAAAAAAATCCTAATTCGCAAAAATTGGAAAGCAAATATTAATTCAATTTGCAAAATTTATATTTTAAAAAGCAATTCGTTTAAAATTAAACAGAATTAGCTCTACATTTCATTATACTAATTATCATTTATATATTAAAACTTTTTTCCATAAAAAACTTTTCTATTAAAAAAATTTTTGTTCGCTCACGGAGGGTGGGTTTTTTGGGCAAAAAATAAAATAAAAGAAATTGACGAAGATCGGTGCAATGCAAGACATGAAGGAAGGAAATTAAATGCGGAAGTAATATACATAAAAATGGTGACGACGAACCACCCGACCTCTCGACCCTATTTCTTCAACAGCAGCAGGCAACGGCCCAGTGTTGGGGATTTAGGCGGAAAGGGGCCGGTAATCCTTTATGTATGATCGGGCTGGGTTTTCTTTGGGCCCGAGGAGCTAATTCTCGGACTTGAAGTTGTTCCTCCAGGACAACCATTGGAAAGGGCAAGGTCGGCCAATGTTTGAGGGCAATATGACCCTCAGACCCTGCAGACGGTATTTGCCCAACGAGAACTGGGAGTTTCGACCCAGGTGGTTGGCCCTTAGACTCCAGAAGCCATGGAAGTCAAGACTGGTCGCGCGAATCCCTTGTTTGAGGCAACAAGGAGGGTGTCCGCCGAGGCTCCTCAGGGGCGATGAGCGTGTAGGGGTGCGAATCCCCGGCCCTGCAAGGTAAACGGCTTAACTAATCTAATCTAATCTAAAATGCGGAAGTAAAACAAATTAAATGAAAAATGAGCCTATTGAGGGATTTCTATGAAGAAAAAGAAAAAAGGATTAAAGAAGTTGTAAAAGACACAAAATCGGCACTACAAAGCAGATCTGAGAGTAAAGAAGTATTAAATATTGCCTTAGGTAGCCTTGAGAAATTAGAACAAAATTTGAAATCTTCTATGTTAATTAATTAATTTTGACTTAGACCAAGCACATACTCATGAAGCTTGATCCTCATTGATTTAGATAGTTCCTTAATAAACTCTAAATCGGCATTACAAATAAACCTCTCACTTCCAATTGGATCATTCCTTTGAACTCTCTGGAAAAAATGTTTTTGAATTAAAATATTCACAAGCGAACAGAAGCTTGGAGTTTCGGCGTTCACTTGAATAATTTGTTTTGTTTTTGACGATAAAATAACGTGGTACAAAACTGAGTAAACAGATAAAAGCCTTTCCAATGGAAAAATTTCAGGCTGTTTTAAAGTAAAATTTTCAATGTCTTTAGTGTTTTTTTTCTTCACATTTTTTCTGACTGCTTTAATTACATATTTATCATATTTTTCTGGATTGTGTGAGCATATATACCCAGAAATCAATAAAAGTTTGGCTTCATTAGTCAACCCATATTGGAAGTCTCTATATGATACCTTTTTCTCAAATAAAAATTCCTCAACGTCCCCAATTTCTCTCTGGATAAATGTGAAGAGTTTATCATGTTTATTCTGCGCATTTCCATACTCGTTGGATTTATCTAAATAACTTGAATAATATTTAATGCATGCATGTCGCAACAAAAAGATTTTACTGGAAAACGGAAATAGTAAGTGATAAATAATTGATATAAACTCTGCAAAATCATTATCAGTCCCATAGCTGAATTCCTTCCTCAGAATTATTTTTAACTGATTTTCGTTATAGTCTTGCAAAAATATCATAGATGGGTGAAGGGAGCGATCGATTGAATCTGGATGGATAAATAAAGAGTCTTCATATATTTCAGAGATCAAAATAAGCTTTAAGTTGCAACAAGCAAGATCTCGAAGCTCTACAAGTTTGTGAATCGCCAGGATGCTGCATTTCACAATGCTATCAATTTTATCTAAAATTACATAATAAATAGAGTCCTTATTTGAGGCATTTTGCATCTCCATAGCGATTTTCAATGGATTTCCAGACCGTGTTAAATCGATCATGAGAAACCCTTTGATATATTCATCAATTATATTTTCCAAAAGTTCTGGGAAAGTGCAGGCTTCTTTACAGCTGATGTAAGAGTATGGAATGTGATTGGCAGAAAGACAATCTCTAGCAAGAGTTGTCTTCCCATTGCATGACAACCCATATATATAGATATCATTGTGGTTTGCTATCTCATAGCTTAGCTGATTCCAGGCTGATGCTCTAACATTCCATTTATCCATCAAGTATATATTAATTAAATAAGCAAGAGCTGTATCTAAAAGTTAAATTAAAAAGTTATACAAATGATGTGATGCAAGTGGATGTCTTCAAAATATAGGATAAGTTTTAATTTATTTGTCTTAGGCAAGCTCTTTTCTGAAAATTTTTCTATATAAATATTTGTTCAAAATGATATCGAAGCTAATAGGAGGAAAACAAAAATTTTCTCTTGAACACTTCCAGTAAGTATTACCCAGGAAACTCCACAGAGAACTACAGTCAATAAAAGACCACTCACACAAAAGCAAATGCAAAATTATCGAAAATTTAAAACAAATGGCCGAGATCCTCGTCTGAAGCGAACAAAATAACCAAAATTTCTTCGAGTACCTTTAATACAGCTATTTCATGTCCAATGACATCCAAAGCCTATTCACTTTTATCCTAAAAAACTACACAGTGAAGGAAATTGCAATACAGCTAATCCAAACTGCTAATATACTGGCTCACAATCTGTCTGAAAACGAAAGTAAAGAATATTTATTGAGCACCCAATTTTATGGAGAAATCATATCATGGCCATTTGATTTCGGAGACGATGAACTTGTAGAAAATTATATTTCGCTTTTAAAAGGCTTAGCAGTGAATCTGAATTTGGCTCTGCTAAGGGACTTTGTTATCAATAAAGAATTCAGGCTTTATTCACATGCATTTATGTTTTTAAATTACGAAGAGCCAATGATAAGAACTGGAGCAAGGACAGTTATTCTAAATATTTTTAAAGGTAAGGACTAATTAGTCCCTGATGAACGAATTAAAAGGTTTGTTTTGGATTCTGGGTTTTTTGCCTCCCTGGTTTCATCAATAAGGGAACAGTGAATACAAATGGATAAGGAAATATCCGAGATAACTAATATAAGCAGGATGGATTCGATCATGATTGATAACTTAGACAATTTGTATTATGTCAACGATATTTTTGAGCTAGGGATTGAAGAATTCAGCGAAGAGCTTGCAGATCTCATGCTGAGGGTTGTGCTGTTGCCAATTGTAGTTGGAGGGCTGGCTTCTTTTGAAAGGCAGCCTTATCACCTGTCAATATCTTTGTCTACTTACTTGTTGATCCAAACTCTGCAAATGATAAAATACCCTCAGTTATTAAATACTCTAATTTCAACAATTTTTTTGAAAGAAGTGCGTGACGAGCTGCTGAGTTTAGTTTTATACCCACATCCTCTTATCATAATTAAACGAGAAAAAAGAGATTTTGACACTTTAAAGCTAGGAGAGTTGACAATTGATTGTTTGAAAAATATTACAGAATTATTATAGTTAAATTCTAAAAATAAGCAAAACCATTCGAAAAATTCTAATTTGCTGAAAAAACTCTCACCATCCATGGCCTCGCATAAAAATATAAGCAATAGTATTATTATAAAATCTCTAGCTAATTCTAATAAATATTAGACAGCATGCACTCTAAAGCTTATTTAATAAATAAATTAATTTTTAATTTCATTTTTGCAGATAGATTTTTTAATTTGTTATAAAATTTAAAATTTAAAAAAAATGATCCCCTCTCATAAATAATTAAAATGTTTTCCCATCCACAGAGTGGGAGTAAGATCACGGGCTTTACGTTACAGAACTTAGGCTTTGCTCCCTTATTATAACCTGGGTAAATTTTTTAGGTGTCTAATCAAAATTTGCCAAACAGAATTTCTATTCTCCCGAATAAGCCATATTTTAATATTACAGAGCCTGTAAATTTTAAGCATAACACGATAAGGCAAATAATAATATCCTACCTACAGTCCAGAGATGATACATTGATTACACTTATTTTGTTGCTACTTGATTCAGTCATGTGGAATGATCTTATTAATAAAACCATTTTAAAGGCATCAGGGCTCCTTTCTCAACAATTAATTAATCTGCAAAATGAAACTACTGATGAAAATAACTACACTGTAGACTCAGAATTAAGCTATGACCATGAAATAGTCCACTATCTTCTGAACTTAATGGCAATTAAGCCACCTTTAAGACTATTGGCTTGTCAATTACTGTCCAAAATTGTTATTAACTTAGCATATAGACAAAATATAGAAAAATGCTTATTAATTCGTGACGAAATTGCTTTGAACCAAGCACTAAGGAAGCCTGTGAAATATCTAAAAAGGCTTTTAACCAACAATTCATACAACGGACTATTATTTTTAGAATCCTTTGAAGAAGAGTGGCAATTGGCCAATCGATTCACTTTCAACGAGCATTTTACAACAAGTTCCTCAATTTTAATACGCTCAAACAAAGAATTAGCTACTAGTGTCCCTTTGCATTTAAGACATCCTGAAGGAGATATAGAAACCACCAAAATCAACATGTATCTGTTCTTCTTGTACAGAAAAATCCGATATTTATTGTGCAAAAGCGATTTTCCCTCAGATATTGATATTAATATTTACCCTTTGAATAATTTAAGAAAGCTGAATGAATGGAAAATTGGAGAACACTGTGGATTTGGTAAAAATTATATAGGGAATCGCACATGCTTAAGGTGCTGGCTTAAAGAAGGGAAAAGTGAAATTCTAAGGTACATTATAGAAGATGAAAATTTTTTCATTATTGTCGACCCTGACATTTCTGTGATGAACCATGGAAAAATAATTTATATCGCCAACCTGAGAAACGTTGAAGCCACTGTATATAATTCAGATCCAAAAACCCTGGTTTTAGCAATAAAGCAGAAAAAAGATTCTTTGCAGATCTCTCTTTCTTTCGAAGACTCACAAAGATGCGCCTGGGCAAAAAACATGATTGAGTCCCATCGAAAAGTGTCAAAAAACCTCGATTTGAGCCTCATCCAAACAATGCTGGACTCTTTTGAAAGTAATTTAAAGATAATTGAAAATTAATTATGGAATAAGAAAAATTGGTATTACCTTAATGGAAGGCTCATCAGACTCAGGATCAGAAATGGGCACTGAAACTGTCCCAGAAGAAGACATCACAATAAATGAGATGGTGTTTAACCCTACAAATACTCATGTTTCAATCGAAATAGATAGGAAACCTACTAAACAGCCGATAGACGAGATAATTGCATTTGCAGTCGCCTCTTCTCCTGAAAGCAGTAAAGCCAGTGAATCGTCAATACTAAGATTTGCTGGAGAAAGCTTTAGTGGCGAGCTACTACGATACAAGCCGTCTTCTGTTGATTTTTATCTTCCAAGATGATGCATGCTTGACACAAATGGATTAATTTACTACAAAAGCCGGCATGCAGCTTTGTTTGAAGAGCCTCCTTTGATGTCCATCCCAAATGAAGCAATTATGTCAGTCTACGCTTACAAGCAAAAGAAAAAGCCTAATTATTTGCTAGAAATAAATACCAACGATAGGTCTCCTGCAGACTCAAGCCCAGCTTCCTCAGCCCGATCTGTAAGCTTGAATAATTCAGGCCATTTAATGCATAAGCCTCGGCACCTTTTGCCAAGACCAGTGAGCTTTACAAAGCCAGCAGTGAAGACAAAACTGATTCCTAATAGAGAAACCCCAAAAGAAAAGCCAGCACTAAGAACCGGGAAAAGGTCATGAACTAACAGAGAAAATGAGATGTATTTAAATGAAAACAGGCTGCTGTTTGCAGTGAATAGTGAGGATGAATGGGAAACATGGAAAAGCGCATTCAGTGCACTGACGAATGCCAATATTATAGTAATTTAATAAGTTTTGAGTTCCCAAAAAACCTTAACCTTTATATTTAGAGGTCTAAAGACCATTTTATTGTGGAGTCAAAGTTTTTCGCGCTTGGCATTAAGGCTGCTATTACCTACTGCTAGCGGTGATCAGGTGGCTTATCTTCACATCTCATTTCCATTGTCTTGACCAAGACACTCGTCTTCAATACCGCTCCATCAAAATTACTTGCACCTCCTTCATAGGAGCCCGATTAGCTACCATATTGCCTCAGACAATCCACCTCTCCTTCGACTTTGAATCAGGTAAAGACTCGAGTAGCCGACACTACTAAGTCCATCCTACACGGCTTGATGCCAGTCCATCTTGCCAAGGTCCGTTCACCCGATGGCAGGGATCGAACAAAATATTCTTCGCTTACTGAGGGAGGTCAATTTTTTTTAATAATTTATATATAAATTTTATAATAATTTGCAACAAAAAAAAAAGCAAATATTTATTTAACTTGTAAAATTTATATTTTAAAATGCAACTGTTTTAAAATAAAACAGAATTAGCTAGAGATTTCATTATGCTAATTATCACTTATTATATCAAAAAAATTTTTCTATTAAAAGATTTTTTGTTCACTCACGGAGGGTGGGTTTTTGGGTAAAAAATTGGGATTTTTCCAATGGTTTTGCTCGCTCACGGAGGGGGGTAGTTAGGAAAAGCTTTTTTTCTGCTGATCAAAACCCTCACCTAGAGAGAAAAATTAGCCTAATAAGTAGCCCACGGTCAGGCTAATTCCATCTTTGGCTCATATTTATTTAAGTTCCAAATAAGAAGCCTAGATTAATATCAATTATTATTTAATCCCAATTTAAAATCTTATCAAAAAGTATCTGGAACTGCGGGTTCTCACTTGCAATTTGCTGAAGAACAACACTTATTGTGGCATACTTAGTTTCTTCACTCTCCAGCTGCTGTTCTAGTGCATCTGGCCTTCCAGAAAGTTTGAAATTCCCACTTGCTGCTTCCTCATGCCTCTTAGCAGCTGTTTGGAATTTCGTAATTAGCCACAAATTTTTATTTTTTTCCAATTTCATTGAGCATACTTCAACTGAGTTTCGTTGCACGTCTTCTTCTACATTGCTTTGAAACTCTGCTGCATTTTCCAACTCCTGTGCGAGCTGTTGCAGCTCGTCTTCTCTCTGTTTAATACTAGCGTCAATTTGCTGAGAATTTTGCGTTGTGTGTTTCAGAGTATTTTTAAGGTTTGCGACTTGTTTGCCTATGGATGCTCCTGACTTCTTATTTTTTTCGACTCGTGGCTGGTATTTCAGCTGGATGGTTTCTCTCTTCGAGACAGCTCTTTCCATATCTTTGATCAGTTGCTCTTGCCTTTTTCGTAAACTTTCAAGTTTGAGCTCCATTCTATGGATTTCTTTTTTCATATCTTCCATTTCTTTTTGCCCAACATTAGGGTCGATTGTCATCTGCATTTCTTTTTCAAGCTGGATTTTTCTTTCCCAAAGCAAAATTTGGCGCTCAGCTTCGACAATATCAGATAGGACGTCTTCTTTTTCTTTTTTAAGCTGCTCTATTACTTTTTCAATGCCTGCTGTTTCTCTTTCAAGCTCTTTTAGTCTGTCCACGAAGTCTTTTTCAAGATGGCGATTGTCGTCTTCAATAGATCGGTAGGATTCCCTATTTTTGTCAAGCAAAATATTGATTCTATTCATATAGTTCCTCAAGCTCTTTAAACTGTTTTCAACTTGGTCTCTTTCTTTTTGGCTCGATTCAATATGGTTGTTAAGTCGCAGCTTGCGCTGCTCCAAAATGATGAGCTTGGTTTTATAGTCAGAGTTATTGATTTCTATTTGCTGGATTTCGTTTTGCTTTTCAACAAGACGGGTTTGGGAGTAGATCCAATCCCTTTCAAGGCGGCTAATTTCAGTGTCCTTTTCTAAGATGGAGCGTTCCAAGTGGTTGAGTTTGGCTTCATAAGGTCCTGAGCTTTCGTCTGTGATATCTTTGGTCAAATTTGCATATTCTCTATTAAGTTTGTCGACTCGCAGCTGCTTTTTCTCTAAATCGTCATGGTTGTTTCTGATATTTTTTTCGAATCTTTTAAGAAGCTCATCTTTTTCAGCCAGCTCTTTTTCGATTTCATCCTTTTTCTCTCTAAGCATGCCAAGGCCTTGCTCAGTATGCAGGACATCCATTTTGACTCTGATGATGTCATTATTGACGTCTTCTTTTTCTGCTTCTTTTTCCCTGATTCCTTGTTTTATCCTGTCAGTCTGCTTGGAAAGATTATTAGCACTTTTTTCAATGGTCGTTTGCTCGCTTAAATTATTGATGATATCTTCCATCAATTTTTGAGTTTCCTGGTGCAACTTCATGATATTTTTTTCAATCACTCCTAGTTGGTCTTCAGTTCCTTTCTTTTTGGTTTCCAGGTTTGAGATTTCTTTTTCTGTGGCCTTTTTTGAAGCCTTAAGCATTCTGTCTTGTTCTTCTAACTCCCCCCATCCTTGATCGAACGATAGACTGTAAAATTTCCTAAAAATTGGGGAAATTAACCCCATCCTAGATCGAACGATTTTCATATCATGCAAATTTTTATATATATAAAAATATATAAGCTATCAAAAGCTTGGGAAGATGCACCTAATGAAGTTGCTTTCAGAGACTTTGAGACGACAGAAAGCTACGGAATCAACCATCCGAAGTAATCTAAAAAATAGAGATTCTTTTAAATTTAAAAAAAAACAATTTTAATTCAATAAGGAGCAAATTAAAATTTATACAGTTAAAGGGGTAACTAATTTTTATGAAAGTAATTCAATTTTTGCTGTAAAAATAATTATTAAATACTCTTAACCCTCTTATTTAAAAGCAAATAAAAAATATATATATATATATTTTTATTTTATAAATTAAAATTTTTTTCCCAAAAAAATTTTTTTAACCCCCATCCTTGATCGAACGGTAGCGAGTCGTTCGATCAAGGATGGGGGAGTAAGTATTTTTTCTGGTTTTCGAAGTTTTCTAAATTCTTCTTCAAGAGGCCAAGTTCATTTTTTGTGCTATCCATCTGTTGAAGAAGTTTGTCATAATTTTCAGTTTCTTGCTTGAATAGCTGCTGGTATCCTCTGAGCTCTGAGTCTAAGTTGGATTCTTGCTCTCTTTGCTTTTGGATTTCACTTTGAATTGCTTGCAAGGTTTCATCTCTCCTTTGCATTCCTCTCAAGTAATCTCTCCAGTCAGCCATTAAGTCTTTTTTGCTCAAGTTGATCTTATCTAACTGCTCGTTTGCGTCTTTTAATGTTTCTGTGGCAGTCTCAGTTTGTTCTCTTTGAGATCTCAATTGGGCTTCTAAAAGATTTTTCTGCTCGCCAAGCCTTTTGATTTCTTCATTCATATGGTCGATCAAAACATCTTGGCCTTTTTTCTCCTTTTCCAGCCTCACTACAGCTTCTTCAGCCTTATAGGTCATCCTCCTGCCTTGAGCGATTTCGCTTTTCATTTGCTCGTTATACTCTTCTACCTGCCTAAGTGTTCGGTTAATTTGATTGAGCTCGTCTTGGGCTTTGTTGACCTTTTTGGCTTGGTCTTCAACTTCTTTTTTCTTTTTGTCCCAGTCGTTTTGCAAGACGTCCAGCTGCTCGTCACTTTCTTCGCGATATTTTTTGATAATGTTGTAGTTGTCACGAGTTCTTTCATAGTTCATTTGCATCTTGGCAAGCTGTTGCTGCACCCCGTATAGCTGCACACCAACGTCTTCACGATCTCTGCGAAATTTTTTGAGGGTTTCTTCTTTTTCGCGAAGTTGAAGATTCAGGCGCTCGAGCTCAGCAGAAAGTTGGCTCTTAAGGGCTCCTTGCAGATTCCTCATAAGAGGATGATCAGGTGCAAGATGCTCGCCTTCTTGCATATCTTCGTAATACTCCTCTTCCTGCTCTTCTTTAGGATTCTCATCGAGGATCTCTTCTTCTTCACGATCACTCATCTTTGAATTAATTTATATAACTACCATAGATTAAATTAAATAGAGACTTGAAAATCAAGAACATTGTATTAATTTTCAGAATGGGTAAAGCTATTTTTTGCTATAATTATTTATAGCAGTTGCCCGATGATGGCGCTCAATGCGCCATCATCGGGCAAGACCAGACAAGGATCCACAGTGGAAATGGATTCCACGTGTGGAGCCCTTTTTAGCACGTGGAGAATCCTCATTTCCACGAGCGAAAAAGGGTTCTACACGTGGAACCCATTTCACGTGTGGATCCTTGTTTGGCGTTGCCCGATGATGGCGCATTGAGTGCCATCATCGGGCAACTGCTATATTTTCTTGTTAGCAGTTTCAAGTTTTAAATTTTAAGCTTGGATAGCTAAATTCTTAACTCCCTCCTCGATGTGCGAAAAAAAAACTTGATAACTAGGGGCTAATTTTTTAACTATAAAATTTATTTTTAGAATGAAAGCTAGATATTTTATATTTATAATTATATCAAATATTTTAATGAAAAATTTTTTATGCCACTTTTTTACTCACTCAGAGAGTTGGGGGCTAAGTAAAAAGTGAGCTTTGAGTGTCAATTTTGTAAAATTGCTCCTAAATCCTTTTCTGCAGCTTATAGTTGGCAAATCATCTAAAGGTGACAAATCAGTTCCATGCTAATAAATTTTTGCAGCCGATAAAAAGGAATTTGATTTATCATCTTAACGATTCGTCAGAACTCAAAGTTGTAGAGAAGGAGTTATCATGAAGGCGTGCTAAATGCATGCAAATGATCTAAATCTACGCAAAGCAGATCAAAATTTATAGTTAATTTAGATTTGATATCCTCTAAAATTGTTATAATTGATTTGATATTAGAAATTTCATTCTCTATTTAAACTAGAAATAATTAGAATTAGAATTAGCATTATTTCAACGCTGCTTAGCAGCATTTCTCTGTTTTTTATCATCACTCTATAGATAAAATTTTTATCTCGTTATCTACACCTCCAAATTCTCCAGCATGTTCCTCCTTCATCCAAATAACAAATTTCTCCGCATAAAGCACAACTTCACACAGCATGAATCTTTTCCTGATCCAAACAGCACTTCTTCAATAGCATCATCTTCCAGCACATAGAGCACCAAAAAACACAAAAAAGAAACAAAAACAACAAACAACAAACAACAAACAAAAAACAAAAAAACAAAAAATACAGCAAAAACAACAACACAAAAAATAATCCACCTCACAGTCAGCAGCAAGATCACCAGCAACAGCCTACAGTCCTTGAAGTTGAGCTCGGAATTTTCTGACGGAGTACCGATTAGCACATTCCTCATCCTATATCGGCCTCAGAAAACTCAAGCACAGCTTCACTATTCGTCCCCAATCCTTCCGTCATCTCGCTAATGCTCCACTCCTCCGCCTAAAGCACCCGCACTTCTCTCTGCTCTTCTTACTTTTGGCGCGAAGCGCCTAGAAATGGTTTTTTGATATGCTAATGATATTTTAAACTAGAAATAATAATATAATAATTGCAATCATGATAAATATTGGTTTCAGTTTTTAAGTGAGTAAAATTTACGAAGAAATGATACAATATTTTATTAAGCTGATTTAATATTTAATTTCTGGAACGCTCTTTCTGATAAAAAATATCATTCTTGAAAAACTAGTAAAGGAACGCCATTAAATTTATTACGTCATAATGCTAAATAAATTACCAAAGAATTTGCATTTGCAAATAAATCATTTAAAAGACAAACATTAGTTTTATTAATTAAGTAATAATTATCTTATTTAAAAATGTCAAAATATGAATGAAAAGCATGCGGAAAATTTTGTCAGCATTGATTCCTATAGCTTTTCAGATTATTCTAGAATTAAGAGGTCATGAATATTTTTATAATAAAAGAATTAAAGATGCTTATAGCGCCCGGAACACCTGATACACCTACAATTCACTTTTGGAGAAGCTTTGAAAAATACATCTGTCTTTCCTTTGCCATTTTTGGCTTTGGAGTCTGCCTTAAGGACGCTTACTTCTTGTCTCATGAGATTGCTGCAAAAAATCATATTGCTGGGGTTAAGCGAGAATCATGATTCGGATCAAATTATGCCGATGTTGATGATGTCCAATTAACAGCTTTTCTAAATGGACTGCCTTCTCTTTCACTGACAGCTTGCTTGTTTATTATGATAAGGAAAATGCTACTTAGATATAGCAATTCCCTTGATGCACAGATTGGCTATTATTTACTTTTTGGGCTTGGTTTCTTACTTTATATACATGGCCCAGGAACTTTATTTACGCTGCTCATGATTTTAGGAAATTACGTATTATTAAGGATTTTTATTGCCAAAAGGTGATTTCCTGCTCTTGTTTGAATTGCAAACGTCACATTTTTAATTATTACTGAATACAATGATGGCTATAAATTTGGATGGATTTCTTCATATTTTGGGTTCTTGGATCAAATCCCGATCGCAATTAAATGAAATAGAAGTAGCAACCTTCTGATGCTGAAAATAATTAGCTTTGTTATTGACTGCCACTGGTGCTATTTAAATAAGCCCATAAAATCTAAACACAAGCACATGGAAAGGTGCATCGAATGCACTAAGGAAATTACATGCTTGAAATATCGTTACGAACAGCATGCAAATATTTATACGCTAAAAGCATTTTTAGCTTATTCATGCTATCCTCCCTTATATTTGGCAGGGCCAACTCTTACTTACAATGCTTGAATTTCTCAAATTCAATCTCCGCAGCAGGCTTATGATAGCAAGAGGATTGCGTTCTACACTCTAAGACTCATATTCGTCTTCTTTATACTGCAGTGGTGGATAAACAATCTTTACTTCCCTGCGATTGCAATCAACCCCAAGAATAAGTGAATTTGGGAAGATTTCACTGCCTATGAACTCATTGCAGGCTCCTATGTCATTTTAAAGTGAATTTGGCTCAAATTTATGGTCATTTGGAGATTTTTCAGGTTGTGGGCTTTACTTGATGGTATTGAAACACCTGAAAACCTTGGAAAATGTATATCAAATGAATACTGCTTTGAAGGATTCTGAAGAATGTGGCATCGATCTTTCAATCTCTGGCTGATAAGGTACCTATTTGTTCCGCTAGGAGGAACAAAATATAAAGTGCTCAATATTTGGGTTGTATTTGGATTCGTTGCACTCTGGCATGATCTGAAAATGAGCCTTTTAGTGTGGGGCTGGGGAATGTGTATTTTCATCGTCCCAGAAACATTGGTTAAAGGATATCTCAACAGACCGAAATTTGCAAAATTCAGAGAAACACTTCAATATAACTGGCTGTGCGTGATATCAGCTTCACTTTATCTTTTCTTATTATGCATTGCAAATCTTGTAGGCTTTTCATTTGGAGTCACAGGGTTGATTATTGCTGCCAATCAGATTGTTTCATGGGAAGGGCTATTTCTCATCATAAAAATATTCCTAACTTTCATGTTTTTAGTTCATTTTATGATGATGATTCGATATGAAGATCTTAGAAAAGGTAAACAAGAAATTGGATTTTAAAATAAAATTATTAAATAATTAATAATTTTTATCTCTAAATTATTCCTAATTTGTTTTTATTAAATTTAAAAAAATAATCGCAATCTTAAGATCCAAAACTGTTTGACAATGGTTGGAAGTTAATAAATGGAAAGTAATTTCCGCAAACGTTTTCAAGACCGAATTCAGCCAGGCAATTTTGCAGAAGTGTTTGATACAAAAATTCCAATAAATAAGTCGCTTAAACTAACCCAAATCCATAATGAACCATCCCCAATCCAAAATGGATACTTATGCAGGATGACTCCTTTGGCAAAGCCACGAAAGCTGTCCTTTCAGCAAAAAATAAAAGCAGTGTATGAATCAAGTCCACCTAAAAACGAGAGCCAAAAGCAAATAGGGATAAATACAGAAATATATTCACAAAAAGCACCTTCAGTTAATTTCAATCAGCTTCGAGCATCATGGCACAAAAGTACAATGTCAGCAAGTTTCACTGAAGACCATAGCAATATAATTTCGCAGAATTATAACATAGCCAGCAAAATTCCAGTCCAAAACACTATAAAGATTCAAAATAATGGTGCTTATGATACCAGTGAAAAAGATTTTATATCATCTAAATACGTATCTTTTTATGCATCTAGGAATACCACAGCAGGCAGTGAAATTGGAAACAATGGCAATCCTTATGCAGTCAAGGATTACATGCAAGTGAAAAAATCCGATTACATTACCTTAGGAGTGCTAAGTCAACCTATCGATGTTATGAGACGCAAAACAGAAACAGTGAAAAAAGGCACACAGAAACCGTAGACATTAAATGTAAGGATACGAAATAATAACTCAATTTTAAATTAACGTGAAACTGTTGATCTTATTGCAAATCTTAAGTAATTTTAGATTATGTACAGTTTTTTAATTTCATAGTGAATAAGTGACCGCTACTTTTAATAATTATATCACAGAATATAATACAGCTTGAAGAGTCAAGCTATTATGAAATAATTAAAATTAATAGCTAAATGACTCTAAAACGCATAGCTCTTTTTCTGCTTACACTATCATCCGCAGCCACATCTTGTGATAAAGACGAATACTCAGCTCTAAACGAAAAGGGCGAATTTACTCTGCCAAAGCTGCCTTATCAATATGGTTATCTGCAGCCACAATACTGATCTCAATTGCTCTATTATCATCATGTAAAAGTCCATCAACAACTGATAGATCAGTTAAACTCTTATATCTCAACCAATTCCACATATACCAGCCTTACCCTCACTGACCTTCTTATTCAATACGGAACTACAGACTCTAATATCAGCAGATATGCAGGTGGCCATTATAATCATTCATTACTCTGGTGGATTCTTCTAAATTCTCGCTGCGGAAGCTCAGATGAGCCAAATGACAACTTAGGCCTAGATATTGAAAGCCAGTATGGGAGTTTTTCCAATTTCCAAACCGACTTCTCAAATGCTGCAAAAAATTTATTTGGAAGTGGCTGGGTTTGGGCCTGTGTAAAGTCAGGAAGCATCCAAATTAAAACGAACAGTGATGAGTCATCTCCACTTGCTGGAGGAGATTGCTACCCTTTTCTAGGAATTGATGTATGGGAGCATGCGTATTATTTTTATTATGAATGGGATAGAGAAGAATACATTGACTCCTGGTGGGAAATAATTGACTGGAATATGGTCGAAATGTTTTATGAGGACTATGCGTTGGAAGGAAAAGCTGTTTCAGTTTAATAAATAATAGAATTTTACATTTATTTACTATAGAAGTTAGGATCCATGGTAAGAACTCCTTCACTGCTGAATGCAAAGCCAGTATGCTTCCTAGTGAAGTGATATAAAGTTTGTTGGGCTGCTTCAAATTCGTCTGGAGGAAGGTCAGGAACAATGTCTTGGGCTTCCTCATCCAAGCCAGGTGAGGACTTAAATCCTACGCTGGAGTCTATAACAGCTCGCTGTGTTTTTTCGCGTTTTGTTTTAATTAGCTCTCTACAATTTCTGATAACTGGCCCTAAAAATAAGCTTGCATATATTATGACTATAGATGAAACATAAGAATTTGGATTGGTCATCATTTCTGTAAACGCTCCTCTGCTATCATAATTATCAAGTCAAGATTTCATTGGAACTATTTCCAATAAGATTTTCGTAGTCGCGAAATAGCTGGCAATGCTAATTGTGACTGCGACCCAAGAAAACCAAAACTGTTGATAGCTGAGCATGCATATTTTGATATTCACTACGATCACAATCAAGCCATACACAAGTGTAGAAGCTACTCACATGTTGTCCATGAGCCCTGTATCTTGCTGTCCTGAAACAGCACAAAGAGAATAAAGGCTGATTATCAGGATAATCACGCTTTGGTATATTGCTTCTAGCATTCAAAGCCAGAAAAGTTTCATATTGAATAGCTCATTATTTAGCCCTGGTCTATAATAAGAAGGACTTGATTGCAAAACTTCATAGTCCATTTCTCTATCAAACACCGCATACAGACATATAGGAAGCGATGTGAAGACTTTATTATACATGGAGTATGTCCAAAAGTTATAAAACGCCTGCGCAGAGAAAGCACTGAAAATACCATAGAAAAATAAAGGTAGGATAACCAAAGCATTTTTATAGAAATTATAGCACACAAGCGTTGCATTTTTCCTATAGCATTCTCTGCCATGGGCAAGGATCAGTCTTTTTAAATAAGAAAACTGTGCAATTGAATAATCAGAAGCTCTAACAGCCTGCTGGCCTTCAAGCCCTGAAATTCCTATCCCAACATGAGCAGCATTTATCATATTTACATCATTTGCTCCATCACCAATGGAAAGGGTTCTAACACCTGGCTTATTATCTTTTATCAGCTTTACGATGTCAGCTTTTTGCTGTGGGCTGACCCTGCATGCAAGAACTACCTGGCATTTTTCAACAATTAATAATAAGTCTGGAACAAACTCTTTTCTCATTGCTTTCAATAGAGCTTCACCTGTGATTACCAGTGCGAATTCTGTTGAAGAATGCGCTTTAACTAGCAATATAGCTTTATTTATTTCGTCTTTTACATCTTCTGTATGAATGGCCGAAATGACAATTCTGGCCATTTCACTTGATAAAAGGCTGCAGGAAAAGCCTATGTTTATTGCTGTTTCCATTTTGTCTCCTGTCAAAACCCAGACTTTGATTCCTGATTCTCTTAGGCATTGAATAGCTTCTGGAACTTTGTCTTGCAATTTGTCTTCGATTGCAGTGGCTCCAAGCAAAGTCAGTTTGCTTTCTATTAATTCTCCAACTTCGAAAACCCGCTTTTCACGGTTGAGAACATCACGCATTGCTTCTTGGAACTTAAAGTTTCACTCATGGTACTCCTCCTCTCCAAGTGTTCTTGAGGAAATCAATAAAGTCCTCACTCCCCCCCCTCCGTGAGCGAACAAAAAAAATTTTGTTCGCTCACGGAGGGGGGTTAATTTTTTTTTTTAAAAAAAAATTTTATATATAAATTTTATAAAAAATATATTTTTTCGAAATTTAAAAAAATCCTAATTTGCAAAAATTGGGAAGCAAATATTAATTTAATTTGCAAAATTTATGTTTTAAAAACGCAATTTGTTTTAAAATTAAACAGAATTAGCTCTAGATTTCATTATACTAATTATCACTTATATATCAAAATTTTTTTCCATTAAAATTTTTTCTATTAAAAAAATTTTTGTTCACTCACGGAGGGTGGGTTTTTGGTCAAAAAATGGCGATTTTTCTAATGGTTTTGTTCGCTCACGGAGGGGGGGGGGAGTCAGTCCATCGTTTGCGTAATCTTCTAACTCCCTCCTTTTAAAAGAGAGCAAAACTTTTGGGCTTGCTCTTAGGTGTTATTATTTTTTTAAAAGCTTTCTTTATAAATAATTTGTTTAAACTTTAAAATCCCAAATCGTTACAGAGAAAAAATTTGTTTATTTTATAAGAACTAAAATCTAATAGAATTAGTTAGAAATCTCATTACAGAAGTTATTTATTATATAATTAAAAATTTTTATGTAAAGTAATTTTATATATTATAAATTATTTTGCTTGCTCTTTAAGGGTTAATTTTCGAAAAATAGTCCGTTTTCCAATGATTTTACTCGCTCTCAAAAGTTGGGCTAAGTGTTTTCATGTGCTTTCTATCACAGGACTTTGTAAAATTCGAGGTAGCAAAATTGAGTCAGCACCTTTGCAAAGCAATTTAATCATTCCATTTGGCATTCTCGCAATAACAGACATTCTTTTTCTATCACTTGTGAACTCCAGCACATTCAAAATCTTTATTTTTTCTTCTTTTCCATTAGCATTGATCAGCACATTATTATCCTGGTCTCTTCCCATAAATGTCACCCCAAAAAACTTGGCTGCATTTACAAGCGCTAGCTCATCAGGAGAGCTTGCTTTGTACTGTATAACTCCATCCTTTTCCACAGTTAATATTGTATGACATATCGCAAGATGAATAAGAAACTCTTGCGCTGCCTGATCATTTGAGTTAAAAGAGCTGTCAACAAAGTTTGTATGAGGAATAGGATTTGGTCCTGAGTAATTCTCATTAGTTCCGTATGAAATCCCATTAACTGACATTTTTCGAAACTCCATAATATTGCATGTCAAAGTTCCTGTTTTATCTGAGAAAATATAGCTGATTTGTCCTAAATCCTCATTGAGATTTGAGCTCTGCACCCCAGTTTTCATATCAATAGGTTCATAGTACATTTTTATATCCCAAGAAATAAAGATTGCTTGGACAAATTTGACCATTTCAAGAGTCACTATTAGCGCGATTGGAATAAAGTTTGCAAATATAAGGACCCAGCTAAAAAAATGATAGATAAATTGGACTACCAAGTTGTCATCAGTATTTTCCAGATCAAGATAATAACTCGTCGCATTTTCATTACTATTAAACCAATAGATATAGTATCCAGTGCTAATCCCACATAGTATAATTTGAAGAAAAAATACAAAAATCACCTGAATTCCCATCTGCTTTTCGAGTTTAGAAAATTTAGAGCGGGTTTTTGAAGAATTAAGCATGATTTTAGTTTCGTGACCTGTATAAACAACGACACCAGTAATTCATTCTGTATTTTTCAATGAACTGCCACGTAGTAAAAACTGTTCATTAGACAATGCATAAATTTCTCCCTGTATTGTAATAATTCCATTAAACTGGTAGATCAGGTGGTTTTTATCTTCGCATTTGACTTCTCCTTGAAATCCATCAAATTTATAATGGTCTTCAAAGTAGACCTGTGTTTGCTTTAACGAAATTTTGTGCTTTAAGTTTGTTTCTCCATCTAAATTCTTTGTTTCAATATAGCAGACTCCTTTGCTATCACTAGTTGACAGCAGAATCAAGTCAGCAGGAAATGATTCATCTTTGCAAACCTTTAAAATATCTCCAACTTTTACTTCTTGTCATCTCTTCTCTCCTCACTCATTATTTTTTCGCACATGTGCAGCACGGTTATTCTCAATTTTGTCAGATTTTCTCCTTTTGAGATCTTCAATTAAATCTTTGAACCCACTCAAAGCCATAACGAACCCAAGCGGCAGCAGGATTGTAGGAACTCCACCAGTAACAGAAACTTGCGGTATTGATTGTAAAACTGCTAGCATAAGTAAATCAATAAAATGGTATTCTGCTTGAGAGAAATTAGCTCTGCAAATTTTCTCTCCCTCATGAAATTTACTTATGGGGTCGGGCTTTTCCTGTAGAACTTCTGAATAGCAGCAGGAGCTTAACTCTGGTCATAAGGCTGAGGAACTCTCAAGCGCATCAAGATGCTCAAGATTTTTCCTCTCAGCGCACCGTGCGTGAATCTTAGGCGGAATACGCACAGGGGCTGAGTAAAGGTGAGTAAGTGCAGCGCGAACTGTGAGACTTCCTGGCCAGGCGAAGGTTAAGCTTGCTTAGGATTGCTGAATCGGCCTGAAATATGGTTGCGGTCGGAATGACCGGTGATATCATCACTTTGGAGATTAAATGATGGCCTGCGGCTTACATCCTACTGAAGAAATGACCCCACTTGAGCTCTAAGTTGTTTAAGACTGCTAACATAAGGAAATAAACATTTGCTGCCTTTTGAAATTGTTTCCAGAGATTTTTTGGAATAAAAGTAAATATATTCTGTACTAACTCCCCCCCCCCCTCCGTGAGCGAACAAAACCATTAGAAAAATCGCCATTTTTTGACCAAAAACCCACCCTCCGTGAGTGAACAAAAATTTTTTTAATAGAAAAAATTTTTTAATGGAAAAAAATTTTGATATATAAGTGATAATTAGTATAATGAAATCTAGAGCTAATTCTGTTTAATTTTAAACAAATTGCGTTTTAAAACATAAATTTTGCAAATTAAATTAATATTTGCTTCCCAATTTTTGCAAATTAGGATTTTTTTAAATTTCGAAAAAAATATTTTTTATAAAATTTATATATAAATTTTTTTTTAAAAAAAAAAAATTTAACCCCCCTCCGTGAGCGAACAAAATTTTTTTGTTCGCTCACGGAGGGAGGGGGGGGGGGGAGTAAGTTGATTCATGCCTTATATCGAGGTCTTAAATTTTTACGACAGCTCATTATTGATCCAAAATCATTCCTAGACTCTACAAGTATTAATGAAATTCAGTATATTATATTTGCAAGTGCTGATCTTATTTGTTTTAAAGTGACTTGTTAGTTGCAATGGTACTGTAAACGTCCTCTGTGCTACTACTATCGTGCTCGGCCTACGAGAAGCTGGCTCTGTTATAAGTGGCTCTTCCATTTATAAAACCTATACATTTAGCTTATATTAAGCTTATGCCTAATCAATCTTGAAGATTTGGAGCTCTCTCTCGACTTTCTAAAGCTCTGATTAATCGAGTCGCTCGCAGAATTCGGGTAAAGCTTCACTTTGGCATTGGTTATTGAGTTTTCTGGGAAAGCTGAAGAAAACCTCTGAGTTGAGTTAAAATTCCGCAGAGAAGTTTGGGGATAAAAAGTTTTATTTCACGTATCTTTTACGTCAGTCGGAAGGAACGGCTCTGCAGGCTCTTTTGACTTGTCTCTTTTCCTTGTGATGTCTCCCAGCACTTCATATCCTTCAATGTACTTATCTTCAGAGTGGTTCCTTATAGAAGGCCAAGGTGCTTCATTTGATTGAAACCTCTTTGCAAATCTCGCAAAGTCAGTCTATTTATGCTATACTTTTCCAGTCCAAATCCGCTTGTTAACGGTCCTTCAGCTAGGAGATAGTAGAGCAAAAGCGTTTATAGGCTCAAGACTATAGCAATCTTCTTTGTAAGGCTCATGATTAATATTCCTATGTAAAACATACTTGATAATTCTGCTGCCAAGGATAGCTTTTTCGCTGGTTTCTCTTAATCAGTCATTGCTTCTGTTGGGGGAGCATTTTGGGTAGAGTTCGTTGGCTAAAAAGTGTTCTTTGTGCTCTATGATTGATTCCAATACGCGTTTTTTTTCTTCTTTATAGCTGTATAGTAGTTACTTTCTCACATATACATTCGGTAAAGGCTCTTCGTCTCGAAATTTGTGTAGTGCTGGGTTTAGCAGAGCTATTGTGCCTTCTTTTAAAACCTGACTTAATGGAGGTTTCACCTGATTTTGGACCCATTCATTTACTCGACTGTCTGATACTTGGCTTAAATGCATCCTTTTTTGTTTTTGACGCTTTTTCAGATTATCTTCTAATCTAACTGCTAATTCCTTGTTAAATCGGAAGAAATTATATGATGACTTTAATGAAAATAGGAGTCTAAGTATGGCTGGTGAAAGTAAGCTATTCATGAGCTAAGTAGACCATCTCAAAGGGATGCCTTCCTAAAATGGGTGTTTTGTTTCTCCCCAAGGTTTTCCTGTTCCTGCCAGATGTCTAAACAGGTTTTGCTTATCAAATGGTCTTCTCTTATCTGGACCATCGGAGCATCATACAGATGGCGAGATAATCCACTGGAGAGGTATCAGGTCGGAAATCAAAAGTGAGACCTTTTGAACCAAGGTGGGCGACGGTTATTGGCTAGATCCACTTATGACCAGCATAATCGTTAAACTAATTTGTTAGATCGGCTGGTGGCTAGCCTCCTTTCTTTATAAAGTGAGTACATCTCTATTTAATTTAGCAATAATTATTTATTTTAAAAAAATAATGCCAGATTTTAATCATTTTCTATACATCAGTCTCTGGCTATCAAAATTGCTGATCTTTATTAGTAATTTTTGAAATACTTATAAATGTCGATTATAGACAAGTTTATTTCTGATATCGATCAGCGCATCAATGACCCTCATTCTCGTACCCCTTCAATGAGCTTCCGTGCAGACGAGTTGAAAGAGTATAATTCGCTTTTCCAAGTCCAGGATGAATATACCTCGAAATCATGGGAGCCTCCAAATCCTCTTCCACTTCAAAAGCCAGAGAAACCTAAAGGAGAGTATGTTTTAACTTAGGCAGTGCCACTGAACGCCTTGCTAAAAAAGCGAGTTTCAATGACCGCCGACATTTAGAAGAAAGGTGATTTCCAATTAGACTGAAAAAAATGCAAGATGATAAAATCGCAGCTGAGAAGAAACCTGCAAAAGCTACTAAAAGAGAAATTCAGGATCGCCAGGAATATCTTCATAAGCAAGCTAATCTTATGCAAAGGAAGCGAGAAAATCAAAAATTAGAACAAATTAAGCAAGAGTTAACGAAATTATCGGGACCTTCTCTGTCGAAAAAATCTATTGAAATTACGAATAGCCAAGGAAGAGCTGGAAAAATTGAAGATAGGCTTTTAATAGCTGGCCAGAGAAGCAAAAAAAATGCACAAGAAAGACTGGCAAGCAATGAAAGAGAATCAAAAGCAAACGCAGTTCCAGTTATAACCCCTTTTGCGTCAAAAATTGTCAGGGAAGGAGATATAGTAGATCGGCTTGCGTTATATCAGAAAATATACAAAGATAAAAAAGAACTTATAGGAAAAGAACTGAAATCTGAGTTCTCTTTTCAACCCCAAATTAATAGAGATTTTATATCAGAACGCCCAGCCCTGACTTCAGTGCGGTCAGAGGCTACATTTAAAGAAGAATTTCCTTTCCGGCCAACATTAGATGAGAATTCAATGAAAATTGCATCTAGGCTAGGACCATTTGGAAATCTTAATCTTAATATTATCTATAAGCTTAACGTCCACTACGGGGTAGCCAACTCCAGAGCTGCCACCATATTTATCCACGTGTCGGGTCCAGAAATCGCTGGATCGATCCCTTTTGATCTCCAAGGCACGGGTAAATAAGGCGTTCCGGCTTCGACGGGCTTCGCTGCCGCCACGGCTTTGTTTCGACTCAGCTCCTGCGCGTGTTCCGCCTGAGGGTCCATCTCCCTTGGGATGTGCTGAGGGGTAAAAACTCCAGATCTTGAGCGCACTGAGGAGCAGTTTCCTTTGGTTATCCCCAAAGTTAAACCGCTATTGCTGTGCAGAAGTTCTTGAGGTGAAAACCCAACCCTATAAATAAAATTGCTAGAGTGAGAGAAAGTTAGCGGAGCTAACTTCGCTTGAGCGAAAGCCATTTTATTTGACCATTTGGAAATCGCTCTACAAAGCACAGTAGAATTGAAGCTGAGCCATTTCCTTTTAAACCCTCAATTAACAAGTCTACTAATATAGATCCAAGAGCTCGAAGCACTTCGCCGAGATGGAAAGGCTTATACGACCTAAATTTCGAAAAGCGCGAAAAAATTGAAATACTTAGAAACGAGTTCCAAGAAAGCCAAAGGGATCTGGAATGCACTTTTCATCCCAAAACGACTTCGCCAGTAACCTCGACTGACCCCAGCAAAACCATCCAAAGACTTTATAATTGGGAAAGATTGAAAACTAGCAGAATTGAAGAAATTAAGGAAAAGAAAGCAAATGAAGACTTGGAGAACTGCACTTTTAAACCTTCCCTACAAGCTAAGCCAAACTACGACGAAAGCGATGAGTTCGCTAGAAGAAGCGTGCAAGAGTTTCTCGATAAATTGACTGACTCACCACCTTCATAAGATTAATATAGATCTCATTGAAGGTTTGATATGAATTCATTTTAATATGCAAACATAGTATTGAAAATTGAAAATAACTAAAAAAAATTAAAAATCTTATTTAAAATTTTTCTATTAAAATTATTAATTTGGGAAAGAAAAAGCCTGAAAAACAATTTTCGTATATGCAAAATTATCAAATGAAGCAGGACTACAAGCAGAAAAAAATTCCAGATGATTTGTCGATTCCTTTGATCGACGGCGACATAAACTCAATGCAATACGACGAGGCGATTCAAGAACTTCATGATCTGCTTCATAAATATTACTAGCTAATTCCTTATATTGTTTCTATTTAAAATGCAAAAAATGGTTTCCACAAGTGAAAATATTAAAGTTGCAGTGCGAATAAGGCCTTTTCTTTCTAATGAAAACCCAATGCTGGCAGCTTGAGAAGTGACTTCAAATACTAGCATCAAAAGCAAAAAAGGAGACAAGCAATTCTCATTTGACCGACTATATGGGATGAATTCCACCACTCAACGAATTTTTGATGAAATTGGCGAACAAGTGATCTGGAAAGCTATGGACGGCTATAGTGGGTGCATCATATGCTATGGCCAAACAACAAGTGGGAAAACCTTTACTATGTGTGGAAACAAGCAGTCAAATCCTGGAATCATCCCTTTATCAATACACAATATTTTTGGATATATTGAGGAAACTCCTGAGCGCGAGTATTTACTTAGATGCTCATATGTAGAAATTTATAATGAGTGCATCAATGATTTATTGAACCCCAGTAATGTAAACTTGCAAGTTTTGGAAGACAGAAACCGAGGCACAGTGATAGTCAATGTAACTGAGGAAGTCTGCAAGACCTCAGATCAAGTCTATTCATTTCTGAAAATAGGTGATGGACACAAGCGAATTGCATCAACAAACTTTAACGACAAAAGCTCTAGGTCTCATTGCTGGTAAGAGCTATTTAGGTTTAAAATTATTATTGAAAGCAAAGATCGAACAGAAGAAGATTTATTGATGGGCACTGTTAGCCTAATTGACCTAGCTGGGAGCGAAAGTGTTTCTTCTACTGAAAATGAAAGAGTAAAAGAGGCGAAATTTATTAACAGGAGTTTATTGGCTTTAGGGACAGTTATACTAAGACTTAGTGACACAAAAAACAAAACTCCGATCCCTTACAGAGAAAGCAAATTAACTAGACTTCTACGTCCAATCCTCCAAGGAGAGGCAAAGCTAGTCTTAATAACCACTAGTAGTCCATCTAGCACTGCATATGATGAAAGTTTGAATTCATTAAAGTTTGCAGAAAGAGCTCGCTGCATATCTCAAGTCCTCATACGTACCACTCTTAATGAGGAAAACTCTCTTCTCTTAAAATATCTTGCAGATATCTCAAAGCTTCGGGAAAATTTGCAGCAGTTTGAAATTACATTAATTGAAGATTACAAAAGTAAAATCAATAAATTATCAACTTCTGAAATTGATGACATTGAAGAACAAAAAGAGAGGCTACAGTCAAAGCTAGAAATAATGCAATCAGCAATTCTGGTAGCTGAGCAACTACGAGATATGAAAATGATGAGCTTGCAGTCTAATGAAGATCTCTTGGTTGACTTTCAAAGCCAAGAACGAAGCAGCACACGGCTGAAACTGTGGCGGCAAAGCCAAAACTCAACTTCAGTCATTGATGAAAGCCATGTCTCAATTGCAAATGTGCAAAATTCAATTGAGGAAGAAGAGGTGGAAGAAGAAGACTCGCTTCCACAAAAAATGGTTCCGTTTTCGCAAGCATTTGATTGCGAATCTCCAAAAGTCAACTTCTGCTCTCCAGATCTGAGGAGCACATTGGGTGACTGACGAATGTCGATCCCTCAAGAGCCGTGTGTAAATAGTTTGATTTCATTCAGGTCGAAGCCTCATTTCCCGATCTTTTGCAAAGGACTGGAAATTCCATTGCAAATTGGAAGATCGCTTCTAACAAGTGAAGAAATACCTCTACCGCATTCAGAGTGGCTAAAAATAATGCTAGAGCAGGACAGCATCATTACAGAGCTAAATGCGCAGCTTGCAATGAAAGATGAAGAAAACAAAGTGTTGATTGAAGAATTGAGACTCTGCAAGGAAAGCTTGGAGAGGTTGCAAAATAATTTGAAGTGCTAGAGAAGAAACAAGGTTTGATAAATGATAAATTTTTTTAATTTTTAACTATAATAGCTTAATCAATAATACAAGATTTAATGAAAGTAAAATGCAATACACTTGCAATATTCCTAGTCAAGAACCTATTGTTTAGTGACTATAATAGATTGTATGTTTGTGCTAATTTACTTCAGCCTGGCACAAAATTAAACTTGGTTGGACTGATAACCTAAGTTTTATAATAATTTTTCTATACTCAGCTGCCTACACATGATCAAATCTACTTTGCCTCCCAATTTATTTTTCTAATTTTTTCATTTCCATAATAATTTTTTACGATGACAAGCAAAAAGGGCCGATTCACAATTTCCAATTTACAAGACTCAGACAAAATTGACGTGATGACAGAAGTGCACTCTGGCAAAGATGCGGAGAATATCCAAGTTCCTGTTCCTCAAGATATTTCTCAAGCTGAGGCAACGGCTCGAATTAAGCATAATCATGATAAACGAGACAGCTTAATCGATTCAACTCCTCCTTATTTACAAAGAAACTTAAGCAAAGGTCCAAGCCCAATGAACAGGAAACTGATTGACAAAGAAGTAAGTACAGATATTGAGTATTACGACCAAGCGCCCAGAAGGAGCCATGATATCCGGACTCCGAGTGAAATTTCAAGACACCATGACTGTGATAGTGTCCCAATTCCTGTTATGCTGATGTTTCAAGACACCTTGAGCACCAAAGTAATGGATATATAGTTTTCCGAAATGCTTAATATGCACAAAGAGCTTATGCTGAAGTTCATTAATAAAGATGCAGCCAGAGAAGATAAAATTAAAAAGATTGTGCAGGACATTGCTGATTTGGCAAGAGAAAACAGTTTACTTCAAGCTGAGAACCATAAATTGAAAGATTCAATTACGAGTAAACTTAGGGATTACTAATTGTAATTTACATGATTAATAAGGACTCAGACTAGTTTAAGAGCTTAAATTGAAAAGAATGAGATGGCTAAATCGAATTTTAATCTAAATTAGTGCTAATTTTTGGTGCAATAAATATGTCGAGCGTTGTTCCCAGTGAGTTCTATTTTAGTCCTTCCGACAGATTTGTATCAATTTGAAAGCTACGAGAGAATAGTTGGGGTTCTCGAGTACTTAGATGACATGTTCAACAAAACCATGGACTCAGTGGCAGGAAGAGTACGGTTTATTTAGGTCAAAGAATGCAGAGCGAGAGTAGATGGAATCACTCAAAGGGTTGCAGCTGCCAAATCTAAAGTAGACGTCATTGCTGGGGCAACTCGCGCACTCACAATTCAATCCACATCTCTTTTCCCGAAGATTGACAGACATGATGACCAATTGCTGCCTCCTCAGAAACCAATGCCCAAATTCCACCCTACAGTCCATGAAATCCAGCACCCAGGAAGAGCACCAGTTTCACATGTATCTGATGTTAAAATGCTATATGAGCTCTATACCTCAATGGATATTCCGACTCCGACAATGCTTGATAAGCCTCAAAAGCATGAAGAAATGGGCCTTGGAGACTATCCTGAGACTTTGGCCTTTGCAACAAGTCTCCTCTTGTTTGGGTCAAAAGATAATCCTTATCAAATGGAAGAGCAAGAAATGCAAGTTGAAAAGCCATTGGTAAGACCATCTATTGCTCAGTCTTTTTCGCTGCCAGATGCTCCATCAACTCTCCGAAACTCTACAAATTCATTAGAATACCAAGAAAAAAAGTTTGATTTTGTTCCTGATAGTGACCCAACACCAAAAATGGAAATGCCTTCACAGTTGAATATTGCTGGAATTGCAAATCTTGACTGGGACGAAGACCTTGAAGAGGATAACTTCATTTTCCAGCCAACCAAAAAAGTAGGAGCATTGCCTTCACTTCCGAACTTAGGAGATAACTCAAAGCCTTTACCAAGCTTACCGAAAACAGAAAATCTGCCTCCATTGCCAAGCCTTCCTGGATCATCGTCACCTAAGCCTTCTTCTCAGCCAGCCCCAAGAACTCAGCCACCTCCACCACCACCTCCTCCACCGCCTCCACCGCCTCCATCACAGCCGGCCCAATCTAAGCCGAGAACTGCTCCCCCACCACCTCCACCACCTCCACCTCCACCACCTCCACGTTCAGTTATTTCATCCGTTTCTAGCGTCCCACCTCCTCCAAAAGACGTTCCACTTCCATCTCATCCTAACGAAAATGCCCGTAGCAAAATGCTTGACGATCTCAGAACTGAAAATCCTCTAGCGAGACTCAAAAAGACAGTTATCAACGACACAAAGCCTGATGCTGGAAAACCAGGACTAGGAGGGTCAAAATCCAAAGATCCGTTTGCACAGCTTAAAGAGCAAATTCAAAGAAGATTCAAAGAAATCCATGAACCGCCAGTTTCTGGAAGTGTAGCAAAACCACAGACACTCGCTGACGCTAAATATGGCAACCAAGAAAATGAAAGTAGAGAGTGGTCCTCCGATGAAGATTAATGATAAGCTTTAATATTGTCCTTGATAAATTGCGGATATAAGCTATTTTAAAATTAAGTTTGCAGGCTATATAAATTTCAGTCAATAATAGAGTTTATTAAAAATATATTTAATTAATGTATTGATTAACTATAAAGATCCTCTTCTTCTGCCTCTTGAACTCTTGCTTGTTCAGCCCTCTCCGGCCATCTAAAAGCTGGCGGCCCAGCTTGAGCTCCACCTTGGCGTGCAGCATAAACAGGGTCAAATTTCCTTCTAAATTGATCATATTTGTTCAAATCAACGTTTGTCACCGATCTTCTTGCAGTTGATAAAGCTTCTTCAAAATGTCTTCTTGTAATTTCTGGAACAGGATCATCCACAATATCCATATTTTCTTCTCCATTCTCGGCTTGAAGAGCTTTTCTCTGTGCGTCTGCTTCTATTGCTTCCCTAACTGCACACTTTGCAGCTCTCTGGACAAGTTCTGCTAAATCAGCGCCACTGAAGCCATCTGTTAAATCTGCTATAAAATCAAGGTAAACATTCTTTGCAACTGGCGATTTTCTGACCAAAGATTTCAAGATACTAATTCTGCTAGGCTTATCTGGTAATGGAATGTAAATTAGTTGGTCCAGTCTTCCAGGTCTTAAAAGTGCTTCATCCAATATTTCAGGTCTATTTGTAGCACCTATTATGAACAAATTTTTTTTAGCTCCAACGCCATCCATTTCAGTCAAAAGTTGATTCATGACTCTATCCCCTGCACCACCAGCATCCCCCATGCTTGAGCCTCTTGCAGAGCCTATCGAATCAAGTTCATCAAAAAATAGAACGCAAGGGGCTGCAGATCTTGCTTTATCGAAAACGTCTCTCACATTAGCTTCGCTTTCGCCAAACCACATAGTTAGTAACTCTGGACCTTTAATGGAAATAAAATTAGCTGAGCACTCGCTGGCGATAGCCTTGGCCATAAGAGTTTTTCCACAGCCAGGAGGACCATAAAATAAAACACCTTTGCCAGGCTTCATTCCGAATTTTTCAAATTTATCAGGATGATCGATTGGATATAAGATCATTTCTTGAAGGTCTCGCTTCACATCATCTAAGCCACCGATATCATCCCACGAAACATTTGGGACTTCTACTACTGTTTCTCTTACTTTCTTTTGATTAAAAAGCAAATTATTTCGAAAATCTATTTTTGAAAAATAAAACCACCCTGTTTAGCAAGCAAAAAAATTTTTTAATTATTTTTCGATTAAAATATTTTTATATATAATCCTTTTAAATTTTAAACTGTTTATATCCAAATATATTAATATTATAACTAACTTAGATTTTTGATTTCAAATTTTTACAAATCTGAATCAAAAGCTTTTTTCAATTTAAATTAGCAAAAATTAGTCCTTTAGCTAACAAGATATTTTGCTTACCAACCAAGAAGGGAATTAGTGATGAAGGATTGACAACTCCTAAGGCGCTTTTAAAGTGGTCTTGATTTACAGCCATTGCATCTAGTACCTCAGCATCAATTGTATCTTCTTCTAAATCAATGATATCAAGCTTCTCTCGAATGCAATTCATAGCGGCTTCTGAGCATAGCTGTGCAAGATCAGCACCTACAAAGCCATGTGTGCCTTTTGCTAAGTCTCCAATGTCAGCATCGTCACTAAGCTTCATATTCTTCGTATGAATTCTCAAAATTTCAATCCTTCCCACTTCGTCTGGGACGCCAATATCAATTTCTCTATCAAATCTTCCAAACCTTCTAAGAGCAGGATCAATACTATTAGGTCTATTAGTGGCCCCAATAACTACAATTTGCCCTCTTCCTTTGACTCCGTCCATAAGTGTGAGAAGCTGCGAAACCACTCTTTTTTCCACCTCTCCTCCTGTTTTTTCTCTTTTTGGAGCAATGCTGTCAATTTCATCAATAAAAATGATAGCTGGACTATTTTTTTCAGCCTCTTCAAATGCTCTTCTTAAATTAGCTTCTGCTTCTCCTGCCATCTTGCTCATGACTTCAGGGCCATTGATCAAAAAGAAAAATGCACCTGTCTCATTTGCAACTGCTCTTGCAATTAGGGTTTTCCCAGATCCTGGAGGTCCATATAATAGAACACCTTTGGGGGGCTTGACTCCTAAAGTTTTGAATAACTGAGGATGCCTAAATCCCCCCATCTAATTAGACAAAATTTTTTTTAATAGAAAATTTTATCAATGATAATACTAATTTTATAAAATTAACTTGACCAAAGTTAATAGATAAAATGCAAGTAAAATGGTATTTAAACAGTTTGCTCACTGAATTCATTAGTTTTTTTAATTTAATTTTATAAAAATAAATTAAAACTCAAACCATGTGCTCAATTCTTATTTTTTTAAATAACAATTAAGGATAAAAATACTAATTTTGTAAAATTAGTTTTGACTAATTTAATGGAAAAAGTGCTATTTAAACAGCTTTCACATTGAATTGATTAATTTTTTAAATTATTTATTTATTCATAAAAATAATTATAAATCAAAAATAATGCTTAATTTTATATTTTTTTAGGATTTTAAAAAATTTTGAATTAACTTTGTTCCAATTTTAAGGGGGAGTAAGTGGCAGCTCAATCATTTCTCTGATTTGTGCAAGCTGTCTTCTGCATCCTCCGATATCATCATAGCCAATATCGTCAGCTCTTTCTTCATCAGCTCTTTTAATAGCTTCTCCTTCACAAAAAATAATTGTATCAGGGGCTACAATACAGCATTCTCCTGGATCGGTTTCGACGACTTTAAATTCGACTGGTCTAAATCCTCCCCTCACTAAAAATAAATCGCCTTTTCTTACTGGTCTATATGCTTCTTTAAAATATGGCTTAAGATAAATCTCAAATAAATTCCCTGTTATCCCTTCAATAGTATCATCAATAGGCAAAATATGCACTCTCTTGCCATATGGGATGTCTCCACACGGATGAATGCTTACTAAATCCCCCAATCGAACCTTGAGGTTTTTTCTCACAACTTTGTTAAGGCGAATTTTCCCGTCATCAAGCTCGTTTTCTACAAGAGCGATGCATACAGTGTCTTTTCGTCGTTTTCCTTTTATCATTATTGTAATTCATTCATCTTGGCTTGCGACATCACTGCTACAGAATTGTCATCATTTGTAGCTTCTTCAACTATTAATCTGTTTGGTCCTCGTTTTCTATTTAATATTGCTGTTGATTTGTCTTCGCTTTGCTGAGCCATTTTATTAGATGCATGATTTCTAGAGTTTATAAATATAATCGAATTTCTGGAAAATGATTCGTCCATTTAGCAAATAAAAATGATAAAGTTGCAAAATCCTAAAAATATTGATTCATTAGAAGAAGAACAAAAAATTTTACACAAAGCGCTAATTCTTGCTAGTCTAGATCTTCGAGAAGCCAAATCGCGTGTGGAAGAGCTGAAAATAGAAAACGACTCAATTAAACGTAATATTCCGTCTTTGTTGCTGCCAGAGCCGGAAATTGATTTGCCTGAGCTTTTGACTACACTTCAGCCGAAGCTATATGAGCTTAGAGAAGCTATAATGGTGCAAAAAGTTCGGAAAGCTAAACTAGCTAAAGAGGTGGAAGAAATTAAAGATAAATGCAATAGAAAAGAAGTTGAGCTAAAAGGACTAAAGCGAAGGCAGCAAATTCAAAAAAAAGGAAGCTATTTTATAAAGCATCAAATCAAAAAATCTTTTGTTGGGCAGCCAAAAGAAGAAGAAAACAATTAGATTGAAATAATAAGCCGAACATGATCTGCTTAATTTTGATAATATGCAGCCTAAATTTATAAAATTAATGCAATTAGAAATAGCTTTTAAACAGAGATTAGCTAAAATAAGCGCTTAATGAATATAAAAGTGATGAAAAACTATTATAGCTATCAATGGGTTAATGGTGAAGTGGTATCACATCTGCTTCGCAAGTAGAAGGCCCCGGGTTCAATCCCCGGTTAATCCATCTTTTTGAAATTTGTCTTTATCAGACAATTATGCAGCGCTTTGTATATTTAATTTATTATATAAACAGTAAGTTACATTGAAAACTTAAGCAGCTTAAATAAAATAAAAGATGAAAGTATTAAAATTTCTTATCTTTTTAAATAGAAGTTATTATAGCGCAAATCGTGAATAAAAGCTGCTCTCATAAAATGTATTTTATAGGTTCATTAAATGAATTTAGCCCATTCGCATTTATTTACTATTATCCTGAATTTTGTTTGAAATTTCAAAAAACGATCTGGCTTTAGCCTCCAGCATTATTGATTGTTTAAACTTTTTATTAAAAGCTATAATAATTAAAATGGTAGATGTAGAATGGGTAAATTACTATTGTCAAGCATTCCAAAATGCTATAAACCAGGGAAACGTAGAAGAAGCTTATCAGATGGCCCAAATATTAATAGATAATGAGGTTAAGATTCAAGTAGCTCTAAATTTATCTTTGCCTCCACCTATCCCTGTTATTCCATCTACCCCTAATTATAATCAAAAACCAGCCCATAATCAAGCTCCAAAAGGGCCGATATATACTAATCAAAATTCTCAGCAAAGATCAATTAGTAGTATTGATAAAACTACTCTTAAAGAACTATTAGTGAATATGGGCTATAGCCCAATTATGGCTCAACAAGCAGCAAAAAGATTTGAAACAATTGATGATTGTGTTAATTACCTATCAAAGAAGCATTAGAAAAAATTGGATAATTATTTATATAACACTTCTAATCAGATTTATTGTAAATTTTTAGAATTGCTGAACTAATTTTGAATTATTATATATATATTTGAGGATCTTCAAATAAAAAGCAAAAAATTTATTCAAATATTACTTTATTATTTGAAACTTATCACTCATTTTTTAAATCAATATAACTGAGGCTAACACAATATCTTTGATGCTAGTAGGATTATATGAGAGTTAGCCTTCAAGTTCGTGTTGTGTCAAATAATTTGCTTATTGTTACTATTAATTTGATTTCCCAATAAAAAATAAAAATTACTTATTTAATAAAATGAATTGGGTGGTGACTTTCTTTTCTCAATTGAATTAATTAATACGATCGCAACTTCGAGCATTTAATTCTAATGAAATTACTAGTGGAAGAAAATGATATATTTAAAGAGGCTTATAACAGAGTTGGTGAAAATTTTTTTTCTGCTTCCAGTTATGTTTTAGCTATTACGGCCCTAGGCATTAAATATATTTATAAATTGTCTTTACTCCCACATATAATTCTTCAAATAATTCAAGATGGAAAATGCTCATCCTTTTCACGGATTAAGTCATTTAAACTTTTGCAGTGATAGGAGAAATCAAGATTTAATACATCAAAATTGAAGTAAAACAGATGAAAGCACATTATTTGAGACAATACAAATCATTTACCAATCTGTTGATAAAAGAGATAATGCAAATTTTAAGGATCAACAAATTCCACAGCATTTAGTAAACAATTTTTTTGAGGAAATGACACAAACAATTTCTAAAATTAATGATTTGAAAAGAGAATTCAGTCAGCTAATTGGGAATTTTTATTGTTTCTATGATAAGCAATTCTGTTTAACATTCTCTTGCTATGAAGAATTTATTGAAAAATGATCAGAGATTGATAAAATTCATTATTTAATTACATCTTTAAAAGCAGAGTGCCAAACGATTAGAAATTATATTGAGAACCATATAAGTTTAGGATTATTAATGAATAGCTATTCAGAGATTAAGACTTCACTTAATGCTTATTTTACACAATACAAATTTCTTGATAAGTTAGAAACTTTATTGATAAAGCTTTTTCAAAAGAAGAGAAGTTTTGATATTTATAGCAATAAACAATTATATTTATTTCCTAAAGATATTTGCGATGAAGGAAATTTTATAATCTATGACACAGAAACCAAAACTCAAGAATTTATAAACATCAACTTTCCAAAGCAGCTTTCAGTAGGAACATGCATAACGCAGCTTCCTGATGACCAACTGTTTTGCTTTGGAAATGAATATCCTGCAAGAGGGACAACTTGCATAATTAATTCCCAATTAGATGTTAAAATATTGAAATCAGGACAACCTCGATTTATGTGTGGATCCATATACTTTGAAGATAATGTTTATGTTTTCGGAGGATTTGGAACTAAAGATTTAGACTCTGTGGAAAAGTTTGACTTAAAAAGAGGAAAATGAAGTAAGCTTTGCTCAATGCCTAAAAATTCTCCTTTCTGCTCTTGCTTGGCTTTCAAAGAAAGCATATTAATCTCTGGTAGTAACCATGACATTTTATATAAGTATGACATTGAATTAAACAGTTATTCGAAAATACTCACTTTTAATATAAGCTACAACAAAGTTTTAGCATCAGCGAAAGGAAGAGCCTATGTTTTTAATTCTTGTGATAAGACATATGAAAGTGGACTTTTTGATGAATACAATTGAAATGAAATTAGCGCCTCGAACCCAATAATTGGCTTCATGTCTTCCAGAACTTATAATAATAATTCAATCTTTTTCGGAGTAGCATCGTATGATAAAACAATTTTTTACAGATTTGATTTAGAAACAAAGAAATTAGCTTGCATTTTGTAATCAATCATTTAATTTTTAAGTCTGGGTAGAAATTATTATTTTATCTTAATCTCTCTTTAATATTGCTCTGAAAACTTGGCTTCTATTAATTTTATTAATTTTGAATCGAATCTAATTTTGGTAGCACTATCTATTCATTTATAGCAGGCATATGGATGATAGGTTCAAGTATATGTTGAAAGAGAATTAGTAGTTAAATTAGTTAATTAAAGAGAGACATTTTTGTCTTGAATAGATAGCTGAAAATCAAGAATTTTATGTAATAAATATGTTCTATAATTTCGTCAAATTGATAGAAGTTCTGGCAATTTTAGGAATATCTGCCTTGGAGTGAAGAGAGGACGTTACACAAGTTTCTCCGATGTATATTGCTACATGAACGGTAGACAACGCCACACTTCACTGGAAGAGTGATATTATAATAGAGCTAGCATCAAAGACTCCAAAAGTTCCTGTCTTACTTATGGCAAAAAAATCTATAAATCCAAGCTTTAGTTTCAATATAACAAGTGGCACCTATGATCATGATGCAGACTACTATGATTTTGATGCATGAAGTAAAAATGAGACTTCAAGCTGAATAGTGATTCCTAAGAGCTTGCTAAAAGAAGGAGATGCCTATAAAATTGGAGTCTATTCAGAGTATATGGGAGTTTCATATATACTCAATGATAGACAAAAAAATGATACTGTTAATTGCTATCAAAATTGTTCTCTAGATAGTAAGTGTAAAAAGGGGAACTGTGTTTGTCCATATAGGGGACATTTAGGAAGGCTGTGTGATACCCCTATGAACCAAGCAAAGAATGCGAAAAATCAAACAGTTTCTCTCGAATCTGATCAATGGCAATTCTTTTATTACGACCCTTTAGGAAAAGATTACACAATAAAAGTGGTCAAAAACATTGGGGAGCCAGAGTTATATTTTAAAAATTTAACTCAAGAGGAAGACATAAAAGGATTTTTACCAGGAGCATTTGCACAGACTTTCAATATGAGCTTTGGAGAAAATGATACTATCACCCGTGAAATTAAAAATGATTTAAATTATTGAATATACGCAGTCCATTGTCCAAAAACTGATGAAAATTGTACATTCAGTATAAAGATTAATAAAGATTCTTCAGATAGCTCTGGCTTAATAGAAACATGACTTGTTCCACTTTGTGTCTGTGTTGGTCTTCCATTCCTGGGCATGGCTTTTTGTGTATGCAGGAAAGGCTGCCAAAGAGTTGAAGAAGAAAAAGAAGCTAGAGTAGTTAGAGAAAAGGAAAAGTGCTTAACCAGTGATGAAATGGATGATTACTTCCCTGAAATGCAATGGGACGTTTTTGGAAAAGAGTTTTGCGCTTGCTCTTTTTGTTCCAAAGCATTTGAAAACTGAGAAAAGGCAAGAATGTTAAATTGCAAGCATATTTTTCATTTAAAATGCATTGATAGATGGAGCAAGATAAATGGCTTCTGCCCAGTATGCAAACAGAAGCTAATCGAAGATAAAGATCAAAGTGTTGAAGACTCAACACCTTCAAGAGGTTCCTCTGATAAAAAGAATAGCGATAAAAATAATCAGAGTGAGATTGATAACAAGCCAATAGACCAGAAAGATATTTAAATTAATTAATCTGAGGCATATCTCTTCTATATGAATGATCGTCTTTAATTAAAATTGAGCATTTTTCCAAATATATAAATATTTGGCACTAGTATACGGCCTATACTCGTGGCCATCTTCGTAATTCCAGAATTGGGAAAATACGAAGCTGGCCACTATACATTTTCGATATAAATATATAATTCAATGCTTAAAATATTCCTAGATATCTTAAATACTTTTATATATGAACCACAGAAAGAAATTATCATTTCAGAAAAACAAGTAAAAGACAAGAAAACTGATGAAGAGAAAGATCAAGAAAATAAAGTAAAGCAAATTAAGGGAGAATCTGAAAATCCAATATACAATTCAAATGAAATTAGCGAGCAAGAGAAAAAAAAGTCAATAGAGATTGATGAGAAAGCTAATAACGAAAAAAGCGATGCAGCCATCAATAAGCGGATACCAATATTTAAAAGCAAGGAAGAGGAAAGCAACGAGGTAAAAGAATCAGAATCAGAATCAGAACAAGAATCAGGAAAGAATCAGAACAAGATATAGCTGATGAAAAAAACGATAATAAGAATTAAATATTTATTTTCCATAAAATTATTTGGACGTATTAAATTTTAAGATTTTTATTGTGAAAATTTTTATATTCATTTTTTTTTTAGCTTTCTTGAAATGGAGAAACAATTTTGTTCCAACTTAAAGGGAGTAATAAAAAAAAAAATTGTTAAATGTTATATGCTTATTATGTTCTATGGCGTTACACGAACTAAAGATTTCTCTAGTTCTCTTTTTTATTATATTTAGAATTCAATAATTATGCTTTATACAGAGAAATTCTGGAATTGATTATAATAATAATCTTAAGAAATCTAAAACACACGTTTAAAATGGATGATACCTATTAGTCATTATTTTACAAATTTATAAAATGGAAAGTTTATTATTTAGGCAGTTTATTTTTTGCGCGATATCGCCTTTCCTGATGATTTAACACTTTTAGAAGCTGAAGCTTTGCTTGCTGATTTCCCAGGAGTCTTTTTAGGTGTCTTAACTGGGGTTTTCTTTGGAGTTGTAGTTTTCTTACTCCCGCCCCTTTAAATTGGAACAAAAAATCCTGTTACAATTTAAAGGGAGTTAATTTTTTTTAAAAAACAAAAAAAAATTTTAAAAATTTTAAAAAATATAATTTGGCCACAATAATTTGAATTTTAGTTTATTTTTTATGAAGAAATAATTAAAAAAATTTAGTTGATTCACTGTGAAAATTATTTAAATAGCATTCTAACTGCACTTTTTTCATTAAAATATTTAAATTTTAGTTTTATAAAAATTAGTATTCATCTTTTATTTTTTTGTATAATCTTAAGTAATAAATTGAGCACAATAGTTCGAATTTAATTTATTTTTATGAAGAATTATATAAAAAATTAATTGACTCAGTGTAAAAAATTATTGAAATAGCATTCTACTTGCATTTTATCTATTAAATTAGGTAGAAATAATTTTATAAAAATTATTTTTTCCATCATTAATTTTTTTTTAAAGCATTTTTTAAAAAAAAAATAAATTAGCACCACATTCTACTTACTTTTTATTAAATTAAGTCAATAAAATTTGTATTTTCAACTTTAATTTTTTTTCAAAAAAATATAAATTGAAAATCAAATAGAAAATTAATCGATTCAGCATGAGAACTGCATAAACAGCATTCTATTAAATTAGGGTAAAACCAATTTTTTAAAAATTAGGAGTTTCATCGATAAAATTTTTTATATTGAAAATTAAATTTTTGTTACAATTTTAATGGCGTTCAAGCATCCAAAAAATGCAAATTTTATCGATGCTTGGCTCAAATTTAAAAGGTGGGAGTTAGGAGTAGGTCCTGATTTTTTAGCACTTGGTTTAGGAGATTTGTCAGCAGCTTTAGCAGGTGTCTTTTTCTCTTCAACAGGTGCTGGCTCTGGGACTGCCTCAACCTTAGGAGACTTTGGTGATTTTGGAGATTTTGGTGATTTAGGTACAGTCTTTTTTGGTGCAGCTTTTGGTGTTTTCTTAGGTGCAGCTTTCTTTGGGGCTTTCTTTGAAACTGGGGCTGGAGCTGCTTGTGCAGGTGCTTCTACTTTCTTTTCTTCAACCTTAGGCTTAGCGGCCTGCTTTTTGACAGCTGCCTTTTTAGGAGCTGCTGCCTTTTTGGTAATGACCTTCTTTGGTGCTGCTTTCTTTGGTGCTGCTTTGCTTGTTTGTTTTGATTTTGGTGCTGCTTTAGCCATATTAATTATAATTTTCATTTCAAATTCCACGCTAAAATCACCATTTTTTTGGCAATCTTGAAAACTATTGGCGGATTTTTTCTGAAGAGGGTAGAATATTCAGCACAGTTTATTGAGCAATCAAGAAGCAGGCTGAGTGGACACGATAATTTTTTTATAATTATGAGTCATACTTAATACCATAGGAATATTTTTTCTTAATATTTTTGTTATAATAGGGAGATGCTTTTGTATTTATTTGATGGGGGTCTTATTGGCAAATAGCTGAATATTTGATATCTAAAAGTGAGAAATAAGAACTAATTTGCCTATAAAGCAATTATCTACCAGTGTAGCACGATATTACCCTCTAAAACTTTAAATTAGTGCTAATTTCAGGCGTTAGATGCATAATATAGTTATAATAAAGCGCGTGAAAAGCTTGATCCTATAGTCAGAGTATTGCTGGGACTGAAAATTTTATAACTGAAGTAATCTTCATTTGAAAAGTTTTGCCAGATACCAGGTTTAGCTATGAAAGAATTGAAAATAAATTTTAATATTAAAATGGATTCCTGCAAAATACTGCATTTTATACAGCTTGAAAAGATAGGCTAAGATAAATTAGATGCTTGTGATTATTGATTCTGCTAATTAATGGCTGTTTTGGATACATAATATGAATAAAATTTGAATTATTTATTATGAAAACAACTAAACTTAGGTTTCGATCTTTCATTTGGAGAATTACTTATTAATTTGAATTTGCTGAACATTTATCAATGGTCTTTTTGAATTTACATAATTACAATTAGTTTAATATTATCTCTTCACCACTTATGCTTTTACGTCTTTTTTTTTACCTTGGATAGTTATTTCATGTCCACCAAATTCAATCTCTTTTATATTTTCGTTTGCTTCCTCATTTTCATATAAGCATTCCTCCTCATAGTTTTTTTCGCCCTCCCCATATTGCAAGCTTTCTTCATTTTATCATAGTTTTTAAAAAAGATGGCGAGTTGAACATAGGTCCGGAGCAACTAATGAATTTATCAGAGTCTTAGGAAAATGGATCTCATTCTTTTAGAAGGTTAGGCCTGGGTTTTTTGCCTTGTCGGACTCCTCAACAGGCTTTTTTCCTTGTCCCAAAGACATATAACTTGCACTTCTGGGAAGCAGTTTCATGTATGATAAGGCATGATGAGTTGATCCATGGACGGGTGAGTCTTTTCAAAACTGTTGACTTCACCATTTTGGTGACATCAACGAGAAAAGAGCGTGCTTTGAGAGCAGGTGACTCGGCTCACTTGAGTCAAAGCCTGCGGCTGGACATATAGGACTGAGATAATCCCCAGAGACCACTATGACTTAATTAATTAAACAATCAATCTTCGTTTTCTTTTTCTTCTTCTTTATCTTCTTTTTCTTTTTCTTCTTCTTTGCTTTCCTCATTCTCTTGATTTTCTTCTATAATCAGATTTTCTGATTGAGAATTTGTTCCCGGTACTACTAGAACTGGATCAATTATATTTTCTCCACAATTCAATATTTTCTTACACAAAGGACATTTAGCCTTTGACTTTGCTCATTCATCAATGCAGCCTGTATGAAATACGTGATCGCAACTTAATTTTCGAACTTTTGCGTTATCTTCAAAATCTTCTAAACAAATAGCACATGTATCTTTATTTTTCCCTAGTTTTTCCCATTCAACAGACGGAAAAAGCAGCTCCATTTCTTCTGGCGTTAATGGGTTTGTCTGCCTCTCAAAATTCGTTTGTGCCGTTCCAGCCCATCTTGATCTAACTATAGACTTTATTGCAAAAGGAGCTACTATGCATAATAAAAATGATACAATGGCTATAACAGCTATTCATCATATAAGCTTACTACTTAGTGTCTGAGAGTAATCATCAATTTCTATTGAAAATTCACAGCTGCTTTCGCCATGGCAAAAAACTGAATAAGTTCACCATGCCCACTGATTATCTGCCTTGTTTTTACTTATTCGTGTTCTAGCTTCTCCAAAAGTTAAATAAAATCAATTAAAAAACATGCTTGGGAGATACAAATCTGAGTAAAAAGGAGTAAAGTAGAATTTTGGATCTCCAGCATATTTCTCAATGTCTATGGTAAAGCCATAGGTGCTACGACAATCAAAAATATAAAGGTTTCATTGATTAGGTGCTAAGAAATAAGTCCTATTATCATCAAAGTTTATAACTGTATATGTAACGCCGCAGTCATAGCCTGAAGAATTTCCAGAACACTGACAAGCACCTTCAGTACATGTGCTATAATTTGCTGCAATGCACTCTGGAATGCATGCATTGCTGTCTACCTTTGAGTATTTAGATATGGAATAAGAAATTCCGAGAATTTCTGAATAAATACCAATATAAAACGTACTTCCAAGAGTAAGGTCATCTTCCTTAATGGTTACATAAGAGTTGTCTGAGTTTTGAATTCATGCTTGAAAATCTTCATAATCAGTGTCAGTATGATATGAATCTGCTGAATTATTAAAATAAAAGCTTGGCTTCGCGCCTTCTTTGACTAATAATAACAGAGGGATTTGTTGAGATTTTGTCGAAAGCTGGATTATAAAATCATTCGATACCATGTCATTCGTTACTATAAATTGCAAATACTCCATTTGAGAATCCTGTGTCAAAACTTGATAAGCTGCATTAGCAGAAAGTACGAAAAATATAAAACTTAAAAGCCACATATTGAAAAGTTAATTATATTAAAATTAAGAAAAATAAGTGTTCCATATCAACTCTTTGATAAGCATTATTTTTTTGGTTTTTAGGTTGAAGGAATAATAATTAATGCCATAATTTTCGTTCCACATACTGTAATAAATCGAACCATTTCTGCTGATTCATGAATTTTGTCCATATCCATTGCAAGTCACTGGATTTTTAATCATAGTAAATTTATATTCATTGTCTTTTTCACTTTCGTAAATTCCTCCGTATCCTTCAATAATATACACCTTCGAATCTGATCTGAAAAGTAATTTATTATTTTTGGATAAGCCATTTAGGATCACAGAATAGCTGTTGATTATTATATCATACTGATATAATGATGTATTGTCTCGTCCTGATAATAAAATCTTTTGCTTATTAACTAGGCAGGAGCATGAGGAAGCAGGCTTAGGTAATGGTACTAGTACTTCCCATTTATTTAATTTTAAATCATATTTTCTTGCAGTCCGGGAAAGAGAAAAAGCGGCATAGCCTCCAAAAACAAAAATGTTGTTTTCAAAATAAACAAGGCCTTCATGAATTCAACCTTGAGAACACAATGAGCCAATGATAAATCTTTTCTTATTAATGGAATTCGTAATAAATGATTTATACCTATCACATACAGTATAGCACAAAATTTCTGAGTTTGGTAGAGTTATAACAGATGAACTTATACCAAAAGAAGGTCAGTCGTCATTTGTCCCAATAATTGAAGTATCAAGGCAAATTTTTTGAGTTTTTGGGTCAAAAGAAATCATTGCTAAAGTATTTATATTTTCCTTCCAATATAAGTTTAAAATTTTTTCGGATTGACTAACTCCCCCCCTCCGTTGGTGAACAAAAAAATTTTGTTCACTCACGGAGGGGGGTTATTTTTTTTTTAAAAAAATTTTACATATTAATTTTATAGAAAAATTTTTTTTTCGAAATTTAAAAAAATCCTAATTCGCAAAAATTGGAAAGCAAATATTGATTTAATTTGTAAAATTTATGTTTTAAAAAGCAATTTGTTTAAAATTAAACAGAATTAGCTCTAGATTTTCATTATACTAATTATCACTTATATATATCAAATTTTTTTTCTATTAAAAAAATTTTTTGTTCACTTACGGAGGGTGGGTTTTTGGGCAAAAAATAGCGATTTTTCTAATGGTTTTGTTCACTCACGGAGGGGGGGAGTAAGATAAATCTCTTTTTGAGCTAGAGTTTGGCAAAATAAAATTTTTATATTTAAAAATTCCTCATAATTTTTTTTTAAAATTTTCAAAGAAAGTTCGCTGCTAGCTCTCATGTGCCAACAACATGCCCGCTTTGCGCAACAGTCAGACTTTATGGTCACGGCAAACTGGGACGGACCCCTACCCGAGGATCAAGTACAGGCTCAAGAGATGTGCATTCGGGTAAGTTTTGACTGCTTTCCTGTGGTTGGAAATGGAGATGCTCAACAACGTTCTTTTGGATCCCATGGGCATTCCTCTACCGAGAAACTGGAAGTTTCGGCCCAGACCACAGGGGAGTAGTCTTTTTCCTGTAGCTGTCGAAAGAAGGCACTTCGGCACCCGATAGGCTCAAAGGATCCTTGAAATCAAGTCCAATCGCCTGTAGCAGGGCCACAGATATCCATAAGCACTCAAGACTGAAGCTGAAAACCAAGGAGGAGACAGAAGATACAGGAAAAATGGCATCCGCCTTCGGGGAAAGACCCTCTGGACTGGAGTCGAAAAACGGTAAAAACCTCCAGTACAGGAGGTCTTTGGTAGCTGCGTCAATATGGCTAACACCTAACTTTAAATAGCTTAACTCAACCTGCCTAAGCCCTCAATGAATCTGAAGATGAATAATTAGTTACAACTCTGCGATAGTTTTTGTCAATCTTCTCAATGTCGGCTTTCAAAATATTAGCTTTATCCCAATGCATTTTAGAATCATCTTGATGAATAAATGAAATTTTAAACGGTAGCAATGGTGAATTTGATCAACTTGCTAAAAGTTCTTTAATTCGTTTCTCAGTGATCCAAATTTCAACAATAAGGTTTTCGGTTTTGCTTTGTTTTTGGTTTATCCAATTTATTTTTTTGTAAATTAGTTCTGGATTGAAAGAATTTTTTATTAAATATTTGGTAAACGATTCAATAACTTCAAGCTTAGTAGAGCTGGATAAAATTAAATGAGAAAATATATCGTTTTCAGGTGAGAAAACAGCCCTAATTGAAGTGAGCCAAATTGCTCTACTGAATTCAATAACTTTCATGGATTGAGATAAGCCATTACTCAATTTAGCAGTAGCATGTTTTTGAGCAGAAATTAGCTTCTTATTGTAGCTTTCTAAGCCACCAGTCATAATTTTTATAAAATTTTCAATAGTTTGCACAGTTTCACTATATATTTTGCTATGAAAAAATTTGAAACTATGTTTTGAGTGAATATTGTTTTGGATGTGGTCTTTCAAGTGATATTCGCACATGAGAGAGATCGATTGACATCCGCAAAATGAAATCGCCTTTTCCAAGCATCCTTGCTGTTGGCAATCTGCCATTTATATTTAAGTGGGTTTTGAAATTTAATGGAAAATAGAGATCGATTAACTATTTCATTGGTTACAACATTACATCTTATTATTTGAAATTTGATTTCTGCATCTATGCATGAGGGCGAAAAATATTTGCATAGTAAAAGTTTAGAAATGCAATTTTAAATAAACTAATAATAGAATTATTAGCCAGAACTTTAAGGTTTCCAAGGAGCAAATAGAAGAATATTGGATAAATAAATAAATTAAGGAAAATAAACTTGCCATATCAAGTCTTTCACGAGAGTTATCTTTTTTGTTTTTAGGTCGAAGCAATAATAATTAATCCCGTGATTTTCAATCCATTTGCTGAAATAAATTGAGCCATATTTGTTAACTCAATTGCTTTGCCCAGAACCATTGCAAAGCGAAGAATTACCAACCCTATTAAATTTATATTCATTATCTCTTTCACTTTCATAAATTCCCCCAGATTCTTCAATAATATATACTTTTGAGTCTGAACCAAGCAGCACCTTATTTGATTTGCCTAATCCATTAACAATCTCAGAATAGCTATCTAATTTAATATCATAGAGGTACAGAAATCTATGCTCACGCCCTGAAAGTAAAACTTTTTGCTTATATATTAAGCACGCACATGAGGAAGCAGGTTTTGGCATCATTGCTAATTTTTCTCAGCTATTCATAGCAAAATTGTATTTTCTTGCTCGCCGGTGGGGTTTCCAACTCGTCTGCCCTCCAAAGACAAATACGTTGCTTTCAAAATATACAATTCCAGCAAATTTGCAGTTATGCGTAATTGGAATAATCTTTATATGATGATTACAGTCCATGATAAAACACTCATAAATATCATGCACACCATAACAAAAAATTTCAGAATTTGGTAAAGCTATAATAGATGAGCATGGACCAATTGAACCTGGCATTTCTTTAGCAACATCAGTTACAGTGGAATCAATTGTGATTTCTCTCATTCTGGGGTCAAATGAAGTAATCACTATATCGCAGGTTCCTCCTTTCCAGTATAAGCTTAAAATCTTTTCATAGCGATTAAGATTAATCTCTTTTTGAGCTAACAATTCTTTGAGTAATTCTCTTATATTTAAAAATTCTCCATAGATTTTTTGTAAAAAAATTAAAGCAAGACTATCAATAGTTTTCATATTGATCGAAGGTGGATAAATAGATAGTATTTTGTGATAATTATCATCAATCTTTCCAATTTCGGCTTTCAAAACGTTGACTTCATCCCATTTTGCTTTATAGTCATCTGGATGAATAACAGAAATTTTAAAAGGCATCAATGGTGAATCTGATCAACTTGATAAAATACTTTTTATTCTATTCTCAATCGTCAAAATTTCAGATATTAAGCTTTTGACTGGGCTTTTTTTTAGATTATTCCATTCAAATTCTTGATACAGAGATTCAGCATCAAAAGAATTTAGAGTCAAGTGTTTGATAAATAAGTCAATGGCTTCAAATTTATTAGAAATATATAATATTACTTGGAAAAATGTACCGCTTAAAATTCTGTTTTCCTGAAGGAGCATATAGATATTTTTGTAAGATTGTTGCGATGAATTAATTTTTTCAATGGATTTAGACAGTTCCATGCTCAAGTTAGAGGCATAATTACTTTGAGCTGAAATTAGCTGCATATTATAACTCTCTAAACTTTCAATAATAAATTCTATTGTTGTTGCAATAGCTTGTTTTGTTTCTGGTATATAATTCATTATTAAAAAGCATGAAGATGTATGTTGAATTGATATTATTCTGAGATAATCTTTTAAGTGATAATCGCACAATCAAGAAATTGATTTGCATCAACAAAGTTTTCTTTATTTTTATTTAAATTAGTTTATCAGCTGTTATTCAACAGCTCACTCTCTCTCAAAAACGCATCAAGAAAATAAGTTTAAGCATTCTTGCGGTTGGCAAACTATCATTGTAATTTGATGAAATATATTATAATAGCTTTAAAGAAATCAATATTTTTCTCTTTTTTAGTTAACTAAAATGCTATGAACAACTAGAAAAGATAAACTCCTTAAAAATATAGTCGTAAAATAAACTTATGTTAGGAAATAGTTGAGCTTAATAAAAAGAGAAAAATTATTTTAATGACGCATTTATAGATCAACTATAATTCACAAAAAAATATCTCAGGTAGATAAATCATAGATGATGTTATTTTTCGCAGTAATTAGAAATATCTGATAAATTAACAAAAGAAATCATAGCTAAGCTAGAAGCAAAAATTTTCAAACATATTGGTATTTATAATAAAATTATGTAAATGTTTCACTTTTCACTATTCTGCCCCTTCTAAATTTCGATAAAACAACTATTGTATGCCTATATATTCGAAAAATTTCTCCAAGTAAATCTCTAACTGTATTACCATCTCCTTTCAAAATTTCTTCCTCTACAAACATCAGTCTGCTGCTAAAGCTAGCTTTGGTCTTCAACACTTCGAAAGTCATCTTTATATTATGCAGCATAGCCGCACTTGTTTTCGGGCTCATTTGTATGCCTTTTATAGGATATTTTTCTAGTTTTGATACAATTTGGCTCAAGAGAACACCACTTTGAAAATCTTCAATAACGTCATCTGTTAAATCCAGACTTTTAGGTATGCTGATTCCAATATTATAAACCCACTTATAATTATTAGGCAAAATTGATTTAAGGATACTTTTTTGCGTATCTGGGGCCATTGTTTTGCTAACATCAAACCAATCAAAAGCGCTCGTTTTGTTTTTTACAAGTTTTCTTACAGAAATATTAATTGGCGACTCATATCTATTGAGTTGGTAGTTTTCGTTATTTTCTGTATTTTTAAGTAAGGAGGAATTGAAGGAGGTGAAAATCATACTTTGGTTTCCTCTACTTTTTCATGTATTAGTATTTGGTTTATCGTTCACTAAACTCATGTTTAATCTTTGCGAAAAATCCAAGCTTGACGTTCTATTTATAGGCTTTTTGCTGAAAAAAGAACTATCGTTATGCAAGCTACTTTCTCTCTTCATGGATTCATTAACGGATTGCTTTTTGATGGCCATTGGATACAGTATCATTAAAGAATGCAATAATCCTCATGTGCTCTCAGCATTTCCTTGGATTATGCTATCTTTATTCCTCAGCACTATACTAGGTATAGGGACTCTTCTTTTCTGAAGTACATACATGGCGCTGTCTATATTTTTCCTTATTTCATTTATGCTTACAGGATTTCTAACAATTGGGACTTTTTGCTCTAAAATGCTCACAACTTCGCAAAGAAGAGTTCCATTTCTTAATGGATCCTGTAAGAAATGCCTGTAATGGAAATCTAATAAATGATCGAGTTCTAAGCCAGATAGCCAAGCTCTAATTCTTTGTTGGGTATTTAAACTCATAGAATCTGTAGGTTCAAAAGGGATAGGGGTAGTAGTGTTTGTATAAGAAGTTGAGCGTGGATATATTGTAGATGGTGTTGGACTTGGAGTTTGGCGAGTAAGTACTTGGGATTTATTGTTTACAAAAGATTGAGTTAATATAGGAGAAGTACTGTTATTTCTTTCAATTGAGTTGTTTCGAGTCTTTCTTAATAGAGATAATAATTAATATGGTGATGGAGACAAAATATGTCTTTACCAATCATTTCAGTCTAGGCATTATTTATCCAGATGGTTTGTGGGCCCATGGATTCTTTCCCTGCTGACTGTGGAGGGTTATTGTTCTTTTTTCTAGTTGTCAAATCTCCCAAAAGTAGCCGATAGGAGGTATCGGCTAACCTTTATCTCCATAGCACTTGATGGCGCACTGACCGGACGTTTTTCTAACCGTCGAGAATCTTAGGATCACAGTTAATTCAGCTCTTAGAATAGATCCCTGCTCCTGGCGTTGGTCAAAAGCACGCGTAGGCATCAAATCTGGAAGATGTTAGTTAAGACTCTTAATTTAATTTGTTAGAGATAAACTTGGACTTCTTGGAACATATTTTGGGAAAAAATTTCTGATATCATCAAGCAAATGCCAAGCTGCATAGCTATCAGAGCTGACAATCAGATCTACATCTCATAGGACTTGACTTGAAAATTTAGGGAAACTTTTCAGGTATTTAAGGGCTTTTTGGACGTTTCCTTTCATAGCTGTTTTGGTTTTTGGGTTTTTGTCATATCCTTGAATAGCTTTAGTCCTCCCAGCAATTCGATTGAGAATTTCACAAAATAATTTCCCATCACTACAAATTTCAGGAATTTCATCCAATTTCGCATTTTTTGGTAAAACTCTCATTGATAGTAGCCAATCACAAATGATTAATTTTCTATTTTCAGTGATTGGAGTTATACTTGAAGTCATTGGCATTGGAGATGGGGAGGGATGTACCACTGTGCTTTCTTCTAAATATTCTGGACAGCTAAAATTTAAAGGATCATGCCTTATTGATGATGCCAAGGAGCAAATAGTGCTATTTCTTTTCTTTAGAGGGGCTTTTGGGCTGTCTTCTGGACTTTGAAATTCCAAAACTTTTTGATTATTTGATGGCTTGCTTATCCTTGCTACAGTTTGATAAAGAGAAATGAGCATTTCTTGATTTTGATATACTTGCTCAGGAGTTCATGGGGAATTCAAAGCATTTAAAGCAATTTGAAGGTTGTGGAGGCTTTGCTCCTTTTTAGAAATATATTTAGATTCCTTCCGTATCACACCTTCAAGTGCGGGGTTTTTGGAAAAATAAGAAATTAAGTCACAGAGAGGGATGCCAGTTCTAAGATCTTCTATAGACGAAGCAACTAATTCCCTGCACCTCTAAAAATTTAAAATGATAAGAAAATTATTTTAGAAATTAACCCTTTCGTGAGTGAGCAGTGCATCGTTTTATTTATAAAAGATATTTTGATACACCTATAATAATAATAATAATTATTATAAGCTAATTCAAGAATTAAATACTTCAGAGCAGAGTGTTTTTATAAAATTTAAATCTCTTCCTTCTGCGAGATAGTAAAAACTACTGATTTTATTCTTTCGCCAAGTGAGGGAGTAAGCAGCTTTGGATGTTGAAAGAGTTCAAGTAATCAATAAAATCATCTGCCATTTGAAAATTATTCCAACTTGGCTGAATATGCAATATTAGTTTCCTAACTATTTATTTTATAAAAAGATATATTCACTATAAATAACTGTAAATTTAGACCTAATTCTTATATAGTAATTGAATAAATGCAAAATAAATACAAGAAATTAAACTGTTTGAAATCGAATTATTAGTAAAAATATAATAAAGCAAAATTGGAAGGCAGGATAAGGATTTATTTAATTTACTTTCATTTCATTTTAACAGTTATATGACGTCAAACGGAATTTACTTCCATTTTCTACAGCGAAATAATAGTAAAATTTCATCATTCATTTGCATAGAAAATAAATTTAGAAAAGAAATATTAAGCAATGCAAAGATTAGTCATAACGACTGTTAGTTAGGCTTATTGGCCACCACGGAGACGAAGCACCAAGTGGAGGGTTGATTCCTTTTGAATGTTGTAGTCAGCCAAAGTTCTTCCGTCTTCTAGTTGCTTTCCTGCGAAAATGAGTCTTTGCTGATCTGGTGGAATACCTTCCTTATCTTGGATTTTAGCCTTAACGTTATCAATGGTGTCTGATGATTCAACGTCGAGGGTGATGGTCTTACCAGTCAAGGTCTTGACGAAGATTTGCATGCCACCTCTAAGTCTGAGTACCAAGTGAAGAGTTGATTCTTTTTGAATGTTGTAGTCAGCTATACCAATTTATATACATATGCGCATTTATAGTTTAAATTTAATATTTAAAAAACATTCATGGGAAATAGAATAAGGTTCTACCATCTTCAAGTTGTTTTCCTGCGAAAATGAGTCTTTGCTGATCTGGAGGGATGCCTTCCTTGTCTTGGATTTTGGCTTTGACGTTGTCAATGGTATCAGATGATTCAACATCGAGGGTGATGGTCTTTCCAGTCAAAGTTTTGACGAAGATTTGCATGCCACCTCTGAGTCTAACTTTCCAGATAGATTGCGACACAAAATATATTTTTAGCTTCATATATATAAAAAATAGAGCATTTTGCATGTAAAAATTATCTGCTGGTAACTAAGAGGATTAAGGACCAAGTGAAGAGTTGATTCCTTTTGAATGTTGTAGTCAGCCAAAGTTCTTCCGTCTTCAAGTTGCTTTCCTGCGAAAATGAGTCTTTGCTGATCTGGTGGGATACCTTCCTTGTCTTGGATCTTAGCTTTGACGTTGTCGATGGTGTCTGAAGATTCGACATCGAGGGTGATGGTCTTTCCAGTTAAAGTTTTGACGAAGATTTGCATACCACCTCTAAGTCTGAGTACCAAGTGAAGAGTTGATTCCTTTTGAATGTTGTAGTCAGCCAAAGTTCTTCCATCTTCAAGTTGTTTTCCAGCGAAAATGAGTCTTTGCTGATCTGGTGGAATACCTTCCTTATCTTGGATCTTAGCTTTGACGTTGTCGATGGTGTCTGATGATTCAACATCGAGGGTGATGGTCTTTCCAGTCAAAGTTTTGACGAAGATTTGCATGCCACCTCTGAGTCTGAGAACCAAGTGGAGGGTTGATTCCTTTTGAATGTTGTAGTCAGCCAAAGTTCTTCCGTCTTCAAGTTGCTTTCCTGCGAAGATGAGTCTTTGCTGATCTGGTGGGATCCCTTCTTTATCTTGGATCTTAGCTTTTACGTTGTCGATGGTGTCTGATGACTCAACATCAAGGGTGATGGTCTTACCAGTCAAGGTCTTGACAAAGATTTGCATATTTTTATAATAATCAACCATTTCATCGGCCTTTTATCAACAAATTAGCCAATCAGAACATTAATTTCATTAGCTTTCTTGAGAAATGGCGCTTAAAGCAAAAGCTGACTAGGAATTTTTAAAAGATTTAAAGAAATAAAAGACAATAAAATATATAGGATATGTGTAAATGTTTTTATTAAGCTAAAAAAACCTTTATAAAGAAAGATGAAAAATCGATCCTTTTTTGAAATTTTTAATTACTGAACTTTCATAGAAAAATGTTTAGTAGAAAATGATACCTATTTAATTTTAGAAAATATTCATAATGAAAAATATAACTTTTCCAAGGTTCAGAGTATGATTTATATACTATTTTATTGCAAATTCTTCACTGAATTTATTCAGAACATTTAGATTTCTCTTTATACAGTTTATATCATTTTTATTATTATTCAAATAACCTTTTTATTACTTATAAGAACCAAAATCATCAGAAACTGCTTACTTAATAAATTCAGTAATTATTTATCTTTTTATTTATGGCATTACCGTATCTTTTTTTAAATAATTTCGACAGATTTTATATTGGCTATATACTTTGATATCTTCAGAATGATTATTTTCAATTCACTTGAACTGACTAGTAATGTTAACTCTTAAATTAATTCAATATGCTTGATATAGGCGACTTGCAAGGCTACCTTGAGAAGACAAGAGACAAGCGGAAACTCATCGTGAAATTTGCGGAAAATTACTTAAACGATTCAAATAATTCCACCCCGCACAAGTCCTACAAATTATCCCCAATCTTCGAAACAATGCACCGAAATATGACTCCAGCAAACCACACAGAGCAGCTTAGTTCCCTAGAAAATAGGAAGATTACTCGCTATAAATCGCATACCCCTTCAAATAAACGAAGACTCTTTGAGAGATCTTTTAATGCTTCAAAAAAAGAAATCTTGGACTTTATCTACTCCAAAGATTCCCCTAAAAAAGCAAGGCCGTTAGTGCAAATTCCAGTTAGCAGAATTAAAAGGTTCAGAATTCCTGAAAACATTTTAATTACGAGGTCTTATTCGCCGGACCAGAAAGAAGTTAAAAAATCTAAAAGCACTTGTGCTCCTATGCTGATGTTTCCAAAGCCGACTTTTCTAATAAAAGAGCAGCTCTTAATGCCGATACTAAAATCGCAAGAAAGATTTTCTATGAAACTGAATGCAAATATATCAGACCATAGTTTGTCAGGCATATAGATATTATGGTAATTTAATGATATTTTATTTCGGTGGAGTTTATTAATTTTTAAAATCATTTAATACATGAATTTAAATAACGTCTAGACTTGATCCATATTGAAGCTTAGTAGCCTTTTCCTTATTTCTTTGCCGTTTTCATTGCTTTTTTCATTATTGTTTTCATCGTATTCTACTTCGATTTTGATTTCTCTATCATTTTTCAGAGCTCCTGCCACTGCAACCAGGATGTTTCCAGTCGTGACAACGGTACCTCCGATCCATGTATAAACTGAAGGAGGCTCTTGGATCCCATAAAGCCACCCGATAATTGACCCTAATACAGGCTGAAAATTGATAAATACAGAAATAACGAGCTCTGACATGTATTTAATCAGATAACTAAACGCTCCATTTCCTAACGCTCCTGGCACAACTCCTAAATATAAAGCCATAATTCAATCTTCTGTATAAATTCATTGAATTCCTGCAATAGCGCTGTCTCCATCTATCAGTGCAAAGATATAAGACCAAACCGCGGCTTGTAAATTGGCAATGGCTAAATAGCTCCACATAGGAATATTGCAGCTCATTACCCTTTTTCCAGTTAGAATATAAAGAGCCAGCGCAATTGCAGTTCCAAATGCAAGCAAATCTCCATACCACGTAGATCCTTCGCTTCCTTTGCTCCCTAATATACAAATAGCAAGTCCCGCAAAGCCTATTACCACTCCTAAAATTTCCAAAAATGTTACTTTTTTGCATAGGAAAAAGTAAGAAACCACAATAACTAAGGGTGAAGCTGACGAAAAAAGCAGCGAATGAGCAATTGAAGTTAAATCCAAACTTAAGCACCAGAGGCAAAATGTGAGAGCAAGGCATATCCCTGATATTATCGAAAAGTGCCAAAATCGGATTATCATGGATTTCACTGCAGACGAATTTTTTCGCCACTCGAAGAAACTTGGAATGAATTGTAGGAGGGAAGTGATTTCCAAACGTCAGCAAGCCTTCATAAAAGGGGAAACTGAAGTTATTTCTTCGAATGCGGTGGCGGCAGAACCTAACGCGGTTACTGCAAGCAAGAGAACGGAATAATGCACCACCTCTTGAACAGTCATTTTTTATTAAGAAATGGTTAAGAAATTATCCACAATATTATTGCAAGGCTGATTAAGGCCTTAAAACTTCAAAAATATTCCATATTATTTAATATTATAAATAGCCATTGAATGACAATGTGACAATATTAATATTCAAATATAACCCCTCTATGTGGGAATGAAGTGCATACAAATCATTTGAATAACATTTTTTTATAATTAAGCATTTTTAGAAAATCTCTTTTCTAATTTTTTATAAAATGATATTTGCTATTCCAAGTGGATCATTTTCTTGTTTTTTCATCCCATAAAGGTAAAAATTGTTTAAAATTTTTATAGAGCTTTCTATCATTTTATCTTCCTTGCTCTCCACTCATGAATGAACTATTTTTCAAGTCATTCAGGCTTTATAAAAAGTTTATTTCCATAAATCATAAAGCTAAAAATTTAATTCATTAAATATACATTTTTAATTCAGAATTAGCTAGTGATTTAATCATGATTAATTATATATCAAATTATTATCTATAAAATGTGTTTTGTGCTAACTTTTTCTAGTTCGCAAGAGGTTAAGTTGCATAAAAGAGAATTTTCTTTGCCTTACTTTCACACGTAGGGAGAGTTAGGTGATTTTCAATGTAAAATAATTTTTATAAATATTGTTAAAATTATAATCAACCTTATAAATAAGTTCCAACCTATCTAAAAAGATGGCTTTGCCAAATAGGTAAAAAGTGAATTTTCAAGCAATTCATCAACAATATCATCAAATGGCTGGTATGGCTTATCTGCGAAATAAGAATAATAAACTGGCTTAAATTCAATAAAAAGGTTAAACTGGCCATAAGCAGGCAAGTCCACTAGCCTTTGCCTCGACTTGGCTCCAAAATAGCAGCATATATCGTCCAAAGGAGCAAAATAGGGAAATGAAAGGGCTATCATTTTGAATTTCCGATCTGAAGTATCTATTCAAGGTATCGACTCCCTAGGGCAGAGCCACAACTGTAGAGTCCCCCGATTATCCCAACATGGGAAAATCTCATCTGTCAGGGACAGAAAAACCTTCAGGAGAGATTTCAAAAGGGACAGAGGCTCTGCTTTCAGCTTTATTAGGATTAGCCATACCTGCTCCATAGGGAGTGCGCCTCAGAAACCAATTTCTCTCAACTTCACCATTTTATTTATCTATTTTTAAACTGGCTCAGGATTCTTTTTTTGAGGAGAACTTTTGATAATATTGCCAGCTGTAGCTGTCTTATCAAAAATAACTTCGCCTGTGATTTCCCCATTAACTGAAACCCACTCGAGTTTATATCTGGTCATGTCTATTAGTCCTTCTAATGTTTTCCTCGCAGCTGAATGGCTTGCAAATCTGACTATTGCGAATTTACTCTTTCCAGATGAATCTGGATCTGAATTGATTTCTATATGAAGGATTCTTGAAGGTTTCTGGAACATTCCGCGGACTGTAAGTTCATCTGACATAACCCCAAGCCCAGAAATTTTGACCGCTTTATTGAATGTATTTTGGGAAGGGAATATTTGCTTTTGAAGGTTTCTCAACAAATTTTCATATCTAGCTTGATCTGATACGAACAGATGTTTGTGACTTTGCAACAAGTCGCAGGCTTCCTTTGTTTTGCCTATATACATTAAAATGGCGACACTTGTCAACCTGCCCTGTTGGCGCAGCAGTCCAGACCTTATAGCTACGGCGAACTGGAATATACTCCGAGCCGAGAATCAAGTGCAGGCTCCAGAGGTGTGTATCTGGATAGGTTCGGCTGCTTTCCTGTGGTTGGAAATGGAGGTGTTCACAACGTCCTTTGGATCCGAGGGCCCATGGTAAGGAGGAGATAGAAGGCACCAGAAGGGCACTCGTAAGAGGGATAGACCCTCTGGGCTGAAGTCAAAAAGTGGTAGAACCTCCCGTACGGGAGATATTTGGTCATGCGTCATCAATATGGCTAGCGCCTAACTTTTAATAATCCTAATCCTTTGTTTTGCCTTGCTGATGGAGAACTCCTGCTAAATCTTTGAGTGCTGATTCTGGCCTTTCTCCGTTTTCTATAGCTCTTCTATAGAGAATTTCAGCTTTGTTCAAATCTTTCTCGATATATTCAGCAACTTTTGCAAAAGTGTATGAAGTTTGCTGTCTTGGAATAGGGAATCTCACATTCTGTGGATTGTTTCTTGAAAGGTATCTTTGGAGGCCGTTTCTTAAACCTAAGCTTCTGCATGATCCTGATGACATCTTTTAAACTATTACACTGTATATATCAATAATTTTAACAATAAAAAATATCTTAAAATGTCAACATTTACTGTTTCAGATTGGTTCAGAAAATCGAGAGAATTTTAAAAGTGCGCTTGAAAGTTAACTTTTTGGGGATTGTTTTCGTATTTAGTTCTCTTTTGAGGTGGCAAATATTTGTACATGGAAAAATGTGCTATTGCAATTAGAAGATTTGAAAGCAATTTTAATCTAGATTTCGATGAAAAAGCACAGTCAAATGAATTCCAGTGTTGATTTTTGTAACTTCCCTTTTGAATTGAAATAAATATAGTAAAAGCGTCCATTTTTGATACTTTAGCCACCCTTCAATTTGGAGCAATTTTATTTATAAGGATTAATTGTTTTGGCCTCAGACTGAATCAATTAATATTTTTAATTAGTTCCTCATAAGAATAAATTAAAATTAAATTTATTGTATTCATACATTTAAAAATAAAAAAAATTAGCCCCCGTTAAACTTTAGAAGGGCTTTTTATTCCTATTTAAAGATAGGGAGGAAGTTTCAAGAAGAGTACTAATAAGAAAAAATATAAAAATAATTAATTAAATTGTGATTATTAAAGATGAGAAATCTTTTAAATTGAATAGTTTCAAACAAGATGAGACTTGCAGCATAGCTAGAATAACTGCTTGATTTCTTATTGTTTTCTGCTGAATAATAAATGCTTTACTTCTTCTAAAATTAAAAATTATCTAAACTTATAATCAAATGTGCGTACCTTTATTCTTTAATTGTTAAGCAAAAGGAATTTATTACCTTACTCTCCACTCTTGATTTCAACTTCCAGTTGTCAATCAAGTATAGTGTTTTAGTTAAATTCTTGGGAAAAAATTAATACTTCGATCTGATAATTATTTTAAAAATTTTCCATTTAAAAGTTCTTATACGCTAATGATAAGAGATAGACTTTGCAGTATATTAGCAAATAAGATATAAATCGCATTATAGCTTCATATAAACAATTATACTTTAATCGTTCTAATATAGTTATTAACAGATTTCAGGCGGGATATATTAGATTTCATTAACTATATCCAAATCAAATCTTTGTAAAAAATTTGATTCGAATTCGTTTGATCAATGATGGGAAAGTTAAAGAATTAAGCTTCCTTTTGGCATGATCAATATCGTTCATTCCAGCTTCTTCTGCTTCATTAATTGCTTCTATTAATAAAGCCTTATCATTATTCGAGCATGCAAGCCTCAATTTATTTTTTATCTGATCCAGCTGGTGATCTTGCTTTTTTATGTACTCTGAATAATAATTTACTGGGTCCTGTTTTGTTTTTAGGTGGTGAAGACCTGCGATCTTCTTGTCTGCGGTCTTCCTGCCTACGGTCTTCTTGTCTGCGATCTTCTTGCCTACTTGGATATGGTCGTTCATGGCTTGGTGGTTTGCGCTCCTTATAGCCAGTTCCCAACTGTGCTTCGAGATCTTGATTTCTTTGCAGGCTTTGGAAATACAAGGATTTCCAGTGATCAACCTCTTTTCGCAGTCTATTTATTTCTTCTTCTGAAATTTCCATTGATTAAAATATGAATAACTTTATAGAATATTCTTTAATCTTGGCTATATAAAGCTTATTGTTATGAGGCAGTAATTAAGTATACATAAGAATTTAATTTTATTTGAGAGTCTTAATTAGAAGTTATCTAAAGCAAGAAGAATTTTTCAAAACATAAAAGTTAAACATTTGTTGGTTATTAAATCTGATGCAAAGCTTTTGAGAAAATGCAATAGTTACTATTATTTTATTAGAAGATTTACTATAACAAACTCAATATCGTGCATAATCTCTAATAATTTGACCAAAGTAAATTTAGAATTCATTGAACTTTAGCTTAAAGTCAATAAACATGTATAGAAAAGTTTTATAAGCCAAAGCAAGATCCTTAATGAAATGGTAAGAATTATATAAAACGAGATTTCTTTATGGATGCAACAAAGAAGCTACTTATTTACGGCCTTTTAATCATTTTGAATTTCCTTTTATGAATAATTTTAATAATTCTAACAACATTTTGTCTTCTTTTTCTTTACTGGGCTTGCAGCTTTTAGGTTTACTGCAGTATTTAATATAAACTGGTTTTTTTGTTCACGCTTCATAGCCTTTCTTGCGCCTTCAATAAAAGCTTCGTTTACATTCAGGTCATCTTTTGCTGAGGTCTCAAGGAAAACAACATCATTAGAATTCGCCCACTGCTGAGCTCGATTATATGAAATAGCTCTGTCAATTTCCCTGTCACATTTATTTCCAATCACAATAAAAGGAAAAGTTTTAGGGTCATCTGGACAAGAAGCTTTAAGAAATTCGTCTTTCCAGCTTCCTAAGCTCTCAAAGGTTTTTTGGTTAGTCATATCATAAACTAAGAGACAACAGTCGGCGCCTCTGTAAAAACTCATCCCTAATGATTGGAATCGCTCTTGGCCAGCTGTATCCCAAAGTTGTAAATTTACGGTTTGGCCTTCGACTTCAATTTCTTTCATCAAGAAATCAGCACCAATTGTGGCTCGATAAAGCTGTGTGAATTTGGTTTCAACAAATCGATTTAGTAACGATGTTTTTCCGACTCCTGAGTCGCCGAGGATAATTATTTTTAGTTGTGTCTTCTTTGATGCCATAGGTGATTATTTCTACTATAACATATTTTACTAGCAAATTAGTATAATGCTTATTCTTAGTTAAATATAGAGCCACAGCTGGACTATATTCTATATGTTACATACGAAGCTAGTAAATTAATAAGGACATTTTAAAAATTAGCAAATATGTCATAATCACATGAGCAACCTAAAGTGCTCACATTGTGCTAATTATTTTTTAGTATTAGCAAATGAATCAAATACATTGGAAATTATAATGAATCCTAACACATTCTATCTATTGACCCTTCTAGTTTTCTAATTATTATTCTAAGAACAAAGAATTTAAAAAGCATTGAAGCTTTTGAAAATTTTTTTCTAAACCAAGAGTTGGTAAATGCCCTTCGATTCTGTTTAAGCGAAAAGTAAAACTTAAGGTGTTAACAACTCTTTAGGATTTAACAGTGATTAAATCTCACTTTAACACCTGATAAAAAAAGGCACAGCTCAAAAAAATAAAATTATCAGCTTTACCAGAGAGTGTTTTTAAAAAAATAGATAAAATACTTGTAAATTAAAAGCCATTTAAGGAAAATAGTAATAGAAATGGCTCAGATATTGGTTGCTTTCTTGAAATCAACTTTAAAAAAGAAATGAGAATTTGTTTAATAATAGATTTATATGTATGGAATTATAAATTTTTAAATCTAGATCTCCTAAAATACTAACTTTTCAAATCAATAATCTATTTCAGACATTTCGATGGAATTATCTTAGCTATTTAATATCTCATCTATTCCAAAAATAGGGATTTAAGGATACTGATCTGATCTGCTATTTAAATGCAAAAAAAGACTAAATATTAAAATTTATTATTAAATATGCTGCCACTACAAAACCGAAATAAACAAAACTCTGACTTCAGTGAACAAAATCTTACTTTTGATCATAATTTTAATGAAAGCAACCCTATGATATCTAGCACAGCTTCTTTAGAAGAAAGTCAATCAAATTGCAAATATTTATGTGCGAATAAAATATATGACAATTTAGATGTCATTCTGTCTGATATCAATAATGGCAGTAAGATAATGATCGGCGGATTTGGAATGTGTGGAGTCCCTGAAAATTTGATTCGAGGCCTTTTACAAAAACATATATCAAATCTACACATCATTGCCGGTACTGGAGGTTCAGATGACTATGGACCAGGCTTGCTTGTAAAAAACAAACTTGCCTCGGCAGTTGATACAACCTTCATAGGGAGCCGTGAGTTAAATCGACAATATTTTAATGGAGAAATTGAACTAAATATAGTTCCACAAGGAGATTTTACTGAAAAAGTTCGGGCAGCAAGAGCAGGAATTCCTGCATTGTTTACATCAACAGGTGTTGATACTATCTTAGAAACTGGCAATGTCCCAGTAAAGTACTCACTAGGCGGAGAAAGTGTGGAAAAATTTTCTGAGATCCCAGAAGTTAAATATTTTGATGGACAAAAGTTTCTCATGATAAGATCATATAAAGCTGATTTCAGCTTAATAAAAGCTTGGAAAGCAGACTCCAAAGGAAATTTAGTATTTAGAAGCACTGCAAGAAATTTTAATGCTTTAATGGCAGGAGCTTCAAAAATTACGATAGCAGAAGTAGAAGAAATTGTTGAAGATGGCGAATTAACGCCTGACATGATCCATATTCCAGGAATTTACGTTAATAGAGTTATCAAAGGAAACTACTATGAAAAGCGCATAGGAGTTTTAGCAGTAAAAACAGAAAATGATGTAGAAATTTTTCAAGACAACTTATCACAAGAAAGATTAGAAAAAAGGCTAAGGATTGCTAAAAGAGCTGCTAAAGAAATCAAGCCTGGGATGAGCGTAAACTTGGGTCTGGGGATTCCAACAATAGCATCAAATTATGTTGATGAAAAATACGGAGTCTTGTTGCACGGCGAAAATGGAGTCTTAGGGATGAGCAGTTTTCCAAGCAGGGATAAAATTGACCCAGATTCAATGAATCCAAGCAGGCAACCGATAACTTTAAGTATAGGAGGGTCCGTTTTTAGTAGTGATATGAGCTTTGATATTATTAGAGGCGGGCATATCGATGTTACTATGCTTGGTGCTTGCCAAGTATCGAAACATGGAGATATCTCTAATTGAATAATCCCAGGAAAGCGGGCTTTTGGAATGGGAGGAGCAATGGAACTCACAAAAAACTGCAAAAAATGCATTGTGTGCATGGAACATATAGCAGGAGAAAGTCTATACCTTGTTTGATAATTATCCACTTTTATTAATAATTTTTTAAAAAGGAATATTTAGTATAAAAAAATACAAAAATTATGGATGAATGCACTCTGCCTCTGACCGGCAAAAATTGTGTTGATATGATTATTACAGATTTAGGAGTTTTTGAAGTTAACGAAGAAAATGGCTTAACGCTGATAGAAATAGCAGAAAGCGTGTCTTTGGAATTTTTGCGAAGCCAAACTGCTTGCGATTTTGCTGTTGCTGAAGACTTAAAATTGATGCAACAATAATTTGTATAAATCCATAATAAATTTAATCTACAAAACACTCTCTACTTTCTTTCTTGGGATTAATGAGTTTAATTTTTTCCCTTTTGCCAAAGAAACTGTATATAAATTACTGTGGAATGAAGTCTGCATTACTCTAAATGTATAAATTTCTTGTTTTACTATTTTCCTTCGAACTTCACTGAACTCCTCACTTCTCATAAATTTAGGGTAAAAGTGTTTTTCCAAGATATTAAATGCCAAATTTTTCGCCTCTTTTATATGTTCAATGCTTATATTTTCTTCGAGAATAATCTCTAATATTTCTTCTGGGAGAGAAGTTTCGTATTCGTTTTTGATTTCAGAAAAATCTTGATTGTTTGGGTTATTTAAATAAAGTTCACATTTTATACTTGAATTGTATAGATTGATTCTAAGCTAGTATCTTTATTTAAATTTTAAATTTTTTATAATACCAGCTAGCATTTAAAAAGATCGAATTAATTCTGCTTTAATATATATATAAAATTCAAATAATGGCAGTCCTTGCAAAAAGAATTCATAAGAAAAGCTATCAGAATATCTTCCAGGGTGCTCTGTTGTTAAAAATTTCTCAAAAGCTTCTAAAGTCAAATCGTTCTGCATTATAAGTGTTAAGGAGTTTAAAACATCCAAAGTAATTGATTCAAAGCTTTCTTTTGATTTAAACGAAAGAATTACCGGAATAAGTGAAGATCTGATCATAAGAAGTCCATTTCTAAACAGTGTTGTGATAAGCCATTTTCCTGCGTCAAATTGAGAAAATGTTGAAAAAATTGGAGTGCAAAACCAAAAGAGGGTGACCCAGGCCAGCTCGTTTGTCATATTAAAATCATCATGTACGTTGCGTACGTAGTATACCAAAAAAATCAATAATAATTGCTCAAGGAAGCATACAAAAACATAGATCGCACCAGCAATGTCTTCGTCAATGCCATAATGCTTGTCGGAGATAGGGAAATAATAGCCAGCTGGAGGATAAAGCATAATAATTATGCATAAGGTGATGGGAGGGATCATTAAAAGTCCCAGCATCTTAATAAGCCAAATTTGTTTAGTCCGATAATTGTATTTTCTAAATTTGCTATTCGCGTCATCTCAGTCTTTATCTAAATTAAAGACAAAAAAGAGCCGATAACCACGAAGGACATAGGGAATGTAAACCAAATAGTGTGCTATAATTATTCCACACTCCCTTAGCCTCCAAACTGTGTCTGATATGTGGCTTCTGTCTTCGGGATCATGCAGCGCTGTTGCAACAGGGAGAATCAGAAGTGTTTCGATAAGATTCGCATAGTGGGAAATGTACAAAAGGATTGGCGATCTCGATAAAATTTGTATGTTGTTGGATTTTAAAAATAGCAGAGCTCCTATTAACACGTATATTGCTGTTATAATTCCACCTAGAATATAAAACAGCATTATGAAATTTCCTTTAGCTTTAAAAATATAAGAAAATAGGAGAATAAATTTAGAGAATAAGATAACTTTTTGGCACAGATTATAATATGAAAGAAAGTTCTCTTATTTAGAAAAAATGAATAATAATTAATCTTACTTTCTTTAATAGCAAATAAATTTGCAAATTTTTGTCATAAAATCATTATTTAATTAAAATATCCAATCTACACATCAAATTTGTGGAGAGGAGTTAGCATATTAATCAAGCTAATATGCAATTTAGACAATTATTTTTTTACAAAATTATATTTATGGTGAACTTAAAATACTCAAAAAAGCTTTTATAAAACCTTTTAGAAATCATACAATACATATTGCAAGCCTTGATTTTGACGACAGCAGCAAAACTTTTTGCTAATAAAAATGGAAGAAGGACTTGTTCAAGAAATAATCAAAGAATATTTGCAATTCCACAATATGCAGGCATCCCTAAAGTCTTTTACAGAAGAAGCTAAGCCTCCAAAGCAACGTATAAAAGAAGACGATATCCCATCAATGCCCAAAATTTATGCATTATCAAAAGGTGAAGCAGCCATAGCGGCAAGGGAAGCACTAAAAGAAAAGCAGTTCAAACTTATAGAAAAAAACTACAACATAGTCATACATGCTGGAAAGCAGCTATTAGCCCTCGCAATTGATGCTACTCAAAAACTAGAAAACATAAATATAATGAAAGAAGCAACAGATGTGTACAAAGAACAGTTGACGAGATATAACCAGCTATTTATGAGTGATTCTCGTATAGAAGAAAAAGAAGCTCTAGAAATTGTAGGAGAAGCTGACCTAAAAAGCTTGAAAAACAAAATCCAAAGCGCTTTTAAAAATCGTGAATTTGCTGGTCTTAAGGAGCAACTGGCAAAAATAAGAACTGCAGCTTTAGCTGTCTCACCGAAACATAGAAGGAAAATTGTTGAAGTGATAGTAAAAATTGACCCATTTGCGGGGCATTTAGTATGATTATTAAAAAATACACAAGGCTCTATGAAAATTAACATTTTGGCTTTGGTTTCTGTTATGGTTACTATCCCAAAGGGTGTTGCAGCAACTCTTAAACAAAACTATCAGCAAATAATTATCGCTTTTACTGAAATCTTAACGCAAGAAGCTCCAGGCAGTCTAGGCCAGCGATTTGTATAGTATCTGCCAGCAAATTTAGGATTTTAAGTATATATTTGATTTGACACACTCTATTAATTTCAATTATTATATTAGGAATTTTCCAAAAAATGTCCTTATGAAATGAAGGGGTTGTCAGTCATTTAGTCGAACAAGAAGCCATTCAATGGCTCACAAAAGAAATTCTGGAGAGGCATATACTACAAAAAGAGTACATGCACCCATATTCTCTTGACTACGGCAGCGCTTTACTATCCTCGTTAATCAGCAGTCATTCCGGCCTCCTCTATTTAGAGACCCATCAGTCAGATGCCTCAGGTGTAATGCAAAGCCTCTTAGAAATGATTCAAGCTGAAGGCGTCGAAAGCTGCGTTATCATTCACTTATTAATTTCTCTAACTTCTATGGCAAATGATCGATTCGCAGCACAGCAAGAAAACACAGGATTTAACGACAGAATTTCAGAATTTGTAGAAAACTATAGTGTGAAGTCTTCAGAGCTGGAAAACGAAGACCCAGAAAACAGAAAAATCATTCTGGACATGTGTGCACATCTTTTCCATCCAAGAGACCAAGCAAGCAGTACATTAAATACCAGCGAAGTTATGGAATTCAATGCAAAAAAGCATCAAGAAGAGGTAAGAGAGCTAGAGAAAAAACTAGACGATGAAAACGAGATTTTAGTGTTCGAGTGTTTCCCTGATGAAGTTGTACTTTTGGTTTAGATAATTTAAGCAAGCTTATATTATTTTCACAATTTATAATTATTATGATGAATGATGGCTGATAAATAGCGTTTTATTACTATATCTATATATGCCAGTTGGGTTAATCTGAAATTCTGTATTCTCGAACTTCATTCAAGATATCTATAGCTTTTCTAAGCCCTTTCCCAATCTTGATGCACTTCTCTCTTCTGGGACCGATATTTCCACCTTCTTCTAATAGCACATCGTATAGATTATCTTTGTAGAGTTCTTTAACAAGCTCTCTTTGAAGTTCTTCTCTTGATTTGTTTACCAAAAATCCCATAATTGTTTTTGGAACCAAATCAGAGACATTTGTTTTCACAATATTGTAATAGGATTTTATCAAAATTTTAATCAGCTCGGTTTGCTGGGATTCTTCTTGTGTTGGATTCATATTTGCTCTTATTCTCATTGGAGGACCAGAATTGTCTTGACGTTCATTTTCTAAGTCTTCAAATTTGAGCTCTCTTTGTGGTCTGGTTTGGCTTCTCGAAAAAGGTCAAAATGATGATGAAGGTGGAGGTGTTTCATCTCTTCTTGCAGGCACAGGTGTGACAGGTTTTTTATCAATAAGCATATCTTGTGAAGGAGATTTTATGACGTTCTGGAGCTCAAGTATGGCATTTGTCCCGCCTATAAATTGTGGATGCTTGGAATTGATGTAGCCCATTTCTACTTCTACTATGTCAGAAATCATGTGTCCAGTAGGCTCAAGACATCTTGACAATAAATTGTTGATGACTTCGCTAACCTTTTCTTTTAAATTGGAGAATCTTTCGAGCTCTGGGATGTCGAGCTTATATATAATCTGTTTGAGCTCTTCATATACAAGGCTCATGCATCTTAGACTGGGATCTTTAAGTCTAGGGATTTGCTGCTTAATTAAGACTTCGAAAGCAGTTTCCGGGACAAATAATGACCCTCGTAGTCCGCTGGAGTTCATAATAGCTGTTCTAATATCTTGATCTGACACTTCATCGAGAGGATTGATGCTGCTAATCATATTTTTAAAAATTGAGTGAAAAATATAATTAATCCTTGCACCTCCGAGCAGTTCTTCTGTTACATTTTTTAGGTTTTTCCCAGCAATATTATCTTGGTAGCTTTTTACAACTTTTTGAATAATGGTTAGCAAAAATGCAGATTTCTCTTCCTTTTCATTGATAATCTGTCCATAGGATTCTAGTTCTGATTCTACTGCTTGCAGCAAATCCATGATATTTTTTTTAACCTCTGGAATCGTGTTATTTATATGGTCCATAAGCAGTTTATTTAGCCTTGTTCTTAAATAGCGTACTCCAAGTCTGTCTGAAATTCTTCCATAGATAGGACTTTCCTTGAAAAATCTATCTTCTAATTGCGAATGAATGTCCATCGGCATCCCATTATTTATGTCTTCTTGGCTTCTACAAATAATCCCTACGTATCCTAATCTTAGAGGAAAAACAGATCCATTCAGCATGCTCAGAGCGTCTGTACCTCTATCCATAATATAGCATCTTCACCACTATTACTTGGCTTGAAGCACACTTCTTCTAGTTAAACTTGGATCTCTGATGAGTCATCTAAAGGTGACAAGTCAGCTCCAAGTTGACAAATTATTGCAAAAGGATGTGCTTTTGCCAACTTGGAGTTGGCTTGTCACCTTTAGATGACTCATCAGTGCTCTAAGTTACCTTGTAAGAGGCGTACTTCAAGGCATGCTATAGCGTTGAAGATTCAATATCGATTTTTGTTAGTACCCCTAAAGTTCTTTCTCCTCTAGGATCTACCATCTGTGCAATATGCAGAGCATCCGAGTTAGCTAGATCATTATTAGCAGGAGAAACAGCTAATATAATAGCATTTGGATTTTGAATATACTCAATAATCATTTCTCTGATTTGTTTTGCAATCACTTCACTTTGCCCTGAAACAGAAATTTTCACAATTCCAGGCAAATCCACTAACTTCCCCCTCCTTGAGCGAAAAAAAAACCTATCTATAAATTTTATAATAATTTTTTTTTTCGAGATTTAAAAAAAATTGAGTAGTAAAAATTAATTAAATTTGCAAAATTTTGTTTTTAATTGCAAGCTATTTAAAATTAAACCGAATTGGCTAGAGATTTCTTTATAATAATTATCACTTATATATCAAATATTTTTCATAAAAAAAACTTTGTTCACTCACAGAGGGGTTTTTACCTAAAAAATATTTTCCAATGATTTTGTTCGCTCAAGAAGAGGGGGTGTAAACTAATATCAAGCACTTTTGGTGAATAGATAGTCAGATCAATTGGTTTTGTTGTGATTCCTTTCCCATTTAACAAAATAAAATAGTGATGTTTCAAAAATTGGACTCTGATATTAACCTCATGGTAGAGCGGTGGAATGGAACAATAGGTAGCAAAATATGCTTTTAGTGAGCGAAGCAGACCATCTCAAACGGAAGCTTGCAAAAAGGTTGCTTAGTTTCTTCCCGGAGGTTTTCCTGTCCCTAACAGGTTTTACATATCATATGGTCTTTACTTGTCGGAAACGTAGAGGCATCATTTAGAAGATGGCTCTAGGAAGCTAATCCCTTTGAAAGGTAGTTCCAAAATGTCAGCCTCCCATTTTGCTCATTTAAATATAGAGGCCTGAGAGGCTGACTTTTTTGAGCTAAAATAGTTAAAGGTTACTGATTATCAGTTTATGGTCAGTTTCACTTTTATTTAACTTAAATTTTCCCATTTCCTGTTAATTCTTGGGTTCTATTAATAATTTCGTCACGAATCAGACTGAAATCAGTAAACTTGCAGTCGCCCACATGAGAGAAAACTCCATACTCTTCATCTTCATTTATCCGTACAAGTTTCAGCTGCAAAGGGCATCGAGTTACAATCCCTGAACCTCGGGGCAAAAAATCTCTTCCTACAATGCTTTCTAAAACGCTGCTTTTGCCAGATGATTGAGATCCGACTACGACAATTTGAGGCAAACTGATTGAATTTGGAATATTTGCAGATAATAGGGTATCTTGCAATCTGTTGATAATGGGAATAAGCTTTTCCATATTTATAGCATCGTAGTGATAGCATCAGATCCTAGGCTAAGGACAGTTATTTTGAAAGAATAATAATTATGAAAGAACTCTAGTGAAAAAGTTTATAGATGGGAAATAAAACTATATATTTATACAATGATTAAAAGGGATCGTCTCATCTCTACATTTTTAATAATCTAAATGGAATGCAAAGAAAAAGAAATATTTATAAAATTTAGGGAGAAATGCAAAGCAGTGATGAATTTTCATAGAAATTGATCTTAATTAATTATATGCGAATTCATATAATTTTAAACTCAAAATATGGCAAATACATTGACAATTTCAGCGCCTTCAGGAAGAATTTGGCCAAAGAAGCCTGACCTATCCCCAGAGGGTCTTTTTCTTTCAATTGATTTTAATATAGCTACAGTTCTGTTTATAGTAGAGGCATGAAATAAAGTATAAAATAGATATATATGCTATAAAATTGCTTTTAAGTCTAGGAACCAAAATAATGCAATATCTTTTATATTTCTTAGTATCAAGACTAGGTAGTTTAGTATAGAGGGGGTTTCATGCTTTGCCAATCATATTATATATATAGCTTATGCACCGTTATTAATCGTCATTGTTGAAATATGATCATTATAATGAGCTTGATACTTCCTAGATCTTATCTAGAACCCTCATCATTGAAACCGAAACTAAGCAGGGTTGTGTAAATTAACGACTAATTTGTAAATTGAGTTTGACAAAGTCCGTTTGGCTCGGGTCATGAAAGGAAATGCATATACCAAGAAGCTGGGGTTCGGCCCTACATTGAACGCATGATGCTTAGAAGCAGGGACTTAAAGCATGCATCTTAATCTAGTCTAAGCTAACCTATCAATTGATTTTTCTCCTTCTTCTTCAACTCCTGCTTCAGCAACCTCTTTTTATGCCACTTCCTCAGAAACCCTCTATACTTCAGACACACGAGGTAATGCAACTCAATTCCTCCTTTCCCAAAACCGATATCTCCAGCCAGTGCGCAAATCTCCTCAAGTTTCCAAGCTCCTTATCACTCCTGAAAATGACTACTTGCTATTAGCTTTAAAGCCAAAAGGACTCGAAATTTATTCTATGAACGGTAAAAAATTTGGATCATTTTTCGATCATAAATTCGAAATAAAAGGCTTTGACATCAACCATATAAGAAAAAGCATTTTAAGCTATTCCTCACTCCCCCAGTAGTGAGCAAATTCTTACTTGTTCGGGTTTTTAGTAAATAGAAATTTATATGAATAGATCAAAATTTGCTTATTAGAGGATTAATTCCCTAAAATTGGTATTTTTAAAAATCCAGAATAAGCAAGAATTTGCTTATTGCTGGGGGAGTCAGATGCTGTAGTGATCTGGGATATGAATAATTGAAGAAAAATTAGAACTATGTATGCAAGATCAAATAGCTACTCAATGGTGAAATTCAGCCCAGATGGGCAGTCAATAATTACATGCTTCAGAGAAGGCACAATCTTTCAGTGAAGCTTGTCTACAAATGATCTGGAAAAGCAGTTTGCAATGAGCAGCATTGACATTTTCGATTTTAATCAAGGGATTTTATATGGAGTTGGGAAAGATTTGTCGATAAAAGTGTGGAGACTTGATTCTCCACAGAAACTTGAGTATTCTTTTGGGCCTATTCCCGGGGTAAAAGATTTTAGTAAGATGCAGTGCTATAAGCGACATGTAGTTTTGAGTGCGGATAATGGGAGACTGTATTTTATCGACCCAGTTGAGTGCAAAATTGAATTTGAATTTCAGATTGGAACACTTTTTATAGTAGATTTCCAAATCATACATGATAAATTGTTTTTGATATTATCGAATGGAACAGTAAATGCGTATGATTTTAGCACTCTTCTTAATAAATGCACATCTATAGCTAATAAACGGCTATCCATGGGACTTGAAGAAAATTTAGTATATACGCACCTTCCGAAGTCAACTTTTAATGAAACATTTATTCACCCAAATCTTGATTCTAATCCTCCATTAAATCCGAAAGAAGACGTATTATTTACAAAAATAGGTACAAATATGTCAATTTTATCAACTCCTACAGGTTCAAGCTCTGTTTCTGATACTCTCCAATGTCAGCATGAGCTATTTATTAATTTATTTAAGCAAGCTAAACTAGACCCTCATGACTGCAAAATTCAGCATTGCCAATTAAGAAGAATTTTGCATTATTATGGGGAATACCCAGAAGAGCATAGAAGCTTAATTTGAAGGTTTTTATTGCAAACTCCTGGAAATCGAGAAGCATTTAAAGGCTTAACTGATAGAGGAACCCATCCTAATTTCGCCTATATTTTTAAAGACATGAAAAATATGAGTCACAATGATTATGACAAAACAGAAAAAGTTTGCTCAGCATTGGCTTATTGAAGCCCTTTTTTTGGAGAAATTGATTATTTGCCTAAGCTTGTGCATCCATTTGGAAAAGTTTATCCAGGGGATGATTTAAGCTGCTTCGAAGTTGTAGCTTCAGTGATTGTGCATTGGCTGCAGCATTGGTTTGAATTCTTTCCTAATGCACCTGTAGTTTGTTTGCAAAGCATTGACAATATATTAATGGCAAATAGTCAACAAATGTATGATTTTCTATTAGAAAAATTAGGAAATTTATCAGTGATTACTTGGCCACTATTAAAATCATGGCTTTTTGACGTAGTCCCGCATGGAGATTGGGTTAAAATTGTTGACTTTTTATTTACAGACTGGGACAAGCCTGAGCTTACTCTTTATATGATTGCAATGTATATCCTCTACTACAAAAAAAGAATTTTTGCTTTACAAAAGAAAAAAGACGTCATTAACTTCTTCAACACAAAGCGGCCATTAAAAGTTAAAAAATTCATGAAAAATGTGTTCAATTTATATGAAAATGCTGGAACTAAAACATCAGTTGTTGCATTCAACGTAAAACTGCCATTAACTCCAATTCAGTATCCTCTATTTACAGGATATCCTAAATATGTAGTTGAATCAATTGATGACATTGCTGAACAAATTAAAATCGAAGAAGAATTAAAAAATAAAGAAAAAGAATACAAAGAAGGCCTACAAAAAAGATTAAATAATATTGAAGAACAAGAAGATGAATTTCAGCAAAGAACGCACGCTGCAATAAACGCAGAAAGAGAGAAATTCCAGCAGCTCAAAATTGAAGAAAAAGAGAGATTAGAAGTAATGAAGCAAAACGACAGAGAGGCTAGAGAAAAAAGACTTCACCAAATAGAAAGGATTGAAGAAGAAGGCAAAAATTATGTGGATCGACAGAAAAGCAGACGTGCAGCACTATTAGAAAAGCTGCATGGCGATATTGAATTTAATAAAAACCGGCAAGATTACTATCAACAGTACTTAATGGAAGAAGAAGCACTAAATGCCCTTGAATATCGAGCAACCCAAAGGCTTCTTGGACTTCTTAAAGCAAGAGAAGCTGAAGAGTCAGCTAAAAAAGCAAAAATCCCTGACCTGTTTTATGACAGAGAAGTTGACTTAAAAGATCGCCTTCTTCAAGCAAAATGGGCCTTAGAAGAGCAGGAGAGAAAAATTTCACAAGCAGCAAGAGAAAACTTGCAAAAGGAAGAAAAAGAACTTGAAGACAACCAAAAACTCTTATCTAAAAATGCCATAAACAGAAGAGTTGAAGAGCTTGAAAGGGAAATAAAAATCCTAGACTTAGAAAAAGAAAGAAAACTCAGGCATTTAGCAGAAGATGAGCTACACAGAAATGAAGAATTCAATGAAGATTACCAAAGACACCTCAAGATTTTGAAGAAAAAAGAAGAAGCAAACCTTAATGAGTTGCAGCAATGTGAGCAAGAAAATGAGCTAAGAAGAGCTAAAGAAAGATTTGAAATTATAATGCAAGAAAGGGAAAACCAGCTAAATGAAAGGTTAAAGCAACAAAAAGCTATGCTTGAGATAGAAAACGAAAACTCGCAAAGAGAGGCTGAAGAAAAATTAATCACGATTAGAAAAGAACAAGAACAGAAATCACTAATGGAAGAAAAGAAGCTGCAAGAAGAAATACTTAAGCTCGAAATAGAAAGAAGAGCTGAAAAGCAGCTTGAGCAGCAAATTTTGTTTAAAGAAAAAGAACTTCGAGAGAAAAATATATTCGAAAAAGTTCTTCACGACACTGAAAAACGTCTCAGTGACTCTGTAGACTATGTCCAACCTGTAGCAGAAGGCGAAAAAGGGTATAATGATTATTTATCAAAAGCAAATCAAATTACCCAGAAACGAGTAAACTCTGAACAAGGATACAGCGGGCACCAAAGCTACTCCAACTCTTCATCGTCAGGAAACAAATATTCTAGCATGAGCTCAAGCTACCATTCAAGCTATCAGTCTAGTCAAAGCTCGAAACAAACTCCTCCTCTCCCCGTTCGCATGAACCCCAACTACAGTTCTTCATCAGAAAATTCTGAAGAAAGCTTTAACTTGTCACAGTCAGAAAATAGCCAAGGCGAGTACCTTACGAGACATACAGCCCCTGCTTATTCCTCTGAAATAGACTAATTTACATATTTTAATAATAATATGGGAGGTTCACAGTCGCCTTCACCGTATAGGTCTGAAGTAGAAGAGATAATTCACAGTCATAAATGCGTTATGTTTAGTACTACATATTGTCCTTATTGTAAAAGAGCCAAATCCTTATTAGAAAAGATGAGAGTAACCCCACATATACTTGAACTGAATAATCATCCTAAAGGCAATGAATATTGGCAAGCGTTAAAAGAGATTACAAATCAAGAAACAGTGCCTAATATTTTTATAGGAGGAGTGCACATAGGAGGATATTCAGAGCTACTGCAAGGTGTTAGACAAGGCACAGTTCAAAAGCATTTTATGAGAATTGGCTTAGATTATTACGATATAGGCCGTATTAGATTAACTTTGCCAGTTATGTTCATAATAAGAATCTTTATTGCCTATAAAACAGATATCAGTTTTTATATAGAAACTGGAATTTATTTTTTGCGAAAATAATTAATGAGCTCTAAAATTAAATAAAAATATTGTTATGAGTGATGATCTAAAAATTGGAGTAACAGAATATTTTGTTGCTTCTATCCTAAACGAAGGAAAATTGAACCAAGATTTCAAAAGCAGCATCCCAAGAGAAATTGCGAAACGAATCCTCAAAGAAAAAAAAGCCCAGAAAATCATTTTGAGTGCATTTGTTAAGCTTTATCCCTATATGAGTGGAGAAATCGCAAAGTTTCAAAAAAGAAAAACCCAAACAAAAAACAAAAAAATTGATGAGGCCGAATTAGAGCAACAAATTTTCATAGAAAGATCAGGCAGCCTCTTCCTAAACAACTATAGACTAATCCAGCAGCAAGTCGCCTCATTGAAAACTATGATAGCAAAAGAGTCTAATAAAGACGAAGCTGAAGCTGAGAAAAATCTTAACGAGAATAACAAAAAAGGATCATTCCATAACGACCGTATTGTATCTTTATTAACTGAAATCACCAAAATTCAACCGATAACTATGGGTGAGTTTCAGGAAATCAGCAACGAAGCTTGATCTCGGCACATGGAACTTGAAAAGTTGCTGAGAGAAGAAGTGAAAAAATATGAATATAAATTCAACAGAGTTGATGCAAAATACATGTACAAATTTAACTGGATTAAAGAAAAAGCTGGTGTAAAAATAGATAAACTTGAAAAAACTATTGAAGAAAATTGAGAAAAATATAGAGTGGATATTGACAGAGTGGCTATGACTTTGGAAGATGAATATTCAATACAAAATGAAAATTATGCAAAAGAAGAATCTGAAATTGCTAGGATTATTACAGAAGAAGGAATTGATTTAGAGTCGATGGGAACAAAATATAAAGAAATCTTGTCGGTTAAGAGAATTTTGGAAAAAAAGCTAACACAGGCTGAAAAAATTATTAAAGGTTTGGATGGGAAACTTAGAACTGCTTTTCAAACTTTGAGGAATTTAGAACAACAAAATTCATCTCATTTTGCGAAAATGAAAATGCTGACAACTTGCTTTCTTTTGCTTATAGATAAATCTAGATTAATAAGTGATCATAAAGAAAAATGCAGAATGTGCATTGCTGAAGAAAGATATGATGTGCTGGAAAAGCTATTTTTAGAGGGCGAAGTCCTTGAAAGTCCATTACAAGAGTTTTTAATAAAAAGGCTATATGATGTCAGAGAAGCTTTAGGAATTCTTTCTCTTGCCACAAATGAAGAAGCAACCCGCATGAGGGTAAGCAAAATCTTGAATGAGCTGAGGGTAGATAATATCATAACTGATGGGGAAAGACAAAGATACGAAAAAATAGCAAACTTGCAGGAATTAATAGAGCAAGAGCATTACCTCATGCTCCAAAAAAGCAAGTCACCTAAGAAAAATAGGAAAAAATCTTTAAGGAGAAGAGTAAAAACACCTCAAAATGAACGAATTGCTGAAATACAAGATATCGAAAACCTAGCACAGGTAATCCCTGAATTGGGCAACGGAGGTGAAAAAAGTGACAAAAATGAGAAAATTTCAAGAATTAAAGAATTTTTGCCAAAACATGAAGCCTTAAATACAAATTTAAGTACTCCAAAAGGAAGAGAAACATATGAAGCAATTTCAAAAAAAATCGAAGATGATGCTACAAGGGACAAGTCTACAGGTAGATCCAAAGCAAATCATCATAAAAAGCCTTCTAATGTTCCAAAACTCAATACATCTGCCAAAGTCTCCACGGAAGAGACCAAAAAATCTCAAGAGCTTTTAAAGCGAGACATTTCTTATACGAACGAAAGTCCTTCTACAATGCATACAGAACGGTTTTTAGACCAGCAAAATAAAGAGCAAACTCAAGAAAATTTTTATGAAAGCTTATCAAATAATGAGGAAAATAAATATGAGACTGAAGAAGAAATCCGATATTTAGGGACTGAACTGAGCGATAATGATGAAATTAAAAGTGATTCTGAAGAAAACTACAGTGATAGCATTGAGATCGCCAATGAAAAAGAAAGCATAGGAAATGATAAGCAAAGAAGAAGAATTGTAACTCAAGTGGTAAAAAATGATAAAGGAGAAATTGTGATACAAAATGTTAATATAAACAAAAATTTAAAAATCAAGTATAAGTATCATCCACAGTCGTTTGAAGGTAAAATAATCAATATCATATCTTCTGATCTATTGGAAAATAAAAAAATTTCCGAAGCGTCAGGATTTAAAGACTTTTTAAGACTGGAAATAAAAGATGATATGAAAGTAAAAGATTTAATCCTTGCTGCAATAGCCAAATATTTTGCAAAAAAAGAAAACCAGTCTACTCAAACAGAAATCGATTTAGATATTTTAAGGAACTATAAAGCCTCTCAAAAAGAGCAAGCTACTAAAGACGCTGAAGATAGTAGTTTAAAATTTGAACAAAAATCGGCATTCGGAAAATTATTTTATATACAAAGTTTAACCAAATATTACACTGCAAGACAAAGCGTTTTAGCTCAAAACTCTTCTCCTATGGCAAAGGAATATACAAAGAGAGTATTTTATGCTGCCGAAAAATATGGTCTTGAATTTGATAACTCCCCACTCAATGAGCGAAGAAACAAGGGGTTATTTATTTTAAAAATTTTTAAATCTATTTTAGGATATTTGAGATAAAATTTAATTTAATTTGAAAATGACTCAATATTTTTATTATACTAATTATTACTTATCAAATGAAAATTTTATACTTAAAAATTCTTGTTCGCCCATGGAGCTTTACCAAAAAAAAATAGGATTTTCCAGTTGTTTTGTTCACTCACCAAGGGAGGTGTAAACAGATTCAGAAATTAAACGCAATGCCTGAAGAAGATGAATGTGATAATATATGAGAAAAAATTATAAATAGGCGTGTCAGTGAAAGGAGAAAAGATGCAATTACTAATTATTTATGCAACTTCATAGCGACAGATCAATATGCTGAGCGTGCATATGAAGTTATACTACTCCTTAAGCAGCACAATATTTATAAACTCGCTTTTATCATTCATTACTACTTGACTAAAGAGCAGCAACCAATAGGAAAATGACGTCGGCTAATGCAATCAGTATTAAAATATCAAGCTAAAAACTTACTCCCCCCCCCTTAAAATTGGAACTAAAAATTTTGTTCCAATTTAAAGGGGGGTTAAGAAAATTTTTTTTAAAAAAAAATCATTATAAAATGTTTTATAAAAAAAAAAATTTATATAAAATTTAAAAAAAAAAAAAATTTCAAAAATTTATCGAATTAGATTAATAAATTTGTTTAATAAAATGCTATTTACTCTTTATCCTTTAAAACAAAGCAAGATATAACTAAAATTTTATTATTAATTAATACGCCACTATTAATTGGTATCAAAAACTATTTACACAAGAATTATTATTTTTATTGATAAAAAAAAATTAAAAAAAAAAAAAAATTTAGAAAATTTATTAATCAAAGTGCTAATTTTGTTTAAATAAAATGTTATTTATACTCTATTCTTTAAAATAAAGCAAGAGATAAGTAAATTTTGAATTTTTGTAAAGAATTCGCATTGAATTTATATCAAAGCTATTTAAATAAAAAATATCATTTTTATCAAAAAAAATAAAATTTTTTTGAAAATTTTTTAAAACAAAAAAAAATTAATTTTTTTAAAAATTTGCAATTAAGGATAATAAAATTATTTAAATAAGATGCTCTTTATACTCTATTCTTTAAACAAGAGCAGGATATAACTAAATTGTTAATTTTAGTTGAGAAGAAACATTTAAATTATATCAAAACTTTTTACATAAAAATTATGATTTATATATATAACATTTTTTATTATAAAATTAAATTTTGTTCCAATTTAAAGGAGGGTTAATTTACCAAAAAAGTGGAAATTTTACCTATATTTTGTTCCAATTTAAAGGGGGGGGGGAGTTAGGGAAAAATTTTCAAAATTGCGAGGATTATAAAGAAATATGATACAATTTGGCAAAAAATATTAAATATGTATCAATAAGTAGGCCTAAATTAATAACACCCAAAGTGCAGCCTGAATTGCTTAACTTAACTTATAATAATCTAGATGAGTAGCATCTCGCTTAACGTCTGTTACGGATTTTCTGCACCAAAAGCTTCTGCCATTCTTGCACTTGTCGGCCTACAGACCGCTGGGCTGACCTGCGTAGTTTCTAAAGGCTCTATCGCTACCGAGTGATGGAAGTGTAAAAATCTCAGGACTTTCAAGTTCCTACGGACAGGCCTAATGGCAGACACCCCTCTTCAAGTTATTTAAATGTCTTGGTTGAGATAAGGCTGACAGCAAAAGCAAGTCTCATAATCATAAACGCAAAGTGAGTGGTACTGATCGGCAGATCAGTGCCTTACGAATGCTGCCATTTATGATTGTGCACCCTGAATTACAGTTCAAAAGTAAAAGAACAGTAACTCCCTCATTAAGGTCCCTCAAAAAAACCACTAATTCGCCTTTTTCCAAATCTGTCCTGATGTCCACCACTCCTCAGCCTCAAACTAAAGTTTCTTTAATGCCTAAATATCAATTAAACATTCCAAAAGAGCAAAAATTGTATTCCACTCAAAAAATCGAAAAACAAGAAGAAGAGGATGCCCGTAACTCAGGAGGACTTTCAGCAAGAACCCCTTACAGACTTCCACTTTTATATTAAATTTATAATTAATATTTATAAAATTATCTATCTTTGCCGATAGTGGTAGATACTCTAGCAGTTCTGGAGGAGGTCTTGTTAGAGCGGGTGCTTGATAATGCTTTAAAGCTGTTATCGATACTTTTTTCAATTGGTTTTATTACTGGAAAAGGCAGTTCAGATTTTGACTTCAGGTGAAGATTGATAAACGCTTCACTTGAAGCATGAACCATAGGCAAAATCTTTGAAAATCCAGGCCCAAACTAATTAAAAAATACTCTTGAGTGAGTTAGTGCAGGGAAACTGCCTGAGTTTGTCCATTCTCTGGCACTATAAGAAGGTGCTGGAATATTTTGTCCACAAGCTAAACATTCATTATTATCTTTCTGTTTAAACAGCGTTGGTTTATCTATTTTGGCTACGACCCTCCGTTTTGATTCCTCAATAGTTTTAAGCTCTCCTTGAACACTGTCAATCTATATAAAATTTACTTTTTTTGACAAATTCCAGTAGGCTTGTTTCAGCTCTCTTCTATCAACTTTTTCCAGAATTTCATCTTTGTTGCCTTTGCCTTCAACTATGTGGTATAGATCAGTAAGCATTGAAAAATCTCTTTGGTTTAGCCTGGAACCTTCTTGGACTTTTGTCATTACCTCTGAAAGATTAGCTTTTAGCTCTTCTAGCTGGTTTAAGTAAGCGTTTAGGCCATCTTCTTGATTTTTATCAATAATTTCTTGGATTCGTTTTACATCTAATGTAAGCTTTTGTATGTTGGAATTAGCTTGCTTTATGTATGCATCTTGGACTTTTAGCTGGCTTGTAAAGTAAGTTAAAGTTATAGAAAATTCCAGTTAATAGACCCATAAATGGGGAATTGCATGCTGGGTTTCAAGTATGGTCCAACCAAAAACTAATAATTTTGGATAGCGAGTAACTCACCCACTTATGGACTATTCTCAGGAAATAAATAGAAGTGCTATAAGGCCATAAGCGGAGAGACCACTAGATGCCTATCTGGCATAAATCCACCTAACCTAAGAATTAGCTCTCTAGGCTAGAGCTGCCTCTTGCGGATGTCCCGATAGTCCCAATAAGCAAGACTAAGTGGGAACCAAAGCCTATCTATCCATCTAGCAGGACAGGGAAACCTTTGGGAGGAGGAAAACTTATCTCTTCGGCAGGCATAACTAAACCCTAAAGCCGACTTCAAAAGTAACAAATGCTATTTTCAGCTTCATCGGGGCCGATCCTACCTGCTCTAAAGGATTGCCCTTCTGAGTCTATCTCCTGAGGACATCACCATTTATTTCTGCTGCTTGTAAGAGTTTTGTATTGGAAGCTGCTATCTAAAGACCTATCCGATTCTTCTTCTTCCTCTTCTTGTTTTGCATTTGCTATATTTTGACTTTCAATTGGTTGTAGCTGTACTGTTGGCCTTCTATGAGCTTTTACCATTCTTATTTCTTCTTCGATCATCTGTACTTTTTCTATAAAAATATCAATCCTGTCTCCTTTATCTCCAGTTTCAGCCACACAAAATCTCTGTAGTTCCTGCATTTTTTCTGTTAATTCCCTATACTGGCTGTCTAATTTCTCATCAAATTTATGGATTTTTACATCAATATTTTCATTAATTACTTTTTGAAAAGCTTCTTCCATTTTATGGACTTTTTCAAGGCTAATTCACATAGAGTTCACTCTAGTTTCCAGAGATTTAAAATCAAAACCTACATTTTCATTATTTTTCGGTGTTTCTACCTTTTGCGCTGATCTAGATTTCTGCTTATTTAATTTTTCAATAATTTCTTCTAGTTCTGCTCTAAATACTTTTAAGGTCAAATTATTCTGTATTGTCGAAATTTCTGACTTTATAAAATTAATTTCTTTATATACTTGCTCAGTTGTTGATTCTATATGGGCAGATATATTTTGCTCTAGATTATTTAAGTCATGGATGCTTTTAACTGAAATGCTTTGCTTTCGTTTATCTGCACCTGAAGTGTATTTCATAGATTCAATTTGGTTTTTGAGGTTTTCGATCGTTCTGGAGTAGGAATTTTCCATTGATAAAATTTTTTTATCAAGAATTTCAAATGAATTAAAGCCTTCGGTTGATACTGTTAATTCAGGAGTTGGTTCTGCCGGCTTATTTGGAATCGTGTTTAAAATCTCTTTTAATTGATTTATTTCGCCTACAATTCTGATGAATTTCAATTGAAATTCGTTCAAAAGCTCAGATTTGTCAGGCACTGAGTCTGTTTGGAGAATTTCTTCAGCCTTTTGAGAAAAAACTGCTACTTGCTGTCGTTCAGTGCTCATCCTTTTTTCTAGATTATTAAGTCTAAGAAATATCTCATTCAAGTTATAGTCATCCATGCTGTCTTCATCTTTTTCTTCTTTTTTCCCATCTTCTTCATTTTCTTTATTGTTCATAATAGAACTTTGCACTGTTTGTGGATTTTTAAGTAATTCTGTTTTTATAAGTTTTTTTACTTTCTTTAGAGTGCATCTCCTCTTAAGCTCATAGTTGAGAATATTTTCTAGCCTTTCGAATTTTTCAGAATTTGTTTTTTCTATTAATCCTAACTGCTTTGAAAAACATTCTTCAAAATCTTGCCTGATATCGTTTATTGTATTTTCCAAATCATTCTTGGTACTATTTATAGTAATTTCTATCGTAAGGATCCCCTCATTTGTCCAATTTTCTAGTCTTTTATCATTTGTCCATTTTTCTAGTTTTTTTTATAGGAAAAATTTTTTTTTCAGGACCTCAATTGTCTCATTTTCTATTTTTTACAGTAAAAAACTAAAATTTAGGACATTCGAAAAATCCAAAAATGACTAGAAAATGGGAAAAATTATTTTTGACTAGATTTTGGGACAAATGAGGTCCTGAAAAATTTTTTTTCTTACTCCCCCATCCTTGATCGAACGATTGCGAGCCATCGTTCGATCAAGGATGGGGGTTAAAAAAATTTTTTTGGGAAAAAAAAACTATATATATATATATATTTTTTATTTGCTTTTAAATAAGAGGGTTAAGAGTATTTAATAATTATTTCTACAGCAAAAAATTGAATTAATTTCATTAAATTCCAATTTTTAATATTTTGATTTATTAGTTATCCCTTTAAACTGTATAAATTTTAATTTGTTCATTATTGAATTAAAATTTTTTTTTTAAATTTTAAAAGAATCTCTATTTTTAGATTATTGAGTTTTTAAGCCTAGGTTGGTGACTAAATCACTCTGCATGGTTGATTCCAAAGCTTTCTATCGTCTCAAAGTCTCTGAAAAACAACTTCATTAGGTACATTTTCCAAGCTTTTGATAACTAATATATTTTTATATATATAAAAATTTGCATGATATGAAAATCGTTCGATCAAGGATGGGGGTTAATTTCCCCAATTTTAGGAATTTTTACAGTCAATCGTTAAATCAAGGATGGGGGGGAGTTAAAAAAAAAAAGAAAATTGGACAAATGAGGGGGGGGCCCTTATTTTTGATAATTCTTTTAAATTTGCATTGGCCTCGTACTGGACATTAAAGATCTTTTCGTCTAAGCTCTTAAATCTGTCATCTCAGGCATCAATTTTTCTCTTTAAATTTTCAGATTCATTAATATGATCGCTAAAACTAGCAACTTTCGGTTCAAGCTTTTTCAATTCATCAATTTCTGAGTGAATACCAGCTAAATCTGATTGAAAATGAGTGTTCGCATTGTCAATATCTTTTTTCGTGCTTGCAATTGAATTATGCAAATAATCTAAATTCGATTGAAGTTTGGAGGTGTCGATTCTAAAGTTTACCATTTCACCTAAAGGGGCTGGGAAGTTGTTCTGCATGGTGGATTTAATAATTTAATAAGATTACGTTTCACACTCATTTTTCAGTCAGTTATTTTATAATAAAATAAACAATTTGAAACAGAAAGGTGCTCAAACCTTGAGTAGTAAGAATATTGTTATCTCAAGTATTTAAATAAAAAAACGGACTAAAAAACATTTTTAAAAGAATTATAATGGTACAGATTTCAATATAAGCAATCGCGGTATTTTCAATAAAAAAATAAAATTATTAAATGTAAAGGTTAAACTAGCATTAGAAGAAATTTGCTGCATAATTTAATTCTGAAATGAGTTTTAAGAAAATATCCTTATAGGAAATATTATAAAATTTTTATTTTTTATATCACATAAGTAAAAGAAAATTATAAAATATTACATAAAAATCTCGTTATTATGTCCCCTACTTTTATGATTTTGCATTGAGGCAGCTGAAAATAACTCTTGCATATTCACAACACTAGCTTTTAAAGTTTTTTTCTTTGCTCTTTTGGAGTGTTTGAGGAAATTATGTTCTATGTGGATTGGAGGCAATTTTATCTTATTTTCTTTTGTTAGATTTTTTTGACTATATACCGAAATTATTTTTCCCTTTTTTATCCTGCTGAAATTATTTGTAAATCTCTCAAGACTTTTACTAGTATGCTTTACTGAGTAATTTGCAGGATTTTTCAAACTCAAGTCGTTATAACTAGAATTAACAGAAAACTCTGTAGGAGTTCTAATGACAACCTTGATTCCATGGGCTATTGTTTCATTTCCTTCCATTTCATCAGAACTTTGACTGTCATACATAAAAAACTTTGATGAGTTTTGTGCTGATAAGTAGGAATTATAGCTTGGTCTAGTTTTTATTGGCTCAAGCTGGCACCTCTTAAAATTTCTTCCTCTGACTCCATTAATTATCTTATATTCCTGCATTCCTTACTATTTATATCTCATTTAAAAATCCTTTAATAATTAACGTCTCAGATATAAGTCTTTTAATTCTCTTTACTCTCAGACAAAAATAAAACGTCATTAATTTATTTCTCCCAAAGATGATTAAACAATCCATTTATTAAAAAAACTCCTCTGACTATTTTTAACTATTTATAGAGAACAGAAATTATTTTTCTATCAAAGATCAGAGAAAAGATATGAAGGCATTATGTTAATATTTCTTGATTGCTATAATCGTCTGCTTGTTTCCAATCATATACTAACTCTACAGGAAACTTAGGGAGGCTTTTGTTTTCTTTTAACCTTTGAGCTGTTATCAATGAGATCTTATAAACTGGATCTGAGACATTGTTAATTCTATCTCTCAAAAAGGCTGATGAAAATGCATCTGCTCTTCTCATAAAGCTGCCAAAAATTCTTTCCTTGTCAACTCTATTTATAAAATCAAATTTATTCATTCTCTCACCTATTTTGTAGCTTATTAATGACCGATTTGAGCAATCCTTAATAAGTTTAATGATCTCTTCACTGGTTTCTCCAATTCCTATTTCTTGATCGGTATATTCTTCTTTTAGATTATTGTCCAAAGAGGCTTTCATAAATCTATCTTGAATATAATCTTCTCTTGATCTTATGATTTCCCCTCTTGCATCCTTTTGGTAGAGTCTATTTAATTTGGATATTTTCCAGACAAATCTGGTTCCTAATTGATGAACAAAAGTCTTTAGGATAAAGCTTGTGACGTACGCAAATAATCCATATAAGAACATCCAGTAGTCAAGAAATGGAGAAAAACTGTTGAAACTTATAAATTTAAGCCCAATAGTAAACATGAAAATACCAAGGCTAAAAATAGCAAGAATTATATACAATTGGCCACTAAACCCAGTGCAGAATAATTTTTCTACTTGCTTAGACAGATCTAAGGATTCGTCATGGATTTTTATCAAGCTTAAAGACCAAGTGGACATCCTTTGCCTAAAATTGACATCAGCATATTCATGTATGTCAGGACAAAAATATGTTCTATCTGATAAAATTCTCAAATAATTAATCAAGATCTGTATTACTGGCTCCAAGGCTGCAAAAAACATAACAAAAATAAAAAAATAAAGGTAGTGGATTTGTATCATAGAATAAGCAGTAAACTGGTAAAACGCATATATAAACAAAACAGAATATGGGAATATCCAGGAATTCATAATATTCATACATTTGTCGCCTACTTCTGCTATCGCGTTAATATACTTCCTTCTTGACCTTTTATCTTTTGGTCTTAATTCGCTACTTTTCTCAAACCCTTTGCTTATAAAACTTAGTATGTACATATGGTGATATTTAACAAAAATGCTTTCTTCAAGTATTCTCATCACAAAAATGATTACAAATGCTATTATCATTTCAGAAAGCTTATCAAGACCAAGCATCATAGTGTAGATTGAGATTTTCATTCCAAGCCTAATTGGCATTGAATAAAGCTGCTCTTTTACGCTTCTCAAAGCCATTAGCCCAAACAAATATTCGACTATTTTTAAAGCAGGGAGTATTAAAAAATAATAATTTTGAAAAACTGGACTGTCTGAGATAGAAACTAAAATTACCCCAATAATAGCTGTAAGGACAGTGTAGCCAACAATTTGTCCTTGTCTTCTTGATAGTTCTTCGACTTCTTTGTATTTCTGTATTTCTTCTTGATAAGAAAAGCCTGTTTGGATATTTGGAGGAACTAAAAAATCGGTTCCCCATTTAACAAGTGCAAGTCCTAGCAATATAAAGCAAGTTCCAAGTCTCCCTGCTTGGTAAGTTGTAATTCGATCATCATCTGAATTTGTGATAGGAATTTTATCTTGAAAACTGCCGAGTTCATAGTTCAAAACTCCTCCCCATACAAAAAACGACCATAGCCCAAACATCTCTATAGACAGCGGGGCTGCAATCACAGCAAACCCAGCCAGCGAGTTTAATATTTGCTGTTTTATATATATAATTCCACGATTTTTGCGAGATGCTGGACATCATATTAGTGATGGTAATAGTAAGAGCACAGAAATAGAAGAGAGAACGCCTAGTGTGGCCAAAAACAGCAGCCATACATATTCATTAGCTGCAAATCCGTTATAATCAAATGTATCTATCCATGATAATGCTGAAAATTTAAAAGTAAACGAATAAACTGTGTTATCTGTAAATGATTTTCCTGCGATAAAATCTGAAAAAATCATGCTCCCTACGAGAATTTCTTTGGAGTGCCTTCCTTTTAAGTAATATCCTAGCTCAAGTCTTATAGAGCTCGGCACATCTCCAGCTACCCATGCAGTTCCCCCAAGTTCCCAGGATACTCTTATAGGAATTAAATCTGTATTATTTGAAGACAAATCTGTTAAGCTTGGTATATCGTCACTTGAAACCATTTGCCTCGTTATATAAAAAGGTGGATATTTTTGCTTAGAAGATCCTTTTGCATTATTTTTAGCGGTTTCTGCTTCATACCAACGAGCTTGTCTATTTAAGTTTGATAGATCTAGTCCATAGTCACATGATAGCTTGTAAGAGCAGCTGTCCCCTACAACTTCAGTAAAAAACCCATAAAGGTCAACAGGGACTGGATTTGCAACTTTAGTGCACATTTGATCGTTGATTAGGTTTACAATAGAAAGAGTTGAGCCATATCTTGGATAGCAATCTGTTACATAAGGAATATAGGATGTAGGATATGAACTTACAGTTAAGTTATCCCATATCGAATAAGAATATTGACTAGTAGAGTTTTTGACTCAGTCAGCATTTTCAGCATCATTCGTTATTAGCGTAAGGTAAAAGCGATTTTCCCAATTCATGTATGTATCGACAGGTTTATAGCTTGAATTTAGTTGAAATATCTTATACAAATTTATTGGATCACTCATTAGAGAACCAATATTTCTTGTAATCACACACAAAAATCCAGCGCTATAAGTAACTGAAGATATTTGGTTCATTGTGCTTACACTCGTGTCAGTCGTTATCCAACTGGACTTTGAGTTATATTCTCCGTCTAAAAATTCCAATTCAAACTTTACCTCAGCTCTAATATTAGAGTGGATTCCTAAAACAAGTGTTCTATCTCCATTTAGAACGTATTCCTCAACGTTGTTTATAGGAATACTTTGTTTCGTCCCATAGTTCTGGTGACTTATAATTAGGACTCTTGTGGATTTGTCATCAGATAACCTTCTTCCGCTAGAGTCAACAGGAGTTATAATAGTCGTTTGTTGTAGATCAACTGGTACGACAGCTCCATTGTAGTAGCTTGTATAATTCAGTATGAATTCTTGATAAGTGTTAGGCTCAATAGTATACACTGGATATGCATCAGCTGTTTTTAATATAGACACATCGTAAAAGTTCGAAGTATCTCTGTAGCATTTTTTTATGCTAATAGCTCCAGAGCTAGAAGTCGTTCCTACTGGGCATTTTTGCATGGTTGTGACTCCATAAGGGCAATAATATCCTGGAGTGCAGGCAACACCAATGCTGCAATCGCTTGAGGTTTGACATTTCTCGTATGCTTCTTCAGTTGCTGCTGTTCCAGCTGCACAATATCTCCCAGCAGGGCATACATTGTTTAATGATTCTTCATATGATTTGGTGCCACTGAAACAATAATACCCTTCACTACATCTATTGCTGTTTTTTGTCCCACGACTTGTACCAGCCGGGCAATAATAGCCACCAGAGCATTCTTCTGTATTTGAGCTATTAAGCCAGGAAATTCCTGATGAAGTGCATACTATACCTGCAGGACAATTTATGCAGTCACCTGGATCTGATGACCCTGTATTGTTATTATAAGTCCCTTCAGCGCATTGAACACAGTTTATTGGAGTTAGCCCTTCAGGACGGTATGTTCCACCTGGACACAAAGAAGGCTCTGTTAAAGCATTCGATTGGCACTCATAGCCTCCTGGGCAAGTATAGCATGAAGAAGCAGCAGTGTGGTTCATAAATTGTCCAATGCTACAAACTGATGCAGAGTTATCATCACTTGGCAGATAAACTCCTCAGGTGTTACCTCCTACACAATAGTGCCCGGCAGCACAAGGTAAAGGTCTATTCTCAAGAGAAGATGTTGGATCAGTTGTTTCAGTTTTTGTTAAGCAGTAATATCCAGGAGGGCAAAGAGCTTGAGTGAAGGTTACACATGTATACCCTGCTGGGCATGGAGTAGGTGCTGACATGCCTGCCTCGCTGCACATATATCCATTCGGGCAGCTTACACAAGCTGCTTTGCAAGTGTCACCATTATAAGTTCTGACGCCACATGGCTTTGCATTATATGAATTTTTAGGGCAATAATATCCCTCATCACATGCATTCGGATAAACTAAAGTATCAGTAGATTTTGATATAAAAGTAGGGTCACAACCGTTTTCCATATGATTTGTTCCAGCAACACAATAATACCCGATGGGGCAATCAACCTTATTTGTAGATATTCCTGTTACTGGGCATATATAGCCTTTATCACATATCTTGCAGCTTGTTTGAGCAATTTGATTGATATAGGCTCCTATAGGGCAAAGAGCGCAGTCGCTTTCTCCTGCTTGATCTTGATAAGTCCCTACTACGCACGCTATATATTTTGAACTTAGCGCTGGGCATTTATAGCCCTACTCCCCCCCTCCGTGAGTGAACAAAAAAATTTTGTTCACTCACGGAGGGGGGTTTAATTTTTTTTTTTAAAAAAATTTAAAAAAAATCCTAATTCACAAAAATTGGAAAGCAAATATTAATTTAATTTATAAAATTTATCTTTTAAAAAGCAATTGTTTAAAATTAAACAGAATTAGCTCTAGATTTCATTATACTAATTATCACTTATATATCAAATTGTTTTTCACAAAAAATTTTTGTTCACTCACGGAGGGTGGGTTTTTGGGCAAAAAAATAGCGATTTTTCTAATGGTTTTGCTCACTCACGGAGGGGGGGAGTTAGGGCATAACACTGTTGCACTTGGTGGTGAGCTTGTTGATTGTGGGCAATAGTAGCCAGCAGGGCATGGATCGCAACTAGCTTGAGCTATTTTATCCTGATAATATCCTAAATTGCACATTGTAGGCTTTCTCTCTGTCGTTGATGGACAAAAATAGCCCTTTGGGCATGGGCAGAAAGCTCCATAACAGTTACTCAAGTCTAATTTTAAAAGATCTGGATCTGTTATTGTTCCAGAAGTATCAATACAAAAATACCCAGATTGGCACATTAGAATCCCGTATTTATTTTTACTGCCTATATCACAAGTGTATCCATCAGCACAAGGCTGAGCTTTATAAAGATCAGTGGTATCAATCACGTGTGAATAAACTCCATACAGGCAGTAGCTTTGTTTATCACATTTGATTGGATTCATTTCAGTGGGCATGTCATTTTGGTAAAACGATTCTGTTTCATTGGTAATTGCTGCATCACACCAGCTGCCATCAACGCATGGCTTATATCTCTTTACTGTTCCTGCAGCGGCGCACATAAATCCTGCATCACAATTAACTGAAGCGACCATTCCTCTGCAATAGCATTGCTGACCTCTGGGACAAATAGTGCAGGAAGATTGTCCAGTGTTGGCTTGGAAATAGCCAAGATCACACACTTCAGGAGAAAAATAATAAATTGTCGCTGAAGAAAAAACGCTTGTACATTTTGAGCCTGCAGGACAGGCAACGCAATTGTTACCATCTATATATTGGCCAAGCGTGCAACGCCCTACAAAAGTAAAAATTTTTGATTGAGAATCAGAAGAAAAGGTTAGACCATGATTAAGTGAGACCCTTAAGAACGGGTTAGAGCTGGTTTCTGAGTAAGGCGGCATTTGGAATGTAAACTCACTTTGTGAGACACTATTTAGGCTGCTAAATGAAAAATATCTATTGCCAAGCTTATATATTATATTTGACACTGTATAAGTCCCCCCAAAAGTCATAGTTGTAGTAACGTCATATAAGCCGTGATTATGCCCGAAATTTGAGTTACTATCTATATTTAAATTTATGTCTGCTATTTGAATAAGGTAGTTTTGAGAACTGCATGAGCTACAGCATAAAACCCGTTCCCGGCTATAGATCGGGCTATGCCCGATCTTTGCAAGGAAAACTCGGGGGGTTGTCTGCGTCACTTCGAGGTGGCGAATCAACTCCCCGAGTTGACAAATAGCCACCATTAAGTGATTTGCCAATTCGGGGAGTTGACTCGTCACCTCGAAGTGACGCAGACAACCCCCCGAGTTTCTCTGCAAAGATCGGGCATAGCCCGATCTATAGCCGGGAACGGGCTCTAACTGTATATTATAATCTGTATTAGCTACAAAAACGGAAGAAGAAAATGAGCACTCAGAATATGTGCCTTGAAAAGAAAAGATTCCATATAAAGTGCTTCCTCCTCCAACTGCTTGGCAAGTACATATAGGCAGTATAAAATTTGCTCACAGAGGCACTATAATATTGCTATCATCGTCTGGGTACATATAAATTGGCGATATAGCTGGGGGATATAAAATTGGCTGAGCGCTTTGATAATAATTAAACCATTTTTTTGGCGACCCAGTATAGTCTTTATCATTTCTCTTTACAATGATCAACAAATTCTGCGCATATCCAAAAGTTGGCATTGGGATAGTACAGGAAATAGTAGTATCTGTGGAAGTTATTACTGAGCAATCCTTATTGCCAACTCAAACACTAGGAGGAATATTTCCAAAGTTATAACCAAGAATATTAAGAATCAACTGAGAAGCTGGAGAAAACACTTGGCAGGTTAAAGAATCACCAGACTTTGTGCACAAGGTACCAACACTAGGACTGTCAATATAAAGAATCACAGGCCATAATCTGCATTGAACTCCTTGGCACAGCATTGTTGTAGTCTTAGCGTTTGTTCCATGATATCCAAATCCGCTATACTCAATATACACGTATGGTAAAACTATGCTTGGGCCCCAAGTTGCCTTTGAAGTGGCATAGTTTATGAAATTATTTGTATCATTTATACTATATGTTTTAACGTTTCCAGCTATTGGAAGACTAACATCAATGGCGCAAGGACTTGGCTGATCACCATCGCAATATTTAGCATTAATTGCATTTGTTATCCAAGGTTCCTGATAGTCAAATCCGAAATTTAATGTCAAATAGCAATTGCCTGTAGTATAATTATCTTGAATAGTCAAGCCCATTTGAAAATCACTGTGAGGCTCAACTGGGTGCCATTCAAAATACCCTCACTTATAAAGTGTAAAATTAGCAAGACCACTAGGAGAAGTCTCATATATTGTGATATCGTGGAATAATGCATCCTGATCAGTTCATATCATTTGATAGTTATAGTTTGAATACTCTGTAAGACTTAAGGTAGCGCCAGTGCACTTTGGAGTGGTTCTTGTTCTATATATTGGAGCAAGAATAAATGCATATGTTGTAGTTATGCTACTTGTTTCTGTGGTACAGCTTAACACCACCAAGCCCGAGTCTAAATCAGTATCAGTTGGAGTTCAGTTAAGAGTAGCAGATGAGCAGCCAGTTGATGAGCAGCTAATAGCTGATCCGCTAACAGAGTATGCCATTTTATTTGTAGAAACAGTAATGCTTACACCTTCTAATGGATGCCAGCAAGTGACATCTAAACTTCATAAGCTTCCTGAATTAGCAGTCTTTATACTATCAGCAATAGGAATACTACTCCCAAATTGTGGGTATATTGATGTTGGCCTTATTGTGATTTGAAACGTTTGAGTAATACTGTTGTCATAAAATAGATTTGAATTAATATAAGAAACCTTCACATTGAAACTTAAAGCACTATTAGGGCTTAGCCATATAATATCTCCATAATTCTGGTCAATGTTAAAATCTGATGGCAAATCTGGAGAAGTAAGTTCAAATTTTAACCAAGAAATTTTAAAATAAGTCGAGCCTGAACAAATTTGTACTTGTGCTCTAAAATATTTCTGAAAGTCTGCAATAGAGTTTGTAAGGATTAAACAAAGCTTAGGCTGAACATTAAAATTGATGATTCTAGAATTAAATCCATAAGAGGGAATGTCCCAAAACGTGATGTTGACTGCAACGAAAGTTCCAATCAAGTCAGCTGTAGGAGTTCATGAAAAAACTGATCCTGTAACCTGCATTGATAGGGTAGTGGGGCTGACTAGTTGAAATCCTCAATCATTTGAATCAGAGTCAACTATGTAGTTCTGCAGATTTAGTCTATAGAGTTCGTCTATTATGCAAATTAGATCAGAGTTAGGGATGGACTGCGCCATGGATGGAGGAGTGTTGCTGTAAACATCAATGCTATAAGATTTGGATACTATAGAAGGTGGCGTTCTAGTGTCAGTATAAGTTAAAGTAATCTTCACATATTTCCCTACCAGAGCACTATTTATAGGTGTTCACTTTAAGACGCCGTTATCATTATAAATAACTTCGCTCCAGTCATTTGATATAACTAAACTTGATATAGGCAAACTTCCTGGATATGTTAATGGACCATCAGTTATGGTGAAAGATCTTTCCCAGTATGAATTTAAATAGGCATTTTCGACTTGAGCGCTTGATTCAAATGATGTTAGAGACAATGAAGATATTATAGGCTGATAATTAGGGAAAAATTGGAAGGGTGTTAGATATATAACGGCGCCAAGCGTATCAGTGACAACAACTGTAATAGCTTTTGATGGTGCTGTAGTGGTCTCTGATGATCGACCCCATTTCACTTTATTATCACTTGTAATTGAGTATGAAGAGTCTGTTGGTGAGGTTAGTAAAGTATAAGGCTGCCTTTGGCTGGAATTTATTCCTAAAATAGTGTCAAGGCTGTCAGTAAGCTCGCAGTCTTGGCTTATATTAGAAGTGGTAACGAAGCAAGAAGTTTCAGTTGCGGGGATTGAATTTGTTTGTAAAGTAAGTAAGCTGTGAGCATTAATAGTCAAAGCAATAGTTTTCGTGTCTAAATAATAATTACCTGTATAGACAGCTGAATTAGCAGTATAGTTAGCACTTACTATAACGCTTACTCCCTCCTTTAAATTGGAACAAAATATGTAAAATTTCCTTTTTTGGTGTTTTAGCCCCTCTAAATTGGAACAAATTTTATTTTTTAATAGGAAAATTTGATAAATTAGTTTGACAATAATTTAATGAAAAATAGCAAGTAGAATATTATTTAAACACGTTTTGCACTGTTCCTATTAATTTCTTGAATTAATATTTAAAAAATCAACCAGCTAATTTCAATTTATTTTTTTTATTTTTTATAAAATTTGTTTTTTAAAATAAAATAACCTCCCTTTAACTTGGAGCGCAATCATTTGAGCAACTTTAAAGTAGGGGAGTTATAGTCTTTCCAGCATAATAGTCAGATGGAGTCCAAGATATAACTCCTGTTGATGAGTCAACTGTCATATCTGGAGGATTTTCACCAGTGAGATATAAGCTAGTTAGTCCTGATATTGAAATACTATTGCTGTTATCTGTCGCCGTAACGCTTAACGTAAATTTAACATGGGCGTATAAATTTGCAGTTGATGGAATGATTATTTGCAAATTATGGCAAGCAATTGTTGCTAATGTCTGTGGAATGCAAAACTCCAGATTGACGCAGGCTATTATACCAAAGGATTGAGAGCCTGAAGGGTTTGGCCAAGTCAAGAGCATGTTGTTGATAGTAAAAGGCATATTAATTTGTGGGTAAACCCCAAGGCTTCCTTCATATGGGTTTATATAGTAAGTTACATCTAAGTATAAATTACATTTGCTAACATCAAGAGTATAAGTTGAACCAGTTAAACAATAATAGTCTGAAGGCCATAGCGAAGATTGTATTGCAGGAGATGGAGGGATGTAAATTGTAACATAGAAATCGGCACTGCATGAATTTGTACCATCAGTTGCTGTAAGAGTAAAACTTTTGCTGGTTTGATAATTTACATATGTATCTGACAAATTTATATTTGACCCTGAGGATGCTGCTGTAATATCATTTGGAGATATAGTAACTGAGCTAATACTAGACAAACTTGTAGCAGCCTGGGCTGAAAAAGTTGTATGATAATACAGAAGAAAAGTATCGGCTGATGGAAGTGTAATGGTCCCCACATTGCCTCCACTTACTGTTATTTGATAAGATAAACTCCTCACAGAGCACCTTTTGTCTGAAATTGATACTGTCACAGAGATTGATGATGTAGGGCTAGGCCACGTTATAATTCCTCTGAATTCCTCTATTTTAATAGACGAATCTGTGCTAGAAATAGAATAATCATATGCCCCTTGGCTATCTGCAAAAAAGCTTCCAGAAGTAAATAAGACACCATAAGTAGCTTGAAATGGGCTTGAATTGCTTGGCAGCGATGGACATGCAAGATAAGCATATGAGAAGTACATATACCCATAGGTTTTGGGGGTTAATTTTTCTATGTAAATTACATGCAGAATCCCATTATATGAGTCCAAAGCTGTGCCTGTTATGCTGCTGCTTGAAAATGAAAGGTATGAACTGGAGTATGGGGTTATAATTATTGGTGTTTCATAATTTGTAATTAGTGTCGATTCATAATAAACTATCAGTTGATTATCAATGCTATTAGTTGAATCAGAATATCATTGGCTAGGCACTGGAGAAATTAATAATGGGGAACTGATAGCTACGTCAATGCTAAAAGCATATTGATTTGCGTAGTTGTCAGTAATACTTAAAGTTTCAGTAAAAGTCGTAGAAGTGCTTGATTCGAGATATAAATATTCGCTAGTTACTTTAAAATGAGTAGCTGTGATAGTGAGCACAAGATTATCTGGATTAGAAATTAGATCAGAAATAGCAGAAAGACAGATTCTATTTGTAACACAATAAATTGGAGTGTATTGAGTGTTAATCTCTGGAGCAGTTACAGTGGCTGAACTTGCTGTTGTTGTTGTTTCAGTATTAAAGGTATCAGAAAGACTTACTGTTTGGGATCCTATATCAGTTATTTTTATAGTCACAGCAGCAGTCTCACTACTAATTATAGCCCATACTATGTATGGAGTTGTAGAAGAATAAGTGTCTAAAAACATATATGTCGAGCTTGTAGTCAATTGATAAGTATATGCAGCAGAAGTTGTGCCATACACAGAATCTGTAAACTCGACCGGAATCTTTGCTAAGCTATTTAGGCTATAACTATGTGTAGTGAAAGCTGATATTGCCAATAGTGCAGTTGATGCTATACTTATTGAAACAACTGAAGAGCGAATCACTGAGCTACAGCTAGATGAGAAAGTATAAGTTCCAGCAGAAGTAGGATTACTAATAGTAAAAAGCCCATTCGTACAGCTTGCAGAGCCATCGCTTGGAGAAGTTAAACTAATTGTGCAGCTAAGTTCATACGAATAGTCTGATATAGAAAATGGAAGCTGAACTGAATATTCACTATTTTGTATAGCTATCGATAAAGGACTAGATAAAGATATAGATTGACTTGAATCAGATGGGCAATTGGTTGTAGATATAGTAGTATTACTTGATCCAGTAAGATTTGTATAATATGAATCATTAAAATACATCATATCATATATAAGCGCTCAATTTGTGCTTGTAAAATCAGAATCTCCAAAGTCAATTTTGTAGTTGCTCCCACTTAAGCTTGTAACCACACCATTTGTAAGTCCTGTTATTGAATTATACCATGTATCGCCTGTACTTAGACTAGTTACTTTAAGTAGCAAATCATTCTTTTGCGCTACCCCAGTCCAAGAAACAACGAAATTTATTAAAAATCAATCTTCAAGATTTTCAGCTACATCCACACTTAATGTCTGCGAAGCGGAACCCAAAGCTACTATGTGCTGAAAGGCTGACTTGTTTCGTGATAGCTGAATAAGGATTGTTGTTGAGTCAGTAACATGAATTGAATAAATGTTATAGAAAGTTGAGGAGGTAATTGATGTGATTTGATGATAAAAGCAGGAAAAAGATCAATAAGATGATGCTTGAATTGTCGATAAACTTTGAGTAACTAGTGAATTAGAAATATATTGTCGTGATGATACGATTGCAATTCTAGAGATTGATGCTCATGATATTTTCAAGATGATTAAGCAAAGAAATAGAAGTCTTTTCATTTATTATATTTAATTTGGCTATAATGAAGTCTTTTAAAATAAGTAAAGTCTAATCGATAATTTTTTTATTCCTCTCCGATTAATGAAGAATTGATATTTAGCTTTTACAAATTTATTTTAAAATAGATCGGCAAAGTCTTACCTATTCTAATTCTCGATCTATTTATGGTATATGCTTTTACTTCTCAATATATTTTGGCTTTAGAAAAGCCCTATTCGGCGTTGCAAAATGCGATCAATTGAGAATCATAGTGATATTTAATAAGAAAGTAACAAGATTTATTAATAAGACACAAATATCAAATCTGAGTTTATGATCTAAGTTCATTTTCCCTTTTAAGTAAAACTTGCTTTTGCTTCAATTTATTTTATTCCATATCAAAATATTTAGGTAAAAATAGCAAAAATCAAAAGATTAAAAGAGGTAATAATTTATTAATTAAGTATTTTATTACTACCAGTCATGTATGAGACTTTCCATATCTTTTATTAATGTCTTATTGATGTTTATTTTATAGACTATATCCTATTTTGAGTATCCTCTTAATATTGGAGAAAATTTCCTTTAATCTACCAAACTGTGGTATTTCTAATAAAAGGACAAGCTGATTTATGTTGCAAAGAATGGTATTAAGCTGAATTAAATAACCTTCCTTTATTACTTTGATTATAAGTAGACTCAGTAAAATCATGCTTTATTTTTAAACCTGTTATTAGGAAAACAAAATCACTGACATCATCCATTTTAACAATATAATTAATATCATTTTATCTTTGAATTAAGAAGTGTAGGACAATCTTACTTTTCAAGGATTTTGAAGAGAAATTAATATTAAAATTTCCAAAAGCTGACTTTCCTTTTTATTTGAATACTTATAATGGAAAAAGAGCAGCTTTGCTGTAATTGTGGGAAATCAGTTAGCCCAAGTGTGTATGATCTTCACATTGCCCACTGTGAAAGGTTCATATTCCAGTGCATATGTGGGGATACTGTCAGCATTAAAGACTCAGAAGCCCATATGGCGCTGAAACACAAAAGCACTGAATGTGTGTATTGCCAAGCCAAAATGGATGCTTGGGAGCTTAATACCCACTCCTGCCCTCACAATTTCTTCCAATGCCCATTTTGTGAGTGCATATTTTCAGAATTTGAGTCCACTGATCATGAGGACCTTTGCTCTATCAGAACAGAACAATGCCATAAATGTTTGGCATATGTCATGAGGAAGGATTTGAAAGAGCACTTGGAAAATGAATGCATGCCTTCTCTCTCAGACTTTGGAGTACCAAAAAAGAATCAGCCTAGTCCTTCTAAGAGAAAAAAATCCAATCAATGGCAAACAGTTGAGAATTTCAAGGTAGAAAAGCCGAAAAGTAGGCATGCTTTTGGGAAGGAAGATTTTGATAGACTTTATGCTGAAGAGCTTATGGAAGAAATGATATATGAAGATATGGAAGTGGAAATTGAAGATTATGATGTATATAATAGGCCAAAGAAAATTAGAAGCAATAAAAAGAAGCCAAAAGCTGTACAAATTTTGGATGAAAATGAAATTGATAGAAGAATAAGGTAGTTTATTTACTTATTGAAATTAATAATTGGATATAATAATTATTCAAATTATTAGTCCAATCGATCCATGCTTCAAAGATTGAGATCATAGGATGATTATAATTAATTGCTTATAGCAATATAAAAAATTGTGTTTATGATGGATAAAGCTTGGAATCTGTAAAACTAACACAAGAAAATTAAAGTGTTTAAAAATTTTAGATTATTTATAAATTTAACTTAAAAACAATGAAAATGTGCATATTTTGCAGAAAGTAGATTATTTTATATGGATCAAAAATATTTTATTTGCTTTATGCTTAGTTCGAATAGTGTTTTGCTGTAATCTAAGGCAAGATTATTCAAAATTTTTCGAAATGCAAGGTCTCTAACTGCAGTTGGGAAGAAAATATCGATCTTAATTCAATTATATCCACTCTATTTTGCAATAATTGACTAATTTATAATTAACTAATTAAATAAAATAAAAAAATGAGATTTAAAGGCTATAATACATAAATATGTCAACACTGTGTCAGCCGTTTTCAAAAATCATGCTATATAGGTGAATAATTATTTCTAAAGTTTAAACTCTTTTTCTACCTTGCGAATTATTTTATAGTCTTAAATGCTTTTATCTTAAAATTTTCAATTTAAATTTATTAAATATAAATTCCAAAATTATAAAAATGAGCCACGATAAAAAGCTGAATGATAAGTCTATAAGAATAAGATCAGGAACTCCACAAGGCCGATCCTCTTTCCAAAGATCACGGTCACCAATGATAGAACAAAACATCTCATTCGCTATAAACCTGCAGTCAAAACTCGATTTACAGAATAATCCGAAAGATTTAGAACGGACACTTTTCCACAACTCCTTACCCAAATCGCACTCACAATCTAAGCTTATATTTAACTCTTTATCAAATTCCAAAAGCCCTGAAAGCTTTTTCACAACAACAATATCAGAAATCGAACAAATGAGCTCCGACTGTACGACTCCTTCGACTAAATCCACAATTGAAAAAAATTTGGACATTTATGCACTGGAATCGAAAATTAATTACCAAATGCAAAAATTAGGCGAAGAATGTGTAATCAGCTTAGATAAGTTCAAAATTTATAATAAAATGTGGGAAGAGCTGATCACAATTGAAAACCCATATTCAAAAGTTCTGAGACAGATAAAAAATGGATATGATGAATGGATTAATTTTTTAGATAAAGAAATGAAAGCTAAAAGCCAGAAAATCGAGATAATAAATGGAAAATTAAAAGAAGCAACTCATACTTTGAAGCTTCTAAAGAAAAGATTCAAAAAGCTCGCAGTTGAAAACATGGAATTAAATTCAAATTTAAGTGACAAAAATAAGGAGAACTGCTATTTTCAAGAAAAAATTGAATCCTTGAAACTTCAGCTGAAAAATGAGAAGCTAAATGGCAAAGAATCTCTGAAAAGCTTGCGAAATGACAATCACACGCTAAAAGATCTACTAAAGGAATCAAATGATTATGCAAAAGAGTTGAAAGGGAGATTGAAACTATTCAGAGAACTAGTCAATGCGGTAAAATCAAATGGATACCCCGTTGAAGATATTTATAATCAAATCATGAAAAGCAAAGCACACAAACAAGAAAACTCGATTGACTTGAAAATATCATTCAGTAACCAATCGTTTTTGAATCAGCTCCCAAATAATGAAGCAGATCATTTGAGCACAGTTGATTTTATTTATTCCCCGAGTGTGGATTGTAGCGATGTAGGGGAAATTTTTACTTATAAGGAATTTAATGAAGATTCAGTATTCAATGCTCTTTCAGAGATAAGAGACGTATAAATAGTGATTTTTTGATAAAACAATTTTGGCATAAGCTAATTCTTTGCAATTTTTAGCTTAATATAATATAACAATTTAAATTTAAATGATTTTTTAAACATATGAAAAGTGCTTAAAACAAATTAAAGATTTTAATATAAAATATTAACAAATATTTCTAATGATAGCTTTAATAGATTTTAATAATTAAATTTTCATTAACGTTAATAAGTTGTATTTTTATTAGAATTTATGTGAATAATAAATAAAGTCGCTAACCATCTTCTCTTGAACTACTATGAGATAAACTCTAATATATAAAATGTATTTATTATTCAAACTTTAAGATCAAATATAATTTTTCCAAATTAAAATTATCCCCATAGCCTTTTTAATATCTCTTCATAAGTTATAAGTGCTTATTTTTATGGAGCTAATGATATCTATAAGAAATTAATGACAACTTAAATTATTTTCATGCTAATGTAAAAATATTTACCAGAATTAATAATTCCAAGATTGAATTTTCCCAATTGAAGGTTGCATTATAGTAATAAATATGAGCCTTTGCTATTATGAAGGGTGTGGACAAAGAGCTGATCACGTTTGTATGTGCTTGACCCCAGAGCAGACTTATGTTTGTGCAGGACACTTAAAAGAGCATATAAGTGTACCTGGCCCTCGACCTCATTATAACAGACCACTCTACCTAACTCCTCCAGAAGATGTCAAAGCATATCTCCTCAGTTACTTTAAAAACAAAATAAGAAGCTTAAATTCACTAAGAAAGCAAGTAGAAGAAGAATTGCTCGAGCTGCCAAATGAGCAGGAAGCAGCACATAAAATTTTTGCAATGATCGAAGAAGACTTGGAGAGGTTTAAATATTTTCTTGGAGAAGTTCAAAATAGAATTGATGTGCCTAAGGATAACCCTAATGAAATCGAAAAATTATTAAGCACAAGCACAGTAGAAGGACTTTCATCAGAATTAAAAAATTTCGTGCCAAAATCCCAAGAACTATTGGACCGTGACGAACAATTTCACACCCCAGAAACTCCGAAATGTGTAGGTTTTGATATTTGCTTATTCCAGCACAATACGAAAAATTTAAGAAGCATCAGTTTTAGGGATTGGGAAATCGAAGATAATGAGCTGTCTTTACCTTTTAATGTAGACTTCAGGACTTGCATGTGTCTGATCCCAGACGGCAAAATCTTCTGTTTTGGTAGTATGATAGATGCAAAAGTAACTGGAGTGACATTTACTATGGCTTTCGATAATAAAGTGCAAGTTTTAGCAGTTGGAACTCCTTGCAGGTCGTCAAGTGCTGCATTTTTTGAAGGATGTGTATACTGCTTTGGCGGCAACGATGGAAATCAGCCTATGACCCTGGCTGAAAGATATAGTTTGGAAAGAAATGTCTGGACAAAATTACCTGTCTTGCCAAATTCAACTTACTATGCCTCTACTTGTGTGTTTGCTAATAAAATGCTGATTTCTGGGCTAGGGCTTACTTTTATGTTTATTTATGACCCATTAGCAATGAGCTATGATAAAACTTTGACATTTGCAGATGAAGGAAGCACCAAGATTATATGTGAAGGACTTGGGAGAGCCTTTGTGATTGAGACTAAAGGGAAGATATACGAAAGTGGGATAGGAAATCCTTATGATTGGCAGCCAGTAGAAAATTCTGATATTCCAAATTGGCACTTGGTAAGTCACCGTGCAAGCTTTATGAATTATGTCTACTTTATAATCGATGAATATCCATGCCCTGGGCTGTATTACTTTAGTTTAGATGGAAAGTTTTGCAAAAGGATTAAGAAAATACTTGATAAAGAACAAGAAATTTCGTACACTCCTCAAGAGCAAGCACCCCAACCTGAAATCCAAAGCACAGCTTAAGTTAATCAAAAATTATTATATAGATTGGGTTTGCTATAAATTGTTTTAAAAATCGATAAAGTCTTTCGAAAAGTAATAATTAAGCTCAAATATTAATCACAAATTATTTTAGTTAAAAGAGCTTTTTGGCTGACCTGCCTTATAAATACCAATAATGGCCATTCTTGGCCAAGTTCTTTTAACTTTTTTTTATATTAGTAGAAGATACTCAATATTGATATATTGCCATAAAAGTTGATTTTAAAGCAGGGCAATTTCAAACATCTTTTGTACTGATTATTATTGGCTATCAAATCCATTAAAATATTATTTTATGAGATCTCAAAGAGTTTTCCCAGGGAAAACCAGAGTTCCTTTAAGCCCAACAGCTGCGCCCTTAAGCCATCGCCAGTTCTCCTTGCATACCTTGAATATGCCTATAATTTTATCACCTATTAAAGAAAATACTTTGGAGCCTATAAAAGACTTGGAAGGGCCAGACTACAAACAAAACAGCCAAGCAGTTTCTGGAAGCACTTCGTCAACAATGTCTCCGTCGCCTTCAAACCGAGGAAATTCCTTTAATAGCCAGCTTAATTTTGCACTGAAAAGCTTTCAGCCAGAGTCTCCCAAAAAAACCTTAAAATGCATGGATCCTGCTACTCCAACAAATCCTAAAAGAATAAGCCGTAAAATTGTTCCAAACCTCAGCCATGGACTGCCTCCATCAAGAACGTCAAGTGCATCACCTACCCGAAGTCTATTTTTTGCATTAGACCATGGCCAAAAATCAAAGGTTTTCCCTATTTCTCCACAGCAAGCATTAAGTTCTTATAGTGCAGCTTTGTCAGATCTAGAGAAAGAAGAAATTACGAAATATAGCCAAATTTATTATTTAAGTGCGATTTTTGATAAAGAGATCAAAAATTCGGCTGATGCTAGCGGAATGTTCGTACCGGCGATTGGAGATCATATTGCCTATAGATACGAAATCCAAAGCGAGCTCGGACGAGGCGCATTTGGGATAGTTTTAAAATGCATTGACCATAAAAGTAGCGAAATAGTCGCTGTGAAGTTGATGAAAAATATGAGTGAGTTCAGAAAAGTTGGGGAAGATGAAGATGGAGTTTTAAACCTGCTTGCTAGTGGGGACCCTGAAGATTCAATGTGCATTGTCCGAAAAACAAAAAAATTCATTTTTAGAGGGCATTTATGTCTAGTTTTCGAGCTACTAAGCTTAAATTTATATGAATTACTAGCTCCCCCCCTCCGTGAGTGAACAAAAAAATTTTGTGGTGGTTAATTTTTATTTTTTAAAAATTTATATATAAAATTTTTTATAAAAAAATTTTTTTTTCGAAATTTAAAACAATCCTAATTCGCAAAAATTTGAAAGCAAATATTAATTTAATTTATAAAATTTTTTTTAAAAAAGCAATTCGTTTAAAATTAAACAGAATCAGCTCTAGATTTCATTATAACACTTATATATCAAAATTTTTTTCCATAAAAAAAAATTTAGTTCACTCACGGAGGGTGGATTTTTGGGCAAAAAAATAGCGATTTTTCTAATGGTTTTGTTCACTCACGAAGGGGGGGAGTAAGGAAAAAAGACTCAAAAGGCTTGGAGTTGTCATTGATAAAACGTATTGCAACTCAAATTTTGATTGGGTTAAAATACATCCATTCCAATAGAATTATCCATGGCGACTTAAAGCCTGAAAATATTTTGTTGCGACAAGAAAACAAGTCAAGTATCAAAATCATAGATTTTGGCTCAGCTTGCAAATTAGGTGACCGACTGTACAGTTACTTGCAGAGCAGATATTATAGAGCTCCTGACTCCCCCCCCCTTTTAATTGAAACAAAATATAGGTAAAATTCCTACTTTTTTGGGAAATTACCCCCCCTTTAAATTGAAACAAAATTTTATTATAATAGAAAATTTTATAGGTAAATATCATTATTTTATATGTAAAATACGTTAATACCCTATTTAATATGCTTCAAGCATATAAGATTTAGAAATTAAACTCTATTTTGTCCAATTGCTGTGGGGAGAGTTAGAAGAATACCATTTCAGCAAGTTTACACTTTGAGATTGAGAAATTTATGAATTAATTTTTCATGAAATTCTTTAAATTTATATAATTTATTTTCTATAAAATTTTATCTCTGAAAAAATTTTTATATATATATAAATTTTTTTATAAAAAAATTTTCTTAACCCCCCTTAAAATGAAACAAAATTTTTTGTTTCAATTTAAAGGGGGGGGGAGTGAGGTAATTCTTGGAGCCGGCTATAACACTCAAATTGATATGTGGTCTCTTGGTTGCATTCTTGCAGAATTAGCACTTGGGCGACCTCTGTTTCCGGCCGAATCTCAACATGATTTGCTTTTAAGAATAATTTCAGCTAAAGGAAGACCTCCAGAGAATTTATTATCAAGATCAAGAAACAAGCACATATATTTCGACGAAAACAATGAACCAATAACTATTTCTAGACTCTTCTATATACCAAGCGCAAAGCTGCTCTGTGAATATTTTGAGGGCTTTGATATAAAATTTATCGATTTTATAGAAAAATGTCTTGACTGGGATCCAAGTTCAAGAATAACTGCAGAATCAGGACTACAGCACGAATGGATTAAAGGAGAAGGGGTCAGAAAGCTATCAAGAGCTACCTTATCTGCGAGAGCAAGACCAAATAATTAAGATGTAAACTAGAAATTTTAATTTTATAATGAGAAATCTCTATCTGGGCAGCATGAAGGAGCCAAAACACTTCAAAAGAAAAGAATCATACACAAGCTTGCTTGGCAGATCCTAATCCAAAAACTCATAGAAGTCCTATATAGAAAATTCCTGGGGATAGCGCGGAATACGCTATCCCCAGGACCAACGGGATCGGATCCCACATGGAACGAGGGTTCCATGTGTGGATCCATTTTTGACACGTGAAAGTAAATATCTCACATGTCAAAAATGGATCCACACATGGAACCCCCCGTTCCATGTGTGGATCCGATCCCGGTTGGTCCTGGGGATAGCGTATTCCGCGCTATCCCCAGGAATTTAGTATATATAACTTACATCCACCCTGTAACTAGCCCCCAATTAGTCAAAATCATCGCAAGTGTTAGCGAATAAACAGTCATCAATAAATGAAAATAAGTTGAATTCTGCTGCAAGCTAACCTTTTGTGTAGGATTTTGCTGATGTACATATTCTTCGTCTGTTGTAGTAATTTCTTTCATAGATTTCATTTCCAATGATGAGACGTCAGAAGTTTTTACTTCTTCATAATGTGGCTTCCCTTCAATTTTCATAGCGAAATATGCCAAAGTTAGCATGCACACAAATAAGTCTGCCCCAACTAATAAAAAATTGTGTTGCCTTGATTCTCATAAATTGCAAGTTTCGACTGGATTTGAAGCTAAAGCGCTAAAAGTCCAGTAATTGAAAATTAACGAAATGAATGAGCTTGTAAGCAAAGCTAAATAAAGATTACAGCCATGCTCTATTAGTTTCGAGCTGCTTACTGCTGTAAGCCCAATTCCAAACAGAAGGCTTGCTGAAGTCAATGCAATGGGTCCTGTGCATTGAAAATAAATAAAGCTTGAAATTGACATTGTGAATATTAGAATCCAAGACAAGATTGGAAAGAAAAATAGTCAAAACATCCAAAAGCGGGATTCGTTGGAGTTTTCATAGTTTTCAACCCAGGCCTCATTTCAGTGATAAGCAAAGTCAATAAGGATAATAATCTGTGACACTAAAAATATAATTCCGACTATCACTGAAAAGATGATGTATCAGTCCTAAATAATGTTTACAAAAATATAGTTCGGGACCATAAACGTTAATAGTAAAACAGTGAAAAATACAAAAATCTTCAATAGCCAGCAGCTATTCTCAAACAGCTCAAAAATTTCTCCCCCAATAAGCGATAGTATTGTAGCAGTAATAAAAAGCATTCCTAGTGAAAAACTTATTCTATAGACCACACTGATACCAATACACTTAGAATCATCGTCATAACAGTCCACAAGTCCAATCAAATCAAGTTTTTCAAACAATCAAGAGCCCCATATAAGTGCTATCAAAGACATAAAGCACGCTAGGAGCGTAATAGCAATATACCCCAACTTAGCATGATGTGAAGTCTTCGTATTGCATTGCCTCATGCATAATCCACATAAGAAAGCACAGCAAAAACTATTTGAGCAGCATAAGGTTGGATTTGATAATATGGAAAACATAATTTTTTACTTATTAAAATTATTCTCATTACTTTGCAAATAATTTTATTAGTTTTTTAACGTAAAATCACTTATTGGCTGTAACTCAGCATATAATTATTCAGCAACGCCTAAAAGGTCTGTTGCGTATTTTCTTATCTGCTGTATATGCTTTTCTTGCCCCACGAGTGATCCTGCCGAAGGTACTGAATGAAGCTTAAGCAAGTATCTGAATTTCTCTTTGAATTCTTCGCTGTTTACTATAGAATCTTTAACCTCTTTATTTTTTTCTGATAATAACGTCAGCAGTTTTAGTATTTCCCCACAAATTTTAATATCCTGGTCAGCTAGAGCTAAAGATTGGCAATAGAGATCTAAGGAATCAGGGTTAATCAATACTTCAGGAATGCCTGGGACTGCTGCAACTACCTTTGTAAGGCACATAAAAACAGTGTCCATCGCTATTTTCGAATCTATATGCCTTTCAAGAATTTTTATAAGCATTTCGACTCCTAGAATGAATTGACCTTCAGATTTGAGGATAGGTGTTAGAGTGATCAGTTCCGAAATAATATTGATCACTGACTTTACTTTGTTTAAGTCGTCTATATAATAATCCAAGACCGAATTTAGCCTTTCAAAGTGGAGTTTGGAGGCGACTAAATTTCGATAGGTTTGGCTAGAAAAACTTTGCAGGATTTTTAAAATTGTAATTACTATTTCATGATTCAGAATATGGAAATATAAAAATTTGTCTAAAAGCTCTATCAACCCATGCTGGTCCATTAGGTCCCACTATATAATGGTTACATATTCAGGCTTGTTTGGGATTTCCAAACACTCAGACAATATTAACAAGCAGGGTGATATAATTTGTGTTGAGTTATATCTTCTAATTCCCCCTCTGTGAGCGAAAAAAACCTTGGAAAATCCCTATATTTTTAGGTAAAAAACCCTGCGAACAAAAAATTTTTTATGAAAACGTATTTTATATATAAGTGGCAATTATTATAATGAAATCTCTAGCTAATTCTGTTTAATTTTAAAAACTTGCGTTTGAAAACATAAATTTTTTAATATTTGCCTCAAAGCTATTTCAATTGGGTACTTTTAAAATTTTCGAAAAAAAAAATTATAAAATTTAACCCTCTTCCGTGAGGAACAAAATTTTTTGTTCACTAATAGAGGGGAGAAGTAAGTGTCTCAAAAATCAGCTGGATCATGTGCTCTTGAGAGCAAAGATAAATCTAAATAGATTTTACTAGTTTCGTTTTTATAATATTATCGGGGATGTACTTTACAACGATTTCGATGCATAGACTAACACATTCTAAGCTGTGAAACTCTTTTCAGATTTTAACAATCGTAGATATAATTCTGTGCTTGTCTTTGTTTCAGCGGTTATAAATCTAAATTTTGAATACCTCAGAAGAGTTTTCGGTAATTCTATATAAGACTCAAAGGGTTTGTAAAGAGACATATGGGTCTTGCGAGTATGAGAATAAAATGTGTTGAATGACATCAAGATCATTTGATACCAACATAGCTGCATAAGAAGACTGGCATGCAAAAAACCTTAACTTTTCGCATGCGTGATAGATTACATCAGGAGACTCAATTTTCAAACACTGCGATAAATCTTGAAAAGACACCTTAGGGTCTTTTATATGTGTAATAATATTCATATTGCTCCCATCCACAGCAACTCCATTCTCTATCGAATTTGAGGAATTTCCTGATACAAATTGAGGAGTTCTATTAATTACAGATGTATATTGTATTGGGTAGTCTTTTGCTGGCAAATATAAAAACTGCATACTTTCTCCTGAGATATTGCCTAATGTTACAAAATTTACATCATTCACAGAGCTGTACTTCGAGATATCGCAAAGAACCATTCCTAGTTCTTAGTTAAACTTATAGAAAAGCTCCCTGTGATTCCTAGAATGGATATTTATCTCCGCCTTGCTTTACGACTGCCTGCCGTCTATCTATCATCTATGCTCCCCCCGACAATAGGCTTGTGCACTAACTGGAGTGCAGTGGGATGGGTCACCATGCCATGCACCTAACTTGGATTTCCTGGCAGAATCACTAAGGTGGAACTCACTGCCCAGGGCGCAACTCCGGCATCGCGCTAGGAAATTACCCGATTGGCTCAAGGACTTTGCTGGGCATTCTCTTTCCAACACCGAGCCTCCATCTTCCCCAGAGGTAAAACCAACCTAGAATGAGCTACAGTCGGTCTAGTTCGACATTGCGCTCCACCAAGACAAGTAAAACCTGACCGGATGCACACCACCGAACGCCATTCTCCTTTCCATAAGGCCTCTCAGTTTCCCGACGCCATTTTAATATATATGCAAATAACCATTCCAGTCTTTAAACATCTGTAGTAAATTGGGGCACTTCCAGAAAACTTTACATGCTTTTTGAACACTTCTATATCTACACATACATAACCGAGCTCTGTTTCTAGTTCATCTTTCTTAGCACATAAGATAATTTCAAGCAGCCCAAGGTCTTTGTCTAAGTTTATTTTAAACTCTTCAACTTCAGGCCACGTATAATGTAATCCTTCTATAGTAGCAGGTGTAGTGTCTTGTACAAGACTTTTGACCTTTATTTTGAAATAAATTTCATTCGGTTTTTTCAGGATTCTTTCAATTGTTTTCGTTAAGTGGATTTCCTTTATAACGATTTTTAGGTAATCTTTTACCCATTGCACATTTGTTGGGGAAGCTTCTATTGAGCTGTTAGAGCCATCCAGCTTAAGTGCAGTATCATCTCTATGCGGCTTATTTCTTCCTGAGGAGCAGCATCCCATATTAGAGTATTGATAAAAAGACCATAAAGAAATGACAAAAAGAAATGGAAAGAGCACCCAAGTAATTATTGCCTGTACCAATTGATAAAACCAAAAGAGAACGATAAAAATTAAGGATTAATAAGCTCAGAATAATTTAGCTAACTCCCTACATAATTATTGTTTACTGATAGAGCCTAAGTTTTTAATAGAATTTACTCATTTAACTATTTTAATCGGCTTTAATTCGGAATGAGCAACCTATCGTCAGCTGGCACTTTCCTCCTCCAGGTCGAGCAAGCACGAACTGACATCCTTGGCAAGGGATCACATTCTGGCTGTGACTGAACGCTGTCGTCACATTTTTGCATGTTGGACACTTTATGTCCATGAAATAGCTGTTTGGACTTTGAACGAGTCGCTTTTTCTTATGGCTAATTTTTTCATCAGATGCAGAAGGGTGTAGGAGGTCGATCTCCATTATGTATTTATTATAAGTCGTACATTAATAGATCAATAGCTAAGATGGAATAGTTCCAAACTTATTTAAAATAAAGCACGCTTTAATAATCCTCAAATTCTAATCATGCTAAAACTAATTTTCTATTAATAAATGAATAAGTTATTTTCTCCTAGAGCTCAAACTGTAATATCTCCTAAATCGACAAGGAATTGAAAGCAAGATAATTATTTTGATACAAATTTCACGAGCAATTTTAAGTTTAAGTTTATGATAACTCTTCAAGTCCTGTACTTCCTGGCCTCAGCTTGGACCGCAGTTCTAAATAAAGGTAGGTGGGCCGGCCTAACGGTCAAATTATTTTGTCCCTAGGCCCCTTGACCTCTCTGATCTGCGCCAGAACAGCGTAGACCCATTCTGAACCGAGACTCTTAAGGAGCCATTAACTTCTCTCACTCAGCTCTGATTTAGGGTCTGAGCCCTGCCCCTAACTGACATTTTTAATTTTTCACGGGCAATAATAATTCAAAGTTCACTATTGACAAAATATCTACAAGACTATCGCTGTTCTCATCATCTAGAAGAAACATTGGTTATGCCAAAAATGATCAACTTGAAAAAGAAGCTGTGGCTTCATTAGAGCAATGAGAGCAGACACGAAAAGGAAATGACTCTTTAACTACACTATCAGAGGCACAGGAAATGCTAAAGCGAAGGCTGGATCATAGCGATGTCGTAGAGCAGCATCTATCAATAAGAAAAGGAAAAGATAAAATCCCAAGCAGACCAAGCACCCAGCAGACTTCTCATCTGCACGAATTCAGGCAAAGTAAAAAAATAGAGGACGAACAATTCAAAGAAAGGTGCAGATATTATAGACTGTATGAAGAAGACTTATCAACTCTTGCTACAAACCTTGAAAACGAACTAAAAAAATGCAATGAGCAAAGAGAGACTTATAGAAAAGATTGCTCTGAAATGAGGGAAGAAATGAAAGCAGTTTCTGATGAATTACAAAATTGGAAAAAGGAGCTCGCTGAAACTGAGAAAAAAGAGAAAATGAAATTGAGGAGGCGACAAATGGAAATGGCCCAATTTTTGTCTAAAAAGCAGAATTTAAGGGAAGACACAGTAAGAAGGGAATCTGAAGCAGCTATCATTATAGAGTCTATAACTGGAGAAATATCGAAAAGAATGAATTGGCTAAGAGAGTTAGATGAAACATCATCTGACTTAAGGAAAAAAATCCTCCAGGTAAAAAATGCCCAAATTCAGCACTATACAGACCTTTTATTAGAAGGAAAAGACACAAGAAATGAAGGTCTCCAGTGAATTGTAAAAGTTTTATGAAAACTGCAATATAAAATTTCAATTGAAAATTTCCCATCATTTTTAGATTCTGATGCAGTTAAATTTATAATGCACCAGGCTGAAAAAAGTAAAGAGATCGACAGCTATTTGGAAACACTTATGAGCTCTACAGGGAAGAGGCCAAGCCTTAGTAGGGCATCATCTAACGATAGGTGAAATAATGTGAAAACGAGACTCGCAAAAATCACGCAAAACGTTAGAGTTAAAAAACCTGAATACAAAATTGACAGAAAAACAAGACAAGTTAACATTATATGAGAAGATTATGACTCAGGGAGAGCGAGTATGAAAAGCCTTAACTCGACCACAAATTTTGGGGATGTATTGGTTCTAGAGCAAAAAATTTCTGCTCTTAAAGAAGAATACAAACAAGAGCAGGAGCAAGAAATAAGAAGGCTAACTCATGAATGCAGTGTCAACAATTATGAGTCTAGGTTTAGGATAACTCTCAGAGAGCTATTATCTGCTATCATTGGTATAGAAACTGTTGATAAGTACATGGTGCTAGTAATGAAAGAGCAAAGAGACATCGCAAGTAGTGTTCAAAACACTAAAACTTTTACTTTTAGCTCTAACTCTCCCTGTGAACGAACAAAACCATTAGAAAAATCCTATGTTTTGCCCAAAAACCAACCTCTGCAAGCAAACATAAAAATTTTTTACGAACAACATATTTTATATACAAGTGAATAATATAATGAAATCTCAAAATAATTTGTTTAATTTTAAATAGATACATTTTAAAACATAAATTTTACAAATTATATTAATATTTTCTTTCAATTATTCAAAAATTGGGATTTTTTAAATTTCAAGCAAAAATGTTTTTACTATAAAATTTACAAATTAATTTTATAAAAAAAAAATAAGCCCTCTCATGAGCGGCAAAATTATTTTGTTCGCTAACGGAGGTGGGTAGTAAGTGAATCGGGTTAAGCCAAACTTCCCAGTAATTTTAAATAAGTATAATTAAACTTTCAATAAAAAAGCAGACCATTACAATCTCTCTTGTAATATTTTATCTTAGTGACTAGATAAATAAAATGGAAGGAGTTACACAGCAAGTAGATACAGCGACAGCCGTAAAAAAACTAAAAGATCAGAATGAGTACTTGAAAAAAGAGCTTAGTGATATGAAATCAAGGCTTCATAAAGCTGCTTTAATCATCAAAGATTCAGAACGAAAACTCATAAATGCAGATGTAAAAGATAGCCAATATAATTCAATTATAACTCATATAAATAATTTAAAGAAGACAGCTTTTATTTTAAAGACAGAAATTGCAGCTAATTATTCGGAAGATATTCCGAAGCTAGAAAATGAAGTAAAATTTTTAAAGAATCAGCTGAAAATAATTGATAATGAGATGGAAACACTTCAAGAAGTAAAAAAAAAGCAAGAAGCGAGACTAGTAGAACTGGCCATTCCCAATGAATTAACAGTTCAAGCAAAATCTGTTAGAGAAGAAATCAAGACCACAAGAACTGAATACAGAGATTTCAGAGCTAAAGCAATTGAAGATCAGCATAAATGGAAAGAACTTCACGAGCAATGAGTCAATTTAGATGGCAAAATTAAAGAATTTGAATCTTCAAAAAATAATAAAGACGGAAAACCAAAAGAAACTGCTGAAGAAAACGCAATGAAAGAGCTCAATAAAAAACAAAAAATTTTCAATAAAGCAATTGCACAAGATGAAATAAAAACAAAAAGAATAATAATTGATCAAGAAGTAAAGCTGCAAAGGCTTAAGGAAGAAGATGAAGTCTTGAAGAGAAAATTGAATGAAAAAGAGCAAGAAGTCCAGCTTAAAATAATAAAAATAAAAGAGCTGAAAAATGTCTTACGACAAGTCCAAAGCAATAAAAAAGGGATAGCAATCAATAATGGAGAGTCTGATACAAATACATTTTTGACTTCTGTTGTTCAAGAAATCCAAGCAATGCCAGCTTTGACTCCCCATCCAATATCAAGCTCAACTGCTGAGCTGTCATCTATTATTAAAAGTATTAGCCCAGAGCCAGAGGGAATCGATGAAATTAAGGAATTGTCAAAAACCACAAAGGAAAATATTTATTCCAAGCCATATCTTAAATTCCGTTAATTTATTATCAATTTTATACCAATTCTAACTACCTTTTAGTAGAGCATTAAATTTTTTCATTGGGTATTCTGGTAGCTTCATTAATGTAATTATTTTTATTGCTGAGTTGTTTAAATATAAACAGATAATATCATTCTAAAATTTAAAATAATTAGTCTTGAGCCCATGATGGGTTTTCTAATGGTGGCAATCTCCCCTGCGACTGAGGCCTCCCACTTTCAATTTCCTGAATTTTCTTTCTTAATTCTCTTATTTCCTCTTTTTGTTTTTCCATTATTTTGATATTTTCCTCTTCTTTTGAAGACCTCCTAGGCTGTGTTTTTTGAGTTAAAAGTTCATACTGCCTCTTAACTCCTGATAACTTTTTCCTTTCTTCTCTCAGCTTATAAATTTCTTCAATGAGTTCTGCGTTGACCTTCATCATTTTCATGTTTTCTTGCTGATGCTTTTCTGTGACTTCTTTAAGTTTTTTCCTCAAAGAGTCAATGCTGTTCTGTAAATATTCGCATTGCCTGGCAAACTCTTTTTCAGTGTCAGGTTCCTGTCCTCTTCCTTCAGTTTTTACATATTTGCTGAAGAGTTTTAGTATGGACTCTTTAAGCTTTCTGAAATCCTGAATATTTTGTGCGCAGTCATAGATTCCGTCGCGGATTGCTTTGATTTTGTTTTGACTTTTTCTGATTCGGTCTCGCTGCTCACTGATTTCGTGCTGCATGTTGTCTTGAGTTTGGCATAATTCGTCCATGAAACCTCCCAAGCTTTCGTTGAGCCCACTTAAGAACTTCAATCTTTTGTCCATATCGCTGGTTTGCTCTTTCATTTCTGCGATTTCTTTTTCTCTTGGACCGATTTCTTGTTTAAGTTCTCGGATTTTATAATCAAGCACAAATTTGAATTTTTCTAAATTCTGGTTATTCTGCTTGAGCTCATAGATTTTCTTCTCACGCTCACCTATTTCTTTTTCTTTATCTGCAATGATGTTTTTCATCTTATTTAACTGCTCTCTTTGCTGGTTTATCTGCTTATCTTGGTGGTCTTTTTCTTCTCTTTTCGCTTTAATTTCGTCTTCAAGGCGGTCTTTTTCTGCCTGCAGCATGGTTTCTTTTCGTTTTGCCATAGAAAGTTTTCCTTTAGCCTTAAGGCTTTCTTCTTTAATCTGTTTAGTATCTGCTTCATTTTGCATTCTAAGTTCAGTTACTTCTTGCTTATCTTCTTCTTGAAGTTGCTTGAGTATGTATTGATGTCTTTTCCTTAATTCTTCATTTTCTCTATCCAGTCGTTTGACTTCAATGTCTTCTTCTTTAAGTGAGAATTATTAAAATGGCGTGATCTAGAGTGAACTCTGGTGATCTGTGAGGTTAGGAGAATAAAACATTACAGTAGTTCTCCGGGGTGGGTTTTTTTGGTCCAGGGGCTGATCCTCACCTTTTTCCTAGTTTGCAGGCGTTCCAACCGGGAATGCCCTTCATCACTCCATGGGAGTATTACCGAGCCTGAAATATAGATAAGAAAGCCATGGAGAAGGAAAAGACGTTCACCCATGCTCCGAACCCTCTCAGATGGTGGAGGAGTCTTTTTGTTTGGCGAAACCTAGAAGACGGGTAAGGCGATCCCGACATACCTTACCTTAAACGTTGACTTTTTTGGCTACGTCAGGAGTAAAAGGGCAGCGTGCGAGGATAGCACTTAGCTATCCATAAGATGGTGAGGAGCTGAAATAATCCCTGAAGACCTCTAGAATTTTAATTTATTCTAATCTTCTTTAAGTTGTTGTTCAAAGTCATCTTTTTGATGATTGAGCTCTTCATGGTGTCTTTTTTCAAGATTTCTGATAGCTTCTTCTGCTGCTTTGGTTTCCATGTCTTTATCACGGGACAGCTCTTGATATCTGCCAACTTCCAGCATGAAATCTTGTTGCTGCTTTGTTTCAAGCTCTTGACGTTCAAGTTCATATTGCTCTTTTATCCCTCTAATTCTTTCATCGTATTGCTGCTCCATTTCTCTCTTGCTTTCTGCTAAAGAATCATAGCGGTTTTTGTCTTGCTGGGCATCATTCACAAGCTGCTCTCTTAATTTTTCTATTAAATCAGCCCTGTCTTGTAAATTCAGCTCATACTGCATTTTTGAGTTGGTCACCATGTCACGATTTTGAGTTCTCAAGGACTCTATTTGCTGGTTTAAGTCATCAATGTCTACCTTGGTCATAAGAACTTCTTCAGCATATGGCAGTCCTAATGCCTCTTTTTCTCTTCTAAGTGCTCGAATATCTTTATCTTTGATTTCCCATATAATAAGACAGCCATCTTGTCCAGCAGTGAACAAAAAGCAGTCATCATGGGAAACTCTTATCCTTTCAATTCCTGAAGAATGGGCCTGATATTCTGTATAGTCTCCTGTCAAAGGTGAAAATTTGTAGCACCATACAGCTCCTGTCTTAGTAGGGTCATTAACTCCTGCAAAAAGAAGCTTTCCTGAGTGAGTTAAGGCGATTTGTCCAATTATAGACCTTGTTTCGAGCCTCCGAATTTCGTTGCCTTCACAGATTTCTTTTAAATACTTATCATTTCCAACTGCATATATTGATTTTCCTTCTCCAGTTGAGGATTCGGAAGTCATAATTACACTGGAATAGTTGACACCTTTTTGGTGGTTTGGGTGGGTAACTCCATTTTTTGGGTTTATTTTCCATTCGTAGACAGTTCCGTCCATCCCTGCACTGACAAAGCTGGTATCATCTTCATTCCAGGCAATCGACCTTACTTTACCTGAATGGCCTTTAAATTCCATGTTTGGTGGATTTTCTCCAGTATAATAATTGCTTTGAAATAGCTAACAATTGTTTTACTCATATGAGATTAGGTAATTCAAGGGAAAAAAGCATATAAAAATTGTACACTTTTATATAGCTTCCATTAGTTGCTGCAAATAAGTGACCACCATTGCTAAACCTGACTTCAGCACATGCGCGGATTGAAATATCTTGATATGGCTTGATATAATTATGAAACACGATCATCATTCTAAGCTTATCTGCAAATCCCACAACGATATGAAACCCACTAGGGTGGAAAGCTACACTGAATGGCTCTTCTGCATAATGCGCATAAACTTCTAAAGTTCTTTCTAAATAATTCCAAATTCTTACATAATTATCAGTTCCGCAAGTGACTACAAGAGGTTTCCTAACACACACGTCCATCCCAGTAATAGCACCTGAGTGGAAAGGCTGGCTTAAATAATCAGCTTCTTCATTAAGTGAATTGAATTCAATTGAATAAATTTGGGAATTGTCTAGAGTAATCACCAAGAATTCTTCTGTCTGGAAAGACAAGCTCATGCCTTTTACTTTGGCGTTGGTCTTTTTCTCTGTTTGGATTATTCTTGGTCGCTGCTTGTAGTCAGGCTTTCTTTCATCACCAAGTGAGTCGAAAATTAAAATTCTCCCTTTTGTGCCGCCTACTACAAAGCCACGCTCGCTGTAGAGAATGCTCGTGACTTCGAATCCTTCAAGGGCAATTTTGATATAGCCTAAGTATTCACAATTGGCATCTAAAATTAAAATTTCCCCTGTTTCATTGCCGACAACAAGTCTCCCATCTTTTAGCCATGCGTGGCACAGGTAATTGGTTCCTAGCATTTCTGGCTTGCTGTGTATATCTGTAGCTTGGGGTTTAAACACGTTTTCTTGTATCTTATACCATCGAAAGACATCTTGGCCAGTTACGATAATTCCGTTATTATGATCAAGCAGATTGAAGCTGATCTGGTACACAGGATTTCCAGAGGAGACTTGAATAAATGTTAGGACTCTTGGTCTTTCCCATTGCCAATATACGAGCATTCAGTCAGGAGCTCCTCCCATCGTAATTAAATATTTGTTTTCTTGGCCTGGAGCAAAAGCCATGCTCACATACTCGTTGCTCAAACAGTCCGGAGTGCTCATCATACGTTTTTTACGCTGTGTATGAGTGTCATAGACTATTACAACTGCTGGCTCTGCTCGCTCTGCAACTGCTAAATGGCGGCGCAAAGGACTTAATGCAATTGAAGTTATGCCAAGAGAAATATCAAGGCCTGGGAAGAACTGCATCAGTTTATCTTCTGTGTTGTAAATGACAACGTTGTGGCCAGCTGTATAGATGATTTTCTGCTCGTCAATGTGAAAAACGCTTCCGTTTGTGTCAGCTTTTTGCCCAAAAATATATTTGGTTTGAATACTGGGTGCTGCTCCAAGCATAATGGAAATTAATTTAAAAGTAAAGAAATTAATTAAAATTAACATTGAGTTATTGGTTAAAGGCAAAGCTAAAATTTAAAGACCTTACTCCCCCCCCTCCGTGAGTGAACAAAAAAAATTTTGTTCACTCACGGAGGGGGTTAATTTTTTTTTTTTTAAAAAAATTTATATATAAATTTTATAAAAATATTTTTTTTTTTCGAAATTTAAAAAAATCCTAATTCGCAAAAATTGGAAAGCAAATATTAATTCAATTTGCAAAATTTATGTTTTAAAAAGCAATTCGTTTAAAAATAAACAGAATTAGCTCTAGATTTCATTATAATAATTATCATTTATATATCAAATTTTTTTTTCCATAAAAAATTTTTTCTATTAAAAAAATTTTTGTTCACTCACGGAGGGTGGGTTTTTGGGCAAAAAAATAGCGATTTTTCTAATGGTTTTGTTCACTCACGGAGGGGGGGGGGTTAGTAGAAGTTGAGCATATTTAAAATAAGTATTAACTAGATTAATAAAAGATTATTGCATATTTGATTTTGTGTTTTTAATTTTGATATATTAAATTGAAAATTCCATGTAATTATTGATATAAAATTGGTGCTTAAAACATAGCGATAGTTAAATTACATCCTTGATTATTTTAATCTTGCAATGATTATTTATAAATGAAGTTCATTATATATTTTTAGTATTAATTGATGATAGCACCAGCCATCAGGTCTTCTAATTAGCTTTGAGTTTTACATTTAATTAATAGATTTCGCGAATTTATTTGTAATTTACTAGTTAAAACTTGCAAATCATGTCGTCTGTGTAGCCTAATTTCTCCAAAAGCTGTCTCGTAAGAATATTGAATGGTTTTGGACCACAATGGAAAATCAAAGTTTCTGGACCTGGAGGTGGCATATTTTCTTTTATATGGCTTTCAGAAATATATCCTGTGCCCATTGGCCACCCTTCAGGAGCCTTGGTTAAAATATAATAAACAAATAGCTTCTGCTCAGCCACAAATTCTTCTATTAAAGGTCTAAGCAATATGTCATTTTCTGTTTGATTAGCAAAAATCAATGACATATACAGATTTTCGTTTGAATTAGTAGCTGCATACTGGATAAGCTGAAGGCACGGTGTTATTCCAGTCCCACCTGCAATAAAACCAATATTTCTCGCTTTTTTCTCTGTTTTTCCGTTTAAGTTTTCAATTGAAAATTCTCCACCGCCATTATAAATAATCCTTCCTCTTGGTCCAGAAATGTCGATTTTATCTCCGATCCTTAGAGAGTCTAGATATTGTGTCATAATTCCACCATCAGGAAATTCAGGGTGAGTGCTTTTTGAGTAAATTTTGATTGGAACTTCGAAAAACCCGACGTCATTCAATCTTGATGTCGGGGTATATTTTCTTATTATTTCTTCACCTTCTGGGCTATTTTTGGTAGGAATTTTAGCTCTGAATAAGATATGCTGACACAAAGGGAGGCCGAGAGGCAGGCTGTCATCTGGCAGCTCAAATCTGAAAACCTTAGTGTTATCAGATATTGGGAAAACTTCAGATAGCTTCACTGGTATAAAAGTGTCAGGGCCTTTTAGTATGCCTGGAGGAACTACAATAGCGAATACCTAGCGCGCGTGGTCTACTTTTAAAGAGTCTAAAAAGCCACATTCCAACTAAAATAGCTATGAAAACAATAAAATGCCAACTAAGCATATATTAACTAATTTCACACGTGTTGGCAAAATATGATAAGTTTATCCAAGAAATAAATAGGCATAAGTATTATATCTTTATTTCTTAAACCTATAGATTGAATACTTAAGCCTTATAAAATGCTAAACTATTAGTTTTATGATTTATAGTAAAAATAGTTAATTCAGCATGATAAATAGGATGCTTAGAAGATTATTCATACTTTTATGCATTTTAAAGCTTACCTCTCTCCTAGGAAAAAGCATAAAAACGAAAGATTTTTGAGACGAAGTATCTAAATATAAGCCAGTGCAAATTGCTGAGGAGACTGGAAAAATCATCGCAAAGACCTTATGTGGGAATGCATTAATTTTAGACAATAAAGAACGATGATCATATATTGCTCGTCCAGGAATAGAGATATCACAACTACATGTAAAAAATCAAGAAAAAGAAGAAGAGAACTCTGAGAAAAGCACACAAATTAATACTCTTGGCTCATGAAATCCTAAAAGATGCGCAGAAAGCATTTTCCCTGATATGAGCAATAAATTGAAAAAAGAGTTGCACATTGATGGCAGAATTGCTCGGTCTCTTATTCCTGTCACAAATGTCCGAAATGGCTTTTTAAAAGATTGAAAAATTGCTATTGGCAATAAAAAATATGAAATTATTTTAAAAGCCAGTGACAATTTATTTTTACTTCAATATTCTCCTTTAAGCTCCCCTGGGAATTTTCCCTATAAGCTAATAGAAGGTGATAGCAAAATTCAGTCTCAGAAATGAAGTAATATTGTTGGAAAGTTTATTTATTGCGATGACTGCGCATTTATAAGCAGTTTTTCAAAAAGATTGCCTTTATATATCTTAACAGATTACGGGCTAGAACTTAGGAGAATTAAAAGGTTTTTGGATGAAACTTTAATTGAAATTGATAGAGAATTGATAGGCACTGAAATTGAGTATGATCAAATATACCAGCTTACTGAAAAATCAGAAAAATTGCACTTCACCAAAATGCCTGGAAAAATAATTATTCAAGGATCCTTATTATATGGAGAAAATACTGAGTTCTCAAGAATAGGAGATTTAAATATTGTATTTATTTTGCCAATAATAAAATGGCATTCGGTTCGAGAGAAATTAGCTTTGCTAATTTTCTCTCCCTCATGGAATTTTATTATTAGGGTTAGGTTTTCACTCGCGAACTTCTGGACAGCAATAGCGGTTTAACTTTGGGGATAACCAAAGGAACCACTCCTCAGTCCACTCAAGATCTCGGGCTTTTACCTCTCAGCACATCCCCACGGGAGGATGACCCTTAGGCGGAACACGCGCAGGAGCTGAGTCGAGCGACAAGGGCGACGGCATCGCGCCGGGTGAGACGTGCAGCAAGGCCGGTGAAGCAGGAGTTGTTAGAAGGCTTGGACGGGGCTGACCCGTGCCAAGATGGCTCGCCTACGTCATCAGTTTTGCCCATAGGCCATTTTTGGCTGCGGCACTAGACACCTTAAACACCAGATAATTAAGTAAGTAAGTATTTATTTTGCCAAAAAGTATCGCAAATGATGACTTTATAGTAAAACCAAAACAGGAAATTTTGGAAGAAGACTCGATATCAGCGATATCATTTGTTTTAAAAGTGGTTTCTAATGATGCAATTATATTGGAATATCCAGTTTACCCACTTGAGTATTCTCCAAATGAAGAATTCAAACTTTATTATTTAGAAAGTGCAAAATATGAAGAGCCACTTTTAGGGCTGACATTTTGAAATCCATATTGCCCAAGTAAAATGATATTTTTTGATAGTGAAGAAGAAAGGATTAAATTTCCAGAAATTTCTTCTTGCTTTACTTTATTAACTGAAGGCAGTGGGGTAATTTTATTTGAAATTCCAGATGCTGATATATACATACCAACAATTTCGTTAAGTTTTCTTTCCAGCGAGTATGAAATATTATTTCACTTATACTTAGGATTAAATAACGGCTCCTTAAATGCATTATCATCTGAAATAAATCAAGATATAGCAGCTTTTAATAAAAAAATATACACTTCTCTGACACATTTTTGGATTGTTATATATAACGAAAACTTTTATTTCGGAACTGGGAAAAAATTAGGGTCTGGCTTGAAAATAAGATATAAGCATTCAAGCCTTAAAAATATAAACAGTTTTTTGCTTGGAGTTAAAGGAGAGGCAACAGTCAAAAACATGAAGGTTATGGATGTAGAGTATTTCGTTCAGGAGTTGTTTGATGAACTGAACTTAATACCAACACTAGACCATTTTTCATCTTTTTATGAGCATTTAGAAGACGGTGATTCAGATGAAACATGCAAAAGAACAACCAAAGTAGAGTATCTATGTGGAGAAGAATACGAAATGGTCGAGGCTGATGAAGTTTCTCCCTGCCGATATATAATAAAGCTCACTACTCCATATATTTGTCCTAAAAACTGAGTCAATTCTCATGTATATAAAACTGGAATCTCGCTGAAAAGATACACATATGTCGAAGTTAATGACGAAATTGATAGCTCTTAATAAATTTTCTTAAAATTAATCAGAATTTTTATCATTAAAATATCCTCATTTTCTAATAAAATGATGGAACTTCAGGACATCAAGTTTTCTCATACAACGAATACCTCGTCATATTTCCCTCTTTATTCTTTAGAGCACTCTTTTCTGTCGAGCTTATTTTTTACTTGAGTAAAGCCTATTCTTGCATGAAAAGATAAATCTAATATAAAAATTGAAGATACGTATCCATTGCCAGATGAGGAATACTCCGAAAGGGAAACACTTTCAGATTTATTAAAAAAGCATAAGCTTGCTAGAGCCTTATTTACTGCTCATTTAGGCTTGATTTTTAAAACAATTTTCTTACTCCCCCCTTAAATTTGGAACAAAATTTAATTTTATAATAAAAATTATATATAATAATATCTCAAAAGTTTTGATATAAGTTAAATGTTTCTTCTTAACTAAAATTAAAAATTTAGTTATATCTTGCTCTTGTTTAAAGAAGAGAGTATAAAGAGCATCTTATTTAAATAAATTTATTATCCTTAATTGTAAATTTTAAAACAAAAATTATTTTTTTTTTTAAAATTTATCAAAAAAAATTTTTATTTTTTTGGATAAAAATGATATTTTTTATTTAAATAGTTTTGATATAAATTCAATAGGAATTCTTTATAAAATTTCAAAATTTTAGTTATTTCTTGCTATATTTTAAAGAATAGAGTATAAATAACATCTTATTTAAACAAAATTAGCACTTTGATCGATAAATTTTCTAAATTCTTTTTTTTGAATTTTTTTTATCAATAAAAATAATAATTTTTGTGTAAATAATTTTGATACCAATTAATAGTGGCGTATTAGCTAATAATAAAAATTTTAGTTATATCTTGCTTTTTTTTAAGGGATAAAGAGTAAATAGCGTTTTATTAAACAAATTTATTGATCTAATTCGATAAGTTTTTGAATTTTTTTTTTTTATAAAAATTTTATATTGATATTTTTAAAAAAAAAAATTAACCCCCCTTTAAATTGGAACAAAATTTTTTGTTCCAATTTAAAGGGGGGGAGTTAAGGCTTATTATCTCTTCCTTTGAATTTGCTGGCCCTATATTTATTCAACTATTAATTGCTTATATCCTATCGAACGATAAATCTTTATCTTATGGTTTATTTTTAGCATTATTTTTTTCAATCATTGTGCTTTCTACTAGAATTTTAGTAGTAAAATATACTTGGCTTTGTAAAATTCTTGAAATTCGAGTGAAAAATTCTATTTGCAGTGTGGTTTATCAAAAGGTCTTAAAAGTTTCATCTGTTCCTGAAGGCTTGGGGGTAAATCTCTTACAAATTGACACAAAAAAGATTTTTGAATGTCTTCCTCATTTAAGTGTCCTAATAGTTAGTCCGCTACAAATGGCACTTTCTATATATTTAATACAAAAACAAGTAGGTGAAGCAGTTTATGCTGCTCTTATAACTCTTATTATATAGTTCATACACGCTATTGATCTTCATCATCGAAAATATAGCCGTTCTAATGGATTTTATTTATTAAATATTTTTGATCAGATCCCTCATTATTTGAAGAAATATTTTAATTGTTAATTAAAATTTCATTAGTCTCAAATAGATTCGTTTACTTGCTAACTTTCAAATCATTTTTGACATGCCACTTAAACCCCAAAACTGAGCCCCTGCAATTTTTGCCACGACTAGCCATTTTAAAAATGGGGCAAGAGAAGACCATTTTTGGCTTTATCGCTGAATCATTAGCATTTAATAATTAAATATTTTCAAATAATGTGATGCCATGTTTAAGATTCATAAGGAGCGAAGTTAATTAAAACTGCTACATTTAATGAATACGATCAATATCAGTGCAAGATCTATATGTGTTTTACTCAACTACATCATAGCTTCAAAACTAAAAAAGTATTCCGCAAGCATAATGACTATAAGAGATAAAAGAATTGAAATGTCGACACAACTGCTGAGCAATATAAAAATGATTAAAGCTTACTGTTGAGAAAAATACTTTCAAGGGCAAATTCGTGGGATAAGAAACAAGGAGCTATCATTTTTAAGGTTTTTAATGTTTTTATATGCAACTGCTTATTTCTTTTATTGGACTATTCCAAGCTTGACAACGGGCTCTGTTTTTGTATATTATACAGAAATTATGGGGAAAACTTTAACATCTGAAGAAGCGTTTGTGACTCTAATCACACTGACTATTCTGCAGGATTCTTTACAAGATGTCCCTTATTTAATAGCAGAACTGTTAATGTGCTTTGTGAGTATTAAAAGAATGCAAAAATTACTAGATGTTCCAGACTTAGAAGATTTGCCAATTGGAAATACAATAACTATGAAGAACTGCTCATTCTCATATGGTGAAGCAAATGTTTTGAATAATATGAATTTAGAAATAAACAAAGGAGAATTTTTGGCAGTTATCGGAGCAGTCGGAAGTGGGAAATCTTCATTTCTAAATAGTTTGATGGGAGAAATGAAGATAAATGCAGGAGAAATTACAGTGTCTGATAATATCGCTTTTGTCCCTTCTCTTGATTCTTGGCTTCAAAATGACTCCCTTAAAAATAATATCCCTTTTAAACTGATTTATTGGTGATTTTTATTAATTGTGATTTAGAAATAGAATTTTTAATATTCATTAAATCTCTAGACCTTTGCTAAAGCATACAAACAGAGAATATTTTATTTGGGAAAACTTATATAGAAAAATGGTATAAATCTGTGATTGAAGCTTGCTCTCTAGTCCAGGATATAAATTCGTTACCAGATAAAGATCTTACAGAAATAGGAGGGAAAGGAATCAACTTAAGTGGTGGGCAAAAAGCGAGAATTTGTCTTGCTAGAGCTGTGTATGCGGATAAAGAAGTGTACTTATTAGATGACCCTTTAAGTTCTGTGGACTCTGATGTAGCTGAGAGCATTATGAATAAATGTTTCTTAGGCCTGCTTTCCTCAAAAACAAGAATTTTAATAACGCATCGTTTGGATATTCTCAATAAAGTAGATAGAATAGCTATGCTCGAAAATGGAACTGTAAAGCAAATTGTTACTACAGAAAAGTTGCAATTCACTGACTCCCCCCCCTTTAAATTGGAACAAAAAATTTTGTTCCAGTTTAAAAGGTGGGTTAAAAAAAAAAAACATTTTCAAAAATTTATCGAATTAGATTAATAAATTTGTTTAATAAAATGCTATTTACTCTATATCCTTTAAGACAAAGCAAGATATAACAAAATTTTGTATTATTAATTAATACGCCGTTATTAATTGGTATCAAAACTATTTACACAAAAATTATTATTTTTATTGATAAAAAAAAAATTAAAAAACAATTTTAGAAAATTTATCGATCAAAGTGCTAATTTTGTTTAAATAAGATGTTATTTATACTCTATTGTTTAAAATAAAAGCAAGAAATAACTAAATTTTCAATTTTTATAAAGAATTCGCATTGAATTTATATCTAAATTATTTAAATAAAAAATATTTACTTTTATCTAAAAAATAAAATTTTTTTTGAAAAATTTTTAAAAAAACAAAAATTAAATGTTGTTAAAATTTAGCAATTAAGGATAATAAATTTATTTAAATAAGATGCTCTTTATACTCTCTTCTTTAAACAAGAGCAAGATACAACTAAATTTTTAATTTTAGTTAAGAAGAAACGTTTAACTTATATCAAAACTTTTTACATAAAAAATATGATTTTTATATATATAAAATTTTTATTATAAAATTAAATTTTGTTCAAATTTAAAGGGGGGTTAATTTACCAAAAAAGTGGAAATTTTACCTATATTTTGTTCCAATTTAAAGGGGGGGAGTGAGAGCTTCGTTAATCGCTCTGAAGTGTCTTTAGAAGAAATTTCCAACTCTCAAAACAGACTGATAGCAGAAGAAAAAAAAGAAATTGGTAGGGTTGACCCTAAAATTTACAAAACTTATTTTAATTTTTCTGGTGGATATTGCATGCTGATAACAGCATTTATAGCAATGTCATTATGGGCATCCACAAAAATGATAGCAGACATCGTCTTAAAAAATTGGACAACTGAATCTTTAGATGCTTCTAAATATCTTTACTGGTATCTTTTATTGCGAGTCGGCGGGAGTCTTTTTGTCTATGTCAGATCGCTTTCTATGCTGGTTTTTCTTGGAATTAGAGCATCTAAGAAAATTCATGAGAAAATGATAATTTCCTTTATAAAAGCGCCGGTGAACCTGTTTTATGATGTAACTCCATTGGGTAGGCTGCTAAATAGGCTTAGTAAAGATATGAATATTATAGATGAAGCTATAGCTAGAAACATAGGCAGCCTAATTGCAGAAATATGCAGTGCTGTCTCAAAATTGGTATTGATTATCATCTATTTTCCAATTACTATTCCTTTAATGGCACCATTAATTTATTTTTCAAATAAAGTGAAAAATGAATTTTTAGGTATTGCTATTGAATTAACAAGACTTGAGGCGAACTCAAGGTCTCCTATTTTAAATCATTTTGGAGAAACTATCACAGGTGCAAAAATAATCAGAACTTTTAAACAAAAAGAAAATTTTCTTGCAAAAAATTATAAGCTGCTGAATCAAAATTCAAGGGTTCAGTACTCTTTGGGGGCTTGCAAATGCTGAATGACTGTAAGTTTAGGGATTTTGAGTTCTCTTGTTACTTGTATCGTGGCTGTACTTATTGTTGTGTGAGATGATATATCGCCTGGAGTAATTGGAATTACCCTAACTTATATATTTTCTCTGTCAGAAGGAGTCACATATTTTATTGGAATGCTTGCAGACACTGAAAATAGTGCAATTTCTGTGGAAAGAGCAGCTCAGTATATAAATATTGCTAATTCCCTCCCTCTGTGAGCGAACAAAAACATTTTGTTCGCTCACGGAGTGGGGTTAATTTTTTTTTAAAAAATTTAAATATAAATTTTATAGAAATTTTTTTTGTTGAAAATTAATTCGCAAAAATTGGAAAGCAAATATTAATCTAATTTATAAAATTTATGTTTTAAACGCAATTTGTTTAAAATTAAACAGAATTAGCTATAGATTTCATTATACTAATTATCACTTATGTATCAAAATTTTTTTTCATCAAAAATTTTTGCTCGCTCATGGAGGGTGGGTTTTTGGGCAAAAAATAGGGATTTTTCTAATGGTTTTGTTTGCTCACGGAGGGGGGAGTAAGGAAAGTAGCTTTCAAACTGACATAAAATTGCAAAATTGGCCAAATAATCCCTCTATAGAGTTTAGGAATGTTGAAATGAGATATCGCCCAAACTCTCCAATAGTACTTAAAGATCTTTCCTTTTCTATTTCAGGTGGCCAAAAAATAGGATTAATTGGCAGAACAGGAAGTGGAAAATCATCAATTTTCTTATGCCTGCTTAGACTTGTAGAAATATCTTCAGGCTCTATTTTTATAGATGGAATCAATATAGCTCAAATAAGTTTACAAAAGTTAAGGTCAGCTTTAACCTTAGTCCCACAAGATCCGCTTGTATTTTCTGGGACTCTCAAAGACAATCTCGACCCTACACATGCAAAAACTGATGCAGAAATTTCTCAAGCATTAGACAATGTCGGCTTGTCAAGATTTTTAATTGATTTCCAAGTAAAAAATGATGGGCTTAATTTGTCAGTGGGTGAACGTCAATTAATAAGCTTAGGAAGAGCAATGCTAAGCCACACAAAAATTATTTTATTTGATGAAGCAACTGCTGGAATTGATCATGAAACTGACAGTCAAATCCAAAGACTTATTCAAACAAAATTTTTTGGATGCACTGTGCTTATGATTGCTCATAGAATCGGAACAATTATGAATAGCAACTTAATTATTGTTATGCATGATGGAAAATGTAAAGAAATTGACACGCCTCAAAGCTTACAAACAAGAAATTCACTATTCAAAGATATGAAACTCAAAAATCAACAACACAAATAAGTATTTAATTAATGAATAATTAATGAAGCTAAAATTTGCAGATATTAATTTAACTACTAAAATTAATTATCATGACTGCTGCCATTTAATCAGAACTATACTGACCCTCCCCCTTATTTATGAGTAAAACCACCAGAAATCCTTATTTTGGGGATAATTAGCCATTTCCCCAAAAAATTGTTTAATATAAATTTTAGGATATAAACTATTTCTATTAAAAAATTATTGATTATTATAATGAAATCGAAAGAAAATTATGTAAAATTTTTGTCAGCTTGCATTTTAAAACATAATTCTCAAATTTAATTAGATTTCATTTTTTAAATTTGGATTAAAAAAACAAAAAACAATTTTTATAAATAATTTGAATACTATTTTTTCATTAATCCATGCCTTAACGAGCAAACTCTTAATAGCTAATTAAGCGGAGTGAGAAGTTATTATAATGAAGAATTAGAATGAGGTTTGCAAGAGTCGGTTTATATAAATTTGCTGCTTGGTAATATATCGCATTAAGTCTAAATAAACTTGGGATTTCTTGAAATGAGGAAAGCAGATGTCGTTTAAAATATTATATACTTCTGACTGAATACTATTTATACTAGAGTTATCTTGGAGCTGTAAATTTGATGCTGAAATCACTGCTTCATTTTGGATCATATCATTATCAGGGTTATACTTAGAATATTCACATTTCAATCACAACTGTAAATACTCAGAACAACTATGCTCTTTAATTTTGACATTATAGCTTCGCAATGAGTCTTCAAACGCTTCAAGTGTGGTTCTGCATTGCAAAATTAAATCGAGAGACTGCAGCATTTCTAATGTCAGGACTTCTTCAAATGAACTTTCTTTAAAACTGTTATATAGAGGGTAGCAAGAACAAATTATCATAATTATATGGTCTTTGCATATTTCACAAATTCTTCATACTGTATCGTTTGGATAAATTGATACTAGCCCAGTCAGAATTCATAATGTGCATATCAAAGTGAGTTCCTTTGTCATATTATAATCATCATTTACATTTCGTAGTGCATAGACTGCAAATACAAAAGAAATTTCTTCTAAAAATAGCGCTAATAAATATACAATTTCTGTAATACTTTGAGAGTTAACATCATAAAAAGCGATAGGAAAAGCTTTTTCTGTGATATCAAAATATGAAATTCCACCCGCAATTAGTAAAATAGGTAAAAGACTTACTCCCCTATTAAAGTGGATCAAAAAATCCTGTTACACTTTAAAAGGTGTTTATTTTTAAAAAATTGTATTTAAAAAAATATAAATTGAATGTTAATATATTTGAATTTTAATTATTTTTCTGAACATAAATTTAAAGATTCAATCGATATTCAGTGTGAAAATTGTTTAAATAGCATTCTACTCTCACTTTTTTATTAAATTAAGTCAAATTAAATTTTAAAAAAAATTAGTATTTTCATCTATATATAAAAAAAATTTTGTTCCAATTTAAAATAGTGGAGTTAGTAAATAAATTTTTACCTGTCAATTTTGGCTCGCTCTATGAATATTTTTCCTAAAAGTACTGTCCGCTTCGTCAATATTGCAGTCAAGTTTAAAAATAAAATAAACCCTATAGCATCTTTGTAAGAATGGGAAAAACTTTGAGTAATGCAAAACTATTGACAATGCTCGGTATATTCCATCAAATAAGCTGGGCTCAGTGTTTTTAACCGATTAAGATTAAGATTAAGATTAAGATTACGCTGGGTATTTAAGGTCCCTACTACGTCCGAGGTCGCATGCCACGGTTTCCCGTGTGGTGGCAGAGCGTTCACCAAGCCCGGGCCGAAACCCTCGGTTTCTCGGTAGAGGTATTGTCAAGGGCCGTCTCATACCGGCTTTGCTGACCGCCTCCATTTCCAACTTGGATCGTCGCCTAAGCTTACGCCAACTCCGCTTCGTCGTCCGCCAGATCTGCCCATTGAAGGGCACCTTTTCAACTGGAGAGACCCCCGTTTTGGTGTCTAACTCGCCTCCCCTCTTTTCCGGTCATCCCGAGAAAGAACTCAACAGCTTTCGCCATTCGGGGCGAGCCACTAAAGCAGCTTAGGCAGGTAAATTCACCCTGCCTCATTTCGGGCACTCACTGGGCTGAGCGCTGCTGGCAAAAAGAAGTCACGAATAACTGCCCATGGGTCTGGTCGCAAAAACAGCGGCTCTCGCACTTAGGCCTCTCGCTTCGAGGTCCCAGACGTTGTTGGGCTAATTCCTGGCTCCAAAAACCATGCCCGGATATACATGGGTAACCACCACTGAGAGGGTGGGTCGGTCGCCATACGCCATTTTATGTATATTGTTTTTTAACCGATAAGTACAAAGTTGTAAGAAATAGGCAGCATTGCAAATAATTTGATCAATGTATTATCAGAACTAGCACAGGCGATCTGTTTCTGATAGCTTTTCTTTTAGATCTCTTATGCAGCATAATTCCAATTGGAATATAAAAAAAGCTTGTAATTCCAATCCAAACAAAAATCAACTCCTTATAGTTCATTTGTGAATTAAATATAATATCTCTTATTTATTTCTTATATTTTATATGAGTTTTAGTAGTTTTTCTTCTCTTAATCAAGATAGGATTTTTCAAATTTCAAGCTGCCTTTCTACAATTCAAACTGGGATTGACTCTGAGAGAGGAACAAGGGTTGACCAGCTCGAGCGAAAATGTAAAGAACTTGAATTAAATTTAGCAGAATTTGAAGAGCAAAACTCAAAAAAATTCACAGCACATAAAGCTCAGTTAGACTCGATCTCAGATTCATTATCCCAACTAAAAGAAACCCGTGAAGACTTCTTTGATTCTAAATCTAAAGAGCTATTGGATCAAGAGCAAGTTCTTACAAATTTGTTGCAGCAATCTTCCATTGACAAAAGAGACTCAGATTTAAAATTCCAAAAAATATTCGACGACCGTTTAAACTCCTTAAAATCTGATTTATCGAGAGAAAGCCAAGCCAGATCTGACTCCATAAAATCAGTGAAAAGCTTCCTTGAAGAAAAAATCAATAAAATTGAAGAAATGATGACAAGTGAAAAAATTGAGATTGAGAAAACTAGCGAAGAATTATCAGAAAAAATTAACGAAAATATCCAGAAAACGCAGGAAGCACTAGAGGTAGAAAGAAAAGCAAGAGAAGAAACCGAAGAAGCTATGCTGTTTATGCTGCAAGATTTAATTGCAAAAATTAAAAGTGAAATTGAGCAGGAGAGAAATGAGAGAGAAAGCTCAGAAGAAACGCTGTTAGGACTTTTGGAAGAGACTTGTACGAAATTAAATTCTTTGACTAATATTTAATTAATGAGAGCTAGAACTTTATTAGATGCTCACTGCCACCTTCAAGAAATAAATATTATTGAAAGAGTTCTAGAAGAAGCGAATAGAGCAGGAGTCACTGATTTTATTTGTAACGGAATCCAAGAAAATGACTGAAATCAAGTGCTCGAATTAAACATAATTAACTCTAGAATAATTCCTTGCATAGGAATTCATCCTTGGTATATTAATAGTGCAATTGATGGCTGAGAAGAAAGAATGGAAGCTTTATTAGCTTCATCCAATAAAATATATGTTGGAGAAATTGGGCTTGACCACTATAAAAGTAAATTAGCTCCTAAAATGCTCCAAGAAGACTTTTTTAGACGCCAGATCAGGATTGCTTTAAAATACAGAAGATTGATGAGCATCCACTGTGTTTCTGCATTTGGAAAAGTCATAAAAATCTTAAGACAGGAAATGAAAAACTCAAGGGTCCCTTTTATTATGCATTCTTATGAAGGGCCATGAGAGATGACACAAGAGCTTTTGGCTCACTTTCCCAATGAAGTGATGTTCAGTCTGAGCATGGTTTCTGTATGAAAAGCCAAACATCAGTCTGTAATTGAAAGAATCCCTCTCACAAACATTTTAATAGAAACAGACTCACCCTCACAAATTATTAAAGAAATGATACCTGAGCCATTAGAAGAGGAGAAGCCGCAGAATTTCCCGAAATACTTACCTCTCGTATTTTCTCAGCTCTGTAGAATAAAAAACTCCTCAGAAGAGGAGACAGCTGAGCAGCTGTATCATAACTTCCAAAAAATCCTACCAGATGCGCACGTATAAACATTTAACTTAAAGTAAATGTTAAAATTAGCCAAGTGCATAACTGCAGGATCTGATACGCCCTTCAGGGGTTTCATTTTCTAAGTAAGAATTACTTCTAAGATCTTTGACCTTCATTTCGATAGCTTGCTCCATGAAGGCTTCTATATAATAAAATAATTTTTGATTGAACGCTTCGTCTTCATCACGCTTTTTCTTGACTTTCTTCTTAATAGAATGATCATCCATTAAAGAAGGCAGTGAGAGGCTCCTCCCTAGAGAGTCCAGATGGGGGAAATTTTCATGGTCTTCTTCGTCTTCTTCACTCTCCCCGCTTTAAATTGAACAAAAAATCGGTAAAAATTTGACTTTGGGTACTTTAACCCCCTTTAAATTAGAACAATTTTTTTACATAAAAAATTTTATTAATGAAAATTCTTATTTTTTATGAAAATTAGTTTTGACCTAATTTAAAAGACAAAGCTCAAGTAGAATGTGTGCTCGTTTTATAACTTTTTTAAAAAGACAATGGCGAAAATACTAATTTTTATAAATTAGTTTTGGCTAATTTAATAGAAAAAATGCAAGTAGAAAAGTTTTCGCACTAAATCAATTAATTTTTGAATTATTTCTTCATAAAAATAAATTAATTTTCAAAATAGCGTACCATATTTATTATTTAAAATTTTTATCGAAAAAAAATTAGCCCCTTTTAAATTGGGAATAGACATTTTTGTTCCAATTTAAAGAGAGGGAGTCAGATAATTCAGAAATCATCATGACTACATCATAAGCATTATCAGACGTATCTGTCTCAGTGTTCTGTGGAGAACTTTGATTCTTGGGGGAAAGTCTGGCTAAAGTGTCTAGGAAAGACTCCTCGCCTGAAGAAAAGGCACGCTGACGATTGTTTTTTATTCGAGGGCTTAAAGATCGCTCAATCATAAGTCGAGTATGGAGGTGCTCGTTGAGGGTATAATACATATTTCGAGATTTATCGATAATGTTTTCTATTATAGATGGGTTGTCTTCGTATCCTTCACGATACAACATTGAGCCGATATGAAAAAGACTGAGGCCAGCTTCCGCACCTTTTTTTAATAATAAGCTTGATACTCTAATGTTCCTGAGACATTTATCTCTAAATGGCATTGTATCTCTCAGCAAGCTTATATCAGCTACAGGGTCAATAGTTTCAATATAATCATAACATTCTGGCTCAATTGGGCTCTTTACTTGTGGCCAAGACATCCAGCACAAGTCATATTCAGAAATATCCAAACAATCAGGGATCGAAAGCCCATGATCAATGGGCACTAAATGGAAATTATCCTGAACTAAAATATTTGCTTCATTTCGGTCCATATTCAATATTCTTATATCTAATATAGCAATTTTTTGAACTTCTTGCTTGGTAAATAGTGAAGACGAGAAATCTTCAATACATCCTTGACTTTTTATAAATTCTTGCAGTGACCCTTTTTTTGGGTTTTTTTCTGCATTTCTGTCGGTTCCATGATAAAAATTATCATGTTGGCATTCAACAAGAGTAGTATTGGGAACGCCTGAAAACCTTTGATGGTCTAATAAATACGCGGCAACTTCTCTATACCCAGCTTCTCCTGACAAAACTCCTGGTCGAAATCCTGGGCTTCCAAATTTCCCGACATGGCCTCTCGGGTTAAACGGAGCAAAAGCTTCTTCATCAAGGGGTTTAAAAACTGCCCTGATCTTTTTATAAGTATTTTTCAAAAAATAAGTCCCTCCAGTCCCATCCATCGTCAAATTTGGAGCCAGTCCAATCGCCAATCCATGCTGTATTTCTGCTACTAGCTGCGATAGCGCCGAATTTACTTCAGATCCCGGGCAAATTCTAATAAACGACCCTGCAAGCTGCCTAAACTCGACCACAATTATTCTATTTTTCTTATCCTGATTAAAAATGTGATAGTCCTCCAACATCCTGCTGCTCGAAAGTTCCAAATGTCCATTAAACAATCTTTGTTGCTGCACTGGGACTCCAAAAAGCCTGTAGATTTCTTGTTTCAGCTCAGAAACTGACATCCATTGAAAAATCGTCAATTGTTTAAACACCCCTGCCACTTGCACGACTAATTTGAACCGTCGTACTTTGGGTTTATTATGACTAGAATACGACATTTTATATAAAAATTTTAAAGTATCATGAATTAACCTTATTAAGTCCTTTCTCCTCGGATTCTGCGGGCGAGCTGCATATCTCTTGGCATGATTGTGACTCTTTTCCCATGGATCGCACATAAATTGGTATCTTCAAATAGACCAACGAGATAAGCTTCAGCCGCTTCTTGTAGCGCCAGAACTGCAGATGACTGGAATCTAAGGTCAGTTTTGAATTCTTGGGCGATTTCTCTGACAAGTCTTTGGAAAGGGAGTTTTCTTACTAGTAGCTCAGTGCTTTTTTGATATTTCCTGATTTCTCTTAAAGCCACGGTGCCTGGACGAAATCTGTGAGGCTTTTTTACCCCTGATGTGGTGACTGCTGAGACTTTTTTGGCTGCCTTGGTTGCGAGGTGTTTTTTAGGAGTCTTTCCAGCTGGGGTCTTGCGAGCTGTTTGTTTAGTTCTTGCCATTTATTGATTATAAGTGAAAATGCCCCCAATTTTATTTAAATTTTTGTATGAGGATTTAGATATAAAATGGCAAAGCATCACCCTGATTTAATTATGTGCAGGAAACAGCCAGGAATTGCGATTGGAAGAGTCTGTGATAACTGTGATGGGAAATGTGTCATTTGTGATAGCTTGGTGAGGCAGTGCAGCTTGGTTAGGATTTGTGATGAGTGTAATTTTGGAAGTAATCAAGGCAGGTGCATTGTGTGCGGAAATCCAGGGATTTCAGATGCGTATTATTGCTTTGAATGTGTTAGGCTGGAAAAAGATAGGGATGGATGCCCGAAAATTATAAATTTGGGGACTGCAAGGACAGATATGTTCTATGAAAGAAAAAAGTATGGATTCAAGAAGAGGTAGCAGACTTGAGTTCCACAAAATGACTAAAAAGCAGAAGTTTATATAAGTTAGCGCTTAACAACTAAGTTTAACTATAAATGATATTTTGCTTGACAAAGCTAATAGCTACTATTGGGATAATTTATTATTTTAATTATTCGTCCATACTTTCTCCCTCCGTGTGAAAACAAAACCTTTGGAAAAATCACTATTTTTTTGAGTCAATAAAACAAATTTTTAATTTAGTTTTAGGAAAAAATATTTTGATATATAAGTGATTATTATGGAATCTCGAGCTAATTCTGTTTAATTTTTAAGCAGCTACCATTTTAAAGCATATTATTTACCAATTAAATTATTATTGTATTAGATAGCTTTGAATTAGAATTTTTTTAATTTTTAAAAAAAAAAAAATTAATATAAAATTTATATGTAATTTTTTTAATTAAACCCTACGTAAGCAAACAAATTTTTTTTGTTTCTCACGAGGAGTTAAGATAAAATAGAATCAGCTATTTATCCATTCTATTTATTCAAAAATCTTAAATTTTTTCACCACACTTTTGTATTATTTTTAAATCCTATTAAGAAAAGGATGAGTTATTCAGAAATCTATGACAAATTCGACCTTGTAAATTCACACATGAGAACAGGGTCAAATAAAGTCACAAGTCTTTGCTATTTTTTTAAAAATTACAGGAAAGCGATAGATTCTTATGCTTCGCAGGTTCAAAAATTGACGGAAAACCTTATTCTTGATTTGCGTGGGGACGAAAACATGGACACTCTGTCAACGGGTCTTTCTTCGTTTACTCAGCATTTTCAGAAGCTTTGTCAACAGGAGATGCTGTTTTCCCGGAATATTCAATTAGAAATTATTGAGCCGCTTGAGCTTTTCGTCAACCAATTCAATACTATTCCTATTAATAAGTATTTTGCAAGTAGTATTTATAAGTAATTTTAAAAAAATCATTGATTTCTGGAATTCTCATTAAATGCCCCTCTATTAGTAATTTAACTCATAAATCATACAAACTCATCTCTATCAAATCAAGGCATGTCTTCAAATAATCTGCTATCAAAATCAAAAGAAAAATTAGATAAACTGAAAGAAAAGCATTTGAAATGTGCTGAAACTGCTGAAAAAGCTGAAGCACTAACTCCCCCCCCTCCGTGAGTGAACAAAATCATTAGAAAAATCGCTATTTTTTGCCCAAAAACCCACCCTCCGTGAGTGAACAAAAATTTTTTTAATACAAAAATTTTTTATGGAAAAAAAAATTTTGATGTATAAATGATAATTAGTATAATGAAATCTAGAGCTAATTCTGTTTAATTTTAAACGAATTGCTTTTTTAAAACATAAATTTTATAAATTAAATTAATGTTTGCTTTCCAATTTTTGTGATTCGGATTTTTTTAAATTTCGAAAAAAAAATATTTTTTATAAAATTTATATATAAATTTTTTTTAAAAAAAAAAAATTAACCCCCCTCCGTGAGTGAACAAAATTTTTTTGTTCACTCACGGAGGGGGGGAGTAAGTATGAAAGAGGAGGTGAAGGAAAAGCAAGAAAAGGCTTTTAAGCAAGCTAATTATTACAATGGAGTTGCCCACAAAGTAACAGAATCATATGAGAAATCAGTCATTGAAATGAATGAGTGTTTAGATGAATATGAAAATGTTATGCCTTCCATTATGGAAGCTTTGCAGCAAAGCGAAGAAAGCAGAATCATTTTTGTAAAATCCACGCTTGAGAGGTATTCAAAACAGTATGCAAAATATGAGAATGGGGTATGGGAAACAATTGAAGAGCTCAATGCTGTGGTTGGGAATATTAATAGTGAAATGGATATAAGAGTTTTCGTAGAAGCAAATAGATCTAAAGACGAGATTATGCTGTAACAATTGATTAGGCATTCTTTGGGATTGATCCAAAAATAACAAATTAATTCTATACAAAAAAAATAGAAAATAATTTCACTAGCGACATAAACGGTATAACGCAAGCCAATCTAAATTGATATAACAAAAGAGAGGAATTTTTATCTTATGAAGCTTGGAAAAAAATTAACCAAAATACGGACATAAATAAGCCTGAATATCAGCTAGCCATAGACGAAACTGATCAAATTCAAGACAATGAACTCGTCAAAATTGTCCTCAGCCATCTAATCCCTCAGAATTCTCGAGAATCTCCAGCAAGGTCCTCTCTTTCTGAGGACTCCAATATTGACTCAAACTATTATGTAAAGCTGTCTGAGCTTTTACACACTTGCAATGGAAGAGATCTTTTTTGCGATATGCTTGACAGTTGGAAATCAAATGGCTTCCTCCAATCCCGAAAAATAACTCAGCTTGCAGCACTAATTAAAAGTATGCTGACTTCTATGATGACTGACGATGATGAAGATCCAATCACTTTTTGGAAAATCGTAGTCCTTTCTCACGAGTATTATACTGAAGACTCTGGTAAGAAGCGCAAATATTTATCACAATTTATTAATTCCCATACCATTTGGAACGAAGCTAGTCGATGGATTCAAGCAATTGGCTGTGCGATTCAAACAAAACTTGAAGCTGACAAAGCATCACTCGAAAAGTCAAGAAAAAGGAAAAGGAAAGGGCTTTTTAACTCTCTGAAAAAGCTGGCCAATAATGCACTAAAAAAAGATGTTCCAGAAGAGCGAGCCATAAAATCAGCAGCATTTATGATTATCAGCCAGTTTAATTATCACATGATTCATATGGGATTGCCTCATGATCTTGCCAATGCAGTGATATTGAATGTATCAAAAAAAGTTAATTTAGACTCAGAAAGAACTTGCATGCTGCTTGCTGAAGTCCAAGGAACACAGCATAACGGATATCATGGAGAGTCAAAATCTATTGCTTCTCTTACTGCAAGAAATAAAGATATGGTTCGATATGGAAATCTATTACCTATTGGATTAGCAATCGCATTTTTAGCACCAAAGGACTGCTATTCTTTGCTTTTTGTATGCAAAAGTTGGAAGGAAATTATTTATCATAAAATTTTAAAGAAATGACTAGTAGAATGAACTGTTGACGAAGATAGAAAAAATAGACTAAGGACCCGAGCTTGGATAGAGCTATTGAAAGAAACTTTTCCTTATATAAACTACTATGAGTATTTATATAGAGTAAAATCTGATCTCTCGTTTTTAGGAGAGCTTGATGATATTATCAATATGGATGTATCAAGATCGTATCAGCATCATCCACAAATTTCTGACCAAGTTTTAAAAAACATTCTAAAAACCTATGCTCTTTATAATCCTGAAATAGGATATTGCCAAGGTATGAATTATATTGCTGGGACTTTATATGCATTTTTGGTTGAGAAAAACTTATTAGAGATGATAATAAAAAGAAATAAATTACTCATTAAAAAGGTATACTTACAAGTTCAAAATGAAGAAATTGCTTTTAAATGCCTTGTATCCATGATTGAGAGGTTTGAAATGAGTGAATTATTTATACATTCTTTACCTAAGCTAAAACAATTTTTCTATCAATTAGATAGATTGGTAGGTATTTTACTGCCAGAAGTAAACGAGGCTTTTAAAGAAGTTGGATTATCATCAGCCCATTTTAGTGCTCCTTGATTTATTACCATCTTTTCAAGTATTTTGCAAGAGAGGGCAAATATTTTGTTCCCGCTTTGGGATTTATTTTTGCTAGAAGGATGAAAAATTGTTTTTAAAACTGCTATTACCATTTTAGATGCAGTTTCTGGTGATATTTATGGAGCCAGATTTGAGGATATTATGTTTAGACTAACCAATGTTCAAGTTTCAAGCAGCTTCAAAGAAGTGTTTAATGAAGACTTTATATCAAAAATTCGCGATGTAAATATTTCCAATAGGCTTCTCAGAGACTTGGAGTCAGAGTATGAAAACTTAAAATTGAGAGCGCATAGTAAGGAAATGCAAAATTAATTAACTATGACTTTATATTAATTAAATGAGAAAGTTTATGCGAAGCTTCAAAATGATACTAATAAATTATTTATTATGGGTATATATACTCTTAGCTAAAAGTAAAAGCATATCCGATTATAGCTCAGTTGGTAGAGCATGGGACTGTAGAAAAATAGTCATCCCAGGGTCCCCGGTTCGAATCCGGGTGATCGGATTTTTTTTCATTTTATAAATAAGAAGAATTAAAAATCGTTATCAAGTGACTCACTTTCTTCCTCTTCCAGTTCTTCTTCAGAACCTTCTTCATCTACTTCAAGTGACCCACTTTCTTCATCTTCTTCAATTAAATCGCTTTCTTCACTTTCTTCTTGCTTATATTGTCTTCTACCATTTTGTCTTGCCTCCATAGGCCTATCTCGATTGTTTGATGCGTTATTATTGGATGCTTTTCCTTTAGGAACATTGGAATCAATTGTAGCTTCCTCAAGCTCAGCTTCTCCAATTAGCCTCCTTTTTTGGTCTTCTTGGATTTCATTTCTTTGCTGAGCTAATGAATCTGAAATCAATTTGGATTTTTCTTCCTCTTTTTTGCTGTACTCGTCTAAATCGTGCTCTAAATAGGCTACGTTTCTAAATCTGACAACATAGACTTCGTAGAGTTTCTCAAGTTCCTGTTCCAGTCTTTCATACTCGTCCATATATCCTGGTCTGACAGTTTGCAATGATTTCATGCGCTTTTCTGCTCTTTCCAGCTCTCCAGTTCTCTTTTTGATTTTTGCTTCAAGTGTTTTCTCGTCATTCTCGAGTTCTTCAAGCATTTTTTCCATCTGAGAAAGATTGCCAGTCTGGCCTTGTATGATATCCCTAATACACTTTCTGATGTATTCTTGTTCAGCATTAGAATCGAGATTTCTTGAGATATTGTCCAAAAATCCCAATGCCTTATCTCTGGCCTCTCTTAGATCCTTTTCTTTTCCTAATAAATCAAACAGTTTGGCGCCAGTTTCAGTAATTTCTGTAGCTAAACCACGCGCAGTTTTCAGATTCTGAAGTTTTGAGCTCATTGTAATGTCCACCGCTACCTAGATCTTACATGATTCTTCGTCATTTTTTGTCGACGATGATTGAGCTTTATATAGCATTGAAGCAATTTTTAAAAGTTCACGGACAGCATACCCATCTGCTTGATAAAGTTTCTTACTCCCCTTCATTTAATTGGAGCAAGCGATCCTGTTCCAATTTAAAGAGGGGTTAATTTTTTTTAAAATTTTTAAAAATATAAATTGAGCATAATTATTTAAATTTTAATTTTTTTTTTTATAAAAATTATTAAATAAAAAAATTAATTTATTCATGACTCCCCCCCCATCCTTGATCGAACGATTGACTGTAAAAGTTCCTAAAAATTGGCAAAATTAACCCCCATCCTTGATCGAACGATTTTCATATCATGCAAATTTTTTATATATATAAAAATATATTAGTTATCAAAAGCTTGGGAAGATGCATATAATGAAGTTGTTTTCAGAGACTTTGAGACGACAAAAAGCTACGGAATTAACCATTCGAAGTGATTTAGTCATCAACCTAGGCTTAAAAACTCAATAATCTAATAAAATAGAGATTCTTTAAAATTTTTAAAAAAACAAATTTAATTTAATAAGGAATAAATTAAAATTTATACAGTTTAAAGGTGTGACTAATAAATCAAAATATTAAAAATTGGCATTTTTATGAAATTAATTCAATTTTTTGCTGTAAAAATAATTATTAAATGCTCTTACCCTCTTATTAAAAGTAAATAAAAAAAAATATATATATATATTTTATTTTAAATATATAAAATTTTTTTTAACCCCCATCCTTGATCGAACGATGGCGAGTCGTTCGATCAAGGATGGGGAGGGGAGTGAGAGAACTTTTTAAATAGTATTCTACTTGTATTTGCATATTAAATTAGGTTAAAACTAATTTTTTAAAAAATTATTATTTTTATCGAAAATATTTTTTATTGAAAATAAACTTTTTTCCAATTTAAAGGGGGTTAAAGTACCCAAAACATGCAAATTTTACCGATGTTTTGTTCCAATTTAAGGTGGGGAGTTAAGATTCAGTTTTATTCTGGTTTTTGATAAGAAAAACTTGGCGACGTTCGTGATAAAATTTATTCTTTGTCTCTCTTCTTCAATATCGCCTAATATATCACATTCCGGGTCCACTCTATGTAATGTTTACCTTAAGAGAAGTCAATCAAGGATATCTGCTACTAGCTCAAAGTTAGGGGTTCGAAAATTTTCCATTGAAATGATGCGCGAGTATCCTAAAGAACGCATGATTTCACAGAAGTTTCGTATTTCTCTGAAAGACATTTTATTAGAAATTCAAGTTAAGACTTAAAGAATAATTTCAAAGAATTTCAGAGTATAAACTAAATTATATTGTGATGCATACAAATTATAATATAATTAAGCTTTGAAATTGATTAAAAATAACAAAATTTAATATTTGAAACAATTATTTTATACTGAAAAATGTTCATCCTTATATTTTATTCTAAAATGCCTTTTCACATAGCAATAGCAACCAGTTATAGTCATAGCCAGTCCTAAAATTCCAAGCAAAAATTTGGCTCCAATTATCAAATTTAAGCCTAGTCTTGAGCTTTCTACACAAACAGATTGTTTTTCAAAATTCCCTGCTCTACCAGAATGCACAACTACATTTCCTGATTCTTCTCTTATTCAAGAATTCACTGTCTTAGATTCTGGAATAACTTCAAAAACTCTTGCGCCTTTTGGATAAAAAGGTTCAGGTCCGTTACCTGCATACCCACTTTTTCTTCCATAGAACATTTTGACCCCATTTATTATTCCTTCATAGTCATTATAGTGATCATGGCCTACAGATATTCCAAGGATTCCTGATAATGCTTCTATAAAATATTCTGTATGATTTCCCCAACAAGAAACAGGCTCATATTTATTTCCTCTTGCATTATATTTTTATTAACTCCCCCCCCCCCCTCCGTGAGCGAACAAAAAAATTTTGTTCGCTCACGGAGGGGGGGGGTTAATTTTTTTTTTTAAAAAAAATTTATATATAAATTTTATAAAAAAATATTTTTTTCGAAATTTAAAAAAAATCCTAATTTGCAAAAATTGGGAAGCAAATATTAATTTAATTTGCAAAATTTATGTTTTAAAACGCAATTTGTTTAAAATTAAACAGAATTAGCTCTAGATTTCATTATACTAATTATCACTTATATATCAAAATTTTTTTCCATTAAAATTTTTTCTATTAAAAAAATTTTTGTTCACTCACGGAGGGTGGGTTTTTTGGTCAAAAAATGGCGATTTTTCTAATGGTTTTGTTCGCTCACGGAGGGGGGGGGGGGAGTAAGCTAAATTATTTTTTTTATACTAGCTTTTCTGATTTTATTTTCTTATAGATTTTATTTTTAAAAAATGTGATACTGACACCTCAATTACTCAAAAATGCATAATTATCCCAAAGCTTCATATACTCAGGTGGTGGAATATGCATAAACATCAACCCAGGAATTTCCTTTTGGTGGATATCATTAATAACTTTCTGTGTGTTTTTAACTCATTCTAGTTGGTCTTCATGCACGCAGTCATACCCAAATAGCATCCCACAGTGATGCTTATCTCCTGAGTCTAAAATTCATATAAGAAATTCTAATTTTCCTTTGTAAGTGATTGGGACAACATAATTGCCATAATGACTAATATAGCTTGGTCCCTGCTTTGCTAAGCTTAAGGGCTCCTGCTTTTCTAGTTCGATAATCTGTTCTCCATTCAGATCAGCTTCTATGTCATGATTTCCTAGTGCTATAGCCCAAGGAATATTATGATCTTTCATAGGCTGGATGACCATCTTGTGGTATTCCTTATATCAGCCCAACTCCCCATTCCACGAGTATCCGCTTACCATGTCTCCAGTAATAACAACCATGTCAGGTTTTTCGAATCCTAATATCGTACTTTGCAATTTCATATTCTGCTTATTTTGTGTATCGCCTTCACCATAATGCAAGTCTGTGAATTGAACGATTTTAAATGATTTCGATTTTATTTCCAGTGCATAAGCTAATGGAATTATTAGCCATAGCATTTATAATTAGCCATAGTAATTCTTGTTTTGTTAGTGTAATATCCGTTTTTATTAACAATTTTATAAAAAATATATTGATAGGAAATTAAAAACTTATTTTAATACAACTATTCCTGCTCTTTGGTTTTCATCCCATAAAGGTCTTTTGTTTTTTCTTCAATCGTCAGTATCCATTTTTTGACAAGTTCCCCATGTGCCTCTGTTGATTTTAATGCCTTATCCAGACTTTTTTGTTTATTCATATAATAGGTTTCCACTACAGACAATTTTTCATATGAGCTTCCTTCATTATCACTTTCAAAAACCCTGTCAAATTTCATATTTCCAGCTTCATACTGCTCAAGGTACCTATCAAACATTTTTTCGCTTGCTCCCAATCTTTTTAAAGATTCTTCTTTATTTTGTGCCTCTTTAAAATTTTTGATTTCATCCACAATATCTTGAGAAGAAAAAAATGCTTTACTTCTAGAGTATTCACCTGCAATTTCTGATACACGAAATAGCCTGACTGAGAATAAATCAGCTATTTCTAAGTCAGATTTGCCCTGCTTTCTTAGGTTTATTATACTTGATTTTATGTTTCTGAGCTGATCAGTAATTCCTGGTTTGCATCTTAAGAAGTCTCCTCAGCTGTGGATTACACCAGCATTGGGGATGTCATAGAGAGATTGGATTGCGCGTATATTGCCGCCACTGTGATACATTTCTATCACTTTTTGTTTTATGTCTTCAAAGGTTAAATCAGAAACAGATTTTGTCTTATTTGATTGTTCAGGTTGCTCTAAATGATTTGGGGATTCAGAAGGAAACTCTGACTGGCTTTGGTCTTCAGATTGTTCTTGCTGCTCTAGTTGTTCAAGCTGATTTGGATGCTCTGTTTTTTCGAACTTTTTATCTGATTTTTTTCTTTTTGAAATCTTTATAATGCTTTTAGAGACAAGACTGGGACTAGCTTCTTTAAGTTCAGGAGGATCTCATATTAATAGCTTTAAAACGCATTCAGGAACATTGATCATCTCAGCGCATTTTCTCAGCCCAATATCCTTTGCTACATCAGAGATCATAGCTTTCAATTTTACAAAAAAATCTGATTGCTGATGAAGAACTAGAGATTTATAATTTTTGACTTCTTCTTGAGATTGGTTAAGAAAAACTGCTGTTTGCTTCGCACCTTTAAATATTGCACAAAGTCCTATTTCTCTCGGTTCCATAAAAAATTCAAAGCCCCTTCGATTTAATTTAAAAAAAAATATTCATAGTAAAAATAATCAGATCTTTTATGGATAAAATCTAAGCTAAAATAAGTAGTTTCCTAACAATTTTCAGATGCTATTCGACAGAGTATAATTAAATTTTAATATAAATTAAATCTCAAAAAATAATAAAAATGCTTTGCATTTATAGCTCTCCTCTAATTTGGAACCTTTCAATCAAAGACTTAAACTCAGGTCTTATATCACAGCATGGCCTTCCTTCAGTTAATTTAGATTAATTAAAGTCGGGCGTTAAAGCATTCACCAAATACCTCCCGTACGCAAGGTTAAACTGCTTTTCGACTCCACCCCAAGGGGTTTATCACCTGAAACGGGTTCCTCTTCCGGTGCCTACTTCTCCTCCTTGACTTGCTGCTCTTGAGCGGATGGCTTTATGAATTTCTGCGTTCCTTCGCGGGCGGGCGATTGAAGTAGCTTGATTTTAAGGATCAACTCTTTGAAATCTGTCGGATGCCAAAGTGCCATCCTTTGACAGCACCAGGAAAAAGGCTTTTTCCTTGTGGCCTAGTACTAAACCCCTTTCTTGGCAGAGGAATGCCCATAGGTCCTTAGATCAAACGGACATTTTTCAGCACCTCCATTTCCAATCGCAGGAAGGCAAACAAAACCCCCGGATACACATCACCTAAGGCTGCACTTGATTCTTGACTAGCAACCATTCCCAGTGCGCCAAGAGGCTGATACGTGCCGCATTTTAATGCAAATGGGCCTTACTTCAGTTACTGCTTTAATTGCCATATACATTTTCATCGAGTATTTTTTCATCAAATATAATACCACAACAGCACAGGATCGGTTCATTCCATAATAATCATGGACCAACACATTTCCATTTTTCAAATGATGGTCTAAAAATTTGGTTGCCTTCGGAAGAACATTTGGAAGCTCATATACTTCATCGTCTTCTATATTAATAGTCATGTAGCCACCTTTAATAAATGTATAAACATAAGGAGCATTGGAGAGTCCTAGTGTAAGAATGGCATATATATGTAGCTTTCTTAGTTGACTCAAATCGTTAGCACCTTTGATGTCTGTTATATAAAGAGACCCATGCCTTTCTGGGAGCCCTAAATATAATTTATAAGGAATTTCAGAAATGATGCCAAAATATTGTTGGGATTCTGGCTTTAGCCGCTGCTTTCCTTCATCGCTTTCAAAAAATTTAGAAATATATTTAACTGCGTTTTCATTAGGGAATTTTATTTTTTGCTTCAAAATTCTCACTTTTTCTTTCACTCGAGTTGTATCAGGTGACGAAGATTTTAAGGTAAGCTTTCTTGAAGACTCAGTAGGGGTTTGAAATTCAGTGAAAATTTGTATTAGTTCTGGCGATTCACGCTTAGATGATGCTGATGGAAGAGGTGTGCGTAATTTTAGCCGATTAATTCTTTTTGTAGATAAGCTCTGAGCAAGTGAAGGTGTGGCTGCTCTCGATGTAGATCTTCCAGTTAATATATTTGAATTAAAGCTGCCTTTTGGTGTTGCTATCTTGAGAAAATTGGTCTTATAAAGTTTCAGTCTCATTGTAGAAATTTCTTTTTTTGTTTGGTGAGGCTCATCTTCAAATTCTGAAGAAATATATTTTGGGAAATCTGGCTTTTGATCCGTAGGAATATCTCTTCATACTTCAATTAGTAAATCTTTAGAAAACGTCTGTGTTCTTGAATTGATAATCCGCTCTGCGTCTACATGAGATTTCAAAAGGGGAAGGTTTGCTGAAACAAACCTTGAATATTGCCCTTGTATTGAAGGTTTATATCCCATTTTTTAATATTTTGGTTCCTTTATTTATTTAAATTTTAAGCTGAATTCCAAGAAATCATTTTTAATTCTTTTATAAATGATAAGTTTACTATTTAAGAATTGCCTAAGTTTTATAATTTTTTAAATAAAGAATATGCAGAATTTAGCTTATAAGTGTTTTGATTTTATAGTCAAATAAAAAATAAGGTCTATAAATACTTTGAAATTACTAATACCAGCAAGATCTCAAATTAATTTGCTCTAGTGTAAATAATCTTCTAACAATTTATATTCTTAATAGTTTCATAAAGAATATATTTTTAAAAATTTATAAAATTTTATAAACTGTTGGCTCGCTGTGCTCCCGAAAAATATCGGGAGAGTCGGGAGATTGGTTTTGCCAATAAATATTGGTAATACCAATTCCAGGAGTGGCAAATCCACCCAGTATAACAGATTTGCCATTCTTGAAGCTGGTTTTACCAATATTTGTTAGCAAAATCAATGCGTAGTGAGCTAATAGCATGCTCGTGCTATACAATCAACAATAAAGTTAGATTTCTTTTAGTTTCTTTAAATCAATATATATAATCAAAAAAAATAAATTTATATCGGCAGTCTTACCATAAAAATAAGGCCAATTATATAAATAAAATGGATAACCCTAAGTTTATTTGTGTGCAGTGTGGAAGAGAGACAGAGTTCACACCAACAGAAAAAATTAGATGCAAGCATTGCGGATATCACATATTAGCAAAAAAAAGACAAAGGAGATTAGTGAAGCTTAAAGCCCGATAATTCAAGCTAAATATCACAATAAACCTTTTTCTATCCTTATATTACTTATCAATAATTAAGGCTTAATAATCTGAAGTGATAAGTTAGATAATGAACTTATAAACTGGAGGATGTTGGTCAATCACCTCTGTCCCTTTGGTAACAACAAAGTGTCCTTCAGCTGGTGCTACTGGCTCTCTCTTCAAATCATTTAATTTCCCTTCGCTTCTCGCTTTTTCATTATCAATAACCCTTGCTAAAAACTCTTCTCTGCATCTGCTCTTTGTCATATACTTAGAAATGGCGTGACAAACCAACCTACCTCTCATCACCTACAGTCAGACGAGATTCAGAGGACCTTATGGAAGGGGTAGCAGCGTTCGGCGTGCATATCTGGGCCAGATTTTACTGGCGAGCAAGGGGATGGTATGACACAAGTGACGTAAAAAGCTTTTTTAAGTTTGCAGGAGCTGCTCTATAATAACTTAATCAATGATGAATGAATAAATCTGCTCTTTGTCAAGTGTTCTGGTCTTACATTGATTCTTTTCTTGATAATTCGGTTTCTTACTTGTTTGTTAACGATTACACCGATTCCATGGACGCTAACATTGAAAACTTTGCCTGTCTTGCCATGATAGAACTTATATGGCATGCCTTTGTGAACTGAACCATCAACTTTGATATCAACGAAGTCGCCTCTTTGGAAAGTCACCATAGTTCTAGATAGAGGGACTGGGCCATGTCTTCTGAAAGGCTTTGAGAATAAATCTCTTGTCTTAGCTCTGTATCCCTTATGGTGAGGCATTTTATTATCTAGTCAATGGCAAAATTTGCAATTAGGTATTTTAAAGGAAATTTAGTTTCCCAGATATTTTATGGGATTAAGATTAAGATTAAGATTACGCTGGGTATTTAAGGTCCCCTACTACGTCCGAGGTCGCATGCCACGGTTTCCCGTGTGGTGGCAGAGCGTTCACCAAGCCCGGGCCGAAACCCCCGGTTTCTCGGTAGAGGTATTGTCAAGGGCCGTCTCATACCGGCTTTGCTGACCACCTCCATTTCCAACTTGGATCGTCGCCTAAGTCTACGCCAACTCCGCTTCGTCGTCCGCCAGATCTGCCCATTGAAGGGCACCTTTTCAACTGGAGAGACCCCCGTTTTGGTGTCTAACTCGCCTCCCCTCTTTCCGGTCATCCCGAGAAAGAACTCAACAGCTTTCGCCATTCGGGGCGAGCCACTAAAGCAGCTTAGGCAGGTAATTCACCCTGCCTCATTTCGGGCACTCACTGGGCTGAGCGCTGCTGGCAAAAAGAAGTCACGAATAACTGCCCATGGGTCTGGTCGCAAAAACAGCGGCTCTCGCGCTTAGGCCTCTCGCTTCGAGGTCCCAGACGTTGTTGGGCTAATTCCTGGCTCCAAAAACCATGCCCGGATATACATGGGTAACCACCACTGAGAGGGTGGGTCGGTCGCCATACGCCATTTTATGTATATTATTTTATGGGATAAAAAGTTAAAACAAAGCTTAACTTTAATAGCGTTAAGCCAGAATTTTATATTAAGCTAAGGGTAATTCTATCGAAAATAAAGATCTACAACATATTTCGATTTAAAATTAATAGAGATAATTATCAAGTGAAAGACATAATAATAGCCAAGTTGAACAGCAAAAAAAATTAAATTGCTAACTCCCCTATGAGCAAACAAAACCATTGAAAAAATCCCTATGAACAAAATTTTTTTGTTGAAAAAAAAATTGATATATAAGCGATAATGAAATACATAGCTAATTCTGTTTAATTTTTAACAGATTGCATTTTAAAGCATAATTTTAAATTAAATTAATATTTGCTTTCCAATTTTTGCGAGTTAGGATTTTTTAATCTCGAAAAAAAAATATTATACTATGAAATTTATATATAAATTTTTAATTAACCCCCTTTCGTTAGCGAACAAATTTTTTTTGTTCGCTCACTGAGGGGAGGGAGTAAGTCGTATTTATTATAAGCCAGCTGTATGCAAGTTTTCTGCATTCCGATCCAAACATGAAATTACATTTTCATCAATTTCCCTTAACTGAGCCTGCTTTGCAAGTTTTTTTCAATTTAATCTTTCACCACCTTTTGCAAGATTCTTTACAAACTTTTTTGAATGCTTCTTTCCTGTAGTATAGGGCTTTAAAGATGCCAAAATTTTGGCAATGTTGTCACATCCCAGAATTTGCTCTTCTAATCTATCCAAAATTTCCAACACAAGCTTATAAAAATAAATTCACCCGCTTTTAAAAAACTTCCCAAGCACAAAATAACTATAATTAATCGGCAGTAAGCAAGTAAAAATTGTAAAGCATCAGTCAGTTGCGTACATCTGTGTGATTAATCCATATTGAAGGAAATGCTGATATAGTTTGGGTTGGTAGTTACTGATTAAAAAATCAATGATATGGCAATGCTTTTCTAACCCTGGGAAATTTTCTATATAATTTTCGTATAGCTTATAATTTTGCATTAGATTAACAAGGAGCCAAAAAGTGTCAGCTTCTGAGGCGTGTCACAGTAGTGTTCCAACCAAATAATTCATTCCTTGCACATATCCAATATTTGGTAAAAATCTTGAAAATGAACTTAGCACTCTCTTTAAAGCAATTTTCCCTTCTCCAAGTGTGAAATAATATAAGTCTGGAAATGATCTGTCTATATCTCTTTCTATTTGCTCCGAATACTCTGATTCAATTGAATTTGACAAAATTTCTATATATAAAGCCTCTGAATTCTCAGAAACCCCAGCAGTTTGGCATCATTTCTGCGCACGAACACAAGAATCAGAAATTTCTTTTCTAGGGAATAATGAAGTGTATGTTCGCTTCAATAAATTTTTGGCTTTCCTGTTACAAGAACATTGTGGACAATGCAAAGGTAAAAGTAATGGATTAGTTTCTTCAGAAATGGGGTCAGGCGGAAGAAAATATTGGACATTTGGGAGAAGCCCTACACGAGTCAACTCGATAGTAGAGGCTGCTTCCATACTTGGTTGAGTTTGCGATTCCGTTTTTAAATATATTAGGAGAAATTACGATTATTAATTTAGATAGATGAATTGCAAGAGAAGTCTTTTAGGGTTATGGGCATCATATGTAATTCTTAATTGAGGCTTGGTGTGCTAATTTTTATGGTGATTAATTTTTTTTCTTAAATAATTCAACAGTGGAAAAGGATTTTAAAATTAATGTTGTTAAATTTTATCTTTACATTAGACTTGCTCAACAGCAGATTCTCATTTCTTAAATATTTTTTGCTTAAATTGCTATAAGATTTTACATTGATAAAATATATTTATTATTATTATTTAGATAATTATTTAAATGTGAAAATATTTAATCGTATCATCAGAGCTAGCAGAAGCAATCATAAGTGCTTTATTATTGGGAAACTGAATTGAATTTATTGCCATGAAATTGAGTAAAAAGACTTGGACCATAATTTTTATTGAGCCATTAATGCTTCCAGTAGCTAAATTGGAAGCTGCTATTGCTGAGATCTTGCAATTATCAGCTCTAAATCTTTTTACTTTATGAGTGTGCTAATGTTTCATATAATTATTACCCCATTTTTATGAGAAGAAGCTTAGAGAAAACCAGCCTAATTGAGATCTTGAAGATAAAATGAATAAAATTCAAGAATGTGAAAAATTTTCAGGAATATTTTTTTGATGGATTTAGTATTGCTCTTACTCATCATTTTATAATTTCATCTTTTAATAATTTTGGAATGGCAAAGCCACTAAATATTTTCCTTGAGCTTTGAGTAATAAGAGTGTTTATTTAAAAAGAAATCACAATATTTTCTTTCTTAAATACTACTCTTTTAAATTAATAGACCTTGCAACTATCTTTTCCTGAGACAAATCTGATAATCCGAGAGCTGAGCATATCTAATCTACAAAATGAAAAATCTTCAAAATGATTGCTTGTATAGCTCCTAGATAAGATTTAATTTTCAGTTATCCTAATGTCTGGAAGTGTTTTTAAAGGTATCGAATTTAAAAATAATAATTTTGAATGCCATTATTTATTAATTTTAAAAAATTTAAGTGTTGCATCCATACTGGCTGTAACAAGGATTGGCGTTTTGTTGTTGAAAAATTGAATTGAATTAACAGCCTTAGAATGAGAAATGGCTTCTTTTAGCATTTTTTTATGCTGAAAATCGTATAATTTTATAGATCCATGAATTCCTCCTGCTGCTAAATAATTCCCACAACAAGAAACAGCAAGCGATACGATAATTTGATCAAGAATGTGAATTTCCATGATTTTATCTTGTGTGTTGCTAATATCCCAAATCATTGCTAATCCATTTGCATCAGCTGAAACCAAATAATTCTTACATTGAATAAAGCACATGCAGGTTATGTTACCTTGGTGGCCATTTAACTCCAATGACGTTTTACTATCAATTTCCCATAATATAATTTTTTTATTGATGCTTGCTGCCGCAATAAAATGTCCACAAGGTGAAAACTTAATACAGGTAACACATCCTGATTGGGTTAAAGAATATTCATTTTCAAGTGACGAAAAATTATTTAAAGTTTCAGGTTTTTGTCCTTCTTTTTTGCATATTATGGATTCTGTCCCATCAGACATAGGCATTATACTTCAAACCTTTATATCACCAGAATGATGTCCTACACCAATTAAATTTCCATCAAAAGATATATCAAGCGCTGTAAGTAAATTTAACCCCACGCTATATCTCTTTAAAACATCTTGATGAAAAACATCTCAAAAGATTATAGTATTTCTTCTGCATAAAGACACAAGAAAATATCCATGTTTTGAAAATGTGGCAAACGTAACTATATGCTGATGACCTCTCAGTTTAAATTGGCTTCCTTTTATTTCAATTATTTGTATTTTTATTGATTTTGAGTTGTTGGTAAGAGCTATATATTTTCCATCATATGAAACAGATATAGAAGTAATAGCTTTATATTCTGAAATATGGCTTTCTAGAGATTTAGTGTCTCAAATTTCTATTGATTTATCTTTTAGCTTGATAGCTGAGTATTTTTCATTAGGAGAAAATGAAAATTCTAATGAATTTAGTAAGGATTCACTTAGCCACTTTGCTTCTAAATGCCCATTTTTTGTAAAATGTTTAATTGGAGGTACAGGGTTTAATGAGAATGCTAAATAATGAAAAGAAAGCTTAAATAAGGTCCAACAATCAAAATATCAATTGATTGTCTTAATAAATTGACCGTTTTCCATATCTCACACATTAATAGTGGAATCATCACAATCATTTATAAAATATTTCGAACATGGAGAAAAAGAGGCATTATATGGAATTTCAGGGAGATCAAATTTGAATTTATTTATAAGCGGACTTTCAGCGTACACGATTAACTGATAAAAGTCAAATACTCCAATAGCAATATATATACCGCAAGGAGAATATGTAACAGAGTTTACAGGTACATCAAGAGTTATAAGGCTCTTAATTTGACTTGCTTTAATATTTCATATTACTAAGAAATACAGTCCAAGACAGTAATTACTCCACTAAGGATAACTTTTATCTCCAATTCTTGCGATTAGTTTTGCTGCAGAAAGTATATAATTAACTCTACGGGCAGGAAGTGCAAAATAATTTTGAATTTATCAAGCTGTGAATTAGCTTGGCAGTTAAGTTGGTAAATCAATTTAATAGTTGGTACGCAAATTTAAAATCTTAAGATCAACCATAGGCAACTCAGTGCTATGTTCTCGACTTCCAACAGCAATAAAATTGCTATCGGGAGAAAACGCAATTGAAGTTATTGTTCTTTTTTGCTCATCAAATTCCCCAATTTTTTTATTAAGTTCAGAATCTCAAAGATGCAGAATGCTATTTTTATCGCTTATTGCAAGCAAAAGTCCATCTTTAGAAAAGGCAATTTCTGTTATTTCTGCATTGTGCTTGAGCTCTTTATATGTTATGCCATGCTTAATATCATGCAAAAGAACAGCATTGTTAAAACTATAAGCTAAATAATCCCCATTCCATGAAAATCTTGCTTTATAATCAAGAGATTCATTTATAATTGGAGGATGCTGACCGAACCAAGCATCAGTTAAATCGCAATTGCGGAAACTAGAACAATAAATATTAGCATAGGAAAAGTCTACTTTTCTCAAATTGCTTCCCTGAAAGTTTGAGTTAATTATGAGTGCTTCAGAGAGGTCTGCGCCTTCAATTTCAATGCTGCTTACTCCTCCCCCTTCCTTCCTTAGAACAAAAAAATTCAAGTGTTAAATTTGTATTTTATAAAATTTATATATATTTCTCTATGGCGATTGAAAAACAGTGCATTGAAGATCTTGGCATACTACTCAAAGACATTTCAAATTGCTCTAAAATGCTATTATTTCTTTTATGATCCAAGCTTTTTTAATTAAAAAACTGGTTTTTTACAGTTTTATTTTGAATACTATTTTGAGAGCAAGGTTTCTGCATTTTGGTTAGCCAAAATCAAGAGGTTTTTTTAATATTTTTGCTGCCTGTGAAGGGGGAAGGGATTTAGATCTTTATTGATAAATTCATATTTGGAGTAATTCAAGACAGTCATTGCGTTGCTAGCAGCAAATTTTAGATTTTTATGTTCTCTAGATTGCAAAATAATGCTAAATAGTTTAATTTGATGCTCTTCGGTTATTAAAACCTTGCAAGCCCTTAAGATTTCTTTATAGTCTGCAAAATTAATTTTATTCATATAACTTCTATTTAGAGTGGAATAGTCATATATTTGAAGGATGTGAGCAGCAAGAGTACTTGCAATTTTAGAGTTGATTGCACTTTTAGTAAGATTAGAACAAGCAGAGATTAAAGAGAAAAAGCTTCACTGAGGACTTGATGATAAAATGAGTGAATTTTTGTGCTCTAATGAAATATCAAGAATTTGTTTTCTGTGAGATCTATAATCATTATATTGGTAATTCATTATTGATGCCAATTCTTATATAATAATAAAATGGCTTCGGCGGATAGGATAATTCACTCCGTGAATTCCCTCTCCTTCTCACCCGCTTTTATTATTATAGGGTTAGGTTTTTACACGTGGACTTCTGTACAAAGTGGTGTAAAATGGCGAGGACTTTTTATCTCGCCAGCCTTATACAGCGTGTTTTACCTCTTTCCCCTGCTGATATAAAAGGCAGGACCCTTAGGCCGAACAGACGCTGGAGGAAAGTCGGACAGAGCGAGGCAACGCGCCAAGCCGCTATTGTTTCCGGTACTTCTGGATTCCCAAATGGCTTCACGGGGATTAGAAGGAGCGAGCCGTACAGCGAGGCCCGACTCGAGTACGCGAGTAGCGGCAAGACGGAGAAAAAATATATGCCCTTGTGGCATTGTGCATCTAGGGGCCCAACTAGAGGTCGAGTTAAATTAAGTAATTAAGTAAGTAAGATGCCAATTCTTTATAAATTTACATTTTTAATGTTAATATCTCAAAAGCCATAGAAGAATGCTCTAACTAATAGAGCCTCAAACTCTAGTACTAATTGCTCGATTAATTTTTTTAGATACAAGTTTATACTAAAAATCCCAAAAGGACTTTTTTTAGAATTTTAAGATGAAACGTTTTTGATTTTAATTTACTTCATGAATAATGCATTCCATAATTAAATCTAATTTATCACAATTTCTTTTTAATGATAGCAGCAATAAAAGAAATTTGTTAAAGTTGCTGATTTAATAATATTAACTATGTTTTTAAATATTCAATAAATTCTTAAATGCTGAAGAATTTAATTGTATCATCAGTGCCTGCTGCAACAAGCATTGACTTTTTATTAATATATTGAATTGAACTGATGATTTCAGAGTGATAATTATACTTTTTTATCATATTTCCTTGCCAAATATTTCATACTTTTATGTCATTAAGACTTCCAGTTATCAATAAGTCTCCACATGGAGAAATTGATGTGACCGCTTCATTTGTTTGAATAACTGTAAGTTTTTGTCTTTTATGAATATCTCAAAGAATTGTAGGCCCTTCTGAATAGGCTAATACTAAATATTTTCCAGATAAAGTAAAGCAAAAGCACAATACTCTTTTCAAATCTTTATATCCGAAGTTCACAAAGTTTTTCTTCTTTATTCTTCATAAGCGAAATTCGCTATTAGAGCTTGAAGCAGCAATATACTCTCCAGAAGGCGAAAATTTAATGCAATTAATTTTCCCTACCTGCCTTAGAATATTATTTTCTGAAGGGGATAGTATATTTCATATCTTGATATGGCCTTTTAAAAACCCAGTACCTATAAAATTGCAATTAAAAGATACATCAACAGCAGAAATTTGGCAATCTTCTATTTCAAATTGTTTTATCGGAAATTGATGGACTACATCTCATAAAATTATATAATTATTCACATATAGCGAAACAAGAAAATAATCAAGTCTTGAAAATGCTACAAATTTAGCAATACCTTGATTGCCTTTAAGTTTAAATTCTTTTCTCTTTGCAATTACATTGTGTATTTTTATTGATTTCGAAGCATTTGTAAGCGCAATATATTTTTCATCATGAGAAAAAGATATAGAAGTGATTTGCTTGTAAAAAGAAGGATGATCCACTAAAGCTTTTGCGTCTCAAATTTTAAGTGACTTTTGAGTATTTCGAACAGCTGCGTATTTTTGATCAGGAGAAAAATTTATTCCCCAACGGTGAAAAACATTTGAAAATGCATCATTGAATTCTGAAAAGCAATATTTTGCTCAAAACTTAATCAATGAATTTGGATTAAATAAGTTTTTTCCTGAAGGCCTTTCTTTATAAGCTCAAATTTTAATTGATTTTATTAGCTGCCCACATTCAGTATCTCAAATCCTGATAATAAAATCATTGCATGAAGTAATTAAATATCTTGAAAAGCAGGAAAAGGACACATTTATTACATCACTTGGGTGATAAAATACACATTTGTTTAATTCAATATTCCTTATAGAAAACACTGTGGACAAATGCCAAAATCCTAAAGCGATATATTTACTGCAAGAGAGAGATTTAGGTTAGAGAGGTTAAACGAGGATTATTTGAGCCTCTAGCCAGTTGAGCTTGAGCTTCACACTTCATGTGGTATTAGGCACTAAAGCAGCCAACGCTCTTTTACTTTAGGGTCACCAAAAATGGCGACGTCGTCAGTCTATAGGAGACTCATCCGAGCCTTCTTGGACCAAAAATTGCAGCAAAGACTCTCTTAGCCTCTGGTAGTGCTCAGGGTATTAGGGGATCGTCCGATGAACTGCATCTGCCATTTACAGCAGCATAATGCTCCTCCAGATATACCCGATTGGTGTTATGCCGTCAGTGTTCTCGTCTGCGGTTGGGGATGCCCAGTCAGCCCAAGCCCTCACCCCAGACCGGATATTTGCCACCTGCGACCCAGTGGCTTTTTTCCGGCCGAAATTTTGGAAAAGTTTGTCGCTCGTAGGTATCATTTTGCCATGATTTCAAAATTTACAGCAAGAAGAAAATGAAACTGAGGTTAAGGCTCAGCTTAGTTTTCGTGTATCAATTGCCCTGCGATCTGCAATATTTCATAATCTTAATCTACAATCATTGCCCACTGTTGCAAAGAATTCACCATTTGGAGAAAATGAAATTGATTTAATAGTCTGTGAGTGCCTTTTTAATTCCATGAGCTCTTTTTGTAGATCAATATCTCATAGATGGATTTTATAGTTCCAATCAGCAGCTGCAAGAAAACGCCCATCCCTTGATAATCCAATTGCATTAATATCTTGATTATGTTTAAATTCTTTAAACACAGTTCCCTTGTGAATATTATGTAAAACTACAGTGGAGCCATAAGCATATGCTAAATAATCCCCACATCATGAAAGTGTATCATTTTCAGAAAATTTATCTAATATGGGAGGGTACTGTCCAAACCATGCATCTGTTAAATCACAATCACAAAAATTTGAGTCATAAATGTTTGCAAATGAGAAATCAACCTTCTTCAAATTGCTACCTTGAAAGTTAGAATTTATTATAAGGGCTTCAGAAAGGTTAGCGCCTTCAATTTCAACTCCCCTCAGATCTTTATTAATAAATTCATATTTGCTGTAATTCAAAATAGTTATTGCGTTGCTGGCTGCATATTTTAGGTTTTTATTTTCTCTAGACTGCAAAATAATACTAACTCCCCCCCCCCCCCCTCCGTGAGCGAACAAAAAAATTTTGTTCGCTCACGGAGGGGGGTTAATTTTTTTTTTAAAAAAAAATTTATATATAAATTTTATAAAAAAATATTTTTTTTTCGAAATTTAAAAAAATCTTAATTTGCAAAAATTGGGAAGCAAATATTAATTTAATTTGCAAAATTTATGTTTTAAAACGCAATTTTGTTTAAAATTAAACAGAATTAGCTCTAGATTTCATTATACTAATTATCACTTATATATATCAAAATTTTTTTCCATTAAAATTTTTTCTATTAAAAAAATTTTTGTTCACTCACGGAGGGTGGGTTTTTGGTCAAAAAATGGCGATTTTTCTAATGGTTTTGTTCGCTCACGGAGGGGGGGGGGGGGGGAGTAAATAACTTATCTTGCAAATCCTCAGTCATCAAATCTTTAAAATTCCTCAATATTTTTTGATTCCTGGTAAAGTTGATTTTGTTAATGTAGCTGGCATTAAGTGAGGAATTGTCATTTATTTGAAGAATAGTTTTAGCTAGCAGTTTGGAGATTTTATTATTTATATTGTGCAAGATAGGATTAAAAGAGAATTTGTTTGGATTCAAAAATCGAAATTGAGTCTTAAAAGCTGAAGTCTGTGAATCTAAGCTCTTTAAGATATCTGCGTCGCTTTTTCTTTTCGGCTGATGCCAAGCCCATGCAATTAGTTCAGCATAATGATTGATAGTATTTATAGATTTGTCAATATTCTTTACCAATTTCATTATAAATAAAAAAACTTTCCTAGCAAAAATAGTTTTATATCTGATTTCATGAAATGAAACATATAACTTATGCTTAACTGAACAATTTTCTATATGTTCCATCAAATGAGCTTTACAACTCAAAAATCCATTTAGCGAGCACACACAGATAAATGATGAAATATTTTCGAACTCTTTTACTTTGCACTGCATCGTCATATTTGAGTCAGACATCTTTTATAAATGCCTTCATAATTTCTTTATCTTGAAAAATGAAATAAATATTTACAAATAATGCAAGATGAGCAATCTGAGTTTTTAAGGTTCCAAATGGAGCTTGAGTTTATACAATGTCTTTCTCATATGGGCTATCTCAATTGTAACAGTGACTTAGATTTAGCGGGCATGGGATATTTTGATGATCCAATGTTTATTGAATATTTGGAATACCTTAATTATTGAACTCAGCCAGAATACTCGAAATTCATTATGTAACTATTATTAAGATTTCCCCGCTGCTTGCATTTTTTAAAGCTGCTTCAATCAGCTGAATTCAGGCAGTCATGCAAAAATGTAAATTTCACAAATTTTATGCATAGGCAAGGGTATTTTCATTGGTATTTCAAAGAAAACAGTACAGAACGAGGACTAAGCCCTTTAATTGATATTGAGCTTGGTCAAAATTATAGCATCCTTACATTAAACCGAGCAAGCAACTCTAATGCTCTTAATTTTGAAATGGTTGAAAGCCTTGTAAAAATATTGCAATTGAAAAACGATGATATCACTCTTATTCTATGCGGACAGAAAGATGAATTTAGCATAGGTGACGATATGCTATGGCTTTCATTGAACCCAAGATCTATATCATCATTCTGTGAAAATAAAGCCAGAGCTCTCCATTTCTTAAAGAGACAGCAAAAATCTGTATGTATAATGCAAGGGACTGTAATGGGTTCAGGAACAGGTTTAGCATTGAGCTGCAAAATAAGGATTGCTACTCCTACTACTGTATTTTCTGTTCCAGAAAATACCTTCGGGACTTGCCAAGATGGGAGCACAGCGAATTTTTTTGCAAATGTTTTGAAATTTCCATTGGGCTTATATTTATCATTAACTGGTGACACTATTACTGGTGCTGATGTTTTTCTTTTAGGAATTGCCACACATTATCTGCCATCGGAGAACGCTGTAAATAAGCTGCTCAACGAACTAAAAACTAGCACAAACCCATGGCAAACAGCTGATAAATATCACAGTGCCCCTCAGCTTACCAATAATATATTACATCAGGCAACCCAAGTCTTAGAAAACACCTTTGGGAAATCTAACAGCATTGAAAAATTAAAAGAAAATTTATCCTCTGCTTTAAAGCTAGAAAACGATGAAGAATCAGTTGTTGTAAAATTCATAAAAGGCGCAATCAGACTTATTAAACAGCAATGTCCTTTATCACTTAAAGTAATTTTTATTTAGATTTGCATGAAACACCTTCTTAAATGCAGAAAGCTTTCAGAAAAAGACTGCCTAGTTCAAGGCTACAACTTGCAAAACCAGCTTTACCTCCACAAAAGCCTTAATTTTGAAATCGCTGTAAGACATAAGCTGATCCAAAAATCAGCGACAGCTCCTGAATGGGTTCCAGATAGTATAGAAAGTATCCCTAACAAAGACTTGCATATGTTTTTCGCTAATGAAGAAGGGCCGAAAATAGAATTAAATAATTAATCAGTTATATTAAAGATGAATAAAATCGCACCTGCAAATAAAGGAGTACTTGAATTTGTAATAGAAACTCGCTTTGGGGACCCAATTTTATGCATCGACATGGCAGGTTCGCAGTTGGTTTATGGAACAGCGCTTGGACAGATTGGCTATTTGAACCTTTCTAATAAAGAGCAAGTTCTTTTGACAGAAATGACTGAAGAATGTGTAAAAGGGGTTTACCTCAGTGAAGAAAGCACCTTATATGCTACTATAGGAGACTTGTACGTATTAGTGCTATATAGAAACGATAAAGGAGAATGACATATGGAAGAGTTGAACCATCAAGGAAGGGAACATTCTCCAATGATATGTGCCATGACACATGTTTTTCAGGCTCGGCCAAAAATCTGTATCGTTATAATTGAGGAAGAAGGAGAAGTTTTTGAAAACCTGAGAGCAGAAGGCAAAGGCAAACTGATCGTTCATAACTTGGCGACGACTGAAGTTCATGAATATCAAGATATGATGCTGCCAAAACACTCTGCACCGATGGATTTTAATGGAGAAAAGCTGCTTTGAATTGAAAAACACCAAAATGGACTGAGGGAATTAAAAATTTTGAATATCAGCCAACAGTTTCATAAAAAAGTTAAGGATTTAGACAAAAATTTTGGCCACTTATCGTGCGCGTATCTAGCTCAGGAGTCTATAATTTACGTTCATAATTATCGAGAAATACGGTCTATTGACATTTCTACAGGCGAATCCACCTCAACTCTTGGAGTCCATCCAGCAGATATTGTAGCTATTTTTCCAGCATTAATCCAAACTCAACATCTCACTCCCCCCCCCTTTAAATTGGAACAAAAAATTTTGTTCCAATTTAAAGGGGGGTTAATTTTTTTTTTTAAATAAAATATCAATATAAAATTTTTTGTAAAACAAAAAATTCAAAAACTTATCGAATTAGATTAATAAATTTGTTTAATAAAATGATATTTACTCTTTATCCTTTAAAAAAAAGCTAGATATAACTAAATTTTCATTATTAGTTAATACGCCACTATTAATTGGTATCAAAATTATTTTACACAAAAATTATTATTATTTTATTTATAAAAAAAATTAAAAAAAAAAAAATTTAGAAAATTTATCGATCAAAGTGTTATTTTGCTTAAATAAGATGCTATTTATACTCTATTCTTTAAAATAAAGCAAGAAATAAGTAAATTTTGAAATTCTATAAAGAATTCGTAATCGAATTTATATCAAAATTATTTATATAAAAAATATCATTTTTATCAAAAAAAATAAAAATTTTTTTGAAAAATTTAGCAATTAAGGATAATAAATTTATTTAAATAAGATGCTCTTTATACTTTTTTCTTTAAAAAAAGAGCAAGATATAACTAAATTTTTAATTTTAGCTAAGAAGAAACATTTAACTTATATCAAAACCTTTTAGATAAAAATTATATATAATTTTTTTATTGTAAAATTAAAATTTGTTCCAATTTAAAGGGGGGTTATTTACCAAAAAAAGTGGAAAATTTTACCTATATTTTGTTCCAATTTAAAGGGGGGAGTCAGTGAAAACGAAGCTGAAGACCACCAAATGAATGTTTCTGCAGCTAAAGGCCTAGTAGTTTCTGTTGACAAGCGAGGTTTGATTTACCTATGAGAAAACGGAAACATTCGAGAAATGATAGATCTATGTGATCTTGACGGCCTAATTGTAGAATCCCGAGAAAGATTATTTGGAATGGGTTATCCTTACTGTCTCGAAGAAATAAATGTCGTTGACTGAATATGAGCTCTGTAGCACGATCCATATAAGACTTATTCCTATATACTGAAAGCTTAATACCTATTTCAATTGGCTTAGGCTATGGTTTGGGAATACCTTGCAGAATGCAAGTTTCGTTTCTCCCGAAATTTTAATGTCCTGCTAGATGGGCTAGATAGGATTTGCATCTCAGATTTCTTAGACTATTGGGACACCGGCAGATGCGATTCTAACCTAGGGAGCTACCCCTTATGTGAGTTTCTCCTGAAATTCAAAAAAGGAATTTTGGGTAGATCTTGCGATATTTGAACTCAATATATATGTCCCCAATGCTGGCCACTCTTTCTGAGATGAAGTGGTGCGGGCAGTGGCATACAATTATTGCTCTGTAAAATCTTGACCTTAATCTTACTGCCTCAAAGCAAGCGGGATTTGGATTTCCATTTCAACAGATGTTGGAATTTTAGTTGTAAGAAGTGAATATCTTAAACAAATAGGTGGTTTAGACACCGCTACAAACAGTTTTACTTACATAGACTGAGCAATTCATAAAGTAAATACTTATTTAATCTCTTTTTCTGAGCCTTTCTTAGAAGATGCGCCAATTTCCCCTTTATCTTCGCCAAAAATATCACCTCTTCTATGTCTGATTATTTCGTTGATAATTTCTAATAGCTCAGATCGCTCAAAAATCACTGGGTACTTCTCAGCAAAAGTTTTGAGCACTACAAATACAAATTCCTGTAGCTCTGGCAGCTCATATTCCCAGTACAATGATTTTATAAACCCATATCCTTGAGCTACACACTTCCTATCCACATCAGTGGTTAACAGGAGATTTAAGCTCCTTATTAAGGTATCTTTGGATCGTTTAATGATTTCTGTCATAATCCCTGGGGCTGTTAAGAAGTGCTTTGCAATAGCTATGACTCCTTCACTTATATCTGGGTCACATAAGCCAACATATATATAATTTTTCAGCTGGTCAAATACGTTAATCCATTCATGTTGATTTGGTGGCTTGTATAAGCAAGCCCAAAGAACATCTACATGTGCATATTCCAAGTTGTCTAAATTTCTATATATAACTGATTTAGCTAAGCTTGATGCAATCCCTAAAGCATTCCAGCTTAAAGGAACTCCAGAGAGCTTATAGCTTTGTGTGCTGCTTCCAAACACACAGCTGCCTCTAACAACTTGTTCAGTATCTAGAATTTTCCCTCTTTCTTCACTTGAAAGAGACAATAAGCATTCAACGTATATCTCACAAAGCTCTGGAAATGTATGCAGCACAGGAGCTAGATAGATTAAGCCTATTCTGATAATATTTTTACTAGCTGATGGGACAAATATTGAGGTGATAAGACTATATAGAGTTTCTGTTTTTTCTCTTGGGATTAGAGGAAGCATAATTCCAGAGAGTCGTAAAATTTGTGCTTTTACCTCCCACCATGTATCATTGCCGAGTCTTTCAACTTGATGGACTTCTTCTAGTATCATTTCAGGATTCAAGTCCCCAATTGAGCCTAAAATAGCTATCCCAGCAGTCCTTACTACAGGAGAAGAGTGTGATAATGCTAAAATTGCATAATGCTTATAATATGTATGAAGCTCTTCATAGTATTCTTTGTCAAACTTCACCAGTGGAGCAATAATTTTGACTAATTCTGCATAATTTGGCAGTATATCCATCAGTCTGCACAAATAGCGATATCTAATGGCTGGGCTTTTTTTGGAAAAGCTGTTTAATAAGTTGACCAGAACAACTGATTTATGAGGGTTTTTCAGAGACAGTTTTGCTAAAGGAGTAATCAAGAAATCATTAAAAAGTTCTTCAGTTACGCCTTCATCTATAGAAGACATGGTTTCAGCTATTGAGTTCAAGCTATCAATAAATAATTTAAAATAGGGAGCATCAGCTTTAATTTTTTCAATAGCACTCAAAATCAGTTCACTATAAAGCTCGAATTCTTGCTCCATCTTAATCAGAACGTCAGCTACCGAGCTAGCTCTTCTTTGAATATTCTCCAAGCACCCAACCACAAAATCAATATTCAGCTTATCCATCTTCGCATAAAATTCTCTCGTGAGGTCTTCTCCGTGCTCTACATCTCTGAAATCCATAATTCTTACACTTTTGAACTGGGGCTGATGCATAATTTCCAAGAAAATTTCGCTCATTATTTCCAAAACAGGCTTAAATAGCAAATTCAGATCATGCTGAGTGTTCTGCTTTGAGGAGTCCTGCTGAGTTTTTGCTACAGACTGATCAGGCTTATTAAACACTAGTGCTTTTGCTGCACGAAGATTTTTATCCATGCTTTTAACAGCGACTTGTCTAACCTCTATGTTCTGCTCAATTTGTTCTGGCTTTGTAGCTTCAAGAGTTTTGGCTGCAGCTGAAGTTGTTTGCTTTGGTAAAGCAAGCCTCCCTGGCTCCGTTCTTTCTAGTCTCACATTGTCGATATGCTGATTTAAGACTTCTAAAGCGAGTTTTTCTTGGGTTTTCTTATCCTCAACTCTTTGTAGTCCATTTGTACGGAGAAGCTGAGCAGCTGTCGGCCTTGCATATGGAGGAGGCTTGGGTTGCTCTACAGCTGGAGCAGTTATGAGCTCCTTTTTTGCGACAATTTGGTAAACCTTTTTTATTAGATCAATTGCAGCATTAGGCGCATAGTACATAACTGGTTCCCAATCTTTCTTTGTGATAGGTATATCATATTTTTTAAAAAAGCGGTCAAGGTGCTCCCAATTAGTTTGTCTTCTTCTCTCTTCAGTTCCGTTATCAAATGAATGCATAAAAATCCTTTCAGGAGGCTGATCTCTTACGAAAATTTCTGCGATTAAGAAACCATTTGCAAAATCACGTTTTGGATTTTTCACTGAGTAACTTAAGTCTAAACTTTGGAGTCAAAGGATTATTTCTCTTGGAAGTCCTGCCATTTCTTAATTATATTTGATATATAAGTCTTATAACTACCTCTTCATCTCTTAAACCTTGTATTAAATAATAGAGATTATATAAATTAGTCTTCCTAATTAAAGAATTTTCACATCTTTTATGTAATTTTTAGACATGATTGAACTTTAAAAGGATATTTAATATAGCATAACGCTTACTAGTTTTAATAGATAAATAAGCCATATATAAAACTTAGTGTTCTCGCTTTATTTCTTCAAAAAAATCATTTAATTCATCTTTGATATTTTTGGCCTTTGGGATGGGTTTTGCAAATTTTGTAGGTCGACTAGGGAGCTTGATTGGAGCATTTTCTATTTTATTTGTAGGTCTTTGGATAATTGGCTCGCTTTTCTTACCATTTTCTGAGTTTATTGCAATCTTTTCAAAAGTGGATGCTGGATTTTTGGGTAAAATTTCTTCAGTTTTTTTGATATCTTGTGATGGATCAGCCAAACCATAAAATGTGCTTTGAAGTGGTGATGTACTTTCTATTTCTTGTGATGGCTTCTTTTGGCCTTCCCCTAGTAATTCCAATATGTTTGTATTTTCACTTCTCAAATCTTCCAAAATTTTTTTAAGTTCCATCACTTTATTTTCTCTTTTTTCCAATTCTTCTTTGTATTTTATCGACTCAATTTTTGGCGTTTTCATCATTTCTCTATACAATTCTATTTTCTTTTCCACCATTTCCAGCTTTTCATTTTCTTCTTTTTCTTTTACCTTTTCAATCAGTTTACGTTTTTCATCTTCAAGCTTTTGTTTCTATATAAACTTTTACGCATTTTTGGCTTTCATTCACAAATTCTTGATAGTGTTCATACATAACTTGTAAAGAACCTTTTAGCTTGCTGTATTCAGCTTTTCCTTCTTCAATTCTTTTATTAAGTATTTCGATTTCTTTATTTTTCCTGCTAATTTCTTCTTCAAATTCTCTTAAATCAACCTCTTGTGCTTCATTTGACCCTCTCTCAATGATTCTCATCTCTCCTCTCAAGTTGCAAAGCAAAGTTTCCAATTGTTCAGATTTCTGTTTTTCTGTAACCATTTGAGCTTCAGCATACACAATACGCTTTTTGGCATCGAGGATTTCTTTTCGTTTCTTTCTGATTGCTTCTTGGATTGCTCTTACATCATCAACTGCGAAAAATTCACTTTGAGAGCTTTTGTAGTCCCATTCCTCGTTATTTGTGCTTGACTTATAGAGGCTTGAGCTTATTGGTCTATTTTGAAGCCGATTTTGGTTTTGGCTGACCTTGTCATTCATTTTAGAAATTAATAAATAAATGCTGAATAGTTCTTTCTTATATTAAAAGAATTGCTAATTTTTTTAAAAAATATGCTGCTGATAGTTGATTTTACTTTTACAACCAATTTAAGTTTGATATTATTTTATTCTATTATAAAAGTTTAAATATTGCACCAAGCCTTGAGTGTTCAAATCGCTGATCCCAATTACCTGCCTGATTTCTTCCTGATTTAGTCCTTGCTGTCTAAGAATCTCTTTAAAAGTATCTTGCTTTAAAACTCCTTCAGTCAAAATATCAGCTTTTCTGCAGGCATCTAAAAAGCTTCCTGCTTTAAGTTTCAGTTTATCAAGAGCAGGCGGAATTTCACCCAGTGTATCTCTTATTAATTCAGTATATTGAATTCTTCCATTTCGGGATAGGTCATATTGTGTAACTAAAGAATTTATTTGGTTGCTTGAGAGTCCAAATTGTGATGATAAAACTTGATAAAAGTCAGTAGTGCTGATAACTCCTAAATTTAGAACATCACAAGATCTAAAGGCATTTTCAAGGGAAATCCCTCGTTCTCTTGAAATCTGGCCAATTATACGAATAGTAGTATCTATGTCTCTTTCTGGGGGTGGCTGGCTCTGAGTAAAATATTGAGGAGGTGGAGAAGGAGGAGTAAATATTTGGTCTTGACGAGGTTTAGGCTTGTTTTTTGAGAAAAAGTGCCTACCACTACCATTATATCCAGAAGATGCTGAATTTTCTTGTGGTTTTGAGCTATATGATGAGTTTCTTACACAATTGGAGTTAACAGTTTCTTCGTCCAGAGGAACTCCGCAGTATTCACAATTTAGTTTAAACTTTTCGAGCTCTTGGGAAAACTTTTCTGTAAGCCGTGCTCACTCCGCTAGTTCCTTTTGAGTTGCTGAATCGGCATCTCCACTTATATTTTTTTCATGTATTAATTTCCATATAAGTTCATCCTTAAAGCCCACAAGCTCTTTAAATGCTGGGAATTTTTCTATTATTTGCCTAATTTCAGCAAGCTCTCTTGGCAAACTTTCATGATACACATCAATATCAGTCCTAAACGGTTTCACTACAGATATTTCAATAGCATCTCTTAAATGAGGTGCTTGTTGCAAAAACCCTATGATATCTTGTCCAGAACTTTCCACGGATGTAATGATACTATTAATCCTATCAAAATCTCCTTTAAGTTCTGCTATATCATGTTGTAAAATTGCTACTTTGGTGCCATATGATGAGTTTAGCCTTTCATTCATTGCTGAGAATTCGCTTTTGATGTCTCTTTCTATCATTTCTTTGACTCTTTTTATTTCTTCGAGCCGATACTCAACCCTACGGATTTGATTGAGTAATTGGTCACGCTTATTGAATAAATGAGAATTTAAGGTGTTGTAAACAGAAGCTAGGCGGTAACGATGGGCTTCTTCAAGAGGAATTATTTTTGAATGAACACTATTGTTAGCAGAAGAGGAGAGACAGTCTTCGCAAATAGGACTTTCGAATGTTTCTGAGTAGAATTTGTAAGGCTTAAGGTGGGTTTGGCAGAGAGAGTGAGAATCTGGCTGCGGAATTGAGCGAGCTTTAGGAGAATCAGCCCGCTTTAAACTGTCTGGGCTGCTTGATCTTGATTTTGGCGACTTAGGAGAACTAGGAGATTTTGGGGAACTAGGAGATTTAGGTGACTTTGAAACTGGGCTTGCACTTCTAGATGATCTTCTTTTGCTTGATTTACCTGATTTACCTTTTTTTCCTGAAGATTTTTTGGGAGGCTTTTCACTCATTTAAATATTCGAAACTGAATTAATTTCGAAAATTAATATACCATGAAGAGGAAAAAAAAATTTTAAAATAATTAGCTTATCTACCAATATGCTATTCATTATTTCATAATTTCACTGAAATCCTTGTGCTATTTAACGCAAAAGCATTTTCCTTTATTTTTTGTTTTCTTAATTTTTGTTTTCAGCATTGCTTTTATCTTTTCCTGTGTGCATTTATCGATTGCTCTCTGAATAATATCCCTTGGCCACTCTTTAGTCAAAAGAAGTTCAACAATTTTTACATGCCTCCACCTTACAGCGACATCCAGACAATTTTCATAGCTTTCTTCAACCTTGGATGTAATTAAAGGATCTGCATTATTTTTTAATAATAGCTCTACTACATCATAATTAGCATTTTTACAAGCAATATAAAGAGGAGTGTGGCCAAACCGATTTCTTTTATTTACTATTGAAAATGGATGATTAGGCAGCCTCAAATATCGATAAGGATCGTTAGCTATATATTCACTAATAGCTTTCAGGTCCTCTGAGTTGCCTCTTTCAACAGCACTAAAAAATTTGTCTTGATTTCTTAGATCATTTATAGCAATTTGAAATGGAGAGCACTCGAGCTGAGTCTCTTGGCTTTCCTTATATTCTTCATTTGTAGGAAGTCGCTTGATTTCTGCTAAGAGTTCATCTATATCGTCATATGTTTTTATTTCTTGATTTCGAAATAATGATATTGCTTTGACTACATTTCTGAGGAGATTCCAATGTGACCGCTTTGGAATTGTTAAATAAGTTGAAGAATCCTGCATTTCAGAAAACTCAAAAAATTCATCAGTATTGATATCTTTTATCATTATTTTTATTGTTGAAATTAAATGAAGTATTTAATTTATCAGAAAAAATGAACAAAATATATATACAAACAAGATATTATTATTTATTAATATAGAAACAGTTCTTATAGAACTTAAAAATAATCGTTATTTTTAAATTCATTATTGATTGAAAAGAAATAGTAATTCTTGGTCCCAATTCCGAAAATTATTGATAGCAAACCCTTGACAAATTTCATTCTTTACGATTCTTGAATCTTTTGTTTTGGTGTTAAGCATATACAATTCTACTTGAGGTAGTTTGAATTGGACCCTAATTCTGAGATTTAATACTTCGAGTTCTTCATCAAGGCTTTTTAGTACAGACAATTTTCCAGTAGGCTTATAATTGCTAATATCTATATTTATATTTCATTCATTATTCAATCCTCTTTCTATAGTAGATTGACTAATGATGAATTTAAGAAATTTAGATCTATGGTTGGCAGAAATATCAAGTAAAATTGGAATTTCTCGAATAGAAAAATTATGTTTGATGTATACTCCGTTACTTTCTAATAATAATTGAGGACCTTTAAATATTAAAATAGTGTCATCTTCTCTGTATTTTATAAAACTTATCCAAGTCGATTGATTTCCAACTTTATACAAAGAATTGCGGCTATAGAAGTAATTCATCAGTATTGGGACTCAGTTGACCATATTATCCTGCAGAATCCTTTTGAGTAATCCTAAAGGAATTGAAATTTCTTGATTAAAATCGGCAAGGCTTATTTTAATCAAAGGAAAATATAAGTTAAACAGACTTCCAAAGGCAATTGACTGCTTTTGATGCGGAAAATCTCACCCTTTAATTTCTTCTGCTGTGAAAACTACTTTCACCCTTGGCATTACTTCTTCAGGTTTTAATAAAGATTCATTTATACTTTCATTTATCTCACAAATATTGCGAAGCACTTTGGATGCTTCAAAACCTTCTCAGCACATTGCTTCAACTACTTTATTCTCCATATCTGACATTTTTTCTAAAAATAGTTTTTCCATCATTTGATCAGTTAAAGTGATGTTTTTGTAATCTTTAAGCAATAGTCCTTTAGAAAAGAACTTTATAGAAATTTCATCGCGTTTATTATTCCTTGTTGCTGTTGGAGTGAGCAAAATTAAGATTCTTTCAAATTTATATCTATAAATGGAGTGCGGGTAATCTAAAGGTAATGACATATAAATTAAGCTTAACCCATAAGCATTATTTAGCCATTCCTCGTTTTCATCAGTGTATTTTTTTATTTTTTCAGCGATTTTTGTTTCTGATTTTTCATATAGCACATATGGTAAGTCATTGAGTGGAATCAGAGTTCTTTTGCTTGTGCTAAAATATTCAACGATAGCTGTATTTATTTTTATTGAAAAGCCTCCGAAAGAATGAATCAATTCATAAATTTTTATATTTTTGTCTTCTTGTTGGTCAATTTCTCCGGCTTTTACTGGACTTGCTATACCCTTATTTAATATATTGATAGTATTTTGTGCAGGCTTCGGATCAATTGGCTTCAATCTCTTTATCCGCTGTATCATTTTTGAACCAACAATAGCTTGCCTTTCATGGAGTCGTGATGAAAAACTGAAATAAGATTTCCCTGTATGTAATGTTGAAGAGCTTCGTGCATTTGTTTCTGTTTTTACTTCCAGCTGCTTATAGATGTTCGGTAGCTCTGGGATTTTACTTTCATGGCTTCTATGAGCTTGGACTTGGTCTCTTTGGGTTTTACACTTCAGATCTGGAGTGAGAGATTTAATTCTCTCTGCCATAATATTAGATTTATTCAGTATGAGTGATTCGCCATGGGTAAAGATCAGGGTTAGGTTTTGAGTATTAATTAACAATAAAATATTTCTTATAAAAGGTAAGCTAAATATTAAAACATACACTTAAGAGATATTTAAAGCTTTATAGTAGATTAACGTCTGTAGAGTATTATATATTATTGTCAAGATTTGAATAATTGTTTTATAAGTCATTTTAAACTCAGAAAATTACACGATTTTATTTCTAATTCATTAATTTCACGATATCGACATGATATACTTTTTGGAATTTTTCCTTAATACAGGAATATCGATATTATTTTTTTGAATAAAATGATGAGAGGTGACGATGATTATGACTATCTCTTTAAAATAGTTCTTATAGGAGACTCAGGCGTCGGGAAGTCCAACCTACTCTCACGATTTACCAAAAACGAGTTCAATTTAGAGTCGAAGACCACAATAGGAGTCGAATTTGCCCAAAAAAGTGTCATAATAGATGAGAAGACTATCAAAGCCCAAATTTGGGATACAGCAGGCCAAGAGCGTTATCGAGCGATCACATCTGCCTATTATCGTGGCGCAGTTGGTGCTCTATTAGTTTATGATGTCTGCAAGCCAACTTCTTTCGAAAATGTTGAAAGATGGCTTAAAGAGCTCAAAGATCATGCAGATTCTCAAACTGTAGTAATGCTAGTTGGCAATAAAACAGACTTAAAACATCTTAGAGCTGTTAGGACCGAAGAAGGGGCAGGGTATTCACAGAAGCATAATTTAGCTTTTATTGAGACCTCAGCTATGGATGCGAGTAATGTAAATTTGGCTTTTGAGAGAATTTTGAATGAAATTTATCAATTGACCATCAGAAACGTAATTGGGATTAAAAAGACCTTACAAAGCTCTATTGGTCCAACTAGACGCATCGACATAAATGAAGAAAAAGTTTCTTTTGGAAGAACACCTAGAGTAGAAGCCAAATGCTGCCAATAACTTAGATCAGTAAACGTTTAGCATAAGTTGATAATTTATATTATAAAATGAGCTGGATTGAAAAAATACTACCAGCGTGCTGCACTGGAAGAAGAACTCAGAGTGCAGGATTTATTGATATCAAAAGTCCAGCTGAAAGTGCGGAAGTTTATGATTCTTGTATAACTAACGATAAACCAAAGATATATCAGCAAAACACCCTAAACAATAAAAATGACAGAAGTGTATTAAGAAATAGCCAAATGAGAAGAGCTAAAATGAAATCGGTTGAGGAAATAGTTATAAGTGATAGTATCATGAATTCAATACGCGGACCAAGTATTGAAGTTGAAATGAAACCATGCTACGGGAGAGATAATTTTATAACACTGGGAAAAGGAGACTCGCGACGAAGCAGCAAAAATCCTCTTGGTGCTAGCGATAGAAAAATTGTGATAGGTATAAAGATAATTAGATTGATTCAGATGCTCATGGTGCAATAATGAAGCCAAAGGCTCATGCACAGGATGTGCTAATCAAAATTTTTGTATAGGGTGTTATCATAGCCATCATAAAAAACTTCCAAAAGGACATAAATTTTCTTATGCCAGTCAAGCTACAAAACTATCATTTTTGCACTAATTAATTGGTTTTATTCTTAATTAGGATCTTTCCCCTCTGATTCTTCTTGCAAGTTGCATGTCTCTTGGCATAATTGTTACTCTTTTCCCATGGATTGCACAGAGATTTGAATCTTCAAATAGTCCAACCAAATAAGCTTCAGCAGCTTCTTGTAAGGCTAGAACTGCAGAGCTTTGGAATCTCAAATCAGTTTTGTATTCTTGAGCAATTTCTCTTACAAGTCTTTGGAATGGGAGTTTTCTTACAAGGAGCTCAGTGCTCTTCTGGTACTTACGGATTTCTCTAACTCCCCCCCTCCGTGAGCGAACAAAACCATTATAAAAATCCTTATTTTTTGCCCAAAAAAATCCTCTGTGAGCAAACAAAAATTTTTAATAGAAAAATTTTTTATGGGAAAAAAATTTTTGATATATAAGTGATAACCAATATCATGAAATCGCGAGCTAATTCTGTTAATATTAAACAAATTGCGTTTTTAAAAACATAAATTTTATTAATTAAATTAATTTTTTGTTTTCCTATTTTCGAAAAGTGGGATTTTTTTTAAATTTCGAAAAAAATTTTTCTTTAAAATTTATATATAAATTTTTTAAAAAAAAAATTAATCCCCCTTCCGTTAGCGAACAAGGTTATTTTGTTCGCTCACGGAGGGGGGAGTAAGCACTTCTTTGTAAGCGAGCAAAATTTTTTCCTTGCACCTTAAGGGTTAATTTCCGAAAATGAGGTTTTGATAGCTCATGGAGAGGGAGTAAGTGCAACAGTGCCAGGTCTAAATCTATGAGGTTTCTTCACTCCTGAAATTGTTGTGGCTGAAACCTTTTTGGCTGCTTTTGAAGCTAAATGTTTCTTAGGGGTTTTTCCTGATGGGGTTTTTCTAGCTGTTTGCTTAGTTCTGGCCATTAAAATTATATGAAATTAGTTTATTACAGAATTTAAATTACATCTCGATTTTAATCTGTTTAAGATATAATTAGCCAGAATCTTAAAAAAAATATGTGAAATAAATAATATTGTATTCATAGATAGATACTGATGATTTCATATTAATTTATGGATTTTCGTAAATGGAAATTCTTTATGACCTTTAAAATAATAATTTATAGCCTTAATGAAAAAGATAATTATTTCCCTTAATTATTATATTATAGCATTAAAATCAATAAAAATAATGATGTTATCTGCTAATTTTTTATTATTTAATTCGTCACAAAATTATCTTGCAGACAAAGTGAATAAATTAGTATGGTGACTTTTCTGTTTGCTTGCTTTTTGATAGTTATTGTAAAAAGTCAACGAGATTTATTATCAATTGAAGAATCTAAAGCTGAATATGGTTCTGGATGTCAAGGCCCAGCCATGTATCCGATATATCAAGCTTCAAATATAATATCCAACTCTAACTCTATAAGCGCAACAATTTCATTATCTCAAGAAGGTAACCAGTGTATGGGTGCAAGTATCCCTAAACTTTTGTTCCAAGCAACCTATATCTCATCATCTATCGTCAGGGTCACTATAAGAGATGCCAATAATCAGCGTTGGGAGCCTGATAATTATCCAAACACCCCAGGTCCAAACCAAAATCACCCACAAGTAATCATTACCCAAAATCCTTTTTCCTTCAGTGTAGTCAGAGTAGAAGACCAAGAAGTCTTATGAAACACTTCAAATAGGTCTACTCCACCCTTTTTGTACTCGAATTTATATCTAGAAGTGGGCTCATCTCTTCCCAGCAATCCCAACATATAGAAATTGTCCGAGGATGGCGCTATTTTGCGCCATCCTCAGGCAATTCAAAAATGGCCACACGAGAATTGAACCCACGTGTGGGGTCATTTTTGGTATGTGGAGAATATTGACCTCCACGTAACAAAAATGGCCCCACACGTGGGTTCAATTCCCGTGCTGGCCTTTTTTTGAATTGCCCGAGTATGGCGCAAAATAGCGCCATCCTCGGGCAATTTCTATATATGGCCTTGGTGAAAGAGTAACGTCATTTAGGCTTGACACTAATGAAACCTTTTACACTTTATGAAGCCTAGCACAAGACTGCCCATATGATACAGGAAAAGGACAAAGAGGACAAAATATGTATGGGCATCACCCTGTGTATCTTGAAATGAGAAATGGAGCAGCCAATGGCGTCTATTTTCACAATGTAAATGCGATGGATGTCGTATTTTCCAATGGCAGAATTGCTTTTAAAACTATTGGAGGGATTATGGACTTATATTTCTTTAAAGGTCCAACACCTGAAGCAGTTTTGGAGCAATATCATTCCATAATAGGACTTCCTATGCTTCCTCCTTATTGGGCATTAGGATATCACCAGTGCAGGTGGGGCTACAAAAGATTAGGAGACTTGTGGGATGTCGTGACAGGTTATGAGTCTCATGGAATTCCATTTGATGTCTTATGGAGTGACATTGACTATATGCAGCATTTCCAAGACTTTACACTGGATTACTCCAGATACTCTTTAACTTCTATGTCAAGCATGCTGCAATATGTTAAATCATCAGGAAGATTTTTTGTACCAATCATAGACGCAGGAATTGCTCAAACTGGAAATTTTGCAGAGAAAGCTGGACTTGAAATGGACGTTTTCATAAAAAGAAACCCTACAACTCAAGAAGAGTTCATTGGACTCGTATGGCCTGGAAAAACGTATTTCGTGGATTTTTTCCATCCGAATGCGTCAAGCTATTGGAGCAATATGCTAGATATTTTACATGAAAGTGTGCAGTTTGATGGGATTTGGATTGATATGAATGAAGCTTCAAGCTTTTGCGATGGAGAATGCCCAGGATTTTATCCAGATCCTGAGCTTCAAATAACCTTGCCATACACCCCAGGAAATCATTCACTAGAAGATCAACTCCTACCTTTATTAGCTAAGCACTATGGATCAAATTTGTATGTGGTTTTCAATACTCATTCTATGTATGGAACTATGGAAACTATAGCAACAAATGAGTATCTCCAAAAGAAATTTGATACAAGAGCATTTATATTGTCAAGAAGCACGAGGCCAGGGCATGGAACTGTTGGGTTCCATTGGCTCGGAGATAATTATTCGACGTGGGATATGCTTAGATATTCAATACAAGGAATTTTAAATTTCCAGATTTTTGGGATTCCAATTGTAGGAGCTGATGTTTGTGGGTTCCATAACAATACCACGCCAGAACTATGCTCAAGATGACTCGAATTAGGAGCATTTTATACATTTTACAGAAATCACAATGACATTGGTGCGCAAAGCCAAGAACTTTATGCACTGGGCCCTTTAGTCCAAGAAATAGGAACCAATATGATAAGGCTGAGATATTATTTGCACGTTTATATGTACTCTTGCATATTCAAAGTTGCTTTAAATGGAGGCTCAGTCCTCAAACCAATGTTCTTTGAATTTCCAGAATATGAAGAATTTTACAGCAACCAAGAACAATTTATGCTTGGCCAGGCCCTTGTTATAGCTCCAGCACTATATGAAGGCCAAACTTCAGTTAATGTGACTCTCCCTAATATATTCCAGGGTCTGCTTTGGATCGCGCTAGACTATATATTGCCCCCTTAGCCTGCGGGATTGATTAACTTGAGCAGCATCAGTTGCCAAGTCAACTCCACAGATTGGCAAGTATCAGCATATTTTCACTTGCCAACTCTACAGCTTAAGGAGGCAAAGTTTAGCCTTGGGCGATCTAAAAAAGGGCATAAGCAATACTACTTTGTGGTATGATTTTTTTACAGGCGATCCAATTGAGTCGGGAAATATTCAACTAGATGCACCAATCGACAAAATAAATGTAATTATCAGAGGCGGTTATATTGTACCAACTCAAAATTCTGCTTCTGCTATGAGCCTTACAAGTATGAGAAGCCAAGGAATTGAGTTAGTTATTGCATTGGCTAGCAATCAAACAGCCTCTGGGTATTATTATGTTGATGATGGACTGAGCTTAAATACTATTGCTAATAAAAATTATACGATGTACAATTTAACTGTAGGGCCAGATAGCGATGGGCATATTAAATTGAAAATTTCTCCAAATACTCTAGGGTATTTGAAAGAAATGAATTTCTTAACAGGAATTAAAGTTTATGGACTACCTAAGAAAAATGACGTAAATTATTTACTGAACGAGGCTGGTATTCATGAAAATAACGTACTCAAAATGACTCTGAATTTGGATATTTCTTTACCTCAAGAAATTATTCTTGCTTAAAGATTTAAATTAAAATAAAACATTATTATTAGTTATTTTCAAAAATAATATGCAGGAAACTATATAAATTATTTATGATAAATCTATTTTAATACATAATATAATTCTAAGAATATGTCAAAAGAAGACCAAAGTCTAAATCATCAAATATCTAACCCAAGAGAAATTATATTTACTAGTGATATAGAGGAATCTGTTTTAGAAAAGCAGTCTGAAAACAAAAGTAGTATTGCAGTAATGCTTAAAGATAAAACGAAAAAATTTGTAAACAAAATCAAGCATGTAGATTTTTCTAAAATTACAGGAATATTTGAAAAACCAAAGGAAGAAGTTCCAAGTCAGATGATTGATCTACAATCTATGGAAAGTTTCGCACAAATTAAGATAAATAATGAATTGATGAGACTTGATGCAGCGCTTTCTGATACCAATTCAGTCATTGATAACTTATATCAAATTATGCAAATGTAAATATTATTTAGGAGAGAACTAGATGAAAAGATATGTGAGGATGCTCTAGAAACATTAGGAGCAATCAAGATGCTGGTAAAAAAATTTTAAATTAATATACATTTACTGGTTTAATCGTTTATCCAACATAAATTTGGCACCTTGAAGGCTCGATCTTAAAATTTTATTTGTCATCGGCAAAATCGGGAGAATTTCAATCGGAATATCGCTCTCTTCGGTATCTGCAAATCTTACAGGGGAAAATTCAATCATTATTTGTTTATTTTTTATTCTTGGGAGTTCTATGTGCCTGGAAACAGGAGAGTATCTATTTGTAGCAGTATTAAACGTTTTTCCATAACTGTCATCGATAGGCGCTGTGCTTCTAGTAGTTGATGGATTTGCATCTTTATCTGATCTGTCGCTTAACTTCATCTGTCTTTTATCATTAAAAATATATTCAGAAAGCAGTGTATTATCCATACGGTTTTGATAGGAACTATTTAGGCCAGAAAATTTTCGATTTGGTTTTTCAATTCTGCTTCTCGACAACGTTATAATATTTGCGTTGTATAAAGGTGATAGAATCTTTGGGACTTTTTCAGGAGAATTGATTACCATGCTAACTCACCCTCTGTGAGCGAACAAAACCATAGAAAATACCTATTTTTTGACCCTACATTTTTAATATGAAAAATTTTTGTGAAAAAATAGTTTGATATATAAGTGATTATCATAATGAAATCTCTTGCTAATGCAGTTTAACTTTGAATTTTAAGACACATAAATTTTACAAATTAAATAGGGATAAACTTTTTAATAAAATATTAACTCCATCAGTGATCAGTGAGCGAACAAATTTTTTGTTCGCTGGGGAGTAAGCTTTTTAGTTTTTGCAGGCTTTTTGGCTGATTTTTTAATATGCCTTGGCTTTTGTATAGAATTAGACTTCATTATAATACTTTATTTAAGATATTCCTTATAGTAGTAAAAATAAAATATTGACATTGATGAAAGTGAGCTCCGATGCACACCTCAATGAAGCAGATATTAGCCATCCTGATGAAGCTGAAAGCAGTTCCTCTGCACCTTTTAATATAGGCCTTCAGGTTTGGGGATTTCTTGCCGAAGAGGCACGTTTTGTTTCTCCCCTTAAAGTTTTCCTGTCCCTGCCAGATGAGCTAGATAAGTTTTGCCTCTCACATGGTATTCGCTTGTTGAGAACATTGAAGACTCTATAGACTCTGGCTCTACTACCCTAGGCTGATTGATCCCTTGGGCAGGCGGATCAGACCGAAATAAACATTTCTACCTCTGATTTCCCGATTTCGTTATCGGAAAGTTGGATGAGGCTATTTTGGGGCTGAGACAAGGCAAAGGCTATTGGACTTACCGTTTATGGCTAGTTTAATCGTTTAAGTTTAAGTTTATAGTAGTGATTTTTATATTAAAAAAATGAGCGAAACCAATAAAAAATTAATAAGAAGATTTTATGTAATAAAGAATTTATATTTAAAGATCATAGATTAATTCCATTTACAGAGGCTTCTCTAGTCAGACTTCTTCTATCCTCAACACTTAACTGATTGTCCTTTATAATTACTGTTGTAGCTCTACTCAATCCCTGAAAAGCTGGCATCAATGTCATCGCTCCTCTTCCAGTCAAACCATTCCTTGCTAAATCTATAACCTGCAATTTCTTTGCTTGAGTTATCGCTCTTGATAAATTTGTAATTCCCTCAGGACCTATATTATTTCCTGCTAACGACAGTGTATGAAGCTCAGGCAATTTGGGTAAAACTAAAGCAAGCAAGTCAGCACCTTGAGGGCCAATATCATTTTTATTGAGATCAAGCACTTTGAGGGTCTTCAAGAAAGGAAGTGAAAGGACAAGAAATCTAACTCCTTCTTCACCTAACTGATTATTTCATAAATCAAGCCTTTCTAAGCGCTCAAGATTTGGGAGAGCTGTCGATAAAAATTTAGCACCTTGAAAATCAAGAGAATTCCATGATAAATGAAGATTACGAACACTCGACATCTCAGGTAGAACTTCACTTAAAGCTTCCATCCCTCTGACTTCAATTTTATTTCATGATAACATAAGTGTTTCCAAGCTTTTCAGGTATACAAAACTTGGACAAAGTTCTTTAACTCCATACGGGCCTATATTGTTACTATTCAAATTTAGCGATTTCAGCTGTGGAAGAGCTGGCAGGAGTTGAGCAAGACATCTGGATCCATTGTTTTCAAGCATACAATTAGAGAGCTCAATTGAAAGGATTTTTTCAATTCGAGAAGGCTGAAGTGCAGACTCAAATAATGATTTTAACTTCATATGCATATGACGGCCATTATCACTATAACAGCTCTGGATTTTTTGGAACATCCCTGATGTGTCTTTGCTTTCTTCCTGATCCCTCTCTTCTCTTGGAGTCTCTATATTTTTTAATAAGTTTGCTTCTGTTTCGATTTTGCATACACCTGATATATAGGCGTCGAATGTATCATCTTGGATTTCGATTCTTACTGCATGGAATATCTTTTGCCAGTCTCTGTCTTTAAAAAAGGGTTCTAGTCAATTGTTTTCTAAATTTTTTTTAAATTTGCAGGCTCTCACATCTTCTTCCAATTTTTTGAGCTGTTTTTTTAAGTAATCAATTCTCATATTCTTATCATCAACGAATTTTTTTAATTTTTCCATCATTTTGCTAGCTGCAATTTTCAAAATATTTTGCTTTTCTTCAGCTTCCTTATTGTTCTCATGAATGATTTTGAGTATTGAATCTACCATCTCTTTTCTTTCCATGTATTTAAAATTAAAATTATAAGGCCATAAGTGGATAGACCACTAGCCTGCCTATCTGGTGTAAAAACACCTAGCCTAAGGATTAGCTCCCTAGGTTAGATCCACCGTCTTTAGAGTCCCCCATTAGTCCTGATAAGCAAAGACTAAGTTGGAGGCAAACCTGCCTCACTCATCTGGCGGGAAGAGGAAAAACCTTTGGAAAAAAGTAACTTCCCTCTTCATCAGGCATACTCAAACCAGAGGGCCTACTTCAAAAAGTGGCAGAGGCACAATTTTCATCTGTATCGAGACGGGTCCTACCTACTCCTCAGTGACTGTGCCTCGGAGTCCATCTTCTGTCGATGTCACCATTTTATTTCTCCATATATTTAGGTATATCGCTTTCTTCATGGATGAAATCTAAAGCGTCAATAGGTTCTCTTGTATGCTTTCCTGAAGACTGGACTATATGCAAATCATAGCATTTACTGCATAATTTTACCCCAGGAAATCTGCAGAGACAAAGCCACTGTCCAGCTTTTTTCATGCAGATATTGCAGTCTTTGCAATCAGTCGGCTTTAAATTTTCCAGCCTCATTGCCCGATGTTCTGATTTTCTCTTTGAGCCAATATGCCAAGAAAGATGAGACTCGCAAAGGTAACTTGGAGGATCTTGGCATTTGCATACGTATTCAGGTGCACGTGGGCATCCAGAAGAGGTGCAGTGAGATTCCATCTTATTTTTTTAACAGTTATGCTGAATTTATAAATTATTTTCATTCACAAGCCTTTAGCTGCTCTCAAGAGCAATTTATACTAGAATTTATTAAAGCTAATTTTAATTTAGAATTAAATCGCCACAATTTCGTTATTATTTTACCACAAAATTAATTACTCCCCCTTTGAATTGAACAAAAAAATTCAACTTTAAGGGGTTAATGTTTTATAAAAAACCGTTTTATAAAAATTTTTTAATATCTTAAAAAAATATAAATTGAGCACAATAAATTTAATTTGAATTTATTTTTATAAAAAAATAATTAAAAAAAATTTAATCAATTCAGTGTGAAGACTGCTTAAATAATCTTCAACTTGTGCATTTCCTATTAAATTAAGGCAAAATTAATTTTATAAAAATTCATATTTTCATCTTTAAAAAATTAAATTAAGCAAATCCTTTAATTTTATTAAGAATTAAATAAAAAAATTAATTGATTCGGTGTGAAAACTGTTTAAAATAACATGCTTGTGTTCAAACTTAAACGGGGGAGTAAAGTACTCTATTCAGAGTGCACTTGCCGTTCATTCTTCTGATTCTGAAAGCCATCTTCGTAAATCGGTTCCAATCCTGTCATTTCTACCACTGTCGATCTTCTTATATCAGCAATTGTGGATCTTCAATCTTCTGTGCTTTGCACCAAGCTTAAAGACCGCAATCTTCCATTAGTCTCCAGCTTTGATGGGGACTCATTATACACAAATTCATTTGTAAGTTCTTGAGAGATATGTGATGTGTTACAGCAGGAAAAACACCTAAAATTCTCTGTGCTAAATATCTCTAGAAAAGCCTCTTTAATCTGTAGCCTCACCATTCCTTTTTATTGGCAATTAATTAATTGCATAAACTGATCTTAAATTATTTGTGATTATTGAACAATTTTGTCACTTTGATAGTCATGTTTTGCATCATCTGAACGCTTTTTTCTGAGCACTCATCAATGCAGCCTTTCCCTGCTTCTTCGCTTTCTGGGTTGCTTTCAATGCATGATTTAACGCAATCTTGAAGTCCTCGTTGGCATTTCTCCATCTGCAACTTGATCTCCTGCTTTATTCTGACTCCAGGAACAGCGCAATTTTTAGCACAAATCTTAGAAGTTGGTAGTGATGTCGGCAAGAGATAGCATTTTGAGGAGCAATCATAAATATCTGCGTAGAGCTCTTTCATATAAGGATCTATAGATGAAATGAAGGCTTTTTCTTCAGATTTAAGCTTTTCTGCAGTCGTTTTGAAAAACTCTTCCATAAAATGAGAAGCTTAAATAATAATGGAAACTAGATATAAATAATTTACAGTGGAATGAGTGATAGCAGAAAAGCAGAGCTGGATTAGATTAAGTCTGGATATGATGGTATTGAAAATTATATATGAAATTTTTATAATTTATAAAATAATTACGCATTGATATTATTACTATATACTGCATGTTTGATTTCACCATAAAGAAAATTGAATTAAGAATTAATTAAATACTCTTTGAACTTAAAACCTTTATGATTTTCTCAAGCACACTACCTACAGCAATTTGATCGCCCAAATTTAAAATTTCTCTTGCAATCTATATAAAACTTACCTTCAAAAATTTTTTCATTTCATGGACAAATATGAAAACTTCTTCCACAGTTCTAGACTCATTGCCAGCTGTCTTAAATAGCCTGTTAAAATGATTTAAAGCTTCTGACTTGTGTATCTAATTATACCTTACAACAACTTCGTCAGGATTATTCACATCAAGTTCAAAATTTTCACATATAGATCTTCTAAATCTTTCCAAAGAAATTAGTTTTATTTTCATACTGATAATTGTAGGCAAAATCTGTTCCATATTGATACTTATATCAGCAGCTGGCTCTGGAGTGAATAGGACTTTATAGATTGAGCTGATAAATGATTCTATATTAGGGATAATCAAAATTACTTGCTGCATTTTTTGAATTACTTCAAGGGCTTGGCTTGGAGATTTTACTTCGAGCTTATTGAGAATGAGCGGCAGAAGGTGCATGCTTTTGATCGGAAAGTTTTGAAAGTACTAAAATGCTTCAAGAAATTTGATCGAATTTTATAATATGGCGCTTTCCTAAAAATAATAATTTTATCAAATTTTTCTCGTGCAACTGCTACACTGAAAGCATTTTGATCAAATAGCATATAGCCAGCGGCAATATAGAGTTATCGGTTGAAGATTCACTCGATTTTTCTTCTTCTTCAGTGCTTGATTTCTGATATGAATTTCCTGTGCTAATTTTAGAATGCTCATAAAGTAAAATAACTGACATAACCTGCAAATCAGCTTCTAGATCAGGATCATATTCTCGGTGCATGACTTGCTTGAAAATTTCTCTTGATTTATTCTTTGCATTTGTGTGTATAGCTTTAAGAATATTATCAAGATCATTAAACTTAGTAAGCTTTTCTATTAAATCTTCGATTTTTTGATTTCTCTTCTTTAATTTAAGTTTTAGTTCCTGGTATTTTTCATTCAACTTATTTAAAGCTTCTTGAGATGTTTCTAGCGCATTTTTCATTTTTTCTATATTAATTGTTAATGAATTATAATTAAATAACCAAAATGAAGTTTAATTATAAATAAGGAACAACAACTATTATTGAATTTAATTAGGCGCAGTATATTTTTGTTCGATAACTTTTCTCGTTTGAGGATACATAATTAAATAAAGACAAAACTGTTTCTGCTAGGCTTGAATAATCTGGAATTAATTTATTTTCACTTTGAACTAATTTCATTTGTGGAAAATCATGCTCTTTAAATATCAAATTAATTTGCTCTCACAGTACATCTTTCAGATCAGCTTGTCCGTTTGTTTGATTTCTCTTTAACGAAATATTGACTGCCATAAAATTGGTAATTATATGCATCACGATAAAACTATTTAATGAATAAATAAGAAAATAGTATTTTGAAGAGTTTTAAAAATTAATTTAGTACGCAATAATTTCTTTCTCTTTCCTTTTTCGTGTTGGAATTTTTTGCTGTAATTTGATTGCTTTTTTCAGCATTTCTTGAAATTTTGATATTAATATTATGAGGCTGAGAAGTTTACTCTGCTTTGTAAGAAAGAGATGAAGTTGTTTCTGGCGAGTCACTAGACGTTTTCCGGTGCAAATAATGTCCAGGTTTTTCTGGATTAGGATAAAGGCCACTTTCCATTAAGATTTGATCATATTTTAAGCTCAAAGTATGAAAGTGTTTTAATTGCTCATGCAAGAAATAAGAGAGTCAAGCTCCTCAATATCGTTTATTTTGACAAGAAATTAGGATGGAAAAACATCAGTATTGTAAATTAAATTAAGATGGGAGATTGTGCGAGCAGACCAAAAGAAGAAGAAGTAAACTCGCATATAAAATACAAAGATAATAAGAACGACAAATATTTTATACCGCTTGTTGATATGCCTTATCTTAAGGATATTAATAATAACCCTATCACAACGGCAGATGAGCAGGATCAGATAACTCAATACGTAAAACTATTAGAAATAGACATCAAGAAAACAGAAGCTAAGATAAAAGAACTAAGATCAGATCCTCCTAAAAACTCTGGCTCACGTATTGTGATCGAAATACAGAAAGGAAAAGATATAATCCCAGATATATTATGTTTCCAAGATGCAAAAGTATATGTGATTGTTGAAATTCAGCCTCTTAAAACTAAGTTTCAGACGAAAGTCAGCAAAAAATTTATCCCAAGTTGGTTTGAAGTGTTTAAAGCAAATCTTCCTTTAAGTCAAGCTCAAAAAATTATATTTACTGTTATGCTTGATGTTAAGCTAGGATCTCCTATTGAATTCGGAAAAGTTGAGATTGATTTTAAAGATTTACAAAACCAAGATACCTTGGTAGGATGGTATGATATTAAAAGCAATCAAAAAAGAGAAGGAAATCCTTCACTGCTTATTAGAGCACAATATATTTACGATGATTATGTTTTTCAACAGAATAATTTAAAGAGGTGCGAGGAGTTTGTTCCAAAGGCAAGAAATGCATTGAATATATGCAGATATAAATTGGAAAAAGTTGAAGAAATTATTGGGCCAGAAGGAAGAGGGGATGTTTATGAAAATCAATATTAATTCTTTTAAAAAGTAGAAATTTATATTGAAAAAATGTAAAATCAATTTGAATTAGCTTTATCATATTTTTATTAGTTAAATATAATTTAAATATTCCCTCTGCTAGTTAAAAATAATTAAGCAGATATTCTCAGTTTAATACAATTAAATGGAGCAAGTAGAAAATTTACCTGAGCTTGACACAGAGGTCCAAAATTTAAAATTAATCATCGGCACAATCTCATCTGAAGTTGCAAAACAGTTCCCAGGCGATCAAGCTTCTTATATCCAAACAATCCTCAGAAAAGATTTTATGAAAGAAATAAGGCTAAGAAACCAATGAATTGATACAGCCATGAGCATCTCTCAAACCCTCATAGAAAATTATGAAAGTTTGAGAATATTATACAATGATTTAGTTCTTCAGAATGAATCAAAAGATATCAAAATCAAAGAAAATTATGAAGAAATCCAGAGGCTGAGGTCGATTGAAGAGAGTAAGACAAGCGCTTTGGAAGTTTCGAGAGACAGTATTGGCTCTGGAAGGCGATCTTTATCTAACCAAAGACCAGTTGAAGGACTTCTATTTAGTCAGCTCAATAAAGCTGGACGCATGCAAGATATCAATAGACACAAAAAAGATTTTATTCTTAAAGCAGAAAAACTGAGCTTTAACAAGAAATATGAAGAACTGCAGCAAAAATATTTAGATCAGCTCAATGAAAATCAAAAAATGCAAAGAAATATAGCAAAATTAGAAGAGCTAATAAAATATAATGCAGTGCAGAAACAAATTGCTGAGTCAAGATATGAAACTTTATTAACTCCCTCTTTTAAATTAGAACAAAGTTCTTTTTTAATAGGAAAATTTTAATGAAAATACTAATTATTGATCAAATAGACTGCTATTAAAACAATTTTTAAGTTGAGAGTCGATTAATTTTTTTATTTAATTCTTCATGCTAATTTATATTTTTTAAGATTTTCAAATAATTTTTTTTTAAAAAAAAGATCATTAACATGATTTTTTTCTTCCAATTTAAAGAGAGTAAGCAATCATCATCAAGTTAAAAGTCAGTTAGAACAATATGAGAAAAAAGGGAAAGATTTAAAGAAAAGAAAAAGCATGATGCCAAAACTTGTCTCCAAACAAGTAAGCTGAAAATCAGAAGCTGAGAGCTTTGATTCTAAAGATACCAGCTTGCTTGATATGTCTGCGGATGCTATTAAGCCTGAAGCTTTAAAATTAGGTCTTAGTCTTGATAATTCTTTAAGCATTATTGATAGTGAAATCAGAGGAAACAGCGAAAATGCTTCGAATGATTCAAGAATAACTACAGAAGAATCAGATATTATTGAAAATGATCTAGTAAAATCCAAGAGTTTCGCAAACAAAGCTATTACAGATGCCAAGAATATTATTAGGCACGATATATATTCTCAAGAAAATATTCAATGTATTCCAATACACAAAAATTACAATAGAGAAATACAAATATTGAATCAAATATTAATTTTAGGAGAAAGTGGAATAAACAAAATAAGAAATGAAGAAGAAAGTAATAAAATTTACCGTAACGCAAAAATATTATCACAAATTTACAGAGAGGAGGTCGCAAATATATGTAAATCTCAATTAAAGAAAGAAACTGACGCAAAGCTAAGCCTTTCAAAAGCTGAAGTTATTAGCATTTCTGCCTTTCAAGAGATTAAAAATAAATCAGAAAAAATCATAGAAAAACCAGTAGAAGTTGCAAAGGTTTATGCAACCCAGAAGAACAAGCAAAAGGAATATTTTGATATGGTAAAAAATATATAGACTCTCCGCGCAGTTGAGCAGAATTTGAATTATTCAGAATCAGTCTACTCTAATACATCTCAAATTTTATATGAAAAGCTGATAAAATTCAATGTGCCTTTCTGCAAATGGCACAAATGGGTTGAAAAAGAAATCAAAGCATTCAAAAAGAGAAACTCAGCTGGCTCTGGGCAATTCCAGTTAAAAGTTTGTTCTTTGTTTCCTTTTATGGGTAAAGATCATTAATGTTCTGATGCGTGAATAATTTTTAATGTAAATCATATTATTCATATTTTATTCTTTAATATAGCATTAAGCTATAATTAATCTGCTCTATAGAAACTATTCTAATGGAAAATCTGTTCTTAATTATTAAAAATACCATTAAAATTTAATCAGCATTAGAGTTGAAATGGGCAAAGCCTATATAAAAAAATGGCTTTACAACAAAACTGACAGTTTTAAGAAAATAAAGAATTTTTAAATTATTAAAATTAGACATTTCGTGGATTCGCACACTAAAAAGGAAATATTTTTAGCAAAATTAGAATATTTTAATTGATAGCAAATATACAATTCAAAATAGGCTGTGTTTTTGGAAAGAAAATACTAATAAAAGTGGCTAAGCCAAAAATGTATATTTCAAAATTTTCCAATCAATAAGTTAATTATTCAAATTGTTTTATAAGTATATAGATAAAATTATAATTCATTCTAAATTTTTGGTTTTTTCAAAATTCCTTTCAAAGGCTTCTTCTCGGCAGGAGGCAATGGTACTTTTGATTCTTCAGGAGGTCTTGAAATTGGTGTTGCGCCTCCATTACTGTGGCTTGATTTTTTTACATTGTCTTTCTTTGATATTCATGCTTCAATAATTGTGTACTTTTATATGAGCCATGATTTATTTTCTTACAATAGCTAGAATTGAAATTATAGAAGTTCAGTATGATTGTGAATATTTTTTTATGCTTTTTTTTCTTAACGTTCATTAATTCAGGAGCTACAGGTGCTAAAGCTGTCTCATCTCCTGACATTTCGTTTTTTTCAATGACTGGTAAATCAAGTTTTTCTGCCGGATTACTTGTAATATCTAATGATTGGTTTATGTGTTTTGGCTGTGAAGAGGAATCTTCGTCAGCTTGCCCGTGATCTGCGCAGCATAACTGGATTAGCTTGAATATTCTATGCATAATTAATAAAGATATGGGAAAAATGCGTGATTTTAATTTTTATGGAATTTTTACATTATGAATATTGAAGAAGGCGCTAGATGAGTGTCATATTTAGTTATATTGCCAATGAATTTAGAAAATAAATGAGAGTTGATTTGAAGTCAATATCCAATCTCTTTAAAAGAAATCTTTAAATTTTCTTTTTTGGCCTAATTTATGGGTAGCATTTTCTCAACTTAAAGATTTTTGAAGATCAAACTATTTTAAAGTTAAATATACAAAATAGAGATACCTCCAACAGGCAAATACTCCTCTTACCTTATAAAGAGATTTGCTGAACTTAATTTTTAAAAATCTTACCACTTTTATTAGATATCATTAGATACGATATCTTTATTAATTTCATTTGTTCATAAAATCTCTCAATGATTATTGGAATGATCGAAGTTTATAAAGAAGTTAGTGCTTTAAATAGCCTTATTTTTGAAGAAAGAGAATTTCTCACTACCCTCCAGCTTTAAAAATGAGCTAAACAAATTAGAAAAATCTCTATTAGGGAAATAACACTGCTTTAGAAAAAGGGAAAAATTTTTTAAATCTTTTTTGACATATATAACTTAAATTCTTATATTGAGACCGCTAGCTTATTCTATTATATTTTAGATAGCTTGCATTCTTAAACATAGACTTATAAATTAAACGAAAAAATTTAGCTTATTCTTAAAGGGGAGATTAGGATTAGTATTGTTAGAGACAGACGTTAGCCATATTGTTGATACAGTCACCAAATATCTCCCACAGAGAAGGTTCATCAGCTTTTTGACAAAATGCTCAGTCTGTCTAGATGCAATTGGTATAGTTGTTTTCTGCTTACCTCGAAGCTACAGTTTTGAAAGGGTGGCTTATAGATTTTGGGACCCCAAGACAGCGATTGGGAGTAACCCTGATTTCAGGGATTAGGTCCTTGGAGTCTATTGGCTCCAGAGTGCCTTTCTTTGACAGCTATAGGAAAAAAACTGTTTCTATATGGTCAGGGCCAATCTCCTGGCTTCTCGCTTGAGAATGCTGAGGCATCAGAAGGACATTGCTGTGGTATATTCATATATACCATGGGAACGCAGCCAAAACCTACCCAGATACACGTTTTGCTGAAGTTACAGTATTTCTCGGCTTGGAGTCCGTTCCACTTCATGGCGGCCTTAATTTCGGACTGTTGTGTGAAGAGGGCAGGCTGACATATGCTGGCATTTTATTGTATATCCTCTTAAAAGGGGGGAATTAGAATGCTAATTATATTATCTGATTGTATAAACTCTATGCGTTTTTATATAGCAATTTGCATTTCATATGCAAACATAATTCAAATTTGCAAAAAAATTATTACATGAGTAAAATATGCTACATGCAATATCAAATATAGAATATCGGATATATTCTCCAATAAATCAACTTGCTTAGGGCAATATAAATAAATCATAGAAATTAATATTAAACTTGTCAATGGAAAAACACCAAGTTTCCATTCTAAATCCTATTGGAACAGACTTATTACGAAAACCGATTTCTAAATTTCTCCCGGAAAACAGACGAAGTAAATCAAGCATAGATTGCACAAGACTGCAATCTAGCAAAATATCACTTAAACCTTTAAATTTCAAGAAAACTCAGCCAAGGGCAAATCGAAGACACATGAGGCTTGTCAGGCTATTCAGACAAATAAAAGATTTTGATACCCTCTATGACGAAAATGATAAAGAAATGGACGATTTAATGATAGAAATAGATGGAATAGTCAGATCATGCAATTTCTTCAGTGTGAGAAAAAATAATCATCCTGTCTCCTTAGATCTCAAATTGAAACTGCTAACACCTGTGAGAAAATCCAATCAAAGATTCCAAATGAAACGGCTCAGCAAAGCAAGCTCCGCAGCAACATTCAAGTCAAAAATAAATGAGTCTTACTGCGATCTCGAAGAAGTTTCTGAGCTTTCTGAAGTTTCTTCAATACAAGAGCCAGAAGACCCTGAAGACATAATTTATCAGCAAAAAGAACTGAAATCCTCAAAAATCAAGCTACCTTCCTTAAAATTACTCCAAAAAGAAAACATCCAAGAACAAATAACAAAAGATTCTAAATCAGAGACATCAAGCAGTGTGAATCTAAGAAGAGATAGTGCAAATTCCATGGCATCAAGACGAAGTTTTTCCACCAATTCTATAGGCTCAACCGGCAGAAAAATTTATACCAAACAAGATCAATATCATAATCGCTCGTGTTTATTTTTTCAAATTAAGAAAAAATATTTAATTTATAATAGATGGCATATTTCAAGAAAAGATCATTGAGCTGCAATAGAGGACTTTCTCCATTTAAGATTGTATCAAGTTTTAATAGAAATGGATTCAATAAGCACAATCAATTTAATAGACCAAACGGGTTTAAGCGTCTAGACTTAAATAGCTCACAGGAAAGCTCTTTAAGTCTTGGGCTGTTTGATGACTATGTGAGTGAGTTAGAAAAAATTAAAAGTCTGAAACGATCGTTTCCAGAAAACAATTTAAGGGAGCTTGAATCGAGCGAGTCTTTATATAGAGGGCTTCCTAAATTAAAAGAAAAAATAATCCCTCGGCCAAAACCAGATACAAGTTTAATAATGCCTAAGCCAAAGCCAAGTATATCCATCAATGATCCAATTAATGTGGAATTAAAAAAATGGCAAACTTCTTTAACAAGGCACAGAAGGGCGATTACAACCCTAAACAGCTTGCTGAATCAAGCATCAAGAGTCGAATTGTAACTTAATTTGCATTATAATTTTCTAAAATTATTTAGTCTCCATTTAGGTAATTAAATTAATCCTTAATTAAAATATGAATGGGAATAAAGCTTTTCTTGATCTTGGATAAAGCAATTTTCCTTCCTTTCCGTCAAACTCTTTTTTATACTTTCTATGTCTCAAAGATGCCCAATTAGAAAGAATATAAATAGTCGCTAGCAAGAAAACATAAGCTGGAAGGCATGCTGACAACACCGCGAAGCTAGCCCATGAAATTACTTCCCAGAAGTAATTAGCACAGCTGACTAAGTCAAATCCCCCGTCGAAGCCAGAACGCTGTATTTGCCCATGCCCTAGCGAATCAAAGTGGATCGGTCCAGAGATCCATAACCCGACAAGTGGACAAATATATAGTGGAAGCTCTGGACAAGGCTACCCCGTAGTGGACGTAAAACGTTATAAATAACTTAAGACTAAGTCAAATCCGCATCCTTTTGGAATTCCTCTTGTTTTAGTTCCTGCAGGTCTTAGATTTCTCAGCACCATATGACATAAAAAGTTCATAAATTCAGATCCAAGAAAAACTACCAGCAAGGCTCCAAGTGTTGCTGCTGAAAAGTTAGGATCAGTATATTTAGGATGGAATAAGAAATACCCAATAAAAGCGCCGTTTAATATCCAGTAATAAGTGCAATTCACAAATAAGTTTTTAAGTGGCATCGTTGCATTAGAAAAGCGATGGACAAATAATGACTCTAGTTCACGCTTCAAAAAATGGCCCATGATGAGCCAGAAACAGATTTTTTGTGTAATTGTTTTGGCAGCTTCTTCTCCATAGAAAAGGTGAGGCAAGCAATAAAGGGCAGGGCATATAAACAATGGTCCAGCATATTCTACCATATACACAAATCTCCAGCTCAGTTGTGTTCCAAGATCTCTAAAAACAAGAACTTTATCTCCTTTAAGATATTCAACTAAAGTTTTTTCTTCTTCATAAAGAGCTGCTCCTGTTGGTGTTTTAATAGTGAATTTTTGTCTTTCTGGAGACCATTGTTTATCTGACTATGAATTACGTTTCTGATTGAACATTTTCTTGAAATCTTTAACTGTGAGCTTGTCTGTGATAGAAAATTTGCCTAGGTCTTTCCCTGATCTGCTGATCACTTCAACCTCCATTAAAGATAATAATTAACATTTCTATGCAATTATGGGGGAAGAAAATGCAAATCCATTTAAAGTTATTATGTTTTATTTGAATATCCTACAATTACTACTATTCTATTGGCTAACAAAAAAATTAAGATATTATAAGTGAGCCAGTATATGAGAAAAACAATGACTACTTTTTCAAGAAAAACAAAGCAAATAGAAAATAATTTGGGGAGAAATGAGGAAAATGATCATGAGAAAAGATATAACTTTTTAGAAGTAATTCGAAAGAACCAAAACAGATGAGATGACGATTTCAATTCTCATCAAAGAAGAAAAGCATTTTCTCAAGACTCAAAGTTAAAAGAATATCCTTGTGTGACTGACATTAGGGATTCTAAAAGTTTCTTTCAGACAAATAATAGAAGAAATAGCAACTTTGGGTCAATGAGGCCTTCTACGTCATTTTTGAACAAAAGAAAGCAAATCGACATTTCAAAATATAAAGAAAGAATTTCATCTTACGCTAAAGATATGCATTTAATTTTTAGAGAAGAGTCTCGTATGCAAAATATTAGATACTTCCCGAAAAGATCAGAATTCTTGAAATTAAGAAAAGCCAAAGAAAAAATATCAAAGAAAAAAGCAAAATTAAGACTGCTAGCAAATAATACCAACCAGATAGAACTGGATTTGTCTATAGCTTCCCCTGTGTGCAGTACTATAGGCCCATGCACAATTTTAACTTCTCCAATATCAACTCCTGTAACACCAATTGTGTATGAATGCCAGATGAAGAATAATAATTCTCTTAAACGAAGATCTGTAAGCAGCTGATCAAAAAGGAAAGAAAATCCTATAAAAATAAATTTACTTCTTGAAGATGAAAAATTTTCATTGACCCCTTGATAATAATAATAATAAAGTAGCATTTACTTGAATTAATATTCTGTAGAATATATATCTAAAATAATAAATTGGATTGATATACAATACATGGAATGAGTTTCAAATAAGAAAACAAAGCATATTATGATCACAACTTTTAGGCTTTTATATTTGCAAATATACAAAATTTAATTATAAAGCATTTCAATAAAGTTTTGTTTAAGTTTAAATTTAGGATAACTCTTCAAATCTCGTACTTCTTGGACCGCAGCTCTGAATAACAGTAGGTGGGCCGCCTAACTGTCGGCCTGTTTCTGTCCCCAAGCCCTTAGGATCTCTCTGATCTCACCAGATTCGGTGTATACTCATTTTCTTGAGCCGACTCTCAATAAGCTGTAGACTTATCTCACTAAGTTCGGATGCATGGCCGAGTCCATAATGACATTTTTAATTGTGAAAGTTTTGTTAAATTTTTGATATATATTTGAAAATGATTTCCCGACTTTGATATATTAATATCAGAGTTAATCTTCTTGAAGTGTCGCTAATATTTCCTGTATAGCAGTATCCATTTTTTGGATTTTTTTCTTTTTTTTAGGTTTTACCCTGTATTTAGACTTTGATTCATTTTTAGGTATTTGCCCAAATAATGAAACTTCCTTGGTTTCTCCAGAATTTATTTGGATTTTAAGCTTAGCAAGCTCTATTTTCGTTTCTCTCAACTTGAATTTCATATCTTGCAACTCATTTTCAGCAATTCTTTTTCCTGTTTCTTCTCTCTCTATTTTCTGCTTCAGACTTGCTTTTTCAGTTTTCAAGCACTCCCTTTTCGAGCTGAAATCTAAATAAAGTGCATTTTCTGATTAAAAATTACTTCTGTTTTCCAGGTTTTTCAATTCAGCATCAGCCACATCAAGTACTATTTTGCAAGAGAGCATTTCTTTGCCTGCTCTATTGCTGAAAATTTTCATTTCTTCTAAAATTTTATTCAAAATCACGCTGAGTTCTTCAGATTTTTCAACATATTTTTGATATTCTGCTATAAGCTCATCAAGCTTCTCTTTTTCTTTTGCCTTTAGTTCTTCAAGCTTTGATTTTTGGACAGATAATTTATTTTCTGCATCTTCTTGCTCTTTCTTCTTTTCATCTATTGATAGTTCTATTTCATCAACGCTCTTTTTATCTACAAATTTTATAGCATTTTGCCTTAATATCTATACAATTTTTAACCATAGAATATTATTTAAAATTTTATATCCTTGTCTATTTACATTTTTAATTGAATAATCTTTTTAGGTCACTCTTTATAGCAGGGGCTCTTTTACTTCTGAATAAAGCTCGATTGATTTTCATGTTCTGATTGATGTTCTTTATGTATTTATAATCGAGTGGGTTTAAGTCCAATGAAAGATTAAGAATGCTCTTGTTTAACCTTGAAGCTTCTGACAGCTCTCTTCCTGCACCATCTTTTAAATCGTTTTCTTTTAGTTCAAGTGATTGCAAAGTTTTATTTTTTTGTAATGACTCTGCAAGGCATACTCCTCCTTGCTTCGTAATTTTATTATTAGAAAGATCAATAGAGGTAAGCGAGGCATTCCTTCAGAGACCAAAAGAAAATAAAATGGTGACGTTGACGGAAATTGGACTCCGAGGCGCACCTCCTATGGAGCAGGTAGGACCCATTCCTGATGAAGCTGAAATATAGGGCCTCATTCCCTGTCTCAAGTAGGCCTTCAGGGGTGGGGGAGCTATGCCGAAAAGGAAAATTTTATTTCTCCTTCGAAGGTTTTCCCTGTCCATGCCAGGTGGACTAGACAGGTTTTTCCTACCACATGGTCTTCCCTCATCGGGACCATCGGGGCACTCCTCCAAGAGTGGCTCTGTCCAAAGGAGCTGATCCTCTGGACAGGTGGTTTTGACCAGAAATCAAGATGGCATCGAGCCTGGGAGTATAGTCGCATCAGAACCCGACCTGGAGTCATCTTTTGAGCTGAGGTGTTGTGGTCCGCTGGTTCGCCTACGTATGGCCATTTAAAACTAACTAGCTAACTAACTTCAGAGACCAAAAGCTATATGTTGAACCCCTTCATTTCCTAATAAATTCTTTTTTAATATAAGAGTTTTTAGGCTGAAATTTTTCCCTAGCTCTGCTTACCATCAGTGGACAAAATATTTTCGTTCGCTCATGGAGGTGGTTAATTTGTGTTTAAAAATTTTATATATATTTTTATAGTAAATTTATTTAAAAAAATCACAAGTTGCATAAATTCGAAAGCAAAAATCGTAAATTTATGTTTTAAAATGTGAATGTTTAAAATTCAACAGAATTAGTTAGAGATTTTAGTTATAACAATTATCACATATATATCAAAATATTTTTCACCAAGAATTTTTAATTATATCCACAAAATTTTTTGTTCGCTCACATATACTTAAAAAATATTGTTTTGCTTGCTCTAGGAAAAGGGAAGTAAAGGCTCAGTAATGACTGAAACTCCTTCGTCTTGAAGGTTACAATTCGACATATTCAAGTATTCAAGTTCTGTATTTGCTTCTAACAATTCTTTAATGTAGTTTGAAATGTGAGGGCCTAAAGGGTTATTTTCGATATTAAGAGCTTTTAAATGAGGATTGCTTTTGAGGGACCTGAACAGTTTACCTCCACCTCTAAAACTCAATTTATTTCCTGAAGAGTCAAATTTTTTCAATTTGCACATTGCACCATAAAGCCCATTAAACAGATTAGCAAAAGGTTCGATTCCTTCATCAGTTATATTGTTCATAGATATATCCAGTTCTTCCAAATTTGTATTTACAAGAGTTTTCGCTAGCAATTCCATCGGCCTTGCCCCAGAATTATTATTTGATAAGTTTAGAAATAGTAAAGTTTTATTCATTTTGAGCCCCTCTATCAAATTCACCATTCCAAAAGGCCCTAAAGCAGTGCTTGCAAAATTCAGATAAAGTAAAAGCTTATTATATTTCAGCATTTGTGCGACAGATTTTGAGGCAGTTGTTGAGAGCCTATTTCGGTGTAAACCTTCATGCGATGAAATATCAAAACTTATCATTGATGGATGCGCAGTCAATAAATTTAAAATCACCTTTGCCCCTCCAGGAGTAATGTCATTACTGCTTATATCTATATGTACAATGCTTTTATTTTTAGACAGACATCTTGCCAGATATATAGCACCTTCATCTCCGATGCTATTTTTTGCAAGTAGAATACTATAAAATTTGTTGCTGTTTCTAAGCATATCACATATGCATTAAAATGGCGACACGTGTCAACCTGCCCTCTTGGCGCAGCAGTCCAGACCCGAGCCGAGAATCAGGCTCAAGTGGTGTGTATCCGGGTAGGTTTTGGCTGCTTTCCTGTGGCTGGAAATGGAGGTGCTCAACAACGTCCTTTGGATTCGAGGACCCATAGGCATTCCTCTACCGAGAAGCTGGGGGTTTCGGCTCAGGCCACAGGGAACAGTCTTTTTCCTGTAGCTCTCGAAGAAAGGCACTTCGACACCCGATAGACTCCAAGGATCCCTGAATCAAGCTACTCCAATCGCCCTTAGAAGGGCCGCAGAAATCCATAAGTTGCCCACTCAAGACTGAAGCCTCAAGGCAAGGATGAGACAGAGGTACCGAAAGGGCACTCGTAAGAGGGATAGACCTCTGGGCTGGAGTCGAAAAGCGGACAACCTCCCGTACGGGAGGTCTTTGGTGACTGCGTCGCCAATATGGCTAGCACCTGACTTTAATAATCCTAATTCTAAGCAAATCACCTATTTTTTTAGCAGCGCTTGGCCCAATGCAGCATTTTCTCATATCAAACTTTCGATCCTTAAAGCTTTTGCCAGAAAACATTTGAAATTTCATTTCTTGTTCTTGATGGAGAGAAATCTGTAAGTCTTCACATTTAGCTCTGAATATTTCTGATAGCTCAGCATTTGATAAACCATCAAAATATGATGAATTAAGCAATGCTGTTGTTGTTTGCGCTGTGAATGGACGAGGAAATGATGTATTTAGGCAAGAAAAACTTTTTCTATTAGATTGATTTGTTTTTCGAATTGCATCTCTTGAGAGGGTTTTTCGTAGAATTTTATTGGAAGGTGTTGATATAGCAGTAGAAGGTCGAACTGGAAGAGTGGTGCCAGTGATTGCATTTTCAAGTTTGGCCCAATGCAAATTTATTGTGTCATTCATTATTTTTAATTTGTGAAAATAAGGGTTTCAACGTATAAATGATTTTAATAGATATTTTAAATATAATTTCATTAAGATAAAAAGCTCCTATAGTTAAAAATATTGAAAAGCTATTTAACTTATTAATAATTATATCTGAAATATAATAATAAATTAGATTCTTGAATATTTCTAAAACTTTTTAATTTAAACTTATCATCATATAAGTTGTTTTTATTTGGATTTAGTAAGCACCTTTTCATTTATATTAAGCTTGAAATATTGGCAATCAACAGCATAATGTAAAATATAGATTTTTCCCTTATTACAAAAAATACGCTTGGAAAGGACGAATAATCAATTATCAGCATTTTGATGTTGAGTATTATTTGTTTTCACTTCAGCAAGAAAAAATCAATTGAGTTAATTACGAGTTTGGAGTTCCATATTAAAGATATATTAATAAATATTCCAAATTAAAGATAAGCAAAAGCGCTAACGACATATTTTATTTCTTAAACATAGCATGCTTAACCATTTTTATTCTAACTGCCAAAACAAAATGAACTCTGGTCTTCTGATTAGTTCAAAATATATTAAATTCATGGATACTAACAACAATCTTAGCTTGGTCTTAAAATTTGTCGATAAATTTTCTAATGACTCATTTTTTTTGAAATTAAATATTAACAATTATGGAAGATCCAGAACTTCTTAAACAACAACTAGAATTCCTTCAGTTAGAGCTAGATGATGCCAAAGCCAAAGAGATTCAAATGAAAAATATGTATGAGTCCATGATCACAAGCTTAACCTCCGCAGACACATCAGCACTGCAAACAGTAATAACTATTAAGAATAGCTCAATAGAGGAACTAAATAAAGTAAAAGCAGAGTACGAAACTCTCATAAATACGATCAAAAAGAAACATAAAGACAAAGTCAAAAAGCTTAAAGCAGAATTAAATAATTATATAGCAAAAAATTCTGAGCTAGAATCAACACAAAACGATTACAGAAAAAATTTTGAGGATAAGATAATTGAGTTAACACATGAGATACAGATTATTACAGAGCAGAAAAAAGAGATGGAAAATTCGCTAAAAGAAATAGTTGAAAATTCAGATAAAAAATTGATTGAAAGGCTTAGGCATGAAATTGAATCGTTACAACAGGAAATTGAATTCGTCAAAGATGAAAATGAGCAAGACATAAGAAGAATTCACGAACAAAACAGCAAAAACCTTCAGGACTTTAAAGATATCTACGAGCAAGATAAAAAATTCCTTGAGTCTCAAATTAGGAAACTTCAATTTGAGTTAGTTGAAGAGAAAAGAAAAGCATTGGAAGAAGACCAAATTTCTATTGATAAAAGGATTGAAAATTCAATTTTAGGTATTGATGAAAGAATAGATGACCTAGAAAACACCAAAAAAGAAGCAAGAAAGATAATAGGCAAATGAAAAAACGATTTAGACAATCTTGTTTCCAATATCAGGCAAGCACTTACAGAAACCAGTGCATTATCATTAAAAAAGCATATTGACAGAACTGAGCAAATGCTGAACTTTGCAGACGACACCCAAGAAGAAATTAAAAAATTAAAAAACCAGCTACTTTTCTTTCAAAAACTAATAAAAGCTTTTGAAATTAATGAAAATAAGCTAAGAAGCCAATTAAATATCCAAGAAGAAGAAATCGATAAACTCAAAAGAGCAATTAGGCTTAGAGTTAGTGAAGACAAAAACACTGATTTTCAAAGCTTAATCAATGAACTCTCCGACCAGCTATTATGCAAAGAAACAGAAATCTCAAGATTGAAAAGAAAAATAGGAGATTTAAGGTGTGAAGCAGGAATTAATATTGCAAAACCTCCTATTCCTTCACCCAGAGGAAAGCATAACAGAGCCCAAACTACAATGACTAAAGGGAATATCAGCCCAATTGAATTAATCCCCTGCAAAGAAAGCACAAATGAAAATCCAGTAGAAGAAGCCAACCTTATGCTAAAAGAAATTTTAAGCAACTCTTCAGCAATTGAGTGTAAAATGTGCAAAAACTGCATATCAACTCAAATTTTCTATGAACACATAGAAAAATGCAAGATGGGAGCTATTTTATTTACTGACCATATTAATTACCCTGAAAAACTGAAGCAGGCTCAAGAAAAAATCGAAAGTTTGGAAAAACAAATAGAGATTTTACACATAAATATCGATAAAATCATGAATCAGAAAGAAAAAATGCGAATAGACAATGAAAAACTTATAATAGGTTATAAAGAACTAAAATTAAAGCTTGCTATGTGTGAAGAAAAATCAAATCATAAGGAAAATGAATTTATGGGAGAAGTCAGGTGCTTACTTGAAGTTTTAACGAAATTTAGAAGCAATGCGGTCCTGCCAAAAGATGTCTCTACTGAGATTGAGCATGCAATTAACCAGAGCGCCAGATTCTTTGGCGGAAAAATAGCAAGGAAAACAAAATCATATTTGGGATAGGTACTCAAAAATTAATGCAACTTTCAAATTAACATTAAAATAATGAAAATTAATTAATAATTTATTGAGCGCTTATTTTAATATCTCGATAAGAAATTCTTTATATTTCTCTAGACTTCACAGCCAAATTCTAAACGAAAGTCTCCATAACTGTTTATAATCATAATTATGTCAAGCCGCGGCCTACAGGCAAAACCAAACTCTGGCAAGAAGAGTGTTCGGGCCAAATCATATGGACCTCGAGTCTTGCTTAACATCCCTGATTTCAAAGCACTCTCAAAAATGATGGACACAGACCAAATTGAGCCCAAAATTTCAAGGAAAAAGCTTCCTGAATTAGAAGAACCTCCAATGCCTCCAGCTGTGGAAGAAGAAATAAAGGTAAATGTCAATAATCCTTGGATTTCAGATATGATATCTCAGAAGACATTAGATAGCGCTAAAGGCCTCCCTGCCAGGCATATTAAAGCAGTTATGAAGCATGAGAAAATTATTCCCACCAAAGATAATGAAACCAGTTTTAAGCTTGATCAATCTGAGCTATCATCTCCAGCAAAAGAAGAACTGCCAGGTTCAAACCCAGAAAAAACCAAAAAACTTCTCCAGCGAGAATACGCCAACTTTGAAAACCCTGATTTAAAATCAACAAGAGATATTTCAAAATTTGATTGCTGAATAGAATCAATGAAGCCTGAAGACTGGGTCAAATTTTATAAAGGAAAACCTGGCCCACATGGGTCTTCACCAGCTTTTGAGGATGGAGTCTACTCATGGGAACCAATAGACTTGCTAGGGTATGATTCCAATGCAAAAAAGTTTTTAGTCAGGATCAGAAAAAACATGCTTGAGAAAAAAGTCCAGCGTCTTGCTATTAAATTTCACGATGAAAATCCTAGCTCGGCCTTGCTAGTGAGCAAAAAAATCTTGTAACTGCCAAGGATTTTTAAATTAGGAAGACCTCTTAAAGGTGAAAGTAATAATTTTTTTAATTGAATATATATTAAAATTAATATATAATTTTTTTCAGGATTATTAAATATAATCTAATTTAATTTATATTAAATTATATTTCTAAATGTTTTATATTTCCAATATTTTTAGCTCGTGAGTTTTCCAAAAAATAGGGATTTTTTAATGGCTTTGATCTCTAGCCAAAGGGGAGAGTAAAGAATTCGAAGCGCGCGTCATCCAAGCCAGAGAACTTCAACAAAACTATGACTCTGAAGTCAGATTTTTGGACATGGTAGACGCAATTTCAGCTACTGATGTGTCTCAGCTGCGTAAAGATGTCAAGGCAAAAATCTTGAAAAAAGCTGTCGCTACAAGTTTGGAGTTTGAAAAAGACAAGTATATGGACTTGCTTAAACAGCTTGTGTCTGTAATTGATGAAGAATATGTAAGAGCGATGAAAAAGTGCGTAATTTTGTTGAGAATGCAGGACCCGAAAAATGATCATGAATTTATTCAGAAAAAAATCCCAATTCGGCGGTCAATTCCAGTTATTCCTGAGTTTGGGACTATTACTATCCCTTCCCATCCATACAAAAAGACGAAAAAAGAGCTTGATAAAAATCACTGGTATAAGACAACTTCAGTGGTTCAAGTAAATAAAATAATGGCAGCTAAATGCTATAGCTTTCAAGAGCATCGATTCTTAGAGACCAAAAATCTTCTTATGCCAATGGAGTTGAGAAACTTATACAATGCCCAAAGAAATCATCATCAGGCTATTAGGCAGCAAATTTCAATTCACTGGAGAGAATATTTAATCAGTGAAACCCAAGATAAAATGGCTGAGCAATATAACTTCTTTGCTGTTGATTCTGAAGAGTATCTAAAAGGAGCTTTACATACCATTTTAAGAAGAATGGATTTAATAATGAACACTCAAGTGAGGACTTTTGCAAAGCAAAGCATTGACGATTGGGTCGATTTCTTAAAATCGTTTTCATCTCCTGAGGAGTCTGAAGTATACAGAAAAAATGAGAAGCCTTTAATAATTCTCCAGCTGAATATTGAAGAAGACTCAAGAAAGAAAAAAGATGAGCAAGCTGATGCAGTTCCTGGACAAATTGATTTTAAGCCAACACTCCAGCAAGCCCACAAGTTTATAAGTGAATGCATTGATTGGATTGTAGAAGCAACCAATAAAATCACCAACCTTGAATCTGACTTGGTGCCATTCATGAATATTCCTAAAACCCCAGTTTTCGAACTAAACGAAGAAAGTGAATGGGTTGCTATCGCGAAAAAAGAAATTTCAGAATTGATGGAAAAATATCAAAGTGGGCCACTTCAGATTTTGGAAGAGTTTAAAGCTTTTGAATGGGTTGGGAAAATGAAAATAAAAGACTATGTCAAAGATTTGCTGAAAGGAAAGCCTTCAATTGAGAAGCTCCGAAATGAACTGCTGAAGCTCAAAGCTGCAAAAGAAGACTTAGTTTCAATATCAACCCTCTGGTCAAGCACAAATAGGACCTCGGGACCCCCACCCCATATACATAGCTTTTTGTAGAATATTTAATAGTTTTAAGCCTAAGTGAAGGAACTAAAGTTTTATACTCTAAACTATAGCTCATACCCCTTTATAGATCCCTTTATCGAGCAAAGTGTACTTGACTATTGAAAGACCAAAACAGACTCTCTCAAAGAGATGAGCTCAATCTCTATATCAGAAAGTTCTAAAAAGTGGCATGCCAAAAAATAGTGGCAAGTGTGAAAAAAGTTGGTAAGCAAACACGATTAGACTTAAGATAATTAATTATCATCTCTTTCGTTAAATTGATTTAATAAAATAATATCTACATGTAGATTTGACTATGGATTATCTTTAGATTTACATAAGTCAAGATTCTATTGGAGTTTTTGATTGATATGCTTACTGGAGTTATAGCACTTGGAGATCTATACAACCGTTACTCAAGAAGTTCCTCCTTTGCATTCTCATTTAAAAGTTCAGGTGCAATTTCTTCCATACTGAACTCTATCTTTATAATCGCTTAAATTGAAACAAAATTCAATTTTATAATAAAAAATTTTATAGATAAAAATCATAAATTTTATGTAAAAAGTTTCGGTATAAGTTAAATGTTTCTTCTTAACTAAAATTAAAAATTTAGTTATATCTTGCTCTTTTTTAAAGAAAAGAACATAAAGAGCTTTTTATTTAAATACATTTATTATCTTTAATTGCTATATTTTTAAAAATTTTTCAACAAAAAATATAATTTGTTGCATTTATTTTTTTATCATGCATATGATGCTATTTGAATTTATTATTTAGAAACCAAATATACGTTTCAAAACGCAGATTTTAGTGCGCCAAATTAATAATTTAAATTTTATATGAAAATAGTGTGTATAACTGCCATAAGAAATTAAGCCAAGGGATTATATTTTTTATTTAAATAATTTTGATAAAAATTTAATGCGAATTCTTTACAAAAATTGAAAATTTACTTTATTTCTTCTTTATTTTAGCAAAAGAGTATAAATAGCCACTTAATTAAACAAAATTAACACTTTGATCGATAAATTTTCTAGAAATTTATTAATCTAATTCGACACATTTTTTAATTTTTTTTTATAAGAATTTTATATTGATTTGTTTTATAAGAATATTATATTGATTTTTTTTTATAAAAAATTTTCTTAACCCTTCTTTTAAATTGGAACCAATTTAAAGGGAGGGAGTTAAATCAAAATCCTACTGGAGTTTTTGCACGATATGCTTACTGGAGTTATAACACTTGGAGATCTATACAACCGTTTACTCGGGAAGTTCCCCCTTTGCATTTTCACTTTTGACAATTTATTTCATAATGGACTCCATCTTTATAATCACTTAAGTCAGGATCCTACTCGAGTTTTTGATTGATACGCTTACTGGGGTTATAAACTATGATTTTTTCCAAATCCAGTGTCATAAATTCAAAGAAACTATGGATAAGAAAATCAACAAGTGCATGAATGCCTTACTCGAAGGAATCTCTAATTTCTGCTCAGAAGAAGTCAAAAATATCCAAGATGAGTACGAGTTTACTTGCAATAAAGTCAAGACAATCCCAACAAATGAAGCTGAGCTGTTCGAGCTTAAGCAATTTGCTAAGAACATCAAGCTGAAAAAACAAGAGCTTTTAAATAAAGAAAAAGAAGTAATTAGCCACACTTTGATACTTGAAGACTACCAGTTCAGACTAAATGAAGAAGTCAGCATTAATTTATGGCAGTGCAAAACTTGGCCAATTGAAGTCGAAGCCTCCACAAAGGAAGGCATCGGAAGACTTGAAGTTGAAGAAGAAAAATTCCGAGAGAAGCTTGAAAAAGAAAAAGATAAGTGGTTTAGAGAAATAAGCCAACTTCATACAGACTTCGAGCTCGTCCAGCAGTTTGCAGACTACTCCAATTCTTCTTCTCACTATGAAGACGTCAAAAAGCTTGAAGATCATTTAAAGCAAGCCATGGACCAATTCAACTCTTTTAACCAAAGAGAAACTCTCTTTGAGCTGCAGCTTTCAGATAAAACTGAGCTTCAAAATATGATCGACGACTTCGAGCCATTCAACAAGCTCTGGACAAATGTTAACGATTTCAAGTATGGGCACAATTCCTGGACTAACGAGAAAAAAATCCATGAACTCAATGCAATAGAAATTTCGAGCAATGTTGACAGATGGCTTAGAGAATGCTTTGTGCTAACGAAAAAACTATTGGAAAAGAGTCCAGAAGCTATCAATGTTATCAACCATTTGAAAGAGCATTTAACTGAATTCCAGACCAATATCCCTCTTATAAAAGCTATTTCTAATGAAGCTTGGGGAGAAGATCACTGGAGAAGAGTTGCCCAAATCGCAGGACTTCCATCTGAGCAGCTTGACGCTAAGCATGAAACTGTGTCCACTTTAATAGAAAAAGGATTGAAAAATTTCATAGAAGAAATAGAAGAAGTCTCATACAAAGCACAAAGGGAATTTAAGCTTAAAAAGAAACTAGAAGAAATGAAGAAAGAGTGTGAAGGCCAGTTCCTTGAAGTTTTGGCTTATAAGGACACTCATATTGTTAAGTCTGTAGAAGATATACAAACTTTGCTAGATGAACAGATTGTGAACATTCAAGCCATGAAGACTTCGCCTTATGCGAAACCAATTGAAAGACAATGCAAAGAATGGGAATATAGACTGCTGCATATTCAAGAGACTCTTGAGCAGTGGATGAAATGTCAAACCGTTTGGATGAACCTTGAACCTATTTTCGCATCAGATGACATTCAAAAGCGTATGCCTGGAGAGTATAGAAAGTTTAGAGGAGTTGATAGCCAATGGAAACTTCATATGGATTCTATTTGTAACCCTGGAGGAAACCAGGCTACTCAAAACACCAATCCAAACCTACTAGATTCTGTTGCAATAGATGGTGGCACTCTTACACTTTTTAAAGACGCCAATGAAAATCTTGACGAAATCCAAAAGTCAATGCATCATTACTTAGAAACCAAACGTCTCTCGTTCCCACGTTTCTTTTTCTTATCTGATGAAGATTTGCTAGATATTCTATCTCAAACAAAAGACCCTCTTCGTGTCCAAGAGCACATTAATAAATGTTTTGAAGCCATCGATAAAGTTGTTTTCACTGAAAGACAAGAAGTCACTCACATGATTTCTCCTGAAAAAGAAACTGTTCAGCTTATTGATAAAATTGATGTGAATGAAGGAGACAAAAAAGGGAATGTGGAGTTTTGGATGGGGGACATCGAAAAGTCTATGTATAAAACTATTAAAGAAATTACTAACTCCCCCCCCCCCCCCTCCGTGAGCGAACAAAAAAATTTTGTTCGCTCACGGAGGGGGTTTAATTTTTTTTTTTAAAAAAAATTTATATATAAATTTTATAAAAAATATTTTTTTTCGAAATTTAAAAAAATCCTAATTTGCAAAAATTGGGAAGCAAATATTAATTTAATTTGCAAAATTTATGTTTTAAAACGCAATTTGTTTAAAAATTAAACAGAATTAGCTCTAGATTTCATTATACTAATTATCACTTATATATCAAAAATTTTTTTTTCATTTAAAATTTTTTCTATTAAAAAAATTTTTGTTCACACTCACGGAGGGTGGGTTTTTGGTCAAAAAATGGCGATTTTTCTAATGGTTTTGTTCGCTCACGGAGGGGGGGGGGAGTAAGAAAAGCTTCAATGAGTACCAAAAACAAGAAAGAACCCAATGGATTAGAAACTGGCCATCAATGGTAGTACTAGGAGTCAATCAGCTGTGCTGGACTGCAGGGGTAGAAGATGCTATTAAAAATAATACCATGAAAGCGTATGAAGATAAGCTTACAAAACTCATTATGGGGGTTGTCGTTATGGTTAGAGGTAAGCTTGACTCTTTGCTCAGGAAAACACTTTCAGCAGTCATTACACTTGATGTCCATGCTCGTGATATAGTCACTGATTTGAAAACCAAAAAAATCACAAATAACAACCAGTTCGATTGGATTGCTCAATTAAGATACTACTGGGAAGGCTCTACAGACATTTCAGTTAAAATGGTCAACTCTTCTATCAAATATGGCTTTGAGTACTTAGGAAGCTTAAATTAACTTAAAGAAATCTATATGCGTAGTATCAACTTCGGGGGGACCGCACCAGAGCTTCCTCTATTTTTGCATGTGTCGGGCCCACAAATCGCTGGATCCATATGCTTCGAGTGAGCGCCTTTCTGTCCTCCTTGATGCTGTGTAACGACTAAAGGCTCCTTCGCTGCTGCAGGATAGAAGTGATAAACCACAGGCCTTTATATTCCCTAGGGACAAGTCAGAGGTAGGTGTGCCCTTTCAAGTTGTTTATTTGACTTGCCCAGATAAATTCTCATGTAAACCAAGCCTCATAATCATAAAATGTGAATGAGTGGTGCCGATCGGAGGATCGGAACCATAAGAATGTCACCATTTTATGATCATGAGCACTTACTCCCCCCTTTTAAATTGGAACAAAAAATCCCTATTCCAATTTAAAGGGGGGTAATTTTATTTTTAAAAAAAAATATAGTTTTTGAGCACAATATTTTGAATTTTAATTATTTTTATAAAGAAATTATTAAATAATTAATCGATTCAGTGTGAAAAATGTTTAAAGCCCATACTACTTGCATTTTTCTCGAAAATAGGTCAAAACTAATTTATAAGTATTAGTTTTTTCGTCTATAAAATTTCCCTATTGAAAAATATAATTTTTATTCCAATTTAAAGGGGCATAAATACCTAAAAAAATTGAAATTTAACATATATTTTATTCCAATTTTAAGGGGAGAGTTAGGAAATACTCCCAGGCTAGTTATCACCCCGCTTACAGATAGATGCTATAGAACACTAATAGGTGCTTACAACCTATTTTATGGAGGCGCTCCAGAAGGCCCAGCAGGAACAGGCAAAACCGAGTCAGTAAAAGATCTGGCCAAAGCAATAGCTGTCAAATGTGTCGTCTTCAACTGTAGTGACTCTCTTGATTTCACATCTATGGCCAAATTCTTTAAAGGCCTTGCCTCAAGCGGTTCCTGGTGTTGTTTCGATGAATTCAACAGAATTGAGCCTGAAGTCCTATCAGTCATTGCCATGCAAGTGTTGCAGATCCAGCAAGCAATCAGAGAAAAGCGAAAAACATTTACATTTGAAGGCACCCAGCTTAATTTAGTGCACTCTTGTGCAATCAACATCACTATGAATCCTGGCTATGCTGGAAGATCTGAGCTTCCTGATAACTTGAAAGCTTTATTCAGGCCTTGCGCTATGATGGTTCCTGATTATGCCATGATCAGTGAAATTTCTTTGTTTTCCTATGGCTTTGAAAATGCTAGAAGTCTAGCTGCAAAAGTGGTGGCTTCCCTACGTTTATCTTCTGAGCAATTATCAACACAAGACCATTATGACTTTGGTATGAGAGCAGTTAAAGCCATTTTGACTGCTTGTGGAAACTTGAAAATGAAGTATACTGACGAGGTGGAAGATATTTTGGCATTGAGAGCACTTAATGATGTCAATTTACCTAAATTCACCAGCAATGATATACCGCTTTTCCTTGGAATTACTTCAGATTTGTTCCCTGGAGTCACTATCCCGAAGATTGACTATGGAATTTTATTGACTTCAATAGAAGCTGCATGTGAAATGCAGAACTTACAAGCGACAGACGAGTTCAAGAGCAAATGTATACAGCTTTACGAAACCATATGTGTAAGACATGGGCTTATGCTTGTAGGACAAACATTTTCAGGCAAAACCAAAGTCATCAACACTTTACAAATGGCTCTAAGCAGCGTTCCAAATAATCCAGAATTCACAAAAACCCTTAAAATCACCTTAAATCCTAAATCCATCACTTTAAACCAGTTATACGGAAGATTTATCGCAGAGTCTCATCAATGGTACGATGGCGTCATTTCTCAAACATTCAGAACCTTTACTGCAGAAAAAGGCCCCGAAAGAAAATGGGTTGTGTTTGATGGTCCTGTCGACTCCAAATGGATTGAAAATATGAACACTGTACTGGATGACAACAAAATGCTGTGTATGCAGTCAGGAGAAATCATTAAAATGACTGAAGGGATGACCATGATGTTTGAAGTCGAAGACCTAAAAGTGGCATCACCTGCTACTGTGTCTCGTTGTGGAATGGTTTTCCTTGAACCTCATCGACTTGGCTGGGTAGTTTTGATCCAATCTTATGTGTATTCGCTACCTTATTTTATTAGAGACAAGCACGGAATGCATATTATTGACACTTTTTCTTGGTTTTCATGGCCATTAACTGAATTTGTAAAGAAAAAATGCAAACTCCCTGCACCTGTCACTGAAAATGAAATGGTCAGCACTATCCTTAATATTTTTGACTGCTTTATGATGGAGTTCAGAGATATGGTAAAAGAGGATGAAGCTGAATCTCCTACTAAAAATGCACCTAAAGAGCATGTTTTGCCAAAAGAGTTTGAAGAAGTCCTTCCGCAGTGAATTCTCTTCAGTGTTATATGGGGATTTGGAGGAATTACAGATGAAACAACAAGACCAAAGTTCTCCGAGTTCTTAGGAAAGCTCATGGCAGGGGAAAATGTGGTAGATCTCTATCGACTTCTTGATACCCCTGCAGACTGGGAACCCAAAAAATATGACGCCAAACTTCCTGGGGAATTCTTCGATATAGTTTTTGCAAAGAAACCCACCGGCTATCATTGGATGCAATGGGTAAATCTTCACCCTGGCACATATACTCCTGACAAAAATTCAAATTTCCACGAACTTATTGTCCCTACAAAGGACACTATCCGTATTTCTTACCTTATGCATTTCATGGCTTCTGCTCACAAGCATATCCTTTTCTGTGGCCCTACAGGCACAGGCAAAACTGTTTGTGTTCTCGATACCCTTCGCTCATCTTTTTACAATGAAACCTTCACTTATCTTTTTATGGCGTTTTCAGCTCAAACATCAGCAAATAAAATACAGCTAATCATGGAATCTTGCATGGAGAAAAAATCGAGATTTGTAAACGCCCCTGCTGGGAACAGAAAAATGGTCATTTTTGTAGACGACTTAAATATGCCTCAAAAAGAAACTTATGGAGCTCAGCCTCCTATTGAGCTTTTAAGACAGTGGATGGACCATGAAGGCTGGTATGATTTGGAAACCAAAGAATTCAAGAAATTCAAACTTATACAGTTTGCTGCTTGCATGGGACCTCCAGGTGGAGGAAGAAACCATGTCTCACAGAGATATTTGAGACATTTTAATAAGCTGTACATTGAGCCGTTTGGAGAGGATTCTTTAATGTCGATTTTTACAACTATTGTAGACTGGTTTTTCATTAAGCAGGCTGAGCCATTTTCACGAGCTATTGTCCAGCAAAAAGAAAATTTGGTTCATGCTACAATACAAGTTTTCCAGAGGATAAGCAAAGAGTTATTGCCAACTCCTGCAAAAATGCATTATATATACAACTTAAGAGACGTTTCTAAAGTATTTCAAGGAATTTCAAATGCGACTGCTTTAGCAATAAAAGAAGAAGCTGACTTGATAAGACTGTGGGCTCATGAGTGTCAAAGAGTGTTCCAAGATCGTTTAATAAACAATAAGGACAGAGAATATTTCAATGATCTTCTCAAAGAATCAATGAAAAAGTACTTCAGAAGAAGCTGGGAGGATGTTGTAACAGTTACACCCCTACTTTTTGGGTCATTTATTCCTATGATCTCCCGTGAAGAAGGCAAAGCTAAAATTCCTGACTTATACTGTGAGCTTAAAGATCAGACTTTGCTGCAAGAAAAAATGCATGAATTTTTAGAATATTACAACCAGATTTCTCCAGCAAAAATGAACTTAGTGCTCTTTATGGCTGCTATTGAGCATGTTGTAAAAATAGTAAGAATAATTCAACTACCGCTCGGGAATGCATTATTATTAGGTGTTGGAGGAAGTGGGAGAAAAAGTCTAACAATGCTGGCTACGTCAATAGCTGAGTATTCTATTTTTGAGGTTGAAGTAAGCAAGAACTTTGGAATGACTGAATGAAGAGACAGACTCAAGGCACTTTTCTTTAAGACTGGCCTGGAAAATCACCCAACTGTTTTCTTATTCAGCGACACACAAATTTCAAATGAAGGTTTCTTAGAAGACATCAATAATTTGCTTAATAATGGTGAAGTTCCTAACTTATTGGAATCTGAGGACAGACAAAATGTCATTGACACTTTACAAGAAGAAGCTAACCAAAACAAGAAAGGAGGCTCAGCAGAAGCAATTCATGCGTATTTCATTGAAAGAGTAAGGTCTAACCTCCATCTTGTATTTTGCTTGTCGCCAATCGGAGAGTCTTTTAGGACGAGAATCAGAATGTTCCCATCTCTGGTAAACTGTACCACTATTGATTGGTTTTTGCCTTGGCCTGAAGATGCATTGAGATCTGTCGCCCAGAATTTCTTAAAAGATGTAGACGTCGATAATCAAGTGAAAAAAGGGCTTGTAGAGATCTGTGTAGATATGCAAGAAAGAGTCACTAATTTAACAGCTCGATATAAAGCGGAACTTGGTAGGCATTACTATATTACGCCTACCTCTTATTTAGAGCTTATATATACTTTTAAGAATTTATTGAACACTAAAAGAGTAGAAGTCAAAAGACTTGGACAAAGATATGAAAATGGGCTGGAAAAGTTACTGGATACAGCGTCTAAGGTGTCTGTCATGCAAAAAGATTTGGAAGAACTGCAGCCGAAATTAGTGGTAGCACAGGCCGAAACAAAAGAAATGATGAAAGTTCTGACTGTTCAGCAAAAAGAAGCACTGGAAATCCAGCAGAATTGTGAAGTAGATGAAGCTAGATGTAAAGAGGAAAGAGAGATTGCGCAAGGAATCAAAAAGGAATGTGAAGAGAAGCTTGAAGAAGCTATGCCCGCTTATGAACAGGCACAAAAAGCATTGAAGTCACTTGATAAAAGTCAAATTGATGAAGTCAAGCATATGGCAAGTCCGCCACCTGGTGTGAGATTCACTATGGAAGCTGTTTGCAAATTGATGGCTATTGAGCCAATTATGGTTCCAAAAGCTAACGGATTTGGAAAAGAGCCAGATTATTGGGAAACTGCTAACTCCCCCCCCCCCCCCCCCTCCGTGAGCGAACAAAACCATTAGAAAAATCGCCATTTTTTGACCAAAAACCCACACCTCCGTGAGTGAACAAAAATTTTTTTAATAGAAAAAATTTTAATGGAAAAAAATTTTGATATATAAGTGATAATTAGTATAATGAAATCTAGAGCTAATTCTGTTTAATTTTAAACAAATTGCGTTTTAAAACATAAATTTTGCAAATTAAATTAATATTTTGCTTCCCAATTTTTGCAAATTAGGATTTTTTTAAATTTCGAAAAAAATATTTTTTATAAAATTTATATATATAATTTTTTTTTAAAAAAAAAAAATAACCCCCCCTCCGTGAGCGAACAAAATTTTTTTGTTCGCTCACGGAGGGGGGGGGGGGAGTAAGAAGAACCTCCTAAACAGGCCAAGACTTATGGATGATTTACAAAATTACGATAAAGATCACATGGATCCTGTCATTGTTGCCACAATTGAAAAAATCATAGTTAATCCAGAGTTCCAGCAAGACAAAATCAAAAGAGCTTCATTAGCTGCATATGGGCTTAGCATGTGGGTTAGAGCTATGTTTAAGTACGATAAAGTGATGAAAGAAATCAGACCCCGACAAGCTGCACTTGCTGAAGCAGAGGCCAGACTCAAGGCTGCTGAAGATGAGCTACGCGTGAAAATGGAAGCTTTGCGAAGCATCCAAGAAAGAGTCCAAAAACTAGAAGCTGATTATCAAAAAGCTGTTGATGAAGAGCTCAGACTTCAGCATGAAGTCGACATGTGCAGAATCAAGCTAGAAAGAGCTCAAAAACTTATTGATGGCCTTAAAGATGAAAAAGTTAGATGGGGTAAAGAAGCCCAAATTCTGAAAGAGAACTATAAAAATGTGGTAGGAGACTTGATGATAAGTTCTGGGATTATAGCTTATTTAGGAGTTTTCACAGGAACTTATAGGTCAAGCTGCATTGAGCATTGGATAAAGCAGCTCAAAGAAAAAGACATCCCAAGCTCAGCTGAATTTTCATTGAAGGATGTAATGGGAGACCAAGTAAAAATCAGAGACTGGACATTGGCCCACCTACCTAATGATAGCTTCTCTATAGATAATGCAATTATTATGGAAAACTCCTCAAGGTGGCCTCTGATGATTGATCCTCAAGTGCAAGCTAATGCATGGATCAAGAAGATGGAAGGTGAAAGACTTGACGTTACAAGGCTAAACAGCGATAATCTTACCAATACACTCGTCAATGCAATTAACTATGGTAAATCAGTTCTCATTGAAAACATGGGAGAATCAATCAACCCTGAGCTCGATAATGTTCTATCTGCCAAAAAAGGAAGTGAAGGGGTGGTCAAAATTGGAGACAAAACTGCTGAAATGTCAAGAGACTTTAGGCTGTTTATGACAACAAAGCTTCCGAGACCTCATTATGCTCCAGAAATCTGCGTAAGAGTAGCTCTAATGAACTTTATGACTACAGAGGAAGGGCTACTGGACCAAATGTTGTCGCTCACAGTCAATGCAGAAGCTCCTCATATAGAAGCAAGTAGACAAAAGTCAATTCAAGAAAACGCAAGAATCAGAAAAGAACTGAAAGCTATAGAAGACAACATTTTAAATCTGGTGTCCAACTCTGAAGGGGATATATTAGAAGACGAAACTCTTATTGAAACTCTACAGAAATCTAAACAATCTTCAAAAGATGCCTCTGAGCAGCTTGAAAAAATGGAAAACATCCAAAAGCATATCAATGATACCCGTAAGAACTACAAATCTATTGCCACAAGAGTTTCTCAGCTATTCTTCTGCATTGCTGATCTCTGCGTAATTGAACCTATGTACCAATATTCCCTTGAGTGGTACGAAAGAATTTATTCCCTAGCCATTTCTGAAGCAGAAAAAAATTCAATAGTCCAAGAACGTGTAAAAAACCTTATCAGTACTTTTACACTCCTTCTCTATCAAAATGTCTGCAGATCCCTCTTTGAGAAAGATAAATTGCTATTTTCTTTCTTAGTCTGCTTAAAAGTAATGACAGGTGAAGAAAGAATCAATCAACAAGAATTGAGGTTTTTAATGACTGGAGGTACCAAAACTATAGTCAATAGGCCTAACCCTACTCAAGAAGGAGAAAGAATGTGGCTAGAAAACAAAGATTGGGCTGCAATTTTGGAATTAAGCGAATTTGAAGCTTTTAAGAACTTTGATAGAGAATTTGAATTAAAAGTAGACGAGTGGAAAGCTGTATGGGAGTCCGCAGATCCTTTAGAAAGCGTGTGGCCAGGTGGATGGAAAGAGAAGCTTGCACAATACCAACAAATTATTGTGCTAAGGATTTTAAGACCTGATAAAGGAATTCAAGCAATTGAGCAGCTCATCACCCAAGAGCTTGGGTCTGAGTTTATTTCTCCACCTCCGTTTAATCTTGAACTATCATTTAAAGACTCAAAACCAGATGTACCAATTATATTTATTCTAAGTCCTGGTGTTGATCCTATTAGTGAAATAGAAAAATTGGCAATAAAGTTAGGACTGAGAGGGAAGATGGAGCCTCTATCTCTTGGTGATGGCCAAGGTCCAAAAGCTGAAGCTGCACTTGATCGCGCAATTTCGACTGGAGGCTGGGTAATTTTGCAAAACTGTCACCTTGCAGCTAAGTTTATGCCAACTCTTGAAAAAAGAGTTGATGAAATTGTTCCTGAGAGGACTGACGATAATTTCAGACTATGGCTGACTTCGATGCCTTCTGATTTCTTCCCTGTGTCCATCCTACAAAATTCTATAAAGCTAACGAACGAACCTCCTAAAGGGCTCAGGAAAAATTTAATAAGGTCTTTCCGCTCCTATGACCTTGCTGCTTTCGAAGACAATGCAAAGCCTAGAGAATTCAAAAGAATGGTATATGGTCTGAGCTTTTTCCATGCCTTAATCCAAGAACGACGAAAATATGGAGCTCTAGGTTGGAATATCCCTTACGAGTTTTCAATGAGTGATCTATCAATTTCGTTTTATCAACTGAGGATGTTCTTAAATGAATACGAATTAATTCCATGGGACGCCTTAAAATACATGGTCGCAGAAGCAAACTATGGTGGAAGAGTTACTGATGTTTGGGATAGAAGGACTATAAATACTATCCTTGAAGACTTCTATACAGAAAATATTCTCAAAGACAAGTATTGCATCAATGAATGCGATGTCTACCAAATTCCCCCTGAAGGAAATGTTGATAGCTACTTGAATTATATAGAAGAAAACGTGCCACATTATGACCAAACTCAAGTCTTTGGGCTTCATGATAATGCTTCAATTACAAAATCCATCAATGAAACCAGCTCTTTACTGTCTGCTTGTTTATCTTTATTGCCTCGTACACTGGCTGGAGCTGACAAAACGCCTGAACAAATGATGACAGAGATAGCAGTCAGTATATTTAATAGGATGCCAAATCCATTTGACATTGACGAATGCATGAAGAGGTATCCTATGATGTATAATGAATCAATGAACACAGTCTTAATACAAGAGTTAATCAGATTTAATAGGCTGCTTAATGTGGTCAGAACATCTACAGTGCAGCTAAAAAATGCAGTTGAAGGGCTTGTCACCATGTCAGCCGACTTAGAAAAGGTAGGAAATGCACTGTTTGATAACAAAGTTCCTGAAATGTGGATGAATGTAGCTTATCCTTCTCTAAAGCCACTGGCTCAGTGGATTGATGACTTTATCACTCGTCTAAAGTTTATGCAAGATTGGCTTGATAACGGCCCTCCAGTTGTCTTTTGGATTTCTGGCTTTTACTTCACCCAATCTTTCCTGACAGGAACTATGCAAAATTATTCCAGAAAATACCAAATCCCTATAGATACACTTTGCTTTGATTTTGAAGTGCTGCCAGAAGCCCAAACGCAAGACGTTATTTCAAGCCCTCCAGCAGACGGATGCTACGTTTCAGGTCTCTTCCTAGATGGAGCCCGATGGGATGATGAGCTGAAATGTGTGGCAGAGCCTCTTCCCAAAATTCTTTATTACCCTATGCCAGTGATTCACCTTAAGCCTACCAAGATTTCAGATCTTCCCAAAAAGCATGTCTATGAATGCCCAGTTTATAAGACTTCTAAACGACAAGGAACTCTTTCTACAACAGGCCACTCCACAAACTTTGTGCTTTCAATTAACTTAGCGCTACACAACTCTCACAAGCCTTCTCATTGGATTAAAAGAGGCACAGCGTTGCTTACTCAGCTAGATTATTAATTATTAAAATTTTTAAAATTGAAACCAGTCAAACCCTATGCTTATTTAAGTTAGCGCATATAAGGACCGATTTTCCCACGACTTCTCCCTTGCAAATCAGTTTGATAATCAAAGCTAGTGTCTCTAGATGCGAATTTCTTTATGTAAATTATACAAGATATCGCTCCAATTAAATAGATAGTCCCTGCCCAATAACAGACATGTGCATTTTCGACCTTGTCTTCAACAGGGATATATTCATAATCTTTGCTTAAAAAATACCCCATGCCGAACATGTAAAATACTCCGATTACTGAGATAAACAGAAAGTAGTAACCAGCTGCTGCACCCATTTCTCAATCTTTATTTAAGGCATATGATTTTCATTATGGAGTTGGAACAATTATAAAGGGAAATTTGGAAGTAGGTTTGGTGGCAATTATTTGGGGAATTTGAAAGCTAATTTGATCAAAGATAGAACGAAGATAAGGGGAAATAATGAGAATTTGGATAAAACAATTTTTTGGTATGGAGCTTAATAAGATCGTAAATTCTGAAGATGTTAGAGGAGATATGAGAAATGAATAAGATAGAAGGTGCGAAAGAGTCTAAAAATCTTAAAATGTGGACTTTTTTCTATGAAAATGAGATATAATTCAAAATGAAAAATCATTAATATATGACTTTATTATATCTTTATAAGTCGTTTTAAGCTTCTTCTAGAACAATTTGATAGCTACTTTTACCTAATTTTAAGTGTCTGGTCAAGCATAGGTCGCAACCAGACAGCCCCACCCCCCCCCTCCAATAAGGGAACCCCCACCCCCCCTTTCACAGAAGTAAATTTTTAAAAATTTGGCGTAAAAAAATCAAGTAAACGATATTGATCACTAGATTAACTCAGAAGAAGTTACTCTAAATAAATTGCTTGAGTAGTCCAAAACTAAAATTTTCAGGTAGGAAGTAAACCGAATTATCAACGAAGGCCAGGAAAATTCATGCTAGATAGGGAAGTGACGCTATCTAAACACTAATACGCGACATTTTAATTAATTAGGTTGAAACTTAATCGAATTTTTAAATTTTTCTCACTATTTTTTTAAAATTTTAAAATCCATAAATGACTTTGAAATACTGAACTTAGAGACTAAATATTCGATAATTAAATTCATTATAATACTTCTAATTAAATACAAAGTTTAGGAGAATTCAGTGTTAGCAATTAGGCATTTAACTAAAATAGAACAAATAAGCTAAAGCTTGTTACGCGCTTTATTTATCAATATATATTACAATTTTTTTGCGCCTTTATAAATGCCATTATTCGGAATGAAGAGGCATTAACTATATGGTAACTTCCATGCTATTGCAGTGTGCTTACAATCAATTATGCATATTTATAATGAATAGAATCTTTAATATTGACTATTGTTTTTTTCTATTTTATATGTGAATAGGAAAATGACTAGCTATTACCAAATTTCTATTCATTATAAATAGGTGTAAGTATAGATGGGTTTAGGCATAAGCAGGTCTTTCACAACAGGACATTTGGATCTGGAAGAGAGACGACCAATAACATAAAAACTTATGATCAAAAATGAAAAGACTTATACCTATTACAATAAATATCCACATTCCAATTGATTGGTGAGGAATGTTTATATCCATTATAATTAGATATAAGACTTTTAGAAATGAGTCAATATGAAAGAAGCACACGAACTAGACGATTATGTCATTTATTTTAAGTTCTTATTGAGTTACGACAGCCCTTAGCACACAAATGCTATTATTAAAGCATTTCAAGTCGATAATTGCTAGTTAAGCAATTAGTTAAATCTTTTTATAAAGCGCTATACAGTAAACTCTTTAAAATATGTATATTTGTTTTAATGTAAAAAATTATTTTAGGTCACCTCTCCAATATCTGACTTTGGGTATCTTTTTCAATTGTTCGCTAAAGTTCTTTAAAAATAAGGTTAAGTAAGCTCTCCTCTATCGAATTAAAATAGGGATTTTAGAATTTTTTATTGATGCAGATAGTGCAAGAAAGTACACTGAATTCTCCTAAACTTTGTATTTAATTAGAAGTATTATAATGAATTTAATTATCGAATATTTAGTCTCTAAGTTTAGTATTTCAAAGTCATTTATGGATTTTAAAATTTTAAAAAAAATAGTGAGAAAATTTAAAAATTCGATTAAGTTTCAACCCTAATTAATTAAAATGTCGCGTATTAGTGTTTAGATAGCGTCACTTCCCTATCTAGCATGAATTTTCCTGGCCTTCGTTGATAATTCGGTTTACTTCCTACCTGAAAATTTTAGTTTTGGACTACTCAAGCAATTTATTTAGAGTAACTTCTTCTGAGTTAATCTAGTGATCAATATCGTTTACTTGATTTTTTTACGCCCAATTTTTTAAAAATTTACTATTAAAATCAATTTTTCAGTTTCAGCGTTGTTTATTCGGATAAATACTCTCTAACATATTTAATTAGTTCTCCTGTATTTAATCCCTTAAACCTCCCTTATTCAATGCTTACTCGGGCTCCACGAACCGAAGATATATTAAATTTGTTTTTTTATATTTATAAATATAATGCCAAAGATATAGATAATGGCATTAATTATTAAATTAGCCAAGCACAATAGAATAACTTGCATTAAATTTATGGATTCATAAATTAAAGCTAATCTGATTACCATTGTACAAAGATTGCAGGACTGAATTGGCAACAGGATTCATAGTGGTAATAAAAATAGCATTTGCTATTGTCAGTTTTACTTTTGGATCTCTAATTCGACTTTTAGCCATTGTTCCACAAAGTTCATAAATATATGCAGGATATATTGCTAATTAATACCAAAGATCATTATTAACTTGCTAACAAATTTTTTCAGATTTGGTGAGCTTAATAGTTATAGGAAATTCTCACCCCATTCCATCTACTCCTTAATCGATTGTGCTACGCTATGTGGATATTGTATAAATCAGTAATTTTGAATATTCAAAATAATAATTTATTTATTACGTCTGCTCTAAATTGGCATTTTTCATATATTTTATGCTATATTAAGGGGGATGGGGGTGGGGGTGCCATCTGTGAAAGGGGGGGTGGGGGTGCCATTTTTTAGGGGGGGTGGGGGTACCATTAAAAAAGGGGGGGGTGGGTGGGGTGTAGGGTTGCTACCTGTGCTTGACCAAGTGTCCTCCTCAGCTAGATTTTTAAATTATAGATATAAAGATATTCATTACTAACTTTATTCAGTAAATTTAGCATCCATTTTGATGCTGCAATGCTGCCTACTTACTTTTTAAATTATTTAATTTATATAAATGTGTGGTATGTAAGAGAAAAACAGCACTTTAGATGCTATTTTCAAAATACAATTCAAAGTTCAAATTATTTTGTAGTCGAAATACTCTCATCTAGGGTAACTTTTATAACAAAATTGCTTCTTCGTTTGATTGCTATGTCCTCAAATTTTTGATATTTTAAATCAATTTTATTTGCGTTCTTTCCTCTGTGCAATGTGATTATGATCACATCATTGCTGATTGAATCTGCTTTATTTGGAACTGAACAGCCCATACTTAATAGGTTTTTATTTTTTTATAAAAACCATTTATCCATGTGTTAACTCCCCATTCCGTGAGAGAGCAAAAAACATATGTTCGCCTAAGAGGTTACTTTTTATTTAAATTATTTATTTATATATAAATATAGAGTAATTTTTTTCGAAATATTCAATTCACAAGGAAATATTTATTGAATTTGTAATTTATGTTTAAATTGCAATTTGCTCGGAATTAAATAGAATTACTAGAGATTTCATTATACAAACTATCATTTATATATCACAATTTTTTGATTGCTCAAGGAGGTTCTTGGGTAAAAAATAGGGATTATTTTAATAATTTTTGTTTGCTCACAGATGCGGGGAGTAAATAATTAAGTCAGTATCAGACTTCTATATGACTAGATCAGATTTTGTAATTGGAAGCTCTGTATTTAAGACCATTCATAATTTTATTATAATTTAAATCAATAAATTTGTGCTAGTGTTTTCATAGTTTTATTCGCCAAGAATTTTAAAAATGAAACCATAACTTTAACGGAAATTGCCTTATAATTTCGATATAAAATATTTATTATTTAAATATTCCAAACTATTTAATTTTATACACAACAGTGTTGCAATCTTCTCTTGTAATTGTAATCGACTTGTTGTCTTCTGCCCATTCTAAATTGAGGATATCTAAATACTCTTTATAACTAGACCCTTTTGACTGAACTTTTTCAATATTATGCACAAGCCACGGCTTAGAATTAGACCCACTCATTAGTTCTTGGAAAAAGCCTTTTTCCATTTTCCATATTCTGACTGATCCATCTTTTGAGCTATAAGAAGCTAAAAGCTTGCCTGTTTTATCAAATTCAACTGCAGAGACCGGGCCTTCATGGCCTTCTAAAACTTTCCATTGGTTTGCAGTTTTTAAGTCATAAACCACTATCAATTTATCTAATGTTCCTATTGCAAGTCTTTGGGTCAACTGAGAAAAACCTACCATTGGAAGCTTTTTAACAAGATTTTTTAATGCTTCTCCAGCCTTTTCTAACTCCCCCCCCCCCTCCGTGAGCGAACAAAACCATTAGAAAAATCGCCATTTTTTGACCAAAAACCCACCCTCCGTGAGTGAACAAAAATTTTTTTAATAGAAAAAAATTTTAATGGAAAAAAATTTTGATATATAAGTGATAATTAGTATAATGAAATCTAGAGCTAATTCTGTTTAATTTTTAAACAAATTGCGTTTTAAAACATAAATTTTGCAAATTAAATTAATATTTGCTTCCCAATTTTTGCAAATTAGGATTTTTTTAAATTTCGAAAAAAATATTTTTTATAAAAATTTATATATATAAATTTTTTTTTTAAAAAAAAAAATTAACCCCCCTCCGTGAGCGAACAAAATTTTTTTGTTCGCTCACGGAGGGGGGGGGGGGGGAGTAAGCAATTTTTCCTGATAATAGGACTATGTGGATCAAGTGTTCTCATAATAACCTCAATTATTCCTGGCAAAAACACAGCAGCCTCTTCATATTTTTTGGTTATAAACATATTAAGAATTGTTAGACAAGTCTCAGGAAATGTCTTCATAAATGTGAAATTGTCTATTTCTTTTGATAAAAACTCCAAGAAAAAGTTTACATCACAAGCTACAATTTTAAACAAAGCTTTATAAAATGTCCCTTTAAGTTCTGTATCTTTTTCGCTATGTATTAGCAGCTCTCTACATAAGTCTATAATCTGATTTTTTGTTAGATTAATTTTCCAAATCGCTATTCCTTCACCCAGAATTTTTGCCGCAATTGCAACATAGTTTTGGATTTTGGATTTTATCATGTTTCGTAGTGACAGAACAAGGTTCTCAACGACTTCTGAGTCTATTTGGTGTCTTTCAATAGCAAGGAATCCTAATAAAATTGAGCATAAAGACTCGATTAGACTTACATAATGGTGATTGTTAGCAGTTGTGCTATTGCTTTCGCTGAAATCAATCATTATTTGGCTGAAATTCACGATCCCGTCAATCTTTTCTTTACTTAAGGCAGGCATTAAACTTTCCAGCAGATCTCCAGCTATAAGATTTCCTGATAAAAACTGTAAAGCTAATACTGCAGGATCAGGGTTTTTAAAATTTTGGATATGGCTTGCATTAACTTCTCTATGGGAGTTGGCAAGCTGTTTTACATTTTTTCTTAAATTTGTTTTCAAGCCTTTAAGGCTATTTATAATTGATAAAATTCCTGACATTAATACAGAAGAAATGTAGCTAGAAATTTCATATCGGTCTCTTAGGCCAGGAACTGCAAAAGATAAGCAGCCATCTACACCTATAGTTCCAATAGAATTTTTCACGACAGGATCTTCCATATGTATTAATTCTTGCAGCCCATACTTAATTGCAGCATGAGCTTTGCATTTTTCAAATCAGCAGGTTAGCAGGCTTAAGACATATTCTAGCTGAGCTGGGGGCTGCTTTAATTTTGAAACCTTTTTGGCTATTGAGTTTACATTCAGCATTATTGTTGGAAAATCTCTTCCAGCAATGCTGACAGCTTTTACTGATAAAGGAGCTCTTGCTTCTACTACAAATTGTTGGCGGATATTAAATTGAAGAACTTTATGCTTATCAATCATGGACTCATCCATGTCTTCTAAAGTGTCTGTTGAAGCTCGAGCTCTAACTATTTGTCGTATATAATTTTTGCTTATTGTTTCATCAACTATTCTTTCCAATGCTTGTAGGCTCATATTAAAAATATATCCCTTTGCATCTTCGCATATTGCAATCAAGTAATCTTGAGTCATATGGATATAGGCTTCTTTCACACGTGCAGACACTGCAGGAAAATTAAACGCTACCTCGTTTGTGTTTAGGGAAATTAATAATATTGAGCCATCTTCGCATTGAGCTAGTAAGGTTTGGTCTCACTTTGCCCAAATTTCATCAAAATATTCAGGAGTGATCTCTGCTTCTCGGATTGGCTGGACTTGCAAGACAATTTTGATTAAGCTTGCACATACATTAATAACATGAAGTGGCTCTCTTTTTTGTATTTCCACACTTAATCGCTTTGATTTTCTGTTTTCTTCGATTTCATCTGTTGTGAACCCAGTAAATGCTTTAAAATTCCCCGAGATGCTTTGGGGTCTATTATATTCTTCACTGCTAATAGAATATCTGAGAAATGACCCTGCGTTAAAATTTCAAAAGCACATAATGTTATCTTCGCTACAAGTTACAAGCTTATCTTTTGATAGCAGGATACAAATAATGGCAGTACTGTGATATGAATATGATATCGCGGATTGCTGAGGCAAAAATGGACAAACAAAAACATTTCCAAGAGAAGTTCCAATTATATAATAAGGCCAGCTATCTGAGAGGATCACGGTGCTCACTGTAATAATTTCATTTTCTTTAAAAAGATGTAATAGTCTGCAGTCTGCATAGCAACTTAGGTCATTATTTTGCAAAGAAAAATTTATTGATTTTGACTCCAAAATGGTTTGGGTTTCCATTTCCTGAAGATTAATTGCAATAACTGCTTCATTTTTCCAGGCCAGAATCTTATTATTATAGAAAATAAAATTTTGCAATGGAGTATCAATTGCAGCAATAATACTGTCTAAAGAGTTTAAATTTGTCCCTGTTTTATATACTAAAATTCCTGGGGATAGCGCGGAATACGCTATCCCCAGGACCAACCGGGATCGGATCCACACATGGAACGGGGGTTCCATGTGTGGATCCATTTTTGACATGTGAGATATTTACTTTCACGTGTCAAAAATGGATCCACACATGGAACCCTCGTTCCATGTGGGATCCGATCCCAGTTGGTCCTGGGGATAGCGTATTCCGCGCTATCCCCAGGAATTTTCTATATTTAACGACTGAGCTTTTCATCCCAATAAAGCTTTTTTTAACATTAGGATCATACCCATCAATCATTTCATCGAATCCAATTTCATCCAAAATCATACCTATTTCATATCTCAATATTTTCCCATCGTTTAGAACAATATATAGAAAATCTTGCACAAACTCAGCTTTTACAATAATTCTGTCAAGCTCCAGATAAGATTTATCTTGCTGCTTGCTTCGAAAACTTGAAGAGTGGATAAATGTGAGGCTCGATTCATAAATTATAGCCATTAGTGAAGCGTCTTTTGCTAATGTGAATGAAACTGCTTGCTTATCTGAACTTACATTAAATGACCATAAGGGGTCGTTGGATATTTCGACGAGTTTACTCTTATTGAAATAATACTTGCTCAAGTCAGGAACATTCCATCAGCTTACTTCTCCTTTGTTGTCCATTGCGATTAAATTTCAGTTCCATGAGTGAATTCAAGCGACTTGTGATCCCATGGTAAAGTTCCCAATTTGTTCCATAGACCAAACGTCTATTAATAAAATTTCTTTAATTTCTCCAGTTGCTGCTATAATGCGCTTCTGAATTCCCACGATTTTGTCTATCTTATTCCTTTTATATTGATTATTTATTTTTCGAATATTATAGAAAAATGTGATTTAGATTTACAATTTAAGAATAGTTTGCTTTGGGATCATTTTTGATGACGAGGAACTAATACATCGCCCGTCGTTTATGTCCCAACTGCGTATTTTATTATCTGCGTGGAGTGATATAACTCACATATCACTACTAATGAGATCTGGACTTGGAGGTTTTATAAAGGTAAGAGCCTTGCATTCGGTATCTTTTCCGATTGTGCAGATAATATCAGGCTCATATGTTTTCAGTGATGAAAGCCAAAAGCAAATTTCGCCTGTGTCAGAACCTGTACAGATAAACCCTTCTCTAGCTGCAAGGCATGTGATTCTGTGAATAATATCTTGGGCATTCTTGTTCCAAAAAATAAAAGGTATGAGGGTTGAAGACGACATTTTAAAGATTTATTGGATCTTTGCACAATAATAATTTGTTAGATATGCTTATATTGATTTAATAAATAATTTATTTGGAAGCAAAGTTTTCTGATTTGCTTATATTAAAACTCATGGTTATTAGACTAAATTAGATTGTGCTGGATATTTATAGTCTCCACTTTCTGAAGTGCCTTGCATTCCGCAAACAATTCGCAGATTCGGGACATGCCACAAAAGCAGATTGAGCAGATAAATCGCCCTGCTTCTATCGTACACCTTTCTAGGCCTCGGGTACTACTGGTAAAAAAAATTAAAAAACTGCCGCTCGAGCCAGCCACTAATCAGCGAAACAGTGATGAGCTCTGGCTTCAAGGCTAACCTACCCCTTGACAGCTCTTTACACCAAAAACCACGTCTGGATATGCATAAGGACACCGCCACCAGGCGGACAGGTCGCTCGTCACGGGCATTTATGCATTAAAAACTCATGTCTATAAATAAGAAAATTTCTCTTGATTTTTATTTGCATTCAAATTGTTTTTACCTAAAAAGATTATGTTTAATAATCATGAAGTTTATACTAATAATATTTAAATCCATTTTTGTTTTTTATTCTGTTTAAGTAGATAGTTGAGATAATTATAAATTGAAAAATTTGAATTACATCAAAACTACTCAATTACTTAGCCATTTCTATGACTCATTTCCTCACATAATTCTTTTATTAGAACAGCCGCAATGGTGTTAGGAGAGCAATATTGCATTTCAGGATTCTGCTTCGCTTTCTTGATAAGACAATTCCATCGATTTTTAACGTTATTTTCGTTTCGTCCAGGGAGTTCTTTTGCAATTATACTCCATTTATTTCCAAATTGCTCCTTTAATTGGAGCAAGTATATATCTTCTTCATAAGTCCATTCTCCTTCTAATATAAATCTTACTGTTGAGTTCTGGATTTAAATGGTTGTGCCACCTTTCTCGGCAGTGTTTACCTTTTCTGACCTCATTCCCTTCATGAAACTCCTTATTGATCTCTTGTGCAACTAAAGCTCATTTCTTCAAGCCATGTAAGTTGACAAGTTCTCCAAGGAGCTTTTCTTCGTTTTCTTTTCATGATACAGTTCGTATGCCTCCTCTGCTAATCTTTGGTTTATTGTTATTAGCTACCTGTGAATTCATGTTTGGCATAAAGCTCAATGTTTGATTGAGATTGTATATTGGGATATAAGTGTTAGTGCTAAAGTCAGGAATGCAAGGCACCCAGACACACCCTTGGGGAATGCTTTCAAAATTAGGGAGCTGCAGGTTATATTGATTATATTGATGAGATTGCCAATACAAATTATTGTTCTCCTTATCCATTGTTCTATTATTGCCAACTAAGCAGTACACAGATTCAATAGAGCTGGTGAAGTATTAACGATAGCAAAAAGTTCAAGTAAAATACATATAATTTTAACATAAAATTGAGTTCATGGTTGCGTTTAGATTTTGAATTTATCAAATGAGATATTTTATTTGCCAATTCCTAGATTGAAGCAGCTTAGTAACTCCCCCCTTTTAAATAGGAATAAACATAGGTATAATTCACTTATTATTGGCACTTTAGCACCCCTTTAAATTAGAAAATTTTTTTTTTATCTATAAATTATAGGTAAAAATACTATTTTTATAAAATTAGTGTTGAGCTAATTTTATGGAAAATTGCAAGCCGAATATTATTTAAACAATTTTCACACTAATTCTATTAATTTTTTTAACTAATTTTTCATAAAAATAATTAAAAATCAAAAATATGGCTTCGATTGATATTTTTTTATTTTAACCAAAAAATTTTAATATAAACTTTTTTTAAAAAAAAATTAGTCCACATTTAAATTGAAACAGGATTTTTTACTCCAATTTAATTAGGGGAGTAAGTTCATGATCTGATTCCTTCTGCCATAAAATATCTATTATCCAGTGCACTAATTTAATGAATTTTTATTAGAAATCATTAGAAGGTTTTGAATAAAGTAAAAAGATTTTTCAAAAAAATATATTAGTAACCTCCATATATTTTGAAAAATATGTCCAAGCTAGATTAAAAAATATAACTATGCATCAATAATATCAAACCCAAGCATAAATAGTCAGATATCAAAAATTTTACAAAATTTCCCAGGCAACTTTTTCCATTTCTTTTCATGGGAATTTACAAATTTTAATTTAAAATTAATTTTTAAATCTGACAATAAGGTAAATTCAAGTAATAAATTCCTTTAATAATTTTAAAGTAAATTCAACTTGAGACACCATTTATGATTTAGTAATTTTATATCTTTTAAAGTAATCTATTTATTTTCAGCCTTCTTTTTAGCTTGGTTTTTCCATTTTCTTCCATATAATTTCTATATAAATCTTACAGCTATAACCATTGCTCTAATTGGCTTTACAGCTTGAGTGATTTCTTCCTCAGTTGGGGCGATAATTGGTTCTGTGGTTGGAAGTAGAGGATGACAGTCCATATTAATCCACGGATCTTGAAGCAATTCATACATCTTTATTCTTGTTTCAGGATTTTTGTCCAGTAATCTAACCAATAAATTTTGCAGCTGGGGTGAAATTTCCACTGTTTGATCAAATGTTAGCTCAAAGTTTTGGATTGCATCAAAGATTGATAAAAGAGAATCTCCTGCTGAATAAGGCAAGTTTTTATAAATCATTGCATATAATGTAAGCCCCAACGCCCAAATATCAGCTGATTTTCCTGAAAAACCTTCAGTTTCAGGTGAGCAGCACTCAGGTGGGAAAAACTGATAAGTCCCTAAGGTTCTGCTTTCTACATCACTTTCCCCAAATATATGAGCTTGACCAAAATCTCCAATTTTTACATTCCATTCATCAGTCAGTAAAATATTTTGTGGTTTAATATAGCGTAACTCTTCTTTTATATTTCTGATAAATAAAACTTAAAAAATGAAAAATGACTTTAAGAAAGGCATTTTTATAAGCTAAGCAAAAGTAAAATTAGCAAATTCGAGTTTGCTATTTTTTCTTCAGAAACAAAAAGGACGCTTTTAAAGTCATTTTCCTTTCGGGTATATTTTTCTAAACTTCTAAATAAATGCCTACGCTATATCTCTATGGATAATATTATGATAGTGCAAATACTCCAGTCCACATACCATGTCTCTAAAAAATTTTCTAATTTGCTGTTCTCTGATAACTCCAGAAGAGTTCCAAGGGAAATAAAACGTCTCATTATCAGCATCCCACTCCATAATAGCGCCTTTCCCACAGAAATCCATGATCATGTAGAGTTTGTCTCTATCTTCATCATCAATTACTTCATATAGAGAAACCACATTAACATGGTTTAATTTTTTCATCAGCGCAATTTCTTTCGCTACGTCCTGTAGAGCATTGGTGACAGTCATCCCGCCGTCTTCATTCCTGTAGTAATCTCTCTTTTTGCGAAGCAGCGCTTTGTTATAGATTTTGACAGCATAAAGCTCAGCTCCTTTTTTGCAGAGCTTTACCTTTCCAAATGCTCCTTCTCCAAGGTTTTTGATGATCGAGTACTGGTTTACCATTGTGTTTCCATCTTGGTCGACCCCACGGACAACTTCATTGGTTTCTATAACTGTGTGTTTGACCTCTTCTTCTGACATCTTTGTGCTATTGCAATATGAAAAATCCATCACTCAAGCATAAATTAGGACAAAGGAAAGTGAAGCACTTCAAAGAGAAGAAAATCAAAGAGGAAGCGAAGCAAATAGAAGTCCTTGAAGCTCCTGATAGGTTCAAACATCTATATAAAGAGATGAGTGGAGGGGAAAAAGCAAGAGGAAATGAACTTCCAAAGCCAAATAGATTTTCTAAATCTCTAACATATAGAGAGAAAGCCAAAAAAGAAAAAGAAAAACAAATCAAGCAAAAAGCTTATGAAGAAAGAAAAAAACATGAAAAAGAAAAACAAAAATTCAAGACAGCGCACCTTTTAAGTGCAAAAACAAAAAAAGGCCAGCCAAAACTTGGGAACCTAATGATGCATATCTGTGATAAATTAGGGGTAAAAAAATAAGCATTTTTAGCAGCTTTAATTAGCATAAACCAAGAAATTTCTAAACTTTAGGTGCATATGTGCGAAATAAGAATTTTTTAGTTTTTTAATTAATATGAAACAAGAAATTTCTTCACTAAGAGCACAGCTAAAAGAACTGGAAGACGAACTAGACCGAGTCAAAGGTGAACATAAAGTCAAGGAAGCACAGAATTTACAACAAATCGACAAGCACAAGCGAAAATGAGAAGTCAAGCATAAAGCACTTTTAAAAGACATCCGCCTGACTCAAGAAACATATGAAAGAGAAAAGCACAAGTGGCAGAGCCAAATGCAAGGTCTTGCAGATACTTTGGTGGCTATTAAGCAAGCTTCTCAAAAAGAAGAAGAGTCAGAGAAAAAGTTTTTACAACAAATTGATGCAGAGCTGATTGCAGTTGCTGGCAGAATTCAAGCAAGGTCAAGAGATGAGTCGGTTTCTATTGAAGGAGACACCATCCAAGATAGCATGAGTGAGGATTCCGCCATGCCAGAAACTACCAATAATCTCGTGAACTCAATAATAAAAGCTCGGGAGCTGATTAAAATGCTATTAGAAAGAAATACAAGACCGCCTATGTCAATTCCTCCGTTAACCAATATAAACCCTCCTAACATAGAGCCACTTGATATCTCGAAATCGCTGACAGAAAGCTACAGGGATTCTTCAATTTATAACAAAATCCTTATAAATGATGATATTTTGAACTCTTTGTCAATGTCAGAAAGAGAAGCTGTTGTATATTCACTTATAAATGCCGGGGCAGGGATTGAGGAAAAGAGAGATGTCAAGCTAGAAGACCTTTTAAATATCACAGGGGCTGGAGCTGAAGAAAAATTTGTATTGAGTTCAGCAAGGTTGGAAGATTTGTCTAGCATTATTGAAGAAGAATCTGGTGTTGACTCTGCAAAAAATCCTATTGGGCTTACGTTTACATTGCCAGAAATCAAAGAAAATGATGCTGAATCTCCAAGAACTTTAAATAAAGCTGCTCACATTAATCTAAGTCCTATTTCTACACCAAAGTCAGGGAGATCAGAGCTTAAAAGGTCTCAAAGCTTTGGATACTCACTCCCCCTTTAATTGAAATTAGATATCGGTAAAATTTTTATTGTTTTGGGTATATTAAACCTCCCTTTAATATGCATAAAATGGCCAGTGACGAGCGACCCGTCCTACCTGTGTTGAATGCCCTTATATATATTCGGAACAGTTTTTTGTGCAAGAAGCTATCCAAGGGTTGGGCTAGCCTTGAAGCGAGAGGCCCGGCATATTTCCGCTGATTAATGGCTTGGCTCAAGCGGCATTTTTTGCATCTTTTGGCCAGCGCCTACGCTCAAGTTGAGTGCTCGATAGTGGCAGGGAGACTTACCTGCCTAGGCTGCTTTGTGGCCTGTCCCGAATTGCGTAGACGGTTGAGCTTTCCTTTGGTGATAAGTCAAGGAAAAAGAGAAGACAGGCTAAGCAAGATTCTTAAGGGTCACAGTCTCTCCAGTTGAAAAGAGTGCCTTGAAGGGGCGATCTGGCCTGAGCTAAGTCGGGCTGGGTAAGCTGGCTGCTTGGGTTTGGAATGGAGGTTTCGGCAAAATCCATATGGCTCGGACTATGAGGGAAAATGGCTCTATGGAGAAGCGGTGTTTCGGTCAGGCTTAGTAATCTTGGAGCTCCCAACCCACAGCTCATGCCGTGAAACGCATGGCACTTAGGACGTTTGGACTAAAAATATGCATCTCTCATCTAATCTAATCTAATCTAATCTAATCTAATCTAATCTAATCTATATTAGCCTCTCTTTAAATTAAACAAAATTTTTTTATGCAATAATACTAATTTTTATATAAATGGCTTTGATTTAGTTTAATGGAGGAATGCAAATATAATGTTGTTTAAACAACTTGAGTACTGAATTGATTAATATTTTAAATTAATTCTTCATAAAAATAAATTAAAATCCAAAAAACATTTAAAAATTTTCCACAAATTTTTATTGAGATATCAAATTTTTTTGAAAAAAATTAACTCCTTGAATTGGAAAGAATTTTTTGTCGCATATTAAAGGGTGAGTCAGATGTGCCAACACCTTTAAGCGAAAGCAATGAAATGAATAAAGCACATATACAAGACGACCTCGAAAGCAAAAACTCAAAATCAGGAAATTTAGAAGGCACAGCAGAATTCGAAAGGCTGAAAAGAGATTACAGTGGCTTATTGGAAGAAGACTAGGAAAAATTTTGACACCTTAACTATGATTTTAATTTCCATTTTAAACTAAAGTTGCCAAAATTAAATAGTCAAATGTTGATTCATACTTCAGCTGATGAATTTATTAGTGAAAGCTCCCGATCAAGCTTAATCCTGAGCTCATTTTCAATGAATCATTTATCAACATCATCTAAAAACCTATATATCCAATGACGACTAGCGGAGCTGATTGCTGCGATTTTTGCTGTGATTGGAATAATAACTTCAACAGTTGATTATGAAAAAAGCTACTCAGACGATCGAACACATTCAAACTGCAAGGAAAACGAAGAAGAAGCCTTCAACTGAATCACTTTTGCATTTACAGTGATTTCATTAATTTTTCTTTACATTAGGCATCAATCCAAGCAACAATGATACAGGTTTCGCAGAAACCCTTTTCTAGTAAACACACTAAAATATGATGAATTCAATCGCATCATCAGAAAAAAACGAAGACGACTCTCCATGAGCTTTTTTATGGAATTCATTATTTTATCAATTTTCCCTTACCCTTATATACATTGACCAGTTTACATAAACCAAAACTACAGACTTGCTAAGGCAGATGGAGAAAATAACACAGTTGAAGTTTGCTATATATTTACTGAATTTTTATATGTATTCATGTATGTGAGAGTCTTATTTATATTCCGGGCTATATTTAATTTAAGTTCTTATCAAGATGACCACGCAAGATACTATTGCGCTAAATATGAAGCTAAATCAAATGTAAGATTTTCAATAAGATGCCTGATGAAGACACATCCTTTTTTTGTAGTTGCTGTTTTCATTGTTCCAGGGTTCCTGTTGTTTGGGATATTTTTAAGGGTCTTTGAAAGGCCTTATACAGATATTTCTGGATTCGATTTCGAGTCGTATTCGAATGCTGTGTGGTGCTGTGCAGAAGCAATAGCAACAATTGGATTTGGAGATCTATATCCGGGGACTCATTTTGGAAGAATGGTTACAATTATTTCTGCTTTATGAGGAGCTTTCGCCTTTTCTATGGTAGTGTTTATACTGGAAACGTCATTACAGCTAGACACCAGCCAAAATAAAGCATTTTATGCTATAAAAAGTACGAGGACCGCAGGCATTGTAGCGATTGACGCATTCAGGCTTAATCTCATAAAGAAGAAATATGGGGTGAGAAGCATGGGATTTAAGCAGCAACTGCAAGAGCTGGAAAAATCATTAAAAGCATTTCATAATACCAATAAAATGCTAAATACCATACAAAGTAAAGAAGAAGCTGGGCTTCTGCAGACAAAATCCAAATTCAAAAAAATAAAAACAAGACTTTCTAGGATAGAATCAAAGCTTGACAAACTACTGGGAACAATTAATTAATATTTCACTTGTATTAGCCCATATTAATCTAATTTTTAAATATATTTATATACAAATAATGGAGTCTAAAAGCATAGGCAAAGATTCTATGCTAGGGTTTTATATGATGCCTCCTACAATAGATGAGAACTTTGACCAAGTCGCATACCAAGAACATATAAAGAATCTTGACAAATTAATTGACGCCCAGAAACTGGAGGTCGAAAACTTCTCGCCTGATGACTTCAAAAATCACCAATTGCCTCTAGCTCGAATTAAAAAAATAATGAAATCCGACGAAGATGTCCGCATGATAAGTGCAGAAACCCCCGCACTTTTTGGGAAAGCGTGTGAGCTGTTTATAATAGAGCTGACCCATAGAGCATGAATCCACACTGAAGAAGGAAAGAGAAGGATTTTGCAAAAAAACCACATCACGGCTTGCATTGACAAAACAGATATTTTCGATTTTCTCCAAGACCTCGTCCATACAAGAAATAGTTAGATTAAATATCAAATACCTTGGGTAAAATGATACAATTAGGCTTAATTATCATTATTGAGATTTAAATAAAATAATGGTACTCATATTTTTCCTTGTAGTATTACAAGTGTATGTATTTGGGGTTGCTGAAGATCCGTTTGCAGCTTACCTGTCAGAGAATGAATATTTAAACCTGAATTTAAATGATTTTTTTGAAGGAGAAGAATTGTCATTTTCTGTAGGTGAAAATAACTTTACAGGGGACTGCCTACAAATCTTTGATCCAATTTATTTTAATACCACTCATTCAATTGAATTAGGGAGCATTAGAGCGCCTTCAGTACAGGAGACCCCGAATCAGAGGCAAGTTACATCATTTAGAATGGAGAACAAAATGATAATGTTCGGATTTTTCCAGAGTTATATAGAAATTTATAGCTTAATGCTGACAAATGGACAATTAGCGATGCATTGAAACGAGAGCTTAGATTATCAGCATATGAACCCAAATATACTGCAGGTAGCGTTATTTACTAACTTCCCCAAGTAATAAACAAGTTTGCTTATTCGTGGGCGGTTTTAGCAAAAAATTTTAAAATTTTAATAAATTGATCGAAAATTGTTTATTATTGGGGCATTTTCAATATACATAAAATGGGCGTATGGCGACCTACCGTCCTCTCAGTGACGGTAACCCGTGTATATCCGGGCATGGTTTTCCGGAGAAGCGACTTAGCCCAGCAGTATCTGGACCCTAGTGGCGACTAGGGACGAACACAGACCCGCTGATCGTGACCAGATCCTAGGGCAGTTAGTAGCATCTCCTTTTTCCAGCAGCGCCCAAGTCAGTGGGTGCCCGAAATGGATCAGGGCGACTTACCTGCTCAAGCTGCTACTGTGGTCTGCCCCGAATCGCGGAAGCGATTGAGGATTTTATCAAGCGGATAAGCTGATAAAAGGGAGGCAGATTAGACGGCCTAAAGGCGGTCTCTCCAGTTAAAAGGGTCCCTTAAATGGACGATCTGGCCACCCGGAGACAAAGACTGGCGTAACTCGGGACGAAAGGCTGAGTTGGAAATGGTGGTGCTCGGCGACGGTCGGCTGACGACCCAATAGGGCAACCACTACCGAGAAACCAGGGGTTTCGGCCTGGGCTCAGAGAACCAGTGATGGAAGTCCATCCTTTTCGCTCGTGCCAGCACGGCTCCTCACGGAGCGCGGAGGAATGTCACGCATGGAAGAAGGGACCTTAAATACATATCGTTAATTATTATTATTATTGTGGCATTTCAGATTAAAAGGCATAAATGCAAATTTTGGGCATTTCCCCAATTTACAATTGAAAATTTGTGCCAAGCCCCTACGAATAAGCAAGAGTTTACTTATTATTGGGGGAGTAATGGTGACAGTAAATATGCACTTATTCTGCTCGGCCAGTTAGAAGAAGTTGACGGACAAAATGTGACGAGAAACGATTTATATGTCATGAATGTTACTAACCCAGAAGAACCTGACCCGCCTGTGCTGCTAAACTTGTGGGATGTGAGATATACTTCTAGTTTGAAAATATCAACTGAGATACAAGGTACTGTAATAATACCAATTTCTGGAATTTTTTCTGCAAGCTTTTCATCTTATAACGGTGTGCTTTTTGTATATAATTTCAGTGATCCTTATGGCCCAGTGCTTATGCAGACTGTAACGAGATATTTTACACTGCCTAACGCAAATAATTTAATCCCTAATCCAGTAGATTCACTGATATTAGATTCATGCATTTATCTGCTGGATGCCAACATTGGAGTCATTTTATACTTACTAAATCCTGAAAATGAGTTCTTTTTTGAGTCAGATTATTTTGACTTATCAAGATTTGGTAGAAGCTTCAGTATTGCGTATAAAGATAATCCTTCCCAGCTTGAAAGGGCCATAACTGTTGGCACTGAGCAGGGGATCATTGCTTTCAGTCCTATTAAATTTGATGAAGTATTCTGAGTTACAAGCTATGACCTATATGGAAATGTATCGCCAATAAAATCAAGTCAAAACTTGCTGAATTATTTCTTTTTAGATGTCTTGGGCCAAAATAATACATCATTAATGGTAATCCAAGATCGATCGATTTTTGAGCAAGATATATTGTTTCATTTAGACATAGAAGCACTTGTGGGGCAGAATTTTGATCCTAATGGGATGTGAAAAGTGTTTTATGGCTTTTATGGGCAATTTTTCTATGTGAGGTTTGATCTTTATGCAATAACATCTTATGGGTTTACACTGGATTATTGAAAATTGATTGTGACGCCTGGTGCATTACCTTATTCTGCAGAAATAATCGCTGAATCAGCATTGCAGACAAATGAAAAGTCGACAAGATGAATTACAGTAATGGGAATTCCTGAAAGTGTTAATGCCATACTTTATATTGATGGATATACCCCAATTCCTTTAGAGCCTATACAAATTAATGTTGAATTTGACGGATTTGTCGCCAATATTATTGGTAATCCAATGAACTATTTTTCTGGGCCAAATATGAATTTTTCTATACAATTAAACAGCATCTCTTCAGATTTTTCATTTAAATATTCACCTTATGAGATAGCCAGCTACTTGGAAACTGTTCCAATCAATATGAACCTTACCTCTGCCCAAATAATTGGGATTGAACTTTTTATGTATACACACAATGAAATTTTTGTATTTTATTATGGTGAAAATGGATTTGACAAGTGAGCCTCACTGATTAACCCTATTTCTACAGTTATATGCTCCCAAGGATGGCTTGTGTATTCCTTACCTGAGCCAAACTCTCCACTTATAAGCTTGATTGACTCTGCATCTAACCAGACAATTCAAACTTGGACTCCTTTGGTACAATGCAATATGTTTAGTGCATATAACAATTATTTGCTTTGCGGAGACCATGATTTAATTGATCTTTACATAACTAATACTGAAAGCAACCTTTATGAAAGTATGATACAAGTATCTGCAAAGCTTTTCAACATGGACTTATATATCATAGACGCCACTTTGACTTCTCCATCAGAAAATTTTCCTGACTCTTATCTATATATTTTAGACCAGTATAACGGCATCAATATTATCGATTTAGATTTTGTGTACAATGGAGAAATCCCTATCCTTCCTTACTGTGTAGATAAAGCAAATGTGACAAATGCTGTAAGGATGATTGGAACTACAGAGCAAATATATATAATAATATAGCGCTTTCCCGAGGATGGCGCGGAATGGCGCCATCCTCGGGAAAGCCAGGAAGGCACCCACACGGGAACTGGGAGTTCCACGTGTGGATGCCATTTTGACATGTGGAAGTTTGGATCCCACATGTCAAAAATGGCATCCACACGTGGAACTCCCAGTTCCCGTGTGGATGCTTAGTTGACTTTCCCGAGGATGGCGCCATTCCGCGCCATCCTCGGGAAAGCGCTATATTCAGTGATGGATCAGTAGACATTTACTCTACCACTCTAGCTTTTATAAAACGAGTTAGAGCTAGATATCAAGCAACTTACATTGATGCTAAAAATATTGAAAATGTGCTATTTATCCAGGTCACTGGCAAAATTTTGGTTATAGATGGGCTACAAACAACGCATAGCAGTTTGCTTACATATATTCCAGTTAATGATTCTTGCCAATTTGACGTCTCAAGCGAGTACGAGGTTTACTGGGGAATCATTGGGATTTTGTGCCCAAATAAAACCAATCAAGATCTCATGTTTTATGGATTAAATTGTCCAACAATGCCTTATGACCAGCCTTGCCAATTAAATTTGTATTCTCAAATAACTATGACGAATCCTTTATCAGTAAGCCAGCTTCAATATATTGCAAATATAACACTAATTGCGTCTAATGAGGTTTCTTCTGTTTTTCTTCCAGTAATTCTCAACATTTTCCCAGACGGTGAAAATATATGAATTAATGAAGAACTTTGGAATATTAGCCACCAGCTCGTTATTGATTATGATATAGAAGCAATAGTTGACTTAGGAAGCTCATACCAAGGACAAAACGTAAAATCCTATTTAAATATCAATGGAAAGTATCCAACATTTAATTATAAGGAGCCAAACTATGTCCCTGCTATCAAATGGCCCCAAATGATATTGACAGATCACTATGAAGGAGATTATAATGAAAATTTCACAGACCATACCGCAATTAAAAATACCAATAGAGTAATAGTCGCAAGTAGCACACAGGGTCTCCTTATATTTAATTTATCTGGTGTCCCTAGCCAGGACGATAGCTTCGATTCTCCAGATGTCCCAGTTGAAAACACTCTAAACGTTTCAGACTATATAAACGGCACAAATCCTGTTTGTTCTATAGTTGAAGATATAGGAACTCAAGGCGACTTAACCTTGTTCGTCACTGCTTGCCGACATCAAATGACTGAACAGTTTTCATGAAATGAAGGAAAATTAGTGAATTTAACTCTCAATCAGTTTGCTTTGGTTCTATGAGAGTATGATTTCGTGAAAGGCAATGTGAATAAAATAAGAGTTTTAGAAGTCGAGTTCAACCCAGCCTGGCTTAGAGCGATTCCTTCCACTAACTATGACTTCATGCTGATTTCAATTGATTCTTCAGATGAAGCTGATTATGAAAAATATCGAAATAATCATGTGATCAGAATTGCTGTGCACTGGGATAACGATGCTTTAAATTTGACAATAGTCGAAATCATTGATTTCCACTCTCTTCAACTTCCAGCTTTTTATGCTCATGCAGTTGATGGAGTTTACTCAAATAATGACTTATATTTATATGTGGCCGATCATTGATATGGAACAAGAATTCTTCAAACAAAGAATGGCAACGTTACTAATATCAGTGAAATAGTAGGTGGCCTGCCGATGAAGGATGGTGATTATATCGTTAATGTAGGGGTATGTGGGAACTTTTTATTTACTGGGACCGTTGGGACCAAAATTCATCAATTTTTATTAAATTCTAAAAGTAACCCCCAGGTTATGACGAGGTTTTATCCATACAACAATACATTGAATGACTACATTGCTCTTCCCTCTCTTATCGTTTGTTCTGACTATTATCAGCCTGATTTTATAGTATCTTCAATCCTTTCCTCCAAAAGCGAGTTTTACATAAGAGTTTATAACACAAAGGTGAGCGCTGATAACTCCATAATGTACGACATGACAATTTCTCCACAGCTGTATCCTCAAGCTACAGGAAGCGTCGTATTCATAAATTCTAATACAGTAACTGCTATAGGAGCTCTTACACCTTATCTAAGAAGTTATATTTTAAAGAAGCCACAAATCATTATACCTAAAATGACACTTAACGAGTATAAGCAGATGCTAAAGGAATGAGGAACAGACACTTTTGAACTTTTTGTAACGCTAGTTAATGAAAATATGTCAGTAAACTCGACATCTATTAGCGTAAGAAGAACTCCTGCAGGTAGCAATGATAATGATGATGGCTATCAGTATCATAGTAATGGCAACTCATGATGGATTTGAATGATACTTGGATTTTGTATCCTTTTAATTCTAATCATGGCTTGTCTTTTAGCAAGGTATTTTTTGAAAAAACCAAAGCCCCAAACTATCCAAAATGAAAGGCCATTATTTTTGACTCAATTTTCAGATTTTGATAATGATGAGTATTTTGACTAAATTTAATTCTTAATTAATTAACATTATTTCTCACCAAGGAAGTTTTTGATATAAATAAATCTTTTGATTGGTAGATATCTTATTTTTATTAACCTATCTGAAATTATGCTTGCTAGAAATTGCTCATTAAATCAAAATGCTTAATTTACCGTAGTAGAAGAAAATAACTTCACAGTCAACATCATTTTATAATATAAAAATGGCTCTGGACGGTATAATTGAAATGAGAAAAATCCTTGACAGGCTTGAAACTGCTATTCCTGGGCCTTTAGTTACAGAGTGGCTGAATAATATTGCTGATCCCTCATTTGGGCTAGTTGATGATTTAGTGAATACATTCTTAACTAGTGTTCAAGATAATGACGTAAGCAAGCACACTGTAAGGATCTTGAGGCAGTTGAACACTCATATCAAAGCTAAAGTGCTTCCTCAGATACTGGAAAACAAAGTCTTCCCTGAAGCTATGTATAAATATATTACCGGCACCAAGCCAGAAGAGGTCTGTCATGATGCATTTTTATTATTCACTGCAATATATGGTAATGAAAACTTCAAAGACCTTAAAGATGTTCCTAGCTTTATGCGGGCTTTGTTTGATGCTTTAGAATACATCCAAGAAGAAAACGCTTATACTGCTGTGGTCAGAATTTTAATTTCTAGCTCAAAGGAATCAGAAGAACTGTTTTTAGAATTATGTTCCACACATAAAAATGCTAGATACTTTGGAGAGCTGCTACTACAACTACTCAATAAAAGTGAAGGTGGAGAAACTATAAAATGCTTAGAATGCTTGAAACTTATTTTGGAAAGCACTGAAACTCAAGGCTTCTTTTACACGAACGATTTGAAATTACTATGCGACATCGTAATTCAGAACCTAGAAAATCTTTCAGATTTTCTTCTAAAAGCCAGGTATTTCGAAGTCCTCAAAGATATTGTAAAAAGCAATGGATTTTTGCCATTAAATCACAGGACTGAAGAAATAAAAGCAATATCAGAAATTTACGCAAACTCAGATGTGTCAGAAATGAGATCTTATGCAGAAATAATATTAGACACAATAAAAAGCATCACCCAATCTACTGCTTAATAAAAATAAATTCTCTATTTAATTATGATTGACACAAGCTTATCTCGCACAGCTTTGCAAGGCATCCGTGCACTTGTAATAAAGTGCAGACCCCGTCAAGCATCCTCATTCTTAGTACTGCGATTTCTTTGAGATATCTCAGCTGCATGTGCTCATTCATACTAAAATTTGTAACAACTCTATAGAGAGATCCAATGATATCTAATGGTGAGTATCCTTGAATTCACAAAACTTGTAAACTGTCTGCTGCTGTCGTAAACTGGCCTTCTGTGCACTTTTGAATCACGCTTTTAAGCAAATCAGGGTGAGGCTGGTCACAAACTCTGAAAACATTTTCAAAATTGACCACGTTAAAAGCTGATACAGTTGCTTGCAGGTTATTAATTGCATTTCTCATGTCACCTTCTGCAGTAAAAACTAAAGCTTCCATGCCTTTGTCGTCGTATGTGACACTTTCTTGGTCTGTAATCCTTAATAATCTTTGTAGCACCTCAGCGTCGTTAAGTCTTGTGAATCTCAAAATGGCGCATCTGGATTGGATAGCTTCTATTATTTTAGAAGAGTCGTTGCAGGCTAAAGCAAATCTTGTGGTATTTGTATAGTCAGTCATAATCATTCGTAGAGCCTGCTGAGCACTTGCTGTCATGGAATCTGCTTCATCGAGGATGATGACTTTGTGCATGTTGGGAGGGACATTTACTTTTTGTTGGGCAAAAGCTTTGATTTTTTCTCTGACAACTTCAATACCACGCTCGTCTGAAGCATTAAGCTCGCAGACTCCTTGCTTTACAGAATCCCCTAGCATTTGGCGGGCTAAACATCAGATGCTAGTAGTTTTGCCACAACCTGGAGGGCCAACAAGGAGAAGGTTTGGCATGTTGCCTTGAAGTGCAATTGAATTAAGCTGCTGAATTGCTCGTTCGTTGCCTACGACATCTTCTAAAACTTGAGGTCTGTATTTTTCTACCCATGGTATCTCAAAGTCACCCATTATAAAATATTCGATAAAGATATTAACACATTTCAAAGAAAGAGCAAGGTACTCATTCATTGGCGGCTCATTAATTGTTAATATTGTGATTGAATTTTTGAATATTTCCTATAGGTAATCACTATTTTAATTATTAAATCTAAGTTTAGAATTCTAATAGTAAACATAGCAGATTAGATTATAGCAAATTATACACAAATTAATTAATTAATTTTTAAAATTTTGATATGGCAACTCTTGTAGTTTGTGCTTCAGGTTTTACAACTCAAGAAAAAGCTAAAATTTCCGAAAATGTCACAGAACTCGGAGGAAAATTTGAAGCAGACCTTACTCAAGCAGCACAAGTCCTTATTGCAAAACATTATGGAACTCTCAAAACCCAAACTTCAAGTGACAAGAATATTCCCATAGTGACTATCAAATGACTTGACGATTCCTATCGTAAAAAAAAATTTAACGACCACTTTATGCGCTATAAACTTAATTTATTTGCAGGTTTAAAAATTTGGCCATACAGAATCCCAAAAGAAAAAACTCGAGCAATCCAAAAAAAAGGAGGCCAAATTGTTGAAAATTTTTCTCCTGATTGTTTTTGCGTGATTACTGCAAATAAAAATATAAGCTATCTCCAATACTGTTTGCCTGAGACTAAAATAATCCCAGAAGAATGGTTGGATGAGTGCTTAAAAATGAATAAATGGATTGATCCTCAAACTATTGTGATCGCTAAATCCATCAATGATGATGACTACGTCCAAGAATATTATTTAGGAAAATGTGTATTTTGGGTTGACGGGATCGACCCCGAAGAAGAAAGGGATTTAAAAGAATTGATTATCATAGGAGGAGGGACATATGTTAATAAATTTCTCCCAAGAGTCACCCATATTATAACAAGAGATATGAAAAAGCATCCTCTAAACGTAAGAAAAGTATCGCCAGAATGACTAAGAGACTGCTCCTTGCAAAAAATCTGTATTCCTGGACCCATCGCAATTATTTAATTTATAAAATAAGCAATTTAAGCAGAAAATATTTAAAATTATTTTTAGTTCTTTTCGTGCCCGTCAAAGCTTCCTTTATAAGAATTATAAGCTTTTCTGTTATGACGAGGCTTCACAATTCCGTCAGCGTTGTTTTTGTGTGACAAATAAATAAAATGGTATTCGGTTCGAGAGAAATTAGCTCTAATTTTCTCTCCTCATGGAATTTATTGGTTGGGTTTATCCTGAGAATTTCTGTAAGTTGACCCTTAGGAGGAAATGTGCAGAAGCTGAGTCAGGGAAAGGCGCAATCATCGCGTTAGATGAGAAGCACAGTTAAGAGTGGCAAGCGGTTTATTTGGGATTTTCCTTGGAAATGCTTGTGACGCCACCATTTTGACTCTGTCCCTTTAATGGGAGTGTGGTGTTCGATCCTTAGAACTTTAATTACGTAATGTAATGCAATGTTTCTGGATGACAAAGGTGTACTCTCCCTTGTCACATTATCTAGTTCTTGTACAATGATTGCTGCTGTCCCTTCAGTTTCAACTGTATCTGTTGTGCTTGGTCTTTCCAGTTTTGTAGGACTCTCATCGTAAAATGTTGAATTTCTGAAATCATCATGGCTTTCGTCTAATGTTTTCCCACAGTTTGGTGACCCATCTAATACTTTTTTATTCATAGATAAAGATCCTCTTGGGAATATCTGTCTTGCTGCTGCTTTATCAGATTTCATTTGGCAATAGATAACACAATATAAAATCCCAGCCAAAAACAAGCACATTGTACTTATCATACTAAAAGTTGCGCCTTGGTCGACACAGAACGAAATATTTTCGTCACCAGCTTCAACTTTGCAAGAACCATTATAAGAGGCTTCAGATATGCTGAACCAGTTAAGAATAGCTATCAAGCCAAATAGCACACACAAAGGAGGCCAAAGGAAATTTGTTTCAGAAAACCCAAACTGCTTCCTTAAAACTATATATGCTAAATTTTCCATCCAAAGACAGAAACACATAAAAGAGATGTAGATAAGCCACGAATAAATATACCCTGCATTTTTTGCACGGGTGATTGCGGTACATAGGCGCTCTTCAGAAGCATAGTGAGTGCTGCTTCCACATGCTGGGCCAGTTATGCAGGTGAAATCTTTATTTTCCCAGCCATCTTGATCCTTCATATAAGTTAGTGTCCCGTATTGCTTTTCAATGTTATAGTAAAAGAATCAGCTTCACCCTAAGCTGGCTCCTAACTCCCCCCTCTGTGAGTAAACCAAACCATTAGAAAAATCCCTATTTTTTGCCCAAAAACCCACCCTCCCTTGAGTCAACAAAAATTTTTTTAATAGAAAAAATTTTTTATGAAAAAAAAATTGATATATAAGTGATAATTAGTATAATGAAATCTCGGGCTAATTCTGTTTAATTTTTAACAAATTGCGTTTTAAAACATAAATTTTATAAATTAAATTAATATTTGATTCCCAATTTTTGCAAATTAGGATTTTTTTAAAATTTCGAAAAAAAAATTTTTTCTATAAAATTTATATATAAATTTTTTAAAAAAAAAAAATTAACCCCCTCCGTGAGTGAACAAAATTTTTTTGTTTACTCACGGAGGGAGGAGTAAGAAGCCAGCTCCAATCAGCATCACAGGCAAAATTTTTCCATAAAACCAAGGTCTGTAATACTCAGTTCCATCAAGTTCTTTATTTTCCTCTAGCTTTAGACTTTTCAATTTCAGCAAAATAAGTACAAGAATTGAGCCAGAGCTACTAGCGAGAAAGGAAGCTAGCAGTAGCTTTAGCCCATTTTCGCTGCATATGTTTTCTGTGTTGTCACAATCTGAAGCGAACCCAACAGAAGTTAGCCCAGCATACGTCACGAACTCAACGAGTCGCAGAATTCCAATCGAAATTGCTAAAAAATAAAGAAACTTTGTTTTTCCAAACCCTTTTCTGAATAAGATAAAAATCAGTCTTTCTAACAGTAAAACAATCAAAATTGTGGTAGTTATCTCAAATGCTAATATTACCACATGTCCGCTTTGTAGGTTTTTGGCTTTACTGCAGAGATCAGTTTCTGATGATTTGCAGGCGTTGTGCTTTAAGCAGGAATAAGTTGTTCCGTCGTATTCTGATGGGCAGCTGGTGCATTCAAAAAAGTTATATTCATATGATTGACCTTTGTAGACGAAGGAGACGAATTCAGGGGATAAAATACTTGCTAATGAGAGTGCGAGTCCAAAAAAGAAAGAAAGAATCGAAATTGTGAAAGCTAATTTCAAAACTAGTGAAAACGTTTTGGCTTGTTGATCTTAGACTTAGACCTAGACTTAGACTTAGACTTAGACTTAGACCTAGACCTAGACTTAGACTTAGACTTAGATTACTTAAGGTTTTAACGTATTTCTCTGGTTCCGCAGGGTAATTTAACAAAGCCACAAGGGCTCACCCCAGTAGACTTCACCGGGCATTTCCCCTTTTTATCGGGTCGTGGACCATCCTAAGCAAATGACGGCCAGTTGAAGGCCAGATCTCACGGGCTGCGTTGCCTTGCTCAAAACTTGACTCCTTCGCATTGTGCCGCCTATGGATCTTCCTCCTCGAAAGTGTCGAGCAGTAAAACCCTCTGCCCACCAAACATCCAAGGACCAGTCAGGAGGCTGTGCTTACCTGGTATTGCTGGATAAGGTCTCACCGGGAAAACTGAACCCTATGATAATAAAATTGGCAAGGAGTGAAATTCTTCGGGAAAGGAATTATTTCGACTTCGCCATTTTATTATTATTTTGGCTTTGTGATCAATTATCATATTTACAATTGAGTTTTATAAAATGGTGATTCTCTATTTTATCACGTTTTTGCCTTTTGTTCTGGCTGGTTCTAATTGTACACTTCCAAATTTCTCTGTTGGGGACTTTAATATAACATCAGAGCAGCACTTCAAAGACACTATGAAACAGGAAGAAATATTTTTGCTTGGAATTTCAGCTAAATGGTGCACACACTGCTGCCAGATAGAGCCTATATATGCAGAGGTGTTTGAGGCTCTCGAAAAACTAACTCCAAAGATAAAATTCGTTAGGATTGATATGTCAAAGCATAATTTCATTAAAAAACACATTCCAGGCACGGATCAATTACCACTTCTTTATGTGATTAAAAGGAATTATTAAATATGGTGTTTCACCCTAAAACCCTCTCTACCATTCATTCTCGTATACACATTTAATTATATCCAGTCAAATTAAAGGTGTCTCGGACGCGGTAATGCACAAGTTATTCTATCCAGTCAAGTAGCGCTAGTTAAACAGAGAATAGTCTCTACTCTTATGGCTAGATTTAAAGGTCTTAGCACTCAACAAAGACTTTTCAAAATCTAATTAATGATGCTGATTAAAAAAGGGAAGTTTTATAGACATGAAGATCTTATGAAAGTAGAAAATATTGTGTCCTTTCTCGACAAAATTTACATGCCAGTCTCTACTATCAACTCTGAAGATGAGCTTGAAGCTTTTTTCGAAGCTCCAAGAGAAAATAAAAATTTCTTACGTGTTTTAGGGATATTTTACGAAAATGACGATAGTGAAGATTCGCCACTTAAAGAATATTACTATTAATATAAAAAACCTACTTTTAAAAAACAATAATTATTATTTTCCCTATAGGATTTAAAATAATCGCCATTCTGATTAAGTATTTAATCTCTTTAACTCAAATATGAAAAGACGGCTATTTCTTTAGCTAATTGAATTGGATCTAAAATGGGAATTTTAACAAATAAAACACTTATCAAAGAACTCAAAGCCAAAGGAAGTGACGTTGTTCGATGCTATAACTGTTTAGCTTTGAAGAAAAAAGATGCCAATATAAAAATTCTAGATTTAGAAATTTCTCAAAACATTAAGGAATGGATTACCACAGCTGGAGTTGGAATTGTTGAAGAGCTTACTGGGTATAATTTTCAGGTTTACAAAGAAATAGCACTTCCTATGCTTGTGATGTTTCTCGATAAGCATAACGTTAACCAGGATTACTATATCAATATACTTACAAAAGTCGCAAGAGATTTTGATGAAGGTATAAAATTTGTCTGAATGGATGGAACTGATCCTATGATAAAGCAAAGGAAAAAGAAGCTTGGATTAGTCACTGAAATTCTACCAAGTATGGCGTTTAATGTTCTTGACGATAGAATTCTGCCTTATAAAGAAGGTCAACCTATTACAGAATCAAGCATCAGGCTATTTGTTTCAGATTTTATAGAGAATCGTCTCGCATCTAAAAACATAGCTGACATAAGGCCAAATCCTGAGTTGGAGAGCAAGTATTCAGACACTCCAATAGTCACTATGGACGAATTTGAAGAAAAAGTGCTATCAGAAGGAACTGATGTGCTTCTATTGCTTTATTCTTCCTACCAAAATGAAGATTCTTTAAATCTTGCCCCATATTTCAATAAAGTTGCCAAGCGTTTCAAAGAACTAAATTATCCTCATGTAAAAGTCTATAGAATGGACACCGCTACTCAAACCGTACACAAAAACGTTAAAATCGATCATGTGCCAATTATTTATTTATTCCCAGCCTATCACAAAAATCCACCTTATGTCCAGTACACAAATGAAGCCAAAGTTCCTCCAATGATGTTCTTTGTCGAGAAATACGTTGATATCAAATTCCAGTTACCTGAACTTCCCCACCTAAGCCCTGACCAAATTGGGCCTTATTGGGAACAAAAAGCACAGTTGTCTCCAGAAAAACAAGAAAGGGTAGCTGCACACAATGAAAGAAGAAACTGGGATTTATAGAATTTAGGTAAATTAAGCATAAAATATCAGTAATTTATAGCTCTATAATAATCTATTCATTTTGGGGATCAAATTGTCGGATTTTGAAGGCGATAACTGTTGGGTTGGCTCAGCAGTTTTGGTGCCTCTTCTATATTTTGGAGATCTAGTAGATGGTCTTGAATTGGCATAAATAGAAGAAATAGCTTTCATTTTCAGCTCTTGTTTTCTCATAAATTCTTCATCGTGGAGCCTAATTTCTTCTATCTCTCTTTCATTGAGGAAATCTAAAGGAATTTTTTGTGAATAAGGGTTGTTTTTGGAGATGCTATACTTTCTTTTGAAGTTTTGACGGACTTCCAGCATTGATTTTAATTTTTCTAGGTCTTCAGCTTGTTGCACATTTTCTTTGCCATTTATGAGCATGTCTACATTTTTGAGGAGTTTTCGGGTAGATTTTTTTTTGAAAACTTTTTTATCAACTGAGATTGGTTCTTCTGGAGGCATTGGGAATTCAGCTAGCTCTTCTTCATCAATTTTTTTGCCAGTTCTTCTCTTCAGTCTTTCTTGCAGCTGCTTTTTAGTCAAGTTTACGATGAAATCTAAATTTTCTCTATTACTAGTGGAAGGGGGCTGGGAAGTTCTCTCATTGGAATGGTGCCTTTTATCTCTCCCTGTGTGAGATTTTGACCGAGGCTTGCTAAACCCTTCAGCAACTTTGTGATGAGCACTGTAAATATCAATTGTACCCTGCTTCAAGAAATGCGCAGTTTTATATGTAGGAGGTCTTTCTTTATTCTTCCTCTTTTTATGCTGTGAAGGCTCTTCATCGATAATAGGGAAAATGCTGCAAGGAACAGCTGGATTATTTTTCGAAAAAGATGGAAACTCCCCTTCGTTGCTTTGTAACTGGAAATTATTCGAAGATGACTGTATGTCCCATTCTGCCATAATATCTCTTGATGTATATACAACTGGTGAAATAAAATCGCCTCTTGATGTAGATTGGCCTGATTTTGGAGGTAAACGTATGAATCCACCTACAAAAGAATCCTCTGTCCTGATACTTTCTTCGGTATCAATATGCTCATTAAGCTCTTCTTTAGCTTCATAATGAACAGCATTTGATGTAAATTTATTGGGAATTTCTTCCACAACTGGCAGTTTGGCTTTGCTCTCTCTATCATCAAAAGAAGAAGTATAAGGCCTTGAGTAAACTTCATTCATTTTGGTTTCAGGCGAATTTGAGCTATATCCAGGCAAATAAGGTGTCGGGTCATTAGTCGCTAAAAATAAGACAGGAGAATTTCTTGATTCTGTTTTTTCTGGATCCTCGTCTATTTGTATTGGAGCAGTTGGCGTTATCTCTAATTCTTCATTGAAAAATATGGCATCTTGGCATGAATCTGAATCATATGACTCAATTTCTTCATTTCTTGATATATCTGCAGAATTTTCTCCTCGAGAAATTGGGCTATCACATTGGTGAAGTCTTAAATCAAAAGCAGAAACCCTATGAAGTATTTGGTCTGAGGATTTAGATGGGCTCATATATTTCTGAGGAGAAGGGGAAAATTGAATTTTTGATTCCTTTTTTGAAACTGGGGTGGAAGGATATAAATAAGGACTAAGCAACGGCTCATCTATTGAGTCTTCGTTATGAGATGCCAATGTTTCAATTTCGCTTTGCTCAGTTCTATGGCTTTCACAAAATTCTTTCACCTTAAAATCAGGCTCAGGCAAAACGTCTGGCTCAAACTCAGGGTCTGGGTCATCTTCATAGCCAATTTTAGAAATAGACGCATCAAAATTCTGCAAGAGCTCAAGGTCTCTGATTTTTCTATCAAGACTCGGAAAATCTATTGAATTATGCAGCTCAGACTCATGGTTTATTGGAAAACCAAAAGTATTATCTATGCAGAGGTTCTGGGACTGGTCTTTAAAAGAGTTGCCTGCCATTTGACAGGACTCAGGCTCAATTGGATGATTATACTGAGATTTTGTATAAAATTTCAAGGTTTGTGGAGTAATAGGAGCATGCAGAGGTAAATAAGAAATTTCATAACTATGCATGAGTTTTAAATAGCTCACAACTAGGCATGCAGTAATTCTAATAGGGATATCTAAAGCCAAGCCTACCAAGCATTGTATTATTGCTCCTTCAAGTGAGCTTTCAATTCCAGTTCCAGTTACATAAATCGCCCAAAAAATAAAGAGCACAGTCAGCATAATTATAATTAGAATACTTTTTTCAAGTTTCCTAATCTTTTTAAGCATATTTTCTCCATAGCCTGCAATATTTGTATTAAGTCTTGTTTCAAGAATAGTTGAATGATCTCTAGGATTTTCATTTTGAATTGTATTTAAATCTCATGAGGTCTGGTTAAAACTTGCTATATATGATGAGTGAATTATAGATGAGAGGATCAAAGAGACTCCTGTAGACAGAAGAGCACAGATTACAGCATTCCCATAAGACAAATCTGAATTATAAGTTGTGAAAATTATGTTAAATCCTCACAAGCTGACCAAATAACAAGATAGCAAAAATAAACCACCAGAAGGTGGAATTTCGTACTGCACTTGTCTGTATGTAAATATAGCATAAATTGGAATAAGTCTTTTGCATACCTTTTTAAAAGATAAATTAGGATGAATGGGGATTTCCCGCGCGACTTCAAAATTGGATCTGTTGTTATAAAATACATTTCTCAGAATTTTTGCTACTTCGCCCCCTCCGAGAGTGAATAAAAAATTTTGTTCGCTCACGGGGATTAATTTGTTTTGAAATTTTAAAAAATCCTAATTCGCAAAAATCGGAAAGCAAATATTAATTTAATTTATAAAATTTACTTATATATCAATTTTTTTTTCATAAATTTTTTTTTTCTGTTAAAAAAATATGGATTTTTCTCATGATTTTGCTCACTCTTGGAGGGGGGGAGTAAGCGAATCATCAAATAAACTGTTCCTATTGTGAAACAAAAGAAAAATACTGAAATTACAACTCCTGCTGCTTCCAAGCCTGCCATGTTAGTTTTTAGGTTTAATTATTTGAAAAAGTTTGTATCGGCGTTATGAAAAATACTTTCAGCTGTTTTATTTCTATATTCTTAATTACCTTTAGGCTACTTTCAGCAAATATTAAATAGTTCTATAAATTCAATTTGAAATTGAGTTTGAATATCTATGAATATAGATAACCTCAAAATAAAAAAGTACGTTTAATTCCTGCATTTTAGATAACTCAATTAATATTTATCAGGAAATAAAAAAACAAGATTCAAATCATAAGAGGATACGAGTAAAATATCTGGCAAGCCAGAAGAAATATATTATGAGCATTTATGCAACTTCACTTGTTTTCATTTTTTAACGATTATAAATAAATCAATATTTAATGTTTATAAAATTTTGTTTATAATTGACTGCAACACTTCTCTTCCAGCACTTTTTGGTATTGTTTCATCAATGCCAGCTTCTTTATAGCTCGTCAAATTTCCTTCTTCATTATTTGAATACATCGCAACAATATGGGGCCTCCTTGCATGCTTATACCCATTTTGTCTAATTGTTTTTGCAGCCTCAAAACCATTAGGAACATCAATTATTATTATGCATAAAGAGTTTTCTCCAGCTGCCTTTGTAACTTTATTTACCAAATCCTCTTGATTTGCACATATTTCCACCTCTTTCCCTAAAATAGCTTCCATGTTTTTCTGTAGCGAATTTACGAGGAATTTATTTCCTATCAAAATAAATCCTTTGTAGATTACATGAAAATCTGATAAAATAGAGGCATTGGAATTATGTATGAATGATGAGGTGTTTACAGGCAGATGAGAATTTCGACCTGGAACTTCTATTTCTTTTTGCAAATAGTGTGATAAACCGAAAATAGTGACATTTTCATCGACATCGTCTTCTCCATTTTCACTTTCTTCAGCATTCTCTGGATGCTTTGGTTTAAGTTTATTGTCTTGCAAATGCGAGGCTGACTCCTTCGTTTCTTGCTCCGAGAAATATCTTTCCCTGTTCCGGTTAATTTGTATAATTTCTGTTTTTTCTTGGCTCCAGCGTCATGAAATAGTTGTAGAGTCTATATCAGCAGAGTTTTCATATAATTTTATTTGTGGAGCGTCGATGGCGGCTTGTCCTGCATGCTCTTGAAGCTTTAGACTATATACTAAATGAAATACAGGCGGCTGCTGTGGGCCGTGACTTATGATTTGTCCTCCAAGAATAGTCAGCATAATATCAAACATAGCTAGCTCCACTGTGTCATATTTTTTCAAAATATCATGCATTTCTTCGATTTTCTTTATTTTATTGGGGTCATTGCTGAATAAATAATTAAATTCATTGATGTCCAAAGTTTGAGAATCAAAGGTAAAACTATAATTTAGATATGTTTCATTATCATGAGTCTACATGAAAATTACAATTTTTCCAAGAAAAACTGAGATATCTGATTTTTTGTCAGATTTTAAAATAATAAAATGAATTACTCCTTTCAAGAGGTTATTATGTAATTGTCTATCACAAAAAATAGGACTGTTAAGATCTGGGTGCTTACTAAGAGTGATATTCAATTTTTTAAGCTTTGCATCGCATCATGATCATTGAATGATATTCGCCATCTCAACTTCAGCATCAAATTTATCATTTTTCAAGCTCACATCACCAATTAAGCATTGTAAAACTGTTCTTGTCATTTTTTGGCATGAAATACACTTACTCCCCCCCCCCCCTCCGTGAGCGAACAAAACCATTAGAAAAATCGCCATTTTTTGACCAAAAACCCACCCTCCGTGAGTGAACAAAAATTTTTTTAATAGAAAAAATTTTAATGGAAAAAAATTTTGATATATAAGTGATAATTAGTATAATGAAATCTAGAGCTAATTCTGTTTAATTTTAAACAAATTGCGTTTTAAAACATAAATTTTGCAAATTAAATTAATATTTGCTTCCCAATTTTTGCAAATTAGGATTTTTTTAAATTTCGAAAAAAATATTTTTTATAAAATTTATATATAAATTTTTTTTAAAAAAAAAAATTAACCCCCCTCCGTGAGCGAACAAAATTTTTTTGTTCGCTCACGGAGGGGGGGGGGGGAGTTAGCAAGTCTTGTAAATTCGTTTTCAGAAATGGCAGTTTGGTGAACATAGCATTCAGTTAGTTTTTTTTCTGTTTCTGAGACCTTAAATTCTTGAGCTTTATTAATCGAGGCTAAAAAATTTCTTCTTGCAATTTGGTTGCTAATATCCGATATAGTAAGATGAATTACCGGTTTATGATTAAAATGCACTGGTTTCGCTTTTACTAATATCGGGGTTGAATCCAAAGTCAACTCTTCTTCAATTGTCATTCCTTCTAAAGCATTTTTTAAAATTTTATCAATAGTTTCTTTTGCGGTAAGAGTAAAAAATTCTGTAGCATGGGCTCCTAAAACTCTTGAAAGTCCTCTTTTATCTGCATATGCAATAGCTGCATCGTTTGTCATAATAATTCTTCCATCTTCTCCTATAATCAAAATTGAGTTACTGCTACTGTCTATGATAAAGCTTTGAAATATTGATCTAGCTCTATAAATATCAACAAGCAGCCACAGATCTCTTCTATCTTTTTCAAGGAGCGACATAACCAGAGTCAAAATCATTCCTGTAACAATGCTTTGAGGAATGTTAAGCGCAATCCCATGAATTATCTGAACAAGAATAAAAAGTAAGTAAAATTCAACATAACTAATTCATGTTTTATAAGTGTAATAGTCTGTATAAGAATTACGTATCACTCAGTCCACAAAATATCCAAGCATTAATACACCATTTTCCCCTAAATCCTTGCAATAGTGATTCAAGTGTACTCAAGTATTTGCTAGGCGCTATTAAAAATAAAATTACTGTAAAATTAATTTAATTTAAATTGTATCAAAAAAAAAATAAATTAATAAATTAATCTTTTAGAGCATGCTACAGCAATCTTTCGATTTACATTTTAAAAAATCTTAAATGATTCTTTAGACTCAAATCATTATTAAACATATTTGAAAAAATATATAAAATATCAGTTCTTAAATTAAAATCTATAAAAATGTATTTATTATGGAGAGTAAGTTGAATTTCTATTGCTAATCCAATTATTAAACCTCCTAATCTTGCAATTGTCATTTTATAATTCAACCCAAGCCATAAGCATCCACTTAAAGTAGAAAATACAATAAAGCAAATTGAGAATGATTTAATCGCTCAGTAGAGAAGAGCTATGAAGCTCCCTGCAAATGCGAAAAAAAAATTTAATGATGTTCAGGAGTACTTATAAATTTCTGATTGAAACTTGGATTCTGTTTCGTGATTTTCATAATAAAGAAAGGGAGATTGTTTATAAATGTAATCAATTGAGTATTTATAGTTTGTTCCCATTTTTATTTGTATTCATTTCTGATCATTAATTTGGCTAGCAATTCAGCTTATTAATAAGAATTCGAAAGACAAATAAAAATTTCTGATTTTATCTTACTCGTTGCTCATCCTTGTCATAAGATGCAATTGAAAATGAAAAAATTCAGAAAAATTCATTCCCAGCCTTAATTGAACGATTTTCATATGGCCAAAATGAAAAAAAAAAACTTAGCTCACATCAAATATAGCTATTATATTTAAAATAATGAATCTTAGAGATATTACAGTATAATCGTTTTTAAATAACTACAAAAAATTCCTAGCTCCCCCCCTTCCGTGAGTGAACAAAACCATTGGAAAAATCCCTATTTTTTGCCCAAAAACCTCCGTGAGTGAACAAAAATTTTTTATGAAAAACAATTTGATATAAAAGTGATAATTAGTATAATGAAATCTAGAGCTAATTCTGTTTAATTTTAAACAAATTGCGTTTTAAAAACATAAATTTTATAAATTAAATTAATATTCGCTTTTCAATTTTTGCAAATTAGGATTTTTTTAAAATTTCGAAAAAACAAATTTTATATACAATTTATATATATAAATGTTTTTTAAAAAAAAAAATAACCCCCCTCCGTGAGTGAACAAAATTTTTTTGTTCACTTACGGAGGGGGGAGTAAAATATTTGTTAATATAATGTACTCTATCTCTTATTGCTAGAGCATAAAATATTTTGCTTGGGAAAAAAATGCTAACTCCCCCCCCCATCCTTGATCGAACGATTGACTGTAAAAATTCCTAAAAATTGGGGAAATTAACCCCCATCCTTGATCGAACGATTTTCATATCATGAAAATTTTTATATATATAAAAATATAATAGTTATCAAAAGCTTGGGAAGATGCACCTAATGAAGTTGTTTTCAGAGACTTTGAGACGATAGAAAGCTTCGGAATCAACTATTCAAAGTAATTTTAGTCATCAACATGGGCTTAAAAACTCAATAATCTAATAAAATAGAGATTTTTTAAAATTTTTAAAAAACAAATTTTAATTTAATAAGTAACAAATTAAAATTTATACAGTTTAAAGGGGTAACTAATAAATTAAAATATAAAAAATTGGTATTTTTATGAAATTAATTCAATTTTTTGCTGCAAAAATAATTATTAAATACTCTTAACCCTCTTATTTAAAAGTAAATAAAAAAAAATTTATATATATATTTTATTTTATATATATAAATTTTTTTTTCCCAAAAACATTTTTTTTTAACCCCCATCCTTGATCGAACGATGGCGAGTCGTTCGATCAAGGATTGGGGGGGAGTAAACTTTTTCTGAATTTTTAACCCCCCATCCTTGATCAAGCAAAAGTCTAATCAAGGATAATGAGAGTAAGATTAAATAAGCTATTATTGGTTGGATTTCATTTTAGATGAAACTATGGTTTAGAATGTTTTATATATATCGCAAATTGAAATAGATCAAATTATAAATAGATTGATTTCATAACTTATCAATTTTAATAGTAAAAGAAGTTTGCAAATAGAATTTTTAATAATCATTAATTTTATTAATTTATATTAAGACTTTTTAATTTAAAATATATACAGCCTGATCCCTGCATTGAATCGGGCTTGTCTGATGTCTTCCTAGATGGGGAGTTGAAAAGCCAACGTTTGTTGACAAAGTCAACTCCCAGATGGCAAATCTCCAACAACAAGAGGATTTGTTATCTGTATAGTTGATTTTGCCAACAAATGCTGATTTGTCAAATCCCCATCTCGGGAGGCATCAGACAAGCCCAATTCAAAGCGGTTTTGGGCTATAGTTATTTTAAAAATTGTTTTTTATCTTTTTTCTGAAAGTGGCTATTTTAATATTTCATAGTTAGGATAAAATAACTTTTGCAATGGATTATACTACTTGATATCTTATTAATGAGTCTGTGTTAAATGATTATTATTATTATAACTAATAGATTGAATGCTTAAATACGGTCTTAATTGGATAGATATGAATTTAAAAATATTTATTAAAGATCTAATTTATATCAGATTATTATTGAAAACCTAAAGAAGAATAAACCACAAATTAGAGTATACTAAACTCAAATCTAATAGATACAATAAATGATATGACTAAAAAATAATCAACAATTAAATGGCGAGGTTTCTTCTGTTACTGGGACTTGCCTTTGCAATTTATGAAATTCCTCTACTTCCAATTATTGAAACTCCAGAAGAAAAAGTTGCATACTTCAAAAGCATAAAAGCCAGAAGAGAACAAAAAAGGACTTTTCAAGCTACGAGTGAAATTTTCCTTACTATCTCTTCCTTAGTGAGCAAAACCATTGCAAAATCTAATTTCGGGAAATTAATCTAATCCGTAAAAAAATAATAAAATTGTAATATAGAGTTTTTCTATAAAATAGATCGATATATAGGCAGTAATTACTATAGTTAATATATCTCGCTAATTTTAATACATTTTGATAGCTTGCATTCTAAGGAATAAATTTTATATATTAAATTTTTCATATTAAAAATTTTATACATAAAAATTAACCCTGCGAATTACAAGAAATTTTACTGTCTTGCAGGAGGGATTAGTAATTATTTAGATGCCCAATATTATGGCCAAATAGGAATTGGCACTCCTGCACAGCCTTTTAAAGTTGTTTTTGATACAGGATCTTCTAATCTTTGGGTTCCTTCATATGATTGCCGTACGACTGCTTGCTTTGTTCACAAGACTTATAAATCTTCAGCCTCTAGCACTTATGTTAAAAATGGAACAGCCCTTAATTTGACTTATGCCAAAGGCGCAGTAGAAGGCTTTATAAGTCAAGATACAGTAAGCTGGGGAGATTTCACTATTACAAATGTGCTTTTCGGAGAAATTACCAAGCTTGATGGAGTCTCATTTATTGCAGCCAGGTTTGATGGAATTTTGGGTATGGCTTGGCCTGCTATTGCAGTAAACAACATCCCACCAGTTTTTAACATGCTAAACCAGCAGCAAAACTTGACTAACTATCAGTTTGCATTTTACCTCAGCGTGGCAGCAGGAGCTTATGGAAGTAGACTTACTCTTGGAGGGTATAACCCTGCCCTTGCTAAAACTCCTTTCCAATATGCTCCATTATCTAATAAGACATACTGGGAAGTAGCCATCTCTTCTATTACAGTTGGAAGCAACACTATTGATCTTACAGGAATCCATGGAGTTGTAGACACCGGAACATCAATTCTGATTGGAGACAGAGTACTTATTGACTTAATTAGCGAAAAGGTCGGAGTAGTGAAGACTGATTGTAAAGATTTAAACACCTTGCCACCAGTCACTTTTAATATTGCTGGAAATAGCTATCCTTTGACTCCTCAGCAATATGTATTGCAAGTGACTTCCCAAAACCAAACAGAATGCATATCAGGGTTCGATGCAATGGATTTCCCACCGTACTTGAAAAACACTATCATTTTGGGTGATATGTTTATCAGGGCTTATTATACTCTCTTTGACTTTGCTAATTCCAGAGTAGGTTTTGCTAACTCATCGAATTTATTGGTGATATTAATTTTAGCATAAAAATATTGGTGAATAGGTAGGTTGTTACAAAAAGAGGTATTTACCGACTGTCAAAATATGTATATTTAATATTAATCGAAGTAAGGCAGCTTAAATAATTACATTTTTTATAAATTAAATACACAGAATGATTCGATTATTTTCGAGAAGTTTCTCATATCTCAATGTAACTAGCCAATGCGCAGCAAGAATAAAGAAGATTTGTAAGGCTAATGAGTTCATGAGGATTTTAGTTGATGGTGGAGAAGGATGCGGAGGATTTGTGTATAAGTTCAATATTGAGTCAGAAATGAAGGATAATGATTATGTGATAGAGAGTGAAGGAGCTAAAATAGTTGTTGATCAGGATTCTATCGCTCTGATTAAAGGATCTACTGTTGATTTCACAGATGAGATGATCAAAAAAGTATTTACCGTCAAAGAAAATCCTCAAGCTGATATGACCTGTGGGTGTGGAAGCTCTTTTTCCCCAAAGTTTAAATAGTTAACAACAAACAAAATTAAATTTCTGTTTGATTGATAAAAATAAGCAAAATATATCTATTTCCATTTTAAGATCGCATAGAAAACATATTCACAATTAAACCCTGCATAGGCTAAAAAGCTCTCTAAATGTGTCAGAACTTTATTAATTTCCTTACTTGTTAAATTTCTCAACTATCATTAGTTGCATTTATAAAATATGGAAGAAGACATCATCTCATTATTAGAAAGTGTCCACCCTGGTGAATCCAAAAAGTTTCCAGACATCGACTCTTTGATTATGACTTGGAAATACATTTCTGCTTTACCACCTAATCTACGAAACATCAGACTGCTCTACAGATTTTTAAAGAAAAAAGACATCGAGAAACCAAAAGCATCCCTTTGTATAGTCCATGGCTTTGGAGAACATAGTGGAAGATATATTAATGCTGCTATTCATTTTGCACTGCTAGGATATGGAGTGCACATGATTGATTTCCGCCATGCAGGATTATCTGGAGGAGCAAGGGCTGGGCATAATCTTTATGAACTGCAAAGTGATATAAATCTACTTCTTCAGCAGCCTGACCCAACTGTCCCTTGCTTTTTGTGGGGACATAGCATGGGTGGGTTGCTAGTTACAACTGTTTTGATAAATAACCCAACGCTTCCAATTACTGGAGTCATCATTTCTGCACCATTTTATGGGTCTTCTAATGCTGATATTAGCAAAGGCAAGGAAATCGCTATGAAACTTGCATCACCTCTGATAAACCAAGGTGTTTTCAACGCTTTTATTTGTCCTACAAGTGTAAGCAGAGATGATCTCTACATCCGTGCGATGTTTGAAGATAAAAAAATGCTTCCTTTGTTAGGCTCTTCAATGGCTCTTACCATGATTGAGCACTTAAGACCTATTGTTTCTCAAGCAACAAAGATGAGACATCCAGTAATATTTTTGCATGGAAACAAAGATTCATTAACTTTCTGCGAAATGACTCAACAAGTGTATAGAAACTGTGGAAGCAAAGATAAGACAATGGTAGTCCTTGAAGGAGGCTATCATGAGCCACATCATGACTTAGAAAGAGACGAGTTTTTGAAAAAAATTAGTGACTGGGCAGATCAAAGGCTGAAGGAAGGCAAAGCTTATGGATATGTGGCACAGATAAAGATTGCTTCAGCTGGATATCAAAAAATGGGAAAACTTTGTAAGGCATTGATTGCGGTAGGAATTTTGATATACCTAGGTATAGCATGGAAAATCAGGATACCAAATATGATGGCTTTAATCTTAAAACTAGGCAGTTTTCTGTTAAGATTATTCTGGCCGATAACGTTATTATTTAAAAAGATAAGGATTTAAGTATTTATTAGTAATTTAATTCTATTTATAAGTATTTTATTGGCTTCTTAATGTTTGTGCTAGTGGTATTCTGGGCGAGAAATGCTGAATATGAAACTTCCCAAAGTCAAAATTAAACGCTTTTTCTGAATGTGACCGAGTGGTCACTGCTTTATTGGTAACACTAAATTTGGTCGGTGTATACTTCCCAGATAATTTTGAAAATTTTGGAAGTTTGCTAGTTTTGATTTCAGGAAGAGTTACAAGCTTAAAAGGTATAGGCCCTGCCCCTTGTCTATTTCTTTCTTCAATTGGTGGTAGCTCAGTAAGAGTGTCTTTAATAAGCGGCTCTTTTCTAGCAATAGACTGCATAATTAAGTTTGCAATATTTACAATATTCTGAGAATGCGATGTGTTGTTTTTGGTATTTCCTATAAGTTTAGTGACTGTTTTAAATAGCAAATTATCTTGTGATATCAAGAGTTCTTTCAGCTTCGCTTTTCTGTCTTCCGCTTCTGATTTTTCAGCAAAGTGGAATTTCACAGAAGAAGGAATCATGTGGGATGTTTCGCAGCTGAGGTAATTGTAGTAGTATTTAGCGTCTTTGAGATTTTTAAACTCAATCCAAGAGTTGGAGATTAGATCGTGAGCCCGTTCTTTTGGGGTTAATTTTATTAATTCTACAGCTCTGATTTTTCTTTGGTATTGCAAGATAAGTGAAAAATATTTATCACCTGGATGGGCTCCATATGGCCAACTGCAAATCTTGGTAATTGGCACGTTTTTTTCGAAGCCATCTGGCATAGGAGCAGCTGCTTGCAAATATGCGATCCATACTAAGTCACTTTCAGGAGATGAAAATGGAGATTGAGTCACTTTTATCCCTAATCGTTTAGCTAAAAATAAGATATTGAGTGGCTGGATGTACTTTGAGCATTCGTATTTAGCAAGGGAGTGTTTTGATGAGCAAGGATGGCCAATTAAATCTAGATAGTACATGAAATATAATTTCTGAGTCCTCACATCATTTTCAACCTTCATTACTTTTTTGCTTTCTGCCTGCGGCTCTCTTTCAATACTCATTCTCCTTAAATTAGATTTGTTTCTGGAGTTCTCCATTTCATCTTCTTCGCCTGGTGGCATAAAATGAATCTCGCCATGCGCTGTGACGGCGCAGGCAATTTTTGCTAATGTGCATTTCATCAAAGAAAATTTGATCGAAAATTTTAAATATTAGCATTTGGTCAAAATTCATCGATTTTATCAGTCAAATGCTTCACTATCAAAAGTGCTCTATCATTTTGAATGGAGCCGCTGTGACAACTCTATTAGAAACATCACTTTCGCCTCATTTTTCATCATTGCTTTCATCTTCATTAGGCAATCACCTGTCTCGGTTGTACCGGACTCTCACTAAATCTTGTTCGTTTGTTAGAGAAATTATAAGCTGGATCAAGCAAAGCTTCACTTAACTTTTTAATGATCATTAGCCTATTTCTATTAAGTTTACCATGCTTATAAATCTATATGAATTTATTTGATCCATTATAGTTTATTTTTAAACTTATCCAATGTATTTGGTCTTGAAGCTTCTTTGGCTTTATAGGAATATTCTTCAAATAAAGATGTGTGGCGAGCTTGACTATTAGCTGTACGAATTCCTGATGCTTCTATCGGGGAATGATCAGGGCTGTCTCTTTCAGATATCTCAGGCATTGATGCTTTTGGCAATAATAATCCAAGTTCGCTTCTGCTTGATTCCATCTGGGAGCTCATAGTCTGTTGCTTTGAATATATGCTTGCTTGTTGTCTCGAAGATGCATTTTTACTTGTTCTTGACAGCTCTTGTGAAAGATCAGATCTTTTCGCTGACTCAGAAGAGGATTTTGAATTAGATTTTGCTGCTTTATTAGAACTTTCAGAGCGTAAAGCTAACCTAGATGGAGTATTTCTTAAGTTATGCTCTCTAGAATTAGGCTTATCCCTTCCATCCTTGACTGAACGTTCCATTGAAATTTTATAAAAAATTGGGGAAAATAAACCCATTCTTAATTGAACGAAACTCATATGAATAAGCAATAAGCCAGCTTCCCGCTCAACCTCAAGCCCAACCATTTATCTTATGGCCATCAATATTAGAGATTATGCAGTATAATCACTCTTCTTCCATTCTAATGAATTTTTAGCTATATTACCTAATTTTTCTCATGAGCTAGTTTTAAATATTTCATACAGAAAATAAAACTTGAAATCTTTCCACAAATATTTTACCTCATGCTTGATTGAACGATGTCCATCTGCTCGATCAAGTATGGGAAGAGTTAGAGCCTTCATTATCAAACCAAAACTTGCTAGATTCCTTTGATGTAGGAAGAGATCCAAGAATATTCATTTCTTTTAGCGCTCCTAAGTCTTTATTAAATCCTTCCATAATAGAAGAAAGATCAGGAGTCTTCTTTTGCCCGCTTTCTGGAGTTGGAGCAAAATCTTCGTCCGATAGATTTTCGGAGTCTGCGCCAAGAATTTCAGAAAGGTCTTCCTGCAGCTTTAATGACTGCTCTCCATTTAGCATAGATCCTTCAGGACTTGCTTCTACATTGACTCGTTTTAATACTTTTTGTCATAGTCTACTATTTTTGTCACTTTTTCTTTTAGGGTCCGCTGTTGGAGATTGGGCTGGGGTTCTGTGTTGGCTTGTGTCTTGTTGCGCTTTTTTATTCTCTGCGTTTTTGCCTCTTCTAACTAAGCCTTTCATATCATTAAAAGACATGCTGCTAGAGAGCTTCACACCTTCAATTGAGACAGTTCTTGCTCCCTCTTGGTCAAAGATTCTTTGCTCGCTAGCAGGAGGGATTAATTTAAAAAAAAAAAAACTTATATGAAATAATTTTTTCTCTGTTTTAAAAATGTTTTTAAATAAGAAATCTAATTTGCTTTAAAAAGTTTGGGCTTTAGGCTGCTGTCTAAAATTTGATAAATTAGCTAGAAATATCATTACAACCATTAATTGTATCAAAAAAATCATTCAAAAATATTTTCATTGCAAATAAAGAGCATAATTTTCCAAAAAATATAAATTTTCCTCACTAAACAATATACTTTAAAATTGCGCGGCGAACCAACACACCCTCTTAACAACTGTAGCTGGGGATAACCAGGGACCTTGTGGAAGAGAGGATGGCGTCCGGTGATGTGCATTCGGCCAGGTTTTTCTTGATTTGGGTGGAGCGCGATATCGAATTAGGCGAACCGCAGCTCATTTCCGGGTCTAGATTTTATCTCTTGGTGGAGATGAACTCGGCATTGGAAAGGGAAAGCCCAGCAAAGTTTGCGTGACCAATCGAGCAATTTCCTAGCGTGATATAGTAAACAGAATGGGGCTTTTTTGGCTTGCCGCAAGCAAAAAACGCCCCGTTCTGTTTACCCTAACTCACTATACCAGTCTTTTGTCCTGGGCGACGAGTTTCATCTTGGTTGATAGCTTGACCAGAAAATTCGTTTTTCGAGTTTTCTGGAATGGCAATCCAGCCCACTCACTCGCCGTTCGACGCGAGCCTCAGGCGGCGAGAAGTTTACCCCTAGAGGGTGGTGGCAGGCAGCCCTACAACGGACCAAGGTGAATCGCATCCACAGGTGCTACCGAGCTCTTCAATAATAGGTTAGCCTTAACCTTAATCCTTACTAACCAAGGAGGGAGTTAGCATCTCCTCTTGAATTTCTTTGAGATTTTGGCTTTCAGGCTCTGGCTTGTGGTTGTAAAAGCCTGTTTGTGTCCTAATTCCATCTCTTTGAGGGAATTCTGTGAGAGGCATTGAGCTAGAAGGAAGAAGAGACCCATCAACACTGCTTTCAGCTCTACTTTTAAGCTTTCTTGTAGTACTCTGACCACTGTTACTGCTATAGAGAACTGGTGATTGTCGAGTGTTGAATTCCATAAGAGTTGGGCTAATTGTTTTCCCTCTTTGTGATTTTCTTACATTGGCAGGAGTTTCAACTTTTTCTTCAGCTTTCTTAGCTTCTGATTCAAGAATTGTTGGGTTTAAAGTTTGTGCTCTTTGCTGGCTTCTTGCATTTTCTATTATATCGTCAATTTTCGTTTCTTCAGCTTTATATTCCAGAATTTCTTTAATCATTTCATCGCTCTCATTTATTTCTTCTGTATTTTCATAAATTTCTATTTCTGAAGGTCTCTCTGAGCTATTTTGCAGCTCAGGTGTACTAATGTATTCATCAGTAATAGCAATTTTCTCAACTTTGATTTCTTCTTTTTTCACCACCAAATTTTCTTGTTTTGTTGGAGTCTCTTTCACTCGTTCTGGCTCTCTTTGTTTGGCTTCACTTTTTCTCTCCCTTGACTTATTTTCAATTCTCGGCTTTTCCTTTATTTCTTCTGTTACTTCTTCTTTTGCTTCTTCTTTTTCTTGCAGAATTTCTTCGTCATTCTGCCTGCCTTCTTGTACCTTTATGTCATTTTCTGAGTGGCTATCATAGCTGTCTTCTTCGCTTGCACTAAGTTCTTCGATACTGTCATAATTTTCACTGTTATCACTATATAATGTCTTATTGTCATGCTTCATTCTTAAATACTTATAATTCTGCGATGCCAATGTTCTGCTTCTTTCAAGTCTTCTCTCAACTAATGGAGTCGGATCTTTGGATTTTCTGGATAGTTTTCTTTTTCTAGCCCTTTCTACTTTCACCTCTTCTGAAACGCCTTCTTTCTTCTTAAGCTTTTTTCTATAAAACCATTCAGGTGCTTTCTTTTCTGGTTCTTTTTCTTCATCAGAGTCTGCAAAGTTGTTGATGTCAGAAATTTCTTCCTCTTCTTCTTTTGAGTCAGAGTGAGAGCTGGGGGCGTCTTCTACAGACTCATAGCCTTCGAGATCTCCTGGGTGGTTTAATAAGGAGACTGAAAAAGCAAATGGGCATGCATAGAGAATGTCCATCATTTCTGACAATGAGACTTTTCGATTAAGCTCTCTAGTGATGCTAGTCAATGGATATTGGTCTTCAGGATCAGCGCTGTCAATATTTTTTCTTAAAAATAGCTCTGCAGCTGCTAAAGCATCAGCTCTTACCTTGTCATAAAACGGTTTTCCTCTCGCTTGGAACTCTGGATGCCTGTCAGCAATATTTCTCACTGCGATTTTATTATTCATGAAAATTTCTTTCCTCATTTCTTTGATAAATTTTTTCATTTCATCCCTAAAAGGGAAATGCTGGACAGATCGTTTTTCTTTTGTGTTATATCAATAGCGTTTCCCTTCCATTGTAAATCGAAATTCCCAGTGCTTCATGCTAGTTTCTTTTTTAAGTGTCTCAAGATGTTGATATACAGACCCTAACAAATGAATTTCATTTTGAAAATTAATCCCAGCAGATTTTGCGATCTCAAAAACCATGATATCTGTAATAGCTTCATCAACTGTCAGTCTCGGCTTGAAATAAGCAGCCCTTCTTCTGAATTCAGGATCAGGCATATTTTCTTTCATTACAATATAGTCTTTTCTTTGGATCAGCTTCACCAAATCTACTTCGTATTTTCTACATTCATTGTCATAGAATGTCGTAAACTGTGAAACTTCTCTTCCTCCAACGTTAAACTTGACACGCTGGATTAGCTCCATTAAAAATATACGAGCTGGATGTTGGATTTGAGAGCTAGCAATTTCTGTATTAACATATACAATATTTCCTACACTGTCTAATTCCTGTTTTCATAAAGGAGGTAATGGAAGCACAAGAGCTACTCTTGCAATTCATAATAATCGATAATCTCCAGCAATTCCATATTCTTTTGCTAGATTTAATACAGCTTCAGGATTTATTAATTGGTATTCAAGAGAGTCTTCTATCATTTTAGGTGGCCCGTCATCTTTTCCTCCAAATAATAGATCATAGAACTCTTTTGATTCCTTTTGAATTTGGATGAATTTCTCTCCTGTATTATTTTCAGTTTTCCCAACCTTTGCCATAAGTTTTTCAAAAGCGACCATCTGGTCTTCATATGATAAAATTTCGTTATTCTGAGGATTATTTGTATTTTTCCTATCACTTTGAGAAGATTCTTTTGTATTTTCTTGGAAATTCTGTTCAATGTCTTTTTCTACAAGTCTTGCAAAGCATTTTCTGAATTTGTAAATTAAAGGGTGATTAGTGGTAGTAATTTGAGTTTTCATATTGTGGTATTGGATTTGGCCTTTATAGTCGCTTTCTCTTTTCCATCCAATTGGCAGCAAGCATAGTAAAGCTTGATGGAGAAACCACTTATATTTTTCTTCATTTTCAAAATCCATGCCGAGTTGTTGGGCAAGATATTGGACTTCTCTCACGGGGTATTCAACAAGTCTTTTTCGTCCTTGGTCTTTGACATAAAATCGGTACATTATTATAACATGTATTTTTTCATATATAACTTATAAAATTAGTCTGATTTTTCTTCTTCTTCCTCTTCTTCATGATCTTCTCCATTAAGTGTCTTTGGAAACAGCATTGGTGGGATTCCTTCTTCATCATTTTTTTCTCCTTTGGAAAGATCTCGGTATCTTTGTAAATAGACGCGCAGAGGCTCAATATACTTTTCGAAGGGTAGGGAAAAACCTAGAAACTATTTTTTCCGGTTATTTTTCTAGTCAAAAATGGCTGAAAAAGTATAGAAAAAAAATCATAGGGTTCTTTTCGAATCCAAGAGTGTTCATAGCGTACATCAGGTCGTCACCACTTATTGTCTTTCTTCTTTCACTGAGGCATTTCTCACAGGCTTCACTGGTAATAAAGCTGATGAACTCGGAGACGCATTCTTGCACACATTCTTTGGCATCTTTACTGATTTTTGCTGAAGGTGGTAAAGCTTTTTTCATGATACGCGAAATATTGGCTATCGGCAAGAATCTATCCTGCTCTCTTTGGTCACCTTGAGCCTCTTCTGTCATAATTTAAAATTTTATTTATTACTGTCATCAAATTAAATTTAGCTTGCTAAATTAAAATTAAAACCGATTTTGTAAAAATATGTTTTTATCTGTTTTTCATTCGCTTTCACAAGCTCCGAAATTCAACAAGCATCAAGATCCCAGTTAATGAACCTTTAAGAAGAAGGAATTTTTAAGATGGATAGAAAGCTTATCTCTGCACGTGAAGGCTAAGGAAAAACTCAATGGTTTTGCTCAAAATGAGGCACCGAAAGTATCGCAGGCTCCAAACGAATCTCACTCCCCCCTCCTTTTAAATTGGAACAAAATATCGGTAAAATTTCCACTTTTTTGGTAAATTAAACCCCTTTAAATTGGAACAAAATTTAATTTTATAATGAAAAATTATATATAATTTTTATCTAAAAAGTTTTGATATAAGTTAAGTGTTTCTTCTTAACTAAAATTAAAAATTTTATTTTATATCTTGCTCTTTTTTTTAAAGAAAAAAGTATAAAGAGCATCTTATTTAAATAAATTTATTATCTTTAATTGGTAAATTTTAAAAAAAAAATTAATTTTTTTTTTTTTAAAAATTTTCAAAAAAATTTTTGTTTTTTTTGATAAAAATGATATTTTTTATTTGGATAGTTTTGATATAAATTCAATAGGAATTCTTTATAAAATTTCAAAATTTACTTATTTCTTGCTTTATTTTAAAGAATAAGTATAAATAACATCTTATTTAAACAAAATTAGCACTTTGATCGATAAATTTTCCAAAATTTTTTTTTTTTTAATTTTTTTTTGTCAAATAAAAATAAAAATTTTTGTGTAAATAATTTTGATACCAATTAATAGTGGCGTATTAACTAATAATGAAAATTTAGTTATATCTTGCTTTGTTTTAAAGGATAAAGAGTAAATATCGTTTTATTAAACAAATTTATTGATCTAATTCGATAAGTTTTTGAAATTTTTTTTTGTTGAAATTTTTATATTTTTTTATAAAAAATTTTATATTGATATTTTTTTTTTAAAAAAAAAAATTAACCCCCCTTTAAATTGGTTAGTTCCAATTTAAAGGGGGGGGAGTCAGAGAAAAACACTGAAAAGACTGAGACAAGGGCATTTACAAAATGATAAATTTGAATAATCATCAAGTTGCTACAAAGTTCGTTTGATGGTGAAAGAGGCACTGGGCTACATTGGTGATGATGTTTTAAGTGATAAAGAGCTTATAAAAGATGAGAGAAAGGCTTGATGATAAAATTGGCTCATTTAGGGACTTTGGAGATGGCTCATCATATACATAAGGGATTAATGCGTCGCTGAGGAAATTCTGAAGATAATTATATCAGATGTTTGACATATTATACATAACATGCAGCTTAAAGTTTGAGGAAATCGGGAGGCGGAAGATATAGAGAAAAAATAGGAGTTATAAATCAAAAAATACGAGAGTTTATTGGAAAAATTGTAAAAATAAGAGAGATTGACTCCTTGAGTGTGTAACCTTAATTAGTAATAATTAAAAAATTAATTTTTTACAAAGGATCGACCTCCATAGACATTTCAGCACTAATTGAAATTTTTTTCATTTTCCTGGTAAGCTCGTCAAGTCCTTCTCGTGGTCGTTTTTGAAAAGTAGATTCTCCATACATCGGTGCAAAAGCATATTTACCAAAAAAAATCCCACCTTGCAATGTTTGGCTCACTCTCCATTGAAATTCGCTTTTATTATTTTTGTATAACTCTGCTATTTCTAGATTCAAAATATTTTCAGGAATTAAATTGAGATTTGGCTCATAGAGAACCAATTCGATAGCAAAAATTATTGAATTAACGGTCATTACCGGTTTTCATTCCTCTTCTTGAAGGGCATCAATTGCGAAATACCCGGTGTCTATGTCGATGTTTGGATGATAAACTTGGTTTTTTACAACTACAATTGGCGGCTTGAAAGGATAGCCAGGGTTTATTTTTATAATACAATGGAACCAAGCTCCTGCGTATAAATGATTCTGATCAGGCTTTATTTGAAGTGAAACTGGGACGCATTTATATATACCTTCATTGTAGGGGAAAGAGATATTTATATTTGTATAGCCTGCTGTATATCGCTTTGTGGAAAGCTCTGCTAGATCTTTTGAAAGGCGCATCTCAGCAACAGAGAAAAGCACGCTATGTTTCTTTTTGTTTTTCAGTAGCAACATTATTTTATAAGATTTTAAAAGTAGTTTAGCATAAAATTCCATTGAATTAAATGCAAAGCCTACAAAATGCATGGCCACAACAACCTAAAAGAAAATGTGAAATTATCAGTAAGATTAGCATAAACCGGATATTTTATCAATATTTATAAAAGTGCTCTAAAATCATTTTAATTTAAATTTTATTAGGTACGAGATAAATAATAGTTATTAATATAAGCATAAATTAATTTGAAATTGAATTCGGAGCCACAAGATTAAGAACAAGTTTTCTTATGTCAAGGACATTTGTTATATCATTCAAATCTGAATGCAAGCATCTTAAAGAATGGACTCGTTTTTCATAACTTTCCCTCAACTTATCGATCATCTTTTGTATTTTGCTCTTAGTTTCAGCTCTCCCTCTTAATTCCTGCAATAATTGTGAAGAATGCCTAACTCTCACCCTTCGTGAGCGAACAAAACCATTGGAAAAATCCTTATTTTTTGGGGTAAAAGTCACTCTCCATGAGAGAACCAAAATTTTGATATATAAGTTAACATTATTATAATGAAATCTCTAGCTAATTCTGTTTAACTTTAAACAGCTTCGATTTTAAAACATAAATTTTACAAATAAATAATATTTGCTCTCCTATTATTTCGAATTGGGATTTTTTTAATTTCAAAAAAATTACTATAAAATTTATATATAAATTTTTTAAAAAAAAATTAAGCTTAAGCGAACAAAATTTTTTTGTTCGCTCACTGAGGAGGGAGTAAGATAAATTGATGATTTCAGGCCTCTTTTGAATAAAATGACTGCATTATTGAGCTCTGTCATATCATTCTTAATTGCTTCAAACATTTCGCTTTTTTCATGGACAAATTTAACTGATTTTAGGTATCTCAAATTTAACTCTGAGTTTTTGATTTTCAATTCAGCTGCTTGACATTGCTTTTGATATTTTTCTTTAAGTTTGATAATTTTTTTTTGATCGTTCTCGTGCTCTTTTATCATTGCAAGGCCATACTTGCACTGTTTTCTTACACCTGTTTATTATGAACATCATTTAATAAAATAAAAAAATGCATTTTAGCATTCATATTAAATAAAAATATATTTTCTTTGCTTTTTCTTGCAGTTTCTACAGTTCTCAATAATGTAAAGCTTTGAATCTGCTCTGCCCTCAGCTTATCTAAATCATTCTGCAAGCTATTATTTCTATTCCTTAGATGCTCGACTTTTTCTTCAAGTGACCTTAACATTTGCTGCTTTTTAGCTAATTCTCTATCAGTTGTCCATATTTCCGTCTTCAGTACATTCGCTTTAATTTTTTCATTTCTGAGTGGTTCAGAAATCACTACACATTCATCAGTAAACTCTACATCTCCTTGATCAGGAATTGTAGGCAGCGGAGTTCTCTCTGTTTCAATTTCGCATGTATTTCTAATTGGTGGATGTTGCTTCATTCAAGGGTGTTCTAATAATTTTGTGATGGTAATTCTTAAATCTGGATTAGGATTTAACAGTCTTTTTACGAGATCTTTTGCTAATAATGGAAAATTTTTAGGGAAACCAATTTTTGCTGCTCTTATTTTGTCAAATAGCTCAGCCTGTGTGTTAGACTGAAAAGGAGCTCTTCCGACTAGCATTTCGAATAGGAGAACTCCTAAATTCCACAAATCTAAATTAATTCCATGGCCTTTTCTTTCAATCATTTCGGGTGCTAAATAATCTAGAGTTCCACAATAAGTTGATCGTTCTTCATTAAAAAAATTACTCCAACCGAAATCTCCTAATTTTGCATTTCCTTCTGCATCTAATAAAATATTTTCAGGTTTTATATCTCTATGAATAATTGGAGGATCTTTTGAATGTAAATACTGCACAGCCAAAGCAACTTCTCTCAAATACTGCGCTGCACTCTGTTCGTCAAAACTTTTCATTTTCCTCAATTTCGTAAATAATTGCCCTCCTTCAGCTAGCTCCAAAATCAAATAAAAATTTGTGTTATCTTCAAAATGTGAATACAATTTTACTATATTTGGATGATTTAAACAATACATGATCCTCACCTCCCTTCTTACCTGCTGAAGCATTCCTCTCAGCAGCACTCTGGTTTTTGGTATTACTTTTATAGCGAATTCTTTCCCTGATGCTGTATGTTTTACTTTGAAGACTTCCCCAAAAGCTCCTAGTCCAAGAGGTTTTGTTGCAATGCTTTGGAAGTCTTCTACCCTGCATTCTCTTTCTTTTCCTTGCTTTACTGATGGAGGGAGAAATAATAATCGTCGCTGATTTTAAAATACCTCTGAAGAATCTAATTTTTCATTTGATGTTTTCATTATTATTCCAATGAAGGTGGCGGCATATGTATTTAAGAATTTATTAGATATTATTAATCAAGGGCTTGCAAAGCAAAATATTTGACATCATTGTCAGGGTCATCTGAAAGCACTTGGAGAATTGGTGTGAAGGGGGAGATGTCCATTTTGGAGCGCAGCCTGTTGAGGGATTTGCACAGAATGAGGCGAATATTTGGGACTCTGTCTTGGGAAGCTTCTGTGAAAATTGGGATTAACTGGTCAGGGTCTAGTGGTAGATGACCTAAAATATACAGGACAGTTCGTCTAGAGATGTAGCCTAGGTCTTGATGATAAAATTCTTGAAGCCTAGGTAAAAGTTCAGCCATTATTCAGCTTGGCGGAAGGATTTCTACTAGCTCCACAACTTTTTTGGCACCAGTTTTCCGTACCTTATTTACTGAGAAAGTTAAAAAAAATGGGCTGAAGTAGCTCGATAAATACCCCACCACCTAAATACTTTGCTATAGACACACAACACTTATATACAGATTCTCTTAGTCTTCACTGTGGGGATTCTTTAGCTAGCCTTAATAAAGATTCGCACAATGGTGGGGTAAGAAACTCTGGACCAATAGCTTTGGCAATATTTCCAAGCCCTTCAATCATTGTTAGCTTGATTTCATAATTCTCATCATTTGCCAAATCAAAGCACAGCGGGGCTATTTTTGCATAAGAAAAATCCTTTTCTGCATAACTAGCTATTACAAAGATAACTTCTGTACAGTTTTTCTTGACATTTGGTGTTGAGCTTTCATCTCTAAAAGTGGATTCCAGGATTGGAAAAATTAGATTTTGTATTTTTTCTGTTGGAATTGTGTGGAGTGTATTTTTGAGTGACAGTAATGCAATTGCTCTTACTTCTGATTCTATATCTTGCAAGACGCGAACAAAAGTTTGAAGTAAAGAATTTTCTGTTATGTCTTTTCCTAAAACTTCTACAAGTGTAGGAAAATGCTTGGCAAAGGAAAATCTAACCTTTCATGACTTATCTTCCCCAATCAAATGAATAATTGGCAAAGAGTATAGTTTATTTTCTTCTTCATTTAAGAGCTTGATTATTTCGATTAAGCTTTCAATACATAATGCTCTTATTTGGTCTTGCTCATCTTCGGCTCGTTTTCTTAATTTTGGAACAATTTCAGTAAATAAATAATCTTTTTCAATTGCCTTGCTCTCCCCTCTGTGAGCGAATAAATAAATTGTGTTCGCTCATGAAGAGGGGTTAATTTTTTTTTATAAAAAATTTATATATAAATTTTATAGTAATTTTTTTTAAAAAAATTTATATATAAATTTTATAGTAATTTTTTTTAAAAAATTTGTAAAAATTGAGAAGTAAAAATTAAACTTAAACTGCAAGCTGTTTAAAATCAAACAGAATAAATAGAGATTTCATTATAACGCTCACAGAGAGTGGGTTTTTAGGAAAATAATAGATTTTTTTCCAATGGTTTTGTTCGCTTGCGGAGGGGGGAGTTAGCAATTCTCCCCATTTCAATCAATGCAGCTCTTCTAACCATTGGCACATCTTCACGGCTTAATTCAAAAATTATCTGTCTTAAATTCTCTTGTAATTCCCCACTCCTAGGATACGCATGGGAAAATAGCGCGCATGCAGATACCTTTGCCGAAAAATTTTCAGCAGAAGCTAATCTAAGAATAGTTGGAACAAATATTTCAATGATTTCAGTATCTGATAAAATATCTGATATTATTATAAGAGATTTCACAGCTTGCTCTCTAATCAATGTTTCATCAAGTGCTGCTAAAGCTTCGAGTAAAGGCAATAAAGAACTTGCTTCTCCAGGCAAAAATGGATGAAATTCACCTAATTCTTGGGCTAAAGCAAAAAGAACTTCGTCTTCTAAGTGTGTTAAAGCTAGATAAACATTACTTGCTAAATAAGGAAGAAGCTCGGTTTTAGTTTTTTCAGGACCTAGAATAGTAGCTATTATTTGAAGTCGGTGAATAGCGTTTACTTTGACATAGGTTTCGTCAGTACTCAATTCTTCTATTAAGAATTCTCACTCAGCCCAATGATTGATTGAGCCTATCACAATCGCTCGATCAAGGATGGCGTTAAAAAAATAAATATAATACTAAAAATTTTTCCAAATAAAACATCTTATGCGCTAACCATTAGAGATAGAGTATGCAATATATTAGTAAACATTCTAGAAATCAGCGTTATGATTACTTAAAGATAATGATATTATATATAAGCTAATATCCATTACTTAGGTAGCTAATTTTAAGCAGGCGAGTAGTGGGTTTTATGTTTGACTACATGAAACTGTTTGATTAGTTTGGGATTAATTTTCCATATACATTAAATGGTGTGGCGAACCAGACACACTCTTAACACTTGGAGTTGATTTGGTTTAGCAGAGTACAAGTATCTTGAGGAAGGAGGATGGCGTTCGGAGCGTGTATCTGGCCAGGTTTTCCTGGCTTGATCGTGTAGTCAGCCTATGCTTTACTCCAAATCCAGGTTTCGCCTCAGAGGAGAATGGAGCTGAGAGTTGGAAAGGGATATCCAGCACTGCCAGAAGTCATTTTTTGGCTAATCGGAACTATCTTCCTGCGTGAAATCAGTTGTGCCTGGGCTTCAGATTTCCATTTTGGTCGAGAACCGACAAGAAAATTCGACATTTTGAATTAGCATGTAGGCAACTTTTGTTGACGCGCGGTGTGATTGCACAATTCATCCAACTGCCGGCTAGTGAGTCAGGCTCTCTTCCTGCAGGAAGAGCCTTGCGATGTCATGAAACGGAACTGGCAAGCAAGCGGGGAAGTGTTAGTAGTGGGGTTAGTCCTTCATGAATTACAATGAACTTTTTTATAAGTATAATTAAGATTAAGATGGTGTTCGTTTTCCATATTTTAGGAAATTTTTAATAATGTCATTTGATCAATAGTGGAGTAAGGGGTTTATATCTATTTATCTTTTACCCATTGTTGACTATAACCTTTATTTTGGATCATCAGGGAAAAAAACCAGGAAGGTTATTCCTGCTGCCTTTTTACCATTAAGATGACAGAGGATTTTCCTGTTTTTTCAGGAAAACCCCATGGTTTTTCAAAAAAGTATTATAAAGACTCGCTGCAATTTAAACTCTAAAATGCAAGCCAAATGAAGAAGGAAATTGCATTCTATCTTAACCAAATAATTTTTTGACCGTCAAAATTTTTATCCAAAAATCGCATGGAAAAAAACCTAATAAAATTGAAAAATTCATATATCAGCAATAAATAGAAAGCTCTAAATGGCTAATAATCAAGATTTAGACTTCTATTGCAAATTCATTTTAATTGATAAAATTTGCTGATCTTTAACTAATATTAAATGATTGTGGATATATGTGATGGAAATATTGACAGGAAAAAATCCGGTTTTTCATGACGTCTTTGCTTTAAAATTTCGCCAAACAAATTCATTATTGCCCCTATGAGTTAGAGTTCTACCAGCTAAAATCCAAATATATTTATTAGAGCAATCAGTCTTAATCTTGAATTATTAGTAGTTTAGAGAGCTAATAGATAATTTTTCAATTTTATAATGTGATTTTTGGATAAAAAAATTGACGTTCAAAAAATATATTAGTTAAGATATTTATAATACAATTTTTTTCTTCATTTGGCTTACATTTTTAGAATTTAAATTACGATTGCAGCAAGCCTTTATATATTAGATCTTAAGGCTAATCTCCAACTAAAGTATTTAGATCCTTATAAAAACTTTTCAAAGGTTGTTTTCTGTAAAAACTGAAGAAAAATCACAGGTAGTTATTTTAAGTATATTTTTTTGAAAAACCATTGGTTTTTTTTTCAAAAAAACAGGAAAAACACTTCCGCATTTTCAAGGTAAAAAGGCAGCAGGAAAAACCTATCTGGGGCTTATCCTGATGACCACTTTATTTTCTATTAATATGGAATTTTTTAATATTAGCCCCTTACTAAATAATTAAATAATTATTATCCTAGATTTAGCTTTTAAGCGTCTTCACTATCAGAGGATAGTATGATTGACTCTAGATCTCCTCTACTAAATCTTTCTTTAGATTTCCTTGACATAATTAATTAAGGTAAGCTCATCGTCTCGATAAGACCGGGTATTTGCACCCCTGGATGCCGATCGTTCCCGAGGTACCCTGATAGATTCACTCCTCGCAACCTCGAGAAAGGACTTCTTGCAACCTATGGCCCATCACCTGGGTCGAAACTCCCTGTTTCTCGTTAGGCAGATGCCACCTCTTGAGCCCTGCTCTAGGAATTTTTATCATCACCACTCGGGGCTTTTGCTGGTCCTGCCCTTTCTAATAATGGTCTCTGATGCAAAAAATTAAAGTCCCAGGGATCAGTTCCCTAGCTCCGAAAAAGACTTCCCCTTCATACAGGGCCGTTGTCTGCTGGTGCTAAGAAAAGGGCTAAGAGGTTGGATGGTCTGTCCATCATTTTATGTATAAATATTTCCTATACATAATTTCTGAATTTTCTTCCAGCTCTTTCTCCAAATCTATTTTTCTGTTTTTGTCATCAGGCTCATTTTGTAGCTCTTGGAGAATTTCAATTATCCTACAATTTTGATTGCTCAACTCTGCAATTGCTTTAGCATTTTGCTTATTTATAGCCTGGTTTTTAAAGACTGCTTGCTTCATCTCTTTAAACTTTTGACCCATCTCAGCCTTTGAATATTTCAGCTTTTCTCTTATGCACATCTGAAAGTATCTTTTGGTGCTGCTATTTCTCTTCCAAATTATAAGCGTTTCTAGCTCAACAATGATTTCTGCGACTTCTTTTTGGTCTGCTATTTCAGAAAACTCTTGAACGCGCTCAAAAGTGTCCCACATAATTGAAATAAGTAAATTCAGCATAATTATAGCATTAATTAGGCTTGCTATAAAGAAAAATATTCACTGGATTTCATTCATACCATCTACATCGTAATCTCCTATATTAATTCTATAAGCCATAGCTAAGTTTTCAGCATAGCCTAAACTTTTGGTATCTAAAACATAGAAAATAAAGCTGAAAGACAGAGTAGAGTAAAATAATAAAACTAGAAACCAAGCCACATCTTTGAATACTTCATATAATAAGTTACTCATATAACGGAGCCTTTTTGATACCCTGAAGTATGAAATCCCTCTAATCCATGAAAAAATTATAAGCCATACTAAAAATCCATAGCAAACATCTTGTGAAGAGCCTGAAAACTGAATTATTGCATAAATCAAGCTGAAAAAAGTTCTTATGCACTCAATAGAATTTCATATGTCTTTAAAGTAGTTTCGACGGGCCACAATTAATTTATAAAACTCATAGCAAGACAGTATAATACTAATAAGCAGCAAAAACACTAAAAATCCTTGTTTTTCTAAAAAGAAAACAATGTAAACTGATAAAATAAATAGATAAAATGCATAAAACAATGCTTTGGAATACATTACCCATCTTAATCTATCCCACTTATATTTTAGCAACTGCTTTATAAAGTAATTTTTAAACACATTTTCATTTGGAGAATGTCGCAGACTGTTCAAAAAATCAATACTTTCTTTAGAGCCTAACGTAAGATTTATAGGAATAACGCATTGCTTATAAGTTACTGGGATTTCTTCCTTCATTTTTTTAGGATGATTGAAAAATTTGCTTTCTTTAACTCTGAATTTTTTAGAGTGGCGGTATAGTGGAAATTTTGTATTGCTACTGCAAAATTTAATTGAGAGAGGATGATGGATGATAAAAATAGCATTGTAAAATTTATTTAAACTTGAGTTGCCTGCTAGATTCATTTTAGTTAAAATATCTGAGTTGAGGAATGAAAGAGAATAAGGGTTTTCAGAAACTAGGCTTTTAAACTTTCCTACTATTGCAGCTTCACAATCAATTAGGCTAGGCTATGCTATTAAAGGCAAGCATTAGCCATATTAGTAACGCAGTAACCAAAGACCTTCCGTATGGAAGGTTCGTCCATTTTCGACCCCAACCCAGAGGGTCTATCTCCAAAAGCAAGTGCCACTTCGTACTTTCTGTTTTGAGGCTTCAGTCTTGAGTGCTTATGGATTTCTGATGCCTTACTACGGGCTATAGGAGTAATTTGATTCAAAGGATCAGCTCTTTGGAGTCTGTCGTGTATCAAGTGGCTTTCTTGGCAGCACAGGAAAAAGAACTGAGATGGACTCTGAGCTGAGAATCGAGTGCAGCCTCAGCAGATATGCATCCCGGTAGATTTTGGTTGCCTTCCTGTGGTTGAAAATGGAGGTTCTGAACATCCTTTGGATCCAAGAACCCATAGCATTTCTCTACCGAGAAACTGGGAATTTCGGCCCAGGCCACAGGGAAGCAGTCCCCATAGTCATAAGGCCTGGTCTGTTGTGCCGAAAGGACAGGTTGGCACGTGCCACCATTTTTTTTAATATAAAGGCTTCACAATCAATTAGTCCTTTTAATATAGATATTGATAAAGGATTTAGGCCAAAAGTTGTATTTATAATTGGCGTGCCATTAGTTAAACATTTTTTTAAGCTTCGTGAATCATTAAAATATGCATAAAAATGAAGCAGGTTAAAACGATATGGGAAAATCAGCCAATTTTCTTTAGTTGCATCGTGCTTTTTGCACTGATTCATAATTATGTCTGAGATATACTGCATATAAGAAAAATTGTCTCCCGTACCTACTGCCATAGGTAGAATAGTTTTAAAAGGGTTTTTATTAATATATAATTTGCAGCTCTCTTCATTAGCAGACTCAAAATATATAAAATACTCCTCATTTTGAGAGACACCCATTCCTATGCAAGCATAAGAAGTCTCATAGCTATAAATCCTGGTAAAAGTTTTCATGTCCCAATAAAACACCTTATGCATCCCATGTATTGAAATTAATGTTTTTTCATCTGATAATAATGATACGTCGTTTATTATACCCAGCTCAGAGCCAAATTTATGAATTAGTTTTGCTCTTCTTCAGTCCCATATTTTAATTTCTTCAGCACAGGCAGAGAGTATTTTATCATCATTGTTAAAGCTGAATGTTCTTTCAATACCATTCTTATGAGCATCAAAAATAATTGAAAGTAGACTGCCTGTATATAGAGGTTTCCTCTATATAGCGCTAAAAGCGCAGACATTTTCCCAGGAGCTTTCCAAGTTCGTCGGACCAAATCGCTTTTTGGTCCGACCAAGGCATTGATTTGGTGCAACCTACCGATAAATTCCGATCAGAATTTATCGGCCTTACAGCGCCAAACATAGGAAACTTCTATATGTATCCCATATTCTTATTTCGCCATCAGTTGATCCTGACATCAAAAATCCAGAATTTTTCATAAATTTGACGATTTTCACTGAATATGCATGCCCCTCTAACTTTTTGAATAATTCATATCGTTTTACGTCTCATAAATTAATTTTTCCATATATATCTCCAGTCGCCAGAATACTTTTGTCATTAAAATAGTCAATGCTTGATACTTCTGGGTGATTGCTTCCTAAATCAATTGGCATGCTGTTATTGACAGAAAATAGATTCATAATATGAATAGCTTGATTATCAAGATAAATAAAGTTCTGGTCATCGATTGCGATTAAATGAGTCACTTTTTTAGGACACTTAAATATTGTTACTTTTTCATCACTTCCAAAATTTCATAAATATAAGGTACTTTCAATAAAACAATATAGACTATTTGAAGAGGAAAAACAAAACTTTTGACATACAATTGATCTTTCTTGAGAAAATTCAGGAACTTTGAGCACTGAGAGCTTTAAATCGCTTGATGATGAATATACAGTTTTTCCATTTTTACTCAATATTAAGCAAGTAATTTCGCTATCATGAGCTCGGATTTCTGACAATTTTTTATCTTGCACCATATCTCAAAATATCAATTTTCCGTCTTTTGACATCACGAAAATATCTTCTTTCGGTGTAAAATTAATTGCTGAGACATTGCTGTAATTTAGTTCTCTTAAAGCTTTAAAAGAAATTTTTTCAAAAATTTGCACAGAATAATCAAATACTACAGAAATTATCGTTTCTAAAGGCGATAATTTTATAATTTGCCCTCCTTTTGGATTCTTTTTCTCTGTAATGATTTCAGAATCTTTTGAGAAGCTTATCATTTTTCCTTTTGAAATTGCAAAAATCGTATTGTCTCTAGCAACATCAAAATCTATGAAATCCCCAACTGCAAAGTTTTCAGCAATCCTCAGCTCATGAGTTTTTACTTTTACTATCTTTGTTGATAAATTAGCAAAAATAAATCTTTTGTCATATGAAATTTTAATTTGTCAAACTTCTCTGCCAAGATCAATAGTTTCTGCTTTTAATACTCTCAGCTCAGGCAGGTGAATTATAAAAAGTGAGTTTTCTCCACAAGCAACAGCAGTCGACTCATCTATTAGGGCAATATCATGCAATTCACTGCAGATTTTAACTTCTTTTAAGGCTTTTGTCTTTAAGTCGAAGTCAATAATATTTCCACCTGAAGAACAAGCAATAATATTTGTTTCAAGTGGGAGAAGCGTGAACCCTGATAATGTATATTTGACATTATAATGAGCTGGCAAATGTTTGTTAAAACTATTAGCAACATCTAACATTGCACTTTTTAGCTCTTCTAAAGGCTCAGATAGTAATTCGTCCTGCTTTAATGAGCCATGCTTCACAATTGAAGCAAAAAGCCGATTTGAAGTATTCCCAGTCTGGGAGCCTAATAATGGATTTTTGAGTTCTTTGAGCTCCATTAGACAATATTATTTAGCATTAAATGGAATTATTAAGATCAACTAATTAAGACATTATAAATTATACTCCAAAATGTAAATCTCTAACTGCCCTAAATAATATTTTTCAATATTTAAATATATTGATTCGCTTAGAAATATTTTGATTTAATAATTTTTTTTCATATTTTTTTAATCGAAAATCAATTAAATGTTATTTACTGTCAATTTTATCCTATACCTAACTCACTCCCTCTTATAAGTTAAAAAATTTTTGTGAGTAAATTTTTTTTTAAAAATCTTATATAAATTTTAGAGTAAAATAAATTTTAAAAAATCCTAATTCACGAAAATTATTTGGTTTTTAAATTTAGTTTTAAAATGCAAGCTGTTAAAACTTTAATAGAATTAGCTCAAGATTAATTATACTAATTATATCGCTTGATATCAAATTTCTTTTTCAGAATTGTTTTTTTTTCGCTCAGGGAGGCTTTTTACCCAAAAAAATAGGGATTTTTTCAATTTTTTTCCTTACGGAAGGTGGCTGTTTACCCAAAAAATAGGGATTTTTTCAATATTTTTTGCTTATGGAGAGAGGAAGGAGTAAGTAAGCAAAACATAATAAATATGAAAAATATATAAATAAAAAATAATTTAATTTTTTTACACTAAACGATTGTTTATTTTTATTAATGGTAGATTTCCATTTGTATTATGAATCAATTGCTTTATTTTCACTCTGACCAGCTGCTCCAAATTCATCTGATGATCAAAACTCCTTAAATTTTCGCAATCTTTGAACAATAATTTTTCGGTTTCTGTTTTGCTCTCTTCAGTAGCCTGAGTGGAAAGATTTTCAGCCATATCTGGAGCCGTACAATCAGTTGATACAATATCATTTTTAAGACTTGCCGTTACTGGTCTCTTCATTTTTCTTTTAAAAATACTTAGGGTTGGCTCTCTTTTTTCTTGATATTTATGCCCTGTAAGTTTTGAGCTCGGTGGAGATTCACTTGTTATGGTTATATTTAACCTTGATAAAAACAAATCAGGACGTCGATGCTTTTCATCAATAATTGGTTTCACTTTCCCAAATTCACGCTTTTTAAACCCTTTGCTAAGCTTTTCAAATTTATTTCATGTGAGAGGTATTAATTCTTGCTTTTTTCTATCTTGCTCTTGGGCTTCTTTTTTGTGAGCAATTTTCGCCTTTCCGAGCAAATATGCCTTGTCAAATTTATAAAAAGTTTTGGGCTCTTCGTAATCTTGTGAAAGAATCTTACTAACGTAGTAAGACCCGAATTCTTGGTTTTGACTGAAGCTGTCTTTTATTGCTGCAAGTTTCTTCTGAAGAGCTTTACAGTTATTAACCAAGTTTTGAGCATGGGTTACAGGACTATTTTTTATTTCTTGGTTTTTTTGGTGTAGTTTTATGGTTTTAAGTGGTTTTGGAGTTGTGGAAAACGACTTATTGGGGTGATTTGAGCTCAGTTTTCTATTGGCTCTCATATTTGCATGCAAAATATATTGCTTTGGTGTGAATTTAATTATTGGCCGATAATGACTTTATTTTCCGAATTTATTATTAGATCTTCAGAGTAATTGTGAACATGATAATTGAGTATATTTTTTATCTAATAAAAAACAGAATATTATTTATGTTAATTTGACGAACTCACATACATCATCCTGCGTGTATTCTATTAATTCAGGGCTTTCATTGATTAGTTGAACCTTAACTTTGTTCCTTTTACGATCTCTTTCAATTAAATTTGCTACTTCCCCTCTATTTGTACCTTTTAATATCATGATTGGTTCATTTAAGCTAGGAATAACAGTTTCTATGTCTTTTTCTGTCAAATTTGTAATAATTCTTTGATTTCTCAGTAATGCTGTGAAGCTATATTTATCAAGCACATCATTTATGATAACTTTTGAGTTATATAAACTTCCATCACATACTTTTTGGCTTCTAACTCTAACTCTTAATCCTGGCATTACCCATCTGAGCTTTTTCTGTCTTGTAGACCTATCATTTGCTTCACTGTTCTCATTTTCTTCATATTTTACCACCTTACTCGTTTTTACTCTGATTTGATTAACAGTTCTTGGCAATTCAATAAATACAAACATATCCACTATATCTGCTACCACTCCTCTAATCCCTTTATGCTTTCCTTCAATGATTTTTACCTTTGTCCCAATTTCAAACTTTCTTTTTTGTTCTGACTCCATTTCATCAGTTGCGCCCAGCCCTTTTCTTTCACTTTGAGTTACAAAAATTGATTATCTAATATTTTCTGTCCTTTTCTAGGCAGAAAAAAAAAAACTTACTGATATAATAAATATGTACTCGATTCTCCCTCTCCAGCCTTCCGACCAGGCTTGGTCTGAGACGCCATATTTAATTACTTTCACTTCTAGGTACAGCATTAAAATGAATAGGAATTTCTCCTTGCGAATTTTTCCCCACACCTCTTCCCTCGTACCACCCCAATTTTTCGAATATTTTTTTACCAAAACCTTCGACAGGATTTTTAATATAGTTTTCAGGCTCAATATCCTTTGCCATTTATTAGTCTAAATAAAGATGAGCTGCTTACTCCCAGATCCTATCAAGCAATTCCATTGAAAAATTCCCTCAAAATTGAGAAATCCTTGTTCGAACGCATTTCCATATGGCCAAACATTAAACCCACTCCTCTATCCAACGTCATATTCAACTGCTTATTTTGATAATAATTAATATTAGAGATATTACATATAATCGCTGCTGCGAAATTATAATGCTTGTTTTAGAATATTTGCTAATATATTGATACTAATATTTTTTATCTCCAACCTATAAAATCGTTTACACAGGAAATTTTTTTTTTATTATTATAATAATGTGAGTTATAAATGGTTTATACATAATTTTTTAACCCCATATGATCGAACAACACAGGCTGCTCAATAAAGGATGGAGTTAGTAATTTATTTGAAAATTTAATGGGCCATAGAAAACATAGGAAAACAAGGAGCTGTGCTGTAGTTTCTGAGATTTTCCCTAGAGTTGTTCAGCCCGAACTGAATTGCTATGAGCTTGACTTACAGAAAATATGCGAAACTCTAGGAAAAACGGACAGGCGCTACCTTGGGACAATTATAGGAGGCTCAATACTTGCTGTGCTTGGCTTTGTGATTTTCACTGGCGCTACTGTTGTGGGAGGTATAGTTGGAGGTGTATTAGGCCTAGGGATAGGACATGCCTTAGGAAGGACATGAAAAAGAAGCAAAATCCCTAAAAATAGCTTGACAAAGGAAAAAGAATATGAGTTCAGGTTAACTTGCCTAATGTATTACATGAAAAAATTAAAAAAATCAAAAATCCCAATTTCAGATTTTGCAGGAATACTAGAGCATATAATAAATGAATACAGACCTGCTTTTATTTTGCAATTGCATAATCCCGCGATCATGAAAGAAGTACAGAATTTAAAGAAATTTTTGAGCAAGAATGTTCCACATGCAGCTTTAATCAATTCGGTAGCTGAACTTAGATATTCAGTGGATTTTAATGTAAATACCAGCATAACTGCAGCTAGACTAAAACATGTGTATATTCCTATAATGCAGCTATTAAAAGAAACACCAGATAGAGAAGACCATGAGCTAGAAGCAGTCAGACAGATCGAGCTCTTAATTTCGCGTAAAAAAACCAAAAAAATCCTCAAAAATTCGCAAGCACACGAAGAAGATTTAATAGAGCAAGTTTTACCATGCTCAGCCCTTCACTGCTCTCAAGCTAGCCATAATTTCCCTTCTTGCAAAGCAATAAATGATTTAGATTACTTTCTTAAGACCAAAGGAGAATGCTTCAAAAGAAAAAGTTGGGAGAATAAAGTGATAAGTTAAAGATTAATAAATAAAATGGCATTCGGGCTAGAGAGAAATTAGCTCTGCTAATTTTCAATGCCTCATGGAAAGGAACTGCTCCAAAGCGTAACGCAACCAAGAGGCTCAGAGTTTTACCTCTCAGCACATCCGAAGAGGGTGACCCTTAGGTGGAGCACGCGTGGAGCTAAGGTGGCAAGGGCGATGGCACCTTGCAGGGTGAGAAGCGTTGGTAAGGGTGGCAGGCAGTTTATTTGGGATGATCCGATCTTTTAGATTGGAAATGCTTGTGACGTCACCATTCAATTTTGCCTCTGTCCCCTTCTTGGGAATGTGGCATTAGAAACCTTAAAAACTTTAATTATGTATGTATGATAAGTGAAAGATTATTATTTAGAAGAGCAAGCATTCCTGGGTATACCAGGTCAAGTCCATATCATAAGCTTCAATTTAAAGACATAGAGAGGCTTGCAATGATTTCAAGTATTTCTTCATCGATTACAACCTTTACATCCCCTATATTTGCCAAAGCTGAAGAAGAACCTGCAGAATCAGTGGCATCAGATCTAGAATCTGTAGCTAATGAAAGAGATATTACAATAAAAATAGAAAGTCCTATTCGGACTTATGATAAAAAGTTTACTTCCTCAATTATCCCTCCAAAGTCTCCTCCGCCTCCATTTCAAGGCTTAGTCAATGACATTGACCAAAGTGTCAGCAGCGAAGAAGCTGAAGAAGAAAAATCCCCTGACCAGTCCCGATCTATGAGAGAAAGCTTTGAAATTCAAAGAGCTAGTAGCATTAAAAAGCTGCAAAACAGCCCAGAAATCGACAAACAAATCAATACGGTCAAAATTGATGTTTCCATCCACAAATTCCAAAGCGATTTCGACCTTCTATTAGAAATTGAAAAAGAAGTAAATTCAGATAAAATATGGAGACATGTGGTAGACAAGCCAGGAACTCAATGCTATCAAAAGAAGGTCAGTGATTCCCCTATTTGTATGATTAAAGCTTTTTGTGAAGTGGATTATCCAGCTGAAACTGTTTATAAAGCCATTTGGGACACTACTGTTAGGACTGAGTGGGATAAACTGTTCCATGAGTTCAAAATTATTGATAAAACTGCTGATTATGAGGTGCTTTATTATATGATCAAAACTCCAATGGGAATTACGAGAAGAGATTGGCTTCAAAGGAGAATAGAGCTAAGAAACTACCCAGAGCCGAATACAATAATGCTGCATTTCATTAGTATGGAACATCCTATGATGCCGCCGAGAAAAGGAGTTATAAGAGCAGAAACGTTGATTTCTGGATATATAATCAGACCAATGACTCAAAGGTCTTGTAAAGTCACAATCATCACTCAAAATGACGTAAAAGGTCTAATCCCAACATACTTACTCCCCCCCCCCCCCCCCCCCTCCGTGAGCGAACAAAACCATTAGAAAAATCGCCATTTTTTGACCAAAAACCCACCCTCCGTGAGTGAACAAAAATTTTTTTAAATAGAAAAAATTTTAATGGAAAAAAATTTTGATATATAAGTGATAATTAGTATAATGAAATCTAGAGCTAATTCTGTTTAATTTTAAACAAATTGCGTTTTAAAACATAAATTTTGCAAATTAAATTAATATTTGCTTCCCAATTTTTGCAAATTAGGATTTTTTTAAATTTCGAAAAAAATATTTTTTTATAAAATTTTATATATAAATTTTTTTTAAAAAAAAAATTAACCCCCCCTCCGTGAGCGAACAAAATTTTTTTGTTCGCTCACGGAGGGGGGGGGGGGAGTTAGTAAATAAATTCGCAGCCAAAGCTCCTGCTGATTGGTGTACAAATATGAGAAGAGGATGTAAGCTCATTGCTGGATATTAGATTTTTATGCTAAAATGATTTTAATAATAATTTCTGACTATCTAAATATTTTTCTATATTTAAATGTGGGGCTTACTGTCTCTTTTATACTTCTGCAAAGGTTATGAGCTTTTTATAGTCCCGCACTCTCATTGTGATCCTGGATGGATTGAGACTTTTGATTGGTACTATGAAAATCAAGTCAAATCTATTCTGAGCGGTATTATTACTTTGCTGGAAGAAGATGAAAAGAGAAAATTCGTTTGATCTGAGATTTCGTTTTTACAAAGATGGTTTTCCGATCAATCTGAAGATGCAAAAGTGAGGTTTAAAGATTTCGTGAAGAAAGGACAAATCGAATTTGTAGGTGCAGGATATGTACAAAATGATGAAGCATCTACTGATATTGAGATGGTTATAAGGCAAATTGAGCATGGGCATCAATACTTAAAAGACGAGTTTGGAATTGATAAAGTCAAGGTAGGTTGGCAAATTGACCCATTTGGTCATTCTGCACTAACTCCAAGTTTATTTTCAAAGTTTGGATTTGAGTATCTTGTTATCAATCGAATAAACCTTGATTTTAAAACACAATTAATAAACGAAGGAGATTTAGAGTTTATGTGAAAGGGAGTTAACTTAGGTGACGAGGAATCGATTTTCACACACCTCCTTTATGATCATTATACTCCTCCAGATATAATTGATCCAGGAAATTCTCTTGAAAATTGCTTGATTACTGGAAAAGGAAGCATAATATGATGGTAAATTCTATTTAGTGCTGAAAAGCTTTACAATCTGACTAAAGAAAGAGCAGCAGCTTATAAAACTTCTAATCTCATGATTTTATATGGAGGCGATTTTTGATATAAATCTATTGATGAAGGAAGACTATTCTATAGACGAATTGAAATGCTTCGCGATTATATTAATTCCCAAAATTATCCTGATTTTTCTATCAAAATCGCAACTCCTAGTGAGTATTTCAGCGCCGTAAAACAATCCAACGCAAAATTTTCGACATATGACAAAGATTTTTTCCCATATAAAATGTATAGGCGTTTTAATCAGCCTGCGTATTGAACTGGGTATTATTCTACAAGACCGGCTTTAAAGCAAGCAATTTCGTTTACTCATCAACTAGTTAGAGCTGCTGAAATTGCAAAATCATTAATAAAAAATGAGCAATATTTAGGTCATCAGGCTAGCTTAGCATTGCATCATGATTCTATATCTGGAACGTGCAAGCCACACGTTGCGATGGATTTTATGGAAAAACTTGAAGATGAGCAAGCAAAAGCTACATATGCAATTAATGAAGTTATAAGCAGTGTTTTTACAAACACCTCATATAACTATGAACTAATGCTTCCATACAGAGTGATCATTGCATATAACCCATTAAATTGGAACAAACCAAGCCTGCTAAACATAGAATCAGACAGTCCTTACGTTGAAATTCAGAGTTGAATTAGTACTTATATTCCTTCACAAAGTATTGAAAATGATTCAGGGAGCTCTAAAAAATATACAATTTACTTCAAAGTAACTTTACCAGCTCTATCATTTACAACCTTATTCATTACAGAGTACTCCTTCCACTGTGAGTTTTGCTCAAGTGAATCAACTTTAAATAATAACTCAATTTTACAGGATTCTGTATATCGAATTGAATTTGATGATTTTGGAATGATTAGCAATATCTCTACATATGGAAAACCTAAATATCAATTGAATCAAGAAATATGAAATTATAATGGAAACGATGGCGGAGCTTATATTTTTCAACCAGCTGATAGCGGTAAAAAATTAAATGATCTGTCATTGAGAAAAATAAAAATTTGGAATGGAAAAATCGTTCAAATCGCCGAAGTGGTATGAAGTAGGGTTCAAATGCAAGAAAACCATAAATTTTATCACCAAAAAATCATTCTATATGGAGAAAAAAAATTCATATGAAAATGCGGTTTATTTTCTAATACAAATGAAGAAATTCTATTTAGATTCACAAGTCAAAATATTTCAGGCAATGAATGGCTGCTAACTTCAAACTCTGGAGATTTGAGATCAAGAAAATATTTCCCGGTTAATGGCCCAGGAGAAAAAGGATTAAATATGTATCCAGTGTCAGGCGGTTTTGCAGTCAATATAGGGTATGAGTATCTAAAAATTATTCCAAAATTTTCATTAGGTGTAGCTATAGCTAATGAAAATTCATTCGAAATTTTAATGCACAGAAATTTAGATCAAGACGATGATTTTGGGCTTTTGGAAGGTGTTGATGACAGAACCTTTGTGGATTATCATTTCGAAATTGAGCTTGGAGAACTTAAGCACTGTAATTTTAAAAAATTATATATTGAGGCTAAAACTGATGCGTATGCGTGATGGATAGAAAACAATGAAACTTTTAAACTTGGCCATGATATAAATAATGCTCATCAATTTACAGGTAACTGGACTTATTTAACTTATTATCTGTTTGGCTTCAATAATCCTGATGTCTATCTGTCAAGTTCTGTAATTAAAAAAGGTGAATTAATTTTCAGGCTTTGAAATTTAAAGGATGCTTTTCAAGATGAATTATTGATTAAGATTAACACAATATAGATGGATTCCTATTAGTCTGGACTACTTTGACTCCAGGAAAAGTGATCTAAACTGGCTATATATATCGGAGTTCAAATTGTGCTTGGCCTACCAAATTTTGCCTTTTTAATTTTCTGGTTATTCTCATCTAGCCTAAGCATTAACTTTATAGGTTAGAGGCACCCTTTATCGGTGCTCTGATAAACACAATAGACGTAGATTATGAGTGGCAGAAATTTCCCTAGCTCATCTGGAGGGCAGGGTAACTTTCGGGAGAGAAATAAAATTTCCATCCTCATCCTCATGAATTTCTCCAAGTGACAGAAATACTCGTCTTTCTGCACATAGGGATGGGCCTTACCTACTCCATATGAACTCGTCTTGGAGTCATTCTTCTGTCAGCATGACCATTTTATTTCTTATATTTTCAAGGAATTTCTTTTAATAATTATAAGCTTGGAAGGAGGAAATTGTTAGGCGGATATAGTAATCTATTAGCTCAAAATGTCTGAAATAAAAGTGGGACTGAGATAGATTTTGCAGAGATGCCAAGATCAGGAAGTACTTTTGAATTTGAAAATAAAAGCAAAGATATTTGAAAAGGAGACATAGTACTTAAGCCCTGAGAATTTTCAGCATTTCAAGTAAGAAAAGCAGAAGAAAGCCAAATAATAACTAATGATAACTCAACAGACGACAATTTTGATGAAGAAGAAAATGAAATTGTGTCCATGGAAAAAATTCGTGCCGAAATTATGCAGCAAAATGAAGGAAGATCTGAAAGCGAGTTAAATAGAACTATCCAAAAAATTTCTGAAGAAATTGGGATTAAAGAAAAAATTGAAATAAATTTAAACACCAGTAAAAATTCTCGAAAGGAAGAAAACGACCTGAATTGAAATCCAGATATCGTTGAGGTTATAAAAAATAAATTAAATAATTCCCAAGGAACAAATATTAAAGTAAACCCTATTCAAGGTAGCAAAAATGCAAATGAAATGTGAAGAAATATAGTTGTGAACAACATAGTTGAGAAAGACAATTCTCAGGTAGGCACGCTTCAAGTTTTTGAGTATGTTATCATGTTTTGCTTTTCTTCCATTACTATTATCAGCCTCATTTGGTACTTTAAACCAAAGAAAAAACGGCCAAGTCAACTTTATTAAAGAAATTTAATAATTCAGCAACATAAATTAAAAAAAATAATTCTTGAAAATTAGAGCAAATGACTCCTATTATTACAAGTTTGCTCGAGTATAAATCCCTCATTTAAATTGGAACAAAATAATAATTTCTATATAAACAGCTTTAATGCCAATTAGCATCACCAAAAAAGAAAATTTACCTATATTTTAAAATAAAGGTATGAGTAGGATGCTATTTGAAAAGTTAGATAAATTTTATTAACTACTTTTTATATAAAAAAAATAATATGATATTAAAAAATAGTTAACCTCTTTAAATTAAAACAGATTTATTTTATTCCAACTTAAAGGGAGTAAGAAATAAATTATTTACTAGACTATTATATTAACATTAAAATATTGCAAATCTGAATAGAAAAATATATATTTAGCTCTCTCAACATGATTTTAATTTGCATTTATAATTAATATACGGAATGTGAACTGCGTTAATTATTGTCACCTTTTGTAAAGGCTTAGAACTTTTTATAGTCCCACACTCTCATTGTGATCCTGGATGGATTGAACCTGTGAATTGGTATTATGATAATAAAGTCAAAAATATTTTGAGCTCTCTCATGACATTGCTCCAAGAGGACGAAAAAAGAAAAGTTGTCTGGTCAGAGATTTCATTCCTTAAAATGTGAATGAATAGTCAATCTGAAATAGTTAAAAACCAATTTAAAGATTTTGTGAAGAAAGGACAAATCGAATTTGTAGGTGCAGGATATGTACAAAATGATGAAGCATCTACTGATATTGAGATGGTTATAAGGCAAATTGAGCATGGGCATCAATACTTAAAAGACGAGTTTGGAATTGATAAAGTCAAGGTGGGTTGGCAAATTGACCCATTTGGTCATTCTGCGCTAACTCCAAGTTTATTTTCAAAGTTTGGATTTGAGTATCTTGTTATCAATCGAATAAACGTGGAATTTAAAAAGCAATTAATAAACGAAGGAGATTTAGAATTTATTTGAAAGGGAGTTAACTTAGGTGACGAGGAATCGATTTTCACACATCTCCTTTATGATCATTATGATCCTCCACTTTTCCTTCACCCTACAAGGCCTGGGAATTGATTTGCTGAGAAAAAATCAATAGAAGAATGGTAAGGTATATACAGTGCTAAAGCCCTTTATAATTTGGCTAAAGATCGATCTAAATCATATAAAACGGACAAAATAATGCTCTTATATGGAGAAGACTTTTTATTTGATAGGCTTGATGTAGCCAGAGAACTTTTTAAGAGAATTGAAAAAATGAGGGATTTTATTAATGATAATATCCCTGATGTAAAGATCAGAATAGCTACAGCTGGAGAATATTTTGAAGCAGTAAAACAGTCCAATTCTAAGTTTTCCATATACACAGGAGATTTTCTTCCATATCACAGCCATAGGCCAACAAATGAAGAAGCCTATTGAACTGGCCACTACTCAACAAGGCCAGCTCTAAAGCAAACTATTTATTACACTCAAAAACTAGCAAGAGCTGCAGAAATCGCAAAATCAGTTATAAAATCAGAATCATATTATGCTTATGATGCTAGTTTAGCTCTTCATCATGACGGGATTACAGGAACATGCCGTCCACATGTGGCTCAGGATTATATGGAGAGATTAGTAAATGAGCAAAAAAATGCTAACAAAGCTATTAAGGAAACAATTAAAGCAGCTTTTACAAAATCTTCGCAAAGCTACTGGCTAATGCTCCCTTATAAAGTTATAATTGTATATAATCCATTAAATTGGGATAAAGCTACCCTCCTCAACATAAAATCTGATACACCAAATATTGATATAAAAAATTGGGATGGTGATTACGTAGCCTCTCAAAGTGTTGAAGAAAAAACCGAAAAAAATTCTAAATCCCCAATTATAATTATTTATTTGTTTTGCCTTTTTTGCATATATTATTAAGATTTTTATATTTACTTTAATCCTAATCTTATTTGCAATTAAATTTAAAAAATTGTTTCTAGAAAATTTGCAGACTTGGCTACTTTTATTAGGGATAAGTGAACAATTTATTTCAAAATAAAACTACCTGCACTTTCTTTTGCTACTTTATTTGTAACTGAGCATCCTTCATATTGCAAATTTTGTGCGAAATTATCAACTATAAGCCATGATAATATTTTAAGAGATAAAGTTTTCAGAATTGAGATTAATAACCTCGGACTTGTAAATAAAATATCAGTTATAGGTAAAGGAAATTATGATTTTAAACAAGAATTATGGACTTATTCAGGAGAAAAAGGAGGCGCTTATATATATCACCCCACAAATCAAGGTTTTTCTATGAGTGACACATCACTCATAAGCATAAAGATTTTAAACGGACCTGTAGTCCAGATTGCAGAAATAATTTGGAGAAGAAAAAAATCTCAAGATGAATACCAAAACTACTATCTATTTTATCTTATATTATCTATAACGTTTAACGTCTACTACGGGGTCACTTTATCCAGGGCTTACACCATACTTATCCACGTGTCGGGCCCATGAACCTCTGGATCGATCCACTTTGCTCCAGGGGATAAAAAATACAATGTTACCGGCTTTGACGGGCTCGCCGCCGCCACTGCTTTGTCTGACTCAGCTCCTGCGCGTGCTCCTCCTAAGGGCCACCTTCCTCGGGTGTGCTGAGGGGTAAAAACCTGAGCCTCTTGAGCGCACTGAGGAGCAGTTCCTCTAATTATCCCCAGAGTTAAACCGCTATTGCTGTGCAGAAATTCTCGAGGTAAAAATGAACCCCATAAATAAAAATTACTTGAGGGAGAGAAAATTAGCAAAGCTAATTTCTCTCGAACCGAATACCATTTTATTTATACCAAAACTACTATCAAAAAATTATGCTATATGGAGAAAAAAGATTTATGTGAGTTTATGGCTTTTATTCCACAATGAATGAAGAAATTTTAGTGAGATTTACAAGTGAAGATATTTCTAGCAACGAATGATTATTGACTTCAAATTCTGGGGATTTAAGAATTAGAAAATACTTCAAAAATGATGATCCTGGTAAAAAAGGATCAAATATGTATCCTACGCCTGGAGGATTCGCTATAAAGCTTGGCAATGAATATATTAAATTTTATCCCAAATTTTCTTTGGGAGTAGGAATTGTCAATCAAAATTCATTTGAAATTTTAATGCATAGAAGTTTGGCAAATGATGATACTTTTGGACTTGTAATGGGGGTGGATGATAAAACATTTGTGAAATATCATTATGAAGTTGAAATTGGAGAGCTTCTTGCTTATAATTACAAAAGGGCATATTTAGAAGCAAAAACAGATGTATATTCGTTTTGAATAGAAAATATTAATGATTTTTCTCTTACTAATGAGAAAGCAAAAGCGTGCGAATTTACAAGAAAATGAGAATATATAGCGCAATCATTCTATTAACTAGCTATACTTCTGAAAATATTCACTATATACTTTGTCAGCAAATTTAGGTCTCCAGAATGGTAAATCTTAATTATGAAGTGGATTTACTATTTCTTGAATTGGTTTACCAACATTTGTTGGGAAAATCAATCCCTAGGTCTCTAAGGATATCTCGTTATTGCTAACTACTTAATTTCTTATCAGAATTTTGGCCGGCATACCGATCAATTAATCGAGCTCATACGAGGCTGTCGCAAGACAGCTCAGCCACTATAGGACTTACTCTGCAGTTCCATACTCCAGGTTCCAGAATCCTCCTCTACGGGTGTTGCCAATGGCGCGTGACTGCATGCGCCGTTAGAATATGTAGGTTTGGGACTTGCTCGCCACTAGCTAACTTTGTCTTAAACCTAAGTAGAGCACCCATGCATTGCGACGGGAAAACTCACCTGCAGAGAGATCTCTAAGGAGATGTCAAGAATATAGCAAGCTTGTAGCAAGTTCGTGCTATAATTCATTATATTTGTTTGGATTAAACAGCACCGATGCATATTTATCAAGCGCTGTTATTAAAAATGGTATCTTAAACTTCCGACTATGAAATTTGCATGACTCATATAAAGGTATATCACTTGGCAATTTTACTTTTATCGACAAAAACAAAAAAATATTAAATGGTAACACAAATGTATTAGTTCCTCATTCCTGAGCTAAAAATGATAAAGAAATTGATTTCAAATTAAAACAGGGAACCGGGAAGCCTTATCAATTTAGTCAAAATACAAAGAATTCACCTATAGGCGATGTTACTCTTAAGCCATACGATTTTTCAGATTTTTACGTCAGGAAAGTTGAATCCATTTATAGTGCAGATTCTAGCTTAAGCAAAGAAAGGCCATCAGATGAAACAGAGTTTAAGAGAAATGCCCAGATAAAATCAGCATTATTCCCAAATGCTCAATCTGGAGAACTTTAATCTAAATTTAATGAACTACAATTGATGGCAGTTAGAATTAATTCAAAATGGAAATAAATGCTCACTCCCCCCCCTTTAAATTGGAGCAAAATATATAGGTAAAATTTCCACTTTTTTGGTAAATTAAACCCCTTTAAATTGGAACAAAATTTAATTTTATAATAAAAAATTTTATATATATAAATCATAATTTTTATGTATAAAATTAAAAATTTAGTTGTATCCTGCTCTTGTTTAAAGAATAGAGTATAAAGAGCATCTTATTTAAATAAATTTATTATCCTTAATTGTAAATTTTAAAAAAAATTGAATTTTTTTTTGTTTTTAAAATAATTTCAAAAAAATTTTATTTTTTTTGATAAAAATGATATTTTTTATTTAAATAGCTTTGATATAAACTCAATACGAATTCTTTACAAAAATTCAAAATTTAGTTATCTCTTGCTTTATTTTAAAGAATAGAGTATAAATAACATCTTATTTAAACAAAATTAGCACTTTGATTAATAAATTTTCTAAAATTTTTTTTTTTTTAATTTTTTTTATCAAAAAAAATAATAATTTTTGTGTAAATAGTTTTGATACCAATTAATAGTGGCGTATTAATTAATAATAAAATTTTAGTTATATCTTGCTTTGTTTTAAAGGATAAAGAGTAAATAGCATTTTATTAAACAAATTTATTAAATTGGAGCAAAATTTTTAGTTCCAATTTAAAGGGGGGGGGGGGAGTCAGGATTCTTAATTTAAATTGATAAATGGAAAAGTATCGAAAAGTCAAAGTTGTTGGAAAAGGCAGTTTTGGGCATGCTGTGCTCGTGCAAAGCACAATTGACCGTAAGCTTTACATCATGAAAATTATTGATGTTTCGAGGATGGATAGAAAACAAAAAGAAGAAGCGCTCAATGAAGTTCATGTTTTAAAAGCCATGAGACATCCTTATATTGTCACTTATAGGGAGAGCTTTATGGATAAGAAATGTTTATGCATAGTTATGGATTATGCAGACGGCGGAGATATGTATACAAAAATTGCTAACTCCCCTCACTCTGTGAGCGAACAAAACCATTGGAAGAATCCCTATTTTTTGAACGAAAACCCACCCTCCGTGAGCGAAAAAAAATTTTGATATATAAAGTGATAATTATTATAATGAAATCTCTCTAATTCTGTTTTATTTTAAACAGCTTGCATTTTAAAATGCAAACTTCACAAATTAAAATAATATTTGCTTTAAAATTATTTCGGATATTTTTTTTTTAAATTTCGAAGAAGCTTTACTATATAATATTTATATATATAAATTTGTTATTTAAAAAAATTGAACCCGTGATCGGGCAAAATGTTTTGTTAGCTCATGGAGGGTATGGGAGTAAGCAAAAACAAATGGGAAAAGGATTCCCTGAAAACGTAATTCTTGATTGATTCGTTCAAATTTGTCTAGCAATTAAGCACATTCATGATAGAAAAATTCTTCATCGAGATCTAAAGACTCAAAATGTCTTTTTAACGTCTAAAGGAGAAGTAAAAATAGGAGATTTCGGAATTTCAAGGGTCCTGCAGCATACATATGACTGCGCACAAACAGCCATAGGAACTCCATACTATCTATCTCCCGAAATTTGTCAAGAAAAGCCATATAATCAAAAATCAGATATATGGAGTTTGGGCTGCATCCTTTATGAAATCGTCACCCTCAGGCATGCTTTTGACGCAAGCTCAATGAAAGGACTTGTCGTTAAAATCCTAAGAGGCACTTATCCTTCCATTCCTTCAGTCTATTCTCAAAACCTACGAGACTTGATTGACGAAATGCTACAAAAAGATCCCCACAAGCGCCCTTCAGTAAAGCGAATCCTAGAAAAAGACTTTTTAAGTGCAAGAATTCCTGAACTTTTATCACAAACAATAGCCAAGCATGAATTCGGGAAATCTTTTCTATCAAAAGAAATCAGCCCCAATGAAGAAAGAAGGGCAAGCTTAAAAGAAGACCCTTTGTCTAGCGCCACAAAAGATTCACATACTAGGGACGAGAACTCTAGACCTCATACACCTGCTGAAGAAAGGAAAAAGGAAAGAGTTTTGCAGCCAAGGAATAGAAATGAGCCAGCTGAAGAAGAAAAGAAAAGAGTATCTAAAGATGAGTCCAGGTATGAAGATATCGTCAAATGCTTAAGAGAAGGACCGGAGTCTGCTAACAGCGAAGAAGAGGAATCCTTTGAAGAAAACCAGCCTGCAAGGGCAAATTTCCTGACTCCTGAAGGAGTCCCTCTGCCAGGGATAAGTGACAGTGATTCAGCTTTTGCAAGAATTGAAACACTGAGGTGTTATTTAGAGTCTCGAATTGGGATATCTAAATTTATGCAAGCTTATGACTATTTATCAGTAATTTCTAATTACTTCCCACTTTAAATTAGACAAAAATCGGTAAAATTTACATTTTTTGGGTAATTTTTATAAAATTAGTTTTGACAAATTTATGGAAAAAGTTAAAGACAAATATTATTTTTAAATAATTTTCACTTACTCCCCCCCCCCCCCTCCGTGAGCGAACAAAACCATTAGAAAAATCACCATTTTTTGACCAAAAACCCACCCTCCGTGAGCGAACAAAATTTTTTTTATAGAAAAAATTTTAATGGAAAAAAAATTTTGATATATAAGTGATAATTAGTATAATGAAATCTAGAGCTAATTCTGTTTAATTTTAAACAAATTGCGTTTTAAAACATAAATTTTGCAAATTAAATTAATATTTGCTTCCCATTTTTTGCAAATTAGGATTTTTTTAAATTTCGAAAAAATATTTTTTATAAAATTTATATATAAATTTTTTTTAAAAAAAAAAATTAACCCCCCTCCGTGATTGAACAAAATTTTTTTTGTTCGCTCACGGAGGGGGGGGGGGGGAGTTAATTGATTTATTTTATTCATAAAATCATTAAAATTCAAAAGCAGTTTGCTCAATTTATATTTTTAAAAAAAAAATATAATAATTGCCCCACACCAGGAATTGAACCCACATGTGGGGCCATTTTTGGTGTGTAGAAATCGACTTCCACGCACCAAAAATGGCCCCACACGTGGGTTCAATTCCCGGTGTGGGGCAATTTCTATAACCCCCTTAAAATTGGAAAAAAAAGTTTTTCGTTCCAATTTAAAGGGGAGTTAGAATCCTCCTCCTGAAGATGAAGAAAACCATCAACTCCACGACATAATTGGGCAAGAAAATGTTAAATTCATACCTCTTATATATCAAATGATAGTATGTGAAGATTCATATTATACCGCAGCAAATTCAAGATAAATAACTTTGTTTTTTCTAACTCCCCCTCCGTGAACGAAAAAAAAAATTTTTGTTCCTCACGAAAGGGTTTAAAATTTTATAGAATTTTTTTCGAAATTTAGAAAAACCAAATTCGCAAAAATTGGAATCATATATTTATTTAATTTATAGAATTTTCCCATAGATGGCGCAGTTTGCCCTTGATTTGCCCACTGAAAAAATTTTTTGGTTTGACCAAACCATATGGTACTGGTCGAACCAAAAAATTTTCACAGTGGGCAAATCAAGGGCAAACTGCGCCATCTATGGGAAATTTCTATATAAAATCTATGCCTTAAAATGCACTTTGAATAAAATTTAACAGAATTAGCTACAGATTTCATTATAATAATTATCACTTCTATACCAAAATTTTTTGATTAAAAAAATTTTTGGACAAAAATAGGGATTTTTTCAATGGTTTAGTTCGCTCACGGAGGGGGAGTAAGAGGATTATTAATGGTGATTTCCATATTAAATAGCAAGTCCTTATGAGTTATCTCTAACATAAACAACAGATTTTGGAAAGAGCCCAGCAGCTTCTAATGTTACTTGTTTTTCGTCTAAAACTTTTGAAGGAAAATTTGTAAGTATATCGAAATTCTTAAGCCCTGAGGTTTCTATATAATCATAAAGGATTTCAATTTTTTTGTCTTTTTGGAACCTTCGCTCTATTTTTTTACCATCAGGCATCCTAAAGTTTATAGCAGCTATGTCAGGCCCAGGATTTGGCTCAGCTCCTATACTCTCTTCTTTTTGCTTTCTTTTTTCTTCTTCAATCATTTGCTTTTTCATTTCTTCTTCCTCCTCTTTTTTCATTTGTGCTTTTTTAATTTCTTCAGCTTTATATCTTTCTCTAACAATCCTTTCGGCTTCTTCTAGCTCCCTATCTTGCTGCTCTCTAATTATCCTTTCCTGTAGTAATCTCTGAGACACTTCTGGAGCTTTTTGGTGAGGTCTTAAAAGGCTTGAATTTTTATCTAAAAATTCAAGAAAAGTATCAAATGGTACACATCCTTCAAGCCTATAGGATTTTTCATACATTTCCTATTGGTAAATTCTTCATTTTTGACTGGAAAATTTAAAGAAAAGCTCTATATCTATAACTTGTGGTTTTGCAGGGTCTCTAACCTTTAAAACTGCTAATGTCGGCAATGTCGTAGCCTGCAATAGCCTAATCACCATTTTACCATCTTGGGAGTTTTCATCTACTCCTCAAGCTAAATACCCTTCTGTTATATACGCAGTTGTCACTTCGTGACAAATTATATCTCTTAAATACTCTGTAGGCACATTTCTTGAGTTTATATATATAATTAAAGGTCTTTTTATGCTGGCTGTATCTAATAAGATATCAGGCAAGTGTCTTGTGCTAAATGGAGGGATGAGAGGAGTCTTTAAATTTTGTAAAGTTGTGACAAAGGCTCGAGCACTTGCTGATTCTTCGCCACGAACTTCAGGGGGGACAAAAAGATTTCAAAAGTTTCACACCAATGTGCTTGCTTTAGAATAAATAGCACTAGCACCTGAAGAGATTATAGAGCGTATAGATCAATTTGGCTGAATTTGTGAAGGTGCAGGCTGGGCATTGTTTTGCTGATTAAGACGAGATGGAGATTTTTTTCTGGGAGCGGGCCTATCTGAATTATGTCGTTCTTGGAGATGTGCTTCTTCTGAGAGAAGAGAAAAAAATTCATTAGATGCTACAGTGACGTCTCAATTGTGCCTTTTCATAAGCTGCAATGCAATAGAATTGTCCCAGCATTCAGTGATAGCTTGGAAATTAGCCAAAGCTTCTGTCTGCTCTTGAGTGAGTCCAGATGAATTCATTTTTTTATTTAAAAATATCCATTTCTGCGAATTTCCGCTGAAGTTGAATTTTTGAAAAAATCTTAATAATTAATTGATAGAGCATTTTCTATTGACTGGATTTATGTATCTAGATTTCAGAATATCTAAAAACGTATTTTAATAGTTTTCATCAAGATATTCTATATCCTATTACTTATTATTTATTATAAAGCATATTTTTTAACGCAAGGTTTTTCTGCAATTCTTCTTCTAACCTAAAATTTTGGCGTCTGACTTCAGGCAATAATTCTTCTATGCACTTTAAAAAGTTGTGGCTTTCTTCAGTCAAAAGTATTGGCGCTTGTCTATATTAAAATTACTCTATTTCTTGAATAATTTTTTCTTTGTTTTCTTCAAACGCAGAAGTCTCTGGGATTTCATAAGTAAACGGCATTTCATTATACTGAGTATCAGTATTTTGTAGATTTTGTGTTTCTACCACAATAGATTTAAAGCCTTCACGGACTGAGTAAAATTTATATTCGAAATGCGTAATTACCCTCAAATCAGGATCCATATCTGCATTGTTTTCTAACCCTTTTGTGTTTTGACAAAAGCAGCCAAATATTAAAGGTTGCTGTGAAAATTTATCAGGGTATTTACTTTTAGTTGTTTCTAAATAAATAGAAGTTTCTCTATCTCCTAGTGATGGAGTGGCAGGGACTTCTCGTTTACCAGAAATTCAGCCTAAAATTTTCATGCTTTCTGGACATGCTAAAATAGCTTTAATAATTGAAGGTGGATCTCTGATTAGCCTGTGGGTGTTTGATAAACAAACATCATGAATAGTAAGGACTGCTTTAAGTTTGGCGTCACCTGAATCCCCGATATTTTTTAACTGTTGGAGGTCTTCTGTTCCGTATATAATTCCTTCGAAATCCCCTAAGCCCATACTGAGACGATGAATAACTGTAGCTATGCATTGTCCTGATATAAGATATTGATGTAACATATATAAATTTAATTATTTTTATCAAGCCTTATTCTCTACAATATATAAAGCATTTGAGCCTAAATATTGCCTAGCATTCAAAAAATGTGGCAAGCTCCAGAATTAAAGACCTATCTATAAAAACCAATATACCATTAAGACTTCATAATCATATTAGTCATCATGACACCTAAGAGAATAATCTCAATTATTACCTATAGCGCTTTCCCGAGGATGGCGCGGAATGGCGCCATCCTCGGGAAAGCCAGGAAGGCATCCACACGGGAACTGGGAGTTCCACGTGGGGATGCCATTTTGACATGTGGAAGTTTGGATCCCACATGTCAAAAATGGCATCCACACGTGGAACTCCCAGTTCCCGTGTAGATGCTTAGTTGACTTTCCCGAGGATGGCGCCATTCCGCGTCATCCTCGGGAAAGCGCTATAAGAAATCGCATGTGAGACCTCAAGTTTGAGATGCTCAAAAACCAACATTCTCCACATTCTCTTAACAAAAGCCTAAATATCCCTTACATCTGCTTCCACATCTAAGAACTTCTCAATTTTCCCTAAAATCTTCTCAGGGGTTTCTCTATTGACAACCATCTTGCTGACCATTTGCACGAGGCTTCTATCATCTTGTCCTAAATATTCCACAAATAATTTGGATACAAATGGTCCTAGTCTTTTCTCTAAAATTCTGTTTTGTGCTAAGCTATTTCAAGCTAAAGGAAACGTAAAGAGCTCTGAGCGTCTTTTTGGCACTTTTTCAAGAAGCTGCTTGTAGCTTTGGAATTTTTTGTCAAAATCGGTTTCAGTCATTAGGATTTCTTGAGGCGGTTTTGGGTTTGGAGTTTCATCTTCTAATGAAATAGGGAGGGAAAGAGGTTTATTTCTTTTAAAAAGTGGATCTTGCTCGTCTTCTTGGTCAACTTTAAAGTATTTTGTAGCTGTGCTTGCTGGCAGAGCTTTAGATTCTTCAATTGAGGTAACATGAATTTCTAAATCTTTATGCTCTCTCAGTGTATATTCATGCTCGTTTTCAGGTCTTTGCCTTTCTTCTAGCTCTTGTGCTTGTTTTAACTTTTCTTCTGCAGTAGCGACACCAGGAAACATCATTTCAAACTCTTTTCTTGCATTAAGTTCATCTTCAGCTTTTTCTTTTTCTCTTTGTTTTGCCCTCTCTTCTCTTCTTGCTGCATATTTAGAAGATTTTTTTTTCTTGACAATTTCTTCTAAATCGCTTTCATATTCCATATCTCTCCTCATCATCTTTATTTTTTCCCTCTGCCTCTCTTCTTCTTTTTCCCTCTCTCTTGCTCTCTCTTTTTCTTTGATTTCTTCTCTCTTTAACCACTCTCTTTCTTTATCTTTAAACTGCCTCTCTCTGTCTCTGTTTCTCGCCTGTATTCTTTTTTCCCTTTCTTTTTCTCTTGGGTGCTCCCTAAATATCAATTACTTATCTGCTTCTCTTTCACTGGGGTCATCATCAGTATTTTGCTCAAAGTTTCTTATGCTTGTTTGTATCGTATAGGACACTTTTTCATCATCTTTTACTATGTCTTCTTCCCAAGTTTTTGCTGAATTTGGGTCGACGTCCATAATATTGTCCCACCTTTTACGCTCCCAGTCAGCTCGCTTTAAATCGCTCCATTCCTTGATAAAAAATTCAGTCTGCATGTCAACTCTGCATATAAGTTTGGAGTTTTTTATTGAAAGACCGTTCATTAGACGTAGACATCTGAGCATTCCTTCGACTGTTTGGAACTCCACAAAGCCAAAACCTAACTCCCCTACTTGAATGGACAAAATCATTAAAAATTCCTATTTTGGGCCTAAAACCCACCCTCTGGATTTAATAAAAAATATTTATGAAAAAATATATATATGTAAGTGATAATTACTATAACGAAATCTCTAGCTAATTCATTTTAATTTTAATTAATCTGCATTTTAAAACATAAAATTTACAAATTAAATTAGTGTTTTTTCTTTAAGATTACCTCGAATTGAGTTTTTTAAATTTTGAATAAAAAATTTACTACAAATTTTTAAAAAAAAAATTCTCTAACAGAGGGGGAATAAGGGTTTACCGGAAGAATCAAGAACTCTACGCCAGCTGTTGATAGGCCCGCATTCTAGAAAGAGCTGTTCCATGAAATAGTCACTTAGTCCAGAAGGAATTTTACCTATATACACCTTAGTCGATCTTTCAGACTTAGTGCGAGGCTCGTCGCTTGGAATTGGGCCACCTATGATGTCTGTTGGATTTGCTACTTGATGAACAATGGTGAGAGGGGTGCTTGTGATGTTGAATAATCCTCTTGGACCTAAATAGCTAGCTGAGGAGCCTGATACCATTGATTTAGAGTCTCCTGAGGAGCTTAATGGAGCTATCAAGCCATTAGATGACATTTTATTATAAATTTCATTTTGGAGGCAATTGACAAATTTATTTTCTGTTTTCTTAATAAGATTAATTGCAAAAGATGACTTGAAATTCTAATTTTTTAGATAACTCTAAATTCTTTTTAATTAAATATCAAATTTTTATTCAAATTAATAATACTAAAGCATTATTTCTTCTGTCTCTGCTGGATCGTTTTCAACAGGTGCTGAGGTCGCAATCTGCATCCAATGATCCATATACTTATCAAAATCAAGCGTTTCTGACCACTTCATCAAGCCATTCACATATTCATCAAAATCGTCTTCATTTAAATCCAGCAATTTTTCTTCCCTAAATGGGTCTTCTTCTTCCTCTTCTTCTTCGTTGATTTTTGACTGATTCTCAATTTCTTGCTCCTTCTCCATTTCTTCAATTTTTCTACCTTCTGCATACAATTCTTTAAGCCATTTAATTTTCCGTTTTCTTTTTTGTTTCGCGACGAGTTCCCTTCTAACCAATTTATCATGATGGAATACAGCAGGTTTATTTGAAGAATGCAGTTCAACCCGATCGAAAGGCATGATTAAGTTATCTGTGATAGGTCTTCACCCATTATTATCATATCTCTCATATCATCCTGTTTTGATGTTTTTCACTTCTTCATTTTCTAAATGCATATTAATGATTTCTTTCCCAGTAGCTTTTTTAATTGCTGTGTAATCGCGAGGTGCAAAACTGTTAACATCACACACTCCAGCATGCACATATAATTTATAGTAAATTAAAGGTGGAAACTTATCACCTCCTAGGCGAAATCTCAAATGGGCATTTGATGCTTTGTCCAGCATTGATGCTTCAATTGGGTTGATAGTTTTTAATAAATCTCGTGGATTTCCTTTAAATTTAAACTGAATCAGTTCTTTGTAGTACTTAAAGATTTTACCATTTGTATAGTTTCGTCAGAGTCTTTGGATTTTTATGGCTGCATCACTAACGGTGAGTGGCTTACTTTCCTTGGCAGTTTTATAATGTCTTCATCAATGTTGGATATGTGTGGCGGCTTTATCGTATTTTTTTGATTTAAGCAGCCTAAACCTTTCGCGCTGCTTATAACCTTTTCATAAAGCTTTTATTTTTGTTGCGCAGTAATGCTTGTACTTGGTTTCCTCTAGGGGAGTTTTATAGTTTTTTGATGCCATACTTAAAAATGTTAAACAATTAGATTAATATCATATTCTTATATGTATTTTTTAATAAAATATATTTTACTCTTACAATGCTATTTTATAAAATAAGTTAACATTATTTTTTAGCTTACTAACACACTGAAAAATCTCACTTTATACAATAAGTTAAAATTATTTTTATATTTTATCTTACTAACACTCTGAAAAATCAGGAGAGCAAACAGACATTACCAGTAAAAGTAACACAAATACAAAAACCACACCGCAAATTATATATAGCTTGATATTCTGAAACCTCATTTTTCTTCTCACTTGGACTGCTCTTTTTTTCATCGTGACTGCTTGCTCACTCATTATTTCTGACTTTTTTACTAGAAGTTCAACTTTTTCTCCGCGAGCAAGGACTTTGTCAATATTTTCAATCATAATGTTTCTTACTTCATCGACACTTGACCTTATGCTTTGCAATTTATCTGCGTTAGGATCTGTATTAAAATAATTTATCCTTGTTTTTAATACATCAGAAAATTCGGAATTAACTCCGAATGCGATTACTGTATTGACTACATGCCCGTAGCGGTTCATAAAGTTTGATTTTATATACTTTTTGGGAAACTTTGAATCTATTATAATGGTGAGTGTGGAAATCCAGTAACCAGTAGCAAGTAATTACTTAGGGATTGGCATCCCAAAAAATATTTTAATGAGAAATTTCAATAAAGAGCTAAATGTTTGTTAATCCAGATGTTCATTTGGCTTGCTTAGAAATCCAAGCCTTAATTTTTATTCTAAATTAGCATATTTTAGTCTATCCAGTTATTTTTTTAAAGCTAAATAAGTTATTCCAATTGGTATATCCTCTAAAAATAAAAAACAAATTCTTCTTGGGAATTCAGCATCTGACAGACAAATAAAGAGAATATTATCTTCAGAAATGTAATGATAGCAAAACTTTTCGTTATATGTATACGAGAACTTGCCACTTCTTGGCAGTTTAGAAATGATATTCCTTGTGATTTGAGGAAAATTGCCTTGGGCTCTTGAGAACTCACATAAAACTATATCAGGATCTCGGACGACAAGAGCGTAAATAATTGACATTTATATTGTAATTTTCTATATATCCTTTAGAGAACCAATAAACTTGTATCGTTATTTGCAGATTTTTGAACTTTACCACCTAAGTATGGAATTTTTTCCGCGTGTGAAAAGAGGATTCCACATGTGAAATCAAAAGGGGGCTCCACACATGAAAAAACACCCTTTTCACACGCGGAAAAAATTCCACACTTAGGTGGTAAAGTTCAAAAATCTGCAAATAACGATATTTTAATAAAATATCTTTGAATTTTTTAAAAGCTCAGCATCTGTAAAAATAAAATTATATAGAGTCTTGCATAAGCTGTATTTAGTAAAAAATTAAATAAATCAAGTAAATATCCAAATATGCTAGGCAATAATCTGTTTGCTCTTTCATAAAAATGGTAGCTTTATTCCATTATTAAAGCTTATCATAACTGATTATATAAAACTTGGCATTAAACCCTTAGTGTTGATTTATTATATAAAACAACAGATATAATTTTATTAAAAATCAGCTTGCTTGGGAATGCTTTTTAAAAAATTGTGCTTTTCTTTTTATTTCTGTAAATGCGGCAAGGATATTAAAAACGCCAGCTCATTTTCATTTCTGTGAAATGAAGAAGCAGTTATCAAAACTGACTCACAATCCAATAAATAAAATTATATGGAAAGCCAACCTGCTTTCTTAGCATCTTCAGCCAGAAAGGAGCCTTGAGGACGCTGTGGAAGGGAGAAAAGGGTGCAAAATGTCCATCCTGGTTTTGTTGTTCCTTTGGTGGATTACAATCTTCGACTGACCTACCCGCATGAGCACATATGGGTCAACTTTTTATCCCGTTAGTAGGCGGAGTGTCGGAGTTGAAAAGAAAAAAGCCTAGCAAGACGGGGCGGCGCTCGTTTGGCAAGCAGGAAAAATCACTAGTTCGATACTAGAAGTGTTGCACTTTGGCTACGAATTCAACCTATTCAGGGGTTGTAAAGTAAACACTGTTGACGCACGGCACGGCATGATGCCTCAGCCACTCTGACTCTCGGTTGAGAATTCAAGCTTCTGTCTGGGAGGAGTAGCACGTCGAAAGGCCCTGTTACAAGCGGTAATCACTATGTGGAGACAAGTTTGCCTTATGGCCTGCTACTTCCCAAAAATAATCTATTTTAAGTTATCACACAGTCCAAATACTGATTTTCTTTTGCATCTTTTGAAGGGATACAAAACTCTTCTGGATAATCTAAATCTATATCTTTAAACTGGTCTTCACTTGAGAAAATGCTCAACATAGATACTGTTTTTTTTAGAAATTCGTTTGGCATATCAAATTCTTCACGTTCTTTATAAGACTCTATGCAGCCCATTTTTTTTATTAATTAAAGATTTGCCTTTCAATATGTTGATGATAAAAAAAGAAAGAGCTTGCATTAATTTCAATGCCTTAAAACCTATTTTTGTTTTAGATATTGAAAATTAAGCCAAATTTATAATATAATTGAAAGAAATGCTTTTTGTGAATTAATTTTAGATACTACCTATGGTTAGAGGATGAGGAAAGGAATATTTTTGTGAGTTATTTAATCATAATATGATATTTAAATCAGCAGTAGATCACGATATTAGTCAAAAAATACCAAAAATGAAAAATGAAATGAGTCTAAATATGGCATTTTTAAAAGATACTTATTAATAGACAAATATCAACAGATATTAAGCTTAATAATTCGTTTTGAAAAAACCTTTTTTATAAGGATTTGCATAAGGCTTTCTTGGCTCTAAATTTATCTTTTTATTAGTATACGGCGATTTCTGGTCAAAAGTGATACTCTTTACTGAAGGATTATTCTTTATTTTCAGCTCATTTTTTTTCTTTATTTTTGGTAATGTCATAACAGGTACTTTTATGGGTGGCAGGGCGACCTCAGATCTTTTACTGTCATCTCCTGCTCCACTATCACCATCAGGTACATCAATACTAAGAGGTGATGGAGCAATTCGTAAAGGCATTTCTTGTTCCCTAAGTTCTTTGAAATATGGATGCTTCATACATTGCCTTGCAGACAATCGATCATCACATTTATATGTGAGCATTTTATTTATTAAACTTTTTGCCATTGGTGATGCATGAGGAATAAGACGATCAATCCCAGTTCCATCTTTCGCTGAAAAATTCAATTCAATAGTCTGGGTTTTTGTTCTAAATTCATCTAAAATTGTTTTAGGTGGGGTTCCTAAAACATTATGTATTTTAGCTATTTGATCTAGCTCATTTTCACCTGGAAACAATGGAAATAACGCAATTACTTCAAAAAATACGCAACCTACCCCTCAGATGTCCATTTTATAGTTATAGTACCCATCAGTCAATAAGCACTCTGGAGGCCTATATCATCTTGTGCTAATATACTCTGTATATGGCTGTTTACTATAAATCCCTCTACACGATCCGAAATCTGCTAATTTTAAAGCATCATCTGCTAATAAAACGTTTTCTGGCTTGATATCTCTATGAAAAATCCCGTTCCTGTGCATATGATCAATTGCTTTTAATAGTTGCCACATAAAATTTTTTACTTTAGCCTCAGGAAGGAATTGTCTTCGATCCTTTGTCCATTCGTAAAGATTCTGATCCAAAAGCTCAAACACAAGTGCTAGCCTTCCAGTTGGCTCATCACTAAATAGCAAATACTAAAGAATTTCAAGTAGCCTTACAATGTGAGGATGAGGAGATAATCTCCTTATTCCCCCCTCCGTGAGCGAACAAAACCATTAGAAAAATCGCTATTTTTTGCCCAAAAACTACCCTCTGTGAGGGAACAAAAATTTTTTTTAATAGAAACATTTTTTATAGGAAAAAAATTTGATATATAAGTGATAACTAGTATCATAAAATCTCGAGCTAATTCTGCTTAATTTTAAGCAAATTTCGTTTTTAAACATAAATTTTACAAATTAAATTAATATTTACCTTCAATTTTCGAGAAGTTGGATTTTTTTAAATTCCGAAAAAAAAACTTTATCTTTAAAATTTTATATTTAAATCTTAAAAAAAAATTAACCCCCCTCAGTGAGCGAACAAGATTATTTTGTTCTCTCACGGAGGGGGGGAGTTAGTGCTTGGATTTCTCGTAACTCCCCCCCCCCCCCTCCGTGAGCGAACAAAAAAATTTTGTTCGCTCACGGAGGGGGGTTAATTTTTTTTTTAAAAAACAATTTATATATAAATTTTAGAAAAAATATTTTTTTCGAAATTTAAAAAAATCCTAATTTGCAAAAATTGGGAAGCAAATATTAATTTAATTTGCAAAATTTATGTTTTAAAACGCAATTTGTTTAAAATTAAACAGAATTAGCTCTAGATTTCATTATACTAATTATCACTTATATATCAAAATTTTTTTCCCATTAAAATTTTTTCTATTAAAAAAATTTTTGTTCACTCACGGAGGGTGGGTTTTTGGTCAAAAAATGGCGATTTTTCTAATGGTTTTGTTCGCTCACGGAGGGGGGGGGGGGAGTAAGTTATTTACTTTTTCTAAACTGTCAAAATGATTTTTCATGCATTTTATTGCAACGTATTTTCCTGTTTTAACACTTTGGGCTTTGAGGACTTCGCTGAAAGCACCTTCTCCTTTTTTGGAAATTAATCGATACTCTGGTTATAAGTTACTGTGCATTAACTAATTTTTTTATAATTTTAAAGCCAAAAAATAATTAATGAAACGATAAATTATTTAAGTAATTTATATTAGCAAAGGATGCTCTAGATCTTCTTCACTTGATATTAACAAATGTTTGGTTCTTCTCATAGTTCCGTAGATAACGATTAAAATAGCACCAATTATAGCAATTGATGTGGAACTTAGCTCAAAACCTATAAACTGCACTAAAAATCCAGCCATCATCGGTCCAATAATTTCTCCCATCGTAACCTCCATTGTAAAAAGTGCAGACAGAGCATCAGGGTTCATGTCGATATCCTTATGAGGCAGCATATCAGCTTCACTAAGCATTGAAGGTAAAGGCGTCACAAACCCAACTGAAGCTCCAAGGGAAGCTAAGCATATTCCAAGCACTGGAATCCAGAATGGCACTGTATCCATAAATCCTCCTATCAGCCCAAGCACTATTTCTCCTAGCATTATCATCACAATGCTCCAAATCATCAAGTAAAACTTATTGGCTCGTGACAGCAAAAAGACGAGCCCAAAGCTTCCAACTGTATACGCAAGTGTCGCAATGATGAAAACGTATCCCACATCATGCTCTGTAAACCCTAAAGATATCATATAAGGCCCTAGGCTTGGGTCAAAATAGTTGTACGTCGTGCTTGAATAAAGCCCTACCAGCACATCAAGTAAAATATTTTTATTTTTCAGCAGTTTCCAACAAGCTGTGTTTACTTTCACCTCTTGGAATTCTGTAGATTCTGACAATGTATACCACAAGCAAGGTGTAAACATGAAAAACAGCGTTGAAGAAAACAGGAAAATCCCTGTAAACCCTACCAAAGCATAGCAGAGTGTCCCGAATGACGGGCCAACCATAAGTCCTAGCCCTGCAAAAACTTCTAGAATGGAAATGTTCCTTTCTCTTTTGTCTCCATAGTCACTTGAAATGATTGCTAAACCAGTTATGTACACCGAGACCATCCCGATGCCTCCCAATATCCTGGAGATAATGCTCATCAGGATAAATGTTGCATTAGTGGCCTCTGGGATAAAGGCCAAAATTGCTAGAGATATCCCACCTAAGAGCATTCCTCCTGTATATGTGTTTCTTCTTCCCAAATAGGACAAGTTTTTCCCGATCTGGGATGCTACTAGACAGCCTGACAAAGGCATCACGGTAAAGATCAAGCCAACCACCCATTGGGCGATTCCTTTTTTCTCGGCTACCAGAGGGTAGAACGGTGCAATAACTGTGTAAATTTGATTAATGAGCATCGTTGAAAAGAATATGCTCAATAGTCTGAAATCTTCGAATCTCATTTTTAGTCATAAAATATTTATATAAGTTAATGGATTTTTGTATTTATGGGGTTATTAGTGGTGGAATTATTATTGGTTGGCAGATGGAGGTAGTGTAACCTAGAAAAGGGTCGGAGAGATTTCTTTTAAAATGGTCAGAAATCTTAAAAAATAAACATGTTTGAAAAACGTAAGTCGTTGTGCGTGGGATTTGGACATTTGATTTGCAATTTCTCTGTTTTAGCTAAAATAGCACGCATAAAATGAGGAATTTTTGAGTTCGAGAATTTTCGATGACTTTGAGCATTTGAAAATTATGAATATGGAGAAATATTGGGTTTAGTTATTTTAATAGAAAGTAAAATAGTTCTGATGTGCTCTATATAAGTGCGGAGAATAGTTAAAAAAATTACTAGCGAGAAAATAAGTATCATTTGGTTTCACTATTCTAAATAAAATAACTTTTAAAAACTTCATATTTAATTCAGTAAAAATTTATCGATCATATTAAGTACTCAATTTGATTTATAAGATGCATAATTATTTATTTCATTTGAGTAATCAGCACAATTTTCTCTCCATAAATTTTTCTTAATTTGTTGTAAATTTTTTAAAGCACTTTAACCCTTTTAATTAGCATTTATTGACCAATAATGGTAGATTTATTAGTTAATCTTTGAAATAATCCTATTAATCGAGATTTCTAAAATTTTAAATATTAATTGTTGATTTATGTGTTCGAGAAGCTAATGCAATGAATTGAAGGCTTTAAAAAAGTTTTGAGTATAAGCAAATTTAGTTATTTGAAAGATATAATTATTTATGCTTTAAAATCAAGATTAAACTTATTTGCTTAAATCGCATTTATTTTGAGAATTACAATATTTTAAAATAATGACTGTAAATGCATAAACTGTTATGATTTTAAAAAGGATTAAGCAATTTATTACTTCTCCCTTTCTGTGAGCGAACAAGAGATTTGAAAAATCCTTTATTTTTTGCTCAAAACCCACCCTCAGTGGTGAACAAAAAATTTTTTTAATCTACAAACTTTTTATGAAAAAAATTTATATGAAATATCTAGCTAATTCTTTTAATTTTAGCAAATTGCATTTTAAAAACTCAAATTAAATTAATTAATTTTTACTTTAAAATAATTTTTCTTTATAACAGCTTAATAACTTCAAATCAAAACAAATTAGAATTAGATTATAAAATCTTGGATTATAATTAAAGCTCAATATTATTTTAATTCTAATATTTATATAATTTTCATGCTATGCCTTAAATATTGATGAAAATAATTTATACTAATAAGCTATAATTTAAAGGAATATTTTACTACTGACTAGTCGAAGAAAAATACAACTCAGTTTTTACTACCATTTTTAATTGTACTAAAATTCTTCAGATTAAGATGAAATTAAGCAACAGTATTGTAATATGGCACTTGAGTATTTATACTAAACTTATTTTTTAATGAGAAAGTAGGATATCTATGATAAAAATCTTCTTATTATAAACTTTCCTATGATTTCTATAATATTTTTAAGCAAATGTCATTAACAAAACGAAAATGGAATTTTAAAATATCTATTTTAATAAATAGTATGAACTCCTAGAGTTCAATATAAGTTGTTTTATACTTGCTACACTTATTACACTGATTTCTAAACGCAAAATTTAAATTTTTGCATTGTAAACAGACCCAATCTCCAGATCTCCCCGTATTTGGTCTCTTTACTTCCGATAAAATATTTTCAACTTGTTTTTTGTCCCTAACTACTTTATTATTTTCAATAATTCTTGGTTCCATGTTTGTTACCATCTGAGTAAACGGCTGTATTTTTACAGGTTGCTTTAAAAACCCAAAGTCACTAGTAGGGTCTTTATTTTCTGATCCTTTATCTGAGTTTTGTTTAAATATCTCTGTTTCATTCTCGTCTAATAATAAAAATAATGCTGAGTTGAATAGTGTGTCTGCAACTCCAGGTTTCGATGCCTCACAACGATTGCAGGTGAAACGAAATGAGAAGTTCAAGTTTGAACATTTCACACAATTTCAGTCACCTTGTACATGTCTTTTTAGGCCGGCGGGATAATTTGGGTTTGACATGTTATGAACTTTACGAATTTAAATTTAAGAAAAATGGAAACATGAATAATTTTTCATATAGATTTAGATAATTAGATAATAAAAGAAATTAAATAATTATGAAATCAGAGGATTTGCAGTAATTTTATTATTGCCTGAGTTCAAGCGTTGCTTAAGCTATCTATGTGGAATAAAAATTAAACTCTCTTATTCAAAGAAAAGCGATGTGTGTTTTAAATAAATGCAGCTTCTTGTTTAATTTAAAAGCTGCTGCTGTATTTGGTTAAAACAAATAAAATCTAATTAATTGAGACAAAATGGGCCTAGGTAAGAAAGTCGCAGCAACTATTATTTTTGGAAGTGGAACTTTAATATGTGCCCAAGCTGGATTTTGGCAACTAAGAAGAAAAAAATGAAAAGAAAGCCTTATTGAAGAGCGATCCCAGCATCTCAATGATAAACCTTATATAGTTTCAGATGATTTTCACCCTTGGGAAAAAGATCCTGAGTATTGAAATTTTCGCCCAATTCAAATCAAAGGAAAATTCGATCATAGCAAAGAAATGCTCCTATTAAGAAAATACGAGAATCGAAATGGCTATAAAGTTGTCACACCAATGACTACTGAAAATAATAAAGAAATTTTAGTCAATAGAGGGTGGATTCCAGTCGATCTTAAGCCACTTTCTAAAAGAAAAGAGCCAGAAGGAACAGTTGAAGTAGCTGGCGTACTCAGATTAAGCGAAATGCCTTCAAATTATATGCCAAAAAATTCACCTGAAATAGGAGAATGGTATTATATTGATATTGATGAGATGTCAAAGTATGCTGGCTTAAAAAATCCCTCAAATATGATGATCCATGAAATTAACTTTGAGAGAAGTCGAGAAGTTTATGATGGAGAAGAATTGACAGAAATCCCACTTAAAAGCGTGAAATCTGAGCTTATAAGTTGGTTTGTAATGCCAGAAACCCATATGACTTATGCAATGTTTTGGTTTTCTAGCTCTACAATTTGCTTGCTTTTCAATATTTTAGCACTTTTAGGGAAATTCTAATAAGATTAGCTTATATATAAAATAAAAATATTTTATTATAGTCTAAATTTTTATAATTAATAATAAAAGCAATATATAATTAGTTCTTATAAATTGAGTAAAGATTAATCAGGCAGACGAATTGGATAATTTATATTCACATTATTGATTGAATGAATTTAATAATTTTAGATATTTTGTTAAAAATATTTGTAAAATGAAATGCTGGAGACCATGCTGCCAGAATGAAGTCAAAGTTTTTTGCAAATGCGTAAATCCAGTGGCATTTTCATGTGCTAAACATTTTATTGAGCATATTGATCTCGATTCAGCTCATACTCATCAGCCAAGCACTTTATACAAAGAGCCTGTTTCTAGTACTAAAATCGGTCTCATCAATGAGCTTAAAAGATCATCTGCAAAATTAACAAACTTCAAGATCGAATTAATTGAAAAAGTGACAAATAAAATCCAAATTCTCCAAAATTTATTAAGTAAAGCATTAAAAGTAATAGAAGAAGTCAGCTCAAATCAAAAAATGATTTCAGAAACGTTACAGAGTATTGAATTAATTTCAAAATGTAATCCAGATCCCTATGAAGAATTGTTGAGTTTGCCAGTTGATAAAGCCTTGCGAAATTTGAGAAGCTTCACTTACAGTGTTAAAAATTTGAATTTTACAGTAGAAGATTTATTAGCAGTTACATGCGATCTAAACTAGAGTACCAAGCTGATCGGTGAGTGGGATTCAAAAGAAATTGTCTTTTTCAAAAATAAAACAAAAATTCTTTCAAAAATTGATCTTCAAAGCTTCAAATTGAAGGAAATGGAACTATGTGTGGAAGATAATGTATGCAATGCAGCGATATCAATATGCCAAGTCCCCGGTAGAGGATTATTTTGCTATGGGAATCACCCAGGGAAAGGAACTGCATATATCTTACAATCTGAATACTCAATTGAAAAACTTGAATCTGGACCTCCATATGGAAATATAAGCCCTGCACTATACGAAGATTCCATATATCTTTTTGGGGGATGAGATTCCACTGGCTTACCTTTTAATAAAGCTATTAAATACAGTTTGCAAAACAACAATTGATCAACTCTAAGCGATTTAAAAGTGAATTTATCATTTGTTTCAAATATTGTCACCAATGAAGGGATATTATTAGTTGGATACCAGAGCGCCAAACTCTATAGATATGATATTGAATCCGACTCGTACTTTGAGCTGGCTTCCTTTGTTGCAAGTACCTGGAAAATATTATGCAACTCTTCGAACAGAAGTTTTCTTATTGAATCTTCTGGAAATATATATGAAAATAATCCAAGATGATTGAGTAACTGAATTGCAATACAAAAATTTACAGATCAGATAAGTAGAGCTCCATTAACATATTATGCAACTTATGAGGATTCTGCATATTTCTTAGATGAAGCTTGCAATTTTTTCAGATTTAACTTCAATAGCTTGACATTAAGCAAGGTTATAACTCATAAATAATCTAAAACATTAGAATTAACAAAAATAAATTCGTGCAAAAGTGCCAAATGAGCACTGCAATAATTTATATATAAAGGAGTAAGTTTAAAAATTTAATTATAAGAGTTTAATTTATCCCAAGGCTTGATTATTTGCTAAAATTCTCTTTTTAGAAATAAAAACACTACTTTAAATAGTGATATAATTATTTGGGACTAGAAAATGATTATCCAATTCTTCCGTAATTAAATTTAAGAGAGCCATCTGAAACTATTTAGGTGAATCTAATTTGCTATTAGAGTCAACAATAGATTACTTATTATTCATGGACTCAGATATTTCATTCTGATATATTTTTTCTTTTCGAAAGCTCGAAACTTGGAAAATAAACTAATATCTTTCCAGGGACAGAGAATAGTAAATTTCTTCAAAAATATAGCAAAAAACAGCTTAATATAAATTCACATTTATTGAAAATTGAATGAATTTTATATATATTCAGTTTGATGAAATTATTTTGTTAAAAATATTTGTAAAATGAAATGCTGGAGACCATGCTGCCAGAATGAAGTCAAAGTTTTTTGCAAATGCGTAAATCCAGTGGCATTTTCATGTGCTAAACATTTTATTGAGCATATTGATCTCGATTCAACTCATACTCATCAGCCAAGCACTTTATACAAAGAGCCTGTTTCTAGTACTAAAATCGGTCTAATCAATGAGCTTAAAAGATCATCTGCAGAATTAACAAACTTCAAGATCGAATTAATTGAAAAAGTGACAAATAAAATCCAAATTCTCCAAAATTTATTAACACCCCTCTATAGGCGAACAAAACCACTGAAAAAATCCCTATTTTTGCCCAAATACCCACTCGAGCGAACAAAAACGTTTTTTTATATAAAAATTGTTTATGAAAAAAATTTGATATATAATTGATAATTAGTATAATGAAATTTCTAGCAAATTCTGTTTAATTTTAAACAGCTTGCATTTTAAAACATATATTTTACCAATTAAATCATTGAATTTTTTAAATTTTGCAAAAAATTTTACATAAAAACTTTTTAAAAAAAAACTAACTTCTCCAAATTTTTTTTGTTAGTCCACTGAGGGAAGGAGGGAGTAAGTAAAGCATTAAAAGTAATAGAAGAAGTCAGCTCAAATCAAAAAATGATTTCAGAAAAGTTAGAGAGTATTGAATTAATTTCAAAATGTAATCCAGATCCCTATGAAGAATTGCTGAGTTTGCCAGTTGATAAAGCCTTGCGAAATTTGAAGAGCTTCACTTACAGCGCTAAACATTTGAATTTTACAGTAGAAGATGTATTAGCAGCTAAATGCGATCTAAACTTGGGGATCAGGGTGATCAGTAAGTGGGATTCAAAAGAAATTGTCTTTTTCAAAAGTCAAACAAAAATTCTTTCCATTATTGATCTTCAAAGCTTCACTTTGACGGAAAAGCTACTACCTGTGGAAGATAATGTATACAGTGCAGGAATATCAATGTGCCGAGTCCCCGGTAGAGGATTATTTTGCTATGGGAATCACCCAGGGAAAGGAACTGCATTTATCTTACACTCTGACTATTCAATTGAAAAACTTGAATCTGGACCTCCATATGGAAATATGAGCCCTGCACTATACGAAGATTCCATATATCTTTTTGGAGGATGAGATTCCACTGGCTTACCTTTTAATAAAGCTATTAAATACAATTTGCAAAACAACAATTGGTCAGCTCTAACTGCCCACTCAGTTAGCTAGAAAATACTGTTCGCTCACAGAAGTTTTTTTTTTATGTATATATATATTTATAGTAAATTTTTTTGCAAAGTTTAAAAATATCCCAATCCGAAGGAACTGGAAAGCAAATATTAATTTAATTTGCAAAATCTATGTTTTAAATGCAATCTGTTTAAAATTAATCAAAATTAGCAAGAGATTTCATTATACTAATTATCACTTATATTTAAAAATTTTTGTCCGGAGGGTGGGTTTTACTCCAAAACATGGAATTTTCCAATGGTTTTGCTCGCTCATGGAGAGGAGGGAATAAGCGATTTAAAAGAGGATTTATCGTTTGTCTCAAATATTGTCACCAATGAAGGGATATTATTAGTTGGATACCAGAGCGCCAAACTCTATAGATATGATATTGAATCCGACTCATACTTTGAGTTGGCTTCCTTTGCTGCAAGTACCTGGAAAATATTATGCAACTCTTCGAACAGAAGTTTTCTTATCGAATCTTCTGGAAATATATATGAAAATAATCCAAAATGCTTGAGTAACTGAATTGCAATACAAAAATTTACAGATCAGATAAGTAGAGCTCCATTAACATATTATGCAACTTATGAGGATTCTGCATATTTCTTAGATGAAGCTTGCAATTTTTTCAGATTTAACTTCAATAGCTTGACATTAAGCAAGGTTATAACTCATAAATAATCTAAAACATTAGTATAAGCATAATTAAATTTTGTGAAAAGTGCCAAATGAGCACTGCAATAATTTATATATAAAGGAGTAAGTTTAAAAATTTAATTATAAGAGTTTAATTTATCCCAAGGCTGGATTACTTGTTAAAATTCTCTTTTTAGAAATAAAAACACTACTTTAAATAGTGATTATAATTATTTGGGACTAGAAAATGATTATCCAATTCTTCCGTAATTAAATTTAAGAGAGCCATCTGAAACTATTTAGGTGAATCTAATTTGCTATTAGAGTCAACAATAGATTGCTTATTATTTATGCCCTCAGAATTTCATTCTGATATCTTTTTTTCTTTTCGAAAGCTCAAAACTTTAAATAAACTAATAGCTTTTCCAGGGACAGAGAATAGTAAATTTCTTCAAAAATATAGCAAAAATAGCTTAATACACTCATCCTCCAATCAATATTGAACTCCATATAAAGAAGGAAAATTTTTTAATAATTTAGCCTGCAATTAAAATTATTTGAAAACTATTAGATTATGTAGAAAGTGAATAGGAAACAAAATATTATTTAATTTAAATTAAAAATTAGAAGAAAATAATTAGAAACCTTATGGCTTAGACAATCAATTTTTTATAATTCAATCGTTCGAATTAATAGACTTGACTAATTATTAATAAAAGCAGCATAGATTAGGTTCGAATTTATGAACTTTAAAATCAATTTGATTTGGCAAAGACCTGGGGGCTTTAATTATTATGGTAAAGAAAAAGCCTGGGCGTAAAAAAGCTCAATGCCCAAACGATTACACAACAGAAATCAGCAAATTCATTGACCCTACCATTGAATACTCCAAAGAAAAAATTTGTCTTATCTCAAAACCTAAAAAATATGAGCCCTCTGAAGCTGAAAATTTTTCCCTTCCATCTCGCCACCACTACCAAAGTATCATTGATTTCACAGCCAAAAAATCCAGTGAGCACATAGAAGATCCTCTAACTACCCAAGAAATTGAAGAAGGCACAAAACTTGCGAGAGAAATTGTTGACAAATTTGCATTATCAGGCCCAGAATATGAGCTATCCAAAGAAGAGCTATCCCAATTAATGAAAAGTAAAGTAACTCTTGGCCATGCGTTAAAAACCATAAACGAAAGCTCATTTAGAGAAGAATTTATTAAATTCCTTGGAAAATACCAAACCACAAATATCAATGATCGTCAGACTAAAAGAGGTAGCAACTCTTCAATAATTAGTAAAAATTGCCGCATTAAAATTATCAAGCAATATTTAAAAGACAAAAAAAGCCGTGATATATGCAAAAATCTTTACGGGCGCATTTCTGTTCGTCTGATAGATGAATTTATAGAATTTTATAACTTAAATGGTGAAAAAGCAATAACAATGGATTTCAAGCCTAAAAAGTCTCATAGACTTACTGAGGAGCAATGCAAATTTTTATGTGATCTTACAGAAGATCCTAATAATATAGGATTATCTCTAAAAGAGAGGAAACATATATTATGCAACCATTTCGGAATTAAAGCAAAAACTGACGACATCAGAGAAGTTTTAAAAGAAAACGGCTACTCAATGAAAAGGCTAAGATCTGTAGTCCCAGAAGCTGATAATATTCCTCACAAAAACGCAAGATGTAGGGTAGCCCAGCAACTCATTTATTTTCTGCATTCAGGAAAAGAGCTGATCAGTGTTGATGAAACTCAAGTCACAAGAGGTGACAATCAAGTATATGGCTGAAGCAAAATCGGAATAAGAGCTACGCAAGTTGCCCAGAAAAAAGGGCGGCCTTTGCATATTATTGCTGCAATCTCTAAAGATAAAGTAATTGGCTATATGATTAGATATGTAAGAATCGAAAAGCACAGTTATAAGCACTTTTTGTATTGTTTATTTGAAAAATTAAGGGAAATGGACCCAGCAAATTATAAAGAAAGATTTTTTGTTCTGATGGATAATGCTGGAGCCCACAAGCATAAAGTTGTGAAGGATTTTTTGGAGAGCCAAGATATTACGGTCATGTGCAATGCACCAATGACGCCACAGCTGCAGCCAATTGAGTTTGTTTTTTCCATTTTTAAGCACAATTTGAGGAAGGTGCAGCTTTTTGACGAAGAAGAGCTGTTTTGAGCTGTTTATCAGAGTTTTAGAAAAATAACACCAAGGCAGCTGCATAATACTTATCTGCATACAATGAGGGCGTATGAATCAGGACTTAAATACGCTGATTTTCAACATAATTGTAACCCTTATGTAACTGATGGGAAAATTAGGAGAAGTGGAAAGCTTCTAAGTCATATGATAAACTTCGAGAAGCTTATGGATAAAGATTGGAAAAAGGTCCAAGAGGGAGTTTTAACTGAATAAAGAATGCCATAATATATAAAAAATCAAATTAATAATAAGCTTTTTAGATTAAAATTGATAAAAATTTATTTTATAGTTAATAAGTTGAAGTTAATTTTACTAAATGTTTTTTATGCAAGTTGAATTCATAGCAATGCACTTGTCTGCTATTCAAGCACAGAAAAATCGACTGAAATTTATGGTTGTAGACACTAAAAGAGCAGTTGTGGTTCCCAAAGGCACTGCTTTCAATCTGCTTTCAGTTATTTCCATCTTTACTTTCAAAAATATTCCCTTTACTTTCCAGCAGAAAAACCCTTGAATCCGCAGCGAACAGCAGTTTTTTTCCTTTACTCAATGAGCTTATATTAGCAACAATTGTATAAGAATTTCTATCAATTTCATACTTTACGATGTCAGTTCTCCCTTCGCTGCATAATAAAATATTATTTTCAAAAACAGCACATGAGCAATTGCAGCTGTAAGATACAGCCAGGGTAGGCAGCTTATTCCATTTATATCCAGTCAATTCGAACTTGCATGCTTGAGATGACCAGCTTTTCTTCTGAGAGCAGCCTCCAAAGGCATATACGCATTTGTTGTAATAAGCGATCCCTGCTGAGCTGCATGGATATCCTTCAGGGAGTTCTTTGATTTCTAGTGTTTTGAGATTGATGATGCATGAATATCCAGTGCATGAATAATTTCCATAGCAAAAAAGTTCACTATTTGGGAGTTGAATTATGGCAGTTCCTTTGTCTAAAAGCTCGTTATCAAGATTTTTTCGTTCAAAAGCTTTGTTTTCAATGCTATATTTCAGCATTATATTCTGCTGAATAGTTTTGTCTCTCTTAATACTATACAGATAGCCGCTATCGAATGCCAGCTGGTCGGTCATTGCTGCTAGTTCTTGTGTTAGGGTTTCATAGCTTTTTTCTAGAAGCTCATAAAGCTCCTTTGCTTCACTGTTAACCTCGATCAATGCTTTATAGTTTTCTTTATTAATGTCTGGCCCACATTGTTTAATTAAAAATTTTAGATTCTGCAGATTTACTGGCAATTCAAAATTTGCTAAATAGTTTTCTTTTGCTTTTTTTATCATTTCTTCATAGCTTAAAAGCTTTTCGAGTCTTGCATGCAATTGCTGAATCATTAAAGCTTCTTCCTCCTTTGAAAAAACATTGGTTTCAAATCCATTTAGCGCGTCTTGAAATTCTTGTATAATGTCACCTGCATCAGGGTCTAGCAATTTTTTTGACAATTGTTCAAGGATTTTCGAAATGTTCAGCATAATTGAACAGGCAGCCTCTATGTTTGGGTTAGCCTTAAATTTTGGAAGATCAGTAACTTTACCAGCGTTTTCTGCACTCAATAATAATGATTTAAGTAGTTTATTTGTCTCATACTTTGAAATCTCTGTAGTGCTATTAATTTTGTTAATTGACTCGTGAACTTCTTTGGCATCTTTATTGATGACATTGAAAATATTAGTCATTAAATTGTACAAACATGAGTATCCAAAGGTAAACTTTTTTAGTACTTTTGATTTTAGTTTGTCTACTTTAAGTTTTTCTTTGTTCAGCTTGCTTAAGATTAAACTTTTGGCGGCAGGGTTTGGAAGAGAAAAAATTGGCTTAAAAGAATGGCTTGCAGTGTTAGTCCAATGAAATCCCATATGAAACTTGCACATATAAGTTTCGCTAGAACAGCATGTGCAGATGTATGCGGGACCGTTTTCACAGTTGGAGAAAAAACAACGGTGGTTAACCATAAATAATAATAAATTTAATTAAGGGGCACTTGTGAGAAAATAATAAAATTGAAATTTTAGTAATATAAATTAGCTAAATTTAGGAAGTATCTCGAAATTAGATATTATGGAAATTGTTAAGTTAATACTGCTTTTAATTCTTCTTTGGTTTCTATTAAAAAGAAAAATTATAATTGCAATAGAATGAATTTGTGGATTAAAATATCTTATATAGATCTTATGTGAACCGTTGCTATTTCATCAATTTTTTCAATTTCTCAGTATCCCTTTAAGCCTCTGTGATTAATAGCATGGACTATTTTGATGGCAATTGTTGTTTTCATCGAAATAAAACTGTATTCTTCTATACTTTTTGATCAAGATAAAATAGGCACTAGTATCCTTTTTATATTTCAGCTAAGCAGCAAAGTGGCATCTAATACAGTCAATAAAAGCCTTAAGGACTGCACAATGAATAAGTACTTATATGATGACAAGAAGGCAAGACTTTTTTATGCCCTGTAGTGCAACCAAATAAAGCTTATAAATGAAACTAATCAAGAAAATATCAGAGAAAATAAAGCTTATAATTGAAACTAATCAAGAAAATATCAGAGAAAAATCTGAGCAGATCTCTTTATAATAGCGTATTAGTATTTATTTGCTAATTATATGAAAATTGAAAATCAGAAATATTTATCTAATAATAAACGCAAGCTTAAAATTTATCTGAATAATACCGAACTAGTTCTATTTAATGGCTGCTTGTTTTTTAATTTGACAGGATCTAGCTGAAAAAGTTCTTTGCCTAAAAATTTTGCTAACTGGAATGAAGAAAAGTCTTTATTTGATATAAGCTTTAATTGAAGAGTCCTCAAATATTTAAGTGCTGGTCCATCAATTTTTTTAGCGTTTTCAAATTGATTAGCTAGAGCTATTTCAAGCTTTTCAGTAAGAATTTCGTTCTCTTTAAATAGTTTCGATATAGTGGCGCTTAGGGCCTTATTTTCGTCTTCAAAAGCTACCATTCTGTTGTTCATTTCTCCTACTAAATGATGATATTCTGTGATCGCATTTATATTGCCTTTTTGTTTATTTTCTAAGCTTTTGCACTTAGCTTCAAGTTCTTGAATGCATTTATTCCCTATCAACCATTTCCGCTGCATTTCGTAAAAATCTAAATTTTCTTGATTTTTTTGTATTAAATCTTCACACATTTTCTCTAAAATTTCATTCAATTCGTAATTAAAAGTTGTTTTATCAATCTTTTTCATAATTTCTAACTCCCCCCCCATCCTTGATCGAACGACTCGCCATCGTTCGATCGAGGATGGGGGTTAAAAAAAAATTTTTCGGGAAAAAAATATATAGATATTTTTTTTTTATTTACTTTTAAATAAGAGGGTTAAGAATATTTAATAATTATTTTTACAGCAAAAAAATTTTAATTTATTTCATAAAATACCAATTTTTAATATTTTGATTTATTAGTTACCCCTTTAAATTGTATAAATTTTAATTTGTTCCTTATTAAATTAATTTTTTTTTAAAAAAATTTTAAAGAATCTGTATTTTATTAGATTATTAAGTTTTTAAGCATATGTTAATGACTAAATCACTTCGGATGGTTGATTTCGCAGCTTTCTGTCGTCTCAAAGCCTCTGAAAACAACTTCATTATGTGCATCTTCCCAAGCTTTTGATAAATAATATATTTTTATATATATAAAAATTTTGCATGATATGAAAATCGTTCGATCAAGGATGGGGGTTAATTTCCCCAATTTTTAGGAATTTTTACAGTCAATCGTTCGATCAAGGATGGGGGGGAGTAAGTATTTTTCAGTTTTTTCCTTTAACTTTCCTATTTGCTCTTCATAGAGCTGGAATATTTCTTTATGTGTCCCATTTATAAATGATTGAAGTTTCTTTTTCAGAATTTCGCATTCGCATTCTTTTTCCTCCAATTTTTCTTTATAAAATGTTTTCATTTCATTCATATTATCAGAAAGTCTTCTTATTTCATTTTCATACTCAGAGGCTTCTTTAGAAATTTGCCTAACTAATTGTTTTGCACCCCATAAACGGTTGTGCATGTTAACAGTATTTTCCATATGATCTTCATTGAGTTCAGCTTCATTAATATCAAATTTATTCAATTCATGATCTTTTGCAATTGCTACTTCATTCCTTTCTTCATGCATTATTTTTTAATTATAATAAATCTTCAGTTATTTAATGCTTACTCCTCCATCCTTGATCAAACGATTCGATAAAATATTTTCCTAGAAGTTAGAATATTAGCCCTCATCCGTCTTAATCTAACTGCCTATTTTCGGCAGTACTGAATATTAGTGTTTATATTGTATAATCACTCTTAAGCAATTCTAATATATTTTCTAATTTATTTTATACTCCATCTCTTCTTAATAGCTCCTAAAATAGTTAATATTGAAAACTTTAAAAATGAACATTTTAAGATTAATAAAAATTATATACAATAGGAGAATTAAAAATTATTTATATAATTGCTAGTCATCAAAAAATATAAAATACCCTTGAATAAGTGCCTTTCTAAATCGCGCTTTATAAATCTTTGGATGAATAATTGTTGGTAAGCCTATTCCGACCACTTTTTTATACTTGCTTTCAACCGACCTTTCAAATGTATATTGCTCAAAATAATCAATGATTCCAGCTCGGATTATTGATTTATCAGAAGATATCATGACTAGCAAGGAATAGTCTACAATATTTTGCTTACTCCCTCATCCTTGATTGACGATTAATATGAAAATTGAGAACTAATCCTAATCATTGATTTAACGATTTTTATAAGGACAAAATGAAACCCACACACAAAAACCACTAAAATCTAACTACTATCTTGATAATAATGAATCTTAGAACCATTGCAGAATAATCGTTCTTAGCCAATTCTAATGCGATTCCTAACATGCTTGCTAATATATTACGTATAGCCTGATCCCTGCTTTGGATCAGGCTTGACTGACGTCGGGAGTTGAAAAACCAACATTTTCTGGCTTTGCCAACTCCCCAGATGGCAAATCCTCTTGTTATTTAAGATTTGTCATCAGGGAGTTGACTTTCCTGAAAACGCTGGTTGATCAATTCCCCATTTGATGTTTCCTGACGTCATTCAAGCCCAATCCAAAGCAGGGATTAGGCTATACTATATCTCTAACATTAGAGCAAAAAAACAATTTATATGAAAAAAATTGATCTAATAAAATATTTATATATTTTTTTCAAATAATTTTTTGCCATCAATCCTTGGCTACTCTCTAAATCAAGGATAGGGTGAGCTAGATAAAAATAATGTATCATTTCAAATTGCAACATCAAAAAACTTTTTTGCTTCTTTTGGAATAATAAAAGGAATACAATTAAAATCCTCCAAAAAATTTAAATCCATTTTCGTTCTGGTATCGCCAGGTTTAACATATCTCCTTTTATTCTGTGTCCCTTTAAGATCATATACGAACGGTTTTTCGGGCATCTGATAGCCTAAATTTTCGAATATAAAAGCATATTCCTTAACTGACTTGCCTGTATGATGGTTTCTCACTGTGATTTGATATGCACCAATTGTTCTCACCAATCTCGAAGGCATCTGATGGAAAAAATTTTTGCACAAATGTCTAAAATAATTTTGTGCAACACCCCTAAACATATTGATTTCTTTCCTATCAATAATTTTTAATATATATTTCCCATCATGCGATACACTAAAAGTTGCTTTGCTTTTACCTAGCTGCCCATGTATAGGCTTAGATTTCGAAATCGAGAGCAAAAAATCTTCATCAGAGCCATAGCTATATTCCCTTATAGAGTGAAATTGTTTTGCAAAATAGGCTTTGACCCTGAAAGATATGCAGTCACCATAAACTCTTTTTAAGTCGTCTCGGGATGCAAGATCAGGGATATCGAATTCTTCGAAATTAGAAAATTTTAGTTTAAAATGCCATGGGTTATAATTCAGCAATTCATTTTCAATATGCTTTTTCTGGTCATCTGAGTATAAAGCAGGCGATACAACTTCGTGGTAATATTCAGAGGAGTTTAAAGAGTATGTGATAACTGATAATAAATCAATATCGTATACAGGGATGTGCATATATCCAGAACTAACTGGGAGGGCTAAATTTCCTTCTTGAAGTGTGTTTCAGTACGGGGTACTTAATAATGGATCACTGCTTTGGATATATTCTGCATGCAGTCATCGGTTGGCGGCAACTGATGCCCGTGATAGGGCAAAAGAGTCATTTTCTAAACATTCGCCTTGTGTAGCTCTGGAATTTGACCTTGAACGTGGGAACTTTTGTTTTTTGTTTTTATTGAATTGTAAATTTATCCTTTCTTTTAGAGTCTCCATTATCACTTTTGCGTGACAGCACGCTAAAAATGTTAATCTTCTATGATTTTCTACATGAAGAAAATTCTGAATGTTTGATATGTCAAGTCCCATCAGCTCAACCATAGCACCTTCAATCATTTTTTGAAGTTCTTTAACTTCATCCCTCAAAGAAGCCCATGACTCTTCTTCTAGATCTTCTTTTTCATCTTCATCTTCAAACATCAGTCTATTAATCATATCTTTTGTGTCGTTTAATAAATTCTCCAGTACTGATTGTCCTGAGTCTTTTAATTTTTCATAGCAGGATTGTTTTAATCTGCTGTAATACTCTTTATTAATCGTATTTGTAGGACTCGTTAGTTCTGCCACATTTGCATTCACAAATTCAAAAGAAAAATTGATTTTTCCTAATGCAAAAATCAATTGTGCTGATTTATAATACTCATGGCCACATTCAGCCGTCTTGGATTTTCCATCAATAAAAAAATTCTCCAGCCACTTGAAGAACGAAAAATCCATAAAGTTCCTTGGAATTGCCTGTAGCTTTTCATCATTGGCATCACATTGTTTGCATTTTCTTTGAAAATTAATTTCACAAGTATCATTCCTTTCAACTGCTGAAAAAGTAAGTTTCACAGTTCCTTGCTTTCTTATATAAAACATGGTATGAGAAAGAAATAGCGAGCCACAGTCATTTCCGCATGTATTTCCAAGCTCGCAAATCAGTGATTCCAAATAATCGTTAATTGATTTATCGTCACTACTGCCTAACTCGATTCTGTGGAGTTTTGGATTTTTGCAAATTTTTGAATTAAATGATCAAGCTTCTTTATAGATAAATGTTGAAGGCTGGAGGGTTGTAGTGGGCTGTTCGTCATTATTTTTGAATCATGTTATTGGATCTATCAGCTCGTTTGGATTTTCTGACATTAATTATGAATCAACAAATTTATAAGTCTCAACTAAAATTATAATAAATTCTGTATCACTAAAACCCAAAAATATCTAACTCCCTTCTTTATTAGCGAGAAAATTTTTTTTTTACACACCAATGAATGGGGTTAATATGTATTTAAAAATTTAACAAATCGAGTTTCAAATATTTCAAATTGAAAATCTATATACATAAAAATGTCAACCTAAGCATGCTCCTGTAGTTGGAAAGAGATAACTTGGCAATGTCTTTCAGACCCGAAGGGGGATCTCACCGTAAAATTAGGAGTTACGGCCCGAACCCTGAGATTACTGCTTTTTCCTGTAGTTGCTGCGGGGCAGGCACCTAACACTAGCTAGCCTCTGGGGTTTTTTGGGATCAAGCTATCACCTATTGCCCGATACAGGACTGAAGAAGTCCATAGTCCGCCCACTCGGCGCTAGAGTCCGTTGGCAAGAAGAAGTGTTCCCGGCACACGATACTCCGGATGTTCATACATTAGGATCTGAGAAGGAGCAAGATTGCATTCGAGACTACAAAACTATCTCAGTCGATCAAGTCCCGACAGAGAAGGTCCTAAAGCGATGAACCCTTAATAGTCTTAGTAATTGCGAAATCAATACACCTACGCCCACAAGTGATTTAAGATTAAGATTAAGAAATGGAAAATATTCATGTTTTAGAACGCTAGTTGTCTTTCAATTTAATTTAATTGATTGATCTTTAATTATTATAATGACTAACTTTATATTAAAATATATCCTAAAAAAATATTATATTAAAAACTGCTACTCTAAATCTAAAGAAGGGAATTGATTTTTTTCAAAAATAGGATTTTTCTAAAACTACTTACTTATAAAGGAGGGAATAAGTTACAGCTGATTAATTCTTAAATTTCCATTATTTAAGTATGCCATTTATAAAATTTCTTTTTGATTCTTCATCCTACGAATTACTGGACTTTTAACCATTTTAAATTCATATAATAGATGATAGTTTTTATCCTATTTTTCTCAACCTTCGCATCAGGGCTGAGTTTTACCAACTACAACTTCAAAAGAAAGAACAACTTCCCAGTGGTTGGCATTGTCTCAACCCCTTGTGACGACACCTTCAATACCACAGGAGCGCGATCATACATAGCAGCTTCATATGTTAAATTCCTTGAGTCTGGAGGTATTCGAGTGGTTCCAATTCTTTACAACTACACTTATGAAGAAATCGACTTCCTCATGAGCAAGATCAATGGAGTCTATCTGATTGGCGGCAAGACCAAGCTTACCTCTGTCATTGACGGCCAAGAATATTGGCATGAGTACCTTAACAAATCAGCCTACATCGTCAACAAAGTGATTGAGAAAAATAGGAATGGGGAGTACTTCCCTTATGTTGGTGTATGCATGGGAGCTCAGCTGCTTCACATTGCCTTGACGGAACACTGCGAATGCGCCATGCAGTACACGGATGCTTTGAATTTCAGGTCAAACCTAATGTTCACTGACAGCGTGCCTAAATCAAGACTTTTTGGCAATGCAGACCCAAGAATGCTTTATGAGATGGCTTATAAAAACATCACTTATCAGAATCATAAGTATGGGTTTTATCCTAGCTTGTACACAGGTAAGAATTATTTAGATAATCCTAAGGTCTCGTCAATGCTAAGACCGTTGGCTGTTTCTTATGATAGGCTTGGAGTGCTCAATGTCGTTATATCTGAAGGAATTGATATCCCATTTTATGCAACTATGATTCACCCTGAAAAGCCTGCTTAGTAATTATTATTCAGCGAATGGTTTTCGCTTAAGATTAACCATAATATCACTGCTATTGAGGTTGGGCATTATTTTGCCACTTTTTATGCAACTGAATTTGGGAAAAACACAAACACTTTTGGGAACTACACTGAGTACCAAAAATATTCAATTCTGAATCACCAGGTTTATTACCTCCATAGACCTCTGGAGCAAGCTTATCTATTCTTTTAATAGTTAATATTAGAAATAATTTTAACAAATTGCCTTTTATGTTAAAAGACTTGTACAAATTATATAGCAAGGTATTCTTATTAAAAACTGCTAAATTCTACTTAAACTATAATGATTTCTCAGTGAAATTATTAGTAATTTGGAAGGAATATTAACTTTCCCTAAAGAATGATTTTAATATAATAAGAAATTTAAATTCTTGTAATGAAAACTAAAAAGGGTCAAAAATATTTATCAATCCAAGAATCTGTCAATTTAGTTGTCAACTGCTACAAGAAGCTAGATAAAATTAGACTCTTAATTGGATACGAAAGTACAGAAATAACTCAAAAATTCCTAAATTTTATCAGCATGGCTACATCTCTTGGAATCGTATTAATGCAGCATCATCGATACAGTGAAGCATTTTGTGTGCTAAATAAAGCAGTAAAAGCAGACCAATCAATCCTAAAAATTACTTTACAACTGAATTGATCTGAAAGAATTGTATTGTATTGTGTAATGGCTTTTGCATTTCATAAGTAAGGTATCTATAGTTTGACAGGGGCAAGATAATCAAGCCTTAAGATTTGTCTATGAAATCCAATCATTCATGCTATCAGCCAAGAAAAAAGGATATGGATATGGATGAGACCTAGAAATATGCTCCCACTTTATAACTTTTCTTATAAATTGAACGATGAAGAATTTTAATAAAAGCAGCGTGTATCTTCAATTGGCAGCAGAAGCATTAAATAGCATTTTAAAAGGAGAAAAATCAAGTATTAGTGATATATGCAAAAAGAGTTTGTATGGAATTATTTCTTTGGGGTTATGTGGGGTGAAATTAATCGTTGAAGATAAAAAGGAGATAGCTATTAGTATCTGCAGAAAATTGATAAAAGAAATAGAAGATAATGCAGTTTTCGGATTGGCGAAAGAGTTCTTATTCCAGATTTGTAATTATGGTAATTTTGTGATATTAAATACTACAAAAATTTTTCATTTTTAATGGGGCGAGTTAGAGAGAATTGAAAATTTTATAAAACCCTACGACTTCCTTGAAAGTACCCCAACTTTTGATCTATTCCCAGAAAGTGTAGATCAAAAAAGAATTTCAAAAGCATCAATAGAGATGCCATTATTAGCCGAAACTGAATATTCAATTGTTCAGCCACCTTTTGACGAAATTCTTTTAACTCGCGAATTTGAAGATGTTTTCTTTATTTCCAATTTCATTCACTTTTTAACCCCGAATGTCCCACTAATCAATCCTGGCGAACTCGAGCATCCATTAGAAGACAGGCTCCCCTTAATTGAGAAAAAGCCTTTACCTCCTTTCCAAATACCTCACTCCCCCAAAGAAAAGCTTGAAAATCCTCATGCTAAATTAATCCGCAGAATTTTAAGCAAAAAAGAAAAGCCTTGAACACAAAAAAATCTTACTCCAGCGCCAGATATTAGGCAGATGGCTTATCTAGAAACCTCTAGAGACGAAAGCAAAGAAAAAATTCACAAAATCCAGTCAGATATAATAACAAATATAAATAGATCAAAATCTATTTCTAGCCATAGACCACAGAACTCAAGCCCAATCCCAGTAGATAGACTGATGGAAGTGGTGTTAAAAGATAAAGAAAAGCTCAGCGCGTATAGAAAAGAAGCTTTACAAAGAAGAAATCGGCATTTTATGGTCGAGTTTAGTCCTTTGAGAGGGCTTGATGAAAATCATAATGTGAAAGTAGATTTGATACCAATCCATCCAAGGTATACAGGGTCAAATTTGGGGGTGAGATATAAATCTCCTGCCCCGTTTAGAACTAAAAGAAACGATTATGTGTTTTCAAAGGATATAAGTGAGCTGTCGACACCTGAAGTAGCTTACCATCCTATTTATAATTTTTAAATGTGTATCATTTGTACTATTTTATAGCCAATTAAGCTTATATTTAGACATAAAAAATAAATATAAATAATTTAGGAGTTAAAACACTACACATTTACTTTCTTGAATTACTTCAGACTCACTCGGTGATACATTTTCTTTTAATCCCTTTTCATATATTTGTGAGTTTTGAGTTTCTTTTACCTCAAAAATTTCTTCCTCTTTCTGTGCCTGATCTTGTATTTCTTGTAGCATTCCAAGTTCATATGCTGGGGATTTATTATTTAAATTATAATCATAACTCTCCTGTTCTGGCAGACTCTCAATTTTTTCTTCATAATTCTCAATACTCTCTTTATAAACAATATTCTGAGCTATTTTTTTCTTAAAATATTTTTCTTCACTTGGCTCAAACTTTTCTCAAAGTTTGAAAAACTCATCAGTATATAAATGGGCAAGAATACTATCATCTACCACAACTAAATTTTCTTGATTTTTCTGTACAGCTTGTTTTGTTCAATTAAAGCTTCCAGTAATCAATAAATAGTCATCAATTACTACAAATTTATTATGCATATGTGCAAAAGGGTTCAAATCGACTCTAACAGAAAATCCTTCTTCATATAAAGCTCTAATATCAGATCCATTCATTTTCATGCATTCATCATCAGAAATGATCATAACGTTTACACCTCTTCGCCTAGCATTTCTCAGTGCATTAGACAAATTGTCGTTAGTTATAGTAAATACTGAAACAAGCATCTTGGTCTTAGCTTTATTAAGGTATTTGATCAGCCTTTGTTCAGATTCTGTGCTTGGAAAGAAAAAGGCTTCTCTAATCCTCTTTTTAGGCTCTAGTACTTCTGAAGTTGCAAGGACTACAGCTTTTTTGCCTCATTCGACTGCAGATGGATTTTTTTCTGTTAAGTCAAAAATGTAAGAAATAACACTATTTATCAGTCTTCTTGAACAAGAGCTTTCAATAACAAGTTTTCGTAATCCTTTGAGCGAGTTCATATCTCCAACGTTTTTCCTCAAATAACGATAAATTTCTTCAGAAGATACGTGATTGTCGTTAGCTATTTCTTCTTGCTCATGCTCATTAGCTTCGATGATTTCGCTTTTGCTTGGCTTATATTCTTCATTATCTATATGCTTTGCTCGCTTTCGGGGTGTTGAGACAGATTTCATTAATTTTAAATTGTTAAAAAGCCATTTTTATCAAATATGATTTTTAATTTATTTTATCAGTAAATTTTCCAATTGGCCAGGAAAGCAAAAAGGATAATTATACTGAGTTTATGTCAAATCTTGCCGAATATTTGAATCGTATTTTGCAGCTGAATAAAAATTACTCTTCATTTTCATTAACCTCGCTGTAGATTTCATAATATAGTTAAATTTAAAAGATAAAAGCTACCTGGTTATAAGCAGGTAAGCCACTAGTTGTCACCCTCATTGGCTCTAAAAGGTCGTTTCTTTGGATTTCCTACCTGAACCACCTATCTAAGGGATAGCTGCAGAGTGCACCGATGGTCCTGATGAGAGGAGACATGGGTAGGCAAAACCGTCAAGGAGAAATAACTTCCCTTTTCGTCAAGGCTTCCACAAATCTTAAGGTCTAATTTTACAAAGGTACAGAGGTCTTGCTTCAGCTTTATCAAGATGAGTCCTACTATTCCATAGGGAGCGCGCCTTGTATTTCTATTCCATCAATGCCACCATTTATTTCTTTTGATTTCGTAATAGGAATATCTAGTGTTTTTCTTCTATTAACAGATTTCCCATCCCAATATGCAAGATTTTTTTCAAGCTGATTAAAGCAATTTAATCTGATCTGCTCACTGTCCAAATAATTTGTCCAAACATCATATATTGGCAGTGCAACATTTTTAATAAACCCAAACTGGGCTTTTGGAACATTTGCATCATTTCTATCGCAATACATAGAAATGGGGAGGTTTCTTGACCTTTCCATATCACCTTGATTGAAAAACTCCTCACATAATAAAATTGTTCATTTTTCATGTAGCTCAATCGGTTTAGCAGAATGTCCTATATCAGCACATTTAATTCCAATTGAAAATACTAATCCTTTATCTTCATCAGAATCCAAAGAAATATCATTAAGGGCAGTGCGAGTCCTGAACCTTCCTAAAAGCTCAAAATGCTTGGACATATCAGTGGTCAAGACCATTTCAATGATCAATTTTCTGCAATAAACCCATTCTTCATTGTTTAAATTAGCTATAATATTGTGGTCATAATATCTCATCACTTCAAAAATAGTGGCGCAATGCATCATTTCAAGCACACTAACATCATTATACTTTATAGCCAGTTCATCTTTTGTGTTGACTAAAAATCTATTTGTCACGCCTGGGTGGCCTACATCATGTCCATCTGCTGCTATTATGCAAGTCAATAAATCAAGGGTTGAAATTTGTTTGATACAATTGGATAATAATAAATGGCCACCTGAAATTTCGCTAATTAAATTTCTCTCCTGAGCATATTTTTTATTTGAGGTTCTGCTTTTCTAGAGATACCTTATATAGCAACATCAGGCAAATAACGGGAGAGGTACACCTTTTTGGCTTGACTTAAAAGTATTCGAAGGCTTAGGGTTTATCTGCTCAGTGCACCCAAGGAGCTTGACATTTAGACGGAATACGTGTAGGAGCTGAATAGCATGCGACTGCAAGGCGCTGAGTGAGGCGCACAGACATCCTGTGGCTCATTTTTTGGAAAGCCTAAAATATATTACGTCACTTAAAGTGACAGAATAGATGCTTTCGGGGCATTCCCTTTACTGTACATTGCGCTAGACAAATTAATTTGTAATTTTGTTTGATAATATTGGATTGAGTAATAAAATACAATAGAGAATGAAGCATATCTGAGGCATGGCATGCATTATGGTACGGCACCGAATTGTATTTCTATATATACATTACACTTTCAAGAGACTTGAAATAGTTCTCAATGAATTTGTCTGGGATTAAAAACTCTTGCTTGATATGAAAATTATCAAATAAATATTTTGAGAGGATAAAAATGCTATGACCTGTTGCGTTGTAAACAAACCAAATATCGAAGTTTCAGTTTTTGCCAACTCCTGTAAGAACTCCTTCTAGCTCAGTTAGCCCATAGTCACCAAATGGAAATTCTAACTCCCCTTCTTCGTGATCGAACAAACCCATTGGAAAAATCCCTATTTTTTGCCCGAAAACCACCTTCCATGAGTGAACAAAAATTTTTTTAATAGAAAAAATTTTTTTTATGGAAAAAAAATTTTGATATATAAGTGATAATTAGTATAATGAAATCTCGAACTAATTCTGTTTAATTCAAAAAAATTACGTTTTAAAAACATAAATTTACAATAAATTAATATATTTGCTTTCCAATTTTTGCGAATTAGGATTGTTTTAAATTTCGAAAAAAAAAAATCCATAAAATTTTCTATATAATTTTTTTTTAAAAAATAACTCCTGAGCGAACAAAGATTTTTTTGTCTCTCGCGGATGGAGGGAGTAAGGCATTTTCTATCATTTGTTGTGCTGTTGGTCTTCTGCTCTGGGTAGCGCTTGGGCTAGATTTAACATCCATGAAGTTTTGAGATAAAAATGCTCTGTCGTCTGCATCTATACTTAAATCAAGCCGAGATTCATTCATAAGAAGCCCTCTAGCAATTTTTTGCTGGACAAAATTTAATTGGTTTGAAGCTTCTTTTAAGCTGGATTTGATATCTTTGAACATAATTACAGACCTAGCTTTTTTAATGATTTCTCTAATAGTTTCACACGTTTTGACAACTAGCTCTACTTCTGATTTGATTCCTTCATCATATTTTACATATTCTTTTATATTTTTATTTTGATATACATCTGCTTCTTCCTTTACTTTTCTATAAAACAGCTGCCGTGTCCTATAATCTAATTGTCAGGTCTCAAATAGCTGAAAACATATAAAAATAAGCAAGGCAAAATATTCAGTAAGGAATGTCCAAATCCTTGACTCAGAAAGACAAAGAGAAAGGATAAGATATAATATTATTGTTGATAGCCCTACTGAGGAAAAATGTCGAAAATTGTTAAAAAGCACTAGTTTCAAGCATACTGCAAATCCCATAATAAAAGGTATGTTGATTGGAAAATCGCCATTAAAATTTTCTTTTGTAATGCCACTTAAAATCCTTTCTTCCCCAATTATTAAATAAAGTATTGCAAAAAAAGTGAGCGAAGAAAAAATTGTCCTATTGTACTCAAAGCATATATCATATAGTTTTAATAGCATAAGTAATAAGTAGGCCACGCAAAATAAAAATATCAAGCATGATATATGGAATAGATAGTGGCTCTGGGCAAGGTTTCCTTGATAATTTATAATTAATATTGACCCAGTTTTAATAACTAAAAAAGCAGAATAGAAAATGAAATATATCGTCAAATTTCCTTTGAATTCAAATGAAAATCGATCTTTATCGTCTTTATTTATATAAAGAGCTGCAAAATATTTGCTTTCTAGCTGCCGATTTGTAAAGTTTAGAACGTTTTGATTTATTGGGATATTTGGAGCTTCATGGGGTTGATGTTCATAGATTGTATAATGAGCTGAATTTACCTGATTGGTTATAGCGTTGTCCTCTATGCTCTCTTCATTCTCTTTCATGGCTTCTTAGTTAATCTTTAATTGCTTAAAAAAATGAAAACTATGATTCAAAAAATAAAAATAATTAAAATATGGCGTCTTCGTCTGGGCATGGCCTCCCGGCCATGCAGCCTCGACTCATATTTTAATTATATCCGGCAAGGTTTTGCTATTTCAGAGATGGAAAGCAATGCTAGGTAAGCAATTCTGGTTGTGTGCAGAGCCTAGCCCTAGTCTAATTTCAGGAATGGTTTTTTCCTCATGGGGAAGGAAGGCACGGAAGTTGGAAAGGGGAAGCTCAGCAAAGTCCTTAGGACCAATCGGGCAACTCCCTAGCGTGAAACTGGGCGTTACGTCCCAGGCTACGTGTTTCCCTTTTTGCCGACAGCGGACCAGAAAAATCCATTTTTTGGGTTTTTCGGAAAAGCAACCCATGCTACAGGCAAGTAACTCATCCATGAGCCGTCGAAGTCGGTGACACTTGTCCCGAGGGACATCTTGGTGATCAAAGCGGGTCGTCCCCAGAGACCTTGTGGCCCGATGTAACGAAGGCGAGTGATAGACCTGGGGTTTTCACTCCGTAGTGGACGTTAAGCGTTATAAATTCTAAATAAGTAAGTAAGATTCAAAAAATAAAAAGAATTATTAGTTTTCGATTCTTTTTAGCATCAATTTAAATATCAATACTTTGAATGAAAATTCACGTATGAAAAATAACTTTAAATTTTTAATAGTTACTAACTACCCCCCCTCCGTGAGCGATCAAAACCATTGGAGAAACCCCAATTTTAGACCAAAAACCCACCCTCCGTGAGCGAACAAAAATTTTTCATGAAAATAAAATTGATATATAAGTGATAATTATTATAATTATATGTCTAATTCTATTTAATTTTAAAACCTTGCATTTTAAACATAAATTTGCAAATTATATTAATTTTTGTTCTCAATTTTTCCAAATTGTAATTGTTAGATTATTAAAAAAAACAAAAATTTTATAAATTTTTTAAAAAAAAATTAAACCCCATAATGAACAAATTTTTTTTGTTTGCTAAGGGTGAGTAAGAATCTGATATATTTATATTACTCTTAATTTGGTTTAGAAATTTTAAACAGTTTACTGAGAATTTATAGTTTTAGAATATAGCCCGGTCCCTGCTTTGGATCGGGCTTGACTGATGTCTCCCGATATCAGATGGAAAGTTGAAGAGCCAATGTTTGCTGGCAAAGTAAATTCCCCCAGATAGCAAATCCTCTTGTTATTGGAGATTTGCCATCTGAGAGTTGACTTTACCAGAAAAATTGTTTTGCCAACTCCCCATCTGAAGTCGGGAGATGCGAGTCAAGCCTAATCCAAAGCAGGGATCGGTATAGCACTAATTTTTACTACAGTCTCGGCATTTTTTCTATTGGCAGATAATACCGTTAATTTAATTTAAATTTAACAGACTAAATGTTGAAAAAGGAAAACCAAATTTATGACAAACTTGAAGTTCCACCTTCTTCTGCTCAATTTATTAAAGTAAAAGATTACAAAACAAATGACTCAAGCTCAAACTCACTAGATTTTACTTTAGCACCAACAGCTTGCAACTCTCCCTTAAATAAATCAAATCTATCGCAAAATCATCTGAATCTCCCATTTGAAATGCAAGCAAGCTATGATGGGAATTCTAGCACCGCCCGAAATTCAACAAATACCCCTCTTATTACAACTTCCAGGCAAGGTATTTCAACTCGACCATCTTTGTCTTTTCTTTCATCTGATTTAAGTGTAAGAATCAGCGAAAAGCTGAGAAAGCTAACTCCCCCTTCGGTGAGCGAACAAAACCATTGAAAAAATCCCTAGTTTTTGCTCAAAAATCCGCCTCCGTGATCGAACAAAAATTTTTTATGAAAAAAATTTCTGTTTAATTTTAAACAGTTTTAATTTTATAATTTTTTTTTTTTTAAATTTTAAAAGCAACCCCTCCTCGAGCGAACAAAATTTTTTTGTTTGCTCGTGGAGGGGAAGTAAGGGAAGAATTTGAAAATTTTGATATCAGCTTTAATAAACCTGATAATGCTATTGATATTAGAATTCCTGAAGAGTTTCCGGAGTCTTTAAGTAAGCTCCCAATTCAAGCTATCCCTATGGATTATAATGATCCATATGAAATTGATCTGCAGTCAAGTGTCCCGCAATTAAAATGATGTGCTTATTGCCAAGCAGAAAGAACAAGCGAAATTGAGTATGTGAATACCTCAAAAACTTTTTGGTCAAGCGTAGCCGTTTTTCTCGCAGGAGGGGTATTCGGGTGTTTTATGGTGCCTTATATGATGAATTCGTGCAAGGGTAGGAAATTGAGGTGTAATAAATGCAAGCATAATTTTTAATTATTTATTTTATTTTTTAATTATTTATTTTATTTTTAAGCAATATTCTTTATAAGAAGCCAATAAGGCGGAATTTTGGTCTAGTATAATGAAATTTTAGATATCTAATAGCTTTTATTAAAATTTCAAAAATAGCTATAATAAAATGGAAACAAGCTTTATTTATCCCGAGATGGCAACGCAAGCAGCAAGAGTCGAAACTTTCAACAAGAATAGCTGGCCTCATAAAAGAACCTCTATGCTCCACCCAGTCAAGCTTGCTGAGGCAGGATTTTTCTTTGATCAAGCTCCTGATGGGAATGACCGATGTGTGTGCTTTTCATGCGGACTTTCTCTTGTAAACTGAGACCCAAACGACAATCCTTTTCAAGACCATTTAAAACACATTGAAAACAACGAAGCCGGAGATAAGTCTCACTGCACTTATATGGAACTATTAAAGCAATACAACCCTGGGATCCTAGGATTGAGCACTCAGAAAAAGCTTTACATGTCGATGGACGGACTTCCAGAAATTGAAGAAAGATATGATGCCCTTGAAATCCGCGAAAACTTCAATAAGAGACGAGATTTTTTGAAATCAATCCTTGTATCTACACTGTTAGAAGAAAGATTCAGAAGAAAAGCTTAAATGAATAATAAATTAGCATGAACATCCTTTAGACATCGAGTTTTTCTTGAATTCTTGCCCCACTTTAATTCCAAAGTGCTGGCAGGGGTCGATTTCTCCATTGTCAATCCTATTCACAATTTCTCTCCCCACAATCGTGAATGCTTCTTCAACATTCACGCCTGTTTTCGCAGATGTTTCAATATATTGTAATTGATTAGCTTCAGCGAACTCCAGGGCTTCCTCTCGAGTCACTGTCCTTTCACTATCTAAATCACATTTGTTAGCGACAAGTAAAATCACCATTTCAGGGTTTCCATTATTTCTGGTTTCTTCTAATCACTTGTGTAGACTTGCAAAACTGCTTCTTCTTGTCATATCAAATACAAGCAGAGCTCCTACTGCACCTCTGTAATATGCTCTTGTGATGCTTCTGAAGCTTTCTTGTCCAGCTGTGTCCCAAATTTGAAGATGAATTGCTTTGCCATTAACGAGAATTGCTTTTGCTCCGAACTCTACGCCGATGGTTAAATCGTGGTCTGATCGGAATCGTTTGTCAGTAAATTGAAGAAGCAGACAGCTTTTGCCTACAGCTGTGTCACCTATGATGATGTACTTGAATAAAAAGCTATAAGACATTTATAACTACTTAAGGGTTTATTTATACATTCTAAGGAGATTCAACCATAGTTGACTCATCTTCTAAAAATTTGAAATCCAACTCATGAAAAGTTGTAAGCCGTCTGGTCAAGCACAACTGGGACCCCGGGACCCCCCCACACCCCCCCCGACCCCCACATAGCATGCATAATTAAGACTATGAATATTTGCATAGCAAGTATACAAATGCAAATTCTAAGCCAAATCTATCATTAATTTTAAGAATAGAACTGTTACATATAAATATAGTTAGGGTATCTGATATCTTCATCGTTAAAAAAATAGTTGATAGATATAAATTTTCTTTAGTACCAAGCAGAATGTGTAAATATTTATTTAAGCATAGCTTCTGAATAAATGCTTTGAATTAGATAATTATTGACATTAGATAAGGTATTTAATATGAATGAAAGTTTTTTCTCTTATTTTTTTATTACAATTTTTTGCCTAAAAGTTAGAGAAAGATGCAAAGAAAGAAGTATATTTTATTTAAATTGAATATTAATCTTTAAAGATTTCATGCAATTAAAGTTAAGGTGGAGAGAAATTATATTAAACCGAAGTAAATGAATATTAATAATAATAAGGATTTTGACTAATGGCATATAAATGGTCAACACAAAAACAGAATAAGTATGAATCCGGAAGTAGGGCACAAGAGAATCCATCCAGAATCGCCAAAGAATTCAAAAAAGTATAAAAGCAGTAGAAAAGCGCTTTCCATAGAGTGCACTCCTTATGAAGTGCATGTGCAAAGCTATATAGCATTAAATTGATTTTATAAACAAAGGGTAGAATGTGTATCATGAATAAATTAAAAAAGATAAGCCTGCTCACATAATAATATTTCATCTAACGTATTAATTAAAGGAATATTATATGGAGACTATATGCGGAATTCATAAATTATTATATTTTTTATAATTTATTAAATGCTTTAACTTTTTTTTGATGCATATATTTTTTTTATAATTCTCACAATTCGCTATCTTTTTGCTAATATCCCAGTGACTGTATGTGGGGGGTCCCAGCTGTGTCGGACCAGCCGTCTACTCAGCCGATCACGATCTCTGGCTTTGTTGAGAAACTCATCAAGGTTTTCTTTTTCTTCAAAATTCGACGACGAAAAGTTGTTTGATTCAACTGAGCACAAGTGGTTCCTCTTGCCTAGCATTAGCTTTTCTTGAGCATTTTTAAGCTGCGAAGTATTAAACACTTTAGGTATACAAGCATCATCCACATAGTCGTCAATAATATGAATGCTTTTTGATGTCTGGAACGTAAAAAATGATGAAGTTCGCCTCAATTTCTGTTGGCATTCTTGAGTATTAACACAGAACTTATTAATTGTCCCATAAACTTGCTCTGATGTCAAAACTTGAGAATACTGCTGTTCTAGTTCTAAATCGATTTCAGTTTTAAAGTGTTCTCTTAAATATTTAATTGCGCTATCTGAGACACGTAGTTTCTTTTTACTTGCATATCTTAGCATCACTTTTCGATCTGTACAATGCTTAGTTTTGCTTTCAATGAAGCCTAAGACTTCAGTAAACTCATGGAGATTTAAAATTTGGTTTCTGGAGCCCCACATAAGGCCAAGGGCGACTTTAAATATAAAAGTATCTCCTTTGACAAAAAAATGATCTCAAATCCTTAATACAACTTTTTTTGGGAAGCTGAATCCAAACATGCAAATGAACCATTTCACTGTATAGATTGTGGCATCAATTTCTAAGTTTAGTAGGTGTTGAAAAAGTCTTGGCATCTTTTTCCGAAGAAGATAGTCGTAAACTCTTTGGTCTACCAATACTCCACTCATAATTGAAAAATAATCTACAGGTAAATAGGTTTCCACAATCTGTGCAAGAAGCCAAAAACATTCGTCTTCAGAAAATCCGATAGAAAGCAGCCTTCCTACAATATAATTCAGCCCTTGGCAGTACCCAACAGTAGGATTTCTTCAAGAGTAAGCAACTAAAATATTTTTCAGCGAAGCAATAGTTTCTTCTCTTGCAAAAAGTGACTCTTCTGGAAAAGTCCTTTTGAGATCCTTATCTATTTGTTTTGTATAAATAGTCACGATATCTTTTTTCGTGCTTACCAATCTAGCATAATAGATAGGGTTTTCTCTAAGTTGAAGTCCAGCTCCTGAAATTTCCATTCATAACTGTTTATTTCTTACAATCATTCTTTCGTCTTTTTTCGGGCCACTTAATAATAAATCAACAGCTTCTTGCCTAACACTTGCATTTATCCCACATTCTTGTATATGAGATATTAGTTGTGCACGATCCATTTAATTTAAAAAGATAGTCCATAAAAATATGTCTGGAGAGTACATCACCGCTATGCCTTTGCAGAAGAAGCCTTTTGTAAAAATCTCATATTATGACTACCTTATGTGGATCCAAGCAATTGATGCAGAAAAGCTGACCAAGTGGGAAATCCTGCGCTTCAAGATGATGCATGAAAGATATGCATTTGGGAGAACACTTCTTCAAGTGCCGGTCATTGGGCTTTCTTATCTCTGTGGACAACTTGTCATGGGTCCTGCGATCAGAAGAGGGGAAGCTGGATTGAGAGAAGCCATGGTCTTTTCAACTTTCTTCTATTTACTTATCCATCATTGGGTTGATAATCGCCAAGTACCAGATAAGTATCTAGACCAGATTCTCACTCAAAAATCTCCACAAGGCGACTATATCAGAGCTGCAACTCAAGAAGAATTCCCTGGTCTTTGGGAGGATTTCTGTGATCAGCTAGACGAAAAGGGAGATTAATAGTTTATCTAATGCCCTTATTTAAGGTCACATTGTTTAATTATTTAGAAAATGTCTTTACGGCTTGCAGAGAAGTGCAGATTTCTGTTCCAAGACTCAGCTTTGAGCGTCAACTTACCTCAAGTAGCCCCTATGCCTTCGAATAATAATTTTCTTGCTTATTATTATGCTGAAACGCTAGATAAAATTCTAGATTTTTCAATCAAAGACCAAGACTGCACTTGTCAAGCTTTGATTTTCCAAAGAATGATGGCACATACCTGCAAGCATGTATTACACAAGTATAAAAGAGTAATAGATGCTCAAAAAGAATGCTCTTTTTGCAATGAAAAGCCCACTAAGTAGCATTTTTTATAAGCCGAATTCAAATTTGGTTTGCTAAATAGCATAGCTTGCCAAATAATTTGGCAAATCTGCTAAGCCCTGGCTAATCGACATATGCTCCTAATGGACTATTTATTATAATCTAATATACAAATTTTTTGCAATAGATGGAAAAACTAATACTAGATATTGCGAAAAATACAGAGAATACCCAATTACTCAAGATATAACTGCACTTAAAAGAGAGGTCATTTTGAGGACCTCTATTGTATATAATGATGAAAAATTAGAAACATCTTTGAGGAATATTTTTAATGCTGTAATGGGGATATCTACTCTTTATCCGATGGCCCAATTCCAAGAAGATTTTGCGAGCAGCATTGACTTTTGAAACTGTGTGGTTGAGTATATGAAAAACCAAAAAGACTTATCCTTTTTTACCTTGTTTTGCCTTGCTGGAATAGCTTGAATTTAGGCATAGCAAAATAATGCCAAAAAAGTATAAAAAATAACACATAAAATTTGGAAACATATCGTTTTCCCTAGGACTATTACCTCACACAGACGTTTTTTAGCGCTATTTGGTCGAAAATTTTACTAGTTTGGCAAAAAAAATTTTTATCCAAATAGTCTGACGGTGAAAAGTCGAGCAAATGATGTCTGCTCATTAAAATTATGCCCAAAAGACGTGATGCGTAAAATTTCTTGATCGAATTGATTAATTAAACGAACTATAGCGTCTACTTATTAGCTGGTTCTTCCTCTTGAGCTTCCACTTCTTCTACAATCTCAGTGATTTTTCCAAGTCCAATTGTTTTGCCTTCGTCTCTTAATGTAAATCTTCCAAGCTGATTCATTTTAGAAAATGGCTCTACACATATTTCTTCTTCTGTTTTTACCCTACTCCTCTTCTGAAGTGAGCTAAATTGTCTAAAAAAATTTTATAAACTAATTTTTTGTAGATTTTAAAAATTAATCTTAAATTATAAAATGTATGTTTTTCGAATTCAAATTGTTGAATTCTATGGATTAGCTAGGGATATATTATAAAATTCTCATTTATATATCACAATTATTTTTATAAAAAATCTTTTCTTTATCATGAAGTGATTTTCTCCTTTAAAATAATGATTTTTAATAGTTTTGCCCACTAATGGAGGAGAAAGCTAATAAAACCCTTTGGTTAGATCTTCCAAACGATGCTTTTGTTTTCTTTTTTCTTTGCACATCAATCACAGCAGTAATTTCCATAATTTCACATTCTTCCACAGCTGTATGTGCATGCATGACACATTGGTACCCAGCTGACATGACTTGTTTTTCTTCTAGAAGATCTAGCAATTGGACATCAGCAGAAAATTCTTGTGTTGCATGGCAGACGTCGTGAACGTCACAAATGGTGAACCCTCGCTGTATTTCGACTTCTTCAGGCACTTTCAATTTAATTCTGACATTTTCACCAGCATTTGCATACATTAGCCGAGATTCTTCAGGTCCAACAATTTCAACGATTTCACCTTTAATTCTGATAGGCATGATGATTACTCTTAAGCCTTTAACGACCTGCCCACTTTCGACTTTTCCATAAATCATTATTCCTTGGTCTTTGCTACGATCAAGAATAGGGATTCTCAGTGGAGCTTCATTAGAGCGGACTGGGAGAGGAAGATTGTCTAAGATTTCGAAAAGGGTTGGACCATTATACCATGGAGCGACTTCTGGGCTGACTTTTTCTATGAGATTAATCCCAGAAATACCAGCTATAGGAATCCAGTGAACTTGGCTTAAATCATACTTACATTTTTCAGCCAAAAATGGGCTCATTTCTCTTTTAATTTGTTCGAAACGGTCTTGAGACCAATTAACTGAAGGATCATCCATTTTATTGACGATGACTACAAGAGTGTTGACTCCAAGCGATTTGGTTAGCATAGCGTGCTCTCGGGTCTGCCCACCTCTGTCAAAGCCTGTCTCAAATTCAGAGATTCTTGCAGAAATCACCAAAGCCGCATTAAATTGACTTATCTGCCATGTGTAAAGTCAGCCGAAGATTTTCACCTCTATCAGTTCATCTGTCCGTGAAGATCGCCTGGATGAGCGAATGAATCTCTTAAGGCTTTCTGACTTGATTCCAGGGCTTCCTGATTCTAAGGGCTTAGAAATTAGGCACAGTTCCAATATTGTGTTAGGACCTGCGGTCTTCAGCTTCCCTAATTAGAGAAGAGATGGACATAATCTTGGGGAAGATACCCGCTACGCCCTTCCAAATTTCTATCTTTACAATAAAATCTCATGTCCAAGGTATCATACCCTGTGGCACGAGAAAAGCTTTGAATTTATATATTAAGTATACCAGACTTGCATCCAACTTGGTTTCTCAACCTGAGCATCCTCTCCAAGTGTTGAGAAAATTGCACCAAGTGATCAGGTGGTCACCTCGCCATATAAATATATACCAAAGCCGCATAATCAGCTTGTGAAGCCCCACCAATCATATTAGGAACATACGCTTTATGCCCAGGAGCATCTAATATTGAAAATCTTTTGCTTGGAGTTTCGAAATAAGCCTTTCCGACCTCAACAGTTTTGCCTCTTTCTCTTTCCTCTTCATTTTGGTCCATAACATAAGCCAGCCACCAGGAATCTCTTCCAAGTTTTTTGGCTTCTTGCTCGTAGGTTTCAATGATTCTTTGGTCGATTTTTCCAGAATGAAGTAAAATGCCTCCACAAATAGTTGATTTTCCTGCGTCCACATGGCCAATAAATACAATGTTAACTGGCTCTTTAGTTTTATCAGGCTCAATCAGTGGCAGTTCTTCATTAGCTGCTGATTCTCTCAGCTTAGAGACTAATGCAGCTTTATCAATAGGTTTTTCAGTGATGCTTTTGATGACTGGTTTTCTAGCTTTTGGGGCCACCTTCATTTCTTCTTTTGGAGCTTCTTCTTGTTGTTCAGCATATGCATGAAAACGGCGGAGATGACCAACTGGCCTCTTGATGCAATTTTCTAAACACCTAGGCAATGACCTGAAAAAACCAAGTCGAAAACAGCACTACATCATTAATCTATTCTAGCAGAGGTTTTCTTATGTCACAGGGTAAAATAACTAGGCATAAGATTTTCCCTTCTGGCATGAAGTAAAAGAGCACTGCTGGCGATATCCCTGAGATTAGGTCCCATCCCTACTCGAATTTGAGAACTTGAAAACAGCGGGTGAAACGAGAGATTATGTCTCAGACCCTTATTCCTCCTCTTCTAGCCAACAAAACAATTGAAAAGTCCCACAACTCTTTGAGAAACAAAAATTTTTTTATGAAAAAATATTTTTATATATAAGTAATAATTATTATAACGAAATCTTTAGCTAGTTTATTTTAAACAACTTTGCATTTTAAAACATAAATTTTTCAAATTTAAGTTTAAGTTTAATGAAATTCTCTCGCACATTTCAGTGCCTTCTAATTCTTCTTTACTTGTGATTCATCTACGATAACAGCTCTGAACAACGGTAGGTGAACCGGCCTAACCATCGAACCGTTAAAGTTATCAAGCCCTTTCAGACTTCTCTAGTTAGTGCCAGCCTCAGCACTGACTACTTCTCTTCTAGCCGATACTCTCAAGAAGCTTGACTTCTCTCACTGAACTCGGTATAAGGGTCCGGTCTGGTGGATCAGGACTAGGGACCCATCTCTTAAATATTGTGATTTTACAAATTAAATTAATTTTTGCTTTCCAATTTTTTTGAATTGGGATTTTTTAAATATTAAAAGAAAATTTTACTATTAAATTTATATATTCATTAAAAAAATACCCTCAGCGAGTGAACAAAATGCTTTTGTTCTCTCTCAGAGGGGGAACGATCGAACGGATACTCCGAATCAAGTCAGACACGACACAGCCATAGGTGAGACAATAAGTGTCAGCCTGTTGCTCCTTATAAGAGCTTATGAGCTTACAGAGGTGGAAATCCTTGGCCAAATTCAAACATCACATCAATTTAATTAATTAATTTTTGTTGTTCCGAGGCCTGTCTGACTTCTTCGCCTACATTGATACTTTTGAATCCAAGTTTTGGACCAGTTCCAGATTTAGGCTTAGATGACTGATTCTTCTCAAAGTCACTGAAGCTGATCGTTTTTTCTTCAGGCTCTTCTGGCTCTTCTGGCTGCTGGTTTTCTTGAAAATAAAAGCCTTGCTGCATTCCGTAAGGATATTGTTGAGGATATCCACCATATGCATAATTATATTGGGCAAATTCTTGGTTATATTGATAATAATTAGATTGATAAGTTTGAGCTGGGATTTCGGGCGGTGTGGTGCCAAAACTAGGAACAAACTCGCTTGCATTGAAATTGAATTCAAATGAAGCAGCATTCGCATTCAAACCTGATTGTTGTGGAGGAGCCTGCTCTTCAGGATTTGACATTTTTATCCACTATAAGAAATATGAACTAAATATTTTAATATGGGATTAGTTATGCTTATTTATTCGATCATTTTGGGTTTTATTTTAATTTGAATTAAATTAATTTAATTAACGATTTACTCTTTTTTAATTATTTTAAACAATAAAGTAGTTATTAAGCATTAATGTAATTTAAGCTGGATTTAACTTAACTAAATAAATAAACTATTTTAGCAAATAAATATGAAGTTAAATTCTTTTATGAGTAATGCATTTTATTAAATTATTTTAGTTTTATTGATAATCTTATTATTCATGGTTTTAATCTCCATGAAAATAATACTTGAGTTATAATGGTAAATTATTTTTATAAAAAAACCAATTAACAGAAATTTAAAAGTAAATATAAAGTAGCACTTTTTGGGATTTAAAATTTATTACAATTACCAAACTATGCTTGATCTAAACACAATACTAATAAAGTTCGATATAAACATCTGACCAAAAACTGCATACTGCCCAAATAAAACTGTTGCAACAATAGACGAGAATTTGGATAAAATAAATCATAGTTTATTTATAAACGCTATTGAAATGTTCTTCCTTGCAACTATAAAACCCATCACTATAGCTAGTAGCATAATTATTTTTCTGACATGAAACATATTTTTTCTGCGGTTCTGAGCTAAAAAGTTAATATCATTGATTTTATTTTTCGAAGATCCAGTTGGGTTAATAACTGACAATAATTCATCAAGCAACTTGTTTAATTTATATCCAGATTTTGGAATAAGCGATCTGCATATAGGACACTTCATTCTATAAAAGCGGTGCTTTAACAGCTTTTGCATGCATTCAATGCAAAAATTATGCCCGCATGGAGTTGAAGCTGGTAAATGAAACGTTTCTAAGCATATTGGACATTCTGTTGCTTCTTCGAAAATTAGCTTGTTTTCCATAATTAGTTTTATTTATTACTGGAGATCAAGATTGACCATTTCTTTGAAACAATTTTGAAATTTTTTAGTTATACTTGCCTTTCTCCACTGAGTGGAAAGATTACAGTTATTAACTTTAAATATATGAAGTAATATAGATGTATTGATTGAAATTATTTAATTTGGCAATAAATGTTTATATTTATTTTTGCAATTTCTATATTAAATGTTAGAAAGCTATTCATTTGGGAATATCGAAAGCGACTTTTTATTAGTGGACAATGTGACAGATAAAATATGCAATTCATGCTCACATGCTCTTATATCAACTCCAGCCATTATTCAAGCATCAAAATCTGGCTTTTCATTTCTACATCTTCAGTGCTACAATCCAATTAATTCAACATATATATTTGATTATAACTATTTGTCCACTCTTTCAAATGACTCAGATATCTCAACATTCAATCAATGATTAAACAATATAAATAGGCAACATCCTATCTTAAACAAGCCACAAAAACTAGATATTAGAGTAGAAACCAAGTTGTCAAGAACTCTTAAAGAAATTTATAAATATTTCACAATAGAAGAACTTATGATATTGAGAAGAGTATCAAAAGAATGATACACAATATTTTTATCAAAAGAAATTTGGTTATATTTGCTTAGAAGAGACTACTTTATGGATACTGGACAAATTATTGATCCGTTTGAGGTTTATTTTGGGAATTTATTAAATCATTGCTATTTTTGTCATAAATCTTCTTATTCTAGTGCTCTATGCCCTCTGCTATTGAGAAAAATATGCAAAAAATGCCAATGCCATGCAGATGATCCCTATCATAAATGCGGCTTGATAAATAAAAATAATGCAAAATTTTGATACAAAATAAATGACAAGTGATTGCAAGACAATAAAATAAGGTTCTGAAAAATAGCAAGCGGAGAAGAAATTACTTATAATTGGCTGATTCAGAGAAAGATTAATGTAGGCAAAAAGGAATAAGAAGTATAAATTTAAATAAGTGCTAAAATTTATTATAAAATATATAGTTATTCTTTAATTTTTCTAAATAATTGTTGCGAATTAGTTTAGAACTTTCTTGGAATATAATTCTAGATTAATGTTAATTTACTATAATCAATATTAAGATAATTTTGTTTCATAATTTTTAAAGATGTAATTTAATGAAAATGAGAAATTATAATAAAAAATTTTAAAAATCCATTTATAAAGAAGCATGAATTGATAAATATAAATAAATAGTTCAAAAAAGATTGAATAGATTCATTTTTATATAAATAACTATGGGTTTTAATAGATGAGTATTATTTTAAACATGTGCAGATTAAGAGATATTGGGCTTTAGCATTAGAACCTATTAGATGAGTATAAACTAATTGGAAATATATGATAATATTAACTCGACTTAAGGAAGTGTATAGATTACAAAGAATGCGGAAATATGACCCAAAAAATAAAATCTCTCAATAATTGTTGAAAAAAATATTGTTATTCTAATTCTTTTATCTGTCTCGCAAAGCATGCTTCCTAAATTCCCTCATTTAATTTGTATTTAATTTTCTAGTAAATAAAACGAACTATAAGGAATTTTCTTATTTTAAATTTTTATTTATATTTTGATCATAATTTCAAATAATATTAATTGTTGCAATAAATATTATTTTTAAAAATTCAATTTTGATAGTTATCATAGGAAGTAAAAGAAAATGTTTAATGGTTAATTATTATCCACTCAAGCTTTTACTGTATCATACAAAATAGCAATTGCACCAATTTCAATATAAGTAATAATAAAATGAAAATTCCTGAAGAAAGGATAGGCTCTATTGATCAAGAGCATGAATTCTTACGAGACAATGATTTTATCCATAAGGGCTACCGTTTATACTTCAGATCTCCCAAAAGAATCCTAAAAAGCTTATTCATGATACATAATGAATCAGTCAATGTATGGACGCATTTAATTGGAGTCATATACCAAAACACCTTTATGGTTTGGGCTTCCTGATCTTTTCCAAAGGAAAAGAGGAGAGTTGATCGAGCCAACTAATGTTGGTTTGGCCAACTCTCCAAGTGACAGAACCACATGAAGCAAGGCTTCTTCCATTTGGGGAGATGCCAAACCAATATTACTTGATTAGACTAGCTCTCCTCCTTCCCTCCAGGAAAGATCGGGAAGCCAAGCCATAAAGGTGCTCATGCTCTATTGTTCATTATGTTCATTTATTACACTGTCACGTGGTTTGGCATTAGCTCCAGCATCACTAACCCTCATATAATTGAAGATCTCAAGTCAACCATACTCAGCAGCTATCAAGTCAGCGTTTCCACAATCCACGAAATCGGTTCTATTGCTTATAAATATGAACAGAGTTTTCAAGATAAGCTTATAGATTTGCTTCATGAAGCTCATTCTTATGGAGAAAGACTTGAGCATAAAATCACTGATATCTACGCAGATTTGCAAGCTTTAAACGGGACTGAAAAATTCTATCCTTTAAAAGAAAAACTAGCGAGATTGGTTAAAGTGATTGATAGTAAAGAGCTAGATTGGATTGATATTTATAACCCTTATCCGGAGTATGCAATTAGGCATCATTTATCAAGATGGCCTGTTGTGATATTTTTAGTAAGTGCTATTATGTGCTTGGGGTGCTCTACTATTTTTCACTTATGGAAAGACTATTCGCATGAAGCGTGTCGCACTTTGGCGAGGCTGGACTATGCGGGGATATCATTTTTAATTGCTGGTTCGTTTTATCCAGCTATTTACTATCCTTTTTATTGCCATGAAAGTAACGTTTATTTAGAATATATCATTATGTATTTGACAGGAATGACTATTGCAAGCTTAATTGTTTTTGCTGTATCAATGATATGCATTTAAAATGGTGTGGTGAGTCGACACACACTCTTAACACCTGCAGCTGGCCGCCCAAGGACTTTATGGAAAGGAGAATAGTATCAGAAGATGTGTATCCGCAGGTTTTTACCTTCTGGTGATGCACAAGGTTATCCCTCCCATGCTCAGAAAGGTTTTTTCTTTCTAAGAGATGGAGCTTGGAGTTGAGAAAAGCCCAGCACTGCCCATCTTGTCTATCAAGAAAATTAGAATTTTCGAATTTCCTGAAATGCACTAGCATTGGCATGAGCATGGCAGCAAAGCTCTCTGACTTCCTAAGACCCTTTTAGGAAGGAGCAGCACAAGGCAAAGCCTTTTACTAAGCGGGTAGAGCATAACGGTAGACAATTAATAAAATTAAGGCTTGCAAAAGAACTTATGCTGTATCAAATGATGCCAAAATTCCAAAAAGCAGAGTTACGATGGTTTCGAGGAACAATCTTTTTGGTGCTTGGACTACTTGGAGTTATCCCTGCAGTACATTTGGTTTACTTGTAAGCGCTATTTAGTGAAGAATCTCACTACTTTTTGACAGCTTTCGCTTGCTATCTAATGATGGCTGCAAGCTACATTGTAGGTGTGCTGATTTATATTGCAAGAGTGCCAGAAAGACTTTACCCAGGAAAATTTGATAACTTTGGGAACTCGCATAATATTTGGCATTGTTTTGTAGTAGCAGCTGCAATTTGGCATTATATAGGGTCACTTCAAGCATATCATATTAGAGCTAACATGCAAATGTGCCCTAGTTAAGATAACATTTCATTCTTAATCAATTAATGGTTTCATTTTTTAAAGTCTATAAACGTATTAAAAATGAATAAATATACTGACAGATCAAGACCTCAAACTGCTTATTCTGTAGCGAAAAGATCCCATGCTAGTCTGGCTGAGCCCTTGTCAACTCGCTGCGCGACAGCTTCTTCGCTTATAAGACCCAAACTTCTTATAGGAAATTTAATCAGTACAATTGATAAGCCTTCGGTTACCAATAGGCATAATTTACTGCATGAAAATCTCTCAGGAAATTTTGACGAGATTGACCATGCCAACCCAGATGACTCTCAGTATGAAATGGACCTTTATTTCCCTCAAAAACCTCCTAGAAGCAGTATTAGTGGATTAACACTGATAGAAAATGAAAAATTAGCAAAAAAATCTTTTTCAATTAGTTATGCTCCTAATTCAACTCGTGAAGAAACTTTAAAAGCAGACCTAAGTCATAAGAAATTGCCTACAAACCAAGATTTCACAAAAATGCTGAATAGGCTGGAAATGGTGATTTCTAATAAAAGCTTGGGAAATCGAAGAATTGAGCTGACAGAAGGAGAGGCTGTAGATGATTATTTGGAAATTGCTGATGGGCATTACTATCGTGTAATTACAAAGGGTAAGAAATGCCCTATGAGAGTTATGCTAAAAGTTTTAAAAGGAAAAGTCATAACATATGTGTCAAGAACTACAATTATGCCGAATGAAGCAACACATGACCAAGTTTCGAAGTCATACACTTTTGAAGTTTCTGATCCTGGCTTAAAATTCAAAGCAGAAACAATAAGCTTACTCATGAAGGGTTAATTTTGTTTTGTGAAATTAAAACAATCCTGGGACAATATTTTAAAACAAATATTAGTTTAATTTATGTTTTAAAATGCAGGATATTTAAAATTAAACAGAATTAGCTAGAGATTTCATTTTAATAATTATGACCTAAATATCAAATATTTTTTAATATAAGGAGAGTTAGGAATTTTTGCCATTGCAGATTCAAATTATTCAATTAGAATCCATTTCGGAAGGGAAAAAGAGCATCATTCAAGCCACAACAAAAGCGAGCCAAGAGAAAATAGAGATTACTATCAAAATGACGTAGCCAGAGAAATGGAAAAAGATTTAACTAAATATCGAGCAAAATACACACAAAAAAGAAACCTAAAATTAGTGACAGAACTCTCAGAAAAATCTTTAACATGAGAAATAAGGCACCAGCAAACAGTCGAAAGAAAAAAGCAAATTTTATTGGAGAAGAAAAAAAGAGCAGAAATGATGATTATCAGGAATGAAATTAAAAGAGAAGAAGAAAGAAAAAAGAGAGAATTCGAAGAAGCTAAAACTGTTTTGCAAGCACAGCAGAGGGTGTGGATCATTTTAATCAAATTTGCACAGGCTTATGAAATTATGAATGAAAGAAGGTGCAATGAAAAAAGCAAGACTCTTATGAAGCTAAAAGAAAATGGCTCTGCTAGGAAGCTGCAGCTGTTTTACAAAAAAAAGCAAAGCGATATGACTGCTTATGATGTTAATTTATTGAGAGCAGGACCTTTATTGAAACTGTATTGTAGCAGTATAAAAATGATAATGGAAAAAACAGTCAAGAAAAAGATTTTAAGCTTGATAAGAATGAGTGCCAGAATGAGAGAAATTCCGACCCATTTCGAAGACTATTATTCCTGTGCTGAAAAGATTCAAAAAGCTTGGGCAGAGTACGTAAAAAAGAAAAATGAAAGGTGGAGCTCTCTAATAGAGCTCTGAAACCAAACAATACCAACCTATATTAGTCCAAGGCCCAAACCTAAATCAGGAAAAGGCAAATCTCGATCACCATCAAAAATCATGCCAAATATCCCAGACTTTCAAAGGGACAGAATTTTAACTGAATATATAAGAGAATGCAAAAGAAAATATATCAACGACCTCAATACTTTTTATGAAAGCAAAGGACATTTGCTTAACACAGCTGCAGGAGCATTACAAGGATCTCAAGAAAATCCTAAAAAGATTAAAATAGAATACCCTCCTAATTTTGTATTTAACCCGACCTCTGCAGATATCATGAAATTAATTGAGAAATTCATAAAATCACAAACAAATTAAATTTTATTATAAGAAATTAAATAGTCTCCATTTTTAAGAGAAAATATTAGATGGTTCAATGGTCTGCTCTTAACTTCCAAGCTCTTGAAGAAGCAGAAAAGAAGCTGATTTCTTTGTCAGGAGTCAATATTACCACACAGAGGATATAGAAATTTCCCATAGATGGCGCTGTTTGCCCTTGATTTGCCCACTGGGGAAATTTTTTGGTTCGACCAGTACCATATGGTTTGGTCAAACCAAAAAAATTTCCTCATGGGCAAATCAAGGGTAAGCAACGCCATCTATGGGAAATTTCTATACCTATTAATGAATATCATTCAATTTATTGCCTTATGGCCGGTGAATCATCTAATCCACCATTAGTTCTCCTTCATGGCTATCTTGGAATGGGGATGATGTTTTTCAAAATCTTAAGGCATTTGGCCCTTCATTATCGAGTTTACTGCTTAGACCTTCTTGGAATGGGAAGATCAAGCAGGCCAAACTTCACAGCTAAAGGTCACAAAGAAAGTGAAGAATTTTTTACAAAACCATTAGAAGTATGCAGGCAATATTTAGGCCTAGAAAAAATGATACTATGTGGACATTCTTTTGGAGGCTATATTGCTGGATGCTATACAGAAGAGCACCCTGATAGGGTTGAAAAATTAATTTTGATATCTCCTGCTGGAGTTTCTAAAGTTAAAGAAAATGAACCTGTTAAAAAACTTACTCTCCTCTCAGTGAGTACAAAACAATTTTATTCGCTCATAACTTTTTTTCAAAATTTAAATAAATTATAAAATTTATTTTTTTAAAGTGCAGTTTGTTAAAATTAAACAGAAATAGCTAGAGATTTCATTATACTAATAATCATTTATATATCAAAATGTTTTTTCATAAAAAATTTGTATAAATAAATTTTTATTTGCTTACTGAGGGTGTTTTACCCAAAAAATAAGGATTTTTCCAATGGTTTTGTTCGCTCACGGAGAGAGAGTTAGCTTCTTCCAAAATCTACTTCATAAATTTTCTCATTATTTATGAAGGAAAAATATAACTCCTGCAACAATTTTAAGAAAAATAGGTCCATTTGGAAAGAAGTTTGTAAATCATTATTTGACTGGGTCTTTCAGAGGATGGAAAGAAGAAGAGCTAGCGTTAGTGAAGATTTATTTTCAGCAGGTAAATTTATGCCCTGGAAGTGGAGAGCATGCATTGCCAGAAATTTTGAGAGAATTTCAATATGCCTATTCGCCACTATGCGATAGATTGAAAAATGTCCCAATTCTTTTCCTTTATGGAGACACAGACTGGATGAAAATAGATGGAGCACATCAAAACAAAGAAATAAACTCACAAAATGTTGTTATTGAAATTGTTTCTAATGCAGGGCATCAACTTTATTTTGATAATCCAAAAGAAACTGCTGAAAAAATATTCTCTGGGCTTGCAAAATTGGATGAAGTACAAACAGCTTAGGAAGTGAGAAATTCTTAATTTAATAATTAATTCTCTTATGGCTTCAAAATTCTTGGGATTTTTGTTAAAATAATATTAATTTTTTAAAATCTTTATAGAATATTTAAATAATTTCTTCTTATTAAACTAGTTTTTTGAATTAAACTAATTAATCCAAATATAATGGGTAATAATTGTTCATGCTTAAAATCTAAGTCAGATGATGAGTATCAACTTCACGTAATCGAAGAGGAAAGGCCAGAATCAAAAGGTATAACTTAAGTAGCTCCTCCGCTTTTATCTAAGCAAACTTTCAAGCATTCAGACATTATAAAAATTCAAGGAATATTAAGAGGCTTCCTTGATAGAAGGAAAGCTCAGTATATGAACTATACTGGTAAATCCGAAGCGAAAACTTCCAGCGCTATCTACTTAGTTACTCGGGCATCGACTCATAAGTCAATGAGATCTGGAGAAAATACTCCAAATACCTCTTTTTGCGGAGACGATCGTTAAAATGACTAACTAAATCTATTTTATATCAAAATTATTTTAGCTCCCTTAAAACCTTATTTGGGTTCGTATTTGGATGAATTACAATATAAGGCTGAATTTCTTTCTTTTTTCTTTTAGTATCATCCACCTGTGCATTAACTTTTGAAATGAGAGCCTCGCAACTAACTGCTTCTTCATCCTCATTCCTAGTATGCTCATTTTCATGCTGCCTTTTAAGCGCCTCCAATGCTTTTTTGACAGGTCTTTCAGGAATTATCATTGCTAGTGCTTTATCTCGGTCTACTTGTTTTACCTCGACTTTGCCCTTAATATTGCTTTCTCTGACATACACTTTATTTCCCATTGAGTTGTATTCCCACACACCAGGAGGCAGCGCAATATCTCTATTTTCACTAGTTCTCACAAGTCCAGGGCATTCTTTGTGGACATAATCAGGCTGTGCTTTGATTTTTGATGGTTTTTGAATTGAAGGCAGCCTTTCAATAGCGTCTTGGGTTTCTGCCAATTCTCTTCATCTTCTTTTTCTTGCGACACAATTAAAATGGCGAGCCATCCGACCCGTCCTTCTCCCGTACCCTCTTGGAATACGGGTCTAAGAAGTAAACGGGGCCTGGATATTGTGTCCAGGGTGGGTTTTTTACCTTGGTCGGGACACCACGACAAGGTTTTTTGCCTCTCACAAAGACGAGAAGACCAGAGCCGCAGAATCAGGAGTCACACTTCAGGACTAGAAGGAAGGAGGAAGCTTGTAGTGGAGCTTGGGGACCTGAAGAAGACTCCGAAGGCTACTTTTCCCCCTCCCCAGAAAGGACGGCGCCGGGTCACTAGACCCTGATCAAAGGAGTACCTGGGTGAGTCTCCCTGTCAGATGGCGACGTCACCATTTTTTGGTGACGTCGACAGAAAATGGAGTGAGCAACAGAGCCGGTGCATAGGGCGCAAGCCTGAAGCTGGCAGCGCTGGGTAGAGGCTGAAATAAACCTCCGTGACCCGCTCAAACTAATTAATCTAATCTAATCTTTTTTCTTGCAGATTTTACGCTGTCTGAAAAAAGAGCCTGCATTTCATAGCGAAAAACCAAAAAATCTTCAAGTCTTTCATCAGAAACTTCTAAAGCAGGCTCCATATAAGCGTTTCTTAAAACTGATTTTAGATCTGTATATCTCGGCAAAAATTGGCTTCTCAGCAAAGGCATTTTGACTAGGACTTCATTGAATTCTTGAAAAGTAACGAGCCCGTCTTCTTTCATGCACCGAGATTCAAGCTGCCCTACGCTTTTCATAGCCCAATCATATTTTCTGATTGCTTTTTCCCTACTCAGTTCTTCTTGAAGAATTCGACTGTCCAGCTTTATATCAGAATTTTCTTTGGCAAAAACTCTTTCAATACCTTCAATCATCCTAAAGATTTCGTCTGGGGATATAACTCTTTCCCTTGATAGCCCGATAACGGGATGAAGCCAGCCGTTATCGGGCTATTCAAGGGAAAGTGTTATAAACATCCATCTTCATCTACATCAGTTAAATCAAATACCAGCTCAAGCTTTTTCTCATACGTCATTCTTGATAGTAAAGTTAATGCTAGTATAATATCATGCAATTCTATTTTGTTATCTAAAACTTCAGTCTGGCCTTTTTCTGTGTAACGTCTTATCCCAAATCCTAAATGATGATTACTTCTGAATAAAAGGCTGGGAATGTTGTCATTTAAGAGCTTAAAATGCTTTTTCACCAATGTGATAAAGGTGTCTTTGGCGATTTTCCCATTTTTGGAGTTTGAGCCTTCTCTGAACTTCCTCCAAAGCTCTTTAATTTTTTCTGAATCAGAGACTGCTTAGAATTTACTCATTTTTTGGAAATGGCTGAGTTCTTGATCTGAAATCACAGTAAAGTCAGATGTTGATGGAGATTTCATAGTTGAGGTATTGCTAAAATTTCGTGCTACATTTGGTCTATCCATTTATGATATTAATTATAATTATCTTCTCTATTTAGCTCTCAAATATATAATAAAAAATTCTTTATGAATTTGTATTTATATATTAAGAATTATTAGAAATTGATAATTGAATATATCAATAATGCATACTATATGCAAATAAACTCAAATGGCTGAATCAAATTAGCTGTCTTTGAGATACACTTCATTGGATTTCTCCATAATAGTATAAGAGATAGCTTCAATTTGACGCTTAAAAATATTTAGTCTTTGCGGAACTTGCTTTGAGCTATAAATTATAATATGATAAATTTCTTATTTTAAGTGCTGTGATCTAACAAATAATAATTTAAAGCATTATTTTTCTTAAAGCAGGTTAATTTTCAATTAGGATTATTATATAACAATCTGCTATAAACTGAATTATTTACCTTTTCTTGACATTTAGAACACATATTAATTAGCACGAATCAATTTTCTTTAAAATCGAAGAAACACGCTTGTCAATTCCTGAGTGCTCAATAGAGTTATCTAGCTTCACCCAGCTCATTTCGTCTATTTGATTTACCGAACTTCCCGGGCCACTCAAGGTTTCTGTCGACTCAACTGACTCTCTTAAATCAGGCATCCTATCAGTATCTATATCAGATGGGTTTTGTTGCATAACCATCTGTAACAGCTGCTGCTTTACGTCTTTCCTGATGAATTCTAATTTCTTTTGGTGTGCCGTTTGATATTCCTGTATATCTTTCATAGCAGCTGACAACTCCCCTCTTGGATTTAAGCAGCTTTTCGTCCTAAAATGTTTTTGTGAGTCAGAAGAATCCTCACAAGACTTTTCCCCAAGCGGATATAGTGTAGCTGGCTGTTTGGGGTTGTGGAAGCTTGAGTTCTCACTTGATGAAGAGTTTAATGAAGGGTTTCCTGGGGTAGGTTTTAATGGTGGCTTTGAGTTTTGGTTTTTTAGAAATTCCAGAGTTTTTTGTTTAAATTCGTCAAATGGGACGACGAAGTTGTGCTGAACGGCTTCATAGCTCGAGGAAGAATTCATTGAAGAAGAGCTTTGCTCTTTGCCAACTCCTTGGGAGATGAGAAATCTTCCAGGCTCGTCTTCAAGAAACTCTTTTTTGATATGTGGAATTGCTGAAGGAACTCGCTTGTGTTTATTCATTTATTATAAAAAATGAAAAGGGCGATTTCAGTTTTTAGTGTCTAGTATGGGCTTTAATTGAGTTGCTTTGTGAGTGGAAATTATTATTTTTAATAAAATTGCCTAAAGAAAACAGAAGCAAAATTCTCCAGAGTTATTTATATAAAAAAGGTAGATTATCTCCATATGAAATTCCCAACGATTTGATTCTTTAAAAAAAAATTATTTTAAAATTGTTATTTAATCGGTTTTGGTCTATCTCTCCTCCTTAGTTAAAGACCAATAATCCTATTTTTAGGAAATATTTATTTCTCTTCATTAGTGACCAAAAAATTTTTAATATAGATTTTTTTATATACATAATTTTTATATAATTCATGATTAGAATCAGTCTCCAAAATTTTCGACAGCTTATGTCCTAAAACATAAGTTTCTTTACTAAGTTGCATCTTTCCTTTAACTGAATTTTTTTAAAATAAAATTGCATTCACTCAATTAACAAGAAAACACCTATTAACCAAGAAGGAGTAAACAAACTCATAAGATGATTAAAAAAAATCGCTCCAAAGTCTTTATCTGCTGAATTTGAATTTGCTATCATATGCCTTGTTTTATTTTCAAAAACCCAATCTAGTATACTGTGGAGCTTTCCTCTAAATACTTGTCCAGGCTCTGGAAGCAAATCTTTGAGTAGTTTAGCCGCAATTAAATTGCAGCGTTGGTTTATATAGTTAATTTTCCCGATAGATATAATAAATTTTGTTTTGAAAAATTCAATAAACATCTTTACAATTTTTGGTGGTACTAAGTCTTCCTCAAACTTTAAATCTAGAACGACATGATTGTGAGGAGATCCTTCGTCGTCTGGCTTCTTTACCATCTTGATATCCGTGACTGTGAAATTTGGAAATTTTTCTTTTAACTTAGCTATTTTTTCACGGGAGTCGATTTCCATCATAAAATAGTCGTCTTCGCTTACCTCATGAATCGCTGGCATTTGTGAATTGGCTACTTGAACTGAAGATTTGCCTGAACAAATGCCCATTAAATTAAATATTTAAGGTTATATAGAATCGAAAGATATTGCTACAATTTTTCGGGAATAATTTAGTTATTTAAATCATTATTTTATGCTTTCCTTATGAGCTTTTGTGCCTATGTGATTTTTTAATGATTTTTTCGCTATTGTTTTGTCGCAAGAAATACAGTGAAGTTTTGCAGGATCGTCAGTTTTTATATCATTTCTAAAAAATTTGCTCAAAATATCTTATATTATAATATTATTTTTAATTACTAATAAATAGACAATTCATAGGTAGAGATTATAATAGCTTGCTTCCATCATCAGCAACTACCATTACATCATCTTCATTATCATGTTTTATTTCTTCATCAACTTTCTTCTTTTCTTCCACAATTTTTGGCTCTTCCTTTTGAACTGTTTTCTTTTCTTCCACTTTTGGAGTATCTGTCGGCTTTTGAACTACTACCGTCTTTGGCTCGACCTTTACTTCTTCTGTATTTAATTTTTGAGGCTCTTTTGCAGGTGAATGGCTTTTTCCATTTGACTCAGTTTTAATTTCTTCATGAACTGGTGCTGGCTTATTTATAGGTTTTCCAAAAGGCAAAACAGCGACTCCTGAGCCTGCTTGAGATTTTGATGACGGTAACTTTATCACTTGTCCAGATGGTGGAGATCTAGATCTTGAGCGCCTTGCTGCTCTATTAGAATTGAGCACGATCACTTCATCATGCTTCGATAAGTGGATTTTTTTGCCTCCTAATTCTTTTCCGTCAAATTCTTTAATTGCTCTTTGTACTTGAACGATATCAAGAAAATCTAAAAATGCCCAATGATTTTCGTCTTGGTTGTGAAGCTCGACACTACGAACTCCAATTCTTCGGAATTCATTTTTGAGCATGTCTGCTGTGATATCTTGAGCAAGGTTTTCAACCTTAACTTTCATATTTTATTTATTATGTAGGCTTGTGATTGTAAGAGCTTTGTTTATCGTTTATTAAGACCCCTTTTAACATTTTGTTGAATTGTAAGGAATTTAGAGAGCTTAATGATTAAAAGAATAAAATATTTAAGGTTTTTGGGACTTATATGATAATTACAGTTGCTTTATAAATTATTTAGATAATTATAGCCATAGTTTTATATTTGAAATGACAAAGAGCTTTAGCTGACCTTTAAAGAGGGTCGTTTAGGATTGAAGAAGACTTCTGGTTCTTTGGAAAGAATTATATCATTAGCTCAAACTATGAATTTTGCGAATCTGAAAAATATAAATGGCCACACTTCACTAATTCTATATTAATTTTACTAGCAAACTATTAATTTATTGGTTCGCAGCTTTTGCCGCTCCCATCATCATTGTACCATAATCAGCCATCCCTTTTCTTCTTTCTGGCGATAAGCTGCCATCTCTATATGCACTACTATTTATCACATATCCCAAAATTGGGTTATTTGTTAAAACTTTTTTTATTGCAGATGTGGAACAATAAGCGAAAGCATACAAATCTAAGGGCCGGAAAGAAGTAGGATATCCAAATCCTGGGATTTGGAAAGGATGTCTCTTTGTATATTTCAGCTGGCTATTTGGGAAATAAGTTGAAGTATCGAAGCTTAAGTTATTAATGTTTCTTCCATCAAAAGATGCATATCTTTGTACCTCAGAGTATGAGCGTGGAGAAGTTTGTCCAATTTCATCACTTTGTGACTTTGGAGATATTCTTCCAGCATACTCATTACTTATTTCTTGCTTTGTAGGCTTTGGTCTATGCCGAGTATTAGAGTTGATTTTTGGGGATTGAGACCTTGTAACTGATAAAGCGTTTCCAAGCATAGGCTTATTAAGAACTTGCGACTCTTTTTTTATTTCTATTTGTTTTCTTAGTTTAAATATTTGCTCATCTTTTTTCTTTAATTCTTCTTGAAGCCTTTTAGTTTCAAGAATTGAAGTGTCTCGAATTTCGAGTTTTCTAGGAGGAGAAAGGCTGCTTTCTTGTGAGTGAGAAAGGGCAAACTCTGGAGAGTTGAGATTTTTATGGTTGTCAAATCGCTTAAGGCCTCTTTTTTTCTTGCCTGGGATGTCTTCAAGCTGTGGGTGGAGAACTTCGAATCTCATTTTTATGAGAATTTAATTGTTGCTACATGAATAATAAAGGGCTAATTTTAATTAAAAATATTGTTAAATTAATTGAGTTTTAGTTCTCTAATAGCTGAGCAATTGAAGTATTTTTTGTAAATAAACTAAATAAATTTTCTAATATAAATAAATGGGAGGAGTGAATCATATTCTTGGCTGGTATTATGGAAAGCTGAGTTGGAATCGCATGTGGTGTCACTCGATAAATCTTACAACAAAGTTCGCTGCTGGCCCACGTAGAAATCTTTTGCAAGCTTCAGGGAAGACAGGCTTTAAGATCCGTGAATTCAGAAATGGAAAAGAAATTAGTAGAAGTGAGGTGACAACACTTAGTAAAGCTCTACCACCTATTGAGATTGATAAGGACATTAGCATGTAAGGTAATACCTTATTAAAATAAAAGATTTATTCTTGAATAATTATTTTTTCGTCATTCGAATAGCGAAACTCTTAGAATTATCAATCTATGCAAGTTTTAAGATAGATATTTAGTGCTTATTTAAGAGAAAAATAAAAGTATAATAATTATTTATTATGCTTAAATTAAATAAAACCTTTTCTGCATTTAAAGCCTGATTCTAACTCTCCTCCGTAAGCTAGCAAAACATTAGAAACATTTTAGAACCCTGTAACCAAAACAAAAACTGCTTTCATAGAGATAAATAGGAATATTATTATAATGAAATCTCTATCTAATTTTATTAGCTTTCAAAATATAAATTAAATAAATTCTACTTCGAATATTAATTTAAAAAAAAATTTAAAAAATTATCCCTTAGTGAGCAAAATATTTTTCTCAGTTACAAAGAGGAGTAAAATGCAGCTTAATTTATAGAAAAAAATAATTTATTGCACATATTTAGGCCAGTGAATTCATTATGCATAATATTACAAATCCCAAACTATTCTGCTTCATAATTTTAAATTATTTATTCAAAAATGCAAACCCCAGTTAGAAAAATTTCCTTATCAAGAGACCCTACCCCTAAAAGAAGACCTTCTCCATCTCCAGTAGAAGTTCATTCTCTACTTTCAGACATTAGAATACAACAGCATCAAGCATACGAGTTAAAAGATCGAATAAGTTCATTAGAAAATAGGCTCAATTCATCATACGTTAAATCTCCAAAAAAATACCAGCCTTCTCAATCTGAAAATCAAAGCATTCAAAATGCAAAGCCAAGATTCGTAACTCCTCAGCCAAGACTTATTCAGCCTGTAAAGCCTGAGCCTATTTCAATTGATAATCAAAGGCTGAATCTTGATTTAAATAACGTTTTCTCCCCACTCAACACTAAAGCCAGATTGCAAGGTCATCTCTGGCAGAAACCATGGTCGAAAAGAGATGAATCTTCTTTATAAGAGATCTCGGTGACTGCGATAAAACTAGGCTAGCGCCATTTGCTAATTTAAGTTTAAGATTTAAATAACGTTTGCAAAAGTAACATTACTTGGCTTTCTAATAAAGAGCAAATAGATTTCAGAAAAGTTTTGACTGAGAGAAGAAATTCAGTTATGGAAAATGAAGAAAAATCTAAAATAAACTCTGTCAGAGCTTTCACCCCGCTAAGACAAATGAATGAAAAAAGCATTGAAGATGTAGAAAGTAATATTTCGAACTTGAGGATATCACTGCAAAGGCAGAGAGAGTGGATTTATGAAGATAAAGAAAACAATAGCATGTCAAGGAGACAGATGGAACAAAAATACCTCGCATTGCTACATACAGTTGAAGATGTTACTAGGCAAATTGAGCAGTTGAGTTTATATTAGATTAATTAAGTTAAGTTAAATGCTATAAAGCCATGAGCGGATAGACCACTAGCCTGCCTCTCTGGCGAACCCATCTAACCTAAAGATTAGCTCCTTAGGTTAGAGTCACCTCTTGTGGAAGCCCCGTTAGTCTCGATAAGCAAAAACTAAGTAGGAGGCAAAACCTGTCTTGCCCATCTGGTAGGAACAGAAAAACCTTCGAGGAACAAAACTTTACTCTTCAGCAAGCATCCCCAAGCCCGAAGGCCTACTTCAAAAAGTGATAGAGGCACTATTTTTTAGCTTCATCAGGACGGTTCCGACCTGCTCCATTAGAAGGTGTCTCGGAGTCTATCTTCCATCGATGTCACCATTTTAATTCCAGATTAATTAGGGATATCTTGTCTAATGTCCACTACCACATATGCAAATTGCCCGAGGATGGCGCTATTTTGCGCCATCCTCGGGCAATTTGTATAATCTACTAGGGCTTTGCTCCTGCTTCGGGTTGACTTCCCCTCTCATCGAACACTGCTTGACTCTGATTAGCTGATCACTAAGCTTTGGGTGTTCGGATTTTGACGGCGAGCAGTTGAGATACAAAAATGTGATACTGGAAACAGAGATTAAAAATATAAAAGGTGGATAAATTATAAATAAATTTGAAGTAATTAATGTCATTCTAGCAATGTTTCTTACTTCCCCCTTTGTGAGTGAGCAACAATTTTTTATTCGCTCACGGAGGGGATAATTTTTTTTTAAAAATTATTAATAATTTTTATCCTAATCTTAATCTTTTACTGTCAGTCATACCAGTACATCTCTCCTTTTTTAAATTGACTTTTCACCTCTTCCACAACAAATTGCCACATCTTTCACAAAGCAAAAGTCCCATAACCTCCACTAAAGCAGAACTCTGAATATTCACCAACAAACAACTAAAAACTCTGATCACAACCATCAGATCTCAATGGCAGTCCATATCATCACAGAATTTGAATCCTATGAATTTTCTAGTGCATCACCGATTATAATATTTATTACTTATACACCACAATATTTTTCCATAGAAAAATTTTATATTAAAAGTATTTTTTTTTCAAGTGGGGTAGATTTTGACCGAAAAAATAGGGATTTTTCCGATAGTTTTGTTCGCTCATTGAGGGGGGAGCTATAAGCGGATAATCAAATGTTTATGGTCTTATTTTCAAGTGAACAGGCAATTTATTTTAAATTAAATGCTGCAAGACTATAAAGTACTCTATTATTTTATATGTAATCTCATTATGCATGTAAAATCATTCATATTTTAATATGAAAATAGATAATAAACTATTTCAATATGTTTACATCAAACAAAACTGCAGTTGAAAATTCCTATGACTGCAATGGAGAATGTCTAGGAAAACTGATAAAAAGCACGAGCGAAATGCTACTGCTTAAGGTATTTTTTATTTAGTTTCAAGAAGTTCTGCAAACAGAAAGGGTGATGATGATGGAAATGATAAATCAAGATTCCAATAAGGATGCTCTTTTATTACAATTAGTAAACAAAGCAGAAGAGTTGAACCGAGAAAATGCTGTTTTAGCATTGGAAAATAAAGGATATAAAGAAATATTAAATAATTGGAAAAGATATGCCAATTTCCTTAAATAAGAAATTTATAATAATCTACCTGCAAAAAAAAAAGAGATTAATTATATGATGAAGTATAATTGATTTTATTAATGCTTTGCTAAGCCAAGATAATAAATCCCGTCATGCTGTCATCTATATTTATATATCAGCATATCAAATATTTTCAATTATTTTCTTTACTATAATTCTTTTGATTGAGACTCCTTATAATACATTTTGAAATTAAATTAAACTAGTAAATGAGTCTAACGCAATATTTAACTCATTTTCTGCTATCTGACGTTGATACCTTTGTGTGTGTTTTCTTTTTAAATACATCTCTAAACTATCATTTTGCTTTTTAAGTTCTTTAAGAGCATTGGCAAGAGAATCTATCTGGCTTTTTTGCCGTTTAATTTCATCATTTGAAATTTTTATCTTCTTTTTTATCGAAAAATTCTCTTTGATTAAATTTTCTTTTGCAATGTTTTTACTCTCAGCTGTTTTATTTAAATCTGAAATCTTGTTGTCAATAAAGTTGATGCCAAGCATAACTCCACCAATGTCAGGGGGAACTTCTCTGCTAAGGTTATGCTCAATTTCATTTATTTTTAAATTTGACTCTCTTTCCAGCTTTCTCAGACTATAGAAATTGCCCGAGGACGGCGCAAAATAGCGCCATCCTCGGGCAATTCAAAAAACCGGCCCCACACGGGAATTGAACCCACGTGTGGGGCCATTTTTGGTATGTGTAAAACATCGACTTACACGTATCAAAAATGGCCCCACACGTGGGTTCGATTCCCGTGTGGGGCCATTTTTTGAATTGCCCCGAGGATGGCGCAAGATAGCGCCATCCTCGGGCAATTTCTATATCCTCTTCTGAATATAAATCTCTTAAATTATTCTCAAGTTTTCTCAGCTCTTGATTAAGCTGCTTTTCAAGCTCTTTTTGCTGATATAGCTCTGCTTTAAGAGATTCTTAGTCTTAGCTACCTTAGTGTTTAACGTGCTACCTTCTTCGTCAAGGAGCCCACCCCTTTTTAACTCAAAAATGATGACGCCACTTTGCATTCTAATGTGCAAATATTTCAAATAGCATCGATAATCGAAACCAAGATTTTTCTCCACCTTGTCATATAGCTCCTCATCGATGTGCTGAGAGGAAAAACCTTAAGCCTCTTGATGCACTTGGAGCAGCTTCCTGGCCTTATAACCTAATCTAAAAACTGTTCTTGCTTTGTATAAGTTCTTCAGGAAAAAGCCCACCCAATAAATAAAATTCTATGAAGAGAGAAAATTAGCAGAGCTAATTTCCCTCGAACCGAAAGCATCTCATTTATGCTTTAAGAGATTCAATTATTACATTTTTTTCTGCTACTTGGGCTTTTCAATATTCAAGCTCCTTGCTTTGTTTTATTTCTCTTTCCTTTACACCTGATGCTTTTTCTTCTATTTCTTTGCATTTTTCAGTTAAAATTATATTTTTTTCATTTTCATTGTTTAGCTCACTCATAACTTTATCATAGATTGTATTTAAATTTTCAATGATTTGGCAATCTTCACTTATATCCAGCTCAAATTCACTTATTTTGTTATTAATAGCTCTTATTTCTTCTTTTGATAGTTTTATTTCTTTTTCAGCTTCAATTGTTTTCTTTTTTATAATATTTTCGTTTTCTCTGTAATGGCTCCGTTCTTTCACAGCCATGCTGAGCTCTATTTTAAGATCAGATTCTTCATGATCTCTTCTATTTAAAGTTCCTTTTAATCTCTCAAGTTCTTTGCATAGTTCTTCTATTTGCAAATCTTGATGGTGTTTTTTAACTTGGAGCATTTTATTATCGGCTGATTTTAACGTTATTGTACGCTGCAGTTCATCTGATTGAATTTGTAAGGTTGTTTGATGAACTTTTTGCTTCTCAAACTTTTCTTCAAGAATACTTAAATGGTCGTTGAGTTCTTGAAGTTCTTCCATTTTTAAAATTGTCTAAAATGCACAAAAAATCAATTCATATTAAAAAAATCTTAACCCATCTATCCTTGAAAGAATGATTTTCATATTGCCAGGAATGAAAACTGCTTCCATATCCCACCTTAAATCTAGCTACCTATCTTTTATAATAATTTACGTTAGAGAATGTACCGTATAATCGTTCCTACACAATTCTGATGTGATTTTTGGCGATTATAATATATTGTATACACTATCTCTTGTGCCAGTGCTTAAAATATTTTTATATAAAAAAATTAAATTTTTTTCTCCAGAGTATTTTTTAATCTTAATATAATTAAATAATTTATTATTAATGGCATACATTAATACCTTACTTTAATTTCTTTGTAAAGAACCTGATATTATCCTTAAAACCTTTCACTACATAAAAATTACGTTTTTTCCAATTTAAATCTCTTTTAGCTTTGCTGAAAGAATATTTGTGTGATCCACTTGAATTTATCGCAGAATATTCTTCAAATAAATGTGCTTTGGTTGATGATTGATTTAGCCCAGGTATTTTAAATTTGTGGCTTGAAGAAGGAAGATCTTGGCTAGAGGTCGATCTTGTATTATTGGAGTTTTGTGCACCTTTGACCACAGGAGGAAGAGATATACCGAATTTTGTGTTATTCTGTTTAAGGTCTTCTACTTGGTTTATTTTTACTCGATTTTGAGAATGGTTATGAGAGTTTAAGCCAAACTTCCATGAAGGAGCCGAAGGAAGGTTTCACATATATTTCGGGCCTGGTGATCTATAGCCTAAATCTTCAAAAAAAGATAGCCTTTTTACTTCAGCCTTTGAAAAATAAGGCTTTGGTACTGAGGGTTGAATTATTTCAAAATTTGGATGATAGAGGCTTTGATTTTCTGTTTTTGTTTTTGTGATTGGAGAATGTGATTTGTATATTTTTACACTTGGAGATCTGTGGTTAGTTGATAAATATATATCATTTGTGTCATACTGACCTGGACCAATTTCATCTCCAGATTCATCTGAATAATTATGCCTTGGTTTTGAGAGTGACCTAAGCCGTTCGTTGTAGTTTTGAGATTCTTTTTTATTTTTAGGGTCACTCTCATAAATAGAAGCCCCACTTTTTGATGTAAGCAAACTTTTGTGTTGGCTTGGATTTTTTGAAATTTTTACTTGATCTTGGATAGTTGCTGAGTCAAACGACTTAGACAGTGACATTTTCTCAATTTAATAAATTAAATTATTATTTGTCTTATAAAATCTTACACTATTGTATTTTCAGGCTTCTTTTCTACTTGGCAAATGCGTTGGTCTGAATTATTCAGCTTGTCTTTAGTTTCATCAATACTTGGATCGTGATAAGGGTCTAATTTTTTCCAGCAGCATTTTTCTTGAATTAAATATAAAGTACCTCCAAGAAATCTAATAAATATAACTACACCACCGACACAAGCCAGGCCATACACATAATTGCTTCCATATGACTTATTTTTATCAAGGAAGTTTATGCAATATCCATAAGAAGCATTCATAAGCACCCAAACAATAACTCATCTTGTTCTAAATTCTTCAAACTCTTCTAATCTATTTTTTTCTTCTTGGCTTAACTGATCTGGTCTATTTCCCCATGTGCAGTCATGTGTATTGCAAATTGCATAAATTGTATAGAATTTTCCCATAGATGGCGCTGTTTGCCCTTGATTTGCCCATTGGAAAATTTTTTTCGTTTGACCAAACCATATGGTACTGGTCAAACCAAAAATTTTCCCAGTAGGCAAACCAAGGGTAAACAGCGCCATCTATGGGAAAATTCTATAAAAACATTGACATATGTAGGCGTCAAAAATAAAAAGTGTATAATCCCTTTCAGCACTGGCCCAATAGCTCCATTCATAACTACATTTAATGCAAACATCGTGACTGTTCCTAAAACCAATAGTAAAACTGCGCCTTGAGAAAATCCATCCCAGTCTTTCCAATTTAATTTTTCTTCATAGTTTGTTTTAAAGAGAAAGTTAACCATAAATCCAATGCTTGCGGCCATAGTCAAGCCAAATAAGCAGGCAATCACTTTGTAGGGATCTTCAACGCGCTTTGGCTTTACTCCCATAGCCATAACAAAAACACTGATTACAAGTGCAAGATATGTGAATACACAAGCATTACTAATAGTAAAAAGATCAGTCTGACTTGAATCATCAATTCTATGAGCTGTCACTGCAAAAACTAAAAAGAATGAGCCTACTATGAACCAAGAAAATATTACATTTATTATGTAATATAGGAGTTGAATGCTAAAAAAGCATTTCCTGCAGCAAGAATGCTTTGACCTTGTTATTTTTTGAAAATTTGATACGGTATCAATTAAAGCAAATCATGAGCCATTAATCCATCTTCTTCTTTGAGCCATCAGTCCTGAAATAGTATCAGGAACGTCAGTTTCTGCGACTGAGCTGCGTACATATCTTAATAAGTAATTTGGTTCACCTTCAGCTACTTTCGATACTAATGCTAACTCCCCTTCCATGAGCGAACAAAAATATTTTGTTCACTCATGGAGGGGGGTTAATTGTTTTTTTTAAAAAAATTCCAATTCATAAAAATTGGAGAGCAAATATTAATTTAATTTGTAAAATTTATGTTTTAAAAACACAATTTGTTTAAGATTAAACAGAATTAGCTATAGATTTCAATATATTAATTATCACTAATATATCAAAAAAAAAATTTCATAAAAAAAGTTGTGTTAGCTCACTGAGGGTGGGTTTTGGTCATAATAATAGGGATTTTTCCAATGGTTTTATTCGCCCACGGACTGAGGGAGTAAGCATAATACACGATCTTCTGCTAAATAAATATTAGAATAATAAGCATTCATTAGCTCAGGATGGCAGATAGACTTAAAATAGTCTTCTCATAGGGGTTTTCCTTGTAAGGCTTTCCATCTATATGCGCTAAAAGCTCCAGGAAGCACTGAGACGTAGCCAAAAATACTTTCCAAAGCTTTATCAAAAGTGTGTGCAAATTTATATTCTACAAGCTGAGCTGGAACAGTCAAATTTCAGCAACCAGAGTACATTGGTCTGATTTCACCACAGCACCCAGCAATTCTATCATCAGTTACCATAGCTTCATATAAATAAAATAATGAGCTTTCCAGAGGTTTAGTTCCAACATCAAGCAGCATAACGTATCTCGGCTGAAACAGTTCACAGAAGCCTCCAAAAAACCATAAATGCGTATTTAATTTTCTTTTGTTTTTCTGTTTCACACAAAAAATCAATTGCAGTTCAAGAGCATCGTCTTCTTCGCCAATTATAGTATTTTGCGAAAATACATGTGAAAACTCATCATCTTCAGTTTCATCAGGAATTTTACAATTTAATATGTCACCATTTGCAGCTGGGAACGTCTGCTTAATTTTTTCCTCATCAAAAAACTGAGAAAAAAATTTAGGCTCTTTTTTATAAGTTGCGTAAAAAGGCCTTATGCCATCTACTATGATAATGCAAGCAATTCTATTTGAAGAAATCCCTGCGTTTTGAAAATCTTTGAGATTGCTAGAAATTCCATATAGTGTGTCATTTAGCTGTTTTATATTTTCATTGTACATAGCGATAACAATTAAAAACTCACATCTTTCTTCAGTTATTGAAGCCTGAGCCAGTTTATTTAAGATGCCTTTTTCACGAAACTTAGGAGGAAAAATAGGAGTTATACCCCGAACCTTTTTTACCCCTTTAACTGACGCACCATCACAGTATCTAAATGCAATTTCTTTGTCGAGTTTTACAACTTGATATTCGATTCTTTCTTGGTCAATTACTTCAGGAAATTCTTGGCCTGGCTGCAAATTTCCTTGTAAAATAATTCTCCGTGTATTAAGAGCACTATCACTATCTATGTCTGGATATGAATTTCTATTAGATAGGACGCTTGAATCTACAACCTCAATTGGTCTGGAGATAGGCAGACCAAGCATATTTAGTTTGGGAACACTTTCTCTTGGTTTTTTTAAAGAAATTTTTTCACTCACTTTACCTTTTACTTCTTCCATAAAATTATTTATTTAGATTTCTATATAGTTTCCAAAATACCTAAAATTATAGATAAAATATGGTTTTGCATCTGGAAAATTTATATCAATTGAGAGGATCAGATTGCTTTGAATTTAAGAAAATAATACTATATTTTAAATATTAAGTAAAGATATTCTATAATTAATGGGAAAATAGATATTGAAATTATATTTAAAGTATTTCATAAGTTTAGTTCGTCAAAATAATTTAATTAGTTGCAGAATTGTTAAGCTTTATTTATCTTCTGTTTAAAAAACTACGAGAATTGTGTGTAAATTAAATCAATTGAGCTAAATCCAGATAGCTTATAATAAAACTTATCTAATAATTTTAAATTTACTTATTAAGTAAGAGATGGATCTTATAATACGTTTCTACACTTTATTTTTCGACAATTATAATGATCTTTTATACTTTATTTTTCTTGACACAAAAATAACTAATATATATTATTTTAAATTCCCTTAGTCAATCACTTAAAAATTTACATTATAAATATGCAGCCAAATCAATTCCAAATAAAAGTTGTTTTATTAGGCGACTCAGGAGTCGGAAAATCAAGCATTGTAGTCCGCTATATTGAAGATCGATTTTATGAAGATCTTGAAGCAACAATCGGGGCAATTACTGATCTTTTCCTCGAATCTTTTTTCTAGTTTTTCATTTTATTCAAACATTAAGGTTTTGTCGAGCAAGAGTCTGAAGAGAAAAAATTTTACAAATGATTCTGAAAAATTCTGCCGGGAAAAAATCAGACTAAAAGATATGCTACAATCGGAGCCTCCTTTCTTTCAAAAACAATAGAGCTCCAAAACAAAGTAGTGAAGTTCAATATATGAGACACAGCTGGACAAGAAAGATACCACGCTTTATCAAAAATGTATTATTCAGACTCACAAGCTGCTATTTTAGTATATGATATTACCAATAGAAGGTCTTATGATGCAATGAAGCAATGATATAGAGAACTCAAAGAATTTGGCCCAAGATCGCTTATGATTGCTGTTGCTGGGAACAAAGAGGATTTAGTTGAGAACGAAGAAGTGGATATGAATGAAGCTAGAGAGTTTGCAGCATCTATTGGTGCAATCTATAAAAAGACAAGTGCAAAAACAAGATATGGGATTGATCAGATTTTTAGGGAAATTGCAACTAAAGGGAAATATACAGAAAGCAGAAATAGCATCAACCTTAGTAAAAAGATACCTGAAAAAGGAAACTCTCGTCGAGGGTGCTGTTAATTATTGTTAAACAATTTAAAGTAGAAGAAAGCTGACTGTAAGTTAGTTTGGCTCACGTATAATTTTAATTTTGAAATTAAATTGCATTTATTTTATAGACAGCCGAATATTTGTCACTTTCTGAAACCCCTCCAGCCAAAGCTTCAAATTTCCAGCTTTAATTGACAAAAACGATGCAGTTTGTATTTGGATGCTGCCATCTTCACTAAATTTAACATAAGGAAAAGGGATTGTGCTTCCTATTGTAAACCCCAATAGTCTAGTATCAAAATGCACATTTAATCCTTGCAGTGGTATTAGCCCATAAGGTGTTGCTTGAGTTGTGCTCATAAAAAATCATAAAATCCCATCACTCAAGACAAAGTATCTTTCTTTCCATTCACTTCCTGACTTATAAGCTAAATGCCCACTATACACCACATTATCAAAAACAGGCTCTACTTGCTCTTCAAACTTCGTCCTCAAAGTTTCTCTTTGCACCTCATCATAAACCCATGTCAAGAATTTTTCAGGAAAATCTTCCCCATCATGCATTCCTGCATTGCTTTTAATAAACTCTTCTTTATCTAATGGGGAACTTGTATGGTCATGTAATGAAAAATCAAGCATAATAATGCTGAAGGCTAAATGATGGACTGAGTCTTTTGACAAAAATGGCCCTTTTTCACTTCAGAATCTGTCGGAAAATGCGTCGAGGATTTGGTCTGCCATAATTCCGTCTCTTGGAAGTTTTATTGATTTTAATAGTTTTTTTAAAGATACTAATAGGTTGTGTTTTTCAAATTGAAGTAGTGAAATGTACTCTTTAGCGATATCTTTGTGAAATTGGTCTGTTTCTCCTAATTCCCTTTGCTTTTTGAAGGAGCGAATTATTTCTCACTGATTTTTTTTCTTCAAAATTTATAAAATCTTAATAATTTATTAATTTAATTTATAAAATTATGTTTTTAAATTCAAATTATTTAATAATAATTATTGCTACTAATATATAAAAAAACTATATTAAATCAATTGTTTGCCATGGGTTTTTGCCCAAGAAATAGGGATTTACCCATAGGATATGCTCTCTTAAGTAGAGAGGGGTAAAAGCTCTCCTATTTTTACTGGAGATATCCCAGGAAGTGTAAAGAAAAATCTTGCTATTTGTGAAGGCTGTGGAGAAACTAGTCCTAGCGCTATGAAAAATGATAAGCCTTTATTCGCATTATTATTGAAAATTCTTTTTCCTCTTTCAAGCAACTCAGGCGAAGTTTGTGAAAATAATCCAGTCGGGATTTGGTCAACTTTAATTCAATTTTTCACTGAAATTACACTTTTTTCTTCAGTTAACGGAGAAATGGGCCTAGGGAATGCTTTTTGGGCAGTCATAACTTCATAATTCTCCCTCTGAGCAGCTGGAACCAAAGGTTCATCCTCTTCTACCTTATGCTGCCAATAATTAAGAAAAACATTTTGTGTGGCATCATCCCCTGCTAAATCTCAAGGAGTTTCTCCTTTCCTATTTGAAATTGTGGCATCTGAATTATTCGCAAGCAAAAGTTCAACCACATCAGGCCTGCAGCAATAAGACGCTATATGCAAACTAGTCCATCCCGCACAATCAGTGATATTAATTGACGCTCTCTGGCTTATCAATTCTTTAACCACATCTAAACTTCCTTGTCTGCATGCTATATGCAAAGGGCTTGTTCGGTTTTCATCATAAGTGTCAGGTGAAGCTCCTTGATTTATGCATTGTTTTATTTGCAGAGGATTATTTCCTGAAGCTGCAAACATCAAGTGGCGTTCGTTTGGGTCTAAATATTTCATTGCTTCATTGCATAAACGTCCCCGAGGAATTCCTACTTCTTTATGTATTGCAAGCTCATCTCTGTCAAGAATTGGAGTTGTTCAGCAACTGCCACAGATTCGATTTTTGCTTTGATGTTCAAATCGATGAACTGCTATGATCCCTGCGTTACCCATTATTATATGAATTTAACTTTTGGGATAATGGAGGTAAAATAATGTATAGATTATTGAAAAGGAGCGTTTTCTGCTATTTTGATAGAAATTTGACTGTTTGGAAAAACAGTCTAAATTAGTAAATTTTCATATTTAAACAGAAATTTGTTTAGGGAATAAGAAAAGGATTTAATTTTTATTATGCTCTTTGCTGATTTAAATAAAATAGTGGCGAGAAGGTTATTAAAGAGCGCAGGATATTTTGCATTGCTGCTACACAAAGTCTAAATGCTCCAAAAATAAATTGTGATTTTAATATATAGAGATAAGAGAAGTATATAATAAATTTTGGTCGGCTGCTTATTACTTACAACTTATTAATTTTTAAATTTTTATTTTAAATCAAGTAATGGGAGCTGCATGTTCATGCTTTAAAGAAAACCAGCTTGACTCCGACCAATTTACAGTTCAAAAAATATCATCAAATTCACGTGCTCAGCAAGAGCATAGCCCATTTGTGATAGAAGTTCCAGTTACTTCTTTCCAATCATTAGAAATAAATAATTCAAACCTTATCGTTTTGCAATCCTTATTAAGAGGCTTTTTAGACCGCCGGAAAGTAAAAGAGAGAATAAAATCTCAAGGAACTCAAGTATATTATTTAGATTAAATAAGATTTCGATTTTCCTATAATTATTTAATTTTATGCAGAAAATGGTATTTTATTCATTAGAATTAGATTATACTGTGTATTAAAGTCCCTACTTCCTGGACTGCATACCGCATTTCTACCCGCAGGGTGGTAGAGCATAACCACGCTAAGCCCGGGCCGAAACCCCCAGCTTCTCGGTAGAGGTGAGGCCAAGGGACAGATTACAGTCTTAACTGACCGCCTCCATTTCCAACTTGTGTGTTGCCCAAGTCCACGCCAATACTGCCCTTTTCATTGGCCAGATCCGCTCTTTACCGAGCACCTTGACTGGAGAGACCCCAATGCCTTGACTTGGTGTCTAAATCGCCTCCCCTCTTTTCTAGCCGTCCCGAGAAAGAACTCAACAGCTTTCGCCATTCGGGGCAAGTCATAGAAGCAGCTTAGGCAGGTATGTCGCTCTGCCTCATTTTGGGCACCTACTGGGCTGGCAAAAAAAGTCACGAGTAACTGCCCAAGGGTTTGGTCGCCAAAACAGCAGTCTTCGCGCTTAGATCTCTTGCTTTGAGGTCCCAAACGTTCTGGGCCAACTCCTGGCTCCAAAAACCACGCCCGGGTATACATGGGTCACCACCTCTGAGAGGGTGGGTCGGTCACCATCCGCCATTTTATGTATATGGCATTTTTATAATAATAAATAGACAAAATTGAATAAAACCATTATAAGATTAAACTCTGGATACACAGCCCAGCCTAGAAACTCGATTCTTGAAATCCATGGCGATCTTCCAAATTATGAAAATACAATTACTCAAGCTATAAGCAAAAAGCTCGAGCCGTTTCAATATAATTATGATTTTAATGATCCAGCCCCAAGAGTGAAAAAAGGCCCAGTGCAGCTTGATAATGGAGCAATTTATATTGGTGAATGAAGTGATAGATGAGAAAGACATGGAAAAGGAATACAAGTATGGCCAGATGGCTCAAAGTATGAAGGATATTGAATGCATGATAGAGCTAATGGCAAAGGAAGACTCATTCATAATGACGGAGACGTTTATGAAGGAGACTGAGTCGACGATAAAGCACATGGACACGGAAATTATCGACATACTGATGGTGCCACTTATGATGGACAATGGCAAGACGATAAGCAGCATGGCCACGGCGTAGAAGTATGGCCTGACGGAGCTCGCTATGAAGGAGACTACACGTTTGGCAAAAAGGATGGAAGAGGAAATTTTAATTGGTCTGATGGCAGCAAATATATAGGAGAGTTTAAAGAAAATAACATTGATGGCTATGGCATTTATTCATGAATGGACGGCAGAAGGTATGAAGGGACTTGAAAAAACAATAAAATGGACGGGTTTGGCACTTTCACATGGGCTGATGGAAGGTGCTATAAAGGAGAATATTATGATGACAAAAAGCAAGGAAAGGGAACTTTTTCTTGACCGGATGGAAGAAAATATGAAGGAAATTGGCATAATGGAAAGCAGCATGGGCGTGGGATTTATTGTACAGCTAAAGGGGAGAAAAAAGAAGGAGAATGGAAAGATGGAAAAAGACTAAAATGGGTCGAAAATTAAAGTATAATCATATTTTTGGAAGACTATAATAAAATTATTTATATTCATCAAATTTAGCCCCTTCATGATGGCTTATCATAAGTTTGAGATGGAACTCTCAGCTTCAAAAGGGAATTTGATCTCATTGGATAATATCTCGGTGTAGCTGCGTCATCTGGGGTGTTGCTCCTCGCTTTAGTTCTTCTTTCAGTTAAATTTTGAAGTGACCCTGCTCTACTTATCACAGGTTTATGCGAAATTTCTCTATGTCTTTCAGTTTCTGCAGAAATCCCAAAATACTTGACTTTGTCCTCCAGCATTGAAATTTTTTCTTTCAAAGTGGTAATTTCCTCATTTCTTTCAGCAAGGATTTTTTCAAAATTGCTGTTTTTAAAGGCATCTTCGTTGATTTGTGTTTTCATGCTTTTTAGCATGTGCTGATAGTTATTTAGCTGAGATTCAAGGCTAGTTTTAGCTTCTTCAGCAGCTTGGTATTTATCAAGAAGTCTGTCATATTTTTCATTCATTTCGTGAAGCAGCAGATTATTATTGTCACAGGATAAAGCACTGATGGGATGGTCAGTTTCTTTGTCTAGGCATTTGATTAGTCCAGCTATACTGTCTCTTGGAACATCTCTTTGCCGCTGCTCTAATTTTCTTCTTTCTCTATGGCTTTCATTAAGTTTAAGCTCGAGCTCTAAAACTTCTTGTTCTTTTTTCTGAAGCTTTTCTTTAGTAAATGAAAGCTCATTTTCTAGTCTTGATACATTTTCTTCTAATTTATGGTTTAGTCTCATTAATGCTGCGCTTTCTTTTGTGCCTTTTTTAAACGTTATTTCATGTTTTTCAATTGATTCAGGGCTTTTTGTTTTTTCCATTTCTTCTTGCATAATATTCAGTTTAATGCTGAGCTCACTATTCATATTGGCTAGTAAATCCCTTTCGTCTATTAGAAGTTTCTCTTGAATTTTTATCCTTTTATAAGCTTCTTTGGTTTGGTCATGTGCTTTAGTTTCACAATTTATTATATTTTGCAGCTCTTCTGTTCTTTTTAAGCTATCCCGAAGCCTTTCTAATAAATTTTCTATTTCTTGAGAAGCTGCTTCTAAATTTTCTTCTAATTCTTTTATCCTTCCTTTTAATCTTTCTTCTCCTTTAACTCGACTAGCCAAACTAAATTATTAATTACTTTTGGTATTTTTCTGATAATTTTTTCCTCTCGTTTTCTAATTCCTGGGTTTTTTCTTCATAAAGTTTTTTATCTTTGCTGAGCTTGTCCATCTTTTTCTGAATAAAAATAAATCGTTTATTTGAAGATTTTACTTGTTCTTCCTTTTTCAGCAGCTGCTGCTCAATATCTCCAAATTCTCCTTTAAGAGTAGCTTGTTGCAATTTTAAAGTATCAGTTTCTTCTAGCTTGTCTTTAACATTATGCATATTTTCAATGATTTCCTCATATTTTGACTTATAAAAATCTGCTTCTTCTTGAGCTTGAGCATAAGAAAAATGCTGTCTCAGCGCTTCGCAGTCGGCTACGTCGACGCCCTTCGAGCACATATTTAATTATATCCGGCAAGGTTTTTTCCAACCTTAAAATAGACTGCAATGCTAGGTAAACAACTCTGAAGTGCCCAGGGCCTAGCGCAAAGTCTATTTTCGAGCTTGTTTTTACCTCGAAGGTAAGGAGGATTCAGATTTGGAAAGGGCAAGCCCAGCAAGGTCTACAGGGAACACCTAGACTAATCGGGCAACTGCCTAGCGAGGATCTGAATTTTTCTTTTTTGCCGAAAGGATACCAGAAATTCCATTTTTTGGAATTTTTGGGAAGCCAACTTCGTAATCCACAGCCTCAAGGGGCCACACAAACCCGTAGACTGCCCACTCAACACTGAAGCCCAAAAAGGAAGGAGGAGACGTTATGGTCGCAAAGCGGTTGAATCTCTCTGGAGATCCTCGGTGATTGCGTTAAAATTAAACACACGAGTCTGTATATCTAATGTAACGTAATGCTTCTTCTTGAGCTCGGATTCTTGATTTTTCATTTTCTCTAAATTTTTCCATGAGATCGTTTGGCAATACGCTTTTATTTGTTATCTCTAATTCTGGGGATTGGCTTGCTAATGATTTTCAGTATTCTTTTTCTTCAGTCAAGCTAAAAATTTCGCTTTCATTTTTGGCTAAAGCTTCTTCAATAATTTTGGATTTTTGCTCTAATTGTGAGATATAATTATTTTTAGCAGTAAGCTCTTGGATAGCTGAATTTAAGGCTAACTTAGACTCTTTCTGAATATATTTTACAAGCTCTTTTTGAGTTTCTGCTACTTCAATTTGTTTATAACGACGAATTGAATCTTCAGATACAGCCAATTTGCTTTTCAAGCTGTATATTTGTTCTTTCATTGTTTTAATAACGCTTTCATATGTTTTAATCACTTCGCGCTGATCTATACCATCTCCTTAATAAAGCTTACTGAGGAGGAACAACAGATTCTCCATCGATGCTTGACATTTTAACAATTTAAATATGAATTTTGACTATTTAGATTTTAAATTATTTGAAAATTCTATAGAACACTAAATTTTTTCATCAAGCAACTCTTAAAAATAGAGAATTAATTACTTTTTTGATATTAAATTTAAATAAATTCTTCATTATTAATTTAAAAGATCATCAATTTTTTCAAGTCAATTTTAAACATTAAAAAATCCCTTAAATTTATGAAATTTATATAACATAATTTACTAAATTAATCCTCCTTTTCCTTTGTATTGTAGATACGATAAATAAAAAGCCCTCCCATGAGCAATACTAGAAGAATGAGTAAATACCCTCCTATTGTAATTTCATCGTAATTATCTCTCTCATCCAATGGGATTGTGTAATTCAACGGAATTGCTGAATCCCATGTATCATTTAATAGCACATAAAGCTCTCTTTCATTTTCAACCATAAAATCTCCAAAATAAAATGCATTATCATTTATTTTTCTATAATCAACGACAACTAATTGTGGATGTTCTCTGGCCTTAAACTTGTCAGCTATATCTGGAAATTTAGGAGCATCTAGTAAGCCAAACTGATACCGCCAATCTTTTGATTTTTTTAGACTCAAGGCTAGCGATTTCATATGGTTAGAATACCGGCTATATTCAGTCTGATTACTGAAATCTAATACAGCCAAGGCAAATAATTTTCCTTTAAGACCTGACACCAGCTCTTTTTCTATCCCTCTTGTCATATTGAAAAGTACCCCAAATTTATGATTTTCAATAAAATCCCTTAAAGAAGCTTCAGTATATTTTGTAATATTAAAATCATAATCACTATCAACTCCATGCTGTTTTACACTTGGCAGCTGAGCTCAATCAACTTTTATATATTTAGCCACCTCTTCTTCATGACATCTGCCAAAATAAATCCTTGTGTGCTGCATTTCTTTTGCGATTGCATCGAAATAATTATCGCTAAGATTTTTTGCTTCTGATGTAAATTCAGGGAGAGTTCATAGCATAAAAGCCCTCTCATATCTTTTGAATTTTTCAAAATCATCAACTGTTGAAACCTGCTGTATTTCAGGCATACTTATTTTTTGTCCAAATTCAATAAAATCATCCAGTGATAAGTCCCAATTATATTCTTTTACCATTCCTCTACTGACATAATGAATTAAAGGTAGCTCTTTTATTCTAAATTGCTCACAAACTTCCCAATATTTTGTGCAGTTAAACAAAGAATACGTCAGCTTGCTCGTTCCTTCTGCTTTTGAAGCGTTTAAAAATTCTTTTTCAAGCTGTCCTGGAGCATTATTATTTGTATACAAAATAAGTCAGTCTTTTTTTGATTTATTCATATATGGTTTTGAATGGTTTCTTGCAGCCAGGTGTAAATACTCAGCACTGCATGCTGCTATTAGCACATATAGAAAAATCATTATAATAAATAAATATGGGACAGCCACAAAGAAGGAAAAAGAAGACAGCTGGTGACAAATCAAAGCATAGAGCAATAAAGCAAAAGCATTATGATAAAGATATTGACCAAGTTCATCATGATCTAAAGCCTGAAGTTGCACAAAAATTGATATCTCAGCCTTTAGATGAAGATTTGCCTGGACAAGGACAATTCTATTGCATTGAGTGTGCAAGGTATTTTATTGATAATACAGCTCTTCTGCATCATAAAAAGGATAAAGCTCATAAAAAGAGGGTAAGAGAGCTGAAGGAAGTCCCATACTCACAAGAAGAAGCAGAAAGGTGTGCAGGGATGACGAAATAAAGCTAGAGAAGCTCAAATAATTACAAAAATAAATATTAGATTTTTCGATGTATATAAAATTAATAAAAGTAGAAATGCATTGCGATTCAGTGAAGAAATATATGTTCACAAAAATCAATGTGAGAGAAATAGCTTTTTTATTTGCAAAACTAAAGACTTTTTAATTTATTTTGCATATAAATAACTTACTTACTTAAAATTTATAACCGCTTGACGTCCACTACGGGGTGACAATCCCAGGTCTATCACTCGCCTTTCGTCGCATCGGGCCCACAAGGTCTCTGGGACGACCTTGCTTTGATCGCCAGGGTGCTTCTAGGGCCAGTGTCACCGGCTTCGACGGCGTATATAAATAACAGTTAGATGATTTTTTATTTTTGAAATCCAAATCTATCAGTTTTTTAAATTTAAAAATTATATAAATTGTCCACTCATAATTTTCTATGACTGTAAACCTTCCCTTCCTTTTTGTTTTTTTTATAATTTTTAAAATCAGTCTTCAACAGCTTTCTCCTCTTTCTAAAATAGCATTTCTTTTTGCCAACAAGGATTAACTTTTATTAATAATTGACAAATTTATTTTTTAAAATTTCGAAGAATCATATTAATATGCATTATAAAAGATAAAAATATATGTTTTTAAACTTTTCAGGATTGGATAGATAATTTAATTTTTTATATATCAAAATATATATATTTGTTTCTCTCATAGAGGGAAAGAGCTAGGAAATTATAAATTTCTAAAATTCCTGAATTTTCATTTAAAGCATTGCAATGCTCCTCATCAAAACTAACAATAAAATAATCATGGGAAACAGTCTAAAAACTAACTATGGCTTGCTTGATGCTGTCTCCAAAGGTGACAGCATCAGTGCAGCCAAATATCTTCAAGCCGGTGCAAACCCAAACGCAAAAGATTCAAAAGGCCGTTCATGCCTACGAATAGCTCTCGAGAATGGAGACGTAGACTTATTCCAAATTTTCTTCAATATCGGTGCTGAAATGCTGCCTCCCATCATCAACTCCACTCCCCTGCACATTTCAGTCTCCCTAGGCCACTACAAACTGAGTCGCTATTTCCTCAGAGACCAAAAGTCGTTTCCAAATTATAAAAACACAAGCGACATGAATGGGCAAACCCCTCTCCATATTGCAGCTTACAAAGGGAGCTCTGAGCTTGTCGCACTTTTGCTTAAATATAATGCACAGCCTTATCTCAGAGACAGATTTAATAAAACCCCAAGTGATTTAGCAATTGAGTCCAAATCGCCTATGGCTGACGAAATAATTGAGCAGTTATCAATGGAAGATTTAATAGTGAGGACTCCTAACACTGGCCGACAAGTAACCACAGAATCTGATTTATTAACACAAAATTCTAACCCTAAAAAAGACTCAACATCTAAAAGCACGATAGGGTCTTCCACGTTTGAGCATGAAGAATCTACGTTAAGTTTATTAGAAGAAGCGCTAAGAGACACAAGAATTCCATTGATCCGTAGCCATGAATTGGTATTTGGGGATCTTATTAATAGAGGATCATCTTGCCAAGTGTTTCGAGGCAAATGGAGAGGAACTGATGTAGCCATTAAACAATTCAAGCTTGAATACAGCACTTCTCTTACTCCCCCCTCGTGAACGAATAAAAAAATTTTGTTCGGTCAAGGAGAGGGTTAATTTTTTTTTTAAAAATTTATATATAAAATTTTATAGTAATTTTTTTTCGAAATTTAAAAATATCCCAGTTGGAAAGCAAATATTAATTTAATTTGTAAAATTCATCTTATAAAATTCAAGTTGATTAAATTAAACACTATTAGCTAGAGATTTCATTATAAAAAAATATCAATTATATATCAAATATTTTTTATAAAAAGGGTTTTTGGGCAAAAAATAGGGAATTTTCCAATGGCTTGTTCGCTCTTGGAGGGGGAAAGTTAAAGAAATGCAGAAATTTGTAAAAGAAATGCAAATTCTTGATCAGGTCAGACACCCACACTTGATCCTACTCATGGGAATTTGTGTAGATAAGCCGAATTTTTGTTTAGTTTCTGAACTCGTGCCGAATTGTTCACTGTTTCAAGCGTTACATAAAAAGAAGGATAAGCAGCTAACATTAAGTGAAAGACTTCAGATTGCGATACAGATCACTCAAGGTATTGCATATTTGCACACAAATGATCCTCCTATTCTGCATAGGGATTTAAAGCCTGAAAATGTTTTGGTAAGTTTTATTTAGCTTGACGACGCCTATAACGTGAAAATCGCGGATTTTGGGCTTGCAAGGCCGCTGACGTGTTTTAGGGGCGAAGACTCACAGACAACGCTGTGCATTGGGACGACAAGATTTATGGCACCTGAGCTTTTTGATAAAGACCAGCTGCATGAAATTGGGGTTGAAGTAGATATTTGGTCCTTAGGATGCATTTTTATTGAACTTTTCAGTAATAAGCGACCTTGGAACTACATTTCTAGTTCGAACGCAAATTGTATTTATTATGAAATTTTCCAGAAAAAACCTATTCCTATTCCGAGTGTTATACCTGACGCGATCAGGGATATTATTACAAATTGCTGTAGCTATATTCCTGAGAAGAGAATGAATGCTTCTCAAATACTTGAAAAGCTGAATGAACTGAAATCTACTTTGTAGTATTTGCTAATGATAAATAATTATTTATATTATCAACGCTTTAATTTCTTTTTTTATTCATTCTTATTTATAAAAATCACGTCATAAAGACTCTATGAGGTATTGATTTTCCATATATTTTTCAGGCAAGTAAAACCAATCAGCTATTAATTAATGATAATGAAAAATATAACATTATGATAATAATTGACCAGTAGTATTATTTTAAAATCAAGTTAAATTTAGACTTCTTCTTGCAAGCATACACACAATTAAAATGGCGAGCCATCCGACCCGTCCTTCTCCTGTACCCTCAGGGATTACGGGGTTAAGAAGTAAACGGGGCCTGGATATTGTGTCCAGGGTGGGTTTTTTTTACCTTGGTCGGGACACCACGACAAGGTTTTTTGTCTCTCACAAAGACGAGAAGACCAGAGCCGCAGAATCAGGAGTCACACTTCAGGACTAGAAGGAAGTGAGGAAGCTTGTAGTGGAGCTTGGGGACCTGAAGAAGACTCCGAGAGGCTACTTTTCCCCCTCCCCAGAAAGGACGGCGCCGGGTCACTAGACCCTGATCAAAGGAGTACCTGGGTGAGTCTCCCTGTCAGATGACGCGTCACCATTTTTTGGTGACGTCGACAGAAAATGGAGTGAGCAACAGAGCCGGTGCATAGGGGCGCAAGCCTGAAGCTGGCAGCGCTGGGTAGAGGCTGAAATAAACCTCCGTGACCCGCTAAAACTAATTAATCTAATCTAATCTTGCAAGCATCGTCTTCAAATATATTATCTTTTCAATAATAAATCCTCCTTTTATCTCATTTTAATCCATCAACTATAAATGATAAAGAACGTGGCTGCTAAAGCTTTTATAGGCAAAAGATCTTCTTTAGGCCACAGCGAAGTTCTTAGAGATATCGGAATGAAGGAGCACGTCCACAAACTTTTAGACAGGTCTTCAGCTTTTACTAGAATCCCTGGCTCCTTTGTGGAAGGTCTCAAGAAGTGTTCACACATTTTAGAAATGCAAATTCCAATCAAGCGTGACGACGGCTCTATTGATATTTTTGAAGGATTCAGGGCTCATCATTCCATTCATGCACTTCCCCTTAAAGGAGGAATCAGGTTTAGTCCAGGTCTGAAGCTACAAGATGTAGAAGCTGTTGCAGCTCTTATGACATTGAAGATGGCTGTTGTAGACATCCCTTATGGAGGAGCCCATGGAGGAGTTTCTGTTGATCCATCAAAACTTAGTAAAACAGAACTTGAACAGCTGACTCGCCAATATGCAAGAGAATTGACAAAATCTGGGTTTATGGGACCATCAATTGATGTTGCTGGGCCTGATATTGGAACTGATACCACCACAATGGCATGGGTCATGGACGAATATTCAAAACTAGCTCCAAATGATACTGAAGGGCTTGCAGTTGTCACTGGAAAGCCAGAAGCATCAGGTGGGATTGCTGGCAGAGTTGAAGCGACTGGTTTAGGATTCTATTATGCTCTCCAACAATTTTTATCTGATTTAGAACTTACTGAAACTTTAGGCCTTACCAACAATTTAGATAACAAATCATATATCATTCAAGGCTTTGGAAATGTAGGATATTATATTTCAAAATTTGTCACTGAAAACGCAAAAGGAAAAGTAGTCGGGATTTTAGAAAAAGACGGCGGCACATACAACCCAGATGGACTGGACATTAAAGCTTTAAAAAAACACTTTGATAGACATCACACCCTCAAAGGTTTTGACGGCGGAGACACCTACTCCTACGCAGAAGAAATCTTATCAAAAGAGTGCGACATTTTAGTCCCAGCAGCCTTAGAAAGGACTATTAACTCTGAAAACATGCACCTCCTCAAATGCAAAATTGTTGCAGAAGCTGCCAATATGCCAGTCACTCTTAAAGCTGAAGAATTCTTGAACAACCGCGGAGTGGCTATTTTACCAGATATTCTAATGAACTCTGGAGGAGTCATCACTTCATACTTTGAATATGTGAAGAATATTGGCCACATTAGCCCAGGTAAATTAACAAAGAGATGGGAAATGAGGTCAAATGAAGCCATATTAAAATTCATTGCAGGACTGCTCGACGTAGAACTCACACATGGGGAACTTCATGTTGCGTCTGATTTGGATATCGTTAATAATGCTTTAGAAGACCTTATGACAACTTCTGTCAAATTAACGCAGAAAACTGCAAACAGATTTGCTATCAATTATAGAGATGCAGCTTATTTGAATGCAATAAACAGAATATATGAAAACCTTAGATATAGCAGCTACTATGCAGCATAAATAACTAGATAACATTTATTTTTAGAATTCTTAATTAATGATATACTGAGATAAATCCTAAAAAAGTATGGAACTTATAAAGATCTCATTTTACAATGAAGATCTCATCCCAATCTTGGCAAGCTCAATTAAACCACGAATCAGCACACCCCTCTCCAATTGCTCCTGAAGCCCACGACACAGCCAAACACCCTTCAAGCTCTCTTATAGAAAAAGTCAAAACTATGCAGCTAGCTATTAACAGGCTTGAATCTGAGCGAGATAACTTATCCCACACAGTTTCTGATTTAAAGCAGCTCATCCAGAGGCTTTCACTTGAACAAAAGAGAGAAGCAGAACGAAGCTTAAGGATCTCACAAGATTTAAGCCAAAAAGCCAAAAGACTAGAAAATTCATTAGAAATTTCAAGAGAGTATGGGGATCATTTTCAGAAAATCAAGAGTTTTTGGGTGGAATTTATTGAGTAAGCTTAACAAGATTAGTAAAAAATTATAAAAAATCGTGGATATGCTTTCTATAGTCTTCTTTAATTTTAGGCAAATTTCGCTTTCTTGAGGTGACTTTTTCGAAATTTGGGGTTGGGGTGTGTGTTTTAGGTAGAATCATGTTATAAGCGTCCATAGCTTTTTGCCGGTTGACCGTGTCTGTTGTGTACCTTTCTTCTGGAAAACGGTTTGCCCCTTTGCTCATGTCTACAGCCCCAGTATCTAGTTTCTTTTTGATAATTTTGTCAGACCAGTTATAAGGTGGTGGGGAAAGAGATCTGTATGGCTCTTTTCTAGGTGAAATTTTGTTGAAGTCGACGCATGGAGTGCTTTTATATTTAGAAAAAATTTGAGGGAAATAATTAATACTTTCAAACCTGGCGTCACATTGTGGAGTCAAATTATATTTTCTCGGCGACTGCTTATCAAAAGAAACCGACGGTACTGGTGACCACGACAAATTCAAAAGATCATCAGTCCTTTTTTGCTTAACTTTTTCATTTAGCACATCCAAATCCACATAGCTAGCTTCTGCTTCTAAAGCCTGCTGACTTTTTACAGGATAATGACAAGTAAGATCATCAGTATCCATGCACGTTGGGATATAAACTTTTGATTTTCTGCTCACACTTGAAACTGACCTCAATAAAACTCCTGGAGATCTCGGTATAATAAAATTAATCCGAGGATTATATCTTGTAGAAGGAGGAGCTTCAAGATTTGTAGGTTTCTATATAAATTTTACGTTAATTTGTTCGATTTTTTCTCTTGATGGTGATAAAAAACTTGAAGATTGCTTATTCTTTACTTTTTCAATTTTATTTAGTGAGTTGATTTCTCTTTGGACTTTTTTTAATTCTTTTTCTACATCGTCAGCACTAATTCGTTTTAGGGCGGACTGCTCATTTTTTTCTCTAAAAGTAAAAATCTTGTTGGCGTGATCATGAACTTTGCCTTGTCTAGAAAATTTTCTTGCACTTAAAAAGCTCATTTTTAACTAATAAAATGACCTATTTATGTTTATATTAAACTCTGTTCTGATGAGAAGATTCTGCCCAGTCACTTAAGTCAATCTCAGGGAGCAATTCTTGAAGTCTTGCTTTAAATGCAGCATTATTTTCTGCAACCACTTTGCAGTCATATCTGACCCAAATTTCGTATTTTGTGGATTTTCCTCTATATTCTATCTATTAAATTTGCATTTCTGATCAGAACGATCGAGCTCGCCTATGATGTCAGCAGGACGTCTCAGCTACTTATGGGGCTTGCTGTAAGTTTCCATCCTCTAAGGTGCAGGGACCTCCAGTTGGTAACCGTCGATGGCCTTTACATTTAGAATGCATGGATTTTCCTCTGTCAACGATTCTTATTCCTGTAACTTGTTCAGACAAATAAAAGGTTTCTCCAATTAAAGCAAAGGCTAAACGGGTCCAAATGTTCTTAATTTCGTCGTGGTTGTAAGGCCTTTTGAATGAGTAATCAGAACCTAGTTTATTTACTTCGTCTTCCCAAGCTGGGATAATACCACGTTCAAAGATTCCGATAGCTTCAATTGACTGGGACATTCCTTCAAAATTTTTTTGCATATTGCTTTCGTCAACAAAGAGAAATGTGGGATCTGCATGAGGGAGGTTGGACCAATGCTGCCAAAATGACCATACTGTGTCGAATTTTCCGACTCCTTTCATGTTTTCAAGGAAATTTGCTGTGTTTCTGGTGTCCCACATTTCCCATAGGGTCCAAGATCTTTGCAGTGGATACTTACTTGAAGCTTCCATCTTTATAAAATTCCTTAGCAAGTATTTTAATTATTTTTATCCTTACTGATAATCCAAATTATTATCGATAATGTTTATTAATAATTTTATTAGGATATATTTTACTGAATTTTAAATAATCTAAAATTATAAATGATATTACAATTTAATGTAATATGATTAAGTGTATTTGCTATAACCATTAATTTTCCTTTAAACAGACACCTGCATCTGATTAAAAAAATAAATGGAAGGGCAAGCTGCTGCAATGGTAGATGAAATTTGCCGAGCTGAGGCAGAATATGGCTCTTGGACATTGATGCATAGATTTTCTCTCTGCAATCAGTGGCTTAGAAGAATAGGAAACTCAGATATCGAAGGACTTGCATGAATCTACGTATGGATGAGATATTCAGAACTGAGAAAATTAGACTGGCAAAGAAATTATAACACAAAACCATCAGAATTAGCGTGGAACCAAAAAAACCTGACATATACCATTACAGAGCTTATTGCCAATGCAAATAAGCAAGGCTTTGTCTCTCCTGTCTGGCTATTGCGAGGAATTTTAGGGAGCTTTGGCAGAGGTGGTGATAATGGGCAGAGAATAAGAGACCAAATCTTAGAAATCATCCACAAGCACAGAATTGGCGAAAGAGCAGGAACTTATATAGAGCAATGGCATCAAAAATTGCATAACAACACAACTCCTGACGATATCGGCATTTGTGAAGCAACTATAGCTTACTGGGAAACAAATAACATGGGCAAATATTGGGAAGTTTTGAACCACCATGGTATCACAAGGGAAAGATTAGCCTCATTTGAAAGGCCGATTACGACCCAGCCTGACTATATGCCTCATTTAATTAATGACTTCAGAGATTTCTTGAGGACCTTGAAATCAGTCCATTCAGGAGCTGATTTAATCACAAGCATAGACAATGCTCGCCATTGTTTTACCCAAGGCATGCATAACAAAGTTAATGACATTCTAAGCAATCTTCATCATTGGGATAAAGTAGCACAAATAGAAAGAACTGTATGGGCAAGGCTTGAAATTAATTACCATGCAAATAAAGGAAATCACCAGCAATATAGAGAAATTTTATATGTAGATATAAGTTTAGATCTCTATGTGAGACAACTATGTGAATCAATCATACATGTTGACATGGCCCCAAGACATTATATTAGAGAGCTAAATTTATTATTAGATAACGCTACAATTACCTCTGAGCACCCAGAATTCACTACAGCCATAAATGATTGGAAAGCTTTAGCATCAAGATATGTAGCGAACTTAGAAGGAAATCGTGACATTGCTTTAGTCCTAAAATCAGCAGCTGACAGAATAAGCAGAGTTCTTGGCATCGCAGTAGACGCTTATAATAAAATAATCCAACCAAAAGCTCAAGCAATAGGAACTCGTTGCAAAATTGAGGAAGATTTTATTGACCTTTTTACAGAAGAAGCTGTAAGAGGGTCTTGCTTCTTTGCTCCTTCAATGATCTTGAGAAAATTAGATGCACAGTTCAGAGGAATTGCAAAACTAAAACCTTGGCAAATAATTAGCCCAGTTTCAAAAATCCAAGGAAGACTTGTAAAGGTTGAACTGCTTCATGACGTGTCTTATAGTGTTTATACAGAGCCGACTATTTTATTATCAAAAAAAGTGTCTGGAGAAGAAGAAATCCCTGAAGGGGTCCTTGGGGTCATTTCTTGTACTGAACTTGATGGTCTAGCCCATGTCTCTGTAAGGGCGAGAAATGGAAAAAAACTTCTTGCAGTCTGCTTTAATGAAGAAGAAGTAAAAAAAATTGAGGAATATGCAGGCCAGTGGGTTTCTGCAAGCTCTCAAGGAGGAATCATCACAATAAAGCCAGCGCAAGCAGAAGCTACTGCAGTTGAACATTCAGACTCTCATGAAGCTCCACAAGTAAAAAGGCCGCATCCTTTAGAATCCATCGCTATAACAGCTGACCAATTCGGAGAAGGAAAAACAGGAGCAAAAGCCTCAAACTGCGCGATATTAAGAAGGAGCCTTCCTGAGGAATTTGGAGTCCCACAACAAGTCGCCCTTCCTTATGGGGTTTGTGAGCATGTTCTTTCTAACCCTATAAATGAAGAAAGACACCAAAGATATACAAAATTGATAGAGAGTCTTCAAGGAATGGAGCACAATCAGCAGGTCGTAGAAATCCTGGACAGCTTAAAAGAAGTCATTTTAGAGCTAGAAATGCCTGAAGACGAAATACATGAAATTCAAGAAAAATTATCCAGCATTGGAGTAAAAAGAGATGATTGGGCTGCCGCATTTACCGCAATTAAAAAGGTTTGGGCTAGCAAATTTAATGAAAGGGCTTATTTAAGCACTGTAAAAGCAAGAATTTCTCTAAATGATATAGTGATGTCTGTGCTGTGCCAAGAAGTGATTCAAGGAGAATACGCATATGTTTTGCATACTAAAGATCCATTTACGAATGATTCATCACATATATATGGCGAGCTGGTGCTTGGGCTTGGAGAAACCTTGGTTGGCGCTTTTGATGGCCGTGCTTTTTCATTTACAGTTAATAAGCACAGTGATGAGTATCAAATTGAAAGCTTTCCTAATAAGTCAGTTGCGTTGAGAGGGTCAGGGTATATATTCAGATCTGACTCAAATTCAGAAGATTTGCCTGAGTTTGCGGGTGCTGGACTATTTGATAGTATTATAATGAGTTTTCCTCAAGAGCAACTGCTATCGTATGCGAATGAAAGATTGTATACGGACTTTGGGTTCTGCAGAGAAATAATTTTCAAACTAAGAGAGATTGGAATTTTAGTTGAAAATGCATTCAATGGAATCCCACAGGACATAGAAGGAGTCATTGCTGGAGGAAAAGTTTTTGTTGTCCAGTCAAGACCTCAGGTTTAAGTTAAAACTAATTAATTAGGCAAATAATCTTGATGAATTTGAAGTAAACTCTGCTGGGCTATCATAAAATTTTACAGGGTCTTCCCATAGGTCAATTCTTATCCCATTTAATACTTCATAAACAAACCCGCCTTCGTTTCAAAAAGAAGGCTGTTCCTGTACACCTTGAAAAACCCTAAAAAAACTGTCTTTTTTCGCTTCTTCATCCCCTTCATCAAAGCTATCTCTATTATATCCTTCTTTATACTGAATTCCTGACGCGCAATAATAATTCACTTCATCATCATTCACAGCAGCCCACAAAGTATTATTGCTGAAATAAGGGTTTGTCTTAAAATCAAAGGTCAACTTATATGTTTTTACCTTATTTCGCGACGAAAATTCATCTAATGTTAAATCATCTAAAAATTCCAAAATGTTTCAATCTTCAGAGGTAAAGAGTTTTGAAAGTGTATGATGATTCCTAAGGACTCTTTTTCAAAAGTGAGGAGATCTCTTAAGCTCCACTGAACGGGCAAGATATTCGTGTTTCAGTAATTCTTGGTATTTATTTTCAATTTCTATAATTTCAGCTGCCCGTCTTTCAAGGAGCTGGTCAATCTTTTGTTGTGAAGATGATATCATATTGAATTACAATTAATTTATAATGATAAGGAAATTAATAAACACTCGTTTTCTTCTTTCGGCATTGGGCTTGGGGTTAGGAAATTGTTCGGTTTTTCTTTTGTTTCTGCTTCTTGAATGACTTCTTGGGTTTGTATCTCGATATCAACTAAAATAGGTTTTTTATCAAATTCTTCAGCCAGGCTGATTACTTGTGATAAATTCACAAGGGTTTCGACCTGCTTTTTTTGCTGGTCCTCAGATTCTGATATATACTGGTTCAGTTTTTGGAAAATTTTTGACATTTCTACACAAGAAAGATCCCTTGAGTCCATTTCTGTTAAGTCTTTAATTTTGTGATTTTGATTAATGAGTTCTCATAAATAAAATGGCATTCGGTTCGAGAGAAATTAGCTTTGCTAATTTTCTCTCCCTCATGGAATTTTATTTATGGGGTTGGGTTTCTCTCTCGAGAACTTCTGCACAGCAATAGCTGTTTAACTTTGGGGATAACCAAAGGAACAGCTCCTCAGTGCGCTCAAGATTTCGGAGTTTTACCTCTCAGCACATCCCCAAGGGAGGATGACCCTCAGGCGGAACATGCGCAGGAGCTGAGTCGAGGCAAGGGCGACGGCAACGCGCGCCGGGTGAGACGTGCGGCGAAGAAGGGCGAAGTGCAGGTAAAGGCTTGGCCGGTGGGCTAACCATCGCAATTCCAAGATGGCCCGGCGACGTCATCAATTTTCGCTATAACTCCATTTTTATGGGGTGCGGCACTAGACACCTTAAGCACAGACAGTTAAGTTAAGTTAAGTTAAGATTAATGAGTTCTCTTTCAAGTTCGCTATTATGTAAAGTCAGTGTTTTAATATAATCTTTATTTTTCTGGATTTCTCCTTCCAGCCTTTGTTTGGTATCTTGCAGCTTCTCTTCAAGTGCCTTAATTTTCTGTCTCGAGTCTTCTAGTACTTCTTTTACTTTAAGTTTTGCGCTTTCTACGACTTGATTTATATGGAATTCATGAATAACTAATGAAGAATCATATAATTTAACAAGTGTTCTTCATAGCATTTCAATTAGTACGGCTTCATTATCTCTTCCTTTGCTCTTGACTGATCTCAAAATATCTCTTAAGATCCTGCTGTATTCTTTTAGTTTCTCTATAAAATCGTTATACGAATAATTATATACATTTTTCATAGCAAGAGATTGATAGTTTTTTAATTCTTCTTCCAGCTTAAAAAAATCCCCTAATGCTCCGTTTTCTCTTACTGCTTCATTTCCTCTTGCGATCTCAAAATTCAGCTCCAAAACAAACTTTAAATCTTTCATATACTTTAACGAGTCAATTAACGCATTGCATTCGCTTTTTTCTTTTAATATGAGATCGTTTTCGATTTGAATTTCTTTTTTATTACTAACCAAATCTGCGTATTTGTAAACTAATGAGTCTTCTTCTTTTTGGTGCTTGTAAATTATTCGTGCAGTGAGATGTGCAGGCAACTGGAGACTAGCGTTGATAGAAGGCTTGGCCGGTTGCGCTGACCACCGCGATTCCATGATGGCTTCGTGATGTCACTAGTTTAGCCATATTTCCCCATAGGAATGCGGCACTAGACACCTTAAATACCAGATAATAAGTTAAGTTAAGTAAATTATTCTTGCACCTCTGTAGAGTCTGTTGTTGCTCTTATCTTGGCTTACAAATTGAGTAATGCTTCGGTCAGGCGGGATCATCTCAATATATCGGGCTGCTTTTAAGACATTTGTGAAATCAAAGGTAGGGGATTCAGCCTTAGGGTTTGTCTCCTTAGATTTGATTTCTAATGAGCTTGCAGCGTCTCTTTTTTTAGGGCTTGATGGGTATGAGTATTCTGAATGATACGGGGAGTTTTGTTTTGATCTATATTTTCGCTTGAAGGTTTGAAATTGTGTTAAAAGGTCATGGTCTTTATCTAAATCGTAGGAAAGATGCTCGTGATGTATTTCGCTGATTCTTCGGGATTGTCTTGTAAAATTCCTTTTGAGTTTAAGTTGGTCACGGTTAAACATTTTTCTTTCAAGGAAATATTGATAATTTATCAGGTGAAAAAATAATTTTCGCAGACACAAGATTGCTATTATAAAGCCTTATATATTTATCTAAATAATTAAGAATTAAGGATTCTTTCCCAATCTCTCAAGCATGTTGGGCCTTTTCTTGACACATCATCTCTGCAAGTGTCCGATTTTGCGACTCCAGACTTATCAATCAAAATCAAAGCTGGAATTCCATGGATCCTGTAAATTTGTCCAGCTCTCCCCCTTGCTGCTGAATCTGAATAAGGGACTGCAGCCCATGGCATTGTAGAATAATACTCATCAAACTGCTCTTGACTTCTATCTGAGCTGACAAAAACAATTTCCAGCTGCTTTCCATTGGCATTCACTGTTTCATAAAACATAGTCAATTGAGGAGTAAAAGCTCTACAAGGCCCACACCAGTGAGCGGAAAAATAAAGTAGGACAAATTTCACGTCTTTTAAGCTTGATGTTTGAATATTTCCTCTTTTGGTTTTCAATGTAGAGCCAAGTACATTTGCTAATATCCCTTCGAGATCGATAATACAATCAAAGTTTTTAAATATCATATTATTAATAATTTTATTATTTTTTTCCCAATAGATCTCTTATTTTTGAATAAAAATAAAAATATTAATATTAATATAATTTTTTTTAAAAATTTACTTTTGGTAAAAGAGTAAAGCATTGTTTACTCTCTCAGACTGGAAACTCTCAATGAATTTTTTGCTAGCTTCTTCAGATTCTTTCTGTAGACGTTCACGCTCGCGGTCTTCTGGGGTTTTTAAAGAGTCTTCTAGTTCGGAATTAAAGACTTCCAAAATAGTCAAAACAATTTCTAGACTTTCTCGTAAACGGCTGGCATATTCATAGTTATCTTGATCTTTATCAATATACCCAATTAAGGTTAATACCTCAGAAATGTGGCGCAAATTCAGTAGCTTGCTTGAAATGGTTTTGTTACTTTTTTTGATAAATTTGTATTTAGGATCGCCAGGGTTTTCTGAAATATTCTTAAGGAGCTTGAAGAGGATTGTTAAACCACCAAGCGCATTTTGAGGGCCATTGTCTTGGGCAATCAATTGGAATTGAGCAAAAAGCTGAGTATCAAGGTTATCAATTTCCATTTATTATATTTAGTTTTATTTATTTCACTTCAATTAAAACAACATGTTTTATAAATTAATAGTCTTCTGCTTCCTAAAAAATTAATTTATTTAATTTTGAGAATATTTTAACCAATTAATTGAATTCATAGAAAATAGAAAAAAAATTTATGGCGAGCGCATCAAGATCTCCACCATTAAGAAATCTTAATAAACTTTTTAAAAGATGGCGAGTGATAAATAGGTCCTGACTGGTGAGCTTATCTCAGACCCAGGTAATTAAATCTCATTCTTTTAGAAGTTCGGGGTTGGTTTTGCCGGTAAAGATATCATGATAAGCTTTTTAACCTAACCTAAGACAATGAGACCCAAAATACAAAGTAGGTTCAAACTTCTAGGAAGCAATCGCAACTTCAAAGGCAAGGTAGTCCAGAAGTAGGCATTTGGGCGCTTTCCCCATGCTCTAGGCACTACCAGGGGTTAAGGGAGTCCGCGCTGCAATGCAAGACTAAAAGCTTACCGGATGAGAGTCTTCCCCGAGAGACCGTGATATCACCATTTTGTTGTAATGTTGACAGAAAAAGGGCATAGTGTGTAACACCGGCGCATAGGTCCACCAAGAGTCTGAAGCCAGCTAGAATGTGAGGGTCTGAAATAATCCCCAGAAACCCACTATAATTTAACTAATTCAATCTAATAAACTGAATAAATGGGTAGTGGGCAACACAAAAGCGCATCTGTAGTGAGTTCATATAGTGTTAAAGCAAGACAAATGCCACCAAGTAAATTTTATTTAGATCCCAATAATAAGCTCCCACCTGAAGTTTTAGATGGATTTGGAAGAGTTCTAAAATCTCAATCAGAGCGAGTACGAGTTTCTAACCGTAAAAAGCCAGAAAACTTACCACCAGCTGCTGCTCCACAATTAAGCAAAGAAAATGTTACCAATAACTCAAACACAAATCCACCTGCCCGTCCTCCACCTATTCCTCTTCCAATTGATGAAACTTCCAATGAAAAAATAGAAACAGTTAGTGAACAAGTATTCCAAATTGATAAAAATCAAATTGAGGAGCCTGAAGAATTCAAAGAAAAGCCTGGAGGATATGCTGATGAAAGGAAATCGCCTGAAGCACCTGAAATTGATGTTGAGGAAGAAGTAGAAACGAAGATTGATCCAAATGTATTGAAAGAGCAAAGAGAAGCAAAAGAAAGAGAAGCGTATTTGGATGCAGAAAAAATTGCTAATGACTTGAGGAAGGCGGAGGAAGAAGAAATTTTAAAGCAGAAGACAGTTATGGGTAGTATGGAAGGACAAGCCAAAAATATTTTGGATAAATATAGATAATGATTGCATAAAATAATTTTGTTGACTGTACACTGAAAGGTTATAGCATGCATGACTAAAATAGCGCATAAATTATTAAAATAATTGGAATATCTTTGATTTCTTAACTGATTCACAATTTAATAATATATAATTTAACAAAAAAATTTAAAATTTGGATTGTTATAAAAGTATAAATTTTATAATTTTTCTTTTCCCATAATACCTTTTAAAAAAGATTCAAACTTTATATAATGTTCTTATTAGCATAATTTAGAGCTGCTTAGAAGAAATAAAACAAGGTTTTGCTAATAATGAACTTGATGCGGAATAATAATATATATCAAGATAGATAAGAAAAACTGATTATAATTTGAGATAATTTATGTCTAAATAGTGTTGATCTAATTTCCTACATTTAATAGCAAATCGGATTTAAAGATATGTTTCAAAACTGATCTTTAATAAAATAGAATTCATCTAAATAGCTTAGACATCTTGGAACTGAAATTACGTATAGGAGAATAAAATAAATTTTAAAGGCAGCTGATTAGAAAAGAAATCTCTAGCCTAACGATTTAAAACGATTATGAAAAATCCGCACATTGCATTAAATAAATATTAAACCTACATATTTAATCAACATCAACATCTATATTTATCTTGTTGAAAAATATGACGGATTATAAACCTATCCCTGAGCTAAAAGCAGGACCTGTGGGAAGACGTAGATGCACAGATTGTCTTTTCTGTATTGCTTTTAGTCTATTTATAGGCGCCATGGTGACTGTCGCAGTCATTGGGTTTGAAAACGGCGATCCCTACTTGCTAATTTACCCCCACGACTCTTCAGGCTTTCAATGTGGCCGAGACGGTCGAGTTACAAGCGACTACAAGTATTTATATTACCCATCTCCAATACACGACCCAGACTATAAAGTTTGTGTTAAACACTGTCCAAAACAATATAACCAAAAAAACATAGAGTGTTATCCTAACCGGTGGGTAACAGACTGTACATTCTTACTAAAATATAATGATACAGATTTTACCCCAGTTCCTTCATATCAAAGCCAGTCCTTCCTTACTCCTCCGTTAGCGACAAAAAAAATTTTTGCTAGGGGGATATTTTTTTTTTGAAAATTTATATAAATTATATAGTAAATGTTTTTTTCGAAATTTAAAAAAATCCCAATTATAAAAATGTAAAGCAAATATTTATTTAATTTGCAAAATTTATAATTTAAAATGCAATTGTTTTAAAATTAAATAGAATTAGCTAGAGATTTGATTATATTAGTTATCACTTTATATCAATTTTTTTTTCATAAACAATTTTATATTATTGCTATTTTATGTTAGCTCTCGGAGGGAGTTTTTGGGCAAAAAAATAGGGATTTTCTAAATATTTTGTTCGCTCACAGAGGGGGGTGTTAAAAGATTTTGCATTCCTGATGATGATGACTTAAATGAGGCTTTTGATGATGTGATGGATATCATTTATGACGACAATTTAAAAGGATGGGCTACTGATATTTATGAAGCTTGGACAGCTACTCTTATTGTGCTTGGAGTATCCATCGTGGTATCAATTATCTACCTTGGCTTACTAGCTTCTTCCTTCACCAATAGTAAGCGAATTGTTTGCTCGCTGATGAGGTTTAATTTTTTTTTGGATTTCTAATTATTCTAATTTGCAAATATATAAGTAGGATAATTTGATTTAATTTATGTTTGAATTCAGACTCTTTAAGCTAATAGAATAAAATATTTTTTTAATGCCTGCTCATAGAAGAGGGTTTATTTTCCAAAAAAATGAAATTTTTCAAAATTTTTGCCCGCCCACAGAGTGAGGTAAGATACTGCGTAGGCGTTATTGTGTGATGCATGATTTTGGCTTGTCTGCTTGCGATCACTGGCTTTGCATATTTTTTGTATCACACTTCAGAAACAACTTACAGTGGAAAGCAGCACAAAAAAACAAGAGAGGCTATTAAAATTGCCTCTTACATTATGTTCGGAGCAGTCGCCGTTTTTCTTATTTTTATATTATTTATGTACAAAAGAATTAGACTCGCTATCGCAATTATGAAATCAGGCGCAATATTTTTAAAAGATGCCTGGATTATTCTTTTAGTCCCTGTCTTGGTCTTTGTGTTTAGTGTAGGATTTTTCTGTTATTGGATCCTTTCGCTCGTTTATATTTACTCATCTGGAGGAATGTATCATAAAGATGAAGAAGGAAAAATGGCCCATATTTCATGGGATGAGTCAGAGAGAAATTCTTTTTATTTCGAACTTGTCGCGATTCTGTGGGTTAATTCTTTTAAGGTTGCGCTTGTCCAATTCATAATTGCGTGCAGCGTTTGTATTTGGTATTTTTCAGAAACAAAAGGACATGTAGGGCTTGGGCCGATTTGCAGAAGCACTTATTATGCTTTTCGTTACCATTTAGGCTCGCTGGCGTTTGGGTCATTTTTGCTTGCTCTTATAAGGTTCGTGAAGTGGTATTTGGTTTTCTTGCGAAAATATGTATATAAGCAAGTATTGGAGGGAAATAAATGTGTGAAATTTTTGTGCGGATGTGTTGCGTGCTATGTTAGCTGTTTAGAAAGGTTTATTAAATTTATTAATAAAAACGCGTATATTCAAATCGCGTTAACTGGAGACAGCTTTTGTGTTAGTGCAAGGCATGCTTTTATATGCATTCTTGAGAATGCAGCTAGATTTGCTGCTTTACTCCCCGCTTTAAATTGGGACAAAAAATTCTGTTCTAATTTAAATTGGTTTAATTTTTTTTTTAAAATCTATAAAATTTTTAAAAAAAAAAAAATATAAATTAAAAGCATTATTTTGAATTTTATTTTATTTTTATAAAGAATTTATTTAAAAAATTAATCGATTCAGCGTGAGAGCTGTTTAAATAATATTCTACTTGCAAATTTTTCCATTAAATTTAGGTCAAAACTAATTAATCAATATTTTCCTATTATAAAATTTCCTAATGGAAAAAAAAATTTTATATGTTAAAATACCCAAAAAATGGATATTTTACAAATATTTTGTTCCAGTTTAAAGAGGGGAGAGCTAGGAAGTTTGGGAGAAGTATTTTCCTTTTTAGGAAAAGTTCTAATTACTGCAATTTCAAGTTTTATTGGATACATGATCATTACTCAAGTCGATTACTATGAAGAATATATAGAAAACCCTCTTCCTCCAACAATCATTTTTATAATAGTCAGTTACCTAGTAGCTGGAATCTTCATGAGTGTCTACGAAATGACCTGCGATACAATTCTCCAAGCCTTTTTAATTGACGAAAAACTAAACCCATACAGCGGAGCCGCCTATGCTCCAAAGCCTTTACAAGTATTTATGACTGACCATAGAAAAGGTGACTCTTAACTCATGTAGAGTTCTTTAAATAATTCCTAAATCTATAGGCTAAAATTGTAATTTAATATGGATAATAGATAGCTCAAGAAATTAAAATGAAATTAGCTCAAGCCTTGGTGTCTAAAGTAACATTTACCTAGAAATACTTCATGAAAGAGCTCTACAACGAATGCCAAATCGCTTGCAGCCTTCTCGGCAAGCAGATTTCAAAAGAAACAAACGAAAACTTATTTAAACAGCTCGTGTCTGAGACTCTTGACCCTTTCAAACTTATTAAGGACGATGTGATTGATTTTAATAGAGAAATTATGGATAACTTATACACAGGAGAAGCAGAAATCGACAATATTACACAATACTATTTCAAATTCCCAGGCAAACATTTCCGACCCACAATTATGCTGACTTTGTCTCGTGCTTTGCAAGGCAGTTCAGAATTGGATTTTAAGGAGCATAAGCCTTTAAGAGGACAAATGGTTTTTGCTCAGGTCATAGAAATGATCCATTGTTCAAGCTTGATACATGACGATGTTATAGATAAAGGAGAGACCAGAAGAGGCCAAGAAGCAATTCATAGGAAAGTAGGGAACAAAACAGCGGTTATGGGAGGAAATTATTTAATATCGACAGCTTCTTATGTGTGCACTTTGCTAGATGATATGAGGTTGATGAACTTGATATCAGAGATCATGGAAAACTTGTCAAAAGGAGAACTGATACAAGCTGAAGGAGCTTGTGAGTCATTAGAAGAGCATGTTATTAGCTATTGCCATAAAACGTATTTTAAGACTGCTTCGCTGATTGCGCATGGCTGCAAGGGGATTGGGTATTTTTCTGGGTATCCTGACGAGTGCTTTGAGTTTGGAAAACATTTAGGACTTGGCTTTCAATATATTGATGATATTTTAGATTTTACAGGAGACAAGAAAACTCTTGGAAAGCCAAATTTAAATGATATGAAAGAAGGCTTGGCGACTGGGCCAGTTTTATATTCAATTCCTCATGATCCGTCTTTGCTGGAGGTTGTTCAAAGGAAGTTTAAAGAGCCAGGAGATATAGAGCATGGGCAAAGAGCAGCCCAACAGTATGGAATTGATATTACAAGGAATCTTGCTTTATATCATCTAGATATGGCGCTTAAATCGCTTCATTTTATTCCAAAAGATTCTTTTGCATTTAAAGCTTTAGGAAGTTTGTCAGCTAAAATTTATGATAGAATAAGTTAGTAATCCATAAATGGCAAAAAATTGACTAATCATTCCTTTAACTAAGCAAATAGATTATTAAGACCAGACGATGGTAAGTAAATTTATCAAAATTAGTATACCATTAAGAATTTCAATAAGCCCAATATATTTTATTTTATTATTTCGTCTCCTTTTTCATTATTATCCCCATTCATCTTTCCTATAAATTTCAATTTGATTTATAATTATCAAATTTTCATAAATTTTCTAAATTTTTTAAAATATGCGCCGATATTCCTCAAGCTCTTCACTTCAGCGAGCCTCTTCCATTTCTGAAGTTCGATCTTATGAACAATTCGAGTCCACTTCAATCCAAGTCCCAGTCAAAATCAAGAGCTCAGATAGAGACGAAAAAACATCAATTCTTATTTTTCAAATTTCCATGAACCAGATACAAGGCACCCACCACTTTGCTCTTAATATAGAAATTACAGATGAAGCAGACCCATTCTTTTTATATGCACTTGAGCTTGATGAACAAGGATTCCATGTAATAAAGCAAGAACAATTACTGCATGTAGATTTCCTTACATTCCCTCACAATATATTAGAACTTTTAAGGCTTTGTATGAAACCTTATGAGGACAAGTACAGCTGCTCCATTCAAAAAGCATCAAATCAAGAGGCAACTCTAAGAATCAATGAAAATAACAATATGAGAGAACTCAACCATTTAGCTTTGCGTTTTCGTAGCGCAAATGATGAAATCATCAAGGCGCATTTACTTCCCCTTGCATGGGTAATTAAGATTTTATGTTCGCTGACAAAGAGGAATTAATTTTGTAATAAATTTTAAAAAATCCCAATCTGCAATATTAAAGTAAAAATGAATTTAATTAGTATTAGAATCGTTTAAAAATTTAATAGAATTATAATCTATGAATAGTTTTAGATTGCTCTGGGACAATAACTATAGAGGCAAAGTAGTGAGCTGAAAAGTCAGACTCAAAATGACAAATACTTTTTTATGCAAACTTCATGTTTGGCTTGGCAAACAGAACCTATATATAAAATTTGCCAAATTATATCTATAATTGTCAGAAAAATGGAGTTTGTAATTGCCATTTGACTGCGAGATCACCCTCCTCTGTAGATGGGTTTTGCCCTGCTAAAAGAGCTTTTTTCTGTCACAGAACCTAGCCACGGGTGTCCTGGAGAGGATCTAGACAAAGCGGCTGGAGCAGAATCTTAACTTAGCGTAAGTAGACGGGCTCATGCCCTTAATTTTAACGCAATCACTGAAGATCCCTTGGGGGATTCCTCCGCTTTGCGACCTTCCTTCCGTTGGGTCTCCTCCTTGTCTCTTGTAAAAGACTCCAGTGTTGAGTGGGCAGATTAGGGGTTTATGCGGCCTCCTGAGGCTTAGGGAAAACGAAGCTGGCATTCCGAAACCCCAAAAAATGGAGTTTCTGGTAGCCTGTCGGCAAAAGGGCGAAGTCCAGATCCTAGGACGTAGCGCCCAGTTTCACGCTAGGCAGTTGCCCGATGGGTCCAGGTGTTACCTGTAGACCTTGCTGGGCTTGCCTTTTCCAAATCTGAACCCTCCTTTCCTTCAGGGTAAAAACTAGTCTCGAAGTTGGACTTGGGCTAGGCTCTGCTACCTGCAGAATTGGTTACCGTAGAATTGCTGTCCTTTTCAAGGCTAGAAAAACCTTGCCGGATATAATTAAAATATGAGTCGAGGATGTATGGCCGTGAGGCCATACCTAGTCGAAGACGCCATATTTTAATTATATGGCTGGAGCAGAATCAATGAAGGCTTAGATTGAACAGTAGTGACCAAATCCAAAGCCTACGATTCTGACGTTACGGGCAGTCCACGTGCCACCGGGAAAACAACCAAGAGCTAACCCTGGAAACCTAGAGGATAGGAACCGTAGAGCAAGTCATAAGTAGCTGAGACGCCCTAGAGTGAGTCCAGTCGTTTCTGATAGGTATACCGACCAGAATTCTGATCAGAGATTAAGCACATATAAGTATATAAGACTTGTGAGATCACTACTTTAACTCTTAATGTATTGCTTCTCAGCGACCTAAAAGGGTTCTCGAGCTATAGCTAGAGATTTCATCGCAATAATTTTACGTATATATCAAATTATTGCATATAAAACCTTATATATTAAAATTTTTTTTTCTTTGCTCACATAAGGTATAATCTAAATTTTATTATTTGCTTATGACAGGTTTAGCAAAAAATTTAAAAGAATTCAAGGCTAGAAGCGAGGACTGGGAATCGAAATTCCACAAATGCGAAGAAGCGCTTGAGCTAAGGAGCGCTGAATTTAATGACATAAGAAGACAATATGAAAAACTGTTTGCAGATTGTGAAAGAAAAATAGAAGAGCAAAAGCTGCAAGGGCAGGCTGATTGTCAAACAATAAGGCAGCAAATGCTTGATACTCAAAGAACAGCTCAAATGCGCTATGAAGAAGAAAAAAAATTTGCCTCAGAAAGATACGAACAAAAAATAAACGAGCTTTCAAGCAAGCTAGAACTATACCAAAATAAATCAAATGAGCTGACCGGAAATAAAAGCTCCCTCGAAGGCCGAGAAAGAGAGCTTACATCCAGAGTTCAATCCCTTGAGCATGAGCTTGAGCTTGCATTAAACGAGCTTAACCTATTACGAACCTCCAATAAAACATTAGAAACCACCAAATTCGAGCACGAGAAATCTATCACAGAATTCAAACTGAGAATGCAACACTTAGAAAGGCAGCTGCAAGATAAAGAAGAAATGAACCAAAAACTAAACTCTTTAATAGAAACTAACAATGTGGTAAGGACACAGCAAGAGGACAACACATCTATGCTTAAAGCTACAATTATGAAGCTTGAAGATAAATTACACCAAAGTGCTGGAGAAATAAATAAAGGAAACTCAATAATTCAAAAGCTGCAAAGCGAAATAAAAACAGGGAAGCAAAAATTAAAATTAAAAAATACAGTGGTGCTCCAGCAGGAAAGTATAATACAGCAGAAACAAGAGTTTTTGGATAATGCTGATAAAAGTATTGCTGAGATAAAAAGAGAATTGGTGAGGAAAGATGATTTGACGAGGAACTTGGAAGAAAAAGAAGCGAATTTAAAAGCACAATTGGCTGATGCGCAGGCGAAACTGCAGACTAATCATGATTTAATACAGTTTTTGAATTCGAAATTAAATGAAGCGGAAAAGGGGAAAATCGGGTATGTTTCGAGCTATAAACCAATTACTGCTCCTAGCCCTATTCAGACATTTAAGCCGTCTGGTTATACTTTTGAAACTATTAAACCAGCGCCCAGGTCACCTTTATTGAATGCTACTAATACTATTTCAGGGTCGACAACTCCTGATACTGATAATTTTACTAAATTCTTGGAACCAATCAAAAATAATCCTTAAATTAATCAATTACCCCAAAATTTCTACAGAAATATCTAATTAATTATTTTCCGATAATTTTCTTTGTTTTTTCATTACTTTTTTGACTCGTTTTGTCTTCACTTTTTTGACTCTTTTTGTCTTCGCTTTTTTGGCTCTTTTTGTCTCCTTGGCTTTTGCTTTCTTCACTGCTTATAGCGTCCTTATCAAACTCAATATTATCAGAAAACTCTGATGACCTTGACACCTTTTCTTCCTCTTTTTTTTCTTCTTCATATTTCTGGGTTGTTTTTCTCCCAAAGCTTTCTTTTTGAGAAATGCTTTTATTTTCCTCTTTATTTTCAGGAAGACTTTTATATTCATTTTGCTCTACAAATGGGTCAGAGTTCATAGAATTTTTATAGAGAAGATAATACAGCACACTTATAATTGCGAAAAAAGCTGAAAAGAACATCAAAATGATTCCAGGCTGGACTTTTATATCATAATTAGAGTTATATCCTTTTGGAGGAGTTAATGTAAAAATCCCAGCAATAAGTACATATGTAATCACACTTGCACAATAAACCGCTGAATAAATATAGTGCTGCACGTTTATCTTTAAAGATCCCCATAAAGTGCATTTGCATGCCTTCCCAAATAAATTCAACATTCCATACACCATTATCAGATGTGCAATAGAAGAAACAATAATGAATATGATTCCAGCTGTTTGCCAGTCTTCTTTATTATCACAAATTTCGCTAACTGCTGAGCTGCTTGTGTCACAAAAGTGGTCATCAAAATCATTAAATGAGGCTGTCACAAATGCATCTAGGCCATTATAAGAGTATTCGTAAGTAATATAAGTCAGCCCGATATAATAGTGGTCCATGTATTGGAAAATATCAATAAAGTATAAAGATATAGCGCAGCCGATGTAAAGGCAATCTAAAACAAGTTTAATTGTGATTCTTTTTCTATTAGGAATCAGCATTTTTATTATGCTTAATTTAATTTAATACGAATACAAGGCATTTATAAATCACTTATAATAATTTAACTTTTTATTGTATATAAACTTATTAATTCAGAGAGAAAGCTGCTTATCACAATGATTTATTTAAATTAAAATATAATTGAATTTTTTTGTTATGAAAATTTAAGAATGCTCTTTTATTAATTTAAATTGAAATTCTAACGATGAAGTACAAATTTGAAATAAGCATCCTAGAAGTCCAAGGCCTCGCTCAAGGACCTTATGAATACAAAATAGCTTTAGATTCTATGGAGCAGAGGCTATATGACACAGATACCTTTGAAATTTATGGCCAAGGAAACTTTTCTCTAGGAATTTATAGATCAAACGGAGAAGTTTTTGGCTTCAAACTGCCTATGAAGCTTCTTCACGGGCATAAAAGCCACTGATTCCCTCTCGGATGCCCATACTTAGAGCTTGATTCTGTTGAAGAAGAGTTTTCGGATCCTCGCGTGCTTCTTTCAATAACAGAAATTTCAGTTCTATCCCCAGTTATCGAGCGCCGAGAAATCAGCGAATATTCTTTGCCTTCCACACCAGAAATTATACGTACACCTCAAAACCAAAGCCAATTTGACACCAAAGACCAAGTCTCTGCTCCTGTAAAAGGAGCCTTAATGGACTCAATTCAGCTTGAACTAGAACAAAAAGAGCTTTTTTGCAACCACGTCAAAGATTTATTATATGCCAGCAAACAAGAAGTAAATAAGCTCCGAGAAGTCTGTGAAGGGTTACGAGAACAGCTGAAAAAATGCATCAATGATTTTGAGGAGAAAGAAAAAATCTATATCAATGAGCTGAAGGAGGCAAAAGTTAAAACAATTTGCACTGACTCTTCTTTAAAATTGGAACAAAATATAGGTAAATTTTCATTTTAACCCCTTTAAATTTGAAATTTTTTAGAATTTTATAGGAAAAATACTAATTCTTATAAAATTAGTTTGACCTAATTTAATGGGAAAGTGCATATCAAATATTATTTTTCACACTTAATTGATTAATTTTTTAAATGAATTTTTCATGACATTAAATTGAATTTACAAAAAATTATGTTCAATTTATATTTATAAAAATGTGAAAAAATTTAGACTGGAACAGAATTTTTTGTTTAAATTTAAAAGGGGTGAGGGAAAAATGCTTGGCTTTAGAGGTAGAAATTACGAAGATTAATTAAGTTAAATGTTATAAGGCCATAAGCATATAGACCACAGCCTGCTTATCTGGTGTAAACCCACCTAATCGAAGGATTATCTCACTAGGTCAAGCAACCTCTTGAGGATACCCCCGTGAGTCCGATAAGCAAAGACTAAGTGGGAGGTAAAACCTGTCTAGCCCATCTGGCAGGGAAAGGGAAAACCTTCGAGAAACAAAACTTCCTCTTCAGCAAGCATCAAACCAGAAGGCCTACTTCAAAAAGTGGCAGCGGCACTATTTACAGCTTCATCAGGACAGTTTCCTGCCTGCTCCATAAGAAGATTTATTTCTACGAATATTAGGAATCAGAATTCTATGCTGAAAAATCAGATTTCTATGGGACAAATATTTAGTACTAATATAGAGCCTAAAGTAGATTTAGCGTGCATGCTGAGAGAATCGGAGCAGAAGAGAAAAGAAATACAGGAAGAGCTAAAAAATGCACATTTAAGGATAGAAGCAAACAAAGCAAATGATAATGCAAATAGCCAGCTGCATTTAGAAAACCAAGCTTTGGTAAATAAGCTCAATTCTTTGGCGGAAAAATTGAAAAATGATGAACTGAAAAATTTGGTCCAAAAATCTGATTCTCAAAGAAAAATTGAAGAACTTACAGCTAAAGTTCAGCAGCTGGAAAATGAAAATAAAGCGATTGCACAGAGCTCACAGGATGTTTCAGAAGAAAATTATCAACTGAAAGAAGCTCTTGACCAGCTAAGGGTTACATTGATAAGGCAAGAAGAAGAAAATAATGACCTTACTTATCAGGTGCAGACGTTATCTGAAAAATCAGCAAAGAATTTGAAGCTTGATCATATCGATTATGAGCTAAAAGGATACTTGCAAAGATTAGGCATCAAAAACCCGTTTAACAAAATTTCAGAAGGAGTTTATAATATATTCATTGGATTGGATTAATGTAGCATATTTTAGTCCGCTTTTCGTAGGCACACGAATCTGCAGTGAAATCCTGCGCGCGGCAGAGCGTAGCCGTCTCGAGCTCGGGCCGAAGTTCTCGGTTTCTCGGTAGAGGTGAATGTATTGGGCCGTTCAATGGCTTTGCTGACGGCCTCCATTTCCAACTCTTCGATGCCGCTAATTGCTCCTAGCCAGATCGTTGCCTGAAGCAACCATTTTAAACTGAATAGACCCTCGTTTATTCATCTAGCTTGCATCCCCTCTTTTTCGGTCATCCTGAGAAATAACTCAGCAGCTTTCACCAAATTGGGGCAAGCCACTTGCAGCCTAGGCAGGTATATCGTCGGCCTCATATTGGGCACCCACAGGGCTGGGTGGTGATGGCTTAAAAAAAAGTTGCATTTAGCCTCCCATGGAATCAAGACAAAAAACAGGGTCTCACCTGCCTCTGAGGGACGGGTTGCTCGTTGCTGCCATTTTATGTATCATAATATATTCATTAATTAATCTCAGTAATAAATATATTTATATTATAAATATTTTATTATTTTTTATTAAAAACTGTTTATAATTTTGGAAATAAAAGAGTCAGCATCAGCTTAAGAAATGGTGCGCCAGTTATCAGAGTTGGAGGAGGTTACATGTTTATTGAAGAATTTCTCAAAGTTTACTCCTTGCAAGGCAAAAAGAAAGCAGACGAAGAAGAAAACACCCCAAAAAGATCAAGAAGCTCAGAGCCAAAGCTAGGAAAAAGCAAAACTGTGATGGTGTTTTCAAAAGAAGATATTGAAAATTTCGCAAATGCATCTAACGTTTCAGACTTGATGAACTCTTCAGGAACTCTAGAATCAATTTCAAAAGAAAATAAAATCGCTTCAGCTTTTAAAGCGAAAATTCTTGAGCAGATTCCTAAGCAGCAGACTCGAGATTTTACCCCGGTTTCCAATAGAAGGACCCCTAGATTTTAATAAGTTGTATTTAAAAATATTGAATCCTATATAAAATGGATTTATAAATACATTAATTTACCTTATTAACCAAAATATTACATTTCTTCACTTCAAATTTCTTTATTCAAACTTCAATCTCCATAATAATATGGACCCAAGAAAGCAGTTAGCACAGAGGCTTTATTTTACCCCTGGCTCAAAACAGTCCCCTCTGAATAAATCATTTCAAAGAAGGTCTGAGTCAACAGATCGCAAACGAGTGTCCTCAATTCCTTTAACTCCAAAGATGGTCACGTCCTTCCGTACAAGTAAACCTATAAAGCTTGATCCAATTTCTCCTCACATTCGCAATAAAGTAACTGGCCACTTAAATTTAGATACAACTTTTCGATTAGAAGAAAAACTTACTCCTCTTCAAGTTTCTACTGAGCTACCAAAATTCTCTTCAAAAGTACTGCCTAAGCTTAAAGAAAAGCGCAGCGTATATGTGCATGGAGATTCTGAATTTCCTAAAAGCCAAGGGCCGACATCTCCTGGGAAAACTACATCTCCGTTTGAAATCCTGCATATGATTAAATATGATCCTGACCTAGCTGACGATTTTTGGTACCTCAACCGAAAAGAAGACCCTTATGACTTTGAATTTGTGACTTATCAAAAAAGAGACCCAAACCAATATCTGACCATTTCTTCAAGAGGCGTCACTTATTTTATGAATGGGACGACTGAGTTTTTGACATTAGAAGAGTGGGATAGAGAGTATAAATTGTATAGTATTTACTATTAAATGGGTATTTTTTTTATTTAAAATGATGAATTTAATAGAAAAATGTATATCAACACCTCAAAAAAATCAACTTTTTCAAACAATATAAAAAGTGGAAAAACTTTTCATTGTGGAAGAACTTGAGACGCAGAAGCATGATAAAAGATAGAGCAGAATTCCTTAAAACGCAACTGTTTATATTAGATGATATATTAAGGGAGCCTCTGCTGCAGCTAAGAACTCAGACTTATAGAATCATGAAAGCTGATATTATAGATTTGTCTACAGAAGATGTGAGAGCTATTAAACAGTTTAATACTGACCAGAACTCTAAAAGAGAAAAAGTTGCTGAGCTTTTAGAAGAAATTGAAGGAAATATTAAAACTGTGATTTCCAGAGCTACAACAGACTCAATGGAGCAGTTCCAGAAAGAAAATAGGACTACAATTCAAAACCAAGATGTAGATCAAGAGGAAAACCCAGAATCTTTTCTAATTGGAGACAATACCAATAAACAGATGCCATATACTCAAGAAGCTATTATAAGGACTCATTATATGCGCCTTACTAAGTATATAAGGCTCTGCGACTATCAAATTATTGACTCAAAGGTATCATTATGCTACCAATCAACCCAAAAAATTTTAAATACCTTTTTGCAGCATGAAGAAGCTCGTCTAGTAAAAGCTCGAGGCAGTCGAAAAGTTCCTATGCCTCTTTTAAGCATTTTCGGAAACTTTGAAGGAATGGACATGGTGTTTGACCCGACAGCAGAAGAAATAAAACAATCTATGGAAGATGCTTTAATGAAAGGGATCACTGTTGTCTGCAACAATGAGCTGCTTATCAGTGCTTCAGATTTCGAGAAATTTACCTCAATGCTTGAAGATTTTGAAGACCGGCAGTTTGAAGAAGAGCTTGATTTATTACAGATGGTCATTAATGATGAACAGATCAGATATTTAGATTCCAAGATAAAAGAATCTATATTATTAGACTTAAATGGCTCTTTAGACGACAATTATGCATATAAATAATATTTATATATAAAAAGGGGATATCCAAAGAGCCTTTGACTTAGTGATTGAGTATTCTCAAATATTTGAGCCTCAATTGAAGACTTATAATGATAATGAAAATATGGACATTCAGTTCTTCAGAGCTTCTGAGCTGGAAGAGTTTAAAAAAGCCATCGACAAATACAAAGCACAAATCCAGGAATTCACTCATATGAAAGAGACAGAAACTGTAGGAATTTATCAGCTGAACTCAAAAAACCTAAAAGAAAAATTAAAGCCTTCTCCAAAAAGGTGCTTAAATAAGCTAGAAATCTTAATGCCAGAGCTGTCATTAGAAAGGGCTGCTAAGCTGCTTTCAGAGCTCAACGAAGCTAATAGGAAGCTTGTAAATGTCCCTAAAGTTGTAGAAGAGTACATAGACTATAGCAACTTCCTACGAAGAACCAATGAAAAGATGGGAGAATTTTCCCAAAGGTTCAGCGACATCAAAGACCTCAACCAGTTAATGGACATGTACCAGATAAGGCTTGAAGACAACACAAAAACAAAATACTCTGACTGTCTTCAAGCTTTAAGCCTACTCAGACAGCGGGTCCAAACAGCTTCTGAAAGAGACGAAGGCGACCGCATCAAATTTTCAAAAGATCTGAGAGACGGAATCATAAGCATAGAAAAAAGAGTCAAAGAAATCAATGAAAAGCTCAAAGATGACAGAATTGCTAATAAAGAGTCACAGCCTAGCATGATGGTGATATTCCTCAAAGAGATTGGCTCAATTGTAGAAGAAGTTTATGGAGAAAGCAAAGCTTATGCTTCGTATCAGGACGAATTGGAAATAGAAAGGACCAATTTTGACTATGTAGCTGATATGAGAAGAGATTTTAAGCTGAAAAACGATATGTGGACTGCCCTTTATGAATGGGGGACTAAAATCGTCACATGGAATTCTACACCGTTTAAGCTGATTGATGTAGAGCAGATTGGAAAAGATGTAGAAAATTACTATAGAATTGCTATAAGAAGCAGAGCGTTAGAAGATCAAGGAAATTTTGTGCCGGATTTGTTGAAGCTTAGAGTTGAAGACTTGAAAAATACGATGCCTGTAGTAGTAGATTTAAGAAGCCCAGCTTTGCAGCCAAGACATTGGGACCAAATAAAAGAAACCTTACAAAAAGATATATACCAATTTAAAGGAATAAGAGTATTATTATGATTTTAAAAAAGCTACTAGATAGCAATTTTCCTATTTTTAAAATGGTATAGATATTTCTGACACCACTTTTACTTTACAATCACTTATGGATATGAAAGTTAATGATAAAAAAGACGAAATTGCTGATATTGCCCTCAAAGCAAAGAAGGAACAGGAGCTTGAAAGACAGCTGAACGAAGTTGTGAAAACGTGGGAATCAGTCGAATTCCAGCTGAAATACAACAAGGAAAAAGACGTTTTCACTTTAACGCAGCTTGAAGATATCATTACTATGCTTGATGATACCCAAGTCGCTATTTCCAGCATCATTACAAACAGATATGTAGCACCTTTATATGATAAAGTCGAGCCTTGGCAAAAGAAATTCGCTTTGTTTTCAAGCACACTCGATGAGTGGATGAATGTCCAAAAACAGTGGCTGTATTTAGAAAATATTTTCCACTCACCTGACATCCAAAAGCAGCTTCCAGTCGAACAGAAGAAATTCGTAAATATCGATGTAAACTTCAGAAAACTCATGAAAAACGTCAGCGAAAGGACTTTGGCATTACCTATAGCTACACAGCCTAATCTTTTTAAAGAGCTTAAAGACTATAACACAAAGTTAGAACAAATCCAAAAAGCATTAGAAGACTATTTACTCCCCCTTTTAATTGGAGCAAGAAATCCTATTCCATTTAAAAGAGGATAATTTTTGTTTTAAACAAATTATTTTCATGAAGAATTAATTCAAAAAATTAATCGTCCGTAAGCAAAATTCTATTAAATTTCTTCCTTAAATTAGATATTATAAAAATTATTATTTTCACGTGTAAATTTTCCGAATTGAAAAATAATAACTTAAAAGGGCTAAATAACCAAAAAAAATTTAAATTTTCCGATATTTTGTTCCATTGAAAAGTGGGAGCTAGATAAAAAACGTAAACAATTCCCAAGATTTTTCTTTTTGTCTAATGATGAATTACTAGAAATTTTGGCACAAGCAAAAGTACCGTCTGCAGTCCAGCCACATTTGAGGAAAATTTTTGAAAGCATTTATCAGCTTGATTTTGGCAGCGAGCACAGAGGAGAAGACATTTATGCTATGATTTCGGCAGAGGGCGAAAGAATTCCGCTTTCAAGAAACCTAAAAGCTAGAGGGAGCGTAGAAGAGTGGCTAGGTGTTGTCGAAGGAGATATGAAAAAGAGCTTGAGAAGAGAAATTAAAGAAGGATATGGGTCTTATGATGACCAAAATAGGCCGGAATGGGTTATTGGGCACTTTGCACAGATAGTATCATGTGTAGGCAATATCATGTGGACTTATTCCACAGAAGAAGCATTGACGAACAAAGATGGAGCATCTGAAGCCCTTGCAGACTGGTATGAAACTAATGTGTCTCAGCTAGAAGAATTGACAGTGCTTGTCAGGACTGATTTAAATAATATCCAAAGAAGATCAGTTGTAGCATTAGTGACTCAGGACGTGCATAATCGTGATATCATAGAAAATTTAAAGGACAATGAAGTATCCTTAATTTACTTTAATTAAAATTATCGGGGTCAAATCGAGCAGCTTTTGCCTCTATAACGCTTCACCGCTTGCTTGCTAGTCTGAGCACAGCCTCTCACTGTGTTGTTCATCACAAACGAGGACTTGCACTTGATACCTGTGAGCCAGAAGCTCTGAGTGACCATGCCGTACATCAGAGGGGTTCAACTTCTAAATTCGAAAAATTAAAATCGAATTTATGGTCACCTGTCGAATATCAAGGCATAAGGTCTGGTATAGCGCTAGGAAGCATTCTCAATTGGCCAGGAGGAACCTCACTGTTGTTGCCGGGACTTCCCATTCCAACTTCGAGCTCCATCTCCTCATGAGATAGATCCTTGACCTGAGCGAGCATGCAGTAGGCATAATTCAGCATAGAGTTCCACCAAACCAATTAAAACCTTTCCGGATACACATCACGAACGCCATCATTCTACAATCACCCTGAGCTGCCTCAGCTACAGCTGTTAAGAGGGTATGTTGGTTCGCCACGCCATTAATGTGAAGTATCTAGCATGAATGATTTCAGGTGGCAGCAACAATTAAGGTACTATTTTGCTTCCGAACAAGAAGATTGCACAATAAAGCAGGTTAATTCAGTGCTATATTATGGCTATGAATATATGGGCGCTACGACTAGGCTAGTCATTACACCTTTGACTGATAGATGCTGGATGACCATTACAGGCGCTCTTCATATCAAGCTAGGCGCCTCCCCCGCAGGACCAGCAGGAACAGGGAAAACTGAAAGTGTTAAAGATCTAGCCAAAGCAGTAGGCCAGTATTGCATCGTATTTAACTGCTCTGAACAAATCACATTTATGATGATGGAAAAGCTGTTTCTAGGTCTTTGTAATACTGGGTCATGGTCATGTCTGGACGAGTTCAACAGAATTGATATAGAAGTGCTGTCAGTTATTGGACAACAGCTGAGAACTATTAGTACTGCCCGATGGGAAAAGAAGACCGAATTTTATTTAGATGATAAACATTCTTATCTTGTGGATACTATGGGTGTCTTTATTACTATGAACCCTGGATATGCAGGTAGAACTGAGCTTCCTGACAACTTAAAAGTCTTGTTTAGGCCTATGTCTATGATGGTTCCTGACTATACCTTGATTGCTGAAATTATGCTTTTTGCAGAAGGGTTTAGTGAAGCTAAAAGATTGTCAGGCAAAATGACGAAACTTTATAAACTGTCGTCAGAGCAGCTTTCACAGCAGGACCATTATGACTTTGGAATGAGGGCTGTAAAAAGTGTGCTGAATATGGCTGGGGCGTTAAAAAGAAAAGACCCAGACCTTTCAGAAGAAGTTGTGCTGATTCGAGCTATGAGAGATTCCAACGTCCCAAAGTTCTTAAAAGAAGATCTAATTTTATTCTTTGCAATTGTCCAAGATTTATTCCCAGGCGTAGAAGTCCCATTTGTAGACTATGGCGAGCTCCAAGAAAGTATCATAGAAATCATTAAAAAAGATAAGCTGCAGCCAGAACCAAAATTCATTGAAAAAGTAATTCAGCTCTACGAGACCTTTTCAGTCAGATTCGGAGTTATGATCGTCGGCCCAGCCACTGCTGGAAAATCAACCTGCTACAGAGTACTCGCTAAAGCCATGACCCACCTCCGAGCCAACAAAAATTCCAAAAACCAAAATTTCCAAGAAGTCGAGTACAAAGTCCTTAACCCCAAAGCTATCAACATGGGCGAGCTTTATGGAGAGTACAATGAAGTGACTCAAGACTGAAAAGACGGTCTAGCCAGCTCTATAATGAGAAATTACAGCGAGCGAGAAGACAATAACAGAAGATGGGTCGTATTTGATGGACCTGTCGATTCTCTTTGGATTGAAAATATGAATACTGTGCTTGACGATAACATGATGCTGTGCTTAGCAAATGGACAAAGAATTAAGCTGAAAAATGAAATGAGGATGCTTTTTGAGGTCCAAGATTTAGCTGTAGCTTCTCCTGCAACTGTTTCAAGGTGTGGGATGGTTTATATGAACCTGGAAGCTGTAGGCTGGAAACCATATGTGATGACCTGGGTTGATGTAAATCTTCCTGAGTGGTCTGAAGAAAATAGGACTTTTTTGAAATATTTGTTTGAAAAGTATGTTGAAAAAGGAATTGCTGTGATTAGAAAAGGGCTTTTTGAGCCGATTCCGACTATGGATATGAGCTTGGTGATGAGCACTTGTTCACTTATAAAAGCTTTGACGTTAGAAGAAGACTGCCCAAGGCTAAAAGACGAGCCAGATCAGTTTAAAAAATATCTAGAAAAGCTGTTTATGTTCTGCTTTATGTGGGGATTAGGAGGAGCTCTTGACAATAATAGCCAGCTTAAGTTTGAATCAAGCATGAGCAGTGAATTTTCTTTTGATCTTCCCAGAGGGTCATTATTTGACTCCTTTGTAAGCCCTGACAAAATTGGTGGCGATTACAAGCAATGGGAAAAAATCAAGCCAGATTTTCTATATGATCCAGCGATTTCCTTTTTCGAGCTTGTCGTCCCTACCAAAGATACTGTAAGGTTCGCATACATTTTAAGGACCCAAATAAAAGTCCACAAGCCTGTTTTCATTACAGGCTCTACTGGTGTCGGAAAAACCGTCATAATTACAGACACTTTATATTATATGAAGGAAAATGAAAATTTATTCCCTGTTTTTTTGACTTTTTCGGCACAGACTTCTTCTATTCAGACACAAAATACAATTATGAGCAAGCTAGATTCGAAGAGAAAAGATATGGTCGGTGGGCCAGGAGGGAAAAGGGTCGCTCTGATGATTGATGATGTAAATATGCCGGCTGTTGAAAAATATGGAGCACAGCCTCCGATTGAACTTATGAGGCAATATTGTGATAGTGGGTATATATATGACAGAGCTAAACATTTCCCTGTATTTATAGCGGACACTACACTCATTTGTTGTGCAGCACCACCTGAAGGTGGCAGAAATCCACTTACCCAAAGATTTACTAGGCATTTTCATATGTTGTGCATACCTCCGACGTCAGAAGATTCTATGAATTTGATATTTAAAACGATCTTGGAAGGGTTTTTCAAGCCATTTAAAACAGATGTGCAGTCGTTATCAGGGATGATTGTGCAGGCAACGATAAATGTGTATAATATTATCTGCAAAGAATTATTATAATTTATGAAATTGATATCTACAGAATAAATCAGTTCTTTTTATAATAGATATTTTTTATTATTAATTTAATGTAAAACAGTATACCAACCCCTGCTAAGAGCCATTACACTTTTAACCTCCGAGACATTTCTAAAGTCTTCCAAGGCATCCTTATGAGCGACTTCAGAATTTTCCAAAACCCAGATTTAATGATCAGGCTCTGAATCCATGAAACCTCAAGAGTATTCCATGACAGGCTTATCAATAAACAAGACAAGACTTGGTTCCAAGAACAAGTAGTCAAGCAGTCAGCCCACATATTTAGAAAAGACTGGACTTATGAAGACCTATATGGAGGCTCTCCAATTTTGTTCGGAGACTTCATCAGAGGCGACTTAGAAGCTGAAGAAAGGTTCTATGAAGAAATCCCTGACTTGAAAAAACTGACTGATGTCACATACAGACTATTAGAAGATTATAATTATTCAGGAAACAAGCGACAAATGAGTCTAGTTTTCTTCCAAGACGCTCTTGAACACTTGTGTAGAATCTGCAGAATTCTGAGGCAGCCACGAGGAAATGCTATGCTTGTTGGGGTTGGTGGCTGTGGAAAACAGTCTCTGACCCGTCTAGCCGCTTATATATCAAACTGCCAATGCTTCCAAATACAAGTTACAAAGGTATATGGACTTAATGAGTTCAGAGAAGACATCAAAGTCCTCTTTAAGCAAGCAGGAGGCCCTGACGAAGTCCCCACAGTTTTCCTTCTTTCAGACACCCAAATAGTAAAAGAAAGCTTTTTAGAAGACGTCAACAACATCTTAAACTCAGGAGAAGTCCCTAATTTATTCACAAAAGAAGAGCTTGAAGAAGTAGAACAAGACCTTCGACCTATTGCAGCCCAGCGTAAAGTATATGATAACATGTATAATTTCTTTATCCAAAGGGTCAGAGAAAACTTGCACGTGGTGCTTTGTATGAGTCCTGTTGGAGAAGCTTTGAGGGTAAGGATGCGTATGTTCCCTTCATTGGTGAACTGCTGTACAATTGACTGGGTCAACCCTTGGCCAGAGGACGCACTTTTGAGTGTGTCAAGAAGCAAGATGAAAGATTTGCAATTTGAAGACGTCACTAAAGATGAAGCGATACGCCTAAGAGAGCAGCTGTCAAAAATGAGTGTCTTTATACATATTTCAGTTCAAGACAAAGCTGCAGAGTTTTTAAAAGCTCTTTCTAGAAAGGTATATATAACTCCAAAAAGCTATAATGAACTAGACTGAATTTTCTGCCATTTTATATTAATTTTCATATAAATACTATTTATCCTAATAAAGGATATTTAGACATGATCAATCTTTATTTCAAAATAATTGAAGAAAAATCAAATGAAATTTCAAAATTGAAAAATAAATACAAAAAAGGGGTAGAAACCATCCAAAAAACAAATCAAGAAGTATATAAGATGCAAGAAGAGCTGACTAAGCTTAAGCCAGTTTTGGAGCAGAAAAAAGTCGAAGCTGATGAGCTGTCAAAAATTGTGGAAGCTGATACCATTGCAGCCAATAAGGTGAAAGAAGAAGTAGAGGAGGAAGAAAGAGCGGTCAGTGCACAAACAGCAGAGGTCCAGGCTTTGCAACAAGATGCACAAGCTGATTTAGATGAGGCACTGCCTGTTCTTGAGTCTGCTGTAAGAGCTTTAGACCAAATTAACCCAAGAGATATCGCAGAAATTAGAACTTTTTCACAGCCAGCCGCGCTTATTAAGTATACACTTGAAGCAGTCTCAATTTTACTGCAAGAGAAAACTGATTGGGATACAATTAAAAGAACTCTAAACAATGATTTTATTAATAGACTGAAAAACTTCGCAAGAGATAATATTCCTAAACAAGTTCTTGTGAAACTTAAAAAGAAAATCACAGAAAACCCTGATTTTAACCCTGATAAAGTAGGAAGTGTCAATCTTGCTTCAAGATCTCTTTGTTTATGGGCACTCGCTATGGATAAATATGCCAAAGTCTCAGAAGAAGTAGCACCAAAAAGAGAAAGGCTCGAACAAATGAACAAAATTCTTCACACTGCAGTCAGCAAGCTTAAAGCAACACAAGCTAAATTGCAAAAAGAACTTGACAAGGTCGCAAATTTAGAAGCTAAAAGACAAAGAGTCCTTGACGAAAGAGACCGCCTAGCATATGAAGCTAAAAAAACTGCCATCAGATTAGACCGAGCAAGTGTACTCACTGGTTCTTTACAAGAAGAAAATGAAAGGTGGCAAAAACAGGTCGAAAAATTAATAGAATTCATGAGAAATGTCGCAGGAGACACATTTTTGTCAGCAGCCTGCATCAGCTACTATGGTCCTTTTACAGGAATTTACCGAAATGAGCTCGTTAGCTCCTGGCTACAAAAATGTGAAGAATTCAAGATCCCAGTTACCCCTAATTATGATTTACAAGAAATTATGGGCGATCCTATGACAATTCGTGACTGGAATATCAAGACACTGCCAGCTGACACTGTTTCTATTAATAATGGCATTTTGGTTACAAGATGTGAAAGATGGCCGCTTATGATTGATCCTCAAGAACAAGCGAATCGGTGGATTAAAAAGCTTGAAGAAAAGGCAGGGATTAAGGTTATTAAACAGACTGAGAGGGATTTTGCAAGGTCTGTAGAGACTTGTGTGAGAAATGGGGCTGCACTATTAATAGAAGATGTAGGGGAAATTCTGGATCCGACACTTGACCCGATTTTAGAAAAGAATTTGGTGGAGCAAGGGGCGGGGAGATTTTCATTGAGAATGGGTGACCAAGAAGTCGACTATGACCCTGCTTTTAAGCTTTATATCACTACCAAGCTACCAAATCCTCATTATCTGCCTGAGGTTACTATTAAAACGACACTTATAAACTTCACTGTTACTACACAAGGCCTTGAAGAGCAGCTTTTAGGCGACGTCGTCAAAAAAGAGCAGCCAAAAATAGAAAAAAGGAAAACTGAGCTGATGATTGCGATGGTAAAAGACCAAAAAAGCTTAAAACAAGCTGAAGACACCATTTTGTCATCTCTTTCTGACTCAAAAGGAAATATTTTAGACGATCCTGAAATTATTGAAACTTTAAAGAGCTCTAAAAACTTGTCAAACGAAATCAGCCAAAGAATGTTGAGAGCTGAGGACATCAAAAAAGAAGTCGAAGCTGCTTTTCAGCAGTACCAATCTGTAGCTGTAAGAGGGTCAATCTTATATAAATGCTTATGAAGAATAGCCTATATAGCAGCATTTTTTGGTTAGCCAGAGCCAATAACGATATACCAGTCAACTAATGCCAGGCTAAAATAAAGATGCTCATTAATAGGCTATCTATCGTAAACTCTTATACTTTGTGATTGCAGATTTAGCATTGGTAGACCCAATGTACCAATACTCTCTTTCATATTTCACCAAGCTTTTCAATAAGGTCATAGATACTTCACAAAGATCAGACATAATTGAAGAAAGAATCAGCATCTTAATTTCATCAATTACTGAGTTCATTTTTATGAACGTGTGTAGAGGCCTTTTCAATGCCCATAAGCTGATTTTTAGCTTTTTAATTTTAGTACAAATTTTAAGAAGGGAAGGAAAAATTTCTGATGCAGAGTGGGGATTATTATTAAAAGGGGTAGCAATTATCCCTTCAAGCTTTGTGAGGACGCCAAACCCAGATCCTTCTAAATTCTCTGATAAAACTTGGGACACCATTATTTTCTTGCAAAATATTAGTGCTCCGTTTAACCAGCCTCTATTAGGCCAAGAAATCGCAAAAAATAAAGCGGAATGGATCAGATGGGCTTCAAAAAGTGAGCCTCAAGACGAGCCTCTTCCTGAGCCTTATAACTCCTTGCCCACTTTTCACAAACTTTTACTAGTAAAAGCATTCCGTGAAGAAAAAATCATTTATATGGTCATTAAGTTCGTCGATGAATTTTTAGGCAGAAAATACGTAGAAGTGCCACCAATATCAATGGAAGAGGTCTATGCAGACACAAACTGTAGGAATCCGGTTATTTTTATCCTTAGCCAAGGCGCTGACCCTATGAGTATGATGAAAAGACTAGCCGAAATGATGGGATTTGCTGAAAAATTAGAAATCATTTCTTTAGGCAAAGGACAAGGTGACAGAGCAAAAAGGCTGATTGACAGCGGGTTTAAGGCTGGGAAGTGGATTGTCTTGCAGAACTGCCATCTTGCGAAATCGTGGATGCATGACTTAGAAACCATTTGTGAAAATTTTGAAGACCCAAAAGTCCATATGAATGAAGATTTCAGGCTGTTTTTGACGTCGATGCCTTGTGACTATTTCCCTGTCCCTGTCTTACAAAATGGTGTGAAACTTACTAATGAGCCGCCTAAAGGAATCAGGGCAAATCTTATAAGGTCACTAAACGCCATGTCAGACGAACAGCTAGAAAGCTGCACAAAGCTTCATGAGTGGAAAAAACTGCTTGTAAGCATATCGTTTTTCCATGCAATTCTGCAAGAAAGACGCAAATTCGGGCCACTTGGATGGAATATCAGATATGAATTTAACGAATCTGACTTAGAGACGTCAATTTTAATGCTTAAAAACTTTTTAAATACTACAGAAAGCAATATTCCTTGGGATGCAATCCGATTTATGACTGGAGAAATCAATTATGGAGGCAGGGTGACTGATGACTGAGACAGACGATGCTTGATGGGCATTTTAGGTATTTTTATAACTCCACAAGTACTTGGAGATGACTATAAATTTTCTGTCTCAGGAATTTACCATGTGCCAGCAGACGGTGATTTGGCAGCTTATAAAGCTTATGCAGACACGTTACCTTTAACTGACCAGCCAGAGATTTTTGGGATGCATGAAAACGCTAATATTACTTTCCAAAACCAAGAATCGAATTTAATATTGACAACTGCCCTTTCAATACAGCCAAGAGATGCAGGGAAAGGATCATCTGGAAAATCCTCTGATGAAATTGTAGACGAGCTCGCTGGGGTAATTTTTGACCAATTGCCAACAGACATGCTAAGATCTGAAGCTGCTCCAGAAATATTCGCAAGGGACAAGTTTGGGCTTATGGAATCACTTGGGACATTTTTAGGACAAGAAATGGTCAGATTTAACAGACTTCTGAAGGTTATGAGGAAAAGTCTTGAAGATTTAAAGAAAGCTATTAAAGGAGTTGTTGTGATGTCAGGAGAATTGGACAGTATGTATAGAAATATGCTTAATAATCAAGTCCCTGAAAACTGAGTCAGAGTTGCTTATCCTTCTCTAAGGCCGTTAGCTTCTTGGGTTAATGATCTAAAAGAACGTGTCGCATTTTTAAGAAAATGGCTTAGCCAAGGCAAACCTGAAGCTTTTTGGCTCAGTGCCTTTTTCTTCCCTCAAGGATTTTTAACAGCTGTTTTACAGAGTTTTTCGAGAAAATACCAAATCCCTATAGATATTTTGAATTTCTCATTTGATTTCCAGCCATTTTTCGATATAGATCAAATTACAGATTTGGCAGACGATGGGTGCTATATTTATGGACTTTATATGGAAGGCTCCAGATGGGATGTAGACACAATGCAGTTGGAAGATTCATATATTGGAGAAATGTATAGCAAAGCCCCAGTGATATTTTTCACCCCTGCTGAAAGTTATACGCCTGATCCTGAAGAGTATTCGATGCCTGTGTATAAAACTTCGGTGAGAGCTGGTGTTTTGAGCACTACTGGGCATTCAACAAATTTCATTATTGCTATTGAGTGCCCTACTATGAAAAAACCGAATTATTGGGTTCTTAAAGGAGCTGCATTCCTTTGTCAACTAAATGACTAATTTTTTAACTTTTAAGATAATTTAAAACTTTGGTTTCTAGATTAAATAAAAATATAAAAATCTGTGGAACGATTTTTGTTTAGTAAAAGCAATTTGTTTTTATTTTAGTTTCTTGACAAGAGTTAAAGCGATTTATTGTTTATTATATTAATATAGCAAGATTTTATATGGATAGAGGTGGGATTTATGAAGATTTTCCTAGCCTCATGAGCATTTCTTTTTATCTATTTCATAAATTTTAAAAATTTACAAGTTTTAAGTTCAGAAAACGGTTTTACACGAAGTGTGTATTAGTTATTTGCTTATTTGGCCTTTTGTCTCATCTTTCGGCGCTTTCTTTTGAGTCTTCTCATCCTCTTCTTCCTCCACTTGTCTCTCATATTTATTATTAGCCATAATAAAATGGAAATTTTAGCTTTAACACTTTTAATTGCTTTTGATTTGGCTTTTTAGAAGATATATATTTTAATTAAATTAAAAATAAGCAGAATAAAGTGCAAATAATATAAATCTTGCTTTAATAAATTTAAAAAGAATTCGATGATGAAGGAAATTGGCTTTATTGATATAAAAGATTGATTTTATTATATGATTTTCAATATAATTGCTCTTAAATTTAACAATCTTTTATAGATCAAAATATAATCGATATTGCAAAAAATGATATAATTTGTATTAGTTAAAATGAATAAAGAAAATGATAAATTTTTGTCAGCAAAAATAGCTATTTTGATAGCTCAAAAAGCTATAGAAAATAACGAGGTAAATTTTGTAAGATTTACTAACGTCAAATTATTTCAGACAGATATCAGACCTGCTTAATTCTCATTGTATTTGTTTTAAGAAGTATAAATAAAAAAGGCAAAAATAGATATTTGCTTTAAAATTTTTCCTCTTTAAATGATTTATTTAACTTATAGCCCGAGCTTAATTTTGGCTCAGCTTTCACGATTTTTTGCAACGTCATATTAAAGGGCTTGGCTCGGCTAGCATTTCTAAGACAACTCCCAAATGATAAATCTCCAGATGCATTTTAGATTTGCTATCTGGGGATTAAGTCTATCCAAATCTTCGATGACATGAAATATTAGTAAAGTCTGATCACAACAAAGCTTGCACTATAATCAAAAAGACATATATTTTATTACTCATTTCCGACCAATTTCACTTGCAACTCTAAAGTCTGATAACTTTAGAACTTTAATTTGATAATTTCTCACATCAAAATAGCAGGTATAAAATTATCAGCCTCTAATATTTTCTATCTATACTTACAAAAAACAGTCATTTTGATTAATCATCATAATAACTCTTAACCATTTTTAGCCAAGTAGAAGTTTTTATTTCTATTTAAGCATCTTGCAATTATAAATGGAAAGGCCGCTACTAATAAGCCGAAATCCTCGCACAAAAGCTATGATGAAATTCAGCTTTGACCTAATCAGCTGTGTTCTCATTATCGTAACATTTTTTGTCAATGCATTTTCTTATGGAGACACTTACTATATCTCAATGGAAACAATAACAAAGAAATTTGACTATAACGGGATGAACGCCTATACTCTTACGACCTTTAGCGATTTCGAAAAGAACTATTGCACAAATCTTGAAGGCGCTGATCTAGAAGTCTGCAATTGGCTTGACCATTTTAAAGCTGCAGCCTTATGCTATTTTATTGACTCAATTGTATGTTTAGTTATAATGGCTTATAGCATACTGAATTTAATGAGCTTGTCATTCGGATGCACTTGCTTTAAATTGCTGAGTCTTCAGATCTCCCATTTTTTGCTTCCAATTGCATATGCTATTGGAGTAATTCTTTATTTATCAGTTTCCAACTTTTATTCGTTAAGTGAAAGTGGAGATTCGTGGTCTGGATTTACAATAACCTTTGAGGCTGGGATTGTTTTGATGCTAGTTAATGAAGCGATTATGATCATTGGAGCACTTTATTTCTGGTGGGCGAAAGCTCATGGAATTGAAGACATCCTTTTGCATATTGGGGCGTATGCTCCTCTAGTAGATAATAAAGAACTCAGATAGGTTTTATTAGAATTAAATTACCATTAGTTATGATTTAGTAATTCTTTACAATTATCTTGGTAATTCTTGTGATATGAACTCTCTTAATTGCTTACTTTTCTTATTGAAAAATTATAGAAAATGTTTTAAAATAGTTTAACACTTTAACGATAACATCAAATTTTCCCCTAAAAATAGGCTTTACCCTTTATGACAAAAACTACCCAGAATTCTACCAAAATATGATAATTGATGATAAAGTGGTTGAAGTATTAAAATTATGAATTAATTGTTAATTGGTAAATTCGTTAGACACTGAGCAAGAACCTAATTCATCAAGTGATAGAAGTAGTGGATCAATTGATATTGATTGCTCTTCTGCATCTTCAACTGAAGGAGATTTTATTGATGATTGAAGGTATTTCCAAAATAATTCCCTTATCACCTCCTTCATCATCTCAATGGACTGGACGGTTATCTAAACTTAGTCCAATCGCTGAAATTTTGTCTAAAATTGCAAAAGAAATTATGAATTATGCAGAGAAATTTCAATTGATGAAAGCATGATAAAATATAAAGGCCACCACATTTCCAAGCAGTATGTCAAAAAAGCCTATAAATTGAGAATTCAAGGTATTTACATTGTGCGATTCAAAAATAGGCTATTTATGAAAAACCCTGGAAAATCAGCAAAATAGAAAATAATATCACAATGGCTGTGACACTGAGACTAATTGAAGAATTAAGATCAAACTGGAATCACTTATATTGCGACAATTGGTATTCAAGTCCTGAATTATTCAGAATTTTAGCAAATCAAGGATTCGGAGCAACTGGAATTAAGAAAAAAGGAAAGGATTGCCAAAGTTCATATAAATAAAGTGAATCGATTGGTGTTTTATTTCAGTAATCCTTTGCTATTTTGCGTTGGCTCGATAAAAGAGCAGTCTTCCTTATCTCCAATATTGAATCAACAAATGCAAAAGAAACTTCAGCCAGATACTCGTCAGAAGTTACAAAAATAAAACTGATATCCTAACTAATTATTCAACATACATGCCAGGTGTTGATCACTTTGATCAGCTTCTTCAAAGTTATACAGTTGGAAAGGTCAAATAAATGATGAAATCATGTTTCTACTACTTCATTCAAATCGCTTTGATAAATTCTTATATAATTTATAAAAACCATAGCAAAAGCAGTGATGGACTACTTAGTCATGAAGAATTTAGAATGGAAGTGGCTTTAGGATTGATAGAATATAATTGCAATAGTAATCAAATTACAAAGGCGGCAATAAAGGGAGAAATGAATAGAAGATTTACTTATTGTAAACAGTTGAATAAAGACAGCAAAACCTACTATAAATGTTCTGATTGCAGCGAGCCAATACATCGTGGCTGTTTTATTAATCATAAATGTTGTAGATAAATATGTATTATCTTATAATTGATAATAGTAGCTTTTGGGCAGTTTCTAGTCGGCAAGGGTAAGCTCAGGGACAGAGGTAAAAATCGGTTTTTGGGTGTAAATGTCGTCGATGAGTTAAATTAATTATTTATCAGTTTTTCATAAGACTGAGCTAGTGCTTGGCAAATTACTAGGCTTTTTAACTCCAGCTATTTTGGAATAAAGCATCCATATTGCCCATCCTGCTAAGAGTGCACAAAATAATAAATTTTTAACTATACTGAGAACTGAGTATCAATCTCCCCATTTCGTATCATTAATATAAGCAGTTTCATTCTTTATCTCTTTAAGGCAATGATCTTCATCTTGGCATTCTGCAATTATAAGCACAATCTTGTAAAGGCATAAGATCAGTCAAAACATTTTTATTTAATTTTAATTTACTAGCATATTTTCTCTTAGAAGGTAATAGCTTGCTGTAGCATGATTCAAGTCTCCGTTTCTGACTCCTCCTGCCCAGTAATAAGTAAATTCTTGCTTATTCGTGGGGTTTTTTGCACAGAATTTTTAAATGGTAAATTTTATATAAATAAATCGAAATTTGCTTTATTAGGTGGTTTTCAGCTAAAATGTCAAAAATAAAAACTTTGTGCATTTACCCCTAAATAATAAGCAAATTAACAATTTGAAAATTTTATGCTTAAAGCCTCCACGAATAAGCAAAAATTTGCTTATTACTGGGGGAGTGAGTGAATTAATTAGATAACTTTTTGGATACCCAAATTTTGAGACTTCTGATATCGCAGCATCATCAAAAGCGCGTGGTCTTCTCTCCAAAGGTCCGCCAACAAAAAAAGGCGCTATATTATTTTCATCTTTGCCTTCGCTTGAAAATCAAGGATGCTCTAAAGCTTTTCATATAGAAATTCTATTTTGAGGAATTAAATCTAAAAATTGGGAAATTAAATCTTTTGCTTCCTCTGATAAAAAATCAGGATAATCAATTGTCCCTTTTAAAATCGCTATTTGTAGTTCTTTAATATTTTTTCCTTTAAATGGAACAGTCCCACATAGCATTGTGTATAGTAAAATTCCTAAACACCATATATCAACTGAAAACTCCTCATAGCCTTTTCCTGCAATCATTTCTGGGGCAAGATATGCAGGAGTCCCGCATTTTTCAGTTGCAACATCTCCTCTTCTCATTACCCTGCTACTCGAAAAGTCACAAAACTTAATAGACGAATAGCTTGAGTCCAGCAAAATATTCTCCAATTTAATATCTCTATGTAAAACTCTATTAGAGTGCATCAATTGAGCGCCTTCCAAAATTTGTCGAAAAATATCTTTTGCTTCTTTTTCCACAATTTTTTTCTTTTTCTTTACGAATTGTAAAAGATCTCCACCTCCTGCGTACTCCATGACTATAAAATAATGGTGCTCAGATGCAAAAACTTCTAATATCCTGTTAATCCTTTCATGCCTGGTTTTCTTTAATATAAGAACTTCATGGAGAACTTTTTTGCGGGCATCTTCATTTTCTAATGCAACTTTTGCTATTGATTTTATGGCTACATTAATGCCTGCCAGCTTATGTTTTCCTATAAAAACTATCCCAAATGGTCCTTTTCCTATAGTTTCGCCGATGCTATAGAAATCAGTTGTCGTTGGTGGGCCATCTAAATAGGTTTTAAAATAATTTGAAATATGTTGGATTAGTAAAGCATTTTCTCCTGGCTGAGGCTTAAACCTTTTTCTTGGCGCACTATTTAGATCGAGAAATGGATCTTTTTCTAAATAAAATGTTTTAGGTGTTGAATCTGGAGTAATTTTTGGGCTTGTTTCGTCATCTTTTTTTAAAGAATCCCTGAAGATAGTTTGAATTTGGTCTGAAAACACTCTTCTGTGTATTGGAAACTGGCCTGCTGTCGGGGTTAAAGGAGGTCAGTGCTTTAGGGTGACTGCAGTATTATAAGCATTGCAGTCCTTATTTTCTTCTAATCTTTTTTTGATGTAGTCTTTTAGGATTTCTCGAGGTTTAGGAAACTGGTTCGTGGATTTTGAAGTAAGTAAAGTAGGTCTTTCACTGCTCGATCTTCGTGTAGGCTCATTTTTGCTTTTTCTTCCTCTTGCCCCAGACTTGGTTAGCGAGCAAAACCAATAGAAAAATCCCTATTTTGGGGAAATAGACCTCTATTGTTAATGAGCAAAAAATTTAATATAAAACTTTTATAAAAATATATAATTAATGATTATAATAATGAGATTTCCAGCATATTATATTAAATAGCATACATTTTTAAAAAATAAATTTAATAAATTAAACTAGAGATTTACATATAATATATTAAAATTTTTAAATAATTTAATTATAAAAAGCTTAATCCCCTTGGCTAGCGAGCAGAAAAATTTTGATCGGTAAACAAGGGGGAGTTAAGAATTCTTTTTGGAGCTTTCTAAGTTTTTCATCATCGACTAAAATAGGTGTTAGTATTGCTTTTGTATTTTTGCCAATCATTTTTTTATGTTTTATTTATTTTGAGCGATTTTATATAATTCTTACCCATTAACAGGTTTTTTTTTCGAATGATAATGTTATTTTTAAAATAATTAAATTTAGCTTTTTGTTAAATATTAAAGTTAGTATTAACCTAAAAAATCAACAATTTATTCATATTTAAAAAAAGTTATTAAGGGAAAATTTTATTTAGCAAGCAACTTCAATTCTAAGTTCTCTTCCTTCAAGTTCAAGACCATCTAATTTCAAAGCACGCTTAAAATCACTTTTAGTGAGCAAAACCACAAATCCAAATCCTTTATTCTGTCCGCTAGGAAAATGTGGGATTCTTATACACTCCACACATACCCCATTCCTCCTAAAAAATCTAGAGATTGATTCATCAGATGTATGAAAATTAAAATTTTGAACATGAATGGTATAAGTTTTGGGGGGTTTTTGTGCCAGATTTTCATTAGATATTAATTCAACAGATATTATGCTGCCCATAAAGCTTTGAGAGCTCAATCTCGATGCATTTCTGGCATCTTCTAATGTAGGAAAAGTAATAATAGCATAACCTTTATTCTTACCTCTTCTTGATATGGGCATCTTGACCTTTCCTGGATGTGAATCTCTAAAGAAATAAAGAAGATCTTCTTTTCTTATCTCTTTATTTAAGCCACTAATTAAAACATCAGTTTTTAAGGAATCTGCGTGCTTATTTTCAGCTTTCTTTTGATTGGAAAAATCATGATCAATTTCTTCATACCTATATCTAGCAGCATATGGCGGTATTTTCAAAGAAGGAGGGCATTTCAGAGCTTGGATTTCCGAAATTATTTCTTTGCATTTTATTTCACTTTGGGAAGCTTTTTCTTTTTCTTTTGTAGTAATTCCTATAACTCCTGACGGCTATATGGAGTGAGTGACCTGGGTGTCAGCTTGTGGCCATTCCAGTCCAGTTATTGATTATTTGCTTGGTTTCTGGGCCACGGGTTCTTTCCCTATCGGTTCCCGAGGACCGTGGGTTTTTTTTCTGGGTACTCGCCCTTCCTCAAGGCAGTCTAGAGGAGGCATCGGACTAACCTTTGCCTACATAACACCTGCAAGACGCACACACGAGGAGTCTACCTAACTTGTCGAATCCCAAGAACGCAATTAAGCTATTAGTTCTGGGTAAAGACTGCTGTTGTTGATGGGCTCGGATAATCGATGCTACCACTAGCAAGCAATGGTCCGGTGTCGCAAGTGTATGAGGAGCATCAAATCTAAAAGACCTTAAGACTCTTAATTTAATTTAACTCCTGAAAGTTTAACTTCAGGAGCTGGGATATTTTTATTTTGGGTATCCAAAAATTCATCCCAATCTTTTTCAATATTTGAGATACTTTTAATAGCGCTGTCAAGATTTTTGTAGAGATCTTTAATAAGCTTAGAAGTTTCTTCTATGCTAGAGTTCACAAAAGCTGAAATATTTTTTTTAATTTCGATTGCGAGACTGTCTTGTTTTGTTGGTAGTGGGTGAAACAGTTTTCAAGGTGTGTTTTTTTGTAACATTTTCTTCTCAAAGAGGTGATATTCAAGTAAAACTTTTAGTATTGATAAATTTTTTGAGCTTTTTTCATTTGGGATATCTTCCGCCATTTTATTATATGGAATATTTCGGTGTTGATATAGCATAAATCACATATAAATAATTGGTAAACTTTTGTTTTATTAACTCCTCCTCCATGAGTGAAAAACCACATGAAAATTCCTTTTTTGGGTAAAAACCCACCCTCCGTGAGCGAACAAAAGTTTTTTTAATGTAAAATGTTTTATGAAAAAATATTTTGATAAGTGATAATTATTGTAATGAAATTTATAGCTAATTCTAATAAATTTAAACATTTTAAAACATAAATTTTACAAATTAAATTAATTTTTATTACGAATTGGATGCTTTTATATTTTAAAAAGAAAATTTACTATTTTGTGCATTGACCTTTATGGCACAAGTACAGGGGTCATACTGATGGCTAGTTCCGTAATCCAGACTTGGGGAATATGGATCTGGATATTAGTATGACCTGTGTGCTTGTGCACAAAAAGAGCCAATTTACAATATAAAAATATGTAAAATATTTTTCTAAAAAATTAACTCTTCCATGAGCGAAACAAAAATTTTGGTTCGCTCTCGGAGGGGAGTAAATTTAAAATACAGAACTAGAAGCTTAATTTTGCAATATTTTAAGTATCCAAACCAGTCAAGCAATTCGAAGAATTTTTTTTAGAGAATACGATACATATCAAAACCATCCGTACATGAATCCTCAAATGTCAGCGATTCATGGCCTATAAGGACCGTTTTGTCTGTTTAATCGATAGATCAGATTAGATTAGATAAGATATTTTTCATTTTATCCTATATTGAGCATATATCATTGACAACACTCTGCTGATTCTTTTATATCAGAGTAATATTTTTTCTTTGTTGATTATAGCTCCAATATAACATTTTAGCATTAATTAATTACTCTTCATTGGCCATACTAAATGGCAACTCGCTTGAAAGACAGCAAAATCAGGCAATCTAATAAATAAAGAGCTTATTTAATAATGGATGAAATTAACTTCCCATTTAAGAGCGAGCAAAGCATTGGAAAAATGCCTCCACCTTTTAGAGCTAGCAAAAAAATTTCTAATATAAATCTTTTTTATAAAAAAATTTATGTTTTTTAAACAGGATCTCTAATTAATTCTATCAAATTCAAGACACTTAAACGTAAATTTTGTAAATTAAATCATAATTTTTTGAAAATCCAAGAAAAAATTTGTTTATAATTATTTTAAAATGCTCAACCCCCCTTTTAGATAGAGCAAAACAATTTTGCTCACTCTTAAAATGGAGAATAAGAAAATAAAGACAATATAAAAGTCAGCGATCTTGGTGGAAAAGATTCATCAATGAATCAGAGTAAATTATCATCAGTATAAAGTTATAAATGGGTCAGAAACGAGGAATTGTCATCATTGACAGGGTAATTCTAGAAAAGTCATCAACTTAAGAGAATATGAATCAGGGCAGTATGATGTCGTCAAAATTCTGAAGCAGAACTGAACAGTTGTCATCAGTTTGTGGTTTATAAAATCAGAGAGCATTGATTTTTCATCTGGATGCAGTTGGTAATTCCAGCGTAAGGATCATCACCATTTAATTATTATAATGAAATGCAATATGGACTTCAGACTTCACAAACCTAATAGGTAGTCTAATTAAAAATATTTCCTTATTCAATATAAGTTCTAAAGCAAATTTATAAGCAAAAATATGAATTTAAAATAATGCCACATCGATTTATAAAAACTCAAAGTTTTTGTTATAAAAATTATTAACAACAGATAAAATCCCATAGTTATGGTCTCTTATCAAAATATTTTATAAATTTTTATTGATAATAAGAAACTCTGATATAAAATGAACTGATAATATATGAAAAATGGAAGAAAGCTCTAATTCTATAGATAACACACTATATATGACAGCAGGAATTCCTGATCTTATACCTCAGATAAGTGAAGAGGTTGCATCAAATAAAAGCGATACTTCAAACGAGTTCATTGCAAAGCATGAATTTGATTTTGGAATCCAAGAAGAGAGGCTTGACTCAGAAGATTCTTTACCTCTTTCAATTTCAAATCCGCGAATAGTAATAACTGATCCCCACACATTTAATCAAAGCAATAATCAAAATATTTTAGTTTAATCATTTTTTACCAGAAAATACTCAAATTATAGGCAGTTTCTAATATATTATAATTATAAAATAAATATTTTTTAATTGGATTTAAACTAATAAAGTATGCAAATAAAGAAGACGAAGAAGAATTTTATGAGATGAAAAAATCTTTTGAAGACGTAGATTTAGCAGCGACTGTGAAAAATCTTTGTGAAAATTTCCCAATGCTGAAAAAAGAGCCTGAAGAGTTTCCAGAGACAGTTGTAGATGAAATTGAGCCTTCGAAAACACTAATAATTGAAGTTAACAGGGCTTCTTTAGTTAGTGATGGGTGGATGGGATATAAATCTTACCATGTATATACGATTTTTACGAGAATAAATGAAGAAAGCTTTAGAGTCAATAGAAGGTTTAGGGACTTGGAGTGGCTGAATGATATTCTTAGAGAAAGATATAAATTAAAAATATTCGTACGCTTCTGACCAACGCTAGACTGCTTGTTAGTTTGAAATTCAGCAGCTATTTGGAGCAGAGTCTCCTCTAGGAGCAGGGAAAACTGTTAACCCCAATATTCTTGATTTTTAGGAAGACTCCCTGTCAGTACGCCATCAGGGACTATGGAGTTTAAAATTAGCTCGATACCTTCTGTCGTCAACTTGTGTGAAAGGTGACACCCAGATAAAGGAGCCAAGCCCTCCAGAGCTGATAGGGAAAAGAACAGATATCCAAAAGCCATTTGGATAATCAATATTTGGTCTGAAGTAACCGCTAGCTAACTTCAAAACTTACCAACCCCACAAGTCCACCGCAATTTGCAATGGTTAGAATTAAAGGGCTTGGGCCTTGGTTTGGATATAAAATGACTTTTGTGACTAGGGCGATAAATCATCCCAAAGGGCATATTTATAGCCACCAAATATAATTTTTGAAAGTTATAAAGGATTCTCAATCCCCCCTTTGCCTGATAAATCATTTTTATTCAAAAATAACAATAAGTTTCTTGAGCAACGACGAAAAGAAATTGAGCAATACTTACTCCCCCCCCCCTCCGTGAGCGAACAAAACCATTAGAAAAATCACCATTTTTTGACCAAAAACCCACCCTCCGTGAGCGAACAAAAATTTTTTTAATAGAAAAAATTTTAATGGAAAAAAAAAATTTTGATATATAAGTGATATAATTAGTATAATGAAATCTAGAGCTAATTCTGTTTAATTTTTAAACAAATTGCGTTTTAAAAACATAAATTTTGCAAATTAAATTAATATTTGCTTCCCAATTTTTGCAAATTAGGATTTTTTTAAATTTCGAAAAAAATATTTTTTATAAAATTTATATATAAATTTTTTTTAAAAAAAAAAATTAACCCCCCTCCGTGAGTGAACAAAATTTTTTTGTTCGCTCACGGAGGGGGGGGGGGGAGTTAGTTCTTTTAAGCAGACATCCAATATTGAAAGAATCGCCTCCATTTAAATTGTTTTTGGAATGCCCAGATGAAAAATTCGATAAAGAACAGCAAAACTTGAGCATTGAGAAAATTTCATTTCAATATGCAGATTTCGAAGATGCAGTCGATCAAATCGTCAGCAAGCTTGAAGTTAAGCTAAATATGATCCTATCAAGAAGGATTCTGCCATTTAGTAAAGATTTAGCTTCAATAGAAAGAACACTAAATATCTTAGAGGCCCCAACCTATTCTTTATCATGCGCTTTTAATAACTGGATTTCATGCCAAAATAAAAGTTTATCTTTATTAGGGGCAATTCATTTTCCAGACTCGTCAAAATTTTATCTTAATCTTAATTAACAGACTTGGCTTTCGCCTAATTTTAATGCAATCACCGAGGGTCTCCTAGAAGACTCAACCGGATTGTGACCGTGCCTATCACTTGGGCCAGCAGTGTCTTTCCTTGCCTTGCAGCTCCAGTATTGAGTGGGCAGTCGTCAAAATTTTATCAAGTAATTCAAGAAAATCGATATAATTTGAAAAACAGTTTTTCGGAATTAAACTCATTATCAAGAAGTATTAAAGCAGAAAGCTTAAAAATAGATGGCTTAAAGAATGCAATTTCAGACTATAAGGATCTTATGAGAAAATATTCAGAATTTGATTTATTAATCAATAGAAAATTAGATAAACAAAGATTCTCAATTGACCCAATGAAATGTGAAAAATATATAAAAGAAATTCAAAATGCTCAATCGGAAATTGAGAACCTGGAGGCAGAATTGGAAAAAGTGGAAGAAATTATTAAAAAAGAGCACGTATGGTTGCTAGCAGATCGTGAAGAACATTTTGAAAAAGCTTTAAATGAAGTTGTTGAATGCGAAAGATTAAGATACCAAAATGAAAGCGCATTTTGGCTTGATAAAAAACATGATGTATCTAATAAATCAGGATTTGAAATAAGCCGAACTCGTCTTTAAATTGAACTCATTTATGATAATTTTGAATAATTAAGCTGCTAATTCCACCCCTAAGTGAGCGAAAAAAAAAAAGGAAAATTCATAATTTTTGGGTTAAAAAACCACCTCCGTGAATATACAAATTTTTATTTTATAAAAGTATTGATATATAAGTGATAATTAGGATAATGAAAATTGTGTTGAGTTTCAAACAGCTTTCTTCTCACATCTTAAATATTAAAAATTAAATTTTGAATAAATATAAAATTTATATATAAATTTAAAAAAAATTTAATCCATCTTCATATAGGCGAACAATATTTTTTTGTTCTCTCACGAAAGGTGAGGATTGGGAAGTAAGGAAAAAAATTATTAAATTTACCTTAAAGCTAATTAAATTAATTTAATAAAATATGTGTGGGGGTAAAGTAAAGCATTAGTTAAAATAAAGCCAAAAAGCCAACCAATTCCAATTAAAAATATTTTTAAATTAAATTTTAAAAATCTTCACCTAGCCACATTATAAAATATGGAGTGGATCGAGTACAGTCACCCAGCTTTGCTGAACTCTTAACTTAACTTAAATTTATAGCGCTTTACGTCCCTTCGGGGTTGACATCCCAGACCTTTCCGCCATCTCTTCCACGCATCGGGCCCACAGGCCGCTGGGACAGTCTGCTTCGTTACACCAGGGTGCGTTTGGAGAGGTGTTGCCGGCTTCGACGGCTCATGAGTGCACTGTAACATGGGTTGTCTTTCCGAAAATCCATAAAAAATGGATTTTCTGGTCGACTCTTGGCAAAAAGGAAAAAAACGTAGCCTTAGACATAACGCCCAGTTTCACTCTAGGGAGTTGCCCGATTGGTCCAAAGGACTTTGCTGAGCTCCCCCTTTCCAACTTCCGTGCCCTCCTTCCCCATGAGAAAAAAATCCACCTCTGAGATTAGACTTGGGCTAGGCTCTGAGCATAACCAGAATTTGTTATCTAGCATTGCTATCCATCTCTGAAACGGTAAAACCTTGCCGGATACAATTAAAATATGAGTCGGAGGATGCATGGCCAGGAGGCCATGCCTAGACGAAGACGCCATATTTTAATTATGCTTTGCTGAACTCAATGCTTTACACAGCCTTAAGCCCATTTCTCTGGACTATTATAGCCCGCTTTGAGTTTCACACAAAAGGAATTTCAAAAATGTTCTTTGGCCACAAAAGAGCAGCCGTAGGACTATTCGGTGCAATAATTTTCACACTTAACCTTGTAAGAGGTTTTGCATTCCATGAAGCAATAGAAAACGAGCCACAAATGGACATTGACAGTTTTGCACTTGACGTAGCATCCTACGCCTTTATAATTATTGGACAATTTTTTGTCGCAGCCTCATTTTACAGATTAGGAATAGTTGGAACATATTATGGAGACTATTTTGGAATTGCTCTTTTTGATGGACCGCTAAAGTGTTTCCCATTTAGCGTTTGTAATGATCCCATGTACTGGGGATCAACGGGAACTTTCTTTGGATATGCTCTCTTGGGGAGAAGCCCTGCTGGGATTTTCTTAACCGGATGGGTAGCTATTTGCTATATGATTGCTGTAGCTTTAGAATCCCAGATGCTGCAGGTCATCTATCCAAAGAAAATCGAATAAAGTATAATCATAAGATTACTCGTATAATAAATAGTTATAAATAACGTTTTAATTAAATTTGCAATATTTATTTTTGTACAATCCATAATAGAATTTATTTTAATCTTATCTATAAATTACAAATACTTCCAAGAATTTAAAAATTTTCTGAAATGCGAACTTTTATATGTTTTTTATTGAAAAATTAATTAAATTTTGCTGATTTTTTTTTACTAGTCCTTGAACTCCTCAATCTGAGCGAAAAAGAAAACATTAACATGATACAGGTTTTCTCTAGTAAATCCAGATTTTTTGGAAAGTATTTTCAGATAATCTAAATATGGCAACGAATTTCGAAAGAGTTGGTGGACACAATGCAGTGGTGGCTCTAATTGACGGATTATACTCAAAGATTCTTGCAAACCCAATCACAGCAGCTGCATTCGCTGGGAAAGATGTGAACCATGTCAAGGCCATGCAAGTTGAGTATTGGTCTGAATGGTTAGGAAGTGGGACACCTTACACTGGAAGGTCAATGGCAGACGGCCATAGAGGACTTAACCTCTCCAAAGAGCAATTCGATTTGGTTGCTGGGTTCCTTTTGGCCACTTTAAGAGAGCTTAATCTCGATGAAGCATATGTCAATGCAGTCATGGCACATGCAGGCGGCTTAGAGAGTGAAATAATTAACCTCTAAATTTAACCTTTCTTTAATTAAAGGCTCGCCTCTTAAAGATCTTTTGGATTCAAGATAAGTTAAAAACCAAGGAAAATTTTATTCAACCATATTTCTTACTAGTTCTAAGTTGGGATAAGAATCTAGCCCAATATGAAGAAGCTGGACTACTGATTCAATATCTATCAGCAGATGACTAAAAATTTTTATTTTTAAGTATAGAGGTGAAATAAATTTTTTGGTTAAATTTTACAGTTTTTTTAACAGTAACTTTTTATCTATGTTTCTTAAAACAAATATAGCAGCTGCCACATCAAGAATTAGTTTAATGGCTTTAAGCCATAAAATATGAATTTAAGCTTCTGAAAAATCTGTTAAAACAAATTTTCGCATATATTATTTACTCAAATAGAAATAAGCAATTTCAATTCATAATATACTTCTCAGACGAGAAAACTAAGCTAATTTCGCAATTTATAAAATAAATAAAAATTATTCAGTTTTCTGAGGTAATTAATGAGTTTTACAAGTAATCGTCCATAATAAATAAATGGCAACTATTTACGAGAGAGTTGGTGGACACGCAGCTGTAGTTGCCGTCATAGATGGACTCTATGCTAAGATCCTTGCAAACCCAGTGACAGCTGCAGCCTTTGTCGGAAGAGATGTCAATCATACTAAGGCAATGCAAGTTGAGCTCTTTTCTCATACTCTTGGTAGTGGTATCCCATACACCGGAAGAGAAATGATCCCAGTGCACACTGGACTCCACATCACTAAGGAGCAGTTCGATTTAGTGGCTGGATTTCTGTTAGCTACTTTGAACGAGCTTCATGTGGATCAAGAAATCGTAAACACTATCATGACTTTTGCAGCTTCATTGGAACCTCAGATTATTAACCTTTAATAGAACTTCTTAGCATATTACTAGCTTTAATTTTCCTTGATCAGTAGCAATTGGAGTTGATCAATAGCAAATCAAAAAATAAAAATATTCAAATAAAAATCGAGGCAGGTAAGAAATCACAACTTATGACAATTGATTTAAAAGTAACAAAGGATTATGTTAGAACGACTACTAAAGGATGCCAGAAACTAATTAAAAATTTCATTTTATTTAGCCATTTAAAAGCAACCAATATATGAAAAGCCTAAATATGGATGATCTCTTTATATGAAAATATATGTTTAACTACAATTTTCATTCTTTCAATTTATCAATATAAAAAATCATATGACTTATATTAAATATCAACAATAATTTTTATATAATAAAAATAAAATAATTAAATAAAATCTGCATTAAAGATAAAACCTTCAGCTCCTTTCTATTACACAAATAATATAAATCTATAAGATGATTTTGCACTGAATAAAATAATGAAATAGAGAGCGAATATGGAAACCAACTGAGTTATAAACAATGGCATCGATTTATGACAAAATCGGTGGTCTTCCATCCTTAGTAGCTGTTATAGACAGGCTATATTCAAAAGTTTTAGCTGATCCCATTACTGGCCCAGCATTTGAAGGCAGAGACTTGGATCGAGTTAAAAGATATCTTAACTTAACTTATCAGCTGGTATTTAAGGTGTCTAGTGCCGAACCCTAAATAAATAGGGATATAGCAGACTAGTGACGTCACCGAGCCATCTCGGAATCGCGGTGGTCAGCCCACCGGCCAAGCCCTTCTATCAAAGCTTCGTCGCCAGTCGCCGCATGTTCATCCGGAGCGTTGCCGATGCCTTCCCTTGACTCAGCTCCTGCGCGTGTTCCGTTTAAATGTCATCTTCTTGTGGAGATGTACTGAGAGGTGAAAGAGTTAAAAGATATCAAGTCGAAATGTTCGGAGTTATAATGGGGGGAGGATTGCTTTACACAGGCAGAGGAATGTCAACTACTCATAAAGGCCTTCGCATTCAAAAACAGCAATTTGATGTTTTTTGTCGCTATTTATTGGAAACTTTAGAAGAATTGAATCTTGACCAGGAAAGCAAAGATATTATCATGAGATTTGTAACAGAGATGGAAGGCAAAATAGTAAATCGCTAGGCATCTGACCACACAAAGCACAACTTTCAATAAATTAAAAGTATTTATTAAACAAACTATTATAAATTTGGTATAGCTTAATATCTTTTCTGAATAATCTTTGAAAATGCATGATTATTATAAAACTTTATATCTTTTTCTTTGAGGGATTTAATTGTAAGCAAGATTAAAAAAGTTAAACAAGTTTTTGATGATTTTTTACTATTGTGTTGGAGATAGATTATTTTTAAGAAGCATATTCTATTTTATTATAATGCTAATAGCGCATTTTAATTTTGTGTGTTTGGGAGACTTATGATTTTACTATAGTGTAGAGAGTTTAGAATGAGCTTCTCAATTCAGAAATTTAAGCAATATATAAACAAAAGCTGGCTCATAATTTTACTGGTTTTATAGTAAGAATATAAATATTTTTTAAATAAATAAACTGATTAGGAAGATTTATAAATAAAGATATACAATAGATCACTTAAAATTTTTGTGAGAAAAGATAATATTTTATATTGGATTGCATTTTATTATTTATCGAATCCCAAACAATTATTTTGATCACTTAATTCTCCGAAACTCTATGTGTCAAAAATCATGCATAAACTAATTAAAATTTTATGAAATACCCCTCCATATCGTTATATAGTCTGTTTATTTTTCAATAAAACCTCAACTAGCAAACGCTCCATCTTTCATTCGCCATAGTCTGAATATAACTTTTAATCAGCATAATCAAATACTACAAAATGAAATGCTCACAAATCATTCTTACAATATTTTTATCATTTTGTTTTCATTAATATATTTTTTCAATTTTTGAATTATTCTTCTCCGATCCATACATTCCATTATAATCCATAAATGAAGATCATCGACTTGATTAGCGAGAGGAAGAAAGAGGGACATATTCCTTTCTATTCGTTTGAATATTTCCCACCTAAAACAGAAGAAGGTATCATCAACTTAATCCCCTCCTTTTAAATTGGAACAAAAATCTTGTTCCAATTTAAAGGGGTTAATTTTTATTGCAAAATATTAATATCAAATTTATTTATAAAAATATTTTTTAAAATATTAAAAATATAGTACTTTAAAAATTTTAATTTATTTTTATAGAGAATTAACTTTAAAATATTAATTCAGCGTGTCAAATGTTTGAACAGTATTTTATTTGCATTCCCTCTATTAAATTATGTCAACTATTTATAAAATTATCCATTGAAAAGTGTTTGTTCCATTTAAAAGGGGCAAAAAAATGCAAATTTTTTATTATTTTGTTCCAATTTATAAGGTTTTAGTTAAAAATCAAGAATTGAAAGGATGGTCCATCAGCTTAATCCTCTTTTTGCCGACGTCACCTGGGGAGCAGGCGGTTCTACAAGCACCGAAACAATCAACATTTCTTCCTGAATTGAAAGGTACAGTGGAACTGAAGCCATGATGCATCTTACGCTTACCAATATGACTCTCGAACAAATTGATACAGCAATTGAAGAAGCTAAAGAAAAAGGCATCAAAAACATTTTAGCTCTTAGAGGCGACCCTCCTCGTGGCCAAGAAGCTTGGCGTCCTCCTGAAGGTGGTCTTCATTATGCATCTGACCTTGTTCGTCACATAAAAGAGAAATACGGTGATTATTTTGGAATTGCAGTCGCAGGATACCCAGAAGGGCATGTTGATGCTACAAGCAAAGAAGATGACTTAAGCCACTTAAAAGAAAAAGTTGATGCTGGGGCTGATTTAATCATCACTCAGCTGTTTTACGATGACGATGTTTTTATCGATTTCTATCAAAAGTGTAGAGAAATTGGGATTGCTTGTCCAATCATACCAGGAATCATGCCAATCCAAAGCTACCAAGGCTTCCATAGAATGACCACCTTTTGCAAGACTAAAGTCCCTCAACAAATTTTAGATGACCTTGAAGCCATAAAAGAAGATGAAGACGAGGTAAAGAAATATGGGATTAATTTAGCTATTAAAACATGCAAAAAACTAGCAGAGTATGGAATTGAAGGTTTTCATTTCTACACTCTTAACTTAGAAAGATCAGTAATTGCAATTGTCAATGAATTAGGACTTGTAGAAACAGAAAGAGAAGCACCTTGGAGAAAAGTTGCAGGAAGAAGAGATGAAGGAGTCAGACCTATCCATTGGGGAAACAGGCCTAAAAGCTATATAGAAAGAACTCTTGCATGGGATGATTATCCTAACTGGCGTTGGGGTGACGCAAGAAGTCCTGCATTTGGTGCTCCCCATCCGCTTTCTACAAGAAACTACACGATCGCACAGATAAAAGATTTAACTCCCCCCCCCCTCCGTGAGTGAACAAAAAAATTTTGTTCACTCACGGAGGGGGGTTAATTTTTTTTTTTCGAAATTTAAAAAAATCCTAATTCGCAAAAATTGGAAAGCAAATATTAATTTAATTTATAAAATTTATGTGGTTTTAAAATGCAATTCGTTTAAAATTAAACAGAATTAGCTCTAGATTTCATTATACTAATTATCATTTTATATATAACAATTTTTTTTCCATAAACAATTTTTCTCTCTAAAAAAATTTTTTGTTCACTCACGGAAGGTGGGTTTTTGGGCAAAAAATAGGGATTTTTCTAATGGTTTTGTTCACTCACGGAGGGGGGGAGTAAGGAAAAAATGGGGATCCCCAGAAACAGAAGAAGACGTAAAAAACATTTTTGTTAGGTTTTTGCAAGGAGAAATCAATAGATTGCCATGGCTAGAAGAAGAGCTTGAAAAAGAAACAATCCTTATTCAAAATTTATTAGTCGAAATGAATAACCACAACTTATTAACAATTACAAGTCAACCTCAAGTAAACGGTGCCTTATCAACAGACGCTAAAGTAGGCTGGGGTCCAAAATCACAAAAATTAAACGGCTATGTCTACCAAAGAGCTTTTGTAGAGTTTTTCTGCCCACCTTCATTTGTGGATGCGATTATTAGTGTTCTTGATAAACATTCGAGCGTTTCTTATATGGCAGCTAATATTGCAGGAGATTTCAAGACAAATATGGAAGAAGGAACTGTAATTGCAGCAACCTGGGGTGTTTTCCCTAACAGAGAGATCTTGCAGCCGACTATTGTGGACAGAGAAGTGTTTTACAAATGGTGGAGACAAGAAGCTTTTGCAGTTTGGCTTGACGAATGGGCTGTAATTTATGAAGATGAGAGCCCTTCAAAGCAACTGCTTAGGTCAATATATGATAGTTATTACCTCTTTAACGTTATAGAGAATGACTATATTGGAGGAAACATTGATTCATTATTTGAAGAAGTTTTAACAGCTTTACCTAGTAGGAATTAAAATAGTTAAGGTTTTTAGAAATTTAGAATAAACAATTGCTACCTTAGAAAGACCTGCAAAATAATTTAAATTTATGAAATTATATTATGCTTCATTAACTGTGTGGACCATATTTATATCTCCTTCTTGCAAGATTACACCTGGTCAAGCATAGGTCGCAACCAGACACCCCCCAATAAGGGAACCCCCCACCCCACCCCCCTAATAAGGGAACCCCCTTTTCGCAGATGGCACCCCCACCCCCTCCTCTCGGGTTTATCCTATAGAAGTATTTTGATAGGAAATAAGCAGAATAAATTAAACATAACCCAATTAAAACACTATATTTTTAAATTAAGTCCACAAATTACTTTATATTTATGATTAATTAATAAATTTAAATTAATTAGCAATTAATTAGAAAATATATTAAATTTGTTTTTTATATTTATAAATATAATGCCAAAAATATAGATAATGGCATTAATTATTAAATTAGCCAAGCATAATAGAATAACTTGCATTAAATTTATGGATTCATAAATTAAAGCTAATCTAATGACAATTGTACAAGGATTGCAGGACTGAATTGGTAGCAGGATTCAATAGTGCTAATAAAAATAGTATTTGCTATTGTCAGTTTTACTTTTGGATCTCTAATTTGACTTTTTAGCCATTGTTCCACAAAGTTCATAAATATATGCAGGATATATTGCTAATTAATACCAAAGATCATTATTATGCTTGCTAACAAATTTTTTCAGATTTGGTGAGCTTACTAGTTATAGGAAATTCTCACCCCATCCCATCTACTCCTTAATCGATTGTGCTACGCTATGTGGATATTTGCATAAATCAGTAATTTTGAATATTTAAAATAATAATTTATTTATTGCGTCTGCTCTAAATTGGCATTTTTCATATATTTTATGCTATATTATGGAGGATGGGGTGGGAGTGCCATTTTTTAGGGGGGGTGGGGGTACCATTAAAAAAGGTGGGGGTGGGTGTAGGGTTGCTACCTGTGCTTGACCATACACCTTCTCCTCCATTATTATAATCAAGTCTAAATACCATATATTTTCCAAAATTATTCAAAGCAAACAAATAATTTGAATCAGGCACCAGCGTGGCTGTATAAGGCGATTGAAAATTTGTCCTTACAACAATATAAGATCTTGACGTCTCAAATGAGTCTTTATACGATTCAGGCACCACTAAGCTGGCAGCTGAAAAAATTGACGTTTTTATCATATCTCCCCAAGATCTTTTTTCACTTATATCTTCTCTGCTGATATTGTATATATGAATAGTCCCTGTATCACTGCACGACATCAATAAATCCCCATTCAAGCTAAAACTCATTGAATACGTCAGCGCAGTCATCAGTCCTCTTTTAAACGTATAAATCTTGTTCCCCTCAGGCACCGAAAATACCCTAATAACTGTTCCTTTCTCACTGGCAGTCGCACACAAATCCCCTTGAGCTGATATACTTATAAAAGCCAATTTCGAGTTATGAGCCACCACTTCTATTCTATGCTGAAAGCTAAAGCAGTCATAAATATGAAAATTTCCTCTTTCCTCACTTGAAGGATATAGCAGCCAGCACGCAGAATGTGAAGGCGACAAGGCTGCTATGCCTTTGGGGTTGTTGACAGTCTTTAGCGTCCCTACAGTTTTCATTGTTGTGGTGTCGTAGATATAAATTCCATCACAAATTACAGCAACGATTCTGACTCGGTTCATTTTGACTGCTAAAATTGAGTCAGGGAAAGAAGTTTCGCATATCGGTGTCCTTTCAGCAAGATTTCAAATAGTCAGTCTTCTTGGTGAAAATGCAGGCTGTTCGCCTGCACCGACAAGGACAATAAGTTGTGAGCTTTCATACATTTCCACAATTTTGAAGTTACCATTATCGTCATGGTGCAAAAGCTCAATTGGTCAAACTTTGAAAACTTTGAAGCCTGCACGGGACCCAGTAGTCAGCAGAGTTCGGTCTTTATTGAATCCGATATATAGAATTTCTTCTGTTTCCATTTGAATTAAAATTTATTATTAATGTAGCCTGTTTAAGACTTGATAGGTTTCAAGAATGGTCAGGTCTGGGTTGCTAACAAGCTTGCCGTGGCCAACTTTTAAGTATTTTTCATTCTGAGAGTCTTCGACGTGGCAGTATTTTAAAGGCTCCATGTCAAATGACTGTGGATTTTTGACAGTATGCATTTCATCAAATCCATTTGGTCGAAAATTTTTGATAGTGGGGAAAATTAACGATTTTTTTCGGTCAAATGTCTCACTATCAAAGTTTTCGATCAATTTTCGGCCAAAAATTTGTCGGTGAAATGGACACTATCAAAAAGGCAAAATCATTTGACCTGCACCCTTTTAAAGCTTCAGTAGCAAGTATTTTAAGTTCTTCAGGTCGGAGGTCAATACCTTTGGCTGAGTGTTTTACACCGTCAATTATATTGTAGTCAAGCTTTGCAGAAGGGGTAAGGCTGGCTTGGCTTCGGCTTTGGACTGTTTTGACAGCTTTAAAATAAGTTTTATGGTGGAGGCTTGCAAAGATCTGTTTTGGGGTCAGTCCTTCTTCTTTGTGGGCTACGTTTACTTCAGTTTTGGAGCTCCCAGGCTTTTGTCCTGGCTTTGACTGAGGTTTGTATTGTTCGCCTTCGATTTCTTCAATATTGACATGTCTTTGCATGAGCTCGTCTTTGATTCTTTCCAAATTATTTCTCGGTTTATACCTTATTATTTTAATTACAATATAAAAATAATTAAAATATCAATTAACAAATTTATTATAAAAATATGATAAAATACATTCGGTTTGGAAGAATTTTTTCTTCACTTTTATTTGTCACTTTTTCAGCTGGTGTGACAGGATTTGATTTGATGAACTGTTCATTTTGAAGATTCTCTAGAATTCTTTGCCGTTCACTCTTATAGCCTTTCAGAATTATATTGGCAGCTCCTTTATATTTACTTGGATCAGTAATTCTTCCAGCCACTTCTAGTGGGCTCTGATATTGCTTCATTTTATATGGCTCTTTTATCATTGCAACAATAAATTGCTTAATTCTATAATCATAACTGTCCAAATATTTTTTTCTAGTTTTTAAAGCGACTTGCCGTTGGCTGACCGCTCTTTGGGCTTCTTTTTCTTTTTGTTTTCGTTCTTTTAATTTTTGATCATAAGCATATACATTAAACATTTATTTTCTTTTAATATCGATTACGAAACTGCTAATAATGGAAGTGATAGATGGTCTGGTAAATCAAATTGGAAACGCGGTCGGAATTCAGCCTGGAGGAATTGCTGTACAAGGCGGAATAGGACTGGAAAATGAAGAAAATAAACAAGATTTAGCTGACTCAGTGCAGTTTGCAGATTTAGATAAAGCTAAAGCATTTAGAGATAGAAACACAGTTCGAGATTGGACAGACGACGGAAGATTTGTAGAATACTCTGTATGAAGCACAAGTCCACAAGTGCTTGGAGAGTATGGAGTCGGGCTTGAGCTATATTTTACAATGCTCAAGTATTTTGCCTTTTTATTTCTTATCATTAGTCTGATATCAATTTGGCCAATTTTAGAAAATTGGTATGGATCTGGACTTGATGCGGCAGATAGTGAAAAATCTTATAGCACTATTACTCTAGCAAATAATGGAGCTTTTCATTATAAGTCTATACCAGTTACTGAAGATGCTAACGCAGTTTTAGATGATGAACAAAGTGATGTTGATGATTTTGAAAATAATCAAATCCGTGTGGCTGTCGCCGATTTTTTGTATACTTTTGTGTTTATTGGATTTTTAGTGTACTATAAAAAGCTCTCAAAAAAAGTAGCTGAGAAGAATTTTAAGGATAATGTAACTGCTGGAGATTATGCTGTTGAAATTAAAGGACTCCCTGCAGAAGATATAGAGGAAAAAGAAATTATTGAGCATTTTCAGAAATTTGGGGAGGTTGTGGAAGTATATTTACTCCTCCCTCGTGAACTACTAAAATCATTAGAAAAATCCCTATTTTTGGGTAAAATCCCGCTTCGTAAGTGATCAAAAAATTGTTTTTTATTATAAAATTTTTATGAAAAATATTTTGATATATAAGTGATAATTACTATAATGAAATCTATAGCTAATTCTGTTTAATTTTAAAAACATAAATTTTACAAATTAATATTTCTTTAGAAAAAAATAATACTATAAAATTTATCTATAATTTTTTAAAAAAACGAATTAGCTGCCTCTTGTGGGGGAGTTAGCAAGAAAATATAATGGCTGGCTTGGAAGCTATAAAACCAGAGCAAAATTGTCTTTTCAAGAAGGGTACCTTAAACTAATGGCACAAAACGATCCAACTCAAGAAGCAAAACTAAAAGCTATCCAAGAAGACATAAGAGAATTTGATGAAAAACTTCTTACTTACCCCCCCCCCCCCTCCGTGAGCGAACAAAACCATTAGAAAAATCGCCATTTTTTGACCAAAAACCCACCCTCCGTGAGTGAACAAAAATTTTTTTAATAGAAAAAATTTTAATGGAAAAAAATTTTGATATATAAGTGATAATTAGTATAATGAAATCTAGAGCTAATTCTGTTTAATTTTAAACAAATTGCGTTTTAAACATAAATTTTGCAAATTAAATTAATATTTGCTTCCCAATTTTTGCAAATTAGGATTTTTTTAATTTCGAAAAAAATATTTTTTATAAAATTTATATATAAATTTTTTTTTTTAAAAAAAAAAATTAACCCCCCTCCGTGAGCGAACAAAATTTTTTTGTTCGCTCACGGAGGGGGGGGGGGAGTTAGAAAACGAAAAGACGCTGCCGAAGCAAATGAAGATTTAATTGTCGACCGCGCATATTTAGTATTCAATGACGTCAGTTCTCGTAAAAAGTGCTTAACTGCATATGACACTAAGCTTAAACTTTTCCGAAAACAAATGCAGCCAAAAGAGCTAAGATTTAGAGGGACTTACTCTTTAGTAGTAAAACCTACAGTTGAGCCCTCAAATATCAAATGGGAAAATCTCGAGTATGGGCATTGAAACCGCCAAATCCGCAGAACCATTATCGTTGCTTTATCAATTGGAATCATGATCGGGTCTATTATTTTAATGTGTGTCATCCAAAGAGAAGAAAATTTACTACCAAGCTCCGAAACTTGTGCAAAAAAAATTAATAAAGACGCTTCCTTAGAATACGCAGAGGCTAACTATACAAGTGATACAAAAACATACTGCTGGTGTATGCAGCAAAGTTTTTCAAAAATCGTTGATAATTCTGATTACAACCATTATTGCAAAGATTACATTTCCCAATTATCAATTGCGACAACTGTAAGAGTGTTTGCAAGTATAGGGATTATTGCAATTAACTATGTGTTAAAATGGGCTTTGGCATGGCTTACTAGGTACGAAAGAGCTTCAACGTGGACTAAAGAACAGTTAGCTATTATGAATAAGCTGTTTTTTGTGCTGTTTTTCAATACCTCAATGATAAATTTATTTGTCAATGCAAATTTCGAGGACCTTGTATTCGTAAAAGATTTAGCCTTTAAAGATTATTTATTCAATGGAGATTATGATGATTTTTCAAGAGATTGGTACACAAAGGTAGGAGCCACAATAGTGGTTACTATGTTTATTGGTATTGCATCCCCACATTTTATAACGTTATTCGTGATGTACCCTATAAACGTCATAAAAAGACGCTTTTTTTACAAATATTACAAAATGCAGCATGAGCTAAACGCTCTGTTTGCAGGCCCCGAATTTCAATTATCAGTCAGAGTTGCGCAAATCATGAACACGATTTTCACTTGTTTTCTGTACTCAGGAGGTATGCCACTGCTAAACATTATTTGTTTTTTTACATTATTTTTTGCATATTGGACTGATAAGTTTCTTATTCTTCGTTATTACCGGACCCCTCCTTTATATTCAAACCACCTTAATGATAGATTCCAAATTTATATGCCTTACGCAGTACTTTTACACTGTGGATTTTCACTTTATATGTATGGAGCTGATGAGATTTTTCCGAAGTCTCTTTATGTGAATGATTCGAGACAGATAATGCCAGAGCATGAGACATTGAGAGAAAGGATTTCAAGGGACTCAGGGGTTTTGAATATGACGCTGATTTCGCTTATTTTTGTGATTTTTATATCTGTGATCATTCTTAATGAAGTCTTGAAATTTAGAAAGACGACAGCTCAGGTTGGAGATGAACAGACTAGGGATGACCAGGGGACGTATAAAGCAAACTATAAGGAAATAAAGGAACATGGGATTCCGTCGTATGATATTATGCAAAACCCAATATATAAGCCTGTACTTGTGTCGCTTAATGATGCAGCTCATGATATCGCAGAAGCAAAGGGTGTTAAAAATACAAAGGATGATGTATAGATTAATAAAAAATATTTTTATTATTTACTCCCCTTTTAAATTGGAACAAACATCCGTAAAGTTTGCATTTTTTGCGGCGTTTAAATTGGAATAAAATTTGTTTTTCAACAGGAAAATTTTTACTGATAGAAAAGTAATTTGAAGACAAAATGCAAGTAGAATGCTATTTAAGCAGTTTTTAAACTAAATCGATTAATTTTTTTTTAACTCTTTATAAAATAAATTAAAATTAAAAGTACTATATCTTTTTATATATTTTATAAAAAAATAAAGATGAAAATACTAAATTTTATAAAATTAATTTTGACCTATTTAATAGAAAAAATGCAAGTAGAATGCTATTTAAACAGTTTTCACAATGAATCGATTAATTTTTTTAATTATTTTTTCATAAAAATAAATTAAAATTCAAACTATTATGCTTAATTTATATTTTTTTTAAATTTTATAATTTTTTAAAGAGAAAATTTTATTTTAAAAAAAAATAACCCAATTTGAACAATTTTTTGTTCAATTTAAAAGGTGGAAGTGAGCTTTATATTATAAAGGGTAAATTCGATAAATAAAAATTAATAATTTTTTATTTATCATAAATTTATCTCGTAAGATTTTTGCAGTATTAGTATTCTGAAAAAATAAATTACAAAAGTCTCAAACTTTCAAATACAAATAGATTCTTTTGGAATTTCTGCTATCAATATTTATTAATAGTTTTTAAGACACTTTAAAACAGATATTTTTAATTTCTTAGCTGCAATATATAACCTTACCCTTTTATCACCCTTTTTGATAGCATCATCCCTCTTAATACATAATTATTAGTCAGTTATAAAATTTAATAAAGATATAAAACTGTTTAACTAGAAATTCACTAATTTCCAACACAAAATATTTTTTCTACATCAACTCTAAAATTGATTAATAAAATGGATGTTCAAATTAAAACTCCTTCATTATCTGTAAATCAAGGTGCTCCAGCTATCAAATTGGCTTCCTCTAAATATAGAAAGAAAAGCTCAAGCAGTTCATCGTCGTCCTCTTCAAGCAGCTCTATCGAAATACCTAATCCAAAGCAAATTCCTAAAATTTCTGAAGGACAATCAGCCATTTCAGGCTTAAAAATTGGTACGAGGCCAGAAAAAGGTGCTGAGCCAGAAAATTTTTGAAATTTTAACTCTCAAGAAGATTCACACTCATCTTCGTCGTACGGAGACACCGAAAGTGAAAGCTCTGTCGTAGCGAATAATCAGCAAGCATCAGGCCAAAACCAGCCGAGTGTACCTGACTCAAAGCTAAAGTTCGATTTTAATATCCCAAAGCCAAATCTAGCCCAAAAACAAAATAACCCAATCGCGAAAATTTCTTCAGGTTTCAACGAGAAAAAACAAATAAAATTTTCAGAAAATAGCTTTTCCTCTATTTCTGATGAAGAAAATTCAAGCTTTGCCAAAGGAAAAGGAATGGATATTAGGGGAAAAGCACCAAATATTCGTCTGGATACAAATGAGTCAGAGTTATCTGAAGAAAGCAAGCTTATGAATAATGAAGAAAATCAATATGTATTAAGCTTAGGCAAAGAAGCAGCAAATCCTTCAAGAAAAATCGGGTTTTCTGGGCCAGGATTGGTTGGAGCAAGTGCAAATCCTCAAAGAGTAAGTCCACCAAAGCCTAGAGGTTTTGAACAAGTTGACGATCTTGATGTAATTATTCTCCAAGAAAACCCTAAAAATGTGATGCAGCCTAAAATAGAAGAATCCAAATGGAAAAACCCTCCAACATTTCAGTCCCAAGGTCCTGGAGAAATCAAGCAAGATCCTAACGTCCAGAAAATCGAAATTAAAGGAGAAGGAAAAATAGGTGGAAGCTTTGGGCTTGGAGGAAAGACTAGTGAAAATCCAGAAAAAGGAAAAAATATTGAAATTAAAGGAGATGGGCCTAAAATTGGTGGAGGCTTTGGGTTTGGAGGAAAGGCTGTTGAAAACCCAGAAAAAGGAAAGAATATTGAAATTAAAGGAGAAGCCCCAAAAATTGGTGGAGGCTTTGGGTTTGGAGGAAAGGCTGTTGAAAACCCAGAAAAAGGAAAAAATATTGAAATTAAAGGAGAAGCCCCAAAAATTGGTGGAGGCCTTGGATTCGGAGGAAGACTTGCTCCCTTTAAGAGCAAGGAAAATGATTGGAAAAAATAGACCTAATATGAGCAAAAATTTTTTAAATTAAAATATTTTTATATGTAATTAATGATTGCTATAATGATATCTAAGCTAATTCTAATGAATTTAGGTATCTTGCATTTTTTAAGCATAAATTTGTAAATCATATTAGATTTTCGCTTCAAATATTTGGATTTTTAAAATCTGCTAAAAAATTATTTTACCTGAAAGCAAAAAATCTTGGAGCTCTTAAAAGAGTAGGAGTTAGTGAAAGTTCAGATAATGGCAAAAACACTGAAATTAAAGGAGAAGTGCCAAAGATCAGCGGAGGTCTAGGATTAGGAGGAAGAGGTAGTGAAAGCTCCGAAAAAGGCAAAAATATCGAAATTAAAGGTGAAATACCAAAAATCAGTGGAGGCTTTGGACTGGGAGGAAGAGGTAATGAAAGCTCCGACAAAAGCAAAAATATCGAAATTAAAGGAGAAGTGCCAAAAATCAGTGGAGGCTTTGGACTAGGAGGTAGAGCCAATGAAAGTCCAGACAAAAGCAAAAATATTGAAATTGGAGAACATGACGCAAAACTTAAATTTCAGGACCCGAAAATGCAATTTGGCTTTAAAGGCGAGGATAAAGGACCAAAATTAGGCGAATTTAAAATGAAAGGAGATCCAAATATAAAAGAAAACGAAGATAAGTTCAAAGCTGAAGTTGGTATAAATAAAGGGATGCAAAAAGGGCAGATGGTTGTAAAAGATGCAGATGAGGCAGATATGGACGTTGATATTGGGAGGCCTCAACCAATCGGAAGAATTCAAGGCAATTTCCAAGCCCCTGAATTAAATGCAGCATCTAAAGGAAAGAATATTGAGCTAAAAGGTCCACAGCTTTACGGTGAAGGTCAAACTGATATTAAAATTGAAAAATCCACAAAAGAGCCTGGATTTGGCATAAATTTGTCTGGAAAATCTACCAATATATCAGGCGGCAATTTTGAAAGTCCTAGCATACCTAATTTTGGAGTAGACTCAAAAATTGAAGCCAAAAACATAGATTTAAATAAACCAAAATTGGCATCAGACGAAAGTATTGACAAAAAAGGCACTTTACAAATAAATCCTGAAGGTGTTAAATTCCCTCAACAAGATATCGGGAATAAAAAAGTAGAAAAAGGAAATTTAAATTTTGGGCTTCAAGGAAATGTGCAAGGGTTAGATCCAGCGCTAAAAGGAAGCAAACCTAAAGGAAATTTATTGCAAGATACTGAAATTAAAGGAAATATTGATAATAAGCAGTCAAAATTAAAATTTGAGCCAAAATTGACTGATAATATTGAAATAGATAAGCCAAAGTTGAAGACTGGCTTGAAAATAGGACTAAGTGGAGAAGAAGATGCAAAACTCGCCCAGCCTGCACCTGAGCCTAAGCTAGAAGAAAGACTAGACATTCAAAAGTCAAAAGAAAGTATTGAGTTCAAAGGAAAAATGCAGTCTGAAGAAAGTCTCAAGCTAAAAGGAAACCTCCCAAATCCTAAAATACCACAAGAAGAAATAAAAATTGGAGCTCAGAACTCATCAGTCCAAGCTATCTCCCAAAACCAGCCTGGAAATGAGCTTAAATACTCTACAAACCCACCTGTTATCAAAGCCAATATTGATCCTAACTCCTGACCCTTTAAATTAGACCAAAAATATCTGTTCTAATAAGAGGGTTAATTTAATTTTTGAAAAAATTTAAAGTTATTTTATAAAATCAAATTGTATTCAAAATTTTTGAATTTTTAATTTATTTATATGAAGAATTATTTTAAAATGTTAATCTTAAAAAGTGCCATCTGCCTAAATAGCGTTTTATTTGCACTCCCTCCATTAAGCAGGTTCAAAACATTATTTAAAAAAAATTATTACAATTTAAATAGGGTTATTTTACCCCAAAAAATGAAATTTTACCTATAATTTTTCCAGTTTAAAGGGATTAAGCTAAATATTGAAAAATCTGGTTTTGATAAAGACCTCAAATTACCCAATCAAAAGTTAAAAGAAGAAATTCCAAGCATTGGCTTACAGATGGGGAAACCTGGAATAAGTTCTGATATACAAATCCAAGGGAGAAAAAGCGAAGAAAAAGTTCCTGCTAAAAAAGATGTAGTAATAGCAGGTAAAAATACATTTAACCCTATTGATGCAGATGATTGATTAGATTAGATTAAAGCAGGTATATAGTGTCTATTTTGGCTCCTCTCTGTCTTCACCAGCTTCAGGTTCGAGCGGGCCCAATGCACCTGCTAATACTTATAATTATTTGACGTTATTTCTGATCGGCTCCTGCGAGCCAAAAATGGGGTTCCATGTGGAATTTCTGGATTTTCACTCGTGAAATCTATCTTTGGCTCGTGGGAGCCGATCAGAAATTTAAGCAACTGATTATATACCCTTTTGAGTATGTTTCATTAAAAATGGTCATGTCGGCTGCAGGGAGGCTTATCCAGGCATTTTCTTGGGAAATATCTAGCAATCGGCATCAACTCTAACTGAAGATCATAAAGAAAACAAACGTTCCCGAGTTCTCCTTCGGGCCCTATTAAGCTCGCATCCTGAAATATGGGATTTTTCACGGCAGATTCTGGTACTACGCCTGCAGGTCTACATAAGAAATCCTGATATTGTGCCCTAGCTAGGGAAAAACAACTTCTTAAAATTAATGGATCCCCTTACAAGAACTGGGATAAACTGACAAATCACATAAGAGTTCATATAACTGGCCATCTTTTATAAAGTAATGAAGATGAAGATATTGAAATAACTATCCCTCAGGCTAAACTTGGGGTTAACCTTGCAGACCCAAAGCCTGCACAAAAGCAAGATTTAGGCTTTCAAATAGAAAAGCCAAAATCTGGATTTCAAGGAATTGTTAGTGAGCCACATCTTCCTCAAGGTAAAATTATAGCTGAGCCTCAGCTTCCTCAAGCAAAAGCTATAGAAAGCAAAGAAATCAAAATTGAAGGCCCTAAAGAATCATTCGGATTTCAAGGCAAAATATCAGGCCAAAACATAGAAATTGACGATAAAAATGTTGAGCATAAAATCCCTTCAATTAAAAAAGAAACTGGAAATGTCGATTTTGCTCCAAAAAATAAATTCCCTGAGGTAGGCTTCGGAATAAAAGAGCCAGCCAAAAAAGGATTCGAAGTCCCTAGCGTTGAAAACAAAGGCGCAGCCAAATCAGAAATAAAAATAAATGACCCTAGCATTAAAGTCCCACAAATGAAAGCGGAAAAAGGAAACTTAGACGTAAATCTTAAAGGGCCAGGATATGAAAAGCAGCCTGAAGTAGGCTCTTCACAAGTGAAATTCGGAAATCTTGATATAAATAAACCTCAAATAGGCAATGAAAAAGCAGGAAAACAAGGCAAATTTGGGTTTAAAGGAGGAATAAATTTAGAAATGGGAGGAAAACTAGCTGATAGTCCTGAAAGTAAACAAGATTCATTTTCTTCAATTGACAGCAAGCCATCTGTAAAAGAAAACGAAGCAGGGTTTAATTTTGAATTTGATGACTCCAAAAAGAAGCCAAATGTCCCACCTTTGAATATTCCTAAGACTGGGAATTTTGAGGTAAAAATTGATCAAAAACCAGCCCCTGGACCTGCTGCTAAAGAAACTGGCTTGAAAATAGAAAAAAGTGAAATAAAAATCCCAGAAATAAACGAGCCATCAATTAAGCCAAAAATTGAAGCAAAAGCAAATATTCCTAATGTAAAAGGACAAAATAATCAAGAATTCAAAGCAAGTAACCCAGAAGTTCAAGGCAAGCTTCAATTTGACCCTAAAATTAATTCCCCTGGCCTAGATTTTAAAACAAGTGGCGGCTTAGAAATAAAAACAGCCTCAAACTTGCCTCCAAAGCCTAAAGCTTCTGACAAATACAACCTCAGCTATGATTCCTCTTCAGATTCTGATTCTTCATCTTCACGAAAATCCCTTGAACACTCTGTTAAAGTTGAAATTAAAGACCAACAAAAAAATGTGAAGCCAATGCCACAGTTTAAGCCCTCCACAAACATCATCCAAACTGAAGAAATCGTAAAATAATAATAAAATGGTGTAGTCGAGAAAATTCTTCTCTAAAGAATTTCACTCCTTTGGCCAATTTATTATTACAGGGTTCAGTTTTCCCGGTGGGACCTTATCAGGTAAGTAACGGGGAGGGGTGCATAGCCTACTGGCCTGATCCTTGGGTGCTTGGTGGACATAGGATTTTACTGCTTGGCACTCCAGAGGAGGAGACCCATAGGCAGCAAAACGCTTAGGATTCATGTTTCGAGCAAGGCAACGCAGCCCGTGAGATTTGGCAGCTAATTGGCCGTCACTTGCTTAGGTTGGTCCGTCGGCCGATAAAAAGGGTCACATCGGAAATGCCCGGTGACGTCACTGGTTGGTGCCTACTGGGGTGAGCCCTTGTGGCTTAGTTAAATCATCTGCGGAGCCAGAGAAGCACGCTAAAACCTCTAAGTAATGTTAATGTTAATGCTAATGAAGAAATCGTAAAAAAAGCCCCAGAAAAGCAAAAATTCGAATTCTCCATGCCTGGTCTTGACGAAGAATCAGTTGATATTAGACCTGGCGCCTCAGCCAAGCTGCCAGCAAAAAAAATTGAAGTTAAATTTGAAGACTTAGAGCCTGAAATTCCAAAAATTCCAATAAAAAAGGCAGATCCAAGCCCAGCTGTAGAAATTCCTAAAGTTTCTTCTGCCATCACAGTTGCCCAACAATTAAAGCAGCCTTCAAAAATTGAAGTAATAAGGACAAATCCTGACTCCTCAGCAGGGTTATCAAATGGAAGAGACAATTTAGAAGCCCAAATGAGAATGCCACAGCCAAAAATGATAAATGATAAATTGCAAGCCAGTGCAGCAATAGATAATGACTGGCAGATGAACAAAAATGATTCCCCACAAAGGAATAACCATGAAGAAATCAAGTTTGAAGAACAAAAAATAATTCATGGCCCACAGATACAATTAAATGCAAATTTAAATAGAGACAGCTCACTTAGAGTGCCAACTGTATTAGAATTTGAAGAGACTTTGCGAATTTTTAAAAGCATTAGCATTCCTAGTGATTTTCTGCCAACTAAAACTCTTTATAAAAAGCAAGATTGCTTTTTGTCGTTATTTAAGTGTTTCGGAAAAGAACAGGATGGGCTGAGTGAGGAATTAGAAGAGATCTGCTTAAAATTATACAAGTTTTCGAAGCTGCCATATAACAAAGATGACGTTTTCCATCAAAGCTGCTTGCTAAGTGTCTATTTTTGTATGACAACTGAAACAGAATGGCCTTCAAATAACAGTGCATGAGAGAGAATTGGGATTAAAAATATAAATACAGATCTGTCATGAAAAGGAGCTTGCTATGGATTAATTTCTGTATTATTTATGAACGCGTTTTATTCAAATAAATTCAAAGAAATACTACAGACTTCACGAAGGCCTGACACTTTATTCCCGTTTCTTGAATTCTTAATGCGATTATCTAAAATCCCAATAAAAATCTTAAGGACAAAGAAGCTGAATGTGTTTATAAAGAGCAACAATAATAAAGCCCTTGAAGTTGTATTTTTCTTCTATGCAGGAGTACTGCTATTTTGGTTTGAATTATTCACAAAATACCATATGTCTATGGAAGACTTCCCAATCATGTACGAAAAAACTTATAAGAGAGCTAAGGCGTCTCCTAAAGATTTAATTATGCAAGCAAAAGAAGTCTATAGCCAGCAGAGCAAACGGTAATATTTTGAAATAATTCGTATTATTTAAGAGGTCTTTATATTTAAATAGATCATATTAATAATGGCACAGGTTTGGGAAAAAAGATTTAATGATAACTTTAGAGGGTTATTGAAAAGGTCTGATTCTGACAGACAAGTTTTACTTAACAGAAGACCTTTAAAGTTTGAACCAAAAATTTCAGAAACTATTAGGCAAAAAGAGAAAAAGAATCCTGCTAAGATTTTAACAGTTGAAGCAAAAACACACACAAGCCACCGCACGACTGAACAAATAGTAGGAAGAAGATCGTCTTCCAGAGCACTTGTGAGGGTGAAAAGTCTAAAGCAGTCAGATATGGTTGTTTGCCCATACCAAGTGCTACCAAAATCTAAAACCACAAAATTTGGAGAGAAAGCAAAATTTGGCAAGTCAATGTGAAATGAAATTGATCTGTCGGATATTGAACAAGACACCATGAATGGCTTTGAAGATAGCCAAAAGCACAATGATGAATCATTTTTGAGTATAGTAGCCGCTCTAAATAATGTATAATTTAATAAGCACTATAGATAGTTATTTTGATTACTTTTTTGATAAGTCATCTCGAGCTATTCTAATTAATTTTTAATATGGCAGTTGAGCCAAATTCATATGCAATAATAATTAATTATTCAGGCTTAACTCTTGAAAAAGAATTAATTTCTTTATCAGCTCTTGCCATAAATGAAGTATGGTTTAGCCTCCAAACTTTATGTCCACCCAAATCAATTATTTTCTGCATCACCATTGACATGTCATCTTGGATTTCATTTGAGTCATTTTTCAAATTTTTGTCAAGTTTTTTATTGTAATTTCTTGTTGACATCATATTATTAAATGATCTCTCATCATGTGCCATTCTTAATATATCACCAAGATCGTTCACATAATTTAAAAAACCTTTTGAATCGTCATCTCTTTCTTTTTGAGTTCTAAGAATTTCTTCGTAGTCAGGTTTAAGTGTTGGTTTAAATTCAATACAATCATTCATAATTGCATCTAAAGAGTTCAGTCTTCCATGCTTTTCAACTAATCGAGGAGATGACTCATTTGAACTTGTCTTTTTAGGGAATTTAAAGTAAGGGTCCATATGAATTGGAGTAGATTTAGTCTTAAATTAATTTCTGGTGCTTAAGGTGTCTAGTGCCGCACCCTTATAAAAAGGGATATAGCTAAACTAGTGATGTCACCGAGTCATCTTGGAACTACGGTGGTCAGCCGAACGACCAAGCCTTCTATCAAAGCTTCGACGCCAGCCTTCGCCGCACGACTCACCGGGTGAGTTGCCGTTGCCCTTTGCCCTGACTCAGCTCCTGCGCGTGCTCCGCCTAAGGGTCATCTTACCGTGGAGATGTGCTGAGAGGTGAAACCATGTGCCTCTTGATGCACTGAGGAGCAGCTCCTCTGGCTATCCCCAGAGTTAAACCGCTATTGCTGTGCAGAAGTTCTTGAGAGAAAACCTAACCCCATAAATAAAATTCCATGAGGGAGAGAAAATTAGCTTCGCTAATTTCACTCGAGCCGAGTGTCATTTTATTTATGGAGTAGATTTAATCAAAGGTGGGAGAGACTCAGTCATATCCATTGACGTATGCCTTGCAGTTGCTAAATAAGATGTTAGTAAATCAGTTCTAAATGAAGTGTTAGCTCTCGGTGAACAAGTTTTTTTCCTTTTTATTTTTTCTTTAATTAGCCTTGTTTTAAGCTTTGGCATCTCTATAGGCTTTTTTTCTTGACTTGGCTCAGTATTTTTTTCTTGAATTATTATTTTGATTTTTAATGACGGCTTCACAATTTCACTATTTTCAGTTAATTTTGGCTCTTTATTTATATGCAATTTACTTAGCTCGAGCTTAATTGATTTATCAAAGTTTCTTTCTTTTTGCCGAGTTAATTCTAAAGCACGATCTAGGTCTGGGTTTTCTGCTAATAAATTTTGAGAACAATTTGCAGGTGAATTTTTTCTTATTGCGTCTCTGACTTTGGCAGCTACTTTTTTATATGAAAATTCGGTTAATTTTTGAGATGTTTCTGGGTTTAGCCGTTCTAGGAATGGAGATGGTAAACCATATCTTGACGGTTTAATAAAGCTTGATTTCATTTAATTATGACTATAAGGTATCTCTAATGTGAATAAAACTGCTTTAATATATATTAAAATCCTGGCTTAATATTGATAATTGTAATTTATAATTATTTTAATTTTTAACTTTGCTGTGAAATCGATATAGCTTATATCCCTTTATAGATTTCTTTATCGAGCGAAATGTACTGGATTATTGAATGACCAAGAGAGACTCTATTAAAGGAACGGGCTGGATATCTATATCAGGAAGTGCTAAAAAGTGACATGTCAAAAAATGGCGACAAGTCTGAAAAAAGTTGGCAAGTAAACGCGCCAATTTTTAAAAATTGATTTATTATTAAAATAATTTAAAACTTAAGATACTCAATTAGACAGAAGATATAATTACACATTATATATTGGCTTTAAATATTTTGATTTATATATATTTAAATTTAATAATAGCTGTGAAAATCAAAAACTTGCAACTCAATGTTCATTTTTCCGGCTCGATAGAATTTCTTTATTTTATGCTAATTTATTTATGAAGACTAGAGCTATAATTTGCAAAGTGCGTGGCTTGTGTATCTCAATATATAAGAAGTTCTATCGACTCATATGAGAAGTAATTAGCAGAAATCAATATGGCTTATAAGTGAAAATCAAAAACTTGCAACTCAATGTGCATTTTTCCGGCTCGATAGAATTTCTTTATTTTATGCTAATTTATTTATGAAGATGAGAGCTATAATTTGCTAAGTGCATGGCTTGTGATTATCAATATATAAGAAGTTCTTATCGACTAAGATGAGAAGCACTTAGCAAAAATTTAAATATGGCTTATAAGTGAAAATCAAAAACTTGCAACTCAATGTGCATTTTTCCGGCTCGATAGAATTTTTTTAATTTATGTAATTTATTTATGAAGACTAGAGCTACAATTTGCAAAGTGCGTGACTTGTGATTTTAAATATATGCAAAGTTCTTATCGACTCATATGATGTGTACTTGGCCTAATTAAATATTGATTAAAATTAAAATATCTATATTTTAAATTATTTTAATAATAAATCCATTTTAAAAATTGGGCGCGTTTACTTGTCAACTTTTTTCAGACTTGTCACCATTTTTTGACATGTCACTTTTTAGCACTTCCTGATATAGATATCCAGCCCGTTCCTTTAATAGAGTCTCTCTTGGTCGTTCAATAATCCAGTACATTTTGCTCGATAAAGAAATCTATAAAGGGGTATCAGCTATAAAGGTGTTGGGTTTAGCTGTGAAAAATAATTTTTAAGCTCAATATGTTTTAACAAATGAGTTTTCGTAGAATTTTCTGTTGCAAACACAATAATACAATTATGCAGAGCAGAAACCTGTTTTAGCCTTTTCCTTAAGGTTTCATGTGCATCAGATTGAGGCAAAAACATTAAAAGCGCATACAAAGATTTCAATAAAAATGGGTATTTTTGATATTCCAGCATCTGGATCCTAAGATGTACAAAAAGCGGCGAATCCAGCACTTTTACAAGTTTTGCTAACTGAGTAAGCAATGAAAGCGTTACTCTGCATTTCGATAAAATTCCAAATAAATCATATGCAAGCTCATAGCCCTGAATTAAATATAACAGAATTAAGGTTGACCCAGGATTTATGCTTCAAGCTTTAAATAAAGACTCAACAAATTCTATGCAAGATGTATCTTGGTTGCATAAGCAGTATCGCAGCCTATCTCTCTGGCTTTCAAAAGATGGCTCAATTAGTAATAAATCGGTCAAAGTTTCAATCAATTTTTTACTGAATTCGCGCTCCTTATCTATTCTAAGAGTTTCTGCGAAACACTGATAAACTTTTTCGGTTCCTAAATGCAAGCATAAGTGCTTAATTATAAAAAATCCGGAATTTTCTAATAATAAAGGAGCCTCTTTAAAGAGGTTTAAGACAGACTCAATCACTTTTTCGAAATATCCAGGATATCCAGCAATTTTGCCAAAAACACAAATAATTTGGCTGACAATCGAGTAATCTGGGTCTACAAGTCTATAAGTCAATGTGTTCAAGATAATAAGCAAAGTGCTCTCCAAGGACTTTGGGTTTAAATGCTCTAAGGTCAAAATCCAATCCAGCACAGCCATGCTGGTTTTTTTTGAAGAATTTTTAAGAAAAGGCACCAAAATAGCTACTAAAGAAGAAAAATCAAATTTATCCCAATGCATGTTTTCAAACCCTAGGGATAGTTCTAATAGCTTTTTATTTGTTGCCTCTGAGAGCTCTACAATATATTTCTCACTGTCCGACAGTGTGAGAAGCACAACTTTTAAAATATTCGGAAATTGGGACGATATCATAAAATTTGCAGTATTTACAAGCTCATTTATCCAAGTTGTTACCTCAGATTTTACATATGTGTTATGCCTGTTTATCAATTTTATTAAGGTTTCTATGACATATACAAAATTCATTTTGTCGCTTTCTATTCTTTCTTTGATATTTTCTAGCAATTCCCTTACTCCCTTCTATGAGCGAATAAAATAAATTTTGTTCGCTCACAGAGGGATTTAATTTTTTTTTTAAATATTTATAGGTAAGGCATTTGTAATTTTTCTTTCAAAATTTAAAAAAAATCAAATTGGAAAGCAAATATTTATTTAATTTGTAAAATTTAAGCTGCAAATCAATTTGTTCAAACAGAATTAATTATTTTTACCCAAAAATATAGGGATTTTTTTCTAATTTTTGTTGCACACGGAAAAGGTGGAAGCTAGTAGTCAATAAGCAGCGTGCTGGACTTCAATTTTTGAGCTTTCAAGCATTAAAAATAGTCCTTCAAAAAAATAATTTAAATAGTCAAGTAAATTAAAGCTTGGGATTGAGTTCAAAATTATCAGTCAAGAAATAATAAATTTTTGTACATCTGGGTGTGTGGTTTGGTTGATGACTTCTTGAATAGTTTCTAAAAATTCAACCGAATCAAAAATCTCTTGGTCAGCTCCAGTGTCAACTAAATATAGTTTCAATAAGCAGTCAAGCTTTTCAGCAGCAGATTTTACTTCATTATTTCGGTCTGAGTATAAATAAGTTAAGCATTTCATAATGACAGAAAGATGCTGGATCACTTGCTCTTTACAAGCTTTTGCAATATTATAGAGCACTTCAACCGCATGATATCTGACTTTCGGAACTTGATCTCCAAAGCAGTTTAACGCCTGCTCAATTAAATCAGGAAAAACCAGCTCAATTTCTTGAGATGACATTGGCGATGTCGCAATTGCAGAATACGCAAATAAGCCTACATTTCTATAATGGTCTTGTGAGTTATTTACAAATTCTTGTTTAAATAGCTCAATAATATTTTGTATAGCATTCACATTCCCACTCTCAATCTGATGCCTCAAAAACATTTGCAATTCATTATTCCCTTCCTTTTGTTTTTCAAAATTTTTATTTGTCAGCAATTTCAAAATGCTTATGGGCAGTTCTTTTTTTGCAATTAAATTATTGTTACTCTTAAAGCCTAACCGTCCAATAAAAGACGAAGTTACCGACTGAGACCTTTCTACCCTATCCTCCATTTCGCTATCTCTTTACAAGTGTCTGAGAAAATGGTGATAATTAGTGGATCAAGATGGGTCGAGTAAGAACAAAAACTGTGAAAAAGGCAGCCAGAGCTATAGTCGAAAAATTCTACGCAAGAATGACTGCAGATTTTCACATTAACAAGAGAATTTGTGATGAAGTCGCAGTTATTCAAACCAAGCGTTTGAGAAACAAAATTGCAGGCTACGCCACACATCTCATGAAAAGAATCCAAAAAGGCCCAGTTAGAGGAATCTCGTTAAAGATACAAGAAGAAGAAAGAGAAAAGAAACTTGATTATGCTTTTTTAAGATGAAGTTTAGAAATAAATTATATACAAATGTAAATGCAGAAATTAAGGAGGGAAAGGATATATTCCAGGCTCCATGTCATTTGATGGGAATTTTTTGTTGGTGAGGCATTTCCTCAGGAATTTTGGTTGAGATTTTTATCTTGTAAGACAATTTCTTGAAAAAACAGTTAAAATTTTGATTTAATAATAGAAAAAATAGACAAAATATCGTCGCAAAAAGCCCAAATTAAAAAGTATACACCCATATTCCAGAGCGCTCTATTGTTAGCACCAGAGAAATCAGGGTTGATGCTGCTACTCTTGAACTCCTCAAAGCCCTTGATCTTGCAGAGCTCCCTAATATCAAAGTAGAAGAGCCAAAACAATAAGCTAAATCGTTAGATTCTTAATTTTTATTAATTATCAGTGGTTTCTTGATATTGAAAATATCAGCTTTTTGTGCCCGGAGGATCCCAACATTGATCCTGCAGATATCGCTTAATGGCCCTTTGCTCATAAGCATTGCAGAGTGGAAATATTTTTCAGAGTCTTCAGAGTGCTCTGTGTGGTAAAAAATATAGGCTAAAGCCATTTTCAGCTCGAGCTCAATATCTTTTGTGCCGATTTCGATAGCTTTTTCGAGAGCTTGGTTTAAATTCTGCTTAGCTTTGTCTAGATCTTCGTAGGCTTTGTAGCTAAATCCTAGTTGTGCTAAAGCAATGCATTCCCCTTCAATATCATTAATTTCAACTGACATATCGACAGCTTGCTCTAGTTTTTTGATGCTTAGCATATGCTTTTTTAGGCTTCTATATATAATTCCCAAATTATAGTATGGGATAAACTCATCTGGACAAAGCTGCTGATGGTTTTCATTCATATCTTTTGCTTTTTTAAACCTCCCTTTGTTATAATATACAAGTCCCAGCCTATTTAACGCAAGAGCTTTTCCTTCATTATCCCCATTCATTTCGCTTGCAAAATAAAGTCTCCTATAAAACTTGGTCGCTTTTAAAATTTTGTTACCAGACTCAAATTTATCTCCTAGTGCCAAAGACATTTTCGCTTCCCTCTGCAAGTCTCCAGGCGGGATTCCTAGCTCTGATTTCATTAATAAGTCTTGTAGCGTTTCTCCAGGATTTGGGTAATCCACTGGTATTGATAAAAGCTGATGAAAAAAACCAGGAGTTTTGGTTATTTTTACCTTTCGAATTTTTTTAGGTTTTTTTGGTTTTTTTTTGCTAGCTAAAGCAGGAAGACTTGTAGATTTTATGAAAACTTCATTATAAAGCAGCATTTTCCCCTCAATCCCTGATATCGGTGTATGATCTAAATGTGGAAACAATGAACTTTTTTTCGGAGACAGCCTCGGTGGTGCTTTATGAATTGTTGACGCTGTATGATAGATCTTTGGCTCTACCATCTCCCTATCCGCATAATTGATAACCACGATTTCTTTTTTATCAATAACTCGAGACCAGTCTTGAGACCTCATTTTATAAATTAATAACAAAAATTAAGTTATATATGACGTTGAATATAGCTCGAAAGCTCACTTGCCAGTTGGCCTTCTTCGTCATTTGAGTAGCTTATCCTTTCTAATGCATCAATTACTTGTGTTTTTTCGTCAGAAGAAATAACTGTTATGCAGCCTAACTGAATACTTTCCAGAAGCCAGGTCAGACTGAGACTTTCGATGAAGTTTGAGTTTAAGATTAAGCTAAGACGTGATAAAACTGCGCTAGATGTGGCAGGGGAGAAATGATGAAAGCAGGGACCAGTTTTGTGCATGAGACGTAATAGATAGATGTCGTCACCTGTTTCTAGGATCGATTTGTAGGCAGAATCAAGGTTAGAAGGGTCTAGCTTTTTTATTGTGCTGCTCCATGTGAGGGTTAAAAGATCTGTAGGATCTGGCTGAGGATTAGGATTTTCTGCACTTTTTGGGCTTGGGGGTTTATGGCCAAGCTCAGCTGGAGACACTTGTATGGATTTGTCTATATCAGGATTATTAGAAGTAAGAGAAGCTTTATGTGACAATTTTGGCTTTTCAGGCTCTTCTAGGTCTGGTTTTACAAAGGAAGTTTGGATTTCTGTGCTGACTAAGGTTTGGGTCCACATTGGGGACTTTAAGCTTGATTTTTCAGTATCTTTCAAAGATAATTCATTATAAGCAGTCAATAAATAAAGAGTTTCCTGAGCTGAAAAAATTCTTTCTTCTATTGAATTTAGCTGTCCAGCCATCAAATCGAAAGCTTGTTCCATTTGGTCTTGAAGCTCATACACGCTTTCTTTGAATGCTTCATTAAATTGTTTCATGCTGCTGTTTTTCTGTGCTTTTATAGGGGGATGAATATAAGATTTTCTCAATTCTGGCTCTTCTTCAATAAATTCAATTTGATCCTCAATTTTAGGCTTCTGCTGTATAACTTCTTCTATAATTTGAGCTTTAAATTCAGTTAGACTTTGGCCGATTTCTTCTTTTAGCTTTGAGTTTAGCTCATTTTGTTTAAATTCCTGGATTTTTGAGTCTTTTTTGGGGGGAATAAAATTAAAAGAATGGCTTTGAATTTGGATATCAAGGGCTTTTTTAGGCATTTTTTTAATAGATATATCAGGATTTCCTATGTTTTCAGCTGATTTTTTTTGAGAAATAGCTTTATTGGCGAATTCATCCTCATTTTCTGGCATATCTGGTTTATTTTTTGGTATATTTGGAACTAATTCATCGTCATGGTAAAATTCTTGTCGTCCAGCTATGTTTGCTTTTGGTGATCCAATTTCCTTTATTTTGATATTAGCTGCTTTGATAGCTGCTATTTCATTTGGATTTTCAATAGAAGCTGGAGGAAACCCTTCATGCCCATAGTGATGCTCTTCTTTCTCAAATTGTTTTCTTGGATCTTCTATACTCCTTGACTTTTTTGCTATTGCAGACTCAACATGCCTAGGAGATCCTATTTTTTCATCAATTTTTTCAATCGGGTTTGCAATCTGAACAGCATTTGGTACTTTTGCAAGAATATCTTTTAAATTTTCCTGGGCTTTTTCACTGTCTTTTAGGCTTTCCTCTGGTATTTTAAATAAATTATTTAAATGTCCGTCAGCTTTTATAGACAGCGCTTTCTGGTAGAACTCTTCTTTTAGCGCTGGGTTATTTCTAATAGCTGAAATTAGTTCAAATTCTTGAAGCTGCTCAATTTGATTTTGTGAAGAGATTTCTGGAGGGTTTTTAGGCTTGTTCTCCCCTTTAAGCTCAACTGAGTCTGACACTAATGAGCTTGGAGTAGGCTTATACCCACCTTCTCTCAAAGCCTTAAGCTTCGGATAGTCGCTTGGGTTTAAAAACTGCGATTCTTGCCTTTCATGTAGAAAAAAAACTTCTTGCTCCTCTTTTGGAGCTTCGTTTACTTCTTCTGGAGCTGCAGTAGTTGTCACTTTTGGCGGAACTTTTTTCCTCACAATAAAGTCTCCATCTTTTAATTGGTCTTTTGGGTAAATCCCAAGATTTCCTGATTCTGTAGGTTTTTCAGTATCAGCGACCTCAAAACCCATGAATTTATTTTCTTCTTCTTTTTGCCACGAAGCTGCAGAAATTTGTTCATTCCCGCTGACTTTTTCTTCAATAAAAGAATTTTTTTCTTTATTTTCTTCTTGCCTTTTATATACATTAAGCTGAGAGTCTTTTTTATATAAAATTTCTACAGTTTCTCTGGGAGGAGCTGAATTAAGCCTTTTTTGTTGCAAATATTCTTTTACACTGGTTCTTTTGTCGAGTGCTCGATTAATGTTGACTGCTCCTTCATGCTCTGCATATGAATATTGCCCAGAACCTCTTTTCAGATATCCAGGCTTTGAAATTCCTCATCTTTGGACTGATTTTTCTACTTGTGGAAGATTTGATTTTTGGGATTTTTCTTTTTGGATTTTTACGAGGTCGCGAATTGCTTTGAAATGGTTAGGGAAAATTGATTTGACTGGAGGCTGGGATGTTGATTTTATTTGTGGCAGCTCAATTGAGTCTTTACTTTCTTTTATATCAGATTTTTTTAATTCTCGAGAAATTTTTGGATCTTCAATGGAAATGGGGGAAGAGCTGACTCCCTTCATTGATAAAACCATCGAAAATCCTTCTCTTGTTATATAGGCAATGATTACTATAATAAATTTAGCTAATCCTATTAAATTGGGCAGCTTAAACATAAGTTCTATAAATTAAAAAAAAATTTCAATTTTTTAAATTGGCAAAAAAAACCACTTAATATCGTTTTTGCCCAACTAAAATGAATCTGAAATTAATTTTAGTGCTTAGAATGCAGAAGAAAGTAAGCATTTCTCATCCTTTTAAAGCTTCTCTAGCTGCAGACTGTACTAAGGGCAATTTATCAGTCCTGACTTCTTTAAGTGCATTAATAATCTCATATACAATCTGTCCAGCCTCAAACCCGCCGTTTTCTCTAAAATACGCAGCAAAAAACGACAATAATCTGCAGGCTTCGATTTTCAGAAGATGCGCATAATTATTTGTACACTTTAAGTATTGGATTAGCTTGGTTAGCAAGGGAATTATACTTTCACTTATCACTTGAAATCCAACAGTTTCAACCATAAGTCCTATTGCACTTACTAAATCAGCAAAATCAGCCCTTAGCTTGAGAAAAAGAGTCATGACTCTTTGAAGCAGGACATTTAAAGTTTCCTTGTCTTTTTCCTGGGTAAGCAGCTCTGATCATTTGAAAATTGTTAAAGCAGCGGCCTGTTGAGCTTGAACGTCAATTCCAGATGACAAAATACTGTTTAAAGGTTCAAACATAAAGGTAAAAACGACTTGCTGGGAGTTTTTTGGCAGAGAGTACTTATAAATCATGCACATTGAATCAGCAGCCGCCTCATGAACTTTTCTATTTAAATCTTTAAAATACATTTGAACTATTTCTGCAAGCCTGACAAGCAGCCTCAGAGGACTATTTTTGTCTTCAATTAGCTTTTCTTCATATATTTGGCTTATATATCCAATTAAAAGCACTTCTTGCTCCCTAGCTAGCGGGCTTTTTGCTTTTCTATGCTCACCTAAGCAACCGATATAAATCCTTAACGCTTCCATTGAATTGTTTCTTTCAATTAGCAGGCGGACTTCTTTTGTAGCGACATCACGTGTGTCGATGCTGTTCAGTTTATTTAAAGAATTCTGGAACTTTTGTCGGAGTTCTTGCATCAGTTCTTGGCTCAAAGCACTTTTATACTTCGCATTTTCTTGCTTTTTCCTCGAAATTTTCAGCTTTTTCTGCATTTCTTCTATTTCTGGGTTTTCATTATTAGCTTGGTGTTCTTGTTGGAGCTCCTTTATCATTTCAAGTGAGTCTAATTTTTGTTCTTCCTCCATTTAAATTATTTACTAATTATTTAATTCAAAGGAGAATTTCTTGCCTTAAGCTTGATCCTCAGCTTGTTAATTTTGTAAATAGTGATATTGAGATGGTCTACATGTCTAAATATTTTTTGAGGGGAATCAAAGTGGCTTGAAATATTATTGATTATTCCTACGACGCTGTCAATATCACCGTTTTGTAGCTCCTTGTCGAGACCTATAAGGATTCCAAGCCCAACTTTAAAAATATAAGCATCGCCTTCAAAAAAATAACGGTCTCATATTCGGCTTCCTAACTCTTACCTTACGATTTCTAAAGAAAAACATCTTGAATACATTGTATAGATTCACTCAAGGAGGTATACGTCAGGCGAAATCCCGATTTCTTCAAATCTTGAAAGCACTCCTGGGACTTTTCTTTCCATGTAATATTCGAAAACTTTATAGTAGCTTTGCATTCCGTTTAAATCAAATGAATAGAAAGTTCGAATGAGTTCAGATTTATATAGATTTAAGATAAATAAAAATGGTTTATAAACAATATAGACTAAATTTATATATGAGAATTAGGCTAGTTTTATATGGTATTTAATTTTTATTATCAGTTAGTATAAAAAGCATGTTTGCAAAACACTCAAAAGCCCGATAAGTCCCTAAATGCAAAATTAAAATTGCTCCCAGATATGCCATCCCTTGTACATATCCAAAATCAGGCCTATAAGCCGCAAACCCTTCTAATAAGTCGTGAAGTGATTGATGCAATGGCTGCTCTTTTTGAAAAACCTGCAACCCACTTAGGGTCCTTTTCAAATCCATAGGAATCAAAACAGAGCCATTTTCTTCTTTATCAGCTTGTTTACTCGCCCTTGCCCTTGCTAAAAGTATATTAAACAGCTGCGGGGTAATATGCAGACTATTCCCTATACATTTACTCCAAATTTCACCGCGAAGTTTTGCAGGAATTCCTTTTCTGCTCAAAAGTTTCAACTTTTTGCTTTTTTCCAGCTCTTCCCAGTTTTCTATGACCCTGTTTCAGACCTCGACTGTATCTTCATCGTTTGGAATTTCAAAAAACTGGTCTGGGGATCTATATTCGTCTTCTTCAGTGTCTGTTTGTTCAGCAGAAAATTGCTTTGTGAGGCCACTTTGCTTTTCTATTTGAACTCGCAAGCTGTTTTTCTCGTCTATTAATTGGGCAACTGAATCTAGGAGGGATTGGTTTTCATTTCGGGCTTTGTCTAATTGGTTTGAATTTTCATTTAGTTTTTCAGAAAGGAGTTTTAGTTGGCGGGATTTGGAAATAGATTTGTCTTCGCATTCTGCTAGTTTTATTTTGGCTGCTATGAGTTCTGTGATGTATTGCTCAGTGCTCATTTATTCCAGCTTACTATAATTTTTTTAATAATGAGAATAGCTCTAACATATAGGCATGATTTATTTTTGAGATAAAAGAGAAAAAAATTGTTAAATTAGCAATAATGGCATTATTGATTTTTAAATTATTAATATAAATTAGAGTAAGAATTAACAAAACTAATTTGATTAAAATAATTTTAGTCTTATTTAAAATCTCATCACATATTCTATATATATTTTGAATGCAATAGGTTGAAAGTAAAATGAGTGATAGTTTAAAAAGAAAATCTCATGAGAAATACTCAGAAAGCCGAAAAAGATTCAAAGGAGCTTTAGAAACTTTAGAAGACAAGAAAGTCGAGCCAAACCGCCCAAAGCGTCGAAATACAAGCGAACGTATCATAAAAAGTGGAAAGCCCTCTCAAATCTTCAATTCAATAATAGACGGAAAATGCTCACTCAGCCCAATAATCAATCTAAAACGACACAAAAAACTTTTATCTAATCAAAATCGGCCGCCTGACGAAATTCAAAGCCAAAATCCAAAATCAAACATTGAACTAGCTGATGCTTTTAAAAAGATAAGTAAAATCCCAGACACCAAAATATTGATTATTGAAGAAGAAGCTAGCATCGATATCATTCCTAAATATACAAGCCAAGAAAATGTTATATTATACGAAGAAGAAATAATGGAAGAAAACAAAATTTTGCTAACACCTAATCTCATTGAAAGATCAAATTCCCCAGTAAGGGCTTTTGATGACAGCTGCTGCACACCAGTTTCCTTTGTTAAGGTACCGAGTTCTTGTAAAAGGAAAAAAGTGATTAAACATAAAAGCAAGATAGAAGAAGAAATTATAAAATTTAATAATAAGTTATAGGTGTATATGATAATTATTTGTTAGGCATTTAAGTAAATGTAATTGAAATATTAATTAGAAGACTGAAAGAAATAAAATTATAATTAAAATATGGCGTCTTCGTCTGGGTATGGCTCCCGGCCATACAGCCTCGACTCATATTTTAATTATATCCGGCAAGGTTTTACCATTTCAGAGATGGACTGCAATGCTAGGTAAGCAATTCTGGTAGCTTTCAGAGCCTAGCCCTAGTCTGTTCTCAGGGGTGGATTTTTCCTCGTGGGGAAGGAAGGTGCAGGGTTGGAAAGGGGAAGCCCAGCAAAGTCCTCTGGACCATTCGGGCAACTCCCTAGCGTGAAACTGGGCGTTACGTCCCAGGCTTTGCATTTTTCCTTTTTGCCGATAGTCGACCAGAAAAATCCATTTTTTGGGTTTTTCGGAAAAGCAACCCCATGTACAAGCAAGTAGCTCATCCATGAGCCGTCGAAGACGTGGACATTTGCCCTAGAAGCACCCTTGGCGATCGAAGCGAGTCTGTCTCCAGCAGGCTGGGTGGGCCCGATGCGACGAAAGGCGAGTGATAAACCTGGAGTTGTAACCCCGTAGTGGACGTTAAGCGATATAAATTCTATAAGATAAGATAAGAAAGAAATAAAATTACTGAAAACAAAATAAAATTGATATTTTTGAAAATAAAAATTCTTTAAAGCCTGAGTGTTATTGAGAAATCAATGGATTAGTTATCGGTTTATTTAGCCTTTTGTCTCATCTTTCGGCGCTTTCTTTTGAGACGTCTCATCCTTTTCTTTCTTCACTTGTCCCTCATATTTATTATAAGCCACTGTAAATGGCAAAAAGCAGCTATTTAAGCAAGCCTATTAACGACCTTTTCACAATGCAAAAAAGTATCATTATGAAATGACTTACAAAAGTATTTCTTTATATATTATGAAATCCTATCAAAATACAGAATTTTTCGAATTTATTAAATGATAGCTTTTATTTGTATAGCTACTTTAAATAATTTTTTATTTAGATTATTTAGTAAAATATTGCTGAGTTCAGATTATTGATTCAAATATTAAAAATAATTATTAAATCATATATAAATTCCCCTATTATTAGTTGATTATAATTTAAAAGAAAAATCATTAGTTTCAAAAATAGGATAAAAGGAATAACTCATAATCTGTGTCTCATTGAAATTTTATATCATTATTTGCAGATTTTTGAACTTTACCACCTAAGTGTGGAATTTTTTCCGCGTGTGAAAAGAGGATTCCACATGTGAAATCAAAAGGGCTTCACATGTGGAATCCTCTTTTCACACACGGAAAAGATTCCACACTTAGGTGGTAAAGTTCAAAAATCTGCAAATAACGATAGTTTATTTTTCTTTAAAATTCAATTTATAGAAAATTTTCAATAAACAGTTTAGGCTCATCCTTCTCCAATACAAATTTAATTCTTAAGATGGACAAGTATGAGACTTTGGAGATCATCGGAGAAGGGTAATTTCTATTTAGAACTTATGGAACTGTTTACAAGGTTAGACACAAAGAAACTGGTGCTTATTATGCAATAAAAAAATTCAAAGAAAGTGATGAAAATCAAGCTATAAATTAAATTAAACGGCTTAAGGTCTTCCAAATTTGATGACTCAGATTTTCTACCACAGGACTTTTGCTTGCCAGTGGAAGCACCAGTTTCCTGAGCCCGATCAACAACAGTTTTCTCTAAGAGCTTCACTGGTTCCTGATTTTCGAAGGGTTAAGAATACCCCTCTGCGCTGTATGTCTTGAGGTGCTATGGAGGCAAATTAGCCAGATGCCTCCTATTGGCTACCTTGAGGAAGGGAGACACCTAGAAAAAAAGATCCTTCACCCTCCGAGCTGGCAGGGAAAGAACCCGTGGCCCAAAAGCCATCTGATAATCAATACTAGACTGAAATAGCCACCAGCTGACTCCCAAGGCACCCACCCCATATAGCCGCCATTCAGCAAGCTTAAGGTTAGAAACACCTTAGGCTATAAACCATTTTGACTCCAAAAGTGAAGAGTCGTCTGCAAGGAAATATTTTATAGCCACCACCGTATTGATTATTCAAGCTATAAGGAAAATAGCTATGCGTGAAATTCGCATTTTAAAATCTCTAAGCCATCATAATATAGTCACCCTCTACGAGGTATTCCGCAGAAACAAACTGTGTCTTCACACGATGATTATTTCATAGCGGCTTTTCTTTTACCTATTTTTTGCCTATTTTTTTTGCCTTTTTCACCTATTTTTTTTGGCCTATTTTTTTTTCCTTATTTATTTTTAACCATTTTTAGTCCATTTGCTTTTAAAATTTGAGTCCATTACTATTTCGAAGTGATTTCAATTAATTTTAGTCTATTCTTTTTGTCAGAAGTTATATTATCAAACTTTTGCAATTAAAAAATAGTCCAAAAAAAAGGTGAAAAAACAGGCTAAAAAAATTCAGCCAAAAAAAAAACTAGTAGTTATGAAATAGGCATCGTGATTGGAACCGAAACAAACATCTATACTTAGTCTTCGAGTACGTCGAGCACACAATTTTATCAGAACTTGAAGCACATCAAAATGGTCTAAATCCAAATCAAGTAAAGAAAATCATGTACCAGCTGATTTCAGCTATAAAATATTGCCATTCCCACAATATAATCCACAGAGACATAAAACCTGAAAATTTGCTATTAACTCAAAATGGAGTTTTAAAATTATGCGATTTTGGGTTCGCAAGGACGTTGGCCACTCTTAATGGTAAATATACAGATTACGTTTCAACCCGCTGATATAGAGCTCCAGAGCTGCTTGTAGGAGATAATGAGTATGGAAAAGAAGTTGATGTCTGATCAATTGGGTGTATTTGTGCAGAACTACTTACAGGCCTCCCTATATTTCCTGGTGATTCTGACTTTGACACTTTGCGGCACATCCTTTCCACGATTGGTGGAAATTTGTCGGATAAGCAGTCAAATGCGTTTAATTCAAACCCAATATATGAAGGGGTCAAGGTATTTATTATTTAGCTACCTTTGCCAAAAAAAGTAATATCTTTGGAGTCAAAATTTAAAGATTTTCCTAGTAATGTTATATCATTTTTAAAAGGCTGCTTCATGTATGACCCAAAATCCCGAAAAAGCTGTGAAGAACTGCTTAAACATGACTATTTTTCTAATACTTTTAGAGCATCTTTTGAACAAGAATTAATGGAGTTGTTTAATGATGACTATGAAATTAACAGCTCAATTAGGATTTCCAATAGTGAATTTTGCTCACCTGAGCAGGGGTGTTACCAAGAACGGTTAGAGATGTAACTCCAAAACGGACTGTAATAAAAAGTATAAATTTAAAGGTAGATGAATCTGTGAATAGTCAAAATAAAGAAGAAATTGAAAGAAATCAGCTTCCTCCTCCGAATTTTTTGCCAAATTTGAGACTAAGGAGAGAAGAAGAGACGTACCCGAATCTATCACATCTGGAAATTAGGAAAAAAAGAAGTGATATTAAAATACAAAAATTTAAATTTATTTTTAATTAAAAAGAATTATTTTTTTGCAATTATTTTAATAAATTTTAAAATACCAGTATTAAATCCAATCAAACATCTAAATGAAAGTAGACAAATTCCAAGCTTAAAACAATTCGATGTAGACAGAGGCCAAAATTTGACCCCAACTTTTTTTGAGCATGAAGATGGAAAAATGTTTTATTCTGTGAAAGGAAGACACAATTCTAAAAGCAGCTTAAAAGCAAGAAATGGAGACTTTGCGTATATACAAGCAGTGACTCCAGTTCCACAGCATAATCATCGGCAAGTTTTTGGGAAGAAATCAAATATTAAATTGTATGAGTTATGTAGATTGAAACAGAGAATTGGATTTGAGCAAACTATTGCTCGAATCAAGCCTTAATTTGCTTTGCTAATATAAATTAGTTAGTCCCTCTTTAAATTGAAAAAAAAAAAACCCTGCTCCATATAAATTAAGTACAATACTTTGAATTTTATTTATTTTTATGAAGAAATAATTAAAAAGTAGTCAAAAAATGCCCATTTTACAGATGTTTGTTCCAATTTAAAGGAAGGGTTAGAAAACATGTTTCAATATCTACTTTATCCATCTTTTAAGACTATCTGCTTTTCTCTCGTGGATTATCAAATATAATTTTCTGATTTAATATATACTCGTTAATAAATGCAAGCTACAAAGAAAATTTGGGCACCAGTGGCGCTAATAAACTGCTGGTACAGGCATTTATTGACACCAGTTACATCAATCTTTGCTGAATTTAATTATGAAAACAAATTTATAAACTTTCCTGTTAAATCTCGAACACATTTTTTCATATTAAATTAATGGTAATTTTTTAAAAAAAAATATATATAGGCACCTTATAAGCATATAGTAATTGCCCGAGGATGGCGCAAGATAACGCCATCCTCGGGCAATTGCAATACAAGGTTGATCCAATGCAAATCAGATAGGTAGATCCCAATAGATGGACTTCGCATACAATTATCACAAATCTGCGTCATTAATGCTTATCAAAGCAATCATGGCTGAATAGATTTTTTATAAACAGATGCCCATGAATTATAAGAACTAAGCCAGAAGCATTATAAAAATTACAATCTGTAAAAGCTTTATTAACATTTTTTAATTTTCACGACCACTCCTCGACTTATTAATTTTTTTAAAAATAAGGAGTAAATTTTGTATATCATTCACCCTTTGCTTATGCGATATTGTTTGCTATTTGTTAGTATAGGGTTTTACCCCTTAATAGCCCGATAAGGGCGGATGATTCCCGGTGGAATATCGAGTTGGTCCAACAAACAAGTGAGTTGGTCCGACCAATGCACTAAGTTGGCTGGACCAACTCGATGATTCCACCGGAAATCATCTGCCCTTATCGGGCTATTAAGGGTAAAACCCTATATACAATATTTTACTGTCTATTATACAATTGAAAAAAATACAGCGTGCTTTATTTAACCTCACCAGGATCTACCTATCTGATTTGCATTGGATCGAATTTGTATACTCCTATATTTTTTAAAAGTTTAATATAAAATTTTAAAAATTTTATTTTCAAACATTTAACATCAAAGTTTATATATTTACTTTCATAATTAATTCAATAAAGCTTGATGTAGCTGGTGTCAATAAATGCCTGTATCGGTAGTTTATTAGCACCACTGGCACCAAAATTTTAACATACAATTTATAATTTCGACAAAACAGACTGTTGAAACTCTTCCAAGTCAATTTCTCCATCCCCATTTAAATCCGCTTCTTTTACGATTGCGTCCCACACTTCATCATTGCTTAATTTTCCTCCTTCGAGTACTCTTTTTAGCTCTCCTGCTGAAATTGACCCACTGCCATCATGATCAAACATTTTAAAAGCTGACTTCAAATTATCAAGAGAAAAAACCTTCTTGATATCTAGCGTCGCTTTAAGGAATTCTGAATAATCAATATAACCATTATTATCTGTGTCTACTTCTTTCATTATTTTTTCTACTAAAGCTTCAGCTTCTGAATGACCCATTGATAATACATATTCGTCATATAGCTCTTCCTTGCTTAATCTGGTAAATTAATTTTACCATTATTAGATAATTTGTTTTAATGAGATTTAAAAATTTACCTTCATTTTATAGTAAAAAAATTACTGTAAATTTACTTCATAGAGGTGAATTCATGCTTACCAGCTTAATCTTCCATCATTATTCCTATCGAGTCTTTTGAAAACTTGTTTTAAAGATCTGACATCTTTGAATGACAAAAACTGAGAAACTATAAAGGTGTGGACAGCATCTTTTAGCTTGTTAGCACTGTGGAATTGTTTTAGTCTGTTGACTACTAAGTTGATTGCTTCTGGGTCAGGAGGAGCTTGGACACCTTTTGTGGTAATTCAAGGGTGCTCAAGGGCTTGGGCACTTGAAAGCCGCTCTTCTGGGGAGCATAATAGTTTTGATAATAGATCTTTAGCCTCAGCAGAAATCCTTAACCATGGATCATCTGAAATATCATATGATCCTTTCGCAACATTTAGTAAAATTTCATTGTCATCTTTTCCATCAAATGGAGGGCATCCAGATAATAAAATATATGCTTTTTTTAAATAATTTATTACTAAATTTAATATAGTCAGTGTCACTAACTATATTTTATTATATAAAAAAATAGAAAATAATTATAATAAGAAAAGCTCTTAAAATTAAAAAAATAAAATACATAATGACCCCACAGCTTCATAAATCACATTTTTCATTATAATCTCCAAGGACTATTTCTGGTGCCATATAATACGCAGTCCCTTCTAAATACCGGGAATATTTCAAAGGAGCTTTCGCGGTTGCAGTCCCAAAATCAATAAGTTTTATATTTAAAATATCATGCTTATCTTCTAATAAAATATTCTCTGGCTTTAAATCCCTATGCATTATGTTGTGCCCATGCAAATATCTTACAGCTGATAGCAGCTGCTCCATTATTTGTGCAGCTTTATCTTCGGAAAAAAATCTTCTTTTAATAATTTCCGCAAATAATTCGCCGCCACTGCAATATTCCATCACTATATAGATCCTCTTTGGATCTACAAAATATTCGAGTACTTTTACAATATTTGGGTGGTCTAGTGATTTTAAAATATTAATTTCTTGTTCTATGTGAGAACGAGAAGTTTCATTAGCAATTACGTCTTTTCTGAATATTTTTACAGCTCTTTTTTGAGAGGTTTCTTTATGGTAACAAATTCGGACTTCACCGTACGCTCCATGGCCTATGTAATTTCCCATTCGGTAGACACTTTGGAAGTCAAGGTTATTTTCTTGGACAAATGTGCCAGCGTTCACGACTATATCGCACTCATCTCCGATTCGGCGCTGATCATTGAGAGTGGCCGTTGCTGTTTGCTTTGTCCGCAGTTTTTTTGATATTGAGCAGCCCATATATTATCCAACAAAGTTATTTTTATATTAATTTTGGATAATGGAGGATTTTATGTGAATTTTTTATTTGAAGCAGAAATTAGGATAAATGAAGGATTAAAAATAATTTATTAATTTTTATTATAAGAAGATAATTGAATAGGAAATGTAAAATTATCTAATGAGATTTTATGCTTTATTGAATTTTCAATTTTAGCAATAAAATTTTATTTATAAGCATAATAAAGTTTTGTGAGTCGGTTGCATAATTTAATACCATATTTTCGTTTTTTTATTATTTTGATTAAATATTTAGAACAGATTTTCCTTAATTATTAGCTTAATAAGCTATTCATTGCATATATGTATAAGTATCTTATCATTTTATAATGTTGAAATTGCTTATTATGGTATAGTTTTTCATAATTTATTTAGAATTTATTTTTAAAGATTTATTGATAATAATTATTATTAAATAGTTTAAATACTCCAAATCTTATCAAGTTTACCTATATAGATAGTGATCTATCTTGATATCAGAAAATCTGAAAATGCCAATTTTTACTAAAGCTTGTTGTAAAAAACTTAATTAAAAATGCAAAGCATAAGGGAAGGTCGGTCTCCGCATTTAAATTACTGGATATAAAATCTAATATATTAAAATTGAAACCTAAATCATTAACTTTACTAATCTTAAATTACTTAAGGTAACTTATTTTAATTTAACCATTATTCTTTTGCAATGTTGTGCTTCCTATCATTCTGCATGCTAAATAAATATAAAACACAATAAATACCTTTGAATATCCTCTAGGTAAAAATTATTTAAAATGGGTGATTTTCCTTATAGCGAGTACACATCCGGCTGAACAAACTCCAAGCCTACATACCAATTTGCAAAGCCTTCATCCTCCAAAGAAAAAAAGCCTCCAAAAGAGCAGCCAAGAATTTCCCCGGGGAAGAGTTTAACTTTTGAAAACACCCAAGCAACTTTAAAAGACCTTTGTTCTGAAGATAAAGCAAAAGTTGGAGAGCTCGTTAAACGTCTAGCCTTACTCCCCTCCTTTTAAATTGGACATTAATTTTTTTTTAAAAATTAAAAAAAATATATAAATTGAACCCAATATTTTTAATTTTAATTTATTTTTATAAAGAATTAATTCAAAAATTATCGATTCAGCGTGAAAACTGTTTAATAATATTTTACTTGAATTCTCCATTAAATTAGGTCAAAACTAATTTTTAAAATTTATTATAAATTTTCCTATACCAAAAAAATTTTTGTTACAATTTAAAAGGAGGGTTTAAGTGCTCAAAAAATGGGAATTTTACCTATGTTTAATCCAATTTAAAGGGGGAAGTTAGAAAAAAGCAAACGAGAAGAACTCGAGAAAAAAGCGATGAAAGAAATCAAAGACAAAGAAAAAGAAATTAAAAAAGTCAGAAAAGCCAACCAAAAAATCCAAGAAGAAGCTGAAGAGGTAGGAAAGCAGCTTGCAAAAGCTAGAGAATTGATTAATTCCTGCCAAATGATAAGCACTCCTCAGCCTATTGCTACACCAGTTAACCTCCAGCAGTCTTTACAAAGCTGAAATCCTGCATATCAAAATGCAGATTTTCCTGAAGCCCAAAGGGTCAATCCTCAGCATTCCTTGCAGAGCTGGAGAAATAAAATGGTAAGGTTGACTGAAATTGGACTCCTACCCACTTCCTATAAAGCAGGTAGGACTTTCCCGATGAAGCTAAAACGAGTACCTCTGTCATTTTTGAAGCAGGACTTCGGGTCAGGGATACCTTCCAAAGTTTTTCCTTTTCCCACTTAGGATAGACATTTTTGTCTATCACATAGTCTCTCTTTCATCGGAATTATTGGGGTACCTTCCATCTGATCAGCCTTCCATTTTCTTCATTTGAACTCCAAAGTCTATTGAGACTGGATTTTTTGAGCCAAGACGAGATAAAGTAAAGGCTCGCTTATGGCCAGTTTAATCTTAAAACTTTATCTTTGCAGAGCTGGAATCCTTCATTTCCATCTGCAGAACTCCCAACCCACCCTCAAGAGATAATTTGCAGTCCTTTGAATTTTACTCCCTCATATGCAGGGACTCCTATTCCAGATTTCGGTTCTGCAAATATCCAAACCGAAACTTTTACCCCAGACCGTCTAGTCCCCAGAATGCTATTTACCCAAACAACAGAAACCCAAACTCCTATAAGAGAAACAGCCACTTCTCCTATTGAAGAAGGCTCAAACCATTCACGATGCACAAGCATTTGTACACAAACAGTTTGTGATAAAGAAATCCAAGCTGATTTTGAAGAGGTTGAGTCTATGAAAAGTGTTGACATTCAGGCTGACAGCATATGCTTATTTATAAGAAATATTATTTAATACAAATAATTAGCTGAAAAATAAATATAATATAAAAATTGTATACATGAGGAAAACCCTATTGTGGTCATCAATAAGCCTGCATTTGAAAATAGAGCCAGGGAAAATTATGGAAAAGCAAGCCAGTTTACTCAAAACTCATATGAGTCGGAATATGAGCCTGAAGCAGCTAAAAGTATTATGTTTGAGCCTACATTAAAGCAATCTCATGTAGTAAACAATATGAATTATTTAAAACAAGACTTATCAGCACTGACAGAAAGCTTGAAATCTTTGAAAAATTCAAGAATGGGTCCTATGAAAGCGTCTATAATGAAATCCCCTCCACAGACTAAACATGTTGCTTTTAGAGGTCCAGAGTCTATTGAGCAAAGCACTCATAACCCTTTATTATTTGATTCTATACAATATGATAGTCGACTACAAAGCATTCTTGAGAGAGCAGAAGCCAACTCACAAAGAGCTAAAAAATTAATAAATCAGGATTTTGAAGAAATACCTCAGCCTAAGCAAGAAGAAAAACAAATATTTTCAAAGCAATTCCAGCAGGTATCTACCCCAAGCCAAAGTTTTCAAGTAAAAGATCTGCAAAGTTCGAAAGCTGTCAAACAGAGCTGAGATGAAATGCCAATTTTAGAAGAAGGGTTTTATGACGATACTTTATTTCAGCTTGTCGACGACTTAGAGAAGATGGAATCATGCAAAAATTCAGCCTCAAGTTCTTTTATTGATAAAAATTATGATAAAAAGATTAGCTATGAAATTTTACCTGAATACATTAAAATGGTGTGGAGAGCCAACCCACCCTCTTAATGCCTGTAGCTGACACCCCAGGATGACAAGACCTTGAGGAAGGGAGATGGTGTTTTCGGCCAGGCTTTACTTGGTTTGGTGGTGCGCAATGTAGGGTTAGCCTACCAAAGCTTTAATCCAATTCAAATTTTTGTCTCAGAGGGGAATAGAGCGAGAACTGAAAAGGGTCTCCTAGGAATCCCATTTTTTTTCCTCCCCAACCTAGGAGTTACACCTGGGCTTCAGATTTCCACTTTGGCTGAGAGTCGATGAGAAAATTCGACATTTTTGATTTTGCATGGTGGCCAGCCTTTGTTGACGAACGGCATGGTGGCATAAATCATCAATCATCGGTAGCATGTGCAGCCCTTTCCGCCGGACAAACCTTTTTAAAGTTTATGCACAAACTGGTGAGCAACTGAAGGGGAGTTATGGAGGAGATAGTCCTTTGGGAGCTTCCCTAAAGTAATATAACAATAACAATAACGAAATTTCGCCTGAAAAACCAAAAACTGCAACTTATATTAAAAAAGCACAAATAAAAGAAAATATAGAAAAACCTAAGCCAAAAGCAGCAAATAAAATGACAATCAAAGAAATTTCGCCAGAAAAACCAAAATCTAACTATGACAAAAACTTGATTAATATAATTGACAATTTTGAGTCTGAAGATTTTGCAAGCTCTTTAGCTTCTTCCAAGCGCTCTAACTACACTGAAGAAGACAGTTTTGAAGCTTTAAGAAACCGCGCTTATAAGTTGCGAGAAACTTTTAAATATTAAATTTTAATTCTTAAATAAATTATTATTTATTTTTTATTTTATTTGCTTCCTCTATTTTTTAAAATATTTTTTATTAAATAAATCCACATAAATGCAATTTTTTCCAATTTGAAATAATTTTTCTAATTACTTCCCTTTATAAAATTATTCCCCAGGATTATCATTTTATTCTAACAATGAATAAAAGCCGGGAAGAATTCCTCTCTCCCTCTATGTTTGAGACTCCTGCAGTCCTCCGAACCTTCACCCGTTCTACAACTCCTCCACCTTCACGAGCAAGGCTTCAGCCACCACCGTCACGATCTTCAATGTTCCAGCCACACACTCAAACGAAATCCCCTCCACCTTCATACGACGACCCAGATAACTCTATAATTGTTTTTGGTTTCCCTTTGGATTTAAAAGACCAAGTCATAAGGAAATTCAAAATCATTGGAGATATTGAAGAAATCAGGCCTGGGAAAGGCAATTGGATGACTATTCGGTTCAAAAACAGCGAAGACGCAATAAAAGCACTTGTTCATAATGGACAAGTAGTGGTGGACAACACAATGATTGGGGTGAAGCCAGTCAGAAGCGATATAATTACACAGCAAGACAGGATACCGTATCCTAACCCTTTAGAAGAAGTAATTCACACGTCGCAGTTTATTAAGAAAACACCTAGAAGATATGCCTCTTTTTGGGAAAATTTCGTGAGATATGTACTTAATTGGGATTATTAAAAATTTCTTTAATTAATAGTTAATTTCAGGAGAAAAATTAGATTAATAAACGGTTCTATCTATTGCTTCCATTATTTCTTCTAATTTCTTTACTTCTTTTGTCCTTTGGGTGACTCCAGCTGCTATGTCTTCTTGGCTTAGTTGTTCAGTTTTTCTTAAATTTGGAGAAAGTTTAAAGGAATAAACAGTCCCACGGTCTGTCCCAACAAGGATAATAAATTGACTTGGGTTAAAGGCAATGTGGTTGCATTTTCCGTTTTTTACTCTTTTGTCGCAGATTTCTGAGAGTCTTTCTTGGGCGAGATCGTAAATGTGGCATTTTGAGTCTGCGGTTATGGCGGCAAAAAGAGTAGAAGAATAAGGAGCCCAGGCGACGTCGCCGACTGCAATGCCTAAGTCAAAGGTGAGGAGGGGAGCTTTAATGGTATGGTCCCACATTTTTACAGTTCAATCTGCACTGGCGCTTAAAAAGATTTTGGGGTGGAATTTGTTCCATTTGACACTATAAACTGCCATAAAATGGCCATCATAAGTGTCTAACTCTATTATTTTAAGCTATTAAAATTATTAATCCAATAATTATTTTAATTTCTGTTAGAAAATTTCTATAATAAGACTTTTTTATAGAAATTATTTATAAAAAATAGGAAAAGAAGAGTAAATATTGCCCTGAATAAGCTTTATTGCATTTGTGGATTTTTCCTTCCTCAGTCCCAACAATAAACAAGTGTTCGAAAAATGGATTAAAATCAAAGCAAGTGCCTCCAGCAAGCCCACTTAAAGTAGTCTCCATATCTTCCTCACCTTCTCTTTGGCCGCTGACAAGCTTTAATTTAATGACCTCTTCTGCTTCAAGCTTGCTTTTCATCAGAACCCAATTTGTAACTCTCCCATCACTCGATATCGAAAAAAAGCTCAAATTTTTCATCATATCATCGTCCTGCCATTTAACCTGCCACACTGGATCTGTATGTTTATTTGTCCTTACTGTGCTTTGGTAAATTGGTTTTTTATGTTTAGCTCTTACATCAAATACTAGTACAGTTCCATCATAAAGCCCGACTGCTAGCAAGGCAGGGTGCTGAGGGTGCCAATCTAGACACATAACTCCATGCTGAGTTGTGAAAAATACTCACTCCTCCCTTTAAATTGGAGCTAAAAAATCTGTTCAATTTAAAAGGAATTTTTAAGTATTAGCTTTGCTTAATTATTTCTCTGCTTGCAATCCAATATTTAAATAGAATAAGTATAGATAAATTTTGGATTTTATTTAATTAAATTGGCATCAAAGCTATTTATATAGAGATCATTATTAAAATTTGTTCTATTTCAAGAACTAAAAAAAACACTGCTTTAGTTTAAAAGGAAATACTCAGGATACCTGGTATTTTTCAAAGAATAACAACAAATAAGCCCTGTCGATTTCTTCATAAAGCTATACGACCCATATCCAACCGCAAACATATCATGATACCTCGGATTCCACACAAGTGACGTGACTTCTTTTTTCTTTGTCTTTTCTGACCCAAAAATCCACAAATCGCTTAAAGACCCTTCACTTGTCCTATGGTTATCTGCATTTCCATCAAAGTATTTATAAATATGATATCCCCAATACAAATAAATACTCCATTTTTACCCTTTATATATCCACCATAATTTTATATTCATTATAATTATTTATAAGTATTTTGCAAATCGTTTTGGTTCACCATTCTCTCCATAATTTTTAGCGCATAGCTCATCTCATTTGAATACATCGGGTCCTCTCTTCTTTCTCTTTTTTTCGACGTCTTTTTTGTCTCTTTTTCTTTCTCCTTTTCTTTTTCTGCATGTTCAGTCTGTCTTTTCTTATCAAGCTCAGCCATAAAGTTGTCATATATATCCCACTGAGTAACCGTTCCAGAAAAACTTCTGGTTGGAGGCGGCTCAGTCGAAATACCCCTTTCCTTTATAGGAATAGAAAAAGACTGTGCAGTTCTTTCCGCATAATTGAACTGGTTTCTCAATGATTTAAGTAACGCTTCAGGTGTTAACTGGACTGTCCCTATATCAACAGACGACGCTTTTATTTGGGTTTCTGCTTCAAGATTTTTGGAATCGATAAATTCTTCTTGGTCGTGGGCTTCATTAGTGTCTTTTAATAAGAAAAAACCATCTTGCGCGAAGTGGATGATCATTTGGTCAACTAAATCGTCTCTTTTGAATTGCCGATCTTTATAGGAAAAGTAGGCTATGTTTTGGGAAGCTTGAGGGTTTGAAGGGGTCAGAATGCGCTCAATGTCTTGGTCAAGGTCTTTTTCGCTTAAACGAGGAATGTCGTCAAAGCCTTTTAAGCCTTGAGCGGCTTCACTGATGAGATCGTCCTCTGGGGCAGAGCTTTCTTCTTGCCGAGATTCCTCTTTTAGACGGTTGCGAGGGGCCGCTCCAAACTTACTGAGTTTTCTTGTTGTTCCGCGCCTCATGATAGTTATTAAAATGGTCAATGTTAACTGTTTTGAGAAACTCGAAAAAGGTGTCAGAAGTTTTTGAAAGAAAATAAATGAAGAGGAATTAATAAGGAGGTATGGATTTATATTTAAAAATTAGGGTAACTTCTTCTGGTTGTAAATAAGAATTTTGCTTATTATTTGGAAACATTTCTATAAGAAGATTAATTATATAAGCTACTGAGATAGTTTTATGTGAATGGAGATTTGAGAAGGAAAAATACTGAAAAAAATAGGAGTTATAAATCAAAAGATACGAGAGTTTATTGGGATGCGAAAATAAGAGAGATTGACTCCCTTGGGAGCGATAACCTTAATTAATAATAATAAAAACAATTATAATAAGCTCTCCTTCATAGGCCAGTAAGTTTGTCAATACATATAAAACTGCTAAGCGGGTCTGAAAATTTTATTTAGAAAGCTTTACTCAATACTCATCATCTCTAGCTCGTTCTTATAAATGAGCAATAAGGCTGCTTTCCAATTTCAATTAATTATAACTCGATCCTCATTATATTATTATTTCTTTGTCAATGTGGCACAAATACACATATTAGCTCATCTTACATAGTGGAAGGTAATAATAAAAATATTTTTGAAAATAATAGTAAACTTTTAATTTTAAACTTCTATGGTTATTTATTAATTAAATTAGCAGATAATAGCAAACTTGAATTGAAATTTTATATAATATCTATTTAAATTTAACTATAGGATTTTATAATTATTAAATGGGATGCAAACCAAGCCGAAAATTTGACTGCTATTTTTGCAAAAAACGTTGCAAAACTTATCCTCTTGGGTGCTCTTCACATGGCGGCTGTGAGTCCTGCCTTTTTACTTACTTTATCAGGTGCATCAGTGTAGAATCGCTTGAAATTTCCCAAATTCCCTGCTTATATTGCAGAACATTAATACCTAAAAAGCTAGTCAAGTATATCCTCTCCAAAAAAACTATACAAGCTCCCGAGCCTTGCTGAACACTCACAATTGAGAGCATACTCAAATCTAAGCAGCCGCTTGTAAACTTTCAATGTCCAATCTGTTTTACTCTCCAAATACCAGCAAATGGATACACTTTGAAATGTGGCGATGTGTTTTGTAGACAATGTCTTAACATGTACATAACTGAAAAAATTAGAGGAAATGATCAGTCGTCTATTAATTGTCCAGATTGCAAAAAGCCACTTACTCTGTATTAATTAATAATTAGTATTTTTTATATATATTCAATACTATTATTAAAACAAATTTTTTTTTTGCCCTTTAAATATGAAAAGCATTCCGCATGTGAAATACTCTTTGATGAAAAGGGCAATAAATGATATTTTAAAATTATAATTCATTAGTGGGATTAAATATATATTAATTTAAAGTAAAACAATAATTAAATAATTTTTTAAAAAAATTAATCATATATTTGTTTATTATTAAATAGAGGAGCTAATGAGCAAGATATTACTTTAAATATTGAGCCCCAAGTAAGCGAGCTATATGAACAAAATCGAATAAAAATGCTCTCTTTTGAATACGAAGGAGAAAAACTAATAATTTGCCCATTCTGCCAAGAAGGCTTCACAATAAACAAAGAAGAACTCGAAAGCCGCTGTCCTTTCTGTATGAAATTATTTTGTTTCAGATGCTACACCTATCATCCCAAGTCTAAATGCAACCTAATTGTCGCAATCCAAGGCGTCACAAACTGTCCAAAATGTGGAGAAGGCGTCATGAAGGTCGGAGGCTGCAACTTTGTGACCTGCAGATGAAAAGTCTGCCGAGGAAATGTCCATTTTTGTTACCTATGTGGCCAGCAGCTTAGCATAACAGAACACGGGTCTCACTACGGTCGACACGGTGCATTTGGCAAATCATGTAAAGGCCTAGAGGCCAGAAACGCTATTGCGAATTTAAAATAATTTTTATTTTTATATAAAATGGAACAAGTTCCTCAATATGCAAGCTCCTTATCCTTAATTGAAGGAGATCATATATATGTGATAGGTAATTAAGAAATAGGAGGAGTCAAGCCAGATGGCTCTCATTCGTCTTTAATTCATCGTTATACAGACACATGGACTCGCTTGATGGCTAGTAATCTTGACCTTTTTCCTCAGCGTGCAAGTCATTGCGGTTTTATTACAAATGGCTGGATTTATACTTATGGAGGTCAGGAAGAGTCCAAAACGACAGAAAGCAAAATATATGGGAGTTGGCTTAGAATTAATGTAGATGATTTGCAATGAGAAAATTATATTGAAGAAGGCCGATTTCCATCACGGCACTCGGCAAGCTGTGTTTATAGTCAAGAGCTAAAAATGGCTTTGGTTTATGGAGGGCTGATTCCTCAAGATATTGTTGACGATTTACTTATTTTGAACCTTGGTATATCATAATTAGAAAATAGAGAGTTTTTCTTACAGAGAACTACAGGAAATCATCCAAAAGTGTTCATGCATACTGCAGTTTTGCATAAAAGAAATATGTATGTATTTGGAGGGATCAGAGATAATGGAGAACCGTCTGCTGAACTTTTTAAACTTTCTCTGGATAGTTGGGAATGGCAAAGCTTACTCCTATCAGTTAGCAAGCAAAAAAACCATTGGAAAAACCACTAGCAAAATTTTTTTATCGATATATAAGTGATAATTATTATAATGAAATCTAGAGCTAATTATGCTGAATTTAAAATCACTGTATTTTAAAGCGTAAATTTTACAGATTATATTAATTTTTCTATATGGATTTTTTTAAAAATTTTATTTTTAAATTTATATATAAATTCCTTACTCCCCCCCCATCCTTGATCGAACGACTCGCCATCGTTCGATCAAAGATGGGGTTAAAAAAAATTTTTTGGGGAAAAAAAATTTATATATAAAATAAAAAATATATATATATATTTTTTTTTATATACTTTTAAATAAGAGGGTTAAGAGTATTTAATAATTATTTTTACAGCAAAAAATTGAATTAATTCCATAAAAATACCAAATTTTAATATTTTGATTTATTAGTTAGCCTTTTAAACTGTATAAATTTTAATTTGTTCCTTAATGAATTAAAATTTTTTTTTTTTTAATTTTAAAGAATCTCTATTTTTTAGATTATTGAGTTTTTAAGCCTAGGTTAATGGCTAAATCACTTCGAATAGTTGATGTGCAGCTTTCTGTCATCTCAAAGCTCTGAAAACAACTTCATTAGATGCATCTTCCCAAGCTTTTGATAACTAATATATTTTTTATACATATAAAAATTTGCATGATATGAAAATCGTTCGATCAAGGATGGGGGTTAATTTTCCCAATTTTTAAGAATTTTTACAGTCAATCGTTCGATCAAGGATGGGGGGGGGAGTTAAAAAAAAAATAATATCCTTGTAAGCTCACGAACGGGAGGGTTAGGGAAATTTATGGATGAAGGTGTTGAAATGAAATTTTGTGGACACTCAGCAGGGATATGAAATGACAGAATGGTCGTATATGGCGGCTTTGATGGCAGCAGCAAAATGTATAATCAATTCTTTGTGTATTCTTTTGAAGATAATAAATGGGGAAGAATCCACGAGAAAAAAACTCCAAGATTCTGTGGAAATATGATAGTTAAAGACAATGAAGAAATTTTGCTGATTGGAGGATACAATTTGTTGACAAGGCAGATACCCAGTCATGTGGATGTTGTCCGTATGTCTGAAATCGGGTCATTTATTGAGGTCTTTGAATAGAAAAATGGATATAAGATATTAATTTAAAAGGTAAATAAATGGTTGAGTTAAAAGTTGCTATTATAAATCAATAAATGGCCCTAGCAAAAGTGCAAAAGCTTGCCACATTTCTCCAAAGCAAGACTACGCCACCTATGTTCTTTGACAAGTTAATGATTCAGCATGCAAGAATTGAGAGTGCAGAAAAAGGCCCAGAATCCACAAAACTTGTAGTTAAGCTCCCTGTTTTGCAAGAATTCTCGAATACTTTCGGACCAATGCACGGCGGTGCTATTGCTACAGCTATTGACCAATTTACGACGTGGGCTATTTTTGCAGCTGACCGAGATGGGCGCAGAACAGTAAGCGTTGATTTATCAGTTACTTATATTTCTGCTGCTTTAGTTGGAGAAGAGCTCACCATTATTGCTGAGTGCAATAAAGTTGGCAAGACATTGGCATTTACCTCTGCTGAAATTTGGATCAGGCAGCGGCTTGTAGCTATGGGAAAGCATACTAAATATCTTTTTGAAGATAAAATAGGTGTAGAAGAGTAACCATGACTAAAAACAATTTAACGACTAATAAACCTAGTTCTATTGAAAACTTACAATTAATTTAATTTTTGTAAAAGAATTATGGAACTTAGAAGTAAGACTTATTAAGGAATAAAAACCCCGGTCCTGATGTTGCTATTTGATATGACAATGCTTTTTGCACTTTTTTTTAGCAGTGAATATTTCGCAGACTTAGAATCGGTCGATACTATTTCATTCTGGATTATACGTAATTCTAATAGATAGCCCTAGAAGTGGGTGAATTGCCCGTTAAAATCACAATTTGACCAAAATTATTAATTTGGTACAACTGATTGCTATCTCAGCGGGCAATCTACCCACCTATAGGGCTATTAAAAGTAATTTTCTATATTTCTATTCTAAAAGTTTTCTTATACTCCTTAACAAGCTTGAAAAACCCTGGCTTTATCAACTACCCAATAACAAATACAAACCTAGACAAAAACAACGCCAAAACCATCGAGCAGGCTTCTCAAGATTTTTCAATAGAAGTGAAAGAATGCAAAAAAACATTCGGAAATCCTACATCTGGGCTATCCTTTATTGCTCTCAATGAAGAAAATCCCCAGGACTTATTAGCAAAGCCTGAAAAGTGCTTGTCAACAATCCAAGATAGTGATCGTCCAAAAGAGCCTCACAATAATGGAGATCAAGAGATCAACTCTTACCCTCAAGAAATCCATGAAGAAGAAATAGAAACACAGCGAGACAGAGACAATGAAAGCATCATAAAAATTGAACCATCAGAGGATATTATTATAGTAGAAACCAGATTTTGCACGGTCTGCAACCTAGAGCAGCCTATCCGCGCAAAACATTGTAAAGAGTGCCGAAGATGTGTAGCTTTGCATGACCATCATTGTCCATGGCTAGGCGTTTGTGTAGGAGAGAAAAACAGGTTTTATTTTTACTGATATTTAGTTGTCCAATGTATACAGCTGTGGTGGGCTAATATTTGGGTATAAGTTATTTAGAATATTCTCAGTTTTGAGTCAAGCTCTTCTGTTATATATTGGCTTGTGGAGAATTGGCTTAGACTTTTGCTTATGATTGTACTATTGTTTTTCACACTGATGGTTACTTGTTTATTAGGCTTTCACAGCTATCTTGCCCTGCACAATGTAACTACTTGGGAAATCATGTCTTGAAGCAAAATTTCCTATTTAAAAAACTGGCCGGAAGGCAGCCAAAGTCCTTTCAGCAAAGGATTTGTAGGAAACCTATACCAATACTGCTGCGAAAAGCTCCCGGAAAGCTATCGAGTGTGGGAAATACCCCGAATTGTTAAAAATAAAGAAAATATATAGTTACTACCTATGCTTAGCTTTAACTATTTTTCTCACAATGGTGTTTTCGCCTGGCAGGTCGTTCACTTGTACCCTTTGGGACTGCATGATTTCAAGTAGCTGCTCCCTTCTTTGTGGGCTCAGCCCTGCGAACAGTCTTTTTACGTTTTCTTGGTTTTTTGACTTAATAGTCGCCAAAGTTCCTCTGAAATATTCATATTCGTCTATAATTTGTATTGGCGTATTAATTTGGCTTAATAATAAATTAGCCTCATTTTCTTCTGTTTTAGATAAAGCGTCAGCCCCGCTTTCTCCATATAAAAGTTTGGTCCCTTTGACGATAATTTCATTATCAAAATCGTCTTCTTCGTCAGACTTAAAAAGCTGCTCTATTAGGGCGTCCATTGCTTTGGTTTTTTCTTTTGAGCCTTTGTCTTCCATTTTTTGACTGAGGATTACAATTAAGGCTTCAAAAATTTGGCTTATGGACTCAGCTATATCATTTGGGAGCTCTGATAAAGAAATTATGGAGCAGAGACCGATGACTGCGACACGTTTGTCATAAGAATGCACAAAAAGAGTGGAATTATTGATTATTTGGAGCAGGACAAAGCGAAGATAAGTGATTCCTGTGTCAGTTGACTGCTGGGATAGGATAGAGCAGGCTAAATTTGTATTATATGTAAAACCTGCCAAAATAATGCCGAGAAGCCTGACCTTGAAAAAGCTTTGGGTTGTGCCTTGAAGGTACCTTACGATTGCGTTGGAAAATATTTGGTTAAGTTGGTGGTCGATGTAGCCAGCATAGTTATAAAGAGCCAGCTGGTATAAAATCGCCCCTTCAGAGTTTACACTTTCTCTGGTTTTTCCTTTATAAGTAGCAAACATGGCTTTTCCAGCCATATCTAAAACTACTGCCAATTTTTGAGGGAATTCTTGAAGGTGGTCTTTTCCGTACATTAGATATAAATTCAGCAGCTTAAATAAGCACTGCAAAGAGTTGTCTTGGCTTGCTTGAATTTCAGGCAGTTTGCTGAAAATTTCCCATTCAATATCAGTCACATTTTTTGTTTTTTTCATTATGCAGACCACAACATTAATAATATCATCCACAAAGGTAATTTGGTGAGGAATCTGCAAATAGCTTAAAATCGGGGCCAAATGTTTTTCAAATTCTACTAGCTGAGCTTTTTCTATTGAAGGAGACATAATGAGTGTCCTTATGACATTCCAAAGCTTAAGCAAAATAATTGTTTCTTTTTTATTCCCCATAACCAAATTTTGTGTCTCAATTTGGATTTTTTTTACAATCCCAGCTATTAATGGGATTATTTTTCTTGCCAAAGCGTCACTGAAATTTTGTGTCATCTCTACCAGTGCTTCAAAAAAGTTTTTTTCAGTCTGGTTTTCAATCCCCTGTATTATTTTATCAATGACTTCATCTATAAAAGGCTCAAACCTAAATAAAATTTCTTCATCTTGCATCATAAACGAAAAAGTTTCACAAGCCTGAATATTAACCGCTTTATGGCAATTCGGAGAAATACAGCTGATTAAAAAATTCATACAAGTCTGGAAATGGTGAGATCTTTCAATAAAAATACTGTCTGAATAAAAATAAAAAAACAAACAAATCCTGCTCTGGATGATCCCTGACGTGGTCGAAAACAGTCTTTCCATGTGATTTACCAATAAATCCTCGATAGAGTTCAATATATCTTTTCTACGTAATATAGGAAATGATAGGATACTGAGGACCATAAAGGAGGTTTCTATTTTGGTTTCCTCATCTAAGCTCATAAAGGGAAAATCAGTGAAGTCTCTGATTATATTATAATCCATAATCCCTTCTCTCCCTTTCCCAGATAAAATCATATCTGTGATTTGCTGGACAAAATAAGCTGTAAACGCAAGGGCGCCATCAATAGCGTCACAAAGCGTTTCTAGCAGCTGCGCTGACGTCGTTTTGGTGGTTTCTGACTCTTGCCGCTCACACATATCTTGTGTGCTTGCCGCAAATTCTTCTGGGTCTGTCATAAAAAGTTCTTTATCTTTTTCATAAATCCTTATAAACTGGGAGAGAAATAAAATCGTGACGTTGACGGAAATTGGACTCCGAGGCGCACCTCCTATGGAGCTGGTAGGACCCATTGCTGATGAAGCTGAAGATACAGGTCTCATTCCTGTCCTAAGTAGGCCCTTCAGTTGTGGGGAAGCCGTACCGAAGAGGAAGTTTTATTTCTCCCCAGAAGGTTTTCCCTGTCCCTGCCAGATGGGCTAGACAGGTTTTTCCTACCACATGGTCTTCCTTCATCGGGACCATCGGGGCACTCAGACAGAAGTGGCTCTGCCCAAAGGAGCTGATCCCTTGGACAGGTGGTTTTGACCAGAAATCAAGATGGCGTCGGGCCTGGGAGTATGGCCACATCAGAACCCGACCTGGAGTCGTCTTTCGAGCTGAGGTGTTGAGGTCCGCTGGTTTCGCCCACGTATGGCCTTTTAAAAACTAACAACTAACTAACTTATAAACTGGAAACATACATTTACTATTAATTGTCGGTGATATTGAGAAAAAATCGTATAAAATCGCCTTTCATAGCCGACCTTGTGGAAAAAACTTAAGGTTTCTATCATTAATTCTGTAATAAAATCCCTTGCCAGGAAAGCTTCAATTTCTGCATGTGTGGATATTGATAGTATTGATATAATTAGCGGCTCAGTTATGCTTAGTGCACAGGATAAAAATGGGGAATCAGGCAGATCAGTCCCTATTACAGTTATAAGGGGGAAATTCCCTTGTTCTTCTATATTTTTTTTCTTGAAATCAATTAAATATTGGATAATTATGTTGAGGCTTTTTAAAATATTCACTTTTATATTGTTCATAGGCTTGGTGATAGGGGTTTCTGTGATATTTATAATGGAATTTTGTACCTGGTAGTCAGGGATTGCGAAATTAATGATATTTGAAAACAATAAAGCAATTTCACTTTGTTCTGACAGGTCTTTTATGTTTTTTGTAGACGTAACTTCAAAATGTTCCAGGATTTGTCTTAAGCTTGACGTCCAGTCTTCTAAAATATTTATTCCTTCAGTAATAAGTGGCTCATTGGTACTCTGCAGGCCTGAAGAAATCATGTAAAGCCCTTTTTTGCCGACTTCTACAAGGTGAGGTATCAGTATCTTTGAATAGTCTGCAGATTGGAATTGTGGAGTCATGCTGCTGAAAATTGATTTTATTACCAACAAGCTGCCTTGGATTTGGGTTCCTTCACCACTTAGTCCGGTAATTGCTAAAGATGCAAGTCTATTTGTGAATACTCCGAGTCCGTCTTCACCAAGGATAGGGTTTAAGGCAAAGTTTAAGACTCCTCGTGAGCTACGATCTGTGTGGTCAAGCATAGGTAGCAACCCTACACCCCCACCCCCCACCCCCCCCTAAAAATGGCACCCCACCCCCCCTTCACAGATGGCACCCCCACCCCCTCCCTCAAAAAGAATATTTTAAATATAACCCAATTAAAGCGCTATATTGATAAATGAAGTCTATAAATTGCTTTAATAATTACGATTAATTAATAAATTCAAATTAATTAAAAATTAATTAGGAAATATATTAAATTTGTTTTTTTATATTTATAAATACAATGCCAAAGATATTGATAATGTCAGTAACTATTAAATGAATCAAGCACAATACAATAACTACAGAGCGCAGCGAAGATGAATACAGTGTAGGTAACTCAAGATGGATGTAATATGAGCTAATGCAGGATATGCAGAAGATGGATAATTAGCTTAAATAGTAGGTTTAAAAGTAATCAATTCATAAAATAAAATTTTTGCGAATTCAAGTATTAATTATATTCATATTTTCTTACATACCATGCCTATATCACATCTTGAGTTGCCATTATTCTTTTTGATTGTTTTTTATAGCATTCCAAAACTTCTTCTCTTCTTCCTAACTATCTAACTCCCCCATTTAAATTGGAACAAAAAATTTTGTTCCAATTTAAAGGGGGGTTAATTTTTTTTTTTAAAAAAAATATCAATACAAAATTTTTTTATAAAAAAAATTTATATGAAAATCAAAAACTTATCGAATTAGATTAATAAATTTGTTTAATAAAATGCTATTTACTCTTTATCTTTTAAAAACAAAGCAAGATATAACTAAATTTTCATTATTAGTTAATACGCCACTATTAATTGGTATCAAAATTATTTACACAAAAATTATTATTTTTATTGATAAAAACAAAATTTAAAAACAAAAAAATTTTTAGAAAATTTATCGATCAAAGTGCTAATTTTGTTTAAATAATATGCTATTTATACTCTATTCTTTAAAATAAAGCAAGAAATTAGTAAAATTTATAATGAATTCCTATTGAATTTATATCAAAACTATTTAAATAAAAAATATCATTTTTATCAAAAGAGGATAAAAATTTTTAAAAAAAAACAATTAATTTTTTTTTAAAATTTAGCAATTAAGGATAATAAATTTATTTAAATAAGATGATCTTTATACTCTCTTCTTTAAACAAGAACAAGATATAACTAAATTTTTGATTTTAGTTAAGAAGAAACATTTTTAACTTATATCAAAACCTTTTACATAAAAAAATTATTATAATTTTTTTATTATAAAATTAAATTTTGTTTCAATTTAAAGGTGGTTAATTTACCAAAAAAGTGGAAAATTTTACCTATATTTTGTTCCAATTTAAAGAGGGGGGAGTAAGAGCATTTCCTTTATTATTATAATAATAATAATAATAATCTCCACAGTTTGGATTTTTTAATTGCATCGTTACAATGTTTTAGTGTTTTTTCATAACTCTTTTCTTTATAGAAGATAACTCCTATGATATTCTATGCATCAGTATAATTTGGATCAACTCTGATAGCTTATTTATAGCATTCCATATCTTATTCTCTACTGCCTAACTTATATAGAGCATCTCTTTCATTTGAAAAGCAATGTGCTAATAACAATAGTATTTGCTATTGTCAGTTTTACTTTTAGATCTCTAAATGGACTCTTTAGCCATTGTTCCACAAAGTTCATAAATATATACAGGATATACTGCTAATTAATACCAAAGATCATTATGCTTGTCAGCAAATTTCTTCAGACGTGGGTTCTTAGTAGTTATAGGAAATTTTCACTACTCCTCAATCGATTGCGCTACGCTATATGATGTTGTATAAATCAGTAATTTTTAATATCTAAAATATAATATTTTATTTATTACGCCTGCTCTAAATTAGCATTTGTGATATATCTATACTATATTAAGGGGGGGTGGGGGGTGGGGGGGGGGTACCATTAAAAAGGGGGGGGGTGGGGGTGTAGGGTTGCTACCTGTACTTGACCATCTGTGTAGGGAGATATGAGCGTTTGAAAAATAGCTTCGACCAGCCAAGAACGAGTCTCGACTGATAATTTTCCAGCTGTAATATAATAAAATGGATTAAAATCAGTAAAAATTTATATTAGGTGTTAATAAATCACAATTATTTTAAGAATTAAATAAGAAATTTTAGAAGATCATTTAGAAAAAAAATATATTAGATTCCCTTATTAAATGGCGAAATCTTGTAGCTGAAGCAGATCTAAGTAATTGATGAGATTCTGGAGCTTGGATTATGGCTAATAAGCATTGCAGGAATCCTTGTGTATCTTGGCTTATGATTTTAAGCTCATCTTCAGCTGGCTTTATTTGGTCAGGCATGCCTGAATACGTTAGTGAGAGAAGCTGTGCCACTCTGCTATAGATCTCAGACATTTTTAGTGTGTTAATATCCATTTTAAGGCCTCAGCTGAAAAAGAAAAGCCATATGCAAACGCTTTAAATATAAAAATTTAAAAAAGTCCTATAAAATTTACTATTGCAAATTTCTATTTATATTAATTTTTCTTAAAATAAAATACAGCCACTGCATGCTGATCTTTTATTTTCTGTCAGACCAGATTTTGCTTCTTTTTTAGCAATTTCATTTGACTTGCTTGTAGAATTAGCCTGCACTTTTCTGTAATCTGTAGCAGGAAATGTAAAACTGGCTACTAGTTTTTTATCAGGAGCGTGAAATGGGGACTCCTCAGCGCTACTTTCGCTGTCTGTTCTTTCTTTAGGTTTTACATCAATAATTGGCTCAAGATTAACAATTTTATGACTTTCATTTTCAATATCTCTCGAATTTTCAGGCTGCTCAGTTTCTTTGTTTTGATTTTCTGAAGTTTCTTCATTAAATTTAAGTACAGCATTTGCAATCTCAAAAGCCAAGTCCATGCTTTCTCTTCGCCAATCATCAGCAGGGGCGGGTTCAATTCTTCTTTCCACAGCATTTACAGGTGATTTATTTGCTTCAAAATCTGATGGTTTTTGATACTGATTTCCAGTTGGTGATACAATTGATTTATTTTCTTCAAAATCTGATGGTTTTTGATACTGATTTTCAGCAGGTGATACAATTGATTTATTTTCTTCAAAAGCTGATGGCTTTTGATATTGTTTTTCAATTGGTGAGTCTGTAAAATCTTGTGGTAAAAGTGCAGATTGTGTTGGAGTTTCAGGGTTCATAGCTTGTCTTTTACTAGTGATAGTATTTAGCCTTTTTAGTCTTTGCATGAATTTTTCTTTTGATTTTTCTTTGTCTTTTTGGCTTTTCCCATAAGCATGCTCAGGTGACGTTTTTTCAGATTCACTTATTGTTGGGCCATTAGCAGGCCTAGGACTAATCACACTTGTTTCAATTGCATATCTTTCGTCATCATCAATAACTGCTGACACTAATTCTCCATGAATTTGTGTCATTTTTGCACTTACACATAAGAATGCATTTTTATCGGTACATTTTTTCAATTTCACGTCACTTCTTTCAAATGGTTCCTTTGAATTTAGTAATGATGCAAGATCTATTTTTCCTCTACCATTTTTCCTTACTTTATTATCAGAAATCATCATCAGGTTGAACCTAAAATGCTTTGACAAATACAAAGTGCCTTTCTTAAACATCGTCACTTGAAATTTAAACTCAGTATCAAAGTTAGCTAAGGCTAAGTTTTGGTCTCATAAAACTTTATTAGAATTCTGGCGCTTATCAGGTCCACGCTTCACAATTACAGCTAATTTTGTTTGGCAGGGCAGCTCTATTTTTGCAAAATGAACTGTAATCTCTAAGTCATAAGCTTCTGTAACTGAGCCAATTCTTTCAAAAAGTGCCATTTAATAAATTCCTGTATTTATTGGAATTCGTTAAAATAATTAAAGTCATGAATTCAGAAAATTGCAGTTTTAAAAGGAAGCTTACATTGCAAGAATGCTTGCTATTTTGTGAAAAAAGAAGAAAAAATAATGACAGTGAAAAAGTGATGGAAAAAAATTGCGCGATAATTAGGATTAATGGAAGCATAGCAGGTAGGGAAAGCAGAATTATCAATGAAAAATTAATTAAATATAACGAAGTCATAAAAGATATCCAAATGAAGTTTAATCTCTACAAAAATGACAAAAACAGTCCAACAAAAGACCAAAAATGCTTGATTTTACAAAGTTCGAGGCCGCTTACGATTCCGATTGGACCTAAATTTTCTATTGGAAAAAAATCTCCATAGAAACGAATTAGTGCAATATGTAATAAATAATTAAAATGGGAACTATTTACGAGCTCTTACTCCCCCACCCTCAGTGAGTGAACAAAAAAATTTTGTTCACTCATGGAGGGGGGTTAATTTTTTTTTTAAAAAAATTTATATATAAATTTTATAAAAAATATATTTTTTTTCGAAATTTAAAAAAATCCTAACTCGCAAAAATTGGAAACCAAATACTATTTTAATTTTTTAAAACGCAAATTTTTAAAAATTAAACAGAATTAGCTCTAGATTTCATTATACTAATTATCATTTATATGTCAAAATTTTTTTACATAAAAAATTTTTCTATTAAAAAAATTTTTGTTCACTCACGGAGGGTGGGTTTTTGGGCAAAAAATAGCGATTTTTCTAATGGTTTTGCTCACTCACGGAGGGGGGGGGGAATTAGTAACTGGAAATAGTCTTGCAGACGTCACTAAAAGACTGTTCGAGAATGTTGACTCTGATGGTTCAGGCTTTGTTGATGAAAGTGAGCTAAGAGTTGTTTTAGAGCATGTTTATGCAGAAGCTGGGCTAGATCCTCCAAATAATGAAGTTGTACATGAAAAATTCAGAGATCTTGATATTGATGGAAATGGCGAAGTCTCCATGGTAGAACTTGAAAAATACGTCAAAGAGCTTCTTGGGTTCGAATAATTTCTCAAATTATTGGAATCATAATTAACTAAAAATCATAAAAAAACTAGATTAATTTAACGTAAGATAATTTCTCTGTATATCTGGGTTTTTCAAGTTCGCAATGGCTTGGTTCAGCTTTACGACCCACTCTTCTTTTTGATGGACATTTTCAGCCCAAAGATGAAGCACTTTTTCTCCTATCAATAAGAAGTGATTTGATGGCTTTGGGTCATTTCCTTAGCCATAAAAAATTTACCTATAAATTATAGTAATTTTTCGTAAAATTTTTTTTTAATGCAAGTCACCATTTCCTACTTCGATTTTCGTCTCCGGATACAGCTTGATCATGCCTCTTGGTGCCTTATCAGTTCTATTGATATAATAATACAATCCTTGTGTCCTCAATACAAATCATCTTGATCTTACGCTCTTCCAAATGGACCCTTCTTTCTTTAAAACAGCTTCATGGATTTTTTCTCCCATATATTCATTAGAATTCTGGATATTACATATATGAAGCTCTGCAAGGTCATAGTTTGGCATCATTAAATCGTCACTTAAAACCATTAGTAAATAGCTTGCACAATGAAGTGCGTGGTACCACTCTATGACTTCTTCCATTTTAGGGGACTGAAAAGTCAGGTCATTTGTCCTGGTCTGCAAAAATAACGCTAAACCATTTGACTCAGTCAGAGAAATTTCGACGTCTTCTATATTTAACTCAAATTCAGGGTATTGGCTTATATTGGACTGGAAAACCATTATTTTTCTTTCTAGTAAAACGACCCATTTTTTGACTGATCTGGCCTTGTGTATCATTTCTAGGTGACCTTTGGCATGAGGGTAAGGGTAATTTAAAAGCTGAAGCCGCTTTTGACAGGCTTCATGGATAGAAGCATCACTTACAGCTGAGGACGGAGTGATTATATCTAAAGCTTTTTCTAGTAAAGTCCATTTGTGTCCATACACAGGGTGCCAGATATAGCTGTTTCCAAATAAATAAGTGCCTTCATCAAAAAGTTTTTTGATATCTTGCCTCATAACTGGGCCTTTTATTTTTGGCTGCTCTCTGGTAACTTCATCAATATAAAACCAAAACTTGTTTAAATCATGCTTAGGGACGTTTTTCTGGCTTTCTCTTGCCCATATTGCTTTTATATACTTGGCTTCAACCCATCAATGCCTGATTGAGCTAAATAAAAGTTACTCAAAATTGTATTTCTTTGGAGTGACAACCCAAGGAGGGAGACCTATAAGCAATGAAAGATTTGCTTTTTGGTTTCCTGACTTCGAAAGAAATGAAATTTCTTCATCATTGAAATTGTCACTAAGTTTTCTTATTGGGAGATTGAAATGGATATGAACTTCTGCACAATACTGACAGAGAAATACGCCAAACTGCATATTGACAGAATCAACTTCTTCTAAAGCACAATCAGCACAGTGAGAATTTTGGGATCTTATAGCGTCCATTATAGGCGAAATTATATGAGGAATTTTATTGAATAAAATAATATAAAATGGAAATTTTTTAATTTAATTGTAAGAGATATATAAAGGTGATTTAATATTGGATATAAAAATATAGTAAGTTATTTAGAGTTTTTTCTCATGTTTTAAGACTATTTCACCATTCTTTATGCTTACTTCTTGCAGGATTGCTTCAAGCGGCAAAACTGAGCCATAATATTTTTCGATTTCTTTTCTTGTGTAGCTTTTATGGTGGACTAATGATTTATCAGCTGTGTTTGCTGCTTTTATATTGATAATTTCTTCAAATTCGGAAGCTTCAAGCATGAAAAGGCTTCCATCAATATTTCTTCATATGGCTTTTCCACCTACAAAATTTTGGTCTTCTTGAATTGAGTCTTTATCAGTGTCCAATGACTCGCTGCTTAGATCGCCTTTTAAGGTTACATTAGTTTTGATGAAATCCAGGCCTTTATTTTTCTGGATAAGATCACAGAGTTTATGTGTATTTGACTCTAGCCTTTCTTTTTTCACTTTTAACAACTCAGCCGCTTCTTCAATTTTAATGATTTTTTCTTCAGAATTTTCATCTCTTTTTATATCCATTTTTAAGTATTTTTGTGAAATGTATATAGTGACCAAGCAGCTTTGGCTGTCGATTTCGATTGTTTTTGCTAATACCAGCTTGAAAACATAGCGAGATGAGTCTAATGGAGTCCTATTCAGCAAATCAAATGAATCATTTAATTGCAGCTGATCTGTGATCTTTTTAGCCTGCTTTAATTCTCTGCTTGGAGATGAGCCAATTGTATTAAGTTTGCTGACTAGCTGGCTATGAGAATTTTCTTTTATTTCAGTCTGTATTGAAATTTTTGGAACTGGGGCAGGCACTATAATTGAGCTAGAAAAAGATTGAATTACAAGCTCATTTACTTGTGAGGATTTCATAGTATCAGGTTTTAAGGAGGCTATATAAGGTTGGCCGTTTTCTTTAAATTGGACTTGCTTTATAAGCTGTTCCGGATATTCAGCCTGGCTAGAATTTATTGGAATTTCATAAACCTTGTCAATTTCCCCTAATTTGTTCAATGTCAGTTTATATGCTCTGTTTCAAAAATTTCTTATCATCTTATTTTTGCCAATAACATTAAATCAAGACATATTTTTTTTTAATAATAATATAACGGTTGTAACCTATAACTTAATTTTAAATATTTTAGCTCGAAAGAATGGCTGCAAAACTTTATATTTTTTCCAATGTATAAAATAAAGATCTTAGATAGAGAAATTTATTTCTTGCAGGCTTGCATTTTTCTTAAACTAAAATAATTGTCAGATGATTATTAATTTAGCTCGTCAAATTTATAATGGAGTTTTTGATAAAATTTCCTATTTTAATTTTTAAATTATTATAAGCATATCTTTTTAATTTGTGCTCAAATCCAAAATGCGGAAAATTAAGATCTACTAATAATCAACTTAAATATAATTTTGATCAAAAACGTATTGGATTGAAATTTTACGAGTTTTTATTTTTTAAAGAATTACACAAATTTTAAGATAGCGATGCTAATTAAAATATAAAGTACACTTAAATTGTTATAAAAAGCATTTTATGCCGTTTACACTCTTAGAAGTCATGATAATTTAATTATTTATTTCATTAGTTCTATATTGAATTATTAATTATCTAAATTTTATTAACTAAGTGTATTAATATTGATTGATAAATGAGAATTTACAGATAATTGCTTATGTCTGGTCAAATCAATCTTGTTAAGAAATTCTTCTAACTCATTATATTCATTTTCAGATTTAAGCACCATTACCAAAAAATATTGTCCGCCTATTCTCCTTCCAGCTTTAAAAATTATTTCAGAGCTACCTTTTTGTGTTTCTGACGGCTTTTTGTATTTTCTACCCCTAAAAATATTCTGAATTGCAGTGACTGCATCTTTTATCAATTTGTCTTTTTCAGGATTTATATGAAGAGCTTTAGTAGGAGTGTCAGAATTTGCATAAAATTCGGTCAGACTGAAGGGGGTATCATGGTCTATTCCAATATAATAAGAATGGGGATTGAGCTGGCTTTGGTTTTCTGGGGTGTCATTGCTTTCTTCTTCAAGAATTTTATGATGCTGAGAGTTGCCAGGGGCTGGGGTGCTGCCTTTTCTTATGTTTATATGGTTTCCTTGAGGAGTTGATCGGACCTCAAGCAGCTTATTTGATCTGATTACTGAAGACCTATAAGGACTTTTCTGGATCTTCGCACTCATTTTTTGAGGACTTTTTGACTTTGATACAAATTTTTGCTGACTGTCGTCGTGGCATAAAATGGGTTTTAATTTCCGATCAGTTTCAGACTCATTTTCATCAAGAGATTTTCTTGGATTTAATTTTGGAAAATTTTTGATACTCAATCGGCTTTTTATTTCTTCAAATGTATATGGCTTCTTTTCTAAAGGAAATCTCGCATCAAAAAAATTATTGCTTGATTTCACGTCTATTTGTGGAGAAGCTTGCACATCTCTAAGATTTGATTTATTAATTTCATTAGGTTTAGCCGATATTGGCCGACTTCGTGAATTTCTACTAAAAAGTGGCCTCTTTTTTAATTTTTCTTTAATTTCCTCATAATTTTTCACACAATCATCAAAAATTGCTATAGAATTTTCCCATGAATGGCGCTGTTTGGCCTTGATTTTCCCACTGGGAAAATTTTTTGGTTTGACCAAACCATATGGTACTGGTGGGAAAAATCAAGGCCAAACAGCGCCATTCATGGGAAAATTCTATACCAAATTTTGTGTTTCTTGATGGTTGTTTAAAAATTTTATAGCCTTTCCATATCATTCATAAGAATCGTCATATTTCTTCAAATACTCATTTTCTATGGCAATATTATAATAAGAAATCGCTAAAATCGATATTTTATTGACATAATCAGTAAAAGGAATATCTTTTGGCAAATTTAACATATCATCTTGTGAGTACTGAACAGCCTGCATAGCGTAATCTAGAGCTTCTTTATGCTTGTTTAAATTAGAGAAAACTGCGCAGCAGTTTAAGTAAGTTGATGATTTATCGATTGGAACATCACGATTTGTTTTTATTAATTCTAAAGCTTTGTCTAAATATTTCTTCGCAGCGTGGAATTTTCCTAGTCTCCTAAAAGTGCATGCAAGATTGTTTAACAATGCATAGGATAAGAATCTTTTTGATTTATATAAGGAAAAATCTTTACAAGGACAAAAGGGATTGAGCAAAAACAAATCCAAAAGACCAGAGAAAATCAGATGTTTTCACGAGCCAATGGATAAATATTAATTTTTTTACGAAAATTATTTGTTATTAAATATCTGGCTATTTGAGAAAGGAATCTATATGGGATTGTGAACTATACATTTTTCAGGCAATAAAATTGCAGGGTATACATTTAAGATTAATTTGAGTGATTGCAGCATTGATAAGGTCTGATATGGGTCTGAAATATTTGATAATGCTTTTTTTGAGATTTTATCAACAAGATTTGAGCCTAAGCTTAGCACTTGTGCGGCGTAACGGGAATTGGTATGATATACTAACAATTTTGATAAGTGTTTCAATAATTCTTGTAAATTGGAATTTTTAATAAGGGATTCTGAGATTGTTTCAAAGCTATCAAGAAATAACTGTATAGATTCCTTAGGGGTATTATCTTTATTTTCTTCTTTCGAGTTTTCTTCCATATTAATTCATAGATAGTAAAGCGATATTTTTAGATAGCTTACTTATCATTATATTTATAATAAAATTATGAAAGCTAATATTTTATTAATTATATGCCTCTTGTTCTCAGTAAAATTTTAGAATTTGTCTTACGATCTCTATAACACTGTAATGTGTCTTTAAAAGTGTTAATATCAACTGTTGCACAATAATTTACAAAAAATACTTGGTCATAAAGTCTTGCTACTTTTTCAACTAGTTTAGTCTTTTTAAGAATTGACAGTTTATTTAGCCATCCAAATAGAGTTAGCCCTTTTATCTTTTTTTCCTTTATTAAGCTCATAGGATTTATCAAGCATGGCTGATTTGATAGAAGCCCATAAACATATAAAACGCCAGGCTCACACAAGCAATCATAAAGAATCCCGGTCATTTCTCCTGCTACTCCGTCAAATGCAATTGTAGCTTTAAGAGTTTTCGCTAATAGGCTTACTTTGGTTTCCCAGCCTTCTTCTGATGAGTCAAAGACATATTCACAGCCCATTTCTCTCAATAAATCTGCTTGGTTACTTCTTCTTACAATATTTATTATAGAAATTCCATTGCGAGTGCAATATTTAATCATAGCTTTCCCTATATACCCACAAGCCACATTTTGTATGACTGCTCTGTGATTTCCCTTTCTAATTTTGTTCATCATATATTCAATAGTTAAAGCATAAATTGCGCCAGCAGCCTGCTCAAAATTCATACTGTCAGGTATTGGAACTACACAATTTGCATCAACAATCGTGATATTCGCAAAAGATCCTGTATTATTAGGGCCATAGGTCATAAAAGTGACACGTTTATTTAGCAAGGAGTTAGCTAAAACTCCGCCCCCTGACTTTATTACAGTTCCACTTCCATTTAAACCTAAAGTGTTATGGGACAGTCTTAACTCTGAAAAATTGCCCATGTAAATGTATTCATCTGCTGGGTGTAGGCTTGCAAATTCGTTTCTAATCAATACAAAGTTCTCAGGGATGTCTTTAGGGATTTTTAACTCTTTTACAGTCATGGAATTTATATCACCATACCTGTCTATTGTAAGAGCTCGAAGTTTGTCTGTCATTTTTTATAATAAAAAGAAAACATGAAACTTATTTCAAATAGTGATACTGGTCGGTCATTTTTAACAGCCATTAGCTCGTAGATAAAATTTCTTAATTCCATAATAGTAAAACTATTGATAAATACATGTAAAAATCAGCATTAGAAAACATATAGTTATTTATGGTTTTTTTTGGGTGATTTAAATGGAATTGCTGAATCTTGACTTATGTGTAAATAATCTTGCCAAACAATAGTTTCGTTCCAAGTTTCCTGATTCTACCCTGAATTAATACAAAAATTCTAAAATTTATATTTATTTTTTAAAATATAAGGCTTTGGCTTTGATCTTTTTAAGTATAATTATCTTTTTTTTTTATTTATAAAAATAAAATTTTTTCGAAAAAAAAACAAAAATTGCAAAAATATTTAAAAACACTAAAACTTAAGCGAAAAAAAAACTCTCGCTATTAATAACTTTAGAGTAAGAAAAATTAATTCCTACTCCATAAAATTTTATAAACCCTCCTAAGCATCAATATTTTAAGTTTCACAGAAAAATAACTAAAACCCACCACAAATATTTATTTTTCCTTTCATTTCCCACTAATTCCAATCCAAAGTCCTTCCCGGGAAAATAAAAGCTATTGAAAAATTTCCAGTGAAGGCTTCATCGCCATTTTATAAGATTTAGGTTCGAAATTTTCCGTGACTGGCATTAATAAATACACCTCGGAAAGGGTATGCTTAAAAGTGCATCTAAACTTCGAAATGCTTGTTCAATGATGAAATTCGCTACCAACTTTTATACTTCAAAAAGTTTTCTCAGTAGCCGTAAGCTCGGAATTCCAATAAACCCTGATCCAGGATTTCCTTATAATCCACCAGTTGGGCCATATGACGAAGGAATTTCTAAAGACCCATCAATTCAACCATCTTTTGAATTTGAGGTCGATCCAAAATGGTCCTGATTTTATTATGAATTTTTTAATAAAATTTAATAGGTTTTTTATTATAAATAATTTTATACATCCAAAAGCCCTTCTTGATTCAGTTATCCGTCAGCAAATTTATCAACAAAAAGTTGAAGAGCCTTTCTATGTTGCTGATCTTGGGGATGTCGTAAGAAAGCATCACCAATGAACGACACTTTTGCCTAGAGTTAAGCCATTTTACGCAGTAAAATGCAATAGTGACCCATTTGTACTCAAGACTCTTGCTTCGCTTGGCACTGGCTTTGACTGTGCATCTACCGAAGAAATAAAAACAATTCTTGGCTTAGGCGTAGATCCAGAAAATATTATCTTTGCAAACCCCTGCAAGGCTGTGTCAAATATCAGATATGCTCGCGATCATTATGTAATCTATTTTAATTAAAAAATCTCTATTTATTATATAAAATTTTTTAAAAAATATATATAAAAAAATAGAATAAACATGATGACAGCTGACAACGCTGACGAGTTACGCAAAATCCACGAAATTAACCCACACGCTGACGTAGTCATCCGCATTTATGCTGACGACTCCAAAGCTGTGTGCAGACTTGGGAAAAAATTCGGGATTCCAATTGACCTTGTACCCGAGCTTGTACAAGAAGCTGAAGAAATTGGAGTAAATATCGCAGGTATCAGCTTCCACGTGGGCTCAGGCTGCACAGATGCAACAGCTTATAGCGACGCACTTCTGCTTGCAAGACGAGCTTTTAATGATATTGAAGCAGCAGGGTATTCACCTACGCTACTTGACATTGGAGGAGGCTTCCCTGGATATGAGCAGCCTGGTTTGGTGAAATTCGAAGAAATTGCCAGCCTAATTAGGCCAACTCTTGACGAACTATTCCCAAGGCATGTTAAAGTAATTGCGGAACCTGGAAGATATTACGTGGCCAGCGCTTTTTCACTAACTCCCCCCTCCGTGAGTGAACAAAAAAATTTTGTTCACTCACGGAGGGGGGTTAATTTTTTTTTTTTAAAAAAATTATATATATAAATTTTATAAAAAAATATTGTTTTTTCGAAATTTAAAAAAATCTAATTCGCAAAAATTGGAAAGCAAATATTAATTTAATTTATAAAATTTATGTTTTAAAAAACAATTTGTTTAAAATTAAACAGAATTAGCTCTATTTCATTATACTAATTATCATTTATATATCAAAATTTTTTTCCATAAAAATTTTTTCTATTAAAAAAATTTTTGTTCACTCACGGAGGGTGGGTTTTTGGGCAAAAAATAGGGATTTTTCTAATGGTTTTGTTCACTCACGGAGGGGGGGAGTAAGTGTGAACGTGACATCCAAAAAAGAAATAAAAAAGCCAAACGCTGAAAAAATGTGCATGTATTATGTGAATGACGGAGTTTATGGGTCATTCAATAACATCATGTTTGATCATGCAGTGCTTCCAAATCCTCATATTTATAGGAAGGAGACTAGTGGGGAAAATGAGGAAAAAACCTTCGAGTGCAGCATTTGGGGACCGACTTGTGACTCAATGGACTGCTTGACTTCGAAGATGCAGCTGCCGGAGCTGAACATTGGAGACTGGCTTTCATTTGAAAATATGGGCGCTTACACTTTTGCAGCTGCTTCCACGTTTAATGGTTTCGCAAAGGCTCGGTTGATTTATGTTAACTTATACTTAAATGTAAATTGCAGATCTTGGCTTGCTGGAGTATTGGTAGTGCAGTCACCAAGAGATTCACCCTCTTTGTGATGACAAGGAGAACTTATTTGGGTTGGGATGATGGTTCGCATAGTGAGCTAAAGGCTCGGATGCCGCCTTTTCCTCTTTTTCACTGCCTGACACCATGGCACCTGCGAAGCAGACTCTATGTCTTCGTCTCCTCCTTACCTTGTGGACTCTAGTGTTGAGTGGGAAAGCTATGGACTTCTGCAGCATGCTGTTTGGGTTGAACGAAGGTTGTCCGCACAAAAATCCCGAAAATGTAATTTCTGGCCAACTATTGTCAAAAAGGAAAAATTCAAAGCCTGGAGTGTAACTATCTGTTTCACGCTATAGAGTTGCCCGATTGCCTAAGCATTGCCTATAGACTCTGCTGGGCTTTCCCTTTCCAACTCGGATCCACCAATTCCCTCAAGATAAAATCCAATGCTCTGTATATTACTAGATTTGCCTATAGCATTGCTGCCCATTTCTGAATTTGAAAAAACTTGTTGGCTATAAATAAAATGTGTCGAGGCTGCATTGCCGGAGGCAATGCCCTGTCCAAGACTCCATTCTATTTATGATTTATGTTAACTCAGAGCTTGAGTAATTATAATCGCATTTTGCTATAAAAATGACTTACTTTTAAAATTAATTCTATGAATATTTATAGCAGATTATTAACCATAATAAATTATTAAAGCAAGCAACAATTTGCACATGATGATGTGCTGCGTGCGTCAGGCTGGAAGTTTATTCTGTTCTTTTTAATTTCTCCTTGGATTGGTAAATGGCTGTATCTCGAGTATTCTTTTTGGTTTTTCTTCATTTCTTCTTTCGATTTTTTTTCATTGCAGATTAAGCTGATAGTTTTTTCTATGAGTTTGCAGTTGTTGGTGGATTGCTCGGAAACGTCATTGACTTTATAATCGTGGTGATGCTTTTCTTTATTTATGTTGATTTCGATTTTTAGCTCATTTGAAGTTATCTTTACTTTATGAGGGGTTTCTTTATTAGCACAGCAAGGAGATTTGTTGATATTTATTGAATTATTTGACAATTCTATTTGAAGGGGATGGGGAATTGAAGGTGATGGCAATTTTTCTTCTATTTTTTCTTCTTTTGGGCTGCTTTTTGGAATAGTAATATCTTGTTCGATTGTTTTATTTGAAATTTGATTTGTTAAATCAATTTCATTTAAATAAATTTCACATAAAGGTTTGTGAATTACTTCTAACTCCCATTGGCCTGCAAGAAAAATTTTTTGCTTGCAAAAAATTATAATTTTTTTAAAAGATTTATATTAAAATTATATAAAAATAAATCTTTATAATATTATTTAAAGATTATTAAAATATGGTTTATTGTAGAAAATTTATATTAAAAATAAATTATTTGTTTGGAAACAAAGGAAATCAAAATCCCAAATATGATTTTGTTCTTTCACCAAGGAGGTAGAGTAAGCTGCTTTTGGTTATAAAAATTTTTTTGGTTTTTTCTTCAATGACACAGATGCTAGGTAAAGGTTTTGAAAGTATTTTTGCAGATGATCAGCAGAGAAATGCTGAATAAGGCTCTAAAATTGCTTTTTGAGCATTTGGATAAATAAATTCTTTTTTAGAAATGGCTATGTGAGCATTATCTAAATTACTAATTTCTACCAAATTTGATGTATTTAGATTTCTATTCTTATCAGACACTACTAAATCGCATATCTCAGATTTTTCTAAGTCTTCAAAAGTTTTATTTGAAGGCTCTTCTTTGATTAGTAAAACGCCAAACTCAATGCTGGGGATTTCTTTTTTAGCTTCGTCTCTATCATTTATCCTTTCTATCAGAAATATACTGAAAATTTTAAAATAATAATTATTTTATTAATAGAAATAGGTTTTAAATAATATTAATAAGTATTATATTTCCTATTTATGCATAAATTACTAAAATCTCTTAGCTCATCCAAGTTCATAGCCAAATCATCAAATAATTGTTTTTCTGATTTAAAATTTTCAACAGCTATATCTGCTATTGCAACCTCATCAATCAGCAATTTTTCCGCATTAAACTCAATCTGATTTGCTATATTAATATTTATTTCTCTATTATCTTCAGTATTTTTTAACTCATCTTGCAGGATTTCAAGTTCTTCACTTGAAGAATAACCTTTTAGGTGAGTTTCTTGGATATTTTCAAAAAGCTTGCTTTCTAGAATTTGAAATTTCTGTCGGTTTTTTTCCGAGACATCAATATGGGACTCAAGGATTTGGAATTTTTCCTGATCTTGGGCCTTTAATAAGCTATATTATGCTAAATTAACTATAATTAAAAAAATAAATAAGCTTCTATTTAATATAAATTAGAGAATCCTCACCGAATTAAGCTTTTAGGATGCTATTTGTTTGAGTTTATTGTTGCGGCGGCTTCTTCTTCACTTGAAGATATATCAATGTTTTCAATTGAAGTGTTCGATCTGCTCTCTTCTTCAATTTGTAAGTGTTCTATTAAATCTGGTGATTGATTTCTGAAGTCTTCGTTATTTTCTTGTAATATTTCAGGAGATAAAGCCATTGCTTCATCATGTGCTTGCTGATCGGTTGGGTCCATTATGCTAATAAAATTATTCGTTTTACTTGTATTTATTACTGAAATCAATGTATTTGTGTAAAATAATTATTTGATTAAAGATTTAGTTGAATACTGAGTGAGATGGGACTGCCATTTTGATTATCTTTACTCAGGTTTTAGAATTAGCAATTTCAGAAATATTATTTTTACTAGTTATTTTAATGGTAATTATTTGGCTGCTTCAGGAAATATTCAAAAATTAATTTTAAATAAAAGAGACTAAAAAATTTAATTTTAAGCTGATTATTATATAAGTTTTAAAAATAATCTTGTATAGAACATTTAGAAATGCTTTTTGTGTATAAATTATATGATATTTGATAAAATCTCTCCATTATTTAGGTGTAATATTTAATTTAATTTAAGGGTACCTTAATTTTTAGAATTTAATTATTATTTTACCACTTAGTGTGGCATTCTTTGCCTTGACCTTTGAATTCTATCCCCACCAATTTCTTCATATACTTCTCTACTTCCATCTGGGTGGGCTATTGTTACGAAAGTCTTCTTTACTGTCCTCCCATTTCTATTAACCAGCCTTGTTTGAATATTTTTCCGAGTTCCTTCATTATTAAAACTAAAATTCATTTGAGGGTTTCCCCCATTATCAGAATAAAATCCGCTTCTATATTGAGCAGTCTCAAATAAGCTTTCTCCAAAGAAATCTCCAAAATTACTCCTTTCAAAGAAATTCTCAAACGGATCTCTCCTTCATCTATTATAGCCGTTATTTCTTTGGCTCCTAAATAACCCAAAATAATTTTCCAAGTCCCCAAATGGATTTATCCTTCATCCATTTCTTTCTATATTTAAATCTCCATTAGAAATATTATTTCTTTGATTTCTAAAGAACCCAAAATCATTTTCCATAAACACAGAAAAAGGATCACGGCTTCCAAAAAACTGTTGGAAAATTTCTTCAGCGTTAGAAAAATCGAAATTGTGCTGAGGACTGCTTTGAGGATGAAAATCGGATGTGTCTCTGTTGGGGTTTGGATTAAAAGTAGGGTCTAAACCTTGATGACCGTAGAGATCGTAAAGAGCTCGTTTATTTTCATCAGATAATACTGAGTAAGCTTCTCCAGTTTCTTTGAATTTATTTTCAGCTCCTTCTCTGTTGTTGGGGTTTTTGTCAGGATGCCATTTGAGAGCAAGCTTTCGATAGGCTTTCCTGATTTCCTCATTACTTGCATCTCTATGGACTTCAAGAGTTTCATAATAATCAAGCTTAGCAGACATTATAGTTAAGTTTAATACATCTACAAAAAATATATAAACAATATGGGTTTATTATTTTATCTCTCATATATTTTAATTACCAAATGCAATTTTTTAATTTTAAAATTAAATTTAAGGCATTTTCCTAAAGAAAATCTATACTACATATTAATTTTCAGCTTCAATTTTTTATTTATATAAGTATAACACCCTAAGTTTCATAAGGTTTTTTATTATTAATGAATCTCATCTAACACCTTTCTCTACTGTTAATTTTCATAAAATTATGATATAGCATTATTAAATATAAATTTCAATTTTAATTAAAAATTGTAAATACTCACATTTTACCTCTTTTCTCATTCCTATTACCATATTATGAGTAGAGGAGCAGGATTTGATAAGCACATCACAATTTTCTCGCCAGACGGCAGGCTTTATCAAGTTGAATACGCTTTTAAAGCTGCAAAATCAGCTGGCCTTACAAGTATCGCAGTTCGTGGTAATGACTGTGTCGTTCTATGCATAGAAAAGAAAGTCCCTGACCGAATGATTGTCCCAGAGAGCGTAACCCATTTATTTACAGTTGCTGAGAATATTGGAGCTTGTATGACAGGTTTGCTTCCTGATGCAAGAGCTTTAGTGACAAGAATGAGAAATGAGGCAAGTGAATATAGATTTAAGAATGGAATTCCATGCCCAGTCAACATTTTAGCCAACAGAACAGGAGATCTCGCTCAAGTTTATACGCAGCAAGCCTTTATGAGACCTTACGGAGTTATCACGATGCTTGCAGGCATTGATGACGAGCTCGGGCCTCAGCTTTATAAAATCGACCCTGCAGGGATGTTCCAAGGCTTTAAAGCTTGTGCAGCTGGAGTCAAAGAACAAGAAGCTACCAATTATTTGGAAAAACAGTGGAAAAAGGTGAATGGGGATTTAAATAGAGAACAAGCTATAGAAATGGCAATTGAGTGCTTACAGAATGTAATGGCCCAGGAATATAAGTCTAATGATATTGAAGTAGGAATTGTGACAACTGATCACCATGCTCTTAGATTGTTAAGTCAACAGGAAATTGAAGAAAGGTTAAATGCGATTGCTGCTAAGGACTAATAAGTTAAGTTGCAATGACGTAATAAATTTATAATAATCTCCAGAATTTTAAAAATCGCCTGATTTTTAAAAATTTATACAAAATCTTAACTTTTGGATATTTCTTTGCAGCTTCATGTCTTATTTATAAAAATAGTGGTCTATTTTTAAACGTAATAAAAAATACAAAGATGCTTCGGTGGAAAACGATATGCTGTAATCCATAAGTAGGAGCTAGTTTTACAACTGCTTGCATGAGGAAAACACCTGAAAAATTTTTGGGATTAGCGTCAGCATATGCTGAGAGACAAATGATGCATCATTTTGCGCAAGGACTTTACCCAGATTCAGGGATCTATATTTTCGCTGACAAGTGCTTGAGAAAAAACCCTATCAACGACTCACAATTAGAAAGCTACTGCAATGACAAACTTTTAGCATTAAAAACAATAGCAAATCCGTCATTCAGGGAATCAATAAAATCTCACTTAACCAATATCGACACGAGTATTAGCAAAATGGTAAGGTTTATTTAGCTTAAAATTGATATAAAAGCTACTGATATTGTGACTAAATTTTTCGATTTTTATGGAACAAAACATATGCATGCTTCCGCCATGTTACTTATGGCTCAAGCTATAGGAAGAATTTCAATGAAACAGTTGCTATTTACCCAATCAATAGAAATGGCTCATTTTGGCAGCTCAATTCATAACAAAATTTTAGATAATTCTAGTGAAGCAAGTTGGCTTCATATGTTTTTGGGCGATAATGGAATGATATTAGGTGGTGATTATATGATCTCTAATGCGTAATTTTTATCCAGCTCTATTGAATGCTGCAGAATTAACAGTTTGCCACTAATTCAGTTGCTTTGTTTGATTATTCAAAATATTGCAAAAGGGTCAATTTTGTCCTTGAAAGGGGAAGGAATTTCTGAAGTCCTGATGAACTATTGTGCACTGTGTTTTTATAAGACAGCCAGCATTATGGCTAATGGGTGCCAAGGGATTGCATATTTAGCTAATATAGCATAGGTCCTTATTTAGATACTCCAAAGAAAAAATATATCAAAAAGAAGAAAATCCGGCATGCCAAAACTAAGTATTTTTATTGAGAAATCTAAAAGAGGGCTTATGCTATAGTGATACGAAGATAAGTTATGACTATGGAAAACACATTGGAATGGCTCTCAGTGTAGCTAGCGACATTAAAGACTATTTAAACGGAAAACTTAAATATAACTCTTTCCCTGTTCTTTTTGCAGCAAACACGCATCCTAGCATACACAAGCTAATTCAAGAAAAACAAGAAAACCTTGCAAAAGAATTGATAGCAGATGCAAATGGCATTAACTGGGCCAAAAAATTAGCCATTCACCACATAGAAGCTGCCATTGAAGCAGCTAACCAGTTTGAAAGCCCAAAAGAGCTTGTCGCGCTAGCAGCAAGTATCTCGAATAGCCTTTAATAAATAGAATTCCCTAAATTTTTAATTATTATACTTCGATTGGCTTTATTTCCTTGAGATTTATCTGGCCAACCAACACCGTTATATCGTTTGGTTTTCCTCCTACCCATTCAATTTTTTCACTTTTGGCTTTTAGCATATAAGGTGACTCGAATTTTGTATCAGTGCTATGTTCCAATGCTCTTTCAGCTACCATTTCTGCAATGATTTCTAGGTCAGGAATTTCATGTATTCCATATCCTATTAATTTTTTTTTTAAAAAAAAAATTAAAAAATATTTTTTAAATATCAATTATGACGAGAATAATAACATAAAAGGCTTAATCATTCTTAAAATTTGGTCATCGAACATATTTTGTGTGAGACCGTCTGTATACATAACAATAAGATCTTTATCTTGAACTTCTATTACTTCGTAAGAAGCGATATCAGGAGAATCTCCATCTGTTCCTAGCTGACATGGGGAATTAAAGCTGTGGATCACGTCTTGGGATCTTGCGATAAGCTCAACTTCTTCTCCTTTTTTACGATATATCATAAAGCCTGAGTCGCCGATGTTGGCAGTATATAGTTTTGAAAGCTCAGGGTCGAAGATTGCTAATGTGCAGGTAGAGCTGCCAGTTTCTTTGGTATTTTTGGTAGCGTCTTTTAGGACTGCTTGTGGCTCGAATTTTAGCTTATCTGGAAGAGATACAATGGATTTGGAGACATTCTGCATTATAAAATTCTAATTAAATTAATTTTTTGATATTAGAATTTAATTATTAGGGTCGAAAAAATAGCGAATTTTTTATATTATATAGTAAAGTATAATTCCCAAGCATATTTTGAAGGATCCACACCCATTTGTTTCCATCCGCTTATACCATCTGCGACAGCCATAGCTCTATCATTAGCAAAGTATGCGTCATCTGGAGGTGTATTCTGCTTTTCAGGAGATGGGACAGACCAAGCAGCTGACCTGAAATGATTTGTAAAAGATGAAAATCTTCTTAAAGTCCTTGTAAGCATTTTTCAATTAACTAGTTTAAATTGATGAAAGCAGATTATACTAAATCGCACTTTTATATTCTAAAATTACATGATAACTATTTATAAACACTAACTTACCCTTTAAATTTGAAAAAAATCCTTTTTTTTTGCTAACTCCCCCCCATCCTTGATCGAACGACTCGCCATCGTTCGATCAAGGATGGGGTTAAAAAAAAATTTTTTGGGAAAAATATTTTATATACAAAATAAAAAATATATATATATATTTTTTTTTATTTACTTTTAAATAAGAGGGCTAAGAGTATTTAATAATTATTTTTACAGCAAAAAATTGAATTAATTTCATAAAAATACCAATTTTAATATTTTAATTTATTAGTTGTTACCACTTTAAACTGTATAAATTTTAATTTGCTCCTTATTAAATTACAATTTGTTTTTAAAAATTTTAAAGAATCTCTATTTTATTAGATTATTAAGTTTTTAAGCCTAGGTTGATGACTAAATCACTTCGGATGGTTGATTCCGAAGCTTTCTGTCGTCTCAAAGTCTCTGAAAACAACTTCATTATGCACATCTTCCCAAGCTTTTGATAACTAATATATTATTATATATATAAAAAATTTGCATGATATGAAAATCGTTCGATCAAGGATGGGGTTTAATTTCCCAATTTTTAGGAATTTTTACAGTCAATCGTTCGATCAAGGATGGGGGGGGAGTAAATTAACTTTTAATTTTTTTTAACAGGTAAAAAATATTAATTCTATATAATAACTCCGATCCAACTAATAAAGCAAGTGCAAGCAGAATGTATTTAAACATTTAAAATGCCTAATTGAGTAGCATTTTGAACTAATTCTTCATAAAAATTAATTAAAATTAAGCTTTATATTATTCTAATTTTTAAGAAATTAAGATTTTATATTAATGTTTTCAAAAAAAAATTAACCCTGAAGAAGTTGGAACAGTTTTTTTTGGGGATTTGGAGTGAATAAAAATAAGCAAGTCATTTAGTTACACAACTTAGTTGAATTATTTTTTAAAGCTTATTATAATATCTGAAAATAATTATTATAAAAGACTAATGGCTGGTGTCAAGAATTTAATAGGAAAATAATTTATAGTTTTATAATTAAATAAGCATATTTAAGTGGTAATTTTTAAAAGATAAAAGCTGTAAGATGTTGAAAATTGCTTTATTTAATGATTATCGCCTTGGCAGGTAAATTCTTTTCTTTCACATTCTTCCTTCACTTCAACTAATTTATCATCCCTCGTGCCCTTTTGGACACAAGTATACTGGGCAAGCTTTGCATCCCAGACTTGGGAAAATACAAAACTTGCCATCAGTATAGATAGTAACTTGTGCCCAAAAGGCACAAGGGACGATATGATGCCATTTTATTATATCGATGCTGAAAGTAGCTTCCCAACATAATATCCTTGATCATAATACATAAAATTCAAATAAGCAATTATGATTTGTCTAATCAAATATCCATATAAATAAACATTTGTCAGCACAGCTATTCCCAGTTCTTTTAAGGTTGAAATTTGAAAGGTTCCAGCGATATCTGTAATAAGAGCATTAAAATTGCAAATAGAAATTGTTGAGGTAAATGCATTTGACACCCCTTTGAATGCATGCAGCTGGACACTAAATGATTCTCCAGTTGAATATGCAGTTGAAAAGGTATCATATGCGCTTGTAATTGCAGGGATACTTTTGATACAATTAGAAGGGCTATAAGGATTTTCTTGAAGTCCGTTATAAAACCCCATAATAAAGTAGTCTAACTCTTTTATTCAAAATCAATTATAACTGATTTATTTATTTTATATTTATCATAATTAGAATGACTATACCAGCTTTTTAATTTATAATTTTCTTTTATTATTTCTGAAGTTTTTCTGTAATTAAGGGAGTGTAAATCTGAAACTCCTTCTACTTTTTCTTGAGCAAATGCCTCAGTAAAAAACAATAGCACTATAAATTTCATTATTTATAAGAGTTGCTTTATTAAAATTTAATAAATGATTTAATTCGACTACAAAAATGAATAAAGATTGGGGGATGATTTGATTTAGGAAATAATTAACAAGCCAGTATCTAAACTCTTGTAAAGCATCATTTTGCGTTTAATTTAGTGCTTAGTAAATTTTTTAAATTATTGAGAATTAATAAATTACTTTTATAAATACTTTTAAAGCAAAAATCTTTGCAAAAGTTAGTTTAAACAGCAACCAAAGCTGTAGTGCTTATTTTGGGCTCAATGATAGGTATAGGAATTTATGATTGATTTTAATTGGTCATGGTAATATTTAAATTTTTAGCCACGAAAAATGGCAAATCAGAATTACATAATATAAGCCTATGGCCGAAAAAATAAAGCTTGCGTCTATTGAAAAATACACGGATTTAGGCACAATACAAATCAAAGAAATTGATGTCCCAAGCCTTCCTGAAGGCTATGTTTTAATAAAAACTGAGTTTGCAAGCATAAATCCTTCTGATGAAATCGTAGCAATGGGTTGCTCTCATTTTCATCTCTCCAACAGTTCATTAGGCCTACAAGGAAGTGGAACTGTTATGCAAAGTGGAGGCGGAGCTTTAGCAAATTCCTTACTCTCCCCCGAAATTTAAAATGGTGACATCGACGGAAGATGGATCCTGAGAATTCACTCCCTATGGAGCATCTAGGGCCCGTCCCGATGAGGATCTCTGTCCCTTTTTGAAGTAGGCCTTCAGGCTTGGGGATGTCTTTCTGAAGAGGGAAGTCTATTTCTCCCGCGAAGGTTTCCCTGTCCCTTCAGATGGGCTAGGCAGGGTTCCCTCCCACTTAGTCTTTGCTTATTGGGACTAGCAGGGCATCCATAAGAGGTTACTCTAAGCTATGAGCTAATCCTTAGGCTAGGTGGGTTTACACCAGATAGACAAGCTAGTGATCTATCCGCTTAGCCTTATATATAACACTTAACTTAACTTACTCTTCCTTAGATATCAAAATAATTGAAAAATCCATATTTTTTTGAGAAATTAATCTCCCTTATAAGCTAACAAAAAACTTCTAAATATATATTTTCTATCTGCCATATAATTAACAATTATTCTAATAAAATATCTAACTAATTTATAAATTTAAACTATAGTGCGTGCTTAAACATAAATTTTTAAATAAATTATATTTATTTAAATTGGGATTTTAAATTTAAAAATAAATTATCCAAAATTTAAAAAATAAATAAGCCTCCACCAAAATATTTATTCGCAAATAGAAAAGGAGTTGGTAAACAAGCGCGTTGCTTTTCTTGTTTCAGGACAAAATTCAATAGGCTCCTTCTCTGAATATTCAATAACAAAAGCTGAAAAAGTGCTGCCGATTAATGATGATTTTAGTTTTGAAAATGCTGCAAATGTATTTACAGCTTTTACAGTTGAATATATGATGAAAAAAATAAAAAAGGGGAACCATAGAGCTGTTATACAAACAGCTGCTGCAAGCAGCGTTGGAAAAGCACTATTAAGGTATTGCCATTATTATGGAATCCCAGTGATTAATCTGGTCAGACGAAATGATCAAGCAGAGGTGCTATAATTTTTGACCAACAAAATATACTTATAAAATCCTCAAAATATTTTATTTTTATAAAAAATAAAAATAATATAAAAAAAATTAAAGCTATAAGCCAAATTATAAGGAATAAGGGATATAGGGGCTGATTATATTATAATTACAACTTCTGAAGGATGGCAAAATAGAACTAGGCTACTTGTGAAAGAGCTTGGAGCAACAATTGGATTTGACGCGATTTCTGGAGAAATGGCTGGAGAAGTATACGATTTAATTAAAGAGCCTGGGAAATTATATATCTATGGTAATCTCTCTGGACAATTCTGCATGATAAACCCAACAAGTCTTGCAAGAAAAAAAATAATTCGAGGACTTGATTTAAATATTTGGCTTACAAAACTGACTATATTGAAAAAGATGGATATTTTTGATAAAGTCCAAAAGTTATATGACCAGATATTTAGAATTGATTACAAAGAAACAATCAACCTCAATAAGTTGAAAAATGCTCTTATTTCTTATAGAGAAAGAAAAACAAACTCAAAAATTTTGGTGAGAACAAGATTTGACTAATTATGCATCTAATTTAAGAAAATTGGCTTTTTTTCAGTTTATTCCAATAATTAAATTTAATTTCAAATAAGCGTTTTTTAATTAAAAAAGCTGGTAATTATGGAAAACCATTTTGAAAGTTTTCAGCTTTTTTTTAATTTACCTACACAGCTTTCTTCTTTATATCATCATACAATTGATCATGATCGTATCTTTATTGAAGATTATAAAAATCTTCACCAATTTATTTATCTTATTTTCAAGTCTAAATTGATTAATGAAAATTGGCAGAATATATAATTATTTTGAATTTTTACTGCCTTGCTTAATATTAAGCTCTTTTATTATTTTTTATATAAATACATTGTAGCAAAAATGCTAGTAAATTATACCATTTCATGCATTCAATCTTTGAGATAAAATAATAATTTCGAAAGATGCAGATAAAAAAGAAAACGCTTAATCTCATCGGTATTTACACAGCTTATTTCGCAAATGCTATTGTCTTTACTTTAGTGATCCCTTTTGCAAGCAAAATGGTCATGAAGTTCGAGATAGCTGAAGACAGGTCCTCAACAGGGGCTTGGGTGGGCCTCATCACCTTTTCCTTGATGTTTGGAAGAACAATAACGTCCGCATTTTGAGGCGCAATGTGCGACCACTGGGGCAGACGACCAGTAATGCTTATAGGAATAGCTTCTATCACAATATTTTCGTTACTTTTTGGGTTTTCTCCAAACTTTTGGTGAGCGCTCTCATCAAGATTTTTGCTTGGAGTGTTTACTCCTTTGGCAATCGTGACAAAGACATTGATTTCTGAATTATGTCCAGATGAAGAACAGCCGTCAGCCATGGCATTGCAATCGATGCTATGGCAGATAGGAATTGTTGCAGGAAATGTAATTGGAGGCTTATTAGAGGACCCAAAAAATTCTGGGCTTATAACTTGCGGCATTTTCGCTGAGTTTCCATTTTTATTGCCAAACTGTGTAGCAGCTTTGATGGCATTTATTTCCTTTTGGCTCGTATACCCAAATTTACAAGAAACTCTTCAAAAGTCGTCATTATTTGCAGACACGACCAATAGGAATAAGACTTCAAAGCAAATAATTACTGACCCGGTTGTCTGTAAAATTTTATCTGCTTACACAATATGGGCAAATAACTCAACAGCTATGAATGAGCTTATGGTCCTTTATTTATGGACAGACAGAAAAAACGGAGGATTTGAGCTTGATCCAAATGAAATAGGACTGTTTTTAGGCTCTTCTACAATATTAATAGTCCTTTTCCAAAAAAGTTTGGCTTCTTTTATTATCAAAAAGCTTGGACTTGCTACAACTACAAAAGTGACTACTTTTTTGGCAATTCCAATACTTTTATTAGGGCCTTTTGCAAGTTTTTTAAATCAAACTCAACTTGCGAAGTGACTAGTTCTTAGGTTAATCCAAATGTCGTGGATTACTGTAAATATTATTTCATTTACTGCAATAAGCTGTATGTCAAATAACTCAGTTGTACCAGGGGAAAGAGGGAGGATGAATGGGCTCTTTATGACCTCAGCGAGCCTCGCAAAGGCATTTGCACCGCTATTAATTGGGTTCACGTTTGCGAATACTGTGAAAAGTGGCATGATTTTTCCTTTGAATTATTCTTTTTCATTTTATTTATTAGCTCTGATAGAAGTTTTAATGTGGGCAATCTGCAGTCGGCTACCAGTTTCTTTGAATCATCCAAAGGAAAAGCAAGGTTTTCAGTATATTGAATTTAAAACCTTTAGTAAAGCGTAAATACTTGGAACAATTAATCTAATTAGTCTTCTTGTATTTTGTATATACCTTTTAGATAGCCGGAAACACCAGCATTTATGAGGCCTTGGTGTGCCAATAGAAATTATCTAAATTTTACTTCAAATATTTATTAACTAAATAAGATCCTCTTATCTCTTCACTGATGATTGATTAATTAAGACTTGAATATGTGGATAGCTTTAATAAGTAATTTTGATATGATTATGGTACCTTGCTCATCGATATTTGTATTGCTCTCTTATTCTAATAGATTGTTGCTTGAGTTTAATAAACATCTTTTATGAATAACTATTATTCGGTTAACTAAAATTAGTTTGGTAAACTAAATTTGATCGGCGCATGAAATCAATTTTTTGGATGAAAATATTGATTAAAGGATTATGATAAAACAAAATAAATCGAGATAAAATATGTGAATTTATTAACTCCCCCCCCCCCTCCGTGAGCGAACAAAAAAATTTTGTTCGCTCACGGAGGGGGGTTAATTTTTTTTTTTAAAAAAATTTATATATAAAAATTTATAAAAAATATTTTTTTCGAAATTTAAAAAAAATCCTAATTTGCAAAAATTGGGAAGCAAATATTAATTTAATTTGCAAAATTTATGTTTTTAAAAAACGCAATTTGTTTAAAATTAAACAGAATTAGCTCTAGATTTCATTATACTAATTATCACTTATATATCCAAATTTTTTTCCATTAAAATTTTTTCTATTAAAAAAATTTTTGTTCACTCACGGAGGGTGGGTTTTTGGTCAAAAAATGGCGATTTTTTTCTAATGGTTTTGTTCGCTCACGGAGGGGGGGGGGAGTAAGCATAATGTCTGACAGCTTTAGCATTCTAACACCCTAAATGTATTGAAATAAGAATTTAGTCGTATTAGATGTTATTAGTAGATAATGACATACATTGACATTGAAATATGGATGTCGAAATAAGTATCATGGCAAACTGTAATTATAGCTACTAACTAATTTCATTGAAACTAAATCAAATACATAATATCGCAATTATATCTCTTGTAGTTCTAGAGCAGCTGAACAGTCATATTAGATGGTTTTAGCGGATAAGGCATCTATTGAAACTAATGCATTGGTTTCGAAATAAGTATAATGATAACCTGTAATTATGGCTACTAGCTAGTTTTATTAATACTAATTCAAACACTTAATATCGCAATTATATCTCTTGCAGCTCTAGAGTAGGTGAACAGTCGTATCAGATGATTTTAACAGATAATGGCATCTATTGACGTTAAACTATTTGTCGAAATAAGTATCATCCAAAACGAAGAGATAAGAGGATCTTATTTAGTTAATGAATATTTAAGGTTAAGTTTGGATACTTTCTATTGGCACACCAAGACCTCATAAAAGCTGGTGTTCACAGTCTATCTAAAACTGTATAGAGAAATCGAGGAGCAGTAACGAACCAGCCTCGAAAAAAATGTTGTTTTCACATTTTTTATCTCGATTCTTTCGCAGTTGCCATTTCTTAAACTGTCTGCAAGAAAGGCTGTGAATAATAGTAGATTAATTAGCATAATCTATAACCAAATTATATCATAATCGGAGAGGCATTTTTAATCTTATTTGTGAAATTCGAAGGATATTCATGCTCAAAGGTTAAGGTAAATTAAATCTGGATAATTCGCAAGCTAACTTATTAAGTCTTTCGGCTCTGAAGCAGCGCTATGGAAGTAAATATGCTATTAAAATAAATTCTAATTCTTTTGTAACTTTAAGGTTTCATCTCTTAATTTAATTAGAGAAACATAATTTATTATATGAATTAAATTGTTTTTAAATTTAAAAACCATTAGAATTGCCGTTCTGAGTGTGCTTCTGTTACAAAATTGTTATTTAGAACAGTTTGAGCAGAGCATTTCTGAATTTCTCCAAGGATTTCATACAAATTCTTCAGGTTTCCAATTTTGGAGTCTTTGATCTTTATAATTTTTATTCTTTCTTATAATTTCTCTGATGGCAAAATAGCTTTTAAAGCCTAAAATTGGTACAAGAGTGCATCCGAATATCGTCAGTAAAGCGATAGAAGTCCATTCTCAGCTATTAATAAAGCAGATTAAAAAGATTCACGCAAATAGAGTAATAAAGATAAAATTAATAAAATGAAGTTTAAGTATTCCTAAATCTGAGTGACTGTTTCCTTAAAATTTAGTTTTGAAATTACTTTTTGGGAAAGCTTTTTTTCTAAAGCTTCTAGTATAGGGTGTTTGAATGGTTCCTGCTCTAAATAATTCAATATTAATTGGCTGTACTATCTTCACAGTTGAGTATAGTTTTGTAAGTTTCACTTATGTCGGATTGAAGCTGTAATTTTTCTTCACGATCAGAAGTAAACTCGAATTTAAGTAGATCTGAGAGAAGGGTTTAAAATAGTTTGTTCCTTTGTGCTCATTTATTTTATATAAAGCCCCTTTTAAATTTAAATAATTATTTAGTTATATAACCCTCTACTTGAAGTAAAAGCTTATTGGCATAATTTAGAGGGAATTGGTTAGGGATAAACATGATAAAACTAAAAGGTCAAAACCAAATAAGGCTTCCCAAATGGCATTGTTGGAATAAGCTCTATTTTTCAGTGTTACAGTTTGCATTAATGCTAAATAGAAAATATTTTAGGCTAGTCAAAAATATCAATTTAAAATATTTTAATATGCTAAATGTAATATTATTTTATCTCTATGAATTCATAGATTTGTCATATTCATATTTTCCAAAAATATGATCCAAATTGGCATTATTCAAACATCACAAGAGATTATATAGTTAAAACATCAATTAAAATAATAAAATAACCCAAATCGTAGCTTAAATATAAATTACCATAACACCCATCACTGTTCACTTAATATTTGCAGTTTTTCTAATGCGAGCAGAGTAGTGAGCATATCGAATATACTTCTTTTCTTGGAGTGGCGCTGCAAGCGCAGGCCACTCCATGCGGAATTCCTGTGTTGGTTTAACCAACATAGGAGTTGGTCGAACCAAAACTGTGCGTTGGTCGACCAACCCATGAATTCCGCATGGAGTGGCCTGCGCTTGCAGCGCCACTCCAAGGAGGTTTCTATATCTCACTAAGGTGATGGCAGAAGCCATATTCATCTAACAGCACTTTGCCAACTGGCATATTTAGCCGTTTCAAACTCAAACAGCTAATTCATATGGCATAATAGGGAATATATCGAGCGTCTATATCGAACATTCACTATGGTGATGGCAAAAGCCATTATCATCTAACAGCGCTTTGCCAAACTGGCATATTTAGCTGTTTCAAAACTAATAGCTAATTGATATGACATAATAGGAATGCATCGAATGTCTATATCGAACATTCACTTAGGTGATGGCAGAAGCTATTATCATAATGCATAATAGGGATATTTCGATACTTTTGTGCTTGAATGTTCAAGTGGTGATCAACAAATATGTCTATATTTTATCAGAAATGCTTTAAATTTATCAGAATCTGTAAATCATTTATTTTCATATGAAAAATTAATTTCATTTGCCAATCAGATTTGGCATACTGCAACTACTTTGGTTTACCGAATAATGACTTTTAACACACATTTTTTTTTTAAAAATCAAGCCACAATCTATCTAAATATATATAAGAGCAATACAGAAACAGATAATTTAAGCACTAGAATCCTACTATAAGAATTTCATTTAAGCTTTATGCATATTTAAGCCATGAAGAAGCAATCCTTATAAAAGAGATAAGGATCATATTTAGTTAAGAAGTCTTAAAGGTCAAATATGGGCCTTGTCCTTTAACAAGCCAAGGCCATCAAAAGTAAAGGTTTACCATCGAATTAAAAGTGTGTATCGCTTATGCGCCATAATAGATCGATATGAGCAAGCAGCATACTGACCAGAAAAAATAGTCTAGGGCACCTACCTATGCAGTATAAGTCCTATTAGGCATCTTAAAACCATAAACTAGATTTGTAATTTCGTTTATATTTTCAAAAAAATTGGCAAGTAAAAATTTATTTTAAAATTTAAAATGAAAGTCAATAGCGACCTAATAAAATTCTTAAATTATACTGAATCAAAAAATGTAAGATATTTAACAAAGTCAAATACCCAATCAAAATAAAAGTTTTTATAAATAATTTTTTAAAATAGCCACACTTATAAATTAAATACTAAAAACTAGCATTAATTTACCCAGCTGAAATATTATTTATTATTATTGAAAAAATCCTTTAAAATAATTTACTACCCAGCATCTTAATTACCACAATAAAATCTTTTTTACGATCACTAATGATTTATCTAAAATATATCTTATAAAATCCTTATTTTAATAAGACCTCATATTTAAAAATTCATACCTAAGTTTTTATTTATAATTTATGTTTCCTCAATCAAATTTATTTCAATTTCCAGATCCAAAAGCCCAAATGAAACTTTCTTAACCCTCTTTATTTCACCACCTATTTAAAGTATGATCTTAAATTTCATGTTAAAATTCCATTTATTATCTAATGAATAAGAAGAGAATAATTTTGGTAGGCATATATTTGGCATCCTTAGCCAATGCAATTGTATTTACTGTCATCATCCCATTCGCTAGCAAGATGGTCATATCATTTGGTATGACTAATAGCCGCTCAACAACAGGTACCTGAGTAGGAATTATCACATTTTCTCTTATGATAGGTAGAACAATAACCTCACCTTTTTGAGGCTGAATATGTGATAAATGAGGCCGAAGACCAGTTATCCTTATTGGAATTGCATCTATCACTGTATTTTCATTGCTTTTTGGATTTTCTCGAAATATTTATTGGGCTATGATGTGCAGGTTCTTATTAGGAGTCTTTACACCACTTGCAATTGTAATTATCCTTAAATAAATAATAAAGATAATTAATCTCTATAAATTCCTGTCAATTTTAATGCAAAACTGAACAGATAATTTTAATTTTTATATATTTTTTTTACTAAAATACATAAAACTCTATTGTCTGAAATTTGTCCAGGTGATGAGCAGCCGAATGCGATGGCTTGGCAAACACTTTTATGGCAAATTGGAATGGTGTCAGGAAATGTCATTGGAGGTCTATTAGAAGACCCTAAATCGTCTGGACTTATAGACTCAGGAATTTTCGTAGACTACCCATTCTTGCTTCCGAATTTTGTGGCTGCTTTAATGGGTTTATGCGCTTTCTTAATGGTTTATCCATTTCTCGAAGAAACTTTGGACAAATCTGATATGAAAGATTCGCTGATTGGCCAAGAAGGAAGGAGTTTTATGCAGATTGCTGCTGATCCTTTGGTAAGTAAAGTATTAGGAGTATATACAATTTTATCTAATAACTCAACGGCTATGCATGAGCTTGTTTCATTATATTTATATGCGGACATTGTAAATGGAGGTTACATGTCAAATGACTGTGCTTTACAATGCGACATTTCTGAGGGGAAAATTTGTCCGAAGCATTTTTGATAGCGAGACTTTTGACCCAAAAAATCGTTAATTATCAGCCAAGTATATGCTATTTAAAAATTTTCAGCCAAGTTTTATATTCGATAAATTGCCAACTATTAAAACGTACACAATCGTTGGACTTGCGCCTGTAAATGGAGGATTCTCAATGGATCCTGATGAGATTGGGCTTCTGCTGGCAGCAAGTGCAATTTCATTAGTCTTTTTCCAGAAACTCATATTTTCTTCTTTTATTATACTTTATATAGCTAAATTCTACTATAAATATATTTTTCAGAATTAAAAAAACCCAATTATTTCATTCTAATATTTTACCTTTATGAGGCATAGTCGGTATGGACTGGTCAAGACCTCTAATATGACAACATTTTTGGCATAATTAAATATGGCGTCTCAAACTTGGGTCTGGCCTTTCGGCCAGACAGTTTCGAGCCTATTTAATTATATCCGGCAAGGTTTTGCCTAGCTAGAGATGGACAGCAACATCAGGTAAGCAATTCTGGCAGTGTACAGAGCCTGATCCCAGTCCGTTCTCGGGTTAGGATTTTACCTCGAGGGAAAAGGAGGCTTGGAGTTGGAAAGGGGAAGCCCAGCAATGCCTACAGGTAATTACTAGGCTGTTCGGGCAAGTCTCTAGTGAGAAACCGGGAGTTTCGCCCCGGGCTGCAAGTTTTCCTTTTTTGCCGAAAGTCGGCCAGAAATTCCATTATTTTTGGAATTTCTCAGCAGGCAACCTTCGTTACAGAGAAAGTAGCTCATTCATGAGCCGTCGAAGCCGGAACATCGCGCAGGAGGCGCACGTTGGAGATCAAAGCTAGCTGTCCCAGCAACTAGTGGGCCCCGAGCGACGAGAGCGTGGTGGTAGTCCTGGAAGAGCAACCCCGTAGGAGACGTTAAATGTGATGGTTAATAAGTTAAGTTAAAACAACATTTTTGGCTGTCCCAATTCTTCTAATCATACCAATCTCAAGCTGATTTAGAAACACAACATTACTCAAATGATTTATTTTGGCGTTATTTAATATCATTTGAATTACCGTGAATTTTATATCATTTACATCAGTAAGTTGCATGTCAAATAATTCAGTAGTAAACAAAGAGAGAGGAAGAATGAATGGACTTTTTATGACTGTAGGCTCTTTAGCTAGGTCTATCGCTCCTTTGCTATTTGGGTGAACTTTTGCAACGACAGTCGAAAGTGGTTGAATTTTCCCTTTTAATTATGCCTTTTCGTTTTACCTTTTAGCTGCGGGATCTGTAGCTATGTGGATAATATGCAAAATGATACCAGAGTCATTAAATGGACCAAAAGTAGAAGAATCAATAGCCCATTATACACAAATGAGTATTATTAATAAAGCATAACCTGAGGTAAAAAATAATTAATTCCCTTCCCTTGAATAATATATCCTGTTCAAATTTAAAGGAGGTTAAAAATTTTCTATATAAAAAAAAAAATTTATGAAAATTAAAAATATATAAATAATTAATTTAAAAAGCAAATCGATTCAGCTTGAAAACAGTTTTAAATAATAATCTGCTTGTACAAACTAATTTTATAAAAATTATTTCATTTCACCTATACAATTTTCCTATTAAAATAAATTTGCTCCAATTTACAGGCTAAAGAAAATGAAAATTTTCCTATATTTTGTCCCACTTTTACGAGAGGGGCGCAAGTCATTTTAATATAAATTAATTTTCACTCCAATGAAAATCTAGAACTAAACTACAGACTTTGTATAAATCTAGATATTTTCTAATAAATATTTAATTGCCTTAAACAAAACTTTTGAATTTTCTTGTTGCTTGATTATTAAATTGTTTAAGCATTATTTATCCATGGGAAATTTTAATTAAAAGTTAATATTCTCTTGAATATAGCAATAAATAATGGACGATGGGGTTGTAGCAATGGAAGAAAGTGTTAAAAATTCATGAAAATCTCTCAAAGGCATCAAAAGTAAAAAAACAATTTCTAAATGAATTTATGAATTCTTTGATACTTATAATAAACAAAATTATGTAGGAAGTGCAAGGGTATGACTACAAAAACTGAAATTTTCAATTGAAAACTTAGTGAACTGCCTCCAAATCTGCAGTTTGCTGTGAGTTTCGAATTTAGAGGTTTCCAAATGAAATGAAATTATAGGGATTTTAAAATTAATCGGATATGTGAGGTTTGATAACTTATGCTCTGCTTTAAATGTCTATGAAACTTGTTTTTACTCAATTTTCGCTATTAATATTATCACTATATTTGGAGTCTTAATTTTGGGATTTCTTTTGAAATTTAAATTTTCAAGCTCAAAACTATACCTTATTCGCCTTAAAGATTGCTATGGGTAACTCTCCCTCTTTAGCAGCAAAATATGGGCTGCTAGACCTTTTTGTATACAAGTCACTGGCCTACTGGTTTTAATAAATCTGCTATTTCCCAGCTTTGGAGACAGGCTGCGGCCACAAAACAATTTTACTGGTACACAAAAAGGTCACCAAAAAGGCTAAATTTTGATTTATAAATAATGAATATTATAATGAATAGTCTAGATAATTCTATTAAATTTATTCAGCTTGCATTCTGAAGTATAATTTTTTAAATTTTTAAAAATAAATCGCCTGCGATTAAAAAATTTTACTTGCTTGCAGAGTGGGTAAGTAGCATATCGATTAGGGAATGTGTGGTCTAAGACAATTACTTAATACGTCTAATTCTTATTAGGCATTTCAGAATTATAAGCGAAGATTTGCCATTTTAGTGTTAGCTATTTAAAAATTTGGTTGGACAAATAGCATTTGTAAATTAAAAATGGATAGTTAATAACAATCTATTAAATTAAAATAGCAATATCAATCCCAGTTGGGCTTTGCAAAATTATTTTGAATCTTTTTTCCGAAACCTTCTTTATACCTGCTATAGTTTTATTATGCATGTATTTTAAATATAACATTACAAATGATGATACAATTATTGAATACTTTGATAATAATCAAAGCAGCAATTTGAGGCTTAATTCTTATTTATGAGTTGTGTCTCCTGGAATCATGATTATTAGTTTACTAATTGTTTTTGTCGCTAGAGTATATTCAGCTGATATAAGACACAAATACTCTTATATAAACGTATATGCAAAATCTCATTCAAATCCAGAAATTATGAGCCTGGCCTACGAGTTTTTAATATCAATAATCTACGCTGTGATTGGAGCAGATCATTATTGATATTTTCGTCTGATTGTGATTTGAATGTCATTAATTCTATTTTATAACTATTTGAAGATTTCCCCATATTACAATGATATTTCGAATTCAATAGCAGCTTTAAAATATCTCATTATTGCCATTGTATCTGTTATATTTATTATAGGGTCACTTATTGATGATGCTTATACAATAATGACGCTTAGCATTGTTCTTGTGCCTTTATTTGCCATTATTCACCTATGGAAACGGAAAAGAATAAGAAAAAGAAACAAAATAGCCATTTTTAATGTAAATTATTTCAAAAATATTTTCCAATTGGAAAAAGTTATTCGAGGTTCTTTAATCAGCAAAAAATATCAAAATTTTGAACAAATGACTGAAATTTTCGCAGATTGCTATGTAAAATCTTCTTTATGGAAAAATAAATTGCTTGTTATATGAGAAGCCAACTACTGTTTTTATTCATTAAAAAATATTTCATTAGCCAGAATCAAGCTATGTAAAGCTTCCCAATCATTAAGCAGCTTTGAAGCAGATTTTCAAGAATATATTTGCCAAAAGCGGTGCAATCTCCACAGAGTTTTTTCTGATGATGAATTTTCATATCCTTTATATAGCGCGTGCGCCCCTATAGATTTTCAAGGAAAATGCCCTTCAAAGAAAAAAAAATATTTGAAAATTCCAAAAAGTCAAATATCAATTTAAAAATGTCATATATATGTCCTATTTGTCAATTTGAAAATTGACTTTTCAGATTTTTCTTTAATTTAAAAACTTAAATTTTTTATATAAAAGCACTTGTCCTCAGGGATCTAAAATAAGGCTTGTGCTATATTCAAAAAATTTAGAAAGTGCAAAAAATGATGATGAAAAATTCTGTGACATATTTTTAGAATTTATTCGGCAAATTTCGACTGAAGTGCCAAAACTTGAAATACTCTATACTTGTATACATGAACTTAATAATAAAATTGAAGAAATAAACCATAAATATGCAGCCATAACAATTGAATTTTCTAAATGCAGTGAGCCATTTGTGTTTTATTCAACTTTTTTACAATTGTTAGGCACAGATAATGAAAAATCAGCAATTCTGTTAAGAAAATGGGATTATTTAGTAAATAACCTAAATAAAGCAGCGAATCCAACTGAAAAATTGAATTATTTTGATGAATATGGAGGAGTGCTGCTTATATCCTGCAACAAAAATTCTTTAGGTGTAATAAAATATGCAACTCCAAAAGTTTGTGAATTCCTCAATGCAGAATTGTACCAAATTCTGGGGAATAATTTTTCATACTTTATTCCCCCTCCATATGACCAAATAATAACTCACGGACTTCAAGAATACGTTCAGTATCAGTCTATGACAGAAATCTATTTGCCTCAGTCTATTTGTTTAAAAAACTCATATGGATGGCTAACTGAATGCTATGCTAGAGCTGTTATTGTTGCTGTTAATTGCAATATTTATATTATGGTTGCTTTAAAATCTGTTCAATCTTCATATCATTTTGCGTTGGTTGCAGACAATGGACAATTAACTGCATATTCTAAAAATTTTAACGAAATATTTGGCATGAAAAGTAATTTGGAAAGTATAAATTTAAACAGTGTTTTTCCAAGCTATGAGATAATGGAAATATTTTCACCTGAAAAAATAAATTTTAATGACAAAAATTGATTTGTAATGAAAGGCTCAGAAATGTTTATTGATACAAAAATTCACTATATTTTGGTTGATAAAAGTGAAGTCTCAATAAAAAACTGAATAAATGATCGACAAATAAATTTATATGATAACGAAACTTGCAAAATTCCAAATGCATTTTTATTAGAAAATACAAGGTCTATGGAATTTTTAGGTCTATCAATGAGCATTTTTGATTATAAATCAATGAAGCAAGATAGGCTATCCACCTTTAATGATACAACAATTGTAGAGACTGATGAAGAAATCAAAGAAAATAATTATTTTCAAAAATATGAAAAATCATTAACATCTCCAAATTATTCATCAGACAGTGCTTCAATTAAAGCTACAAATCAAATAGTTGAAACCTCAATAAAACAGATAAAACTTCTCAGGTTCATGATTTTTGCCTTATTTTTTTAATAGTCAAATTTTCCTGACCAGATATTTTATCGAAAATTAAATGGATTTTACAGAATCTGACTCATAAAAAATAGCTGTAAAAAGTACAGATCTTATGGTGATAGCCTAACTTTTCAATTATATCATTATGTTATCAGTAATTTTTATCTAGATTGCAGCAGTAATAATCACAACAATTGTGCTGGTTTCGTTTGTTGTCATAGAAACCAATAGAGCAAACGATTTAGATACACTGATGCTTATTGGAAATTTAGAGTTAACAATCATTAATATCGCGACATATAGCAGATCAGTTGATAATGTTTATACTTTAGCTCAATATCTTACTCTTCAGACTTATATATCAAATTTGGAACAAAATTTGAAGAGTTTGAAAGAAATTAAAGCAGAAATTTTAGGAAATTTAACTAGTTGAGATACTTGTAATTTGAATGAGATTTTTACAAGTAGTGTAGTTCCTATATGGAATGTAAAGGAAAATTATAATTATAATGAATATAATAGATGAAATATTATTATTTATTTATGTATAAATATCTTTATGATATATTTATTTAATTAATATTGGATAGTATATACTCTTGAGTATAGAAATATGATTGATATTATGGATGATTTTTTAGAAATAGTAATAGTTACATAGGGAAATGAATTTTTAACTAATGTAGCTAATAATCAAAGCTAATTGATTTTAATTGAGTATGCCAGATATATTTTTCAATATTAGTGTTAATACCAATAAGCTGCTTATCTTGAAAAGCATATATCGAAGAATTGAATTTTCTTGTTTTAAATGGCTTTGGGCATCTCTATGAGTACACTGACAATGCAGTTTCTTATATTACTATAACGTTTGCACCACTATAGCGTGCCCTTGAGGGATGCTTCTCCACGGCAACTTGACTGCTCTGAAGAGCCAGTCAACTCCAATTTGACAAAAGCGCATCGTTTTGCAAGGATTTGCCTACTTTTCACCTTAAGGTGGCTCGTCAGAGCTCAAAGTTGCCGTAGAGAAGTATGTCTCAAGGCACGTTATAGCGGTGCAGACGCTATAATTGTACCAACGACAATGTTGAAAATTTATCAGATCAAATCAATGCTTTATATCACTTTCAAATAGGTGTTTTAGTGGTATGTGTCGGCTGCTTGCTCTTTTTTGCAAAATCTCTTGAAAGCAAAATCCACAATTTTTGAATTTTTATACGAAAATCTACAATTGAGTCTTTTCAAGAACTAAGTGAAGGCTATATAAATCGCTTAGCTCAAATTCATGATAAAACTTACTACAAAGAAGAAGACAGAATCATTGAAAATCCAAAAAGCCTTAATTTTAAATCTTATAAAAGGTTTTGGTGAAGAATAATTTTATATTTTGCTATATCAGTAATTTTCACATTTGTTACACAATTTAAGTTATATACAGACTGCAATTGATATTTGGAGAAAAGGCCTCAAATTATCAATGCTATGCATATACATAAAATGGCCGGAGACGAGTGACCCGTCCTTTCGTGGCGGGTGTCCTTATGTATACCGGACATGGTTTTTGGATGCGGAGAGCTACTCAAGGGGAAGGGTTAGCCTCGAGGCGAGAGGCCCAGCCCAATTTCCGCTGATTTTGGGACTCGACCTGGGCAGCAGTTTTTCGCATTCTTTTTGCCAGTAGCGCCGAGGCCTAGACTCGGTGTCCGAAAGAGGCAGGGTGAGTTACCTGCCTAGGCTACTTGGTGGGCTTAGCCCCGAATCCCGTAAGGGGTTGAGTTCTTTCTTGGAGATGATCCGGGAAAGAGGGGAGGCGAAGCTAGACTTGGGGATCTCAAGGGCACAAGTCTCTCCAGTTAAAAGGGTCCTCTCACGAGGGCGATCTGGCCAACCGGATGCAAAGACTTCGTAATTCGGGGCGGAAGGCTGAGTTGGAAATGGTGGTGCCCAGCGACAGTCGGCTGACGACTCACTAGGGCAATCCACTACCGAGAAACCAGGGGTTTCGGCCTAGGCTCAGAGAGCCAGTGATGGAAGTCCAACCTTTTCGCTTGTGCCAGCACGGCTCCTCAAGGAGGGGAGGAATGCCACGCATGGAAGTAGGGACTATAAATACACACATCTTAAACCTAACCTAACCTAACCTTATCAATGCTATGCAAAATGAACAAATGGCTGTTTTAAAATTATATTTTTGGTCAAAAGAAGTTATAATCGAATATTACGACCCTCTATACAAAAAATTTGGGATATATGACTTAAAAATGCCAAAATATGAGTTAAAAGATTCTTTAATTAAAATCTTGTATGAAAGCAAGCGGATAAGGCAAAGAGACTACGTAGAAATGTATGGATCGCAGTCTGTTCAATTATTATTCGAAAGCACAACTTCACAAAGTGGGTATACTTATTTACCAAGAATAGCCCATAAGGAGCATTTTTTGATTAGCCGGACTATAGCTGACTTGCTAAATTTTTTGACATGCCATATTTTATGGCTAACCAAATTAAGAATGACGAACCAAAAATGCTACTTAGTGGGCTATTCTTGGCAAGCAGGTATATTTTCAAATTGGGATTTTTTCTTCTGTTTATATTTTACTTTTTGAAGGACTTTATATTGGCTATTCATTTGACCCAGATACAGTTGCAATTATGGTCCAAATGCATTCAAATGTAAGAAAATTCGAATGATGATATAAGCAGCTCCTTAGCTTTTCTGACACAGAAACTAAAAGGTTAGTTGACGAACAATTAAATCTTATTATATGAGTTGGGATTGTATACTCCCTTTCATTGATAATTCTATATTCTTTGGCTTTTGCACCATTTTTATGAAAAGAAAAACAAAAAATCCACCAAATGTTTTCAATTTCGAAAATAATTCCCAAAAAGCCGAAAAATGCTTTAACTGAATAATTTTAATATTAAACTTTTAGCATAAAGTTGCTAAATTAATTAAACTATTCTCCAGATTTTTTATAGCATACCAAATCATAGTGAACACCAATGGTCACTAAAATAAAAAAAAATAAAATACACGATAAAATAATAGCGCAAACCCCCACCTTTTCACTGCATTCTTCATTAAATTCTTCTTTACAGATACTATTATGGGTCTGCATGATGTAAATTCCAATAAAAGAATAAGAAATCATCATCCCAAAAAATATATCTTTATATTTAGTCAGCACAATAACCCCAAGGGCAAAAAATAAGCACATTGCCAAAATTGACCAATTATCATTTGACAGGGCGCTCGCAAATTTTTTTTCTCTATTTTTTTATTCGAATGACTATTAAATTTATTTTTAAAAAAAATGTTTCGTGACTACCCATTTGACCATCCCAATAAGTTATCAGAAGTTTCTGCAAACGAAAGACACACAAATATTCGATGAGTAGCACATAGCATCACCCAGCTAAATAGGATACTAATTCTCACATGAACTCCCAAAAATTCAAACCTATTCACTATAAATCTCCCATCATCTTGGTACTTTATTCTTCTATATAAAATAAAAATCAAGATAGAAAGTACCGATAATAGCAAAACGCAGATAATGTCCACATAAAGAATTTCGGTTAAATTTCTTAATGTAAGATATATACCGTGAAAAATGTAAACTAAAAAAATTAAATAGCCAAGCTGATGAGCAATTATTTCTCGGGAAGTAAGGGTTACAGTAAAGAGCATGTATAGCTCAGGAACCAATGCAAGTCGGTCTGGGCTGAGAAAATGGTGATTATTTTTGGATAAAAGCTCACCCTCCATGAGTGAACAAAAATTTATTTAATATAAGTTTATTTTAAGAAAAATTATTTTGATATATAAGTAATAATTATTATAATGAAATCTCTAGCTTTCATATTAAAACATAAATTTAAAAAAAATTCGATATCGTTATTTGCAGATTTTTGAACTTTACCACCTAAGTGTGGAATTTTTTCCGCGTGTGAAAAGAGGATTCCACATGTGAAATCAAAAGGGCTCCACACGTGAAATCACCTTTTCACACACGGAAAAAAATTCCACACTTAGGTGGTAAAGTTCAAAAATCTGCAAATAACGATATCTGCTTTCGAATGTGGATTTTTTTCAATTTTAAAAAAAAATTTACTATAAATTTTCTATTAATTTTTTTAAAAAAAAGCAAATCCCCAGTTGGTTCTCCAGCTCAAGTTGGCAGACCAACTTGGGGAGTTAATAAATGCCTCATATTGACATATTTTTCATCTCCCTAAGTTGGTTTGCCAACTTGAGCTGGAGAACCAAATGGGGATTTGTTCAGCATTTTCCAGCCCAGGCCTATCTACATCAGTTCCTGGGCTATATAAGAAAAACACCCCAAAGGTAGATATAGAAGCCCAAGCGCCAAGGATAAAAAAATGCTGAGGCGAAAAAGGAGTGACACTATGGTGAGTATCTCTCGCCTCTATTAAAGCTTCTCCAATTATTAGGCCAAAAAATTCAATTCCAAGCCCACTTATGTGTAAAAATCGCATAAAATTTATGCTTTCTTCAGTGTATCTAAAATAAAGCCAACTTCCTGGGACGTTGCTTAAATCGCCAATTGATAAAATTGAATATTCTGCAAGTTTTTCATATTTTGAGTTATGCTCATAGCCTGGGTTATTACAGTTTTTTAAAAGATTATAGCCTGAGTCAGATCTTATAAGTTGAGGCTTGTATTCTTCCTCTTCTTCAATATCGTGATTATTTATTGACATTTATTTTTGTGAACTAGAAAATTATGAAATTTTATCAATTTAATAAAATTTAGTAATTTTATCGATAATTTAAGAAAAATACATTTATTTGTAAATGATTTAAATGGGCTTTGATTTATAATCGCTAATTGAAAAATTCAATAAAAATTACTTATATAAATTATTAAAACGTATATGATGGCATCCTTGAGAGATTATCTGAGGCTTTTGAATTAATTGTTTTTCTATGCGAGTAATTTTTTGAAAGCTCTGAATGTGGAATTAAATATTTCGACAAAACAGTAGCTTTTCTCCCTCCACCTCTTATTCTTTCGGGTGCTTTATGTTCTGTAGCCAAGCTTGGGTTTGCTTTTAAATAGTCCCTCAATGCCTTCTGATATACAAGTGTACTGCGTCATTTTCTTACTTCCCACTTTTAAATTGGAAAAAAATCTGGGGTTATTTTTTTAAAAAAAATATTAAATTGTTTGCTATTGAAAATTTAAAAATTATAAAAATATATTTTGAATTTTTTTGGTTATTTTATGAAGAATTAATGGATTCAATATAAAACTGTTTAATAAATATTTTATTTCCACTTTTTCTATTAAATTATATCCAAGCTAATTTTATAAACTAACATTTTCCTATAAAATTTTCCTATTGAAAATTTGTTCCAATTTAAGTACCAAAAAATGGAATTTTACCTATATTTTGTTCCAATTTAAAGGGGGAGTTACTAAATGTACAATATCCTGGGTGCCATTTATTTTCTGATAGCAAATAATTTCTTGCATAAATTTATACTTGTCTTTATACATCCTGAATTTGCTTTTAATTGAATTAACGACTTTTTTCAATTTTTGGATTCTCGTTCTGAATAAAAATCCTCTGATATGGGCTTGGATTTTGATAGCTGCCTTATATTTATCAAGCTGGATTTTAATATTTTTCGTAGAATCTATATTTTCTTCTTTTATTTTATTTCATTTTGATAAATTATCCAAACTTTTTTTGGCTAAATGGAACGGAGCATCTTTGACAACAAAGGTGTTTTCAGGGTTTAGGATATTTGGTTTTGCTTCAAAAAATGTGGGTAAAAACCCAAGCTTTATCATATCAGGAATGAAAAGAGGAGTATTAATAGGGTGTGAAGTATTTATTAGAACTCTTTTCGGACGAAATATTATGTGTCCATAAATTCTTCGAACTATATTTTTCGCAATAATCACATTTCTCAAAATATCTTTCTGTTTTTTCCTTAATTCCTGCCTACGTATTTCCGCTCTTTGAAGCATTTTATCTCTCAATTCTTTATTCGCTCTTTGGAATGCTACTTTTGCTGACAAATAAGAATACCTTGATCTATTAAGATTTTTCACTTCATTTTCATTTTCTTGTAAAATATGCTGTGCAAGAATATTTTTAGCTGTATCAAACAGCTCTTGCGATTTTTCCCATAAATAAATTTGTTCGAAGCCTTTCATAGCGTCTTCAAATTCTTTTAAATTTTGAATTTTTGTGTTTAATTTTTTTAATTTATACAAATCGGTAGAATCGCAACCTGTGATTTTTTGTAAATCGCAAATAAGGTCTTCTTCTTTTTGCTGGGTTGTAGGCTCATGCAAAATTTGGGTTCTTATGTTAGAGATGCTTTTTCTGGCAGATAGTTTATCCTCGTTTAAAAGAAAAATAAATAATGTTTATAATAATAATTAAAATTTTCATAATTAATGTAATAAAACATATTGTCTTGGCAATCTAAATCATTTACCCAAGGCGAGTGTTTATCAAATCTTCAGTCCATGTTTAAAGCAGTTCCAGTGCTTGGCAAGCCATTAGCTTTTTCTTTAAACATTTTTGTTTTTGAAATTGAATTAAATGAATGAGTTTTTCTCAATAATGACCTAAAAAGAGACTCGTGCCCTTCTGTTCATTGTTCTAATTCTTTATTTTTTGGGTCTTTACTTGTGTGGGACAAAATTCTGTAAAGCTCGCTTGGATTTTGCATCATCATTTCAATGATTTTTTCGTTAAGCGATTTAAGTGATGATCTTTCACGAGCGTTTTCTTTTGGACTAATAATTTTTCTTTTGCTCCACTCTTTGAGAGCAAACAAGGTATTTTCTCAAGATAATTTATTTTTAAATTTTAAAGAAAAAAATTAAGTTTAAAAATACAAGCTGATAGAATATAATAAACTTAGCTAGAAATCTCGTTAATACAATTATTAATTATAGAAAATTTTATTTAAAAATATTACCTAAAAAATAAGTATTTTTTAAATGGTTTTGCTTTCTCTTACTCCCCCCCCCCCCTCCGTGAGCGAACAAAAAAATTTTGTTTCACTCACGGAGGGGGGTTAATTTTTTTTTTAAAAAAATTTATATATAAATAAATTTTTTTATAAAAAATATTTTTTTCGAAATTTAAAAAAATCCTAATTTGCAAAAATTGGGAAGCAAATATTAATTTAATTTGCAAAATTTATGTTTTAAAAACGCAATTTGTTTAAAATTAAACAGAATTAGCTCTAGATTTCATTATACTAATTATCACTTATATATCAAAATTTTTTTCCATTAAAATTTTTTCTATTAAAAAAAATTTTTGTTCGCTCACGGAGGGTGGGTTTTTGGTCAAAAAATGGTGATTTTTCTAATGGGTTTTGTTCGCTCACGGAGGGGGGGGGGGGGGGAGTTAAAGGATTTAGACATTATCATAAAAAGATCTCCAAGTTCTGATGCATCTTTTGTGTCAAGATCAATAGAATTAGCCATTAGTGATTGTGGTCTGTTTGAAATAATTGTAGGACTCTTAATTTCGGTTGCTGTTCTCGATTTTTCATCAATTTCTTTCATAGAGCTTTTTGTTTTGGTTCGGTTAACTGTTCTTAATGTTGGCTCACTCCCTCCCTTAAATTGAAACAAAAAATCCTGTTCCAATTTATTATTTTTTTAAAAATATAAAAAAATTATTAAAATATAAATTGAACGCAATATTTTTGAATTTTAATTTATTTGTATAAAGAATTAATTTAAAAAATTAATTGATTCACTGTGAAAACTGTTTAAATAATACCCTACATGCACTTATTAGGCCAATATTAATTTAATAAAAATTAGTATTTTCGCCTGTAAAATTTTTCTATTGAAAAAATAAAATTTTGTATTAATTTCAAATGGTTTAAATACCAAAAAATAAAAAATTGACCCTACTTTTGTTCAAATCTAAGGAGGGTGAGTCAGTAGGCAAATTGCTTTGGTCAGTGCTTATTGATGCTCTAGCAGTTTGTTCAGTTTGCAAAAAATCTTCAGGACAAAAATCATCAACAGTTGGGATTTTAAGCAATTTTCTTGAAGTTTGAGTCCTCTTCGGTTTTGACATCGGGGTATTTTCAATACTAGGCGCATTACTGAACAACCTAATCTTGCCATTCTTGGATTTTTTTCTCGTATAATGATTTCTTTGAGTTTGCACTTTAAAATATTTTTTTGGTTTATAAAGCCGATTAACACTCAAAACCAAATCTTTTTTTGAAAATTGTGAATCAATTAGCCCTATAGGTTTTAGAGTTTTATTAGGCTCAATAGACAGCCCTAAAGATTTCAAATGCCGATCTAAAAGTTGTTGTGATTCTTTTTCTAAAAGTTCGTCTGCTCTTTGCTTGGTTCATGAAATATCAATATCTGAAGCATTCATATTTTTGTTTTCTCCAAACGATTTTAAAGTATTTTTTTCATTCATTGAGTCCATCTTAAAAAATATATTCAATAACTAAGCTGTTATGAAACTTGGCGATTTTTATTTTAATTAAAAATTTTATAAAAGACAATTTTAGGAAAAATTTCAAGTTTTCCTATGAAACTGTGTAAAAATATTAAAATTAATTAATTGAATACCCTTGATCTCCATTAGGCAAACTTTCGTCAGATAAAGAGTGCTTATCTTCTGAAAGCTCCGATTTGAATAAAAAATAATGGAAAACAATACACACTTGAAAGATAAAAACAGCAATCCCAATAGTCGTGCCTGGCTCAATGCCAGAATTATAAGAAATTTTATAAGTGCTTTTCCATATCCAAAAACTCACAATACCACTCTGCGCAATAGGAAATATAAAATTAGCCCAATCCGTTTTGCAGCACCTTAAACGTTTTGAGTATGTTGAATAAACTCCAAAAATGCTTAAAAGTATCAAAAAAATCATTATAAGTGTAGCAAATAAATAGACTTCTCCAGCCAGTCTATTTTTTTCTATTTTATCACAATAACTACTATTAGAAGATCCGCAGTTGTTATCATCATACAAAGTCCAGTAATTTTTGCATTTTGTGCTATTATATTCTATATCACAAAGCATAAACAAAAAAACATATGGCAAATCGTCGCTTTCATAATATCATGGCACAATGCAAGCAGTTATCATGAGCGCAATAAGGATAAATCTTCCTAATATATTTTTCTTCAAGTTTCATACTGCATAAGAATTCATCCTTTGCCTTATGTCACTATAAAGTGCTTGATAAATATCGCTCTTTTTATTGAACATATTCATTTTGAATTAAATTTATATTCATCAATTTAATTCTAATATAGCGATTTTAAAATATTTAATAATTAATGGATTCTTTTATTATTTTCTCATTAAATTTCACCTCTATTGTCTTCTGATTCCTAATTTTACGTCAACACCTTTAAGAACACTCCAATTTACCGTCATCTATTTATATTAACCATTTACAGTTCCTTTTTACTAATTAACCTTTAATTACCCCATTCTTTACGAAAATTGAACCCTATGTTTCAAACTTAATTTTTTTTTCATTTTGTTGATTCCTTTCTCCAAATTTGTTCCTTTAATTTTATTTACCAACACCCCAGCATCCCCGACTTCATATTTTCTCATGTCTATCTCATAAAGCCTCGAGAAATTTGTATTACTACTTACAACGCTTAAAAAAGGCGAGGGGTTCTCACTATTTACACAGGTGCTGTCATATTTAATGCTTTTCTTTTTATGATAAATTGCTTTAATAACGGTGTTGGGCCCAATATTGAGATCTTTTATCTTTTGGCTGTTATCGAGTTCTGTGTTTTCTAAAACGAGTTTTAAATTCTTTTTATTTTTCGGATCAATAAAGGCTTTTGCAGATTTCACGCTGAGAGATGGGGTAACCTGCAACTGGTGGATTTTGTTGTCGGTATAGATAATCACGTACCCAAATGCTTTGCTGCCAGCTCCCATCGTGCCAGGTGATGGCAAAATATAAGGCTATTTGTAATGAATTTTTATTTTTTACAGAAAATTAAGTTATTTATGGGAAATGGGATACTTTTTTTGAATTTCTGAGTCAGTTGAAGCTTTTTGACCCATAAATGTTTAATTTTAATGTTTTATGTTATCCAATTATAAAGCAATGCCTCAGGGCCTGGGAAGGACTTGGCCGTAGTTCTGAGTTGTATTTCAGCATAGATAAAACAAAATCTTTGAACTCTGAGTGTTTATCAGGAATCATATCCTCAATTAAAACCGTCTCCTCCACAAGTCGGATGTCTTCGTTTGAAGTGCTTGATTCAGGCCAAATTAATTGGTTTCGGCTATCAAAATATATTTTTTAATATTAAATTATCTGATAAAAAAAATTTTAAAGTCTGTTTTAATATAAAGCAGGTTTTTCTTATAGTTAATTATTTATAGGATATCTTTTGAAGTTTTTTCCACAGTTTTTGACCATCTTAATAGGAATTCTTCCAAAGAGCTTCTCCATCATCGCGAGGTGCAATCTTTCATTTTCAGTTGGAAATAGCATTTCTCCAGTATAAAGCTCAAATAAGATGCAGCCCAATGATCACATGTCTGAACTCATAGACCACTCGGACTGCATAAGAACTTCAGGAGCTCTATAGTGGCAGGTAGAAATTATAGTTGGATGAAAGTCATCTTCAAAAGTTGCTCCCCCAAAGTCTATGATATTATATATACCTGTTTACAATAAATGAAAGCATTATTTACTATATGAATATAGGATGGGATATTTATAATTATATATCACTATAAGTAGGTATATTAAATTTACCTTATAAAGTTATCAATATATTTCAGGAATGATAATAGCTCGCCCGGGCTATTAAATGGCCGGGAAGCTCTGAGTTTCCTCAAACTCAAATTGATGAACCAACACGGGAGTTGACAATGCATAATATCTGACATATTCATCAACTCCCTGAGTTGTATCGTTCAGCTCGAGCTAGAAAACAAACTTGGCCACATCATACCCAGGACAATCTATTTTCGTTCCTATGCTATATTATTTTTTTTAAAAAAATCTACCAATTTTACATATCGCAAACATTAATTTAATAAATTATATTAATTTAATATCAGTGCTTACTGCTTGATATGCTCTCTATATATATCTTACATGCTTCCTCGAATACCTCAATGTGTCATTTACTAATAAAATATTTTCCGGCTTTAAATCTGTATGCGTTAATCCATTACTATGTAAAAAGTTCAACGCTTCCAGCAATTGCCTACTAAACTCTCTGATTTCTCGAATTCTAAATCCTTTGAAATGATTTTTTTCTAAAACTGAGTACAAGCTTTTCCCCAATTTTTCAAATATAATACAATAGCGCCTTTGATGTAAGAACGCGTCCAGAATTTTTACGATATGTGACGAATTTTTAAGGTCAAGCTCGCACATTTTTCGTAAAGTTTCTGCTTCAATTTTTGCTTCATTTATATAAATTGGGTCAGGTCTTACCACCTTGGCGGCTTTTGATGATTTGTCTTCTTCGTCTATAACTTCCATCACAACACCAAATGTTCCCTCACCTAGGATTCTACCAATTCTGTATTTGCCTCTTATTACTTCGCCGATTTCTCATGGAATTTCTTGACTAAAACTAAGGGAATTTGTATTAGCTTTATATTTTTCGCTGTGAAAATAGGCTGGAGTCCTTCTTTCCCAATCTGTGCGCATTAGTTTTTTTATTAATTCATGAAATAATGTGATTTAAAAAGAAAGATTTTAAGCTAATTTTTTGACGCTCGGTTGACTATTCCGGCTGCAGCTAAGGTCGCTTCTGCGTCTTGTTCAGAGCTCACGCTGTCTAAATTTAATTTTTTCTTATAGTTTTGGAAGAAATTCCTGCATTGGCTTGCGGTTTTTGTTTCAATCTTTTTTGCAATTTCTTCCCAATTTCTTCCAAATTGTCTGTAATAAGTCAAAAAATTTAATTTTTCTTCATAAGACCATTGCGCAACTCCTTTTCTTTCTGCTTCTTCTCCTGCAATTGGGCCTTCATCTTGCATTGTTTCTCCGCCGAATGCGTACTCTTTATACCTTGAATAGTCTTGGAATTCACGTTGTGATGGATTTAATTTTGATGAATCTTTGCCGAATTTTTCAATGTATTTTTCAGGGCTCATTTCTTTTTGCTGACATTCCCTACCTTTGATCGCTATTATGAAAATTAATCTCTTTCACATATTGCAAATGTTGATATAATGAATTAAAATCGCTTATATGCCATTTTTTGCGAATTTATTTTAGCCTCATCTTTGAGTGTTCTATCAAGGACTGAAGGGAGTGAGAAATTTTATGAGAAAAATCTTCTTGGGAAATCCATTCACGTTTTGGGAACATTTTCTTGACCTTTTTGATGACTTGATTTACATGGTCGATAACTACATCTTCTCTTCGTTTTCTTGACTGAATTCTTACTCCCTCAATCTTTTCGCCACAGTTAAAGCAATTCTACATAAAAATATTTTTTATTTTTTATGATGTTTTTTCTATATAAAAATATTTTATTGCTGCTACTTATAAAAAAATGGAGCAGGCACCATATTAGCAAATATGAAAGAAATTACATTAGAATTGCGAAATAACGATTATACGACTTAATCTCTAATTCGGATTTCATTTTTGACTATATAAAAATTGTTCGATCAAGAATAGATGCTAATTTTCCTATTTTTTTTATGTCTTTCGATCAAGGATGTGGAATAGTTAGCATCTTTTTGAGTCTAAATTGATACTTAATAAGGTAAAAAAGCTGTATGACATCCTTTGTGGTTTTTTCAGGGAGAAACTTCTTAATTTCGTCAAATTTCTTTGGGTGGTGGAAAAACTCATGTAAAAACACTTTCAGCTCATGAAGGCTCCACACTTGGTCAGACCGGTATCTTACAGTCTCACCCTGTGGATCTAAAACTTTATCCTTCACCGACCGAAAATTATAAGTAACAAACTTGCTTGGTGGCGTCCCAGATTTTTTATATCTTTCAGAGTCAGTCAAAAACCTAGGTCTAATAAATAGCTTTGCATCAGACTCCTCCAAGAAGCTTTCCGTGACGTATTTATGACCTTCATTTGTCCATACCCAGACACAATTTTTGTTGATGCTTTCCAGCTTCTCCATCTTCTTGATTCATTTCTTGGTCTCTTTTTCCTGTCGTTTTTCAGCAGAAATCTCATCAATTTTCCTCTTAAGCCGGACTCTTTTAGCATTTTCTTTGATAGATGAGAGATTTTCTATGTAATATTCTTGATACTGCTGAACACATTTATAGCCATCAGAAGGGATTATTGTATGAGGGTCATTTATATTAAATACAAATTCAAAAGAGGCCGGGCTAGATATAGGAGGCTCATAAGACTGCAGTGATGTATTAATTTTGGGCCTAGGTTTGACTAAGAAAGCTTTCTTCAAATCTTCTTTTGACATATTTTATTACAAGAGACCTTGAGCGCGATTTTGACCAGCACAGCTTTATTGAGAAAGTTAGCTTGGGATTTCCAGGGATTTTGAGAATTAAAGTCAGCCATGTTTCATGCTTGTATTAATAAAATAAAGAGAGAGCCACTCGGGATTTTTTATAAATCCTCTTTGCTATGTGATCGAACCAAAAAATTTTGCTCGGAGATTTTTAATTTTAAGTAATTTTTCGAAATAATTTTAAAGAAAAAATTTTAATTTTAATTTGTAAAAATTTATATTTTAAAAATGCAAGCTGTTTAAAATTAGTAGAGATTCCATTGCAGTAATTGCTGCTTATATAGAAAATATTTTTTCATAAAAAATTTTTGGCTCTCTCACGAAGGGTGGGTTTTTACCCAAGATAGAGAATTTTCTATAATTTGTTCGCTTACGGAGGGGAGTAAGAAATTTCTGCAGCCAGTGTATTTTACGATTTATCTGGCTCTCTTTTATAGTCTCCATTTAATTATAATTAAATTTTTAGTTATCATAATTCTTAATTTGAAAAAGTTGCCAAGCTTACATTAAATATTTTCTGAGCTGATTTATGCTAGATTTTTATAAATTTCATGCAAAAAGGCTGCTATTCAAGACTTCATTCTTGTTTTTGAAATAAAATGAAAAAATAACTTCTACTTCAAACATAAACTCTAAATGGCAGAACTTGAACTTGTAGGAGCTATAAAAGTTAAAGACGGCCTCTTTATAGGGGATGAATTTGCAGCTCAAGACCTTGAATTTGTGGTCGCTAACAAAGTTACTCATATTATAAATTGTGCTTCTCGCCAAGTCCCTAATCATTGGGAGCCAATCGGTGTTAACTATCTTTCGTTCTATTGACTGGATATTGATTCTCAAGTTTTATCCTCAATATAATTAAAAGGGAATTGCATTTCAGGGCCAAAATAAAAATATAAAAATTTATCATAATAACAGCCAGATTATTAAAAACATATATATTTGATACACGCGACGAGGTTTTTTCCCAAATTTATTCATTTATTGAAGAAGCTGCAAATCTCGGAGAAAGCGTCCTTATTCATTCAGTTAGAGGACAATGCAGATGCATATGTGTTGTGGCAGCTTATTTTATGAAAAAATATAGATGGACTCTCTTCAAAACTTTGGAATTTCTCAATTCCAGACGCTCTGATATGGAATTAAGGCCAAATTTTGTACACCAGTTAGCCGCACTTGAAGGGAGATTAACTAAGCTTGGATTCGGGCCTATAAGCTCAGGCTGGAACGATACAAATGAAGTTTTTGAGACAAACGCAGAAGACCTGGTACTGAGAAACACATATTTAAACGCCCAAGTTGGGGAATTTGTCGATTATGAACAACATGTAGATATAGAAAAAAACGATAAAATCAGTTGAATTGATAATGGAACTAATGAAAATTTATCAGATATCCCTCATCCCAGCAGCAAAAATCCAGTAGAAAATGGATTTGCTATATTAAGAAGCTGCTTAAAAGGAGCCCCACAAACAGAATACCGTGAAGAAATCAGAATTGCTAGAAGAGAGCAGCCTATGCAGAGATCAAGAGGGGATAATATGAATATCAGCCCAATAAAAAGCAATGATAGGGTTAAATCCATTGTAGGGGCAAGCCATGACGATCTGCAAAAGCTTGCTGATGCTTTGCATAATGATTTAATGAAAAATAATGAAAATATTGACAGGGCGATAAAAATAACGGAAAAAAGAGGTGGGTTAAATGAGAAAAACAAAAGAAAGGTAAGTCCTGCTAAAATTGGGTTGAAAAAAATACCATTGAGCTATGTAGGGAATCGGCCAAGTTTGAAAGGAAATGAAGACAGTAATAAGAAGAAATCAAGGCCTAATACAGCACCTAATATGAGACCTCCATCACCTGAAGTGGCTAATGGGAAAGTCAGAGGCTCACCTGCAAATAAGACAACTGGGACTTTTAAAAAGCAAAAAATTATGAGGGTATAATTTTACATAATAATGTAAGTTAATAAGGCTGATTTCTATATAAATCACGCTAACCAGGAATTTTTGATATATCATGGGAAATTAATGAAGTATTTTTATAATTTTTTCTATCAGTATATAGGATACAAATGGGTAATCAGTTCAGCAACAAAAATAAGCCAAACCCTAGAGTACTTGATATTTAAGGTAGTAGAAGTTTTGGAGTCAATCATTCTAGGCAACCATCATTTTTCTTATAAAAAAGAAGATATCTGTACAAAACTTCAAGGAGTAATTAATAAACAGCACTCATGAACTTACTTACACGTTGCGGTATGAAAGCGCAAAAAAGCAATTGTAAATTCTCTTATTGAGTTCGGGTTTAATATTGATGCACAAGATGATCATGGAGAAACTCCTTTGCATCTTGCTGCTATCAGGAGAGATTGTGAACTCTATAAAATGCTGCTAGATGCAGGAGCATTGGAAAATATCAGGAATAAGGTAAGCTTATAATTAGAATGGGAAAACACCTCATGATTATTTAGAAGAAAAAGGTATGGGAATTATTACACAAAGCCATGGGGTCAAGGTTGTTACTGTTAAACTAGAAAATAGTATTAGCCATCGTACAGATATTGGAGACTCCTATTTATAATGCATAAATAAGAATTAGTTATTAGGAAAAATATTTAATTATAGTTAATTTAAAAATGTATTCTTTTTTTATAGAGGATAATAAATGAGTGATAAATTATATGAATATATTACACTAACTTAGCATCTGATCACCATGTGCAGACTCAATAATTGAGTCTTCCCAGCTTCTTAGGAAATTCATTTCATGAGGCGTTTTGCTTCGTTTATTAAAATCCAAGCTGCTATTCCTAATATTTTTCTTTTTTACTGTATAGCTTGCAGGATTTTGGTTTTCTCTATGTTTTCTATTTCCTAAAGAGCTTCTCGGTCTATTTGGCAGCAGCCTTTCAAATTTGTTATTATACGGACTATTCCTTATTAAATCGACTTTTACCCTTTTTTCTCTATTTCCCCCTTTGTGAGCAACAAAACTATTGGAAAAAGACATATTTTATGGATAAAACCTACAAAAAAGTTTTATTATAAGCATTTTTATGATATATAAATTATAATGAAATCTCTTGTGAATCTGGATTTTTTAATTTCGAAAAAAATTTCTATATAAATTTTTGCACCCATGAAGGGGGAGCAAGGGTTGGAAGCTTCCTAAAATCCCCGCTCTGAGCTCTTCTGGATTTTTTTGGGTTTTGCTTATCTTCTTCTTCAGGAATTTCTTGAAGCTCACTGAGCAATCTTCGCTGAAAAGACTGTATTACATGTTGTAATAATGGACAATCATTAGGAAAAAATGCTTTTAAAAGAGAAATTGCAGTCTGATGGGTCACTTCTCTATATAAAAATTACGCTTGTCTGCGTTGGTCAGCACTTAATTGCTGAGAACTCTTTAAATGCTTCATTTCGGTCGCGACACAAAAGAGACTAACTGAGTGAAGGGCAATTTTATAGAGAAGATAGTCTTTAGTAAATTCAGCCTGGAGTAAAGGTTTTTCAAGGATTTCTTCGAGTGATAAAGGCTGAATCACCATGATATCTGAGATCCCAAATTCACCTACTCAGTTACTAAAGGTAATAACCCCTAGAACTGACCTCATCTCTAAAGATTCAGGCTTAGGAATTTCTCCAGAATTTAAATAAATTGAAATTGCTTTCAAAATTTCTTGCGCGCTGGCAGCAATTGCTTGGAATACTGTTATTAGCTGCAAGTCTAAGCTTTGGATGTATTTTTTATTTTTAAATTTTGATACCATTGCTTTAAAGCCATCAAAAGTCGCCTGCAAGGCATGCTTTGTCAGGTTATTTGCAAGTTTTGCTTTTTCTAAAGCTTCTTTATGCTTCTTCATATTTGAAAGTGTGACGCAAAGTTGGATTAAAAGCTTTGCGTGAAGTTTTGTCTTTTTTATATCATCAGCAACATCTTCTAAGCTTTTTTGTATACTAAATTACTATAATAATTCTATAATTATTATTTTTAAAAAAAAAAATTATTTAATTAAAAAAAATTTATTTAATTTAAAAAAATATATATTAACTTTTGAGCAATTAAAAGCACATGCCTCAAGATAAGATGCGCATTTTTCCATATCACCTAATCTTTGATAGCAAGCACTAATATTATTTAGTGTAACAATTACATATTCGACTTTTGCTGGTTTACCTTTGGTAGCCATCATTTCGAGCAATTCTTCAGTTTGTTTTAAGTAGGCAAGTGAGCTTAATGTCTTTTCTTTGGCAAATTTTTTTTGAGCTTTTTCGAGGAGAGTTGATGAGAGATCTTCTAGGTCGACTTCGCTATTAAGAATGCTTTGTAAAGGATTTTCGAGGGGTTTTTCTTCGGAAGTAATAGGAGGCTCTGCCATCTTAAGTTATAGAAATTAACGAAGAAATAGTTATGGATTATTTTGACTTTTAAAAATAGCCAGGCCTGTTAATAATTTTCTGGTTTTGCCAATTTTTATGAATTATTTTGAAATATATTCATTATTAGCCTTTATAAAAAATGAAAATGGGAGAAAATATTATGGAAAAGAAATGAGAAAATAAAGGTATTTAGAATTATAGGAAATTGCATGAGAGCTTCAAAATAACCATAAAAAATGAAATTATCTATTCGAAAAGAAAAACAATAAGTAAATATAACTATTAATTACGATTTTAATTTTTAATAAAATTTGAGATATAATGTGTTAGAATTATTTCGGGAGGATCTTCATCGTCGCAACAGTTTCCCAAGTGTGGAGCCCAAATCTTGCATGTGAATTTTTCACGCTTGAGTTGCTCCACATGCAGGTTTTTCCATGCGTGGGACAAGTTCCTGACGTCTGTAGACATTCCTGAAATAATGCTAACGAATTATAAATTAATATTAGGATGCATATAGCCCACCAAAAGCATAATTAATTTATATTTAATGGTTTTATTGATAATTTCAAGTTTATATCAATATGACACCACTATTGATTTTTATTTGAAAACTTATTAAAAGGACGGATTTTAAATTTTATACAGACTTAATTAGCCTATATGAATTTAATATTGTATCATTATGAAGGCTTGCTGATACCACAGCCAATTTTTTGAAACTGAAACTGATATTCTTAACACTGGGCTTGAGCATTAGATTTTTATTTTACTTACTCCCCCCCTCCATGAGCGAGCAAACCCATTAGAAAAATCCCTATTTTTTAAACCAAAAGTTCCGTGAGAGAACAAAAATTTGATGGGAAAATTTTTATATATAAGTGATAATTAGTATAATGAAATCTTGAGCTAATTATGTTTAATTTTAAACAAATTGCGTTTAAAACATATTTTACAAATTAAATTAATATTTGCTTCCAATTTTTGCGAAGATGAATTTTTAAAAATTTCGAAAAAAAAAAAATTTAAATAAAATATCATATAAGTTTTTTTAAAATAAATTAACCCCCTTCGTGACCGAACAAGATTTTTTTTTTGTTCGCTCACGGTATGGGGTTTAAACTTATGCAATATTAGGCAGATATTTTTGAAGAAAACTCTATGATCAAGCTAAAATTGCCAGTTCAATTTTCAAATCTTTTTGTGGAGTTATTTGGCAGAGTCCCATGAATATACGAATAATTTTAATAACTTTAGGGCTGACACAGAATTAGTGAAAATGTCCAAATTTACTGTAAATTGTGATAAACTGGGATAAATTTATGATTTCTAAATGCTTGAAACAGGACTTGCAATAGGGCATTTGATTATAATCCTTTTCCATTTTTAGTGCTATTAGATCATCTACAATTTAAAATGATTTGGAGATTGATTAAAACATTCAGTTCAATAAGGAATTATGTCGATTCACTTTATATGAAATTTTCCAACATAAATATTTCCAAGATAAATTAATTTCAGCACGAATACACAACTGATTGAAATTCTTTTTCTAAATGTGTTTTAATATTGCTGAGCTTCTGTTATAATTTATATATATAGCAGCAATGCCCTTATTTCTGCTATAAATTTAATGAAATTATCAACCATTCTCTAATCAAGATCAAGGAATAATAAATATAAATTTTATGGATTACATATTTGAGTTGAGTAAGTTAGAGTACATACTTGAGAAAGACTGCTACAGATCTACTCAGCTTGAGAACACAGCAACGACAAACGATATAGAAAAAATCTTAGAAGCATTAAATACCACTCCAATTACTATTGAAAATGCAATGCCAGCAATAAGATACTTTTGAGTTTGCAATTTTTATAAAGAATTTTTAAATGAAGCATCGAATTTGGAGGATTTTCTCGAAAAAAATTGTCCATGTGATGCTAATGATAGCCCCGATTTGGAACAAAATCAAAGGCAGCTAGCTGTAGAATCAGAGCATTTTGAAAATGCTGATTTTAGCTGAGCCGAAGATGAAATAATCAAGCTTGACCAAATCGTCGAGGAATATATTTTTTATGAAAGTGTTTTGCAGGACAAAAAATTGGTCTTGAAAGTACAGTGCACGCCTGATAAATGCTCAATAAATGTAGGCTCAGAATATACGTTTTTTCTATCAGGATCTTGAGTTAAAACAATAGGATATACAAGTTCAAATTCAGAAGAGCCAGATATCTATGTAAAAGGCCCAAATTTGCTTTCTTTAAAGTGAGAAAATAATAAATTTGCTATCAGCGAGTCTAAAACAAGATCTCCAACTGGTGCAATTTTTATTGAAGAAATACTAATTAAAGACAAAGATATATTTTTAGCTGGGAATTACGTGTTTGAGTTTTCTATAATTGATAATAATTCGCTGTCATTGAGTTATAGAAAAAGAGGCTCATACCAATGACTGTGGGAATTTGATAGTGCGACATCTCTCCTATAGGCAAATTTGTTCGAATCAATTTTGATAGTAAGACATTTGACCCAAAAAAAACCGTTAAATTTCGGCTAAATGGGCACCCTTTTTAAAAAATTTTCGACCAAAAGTACTTCGATGAAATGCACACTATCAAAAAGGCACTATCATTGGACCTGCACCCAGAAAAAGAGACGACTGCAGCTCATCAAAAGTTGTCTGGACGAGCGATATGCCTGTAAAATTAATAGGAAGATCTAAAAAAGTGGCTGATTTATCTTTTGAAGAAGATTCAACAATGTCAAAAATTCATGCTGCAGTCGAGTTCATAAATGGGAATTGATATATGTACAACAGACACTCCAGAAATGGGGTGTGAAAGCATTTACATAATAGAAGGACTTTAGATAATGGAAAAAATTCAGAATGGATTGAATTACCTAATTATTCAAAATTCATGTTTCATGAAGTAATTTTCATGGTGAGAATGAATTCATATTAAATGATTTTGATTTTTTATTAAATTAAAATTAATTAGGCATTTGGAAATTTAAAGATGGAAATAAAATAGGGAAAAAAAGATATTTAATGAGATTGTGAAAGAGGGTAAAATTATTGATTGGTGCATAAATTTATCAAAATGAAGTCGGGATTTTAGTTGGCAGACGTTTGGAATGTTTAAATAGTTTTTTATTGAAATAATTAATATAAGAACTTTCAGATTTTGTTTTTTCCTATATCCTTTTATTTACTATACGATGTTGGCATTATCCCTTTAATCTAAAAAGAATTTTATTAGTAAATCCAAAAGAGTATATACTAAAAATAAAAATAAATACCAATTATTCTATTAGCGAAACAATTTTAGCAAACAATTTTTAATAATAGTTAATGCTCAAATTAGATCCCCATAACTGATCTAAAAATTATCAGACGATTCCTTAAAACTAACGGTTTCCCATTTATTTACTTTTAATATTTTTCAAAATTTTTCTTTAAAACCAGGCCAGTACTTTCCTTCATAATTCTGACACATTGAAAAACGTATATAACTATGAATAAGATTGTATATACATAAAAATCGTGATGATACCACCCGACCTCTCGACCTATTTCTTCACTTGCAGGCAACGGCCCAGTGATGGCGATTTAGGTGGAAAGGGGTTGTAATCCTTTATGTATATTGGGCTAGGTTTTCCTCGGGTCTCAGGGGGTAATCCTTTGTAATTAAAGTTTTTCCTCCTGAACAGCCATTAGAAAGGGCAAGGTCGGCCAACGCCTGAAGGGCAATATGACCCTCAGGCCTTGAAGATGGTATTTGCCTCCCGAGAAACTGGGAGTTTCGACACAGGTGATTGGCTATTAGACTCCAGGAGCATGGAAGTCAAGATCTGTGCGCGAAATCCCCTGCTTGCGGAAACAGGGAGGGTGTCTGTCGAGCCTCCTCAGGAGGGATGAACTTATAGGGGTGGAAATCTCCGGCCCTGCTAGGCGAACGGCATAATCATAATCATGAATAAGATTGTGATTGCGTGTCTGTTAATTGCATTGGTGCACTCAGAATCCTGCAAAGATGACAATGATTGCACTACTTATTCTAGCTGCAAAAACGGTACTTGCAAGCACAAAGACCTTTTTCCAATCAAAGATTTAGAATGAGTTGGGTCTTTCTTAATAGTTATCGTTAGTGCACTATCAAATACGTCAGGGATTGGTGGAGGAGCATTAAACGTCCTAATCTGTCTAGTCTTATTTAACTTTGACACTACTTATTCAGTTCCTCTGTCAACGGTCATAGTTTTTGGTGGAAGTCTCGCAACTATAATAATCCAAATACCTTCAAGACATCCAGCAAAAAATCGACCTTTGATTGACTATAATATTGCCTTATTTGTGATATCTCCTATGCTTTTCGGAGCTACTGTTGGAGTTATTTTAAATAAAGTTTTCCCTTCGTGGCTTATTCTTGCACTTCTTATGTGTGTGCTGATTTTTATGTTATATAACTCTTTGAAAAAATATAATAAGCTTAGAATCCAAGAAAGTAACCAAAGGAAAATTCTTCGAGATAAAAGATTATTATGGATAAATAAGAATATAAACAAAATTAACTATTAAGTGTCCTATTGTATATTCTCCTTTAGAAAGTATATCAAATGCAAACTCTGAAATCGTCCCAATCCCGATCCAAAGCCAAGACAAAAATGACCTAGAAAACGAAAACTGTCCAAAAATCGACGAAAAAGACAACTATGAGATGCAGACTCCAAATATTATTGATTCAAGTCCTATAAAAAACTATGAAAGCATAGAAAGAGAATGAAAATGCAGCAATAACAATGGCAATGAACAATCACAAATTTCTAATGCTAATGAAAAAGATTCAAGTGAATATTTCATAGAAAATGAAAAAGAGACAAATCCAGAGCTAGAAAATATTTATAAATCAGAAAAAAGGATTATTTTATTTTTGCAGTTTTTTTATATTCTTGTTATTTTTGGGCTTGCTATTTTAGGGTCAGTCATGAAAGGAGGAAAAGGCTTGGACTCAATACTAGGTTTTGAACAGTGTAGCGACTGGTATTGGATTTATTTCGCTTTTTTTTTGGCTTTCCTATTGCTTTTGTGCTTTTTAGCTGAAATTTATATTGTTAGGAAAGTAAAAAGAAAAATTGAGCTCGGGTATGATTTTGATGAGCATGATGTTAAATGGAATTTGAAAAATTCTACGATAGTTTCGACTATTACAATACTTGCAGGAATTTTGGCAAGCTTATTAGGACTAGGAGGAGGATTAGTAATGAATCCTATTATGTTGAATATAGGCTATCGGCCGGAGGTGTCTACTTCAACTTCTTCATTTTTAGTTCTACAGCGCATCCACCATAATAGATTGCTGGATGCTTTAGTTTACAGAAAAGACTTAATATGGCCAAAGGCACTTTTCTTATCTTACCAAAGTCTTAGTAGATATATTAAAACCAAAAACAATAGACTTACATTTAATTTTTAAAAAATGACAAAAGTAAATTCCATTTGAGAAATAAAAAAAGCGCCAATAACAATTTATAATTATGGAGATGGTATGTTGACTTCTGCAATTTCTATGGTGCAATATGCTATTGCTGGATCAATTATTTATAATTATGGGTTTTGAATGTTTGGGTGCTCTGTTATTGGGTCCTCAACAGGGACATTTTTAATATTGAAAACAGTTAAAAAATACAAAAGGGTGTCAATTGTTGTGCTTATTTTAGGAATTATGATGCTTCTTAGCTTGATAGGAGTGCCTTTATATGGGATTATTGATATGATTGATAAGTCAAACAAAGGAAAGTTACGCTATGGATTTGCTGATCCTTGCGGTTAAAGTAGTTAAGTTTTAATTTTATTTTTTAATCTGTTAAATTTATTTTAAATAATTATGACGTGCTCCATTATAATAAAAATATCTCAAAACATCTATATTAAATTCAGCATAAATTTCTTTCACAAATATCTAAATGTTCCTGAGATTTAATTGAGTACTAATATATATACAATTTAAATACCTTAATAACTTTTCTTGTCTAAAAGTTATATTGACAATTTGAGGAGAGGTAACTTACTTCTATTTGAATAATGAATTTCTGCTAAAACAGTTAAGAAATTATAAGTAGATATTTTTTTCGTCTATATAAAAATTTAATAATTATTAATACACTGAATTCTATTAAAATTCAGAAAATCCTTACTCCCTCGTTCTGTGAACGAACAAACCATTGGAAAAATCCCTATTTTGTGAAAAAAAACCCACCCTCTGTGAGCGACCAAAAAATTTTGATATATAAGTGATAATTAGTATAATGAAATCTCTAGCGAATTCTGCTAATAAATTAAATTAATATTAGCTTTCAATTTAACAATATTTAATATAAGATTTTATATAAAAAAAAAAAAAGTAGGCTCCTCCTTGAGCGAAAAAATTTTTATTGTTTTCTCACGGAGGGGGAGTTATTTTAGCGATGTTCATTTATAAGATATGCAATTATTTATAATAATTGATATATGAATTCAGCTGTTGCAGGCGTACTGAATAAAGTCTTAGGTGACTACGTTGAAAACCTTAATGCTGAACAGCTAAATTTGTCTGTTTTCAGCGGAGAAATCAAGCTTCAACAATTAAAGCTTAAAACAGATATCCTCAAAGTTTTAGGTCTCCCATTTGACCTGAAGCACGGGCAAATCGGAAATTTATCAGTCAGAATCCCATGGACAAGCATCGGATCAAGTCCACTTAAGATCGAAATAAGCGAAATTTATATGCTGGTCGGACCTAAGCCTCCTTCTGCATGAAATGAAGAAGAAGAGAAGAAAAATAAAATTAGTTTATTCTATATAACCTAATTTACTATTATATTTGCCTTATTTTTATAATTAATGATATTTATTAAAAAAGTATAAAAGCAAGTATCCCTTGATAATTTTGAAACAATTTATTCCTCTGAAGCCGCAGTCAATGTAGAGCCAGGCTTTGTAGAGAAACTTGTGACAAAAATAGTAGACAATTTACAAGTTAGCATAAATTCGATTTATATTAGGTATGAAGATGATGTGTCAAGCACTGATGCTTTTGCGTTTGGAATTGCAATTAAAAATGTGCAAGCTGTTACTTGTAATAAGAATTGGCAAATTGAGTATATTTCAGATGCAGCGATTACTTATAAACTTGTGTTATTGGATGATATCAGAGTTTTTATGGATTATGGGGAAAATTTTGTAATAAAATCAGACAGTTTTGATGAATTTTTAAATTTATGCTAAATTAGATTAAAAGAAGTCATTATTGAAAAGGATGTTATACAGTTTACACAAAAAAAAATAAAAAAAAATACCTAGTTTAAATTAATCAATTATAATATAGCATATAAAGAGAAAACGCCACAGCTCAATCATAGATTTTTACTCAAGCCAACGAGCTATAGGCTAGAGCTTATCATGAATAAAAATTCCAAAGATTTATCACTCCCACAAGCTTTTGCAAGCTTAAAAAACGTAGAAGTAGATATGGGCATCGAAACTAACCAAATAACTCATATGCTAAAAATATTAGAATTCATGGCTTTATACGCAAACTTTCAGAGCGGAGTTTCGAACTCAGAAGTTGAAAGTGAGTTTTCTCCTGAAGAAGCCTCAATATATAGAGAGCTTTATAAAAAATGAAGAATTTTAACTCCCTGTTGCATTTCAGCTATTTTTTTAAAAAATTAAATTTTTTTATTAGGTTTGCTTACTTAAAGAGGGTAAGCAAAGGCAAAGATTTAGAAAAAATAAAGAGCTTAAAAGCAAAGCTGGAACTTCATGAAAATGGAAAAATACTGCAATCAATTATTACTCAAAGGACCAATGTGAATACAGAATTAGAATTGCTGAGAAAAGAAGAAGCAGTTAGAAATGAAATTTCATCGATTGAAAATGCGAGTCAAGGAGGAGCTTTTTCTTCTATATCGGGGTATTTTTGGGGAAAAAAGGAGTCTGCAAAGAAAAAAGAGGAAGAAGAAAAAAAAGAAAAATTATTCTAATAAATATAAATATGGGTTCAGACCTTATTTGATTATTTTAAAATCATAATTTTGTTTAATTTATATGATAAGGAATAAAAATTGTAAACGAAAAACTACTGGAAATTTTAAAAGAAAAAGAAAATTTTGCTAGCTCAACCTTTGATTAGCGAGATGGAGAGAGTTTTAAAATTCTATATAAATAATTAGAAAATCCTCTCCTAAATTTTAATATAGATTTAAATATTATAATTATTAGTGTGGTTACTCAAAGAATTGTATATTAAAAAATCACTAATTAGTGAATAGTCCCAAAATAGGTATTTTTCTAATAGGCTTGCTCGCTAATCAATTGAGGGAATAAGCAAATTGACAACTTCATATCAGACACTCAAGTATTCGCCAATTTGCCGTCAACTTATGTCAGATTTAAAGTCGAATTTTCAGTATCTAACACGATTATTTCACTAAAAAATACAGAAAAAGACCTATTAATTTACTCTGTAAGAGATTTTAAAATAGAATTTGGCATGAGACCAGAAACTATATATGCAAAAATAGATATCGGAAATGGAGAACTAGAAGACAAAGTCATAAACAGCCTAGTTTTCCCAAACATTTTAGTAACTGAATTTCTTCATCTTGAATACGATCAGCTGCCTTCTCCAAAATTATCAATAAAATCAGGAGCTTTTAATGTCGCTACCAATTTAGAATCTTTATTAATCGTTTCATATACATAAAATGGCGTATGGCGACCGACCCACCCTCTCAGTGGTGGTTACCCATGTATATCCGGGCATGGTTTTTGGAGCCAGGAATTAGCCCAACAACGTCTGGGACCTCGAAGCGAGAGGCCTAAGCGCGAGAGCCGCTGTTTTTGCGACCAGACCCATGGGCAGTTATTCGTGACTTCTTTTTGCCAGAAGCGCTCAGCCCAGTGAGTGCCCGAAATGAGGCAGGGTGAATTACCTGCCTAAGCTGCTTTAGTGGCTCGCCCCGAATGGCGAAAGCTGTTGAGTTCTTTCTCGGGATGACCGGAAAAGAGGGGAGGCGAGTTAGACACCAAAACGGGGGTCTCTCCAGTTGAAAAGGTGCCCTTCAATGGGCAGATCTGGCGGACGACGAAGCGGAGTTGGCGTAAACTTAGGCGACGATCCAAGTTGGAAATGGAGGTGGTCAGCAAAGCCGGTATGAGACGGCCCTTGACAATACCTCTACCGAGAAACCGGGGGTTTCGGCCCGGGCTTGGTGAACGCTCTGCCACCACACGGGAAACCGTGGCATGCGACCTCGGACGTAGTAGGGACCTTAAATACCCAGCGTAATCTTAATCTTAATCTTATTAATCGTTTCCAATATCTTTTCTGCAGCCATTGCACAGGAAATCGACATATCTAAGTACGTAGAAGCCGCAAGCACAAAAACAAGCGAGTATATAAAAATTGGTGAACAATATGTAAAAGATCTAGCTAAAACAGGTTCCCAAGCGAGTATTGAACTAAATCTGGATATGAAAGCTCCTGTTATATTTATCCCAATGAATATTCATAGCCTCGAAGAAGGAATGCTTGTTCTAGACGGCGGACATTTATATGGAAAAACATCTATTGAAACATTATCGAACTTCTCCTTTGACAAATATATTTTTAATTTGGTAAACACAAAAATTGGCTTAATGATTTTTTTTTCAGAAACATTATTGGTGGAATGATTTTTTTCCTTGTAAAAACCTTCCTTACTAGTAAATGTCCCAAGAGAAAAAATTCAAAAATATTAGAGTGAATATATAAAAGGTAAAAACTCCAATAAACAAAAATCTGTATTGTATGAAATTGTCCTTCAGCTGACAACTGGAAATCAGGGAATCTACAAGACTTTTTATCTCCTGTTGACTATAAATTCACAGCTTTAAATTGCAAAGTTGAGCAGCATTTAATCCCAGCCTTTGTATTTTCTACTGAAATAGGAAAACTAAACTTTGATTTAGATGAGTCAATTTTATTTTTTACTTGAAAATTACAGGAAGAAATTTTCAGGATTTTAGATCAAAATAAACCTGCTGAAGTACCTATGCAGAAACCGAGAGGGGATAGCTTGGTTATTGAGACAGAAGCGCTGAAAGATAGGATGAAAAGAATAAAAGATATAGTGGCAATGAAAATGATGGTAAATTTTAATGAAATTTCATTAAGATTGAGGAAGCAGAAAAGCCAATTAGCTGCTATTAAACTTTTTAGGCATAAATCTAGCTTATTAATATAAGAATTTTTATGAGAATATTTATATAAAGAGACTATAAATTTTTTATGAAATTTATCTGGACTTGGGCTTAGGCTCCCTTGGAGAAGTACTAGGAAAACTCAAATTAAAAAAAATCGAAATGGAAGATTTACGAGAAAAAGTCCAATTAAGAAAAGTCATTTGCAACCCAGCCCTTTATGACGATGACAAAGGTGAAGACGAATTTATGGACGCAGTAGAAGAAATAAATCAGCTTGTCATAGATTTCCAATTCAGGCCTAAACTTGATACTCTACATGTTGATCTAATTCTGTCTGAGATGAGAATTATGCCTTCCCCAGACCTATTTTCACAAGTTGTAAATTTCTTTACTAAGCCTATTGCAAAGGCTTCATTTGCAACTAAATCTTTTCAATTAGAAACAGTCCCTCCTGTAGCTCATTCAAAATATAAAACTGTTTTTATTACCAAAATGTCCTTAGAACTGTCTGGAATTGAAGTGTGGCTCCCAATGGACGTGCTTAATAGTAGAAAAAGGATTGGGTGCTTTAAATTTGGGGTATTTTTGAACTATGATTCGACTCAAGAATATACGAGCTCATTTGATAAATGAATCAGAGAAATAGAAAGGGAGTAATCCATAATAAATTAAATTATTGATCATTTTTAAATACTAGGCATAATTATTTTCATTAGGTTTACCATTCAATCAATGATGAAGCTTCTATTGAAATCACTCATATAGGCGGCCTCATAGGTTTAGCTCACAAAAATCGCATCCTTCGTACAGAAGAAAGAACCCAAGATATTTTACGGCCAAGCCGCATCTCAATCACCTATAACTGCTTGAATAGAGGAAACCAAGAAACCTATACAAAAATCCAAGTCAACCTAGAAAGCCTTTGCTTTGATATTGGCTTTCGAGATTTACAGTTCCTCAAGACACTTTCTGGAATATGGATGCAGTTTAGTTTATATGATAATGAGTATTATGAGCAGCCACCACAAGTGCCTAATGCTAATACGAAAACTGAAATTACAGCTGAGTGTGACGCTTTGCAAGTAAATCTGCTAGAAGACACAGGAATTAAGGCTTATTCATTAATACATCTTCACTTCAGTAATTTCACTGTAAAAGCAATAATGGACAGTACAAAAACAGAAGCCGCCTTATCTACGTTTCTTCTTGCAGACTGCTATAATATATATCTAGCTGCATGGGAGCCTTTAATAGAAGACTGGAATTTTGATTTGACTGCAAACCAGCCTGCAGGGTCACTTATGATTATTAATTTTGAAGCGCCCAGGATTTTTAATATCAATTTGACACTTACTCCCCCCCCCTTTTAAATCGAAACAAAAAATTTTGTTTCAATTTAAAGGGGGGTTAAGAAAATTTTTTTATAAAAAAATTTATATATAAAAAAATTTTTTCAGAGATAAAATTTTATAGAAAATAAATTATATAATTTTAAAGAATTTCATGAAAAATTAATTCATAAATTTCTCAATCTAAAAGTGTAAACTTGCTGAAATGGTATTCTTCTAACTCTCCCCATAACAATTGGACAAAATAGAGTTTAATTTCTAAATCTTATATGTTTGAAGCATATTAAATAGGGTATTAACGTATTTACATATAAAATAATGATTTTTACCTATAAAATTTTCTATTATAATAAAATTTTGTTTCAATTTAAAGGGGGGGGTAATTTCCCAAAAAAGTAGGAATTTTTACCTATATTTTGTTTCAATTTAAAGGGGGGGGAGTTAGTAATATAGAAATTATTGGAACTCTTATGACGAAATTAGGCCAAGACAGCTCTTTTTGGAATGAAGAAGTGATTAGCAATTATATTCCTGATGATAATGAAGTTTTAGCTCATGGCAATTTTTTGTATGTTTTAAATAATCAATTATAGTGTGGGCTTTATTTTGACCCTATAAAAGATATTCCGCAAAGCAAAATTGTTATAATCATGGTAAATTGCTCATTAAAATGGACTTAAATTTCCCAATTTTTTTCTTTGACTCTCTAGGTGCCATTTTCTTTTTGGATTATATTAAGGAATTTATAAGAGCCCTCATGCTATAGATGTCACTATTGATGTATGACTTGATATAACTGATGCTGAAATATGAACTTTAGAACCAAACCAAACTTTTACGTTTACTCAACAAGTAGTAGATAAACTGCAAGCAAGCATAAAGCCTGAAGGGAATAAACATGGACTTATGGAGGAAATCAAAACGCCTTCTGCCATTGTGATTAAAGCAGAAGAATATGAGCCTAGCAAAGGAATTTTTATTGAAAGTATTGGAGTAAGAGGGTTCAAGCTGAAGAGCGGCATTAAACAAGTAGCTTGTGTACTAGATATTTCAGCAGAAAACAATGAAAAAATTATAAAAATACAGACAGCAAAACTCTGTGTAAATATGACAAATTCTGTAGTTAATATGGAATATTTAGGAAATTTGGTGTCAGTTTACCCAAACTCTGCATTTCCATTACCATTAAAATGGGTTGAAAATCCAGAAATTTCTCCATATATCGCTGGCATTGAGAAGAAAATTGAGCTGTATCAAGAAGGAACTGTACAAATAGAAGAAAACAGCTGAATTGTGACAGAAATTGATAAATATAAAACGTCTACTTCTGTCACTCAAATGATTGTAGCCTTTAAACCTCCTTTTATATACCAAAACCTCCTACCTTGCTCTTTGTCAATATTTTACAATAAAAGTGAAGTCCCTCTATGCAGCTTGTCCCCAGGCGCTTCTGAAGCTAGCTTGTCAATAGACCCTACCAATGACAGACAGCTCTATAGATTTGAGCTGCAAATTGAAAATGAATATATTTTAGATACAGACTGGAAAACCCTTAAAGGAGGTGCCAAATGTCTTTTAGAGCTCACTGGAAACTTCCCTGGCAATAAGCTTACAATAGAAACAAGCAAATACAATACCATGAATTCGCAAATAATTGACCTCTCCCAGCGCAAAAAGGCTAAAAAAATATAGAAGTTTCCTATGTTTGGCGCTGTGAGGCCGATAAATTCTGATCGGAATTTATCGGTAGGTTGCACCAAATCAATGCCTTGGTCGGACCAAAAAGCGATTTGGTCCGACGAACTTGGAAAGCTCCTGGGAAAATGTCTGCGCTTTTAGCGCTATATAGAGGAAACCTCTATATATCTATTTGCAATAAATATAAACTTAGCCTTCTACCCAGCATAGCCAGTAGGAATATTCATTATAAATAGGTATATCATCTGACAGTCAAAGGGCCGAAAGCAAAATCCTTGAAATTTACTGTAAATATTATCTGGTCAATAAAAGTGACTGGAGCTTTGAGTGCAATAAAGGATCAATGAAAATAAATGAGCATAGTATTGGGTTTTTAAGCAGCAGAAAAAACATTAAAATTAGGACTGTCGGAAAAGAATATGGGGAGCCTAGCTTGTGGTCTGAAAGCTTCAATGTCTCAACTACAGGGATTTCAGGGTGTATTGAGCTGAATAATACAGATGCGCAGAAAAAATCTCATGAAGTGCCCAGCCATTTATTGTTTGGGATATATACATTTGAAGCTCCTCCACCTCTGACTAAAAGTAAAATAGTCCATATAATGCCAAGATATGTGATTCATAATGAGCTTGGGTACTCTATTTATATTAGACAATTATTAAAAAACCATGAGCCAGGGAAAACAATAAAAGAAGTTTTTGATGGGAGTAACCTTCAATATCAGCTTGACTCGAAATCGACTAGTTTAATCCAAATCTCAAGGGACAATAATAACTGGTCCTCCCCTTTTAGTATCCAAGATATCGAAGATTTTCAGGTGAAATTTTCAGCGCGAGAAGAAGAAAAAAGTGATACACAAGGTGAATGGTATAGGCCACAGTACGTGAATGGCTATATGCATTATGCAAGAATTATTATAAGCACTGAAGATGAAGCTTGTATTCATATTTCTTTCCTTACCCCAAAAGACCCAGAGTTCCGAATTTTAAATTTAACGCAATTTGAGATTACTGCAAACCAAGTCAATTATCCAGCTCTTGCGATACCTCCATTAACGTCAATTCCTTGGGCTTTTGATAACTTGTTAGATAATAGGAAAATTGAGCTCACAGGGGCAGAAAAGAAAACCTATGAGATATACCCTATTGGCCTATATATAAATTTATATTAGAAGTTAAACACAAACAAATATTTATATACGAAAAGGGATATATACATATTTAGAGTAAATTTATATGATTTTTCCATTAAATTCAAAAATGGAATAACTAATATGAAAAGAATAGAAAAAATTGGAAAAGCTAAAAAGCTAGGAAGAAATAGTGTTTCTGTAAATGTTGTAGGAGTAACTCGTGAAATGAGGATCATTCCTATAGGCGACAAATATGAACGACTAAAAACAACTAAACTTAAAAAGAAGCAAGGCTATAAGTTTTTAGCTTCTATGGCTGGAGTTGGCCTATCCCTAATAGACCGAACTCCAACTGAGCTTTTTTATTTCAGTTTCCAATACATAACCTTAAAATTCACAAGCAAGCAGGAAACCATTAAAAAAGAGCTCAGAGACCACATGAAAATTGATTTCAAGCTAAAAGCTCTTCAAATCGACAACATGGTTTCTCATAACCGTTTATTCCCTATTTTATTTTCTCCAACAGCCACAAAAGATGATGATTAGATTAGATTAGATTAATTAGTTTGAGCGGGTCACGGAGGTTTATTTCAGCCTCTACCCAGCGCTGCCAGTTTCAGGCTTGCGCCCTATGCACCGGCTCTGTTGCTCACTCCATTTTCTGTCGACGTCACCAAAAAAATGGTGACGTCGTCATCTGACAGGGAGACTCACCCAGGTACTCCTTTGATCAGGGTCTAGTGACCCGGCGCCGTCCTTTCTGGGGAGGGGGAAAAGTAGCCTTCCGGAGTCTTCTTCAGGTCCCCAAGCTCCACTACAAGCTTCCTCACTTCCTTCTAGTCCTGAAGTGTGACTCCTGATTCTGCGGCTCTGGTCTTCTCGTCTTTGTGAGAGGCAAAAAACCTTGTCGTGGTGTCCCGACCAAGGTAAAAAACCCACCCTGGACACAATATCCAGGCCCCGTTTACTTCTTAGACCCGTATTCCAAGAGGGTACGGGAGAAGGACGGGGTCGGATGGCTCGCCATTTTAATTGTGTAAAAAGATGATGAAGAAACTCCTTTTATTCAAGCAAAAATCCACAAAATCAGTTCTTCTAATATAGACAGTACTGAGATTTCGTCAATTGACAAATATTCTTGGCTTGAAGTTTCTATACAAGAAATGAGGTTCCAAATAAACCAAGAGTCGTTAGAAGTTTTATTGAGGACTCTATCAAGCTTAAAAAATACATTTGGGACGCAGCTTGACTATAAAAAGTTTTCAGATATTTCAAGCTTAAAGGAAACCTGCAAGTACCTTGACGTCACCAGTCCTATTTTATCATTCAATCTTTCACAGTCATCAAAAAAAATATTTTTTGAATTTTTCCATCTTTGTGCTATTAAAATTTATATTCAATTTATATGATTTTTTCGGGATTTTTTGTATTTTTATATTAAAATATTATTCAAATTATTATTAAGCTATATATAACTTTTAAATCTGGGATGAGAAATATTGATTTTCAAGTAGACGCAATGGAAGGATTTGGCTTACTCAGGACTTTAGGACGATATGGCGCCGCTTTTCCTAACATCAGTGAGTCTCCTTTAAGGTTCCGTGAGCTTATCATAAAAGAAAGTTTCCAAACAATGACCAACCTTACATGGCAAATAATTTCCAATTATATCCGCCAAGGCTTATTCCAGTTCTACAAAATTCTTGGCTCAGTTGATTTATTAGGAAACCCTATAGGTCTTATTGACAAACTTGGTACGGGCGTTTTCGAATTTTTAAATGAGCCTGTAAAAGGTGCTTTAAAGGGCCCAAAATCTTTTGCACTTGGCTTAGAAAAAGGAGTCCGGTCTTTAATAGGAAATGTAATAGCAGGAGGCTTTGGAAGTGTCACAAAGTTAACTGGAGGACTATATGAGCTTGTAAAAGAAGTGAACCAAGACGAAGGAGCTGAGGCTTTATATCAGTCAGATAGCGCTGCGCTAAATGTATACTCAGGCGTCAAAGGAGGAGTTGTAGAAATCGCTCACTCCCCCCTTGATTTGTGAAAAAAAAATTTTGAAAAATCCCTATTTTTAGGGCAAAAACTCACCCTCTGTGAGCGAATCAAGATTTTGATATATAAATGATAATTATAATATGAAAACTCCGAGCTAATTCTGTTTAATTTTTAACAGCTTGCATTTTAAAATATAATTTTACAAATTAAATTGATATTTGCTTTAAAGATATTTCGATTTGGTATTTTTTTTAAATTTTGATAAAAAATTTACTATAATTTTTTTAGAAAAATTATCCCCTTTTGTGAGCGAACAAGATTTTTTTGCTCGCACAGAGGGGAGTCAGGGATTTACAGGAATTTTCACAAAGCCATGAAAAGGGGCCAGAAAATCAGGGGTCACTGGATTTTTCAAAGGAATTGGTTCAGGGCTGCTAGGCGTGGCCACAGCTCCACTACTTGCAGCTCTTAGACTAGGAACTGGCATAGCAGCTGGGATTACAAGTGCAGGGACACTTTTAGCCAACGGCAAAGTTGACCCAAAAGGCCGAGTCCGTTTTCCACGTCATTTTAACGCAAAATATGTCCTTGTTCCTTACAACCATGAAATTGCTGAAGCGCAAGAGTTGCTTCGAAATTCTAAAGAATTTAAGCGTGAAAAAATAGTTTTTTATCTCCATTTGAAAGAAAATGAAGATTTTATCATCTTGCTCACCCTCAATAAATTCTTTTTACTTTTAAACGCAGATTTATCAAAAACTCTTCCAATAAGAGAAATCAGCACAATGGAAATTCACCGCTCTGACGACAAATTTTTGTTTTTTGCTGGGAATAGAGAAGAGACTAACCAAATTATAATACAATCAGCGACCTTCAGCTCACTCGCAAGACTTTATGCAGCAGTTTTATGCATTCCAAGCTATAAGAAAAGCAAGCCACAGCTTAAGAAAATTAAAATGCCTGGGAGATATGGCAGCAGTTGTTGCCGATTTAGATAGAAATTAATGATAAAGAGTTAATAAGATTATTCGTAATTCTTTAACTGCTCTGAAAGGTGCTGAAGACCTCTCATTACGCCTTCAAACTGGGCGGTGTCGACGTTGCTGATGATATTTTCTACTCTTATAACTCTTCTTAAAAGCTCGCTTAAGATGTCTTCATCGATTTCTGGCTCATGATGTTTGACGCCTCTGAATTCTTTTAGCAGCTGGGCTGTTTTGACTTCTAGATGCTTCATGTCGTCAGGAACCTGTAATAGTTTTCTCCTTCTTTCACGTTTTTCTTCAAGTTTCTTCTTTAAGCTGGCCTGCTGTCTTTCTTTTTCTGAAGCTAAAGAGCTTTCGAGTTGTTCAAGCTCTTTTTGATGCTGGGCTATGAGCTCTTCCATTTGTTGCTTGGTTAAGTTTCCTTTGCGTCTTGCATCTTCTTGCTCTTTCTTTTGTTTTTCTAACAGTTCTTTTCTTACTCTTTCAATTTCAGCTTGGTGTCTTGCTTCTGCCATTTGGCTTTCTAGCTCTTCTTTTTTCTCTCTTGCAAGTTTTTCTAGGTCGTTTCTCTGCCTTTCAAGAGCGTCCATTCGTTCGTTGGCTTCTCTTTCCATATCGGCTTGTCGTTTTAAGAAATCATCGTTTAATTTCTGCATTTCTGGGTTAACGGCTGAGTCAACTCCAAGCCGTCTTATCGTTTCTTTGACTTCATTCATTTGTTTGTCGAGTAGTTTCAGGAGTTCATCATTGCATTTCTTTTGATGGTCATGCCAGGTATTTTCGAAATCTTTTTGAGTCTCTTGGTCATTTTCTAAAATCAATGAAGCTACGTATGCTTGCTTTTGGTTGTCAGGAACCTCTGCAAGATGCTTTTGGGCTCCTTTAATAGCAGCTGCCTTATTTTCTAAAGAGTTTCTTACTCCCAGTTATAATATAGAATTAATGTTTTTTTTAAAAAATATATAAATTGCAAATTAAAAAATCCTAAAAAATATAAATTTAGTGCAGTATTTTATTATTTTTATAATGAATTAATTGAAAAATTAAATAGGTTCAGTGTGGCAACTGTTTAAATAGTATTTTACTTGCATTTCACTAATGAAATTAGGTAAATCTAGCTATATAAAAATTAGTATTTCACTTTTAGAATTTCCCATTAAAATTTTAAATTTTGGTCTTTTCTAAGAGGCTGAGTTAGCTTTTCAGCATGGATATCAGCAGCTCTCTTCTGTTGCAGATTTTGAAGCTCAATTAGTTCTCTATCATGCTTATCTGCTAGCAGCTGTTTGACAGTTTCAATTTGCTCATCTTTTGGCAAGCTCTTTATCAAATCTTCCAATTTTTTCATTCTATCTTCATTCTTTCTAAACTGCTCCGTATTAACTTTTTGCTCACTGGCGACTTCTTTTTCAGCTTCTTGAGCTCTTTGTTTCTTTTCTCTTCTCAGCCGCTGCCTTTCTTGTAGACGCTCAGCTAAAATTCTTTTCTGGTCTTGTTCTCTTTGTCTATTTGCGTCATCAATTTGGTTTTCAATATTTCTTACTGCAGATAAGCAAAATAAAACATTGATTAAAATTTATTTTTTATAAAATTTTTTTTTAATATAAGAAGTTATACCATTTATCATGAATAAAATTTATATATATGGCCACTGTTATAGATTTAATATAGTAAATACAATTAGTCCCTAAATGGTATAGATTTTCCAATATATCATCTCTCTCTGAAGTATTTGATGCCTTTGACAGCTCAGTGAACAGCTTCTGCTTCTGCTTTTCAAGCTGCGACTTTACTGAGTCATGTGCAATATCTGACTGTTTTTGTTGATCTTCAAATCTTCTATCGATCACTCTTTCATCAGCTTCACTTATGCCTATTTGTTTAATTGTTGGACTTGTTTGCACATCAATATTTTGTTCGAAAGAATTAAGCAGTTCTATATATTTATTGACTTTTTCCAGTTCTTTTGAAGCTTCATGGTATTCTTCTTTAGCAGCATCAGCTCGGTTTTGGGCATCCCCTCGCTTTCTGTTCCTTCTTTCTTCAATTCTCCTCATGAGATCTCTATGCTGCATGCCTTTTTCGTCAGTCAAATTCTGTTCCATGGCTTCCATTTCTCTTTCATACTGACTTAAAATTTCCTCTTCTTTTTCAGGATTTCTCCTTATATTTTCCAAAATTTCTTTCCTCATGTTTTTCGCGACATTTCCAAAAATTCTTTCTCTGGCTCGTCTTTTTTCTTTTTCGTATTCTTTTTCAGCTTCTTGGGCAAGATTTTCTGCATCTTTTAACTCTCTTTGCATTCTTTCTTTAGCTTGTCTCTCTTCTTCTTCGAGTGCATTTTTCTTTTGTAGAAGTTCTCTCCTTCGTTTGCTTCTTTCTTCAATGCGATTTTTAAGGGTGTTTTCAGCATGGACGCGGTCTTCAGCGAGTTGTGCTTCTAGATTAGATAAGTTTTCGTTAAGTTCTTCTAAAAGGGCTTGCTTCTGGTCTTCTTCAAGCTTAGGGTCATTTTTTATTTTTTCTTGAAGCTTTTTGGTTTCTGACTCTGACTTGGGGTCAAGCTTATTTAAAGAAGCAATATAGGCCATCTCTTCTTCGTAATTCTGGTTTGCGCCGGAAGAAACAGCGTTAGGGTTTAGCGCTCCTGAGATTACATTTTTAAGGTCTTTGAGAGATTCCAGTAAGCTTGCAAGCTCTTCTGCGCTTTTGTCTTTTCGGCTTTTAATGCCACTTCTCATTAATTCTGATAATTCTAACAGTTTTTCATAAATTGCTTGGAAAAGCTGAGGATTCAGAGCTCCTGCAACCACTTGTCGGCCTGCTGGCTGGTCATCAACTACAGACTCATCGTTTCCTTTAATTACGGCAGCTTGAGATTCTAGCGTTTTCTTAAAATCTTCTAGGTTTTTCTTGATGAGACGTTTTTGGGCTCTTCTATGGAAAATCTGGACAGTTGATAAGAAAATGATGAAAAGCAAAAAGACCATCATCATGAATAAGAAAATTTTCCAGTCAGTTTCTTCATTTATTCTAAATAATATAAAATGGGTTAGCTTGAAAAATTCCGGAGGCGGCTTTGTTGCTTTGATTTTCTATAATTTAAATACTTGTATTTGTAATAAAAAATTTAGGTTTTTTCATGTTGCCTATATAAAATATGACTATTCCTTATTTTAAGATATCTTATAAAAATTCTTCATAAAATAGTATATATCATGATCTTGATAAACTCCTGCCTTTGTAACCGTCCCTGCACTTCTTTCTCTAATCTGTGGAGACGAGCACTGCTGATCTGAGCTCATCACACTTATAATCAACACGTTATTTTTATCAGAATTCGTCGCAAACACATATCTCCCTGCTTCTCTAAAAGTATAAGCAAAATATTTTACATTTTGACCTCCCTTAATTACTTGTTCAAGCTCTAACTCCCCCATTTTAAATTTGAACAAAACATCGGAAAATTTGCAATTTTTGGGTACTTAAATTGATATAGTTTGGCATAATTTGTAAGGAAAAGTGCCAAAAAAATTAATTCCCTTTGCTCCAATTAAAGGGGGAGTAAGAAAGGCCCATAGTCAAAGCTAGGATTTGTATTCAGTACTGAGTCTTTCATATAATAAGGATAATCATTTACCGTAGGTATCGTAAAAACCATACTTTCCCCTAGTTCTAAACACACCACAGGGTTCATCAATTTTTTATCATCGCTTGCCAGTCTTCTCCCAGTCGCTTCCAAAAACGGTTTCGGCTGCAAATTTGAAGTAAAAGCTTTAGTAGTCTCATCAATTTCAATAGTTTTCACATTACAAGAGTACCCGTCTTGGCAATAAACTCTGCCTGTATACCCATCAGTGCTTTGGAAATCGACGACTTCAATCTCTGTGATTTTTCTTTTTCCGATCCATTTGGTAGAATTGACTGTAAAAGTCCCATCATTATTTAGGACGACTGTAGTAAGGTTGCCTTGGCAGCTGGTATCACAGACGTCAGCTGTACTATAAGTGTTTTCACAAAAGCAGATGCCTGAGTCAGGGTTTCTTTTCCCACTTCCACCTTGGCATTGTGATGAGCAGTCTGAGCGCTGGACACAGTCTCCTGATAGATCTCTGACATAGCCAGACTGACATAAAGGTCTTACAAGGCTGACACAGTCTTGTTCAGAGTCGTCGTCAGATGAATTAATTCCGTCTGTATAAAAAGCATAGCCTGGGGTGCATCTGCATGTACCATCTCTTTTCATATAAGATCTATTAACGCCTACACAGTTACAAGTGGTTTGACCTTCAGTTGCCCTAGCATTAGGACCACAAGGATAGCAGCCTGATGAGCCTTCTACGTCTGAATAAGTATTAGTTGGGCAAGGTATACAGTCTCCAATACTTTTACCATCAGTATATTTGTTATAAGTCCCAGCTGGACATGCGACTGGAGCTGGAGTTGCCTTTGTGCAGTAATAGCCGGTAGGACATGGGTAGCCTCCATCAGCGTCTAAAGATTCTGGAGTCGCTGAAGAAGCCCCATCTGCACAGTAATAGCCTGCATTGCATTCTTTACAAGTATTATCAGATGCAGCGTAGTATCCTGCTGTACAAGAAATGCAGGATTGCCATAGGACTTTCCTTTGAGAGTATGGGACATATATATAGCCATTTGGACAGTTTGTAGGACTATTAGAGCCTGGCGGACAATAAGTCCCGACGTCACATCTATAAGGAGGTGTAGGAGTGGTAATGACATCTGGGGTTTCAGGACAATAAAACCCAGCCATACAAGAAACCAGCTCTGTTTGGTTCTGGTGACAGTAATAGCCGCCTGGACAAGTGCCTTCTTTAGAACTTCCAGTATCACACCAAGTCCAATCTTGACAAGGGTTAATAGTGGTCGCTCCAAGTAAGCAGTAAGAACCAGCCGGACATTCGTCACAGTCACTTGCACTTGCAGTTGCTGATTTTGCAGCCCAAGTCCCTGCAGGACACTGTGTAGAAGTAGTAGAGCCAGCCGTACAATAGCTCCCAGGAGGACATGGGAATCTTTTATAGTCACCTATACCTGTGCTTGTACACAAGTAGCCAGCAGGGCAGGATATACAAGTAGCACTGGTAGTAGCCATGGTCGTAGAAGAATAGGTCAAGGTAGGGCACCAGGTAGGGGAGTTGCTGGCGGTTGGACAATAAGCGCCAGCAGGACATGCATAAGGGGTGGGGTCTCCTGGGATACAGTAATAGCCAGCTGTGCAGACTTGACAGTCTGATGCAGAAGTTGCACCTGTAGTGGTAGTGAATTTGCCATAAGGACAAGGGGTGGGTAAGGTAGTTCCAGCTTCGCAATAGTAGCCTGTAGGACATTTGATGCCATATACAGTGTCAGTTTTTATATCATTAGGGTTTGGCACAGAGTTTCCTCCTTGGCAGAAGTACCCTGCTGAACAGTCTCCAGTTATAGCACCAGAAGTGCAGTAGCTTCCTGTAGGGCATGGCTTACAATTGCTGGCTGACTGCAGTCCTGTGATTTCTGAATAAGTCCCGCTTGGGCAAATAGTTTTTCCAACACCTTCAGGACAGTAATATCCAGCTGGACAAACAGTAGGCGCTGTAGCTCCATCAGGGCAATCAAATCCAATAGGGCAATCCAAACATGCTGATTGCCCATAAAATGGGTTATAAGTTCTAGCCGCACATTGAGGATAATTGCCAGGGTCATAGTTTCCTCCAGTGCAATAATACCCAGGATCACACTGTACAGGATCACTTGTATCTCCAGCACATATAAAGCCAGCAGGACAAGAGAAGCAAGAAGACTGGCCTTGAATATTATTATAATAACCTGGATCACAACTTGTATAAGTTGCTGCTCCACTTGGACAATATTTTCCTACAGGACAAATCCCGCTTTTAGGCCTATCAGTAGTTGACCCAGCTACACAATAAAATCCTGCATGGCAGCTTCCAGTCACTCCAGTAGCCCCTAGAACGTCACAATATGATCCTGCAGTGCATAAACCACAGGTAGAGCTTGATATCCGCGCAGTCGCAGTTGAAAAAGTTCCAATGTCACAAGGGATTTCATGATCTGTCCCAGAAGTGCAGTATGTCCCTGCTACACACTCTCTTCCTGTAGTGCCGTCTGTTGGTGTTGGAGTTGTCGCTTTAAGGATGCAGAGATACCCTTCAGTACAAGAGCCAGTGGGTGCGTGTAGATTTGAAGTTGCACAGTATTTCCCAGGCGGACATTCTATTGCTATAGCAGATCCTGAAGGACAGTAATATCCTGCCGAGCATGAATATTGACACGAACTTGTTGCTCCTCCACTGCAATAACAGCCGGCGTCACATGTTCCTGTAATAACTGATGGGTCAGCTCCTGTGCAATAGCTACCAGGAGGGCATGTCAAACAAGAAGATGAGTCACTCATCCCGGTAGCAGGATTATATGTTCCAGCACCACAAGCATTTCCTGTATAAGCTCCTGTTCCTGAAGGACAAAAATATCCAGCTGGGCAGATTGTGGCAACAGTTAAGGCACTCCCATTGCAATAATAGCCTGCAGGACAGGTCGCACAAGAAGACTGCAATTTTTGAGGTTGGTACGTTCCTGATGTGCACGCAGTTTCTTGATAACTCCCTTCTGGGCATTGGTGGCCTGCTGTACATTCATTTGCATTAGCTGTTTTCGAGCCAGCTGGACAATACCATCCTGCTGCACATGAACCAGAAGTGCCAGTTAATGCTGATCCTTGGCAATAATATCCTTGAGGACATGTCTGGCAGTCTGTGGATGAAGATTTTTCTTGATCACTGTTATAAGTACCAGCAGGGCAAGGTGTTGGAGCAATACTTCCAATTCCGCAATAATAACCAGCAGGACATTTATTTCCTGTTGTCCCATCTTCAGGGGTAGCTGTTGTTGCCTTAGATATGCAGTAATACCCTGCACTGCACTGGCCAGTTTTACCTGTTGCATAATCACCTGAGCAATAATAACCTGCGTCGCATACTTTTTTCTCAGAGCTTCCTGTAGGGCAATAATATCCTGCAGTACAATAGGTAGTTGATGGAGTAGCTGTACTTGTACCTGTTGGACAATAATAACCTGCAGTACAACTTCCAGTAGTTTGGTATTGCCCAATTCCTGAACAGTACTTTCCAGCGTCACAGCTTAAGCACCATGTGCTGCTTTGTCCACCTGCGATAGGGTTATAAGTTCCAGCTGGGCATGGATAAGCATTGCTTGATCCTGTATTTTTAGGACAATAGTAGCCTTGTAGGCATTCATAGTTAATATAACTTGAAGTTCCCAATTGACAATAAAAACCTGCTGGGCAATCAATGTAAGTAGACTGGCCTTTATTTGGCTGATAATACCCAGCTGGGACTTGAGTTTGTGAGCCAACTCCTGCTGCACAATAATAGCCTGCACTGCATATGGTAGCAATTGGATTAGGGATCGTAGTTTTAGTAGGACAGTAGTAGCCAGCTGAACAAGATCCGGACACTGCAGTTAAACCTAAGCCCATACAATATTTGCCTGCAGGACAGTCTGTGCACTGACTTGAGGATTGAAGCCCAGTTGAAGCTCCGTAGGTGCCTGGAGGGCAAGGAGTTGGGGCTCCACTCCCAGCAGGACAGTAGTAGCCTTGAGGGCATGAGCCATATTTTCCAGAAACATCGCTTGGAGTTGCTGAGCTTGCTCCTGTTAAACACCAATAGCCAGCGCTGCATTGAATCATGCTTGATGTTGCCGAAATTGCTGTAGTAGTGCAGGCATATCCACTTGGGCAACTCACACAATCGCTAGAAGATTTCATGCCTGTCCAAAGATTATAAGTACCCGCAGCACATGCAGTATAAGTTGTTGAGCCACTTGGACAGTAATACCCTGCAGGACAAATTGTAACGATGACCCCCCTCAATCTTCATGTCCATTGCAACAAAAATGCAAATTTTTAATATAAAATTTCATATAAAAAAATAATAATTTTCATGTCTCTTGCAACAAATTATATACATTAAAATGGCGACACGTGACAACCTGCCATCTTGGCGCAGCAGTCCAGACCTTATAGCTACGGCGAAACTGGGACGGACTCCGAGCCGAAAATCAGACGCAGGCTCAAGAAAGTGTGTATCCGGGTAGGCTTTGGCTGCTTTCCTGTGGTTGGAAATGGAGGTGCTCAACAATATCCTTTGGATCCGATGACCCATGTCGCAGAAATCCATAAGCTGCCCACTCAAGACTGAAGCCGCAAGGCAAGGAGGGGACAGCAGGTACCGGAAGGGCACTCGTCAGAGGGATAGGCTCTCTGGGCTGTATTCGAAAGCGGTAGAACCTTCCGTACGGGAGGTTCTTGATGACTGCGTCACCAATATGGCTAGCGCCTGTCTGTAATAATCTAATCCTCTTGCAAAAAATTTTCGATGCGCATCTTAAATTTTCCCGTACTTTTTAGCTAGATAAGTTTAATAAAATGGCGAGCGATGACAATAGCCGTCCAAATCTCGATGAGAAGGTCATTGACACGCTACAGTAGCATTGTTTATTTTTTTTTTTTATAAAAATGTTGTGTTGAGTAGGCATGAAGATTTTTTCAAAAAAATTTTTGTTGCAATAGACATGAAAATTAAGGGGGGGTCATCGTTAGGAGCAGTCATAGCAGTAGTTGGGCAATAAAAACCATCTGGACAAGTAAGACATGAACTTTGACCTTGAGCAGGGTTATAAGTCCCTGCAGAGCATGCAACATCTGATGAAGCACCAGAACTTGTATAATACCCAGCTCTTGCTATATTTTGGCTATCTGTAGCAGATGATCCTGTGCAGTAAAATCCAGCTTTACAGTCCCCAGTAGGAGAGCTTGTAGCACCTGCACAATATTTCCCCGCTGGACAGCCCTGACAATCACTTGATGATGATTTACCACTAGATGGCAAATATTTGCCAGGACTACATGGGATTGGGACAGCAGTTCCTGTAGGGCAGTACCCTCCGCTTGGGCATAGATTTGGAGAACTTGAAGAAGTAGTAGCGCCATAAGTATCTATATTACCTCCTGAACAGTAGTACCCAGCTGTGCATTGGCCTGTAGTTGTGCTTTGCCCAGTACCTGAACAATAGTAGCCTGCTGGACAAGATATACAGTCAGATGATCTAATCATTTGAGTTCCTGGGTTAAAAGTCCCTTCAGCACAAGCTGTAGGAGAAGATGACCCAGCTGGACAGTAGTTTCCGACAGGACATATCGTAGGCGTAGTAGCTCCAGATGGACAATAAAACCCTGCCGGACATTCTCCACAGTCAGTAGAAGTGGTGCCTCCTGTAATCATTCTGAATGTCCCTTGGGCACATGCAGTCGCAGTAGCAGAAGTACTGCCGGCTGGACAGACATAGCCAGTAGCACACACTCCGTCTGGTTTTGTAGCTCCTGTTGATGAAACATAGTACCCAGCTGGGACATTTGTGCAGTCTGAAGACTGAGAGCCTCCAGGTAGTGATCTCAAAGTACCTGCTGAGCATGCAGTTGGACTTGAAGTAGCTTGGATACAATAGTAGCCAGCTGGACATCTATCATAAAGGTTTGTAGGATAATGATCAGTGCCAATCGGACAGTATAAGCCAGCAGGGCATGGGTTTAAGTTCATAGAACTCGTTGAGGTGTTATTAAGAGGGCAGTAATAACCAGCGGTACATTGAGTGCATGAGGTTTGCTGTGAGGAGGAATAGTAGCCTTTTCCACAAGGCAGCATAACTGAGTTAACGTTAGACGGACAATAGTACCCAGCTGTGCATGCAGTTCTAGATGAAGCACCTGCTGTAGTCACTGCATATCCTGTGCCTGAAGCTGTAGGCTTCTGCAAGCCTGTAGATGTATATGGACAGTAGTAACCTTTAGGGCAAGTGATACATTCTGCGCTAAATCTTAAACCTAATTGCTTATTAAACTTATCGAAAAGACCACTTGATTCCTGAATGACTACCTCCGCCCATAGTACTTTCCCACTTGATCCTAATTCGTGAATGACCTTACTTGCTGAAAGAGGTCACACACTCACCTGGTTGTTGAATTGGTTGTACCAGCATGAAGTGCGTCTTAATTCTTAATTAATCTTATCGAAAGTTTCGCTGTAATTCCTGAAAGACTACCTCCACCCTTAAAGTCCCCTTCGTCTGAGTGCTGGCTCATGCAAGATATTACATGAGTTGCTCCTAGTGGAAGATCGGGAGTTAGCCACCGTACCCTGCGTCAACAAAAGTCTCCTTCCACAGAAAATCAAAATGTCAAATTTTCTGGTCGGCTTTTGGCCAAATGGAAATACGAAACTCCTGGTTTTATGCTGCAAAACAAATCTGATATCCAGTAAATATACCACTAGCTCTTCTGAACAACTCTTTCCAACTTTCAGACCTATTTCTCACTGAGGCAAAATACATAGATTTAAATAAGCTAGCAGTTTCCTGGCATTGCGCTTTATTAATCTAGGAAAAATCTTTACCTAATGTACGCTCCTGAACGCCCTTCCCCTTCTTCAATATCCCTGCACACTATGTGTGATGTCAACTAAAGGACTTAAAGAGCGGGCTTGGTCTCCATGCCATTTTAACTCTAACTAAATCTTAAACCTGCGTATGGAGAATATGTACCAGCTGGACAAGGGTTGGAATCATAAGCAGTGGTCATAGGAGGACAATAAAAGCCGGGTTTGCAGAGAGAGGGAGAAGTGCATCCTGTAGACGTTCCTTGGGTGCAATAGTAGCCGGCAGGACAAGGCGAGCATTCAGTAGAAGCTGTTAAATAATTTTTATTGGACCAGTAGCCTGCTGGACATTTTGAAGCTGAGCTTGCGCCACTTGGACAGTAAGATCCAGCTGGACAAGGAATTTTCGGCTGACGAGAATCAGCTGTACCTGCAGGGCAGTAGTATCCTGCTAGACAACTTGTGGTGCAGTCAGAGCTGGAGGTTAAGCTTGTTGATTCGCAAATATAGCCTGCAGAGTTTTGAGTTGGGGCTGAGCCAGATGTACAATAATAGCCAGGCCAACATGGCAATTGAATACTTGTATCCGTTCTTCGGGTCACTGGGCAATAAGTGCCAGCTGGACATTTGGTGCAGTCAGAAGCTTGAGTCAGTCCTGTAGAGCTTGAATAGTAATAAATAGGACATGGAGTAGGCTGAATGGAACCTTGAAGGCAATAATAACCTTTAGGACAGGTTAAGCAATTTGACGAGGAAGATGCTCCAAGACCAAAAAAGTAAGTACCTGCAGCACATTGCGCTGGACTAGCTGAGCCTGTACAATAACTCCCAGGAGGACATACCAGTTGTCGAGGAGATCCTGCATAGCTAAAATATCCAGCAGAGCATGCAGTGCAAGCAGAAGAGCTTGTAGATTCCCAATTAGGGTTATATGTATTTGCTGAACATGAAGTAGGGGTAGACAATCCTAATGCACAATAATGGCCAGGAGGGCATGGGAATTTTTGGTAATCAATAGTGCCTCCAGGACAATAATACCCAGCCGGACAGCTGGTGGTGCAGCCTGATCCATAATATCCTATGGGACATGGTTTAGGCCAAGTTGCATATTGAGATGACCCATCTACAAGAACTGAGCTGCAGCTAAAACCATTCGGGCATGCATATTGGGTAGCAGAACTAGAGCCTTGGTCACAAGTATATCCACTAGAGCATGCTGTACAAGTGCTTTGACCTGTAGTCGACGTATAAGTCCCAAAAAAGCAAGGGTAAGGAGGAGCTACTGGAGAAGGACAAAAATACCCTACTGGACAGTCTAAGCATTGACCAACCCCTCTATATTGTCCAAGGTTGCATTTTGTACAAACACCGTCGCCTGCTGTAGAAGCATATCCAGGAGGACAAGGGATAGGCGGAAGGCCTTCAGGACAATAATAGTCTGCAGGACACTGTTGGCATGCTGTTTGGCCATATTGTGACGACCCAGAACAAGTTGTTTTAGTACCTGAAGCACAATATGAGCCAGGAGGGCACTCAATGCATGATCCTACCCCATCATCGCTATAATATCCATCAGGACAAACCCCTAAATCTTCACTTCTAGAGCAAGCATGTCCAGCTGGACAACTCGTGCAAGAAGAGCTCCCAGGTGCTGCATAACTTCCAACAGGACAAATAGCCATAGTTCGCGTTGTCGGATCATTGCAATACCAGCCTGCAGGACAAGTTTCACAGTGAGTTCTCATAACTGAAGGAATAGTCCCTGATGAACATGAGGTAGGCGTTTGGTTTGGCCAGCCTACTAAATCGCCAGTCAATGTTGTACAGCTTGTAGCACCTGCGGCTGAATAAGTTCCTAAAGGACACTCTGCTGGAGGAGCACTTGCACTTATACAAGCATAGCCTGCAGCACATTGTGTGCATGAACTTGCGAAGCCTAATGAATAATATCCTGATGAACAAGCAGCAGCTGCAGCAGCAGCTGCACAAGAGTATCCTGGAGGACAAGGTAAGCAGGTGAATTTGCCTGCAGGACTATAATAGCCTGCGCTACATGCAGTTTTAGTTACAGGGTCTGGGCATTCATATCCTTCAGGACAGTTTCCACAGCCGCCTCCGTTAGTAGGATCTGTATATTGTCCATAAGAGCAGCTATTTATAACAAAAACATTCAAGTCCTTCGCGATTGAGAAATTTTCCATATTATCGTAAGCATTATCAGACGATGAAACTGAATGAGAAATTTTCACATAATAAGTCATAGCTCTTTGAGTAGAATCACGTGTATAAGTAATAGTCACAGTTTGAGCTGTTGAATAATCAGAAGAACTAAAAGAAAGGGACGTAGGAGATACAGAAAGAGGTGCTGAGGTAGAAAGATTTATGGTAACTGTATAAGAAGATGAAGGCGGTTGTGATAAAGAAATTGTATAAATGGCAGTTGTTGTAGTAGAACCTTCATATATAACTGGCCAAGTTGATTGGATGACTTTATAAATGCTTGAAGAAGCACTGACTATTACAATTTCGGCACTCGGAGCTACCGCGTATTTAAATTTTTCATCACTTGTAGAGATGGAGTGGGAGATGCTTATCTTTTCGTAAGAAAGTTTGCCAATTGTCCCTGTAGGCGCAGTATAAGTAACAGCTTGGCCAGTTCCATAATTAGTTGAATCAAATGATAAATCAGAAGGGCTAAAAGTAAACTCTGATTGTGTAGGAGTAATAGTAACAGTAGAAGTCGGCGCTGCTGACAAAAACACATAATAAGTTTCTGGGGTGCCTTCTTGTGCATAAAACGTCCCCTTAATTTCTACCATTCCTGCTGCATATGTACTTATAACTGTCATAGTCAGCGTCCCAGACCCAGAACTTCCAGAAATTTGGTCACAGCCTGTGAGCAGCCCATAAGTTTTATAATTATCATCACTGCTACTAGTCATATCATGGTTAATATTTATATCAGTCTGCATTGGAGATGAAGAAGTAAAAGCACTAGAATCGATTGTTAAAGTTATTGTTTGGGCAGTGTTATAATCAGAAGATGTAAATGATATAGAAGAAGGGGAAACTGTAATTTTTGAAGTATCAGCACTAGTAATAGAGACTGAGACACCGGATTGGGGTGCTACTGACAGCTTGAGAGTGTAGGTGTAAGTTCCGACATTAGCATAGACTTGTGGCTCACTTGATAAAGTAAAGACTAAAGCGGCAGTTCTTATAGCTGTAAATGTAGTGGTGGCTGTCATAGAAGAATATGTGGCGCAGGTAGCTGTCAATGTTTTGGATCCTGTAGTAGTTGTAGAGTCCATGTAAATTGAAGAAAAAGTTGCTTGTCCACTGCTTGAAGTTTGCGTGGTAGTTCCTCCTAAGGCTCCAGAATTTATAGTTAGTGTTATACTTGCTGAATTTGTTAACTTAACTTAACTTAGTGTCTGGTATTTAAGGTGTCTAGTGCCGCACCCCATAAAAATGGAGTTATAGCAAAACTGATGACGTCGCCGAGCCATCTTAGAATCGCGGTGGTTAGCCCACCGGCCAAGCCTTCATCTGCACTTCGCCCGTTTGCCGCACATCTCACCGGGCGCGTTGCCGTCGCCCTGTCTCGACTCAGCTCCTGCGCGTGTTCCGCCTAAGGGTCATCCTCCCGTGGGGATGTGCTGAGAGGTAAAACTCCGAAATTTTGAGTGCACTGAGGAGCTGTTCCTTTGGTTATCCCAAAAGTTAAACAGCTATTGCTGTGCAGAAGTTCTCGAGAGAAAACCCAACCCCATAAATAAAATTCCATGAGGGAGAGAAAATTAGCAGAACTAATTTCTCTCGAACCGAATGCCATATTATTTATGCTGAATTTGTTAACAGATTTCCGCTAGCATCATAAAACCCGACAGTCACTGAAAATGTATCCCCAATCCCAATACTGCCAAGGCTTGAAAATTGCATAGAGGCTGGTGTTGATGGGCCAGAAACTGTTACTGATATAGCATTAGGGACTATAGAAGTCCCAGAAATGGTAGGGTATAGGTAAAAAGTGCCTGATTTGCTTATTGTTAACGTGCTGAATGTTGCGACTCCACTTGAGGTAGTTACTGTCGTTGTTCCGCCTAATGTTGCAGTCGGATCACTTCCATAAAGTGTCATAGTAACTGAGTATGCAGATGTATATAAGTTTCCAAGATAATCATATAAAGTCACCGTTCAAGTCCCTCCAGTCGTGCCTGTTGTCGCTGTTGCCGACCCAGAAATGGTCATATAATACGGATAAGCCTGAGCGACTGTAAAAGTTGATGAGTAAACCGGATCTAAAGAAGCTGAAAATGCGACCAAGTAGCGACTTCCAGCTGTTCAAGGCGATAAAGTAGTAAAAGAAGCGACTCCTGAGGACAAAGCCACCCGAGTGCTTCCAGTTAGTGTTCCAGAGTCCAAAACTACAATAATAGTGCCAGTCGCGCTTGCTTGAACTGCTTGGGTGGTTGAATCTACAACAGAAACGGAGACTGATGATAAAGTGCCGCCTAAAGTTGTCTATGTTATAATTACAGAAGTAGGCTGAGTTGTTCATTTCAAAACATTTGCTGCCTGAGCAAGAGATAAGAAAAGAAACAGAATCACCATTAATTTTATGAATCTACGGAAAGGATGTGAGAATTAGGATAGAGAGAATAAGAAAAGGTAGTGAGGGATCAGAAAAAGTATATTTGGCTCTAGGGTTTGGGGATTTTTATTAAATAATAGAAATATAGGTGATAAATACAGAAAAAGGTATATAATTTCATGAGAAATTTATTGATTCTGACTCCCCCCCCCCCCTCCGTGAGCGAACAAAAAAATTTTGTTCGCTCACGGAGGGGGGTTATTTTTTTTTTTTTAAAAAATTTATATATATAAATTTATATAAAAAATTTTTTTTTCGAAATTTAAAAAAATCCTAATTTGCAAAAATTGGGAAGCAAATATTAATTTAATTTGCAAAATTTATGTTTTAAAAAACGCAATTTGTTTAAAATTAAACAGAATTAGCTCTAGATTTCATTATACTAATTATCACTTATATATCAAAATTTTTTTCCATTAAAATTTTTTCTATTAAAAAAATTTTTGTTCACTCACGGAGGGTGGGTTTTTGGTCAAAAAATGGCGATTTTTCTAATGGTTTTGTTCGCTCACGGAGGGGGGGGGGGAGTGAGATAGATTTAAAGTATATGGAAAATTTGAATATTTAAATTGATATGATTTTATCGAATGACTGAGAATTTATTTAGCAAAAGAAGATATAATAGATTGATATTGCAGAAAAATAAGATGTAAAGGTAGGAAATTAAATAGTGAAACGCTAGAAATTAAATAGATCAATAAGGTAATATATTAAGATAATATGAAAAAAGAATCAAATAATTCAGGAGATTATAATTCTCGAAAAGATTGCCTATTGACTCTTAAAAAAATTGATAATATGCTTTTAGCTAAGTGACCTTTTTTCTGCAGCACTCCAACTCCAAAGAGCTTTTTATTAAAACGAAAATATAAGAAAAACGAGCTGAATTATAATCAAAATACTCTGCCGCTTACCAGCAAAAATCCTTCTCCTATCCGCTCGAGAATTAACTGATCGTTTCTTAACTCTTATGATCGATCGCAAGAGAAAATTGAGAGAAATGTTACTCCAAAGCCAGCTAGCTTTGCTAGGAAACTACTTTTTGTGCCTAAATCAAATTTTTCAGAGCCTATTCTCTATGAAATTAACCTATTCTAATTTTTTCAATAAATAATTTCTGAATAATTTTAACCCATTTTAGCATAAAATATTTAAAAGTCTGGACGTTGGGTGCCAAACTTTTAGCCGACAAGGGAATTATACAAACGACTCAGTTATAGATATATCATTCCCTGCAAACAGCCCAAAATTAGATAACGAAATTCTATTCCCTCCAATAAGAAAAATCGTGTTTATAAAACGGAAAATCAAATCCAGTAACTTAGATTTTGATAAAGTTAATGATAATTAGCTTAATATTCATTAAAATGAGCTCACCAAGCCCTTCACCTCCTAAAGCAATTAATCAGTGCTATATGTGTGGATTAGCTCTCAAGAAAAAAGCATCAGGATTTGCATGTGAGAGCTGTGGGAAATTAGTATGTGACGTTCATTCGAAGAAAAAGAAAGAAAATAAGCGGATTTGCGACAATTGTGATATTAGTTCAAATTAAAATATGGTGCATTAGCCTGACCATGAGCTTCAAGCATATATTTTAATTTTATACGGCAAGGTTTTGCCACCAGAATGGACAGCTATGCTAGGCAAATAATCCTAATATGTTTAGGGTAGCCTTAGTCGCTTTAAGGTGCTGGATTTTACATCGAGGGAAAGGGAAAACTTGGAGTTGGAAAGGTGAAGCCAACAAAGCTTTCTAGGCCTATCGGACAATTACCGAGTGTGAAACCAGGAGTTATGCCCTGGCTGCAAGTTTTGCCGAGAGTCAGCCAGAAATTCCATTTTTTAGAATTTTTAAGCAAACAGCCCGTCTGTAGTGCGGAACAGCGACCCAACCCACATCGCTCTCCGTTCGGCGCAAAGCGAATAGAAGTTAAGCCCTGGTGGGGCGGCGGTAGGCCCAAGGAAGCAAGGTGGAGATGTGTACCCACAGGAGCTACAGGAGTTTCTCAATAATCTAACTTAATGCTAATCTTAATTTGATATTAGCTCAAAGTGCAATGAATATAGAAACTCTACATCAGATAGGATTAAAGAGATGGAGGACGAGCTGAATGGAGTAAAAAAGCATTCTCGGTCATTTATACACGAAATTGCAGAGCTTGACAATAAAATTATCTTGATGACAAAAGGCTTAGACAAGAAAAAAGAAGAATTTAAATCCAAAGAAGACGGAATCCAAGAAGTAATCAACGAAGAAAAAAGAAGCAACGAAGAAAGGCTAAGAGCAATAAAAAACCTTGACGAAGCCATTGACACCATGAAAGAGTCTGAAAAAGACATAGAAAATAAATACTCAAAATTAGATAAAGAGGCTGACGAAATCCAAGAAAAACTCAAAAAAGTTTTAGAAGAAATCGAATTTTTGGAAAATTCACTGAATAAAAAGAAAAGTGACGCAGAAAAATGCCTAAGATGGGACAGCGTCGAAAAGCTGATTTGTAAAAAGTGTACAGAGATATTTGAAGCGCCTCCTGATCGAAGAAGTGTTTTAATGAGGGACGATAAAGCTGGGCCTGCAATAAGTGGCTGTAAAACAATCTGTGTAAGCTTTTAAGCTTAAATTTGTTAGAATTTCTAATAAAAAGCCCATAATTAATAAGATGCATAGAAATTCAATTAGTGGATGTAGGAATAATAAGAATTTTCTTTATCATGGGTTCATGCATAGGCAATAAGCCAAGACCTAAAGATAATCCAGTTACAATTCCAAAGAAGCTGAATATCATTGAATACAATGCTAAACTTGATAGGCTTGGCTCTGCACAACTTAATCTGCTGAAATTGAAATTTAAAGAAGTTCAAACCGATTCTGGAATTGATCTAAAAGGGTTTAGAAAATTATTACCTCTACTTAAAGAATTTCCTGAAGAAATAGTTGTGTCATCATTTAAAGTTTTTGATAGTGATTCGTCGGGGTATATTTCTTGGTACAATTTATGCGTAACTGTTTCTCAATATATTGTAGGGCATAGAGACGAAAAATGTAAATTCCTATTTAAGGTCTTTGATTTGAAAAATAGTGAAAAATTAGATACAGAAGAGATCAAATTGCTTCAAAGATATTGTGAAAATTTTATAAATCTCCCTATTAAAATTTTAAAAAAAAATATTTTAAAATTTGGTAAAATTAGTTTTTTTTTTAAAAATATAATGTAAGAGAAAATGACCAATTTCCAAAAAATAGTGAATCAGTATTAGACATTTGTATTAATCAAAAAAAGCAGCTTAGCTTTGAAGAGTTCAAGAACTGGGCATTAGAAAATTTGGAGCTTCATTTAGTACTGCAGCCTTTTGAAATAATTCCATCACCAGTCAGTGAGAGAGAAATCATTCGGACCCTTCTAGCAGAATCTGAAAAAACAGGCCGAAAAGAGGGAGACATATGAAACGTGATTTCTGAAAATGGTATTAATATTGGCGAAGTTCCAATTTTCTGGTCTCCCGACCGAAAATTCCCTTGCATATTTTATTATCCAGCCATGTCAGGGAAGCAAGAGCCAGGGGGGTTTCTTATCGGACTCCTGGACCTAAAAAATAAAATTTACCAGAAGGTGCCACCTAAATCAGGAGGTAGACTGTTACCTGATGGACTCAGTAGCAGCCTGAGCTCAAAAAGAATTTTCGATGCCCAAACTTCTATATCGGAGTCCTCATTGTGTAAAAGGTCAAGGTGTCCACACTTTGACGGGCTAGAGGAATATGGCATGAATGCTCTAGAGCAGTTTTGAAGGTAGGCAGCCTGGTGGCGGATGTTAACTTAAAAAATCTAATAGCATTGTATCGATTTCTGGAAACTGATTTGATGCTTGGAAAAGATATGTGAATTTTACAGGAGAAGAGCAAAAAGACCCAGAAATCGAAAGAGCGGCCTCTTTAAGAATGATCCGTTCAAGAAGTGTTGTGCAAGGATCTCGACCTATTGAAATTGACAACCGTGAGCTTCAAGACCCAAACTGTGAGCTTAAGCTTTTTGATGGTCTCATAGCTGGCGACCATTTTGAACTGATCCCAAACTCCGCGTGAAAAGAGCTGCTAAGTTGGTATGGAGGAGGCCCTGAATTTAGCCGCGAAACCATCTTACACAATGGAAACCTAGAAATCGAGCTTTATCCACAAGTGTTTAAAATTATAGTTAAAAAAGCTGGACAGTCAATAAATAAAAAACCTACTTTTATTTTAATTTCAAAAAAGAAAAAAATTAGTGACGTCTTGGAGACTTTTAAAGGAAAATATGCGGACGATATCATGAATTTGCTGCTTGTTGATGGAGATTCAAGAGAGCTGTTAGATCCTCAATGGGTTATTGAAGATATAAGTTTTCCCAACATAAGCCAATGCATATTAGAATTAGGAGATATAAGAAATAGCAGCTTTTTCGCTGAAAAAGAAGAAAGAGGAGATGCATTTTTGGAAGGAGATCCTGTGGAGTATTATGATCATGGCTATTGGATGCCAGGGACATTAACTGAAATAAAAGATGAAGAATTTGTTATAGGAGGAGGATGGATGAAAAAATCAATTTCTATTCCTTTATATGAAAAATATAGGCTCAGGAAGCCGAATAGAATCCAAATTGATAATAAAACCCTTAAAGGTGCAACGGGATTAGTCAATATAGGAAACACCTGCTTTATGAACTCAATTTTGCAGCCTATTAGCAATACTCCTTTATTGAACCATTTTTTCTCTTCAGAAGCCCACATAAAGCACATTAACCACGATAACCCGGATGGCTCTAAAGGAAAAATTTCATATGAGCTGCAAAATGTCCTCCAAGAGCTTTGAAATGGTTCACAGCCTTCGTATCGCCCGAATTCTTTTTTAAACATTTTTTCACAAATTCATTCACAATTCCGTGGTTATGAGCAGCATGACAGCCATGAGTTTTTACGAATTCTTTTGGATAGTCTACATGAAGATTTAAATAGAAGGGTTGAAAATATTGAGCGACACCAAATTCTTTCCTTAACTTATCCCCCTTTATAGCGAGTCAGATTTTTTTGCTTGCTTTAAAGGGCTATTTTTATGCTAGAATTATTTATAATTTTTTTTCCATATTTTAAAATCAATATTTGCAAATATTTTAAAATAAAAAATCTAATTTAATTTATAAATGCATGTTTAAGAATGCAAATTTATATGTAAAATATTAATAGAATCAGCTAATATTAGTTAATATAGTCTTGCTCACTCTTAAAGGGGGAGTAAGCAATCCCAGCCCACAAGAAGAAAAAAAAGCAAGCCAAGAACAATGGGAATTATTACAAGGATCCCGAGGTTCTGTAATATCAGATTTATGTGGAGGCCAAACCCGCAACGTATTAAAATGCGAAAAATGCAACGACATAACAACATTATTTGAAATGTTTATGGATTTAAGCATCCCACTGCCAAATGAGCAATCTGAGCTTTCTATAAGAATTACTGTCATTTTAAGGCCTCCTAATCCAATTGTAAGATATATTCTGAAACTAAAAAAAAATTGCGAAATTAGCGATTTATTTGAAAAATTGAATACATTAACAGGAGTTTCGCCACAAAATTTTTTATTTGCGCATGTAAATCATAGCTATGCTGATGATTTGTTTTACCCCAAAAATATCATGGATTGTATTTTAAATGATGAGTCTGATCTTTATGCTTTTGAAGTGATTGACGATATTGAGCAAGCTGAAATGGCAGGAAAATTGACTCTGAAGAGGGAAAATGTAGAAGGATGAAGAAAACTGCTAAAGAAAGGCCAACAAATTGATGTGAATTCAGCTGAGTATGGCTGAATTGAAGGCCAAATTGCAGATATAAGAGGAATACAAGTAGAAATCCATTTGAATACAGAAATTCCTAGCACTGTTTAAGAAATAAATGGTGGTATTGACGGAAGATGGACTCGAGGCACACTCCCCTATGAAGCAGGTAGGGCCTGTCCCGATGAAGCTGAAAATAGTGTCTCTGTCATTTTTGAAATAGACCTCCGGTTTGGGATGCCTGCCGAAGAGATAAGTTTATTTTATCCCCCGGAGGTTTTTCCTATCCATTCCAGATGGGCTAGACAGGTTTTGACTTTCACTTAGTCTTTGCTTATCAGGGCTAGAGGTGGCTTAACCTAGGGAGCTAATCCTTAAGTTAGGTGGCTTTACGCCAGATAGGCATGCTAATGGTCTATCCGCTTATGGCCTTATAATTTTAACTTGACTTTACTTAGCACTGTTTGTCTATCTAAATTTGATGAATCTTTAGCCCCACTAAGAACACATACCAAAAACGACAACAAAATTATCCATTTGCTTATAACTCACTCCAGAAAAGGCTTGCTTTCTTATGAATTTTTCGGAATTCCTCAAGTTTTATCAATAGGAAACTGATATACATGAAAAGACCTAAACAACCAGCTCGATTTGCTATGCAAAGAAGTGACCATAAAGACTTATTATACATCAAAAACCACTCCTTCCAATTTATCATTTTTTCTATTAAAAAACAGCGACATGAAATGCGCTCTCTGCACAAAAGAAAAATGCCAAGGCTGCGAGTGCCCCAGAAACAACGACACATTAAAATGGATTGAAAAAAACCAAAAATCAGTCTTCGTGTGCATTTTTTGGAGAAATCCAGGACTCTACAAGTATGTTATCATAAAAGAAATAGAAGATTTAGCTGTTTTTAGTATTGACCAATGCCTTGAAAAATTCACGCAAACTGAAACGCTAGAAGCTAAATGCGAAAAATGCAGCCACGATAAAAAGCAGTCTCAAATTGAGATATGAAGAGTCCCTGACATTTTGATTGTCCATTTAAAACGTTTCAGTTTTGACGGTAATGGCTTTAAAAAGCTGTCAAACTTAGTAACTTTTCCTCTTACATATCTGGATTTATCATCAATAATGGCAAACACAGAAAATAAAACAGGAATTACTATATCAACAACTAAAGAAAATTACATGTACGACCTATTTGCAGTTGTAAATCATTCAGGTAGTGTGGAAGGTGGGCATTATACTTGCTTTTGCTTAAACGCAGAAAACGAGAAAAGGTGGCTTTATTATGATGATAATTTAGTATTTGAAGTCACAGGAGATGTGGAAAATGAAATTATTACATCAAAAGCGTATATTCTTTTTTACAGGCGGCAGAGGTTTGCATCAAGCAATGTAGTTAACTTATCTGCAATAGAAACAAATAAAGCATAAAATTATATATTTTCTTTATTATTTTGTTGATATAATAAAATATAAGCTTGTTTGCTTCGCACACTGTCAGGTGTGATAAATCGAGTTTGGTTATCGTCAATAAGAATTCAGCTGTTCCCATGATGAATAACAGCTGTGTAGTGGCCTGAGTTAGCGAATTCTCCATGATGCTCAATTATTCCTTTAAGTTCATATGTAGGAGGCTGCACATGTCCTGACTCAGTTGAGAGTTTTAATGATGGAGAGAGAAATTTCAAAGGAATTGTAAAAGTTCTGGGAAATTCTACATGCTGAGAAATTTTTTGGACTTTACCATTAACTATAGTAAATCGCTGGATATGAATCAGTAAGAAAGGAGAAAATGATGCGATTTGAGACTTCACTGTACAAGTTGTAGGAATTCCATCAATGCAATAGTCTTCTACTGTTTTTATAGCAAGCGCCTTTGAAATTGCTGTGGTTAAATTGGCTTCAACCTGAACCGCCAATACGAGCTCTTCTTGAAAACATATTGATGTATGCCCTTTTGCTTTGTATTCATTTTTTATGCATAAACCGAGTATGTCATATAGTACGCTCTGGCCTCGAGCCCGAAAGCTTACGCTTTGAGAGTTATTTCGTTTTCCTGCCTCTACGAAGGAATCATCGTGCTCTTGTCTAGGCCGAATATGTTTTAATTCTTCATCCAAATTTCCTAAGAAAAATCTTAAGAATTCGCCAGCACAATTTTGTCTAATTGCTCTAGGAGTATAGCCTAAAAATAATTCTGTAATCAATCAGAATGGAGAAGATGGTTCTAAAAGCCTTTGACATGTATAAGCTTGTAAGATGCTCCTGAGAAATGGATAATCCCCTTGAACGTTCTGAGATAGATGATAAAATGGGCCAATTGCCATAAGAAATTGAGCAGATACATTTAAAAAGCAAGAGTTTCCAGAATTATGCAAGCCGTGGCATCGATATTCAGCATTTAGTGGTATGCAAGATGTTTCCATATATAAATTATTTAATATATTTAATAGATGTGTTACTAGCCTAATAATGATCACTAACTTCACCAATTGGTTAAACAGCGAGTTTTTTTCTTCTAACGGAAGGTTTTTTTTTAATTTTATTATATATAAATATAGTCTTTTGTGTCTTTTTGGGCACAAGTATAATCCCATGTTGGTGGGCCAGCTTGGAAAAATACTAAACTGGCCATCAGTATGGAGAGTATACTATTTTACCAAAAAGGCGCAGGGACAATAATTTCTTTTCGGATTTTAAATGATCCAAATTTATATATAATTAGGCATCTAATTGTTATAATATATGATATTTGTGCTGCTCAAAAAAGGACTAATATTCTCAAAGTAGGGTTTTTCCAAAGGTTTTGTTCGTTATCCAATTGGAGTAGTAGACAAATTATGAGATTTCTTACTTAAAATTCTCCAAATTATAATTTTATGCCTTAAGTACACAATTGTCCGCAGCTGAACTTTCAGAATAAGAAATTATTTTATCTATTATTAATAATAATTTTAGCAGTTTCTATAAACTTAATTAATAGGAATAATTGAAGAAGCAACACCAAGACATAATAAAACTCATCTAAAAGCCTTTTTTATCATTCTCACAATTACTTGCTCTTATGATTTGCAGCATCATTCGTTTTTTCAGCCAACATTTCTTCTCCACCAGCTGATCCAATACAGTCTCGAAGTTGAAGAATTCAAGTCCTTTATCTCAAAATATAGCAAAGATTATAAAACTGATGAGAAGTTCTACCATAGACAGCGAATTTAGAGATAATCTACCTATGCTTAGCATTAAATAATTTGCAAATGATTTTAAAGTAAAGCGTGTTCAATATAATTAAAATGGAAACGCTAGAGGCACAAGATAAACTTCATTAAATGATTAGAGATTTAATATTAAGATTGCTCAATAGTGATCCAAGGTCCTCAGAAGTGTGGAACGAGCAAGCATTAAGTGAATCAGAAAGTTTCCAAATAGACCAAATTGTAAATTCTCTTCTTCTGCAGCCTTCTGAAGTTCAAGATTTGCAAAGCCAATACGATTTTTACTATATCGGATCAATGCTTGACTACCATAGCATGGTTAATGAAGATTTTTTGAAGTCGCTAGAAGCGTGTTTACCAGATCTTGCAAGCTTGATCATAAAATTAACATCTGTTAGAGACGAATGCTGTATAGATGCATTAATAAAGATTCTTACTCTCTCTTACTTAGCTGCAAAAATAAACATTTCAATTTTTGATTAAGAAAATTTTGCAACAATCATATCTTTTTTCGAATCAAACTTCTCCAGATTTAACCATGAAAATAGCCTAGAATTATATATGGATTTGCTCTTAAGGAGGTTTTTAAAATTTTTGAATTTCACAATTGCCAAAAATCTGGATTTTGAATTTGACCCAAATTTTTGGACAAAAGTGATAGAGCTTATTTCACAAAAAGAAACATGAAAGTGTATATTTCTTGCTTTAAGCCGATATCTGAAATTAACTACAAAAGCAGAAGAAAGCAAAAGTAAGGAAGAAATGATAGATATCAAAAAAAGAAAATCCAGAATATTTCTTATTCTCATCCTTCAGAAGCAAGTAAACAACAACTTTGAGCAAGAGTCTGATAATAAATATGCATTTTTTGGTAACTCCACCCCCCATCCTTGATCGAACGATTGACTGTAAAAATTCCTAAAAATTGGGAAAATTAACCCCGATCCTTGATCGAACGATTTTCATATCATGCAAATTTTTTATATATATAAAAATATATTAGTTATCAAAAGTTTGGGAAATGTGCCTAATGAAGTTGTTTTCAGAGGCTTTGAGACGATAGAAAGCTACGAAATCAACCATTCGAAGTGATTTAGTCATCAACCTAGGCTTAAAAACTCAATAATCTAATAAAATAGAGATTCTTTAAAATTTTTAAAAAAAAATCAAAAATTCAATAAAGAACAAATCAAAATTTATAAAGTTTAAAGGGGTAACCAAAAAATCAAAATATTAAAATTGGTATTCTTATGAAATTAATTCAATTTTTTGCTGTAAAAATAATTATTAAATACTCTTAACCCTCTTAATTAAAAGTATAAAAAACACATATTTTTTTTTTATTTACCCCCATCCTTGATCGAACGATGGCGAGTCGTTCGATCAAGGATGGGGGCGAGTAAGAGCAAATATTGAACATCAATTTATATAAATTTTTATATGGAAAAGGCTATAAAAATGGTTGATGAAAAGCAAGAGATGTCGTTAAATATTAATGAGGCAATAAAAATACTCATGCGGTACATGAATAATAAAAAGAGAAGAAACATAGGGTTTATAATTAAAGAGTCAGAGCTTTCCAAATGTTTTAATATACCGGAAATATGGAGAGAAAACCTTTGAAGATTTGAATTGCTTGCTACATATCAAATAGAAAGCAACTCATATGATCAGTGCTTCTTAAAAGAGTACTTCTCAAAAGTTTTGCAAGAAGATAAGTGGTATCAAAATATTCCGGATTCTGAAAAAATTATTTTGGAGCTCTTGCTGCTGACTTATATTAGCAATAGGTTTTATGAAGAGTTTGAGGATTTAGCAGTGAATTTTTCTTTAAAACTTTTTGAGAATGCTTATGAAAATGCTAAAAAATAAATTAGATTAGACTAAGCCGTTGCCTCGAAGGGCTTGGATTTGCACCCCTATACGCACATCGCTCATTGAGAAGCCCTGGCGGACACCCTCCTTGTTGCCTAAAACAAGGATTTGCACAATAAATATTGACTTTCATAGTTCTGGAACCTAAGGCCGACCACCTGGGCTGAAGCTCCCAGTTTCTTGTAGGACAAATGCCATCTCTTGAGCCCTGTTCGAAGAATCAGCTTCCAATCAGGACTGCTGCCGATCTTATCTTTTCCATGGTTGCTCTGTAGGAGAAAGCCCAGTCCCATGGATTAGCTCCCTGGGGCCCGCCCGATATACACAAAGGGCTTCTAGCCCCTTTCCACCTAAATCCCCACCACTGGGCCGTTGCCTGGTGGTCTTGAGGAAATAGGGTCGAGAGGTTGGGTGGGACGTTATCGCCAGTTTTATGTATCAAATACATTAATAGAGAGAAACCATTTTTACTAATTTTTCAATTTTTACCTAGAGCCCGGGAAAAGATTTTGAATTCATAGAAGCAAATACAAAAATAGATAAAGGATGCATTTATATGCCAGATTGTATAGATATTGAAGACTTCTTATCTAAATATACCTTTTTGCTTGCTCTCAAATGTTTGCATGATAATTATTTAGCTATAACACCCCCAGTTTATTTTGTAAGATTTATTGATCATCTAATTAACTATCTCAAGAACAGAGAAGATAATGATTTATTTCAGATGGAAACCTTGATTTCAAATAATATTAATGGATTTAGTCTAAATCCCCCCTCCGTGAGCGAAAAAAAAAACTTGTTCGGTCACGGAGGTTTTTTTTTGTTAAAAAAATTATATATAAATTTTATAGAAAAACCAATTTCTCAAAAATTGGAAAGCAAATATTAATTTAATTTGTAAAATTTATGTTTTAAAATGTATTTGCTTAACATAAAAAAGAATGAGCTAGATACTAGTTATTACTGAAAAATTAAATTTTTTTCATAAAAAATTTTTGTTAACTCACGGAGGGCGGGGTTTTGGGCAAAAAATAGGGATTTTTCAATGGTTTTGCTCGCCCACGAGAGGGGGAGTAAGTAATATTGATTATAATGATCTTCAATACTGTGCAAAAATTCAGATGAGAATTTTCTGAGATACTGATTTTAGGAAGAAAAAATGAATTGTGGAAGTCAAAAAAGTGAAAGAAAAAGAGAAAAAAAGAATTGAAGAAATAAATGAAGAAACAAAAACTGAAAATCCAAATCAATTGTGTGAGCCTGATAATCTTGAAGACTTAAGTATTTGAGATAATCTGATACCTAAAACAGATACTAGTTTGATCATTGATCTTTTAAAAGATTTCAAAGAGTCATACATTCTAAAAATACTTTTTGAAGAAGATAAATTTCAGCCTCAAGTCAAAAAGTGGTTGCTTTCACAGCTAAAGAATTTATTTGACCTAAGCTTAAAACGCTCTAAAAAAACTGTAAATTTTATGGGTAAAGATCATATGATATTGCCTTTTTGATATTGTGCATTTCACCGAAGTACTTTTGGTTGAAAATTTAAAATAGTCCACCCATTTGGCTGAAATTTAACGGTTTTTTCGGTCAAATGTCTCACTATCAAAAATAGTTCGAACAACTATCAAATTTCCGCAGTCATTTAACATGGAGCCAAATTTTATAGCTGAAACAAACTCGTTTTTAATAAAACTAATTTCAGAAGAAATAACTAAACCTGACCAAAATCAAATAGATGCCTTTACGAATTTGGTTCACTCAAATGTAGTTACTAAGGGATTTGGTAAAATTAATCTAAACTTCGATAATGCAAAACCCTGCTATGATCAAGTTTATTTCGCTTCATTGCCAGATGATATAGCAGGTGTCAAATTTTTGGAGGAGATATCCTTACTCCACCTGCGTGCATTGAGGGGGTTAGTTTTTTTTTAAAAATTTTTATTCAAAAAAATTGTTTGTTCGTGGGTTTTAGGGCAAAAAATAGTGATCTTTCAATGCTTTTGTTCGCTCACAGAGGGGGTCAGAGTTATTAATTCAAAATATAATAATACTCAGAAACTAAACATTTGCGCACAAAAAGTGATATTCGTTCACGAACTTGCACATCACATAAGAAAAATGGAACCAAGATTTTATGAGATACCCAGAAAAACGCCAACTCATGAAACACTCAAAAAAGGTGTACCAGGAAAGCAGAAAAAAAAGCCGTTAAAGTTTTCTGATGAAGGAGGAGCGCAGCTTGAAACAGAAATTTTTGGCTTATTTTTAGTGAAAATAACCGAACCTCAGATGCATTTTTTGAATGACCTCACAAATTGGAATTAACCCCTCACGAAGTTTAGGGAAACCCTTAACTCCCCCCCCCCCCTCCGTGAGCGAACAAAAAAATTTTGTTCGCTCACGGAGGGGGGTTAATTTTTTTTTTAAAAAAAATTTATATATAAATTTTATAAAAAATATTTTTTTCGAAATTTAAAAAAATCTAATTTGCAAAAATTGGGAAGCAAATATTAATTTAATTTGCAAAATTTATGTTTTAAAACGCAATTTTGTTTAAAATTAAACAGAATTAGCTCTAGATTTCATTATACTAATTATCACTTATATATCAAAATTTTTTTCCATTAAAATTTTTTCTATTAAAAAAATTTTTTGTTCACTCACGGAGGGTGGGTTTTTGGTCAAAAAATGGCGATTTTTCTAATGTTTTGTTCGCTCACGGAGGGGGGGGGGGGAGTAAGAGTTTATATTCAGAGCATCAGAAAACGTACCAACTTGGAAGGTGTAGTAGCGAGCTACATTCTTTGAAAAGAAAACTTTACCATAATTAATTTTTTAAATTATGTATAAGATCCTCTATTTCACCATAGTTAAGATTTTAAGCTTTATGATGTTATTTCTCTTTACATATTTGAAATTTGAATATGAACCATGTAAATGGAGTCTTAGCATAATTATTTGCCTTTGAAAGTCAGCCATATTATCATTTTAGCATTTCTAAAGGATAGGCTAATATATAGATATTATAAATCCTTAAGACTAATTTATTTCTCAAACACAGAAAAAAGATATCTCCAACTTCGTGCCTGCAGAGCTATAAAGAATCAGTATAGTAATAGCAATAGAAAGGTTCTTTGGAAATATCCGAAACCTTATTAGAATGGCAGAAACCTAAAATGAACTAAATAAAATCAATAAGGCAGTTTAAAATATAAATTTATTTTTTATTTAAGAGTATTTAATAATTATTTTTAAACATCTTTCTTGCATAGAGGTCCGAGTATTAAGAAAAACATCTAATGAAGAAGCTAGGGGAACTTAATATTTTAATGAAATCCTAATGATAGGAGCTCCTGGTTATATTTAGTTTAATTCTTGAAGAAAGAAGTTACATTTCGATTTATGAAAAATAAAACTAGTACTTCTCTTAATTATATCTATATAAGTTATATTAGCTATATGTTGGTCTTTTAAATAGTCTTTGGCGTTTTTGTTCAGGGAAAATGCAATTTGGCTTAATTGTGCTTCCCTCAAGATTTTACCATCTAATTTCCACAGCTCTCACAGGTAATACTTGATTCTTTTTTCTTAAGAACTAATTAATACATATATCACTGATTAATTGCTTTAGGAGGTGAAGGGCTTTGCGAGCTTATCAATATTAAGAACGTTTTAACGTTGTATTATTTTATTTATATTATATTGCATTTTAACATGAAAAAAAGCCCATCAAAGAAAAGCCCAATTGGGCTATAGTAATTGCCCGAGGATGGCACTATCTTGCGCCATCCTCGGGCAATTCAAAAATGGCCCCACACCGGGAATTGAACTCACGTGCGGGGCCATTTTTGGTTAGTGGAGAACATCGACTTCCACGCACAAAAAATGGCCCACACGTGGGTTCGATTTCCGGGCGTGGAGCCATTTTTTAAATTGCCCGAGGATGGCGCAAGATAGCGCCATCCTCGGGCAATTAAAATACACATAGAAATCAAGCCAAAGTCCCAAAACGAAGATCTTGTGAAAGTCCTGTTTCCTATCATTACATCAAGGGAAAGTTTGAAAACCTCAAAAAATTATAAGCTGGAAAATATCCTGATGGGGCAGCAATCCCAGAACATTTTTGATTTCGGACATTTATCAGAGCATAAACGTTTTGGGAGCCTTGAGCACGATCGGATTCGAGAATTATTAAAAACAGAAAAGAAGCGTGACCAAGCTCGTTTATCTTCATTAAAGCCAACCCGAGACATTTCTCACATAAAGGACAAACAATCTTTAAACTTAGATTTATTAAACGCAGTTGAGTTTCCTACAGATCTTTTACAGTTAAAAGCTCTTTATGAAAGTAGTGACACTCGAGGAGTGCCCATGATTGTAGGCTCAAACGGAAATTTAAACCCTATGTTTTGTAAAAAAGAATCATGCATCAGCCGAGTTCTCGCAACAAACCAAATATCTACAAGGACTGTAAAATTAAACCCCAGCGCCTCTGTAGGCTCTTTTACTGAAAATTATAATGAATCTCCAACACCTCATTCAATAGACACGTTTGAAAGGCTGCATCTTGGAAACCCAACTGGTAGACAAGATATTGAGAATTTGTGAAAGTGGTATAATTATATGAAAAATAAATATATTGAAGCAGATTATGAAGACTTAGAATCGGCTGAATTAATATATGAAATGTGCAGCCGAGAACTTGTCAGGCAGGTTTCGGTACAATGTGTTGAAAGAGGAGATTTATTAAAAGAACTGTTTATTAAATTCCCTGAGGTATATATTAAAAAAAATGACAAGTTAAAAGAAGAAATGAACGAGCTCAGAGACAAATTCGAAGAAGAAAAATCGGCAATCAGGTCACTTCTAGAAAAAGAAATTTCCAATATTAATGCTAAATTAAAAGAAAAAGAGAGCTTGCTTCATATGGAAAAAGATAGTAAAATCAGAGCACAAGGCAATGCGTTGTTTTTTAAAAAAAAGCTTGATGAATTTATTCACAAATATTTTAAAGGAAATAATGATAGAAATCGGAGTAATTATGATGCACATTTAGCTTGGCAGCTAAAAAAAATAGCTAGGCCTCACAACCCTGACGAGCTTTCAAAAGTATTTTGAAAAGAAGAAGAAAATAAAGAGCAAGGAAATAATGAAGATATAAAAGAAAATAAATCAGACCAAAATAATGAAAAAACCAGCATAAGCCAAATGCCAACCATTATGGAAGAAATCCCGAATTTTGAAGAATTTTTGAATATGAAAGACCATGTAGAATGTACAGACAGAGAAATGCAAACTGATGAAATTGAAGAGGAATTAAAAACTGAGCTTAGCTATGACACAAAGGATGTCCAAACGACACTGATTATTGAAGCTACTATGGAGTCTGATGGCACAAAAATGATCGATGACATTGATAAGTCTGGGATGTCTATGTTCGATGACAGGAATAATGAGGCACCTCTTATTAATGAAAATCAAAAAAATACTGAAAATTCGGGGAATTCAGGGAATGTTGATAGTGAGACTATTTCTGCTGTAAAAAATGATGAGGAAGCTCTTAATGATAGCAGCATTGGAAATGAAATACTAAATACATCAACGAAATCAGATGGAGAAATTCCTATTAAAGCTGTAATTTCAAGGACTCCTTCGTTTTTACTTATTCCTAATGAATCACCAAATACAAGCATTGAAGGTGAATTCAAAAAAGAAAACAAAAAAATAAGAAGAAACAGCTTCATACCTCCACAAGCAAATAATGAAGCTACAAAAAAAGAGAAAAAAAATAAAAAGGTAATTAAAAGGAAAAGTCCTGCACCAAAACCGCCAAAAAAATTTTCAGCGGCCGGAGTCAAGACGATAACAGAAATTATTATTTCCCCAATTTCAAGCCCAGAAATGGATGAAATCAATAAAGAGAAAGCTGAAGAAGCAAAAGAAGAAGCTGCTAGTAAATTAGACATAAAAAATCAAAAAATGAGCCTGACTCCAACTTCGAAAAAAGAGAAATCAGTAAATCTTCAAATAAAAGCTAAATCAGATAATAATGCTCAATCAAAAAATAAAGAAAAACAGAAAAAAGAGGAAATTGAAAAACTGGAGAAAGAAATCAAAGAAAAAAAGAAAATACTGGAAATCCTTGATAAAGATATCGCACAGAAACAAAAGATGATAGAAAGTGTGGACTACGAGGAGCCTTTATCAGCAGGACTCAGAGGTGGGATAAGCCCAATCAATAAGAAATCAGCTTTCTTCCAAAGCAAAAGTGGAAAAAACAAAGCTCAATCCCCAAGATTTTCCTTGAGAAATGAAGAATCCAATTTTATGTCAGGACAAGATTTTGCAGAAATTATTCCAGAAGGTGTAGAAATTTCTTCATGAAAAGCCGGATTTAATACAGGATATGAAAAAGGCAGAGTTGATGGATTCAGTGATGGCGAAAAACTTGGCTATGAGCAAGGACAAACAGATGGCTATCTGCAAGCTATAAAAGAACAAAGCGAAGAAAACGAAAAAGACTCAGCCTGAAGCGAAGAAAACCAGAAGGACACTAACAGTTTTTCATTAGATTATAATGAAGCTGATGAGGCTACAAATGAAAGGAAAATGTCGCTGTATAATGCCCATTTAAAGAAAAACCTAAAAAAATCTGGAAAAGAGTCTACAAAATTTAGCGAATTTAATTTCGCTCATTCAGAGTTACAAAATGCGGCTAGAAAAGTCAACCCAGCGCCTATGCTGCTACAAAAATTTTTAGAAAAAAAATTAGACGCAATCAAAAAAAAGTCCAAAATGTCTAGAAGAATGGTAAACCGTATAGCAAGCTCTATCCTTTTGGAATGTGTAAATAAAATAAAAAACGATGAAGGATTCGAAGGGCTTCTAGAAGAAACATATAACGAATTTGCAAATAAATATACATTAAGGAATGTTGGCGAAAAGAAATTTTTGGAATTTGTAGCTTCATTAATAAAAAATTCTGACTTCAAAAGGCCAATAATATATATGCGATTTATTGGCTGTGGAAAATTTATAAATTCGCATAATTATAGCAAACAAAGCTTTTTATTTTATATAAATTGCTATCAGTTTATGCTTAATTCGAAAATTGGGATTGTTGTGGGGTATGATGACTCAGCTGATAAGCAGATGTTTCCAACAGCGAGAGCAATTGAGTGTATAAAAGAAAGCTTTGAAGGGTTGGTAGGCAAACATACGATTACTAATATGGTGAATGATGTTGAAAATAATAGTCAAAATGATCCAAAGAGAATTAATGGAAATGGGCTAATTGAATTAGAATATTTACTAGAGATTATCACTGAAAACTATGAAATTTACCAAAGCAGTCTAAAAGAAGGAGTTATGGATATTTTAAGCAGCTTAGGAGAAGATAAAAATGAAACAATAATTGTCCAAGAATTTTTGATATGGGTAAAGTACATTTCTCCTGATAGAATAAAATTTGAAGGAAACGAAATTCAGCTGATTGAGCCTCATTATATATCAAGAATCAACGTAAAGCAGAATTCTTTACCAATAACAAACAGAGAACAAATATCCCGAGAAGAACTAATACAAAATTGCATTGAAAAAAATTTATTATCAAAAAATGATATAAAAGAATTTTTGGCTGCTAATGAGTGCATAAAAAACTCTAAAGAAGAAATTGATGCAAAAATAGCAGAGCTAAATGATATTTTACAAAAAATGAAATCAGAGCCTGAGAAGAAATGGAAAATATCTTTTGAATCAATTTTTGAAGAAAAATTGAATTATTTTGCTTCAGCTATTCAATCAGAGAAAATTTTGGATTTTACTTTACCATTAAAAATCATCGATTTGGAGCTTAATAAATACAAACAAGATTTTAATTTATAATATATCTATATTTAAATAAAAATGATGGATTATTTATTTAATCATGCTTAATATTTCAAAAAAAAATATTAATATTAATAATAATATTTCACTGTCTTATTCAGATTCAGCATACATTTTTTCAGTCTAATTCTTATATTAATAGATAACTAATTAAAGCAATCCACATTATCACCAACCCTATTGCAAAATCTCCTTCATTTACACAAAACACTGCATAAGCCCCTTGCAGATTCACAATAGCAGTTGGTGTTTCTTCTTCATCATTATCCTTAACTCGATAAATCACCCCATCAGAATGATCAGATATATAAATTTTCCCATCTCCATAGCAAAGTCCTCTAGGCTCACTAAGTTGGCTTACTTTAACAAAGGAATCGGTATTATTTCCTATATCAAATCCACATAGTTCTCCACTGTCCAAAGAATAAAAAACTCTCTCTTCTTCACTATATGTAACACCCCAGGGTGCTACATCATGAGTTACACATTGCTGGATATCATTTGCGTTAATTGTGGTTGAATTAATGAGGGCGTAGTTTACTGTTCCGGAAGTGTCGAAATCCTCGTTATTCACATAGTAAATTCCTTCGCTTTCGTATAGATCTAAAGCACATGGAGAACTTATATCAGTGTTAGAGTCACTGTCAGCTTGATATAAGGTATATTGCTGGTTTTTAAGGCCTGTATATAAATCAAGATAGCTGATTGCGTTGATTTGGTTTAAGCTTGACTCTACAAAGTATAAATTGCCATATTTACCCCAATTATTATAAATATCCATTTTAATACAAAATAATGATTTTTTATTCATATAGCAATTCTTATATATCAACTTTGCAATCATAAGGTGACTCCCCTTCATATACGATCACATAAATATTTCTGGATAAAGCAAAGCTTTTTTCTTTATCCCATGAAATTTCATACTGATAAATATATCCATCATTATTCCCAGTCCCTGCATCAACTACATACAGAAAATTGTTATTAATATCAAAGCAAATTCCAACAGGTTTTTCAAGCCCTCCCAAAATTTCAAAAGAAGAGTCTTCAGATTTCATAGGAATTACATATACTTTTCCTGTGCTTTCTTCATTATCAATAAAACTGGTAGCAAGAATATAATATGTGTCCCCGCCGGAATATTCATCACCTCCATCATCTGAATCTTCAGGGAGTTGATGGTTATCTTCGTCACGGTCTAAAGGGTTGGTGTCGTCTGTATCTGAAGAAGAAGTATCTGACGAGGCTTCAGATGTTTCAGTTGAGCTATCTTCTTGCTGAATAAAAGAGAGCGTGCTTTCTGAAGTTGTGTCTCGGGAGGCTTGCAGGGTATCTTGTAAAAATATTGATGTTTGGTCTGGGGAAGAATTTAATGCCAGGTCTGGGGAAAGTTGGGTATTTTGAGAAGAAGTGCTAAATCCTGAAACTATGAGTGCTATTAAGGATATTGGAATAGTAAAGAGGCTTGCTCGAAACATAGTTTATAAAATTTCATATTCGTTTTTTTGGCTATTAAAGGGATGCAATAATTTTTAAGTTTTTAGTTTTGGATTAGCACTATTTATTACTCTAATATTTTACAAATATTATAATTTTTAGATTGAACTTAAAAAAAAATTATATTGGCAGACTGGGCAGTTAAGTAAAATTATATATGATTAATAAGAATATGTGCATGCCAAAGCTAAAATAAAGATCTTAGATTGAGAAATTATTTTTCGGAGACTTGCTTTTATTAAACTAAAATAATCCTTATAATGATTAATTAGTTTGCCAAATTTATAAATGAAGACTTCTGATAAACTTTCCTATTTTAATTTTTAAAAAATATTATAATCATATCTTGTTTGAGATGTGCTCAAATCCAAAATGCGAAAAATGAAGATCTATTAATAATAAATTTAAATATAAATTTTAAAAAACGTATTATTGCGTTAAAAAATTCTTTGAGTTTTGTTGTTTAATGACATATAAAAAATTAATAATGGTAATTGTTTTTAAAAAATGGCATCTCTAATTTAAGATTGCTCAAATTCAAAATGTGAAAAATTAAGATCTGTTAATAATAAACTTAAAATTAATAAATCGTATTATTACTTTAAAAAGTTCTTCGAGTTTTCGTTTTTACAATCACACAAAATTAAAGATAGCAAATTTTTTTAAAAATGGCTGATCATTATTGAGATGTGCTCAAATTCAAAATGCGGTCTACTCATAATAAACTTAAATATAAATTTGATTAAAAAAGCACTATTGTGTTTAAAATTATTCAAATTTTAATTTTTAAAGACAAAAATTTAAAATTGCCATAATTTTGACATGCTAAAAATGTTGCCATTTTCAAAGAATTCCATTAATTAAATGTAAAGTACACTTATATTTCTATAAAGAGCATTTTTATGTTTTTTACGCTCTTATGAGTCATGATAATTTAATTATTTAATTCATTATTTCTATATTAATTATTAATTATCTAAATATATAAACTAAGTGTATTCATATTGATGGATAAATGAGAATCCACCAGATACTTTCTTATGTCTGGGTCAAATCAAGCCCTTTAAGAAATTCTTCCAACGCATTATATATAAATTCAGCCTAAAAATGCACTACCTATTTTTGCAAAATACTAATTTCTTAAAGCTCAATCCTTCCAATTTATTTTAATTATTTCCATTTCTTTAAGCCATCTATTTAAAATTTATTGTAATACATTTGTAAGTTAAATAAATTACAAATTTATAACGAATCCTAAAAATTATAAAAATGTTATGTGATTTCAAAAATTGCAAAAAAGAGGCCAAAAATCAGCACCTATGCCCCAGATGCAAAAAGAAAACCTACTGCAGCATGGACTGCAGGCTCCAAGACTGATATAAAGGCCATCAGATAAATTGCGGAAAAGAAAGCTTATTTAAGCTCGAAGACTTCGAAGATTTAAATACTTAGTTAGCTAGTTGCATTAAGCACAGAGAAGATTATTGCAGGCTCGCAGGCAACTAGTCGCCTCCAACTCTTGCTTGCTAGCCAGAACACAGCTTCCACTGTGATATTCCTCACAGACGATGACTTGAGAGCAAGAGACATTTGGCCACTATACCATACGTCAGCGTGGTTTATCTTCCAGAAAACCCAACAAACGATTTTTTTTATCTGGTTGTAAACCAAGATGAACCGGCCCTAGCATGCAGTTCCTGTATCGCACAAGGGATGTTGCCCGATTGGCCAGCTCAAATCCTCTGGCCTTGCTGGGCGTCCTCTTTAAAACTCCAGTGCACCATCTCCCTACGAACACTCCCCTAGCATTCCCAGAGTAAGAGGGCAGGTTGCTCACCACGCCATTTTAATAAAGATTTAAATACTATACTTGGAAAAGGGTCTTATGGAGAAGTAAAACTGGTTCGTCACAAGGAAACTAACTCTGAATATGCATTAAAAATTGTGAATAAAAAATTGCTTGAAAGAGAAGCCAGCATTGAAGTTCTACTCACTCCCCCTCCGTGGGTGAACAAAACCATTAGAAAAATCGCTATTTTTTGCCCAAAAACCCACCCTCCGTGAGTGAACAAAAATTATTTAATAGAAAAATTTTTTATAGAAAATAATTTTGATGTATAAATAATAATTAGTATAATGAAATATAGAGCTAATTCTGTTTAATTTTAAACGAATAGCCTTTTAAAACATAAATTTTATAAAATTAAATTAATATTTACTTCCAATTTTTGCGAATTAGGATTTTTTTAAATTTCGAAAAAAATTAATTTTTATAAAAATTATATATAAATTTTTTTTTAAAAAAAAAAAATTAACCCCCCTCCGTAAGTGAACAAAAAAAATTTTGTTCACTCACGGAGGGGGGGGAGTCAGAGAAATTTCTGTTCACAAAGGGATTAATCATCAAAACGTAATCAAACTTCACGAGCATCTTGAAGATAACCAAAACATATATTTAATCATTGAATACGCAGAAGGCGGATCATTATTTCAAGAAATTCAAAAAATAGGCAGACTATCAGAAGATGTAGCAAGAAAATATTTTTTACAGACTGTAATAGGAATCCAATTTTTGCATCAAAATCAAATTGTGCATAGAGATATTAAGCCTGAAAATATTCTGCTTGACATAAATGGAAATGTAAAAATCTGTGACTTTGGATGGTGCTTTAAAGGAGATGAAGCAAGAAGCACATTCTGTGGGACTTTAGACTATATGGCTCCAGAAATGGTGCTTGGGAAAAAGCACTCATTTGAACTTGATATTTGGGCTTTAGGGGTACTTTTATATGAAATGCTGCATGGGGAGTCACCTTTTAACGCAGCAAGGGAAAATGAAAAAGTCCAGCAAATAATTTCATGCAACCCAAGATATGCGACTTTTGTGTCAGATGCCGCCAAAGATTTAATGCAAAAATTGTTAAAAGTTGAGCCGACTGAAAGAATGCCGATAAATGATATTTTAAATCATGCCTTTTTGAAAACTCCTTCTGAAATTCCTGTAGGGTCTTTTATTAGAAAATATGTAGAAAATTATGGAATGGCTGAAGGCGTTGTGAAATCCATTGATGGGGATAACTGTGTCATTTTTTTCCAAACTGCTAATGTTGAAGAAATTATGCCGATTGCTAAAGTTTCAAAAATATTGAAAAGAGGCAACAAAATTCCGAGGTCAAGAAGAGTCTCAGGAATTGATATAGAAAAAAGTCCACAGAAATTAGAGCTTGATTTTGAAGAAAATAATGCAAAACTTGCAAGAAGCATGGAAAAAAGTCCCAGAAGACCAGAAATTGAATTTGACGAAAATAATGCAAAGCCTGCCAGAAAAATAGAAAATCCAAAAAGTGAAAGTTTAGATGACATAAAATTTGTAACCTTTGAGGAGTCAAGCTCTGCGAAAAAAACTCCTAAAAAGCCACCCAAAGCACCAAAAAAAGATGAGGCACCAAAAGAAGATAAATTATATGATAATTTAGAACAATGGTGCAATTTGCCATCTAGAAGGAAAAAAAACAAAAAAAAGCCTGATTTAAAAGTAGAAGTAGAAAATGTAAAAGCATCAATTGATAAATCACTTGCAGCTTTATCTGCAGATAAGCTGACAAAAGTTAAAGAAGAAGCCCCACAAGAAGACTTTCAGGATATTAAAATTGATTCAGATGAATCTTATGAAAAGGTAAATGAAAAAAGTATTGTTTCAAAGAGCAGTCCTGATGTTATTGTATCTTTAAAAGAAAATTTGAATGAAAATAATACTAATTCAAAGAAAAATGACCTAAAACTTTCTGAAAAAAGTGCAGCGCCTATAGTAAAAAAAGAAGATGAAGAAGCTTTAAAAAAGAACTCTCCTAAATTTGCCGCATTAATATTTATTATGGTAAAAAAAAATTAAAAAAAAAACTGATAAATAATATTTTTGGCAAATAAAATGAGTAAGAAAAATGAAAAAGCCATAAACAATACTAAATTAATTGATCAAAAACCAGAAAACATTGAATTTGACCCTGTAGCACCACCAAAGCCTAACAAGCAAATTGAGCCTATCAAAAATCAAAAAACTGAGATTTCTCAGCAAATCCTTTCACCAAAATTCCAAGCTAATAGCCCTAAAGATCAATCTAAGTCAATCGATCCACCATATCTAAGTCCAGGCAAATCAAACAATTTTGAGCCTCAAAGAAGTGTGTCTCCAGCCATAAAATCTTTTAAAAGCGATATTCCATCAAATTACGATTTAAGCTTTTCAGAAGACAAGTTTGAATATCCAAACGCTAAAAAATCCATATTAAAGAATAATCATAATAAAAGCAATGAGCCTCAATATTTTTCCGGCCCGCCTGATTTTAAAAAAATGCCAACAATGTCTAAAGATGTAGATTAGATTAGACTAGAATGGTTATTTATAGTCATCACTTCCTGAATAGCTGTGTGAATTCCGCAGGCGAACGCCTATAGGGTTTGACTCCTTCACGGCAGCTTGTGCCGGGCCGAAACCCCTGCTTCTCGGTAGAGGCATTTTACATCCTGATATGGTTCAAGCCAGATTTTTCTTGGAGCCTACATTTCCAACTCAAGTGCCAAAATTGTTCAACTCTGTGCAGCTTAGACTGGAGAAACTAGCCCTGAGACCTCCGCCTAGCCTGTTTCTTTTTTTCTCTAGTTCATCTCTGAAGAAAACTCAATGTGCTTTGTGAGATTTGGGACAGGCCACAAAAGCAGCTTTGCCAGGTAAGCCATCTTGCCACTATCGGACACCCATTCTGGGCATGGGCACTGCTGGCCAAAAAAATGAATAAAACTGCTGCTCAAACGAGTCACTAATCAGTGGAAATAGAGCTAGCCTTTCGCTTCGAGGCTAACCAACCCTTCAGCAGCTCTTTGCACAAAAAAACATTCTGAATATATATACATAAGGACACCCGCCACGGTGAGGACAGGTCGCTCGTCACAGCCATTTTCTGTATAGTCTAGAGATTTTAAAATTGAAATAAAAGAAAACATCGAAAACCAAAAAAAAGGCCATGAAGAAGACTATAAGCAAGTGGAGTATTATACATCCGATGATAATTCTAACCCTGAAATAGAAAATCCAGCCCCACAGATTGATTATGAGAACTCCTCATTTTCACCTTTAGATTTCAACGAAAAGAAAAAGCGTTATGAATCTCAAGAAAACCCCAAGATTTTGAAAAACAATTCGGAAAATGAAATTCCAGCAACATCTCATAAGAAAAATGTTTCTGAAAATTTTAAATTTCCTGAGCCAATTGCTTCCTCTCCAGTTCCACCTGTAAAAATCAACCCCAAATCCAAAATGGCTAAAAGTTTCTCAATTTCTACAGACCGTGATAATCGAAAAGAATTTGAAACTCAACGCGAACTCATCGAGCAGCAGCATTTAGACTTCTACGCAAGCCTAGAGCAAGCTTGGCTAAATGATGGAAAAGAAAAAATAATAACAGCCCCAGATATCCCAGATACCAATATTGTGGTTAATAAAAATGCTCAGAGCTTAGATGAATACGACATGTATATAAACACTTTGCAGCCATTAGAAGAAATAGAAGATTATGAAAAAGAATTATCCATTTCGAAAGACGTGCTGAGAAAAAAGAAAAAAGAGCTGGAAAGGCTGATAAAGAGAGTCAACATTAAACCCATGCCAGTTGTGGTAAAAAAACAAAAAAAGAAAAAAGAAGAGGGAGGATTTTTGAGGTGGCTTGGAGGGGTGATTGGATGCACAGATAGATAAATTGATTAAATTGAGATTAATGGTTAAAAATTATGATTTTGGGAACGTAAACAGCTAGCCTAGGAGATTTTATTTAAAAAATAAATAGATAATAATTAATAACATTATTGTTTTGTTCGTTTGGTTAATCTTGTAGATACAGGTGGAAGCGTTGGAATTGATTTAGGGAAACTATAAAAAATATAGAAGTACACTTCTGGAGCTTTGACTAGATTTGGATCTACAGCTATACAAGGTAGATCAGGATCAATAGGAATTGGGATAGAAACTCTTAAGGAGTCTTGAAAAAAGTTGTCTGAGGTTTTATATGTTGCTTGGGGTTAATCGAAAGGTATTTTAATTGCAATAAAAACATTAATTTATCACAAATTGGAGTTCTAGTCTTTTGCTTATATCAATACATTTAAACCAAATATGCCATACATACTTTTGTTCGCTCTTACATCAATAATTACTTCAGCAATCGCAGACAACCCTAGTTTTTCAGAAAATCTGAAATGCGGAACCAAAATTGTAATAGGTGTATACTGATACTCTTTACTTGGTATTGGCGCAGCCTTCACCAAATATTTACTCAAAGAAGATGCTGAGTCCTCAAAAATCACATTACTCCCGCTCCTATTCTGTATCTCCCCAGCGTCCAGCTCTATAGCTGCTAAAATCATGCACTCTTCATGTGAAACTTCAAAATCTTTAAAAATCGCAGTATAGTCATGTCTAAATTTTGGCTGTGACTCTCTATACTTATTTGATATAAATAAGCATTATTATCAAAAAAATAATAAAATAAATAAATAGATAACGATAATAGTCCTATTTCATTGTAAAAAATATATGTCTTTTTTGATAAATCGCGTCAATATGGATTTTTTTGCTTTGGAATAATTCCGTCATCTCGCATGTAGCATTTCTCGCATAGCAGCTTAAAATTACAATCCGGAATTTTTGCGATAATTTTAGCATCCCCTGGAAGAGCCCATCTCTCAGCTTAAAAGATGCAGGCTCTAAGCTTCAAAACGAACCTCTATAGTAGTCCCCTATGACACCTTCAAAATTAATTATTAAAACTTGTGCTTTCATTTTTCTTGCTTTTCAATAAATTCGTTCATTTCAATAATCTTTGTCAGGATGCAAAGGGATTTCTAATGTAATTAATTCGGTTTGTGACTTTGAGGTTGCATTAGAACTCCTATTCCTTAATAAAGCTCGTGGGCGAGTTGCTGAGAGCTGCCGTCTTGGAATATTTTCAAATTTTGGGCTTGGGGAAACCCTGCTATGCTTTGCTGGGGGTTTTTCGCTATTTTTTCTTCTAATCGATAGTTTATTGCTTAGTAATAAAAGCTGAGGTTTCTTTAAATCCTTATAGCAGGCTTCAGAATTTGCAGGAGAAATTGACATAGTTTTTGAGCTTCTAGGCTCTGTATTCGATACTGAAATTGACCTTCTGACTGATTTATTGAAGAATTTCTCTTTCTTTTCTGAATTTTTTGGAAACTCAATAGTCACTTTAGCAGCCATTTTGTATTAAAATTATTAAGATTTAAACGAAGAATTTGAAGCTCCAGGGACTGCCATAAGATATTTCGGAACATCTGCAATTGTGGAAGGAATTTCATACTGTCCAGGGCCTGGGTCGTCGTCAAAGGTTTCTTTATTTCTTGGGTCTTTACCAAATGACCAGTATGGTCCTTGAGCTTTTTTATTATAAAAATTATAATTCCCAGGCCCAGGGACGTTGCTTGGTCTATTTCTGGAAGAATTTGATCTTTGTCCAGTCCCGATTCCTATATGAGTGCTATCTTTAACAACATAATTGATAGTTGGGTCATATGCGCCAGGTCCTGGGACTTGTTCAGTGGCTTTTAGATCAGTCCTTCTGCCACTCATTCCAAATTTAGGCCCACCTATAGTACTTTCTACTTGATAAGCTCCAGGTCCTGGTGTATGGGTTGGGACTGATAATGGAGGACGTTTCCCTGTGCCTACTTTTGAGAATTTTTCTATCAGAGCTGGGTTTTGCGGGTCATATTCGCCTGGACCTGGACTTTTTTTAACATTGGTAAAGCTAGACCGAGCTCCTGTGCCGACTGAAAATGAAGGAGCTGTATCGCTAAGTCTTGGCTGATATGCCCCAGGTCCTGGAGCTCCTGAGTCTTTTATAGTAAAAGGGCGTTTTGGGGCTAAAGTTTTCCCTGGCTTGTTTTTCAGCTCTTCAGCTATCCCTGGTATATCATAAGCCCATGGAGCTGGAGTTTCACTGCTAAGGAGCCTTCTAGCCTTAGGCTCAGTTCCAAATCCAAACTGTGGACCATCAGGTTTATCAGCAGGATTATATTGCCCAGGTCCTGGAACTCCTTTACTTGTAAACATTTCTGGTCTTTTGCCTACCCCAAACTTGCTCATATATTGAGTATGGACTGCTTTATAATTTGGATTGTATTGTCCTGGGCCTAATTCTTGGGGTTTTTCGCTGTTGATGTTAAAAATCTTGTTCCCCATGGTGTAGGAATAGGAACGGGTCAGTTTCTGAGGGTTATAAGACCCTGGACCTGGGGCATCCATTTTGGTTTTGTCAGTTTTATCTCGACCTGATGACGTTTTTTCTGCTTTGTCTCGCTTTTTGTCAGATTTTGAGAGTTTTTTGGATTCTAAAAAGGAAGGGACACTGTAGGTACCTGGGCCTGGGTACATGTTTTTAGGGTAAAGTTCAGGACGGAGACCTGTGCCAATATAAGGAGCAGGGACTTCAACTTCTTCTTTTCTAACAGCATAAGTCCCTGGCCCTGGCGTCATTTTGTTGGTAGTTTTAGGCTCTGAGATGGTTTTTGCACCTATTGAATAGGCTGGAGTTGATGCAAATTTCATAGTAAAAAAAGATTATGGTAACTTCTAATAGATGGATTATTTCAAAATTACTATTAATTTCCAATAAAATATCAATGAATATTTAATTATAAAATATTTATTGCCTTGCATGCCCAACTATGTAATAAAAATCAGCAATTGGCCCACATATTGTATCACATCTATTACTTTGATGAGTCTGAGAGAAAACAGTATTTTCGAAATCCCAATTGACTTCTCCAGGCCCAGTTACACTCTGCATACAGTCAACACATTTAAATGTATGCGATCCTTCAATGCAAAACATCACTGTATATTTATTTCCTTTGGAAAGATTCACAGGCTTATCCATAGTCACTTTGAACACTGAGTCATCAGGATTAAACTGCATAGAAAACTTGTGAGGGTGCTTATAAATTCCTAATGCAGATGAAGTGTTACCTTTAAGTACTTGGAAATCTTTAACCTGTGTAAGTCCTCCAAATTTATAAGGCATGCAAATACCAACTCCTGTAAGCATCACGTCTTCTGAAGCAGAAAAGCTTAGAGCGTCTACTCTTTCCCCTGTGTATCTTCATTTTAAAGCTCTTGTTATATTGGTTCTCCTAACACTGACTTCTTGTGGATTTTCTAGGCTTACTTTTATGTTGCCTGAAAAAAGCTTTTTTAAGTTTTCTTCTTGGATTGAGGTTTTGATGTCGATGCCTTCTATATTTTTACTATAAAATTTTTATGAATTATAAGCTTTTTTATTTTTTTTATGCAAAATATAGCCTTCTATATAATCAAACTTCTTAAAACTCAGGCTCTGGGCAGAGATTCTTTGTACTTTTCTTATTTTTTCCACAATGCTGTCAGTTGAATTTAAAATTGCTTGGACATTTCCATAGCTTTCTGTCTCCTTTTGCAGGATTTTCTCTAAATGGCAGTTTTCTATGCTTATTTCTTCAATATTCGACTGATAAGCTTCATCTAAATTTTCAATTAATTCTTGCTCTCGAGCATAAAGGATTTCTTTAAGCTTTGAAAAGGACGATATTAATGAGACCTCGCTAAGCGCTTTTCGCTCATGCATACAGTTAAATGATGAGAAATGCGATATTTGAGGCGATCTTCTAGCATGGTTGATTAAATTAAGCCATCCAATCATATCGACATCAGAAGTAGCTGAAATGATATACTGACGAGTTGATGTTGAAATTTTAAAACAAAAATCTTTGGAAGAGTCGCTTTCGTATGGGATAGCGTCGACTATAGAGGAAATCTTAATTGTTGCTGTAGGGTTGACAAATTGATAAGGAAATTTGTAGGTTCGCAAAAAATTTTCGTCGAGAACTAGCCAACGCTTCCTTCATTTTTTTAGGTAGTGGGATTTCTTCTCTATCCAACCAGTTTTAATTGCACCTTCCATAGATAATTGAATTAAATATATTATAAAGTAGTTAAAAAAATGAGAATTAATGATTTCTTCATATATTCAAGAAAATATGCCTATATTTTGAGGCAGTTTCTTAAAGTAATTCTTGTTAAATAAAATTTCACATAATTAAAATTTAACTTAAACTATAATTAGTCCGGAGACAAGTAATCGTAAATTTCTTTCAAATACAGTTCAGCTATTTCTTTAGGCTTTACAGGCTTAATTGATTGCAAAACATATGACACTTCTCCAGTAGTTTTACTTCCTCTTGCCGTTAGCGTCATCTCATACTCAATATTTAGTGGAGAAGTCATAGAAAATAAAAAGCTGTTTTCATAATGCTCAATCAAATCTATAAGCTCATTTGCACTTTTTCCAAAAATTATTGCTCCAACTTCATCAAATATTTTGACTCTTAGTGATCCAGTACTGTCAACGATTTCTGCTTGAAAATTATAAAGAAAATTGCAATTTTCGAAGCTTTTTTTGCAGAATCCGCAATAGAACTGTTTAGTTTCTTCATTTTGTGTCTTTACTTTTCTTCTGCAGTATTGTGAGCAGCAAGCGCGATATGCAATGGTACTTATGTCATTATAGTGATGTATGGCTCCAATGTATCCGTAAATTTTGAAATTTTCTGATAGGAGAGATGAAGATTTAGATCTAATTTCGGAAAGTGTGGAGAAGACAGGCTCTTTTTGGACTGTTAAGTTGTAGAGCTCGGCTCCTGATATGTTTTGAGATTGATATCATTTTTTTAGTTCATTTATCCTTGGGTGGTCAATGCTATATAGAACTCTCGACCTCGACCGTTCTGTAGTTATGCTTTATTTCGTTAAAAAGAATTTTTAAAACACCCTAACATAAAATATACCCTTCATAATGAATAAAAAAGTTTTTTTACTCGCTACCATTTATCCATTTTATATAGTGAATAGGAAAACGGCTAGCCATAACAAAGTTTCTGTTCGTTATAAAATGATATATTTTTTCCGTCAATAAAAATTATAAATTATAGGCATCAATCTAAAACAAAATAAAGAAAGGTGATTGTAATTATTGAGTCTAGCAGATTTTACAGCTATGGCATTTCCCTTAACGATGCTAGCATTATTTGCTTCTTCTTCTCAAAGAGCAATCTCAATGCAATTTAAAGTCTCGTCTGCAATTTTCACATATCTTTTAACAATTGAGTTTCCATTTTTCAATTGAATTTCGAAAGGAGGGAAAACTTCGACAATAATTCCACAAATGTCAATAATTTCATTTTCATTTAGTAATTCAAGCTGGGAAATTGAGACAAATTCGAATTGATATTTTTGTATGCTGCCATCGTCATCTAATTCTTTTACCTCAGATATGTCATTTAGCTGAATTTTATAGTTTGATTCAAAAAATTTATATTCTGGCCTTTCATGACGGACTGAGCCACCTTTTATTGAATAAACAGCGTCTTCTCTGATAAAGTCAAATTTATCTGCTATTTTGTTGAAGCAGATTCCAGAAATTTTAGTCCCTTCAGCATCTATTAGATGAAATGCTAGCTTCTTCCTTATAATAAGAAAGGAATTTTTTTTTTCTTGTTAATTATTTTGTTTAAAACATTTTCTTTAAAATTAAAAAATATCGAATTTTTTATAGTTGGAAAGTAAAAATTAATATATATAATGCATGCTTTAGAAAGCAATTTGAATTGCATTATTTATTATATATCAAAATAATTTTTGATAATTGAGGCGAACTTCTTGAAAAAATAGGTCGCTTTAACTAATCATAGAAAGGAGTAAGAATTTCCCGGGATTTTCATTGAAGTATTGGACAACTTAACTTAACTAACTCCCCCCCTCCGTGAGTGAACAAAACCATTAGAAAAATCCCTATTTTTTGCCCAAAAAAACCCACCCTCCGTGAGTGAACAAAAATTTTTTTAATTGAAAATTTTTTATGGAAAAAAATTTTGATATATAAATAATAATTATTATAATGAAATCTAAAGCTAATTCTATTCAATTTTAAACAATCGCTTTTTAAAACATAAATTTTATAAATTAAATTAATATTTGCTGTCCAATTTTTGCGAATCAGGTTTTTTTTTAAATTTCGAAAAAAAATATATTTTAAAAATTTTATATATTTAAATTTTTTTAAAAAAAAAATTAATCCCCCTCCGTGAGTGAACAAAATTTTTTTGTTCACTCACGGAGGGGGGGGGAGTAAAAGAAATCTATAGGCTACATGTCCCACTTAATGCCGACTAGAGAATGGCCACTCCAAACTTCGGCAATTTTTATACGTGTCGGGTCTATCTGCTTGAATAGCCAGGTATGCTTTAAATGGTGTTGACTACTTCGACGGTTCAAGAGTGAGTGACTCTTCCTTGACGCTGAATATTACATTAGGTTCCTTCACTACCGCAGGATGAAAGCGGATGAAGCTAGGGTAGGTCAGAGGCAAGGCGTCTCCCCTTTAAGTCGCTTATCAGTCTTTGCTGAGACAAAATACCTATATAAAACCAAGCCTAATAATCAAAAATGCAAAGTGTGATATCAATCGGCAGATCGACACCTTTACAAATGTCGCCATTTATAATTATGAATTATATGACAACATATTTTTTAAATACTCTAGCTTTTATAGCTCACACTACCATAAATGGGTTTAGCTGCGCAATAGGTGTAAAAATAGTTTCTGTTGAAGCTTCCATTTTCTTTTTTGGCGATTCTATAGGGATTCTAATTTTATTGACTCGGTCTCTAATCAAATTCTCATTTTCAGCTCCTCATTTTTTCAAGATTTCAACTTGCTCCAGCTCAAGCTTATTAATATAAACTTCTGATAAATTTCTTGTGGTGCTCAAATTCAATTTTCCATGGAAATCGCTAATTTTGAGCTTGGTTGCTACAATAACGTCGAAAGGTTTCATCCGAAATTTTTCGATTTCACTATTTCATATACACAAATCATATTCCTTAAGTTCTTGAAATAAATAAAATATAAAATTGATATGGTCTCCGACGCGCACTCCTATGAAGCAGGTAGACTGACGAGATTAGTTACAAAAATGCTCCTCTGCAAGTTGACGATCTCAAAGACAAGCCTATCGAGACAGGAAATAATGGTTTTTTCTAAATTTTTTTTGTCTACCTCATAGGCTTACCCTATTTGGGTTATAAGAGCGCTCAGCATAGGGTGTTTCTAATCTAGGGAGTTTATGTGTTTCACAGAAAATTCAAAAGGATGGAATTTTGGCTGATCCGTACGCAGCTATATATGTCTCAACGCAACTCCCTTTTCTGGAGACTATTAGTGCAAAATCAATCTTAAGTGCTTGGTCAATCAAGCTAATATTTTGTATTAAATGCAGTTTTCCTGTCTTCGTATTTTTCTCAGATACTTCCCCGCATTTTTTAACTAAGGCACATATATTAATAAGCTCATTTCTTGGTGTGTTTTCTATTTCTTTCAACTCTGTTATATAAATTGTTTCGGGTTCATTTTCAATTTCACATATAGACCAGTTTAATTAAATAAATCTAAATTGCAATTAATTTATTTCCTTTTTAATTTTAAATAAAAATACAATTTAATGAAATTAGTATATTTGAATCATCCTCAAAAATGATTTGAAATTGGTTCCGAGGGGTCGCAAATTCTTCTCTTTCCAAAATTACATTTCCATTGCTGAATGCATAAGTTTTATTTTGCTCGAGGAAATTAAATTTCCTTGCAGATCTTTCAAAAAAGACTCCTCTTATAGTGTCTCCTTCTTCGTCTTGCAAAGTTGCCACAAAATGATAGCCTGAGTCTTTTTTCATAATTAAAATATGGTTTTAAAGTTTTTTTAGAATTTAAATCGATTTTTTTTTAAAAGCCAATGAACTTAAATATCTATAAAGGTGTCGCTATATCCGGAAAACTATGCCAGATAATCAATCATAATTTGTTTAGGGCTTAGCACTAGTCCCTTTCAGAGCTGGATTTTACATCCAGGGAAAGCAAGACTTAGAGTTGGAAAGGGGAAGCCAAGCAAAGCCTTCTAGGCCTATTGGGCAACTCCTAGCTTGAAACCAGGACTTACACCTTGGGTACAAGTTTTCATCTTTTCCAACAGACGGCCAGACATTCCATTTTTTGGCAACCTTGCCCAGCTTATGTCACAGCGACCGGCTATATACTCTCCATTAGAAGTGAACCTCAGTGGAGAGGAGTTAACCCCTGGTTGGGCGGCGGCCCAATGAAGCAAGGTGGAGATGCGCACGCACTGGTGCTACGGGGAACTTTGCTATAATAACTTAAGGTTAATGTAATAAGTCTTTTTCTCAATGTATTATGTGGGTCCTTTGAGAGACTTTGGCTTTGATGGTCCAGCCTTTTTGGTAAGGCCGAAGGCTATGGATGGGGGTGAATTTAAGTGTTGGCTCGTTAGGATTGTGGGGATCTGATGGCGTTGAGCCACCAATTTTTTCGATCTCGGAAATCATTAGTTTTGCTTGACCCGAACTTGTTGGGAAAAAGTTGTATCGCTTTAATATTGCGTGCTACAGTGAGTATGGGTAATATGGGCTACAAAAAAATTATTAATAATGCTTAATTTCTTTTCTGGGTGGGTATAGCACCAAATCTCCAGGCTCAATTTCTAATCCATCCTGGTTAGAAATGACTGCATCTAATGATGATGAGCCATCTGATAGTCGGGCGGTATATCCAAATTCAGGGCTATTTCCTCCAGAATCCACTTTTAAAATTGGCATAAAAGAGCTGAGGTCTCCTCTACTCTGTAGCTTTTGAATGGCATTTTCAGTCAACCTCATAACCTAATTTTATATGCAAATTTTATGCAAAAATATATATTTTTTTTTCCCATCATATTTACTATTTATCTAAATTTAAATAATTAATTTAAATATAACGAAAATAGTATAGTTAATAACTCTTTTATATTAAAATTAATTATTTATAAACAATTAATAGATAATTCATACTTTAAAATTGTTAATAAGAAAACATTAGTTCTTCAGCCACGCAGATACTTTATAAATATGGAGTCAGAAGATCTTGACACCCAAATATACCATCGCCTTCAACAATTAATCCAAGAAAATGGACCAAACAATGCTCAAAATGGGATTTTAATCCTAATCAAATTACTTCAAAATATATCTGAACACCCTGAAGAAGCCAAATTCAGGTCAATAAAAAAAACAAATAAAGCTATACAAACTAAGCTGTTGTCTCTTCGCAATATTAATGACATTTTATATCTTATCGGCTATAGAGATAATGGCCCTGACTATGAATTTTCTAGTGCAGTTGAAATACTGGACATTGCTCTGCCAATCATAGAAGTAACTTCATCAGAAATTAATGAACTTTTAAAATCTGAAGAAGAAAAAGAACGTGAAAGACAACAAAGAGCTATCAGAGAAGAAATGAAAGCTAAAGAAGAAGCCAAAAAAAGGCTTTTAGATCAAGCTAGATTAGACAGAAAAGAGACGAATACCCACTTATTGCCGACTCAAGATTCAAAACCTCAAGCGAAAGGATGTGGAAAAAAGGCAACGTGGAATGACATAGGCGTTGATCTTAATAAAAAAGGAGGATGACGTTAGCCCAGAAGATTGGGCAATACACTCTATGTGAAGTATAGGGAGCAAACTTACAGGGTCTCTATATTGAGGAGTGTTTAACTTATTAATCAATTATCCTATTTTCTAGCTTATAAACATTTTTTAATAATTTATTGAAATATGGATTTTATTAATTGAAAAAGTGTATCAAAATCGGTATTATATTAAAATTTTATAATTAAATGTGATTACTTTCACTTTAGCTTTAATTCTGGAAAAATTATTTATGCTATACTGGGTAAATTTCTTTTGGCATGTGAAAATAGAAGTATTTAGAAATGCATATACAAAAGGGAATTGCAATAAAAAAGAGCCGCCTTGGCTTGAAATTTCATAGAAAAACAATTTTTAATCGAATATGTTTATTTTCATTTATTAATTGAAATACAAAATCTTTAATTAAATTTCTTCCCATAGTAAACAAATTGATCATTCATAACAATTAGATCTTCATATTTCATATTTCTCATAGTAAAGTAGGTAATTGCAATAACAAATACAATCACTATTACTAGCAAAGAACCCACTACATATTCATCCAGCATTTAATATTTATATGAACACCCGAAAACAAAATGGTTTCAGCAGACCTTATCACCCCTTTCAAATAGCGACCTGATTGATGAGTCTTTTCTTAGTAGCTGTCGCAATTCTGATCACACTTATCCTGGAAACTTCTTTGCAAATTGTTTTTTCACTGCTATTTTGGCCAGCTCAAATATTATATTGAATTTTAGGAGTCTTACTCCCCCCATCCTTGATTGAACGATTGACTGTAAAAAAATTCCTAAAAATTGGGAAATTAACCCCCATCCTTGATCGAGCGATTTTCATATCATGCAAATTTTTATATATATAAAATATATATGTTATCAAAAGCTTGAGAAGATGTGCCGAATGAAGTTGTTTTCAGAGACTTTGAGGCGACAGAAAGCTACAGAATCAACCATTTAAAGTGCTTCAGTCATCATCCTGGGCTTAAAAACTCAATAATCTAAAAAATAGAGATTCTTTAAAATTAAAAAAAATAAATTTTAATTCAATAAGGAACTAAAATTAATACAGTTTAAAGGGGGTACCAATAAATCAAAATATTAAAAATTGGTATATGAAATTAATTCAATTGCTGTAAAAATAATTATTAAATGCTCTTAACCCTCTTATTTAAAAGTATATAAAAATATTTTTTTTATTTTATATATAAAGTTTTTTTTCCAAAAAAAAATTTGTTTTAACCCCCATCCTTGATCGAAGATGGCGAGCCGTTCGATCAAGGATGGGGGGGAGTTAGCTACTTGCTCAGACCCCACAGATCCTTTGGTTTATCAGCAAGAGTATGCAATAAATAATGGGTAAATAAAACTTAGGCTATCTTTTGATGAAAGGAATAGAGAAGCTGTATGCACAATTTGCTCATTTTATGTAGCTGGAAATTCTAAACATTGCGGATATTGCAATCGCTGTGTCTCTGATTTTGACCATCATTGTAAATGACTTAATAATTGTATAGGAGGAAAAAACTACAAGCTTTTCATATACCTTATTGTAGTACTCGAAATAAATGGCTTGATTTTTATTATTTTTGGTTTATATACGATAATTGATCGATATTCCTATCAAGAAACAAAAGAAAAATGAATAGATATTTATGGAGAAACAGGTGAACAAGTCATCGACGCTTTCATCTTTTTCCAGACCTCTATAAGTCTGGCTGTATTTTTAGCGAATGGAAAATTAATTATTTTCCATATTTGGCTGAGGTCGAATGGTATGACAACTTATGACTATATATGCCAGATGAGGAAAAAAAATAAAATAATGAGTCACACAGAAGCGACTTCAGGCGAAAAAGCGGATGTAAATTCTAATAGGTCGAATGAAGAAATCTCTCCTAGAAATTATATACATTAAAATGGCTGCACGTGTCAACCTGCCCTCTTAGCGCAACAGTGCAGACCTTATGGCCACGGCGAAATGTGACGGACTTAGAGCTGAGATTTAAGTGCAGGCTGAAGATATGTGCATCCGGGTAGGTTTTGGCTGCTTTCCTGTGGTTGGAAATGGAGGCGCTCAATATGTCCTTTTAGAAACGATGACCCATGGGCATTCCTCTACCGAGAAACTCTGGATTTCGGCCTAGGCCATAGGAGAGTAGTCTTTTACTTGTAGCTGTCAAAGAAAGGCACTTCGGCAACCGACAGACTCTAAGGAGTTGATTCTTAGAATCGAGCTCGAACCGCCCGTAGCAGCGCCACAGAAATCCATAATCACTCTAGATTGAAGCCTCAAGTCAAGGAGGAGACAGAAGGTACTGAGAGTGGCAATATTATTTGGGGAATAAACCCTCTAAGCTGGAGTCTAAAAGCGGGTGAAACTCCGTACCAAAGATCTTTGGTTACTGCGTCACCAATATCTAGCCTCTCTTAATAACTAACCTTCCTAGAAATCATTACCCTGAAACGAAAACACTGATTGGTACATCTGAAGAGCTGAAAATAGTAGAAGGTGCCACTATGAGGCCTAGTGACACTGACTCATTTGAAAACCATAAGAATTTGAGTGGATAAAATGTATATTAAAGTAACAAGATTTAACTTATTAATACCAATATCTTATAAAACTTGGCCATTATCAAATGATACTATTTGTACAGGCATATCAATTTCTTCCTCAGACAGCACCAAATCATCTCTTTTATCATTTTTCATTATAAAACTTAATTTGTTTCCCAGCCCAACCGAAGAAGCACTGCTGACAACAGCCACATGGTCAAATTTCCCGCTTTTTTTTGCCGATTTTGCAAATGTTATCTCATTATTATCAGAAAATTTAGGCTTTTCGTCTTTTCTGATATTTTTTGGGGTTTCAGATCTTCTTGCTTTTTGCCTCATTTCTGATTTGATTTTGTCCAATAATGAGGATGCTGAGCTGCTTGTTGTAAAACTTGAAGTCCTTCTTTCCCTTTGGGTTGGCTCTTTTTCTATAGGATTTGTGTCATCATTTCCTAAAGTAAATTCTAAAGTTGGCTTTGAAATTGACTGTTGCTTTGACAAAGGCTTGCTGCTTGATTTTCTTGGGGGTCTAGAGTTTTCTTTATTTTCAATGCTAAAGATTGAGATTAAGAATATAGGCCATAATTGGTAAACCACTAGTAATCTCCTTTTCTTGGCTCCAAAAAACAATACTTCATAGATCTCGGAGTTCAAATGAGGAAAGTAAAGGCTGCCATTTTTATTATCTAGCCAGCAGAAAAATATCCCTCTTCTCCAAGCATCCTTAATCACTGAGGTCTGCTTGAAAGAGGTAAACTCTATATAAACCTCATCGGGAAAGAGCCTTGCCAGCTCCATAGAATTGTGCCTCTGAGTCCATCTTCCATCAACGTCATAATTTTATTTTTCTCTAATGCTAAAGGAATCATTGTTTTTTGTAGGGTTTTGGGCTCTGACTGTTTTTATTTCAATCTTTGGAGCCTTACCAGCGACTCGGGCTCGAGCTAATTTTGATGCATAAGATTTGAGTTTTGAATATTTTTCATAGACTGATTTTTTCATAGCTTGTTTTTGCCAATGAATGAAAACTCGCTGTATTTTCCTCTTAAAAACCTGTTTAATCAAAAGCAGTCAAACTCTTGAATTTTCCATCAGGATTATTTAATTTAAAAATTATTGAATAATTACATATAAAAAGTCTTCGAAAGTTTCTCATACGACTTCTGCCCAGCCAATTTTATCTTTGGGAAGTTCCCAGAGTTCATTCTTTTCTGTTTATCCACAACCGAGCTTTCATTGAATTTTCTTATCAGTTCTTCATACTCTACCAGGCCATTTTGATTCCGATCCAGCACCATTGCTAAATTCTGGATTTGGTCAGCATTTAGAGGCATCCCAAGCCAAATCATCATCCCTTCAAACTCTACAAACGTCAGAGCCCCGTCTTTGTCTTTGTCAATCATATTAAAAAGCTCAGAAAGCTTGATGTTTTTAGAATTCAGTTGGTTTCTCATAATTCTCCAATAGTCTTCTGTAGCTTTTTCTATTTTTACTCTGGTTCGGGGGTTGGAAAATAAAGGGATTTTCATGTAGTCTTCAACATCTTTGAATTTCAGCTTCTTTTTTACAATGGTTTTGTGGAGCATATAGTCTTTATAATATTGGTCAAGCTTTATTTCTGAAAGGCTTGTGTTTAGCATAGTATCGCCTCTCAGCATTTTTATTACGACACTCTCAAAATGATACTCCTGGTTAGCTAGAGCTAAATCTAAAGCAGTTTTTCCATCAAAATTCGTAAGTTTTACATTGGCTCCTAATTGGATTAGCACATGTATACAATGAAGCTGCTTTCCTTCAACTGCAATATGAAGTGGCGTCATTTTTCGTTTGGGTGTTTGTGCATTGACACTGAAAACTTTTGTAAGGATCATTTCTCTTAACATGTTAAAATTCCCATTTTTCGCATAGTCTCATATATGGTAAAAGCTTTCTGTGAGCCTTCCAGTTATATCAAGATCTCTTGGCTTCCTCTCTTTAAAGTCCCTTTCATTTCTTAGCTGGTTTCTATCACTATCAGCTTTTACTATCATCTCAATTAATTTTTTATTCCCATTCAGCGTCGCAATATGAAGAGCATTTTGCATTTTTTCGTTGTGGGCATAAATATTGCAGTTGTTTTCCATCAAAATTTGCACCATTTCCATTCGCTCTTGTTTAACTGCCATTAGAAAAGGGGTGTACCGGCTTTTTGTGTCTTTTTCGAGCATAGATTCAAGGGAAATGATTTTCATGTCTTGAAATTGCTGGGGTAGGGTGCTTCGATGGATTAAAGCTTCTTGGCGCTGCTTGTAGATACTTAGAAGCCATATAAGTATTTCTGGGTCTGAGTAAGAAACTGCTATATGGAGAATCGTTCAGTTTTCACTTGTTATTTGGTCTAAGGCTGCTCAAGAGTCAGCAACTCAGGGTCTTGCATATTTGAAGCCTTTTCCTTTTCCGATTTCTTCATGGCCCATAATAAATAGATTTAATATTTTCATACAATTTAATTTCACGGCAAAATGCACAGAAGTCCAATGATTTTTATTTGACGTCAGAGGGCTCATTTTTCTATCCAGCAGGACTTTTACAGACTCCAGCGAGTTTTTTTTTACTGCTAAAATCATATAGTTATCAGAAAGCTGGCCATTCCGATAGTTCAATAACGACTCTTCGTCCATCAGCAAAATATCTTTGGTGTCTATTGTGTTTTTTTGCTCAAAAATTTGTTCATCAGTTGTGACTTTTAACGATTTGTGCTTAGCTTTAGGCATTTTCATTTTAGAAATAATTATAGTTGCAGCTACCCTGGACACGACTAAATCGATTGGCTTTTTCCCGTTATAGTCTTTTACGTCAAGATCAGCCCCGCTGTCAATTAATGCTCGGATTATAGGGACAGTGTTACAAAGAGCAGCCATATGAAGAGCTGTTCGTCCTAGATGATCCACAGTTCCTATGAAATCTGTAGGGATTTTTGTGGCGATTCTTCGAGGTTTCATTACGTTAGTCCCTTCAGAATAGTCCATTCTTTCAGCAATCTTGTGGATTTCTTCATCAAAGACATCAAAATCCACAAAAATGCTCGACGTTTCCATACTAGCGATGCTTATTGCATTAGTATTTTTAGCTTTGGCCATTTTTCTAACTCCCTCAGTAAAATTTGAACCTCCTTTAAAATTGAACAAATTTGTTTTTCAATAGGAAAAGTTTAACGATGAAATAGTAATTTTTATAAAAATTAATTTTTGACTCAATTTAATAGGCAAAATGCAGGTAGAATGTTTTTTAAACAGATTTCAATCTGAATCGATTAATCTTCATAAAATAAATTAAATTCAAAGAATTGTGCTCAATTTATATTTTTTTTAAAAACAAATTAAAGATGAAATTACCTTAAAATGGAATATGATTTTTATTCCAATTTAAAGGGGCGGTAAGCCTTTTATACTTTAAAAGCCTTGCTACAGTTCTGTCATTTGTGGTCTCAGAAAGCTTGTCCAGCATCCTCAAAGCTTTTGGGTACAAATTAATCAAAATATCTACAACTTCTTTATTATCCTGCAAAGAAGCATAATGCAGTGCAGTCCTTCCATATATATCTTGTATGCGTGGGTCAGTCCCGCTATATATTAACATTTCTATAGCTCCTATTTGTCCTAAACAAGCAGCATAATGTAGTGCTGTCCTTCCATGCTGGTCAATGGTATTTACTTTTAAGCCTCTTTGGTAATCATTGCGGCATTCATCAATATGAGCTTCAAGCACTCGTAGGCATTTTCCTAGGACTGTATGTATAACTGAAATCCGCAAAGGGTTTTCTTCAATCCTGATTTTTGTCATGATTTTTTTGCTGGATTCTATTCGTTCATTGACTTTGCTGTTAAAAAGCTCCATAATCGTGATTTTACTTTGGAGCTTTTTTTCGGTGCGGTTTAAGGCTCGCTTGATTGCCATGTCTTTTAAGGATTTCAGGTCAGAATTTGATAAACCTTTTGTTAATTCTTGGACTACATCATGTCTGCGCTTATTAAAATTGTCTTTTACATGCTCTTTTATACGTTCTAGCTGTGGAGCGTTATCAGGGTCAGGGTTTTCTTTTAAAATTCGCTTGGAAGAGCGGATTGATGGGACACGACGTGAAATGGTTTTGTGTTCTGAAGATAAAGGCTCTTCCTCTTTGATAACGGTGGTTGCGTTTAGTCTTTTTTTTCAATAAGTGCTTGAATCGAAGTTGGAGGAGGTCATGTCGATGGAATAATTTCATTTTGGTGTAGGAGTTGTTGAGAGACTTTTGGAAATTGGTGCATTATCCATTTAAAATTTTAAGGATTATTTAAATGAAAAATGAGCAATTTTGAGCTATTTTGAGATTTTATGGGTGATTAAAAGGAATAAAGAGGCAAAAATGACTTCTTTTGTCTCTGATTTTTTTATTTCATCCTTAAAATTGGAACAAAATAATGGTAAAATTTCAAGTTTTTTGGATATAGCTCATGCACCGATATAGATCGTTATTATTCGGAAATAAATTTTATAGATAATAATTTTTATAAAATTGGTTTTGACCTAATTTACAGGATAAAGTGCAAGTAGAATATTATTTAAAGAATTTTCGCACTGAAAGACTTCTCTCTTAATAGTTCTGGAAAATAATATCTTTTATACTCAAGCAATTTTTAAATAATTCATGTGATTGATAAATATTTAATAATTCTTCATTATTTCATCCAAATTTTTTTAATCCAAAACATATGTGCTATATTTTAAATTTTTCATTGTAAAATAAAGATAAACTATTTTGACATAAAATCTTTGCTGTAAGTAGCATAATTTGAAACTATCCTCCCAATAAATTCTAATCACTTAATTTATATTTTTAGCATAATTTGGAGCTACCCTTCCATTAAATTCTAATCCCTTAATTTATATTTTAATTTTTTAAAAATTTTAAAAAAAAAAGTTAACCTTTTTAAATTGAAACAGGATATTTTGTTCCAAGTTAAAGGGAGGAGAGCAAGAAGAATTTAATTAGAAAATTAATTCATTTAGCTGCTTATTTTTCATTTTAAAAATTAAATAACTAGTTTTGAATAAAAATAGACATATATATTACTCATCACTTACGGAAAATAATTTTACATATTAAATTTGGGTAAATAGAATAAAGAATAAATAAGAATATTTTTAAAGCACAAAATTTTAACCCATCAATTCTCGATTATAATAATTACTATATTCTCTGTTTATCTATGCTACCTTTATGTTGCAGTAGCATGTAGGTTATTATGTAAAATTAAAAATTTAATTTTTCGTTTGATTATTTATCTATTTGATATTTATTGCAACTATTACTAAATATAGCTTTATTACACACTCTTCGTTGCAAAACCTCAAAGGAGTTATCACAGTAAGTTCAGAAAGGCAAGTGGAGTAATGACTAATAATAATTATAATTTTTGTCTATTAAAAGCAGAATAGGAGAAGTATTTCAGATTAATCAAGAACATTAGTGAAAGCAAATAAATATAAACATTTAAATCAACATACCATCCCAGCTTAATAATAATGTCATTTATTTTATTAGTTTCAATAATTTATAAATTTTTTATATTTTCTAACATAAATTGTAGGCTGCTGAAGACATTGCTGTTAACTCCCCCCTCTGTGAGCGACATAAAAATTTTGCTCGCTCATATTGGAGTAGGTTAAAAATCGCTCAATTTCTCTAAAATAATTTCAATTAATTTGCAAACTAATTTTTGAAATTCATTATAATAATTATCACTTTATTTTATTAGCTTACGGAGGGCAGGTTTTTACCCAAATAGGGATTTTTGGAATTTTTTGTTCAACCACGGAGAGGGGAGTAAAATGTCTTATTTCACCAGAAACCTGCTGCTTGCAGACATTTTTATTCGCATATGATATTTTTATGAATTTCTACGCCATTTATAATTGTAAATGAGAGCTTTTTGTTTAGTTCTTACGCTCGCTTTATGCGTTACTTCTCGCCCTATGTCATTTGATAGCGCTAAAGACTTCTTAGAAGGTGTCTATCTGTCCTTTGCAGGTGTTCCTTTAGAAAATTCCAGGTGTCTTGACGATAAATCACAATCAAATCTTCATCACTCCTTGGATAGGCTTTTTATGGATTATAGAGAGGATAGATCCCTCCAAACCCTTATCCACCACTTAGCCTTCATTGTTCCAGACATTTCTTCAGTCTTCGCTAACTGTGGCCTTGAAACTTATGTCGAAGCTTTTTCATCAAGTTTATCAACTGAGGGCGACCAGCTTTTCTTAAGAATTTCTCAAGAATTCAGCACAATTAAAGCAATTTCTGCAGACCTCCAGAAACAAATTGAGGCAGGAGAGTTCAAGCTTGCTGGAGAACAATTGGGAAATATGATGAAGCTTATGATTCCAATTGGAGACTATCAGCTAAAACAAGATAGACTTTATGCGTTCGCAGCTAACTTTACACTGTTTCTTGAAGGAGCTGCTATGGGATTCCAAGCGAAGTCCACCCCTCTTACTAACTCTCCTGTTTAAATGCAAGTGAAATATTGGTATTTCGCCCCCTTTAATTATAAAAATAACAATTTCTATATAAATAGCTTTGGTATCTAATTTAATGTGATTTTTGTCACCAAAAATGAAAATTAACCTATTTTAAATAGAAATTATAAAGTAAATATTATTTCAGCAAACCGATAAATATTAATTAAATGAAATATTTTTGCTTGAATTTTAAAGGGGATTAAGTGCTACAATACTACCACAATGATAATGCCATCAATGAATAACGCATACAAAGAAATCAAAAAATGCGCTTATTTGAACTTTACTGCTTGCAATGATGTCCCAGCATATCTGACTATATTTAATTCAGCAGTTTCAAGTATACTATCATTGTATAGTTTAAAATTTGAGGTCTAAATAAATCTAAATTGTAAAAGAATTATGATAATATTTATTTATAGGTAAATGAATATTTATAACGACTGCAAAATGGAAACACTAATCAGTGATATTGAAGCACTTACTCCCCCTCTGTATGAGCAAAAAACTTTTGCTCGCTCATGGAGGGGGATAATTTTTTTTAAAAAAAATAATATATATAAATTTTATAGTAATTATTTTAAGAATTTAAAGTAAAAATTAATTTAATTTGCAAGTTTTATGTTTTAAAATGCAAGCTGTTTAAATTAAACAAAATTAGCTAGAGATTTCATTATAATAATTATCATTTACATATCAAAAATATTTTTTCATAAATTTTTATTCGCTCATGGAGGGTGGGTTTTGGGGAAAAAATGAGATTTTTCCAATGGTTTGTTCGCTCACGGAAGGAGGGAGTTACTGACCCAGAGAACTTTGTAACAGTAATGTTCAGATACTTCAGTAAATCAACTGATATCCTAGATCACTTTGATGAGCTCATTCAAGACACTGAAGAATGGAACACTTATGGGATGGGCTATAACTTAGCTTATATCCTCAAAGTTCTGTTGAACTTCTCCATTTCTTAAGTTTGCTTAACTCCACCTCCATGAGTGAACAAAACCATTAAAAAATCCCTATTTTTGCTCAAAAGCCCACCCTCCGTGAGCGAACAAAAATTTTTTAATAGAAAAATTTTTTATGAAAAAAATTTGATATATAAGTGATAATTATTATAATGAAATCTCTGGCTAATTCTGTTTAATTTTAAACAAATCGCGTTTTAAAACATAAATTTTACAAATTAAATTAATATTTGCGATACAATTTTTGTGAATTAGGATTTTTTTAAATTTCGAAAAAATAAATTTTTTTATAAAATTTTATATATAAATTTTTTTAAAAAAATTACCCCCTCTGTAAGCGAACAAGATTTTTTTGTTCGCTCACGGAGGGGGGGAATAAGTAACCATTTCTAAAAAGTAGGGCTGATTAAAATAATTATCTTATTAAGCATCGTCATTGCTTAGTCAACCTTCCATAAAAGTGAGTGTTTCAAAACAAATTAGCTTAAAAGTAGCAATAATTTTAATAATTATTGATGCGCTTATAGATATATAGACTTTCTGGTCTTTTCTGATGATATTTATTATTTATCAAAAGAATTGATATTAATCACCCCTTTTTCCATCCTGAAGATATATTTATATCTTCTTCTCGTTATAAAAGACACAAATAAAATGGTGACTTGTCCGGCTGTCCTTCGCCCATACCTCAGGATTTTTGGTTTTAAGAGGGCTGGGACTTGGAAAAGTGTCCGGATTTTTTTTCCCTGATTGGTACACCACAACATTTTTTTTTACCCCCTACTATATAGATAAGGAAATCAGAGTCCATAAGACAACTCCACACTTTTGTATTCGAAGGGTATTGGAGAAAAGAAGGAGGATTCGGGGCCATACCCTATCTTCTATCCCGGGATATACCATTCGGCCTCTAGAACTGTCTAAGAAGTCTGAAGTTGGCAAAGGCTCTGGTATGAACTCCAAAGACCCATTCTAGCTTTAATCTAATCTAATCTCATTATAAAATGAAAGTAAGCTATCTTATTATATTGTCTGTGGTGTATGTATTTTCATATCCTCTTGAGCTCATAAAGGATTTCATTCTAGATGCCCACTTGAAAATTGTGGGTAATCCTATTGAAAATCCTGAATGTCTTGACGTCGACCAACTGGACGCTATAATAAACAACTTCTACAAGCTCGTAGGCGAATTTAATGAAAATATTTTACCTGAATCCCTTAATGGGCAGTTATGGCTTCTAATTCCTTATGAATTGCTCTAAGCCAGCTTTTTTAAGCTAAAATTAAAGAAAATCTAATTTTTTAAATTTCTATTGCCTTATCTCTATTTAACTAAAAGAATTATGGTCTAATCTATAGTAGTGGATTAACTATAAATACTCTTATAACAAGTCTTTCTTCAACCCTTTCCAACCGCAACTTTGAGGCTTTTCTTCTGTCTATTGATAATTCGTTAAATGACTCGCATGAGCTATTCTCAGAACTTCACTTGACCCCATCCCCGTTCTCTTCAACACTTTATGCTTTTATATCATCAATAAAGCAATCAGATTTTCAATCTGCCGAACAGCAGTTTCTTGACCTCTTACAATCAGCCTTTATCTCTCAAAGAAAAATAATCCAGCAATTAGAATTAACCTCAAGCCAATCATACTACCTAGAGCAATTCTATCGAGGAATAATAAAAGGCCTACAACCCCCTACAGTAAATTTTGGGAATTGTTTTTTTATTTAAAATTTCTGCCATTTTTTAACATTTCAGTAATTATAATTAATAGAGCAGTCAAGATAATTAAGCTAATAAAGGCTAAAAATTGTTTTTACATATTAGACTATTATCCTCAAATGTGCTATAGAGCTCTTTTGCATTTTGATTTATGCATATTCCTTCGGATACTTTGTGAAGATTCTAAAACTTTTTTCAAAATATGGGAAAATTCAACAAACATGATGGCGATGAATTGCAAGTTTGGCGAAATGATCGGAACAATTTTAAATATGACAAGTAAAAATGGAATTTCGTTGACAATTATGAACTATAAAGAGAATATGGATGAAATCAATGATTATGCTAAAAAGTTTATCTCTGCTTCAGGCCCGTTTGATATTGGGTACTATCCAGGATCTTACCTTAAATTAGTTACCTATTGAGAAAATCCTGTAATCTTATATCCGCCCAACACCCTTCGCCTATTACCCAGTTCATGCGCGAGATCGCAAAAGATTGCTCCTGCCTGTAATACTACCAGACAGTTAAGTCACCGTGCTATACGGCCAGTCCCTGCTCACCCCATGGGATGCTAGCTACAGGAGTTAAGAGGTTTGGCTCGCCACGCCATTTTAATGTATGCACTATCCAGCATCAATATTTCGCTTATTAACCGGCTTTACCATTAGTTAAATAGCTTGATTCAGCTTAATCTTCCTTGGTCATTTTCTGTCTAATTCTTTCAGTCTCATTCTCTATTTAAACATAAAAATCATTTTTTAAATAAAAAAAACTAACTAATTTTCTTTTCTTTTCATATAATATTAATATATCTCTATAGTTTTCACATTATAAGATGGAGCTCAACAACATAATTTTTCCATCCCCAAAACCTTCCTATGACAATTCTACATTTCGAGGAGAAACAATTTGAATCCCCCGTGCCTCAAACCCATTAAATCATCCAATTCCTTGCATCTATCTCCCATGCAACAGGGGCTCCAGCAAAGTCCTTTTATATTTTCACGGGAATGCCGAAGATTTAGGCCTATGCTACCACCTTATTGAACATTTACGGTCAACACTGAGTGTCCATGTTATCGGGGTTGAGTACCCAGGATATGGGATTTACCCTGGAAAATGTAGTGCAAAACAAGTCCTTATAGACGCAGACGATATTTTTCAATATTTAGTCCAAGAAATGCATATAAATACACGTGACATTATAGTATTTGGAAGATCAATTGGGTCAGGCCCTGCAACTTGGCTTGCTGCCAATAGAAACCCAGGCGCTTTACTGCTGATGTCGGCTTATACATCAATTAAAGCAGCTGTCAAAAAAATAGCTGGAAGGCTTGCTATGAAATTTGTAAAAGAAAGATTTAAAAACATCGATCTAATGCCCAAAATCACCTGCCCTACCTTCCTTATTCACGGTCAAAAAGACAATCTCATCGCATGAGAAAACTCACAGCAGCTCCATGACCTTTGCCCTGGGCCATGCTGTTTGCTCTTGCCTAAAGAAATGACACACAATGAATTTGATTTTTTTGATGATTTATCGTTACCTTTTGCAGCGTTTTTAATGCAGTGTGGGATTTCAGTTAATCCCGGGGCAAAAGGAGACAGCATGCTGAGGTTTCCAGAGAGCTTGTATATTAGACCTGAGAATGGAGAAAACAAAAAGAAGGGGAGGTGGAATCGGTTCCTTCAGAGGTTTGCATAAAGGTAGATGCTTTATAGCAAAATACAAAGGTTTTTAAATTCTTGGCTTCTATTATTAAAGTATTTTTCTAAAATTTAAAAATTAAATCCTAACCCTTAATTTTTTATCTAAATATTCTTGAGACAAATTCCTGCCTATTTTATATTTTTGGTATTTATCTGCTGATTCTCTTAATATTCTTTTAATGTCTAGCCTTTCCTCTGGCATATTCTCTATGGCAATTTCTATTTTTTCTATAATGTCTTCAGCGTTTCTGGATGAAGGTAACATATATTGGCAAAAGGCTCTTGAAAATTCTGGCCCAGCTTCAATTACAATGCTGCGAAGACTGGAAAAAAATGTGTCTATAAAAGGACTTAGCACATCTTTTTGTCGTGAGATATTAAACCCTTTCATAAACTCCAGCCTTTCTTTACTTGACAGTTTTTCTCCATTGTTTATAAGCATATTTCAAGCAGCTTCTTTTTTCCCTATATCTGGATATGCAGCGTCACAAAATAGTTTTGCAAAATGGCCAGATGAGCTTTTATTTATATTTGTCTCTTCCAAAATAAATGCTTCAGCATTTACATTTATGGCCGAATAAGCTCTTACCCCTTCAATCAAATGGATTGTCATTAAAATTTTTCACTAATTTTTAGTTGTGATATTAATACTTTTTTTATATGAAATATATACTAATTGACCAAGAATAGCCCACTAAGGAGCCATTCTTGGTCTGCCAGAAATAATTTTGACAAAAGATCCTAATCTGCCATTACCACTGAGTTTTGGTGTTTCCAAATTTTTTGGGGCAAGCCAAATGCAATAAAAAAAATGTTTCTTTTGCGATGATGCATTTGGCTTGTCAAAAAAAATTGGCAACACCAAAACTCAGTGGTAATGGCAGATTAGGATCTTTTTCTGCCATTACCACTGAGTTTTGGTGTTTCCAAATTTTTTTGACAAGCCAAATGCATCATCGCAAAAGAACAATTTTTTTTATTGCATTTGGCTTGCCCAAAAAAATTGGCAACACCAAAACTCAGTGGTAATGGCAGATTAGGATCTTTTTGTCAAAATTTTTTCTGGCAGACCAAGAATGGCTCCATAGTGGGCTATTCTTGGTCAATTAGTATAGAAATATGCGATATGCCAACAAATATGCTGGAAACTGTATTATATTTGTTAGGAGCAATTATACTGTAATAGCTCTATATTATTAGTTGCTTAAATTTCTGATCGGCTCCCGAGCCAAAGATGGATTTCACGCGTGAAAATCCAGAAATTCCACGTGGAAACTCATTTTTGGCTAGTGGGAGCCGATCAGAAATAATGCCAAAAGACTATATTTTTTATTGCTAAAATAGGTAATAAGATTTTAGGCAGGCCAAAGTGACGATTTCATGATTGATTAATATGAAAATCGTTCGATCAAGGATGATGAGTAAATTTCCCAATTTTTAATAAATTTATAAGCATTCGGTCATAGTCAGGGTGAGTTAGAATATTCCACCTCTCATAGCATTCAAGCTCTCAATTTTTTACATCAGTTGCATTATTTTTCAGTCAATTTAAACACCTTTCAATATCACTTTTGGCATAAAGAAATTGATAAGACATATTTTTAAATAGAAATAGTTCTTCATCGTTGACTGAATTTTCAATCTTATTGACTATGATGTTGAATATCTCGTGCATGACTTGCTCTTTTAAAGCTTCAGATGGAATAAAATTCATTGCTTGGGTTGCTATATTAAATGCATAATCTATGCTTATTAGCTTATTTTATGTTTTGTTTAATATAAAATCTATTAAAGAGATATTCATTGCATAATTGGTATAGAACATAAAGATTTGTTTCTAGCGGGATTTGAGCTGCTATAAAACATTCAATAAACTCGACAGCAGATAGCTTGATATCTGTCACCATATCCCAAAGTGCTTTATAAATGATAAGCCTTGTTAATGGGTTTGAAATGCTTGAAAAATGCTTTTTTAGACTTTTCATTGAAAATTCGTCAATTATGACTTTGCAGTATCCCCAGTCATCAACATTTAATATTGCGCAGTGAGCCTCAATGCCATTAAATTGATCGAAAACAGTCTCCAGCTGTGGAAGTACATTAATTGTAAATTTTTGGATAGAATTCATTGAAGAGTCAAAGAATTCTACATTGATTTTATGATATCTTAATGTAGGGAATTCTAATAGTCCAGGGGTTTGCTTTACAATAAAATTTACTATCTTTCTACTTTCGTCTCTGCTTATAATAGGCTCTAATTCATTTACACCTGCAGTTTTAATTCAGTCCTCAGCCCAATCTTGAATAGAAATATCTGAATCTAAGGCCTGCTCTATTATAATATCAATTAAATCTTGGAAATCTGCATTAGAAAATTGGTATTTCTTAATGTAACTTTTTAAGCTTTCTGCAAAAACTTCTTTACCTACCAAAAAATAAAGCTGTTTTAATATATACCATTATTGATTACTACAACCATCATCAATAGCAAGAATAATCTATTTTTAATAAAATAAAATATAAATAATTACATTTCTTCCTTAAAATTTTTTTAAATTTTAAATAGCTGAGCTTTTGTTATAAGAAATCCCATCAAAATTCGTCTCAGCTTGATTCGTATTTTCAATTATGCTCGAAATGGGGTGTGTAGTACTCAGCTCATCAATAGCATATCCACGCTTCTTATTGATAAAAAATTCAATCCAAGTATCAGGAAATTCCTCACAAAAAATGGTATCTTTTAGCTCCATGTCAAATGACAGCGGATTTTTGATATAAGTACATTTGGTCGAAAATTTTTAAATAGTGTGGCATTTGGTCGAAATTTAACTGTTGTTTTTGGTCAAAGGTCTCGTTTCAATCAATTTTCGACAAAATTTGCTTCGGTGAAATGCACACTATCAAAAGTGTGCGATCATTGGACCTGCACCCGCATCTTTTACCAGAAAAGACAAAAATGTCGCAAAGCTCTCTTTAAGCCACAAGTCGTTTCATCATTTCATAGTAACCACATTCCCAAACCACACATGGGACATTTCATGGAGAAAAACTCCTAGGTTCTGGGATTTCCCTATTTGTGAATTCCACCACATAATTCATTCAAGAAAAGTCACACAGCCAACGTTTTCCATAGCTGTCCATTTAAATTCTGGGATAAAAACTTGGTCATACTTAGAAAATGGGCATTTATTCTGGGCTATATTGAATTTTTAGTACGCTTAATAAGCTTATTTTTTAAGAAAAAATAATGGAAAAAGAATATAATCAAAAAATTCATTGAAAAATGCTAAACTTTTTATTGTCCAATTAAAAAAGGTGGTTGAGTCAAAATAAGAAGAAATAGATTTTCTACAGTAAAAGCCTAAATCTAAAGAAAGCTCATTGTTATCGTTTCGAAATTCTGAATAGGGTCCAGCACATACCGCGAATAAATAGGTGCTTATTTTAGGGGTTTTATGGAAAATGTGAAGGGATAAAGGGCTGGAAAACGGAATTCTAGGTATTGGGATAATTCTGGAATGCTTTTCGTTCGCAATTACTTTTCATGATGGCGGAGCAAAAACTGACAAGGAAAAAGAGGCTTTTAAGTTTGGCTGGTCAAAGCATGGAAATATTCGATTTGCTGCGAATGGGCTGCAGGTAGAATAAACATAAACTTCCTGGTCTTCTTTGTCTCTGTACTGTTGCAAGCCAGTTCCATCATGAGAATACTCATTTTCGAATTCGACTTCAACAAAATTTCTGCCTATTACTAAATCATTTAAATCAATTTGGCTGTTTTTGTATATAAAAGACTTTTGCCTTGCATTATTTATTGATAAAGAATGGACTTCTTTCCCATGAAAATCAAGGAAAATACGATTTTTTGTACTTTGGCAGAAAAACTCGGCTTTTAAGATTCCAGAGAACCCTGAATTCTCAGTGAGCAGCAGAGTTATATCGTATGATAATTCTGAGATAGTTTCAGCTCTTATATTGGCATCTAGTAAAGTAAGCATATATGTTGGTTCCTCCTCTCTGGGTCAAATTCTTTTGGACTAATTTTTTTTGGCCTATTTTTTTTTGGGCCTAATTTTTTTTTGGCCTAATTTTTTTGGCCTAATTTTTTTTAGCCTAATTTTTTTGGGCCTAATTTTTTTTAGCCTAATTTTTTTTGCCTAATTTTTTTTGGCCTAATTTTTTTGGCCTAATTTTTTTTGGCCTAATTTTTTTTGGCCTAATTTTTTTTGGCCTAATTTTTTTGGCCTAATTTTTTTGGACTAATTTTTTTGGCCTAATTTTTTTTTGGCCTAATTTTTTTTGGCCTATTTTTTTTGGCCTAATTTTTTTTTGGCCTAATTTTTTTGGCCTAATTTTTTTTGGCCTAATATTTTGGGCCTAATTTTTTTGAGTGGCGCATTAACTAATAATGAAAATTTAGTTATATCTTGCTTTGTTTTAAAGGATAAAGAGTAAATAGCATTTTATTGAACAAATTTATTAATCTAATTCGATAAGTTTTTGAAATTTTTTTTTTAAATTTTTATATATTTTATAAAAAATTTTATATTGATATTTTTTTTAAAAAAAAAAAATAGAACAAAATTTTTAGTTCCAATTTAAAGGGGGGAGTAAAGAATCTCTATTTTATAGATTATTGAGCTTTTAAGCCGAGGCCGATGGTTAAATCACTTCGAATGGCTGATTTCGCAGCTTTCTGTTGTCTCAAAACTCTCAAAGCAACTTCATTAGATACATCTTCCCAAGTTTTTGATAGCTAATATATTTTTTATATATATAAAAATTTGCATGATATGAAAATCGTTCGATCAAGGATGGGGGTTAATTTCCCTAAATTTTAGGAATTTTTACAGTCAATCGTTCGATCAAGGATGGGGGGGGGGAGTAAGCTTAAAATATGAGGAAAACAGGAAAATGAGCTCAGAGATATGCTTATATTTACTCATCAAAATATTAAGTTTAATATAAGAAGGAGTATTAAAGTTAGAATCTATCTCACATCCGCATAAATAACTTGAAAGTATTATATTATAGAGCATTGAGGAGTTGGATAGAGAAATTTTATCCCAAAAAATTAGGCCAAAAAAAATTAGGCCAAAAAAATTAGGCCAAAAAAATTAGGCCAAAAAAATTAGGCCAAAAAAAATTAGGCCAAAAAAATTAGGCCAAAAAAATTAGGCCAAAAAAAATTAGGCCAAAAAAAATTAGGCCAAAAAAAATTAGGCCAAAAAAATTAGGCCAAAAAAAAATTAGGCCAAAAAAAATTAGGCCAAAAAAAATTAGGCCAAAAAAAATAGGCCAAAAAAAATTAGGCAAAAAAAATTAGGCCAAAAAATATTAGGCACAAAAATATTAGGCCAAAAAAAATTTAGGCTAAAAAAAAATAGGCTAAAAAAAAATAGGCAAAAAAAAAATAGGCGAAAAAATATTAGTCTGAAAGAATTAGTCTCAGTGAGGGGTCACGTATATGTTTCCATTTTTTGTCTATAATCATATTTGTCATCTAATCTTTTAAAGTCTGTTAAAATACTTATCAAATTTAAAGAGCTTATATTTACAAAACTATGATTTTTGTAGCAATAATGAGTGCTTATTATGTTTATTGGTCTCATTAGTTGCATCACTCGCCTGCTCTGAGGCATTTTCCTTGTCAGATATTTGCTAGAAAAATCATTAAATTTTCTACAAGGAAAAACGTTCAAACAATCTCGAGGCAAATGCCGTTTTAGCAAAAAGTGCGCCTGGTCTCATTGTTTATTTTAAAGAAAAAGCTATTAATAAACAGAAATCGAATAGCAAAGGGTTGTTTTATATTTTAATCCAATCTTAGAAATTGTTATAAGTAATTCATAATGCAGTTTATTGATAAAAATTAATTTACAATTATCTAATCTTCATCAATCGGCCTACTTAAATTCCTAACTCTCTTTTTAGTCGAGTTCATAAGTCCGCTAAAAATTGCTTCATTTATTTCATTTATCCTCGAACTTTCATCAACAGACACTCTTCTTCTCCTACTAACTTGATTAATATCAGGCAGCCGTGTGCTGTTCGGCTGAGGGGGTCTTACAAAACAAGAGCCAAACCCAAAATCTGCGACAAGTTTACCTTCTTTAAATGATGAAAATCAAGGAAACTTTAATGCTTCTTTTGCTGAAGGACGGATTCTATAATCAGGCTGTGTGAGAATAAGGATAGCCCTTATCGCTGATTTTGTTTTACTTCTTCATCTTTGATCATTGAAATTTATGACACATTGTTTGTTTTTCATAAGGGTTTGTTTGGAGTTTCTGCCTGAAAAAGGTGTATGACCTGATAAAATCATATAAAGGACAATACCAACGCTAAAAACGTCGACTTTGTTTCCATAAGGAATTTTTCGTAAAATTTCAGGAGCGACGTAGCCAGGTGACCCACATCTTGCTGTGAGGTTTCCTTCAGAAACGCAGGCCAAATTAAAATCAGCTAGTTTAAAATCAGTATCCTTATCAGAAGAAACCAATAAAATATTATCCAGCTTTATATCTCTATGTACAACGTTCATTTCTGAAAAATACTCAAGCAATGACAGCAGTTTATAAGCAAGCTTAGATGCCTTTTTCTCATCAAAAGGCCCTTTATATAGAATTCTTTGTAGCAAGTCTCCTCCTTCTAAGTAGTCCAGCACCAAGTGTACATGGTTTTCTGACTCATAAACTTTATGCAATTTTACCACATTTTTATGATCTAATAATGAAAGTATTTCAATTTCATTTTTCAGTGCATTTATTCGACTTTCACTATTTAAATAAGATTTCTTGAAAGATTTTATTGCAACTTGTTTGAAATTATCCAAATCTTTGGCTAAATACACGATAGAAAATGCTCCAGAGCCTAATTGTTTTAGGAATTTATAATCATTTTCAATATCTGTCATAACTGCTAGCCTAGAAAGCTTATCAATTCATTTATCCAGATCATCAGAACTTTTTGCGTAAAAATATTGGGATTGGTTTCCAAAACAAATCCGGAAGCCAAATTTGTTGTCTTCTTTCCGCTCTTCAAGGAAAGGCTCAATTATTTTCCATCGTAGCTTTGTAGCTTTTTTTATTTCAGAAGTTGACATTGAGATCCCTATTAAATAAGATTTGGTGAGTCGGAAGTAGGTTTCATGTGATTTTCCAGTAGGCTTTACTTCCGTTAAGATGCCTCCGTGAATTATATTTGAACTCTCAGCGAGAATGTTAATATCTGGAGGAATCCAGAATTGATCATTTGAATTCTTATCAATTTCGTAAAATAGTGATTGCATTTTTATTATCTTTATGGCCTAATAGGGATTTAGCTCCTTATTATTGATTAATTAAAATAATGAGAAATATATGGAAAATTAAAAAGGAAAGTTAAGCGAGAAAAGATAAACTTTTGCCAATAATAATAGACTTGAATTGTTTTAAATTTTATAATAGATTATAAGCGTTATTAATTAATAAATAATATTAGTTGGAGATTTGGCTTTAATGTAGTGATCTTTATTAATTGAATTTTATTGAGCCCTTAAGGTTCCAATCATCTAAATTAAGAAGACTTTTTAAATTTTAAATCAAATTTTTCTTTAAAAACACCTAACCTTAGCATATTTTTCAAAAATAATTTTAACGCAAATTACCATTAAATATTATTAAAGATAAGAATAAGAATTATCAAATAAGCACTTTTTAAACTTTAAAAGGTAAAATTGCTCTTATTTTGCTACTTTTATATTGGTTAAGCATTTAAAATGGTTTAATTTCAAAATTTACTATTATTTATTATATTATGCATTAAAATATTTATTTCATAAACTTTAAAAACAGAAGAGCAAAATGGAGCAATGCTCTTTGTTTGGAATTTTTGGAGGACTTGTGCAGCTCACACTTGCTTCTATTTGCTTTTTCTCACTTTTTGGTAATTTTAACCCTTAAACTAAAACTTTATTAAACGCCTTGAATGCTTGCCTATTGGTAGCACTGTCACCAAGAATTTCCTGGGGTATTCGCCCTCTTTGCAATGTCGACAGGAAGAAATTTTTTTGAGTCGGGATAATTAATCTGCTGATAATAGCTCATGCTCAACTTTTCTTCTTTTTGACCACCTGACGCCATGCCACTTATTAAGTAGGGTTCTGTGCCTCCGTCTTCTCCTTGCCTTGCCAGCTTCAGTGTTGAGTGCGAAGTATATGGGCTTCTCCAGACAAAAAGTCAAACAAATGCAATAACTCTCGGCTTCATGTTAGGGAGTTGCCCGAATGGTCTAGTCATTGCCTGTAGACGATACTGAGTTTCCCCTTTCCAATTCTGTGCCTACCTTATTCCCCGAGGTAAAATCTAATCTTTAAAGCGGACAAGGGCTAGGTTCTATACATAACCAGAATTACTTAATATCATAACTGTCCATTTCTGGGTTTGCAAAATCTCGCAGGATACAAATAAAAAGTGCTCGAGACTGCGTTGTCCGGGCAAAGCCAGGCCGAGCCGCCATTTATTTATATTAGTAATTTTAACTCAGTAAAGAGATATTATGAACATCCGCCTCGTCCCTTAATTATTTTCATCCTAGTATTTTTTACTTACTTCCCCTTCCATGAATAAACAAAATATGGAAAAATCATATTCTCAAACAAAAGCCCAATTAAATAAAAAAATTTTTCATAAACGCAAAGTTTTTTGCTCATAACAGATTGGGAATTCAGGACACATCTAAACAAATAGTTTCTGCTATCCTTGCCCATGTCATGAACTTAATGGCAGCAGTAATCCTTACAAATCGCCAAGGAGATGAAAACCCTTGCTGCTGATATTTCATCAATATTTCAATAGACTGCACAATTGGAGTTTTCTCAGCTTACACTTTGCTTAAATTAGTAGAAAAAATAAGCTGGCATAAAGGATGGCTGAAACTCATAAGTGGCTATTACTCAGAGCTTTCTGAAGACGAGGTTGATTTAGGAATCTGGGCTTTACAGCTTATGTGCTGGGGGACAATTATTATTACGGTGATTTTTATGCAGACAAAGTGAATTTTAATTATTTTGATCATCATTTATTCTCAACAGCTCAGTGAAATAGGAAATTATGTATTAGAGCCTCTGGCTTCTAATCCCAGGGAAGAGCTGATAGTTGTTATGATAATTGTACCTCTTTTATTTAATATCATACAGCTATGGGTGTGTGATAGCTTTTTGAAAGCTAAGCCAGGGTCGAAATCGCCTGCGATTATTATGAGGGAGTCTATAGAGAAATTATAAGTAATAAACTAATTGAATAAGCAATAAACTTAGAGTAAATGATTATTAAAATTCTCTTATAAAAGCTTATGATTTCTCGTAATCTTATTAAGTTTATTTTCTTCAAATGATTTGAGCCTTAATTTGAAAGAAATAAAGCAAATTAAATAACTTTAAAGAAGCTTTAATAATGTTTAATGTTAATTTCCACAGCATTTCTTTTCTTGCGCCTTAGGGTTCGTTGCTAGCTGTGTAGCCAAATGATTAGTTTGAGATTTACTTAACTTAGATTTATGTAATGAGTTCTCGGCCAGCCATATCGGCTTTTAACTTCCCTTGCTCCACTCCACCCTTTTACTCGTCAGTCCGATTAAACGGCCTGAAGGCACGTGCTGATCCCTCCGGATGAGAGCATGCATCTGACACTTGGAGGTAAAGATTCTGGGTGACCCTATCGCATATCAATGGGAGATCCCCTTAGAAAATTCAAAAAGTTAAATATTGGCCCGAATGAAACTTGCAGGCCAGGACGAGCTCCTATTTACGTTGGGCATTCTCCGAAAGCCAAGTTAACGCTTTGACATTACCGATCAATTGCTTTCCAATTCCTTCCTCTCTCAAGATAAGATGCTACCCTGGATGTTAACTTGCGGTCGATCAGCCCGACATTGCGCTTCACCAGATCAATTAAAACTCAGCCAGACATGCTCACCACTCATTACTCTCCCAGTTATTAATAATTCAAGTTCATTCGTCACACTAATTTTAAGCGAGATTAGTCTGAGACATTCTCCCAGACCTCGTGTTCCCAGCCTGACTCTTTACATTATAAATAGCCTGTAATAGCCCTTCAAATGCTTCTTTAACCCTTACAATAGTAATAGCTGAAGTTTCCTCAAACAGGAGCCCATTTTCCATAGCAAACCTCGCCCCTTGTTCCTTTGTGATCTTTCTGGAATCAGGATTTCTGTCACACAAGTCCACTTTATTGCCCACTAATAAAATTACTATATCAGGCTCAGCATTTTCCCTCAATTCCTCCATCCACCTCTTGACGCTTGCAAAGGTTTTCTCATTAGTTACGTCATAAACTAGTAAAGCTCCTACGGCTCTTCGATAGTGGGCACATGTAATTGCTCTATACCTTTCTTGGTTCCTTCACACTGCCTATTTCATAATGACTTTTTTTTTTTGGCTTTTCACTTATTTTTTTTTTGCCTAGTCTCATTCATGAAGCTACTGAAAAAACTAAAGCCTTATTGAGAAGCGGAGACATTTCCCTACGCAAGTAGTATTGAGTAAATTAAGTGGAAAACTCTAAAATTCTCGAAATTTAAAAAGCAATGAATTAGTATTTGAAGAGTAAGAGACCTATTAAGTGACATTTTTTGCTGGTAAAATCGTTTAAAATATATTAAAAATTAGATCAAAATATTAGTGTGGAATTAGACCCAAATATTAGTAAAAAATAGCTAAAAATTGGCCCAAAAAATAGGGAAAATAAGTGAAAAAAATAGTCGTCATGAAATAATCATTGTGTGAAAATACGACCTTTCTTGGCCTGCTGTGTCCCATATTTGAGCTTTTACAATTCCTCCAGACTCTAATGGAACAGTGCGGGTTGCAAACTCAACTCCTATAGTCGAGGTTGGGTTTTTTGGAAGCGTCCCTTTGATGTAGCGTGATAATAAATGGGTTTTTCCAACTCCGGCTTCACCTACTAAAACGATTTTGTAAAGGTAGTCGTAGTCTTCATCGTGAGTCCTTTGCATTTTAGAATTATTTTAAAACATCAAAAATATTCAAAAATTAGAAAAATTTCAATAAAAATTAACAAAAATACCCTGAATCTCCTTTTCTTTATTTCTCAAGAAGGTATTTTCCTGCATAATAATGGTTCTTTTTACGTATAAAAATTCTTATTTAATTCAGAATTTGTTTTATACTGCGAAAACCCCTCTAGAGCCGTTATAAAATCTTGTCCTTAATGTCACTGATTTCCTTACTGAATAATAAATGGCAAAATCAAAAAAACAAGTTTTACTCCTGTTTCTCCTCATTTCCCTTGCATCAGCCTATACAACAAAAACCATTTCTAGCAGCGTTGTCCTTGGGTGGTACTTCCCTACTACGGCAACTATAACATTTTACCTCTCAGTCCCTACTTCAAATTTGTCAAGCAAAAGCTGAGGCTACTATGGCTTAGGTTTCAAAACATCTGGAAGCAGCTCAAAGATGTCAGGGGCAGATTGCGTCATAGCTGTCTTATCAAAGGGAACTGTGGACAGTGTTGCTTGCACAGGAAATAATTACACCCCAGAAGACTCATTCTCATTGTCAGGAATTACATCATTTGTGAATGGGACAAACACTGTATACCAATGGACTAGAGATTTGAGTGGAGGTACTAATCATATGACTTTAGCTGGTGGGACTAGTTATAAGGTCATTTGGTGCTATGGGCAATATTCAGGAGATTATATACAACATTCGAAGGATGGAAGCATCAGTCTTACGCTGACTTATGACGCAGAAGCTCCAGGTTCTTCAAACTCTGGAGGCTCAAGCTCAGGTGGATCAAGCTCAGGTGGCTCAAGCTCTGGTGGGTCAAGCTCAGGTGGATCAAGTTCAGGTGGCTCAAGCTCTGGTGGGTCAAGCTCAGGAGGCTCTAGTGATTCAACCACCAATAGCACATGGGTTACTTTGACAGGGTCAACTAATTTGACACCTGATGGAACTCTATCATCTGCATACAGCCTCAGTCTTGCGAGCATCTTGGCAATTTACCTAGCTATATATTAAATTTTAGTAAATATACAAAAATTTAAAATCCAAGTGCTAAGACTTCTTTAGATTTCACAGAATGGCTTAACAGCCTACATTTACGAAAAGAAAGAATTTTTACTAAGAAATTTTTGAAATCCAAATTTTTTTATTTCTGGGAAATATATTTTTTATTAGGATTTATTTAAGAATTTGTCTTGCTTGCATAGCATTTTGATAGCTTTTTTCTTGATTTATTGTAAAATTAAAAAAAATTCCATACAAATTTGTAACGCTTCAAATGTCAAGAAAATAGCATATGGAGATTTTAAACAAATTTTAGCTTCGCTATAAATGGTGCTCTTCAAAGCAATAATTTCTCTCTTCATCCTTTCCTTCTCCCTAACCTCAGCCTACACTGCAATTGAAATTACTAGCAACATATACTTGGGTTGGTATTTTCCTTCAACCACAACTATACAATTTTATCTTTCAGTCTCGACATCAAAGCTGTCAGAAAGCAGCTATGGCTCCTCTCATGCTTTTTCTATAGGAATAAATTTCTTGAAGACATTTCCTGAGTTCGAAATTTTTCAAGTCGAAAAATAGTTAGACTTAATTAGGAAAAATTTTAACTAAACGCCAGCAAGGAAATGTCTTTGGGAAAAAAGGAAAAAAAAGCTTGTTACGATGGCTACGTTGGTCTTGGCTTTAAGTCTTCTGGCAGTGCTACGGATATGGTTGGAGCAGATTGTGCACTTGTTGCCTTATCCCAAAAAACCATTGAAAGTGTCCAGTGCGTCGCTGATGCTTACCCAGCTTCAGATACATTTTCTTTATCTGGGTTTACTTCATATACCAATGGAACTTTCACTGTATATCAGTGGTCAAGAGCCTTAAGCAATGGAGGAACATCTAACCATATGACTTTGGTGTCAGGGACTGAGTATAAGCTTATTTACAGTCATGGCCAGTATACAACGCAACCAATCCAGCATACAAGTGAGGGAGGTACAACCTTGAAGTTGACTTATGATACAGTAGCTCCTCCTGCTGCAAACTCTGGTGGTGATGGAAATCCTACTGATTCCTCTTCTGCTATTATAGGAATTGGAATAGTCACTTTATTGATGGTGAACTAAATAACTAAATAGATTTCATATAATTACCTAATTTCATATTTGAGCCTGCAGCGTCGTTTATTGATACTTAATAAAAGAAATTCTATTATTATGTTTTAACTTACTTAAATCTGAGAATTAAGCAAATTTGTCTTTTTACTTTATGTTTTTAAATGAAGAATTAAAATTTAATTAATTTCTATTGAAATAAAAATTATTTAATTTTGAAAGAATTTCGAAAAAAACTCTTAATTTTATCAATTCGTCCTTTATTAGTAGAAAGATTTTCGTTAGTTATTAAAAAGTTGGAATTTTTATAAATAAAAAAAGTATTTCTATTAATCTTAAAATAATCGAAATGATAAATCTGATTTAATTTTATAAAATTATGTTTTAGAATGCAAGCTGCTTCAAGCTTAATATATGAGATTCCATTATTATAGATTTACCCTATTACCCAAAAATAGGAATTTTTTTTAATGGATTTTGTCCATTAGCCAAGTAAGGGAAGATATTTAAAGCTTTGCTCATTATTAATTTGAGGGAAAAATTAAATAATGCTGAAGGATGACATTTTAAAGAGCTCAAAAGTTATAAAACAGCTAAAAAAGCCAATAACTAGAATATTAAATAATATATATCGCGGTAAATTAAGATAATAATAATCATTATCTTACTTCACATGTGAATTCTATTCCGATACATGAAATACGATTCCACCTGCAAGAATCCTAAATAATTTGTATAAGAGAGGACATAATACCTCCAGTATAAATATCGAAAAGTTTGACGTCATAAAATATTATTTTTTGCAATAAAAAACTATCGAATAATATGACTACCTAACTCCTCCCAGAAAATTTATTACTATAGTTGCAGAAAAATAATATCTTTATTAATAACAACTTTAAATTATAAGTTTGATATTGCTCATAAATAACTTATTTTCACATATGACCTTATAGGTTTCGTTCAATGGCATCTATTATTTTCTTTTTTCCCAATTAAATAACCAAAATAAATTTGAAAAATTAATATTTAAAAATGGCTTTAAAAAAATTACAGCATTTTTTTTTTATAAAACAAATATTTTTTAAAAAACTAGAAGGTCATTTTTTATTAAATGAGAGGGAGATTTAGAGGAAAAATAATCAATTTTATTTATTACTAACTATTCTTAGCCCTATATTGGAGAAAATTTCCTTATCGGATTATAAATGTCTTTTTTCAAAATAGTGGTTTTATTTTTGCTCTTGTTCTCTTTTCTTACCTCAGCCTACACAACAAAATCAATCTCAAGCAGCGTTACCTTAGGTTGATATTTTCCTTCAGAAACCACAGTCACATTTTACCTTTCTGTTTCCACATCAAAATTGGCAAGTAGCAGCTGAGGGTACTATGGTCTTGGAATTAAATCTTCAGGCGGTAATAGCCATATGGAACAAGCTGACTGCTTAATTATTGGCTTATCAAGCAAATTTGTTAAAAGTGTTTCTTGCACAGGTGATTATTTTCCCCCTTATAGCGCCTCTACGCTTTAGAACTCCTGGCCCCGATATCTCCGGAGAGGATCAAGATTTGTTTTACAAAATTGAAGCACCAAGCTTTGCCTTGGCAAATCCACCCAACAATTACATGTTGAAATTGTAGGGCTGACCCTATCATCATAAATTTGTGAAATCAAAGAAGACATCAGAACTATGGAAGTCCAAAGGCGTGGGGACAATATATGATTCATTTTCTTTGACTGAATTCACATCATATGTGAACGGAACTTATACAGTATATCAATGGACAAGAAATTTAAGTTCAGGAGGAACTACAAATCATATGACACTTGTATCAGGGACTTCATATAAGTTGCTTTACTGTAATGGACCTTACCAGTCTCAAGCAATTCAGCACTCAAGTCAAGGAAGTACCTCTATAACGCTGACATATGATACAGTAGCTCCAAATTCTTCAGGATCTTCAAGTAGCAGCTCTTCAAGCGACACAAATAAAATGGCGACGACACCGACCCGTCCTCTCCCGAACCTGTAGTGTGATTGGGGACCTTGCTGCGGCCTGAAGCCAATCCACTCAGGGAAAGGTCTGATATGGGTACTGGTATTTGTGTCCGGCTAGGTTTCGCTCCCGGTCCAGCAATGACGATTTTCGGATCGTCCCGACGGGACATGGGACAAAAAAGAGTTTTCCTCTAGGGACTGCTGGTGCCCAAATCGGACGGCACAGCAGATGCCGATAAGAGCTAGGGAATTAATCCCTAGCTCTAATCCTAGTCGACGACGTGAAGCATGGTGACCCAGTCCGCCTACTTCCGGAATTTCATGACCAAGCCCCATGACCGGAAGGAGCCGAGTGGTAGCCTGTGGCACTTAGGTGTACACTGGGAGCAGGGCAAGGAAAGCAAGCGAGGCGACAAAAAGGAGGAAGAAAAGGACCTACGGTCCTGGCCGGGAGCTACTCAATAACATATAATTAAGATTAAGATTAAGTAGCTCTTCAAGCAGTGGATCTTCTAGTAGCAGCTCTTCTAGTAGCAGCTCTTCAAGTAGCGGATCTTCAAGTAGCAGTTCTTCAGGTAGCAGCTCTTCAAGCAGCAGCCCTTCAAGCAGCAGCTCTTCAAGCAGCAATTCTACAAGCAGCAATTCTACAAGTAGTGATTCTTCAAGCAGCAATTCTACAAGCAGTGATTCTTCAAGCAGCAATTCTACAAGCAGTGATGACTCTTCCAACAGCAGTTCTTCAAGTAACAGCTCTTCGAGTAGTGGGTCTTCAAGCAGCAGCTCTTCAAGCAGTAGCTCTTCAAGTAGTAGTTCTTCAAGCAGCAGTTCTTCAAGCTCTAATGGAAATTTGCAGACTGAATTTACATTAACTCCATCTGGAACACTTTCAAGCTCTTTATATTTTGTTTTAAACAGTATAGCATCGCTACTGATAATCGCCTAATGTAAAATAATATTTATTTACTTAATATTTCCAGTTTTTTTATGGACTCAATAATGGTATGCTTTATTTAATTATAATCTAAAAACAAAATTTATATGATTTCTCAAAGGAAATAAGCAAATTGCATTTAATTCTTGATTAATTTGCAATAATTTTTTTTACTATCATTGATGTCATTTTTAATTTAAATATTTTTTTAAAATAATTTGTATAAGAGAAAAGAAACTATTTAATATTTTCTTGAAAATTTAAAAATTATCTTAAATGAAATTTAATTTTGAAAGAAAATTAAAGTCAATTTCATGGTGCAAACTTTATTTATCAAAAAAGATTTGTAACTAAACCTTTAAACCGAGCTAAATGTTCATAACCAATTGAGTAGGGTTAATAATAGAGATTATGATTCATTTTTAAATCTTTTGGATGTATTTTTTTTTGTCAAGCTTGAAACCCCTCAGTGAATGCCAAAGATATTATTAATTCACAAGATCGCAGAAAACTCAAAATTTCATTGAGCATTTAGGGATTTAAAATTTTAGATGGAGGTTAGAGAGTTTTTTATAAAAGAGTAGTCAAAAGAGAGAATTATTTTGGGATAAAATAGCAACCTTGAATGATTTTTGTTTGATTTTAATTATGAACTCTTAGAAATGCCCAACCTCAGTCATTTTTAAGCATAGGGTCAAGTGAGATTAAATTTTGTTGTTTCCTATAAGGTTGATGAAATATATCAATCCATCAATCTGCAACCTTCAAGTTTTTATACAAAATCTATTAATTTTACATTGCTATAAAAGAAAAATTACCAAAACTTGAGTCTCCATCCTTATTTTAAGTGCGAGAAAGGGCTGGAGTTAAATAAAATAAGAGAGAAGATATTTTAGTAGTCAGTTTAGATGAAGTATGCCATTGCTTTTGAATCGCATCGAGGCTATAAGTATGGAAAGGGTTCCTAATGAGGATTCGAAACCTTAAACTCCAAATCATAAGAATTCAAAATTTAAAAAGATAATTACAGACAAAGCGAAACCGTGCTCATAATATAATTTTTTCCCTTAAATTTCTTTTTTAAATCGAAAAAGTTTTCTTTATTCACGGACTAAGTCTTCTTGCTCCATTAACTCCTCCTTTAAATTAGAGCAGTATGAGTCCCATTTTGCATTCAGAACTTATTGCGCCAGCAAAAAAATGGGTTCATAGAAAACTTAAAGAAAGAGAAGAGACCAGATGTAATGAGATCTGGTCAGAAAAGGAATTGATTAAATACAAAACTATAGAACTGATCTGAAGATTCATTTTATAGTGATGAGCAATATTGACATGAAGATTGAGAGGATATGAGTGATGAATTCGTTTGCGAAGAGAGATTCCATACTGAGCTGGCAATTGAAGAATTGGCGAGATTGGGAGAAGATATACTGCGAGATGGAGACGTGAAAGTACTATAAGGAAAAATTAAAGTGGATGAAATATGAAGAGAAAAAGTAATGCTTGAGAAGAGCCATAATGAAAAGGCATAATAGCTTAACGGAATATAATGATTTTATTTAAAAATTTTTTATTAATTTTTTCAAAAATAAAATTTACCTCGTTTAAATTTGAACAGAAATTTTGTATCAATTTAAAAGGGAGTGTAAAAGAATAATCGCGGCATCTCTGTTCTTCCCTCTAAATTCCATTTTCGAAACAAATTCTAAATTCGGCAGTTATAGGCTTAATTTAATGGCGATAATAAAAAAATGAGAGAGATTGTTCATGTGCAAGGAGGACAATGCGGCAACCAGATCGGTGCCAAGTTCTGGGAAGTCATTTCTGACGAACACGGAATTGACCCTACTGGTACCTACCACGGAGACTCCGACCTTCAGCTTGAAAGAATTAATGTCTACTACAATGAAGCCACTGGAGGCAGATACGTCCCAAGAGCAGTCCTTATGGATCTTGAGCCAGGCACCATGGACTCAGTCAGAGCTGGCCCATTCGGACAACTCTTCCGCCCTGACAACTTTGTTTTCGGACAAAGTGGAGCTGGTAACAACTGGGCAAAAGGACACTACACTGAAGGCGCTGAGCTCATTGACACAGTTCTTGATGTTGTCAGAAAAGAAGCTGAAGGTTGCGACTGCTTGCAAGGTTTCCAGATCACCCACTCCCTTGGAGGTGGCACTGGCTCTGGTATGGGCACTCTTTTGATCTCAAAGGTCAGAGAAGAGTATCCAGACAGAATCATGGAGACCTTCTCAGTCTTCCCAAGCCCTAAAGTCTCAGATACCGTCGTAGAGCCTTACAATGCAACTCTTTCAGTCCACCAACTTGTCGAAAACTCTGATGAAGTCATGGTCATTGACAACGAAGCTTTGTACGACATTTGCTTCAGAACCCTCAAGCTGACCACCCCAACCTATGGAGATTTGAACCACCTTGTCAGTGCCTCCATGTCTGGAGTTACCTGCTCAATCAGGTTCCCAGGCCAACTGAACGCTGATTTAAGAAAACTCGCTGTCAACTTGATCCCATTCCCAAGACTTCACTTCTTCATGATTGGCTTTGCTCCTTTGACCTCCAGAGGTTCCCAACAATACAGAGCCTTAACAGTCCCAGAACTCACCCAACAAATGTTCGATGCCAAGAACATGATGTGCGCCAGTGACCCAAGACACGGTAGATACCTGACTGCAGCCGCCATTTTCAGAGGAAGAATGTCAACCAAAGAAGTCGACGAGCAGATGTTGAACGTGCAAAACAAGAACTCCAGCTACTTCGTCGAGTGGATCCCTAACAACATGAAGTCTTCAGTCTGCGATATTCCACCTAAAGGACTTAAGATGGCCGTCACTTTCATTGGCAACTCTACTGCAATTCAAGAGATGTTCAAGAGAGTCGCCGAACAGTTCACTGCAATGTTCAGAAGAAAAGCTTTCTTGCATTGGTACACTGGTGAAGGTATGGACGAGATGGAATTCACTGAAGCTGAAAGCAACATGAACGATTTGGTCAGTGAATACCAACAATACCAAGACGCAACCGCTGAAGAAGAAGGAGAATTCGATGAGGAAGAAGAAGCAGCTGCATAAGTTAAAAATATTTAAACAATATGTCTTAGAAAGCTGAAAGGCTATAATAAATACGAAATTAGTTGGATAATTTATAGTTATGATTTTTATTGACAGCCAAACCCCTCAAAGTTTTATTTAAAAACGGCCTTGAAGTAGTTGGGCGGCTCGTTGGGGGTTTCGGGATGCCTTCTAAAATCCATTCGTGGCTCAGAGCCTCATCTGGAGTTATTCTTTTCCCTGGGTCTCACTCAAGACATTCTGTATAAACATTACTTATAATTAAATCCAAAAACAAAGCGTCGTCTGTTTTAATCTCATCTCTTATGTCTTTGGCTGCTGGCTTGTGGATTTTTCCCTTAGAGTTAGGAACGAGTCTTGGGCTGCCACTGCTGTTGAAAAACACCTTTCTGCGAGTGGCCATTGCTAGCACATCCTCTGGAGGAACTCCTCTGATCTCCATGATATACTGAAGCTGCTCAGCTTCACTTTCGCCTGGAAACAGGGCATTTCCAGTAAAAAGTTCAGCCAAGATGCACCCAGCAGACCACATGTCAATGCTATAGCTATATGGGATCCCCAAAATGATTTCGGGCGCTCTGTAAAATCGTGACTGTATGTAGGTATAGACTTTTTCTGACTCAAAGCACGAGGAGCCAAAGTCAATGACTTTTAATCCTGATTTATTAGCTTGCTTCAGCAGAATGTTTTCTGGCTTTAAGTCGCAGTGGATTATATTGAGCTTTTGTATGAATTTCAGGGAAAAAAAAATTTGGATTGCAAACCGCCGAATTAAGGAGAGCGAGAGGCCTTCGAAGTTGTTAGACTTTAATAGGTCATACAGTGAAGAACTCAAAAGCTCAAAGACTAAGCAAGTATGCTTTCGAAAAATGAAGTGGTCCTCAGCGCGAATCACGTTGTTAGCGTTATCAGGGTCGTATTTTTTTAAAGTGTCTAGAACTTTAACCTCAACTGCAGCTTGATGTCTGAACCGTTTCTTACTTTTTACAAGTTTGATGGCTACGTTTTGCTTAGCTTTATGGTCAAAACACTTGCATACCTGCCCAAATGATCCTTTTCCTAGCAATTGTAAAATTTCATATCGATAGGCAATGTGGTCCCCTTTATACAGCTTGAAGTTTCCTTTTTCATCGTCAAAGCCGTAATTCGGGCCTTGAGAAGTACCGCTCTTGCTTGACTTAAAACCCAAGTAGTAAATTTCTTTGTATTCCAAAATTTCTGATTGCTCATAATTTGTCAAAGATTCTCGAAATAATTTTAAAGCAGTACCAGCTGAGATTGGCTTCTGCAAAGAAGAAAACTCAATCTGAGGGTCAATTTTGGTCTTCTGAAGCTCCTCTTCTCTTGGCTTGGATGGTGGCCGAGGTATTCTTACGCTTCTTTGAGAGGAATTCAAAACTGTGGAATTTGAAGTAAGCGAGCTGTTCAACGAGGCATTAGTGAGGTTTAGACCTGGGTTTCCGCGTCTCTCGCGGAGAGATCTGTAGGTGATAAGCTTTGAGAGCGGGAGGAGGGGGACTGAGGGCTTGGTTATCACTAAAGAGTTGTTAGATGGGGTTATATCAGAATTTGTGACGATGCTATTGAGAGTTGTCGTTAGAGTTGACCCTAAAAGGAGTCCTCGGTTGCGGATATTCGTCTTCGTTTGGCGAGAAAGACCTCTAAGTGCTTTAATTTCATCGATTTTTGATCTAGGAGTTGATCGTTTACTACTCATTTTAATTTAATTGTAAAATTTAGAAGTTGAAAAAACGCAAAATTATTTTTATTTGTTTATAAAATTCAAATGAAAATTCTCAATAAAGCAATTTTTACTTACCCGAAAAACCTTTTCTTCAATTACTATCATACAATTAAAAAATGGCGAGCCACCCGACCCGTCCTTCTCCTGTACCTCAGGGACTACGGGTTTAAGAAGTAAACGGGGCCTGGGTATTGTGTCCAGGGTGGGTTTTTTACCTTGGTCGGGACACCACGACAAGGTTTTTACCTCTCACAAAGACAAGAAGACCAGAGCCGATGTATCAGGAGTCAAACTTCAGGACTAGAAGGGAAAGTGAGGAAGATCTTATGTGGGGAGCTTCGGGGACCTGAAGGAGACTCCGGGAGGCTACTTTTCTCCCTCCCCGGAAAGGACGGCGCCGGGTCACTAGACCCCTGATCAAGGAGTACCTGGGTGAGTCTCCCTGTTAGATGGCGACGTCACCATTTTTTGGTGACGTCGACAGAAAATGGAGTGAGCTACAGAGCCGGTGCATAGGGCGCGAGCCTGAAGCTGGCAGTGCTGGGTAGAGGCTGAAATAAACCTCCGTGACCCGCTAGCTAATTAATCTAATCTAATCTAATCAATTACTATCATAAATTAGATAAATCAGAAAGTAATAAATAAGCTAGTGAAAATGCATATTTCTACTGTTTTCTAAAAAATCCACTAAAGCACATAATTCTGATCAGCTAATAGCCATAATTATTTCTAAATGAAAAAGCATTTGATTTGCACATTTTATAAATTTTTTTATATACAAAATTTTGGCAGCATTAATTCAGAGAAGAAAAAAGCACAAGCAATTTACTCAAAATTTCCAATTTTATTTGTTGCTTAAAATTATTCAAAAAGCTAAAAAATACAATCTGAATTTTCATGACTTCTTATCCCTCATTAAGATTAGTAATAAAATCTGCGGTAATGGATACTCAAGTAATCATCGGAGGTCTAGTTGCGTGTTTAGGTCTTGGATACCTAGCTTATCGTTATTCTGATGACGGGACATCAGGATCAATTGCCCTCACAAGGGACGATGTAGTCAGAATCCTCAAAGAGCTCCGTACTGAACTTATGAATGTCTATATGCAGATCTCAGGATTCGTAATGAGCATCAGAGAGCAGATGGGCGGCAGAATTCCTGACGAGTACATAAAAGAAATTATTATGAGCCAAACACCAATCAATGAGCAGCTCTCCAAAGTTGTAGAGAAGGTCCTTCAGAAAAACTCAACTACAAAGGAAGAATTTGAAAAAGCCTGCACTGTCACCTTTGCTGGCGATAGCGAAATTGATCAGCTTATGAAAGATGCCAAAAAAGCTCTCGAGGACTCATTTGCTGGTATCACCCCCACTCTAAATGAAGATCTGCCTAGTTTCCTCACTTCTGAGCTGACATTAAAGATATTCTCTGAGATGAATAGCGCGACTCTAGTGAGCATGTATGATATCATTGAGGACATAAAATCTAAAGGAATAACTAACCCTAATAGTCCTGAGTTCCAAATGGAATTCCAAAGGCAGAGCCCAAAAATTGAAGCAGGGACATTTAAGGTGTTTGAAAAGTATGGTCTTACTGAATTAAGCTCGTCTGCTAATCTTCTTATGCAAACTGCTATACAAAAATACAGCAAAACAGACAGGAATTTTGCAGGTTATATGAGTATATTAGCGCAGCAAACTGAGCCGCAAATTCAGGCAGTGATGACTGGTCGGATCACCGCTAATCAAATTGAAGCATTAAGATCTCAGCTGTATGACGAGCCGAAGGTGATAGAAATTGAAGAAGAAAACCTAATCCAAGAGCTTGAGAACCCAAGAGAGGTTAAGGAAGAAGAGTTTGAAAACGAGGATCTGCTAGAAGGAGAAGTTGCAGCTTAAGTAATAATAATGATATTCATGCCGAAGTCCAATCTTTCTAGTATTTCCCATCTCCAACAAAAGCTTAATTGCTAAACAATTAATAAGTATTTTTTTAAAAGAATAAGGGATCCTGCTGGCTATAAATTCACTATAAATTAATAGGTTTTCAGTATGCAAAGTTTGGCATACTCCATTTCAAAAAAAATAAAAGATTAATGAATGTTAGAGAAGGGGAAAACAGTTTAGACAATGAAAATTGCTTCTCTTTAGGGAGCAAGCCCAACCACAAAGGAAATTCAATTGTACCTATGAACACTGAAAAAGCGGAATCCGAAATCTCTGAAAAACCCAAGCATGAGCCCGAAGAACGGACTTGCAGGATCTGTCTTGAGCCAGAAGCCCCAGAAAACAAGCTGATATCACCTTGCAAATGTGCAGGCAGTGTAAAATATGTTCACGAAGAGTGCTTAAAAACCTGACTGGCATCCCTCGATGAGGACATAGAAAACGGGAAATGCGAGCTCTGCAGCACAAAATTCTTAATGGACTACAAAATTAAGTGGCGGTTTCTCCCAAAGGACGCTTGCAAAGAAGGAGTCGCTCAAATCCTGTTTGTCCCTTTGCTATTTGCGGTTATTATCATGCTCTGTTTGATTTTGTTCTTGCTGTGCTCAAAGTACTTACTTGAAGCCCAAGGCGAGGAGCAAGGGTACATAATAGCGCTGATCCTCACTTGTGTATTTTCTATCTTAGTCCTCTCAATCCTGGTAGTCAACGCAATGAAGAAGCTCTGCTTTGTAATTCATCTGGACGAATGGCACATACATGATCAGGTTTTCCAGCCTGAAGAGCAGCAGGTAAAGGTAGAGCAGACAATTGAGAGAACAATGTCAGTCCCTCCTGTGCTTGTGATTCCTAAGTCGATCAAGCTTAAAGGGAAAAGAGTTAGAACTCCATCGCTGAGGCCCGCAATGACACCTGTGAATCGAGGAAGCAGGGTCGTTGGCTTTACACCGAGGTATATGACGCCTGGAGTTAGCATGATGTCTGCAAGCCAAAGCATTCTAACTCCCATGCACACAGATCCATGCACTTTTCGAGACACAAAGGCGCGGCAAAACAACTCAAAGCTGCCATTTCTTGATGAGAGCTTTTTTGAATAAGCCCGAGGCTTATTATTTGTGCTAATATCTTAAGAAGCAATTTATATACCAAATCATCATTGGATTTTTCATTAAACAGATACTAAAGAATATAATAAAGTTCTATTGAATTTTGCTTACTTAAAACTCCATCATTTAATAAGATTACTTATTTTCTGAAATTGCTTTCATCAGATTGGAGAAGTCTGGAGTAGCCCCAAGCTCCACGGCGCCAGGACTAGTGATGAAGACTTCATCTGTAAGCATAACTCCATCAGGCAATGGGAGTTTAACTCCTTGCTCCATTAAATAAGAGTTGATTTTCATAACAATGGAATAAGCGCTATAGCTAAAAGCAGCAGCTACTTTGGTAGAACTAATAGTTCCGACATTGCTGTTCAAAATCTGGAAATTTGAGAACTGAATTGCAAGCTCATCGAATTCTCCATATAAAAAGACGCCAGAATCAGTATTTTCCAAATAGGCACTCAATAAATTAGACAACGTCATTTGAGTTCTGAACGCTTTGGCAGTAGTTGTAGAGTTCACATGGACAATAAAATCGCAATATAGGTTGGCTGTGATATTTACATTTTGGCCAATCACTGCAACAGGAGCCTGATAAATGTTACAGCTGACATCAACTTGCTTGCTTGAGCCATAAGCTTTGCTTAAATTTGGAACCACAGGTACTAGGCCAGTCGTTGTCATTTTCAATGGAAAGTTTTGAGCTTGAGAGCCTATAAGATAATAATTAAGAAGCCCAGCAGTCTGTATGCTCCAAAAATAGGTATTCAGGAAGTATTCAGTGAATTGGATTCTTACCCCTTCATCTGAAGCCCAAGCTGGAGGCTGGGCAGCTTGAGTAACTTGTGGGGCAACTTTGGGCTGGCTTGTGAGGTAAAAAGTTCCATTGATATCGCCTTTAATATGTTGCTCGTCAGCTATTGCGAAATCTAGAAAGTGATAGTCAACAGTGGTATAATTGGTAACAGCATAAGTGTAGCTCAGTTTGCTTAAAATCTTCTCAATTCCAGGATTCAACGATTCTCCTAGAGTGGAAGCATATTTTTTAATAGAATGCCCTGCAAGCTTGTTAAATGGCCAAAATCCCTCACTCCCTTTCTTAGTGAGCAAAATTTTTTTGCTTGAGGATTTATATAATTTGATATTTTAAAAAATTCTATCTGTAAATATTTGACAGGAAATAAAATTTGTTTAAAGATGTAGTAATGCAAAAGAATCGCTGATTTTCATAATTATAGTCATTAACTACAATAAAAGTATCATTTGTGAAAAAATTGCTATATTAAAACATTTTTGCTCACTCACTATCCCCAAAAATAAAGTTATCCTATTTTGCTCTTAAAGAAGGGAGTTAAAGAACTGTATTAATCTGAATATTCTGTTATTTGTGCTAATTGATACTTTCAAAGATGCCAGCTCATCCTCATCGATTTCTCCAACTTGGAAGTTAATTTTACCATTTGAGTCACCAATTGAAATCGGGAGAACAAATGAGCCGTTAGTAAAGGTGATATCCATCGTTCCGGTTACTGCAAATGGAAATCTGAACTGAACATTCATGGATAAGGCAAATGTAAAGTTTGTTACACTTAGACTGATTGTGGATTTTGATGGATTAAATATGATATTTGTGTTATTACTGGATAACTCAAGCTGAGAAAGTGTAATATTAGTGAAGATATATGTTGACAAGGTGCTTGTAATGTTTACATCAGGAATTTTTTCAGTCTGAGCTTTACTGACAACGTAGGAAATAAACTCATTTTTCAGATTCTGTAATGCGGATTGTGCAACAGAGACTCGCACTGCTGGTTCTGCAGCAGAGCATAGTGCAATTACTGATAGAAAAATAATTGAGCAGCAAGCCATAATTATTTCGACATCACCTTTGAGTTCAGATATGGCAAGTAAATGCAAATAAATTATTTCTATAGCAATTTAAGAAGATTTGTACGAGTTTTATTATTTAATGAATAAATATTAAATTGAAAATAAATAATGCATCACTTATAAGAAATCCCAGAAATCTGTTTATATATTGTTCAAATTAGCTGGAGAAGACACCTTTTGCATCTAAGCTATAACTCAAAATAAGTTGGTGTAGAGAGATAGCATCAATTTTTGAAGGAAAGAAAAGTTTTGAACTGAAAGGATATATTTAGTCTTTAAAAGATGTGCTTAAATTATTATTTGGCTAACTTCTGAGTGTATTGAGCGACCAAGATATTTTGCTTATCAATGGAGGCCTTTTTTATTCGAAATTATATAAATAACTAATTTAATTTATAAAACTTTTTTAGGGATGAAATTTGTCTTCAATATAGTTTGTTTAGATTCCATGATTATTTGATTATTAGGCTTAATATATATTAAATATTTTTTTATATAATAGCTTAATTCCCTAAAAAATAGGGATTTTCTAATATTTTTATTCACTAACTAACAAAATAAGGGGATGCAAGTATTTCGCCCAAATATATAAAGGGTATAAAATACAGAGAACTAAAAAATCAATTGGTGAAAGCTAATAATCCAATTTGATGTGAATTATTTATTTATTTATTTTTTATAAGAATATTCTTAGCTAATTTCCTTGATGATTAATGCCTATTTAAATATTTTAGCTTATAATTGTTTTTCTTAGCTTTTTCACCAATTGATTAGCAATTCCTATAAATAAATATATAGGGCGCAAGCCTATCGGCCCTACTACCTTCGAGCAAATATTTATTTATATCCTTTAGGTGTTTGTAGGGATTACGGAGGAGATCGTACAGGAAATCGAGTGATGAATCGCTGAAAAGGAAAGGAAGGAACTCGTAGTGGAGGAAGAGGCCTGACGCACGACAGCGATGGTCATTGAGTCTGCCGGCTGCTAAAGGGTCAGCTGGTCTCCCTACGTGGCGGCCAGCCTAAAGATCGCCGCGGGGAGGGTTTGCTACCGTGGGAAAGGGCTCGCTACCCGGTGAAAACTGCCAGTGGTTGCCCTTTGGGGTTGCTGGTCTTTTGGGGTCGATGCTCCGGGGAGTTGTGGGTCACCCCAGAGAATTTGAAAGGGGCTGAAAACGCAAACAGGCCGAAAAAAAAAGAAAGAAAAAAGCTGAATGGGCACACTGGGTGTGTCGCTGTTGTGTTGCTTTTGCTGCTTTTGCATTTTTGGTTTTTGTGTTTGCTTTGTTTGTTTTTGTGTTTGCTTTCGCTTGTGCTTTTGCTTTGCTAATTGGAGTAGGGTAGGGATTAACATAAAAAAATTTTTCTTCTTCTTTAGGTGTTTATTAACTCTGAAAGGTGCATCTGTGCTAGCTAAGCAACTTTCTCGATATGCAAAGCCTGGCCTTAATTTATTTCAGAGCTAGTTTTTTGCATCATGAGCACGAAGATTTAAAGGCAAGCCCAACTATGCCCGGAGTAATTTCCAGACCTTTCCGGAAGTTGCGACTTAGACTCCAAAATTTGGCTTGAACTAATAGTTGACCAGAAAATTCATTTTTTGAATTTTCAGGAAGGAAAATTAATATCTGGTGCAACACGGTGCGGTGAACCAAACTTTTCTGCAGGCCCATGCTCCGTAGGAGCAGAATTTGAAGGTCATGATACAATTGTTGGCGTGCAGGTGAGTGGAGCGTTATGGAAGGGATTAAGGATCTTCTGACCCTGACAGGGAGCTACTCTATAATATAATTAATTGCAAGATTAGCAATTGCTTGGTTTTTCTCACGCGTTAATACATTCTAAATGAATAATTGAAATTATTGCAGCGATTATCCAAGAAGATAGGCCAAGTAATCCGAAATGCTAGATTAATATTTGAGGATGATTAATAAAAATGATAAATTATATCAATAAAATTCCTATTCTTCCCGTTCCCATCTAGACATAAATCCTCATATAGAATTTATCGTCAGCAGAAACTTATAGTCTATTATCGCATAATCAAAAAATTTAATAAAATAACCGATTATTAGAAATGCATAAGGAAATAAAGATTGATTATGGGTTGCAACCCTTCTCTTGGGAAAGTGAAAATATTCAGAGGAGATAAAGAAAGCAGAGCTGATCAAGGAGTACTGCAAAGACCCCCTACTAGAAAAGCAACTGTTCATGTTGGGATGAATCCTAATAAATTTGAAGAAGCAAAACATTTGGGCACATTTGCCAAACAAGTAACTGTGCCTTCAACTGAATATTCTGGGACCTTACCCACCTCCAAGAATAAATAGTGATATGCTGCTATACTTCAAAACTTTGAGCAGGATGATTTGATCTTTTGATCAATGCGTTATAAATAATTTTGTCAGTTTTGAGAGTTTTTTAACAACAGACATTATTAAAATCGGAAATTAATCTTTAATCCTCAAATGATAAACCATAAAAGAATATCAGATGTTGTTAGGATAATACATTTGCTAATGTCCTTTTGCCTCATATTTTTACTAAATTTTTCTGGAAATAATTAACTGCTTGTTATAGCAAAAATCGAAAAGAGCAGCAAATAAAAATGCAAATTCAGGGACTTAAAGATTATTTGATTATCTTGAGGAAGATTAATCTAATAATATCTTAGAAAGAGCCTAATAGAGGAGAAATTAATCCTAATTTTATTAAGCAGCTCTAAGAAAGTCGATCCTTTATTTGGTTAATTAAATATGTGAAAGTATTAGTACTTATTAAATTTAGAACTAGCAAATCTTTGAGGCTCCTCTAGGAGAAACTTTTCTATTTGTTAAATCAATATATGCTTGGAAAATAAAGCAAATGAAATAGGTAATTTGCCTTCAAATTATTAGCCCAAAAATTTGTATTTGCTCTATTTTTCATTCGGAAGTATTTTATTTAATTGATATTTTAAATATAATTTAAAATTTTATAGGATTTAAAATTCAATCAAAAAGGGTAGCATTTATTTGCACGAAGCAATTTTAAAATCATTATTGATTAGCATTAAAATTTACAATATAAGAGAATTGATAAAGTTAATATTAATGATGAATACAACCAGATTTCAATTTCTGCTGATTTTCAGATTTACAGATCTATCAACAATTTAGAATAGTTCAATCTAAAAAAATTTTATATATAAATTTTAATTTTTTATTCATGTTCTGATACTGATAATTAATTCAGCTCTAAGTACATATGGGGTTTTCCCATGAAAAGCCCCATTTGGCCATAAATTGATCATGAGGTTGCTTTTTTGATTTGGCCAAGTAATCTTGGTCAGACCAAAATTGAATAAAATTTTAATTAGTCTGACCAAGATTACTTGGCCGTGCCAAAAAAGCAACCCCGTGACTAATTCATGGCCAAATGGGGCTTTTCATGGGTAAACCCCATATTTATTTTTTATTATAATTTTTGAGATGTTTTTATATGTACGATAAAAAAGCATAGAAGGCCTTTAAATTATAAAGTTATAGCAATTGCATCATTGGGTTTTCTATCATATAAAGAGTATTTTTTATTAAGGAAAATTAAAAATGCTCCAGGAAGAATATCCTGATTGCGATGACTGCTTGGAACTTTCTGAACACCTCGGACCTTCAATTTCACCTATTATAGAAAGCATTTTTTGTACTTTTGAAGCTTCTTTAAATTCTTCTTATATTTCAAGCTTGCAAAGAAGAAAGCAAATATTTTTGTCACTGATAATCAACGGAATAATTGCTTTTCAAGGAATTTCACTGTGTTGATATCAGAAAATAAATGCTTCTAACTGAAAAGACTATGAACTATTTTGAAAAATTTTAGGGTACTCCAGTTTTGATAATATTTGTGATGAATTTGATATTTTTGACATCTGTTCACTTATCAGCGTATCAATTTTATTGTATATATTTTTGAGCATTGCTCTTCTCAGTATAGTTAAATTGTTTTGACAGTATACTCCTATGATAATAATTGTTGTTACAAGGAAAATAATATTAACAGCAACTACTATTGCCTTTATACCCTTATTATTAATTTTGTTGAAAATTTTCACTTATTCTTCAGGGCACTTAGAAAAGATGACTATATATCAAAGCCAATCCGTTAGTTCCATTTGAGCTAATTTTGGGATGATAGGAGAATGCCTGAGTATAATATTAATAATAGGTTTAGTGCTTCTAGCAATATTTTCTGAGTTATTTGTAGCTGAAATAAGACATTCAAAAATGCAGAAAGACATCAAAGCAAGATCATACTCAAACTTTGACATTTATTTAAAAATAACCTATGCATCATTTTGCATTTTAAATATTTTTTTAAGGAAGAATCTATTGTATTTTTATGTACTACAAATCCTTTTAAGCATTTTATTGTACTTTATCTTACTATCAATCATGCCTTATTATAATATTTTACAAAGTATAGTCTGTGGAGGTGTTTTGGCTAGCATACTATCAACATCGTTTTCTTTCTTGCTCGCGACTCTAATTGATGAAACAGGAATTACAGTTGTATCTTTTGTCATTTTTCAGCCAATTGCAATTTTTCTTGCAAGCCATAAATTAAAGCAGAGGGCAAATTACTTGTGAAATGAAAACTTTTCTCTAAAAAAATCTCAGACTTATTTTGAGCTAAGCCTTAGAAAATGGTTAACGAGAGAAAAGCTGGACTTTGACTATGAAGAGATAATCAACAAATTCTCTATGTTTCTTTTTGATATTTCAAATTTTAAAACTGATCTGCTAGTTATATGAGAAGCTAATTTTTGCTTAAAAACTATAAAAGACATTAAATTGGCAAAAATTAAGCTGCTTCAGCTTACTCCCTCCAATAATGGCAAATTTCAATCTCCTCTTGTTAAATGCATTATTGCCAATTTTTGCTAAATAATCCCAATCATAAGCAAAATTTAGCTTTTAATTAGGAGAGGGGTTAAGAGTACTCGCAGGACATTAGAAGGTCTTATTCAAGAGCGAAAAATAAAAAGAAAAATCAGCCATAGAAATTTCCATGATGTAACGCAAATTTCTTACTTAATTGAAATGAGAAACTTAAAACGAAAAGATAAAGAGCTATGCCAGATACTAATAGAAATGCTGAAGAAGGTAGTCTCTAATTCATTTGAAGCAAATAAACTGATGAGCTTAGTTATTAATTTATCAGACTCCTTCAATACTGTTTCAGGACTCTATTCTTCAATGGCAGAAAAGTATAATGACCCAGAAATATATGAATGTTTATCATCTTTTGTAGGCAGCATTCTTGGAAATATTGATTTAGCATCGAGAATTAGAAATAAAAATATTAACTTAATACGAAGAAAAGAAATTAGCATCATTGAAAACTCCAAAGGAAGATTAATATTTTTGGGCAACTCTGAAAGATTTGGGACGGTTATTTTTATGAATCAGAAAATGGACAATATTTTAGAAGTTACTGAGAGAAGTTATAAAAACAGAAATTTTCTGTCAATTTTACCTAACTCTTGAGTTTATGCTTGAAAGTTATCTATGCAAAATTATATGAAATTCTCAACGACATCGTCCCTTCCAACTCTAAATAGATTTTATATAAAAAATAATAATGATTATTTGGTGGAATGCAAAATGAATGGGTATTTGACAGTGCTAAACGATGATGTTTATTTTTTAATTAACCTAGAGCCACAGACATGCAAATCAGAAGTTTTTCTGCTCTCTTCAAGCCATATTATTTTGGAATTTTCCAGTAAAATCCCCTTGATTTTTCAAATTCATGGTGAATCTATTCAAAGAGGTTCTCATATAAGTGAATACATTCATAATTTTTCTGATTTTCAAGAAGAAAGAGCTAATCGCTTCATGTTTAACGGTAAAGAGATGCTTGGTATATTATACAAGCTTGATTATTTATCCTTGCCTGAATATATTTTTGAGATCAATTATGAGGATTCTGAAGTAGGATATATTAAGCCAAGAAGTGAAAATCTTTGTTTTAATAGACAAGACAGCATAATTAAAAAGAAATTAAAACATCACTCAGAGAAAGACGATAGGAGTGACACAGATTTTAAAAGCTGTGAGTATGAAGAAATGCTAATTAGCCAAGAAGAAATAAATGAATGTTTATCGTTATCATCCAGCTCGAGAAGCAAATCTTTTAAAGAAATCTCTCAGAGGTTTGTTGGGAAATCAAAAAATGCAGTAAAAATTCTCCAATGAGTCCTATTCGTTTCAGTAAAAGTAATTTAGATCATTTTTATAATAACTACAAATTGGCTGGCTTTATGAGTTGTCTACAATAATGTTTCTCATGAAGTTTCTCTCCAGACCTTTAATCATTTGGGCCAAATCCTGTATCATTTGAGCTCTTTTTCTGAAATTGTAAGAGATATCGATGCAGCGCTCGGACAAGGTAGATATAACCTAACTTGAGATCTAGGATTGCTGATGGAAGGAGTTGAAGATATGAACTATCTTAAAGGAACAATTTTAGCTGACTATGATCAATGAAGTTACTGCGAAAGCTCAGAAATAGTAAAGGAACAGATAATTCCGCTTTGAGCATTTGAACCAGAACCTGCACTAACAAAACATTCACTTTATGATATTGTCCAGAAAATTATCAATCATGTAAAAATTATTTAGGGTCAAAGCCTCATATTGATTGCCAAATCTAAAGGCGACTATATCCCTGACTTTAAATTTCTAGTCATAAATTGTCTGACCTTTACATACAACTATGTCTTAAGAGCACTTGAGAGCTTAGTAAATTGTGAAACAGATAGAATTAATCAAATGAGCCAAACAATTTATGCAGTTATGGGCATCGGATATTTTAGCATTGTGAGTTGTACTTTAACTCTAATATATTTCATAGCTTGCATTGAAAAAAGATATGATGAAGCATGACGCTTTATCAGAAAAAAGACATCATCATCTTATCACGATCTTACAGATTCCATAATAAAAAGGCTTGAGGAAGTGCATAAAACCTTGACTTCCAAAACTTTTAAAAAGAAAGCACGATTAAAAACAAAGATTTCAATCAAATCAAAAATTTTCCAAAGATATATGCTAAAAATTTCATTTTTTTTAGTCATAGCATCTTCATTTTACTTTCTTTCGATATTTTTCCTTTACCCAAAAGTAGAAATTAATATGAAATATAGGCCGCTAGTATTGAACCATTTCGTTTATAAAAAATCTACACTCTCTCGATTAGGGTATTTTACTAGAGATAAAAATGATCCTAGATTTTTATTACATTATCCTGACTCGGACGCTCTGCACAATCCAAATATCAGCTATGCAAACACAGTATCTTTCCTTAAATCTACATTAAAAGATATAAGGAAAAAAAATTATTTGAATCTCATGTTGTTATGATTATATTACTTAATGAAAAGCCCAATGTAATTCGGGAAGGACTATTTTCGCACCTGGCGCCACCTTCACATGCTTGCCAACTCGCAAACGACCTTACAAAGGATGCTCCTGCTTGGGCAAGTGCCTTCACTCACTCCCTATAGTTTGGGTGTGTTGCACTTTACGTCCGCAAACGCTGCTCACCTTGGAAAAAAATCGAAATAGTTGAATTTTCTGGTCCAAAATGGAAATCAAAAGCCCAGGGCGCAACCCCTTGCTTCACTCTGGAAAATGGTTCGATAGACCAGGAAATAACCGTCAGCTCTACTGGGAAGATCCCTTCCAACTCTCAGCTTCATTTCCCTCTGAGGCAAAAAAAAGCTTGATCTTGATTAAAGCGAGCAATAGTGAGCCTGAATTGCGTTTCACCAGCCTTATCGTATATAAATCACAGAAGTCAACTTTTCTTCCATAAAGTCCATGCGAACTATATGTGCTAAGAGGGTGGGCTGGCTTATCGCGCCATTTTAAAGTATATTGATTCTCATGTCAGATGATCTAAAATCGAGCGTCTTTGGATTGCAAAGCTCACCAGTCAACAACTTCATGAAATATGGAAGCTTCTATGCTACTAATTATCTTCTATTAGAAGCAGACTACATCGGAAATCCAACTTCTGCAGCTAATATTGTTGTGAGATATAATTTCATTAAAAACTACACAGCTCTTCAAGCTATAATAGAACATGAGTATCATATGGCTAATAATGACTCCGAAAACCATATTTATAATGAGCTCAATATTTTCGCATTTGTCACTTTGGCTTATTCATTAGCTTTATTGTCTTTATATTTCGGATACTATTTTCCTTACCTCAAAAGTGAGGTTAAAATGATTGATAAGCTTAATAACTTAATGGCCGTTATAAAATAATAAGTATGGTATCTCATTAGCAAATTAAAACATATGCAATTTATTTAATGAGCTATTAAAATCTTCAAACTTGCTCATTTCTCGATATCTTAATGCATTTTTAACAATATATTTAAGTTTTATCCATTTTCATGACATAAGCAAGGCATTAGGTTAACAGAGAAATAAGTGATGATAGCATCAATATGTTGCAGGCGATATACTAGAAGGAAGAAGCCAAATAGTTATAAGCGAGTCTGTCAGAGTAATTGATATCAAAAAAGAGTTAGATAGGGTGGTAACTCCTCATAGTTGTGCTTTAATTTTATACTAGATGAGATAGTAGAATATTATACGCCAACAGCATTATATAGTCACAAAAAACTTGGTGAGCTACAAGCACTATGCAATATTAGCAGTTCATGAGCATGTGATTTTTCTCTGTCAATAAATATTTCGATCATCAGTGTAACTTTAGAAAGAATCAAGTAGATCAGTTATTATAGAAAGGTTAAAGCTTGAAAGACCAACGAATTTAGGAAATTAGGGAGAATTACTGAAAGGAGACTGAAAATCTTGCTAATTTCGAAAAAAGCGGTCATCGAAGAAGCACATATGGTCTCAACAGTTTTATTTGTAAATGAATGCATGCAAGATATATGAAAACAGAAAATACTGGATCTGGTAGAGCATAAGATGAAGATAGCTTGGATAGGGTGTTAGGGTGTTAGGGTGTTAGGGTGTTAGGGTGTTTAGGGTGTTAGGGTGTTAGGGTGTTAGGGTGTTAGGGTGTTAGGGTGTTAGGGTGTTAGGGTGTTAGGGTGTTAGGGTGTTAGGGTGTTAGGGTGTTAGGGTGTTAGGGTGTTAGGGTGTTAGGGTGTTAGGGTGTTAGGGTGTTAGGGTGTTAGGGTGTTAGGGTGTTAGGGTGTTAGGGTGTTAGGGTGTTAGGGTGTTAGGGTGTTAGGGTGTTAGGGTGTTAGGGTGTTAGGGTGTTAGGGTGTTAGGGTGTTAGGGTGTTAGGGTGTTAGGGTGTTAGGGTGTTAGGGGTGTTAGGGTGTTAGGGTGTTAGGGTGTTAGGGTGTTAGGGTGTTAGGGTGTTAGGGTGTTAGGGTGTTAGGGTGTTAGGGTGTTAGGGTGTTAGGGTGTTAGGGTGTTAGGGTGTTAGGGTGTTAGGGTGTTAGGGTGTTAGGGTGTTAGGGTGTTAGGGTGTTAGGGTGTTAGGGTGTTAGGGTGTTAGGGTGTTAGGGTGTTAGGGTGTTAGGGTGTTAGGGTGTTAGGGTGTTAGGGTGTTAGGGTGTTAGGGTGTTAGGGTGTTAGGGTGTTAGGGTGTTAGGGTGTTAGGGTGTTAGGGTGTTAGGGTGTTAGGGTGTTAGGGTGTTAGGGTGTTAGGGTGTTAGGGTGTTAGGGTGTTAGGGTGTTAGGGTGTTAGGGTGTTAGGGTGTTAGGGTGTTAGGGTGTTAGGGTGTTAGGGTGTTAGGGTGTTAGGGTGTTAGGGTGTTAGGGTGTTAGGGTGTTAGGGTGTTAGGGTGTTAGGGTGTTAGGGTGTTAGGGTGTTAGGGTGTTAGGGTGTTAGGGTGTTAGGGTGTTAGGGTGTTAGGGTGTTAGGGTGTTAGGGTGTTAGGGTGTTAGGGTGTTAGGGTGTTAGGGTGTTAGGGTGTTAGGGTGTTAGGGTGTTAGGGTGTTAGGGTGTTAGGGTGTTAGGGTGTTAGGGTGTTAGGGTGTTAGGGTGTTAGGGTGTTAGGGTGTTAGGGTGTTAGGGTGTTAGGGTGTTAGGGTGTTAGGGTGTTAGGGTGTTAGGGTGTTAGGGTGTTAGGGTGTTAGGGTGTTAGGGTGTTAGGGTGTTAGGGTGTTAGGGTGTTAGGGTGTTAGGGTGTTAGGGTGTTAGGGTGTTAGGGTGTTAGGGTGTTAGGGTGTTAGGGTGTTAGGGTGTTAGGGTGTTAGGGTGTTAGGGTGTTAGGGTGTTAGGGTGTTAGGGTGTTAGGGTGTTAGGGTGTTAGGGTGTTAGGGTGTTAGGGTGTTAGGGTGTTAGGGTGTTAGGGTGTTAGGGTGTTAGGGTGTTAGGGTGTTAGGGTGTTAGGGTGTTAGGGTGTTAGGGTGTTAGGGTGTTAGGGTGTTAGGGTGTTAGGGTGTTAGGGTGTTAGGGTGTTAGGGTGTTAGGGTGTTAGGGTGTTAGGGTGTTAGGGTGTTAGGGTGTTAGGGTGTTAGGGTGTTAGGGTGTTAGGGTGTTAGGGTGTTAGGGTGTTAGGGTGTTAGGGTGTTAGGGTGTTAGGGTGTTAGGGTGTTAGGGTGTTAGGGTGTTAGGGTGTTAGGGTGTTAGGGTGTTAGGGTGTTAGGGTGTTAGGGTGTTAGGGTGTTAGGGTGTTAGGGTGTTAGGGTGTTAGGGTGTTAGGGTGTTAGGGTGTTAGGGTGTTAGGGTGTTAGGGTGTTAGGGTGTTAGGGTGTTAGGGTGTTAGGGTGTTAGGGTGTTAGGGTGTTAGGGTGTTAGGGTGTTAGGGTGTTAGGGTGTTAGGGTGTTAGGGTGTTAGGGTGTTAGGGTGTTAGGGTGTTAGGGTGTTAGGGTGTTAGGGTGTTAGGGTGTTAGGGTGTTAGGGTGTTAGGGTGTTAGGGTGTTAGGGTGTTAGGGTGTTAGGGTGTTAGGGTGTTAGGGTGTTAGGGTGTTAGGGTGTTAGGGTGTTAGGGTGTTAGGGTGTTAGGGTGTTAGGGTGTTAGGGTGTTAGGGTGTTAGGGTGTTAGGGTGTTAGGGTGTTAGGGTGTTAGGGTGTTAGGGTGTTAGGGTGTTAGGGTGTTAGGGTGTTAGGGTGTTAGGGTGTTAGGGTGTTAGGGTGTTAGGGTGTTAGGGTGTTAGGGTGTTAGGGTGTTAGGGTGTTAGGGTGTTAGGGTGTTAGGGTGTTAGGGTGTTAGGGTGTTAGGGTGTTAGGGTGTTAGGGTGTTAGGGTGTTAGGGTGTTAGGGTGTTAGGGTGTTAGGGTGTTAGGGTGTTAGGGTGTTAGGGTGTTAGGGTGTTAGGGTGTTAGGGTGTTAGGGTGTTAGGGTGTTAGGGTGTTAGGGTGTTAGGGTGTTAGGGTGTTAGGGTGTTAGGGTGTTAGGGTGTTAGGGTGTTAGGGTGTTAGGGTGTTAGGGTGTTAGGGTGTTAGGGTGTTAGGGTGTTAGGGTGTTAGGGTGTTAGGGTGTTAGGGTGTTAGGGTGTTAGGGTGTTAGGGTGTTAGGGTGTTAGGGTGTTAGGGTGTTAGGGTGTTAGGGTGTTAGGGTGTTAGGGTGTTAGGGTGTTAGGGTGTTAGGGTGTTAGGGTGTTAGGGTGTTAGGGTGTTAGGGTGTTAGGGTGTTAGGGTGTTAGGGTGTTAGGGTGTTAGGGTGTTAGGGTGTTAGGGTGTTAGGGTGTTAGGGTGTTAGGGTGTTAGGGTGTTAGGGTGTTAGGGTGTTAGGGTGTTAGGGTGTTAGGGTGTTAGGGTGTTAGGGTGTTAGGGTGTTAGGGTGTTAGGGTGTTAGGGTGTTAGGGTGTTAGGGTGTTAGGGTGTTAGGGTGTTAGGGTGTTAGGGTGTTAGGGTGTTAGGGTGTTAGGGTGTTAGGGTGTTAGGGTGTTAGGGTGTTAGGGTGTTAGGGTGTTAGGGTGTTAGGGTGTTAGGGTGTTAGGGTGTTAGGGTGTTAGGGTGTTAGGGTGTTAGGGTGTTAGGGTGTTAGGGTGTTAGGGTGTTAGGGTGTTAGGGTGTTAGGGTGTTAGGGTGTTAGGGTGTTAGGGTGTTAGGGTGTTAGGGTGTTAGGGTGTTAGGGTGTTAGAGGTGTTAGGGTGTTAGGGGTTAGGGTGTTAGGGTGTTAGGGTGTT